GGCTCGAGTTGTCCAGTTGTGGTATTCAACCTTGTTCCGGTTCCTCGCAGCTCCAGCGCAATCTCGAGGACGGTTTCGCCTTGGATTTTGTAATCGGTGCATGCGAACGCTGCAGTGCAGGGAAGTCCTCGGCGGCTCACTTCGTGCCTCTGCCAAGGCCTCCTCTTGGCCCTCTTCTTCTTCTCAATGGGTATTTGCGCACTTGTTGGAGTAAGCAGGATTGTGCCGGGTGGCATGTCATCAAACCTGAACTTCTTGGTTGACTCGGATAACAGGATAATGCCGGCAGGTGGTCCAAAGTGGAGGATAATGTTCGGGGCGAGTTGATACCCTGGGAATCTCTTGGCGTCTGGTATAACTTCCAGTGCTTTGTACTTGGCCCCGTTTACGAGCTTGAGGCCTGGGTTTATATTCTTGGTCACTACCACCGGCATGCCAGGTACGAACATGAACGTGGCCGGCACACAGATCTTGCTGTCATCTCCGACGCTGGCCATGAGCGTAGCTTCTTCCTCCGTTACTGGCAATGTATTGGGTTTACCCCAACGGTGCTGGGGTAGAAATATCCGGACTGGCTTCTGGTGGTGCCTCTGGAAGGCCAAGACCGCATCCATGTTCAAGCTCCATCTGTTGCTGTTAAGGGGTGTAACTACTGTGATGCCCTTGCCCCATGGTATGGCTCGGCCTTCCTGAAAGCACCGGCTGTTAAGAAGCTCCATGTCGGACTCGTCTTGCTGCCCCTGCCGGATCCGAGTCAGCAGCCGCTGCAGCTCCGGGTCCCCCGCTGCGCGCACCTGTTCGGTGAGCATAACGACGGTGGTAAATCGAGTCCAGAGTGCGTGCGCCCTCATTTCGTCCGCAATCCTGAGGGCGGACCATGGCGTCAATAGCGACTTGTTTTGCACTGGGCGGAATTGGTGGAAATCTCCTGATAGTAGTACCACTTGGATGCCGCCAAAATCTTGATTCGATCCCCGGGCGGCGCAAAGTCGCTTGTTGATATCGGAAAGGGTCTGGAGGCCCAGCATGCTCACCTCGTCAATGATAAGTGTGACGGTACAAGGGCACGAACGAGGTCGAGTGCGACTTGGGTAAAATGATTGTTTACAAGGAGAGAAAGAGATTCCTAAGGAAAGCTCTGATTTAAGATAATTACACAATATTCATAAAGTGAGACTATTCATTACCTCAGTGCCTCAGGCCACACTGTGAAGGCCGCGGCTATGCGCGCTTACTAAAGCACGCTAACCCGATCAGGTAATGCCTTCACAGAGGGCCTGAGCGCTTTTGGCCAAATTTTGTGTGGCGTTGTCGTTCGTCGCTTCCTAATCTTTTCCGGTCGTTCAATCCTCCTCAACAGAAACCCAATGTACTTGCAGTCAATTGGTGCCGCCATCAACAATTCATATCATCTGGACATGACATTCGAAGATTCGTCGACTGCGACCACAGCTGAAGGTGGCAAGTCTAGCTCTTCGCTGCCACACGTCGACAACAGTCGCAGACGCTCACCCCGCTCGGAGAGCGAGAAGCTAGACATGGTATGCAATTTCATGCGGAAAGAGCTCCGTTGGGGTGTGACCGACTTTGTCAAGGCGCTAGCTTCTGCTGAAGGTCCTAACAGTACTCGTCGAAGGACTGCCTTCGTAACAGCGGTCTACAAGGACCCCGAAGTCCTAAAATCCTACTTTGGCGACGCGGATCAACTCGGGGGTGATGGCAGATTGTCTGTCATTGAGACATTGGATCTGGGCAACAATGAGTTGCGGAAAGAGGTGGAAAGACTAGGTACAATGGCGCCATTTAACAAATTCGATCCCACTCCCAAGGACGAAGAATTCGACGCACTCAACATGGACCAAACGCTAAATACAATGCAAAGCGAAGCGCCTCTGTTGCTACAGCTTATAAGAGATATCATGGCGCCCGAATCTCGACGGAAATATCAGCGCCAAAAAGAACCAGTTGCTCGAATTGTCGCCATCATATCAATCCTCTGTTTCTCTCAGCGGCAACACACCTGCACGGGGTTTCAGAAGGCGTTGGGTCTCTACCTGCATTCTAAAGGCGTGAAGCGTCAGCAACTAGAGCTCCTTGCTCGACTTGGACTCGTCGTCAGCTACGATACTGTCGTCCGAGCCATCAAAGAACAGTCAACTCAAGCAGTGATACAAGTGGAAAGAATGGGACAGAGTGACGATGTCGTAACGGCGTATGATAATTTCGAGACAATGGAAGGCGTCAAGGAACAGAGGGTTGATCACCAAGGCACCTTCCATTCGGTGACAACGGGCCAGGTCATTCACGGCATTGAAATGCCGCCCGGTGGGCTGCGACAAGACATGCTTGATCCCCGGGCGGAAATGTGCGCCAGCGATGTCTTCCTAGCCCCTGGTAATCGAGATGACAATATTCATCGTCAGGTACGTCATGGTCCACCATACCATGTCCATGGCCTATACTGATTGGCAACGGCCCACAGTAGATATCACGATACTTTGCCTACGAGGCCATAAACAAAATCTTCTCGACCGCCGTCCCGGACGCTGTAAAGAGGCAGCGTCCAACAATGCCTGTTGTCGATATTCTCGAACCCGTCAAGACTGTCCATTGCTCGCTCGGTCCCATCCCACATGACGAGAGCAGTAATGCTGGTAATATTCTGATTCTGGAGAATATCTTCCAACATCAATACCACCTACCCGACTCCGCCTTCGAGAAGCGTTTATTTCTCATCTACGGCGACCAGAAGACTACACAGCGGATTCGCTCGATCAAGCAACGCAGAGAAGAAGCTGAGCGACCCTACGACAGGCTGCAATGGGCGCTGCCAGTGCCGGCGCTCTTCCATCTCCGCATGAACTACCTGTACATGATATCCAGATTGCATTTCGGAGGCCCAGGCAGCGATCAATCAACGTTGCATGATGCCATGAACTTCTGGACCAGGAAGAAGATCAGCAAATCCAAATCTGACTTCTACGCCCTGGAGCAGCTGATCATTCATAGCTTCCAGGCTAGAGTGTGCGCCTTGCTAATGAACAAGCTTGCTCAGTTTGGACAGGGGGGGAACCTCGAGTTCGAAGACATCACTAGAATGCTAGCTGCTCACGATGCAGGAACCTTCTCGCGACTTCTCGATCAGATTGTTGACTCGTACGGCAAATATGCCCGCTCGACTGATGATGAGGAGCTTCGGAACCACGTCCTGTTCTTGCAGCACACGCAGACCTACCTGCTTCTAAAGTACTCGATCAAGCATGCTGATCTCGGTCTCTTGCGTCGAACCATCGACCGCTGTTGCCTGTACTTCCATGGCTCAGGACAGTCCCGGTATGCCTATGAGATGTTGTACCTCCACCGTCTCACGTCAACGCGTGCTGCCACTCCGCAATTGCAGCGCGCGATACTTGCAAATGGGCTTGTCAATCGCCGAGGCAAGGAGGATAGCTGGTATGAGACAGACAGGCTTGTGGAATTCCACAATGGCACACTCAAGAACCTTCTCAACGCCAAACGTGGATCGTCCCTCACGATGGATTATCTCTTCAAGCACTGTTCTCTAAATACTGACTTCTTTGCTGCTCTTGCCAAACGGATAGAGTCCTTTTACTGTATTGTTCGCAATAGCGAGCATCCAGAGAAATCGGCAGAACTTGACATCAGGGTGATGGCTCAACGCTTGTCGCACAGCGGGTCAATTGCACTGCACAAGGGACGGACAGTCAAGCATAAAGCTACGGATGTTCTGGCAGCAGGGGCACAGCGCATCGCCGGCAAAGCGATAATCAAGTTCAACAGAACGGCATGCAGCGCCAACTACGATTACTTGGAGGGTGATGAACAAGAACTAGGCGACGGAGAGGAAGAAGAAGACGCTGAAATCGATGAGGAACTAGGCCATTTTTTTGCACTAGATCATGCCGACGAGGAGTAAAAGGAAATGACGTCTCACAATTTTACCTGCTAAGTTTGAGCTTTTGGAGTGTTGCCCAAAGGCACGCGTTCTGTGTGACGTCGAGGACCTCCTTTCCGTACGAAGCCAAATCACTCCATTCCCCGTTCACTGCGTGTGCTAATGAAGCGATAGAAGTAACCGTTGCAGCCGTCCTTGATATCATGGTTACAGCTTTATCCGGAAGGAGAAGCTCGGCTAGCGCATCTGTCATAAGCGTTGAAGACAATACGTCTGCGGCCTTTGCCTCTCGCCACTCGACCAATGCCAATTTCACCGCTTCCGTGACGTGCTTTTGGGATTGAACAACCCTAACAAGCTGTCCTGCCTTGCTGGTAGGTAACCTGACCTCGTAACCTGTACATTTGGCGCAGCAAGAAGCTGTCTCTGCCGGACGAGTCCATGATGAGCAGTTCTCTCCGAAGAACTCAAGGATGCCTCTCCGGATACAAGTTGAACGATTGATTACCTCCCATATGCCTCGTGGTAAAGCGGATCGCTTCTCGTGCTCCGAGGTGCGCTTCTTGATGGACCGAAGTGATAAGTGTTCTGTCCTTTCCCCAAAACACCAGGGCGGAACTAACCACACGAAGTCACCCAAGATTGCCGTACCTCGTGCGGCTCGGCCTGCTCGCTGCAATAGAGCACCCATGCTCGCTGGGACGCCCCACTGAACGACGAGCCGGACATCTGGATTGTCAATACCCATTCCCATGGCGTCTGTGGCAACGATGACACGATGGATTGAGCTATCCGAGACGCTCTCTGAGTCCGTCTTTTCGAACTCCGTAGCTATACGCCTCTTATCGGAGTCTGAAAGCTGTGAATGATATGCCTGGACGGCGTCAATGGCAGCCATCCCTGAGCAACCTGCTCTAACCAGGAGCATTCTCAGCACCCTGACCGCCTTCATGATCTGCGTTATCGAGTCGACATAGACTATGGTCTTCAGAATTGCCTTGCAACAGGCACGGCTGTCGGATCCTGCTTCCATCCGTTGATGTCGAGTGCTGGCTAATACTGCCTGAGCAGCACTCACCCCACCTCCACGCTTGAAAGCCTCTCTTGCCCTATTCTCCCTTCTCTTCATGACAGCCTCCTCGGTTGCTCCCTGTACCGGTTTAACAAGGAACTCTAGATCGCGGAAGCTGTTTGCCGGATGCTGAATTGGTTGAATTGCGAATGTTATGTCGGGTCTGTCAATGGAGGTCCGTTGAATGTGAACCCAAGGATCGAACCCACTGAGATCTCGAACCTCAGCCAACGTAACTGGATCGAGTGTCGCAGAGCAACCAAACCAAGGCACGCGTCTACTAACCGTGTGACGCAACAACGCCAATTGACTATATCGATTCCTCCAATGCAGACCCCACTCGCTGACCACGTGTAATTCGTCGATGGCCACCAACACGAGGTGGTCTTGGAAGGCCTGATCATATAGGACCTCCGTCTTAAATCGCTCTGACAGTGCAATTTCTGGACTCAGAAGCACTGGGTCCTTCTGTTCAGCCATGATATTTGGTTGGTAATTGTCGGCCTAGACCTCTTACCGTGCGTGTATTTGCCGATTCGGATCTCGTTGAGCAACGCGGCTTTGTTCGACTGGGCGTTTAATACGCAAGGCCGGCAGCAGGGTATTCGAGAAATAGACTTGGCCTATTGTCAAGATTAGCCATTTCCTTGTTTCCCATAATTTTCTCTGTGCCTCGCCACCGACTGACCTGGTCCTCTTCAAGCAGGTTTAAGGGCATAATCATGAGGCAAATGCCGCCCCGCAAGGCCGGAACCGCCTGGAATACAGCGCTCTTGCCCCATCCTGTAGGTGCAATTAGGATTAGATCCTGCTGGTCTACAGCGAGTCTCCGTATTGCTTCTACCTGGCCGTCACGGGGAGGGAAGTTAAGGAGGTTTGCCAATGTCGAGGTTAATGACTCAGGATCGGGGCAACGTAAAGGGGTATGTAGCATCACTGTCAGTAGCAGAGACTTATACGCAGAACCAACTGCAATTTCCAAGGACAGTTGAGGGTATCTTTGGCGTAATCGGTGTTGGTGACGAATGGTACCGCGTTGCGCGAATTAGGAAGCGACGAACGACAACGCCACACAAAATTTGGCCAAAAGCGCTCAGGCCCTCTGTGAAGGCATTACCTGATCGGGTTAGCGTGCTTTAGTAAGCGCGCATAGCCGCGGCCTTCACAGTGTGGCCTGAGGCACTGAGGTAACCTGCTTGGTATGAATTTAACCGCATTCTTTTCGGTTCGTCTGAGCCTAGTATAACCTGTCCAAATTGTAAATATTATAAACACAGTAGACTAATAGAAACAGCGTGTAATCTAATCCCAAATATTTCAAGTCCCCAGCATTTATGTGGACGCAACGTACGAAGCGAGGATGATAGAAGACAAAGTCTAGATCAGGCAATAGAGGGTATAGAGCCACTATTATGGAGTACCTGCTAACCTGACAGCGGACGGATTCCGCATCCGTATTTATAGAAGAATCGTATCCTTGTTCATTCATCCAGAGACATTGCCAAGTGGCAGTGAGAGGGGTAACGACCCCGCTGTGGTTCAGAGCTGGGATCCTTTTGTCCGTTGATGCAAGTGGGCGTCTCCAATCACACCTTATCCCTGATCTTGTAGTGGACACGATGCGATAACGCTAACGCCATCAGGAGATCTGGATCAGCGGATGGTGGACTGGACATAGAACCCGCCTATCGTTACCACACGAGAATTCAGCTAGTCAGTGTGCTACGTAGCCTAATAACCATGACGAAGCTAGAAGAGGGGTTGGAGGCGGGGGCCTCGGCACAGATTAAGAAGATGGACTCTTCCCAATATTCTCGTCATCCCTCCATTTAATCCCTACACAATACATCTCACGTTACACCGACATTATGGCTACCGTCGTTATTCAGTACCCATCGGGTCCCAGCTTCGACCTCGATTATTACCTCAAGACGCACATGCCGCTTGTGTCGAAGTGAGTAGAGCGCTGCACCCTCCCCCGCTTCCACAGCGTCGCATTCTAACGACTTGATAGAACCTGGGGCTCCGAAGGTCTACAGGGCTGGGAGATTGTAACATTCTCCGAAGGGTCGGCGTATCAGGTTCAGGCCACCTTGCGATGGGACAGCCTGGAATCTTTTGACAAGGCGGCTTCCGGACCATCCGCCGCAATCGTCTTCGGCGACATTCCCAACTTTACAGCTTCAAAGCCTGACGTATTCAAGGGCGACTCAAAGCTCACATCGAACCTTTAAGGGATGGTCTAGTAGTACCAAAGTTGTTGGGCCAACAGGCTAGCTCAATTAAATGACCAAAGTCGCCCATTCACGAGCTGGTTGAGAAAGTTACATGTTGTGGTGTGTTATGACTTTGTACACTCTACTTGTCATGCCGAGAGCATAAATACGCCATCTTGCAACCTGGTTTCAAGCTTCAGACACCACTGTTTGATCTTAGCCTCTCTGCCGTGACCATGTTGTCATTGAATACTCCGGTCTTGGCTTGTAATTCCCTATTATCGACCAAGCACCGAAATCCCTCTACCGTGAGAATAACACATATCATGACAAGCTAGGGATTCGACCAGGAAAGCTTTTATTTCTTTAGTCACTGCTTTACCACCATGCGTAGGATCTGATTTTGAAGCCAATTGGAAGGGCGTGTGAGAGGCTTCGAAATTGGCGTCAACGGAATGAAGATGAATCAGATGACAAGATGGGAGTAATTGAAATCAAGACATCGGCAAGTTAGTCTAGGACGGGATGGAGTTAATGTCCTCGAATGCCCGGTGGGAGAGAAACGATTCAATAAAAATACGCCGGTTTCAATCAAGTTTACCGACGGTATGGTATTTATCTTTCTTTAATATTATATTCTTACTATTACAAGTATCTATATTTACGCTTCTTGTATGAGCTACCGCGCATCTTTGGACTGGGTAAAGTGCTAAATAAGTGCCCTTGCTATTTGCAACTACTTTGTGACTGTAATCTATTTGGTGATGTTGAGTAAAGCTGAAGATTAAGAAACCAGTACCTTTTCCCCGAGGTTTCACTTCTAAGGTATCGCACAACTATGGAAGACTGGAAAGAATTGCACTCAAGAACGTCAATCTAATGTAACCTGAAGTTGAATGCTTGCTTACCTTCTCCCAAGAAGACCAGTCATGTCCCAGTTAAGCCAGCCTTCAAGCCGAATGTCGTCAAAGAATAGTTCTAGATCAATTCCTCCAATCATGTCTCCCCGTGATGCATCGATAAATGACCAAGCTGACGACTCCACATTTTCTACTACGTTTGGTGGCTGGCGCCTGCTACTGAGACGTCTTCTTCCTCTAGTCTTGGAGATTGGAAAGGCTACGATATTACCATTATCGGTGTATTCGTCTGTATATGTGACAATAAACGATCCACGTCTGCTCAAGTCCGCTCCTTGCCACCTAGGACGATGGAAATGTCGGGTATAAGACGCATGGCATATCTGGGGATATGGGTTCCGCCCATCTCCGATGGCATAGAGCCAGCATCTTCAACAAAACGCATCAGCCATGAGTTACTATTGCAGCCGTGCGCGCTTGATCTTCCAGCATGAGATGTACGTGATGGGACCGTTCCATTCAGACTAAGGACTCGTGCTGGTGATGCGGAGTCATCAGATATACCATGACTAGGCCGGGTAGGCAGATGTTGGATTGGAGCTATAGATGCCACATGCTGTCCCTGCCGGACATCTATATTCCCCACCGCGGAACATCGAATTGTGGCCAAATCCTGAGTTAGCCACCATGACAAATTTGCACACGGAACAACATTCTTTTGATCCAAAGCCATAGAAGCACTTCGTTGCGTTCGACGTCTTGATGGGGCCATATTCTCACAATACTTGGCCTCCCGTCGGTAACGGATTCAGGTGCCACAGGGCCTCCTGGCAATCACATCGGAGCTTATGCTGTCGATATGCTAGACAATTCGGTGGCTTTCTTCTCCCACCGCCTTGCCGGATAGCGGGCCTGTTGCAGTTATGTTGATCTTGGACATGCGCCGCCAAGGTATTCTGAGACGGCATGGGCTCAAAAACGTCCCCGGATCCCCGGATATGAATAGGATACCGTATCGACTCAATAAATTGGCCACGCCTAGCGCACTGGAATTAGAGTCATCCCCCACTCCAGAGCCTCGACCCCCCCCCCCCCCTTCTTGATTAGCCTGATCCTCGCTAATGCAGCGTTAGGCGTGGCCAATTTATTGAGCCGATACGGTAGTCAAGCTTCTCCAGTTCGACCCAGAATTATGCTTTGCCATTAATTCCAGTCAATATTTAGTGAGCTACTCTGCACACTAAGATCCAGACGAGACTGCCATTGCTCGTCCAGCCAAGTTTTGGAACCAAGTGAGTTAAACATGAGGCCATTCATGTGGTCCGTTACTTCTCCACTCAGCCCGCAAATCCCATAGCTTAACTCCTAAGCGATTCGCTATAGTCGTCCCGATAACTGCTAGTGAGCCGATAAGCTACTTCAAGTGGGGTGGAAATTTAGTACGAATTTACCGAGTCGACACGGTATTCACCTTGAACCGTCGGATGTGCAACTTCAATTCACTCTCAGATGCAATACCAGTCGCTATTGCCAGCGTCTTCACTGCTTCATTGACAGACCCCACGACACGGAGCCAAGTTCGCTGTGTTAATCCTGGACACAGGTGATGCCATGAAACCTTGGTCAACTCGGTCAATTCTGTCAAAAAGCCTAGGACTAAAAGGGTTAGATTATTCCACATACGATTAGTGCGCCCGGCTGAACTGAGGCAGGAAACGAGAGAGTCAGCCCCCCATTTCTCACCGATCGTCGACTCTCTTCCTTCCCTTGATTGAAGCTATTTCCAAGCCATTCGTTTCGCACAATGCCGCCTCCTCAAGAGACTGATCCCAGGGCCCCCTCTTGGGCCTTGGCTGAAGAGAAGCAACGGAAAAAACCTGGTCCGAAGCCAAAGCCGCTCGGACTCCGTCCATATAAACCCACAAAGCCGATTGTTCGTCGCGAACGCTCGTACTCACCGAAGAAGAAAGAGGAGGTCATCATGTGGTTAATTCATCACCGCGTTACGGTCAGGGGGGAGTATCGTAGGCCAAACCCAAGGGAAGCTGGGGACCACTTTAAAATTCCTTCAACTACCATCAATAACTGGATGAAGGCCTACTGTGAGTCTTTTCTGTTGACGATGAGAACTACAGCAACCCCCCTGCGTCATGGAACGGTGGCCATATGATCTCCAAGACGCCATTGTGCTCTGGTGGAGACGATGGAGCCTCTTAAATATGGAATTAATGATGATGGCCCTGGCGAGATTTCATGACGTCGCGGATACGCTCGAAATGTTGCTTGATGAAGGCTTGCATCTTTGAGATTGTGTCTCGACTGATGTCCACACGAGATCTGTGTTGCTAACATCTCACGCTAGTTAAGAACCATCCGAAGCTAGAGAAGATCTCCACCACATGCTGGGGCCCTGTTCCTGTTGGCAATGGGCAACCTACTCCGGATCCAAGAGAGAAGCCCAATTCTGCAAACGGTGCCGGGATTGAGGAGAGACCGCAAGGAACAGAAAGGGCCAGTCGTGAAACCGGTACCGGAACCGAGAAGGCGTGAATAGAGAGCATGGGACGGGAATGCAGGGCAGGATAAATGGGTCCAGGGACGATCAACGGTATTGGAATATAACATGGAAGGCACAGCACAGATTTTTATCTAGGGGTAGACTAACTACAATAAATGGTTCACGGAACAAATCGTCAAACTTGGCAGCTATGATATCAGGATCCACGTATCCCGTCATGATCGCAGCGTCACACTATCGACATGGCTCTACACTCGAAGCCACCCGCCTGTTGCTTTGATCCCGAGCTCTCCGTGCTAATATCGAAGGCCATAAGTTGCAGCTTCTCGGGAAATGGGCAGAAGATGCGTCCGTTGAGGCTTCTTCCTAGGATTTGCAACTTATTCTCGTAGTCGTCACTTTCCGGTACTCTACATCACCGACGAGCATACCCCGCTTCGGGCGCCATTGATCTGGCTTCGGCTCTTGACAGTCAAAAAGACCAAATCAGATGAATATCACCGACAGGTTGACCATCTACCAAATGGCAGGATCCCAATTCTTCAGCACAGAACCCAGCGGAGGTTTCTCAATTAGGACCTCATTAGGCTTGTATGGGCGTCAGGTCATTTTTTCTCTTTGGTCTCTCTGGGTAATCCCCAACGCGTATGACGCCACGACAAACCCCGCTCGTGTCTATGGTAGCCAATAATTGACCACATAAGTGAGCCTCAGATGATTGACGATAGTATCAATATGTAGGATTGCCAATGAATCAACCAATCATCTGACTATATCAAGACATGCCAAGAGTAAAGGGCGTACACCTGACTAAGCCCTTCCTTGCTCAGATACCTTATCTCCAACTTCAGGCTCAAGGTTTCCGTTCCTCCGCAGAACACTGCCTTAGTTTCTCCTCCGACAATGGAAGACATCAATATCGAACAAATATCGGCGCCAGTGGTAGAGGCATATCCCGAGCGCGGCCTAAAAGCTCACAGCGTCACCCTCGGCGCTTGGCTTGCTCTGTTTCCAGCTTCGGGGCTACTCAACTCGGCCGGGATATTCCAAGCCTACCTATTGGAAAACGAATTGGCAGGCTACTCGGAAAGCAAAGTAGGCTGGATTTTCAGCACGTTTGCGTTTTTGTTCTTTTTCGGTGGCCTCCATGTCGGACCTATCTTCGACAAACATGGCTTGAAAATACTGCTGCCCACAGGCGCAGTCGGCCTTGTTATTTCTCTGGCGTGCACAAGTTTCTGCACAGAGTATTACCAATTTTTCCTGTCCTTCAGCATCCTCGGCGGCATCGCGTCGTCTATTTTATGGACGTCCAGTATTGCCACTCTTGGACACTGGTTTCAACTCAACCGCGGCCTGGCGACTGGCCTCGCAACGACTGCTGGTGGGTTCGGCGGCGTCATCTATCCTTTGCTGTTCAACCGTCTCACGCCTCAAATTGGCTTTGCCTGGTCAATTCGTTGCTTCGCCCTGCTTTCTGCCTTTTGTTTCATCCTCAGCTTGCTGCTACTAAAGACACGCCTCCCGCCAAACAAACAAGCACGCATGCTCCTCGACTGGCGCGGCTTCAAAGATTTACGCTTCATTTTCACCATGTCCGCAATATTCATCCTCGACTGGGCCGTCCTTGTGCCACCTGCATACATCACGACTTACTCCACTTCGCATGGCATTGACAGCATATCTCCTCATATTCTGGCCATTCTCAACGCCGCCTCAATTTTAGGTCGAGGTATCCCTGGTCCAGTCGCGGATAGACTTGGCCGGTTCAACGTTATGATCCTGTGTTCAGCCATGTGCACCATTTCTATTTTGGGTCTTTGGCTTAACGTTGGCTCGAGTGCTCTCGCGGCCGTCGCATTCGCTGTCCTGTACGGCTTCTTCAGTGGCTCAGCGTACAGCCTAACGCCCGTGTGTGTGGCCCAGCTGTGCCGCAGGGAGAACTACGCGAGTCGCTATGGGACCGCGTATGGGGTTGTCAGTCTTGCGACGTTGGCCGGGATACCCATTTCCGGAAATATACTGAATGCAGGAAAGGGCGAAAACTACCAAGCGTTAATATTGTTCTGTGGCGCAGCGTATGCAGGAAGCACAGGGTTGTTCGTCGTTGCAAGAGGGGTTGGTGGAGGCTGGAGGTTGCGGACTAGGTTTTGAGTAGGCGCAGTGAATTGAAAGGACCAGATTATTTATCATGGATTTGGATCTCATCAAGAAGAGTAGTGTCAAGGTGCGAGGTCGCAGACCTTCGGGGAGCTTGCAGTTTAGAGGTAGACTCGGCAATAACGGGCTACTTACAACATAGCGAGTAGCCACCTGAAAAGCGATGGATATGGATACCTACCGATGACTAGATGAGAAGCCAACCCAATCGAAGACAACGGGTAAGGAAGCAAGACTTTTGGCTAGTATCTTTTTGCCCGGGAATGCTAGACTCTAACTTGGTGTTGACGAGGTCAGAGGCTTCATCCAGCATTCCTAAAAGAGACCTGACTTAACTGAAATGATATAGCACGTGAACAGTAAGACGCCACAAGATGACGTCGACAGTGTGGTGCGTCACGCGCGAAGATAATGACATCACCACTTTTGAGGACGCGTATCACCCCACCATTAGCTCATTATTCCTCCTCTTTATGTATTACGTCCAAATTCCGCTTCATTCAGCTTCTGCTATCTTCGTCCTCGAGCCCTCACCTTGAAGTAAAAGAAGAAACACAAGAAACGCCAAGATGATGCAAAACGTACTCCTGTCGACCTTCCTTTGCCAGCTCTTCGCTGTGCTCGCCTTCGCCGCACCGATTGCGGACGACACTCTCTCGACGACCGGTCACGATAACCTGGGATACGGTACTGGTGGAGGGATCATTGGACTGGTCATCTTGATTCTCGATATAATCGTCGTCGGTACGTGTTACCAAATCTCCCCCCTTGATCGTTGTAAATTGCATCTTTTTACTAACTGCTCACTCCTTCCAGTCGAAGTTCTCAAGTCGAACCGTCCGCCCGCCTCCAAGTTGCTGTGGTGTCTCGTCATCTTCCTTTTCCCCCTCGTCGGAATGGTCATCTACTACCTGTTCTCAAACCGTGGCGCCCACAACAGCGGATCCTACGAGGTTCTGCCCTAGAAACGACCTCAAGATACTGAATGGGCCCCGACATCATAGTGAAGCGTGTCTGTCCGCCACATGGGGACCAGGATTATCAGGACAAGCGTCTTGTCACGCACAGGATACGGATTTCTGAGCTAGCGATACTTCGACGGGATCGAGCTGGAGTGATGAGCGTTACGCCATGAAATATTGGGAGCTTTGTTGAACAGGCAGTGTAATGGAGGCCAACTCGTCCGTCTGTGTTAGACTTGGTCTTTTTCTGAATTTTTCCGCAAGCAATCTTGACAATTTGACAATTTGACAGTCATCCTTCATGTTCCGATGTTGAAGTAAATTTTTTATTTTTTTCAGAGGAGAAAGCGAAGAATTGCGAAGAACATTCTCGATCGAGGTGCGAATGCGGTTTCACCACGACACCTAAGGTTCAATGAAGCCCAAAAACAATGCCTTCTACACTTGGCATTTGACATGATTCCGATCGATTGATGCACTCTTCTCTCCCAAGATGATGTGACTGACATCCTCAACTCCGTCTACGACCTGTCAATGGAATCTTTTTACTCTTGTATTATCTCTGCTACTTGCAGGATAGCGTGCTGGCCATATTCTCCCTGGGCTTCTACGTACTGCAATTCATACAGAATGGGAGACAACGCGCCCCTTGACCGCCAATACACATAAACCTGCTCCTCCAGCACCCGTTTTAATAGTCTCTGCTTCCATCCACCACTTACTACGCCCGTCGCATTCACTATGGGAAACCACCCACCGTGTCCTATCACTGGCACCAGTACGCCACGTTCCCTACCCTAGGCCTAACGTAAGTTCGCCAGTGCACAACCACTCCAACGCAGGCGACCTTGACCGTCTGTACTATTGGTAATGATGGTCAGTGTTTGAGTGGAAATACCTCGTCAAGATACGTGTTCTGCGGAGGTGCGCGTATCTGGTCCAACCCCAGTGAATCCCTGGGTTTACAGTTTAAAAAAAAAAATGAACGCTATCAGACAGAAGCACTTAGATAGGTTGTTCACCTGTGTTTTGGATCTAATACAAACCACGGGGAAAACACTGTTTGAGATGGAGGGGGGTTTTGTGGGCTGCAGGAGGGAAAACGATAATTTTCCATAACTTGGGGCAACCCAATAATATATTTAGCTTCAGGAACTAAGCGACAATGAACATCACTATTCACTTAGCTACTTGTAATGTGTCTTGTCAATCGCTTCATATACATCGCCGAGTATACGCAAGCTTAATTACGCTAAGCATAACAAGATCAACGCAATCTAGTACCTAAAGCGCTCTTGTCAAAACATTCTAACAGTGATCATTCTTGCCAGCGCCACCATTCTTGCAACCGTTCTTGCAAAAACCCTTGTATCTGATCTCTCCGTCGGGGCCTCCAGTGCAGTAGAAGAGCGAATCCGTGACATGACGCTTCCCAAGACATTGAGACTTTTGACTACGGATCAATTCATCTGCAACTTGGGGAAAGTATTTGCCTTGATGGAAGTAGGAATCAGTATTCATTGCCCCCCAACTGCAGTGCCATCACCAATTCCATTTCTTACCGATGTCCAAGAGAACACTGCCACAATAATTGAGTTTGGGGGTGCAGTTTCTGGCTTCCCCAAACGCCGCGAGACTAGCCACGAGAGCAAGGGGGAGAAGAGTAATGTTGACCATTTTGTTGGCAGATGATAAAACAAGCTTAGAAATAAAGACGGAACCGTGGGTGGAGAGAATGAATAATGATTGTTGCGGTGGGATCAAGGAGCAGAGAAGGAGGCCTATATATAAGCTTGTATTTGTCTAGGCTAGGGATCTCACGCGGTCTAGCCACAATGCCTCAAAGGCCTAGACCTCAGCCCGCAAAGCTTGGCACCTCAAGCCATTTGATTTTGTAGCCAATTGTTCTTAGCGGCGTTCAGCCGCAGATTATTAGCGCTATTCCTCTGGCTCAGCTGGAATAGCGGTGTCGCTTCATTTTGTGTTTCTCTCGTCGTATCCTCACTTAACACCACGAACGCGCGTATAGATGTCATTTCGACTCAATTCCATAACATGGCATTCAGGAGTATTCTTCAAGTCAATAAAATTGTTTAAACTGGATGAGCCGGTGCAGGACGGGCTAGATGCCGTAGATGCCTGATAGGACTTTGGGAGTAAGACGTGTAGGTGGCGTAATTAGCTGGTGACAGTCAGCCCTGAACCGTCCATTCAGACTTGAAGACGTCCATTCAGCCCCAGAGGCGTTCAATGCCAACCAAGGACGAAGGCACTAAATGTCGAGGATGACCGCAGGAAATTAAGGGGATGCCAGCTCAGCGGATTTGAACTGGCCACTTGGAACCAGCGAGCAATCGATGTTCACATTCACCGAGTGCTCGCAGAGATTCTTGTCAGGTCCAGACCCTACTTGCATATCAATTTATGCCCAGAAACGATGATAAACGCAAGCGATGGTATGATAGAGACGGTAGCATTCTAGTGTGCACTGTTCAAAATATATTGTTCACGTCGGTCCAGAAAGGCTCCTTTGTTGTATCACTATTCCCCCCTCACATCGGCCACAACGTCATGCAATGCCAGGCACCGCAGGTATTCTTTCGGTGACTTCCGCCTCGCCACCACCAAAAGTATCATATCGATAGCATCTTTCCATAGGCTAGCACCACGAGCTCCTGCTTTAGCTGGCATCTCTAGCTCGGTGGGTGGTTCTTCCGCGACTGGGGACGCGTCCAGCGTTTGAGCCATCATGGAAGTTTATCGTCCCTTTCTAGCATAGCCACATCCGTATTGGCCCTTCAAACACAAGATCAGTGACAAGCTATCGATCTTTCACCGTTGCATTGCTTGGCTGTATAGCGGTTGGTTCAACAACATTTGAGTTCAAGTCGTCGGGATTTAGTGATATCGTGTAGGGCTGCAAATGCCCGTGGGTCCCCACGGCTTGGGTACCCAGTTTAAGCTTATAGATGCAGATGGGCTGAAATCTAAGCCAGCAGCGACCAAACTTTCTTATTTTAGCTGCCCGTGGGTACGTAGGGGAAAATTAGCGCTGATAGATACCCACAGGCCTACCCAAGTTTCTCTTGGGTACCCATAGGTGCCCATGGGGGTACCCAATTTTACGCCCTAATTTCGTGTCTTTCGACTTGAGCGGTGGTTAGATGATGTTTCGTGGTAGGGAGGGAATCCCTTTCCTCCTGCGGCTGCGAAGTGCGTACAGCAGGTAAGGATTGTGGCCATCAAAATCTCTCAGTGTGTGTTATAGGGATCCTTGACCTTTGGGAATACGAGCCTCCGCTACTTTTGCCAGGAAGAATACAACTGGCGTCAAGCTCAGGAAGATTGACGTTGAGGCTATATCCAAATGGTAAACACTGACAAGATTCGCCTAACTATCAAGTATGGCAGATGCCTACTACAAGGATCTCAAGGATAAACGCAAGATCATCGTCGATGGACAATGTCCTACTGTGGGTGTTAGTGGCTCCAGTTTGGGTGCCGGGCTGAGCCCATTCTCGCGCAGCTACAGCCTTGGTTGAGACAGTTTGCTGAAAATGACCGTCATCACCTATGATGGCAAGATCGTCAAGCTCTCGCCTGATGATATGGGTAGGACAACTGTGATATCCTCTAGGCTATGAATGAAGGCAGCGGTGTCGATTCGGTGTCGCTTTCAGTATCACGTCTAGAATGCAAAAGTTGAGGACACCCACACGAATTGGCTATCGCGGATTTGTGGCCTCACAATAGAATCAAGCAACTTACTGGCGATATGACCGTCATTTGCAACGGCGCAGAGGACAAAATGCAGGATGCTATGGATAGGCTATTTGGCCTTTGGGCTTGATGGAAACACCTTGGCGGAAATGACATGGACTGGGTGTTTGCACAAATCCGAAGGCTGGGACCTCAGGAGCCAGGTCTATCACCGTCATTAATCATTGATCTTTGCTAAAAGGACAATTACGCCAGAGGTCACGGCGAAGATGCGTATCTCGTGGAATAAATGTTGGGTTGGCAAAACACAAATATACAATGCATCCCTCGCCAATTGTGCATAAACCCTGCCACCTCTTCTTGTTCGCAAATTAAAATCACGGGTATGGAGAACAATGCCTAGGGGTCGTTCAGTTCCCCCGAAACGAGGGCAATATGGCGCGTGATAAAGGTAGAATATGATGTACGAGCCCAAATTTTAAGGAGTATCGCTATCCGCACAGTAAAATTTATTTCTTCACTCCAGATTTATATCTTTTTTTTTTTTTTAGTAAAAATTAAATACAATGAAAAGAATATAATAAATAATATATAAATGATATTCTTTTAGCAGTATTATAGCTGTAATTGTAGTGCTGTCGGATTGCGAGTAGAGCTCGTGGCGGGATTCTTACAATAATATCTTGTACTAGAGGTTACTGCAGCGGGCAGCGCTGTAGTAGACACGCTGTGGTGAGGCCTGAAATACTATAAGCTAGGGGCTAAGCGCTATAAATTAGAGACCTCGTGCGCTATAATATCGCGGCTAGACGCTAATATTTAAGGGTTAGCTAAATTAAGTACAATTTGCAGCTTTTGCGGACCGCAGCTAATTTACGATCCTACGTAAAAGCCACTTCTTATTACACCCTACTCCGTAACTTAAGCAATCTGTATCAACTATTTTCTTATTACTCTGTGCCTGAAAATTTTATTAAATACATCATCAGCATCATGTCCATCGCAGTGCTTTGCCTTAATTGCCACCACTCTAGCCTGTTTTCTTCTTCTTTCCTTTTCGTCAATGAACAAGCATAGAGGCTTCTGTTCATGGGATTATATTTCCGGCGCGGATCCGATTTATTCAGATGATACAAGTCGAACTGAGACTTGTTTGTATCGGTTCGCTGATCTCTGGGAGATGAACGGAAAAATGCCCAAACTGGAGGTGACAATGTCCAACCTAGATGGGCGACACTCGTAGTCCTAGATATAACTGTACAAATTGTCATTACTATAGTATGAGCAGTATATCAAGAATTCGACATGAGCATTTTTTCCTCATCTTAGTTCACCGTCAATCCTCCCTGCATCCATCAGTGTCTCAGCGCCCATCCCATTCACGCGGTCGGCAGACTTAGGTCGGCTTTGGAGTGCCAACAGGGAAAACACGCCTCCTTGAACAGGTCGCGCTGCAAATTGGATGCCGCGCGGGTAACTTCCAGATTCCGTGTCGTATAGATCGGTGAAGGCGCGCCACGTGGTTGTTTCATTGATCCATTTGGCGATCTTCTTGATGAGATGCTCTGGGTTTCAGTCTTGGCCACGGCGGCGGCGAAGAGCTCCCAATCGAGTTTGGTGAGGGTGCCCCGCGTGTCGAGGACGACGCCGTACTTGTTCTGAACTGTGAGATAGAAGTCGCTCTGCATATCGTAGACGAATTGGGGAATGAAATCCAGGCCGAGCAACTTATCCAAGTAGATGTTATACAAGAGGCCTGCAAGCGGTCATGATCAGTTAAATTTTTACCTATAAATACGAACACCGTTTCGACGGGAATTATTCCGATGGTAAGACGTACCGTGAGAGTCGGGGTTGTCGTATTGAAGCATGCTATGTTTGGGGTCCGCATCATTGTTGATGCCGTGCTCGTACCAAAACTGGTAGTAGCTCTTGGCAATATTGCTGTAATTGGAAGCCTGATGATCGTGGCCGCTCATTTTAGCAATTTTAGACATAGCCTCGAGACCAATGATGCCCTTGATGGCAAGGTTTGTCTGGTTACTATTGGAGCACTGTAAGCATCCCAATTTCCAACCACAAAACGCATCCACTCACACGAGGTGACCGGCAAAATCGTCGGTAGAAAGCTGGTCAGCGGGAATCTTTGCCTCTTCAACTAAAAACTCAGCCCACTGCGACAGCAGATCCCAGTTGTCGCGCAGATAGTCCGCGTCGTCCTTCCACTGCGAGTAGGCAAGCATCATGGCGATCATGTTACCGCACTCCTCCAAGGGCATGGCTTCGTCATCTCCTTTAGGATATCCCCTGGCAATGGGGAAGGTCCCAAGATCATGCTGGGAGTTTATTAGGTTCTTGGGACCCTCTGGAGCGGACGTAGGAGTCAGAGCTCACCTGTGCGTACTTGTTGGGATAGTGGTATCTGTCGTTCTCGAGAAGAGGGTCAAGTGTGTATTTAATTAATTCAGGGTTAAAGTATAGGAAAATTGGCATAGCTGGAAAAATAACATCGACGGTTTGAATGTCGCTGTTGGAGCTGATTTCCTTGAGGAAGACGAGGGGCCGTTGCTCAGTGTTAGTGTACTGCAGGGCACCCCAAACCTGGCGCACAGCTAAACTAGTGATGGTTAGATAATCCTGGCCTGCGGCAGCCTTAGAATCCCTGGAGACACGGTTATCAAGGACATCGCAGTAATTGGTCGCATGGTCGTAATCTTTGTAGAAGAAGGCGACAAGCTCATCTTCGGCGAAGTACTCCTTCCAGAGCGATTGCGCAGATTGGATATCCTCTCCTTGACCCTGGAATTGAATGGCATCTTCTTGTGTGTAGCCAATGGTGAAAAGAGCACTCTTGGAAGTGCTGCCGACACTGCCAAGGTCATGGGCGAGACCAAACACCGGCCTGGATACGGTTAACATTCTGCACTTGGGTGATCCTTTCGGAGTAGTTGGGAATACCATTTGTCACTAATGGCTCGGAACCCTTCGTCAACATGCCCGTTGAGCATTCCCGTATTGGAGAATTGACTGCGCACTACCGAGTCCTCGCCAATCTGGTAGGTGATGCCGTTCTGTCGCCAGTTAGGTCATGGCGAATAACCAGTCCGGTGGCTACACATCTTACCTGGTTGCCGGTAGCCCAATACCAATTACCCCAAGAAGCAATTTCATTAACTTCTTGAAATATTTCTTGCTTCTCCCTGTAGAATTTGTGATAGCGGACGCCATCTTTGGAACCGGTCTCCCAGTTGATGACTGCGCTGGTGTCGCCAGAGGCCCACTCTGTAACCGAGTCAGCAATGAGAGACGTGGATCATTCGGGTGAGAGATTCGCACCTCCAGACACATCACAGTAAACCTGAACTGTGTGAGTGTTGTCATCGAGAGATTTAATAGCTACGTTGAGGTATGAGGATGTGACCGATTGCCGTCGCAGATCATCGTAGTAAACTGGAGATAAGAAGGTAACAACCATTTCGATCTTGTCGTCGACATTCATGGTGAAGATGGTCTTGGTCGACGTGTACTCCAACGAGATCTGTTCTACTCGAGCGGCATCTGTATCATTTCCCATCCAATTGTATTCGCTACCGTCGACCCGGATGAGTCCCGTCCATCCTTGAGCCACCTCGCTGCGCCCCGAGTCAGCGTCACCATCTAGCCAGCCAAATGGATCATGTACTACCTCCACGACTTCGGCGACGAGCCTGGTAGATATCCGCTGGGCGTGCCATCCGTGTTGCCGTTGAGCCACACATTGAGATACGGAGACCGGACGGCCAAGGGAGCGGCGGGCGGTCGAGCCGGGCTGAAAGTTGACTCGGTGTTGGCCTGCAACGTCCACGCAGCCAGTACGGCCATCGCAGGCTTCAAGAACTTCATGACATGCCACAGCTATAAGGGTTTGGGGATGATAAAAAGATGAAGCCGAGGTAAAGATCTCACGACTTGCCCAGCATCAAGAGATGCCGACTGATTGCGGGGGACTCTGATTTATGCCTCAGATATGAGGCAACGAGTAACTGTAGTAAACTACTTTGAGACAGCCCTTTCGCTGCCCGTAGGTAGGTAGCTACGGAAACATGTGCATAAATACGGATAATACGCTGGATCACAGAGACGGAAGAGAGTGCCATGGTTGGTGTCTGGTTGAGATGGGGCATCAATGCGATGCTGTACCAAACTCAGCACGAATTGTATTGTAGCGCCTCATATCAAGCCTGCTCACTACAGCGCATCCATTACAGCGCATCCACTACAGCGCCCTGCCCGCTACAGCGCCCTGCCCGCTACAGCGCCCTGCCCGCTACAGCAACCTCCAGTTGTACCAGTAGCAGTATTACAGTTACAGCTATAATAGAGCTGAAATAGGAGTATTTATTTACCCTTTATTATTCTCCCTAATATGTATAAGTTTTAGTGTAAAAATAACAAGATATAAGATCTACTGTCCCGTCTGAGACTGCTACAGTCCCCTCAAGGTAAGCACTAAGGTTGCGCGTAAGCGGCGACGGGCAAGACCGACAAGCCTATTAATATTATAAGAGAGCTTGAAGACGCCGACCTGAGCGCACAATTGTCGCCTACCATAAGCGGGAAATGGTCGCCGACATCAGCTAGATGTTCTGTCTAGGGCGTCAATGACGGCGAATTCAAGCTCGAACACCGCAGCCGAATGAACAGTGAACAGGGGTTAAAGGAGCATTATGCGCAGCCAGGAACAAGGAGGCCATGGCCAATATATCAAGATGGCTATCCCACAGATTTCCAGAACGCTACTTCTCTCATTCAGCCATTCTCCGAAAACACATCCAAAATGATTGGAACAGCAGCCTTGATCATATTTCTCTGTCACGCTGCGTGTGTTGCATCTGCCGCCTGTAAACCACGACCACCCCCAGACAACAACAGCACACTCTCCTCCTGCAAGCTGCCGGCCCAGGACAACGTGCATTTCAGCGTGGGATTCAATTATGCCGGCGACTGCGTTCCGACCAGTGGAGAACTTCGGGCGTTTATGATCTTTGTGGACTTCTCGGATGCAGAGGCACCCAGCAATGACCCGCCAGAGAACCTTCGCGACTTCTTCTTGCCCAACGCAGTCGAATGGTATACAAAAGCCAGCAACGGTGCACTCTCACTCAACATAACCGCCGATGTCTCGCGTTACTATCGCATGCCTGCACCGGCGGCGTCGTATCACTGGGAGACCGGACTTTCCTCCCAGGAGCACCAAGCATACATCCAGGACGCCCTTCAGGCATACACAGAGAACGGCAGTCGGCCCCCGCCACCCGAGACTGAAGTTCTCTATCTGGTGCCTACGCGCTCCGCAAGCTCGTACATCACACGGTCAATTACACTCGACGCACGTGTGAACACCCGAGAGGGAGTCTATGTGGCCAGGAAGACCATTACATTTGGCACAGATGCGTTCGACACCTGGGGCTTCAAGACGCTGAACCATGAAACGGGGCATGCCATGTGCTTGCCTGACTACTACCCGTATGCCGCCGGCTTGACGACTGAGCATTATGTCGGGGGCTGGAGTGCCATGGGTTTAATTGGTGGCCCTGCTCCAGATTTCTTTGCCTGGGATAAATGGCGTCTGGGTTGGCTGTCTGATGAGAACATTGACTGCGTCCTGGAGCACGGAACCAGCGAACACATTCTCACACCGCTCGAGGTCACGGGTGGTACTAAGGGCGTTGTCATTGCAGTGAACGAGACTGCAGCCGTAGTAGCAGAAGTTCGTGTTGCTGAGGGCTTGGACAGTAACATTTGCGCGCCCGGTGTTTTACTGTATACAATTGATACAGCTATAGCATCAGGCAATGGTCCCATTCGCGTTCTGGATGCGAATCCTTCGTCGGGAGGATGTGGAGGCGCAAATGGCGAGCTGAATGATGCGACGCTGTCACTGGACGGGAGAGAGCGCCGGTATGATGTCCCGGGATGGGGGATCAGTGTGAAGCTGGTGTCGCAAGATGGCGGAAATTTCAAGATTCAGGTAGATTATTTCTGAGGGTGGCGCTATAGATACAGGTGGAGATTCTTATAAGAAGACTATTTTCTCATATTTTCTATTGTGCCTATTTTACCAGGAATAATGCGTGCTGAATGTATTGAGGTAGTACTGGGTAGTGATGCACAGGGCCTCACGTCACGATCCAGCACCCCGAATATCACCGCATATAAGTAACTCTACACACTCTAGATTATAGCCCCAATGCAGTGAACTATTAATTGAGACATCAGCATGTCCATATCGATTGATGGGACAGGAGAGCCATGTTTTTACATGAAGGCGAACCGCGTGGAAAAATAATCACGACTTGAGTGAGTGTGAATGGCCCCGCCTTTCGGTCAATGACTCACCCGGCAGCTACGTGCGTGACCATTGCTCCCTTTTGAACTGTTAGACGGGACAATCTTGAAGTACAAAAACCCTGATAATGCCGAATGAGACTCGTTTTCAGACTGCAAGGGGTGAAAGGGAACCATCTCGATTCATGCATTTTACCTGACATCATCACACGCTACCACGACTCCTAAGCAACTCGGTCACGATGGATGTTCCGCACGACATCATCAACGCCTATCAGTCGGCACGTCTCCAGTACATCCGTGCCGACGCCTTGGACGAAGACTTTAAAGCATTTGTCCCGCAAATAGAACAGGACCCCGTCATTCAAGTACTTGCTGCATCGACCATGCTAAAACCCAAAGGCAAAACAGACTTCAACTCGTATGCCGAGTCTGTGGCCGCGTCATTGCTCGGCGTTGCGGTGTGTCTTTTGCCGGAAGAAGGGCGAAAACGAGAGCATAAAGGAAGCGCAGACTTGAGCATGCAAGAACCGGATGAAGCTCACCAAGACAAATTGGCCGAGTGCCAAGAACGGGGAAAGAAGCCAACAATCATCGGTGTCATGTGTCTGGGCTGGGGCGGCATATCCCCATCCATCGCACACCACCGTAGCGCCCCCATTGGTATCAGCCTTGCAAAACCGTACCAGAATAAAGGCTACGGGCGCGAGGCGATAGATTGGATGCTCGATTGGGCGTTCAAGCACGCAGGTCTGCACTCGGTGACGATCAGCGCAGCGTCATATAATCCCCGAGCAATCCACCTATATCAAGGCATTGGGTTCTCGCTTGATGGACGCAGGAGGGAGACGATTTGGTATAATCGGGGATGGCACGATGAGCTAGATTTTGGCATGACGGAGTGGGAGTGGGAGGGTTTGAGGGGGTTTGAGCCGTCGCGAACATGAGGAAAATATGGCGGGAAGTCTTGTGTTGGAGCGAGAGTCATCAGCACAGGGGAACTCAATCTGTCATTAGTTAGTTTTACCAGTTAAATAATTCAGTTATGCGCCAGTGGCTGTCGCTTGCCTGAATTAATTCCTCTTTTGGTCTAACGGCAAGACTGCTCTATTGAAGCTTGCAAAGAAGCAGAAGGGTACAGTGCGTAAGTACTTGGTTCCGTAGAATCACACTGTGCTAAACACCAAGAATAACGCTGCACTTATCACAACACATCCTACAATCCACTTCCTCACACCCGCACTGCAACCATCACCAACACCAAGAACAAGTCATCTCCCTACTTGAGCCATCTTCCAAACCATCCAGGTGATCAGCAATCACTCATTCATCCTTGCCATACCCCGACATGGCCCACCAAGATGCATCGCGAGTGTCCGGACCCTCGTTCCTCGACTTGTCGCTGGAGCTTCGAACTACGGTTTATCGACTACTGCTCATCCAAGACGACGTGATAATGACCCAATTTCGACTCTGCCTGCACCCTGCCATTCTTCGCACGTGCCGCCAAGTCCTTCTCGAAGCCCGCCACCTCCTGTACGAGGGAAACACTTGGGGGATGACGATATTCGACAAAGGTGGGCAAGAACGAGCCTACTTCCGGGGATCGGATCACATCGGGGAGTACCCAAGTCACCGATACGGATTCCGGGTCGAAGTCGTCCGACGGTTGAGGATTATGGTCGAAATACATAGCGAAGACAACCTCTGGACTGTTCGTTCGGCCATACGCAAGGTCTGCCGGGTCCTGTCGGATATCCCACAGCTGGATTACGTCCACTTGAGCCTCGAGGGTGGAGGCGGAACTGAGACCTCAGAGCATTGCCACGTCCTGAAAAACTTCGGCCTGCTGCGCCGCGTTGGCAAGGTCACCACGGCCGGCGTTCCGCGAGTCTACGCCGAATATCTCCGGCGCCGGATGACGGGGTGCGCGCCGTTGGACAACTTACCCAAGATGTATGAGGCGCTGGAACTCTATGCGGACCCCTTCGACTTCAGCGCCGCTCTTCTCCAAAAGGCAATCGAGGCAGTGGAGCTCGGCGATGTTCAGCAGTTCAAGGACTTGAGGGCGCAGATCGTGGAGCAGGTGGACGGACATATGAAGGAGTCGGTCAGCCGTCTGTACGATCACGATGGCCGAGGAGAGGACCACGGGCCAGACAATCTGTCTACACCCGAAGTGATCTCCCCTGAGAATACCGACAGCTTGACGGACGGCGAGAAGGACGAATGAGAGGGCTGGACAACGCCGTCTATCAACATGGAACAGAGCGCATATCAGGGGCCGTGTGTGCGGATGTGCAACGACGCCGAGTCAGATGTACTGTAGGCGTTCTTCAAATACCCATTGGGAGTTGGTACAAATCCTCTCGGACCCATTGTCGTCTCTTGAAATCACGGCAATATGCTCAGTAATGGCTCTGGTCAGTGGTGGATGGCGCGGGTGTTCGGGGGGTACACGGACAGCCGTATGGTGTACGACTACTGCTCGTATCATGTGTGTTTACTAATAAATGGCAGTCAAAGCCTCCCACGCGTCCATCCGCATCGTCCGTGGAGCCCAAGGTCGACAGGGCAACACAAGTCTCTCGGGCTGTGCGGTTGCACAAACGACAGATGGGACGCGACCGCGACCGCGACAGACACCAACAATGACGGGCATGGTCGACGCGGATAAACCTGGCACGGTTCAATAGATGGCGGTGAAGGAGGGGAAGGGAGACGGCGTCAACATGTACTGGGCCAGAATCAACGGTTAAATCGTCGACAACAAAGGCGACCTTGTCAACATTCAGCCCGCAATAACGGAACTCTCGAACCAGAGCACTCCAAGCCGCCCATGAACATCGAGCATGAACCTCGAGCATGTCCGCAAACGACGCGCCAATCCATGAGCAAGTGCTTCGTTCCGTCAGTAGAGCCGCGAGGACAGAGAAATGAATCGAATTGAATTGAACGAACTGATGAAGCTCCGAAACGTCTCCGCGCAAAAGAACCAGAAGCAAGCCCAGGAGCCGTCGCCCTTCCAAACCCCAGAGAAATCATGTCCAACTGATATCCCGTCCCCTTCAAGCGTCACCCTTCATTCATACGACTTGCCCGAACGAGCCGGCTTCACTGCGACCAACATCGGCACAGCTTCGAAGTGGTGGTAGTCAGCGAACGAAGGCTCCTCGATGTGGAAATGGCTGTGGTCCCTTGGCGGCAAAAACTTCCTCGGCTGAATGCGTCCATACAAGCGTAAGCCAGGGCGAATAACAAAGCCGACGATGGTGCCATCCTCCGGCTCATCATAACACTCCATGACCTTCTTGTCATACTTGTAGGGGAAACCTGTGACCTTCAACGTTTCCGGGTCGCGCATCTCGAAGCAGATTCTTGTCTTGGTCGAAAGAACACGCAAGTCGAGTTTGATAGCACTCTCAATCATGGTTCCGAGATACTTGCCGAAACAGCCGGCATGGTAATCGGGATTCCTTCTCATCTTGATTTTGATCAAGGGGCCCAACTCTTTTCGAAAGATTGCGTCAAGTCGGGCAGGCTCCGTGTGGGCGCCGTGCAAGGCATGGAGCATCCGGACCGAGTGATATCTCCAAGTATGAAATGTCCAGGTGAACGAGTCATCAGCGTTTCTAATGCGCCCTTCGTCCACGATGCCGTATTAGTAGGGTGCCCTTCAGGAGATTATGAACATGTGGGAAAGAAAATAGTTACCTTGAAAACCTCGAAGCATCTTGCCAAAAGCAGCCCAAGCCTCCCCGGCCCATTTGTCGTCGCAATCTGCCGAAAACAAATTGTAAAAGAGAATTCGCCACACCCAGGCTGCAAGCAGTTCCCACAACCCTCCACATGTAATGTGGTCAGCCACGTACTGTTCAGCGTCTGGCGCCCACTCCTTGAGACGATTCTGAGTCTCCGTGTCGAGATCCTCCCATGATAGGTCAAGGGGGAGACATTCTTGAATGAAAGTCACAACATCTCCGTCCACGGTTTTCTTGAATTCTTCAAACGGTTGGAAAAGGTACACGAGCTTGCCAAAAAGGCCGGTCATACGGCCACCGCCTAGCCAGCGTTCAGATTCTTCATCCTCGAGTGACGCACGCGCCTCGTAGTGTTCCTTTCCTTCCGTTGCAACGTACCGTGCGTCTATGATCGACTCATCAAGCGCATCACTTGGTATACTATCCGGTATGTCGGAGGCGCCGCTGGTTGTCTGAGTTGGGGCCGAAGGCCCCAGAGAGCTTTTGTTGAAAGCACCCGGAGGGGTAGAGTCGGCGATGGGCTGGAGGAGCTCGCGGGTGGCACTGTCGTCGGCCTCGTTACTCTTGGGCTGCAGAGAGACATCTTCCTGCGATGGAGAAGCATCGGGGCTTGTGTGAGTCGACAGTACAGACTCCATGGAGTCTCCGTCATCTGCGGCAAGGGAGGTAGAATCGACGTCTTTGTTCTCTTGCATCGGTTGCAGAGAGTCATCTTCCTGCAATGGAGAGTCGTCTTCCTGGGATTTAGAAGCATCGGGGCTCGTGTGAGTCGGCAGTACAGACTCCATGGAGTCTCCCTCATCTGCAATAAGAAAGGTGGCGTCGGCATCTTCTTTGTCTTGCATGGGTTGCGGCGAGTCGTCTTCCTGTGATGGAGAGGCATCGGAGCTCGTGTGAGTCGGCAGTACAGACTCCATGGAGTCTCCTTCACCTGCGACAAAGGAGGTAGAGTCGGCGTCTTCGTTGTCTTGCATGGGTTGCAGAGAGTCGTCGTCCTGCAATGGAGAGTCGTCTTCCTGCGATTGGGAAGCATCGGGGCTTGTGTGAGCCGGCAGTACAGACTCCACGGAGCTTACATCGCCTGTAGTAAGGGAAACAGAGTCAGCGTCTTTGTTTTCTTGCTTGTGTGGTGGAGAGCCACCTGAGTGCAGCAGTCTCCTGCGGGAGGATGATTGATTCGTGTCGTCCATGGTTGAGTCCATGGTTGGTGAGCGACGTTTTTCAGCTCCGCCAGCCTTGGATGCCTGGATGGCAGCCAGTTGTGCGATACGCGATGACTTTCGGGGAGGCCGAGGCATCGAGGAACTTGGCCAGAGACGAGTGACAGAATGGCAACTGATCAGGGACGAAGGGGACGGCGTGAGGGCGAGAGGGCGAGAGGGCGTGAGGGCGTGAGGGCGATGGGGCTGCCTCCGCCGGTGGCCTTGGAGTAGAAGCGTGGGAGGAGCGGTGAGAGGACAACTGGTGGTACTACAGGAAGGCTTGCAGGCGTCTCAGTGTAACTAGGTAGATCCCTGGCGTACTCCGTTGGCAGGCGAAGCTGGGTGTCCTATTATAGTCGTCTACTTCACCCAACGTCTCGCTGAAGCCCTGCGTATCAGCCAGCTGAGGCCAAGCCAACGGACCTTGGGCTCGTGACAGACAATTATGAGGCTACCAGTTTCTGAGAAAGGTAAACAAAAGCCGATGAGGGATGTGTCCGTGCCGCGCCTCATCCAGGGAGAGGAGGTCAAGTGGTCAATTTCCTTTGTCCGTTGCCGGGAGGGGTTGCGATGCAGCCATCCCTTGCCACCGCACGGTCAATATGGGAGGGAGGAAATATTTGCAATAGACGGTAGCCATTCTTCTGTCCGCCTTGAATTACTCCCGTGCGGCATGTGGCTTTCCGCAGAGCAGATTTGATCCAGTCATGTTGAGGCTATGCCGAGATATCCAGAACCGCCGTATCTTGGCAGAGCCAGCAGCCAGCCCCGACCAGCTCCGAATGCGTTTGTGGCAAAACGGATGCCGTGATTGGCCTCACGGATGGAGTCCTCAGCTCGTTCTCACGCAGCCAGAAGACCAGGCTACGCGCACATGCGAGGGACGGTTAGATGCGCCAAGCAAGCCGTGGCGTTGTGTATTGTCCCCCAACCCCCGCGCAATCACCGCCAAGTTGGCTGTCTCGCCCCAGTGAGGCTGTGGTCACGGTGAGTTCCAGGACTGTGCTTCTGCGAGGATCCCCTCAAAGGTTGGCGTTTGCTGTGGATGGCGGCCATTCAAACGACGCCGCGCCGCTCGCACGCAAACTCACTCCGGCGAGCCCGGCCTTGACGGTCCACAAGGTTCAGATCAAGGTGGCCAAAGGCAGCTGCAAGGGGGTACGGATACTCACTCAGTTTGCAACATGTTGGCTTAGCGCGCGTGTGTGCTCAACTCAGCTTGCAGCTTGGGCTGCCCCTGCAAACAGCCCTGGTCCTATTTCTGGACTATTCGCGCCATGGCCTATAGGAGTCATCCCTGGGAGGACTCTCGCCTGGAGCCTAACTTGCACAAAGCAAATCTCCTTCCGTGGCCTCTCTAAGCTTGATCAAGGGGCTGCTTGTGGCGTCCAGCTGAGGAGCGGATGTGCAACAGTGGCGGAGCCATAACTGCATAAGTTGCTCATGTGCTGGTCCGGAGTGTGGCCACCATTACGGAGTACATCATCCGCCGGTACAGAGGAGGCCAGGATGCGGTCACTCTGAGAGGGTGTGTGGTACGTACGCTCACCGGCCTATCATTGGAGACATACTGGTACTGCGGGTGTTTGTACGTTACACAGAAATCAACAGGGGTTGACGGGGCTCTGGTTTCGGCTACAGCCCTCTCGCAGATCCAGAGTCCAGTCTAAGGCCCCGACAAGCGACGAGCCAGTAGGAACGAGAATTCCCAGGCTGAAGGGACTGTGTTGACAACCGAATCGGGTCGTATTGCCCATCTCAGCCACTATGAGGCGTTGACTGCTGTAGAGCACACACATGTGATACCTGCAGCCTTGCCTTTGGCCACCCTACCATGGACTTTCTAGATCTTCAATACCGGAGTCTGGAGTCACATCCTCCCGGAGATTGTACATCACCGGGGTAAAATTCCAACTCATCACTCTGAAGAAGGGCTTAGTGAAGGTACATGAGGGCAGTGTCGGGGAAAACGGCAAAGATGGCACGTCATTTGCTGCAGCGGGCTTACACCATGCAACAACCCATCGGTCAAGGTTGAAAACCAACGCCGTGCGGACGGAGACGGATCATAGCCTGTCACAAACAAACTTGGGCCTCTGGAGATGCATCCCGGAACGTCGTCTCAGGCAGCTCAGCTTGGATCCGAAAGTGCGGTGAGAAAAGCTCTAGTGGTCCTGGGGCCCCTTCCCACCAAAGAGGTGGCACAAACTATCAAACAGTAGTGCGTGCAGAGAGGGCATCAGCCCAAAGATGACAAGTGATAGCCCGAAGCCCTTGTGTTGGGGATGTTGGTCGTCGCAAGTTTCCACAGCAATCCACGACTCTCGCCAAGGGTCTTCCTGTCTGCTCCCTTTCCCTCTCTTCCCCTTCTTCTCCCCATTGGACTCATTGCTCTTGTCTCTTCTTCCAATCCCTCCCCATTCTTCTCTCCTACTCAACTCCCTTCTTGGACATTCTGTCATCCCACTACCAACCTCACGAGAACGAGTCCTTCTTCTTCCCATTCCCTGTCCACATTGATCTCTCCATTGCCCACTCTCATTTGGCTCTGCCTTGCACACCTCATCAAACACCACAAAATGTCCTCTTGTCCTTGCGACACTCAATGGGTCTCCGTTGGCCTTGACTTCGGGGCCACGTACGTATCCTGCTTTTGGTTCCTTTGGCTCTTTGCGACCGTCACTAACCCCTTTTATTCAGGTTTTCCTCTATCTCGATTATCCATTACAGGAAGTGCGATAAACACAACCCCGGCTTCGACCTCTTTGACATTCCGCCGATTCCCACAGTCCTGCCGATCGACCCGGTCACCCGACGCGTCCGTATTCCAAAGCCAACAGACGTGTCAAACGAGGACACAGAGGAATTAAAGTACTTCAAATTTGGCCTCATGCCGAAAAACCAATGGGCCAAGTCCTACAGCGACGACTTCATGGCGTTCTTGGAAACAAGTCTCCGCGTCAACATATCTGGTTCGATTAAGCAGGTTGTCGCAGCCTTTCTCAAGGTTCTTTGGGCCAAGGTGAAATTACCCGCCATTCCCTTGTCCAGGATCAAGGTAGTGATCTCATGGCCACGATGCTGGAGCAACCACGTGCTCGAGCAGCTGATGGGCGCCGTGAAGTTGGCCAGCGAGGAGATACCCGCACTGAAAAGTGCCAGGTACATCCCAGAGCATGAGGCCGCTCGTCGTTCGGTCTTATACGACATGCGTGTTGACCTAGCCCCATTACTTCAGGTGTGTTTCAACTTTTCTCATCCTCCTCTGGTCTGGAGCTCATCTGAGATCGTTGTCGGTGACAGATCGTCCCTCGCGCCACTTGCTTCCTTTTCATGCTAACGATATTTAATTTAGGCAGGTCATTGCGTCCTCATCGTCGACTGTGGAGGCATGACGGTGGTGAGTCTTCCCTCTCTAGTCTAATTTACCCCGGCAGTCGTTAACGCACGACAAAGGATGCGGTTTGCTGCCTACTTCCAAACCCAACCGCCAATCGACGTGGAACAAAACTGGAAGAAATTCCCGAGTCCCGGCTTGTCGGGAGTGTTGCCCTGGACGTGGAGTTCAGGAAGAAGGTAGTTGCCCAGGTCGAGGAGATAACAGGGAAGGCGGAGGCGGCCTTTTCCCCCGAGGACAGAGAGCAGATTCGAAAGATCATGAAAAGTTGGGACGCTCGGATCAAGCCCCGCTTCAACCCGCCAAACATAATGGACATGTGCGACCCGTTGGAATTTAGGTTCCAAGACAAAACTGTCATCATTTCCAAGTAAGTCTGCTGTGCTTCTGTCCCCTCCATTCTCTGTAGATAATAAGGGCCTAATTTGTGGACAGGCATGACATGATCGAGGTCTTCGATCTTATTACCAACGAAATATCCGACCTCGTTGTGAGCCTTTTCGAGAAGTCTCGGCAGAGGGGCAGAATTTTGAAGGCGAGTTCCCATATCTATCCGCTACAACCCAGAAGCAAAGCTGATATACTCTCCAGCACGTTGTATTTACAGGAGGTCTATCTCTCCAATGTCGGGTCAAGGATGAACTCCCGCGTACGTTGAAGCATCGTCTGGACCATGACTGCCCCCAACTCACTTTTAACTACGACCATGCGTAAGTCTTACCCGTATATCCTTCTTTGGTCGCCTTTGATCCTAATTCTTTTTCCAGCTTGAGTGCTGTTAGCCAAGGGGCAGCCCTGTCTAATGTGGTTGACATGTAGGTTCAACCGAAAGGCGGGGGCCGGTCTGGCAAGCGGCTGGCGGAGGCCCCGGCATTGGCCGGGCAGGTCAGTGAAGCAAGGGCAGCTACTATCAGTAGCGGTTGGGACTTGAAGTAGTCTCAATGGGCAAGGCAGTGAACCATGGTCGGGCGGTTCTTGGGCTAGCTGGTGTGGTGGGAGGAGGTGTGCCGAGGAGCCGACGGTTGTGATTGCAGATGTTTCGTTCTTTTCTTTTCGAGGGACATTCTCGAGAAGCCATTATTTCAGACTCATACAGTCATTTCTTAAAAGAGTTTCTTCTTCTCCTGTGGAAATGGCCGATTGATTGGCCTGGACCACTCGGGAACTCAACGAGGACCGGACGGAACGGTTTGCTTGCCTGTGTTAAATTTAAGTTGCTCCAGCGGGCAGGGCGCTGTAGTAGATCACTGTAGGGGCTGGGCTGTAGTGGGCAGGCCTCTGTAGTGGGTGGGCCTCTGTAGTGGGTAGGCCTCTGTAGTGGGTAGGCCTCTGTAATGGGCAGACCACAGCAGCGAGTAGGGCGCAGCGTAGGTCCTGATCGGCAACGTCGTTCAAATTGACCAGCGGACCCAGAATGTGCATAAAATCGACGCCAAGAGCGGCCATTCTCTTCCTACCACCTTTTTCTAGCACAAATCGGCGAATGAAGCCTACACTTGTATATCTTGACCAACGTCCCTGTCTCCAATATACTAGCTAGCAGGAGCCGCGTAGACTTCCACATGAGGTTTAGATACTGAGAAATGCATCGCTTTTTGGTATTTTCTGCCGTTTAATTTGAACGGCTTGAAAATTCCGGGTACACTGACCGGCAGCTAAAGCCAGCAGAAGAAGCCCTGTAACTACAGTGGCCACGCGGGGTTATAGGGCATACAGTAGCGCTGCCAAAGGCAGATTGGGACCTTATTGGGCATAGTGTCAAACGGAGGAATTCGGTCCGGTCGGGATAACTAAGGAAGCGGGGGTCTCGGAGACTGTGGATAAGGCAAATCCCTCGCCGGTCGGAGATAATTAATAACACAGTTAATCCATCAGTCAGAACGACGTTATTAAGGTCGTAATTGTCATCAATTCAATCAGCCTATTTTGGCCTCATCTTATTGTATATTTCGCTGTGCAAAGGCCGCCAACTTAAGACTGTCAGACTGTCAGACCCTACTAATAGAATCACGAGACCTGATATATAGTGGGGCTAGTTGACTATTATATAAGCAGGAGCGTTACATAATACACACGTGACCCCCACGTGCATTTTACGGTCTGGAGAACAAATACTGAACTTTCCATAGATAAATATCTCAGGTTAGGTTATATTATCCTAATATCTCAGCTTTCAGAGATAAATATCTGTTCTCGTCTTCAGTTTTCTATTTGTTGATGAGTTTTTGCTCTTCTAACTTCCCATACAGTTCTTGGAAGAATAGACAACTGTATGTAATAACTCCATAAAACAGAGTAAATTAGCGTGGATTTGTAAACTGGTTTAGTCCCCAAATGGTATACTCTTGGAGAGTCCGTTTATATTATTGGACGCTCCAGGAAATACGTATTTTGGGCCGGCCAGCACATAAAGCTGGGGGCTCCTTCCACGCTAAGATGTTTTAATTTAATGGGACCTTGAAATAAACAGAGGGATGATTTGACGTATAGCGATAGCATACCTAATACTAGAAGTCGCCCGAATACTCTAATTCTTTTTACTTGAGTAGTTATTTCCAAGCTCGCATTCTTGTGTACCTAATGTTTGGCACTCCTGGATGCTCTTGTGCTTGTGTTGTGGGGAACGATTGTTGTGTCCCTGGCCTAAGTAATCCCCGATTGTTTATAAAACCTGACAATATTTCACAAGTGCTTCCATAAATAGGCGGTAGTAATTTAGTATTACAGAGCGCTCTTAATAGTTAAATGAAAGGAATCTGATATTTATCTCGCGTGTGATTGATATTTGCTCCTAAATCCAACCCGCTCCAGGGTAGTCGGCTGACGATTAGTCCACCCTTCCAGTAGTGGGGGCTACGATGGCGTCCAAAGAGTGAGCAGTCGAATGCGAGAAAACTCCCGTATTTTTTTTTTGCCGCAGTTAGGGGTTCAAGATATCGGCGAGCTATACCTACACTGTCAGCGGTGCAAATGGGATTCGTTATGAGTATATCTGCGCAAGCCACAGCATCTTAAGCTTCTAGCAGATACAGCGGCTACAGGACTCTAAGCCTCTAGCAGCCATAGCAGCTCCAGCGCCTCAGGCCGCCAGCAGCTACAGTGGCTACAGCGCCTCATGCCTCCAGCATCTACAGCGCCCCTCTAGCAGTTACAGCAGGTATAGCGCCTCAGGCCTCCAGCAGCTATAGCACTTTAAGCCTCTAGTAGCTATAGCAGCTGCATTCGTTATAGTACTCTAAGCTTCTAGCTGCTATAGCTATAAGAAGCTTAGAGTGCTGCGGCTGTTAGAAGCTTAAGGTACTGTAGCTGCTGGAAGCTTGGGGCACTGTAGCCACTGTGGCTGCTGGGAGCTTGGGGCGCTGTAGCCGCTGTAGCTGCTGGGAGCTTGGGGCGCTGTAGCCGCTGGAAGCTTAGAGTGCTGTGGCTTGCGCAGACATAAAGTAGGAACTTACATAACGAATCTTGCACCCCAGCGGTACAACAATTCATGTGGTCTTATTTGCACTGCCGACGGTGTAGGTATGGCTCGCCGATGTCTTATTTCTTAGTAACATGCAAATTCAGCGAGTTTGTGACCCCCAAAGAGCCGGGTAGAAACCGTGTTGGCTGTCTCGTACCCTGCGAAAATAGCACGGGAAGCATGGATTGGAATGGGTTTCCGTCGCATGAAGCGTGAAGCGGCAATGAAGCGCGAAAAAAGAAGGATATTCTTGATAACGGGATATACAACATCTAATCAATAATAATACTAAGTTAGGCACCGAAGAAGAAAGAGAGAAATAGCGGTGTAAGATGCGTTCAAGCTCGACTGACAAAACAAACAAAATGGCTGCAGACTACACCGGCAAATCTATGTCATCCAAACACGAGTGTAGGGGGACCTCTGAACAACTGGCCAGCCTATCCATGATCGTAACAAGGCAATATATCATCTTCTCCCCCGTCTCTGCGGATAATATAGCCGTGTTGGCGGCGAGTGTGAAATGGAGACGATCCACGTAAGGATAGGATACCATACTTAGGCTCCGTGGGACTGCGTGGTGGTCTTCAAAGAACTCCACTCGGGCTGCAGCTTGTGAAAACCCAAATTCAGGGTGCTCTTCGATGTTCTGGTGTTGAATGATTGTGTCAAACATCGAATTTGCTGGCCAGTCGGTGCAGTTGTCTATGATGTCTCTGAAGCCCATCGAATCTGATTCTCCGATATCGAGGAATTGATCTTGAACAGAGAGTAGTAGCTCAGTGGGCGTTCGAATAGTCGCAAGGTTGACCCGAACAGGTACAACGTTGAGGGTTGGTCCGATAATCTCCTCGATTCCATCAATGGCAGAATTGCGACCGGAAACCGTGTGGCCGTACACAATGTCCTGCGCTTTGGTGATGTGGGATAAAAGTACAGCCCATGCAGCACTGACCAGAGTGGCAGTAGTGATTTTTCCGGGAAGATGCGGCAGGGGTTTGTCTACATCAACCACGACGCGCTTTGGCTGAGAGTCGGGAATGGTGCCCTGCGGGAGCAAGTTGGACTCAATTTTATGAAGAGAGGACCCTTGCAAGACCTTCCTCCAGTGTTCCATTGCCTTGGGCCGTTGGCGAGCAGAATAAGAGAGGAATGTGTGGAAGCCCGGAGCAGAAGACAGCTCCATCTTGTTGTAGCTGTCGAGGAGCGACTGGATGATGCTAGGAAAGCAAACACCGTCGTACTGGGCATGCGATAGACGGAAGATCAATCGGATACCTTGGGCCTTGTGTCTGAGAAGCACGAATTCGATCGGCGGTTCGTTTGGCGAAAGGTTACTCCTCTCCCTGAGACAAAAGTCGTTGGAGGCCTTGACGAGATCGTCGTCCACATCTTGGATGCGAAGAGGTAGGTCGAGATAATGAGGAATGACCAGCCAATACTTTCCTAAAAGAGACGGAAAAGTTGCGCGGAGGATAGGAAGCCTCTCGAGGAGTGCAATACAGCCTGCCTTGAAGCGGGGAATATCCAAGTCCGCTCCAAGATCAAGGAAGAAATAGTTGGCAAACTGTTCGTTCCTGACGGCATCAGCCACGCCCAACGCCTGGGCATTGGTAAGGGGAAAGATGTCGGCGACTGCCCTAGAGTGCATGTCAATAGCGGCGGAGGAGTCAAGCTCCTCGAGGAGAGCTGCCTTGGTGACGGGGTCGATGAGCTCAACCTCTTCAACCTCTTCCATCTGCGTAGCGGTGGTTGGGAGACGAGCCAAGTCTTCGAGTGTGTCGCGTCGGAAAACATCTGCTACCGCTAGAGCGATACCGACCTTTCGGGCCTCACCGACGACCTTCATTGCCGTGATGGAGTTGCCGCCAAGTTGGAAGAAACTGTCATCCAGACCAATAGTAGCCGGCTCAATTTCCAGCACTTGGCCCCAGATCCTCTGCATCTGCCGTTCCGCCTCGGAAGTTGGTGGCCGGACCACGCCTCGTCCTATCGTCCGCGTTTGGATGCTCTCTGCGAGGACCCGGCGGTCGACCTTCCCGTTGGCGTTAACCGGAAGCTTCTCTAGGACCGTAATGATCTGAGGAATCATGTAAGACGGCAGTTGCGCACGCAGCATGTCGAGCAGCTGGCCTCGAATCTTCTGCTTCAGCTGCTGCCGCATAGGCTGACTGCTGAACGAATGCGATGGCCGGCCTTGATGATCATCAGGGAATTGGAAAAGCACCCTGCTTTCTCCATTGACTGGTTCGTAGACGTGGAAGACGGCGTCTAGACCGCCACGCTGTGAATGTTGTCGAGCCCAGCTGAGTTCGCAGCGGTAACCTGCCTGATGCGCGATCTCTGCCAGTTCGACCGCGGAAAGTGAAGGGCAATTTTGAGCCTTTTGGCGGACGGAAAAGAGCCAGTTACGGTTGTTAGAGGTCTTGTCTGCTGCGTTGCTGAGTGAATCCACAATGTGTCGCTCGACGATGGATTTGCTGTGAGGGATGTTGCTGACTGCCACGACAGACGAAGAGCTGGCAGCATCCTGTAGAAGTTGCAGCAGGGACTGGTGATCCAGCCTACGCTCCATGAAGTCCATCCATTTGTCACTGTCGATGCCGTGAATTTGCCGCTTAGTGTCTTGACTCTTGATGTACACGACGGCGGCGTAGCGGTAGCAGCTCAGCTCGTTGGTGGCCTTCATTCGCTTCGGCAGGATCTCGACATGCTCAACGAGGTCAGGCAGGTTAGTTTTCAAGACGATAAAAAACCCTGGGTCAACGAGCAACTCGAGCTCAGTCTCTTCCATCTCTGCAACCCTCCGTTGAATGCTTTCCTTGCTTGCCTTGTCTCCCAAAAGGTGCAGCTCTTTGGTGACGAGGAACTCCCGGTAAAGTGCCTGGGATCGCATATCGCCAAAGAAGATTGTCTTGACGCCCTGGACTTGGGCGAGGTCTTCCACGGCTCTGAAGAGGTATTCTTGGCTCGGGAAGTATTGAGCAACCGAGTTGATAACCACCAGGTTGGGAGACAGCGGTCCGGGTAGTTGCGTCACATCTGCGGCTGTTCCCTTGTGTACGTGAACCTTTCCAGCCAAGCTGGAGATTGAGTTCGCGGTCTTCATGACGAAATCAACTGCTCGCTGGGACGGTTCGAGGCCAACGTAACTCTCCAGTCCTTTGGTCAGGTTGAAGAGGATCATACCGGAGCCTGTGCCGACCTCCAGAACGTTGCCAGCCGGTCCTCCATTGAGAATAGTCTCAATGCCATCGTCCAACCATTCATTCATCTCTCCCTTGTCGATCTCAGTTCCGTCGTACATAGAGGTCCATGCGATGAAGTCCCTTCCAATCGTCTCGGTTTGCATGTCATCGATGGCATCGTACTTGTCGTCATCGAACAGCTCTCTCCACACTTCAACGTGTTCCAATTCATTTTCACCTTCCACTTCTTCTTCGTCTCCCTGGTTCTGGAGTGCAGCTTGATGTTCGTAAATCTGCCCCACTGCAACGAAGCCAACAAGTTGGGCGTCTCGATCAGGCTCTTGCTGCAACAACGCAACAGCATCATTGACAGCCTCGTGGCTACGGAGGACGTGCTCGACCTCACCCAATTCAATACGGTTGCCACGGATCTTGATTTGACCGTCCATTCGCCCGAAACATTCCAGTTGACCATCTAGTGGTCGATAACGGACGTAATCTCCGGTTCGATAGGCTCGGACTGACAGCTTCCCATCAAGCTTAATCGAGACAAATCGGCCAAACTCGCGTTGAGCGTCGGTATATCCCCTCGCCAGACCATCGCCGGTCACAACAAGCTCTCCGACTACGCCAAGGGGCACGAGGCGTTGGTGCGGATCCATCACATAGGCCCCTGAGTTGGTGAGAGCTCGGCCAATTGGGACGCCGTTGGTAAACGTCTCACCCTTCTCAATGGGGTAGATGGTGCTTGCAACGGAGTTTTCGGTCGGCCCGTACGCGTTGATGATATTGCCCTTTACAAGACTCTGCGCTGTGACTATGTCCTGAGGATCAAGCCGGTCTCCGCCAACGTACAGGGTCTCAAGCATGCCGATAGTGACGGGGGAGTCAAGTAGGCACTGCTTGAGCAAAGCTGGCGTGAACAGGGCGACTTGGACTGCGTTTTGAGTGAAGGAATTTGCTAGGGCACTGTAGTCCAAAACAGTCATAGAGTCGATGCAGACTAGGGTGCCACCATTCAATAGAGCTGCAAAAATCTCCCACGTTGATGCGTCGAAGGCGACATTGGCGATGTGGCCTATGGTTGGAGTCTCAGGGAGGTGCTGTGACATGTTGCTGTCCTTGACTAGGCGCACAATGCCACGATGCTCAACCATAACTCCTTTCGGCTGACCTGTAGATCCTGAGGTGAAGAGAACGTAGGCGAGGCTTGTAGGCGATGGAGCCGGAGACATGGGCGTGTTATGTACCTGGTTGTCGAGAGTATCTGAAATTGAGACAAACTCGACATCATCTAGGTCGATAACAGGAGGCTGCACAGCGTCTCCGAGCAAGACGAGACTATGGCCTTCCATTGACGATAGAACTCTCTCCAGCCGAACCTTGGGAATATTGACATCGAAAGGCAAGTAAGCCAGGTTGGCCTTGAGAATGCCCAAGAAGGCAACAACGGTTTGACATGATCGGCTGGCAAGGACGCCAACTAAAGTTCCGGTAGCTAGAGCACGTCTTGCTAACCAGCGAGCAAGGTGATCGGATCGCTCATCTAGCTCACTGTATGTGAACTGGACAGATGAGTTTTTGACAGCCACCCGGTCGGGATGGGTAGAAACCTCCTTGCGGAAAACGTCGACGATGCTTGATTCTCGAGGATATTCTGTCTTTTCGACCTGAATTAGGCCCATCTCGTCCAGGGTTGAGAAATTATCGCTCGTCAGTAGTGATAGTGAGGAAATGGCTGTCTTGGGCTCCCGGATACCCTGCTCCAGAACCGTACGGAAGACGGAAAGCATGTTGCTGATAGTTTGGCTGCTGTAGAGGTCTGTAAGGAAGATAACCTGGCCTCGGAGGCTGCGTTCTTCCTGGAAGAAGTGAAACTCAAGATCGAATCGTGAGGTCGTTGCTATGGGCATGAGCTGTGTCTGAAGTCCCTCGAGCTCGAATTCCCCAAGACCGATTTGGGAGTTGAGCGAAAAGACCATCTGCACCAGCGGGTGCCGTGAGAGGTCACGGTCTATGTGTAGCTGGGCAACGACATCCTCGAACGGAACGTCCTGGTTGGCAAAAGACGCGATGGTGGTGGCTTGGACCTGCTTGACTAGCTCTTCGAAGGATTCTTCCTCGACCTTGATTCGAAGGCATTGCAAGTTGACAAAGAAGCCGACCATATCTCGGACCTCCCAGCGATTGCGGTTCGCATTGGGCATACCGATTGTCGCGTCAATTGCCCCGGTCAAACGGAAATGCGTCGCTCTGAAGGCTGCGAGAAGCACAACGAAGGGAGTTACCGCCCGTTCCCTGCAAAAGGTTTGAAGGTCATTGAACAAGGAGCCGTAAATGACGAGCTGTTGCGCATCTGCCTTTCCAGACGAGACAGCTGGTCGGGGCTTGTCGCAAAACAGTTCTGCTGGGCGACTTGTCTGCAGCTCCGAAACCCAGTAGTCTAACTGTCGTTGATGCTCCCTAGCCTGGTCTGGCTGTCGTTGCCAAGCAGAGAAATCTTGGTATTGAATAGGCAAGGGGGACAGCTTTGATAGAGGATCCTCGCCACGAAGGGTGGCCGAATAGAACGTGGCCAATTCTTTCTGGAGGATATCCACAGACCAGCCATCGGAGATGATGTGATGCATAACCATAGACAAGACATGCTCGTCCTCACTCACACGGTACAGTGTGATTTTCCATCCTGGCTCGGTGCGTAGGTCAAATGGAGTCGACTGGTCACGATGAAGTGCACGAGCTAGAACTTCCTCATCGCCTGGAGGAATATTGACCACATTCAGTTCCTTGTGTCGGAAGGGCTGGACTTCCTGCAAGCTAAGGCCGCCTTCCGTCGAAAAGACGGTTCTCAGGGTGTCGTGACGATTTTCTAGTGCGAGCAGTGCGCTGTTGAGTGCGTCGAGACGAAGTGGCCCTTGAAGTCGGATTGCTGTGGGCATCAGATACCCTGTGGAGTCGGGGTACAACTGATCCAAGAACCAGAGACGCCCTTGAGCAAAAGACTGTTCAACTGGGCCAGTCTTCTCAGTTCGTACAATGTTGCCGCCGACTTGCTCCGTGAGAGATACCCCTGGGCTAGCCATATCTTGCAACTTGGGATAGCGGAAGACATCTGCTATGAGGAGCTGGAAGTCAAGCTTACGAGCCTCTCCCACAACCTTCATGGCAGCAATGGAATTTCCGCCCAGTTGGAAGAAGTTGTCGTCTAGTCCGATCTCGACTGGATCCATGTTGAGGACGTTGGCCCAGATGCTCTGCAGTTGCCGCTCTTGCTCTGATGTCGGTTGACGTATCACTTCTCGTCTGGTCGTCCGGGATTGAGCCATGGCTGCGAGAGCTCGACGGTCAACCTTTCCGTTGGCGTTGACTGGCATCTTATCTAGGATGGTGATGCTTAGAGGACTCATGTAGGATGGGAGATGTGTCTGGAACGCCTCGTACAGCTGGTCTCGGATTGTTTGCTCCATATGTTGTGAAGACTGCTCATCAGAAACCTCTGTATGTTTGTTTCCGTCGTCGAGTTGTTGAGTTCCATCTCCAATCTCACGAAGTGTGATGAAGCCAAAAATCTCGGCCTCTCGGTCGTCCTCCTGTTGCAACACCGCAACACCATCATTGACCGAGTCGTGGCTGAGGAGAACGTGCTCAACCTCTCCAAGCTCCACACGCTGACCTCGGATCTTGACCTGCCCGTCCATTCGGCCGAAACACTCAAGCTGGCCATCAGATCGATACCGGGCGTAGTCACCCGTTCTGTACGCCTGAACTTTCTCACCACCAATCGTCACAGTGATGAATCGGTTAATGTTTCTTTCAGGATCGGTGTAGCCCCTCGCAAGACCAGCTCCAGTTACGACAAGCTCTCCAACAACGCCGAGTGGTACAAGACGCATCTGAGAATCCATGACGTAGGCACCTGAGTTGCTGATCGCTCGGCCAATGGGCACGCCATTTGCGCAAGCATCCTCGTCAGGGACCACGTAAAAGGTACTGAAAGCTGTATTTTCAGTCGGACCATAGACGTTGGCGATCGTTCCTGTCATATGCTTCCTCGCTGCGAATATATCTTGTGCATCAACTCTCTCACCACCCACAAGTAAGAATTGTAGGGCATGCAGAATATCGGGGCATTCCTGGAGATATTGTTTGAGTAGGGCTGGGGTGAGAAAGAGAGATTGAATCATCTCTCGGGCGAACAACTCGCTAAGAGCCGCATGGTCCAAAACAACCATGTTGTCGACACAGACGAGTGTCCCCCCGTTCAGCAGAGTCGAGTAAATCTCCCAAGTGGAGGCGTCGAAGGCCAGATTGGATAAATGTGCCATGGTAGCAGCCTCTGGAACATGCTGGACGACGTCACTCTGCTTCATCAGACGGAGGACGTTGCCATGTTCCGCCATGACTCCCTTTGGTTGACCTGTGGAGCCAGATGTGAACATGATATAAGCGAGGCTGCTAGCCGAAGGTGGCGATAAGGCAAGGTTGCTGGGAGGTTCGTGTCGAAGAGTGGTGGCGATAGGAACAAACTCGACGTCCTTGAGCCTGACGATGGGCGGTTGAACATCAGACCCAACGAGGACCAACTTGTCTGAATCTATAGACGACAACATGGCCTCAAACCGCCCAGAGGGGATCTTTATATCGAATGGCAAGTAAGCCAAGTTGGCCTTGAGAATTCCGAGCAAGGCTACAATAGCTTCACAGGATCGACCAGCAAACACGCCAACCGGCGTTTCGGGAGACAGAGACTTCGTTGTCAGCCAGTAAGCAGTCCGGTTAGACTGCTCATCTAGCTGTGCATATGTCAGCTGCGTCAGGGAGTCTTTGACAGCGATCCTATCGGAGCAAATGGAGACTTGTTCGTGGAAAACATCGATGATGCTCGACTCCCTCGGATAATCGGTCTCATGGAGCTTGATAAGACCCAGCTCATCAAGTGCAGAATAGTCGTGATCGCCGATGAGAGGTAAGGCCGAGATCGCTGCTTTGGGTTCCTGTAGTGCTCGTTGAAGCACGCTGTGGAACACTGAACGCATGTTGCTGATTGTCGCCGAGTTGAAGAGATCTGTGGAGAAGATGAACTGTCCACGGAACCCGTGGTCTTCCTGGACGAAGTGGACCTCAAGATCGAAGCGCGAGGTGATTCCTATTCCCATGGGTTCCGCTTCCAAGCCTTCCAAAGCGAATTCAGCGACAGTCTCTTGGGAATGAAGAGCGAAAATAGCTTGGACAAGCGGGTTTCGAGATAAATCTCGAGGCTTCTGGAGCTTGGTCACGATATCCTCAAATGGGACGTCCTGGTTGGCGAAGGACTCGGCTGTAGTTGTGTGAACATGGTGGACCAGATCCTCAAACGACTCGTTGTCCTGATCGACCTTGAGTCGAAGACACTGCATGTTGACAAAGAATCCGATGAGATCCTTGACTTCCCAACGGTTTCGGTTGGCATTTGCGGTACCAATTGTGGCATCTGTGGCACCTGTGAGTCGATAATGTGTGGCCCTGAACGCTGCAAGCAACACGACGAAGGGCGTGACTTCATGCTTCCTGCAGAATTCCTGCAGAGTATTGTAGATTGAGCCCTCGATTTTCAGTTCCTGGATGTCGGCTTGTCCGGACATAGTAGCCGGTCGAGGCTTATCGCAGAAGAACTCAGCAGGTCGACTTGTTTGCAATTGTGTCGTCCAGTAATCTAGTTGTCGCCGATGCTCGGCTGCCTGCTCAGGGTGCCTTTGCCACGTTGAATAGTCGCGATACTGGATTGGGAGAGGTTCAAGCTGCGCTTCCTGGCCTCGGATCGCGGCCGAATAGAACTCGGCCAGCTCTTTGCGAAGGATGTCAATGGACCAGCCATCGGAAATGATGTGATGCATCACGATAGAGAGTACATGGTGGTCCTTTGACAATCGGTAAAGCGAGACTCTCCAAGATGCTTCAGAAGCTAGGTCAAATGGAGTTGTCTGGTCCTTCTGCAACACTTGTTCGAGAGCGGCCTCCACGTCAGCGGATGGGAGTTCGATAACCTTCAGCTGCTTCTTCTGGAACGGCATGATTTCCTGGACGTTGGTGTTATTAATCGACAGGAACTTTGTTCGTAGCGTTTCATGCCGATTTTCCAGAGACAATAGTGCCGTGTTTAGAGCGTCAAGTTGGATCGGTCCTCGAAGCCTGATTGACCAAGGCACGAGATACCAGGTCGAGCCGGGGAACAGCTGATCTAAGAACCATAGCCGGCCTTGGGCAAAAGATTGCTCAACATGACCAGACAGCTCTGAGTGTGGGATGTCTTTGGCACTGGCATGCAAGATAATGTCCTGACTGGCTAAGCTGTGTAGCCTGCGATGTTTGAAGATGTCGGCCACCTGTAAGTCAAGCCCAGCTTTTCGAGCCTTGCCAACCACCTTCATTGCGGCAATCGAGTCTCCTCCAAGCCGGAAGAAGCTGTCATCTAGTCCAATGCTTGATGGGGCAATATTAAGCACATCGGCCCAGATGCTCTGCATCTTCTGCTCGATCTGCGTCGTTGGCTGCCTCTTCATCCCTTGTGCCGCGGTCCGCAGCTCGCCAAGCTGTTGAGCAGAGAATGACGCACCAATCTCACGCAAGCGCCGACGGTCTGTCTTTCCAGTAGGAGACAAAGGCAGTGACTGCATGGCGAAGAAGATGGTAGGGATCATGTAGGCTGGCAGATGCTCGGTGAGCTTATCCTCAATCTCTGCAGAGATAGACAGGACCCTAGCTTCCGTAGTCTCAGAGTCATCGCCGTGAATCTGCAAGAAGGCTGCGAGCTCTGGGCTTGCATTTTCCCCTTGTGCGACGATGACCTCAACTGTAACTTGGGCGGCGTTGGGTATGTATTCCTGTACCCAATGCTGAACCTCTCCAAGCTCGACTCGCTGTCCGCGGATCTTCACTTGGGCGTCATTTCGGCCGAGGTAGGTTAAGCTCCCATCCTCGTTTTGTCTGACCAAATCGCCGGTCTTGTACAGTCTACCGCGACGGCCAGGGTGACCAGGGGTACCACGCAGCAAGAATACCGGGTCTTCGATGAAAGTGGCCGCCATCTTCTCCGGGTTGTTGAGATAGCCGCGGCCTACCAGCGGCCCCTCAAGCAGCAGCTCACCAACGTATCCAGGAGGCATCAGTACATTGTGGTTTGTTGAGCTGACGACCCAAGTTACCACTCCGGCTCCCCTTCCGATGTTTACGATCTCTTCGGGCGTGGAAGCAAAGTCATTGATGACAGTCGCTGAAGTACACTCACTAGGAGCGTACATGTTGCGAACCCGCACCTTGTCCCACCAAGGAATCACATCCTTAGTATGTAGAGCCTCTCCACTAAAGGTGATTTCCTTGAGTGTAGGAATGTCCTCTGGAGACAGAAGCTGAGCAACCGAGCGTGTGAGAGTGATGGCATTGGCTCGGAGAGATGTAATGCTCTTCGCCAAGTCGTTCTTCCGCCCTTGCTCACTTGGGACGCAAAGGCAACCTCCCGCCGCCAGGGTGTTGAAAAAGTCGCAAACCGAGACATCGAACGCATAGGAAGCAAAGTCATAGACTCTAGAATTGGGTGTCAAGCCGAATCCAGAGCCCTGGTGTCGCAACGCCGAAGTACAATTCACGTGAGTGAGGGCGGCTCCCTTTGGCGTGCCTGTCGTGCCTGACGTGAAGATGACATACGCGATGGATTCCGCGCTGGGGGCGGAAAAGTATTCAGTAGTTCTTTCACCAAGTGCTTCAAAGAAGCTTGAGTTGACGGTGACTACTTCGCGAACGAGGCGTGAGCTCAGAGCCTGGTTGTCGACGGAAGAGAGCACAAGTGTTGCTTTGGCTTGTTGAATAATAGACTGGAGTCGTTGCTCAGGCTGTGACGGGTCGAGCATAAGGAAGCCTCCTCTAGCCTTGAGGACAGCAAGCATTGAAACAGGTGTCCACATTGACTTCTCAAAGCACAGAGGGATTATCATATCCGGGCCGACACCAAGGTCAATGAGACGACGTGCCAGGCCTGCAGCGAGCCAGTCGAGCTGGCCATATGTCAAGTCTCCATCCCATGCGCAGATGGCGGGCGAATCGGGCTGGCTCTGTACGCGTGCCTCGATGATCTCATGAACGCATCGGTCGATAGATTCGGGGACGTCCTTGTTCCAGTCCCATATGGTCTTTGTATCTTCTGCAGTGGCCATCTGGATCTCCGACAAAGCCTGATCGGTATCAGCTTCTACGAGCTGCTGCATCATGAATTCAAGACGTTTCAGCAAATTTTGTACCACCCATGGCTCGATAGTCCTCGCGTCAAAGGTGGCCTTGGCCGTGATGTCTCCAGATCCGAGTTGCACTTCCAGCATAAGAGGATACGTGTTGATACCTTGCTGTTGGCTGTCGTCTCGCCACCTTCCAAGAACGCTATCTGCACTTCCGAGTTCACTCTGTGGCTGAACAACGAGCAGTGTTTGGAACGCACATGCTTGCTTTGCTCCGGGGCAGGACTTGGAAATCCGCTGTAAGCCAGTCTGCTCGAAGCGGATCATTTCGGTCGCCTGCTTTTGCACCGACGTGAGATACTCGGAAATAGTGCTCTCACTGGCCAAGTTAATGCGGACAGGGACAGTTGCGATTGTCGGTCCAGCCATTGTCTCAATACCAACGACTGGAGCATTGCGTCCGGAGACAGTGACACCAAAGACAACATCCTTGGAATGCGTCATCTGGCCGGCAATCAAGGCCCAGGCGGCGCGCACCAGTGTCGATGTTGTGATGTTAATAGAGGCTTGTTGTGGTTTGGGGAACTGGTGCTTAATAACTGTGCTCGCGATTGACTGATGAACAGATGGGAGAGCCGGGAACGGCACGGATTCGCAGCCAGAGAGGACGCTTCGCCAGTATTCCATCATTCGGTCTTCGGTTTGTTGACTGAGATAGTTCATGAAGGACTGGAACTGAAGCCCTGGCTCGACAGACTCGCCGCGATATAGTCGATCGACAATACCAAAGACATGAGGGAGAAACCAACCGTCATAGAGTGCGTGGTGGATCGTCCAAACAAACCATGGAGTGCCTTCATCGCCTCGAGCCAACGCGTAACGTGTGAGGCGTTGACCTGCACCCATGACTTGTTTTCGGTCTGACCTGAGGTAGTCATCTACATTGGCGGCATCGATCCAGTTGGTGTCTTCATCCACCACGACCTGTGCGAAGCCGACAGTATTGTGGTGGATAATTCTCGTGCGTAGAATGGCCATCGAACGAGAGGCTTGCTCCCAGGCGTTGCGGAACTTCTCTACATCGAGATCCCGCGGCAGTTCTCGGGTTGCCTGCAGCACATAATCTCCAGGCCGCTTAGATGTCAAAGACAGGAGACCTTCCTGGAGGGCAGTGCATGGGTATGCGTCTTGCAGAGTCTGGGGATCTAGTGAATACTGGACCGAGATGTCTTGCAAGAATGAGGCGGTGTTGACGTCCTCGCCTAGAAGAGAAAAGGGTGGAATGTCAACTAAAGCGTCAACTTCAATCTCGGCTCCTTGATTGGCGAGGTCGCGCAGCGATGGGAAACGGAAGATGTCTGCTACTGCGAGCTCAATTCCGAGCCTGCGGGCGTGGCCAACAACCTTCATCGCAGCAAGCGAGTCGCCTCCCAGCTGGAAGAAGCTATCATCCAACCCGATAGTCTTTTGCTGTATGTTGAGGACTTCAGCCCAGACTCTCTGCATCTGCCGCTCTGCTTCAGACGTTGGTTGCGCTGCCACTCCTCGCTCGGCGGTGCGGATCTGAACGCTCTCGGCGAGCATGCGACGATCGACCTTGCCGTTGTCGTTAACCGGCATCTCGTCAAGAAAATGGATCGCCCGGGGTATAGTATATGATGGAAGCTGAGCCCGAAGAGTCTCCTGGAGCTGTTCCCGGAGGTTTTGTCTGATTTGTTGCTTCAGCGGCTGGCTGCTCAAGGACTGCGGCGCGCGACCTTCGTGTGCGTGTGGAAATCTGAACAAAGTCCTGATTCGGCCGTCGACTGGCTCGTAGCGATGGAAGACGGCGTCCAGCCCGCCACGTAGAGCGTGCTGGCGAGCCCAGCTGATTTCGACTCGGAAGCCTGCCTCCTCGGCCAACTCGGCCAAGTCGATGACAGACAAAGAGGGACAGAGTTGTGCTTTTTGACTGACTGAAGCCATCCAATCGCTCGAATCGTCTAGTTTGTCGTTGAGGGCATCGATAACGTGTCTCTCCAAGATTGTCTTGCTGTGAGGGATGTTGCTGATTGCTATAATGGACGACCGGGAGGAACGCTGCAAGTGGCGCAATAGCGATTCCCGATCGAAACCTTGCTCCATGAAGTTGAGCCAGGCGCTGTCATCTACATCGTTGATGACCTGGCGATGTGGCTTGTTTCTCTTGACATGTACGACGGCGGCATAGCGGTAGCAACTCAATTCGTTCGTCGCCTTCATCCTCTTGGGGAGAATCTCGACGTGCTCGACCAAGTCAGGTAACCGAGTGGCCAGGGACGTGAAGAAAGCTGGGTCGACAAGTAGTTCCAGTTCGCCTTGCTTCAGCTCGGCAACCTTTCGCCGGACATCTCCCTTGTCGGCGTTGTGCCCTAGCAGATGCAAGGCACGAGTGACACGGAACTCCTTGTAAAGGGCAAATGACCGCATGTCTCCAAAGAACAGTCTTTCGATACCTGTAAGCTGGAGAAGATCCTGGACAACCTGCAATAAGTAATCCTGGCTAGGGAAGTACTGCGCCACTGAGTTGATAACGGAGAGGGTAGGGGATATTGGGGTGGAAAGTCGAGTGATGTCTACTGCCGTGCCCTTGTGCATACGGACATTCTTTAGGGAAGGGATTGACTTGGCCGTGTTGGTGACGAATGCAACGGCCTTCTCAGAGGGCTCAAGACCGACGTAGCTTTGCAGCCCGTCGGCCAAGTTGAAGAGAATCATGCCGGATCCAGTTCCAATCTCAATGACGTGTCCGGCAGCATCTCCATCCAGGATCGTCGTCATTGTATCGTCGAGCCATTCGTTCATTTCTCCCTTGTCGATATCATTCCCGTCATACATTGATGTCCATCCGACAAAGTCCCTGCCGATCCTTTCTGGATCAACCTTTTCGATAGAGCCATAGGTATCGGTATCGAAGAGGTCCTCCCAGGCGTCAATGCGATCAGTTTGAATAGCATTATCCGGCTCAATGCTCTGCACCGCAGCCTCGATGGTCGTCACAAAAGCGACTATCTGCGCTTCTCGGCCTTCGTCGTGCTGAAGGATGGCGACGGCATCATTGACAGCGGCTTCACTGCGAAGGACATGCTCGATCTCGCCCAACTCCACGCGTTGGCCCCGGATCTTAATTTGGCCATCCATACGACCGAAGAACTCGAGTTGTCCATCTGACGGGCGCTGACGGACAAAGTCACCTGTGCGGTACGCCTTGACATACACATCGTTGATCCTGACTGAAACAAAGCGGTCAACATCGCGGCGAGGGTCGGTATACCCCCGGGCTACTCCATCGCCGGTAACGACAAGCTCTCCAAGAACTCCCAGTGGAACCAGACGCTGTTCCGGGTCCATAACATATGCACCCGAGTTGCTAAGGGCTCGACCAATTGGAATGCCGTTGGTGTATGTCTCCCCGAGAGGTATACAGTATGACGTGCTGAAGCCGGTGTTTTCTGTTGGGCCGTATACGTGGATGATCTTTCCGTGCATAAATCGCCGGGTTGTCAAGACATCCTGTGGGTCGACGTTTTCTCCTCCAAGGTAGAGAGCGTGCAAAGAGCCTAGAATTGTAGGACACTCGGCAAGATATTGCTTGAGTAGAGCTGGAGTCACGAAAACACTCCGGATTTCTTCACGCGCAAAGACGTCCACTAGAGCTTTTTGATCAAGTACAGTCATTGTATCAATACAGGCCATCGTTCCGCCATTGAGTAGGGTAGCGTAGATCTCCCATGTAGAGGCGTCAAAGGCAATATTGGACATATGAGCCATAGTCCCAGTGGTAGGCGAGTGGTGGAGCGTGTTGCTTTGTTTGGCTAGGCGCAGAATGTTGCGATGCTCGATCATAACTCCCTTGGGTTGACCTGTCGAACCGGAGGTGAACATGACATAGGCCAGACTGTTCGGTGAGGGCGAGGATAGGTGAACCTTTTGGACTGGTGTGTCCAGAGCCTTGGCAATGCGAACAAACTCGACATTCTCCAGTGAAGTCGCTGGTTGTGCCTCTGTTCCCAGTAGGATGAGGTTGCAGCCTTTGGCAGAGGACAGGATTGTCTCCAGCCGACGTACTGGAGTCCGGACGTCCAGTGGTAGGTAAGCCAAGTTGGCCTTGAGAATACCGAAGAATGCAATGATTGTCTCACATGAGCGGCTCGCAAATACACCGACAAGCGTACCGGCAGGCAGCGACTGTGCTGCTAACCATTGCGCAAGGGTGTCTGTCTCCTTGTCCAACTGGCTGTATGTCAGCTCCGAGGAATTATCCCTGACAGCCACCTTCTCAGGGCAGACAGCAACTTGGTTTCTGAAGACCTCGACGACACTGGATTCGCGCGGGTAGTCTGTTGTCTCGATTTGGAGCAGGCCGAGGTCGTCGAGGGCGGCATGGTCATCTTCGGTCAACAAGGGCAATAATGCGATAGAAGTCTTAGGTTCAAGAAGACCACCGTCAAGAATCTTGTGGAAAACGGACAACATGCTCTTGATCGTCCCAGCATTGAACAGGTCCTTCGAGAACAGCACTTGGCCTCGAAGACCTTGGTTTTCCGGGAAGAAATGAAACTCCAGATCGAACCGCGAGGTGTCAGGGAGGGGCATTTCCTCGGTCATGACCCCCTCGAGGGTAAGCTTTCCAAGGTCCTTCTGTGAGTGAACAGCAAAGACACTCTGTACAAGTGGATGACGGGATAGATCTCTCTCCTTTTGCAACTTCGAGACAATATCCTCGAAAGGAACGTCCTGGTTTGCAAAAGAAGCAATAGTTACTTCCTGGGCCTGTTGGACCAAGTCGTCGAAAGAGTTGTCATCGTCAATCTTGATTCGGAGACATTGCATGTTGACGAAGAAGCCAATCATGTCCTTGACCTCCCAGCGGCTGCGGGTGGCGTTGGCCGTTCCGACTGTAGCGTCAGTTGCACCGGTGAGGCGGTAATGAGTAACTCTGAATGCAGCTAGAAGGACGTTGAACGGAGTCACAGAGCGTTGTTTGCAGAAGCGTTGGAGTCTGTCGTAGAGCGCTCCCTCGAGCACAAGATCTTCCACGCCAGCGTCACCTGATAACGTGGAAGGGCGAGGCTTATCGCAGAAGAACTCGGCCGGTCGGCTTGTCTGGAGTTGCTCAGTCCAATACTCTAGCTGTTTCTGGTGTTCGGCTAGCTGCTCCGGTTGCCTCTGCCATGTCGAGAAGTGCCGATACTGGATTGGCAAAGGTTGTACTTGAGACAACGGATCCTGGCCCTGGATTGCGGCTGAATAAAAGCTGGATAGTTCCTGACGAAGGATATCAACAGACCAGCCGTCAGAAATAATATGGTGCATGACGATGGATAGCACATGGTTGTCTTGGCCGACGCGGTAGATAGAGACGCGCCATCCCGGCTCCGTCTGTAAATCGAAAGGAGTCGTCTGGTCACGCCGTAATGCGTCCAGCACGTCTGACTCGTGAGAAACTCCAATCACGTTCAAATCCTGTCTCTCGAAAGGTCGGATTTTCTGCAAGTTGGCACCGTCCTCGGATGCAAAGACAGTTCGGAGAGTTTCGTGGCGTTGCTCCAATGCCTGAAGAGCAGCGTGTAATGCATCAAGTTGGATTGGGCCGCGGATTCGTGTTGCAAACGGCATCAGGTACCAGGTCTGGCCTGGATAAAGCTGATCCAAGAACCAAAGACGGCCTTGGGCAAAGGATTGCTGCACGGGTCCGCTCTGTTGGATGTTTGGAATTCCCTGCGACGTGCCATTTGCAGTAGAAGCTACCTGGCTGGCCACCTGTTGCAGTCGACGATGACGGAAAATGTTGGCTGCTGTCAATGAGATGCCGGCTCTGTTGGCCTCGGCCGCAACCTTCATAGCGGCGATAGAGTCACCGCCGAGGTGGAAGAAACTGTCATCCAGTCCAATAGTGGCCGCATCAATGTGGAGGACCTGACCCCAGATCCCTTGCAAGAGATGTTCAACGTGTGTAGTAGGTTGCCGTTTCGGCCCTTGTGCACCAGCCTGCATCTCAGCAAGCTCCTTAGAAGTAAACGAGCTGCCGATTTGGCGTAAAGCCTTGCGGTCCATTTTGCCCGAGGTAGTGCTGGGTAGTTGCTGCATGGAGAAGAAGGCAGTCGGGATCATATAGCTTGGCAGATGCCTGGCCAACTTGTCTTCAACTTCTGCAGTAACGGGAATAACCCTCGCAACAGTATGATTCGACTGATCTGTGGTGTTCTCAATCTGGAGGAAGGCAACTAGTGTAGGGCTCGAGTTTTCGCCTTGGGGGACGATGACTTCAGCGACGACATGCGTTGCCTCTGTCACACATTCTTGCACGCGACACTCAACTTCGCCGAGTTCCACACGCTGTCCGCGGATCTTGACTTGGGCGTCCTTCCGCCCAAGGAAAGTGATTTGTCCGTTTGCGTTGTACATACCCAAGTCGCCGGTCTTGTAGAGTCTGCCATGGCGACCAGGTCGGCCAGGTGCACCCTGAAGCAGCCAAGTTGGATTCTCAACGAAGGCCTCGGACGTGTTGGCTGGATCGTGTAGATAGCCTCTACCAACGATGGGGCCCTCCAGAAGAAGCTCACCGACGCATCCGGGAGGGAGGAGGGAGTCAGTGTTACCCGCGTCAACAACCCAAACAAGAGTGCCGATTCCGTTTCCAATATTCATAGCATCCTCAGGACTTGAGGCATTATCATTGATGATACTCAAAGTAGTACATTCGCTAGGTCCATATGCGTTGAGAACTCGCGCAGAGCCCCACCAAGCCTTGATGTCGTCAAGCCGCGGCGCCTCGCCCCCCAGCATAATTGTCTTCAAATCAGGCGTGTGATCCGGGGAGATTAGCTGGGCGACGGAAGGTGTGAGGAAGATGATGTTGGCCCTTGAAGAAGCTATGCTTTGTGCCAAGTTGCTCTTGCGCTCATCGTCGTGTGGTACACATAAGCAACCCCCTGCCGCGAGCGTCATAAAGGCATTGAGAACTGCAGCATCGAATGCGTACGACGAAAAGTCATAGAGCCTTGAGTCTTTTGTGAAACCAAGTCTCGGTGCTTGGTAGCTCATAGCAGAAGCGAGGTTTCCATGGCTAAGAGTCGCGCCCTTGGGCGTTCCAGTGCTACCCAATGTAAATGTGACATAGCACAGCGAGTCGAGGTCAGGTCTTGGAAGATGGCCAACCGCTCCGTTTTTGATGTTTGTAAAAAGGTCTGGAGAGATTGTCAATACTTGAGAGCAAAGCTGTGAGCCGATAGCCAGGTTTGCAGTAGACGATACGATCAGCTGTGACTGGGCTTGTCGGACAATAGATCGGAGACGCTGTGTCGGAAGAGACGAGTCTAGCAAAACAAAGGCGGCCCCGGCCTTGAGAACGCCAAGCATTGCCACTGTAGTCCACACTGACTTCTCGAAACATAGGGGAATTATCATATCTAGCACAGCTCCAGCTTGAACTAACTGCCCAGCTAGTCCAGTGGCGAGCTCGTCGAGCTTTCCGTAGGTCAGCTCGCCGTCCCAAGCGGACACAGCGATTGCGTTAGGTCGAGATCGTGCTTGGTCTTCGAATAGCTCATGGACACATTTTTGAATCTGCGCTGGGAGGATCTTGTTCCATTCCCAAAGCTGGGCGAGGTCCTGCGGCATGAGAAAGTTGACGTCTTTCAAGCTCCGCTCAGGAGGGGCGCTTCCAAGCTGCTGCAGGACGTATTCCAGTCGGTGAAGCAAGTTTCTCACAACTTGGGTGTTGATGATCCTCGAGTCGAAACTGGCTCTGGCCAAGATGTTTTGCGGCCCCAGTTCAATCTCTAGCATGAGAGCATAGGTGTTGAACTTCCGCCGTTGATTGCCATCCTGCCAGGTACCAAGCGCATCCTCGGGGACACTCGTCCCTTGCGGTTGAACGACGAGAAGCGTCTGGAACTTGCAAGCTTCTTGCGTGTTTGGAGAGAATCTGGCAATTCTGTGCAGGCCCGTCTGTTCAAATGGGATCATTTCTGTGGCCTGCAGATGGACAGCCTTCAGGTATTGCGAGACACTCTGCTCGGTGTCCAACTTGACACGCACTGGGACCGTCGCGATAGTCGGGGCAGCCACATTTTCGATCCCGGCAACTGGCGCATTACGCCCATTGACCGTGACACCAAACAGAATATCGTCCGAGTTGATCATCTGCTTCACGACCAAGGCCCAGGCGGCGCGGATCGAGGTAGCTGTCGTGATGCCAAGGGATTGTTCCCGCGGGCGAGCAAGATGATGCTCCATAACTTCATCTGCAACAGGCTCTTCGATAGAGGGCGGGCAGGCTGGGAATGGCACAGCCTCACTGTCTGGATGAGCGTTGCGCCAGTAAGCCGCCGTCTCATCTTCATTTTGATCCTTGATGTATTTGATGAAGGCTTGGAACTGAGGGCCTTGATCGATCGCCTCCCCGCGGTAAACCTGGTTGACCGCTTGCGTGATAATGGGAAGCGACCATCCATCGTACAAGGCGTGATGAAGTGTCCAGACAAAGTAGTGAGCGCCTTCTTGATCTTTGATGAGGGCGTATCGAGCAAGGGGTTGACTGAGTCCCATTGGGTTTTCCTTGTCGGTCTGGGTGTACTCCTCCAGTGAGATCGCCTCATTCCATTGGATTTTCTCATCTAAAACCACTTGCATGAGACCAAGATCCTTATGTTGCACAATCCTGGTGCGCAGGATTGGCATTTGTCGAACCACTTCTTGCCAGGCGTCATGGAAGGTGGTCAGTCGAACATCGGGCGATAATTCCAGGATATCCTGCATGATGTAGTCTCCAGGTCTCTTGGATGTCAATGACAAGAGACCTTCCTGCAGTGGCGTACATGGATACATATCCTGGACAGCACCAGATGGAAGTTGATACTGTGAGGAGATTCCTTCAATGACAGAATCAATGTCTACCGAGTTTTCGACGAGGGCGAATGGAGAGATATGTTCAACGGCGGGATCCGTCAATTGCATCCCCTGATCGGCTAAATCACCGAGTAGAGGATGCCGGAAAACGTGGGCAACAGCCAAGTCAAGTCCGGCCTTGCGAGCCTGCCCTACAACCTTCATTGCAGCAAGCGAGTCACCTCCAAGCCGGAAGAAGTTATCGTCAATTCCAATGCTTGTAGCATTCATGTTGAGGACCTGCGCCCAAATCTTCTGCATCTTCCGCTGTTCATCTGTCGTGGGTTGTCGAGTTTCTCCGCGGAAGCCCGTCCGCGTCTGGACACTGCCCGCAAGGGCGCTGCGATCAACCTTACCGTTTTGATTGACGGGGATTTTGTCGAGGATATAAATAGCCCTAGGGATCGTGTATGATGGAAGCTGAGCGCGCAGCATCTCTTGAAGTTGCTCTCGAACCTTTTGCCTGAGCTGTTGACGAAGAGGTTGGCTGCTGAGAGTATGGGCTGGTCGGTCTTGAGGATCAACAGGGAATCGAAATTGGACTCTGCTTTCTCCTTGAGCTGGAGTCTGACGGTGGAATACGGCGTCGAGTCCACCGTGTTGGATGTATTGCCGGGCGCAGCTGATTTCGACCCTATAACCCGCTGCTTGAGCGATATCTGCCAAGTCGACGGCAGAGAGTGAAGAGCAAAGACGGGCCTTGTCACGAGCTGACAGTATCCAGTCACCGTCGAGTCCCTCTTCCGCAGTGTTGTCAAGCGACTCGATGACATGTCTCTCGGTGATGGTCTTGCTATACGGAATGTTGCTCACAGCCACGACGGATGAGGGCGAGGTGTTTTGCAAAGCACGGAGTAGTGACTTGCGATCCAACCTGTCCGCCATAAAGTCAATCCACTCATTCCCCACGTCGTAAATCTTTTGGTTCTTGGACTTCGCATGGATAACAGCCGCGTACCGATAGCAACTGAGCTCGTTGGTGGCCTTCATGCGCTTGGGGATGATTTCGACATGGCCGATGAGATGCGGCAGACGGCTTGGTAGAGCTGTGAAGAAGGCCGGGTCGACAAGGAGCTCCAGCTCACTCTGCTCAATCTCAGCGATTTTGCGCTGGACGTCGTCTTTGCTCGCATTCTTGCCGAGGACATGCAGGGCCTTGGTGATTCGGAACTGCTTGTACAACGCGTGCGAGCGCATGTCGCCGCAGAAGACTGTTTTCATGCTTTGTAGTTCGAACAACTCCTCGATAGCCCTGAACAAATAGTCTTGACTGGGGAAATACTGAGCAACCGAGTTGATGATGGCAAGGTCCGGTGAGACAAACTTAGAAAGTCGGCTGATGTCTACCGCTGTGCCCTTGTGCATCTTGACCTTGTCTGCAAGACTGGGAATTGTCTTGGCGGTTTTCGTGACGAAAGACACGGCTTTCTGGGCAGGTTCTAGACCGATATAGCTTTGAAGGCCTTGGGTCAGGTTGAAGAGGATCATTCCCGATCCTGTTCCAATCTCGAGGATGTTTCCGGATGGACCTCCGTTGAGAATCGTCTCGATAGTGTCGTCTAGCCACTCGTTCATTTCCGTCTTGTCGATGTCGCTTCCATCATACATAGACGTCCAGCTCATGAAATCTCGGCCCACTGTCTCGGGCTGTACATCGTCAATGCCAACGTATAAATCCTCGTCAAAAGCGTCCTCCCAAACTTCCATGTGGTCGGTTTCTTCGTGATCATCTGATTTCCCATTACTGGGCTCAGGGACATCCGGGATCGTGACGAATCCAACGATTTGCGGATCTCTGCCATCTCCACTCTGCAGAATGGCCACAGCATCGCTGACAGAGTTACGACTGCGAAGAACGTGTTCAATTTCGCCGAGCTCGACACGCTGGCCGCGAATCTTGATCTGTCCGTCCATGCGGCCAAAGAACTCGAGCTGCCCGTCTACCGGCCGGCATCGAACGTAATCTCCTGTGCGATACGCTCTGGTCGGGGTTCCGTCGATCGTGATGGACACGAATCGATCAACATTTCGCTTGGGATCGGAATAGCCTCTCGCCAAACCATCGCCTGTCACAACGAGCTCTCCCACCACGCCAAGAGGCACCAGACGCATCTGTGCGTCCATAACGTAGGCGCCGGAGTTGCGGACCGCTTGACCGATAGGAACACCGTTGGTATACTGCTCGTTTTCGTCTAAGCAGTACACAGCGCTGGCAATGGTGTTTTCGGTGGGACCATAGGCATTGATGACCTTTGATTTCACGAGCTTCCGGGCTTTGATCATGTCTTGCGGATCGGCCCGATCACCAACCCATAGGATGTGCAACTGACGGATGGTAGCCGGCGACTCGAGGAGATATTGCTTCAGTAGCGCAGGTGTGAAAAGGGCAGCTTGCACGTTCTCTCGGCTGAAGACTTGGGCGAGGGCTTTGTGATCCAAAACGACCATTGTATCAGCACAAACCAGAGTTCCGCCATTGAATAAGGCAGCGTAGATTTCCAGCGTGGCTGCATCAAAAGCAATATTGGAAATGTGAGCGATGATAGGCGAGTCAGGCAAGTAGCCGGTCATCTTGCCCTCTCTAACTCGGCGGACAATGGCGTGATGGTCGATCATGACTCCCTTCGGCTGGCCAGTTGAACCAGAAGTGAACATGACATAGGCAAGGCTGCTAGCTGTGGGTGAGGGCAGGGAGACCTTCTTGGGGTTTTCTTTCAACACTTCTGCGATGCGAACAAAGGCAACATCCTGGAGTCGAGTCGCCGGGAGCTTTGCCTCATGACCGAGAAGTACCAGCTTGTGGCCTTCGATAGAAGACAAGACGGTTTCCAATCGCCCAACTGGGATTCTAACATCGAGAGGCAAATACGCCAGGTCGGCCTTTAAGACGCCCAGAATGGCCACGATCGTCTCACAGGAGCGAGGTGCAAATACTCCCACAAGCGATCCAGCAGGAAGCTCTCTTGCCGCAAGTGACCGAGCAACAAGGTCTGATTGCTGATCCAGCTGAGCATATGTCAGATGTCCTGACGGGTCTTTAACTGCGATTGTGTTGGGATGGGCAGCAACACCCTTGCGGAAGATGTCGACAATGCTAGAGTGTTCGGCAAAGGCAGACTTCGGAACCTTGATCAAGCCCATATTATCGAGCTTGGCGTAGTCGTAGTCGGTTAACAGAGGCAACGACGTAATCATGGTGCCAGGTTCGTCCAGGCCCAGCTCGAGGACTCGCCGGAACACCGACAGCATGTTTGTGATCGTTTCCGGGTTGAAAAGGTCCGTTGAGTACAGGATATGTCCCCTGTAAGCATTCTGTTCTTGGAAGAAATGAAGCTCGAGGTCGAATCGCGTCGATTCTGCCACGGCCACGGCCTCAGTCTCCACTCCTTCCAGCGTAAAGCGGTTCAACTCCATCTGAGAATGGACGGTAAACACAATCTGGACCAGCGGGTGTCGCGACAAGTCTCTATCCTTTTTAAGCTTTGAAACAATATCTTCAAAGGGGACATCTTGGTTGGCGAAGGAGTCAACGGTTGTTGTGTGGACTTGTTGGACCAACTCATCAAAAGTCTCATCTTCGACCTTGATGCGGAGACACTGCAAATTAACGAAAAATCCGATCATGTCCTTCACTTCAGATCGACTGCGGTTGGCGTTTGCGGTACCAATTGTGCCATCATTTGCGCCGGTGAGGCGGAAATGAGCTGCTCGGAACGCAGCAAGGAGCACAGTGAAAGGCGTCACCGAGCGTTCCTTACAGAACCTCTGCAGCTTCTCATAGAGTGGACCTTCGACCATTAGGAATGCTTCGCCGGCCTTGCTGGATGAAACAGGAGGACGGGGCTTATCACACAGCATCTCAGCGGGCCGGCTTGTTTGCAACTGATTGACCCAGTAGCCGAGTTGTCGTTCATGTTCTTCAGCTTGAGCGGGTTTTCTCTGCCAGAAAGCGAAATCCTTGAACTGAATGGACAAAGGCTGTGCCTTGGATAACGGGTCCTGTCCTCGAACTGCCATGGAGTAAAATGCGGCCAGGTCCTTGCGAAGCACATCGACCGACCAACCATCAGACACGATATGGTGCATCACAATCGAAAGAAGGTGGTCTTGGTTTCCCATTCGATACAGCTTCACTCTCCATCCAGGTTCAGTCTGCAAGTCAAACGGAGTGACCTGGTCGCGTTCCAGCGCACGCATGAGGCCTTCCTCATCACCAATCGACATGTCCACCACGTTGAGATGCTTCTTTCGGAATGGATGTACGTGCTGCAAGTTGACACCGTCTTGAGATGAAAAGACGGTTCGGAGGGTCTCGTGACGGCACTCGACCGCTTGTAGCGCTGTGTTTAGCGCGCTGAGCTGAAGCGGTCCTCGAAGCCGCAGAGCACACGGGACGATGTACCAACTCAGACCAGAATGTAGCTGATCCAAGAACCACAAGCGTCCTTGGGAGAATGATTGCTCGTAGGGACCCGTTATCTCGGCTTTGGTAATTTTTTCAAGTTCACTTTGGCTGGAACGCTGCTGGCTGGCGACGTGTTGTAGTCTGCGGCAGCGGAAGATATCAGCAACTGATATTTCAATGCTAGCCTTTCTGGCCTCGCCGACCACTTTCATTGCCGCAATAGAATCGCCTCCAAGTTGGAAAAAGCTGTCGTCAAGCCCAATGGTCTTAGCGTCAATGTTGAGGACTTCAGACCAAATCTTCTGCATGAGGCGCTCTCCCTCAGTTGTTGGTTCTCGCTTCGGGCCTCGTCCCTTGGTGTGCATCTCGGCCAACTGCTGGGCAGAAAAGGAGCTTCCGATTTCACGTAGTTGTTTCCGGAAAATTTTCCCCGTTGCTGTCATCGGGATGTCGTCCATAACGAAGAAAGCGGTAGGAACCATGTAGACGGGGAGATGCTGAGAAAGCTGGTCCTCGACGTTGACAGGGATTGAGATCATCTTAGCTGGTGCAGAGTGCGATCCGTTAATTATCGATCCGTTGGTTTCTGCATTCTTGTTCATCTGAAGGAACACAACCAATATCGGCCTGGAGCCTTCTCCTTGTGGCGTGATAACTTCAGCCACAACTTTCTCGACGTCGGACATGCACTTCTGCACCTGGTATTCAACCTCTCCGAGCTCGACTCGCTGACCTCTAATCTTGACCTGGGCATCCTTGCGTCCCATGAAGGTCAAGCTGCCGTCCTTGCTGTATTGGACCAAGTCACCGGTCTTATACAGTCGCTCTCGACGCCCTTTTCTGCCAGGAGTGCCCTGAAGTAACCACTTAGGGTCGTCGATAAATGCTTTTGCTGTTTTCTCGGGTTAGTTGAGATAGCCACGTCCAACAAGAGGCCCTTCGAGAAGCAGCTCGCCGGTACTTCCAGGAGCGAGCAGCAGATCGTGATTCTCAGGGTCGACAACCCAAGTAACCAAACCCGCTCCTTTTCCGATACGGACGGCGTCTTGAGGAGTAGCAGGGTTGGCATTGAGCGTACTCATGATGGTGCACTCGGCTGGTCCGTAGGCATTAATCACATGGACCTTTCCCCACCAGCGAGTAGCATCGTCAACGGAGACAGCCTCTCCGCCCAAGATGATCGTCTCCATGTCTGGTACTGCGTCTGGGTCGATGAGGCGTGCCACCGAGGGCGTCAGATCTGCGACAGTCACTCGCATAGTCTGCATAGCCTTGCCAACGTTATCCCTGCGATCTGTGTCAGCTGGGATGCATAGGCATCCTCCCGTCACGAAAGTAGCAAAGGCATTCTGCACCGCGGCATCAAATGCGTAAGATGCAAAGTCAAAGACCCTAGAATCCTTAGAAAGCCGCAGAACCTGTGCTTGATACGTTACCCCGGAAGAAAAGTTAGTATGTGTCATGACCGCCCCTTTAGACGTGCCAGTGCTGCCAGATGTGAAAACTGCATACATGGCAGTCGAAGAGGACTGCATATGCCGCGTTTGGGTTTTCCCCGGCCTGTACTTGTAAATCGAGTCTGCATCAACCTGGATAACTGTCTTTGACAGCCGCGAGCTGAGTTCTAGGTTGGCGGTCGACGACAAGATCACGTTAGTATTCGTCTGTTGGACAATGCTCTGCAGTCGCTGCTCCGGTAGAGACGAATCCAGGAGTACAAAGCCACCTCCCGCCTTGAGGACGGCGTACATAGCGACCGGCGCCCACATTGACTTCTCAAAGCAAAGCGGAACCAGGACTTCTGGCTGGATTCCGGCGCTGACAAGCTGGGATGCCAGCCGAGTAGAAAGATGGTCGAGTTCGGCATAGGTCAACTCGCCATCCCAAGCGCACACAGCTGGGGCGTTGGGCTGCTTTTGGACGCGTTCAGAGACCAAGTCGTGGACGCATCGCTCGACAGGTTCAGGAACAGCGCTGTTCCAATCCCAGATCTGCTCCAGATCCTGTGACGGTACCAACTGAACATCCGCCAGAGCCTGGTCGGGGCTGGAATGGTCAAGCTGCTGCATGACATGTTCGAGTGCGTTGATCAATCTTTCCACCATCCATGACTCGATAGCCCTGGAGTCAAAGCTAGCTGTGGCCATAATCTTATCCCCGGAAAGTTGCAGCTGAAGGACCAGGCCATACGTGTTGACAGACTCGGCTTGGTTGCCATCTTGGGGTTTCCCAATCACATCCACAGCATCATCCTCCTGGGGGTGGACAACAAGCAAAGTCTGGAACATACACGCTTGCTTGCTGTCGGGAGAAATCTTGGCAATTTGCTGCAGACCCGTTTGCTCGAAAGGAATCATGTCTGCGGCTTGCTGTTGTACGGTTTCAAGATAATCAGAGATGGTCTGGTCTCGCTCCAACCTGATGCGCACTGGGACTGTGGCAATTGTCGGAGCTGGCATCTCATCGATGCCGGGAACAGGAGCATTCCTGCCAGAAACTGTAACACCAAAGACGATATCGTCAGAGTTGGTCATGGATCCAGTCACCAAAGCCCATGCCGCGCGGATGAGTGTTGACGCCGTAATCGCGCGGGATTGTTGGGGAAGTGAAACCAGGCGCTCTGTGAAGGTGTCTGCGACTGGCTGCTGGACAGATGGCGGCAGAGCTGGGAATGGTGCAGAGTTGCAATCACCCAGAGACTGTCGCCAGTAATCCGTCATTGTCTTCTCGTCTTGCTCCTCGATGTACTTGACGAAGGCGTTGAAGGGAGGAGGCTCCTTGATAACCTCGCCACGATACGCTCGAGCAACCATCTTCATAATCAGCGGGAGTGACCAGCCGTCATACAGAGCGTGGTGGGCCGTCCAGACAAAAGATCGAGTGTCCGCCTCTTGCACAAGACCATAACGTGTGAGGGAGTGTCCTAGATCCATGGGCAGTTTTCGGTCGTCTTCGATATACTCCTTCAATGAGCTTGCTTCTGTCCAGTGGATCTCTTCGTCCAAGACCAGCTGTACGAGACCAAGAGACTGCTGCACAATGCGTGTGCGCAAGATCGGGATTGCCTTGACTATTTGCTGCCATGCATTTCGGAATTTGTCAATGTCAATGTCGGCAGGTAGTTCTAGTGTAGATTGCAGGATGTAATCGCCGCTTTGCTTCGACGTCAACGCTACAAGACCTTCCTGAAGAGGTGTGCAGGGATAAGCATCCTGTATCCTGGTTGCCTCAAGTCCATACTCTGCAGATAGGTCTAGAATCAGGGAAGTGGTGTCAACTCCATCACCGAGGAGCGTAAATGGCAAGATTGGCTCTGTAGAGCTGTTTTCCACCTGGACAGCCTGGCTAGCGACCTTGTGGAGCGTTGGTTGACGAAAGATGTTGGCCACAGACAGCTCGATGCCAACCTCGCGAGCCTCACGCACAACTCTCATGGCGGCGATAGAGTCGCCTCCAAGGCGGAAAAAGCTATCGTCCAGGCCGATTTTTCCAGGCTCCATGTCGAGGATCCGAGCCCAAATTGCTTGTATATGTTGCTCGGCGGACGAAGTCGGTTGTCTCTTTGGCCCCCTCGTGCGCGCCTCAGCCAGCAAGCGGGCTGAGAATGACGCGCCTATCTCTCGCAGTTTTCCTCGGTTCAGCTTTCCATTGCTTGTCATCGGAAGGGCCGTGACGGCAAAAAAGACTGACGGAACCATGTAGCTTGGCAAATATTCCTTCAGCTTCACCTCAATATGGGCAGGAATTGGTAGAATCGTTGCTGGTGTGGAGTCGGACGCCTCCAGATAATCGATCTGAAGAAACACAGCCAACACCGGAGTTGCGCTTTTAGCTTTGGGCACAACGACTTCTGCCACGGCGTATGAAGCCTCGGGCATACACTGTAATACCCAGTGCTCTACTTCTCCGAGCTCAACTCGTTGACCTCTGATCTTGACTTGGGTATCCTTTCGGCCTACGAAAATCAGGCTTCCTTCGTGGTCGTACTGGCCGAGATCTCCGGTTTTATAAAGCCTGCCAGATCTCCCTGGTCTGTTTGGTGCACCTCGTAGTAGCCAAGTTGGGTTCTGGATGAATGCGGCCGCCGTCTTTTCCGCATCGTTGAGATAGCCTTGGCCGACAAGGGGTCCTTCGAGGAGGATCTCTCCAACACAGCCTGGAGGCAGTAAACGGTTGTGATTGTTGGGGTCCACAATCCAAGTCGAGACTCCTCTTCCCCTTCCCAGTCGAACAGCCTCCTCAGCATTGGGCGCAGTGCCGTTCAGGTGGCAAAGAGGAGTGCATTCAGCAGGAGCGTATCCGTTGATTACTCGGACCTTGCCCCACCAAGTCTTCACGTCATTGACACGGATCTCCTCGCCAACAAAAGTCATAGACTGGAGCTCAGGGAGGTCTTCAGGAGATAGAGTTCGGGCCACGGAGGCAGTGGTGATGAGAGCAGTGGCCCGAGAGGAAGCTATGCTCTCTACTAGCCTGTCTCGCCTATCTTGGTCACTTGGCACACATAGACAAGCGCCTGCAGTGAGAGTAGTAAAGACATTGTAGACGGACATGTCAAATGAATATGCAGAAAAGTCGAAAACTCTTGACTCTGAGGTGAATCCAAGACTCTGCTTTTGGTGGTGCAGAGCGGAAGCAAGGTTTCGGTGAGAAATGATTACACCCTTAGGTGTTCCAGTACTTCCTGATGTAAAGACATTGTACATTGTCGCTGACGGGTCTACTGGGCGCAGTTCTTTGCTTGGCTGACTCTGCAAATTTGTAAAGAAACTGGAGTTGATGGTGATGACCTTTGGCGCGAGACGGGAGCTCAAAGCCACATTGGAATCCGAACATAGGATAACCTTTGCTTTTGTTTGCTGAGTGATGGACTGAAGGCGTTGTTCGGGAAGATTATAGTCGAGGTGCAGAAATGATCCGCCGGCCTTCAGCACACCGAGGATGGCTACAGTTGTCCACACCGACTTCTCAAAGCAGAGCGGCACCAGCACTTCAGGGCCAACACCAAGGTTGACGAGTTGGCCTGCTAACCTTGTTGCGAGCTTATTGAGCTCTCGGTAGGTCAAATTGCCGTCCCAGGCCGACACTGCTGGTGCACTGGGCTGAGCCAGCCCAATCTCCTCGACGATGTCGTGAACGCATCGATCAACGGCGGCTGGAACCGTCTTGTTCCATTCCCAGATCCGCTCTAAATCCTGGGGAACGATCATTTCGATCTCTGCCAATGTCTGCTGGGGGACGGCACGATGAAGTTGTTGCATAACATGTTCGAGTCCCTTGAGCAGGGTGTTCACTTGCCACGACTTAATGACCCTGGGATCAAAGCTGGCTCTTATGTTGGGCTTGTTCAGGCCAAGCTGGGCCTCGATCACTAGAGCGTGATTGTAGTTCGGTTGCTGTTGGATGGCGTTCTCGGCGTCGTGGTTCTCGTTCGAGTGGACAAGCAGCGTCTGAAAGGCGCAGGCCTGTCGAGCCTCGGAGGATACCTTTGAGATTTGATCCAGACGGGTTTGCTCAAACGGGATCATCTCTGTCGCTTGCTGCTGGACCTTCTTCAACAATTCCGACACTTTGTCGTCGCGGGCCAACTTCACCCGCACAGGAACTGTTGCAGATGGCGCGGTGTTGACATCACCATTTGCATCCCGAGAGGAGACGGCGGCGCCAAACACAACATCTTCGGAATTGCTTGCAGTTCCAGCAACCAGCGCCCAGGCAGCACGAAATAGAGTCGATACTGTAGTGTCGACGACACTATCCCGAACGCATGGGAGAGGGTGTTCAATCACCTCCTCTGGCACTGGCGTGTCTATGGATGGTGGGAGCCTCGGGAACGGCACACTCTCATACTCAGTTAGAGCTGTGCGCCAGTAGTTGGCCATTCCCAAACTGTTTTTGTTCTTGACAGCCATAGCTGTGGCTGTCCTCGGACGAGGTATGTTAGGGCCTAGGATATTGGTTAGTGACTGGCGTCCTTTGGCTCAGACTTGATTTAAGCTCGCAAGTATCATACCTTAGATCGTATCTGAGAACCGCTTGTCGCAGTATCTTACTGCGAAAACAGCGTCGTCGGCCGAAAGCGTGAATTCTGAATTCTGGCCGCGTGTGTTCCGGAATTTCAGATGTGCTGTCTGAAGAAGAACTGTCTTGGGTGAGCTAGCAGTACCATTTATACACTACGTGGTCCCGTTAGGCAAATCCATTCCAGCCCGCTTCAACTACTATTTGTCCACGGGCCAGCCTCCCCGGATGAATGTCTCTAACTTCCTACTTGCTCTCCACCGGTTTCAGTCTACTTTGACTCAGCATCCCGCTCCCTTCGACGGCAGTGTCTTTGTTATTACATAATTTAGACTACCTACGCAACGGCTACCGGCCCGTCCTTAGTGGAGGTGGCTGATGCTCCGCATATCATACCGCTCTTTGACGCCAGGGAACCTCACGATATTTCAAAATGATTGGCCTGACCTCGCTAATAATCAAGCTCATTACTTCTGCTGGACGGCCCGGTTCTCCGCGCAGTGATGTGCCGAGGCGTGCCATGTCTCACCCTCCCTGATCAGATCTGCATCGAGCCGTGCCGTCAAGATGGCGCCGTCTACATCACTTCCGCAAATGGCTTGCTCTTTGCCATAGAGTTCGGATGTCACTCACTGTTCCTTCTCGAGCATAGCCACTTGGACAAGTCATGAATCGTGTCTCACGACGTGGCCTTCCACACGATGCTGGTGGGAGGCATGACGTGACTCGTGCATTCTTGGCTTGACTTGAAGATCCCCACCTCCGTTTGGCCATTTAGACGTTTGAATTACTTATAATCTCCCTAAATATTAATAATTCTAGTAACTACAGTAGGGGTGATATCTTACCACGTTGTATAGTAGCGCAATTGAAATATCTAAGTGTAGAGATGAAGTTGGTTTATCCTCAACCTATCAAAGCTATCCTCAGTGAACACATATGACGTAAAACACGGGCAATGAGGTCGCATGAAAAACAAGGGAGTACAAATTGCTTTTCTTATTGCGTAAGTTGATATTTTGAGTGGAACAGATAGAGGGGGTGAAGTGGGCTTGTGTCACATATTATACCTTAAGGGTTACACTCTCCCTCCCTCATGAACCATAAAGCCCTTTATTTCCTCGGAAAAATATAATCGTAGCGCCCAAGATATGTGGTTTCGGATGTCTGTCCGAGAATGTAGATCGCCTGCCTCACAGGTCAGACATACCCAGTGTGAGACCTACGGCACGGCATCGCAACGGAATTCCCGTTGCATGCGAAACCAGATCGAAGTCGGCCGATCCAATTTCCACCTCCAACCTCCCGTCCGATTCCCTTCGTTCCTCTCCCACCGATAGACGGGATGATGTGCTAGAAATTCCCACACCGCCCATCGGTCTACAAAGTCGAGGCACATTGCTGGAGAGGGATAGGTGGCAAGGCTTCATGAGCAGAGGGAGACAAGTGAGTGAGAACCCTGGCCATCCCTCGGAGCTGAGGTACGATGTGTTCAATGCGAGCGGTGATCTGACTCGAGGCTAGTCATGCGGCAATATGAATGGAAGGGCATCATTTTTAATGTAGAATATCCCCCGTTAACAATAAAATCTTCCTGGCTCTAGCTAACTAGAAAATTAAATGTATTACGTACCAGCATTCTCCGCAGCAATATCCAACATTCTGGATGGTAACAATCGTTGCCAGGCTGTGTTGTGGGATGCCCTTTTCCCCCATTTGGATGTTTAAGAATCGACGTAAGACACGGCTTAATACCACGGGACGCCAAATCCTAGTTTACCCGTACCCCCTGAGACAGACAAAAAGCCCCAGTCGGATAGCAATTCCCCGACCGCCATTTCCTAGGCTAGGACACTGTACTTCTTCATTCTTCAATGCAAGGGGCCGGCCGGGTAGTGCCATGTGCCAGTAAGCAAATCCCAATGAGGTATGTACAGACAAGCTTCTTTGACCCACGTGGAGGGAACTTACCAAATAGCGTCATGGACGGCAGTGGCAGTTCCACAGTGCCACATACATATGAACTTTCCTCCGAGGTCTTTTTGCTTCGGCCTTTCAGCTGTATTCGAATTCTTGGCAAGTACCGTCGTAGGAAGACGATTTTCACAAACTGAAAGTGGATATTTGTTTCAACTTTGGATAAGGGTATCTCCAATAAGGATAGCATTGCACGCCAAGCCGCCGCTGTTGTCGATGCCAAGAACGTGTCCCTTGACAATGCAATACGAGATTGATCATGCGAAGGTTTCATATGACATGATCTGCCGAACGCTAGCTGTCTCAATTCGTTAAGAATCTAACTTAGTCTTGATGCATGTCGTCCACGTTCATCCACGAAAGTCTGTCCCCTATTGCCCGTTTAACCGCGGCATAAATCGGTCCTTTCAAGCGCAAAGACACAGAAGACCCCTTCAACAATTGCGAAATTATCTCCAACGGACCCAGAAATGGATCAAAAGCAGAGACATCAGTCTCATCGGATCCGGGTAAGCCATTCAGGCTCTCAATTTCGAGACGCTCGAGAGCTGGGAAGCCACCCGCGGCATACTTTTTAATGAGATGTTGAATACCACTTGTAAAGTCCATTCCACAATATCCTTGGTTGATACTGAGCCGTTTGACAGTCAGTGGGATCATTGTAGATAAGCACAAATTATCTGGGTGCTCAATTGTTTCGTCTCCAAACGACACGTCTCAACACAGTCAATGGATAGCTCGAGTGTTTCCAGCGAGGAAAATTGGCTCAGTTCTGATTTTTCAATGGACTCAAAATAGGGGAAATCCGAGAAGTCCAGTTGGAGGTGTCTCAGATGTGCGCGTCGTGGCCGGAGAGCGGCTATGAATGCGCTTGGCGGTACTTCGTGCTCCACGAAAGAAGGAGCACCAGCAGACCGCCCTGCAATAAATTTAAAGCACTTTAGAGCCAGAGCGCTTTGAAGCATCTGTCGAAGAAGCCCAAAATCGGACGTTTCCGATTCGCCGTCGAAGGTACAATACGAAAGCTCGATTGTCGTCAAGCTCTGTAAAGCTGGTTGAATGTTCTTGAAGTCGAATGTATGTCGTGAAGGATTCCCTATTATTTGAATCAACTTCAAGTGTCGTAGGTTGGGTGTGGCGCTTAGCAGGGTTGGGATGGTCGGACTGGAAAGGTTGGTAACGCAGCGGCATGGCCGCTCAAACTCAAGATAACGAACACTTTCAAACCCAGGGCTATAGCCTGGTTTCTTCAGTCGTTTGGACAGAAACTGTAAATCTGTTTGAGGCCAATACTCCCAGGTAGATTCTTCCCAGTCCCATATCTCTACCCTTAGTGCTTCAATCTCAGGTGCCAGAACCATGAGCAATTCGGTATCAAATGTCTCCTTGACAAGGCCTTCCAGGTTGCTCTCTTCAAGGTCGGGGTCATTTCCAGCAGCCACAAGTAACCTGCTTGCTATTCGCTTGAAGAACTTCAACTCCTCAGGCTTTGGCTTCCCGAAATTCAATTCGACCTCTTTGACGTGAGCTCCTAGCTGAGGTTGTGTGTCCAGGAGGTGAAAAAGGTCTGCCATGCCCAGGTATTCATGTGGCTGGTGAACCAAGAAGGACTGAGCTAGTGGGCGTAGACTTTTGGACGTAAGGGCCAGAGAGTTGAAGTCGCGGTGGTAAGACGTCTGGGAAAAGTCAAAGGGAGAATTACTGCAGCAATGCGGGCATAAGAATTCGAAGATCAGCTGCTGAATCTCTAGTGGGATAGTTTCGAGTGTTCCCAGGGCTTTGACGTCATGATGAGACATTTTTGAAAATAGATCTTGAAAATGGTGAATATTCGTAGTTTGTACAATATTTTTTCCATATCGAAGGGATTATTGCGCCGGTTTAAGAGTACATCTACGCCGGTCGGTAGATGAGTCACACGCCGCCAATTAATTAGGTCAGTGCTTCGCAACTGTTTCAAGTATTGCGCCTCCTGCGGTGTGAACACGGGGCATGTAGCTACCTTATGGCCAATACTGTATTGAACAATTGCTATAAAACTCCTGGGTATTTGGTTTCATGAGCGTTCAATTAGTATCCTCAGATAAGACCTATAAATGAAACATAGGATACTGAAGCCATAAGCGCGACCTATTGCAGAAGGGTCGTCTTGAATCCTAAAACGACAAAAAGTGCAAGACGCGAAGAAGTAAGTTGGTCAGGTCTGTGGACATCTCCATCTATAGCGAATTTTACATTGGTTCGCAGGTAAGAACTTTAATTGGACACTGAGCAATATAAATTGACTATGTTAGCACTTGGCTACTCAGTCCAAACTGGACACCTTGTGTCACCCATCATCGAGACTTTCTAGTTTAAATTCGATTGCCTCTGACTTATTTCCGGCTGGCAATAATTTGAGACATACTGAGCAGCAAGGTGGCGCAAAATACAAAATGGGACAACCATAAAGGCTTTCTGGCGATGGACCGATTTCGTGGGGATCCCACAGCCACAGTTGCTACTAAATTACTCGCTCTCTTGACCGCTGGTGATGTCTTATATCTGGCCAACGAATAGGGTGATGACACGTAATCCATTGCAGAATACGACAAGACCTGTGGGGAGAATTTCATCGCGACGTCATGTTCGATTCCCAAGACAGCGACAAGATCAATTCAGCATCGTTCTGGTTTCTCCGGTCCTTGCATCGTTGAAATGGCTCATTATGGAATTGATATTGATTAAGAGTTACATTGTGGCTTCCGTTTTCAGGCCCATGAATTGATCGAAGCGGAGTTCGAGGGGTGGCGTAACCTGGTCGATACTACTCAGATGACCAGACTCTACTGCAGTTAATACCTTCAGTCCTGCAGTTTAGGATGATTCTTTAGATGGATATTGGCCAAGAGGGAGGGCTCGTATCCATACAAGGCGGTAACGCCTTTCTGTGGCCCAATGCCCAATGTATTTGCCCGCTTACCATCAGCTCCACATTGCTGCATGCACCTCGCCCAAAGCCCCTCACTTCGTCTTGGTAAACATACAACGTGTACCACTCGTTTCATGAGAGGGCGGTTATGGTATCCACCTATATACGATTGCTCCTGCTTGCGCCGAGGACAGAGGTGGGACGGACAAGCCTACTGGCGACACCGTCATGCCAAGCCATAGCCAAGCGCCAAGGCGACGCAATTGTCAGCGAGCAGCCCCGCGGTCTCAAGGAGACTGGATAGGAGATGGATGGAAGAGGTTGTGGCGGCTCGAGTAACGGCCAAGACGGCTCGGTCGGGCTTGGCTGCCGCTCAGGTGCAGCTCAGCGTGAGGGGTGATGTACAGACGTGAGGCCTCTCTTGCAAGTTGCGGCCTGTGATTGCGGGAATATAAAGCCTTCTCTTCTTCCGACTTCCGACTCTGCTACTCCGCAAACAAGTCCTGGAAAGTCGTATTCCTCTTCTACCACTACTCCATCACAGATCGCCACCATGCCGAACTTCCACCTCAGCGCAGAGGACATCTCCCTCGAGGATGGCCACATCCTCCACGCCAAGGTTGCAAACGAGGAAGGCGAGTTCCTTGATTCGCAACTGGATCTCGACTACTACATCGGCAATGACGATGGAAACTTCCAATGGGGTGGTGAAAGTAAGCACCTTTTGCTAATCTGCCCTTTTGATGCTTACGTGGCCATCCTAACGCCTTTGATCGTCTCCAGACTACTCCCATTCTGCTGAAGACATTTCGTTTGAGCTCGAGGGCGACGACAATGTCCCAGTTCTACGAGCGAGCCTCGGCAACATGGAAGGCGAGAACGTTTCTCGCGATCTTAATCTCGCCGAGTGCATCGGCAACGACAACGGCGTGCTGGTTTTTGGTGCGTCCTTTCCTGCCTCGTCTTTGTGTTTTGTCTTGCTAATACTACTTGTGTGTAGTTCCCCAGCAGTGAAAGGAACTTTTATGAGATGAAAGCTTCGAAGTTGGACGTTCTGGCCGGTAGTTTATATAGCTGCCACGTGTACGGAGGTATCACAGTCTGTGATGAGACCAGGCGGTCAGCAACAGTGGGACTGTTTGGACCCAGTTTAGCCACTACTTCCAACCAATAAAAAATCAACAGTATACCTTTCTGGAATTCACGGGATCTAAATTTCCTCTAATCTCTTGCCGACGTTTTAATCCACTCTCGCATGAACCCCTGCACAAGGCGCTTACCCTAGACCGGAGAATAAAATCAGGCACCACATTATTATTGCCATCCTGAATAGAACTCTTAGGCTTGAGCATGAATTTCCATTGCTCTTCCGACTAAAACCTTTATCTCAATCTTGATTCTAGAGTATACCGATGTTATGGGGGGCTGAGTGGAGATTTATTGCTGCGTGGTTCTCGTATCCATCAGCTTGGTGATTTGATGACTTTGTAACAGCACTGTTCAATTCAGATGTGACATAACCCAGAAAATTTATCGCAACACAGATACGTAACGTACATTCAATCATTTAGCTTATCGTTCAATTGAACATGGACCGAATATGACGAGTTTCTCGATCAAAGTACTACCAAGATGCCTCCAGTGGGGTTTGGGGAATATCAGTATATCAGAGGATTGCACATATCCGATCTCAATCCAACCTCCAATTCCAAAAACAGTTAGAAACCTGGACTCAATTATAAAGAGGACCTGCCCCAAATCCTCACAGCCGAAGCCATGCATCCCTCTCGTCTCAATAGTAACAGTCAACATGTCACAAGTGCAGGCAAATGTCGTGCTAAACCAACCCAGTCTGGCTGGATCAAAGAAACGAACTCGGTCGGTCGAGCAAAGCAACTCTGCTTCAACAACCCTCAGTAGCATCGCGTGTAAAAGGTGTCGTCAGCGAAAGGTCAAGGTAAAGCATCATCGATCTAACCCAGCGACTCGGTACTGACACTGCAGCACGAAAAGTGTGATGGGGAGTATCCGTATTGTTCTGGATGCGTAAAAGCAGACGTCGTTTGCATCATCGCAGATGGGTCCGCTTCACGAGACTACACGCGAGAGTAAGTGTGGAATCGTACCTGCACTTCAAAAAATTTCACCTCTAAAGAGTCGTCTAGAGAAGTGCACCATCTTGAAGAAAAACTCCAGGCCCTTGAAAAGCTGTTGTCATCTACCAGGGTGTCCGACAGCGATGTCCGCAGCATACCCAGCTCAGTAGGAAATAGGCACACCAGGACCCTCGCTGTCCAGTCGTCGGGTGCAAATAAAAGCAATAGGTAAAGAAAGTGGTCCCAAGACTGATGCATTGAGATTTAATCATGGTAAATAGGCTTCTTCACCCGACGCTAGAACACCTGAGAATGCGATCCCAAATATCATTCAACAAGCTCCTCAATCCCCAGTTGCCACCTTCATCCATCTTTTACCACTCCCCACACCGGATTCCCTCGAATGATGCTGCACTAACTGCAATTGGCGAATAGTAAGTCCAAGGGTTATAGATGGCCAGCAGTCTCATGCTCATTCGAAATAGCTTTCTTGAGTTCCACGTGGCTCATCCATTCTTGGATCGAAACCAAATCCTATCCACACTCTCATGTCAACCAGGCCCATCCTCTACTCTAGCCAGACCGGAAAAACAGCGTCTGTTTAAACTCAATATGGTATTGGCCATTGGCAGTATCAAATCCTTTCGGAGCGGTTTGAGCGACCTTCACCCATTTGGGTTTTTCACGGCAGCTTTAGAAGCTTGCCCCCCGTCGGAGTCTTCATTCGACTCAATCGAGGACATAGAGATGTTGTTGCTTATTGCGTGGTTTGGAGTTTATTACAATATTGGTGTGTGAATCGAGCTGCAGTCAAATACCCTTGCTGACTTGAACAGGTTGTTCTATTTGGGAGCTGGGACGGCTTTGTGTCCGAATAGCCATCGAGCTGGAACTTCATCGGATTCGTCCAGCAACTCGAACAATCTCCTTAGCGGGTGCTCAAAGGCGCCGTATTGTTTTCTGGGAATCTTACGTACTGGATCGATTCTCATCATCCATACTTGGCCGCCCCTTCGCGATCGATGATTCGTCTATACACATAGAACTTCCGATGCAACATCTGGACACGTCGGCATGTGTTGGCTCCAGTCTGGCAGTTTTCAATACGCTGGCCATGTTAGGCCAGTTGAGGTCCAGGATCCACTGTTCCATTCACCACAAGAACAATGCAATGGACACCCCAGCCGCAGCTACTAATCCCATCTCAGAGCGAAATGCAAACATCGCCAAAGTGTACCTTCAGGTCCGAACCTTTACGACTGAATTACAGGCGTGGCGTCTAAGCGCCCCGTTCTTCGACCAGCCGTCATGTTTGTTCGAGACCCAAGGCTACTTTGACCTGTCATATCAAGAAACTCGCCTCTGGCTGATCCGAGCTGCATTAGACAGCTTGGTACCATCCTCGACCCCCCCTAGTGGTCTTTTACGAGCTTGTCTACAGTCAGCCTACAACGTCGTTGCTACTTTTGAAGGGTTGCGAAAGAAGGGCCTCGTCACTTTTACTCGATCATACGCGCATGGCATTTTCATTGCGGGCTTGGTAATCGGAATTATCACCAAGACCCAGCTTCATCAACATAAAGAGAGAAATGAGCATGCATCCATGGTTGATGTTGATGAGTGGTTTGCAGATCTCGAGGACGACTCTTACAAACCCACGTTAGACGACGCGTTAGAATCTCTTCGTGTTTCGGGCGAGCTTTTACACTGGTTTGCGGAGCAGATGCCGGATGTTGATATTTATTCTCAGTCATTCGAAGCACTAAGGCATGAGATTCGGAAATCCAACACCGATACATATGAAGGGCAGCCGAGGTCACCGAAAGAAAGGCCGGAAGGTCTCTCGACACAGCATCTACAAGGAACACACGAGGGCGGCGGAGGACAACCGGATTTACCCAGTTCGCATCAAACTAATCACCATTCGATGAACATTGCTGGTGTTCAAGACCTTGCCCAGGCGGGGCGCTCGGGTCCTGAAAGTTGGTCGTTATTTGATCCAGGGGTGAACATGAACGAGCTATTTTCAGAACCATTTCATGAAGAGCGCCTACAGGTTGCTGGAAATGACGCACATACTCTTCAGGCCATGTCATGGCCGTTTTCGTCAGTAGTTGGGATAGAGGGCCTCGACTGCGGGATCTCAGAGTACATTTGGGACATGATACCGCCATGGCAAGATTCCCCGTCTGCATCGATGGATAGCCACCACTAAAGCCTTTGCTGAATTTTAATTAAATCATATTTGATCCATCAACCGCTAAGACTGCCCATGTAAGAATTTATACACTCCATCAGTCGCAGCATTAATGGTCGCGATTTGTGTTTCATCTGTTGCCGCTGAAATGTGTGGTGTTCCTACAAACCTGTGACATGCCCACAACCGCTGGTACTTTTTCTTCGTCGGTGGCTCTTGGACGTGACAATCGAATCCCGCTCCCCAAATAAGCTCCTCCTCCAAAGCTCTGACCAGATCATCCTCATCCACAATCCCTCCTCTTGCAGTGTTGAGTAGGATGGCCGACGACTTCATCTTCTTGAGCTGTGGGTATGAGATGAGCCCTGTCGTGGAGGCAGTCAAGGGTACGTGTAGAGTCACGATGTCGGAAGCCTCTAGTAGCTCATCAATGTTATCCACTCGCTTGTGTGGGATTGACTGCCAAGTTTCGGGATCCTTGGGAAAATACGGATCAAATGCGATGATGGGGGTGTGAAGGCCACCTGAAAATAGCCGAGCGACGGCCTGTCCAATGTTTCCCATTCCGATAATGCCGAGTGTCTTGCCGGACAGCAAGATGCCGTTGATAGTCTCCTTGCGGATCGCCTCGCCATCGACGGTTTGCCTTAATACAAGGTGCGGCACCTCCCGAGCAACGCTGAAAGCCAAGGCCAAGGTCATCTCGGCGACTGCGCTGGCATTTACACCTGGGGTATTGCAGATCCGAACACCTCGTTTCTTGCAAGCCTCGATGTCGACCTTATCCAGGCCAACACCCTGCTTGCCGATGACTCGAAGCTGTGGAGCGGCATCAAGGTCTTTGGCTGTGATATAATAGTCCTTGATCAAGATAGCCGTGGCCTCTGTTCGCCATTTCGCGGCCTTTGGATCCTCGAAGAGAACGCAATCAAACAGCGACTGAGCATATTTGACTGCTTCGGGGTGGAAGTCACTGAGGATGTACAGCGTGGGCTTGGTAGGCTTGGAGGCTTGGATATTGCTGTCTGGGCTGTCCGAGTTTGATAGGTAGGGCGCCATGATGGATTCAAATGACGATCAAAATTGGCTTGAAGTAAACGGCAATCGACTAATCGAGGGGAAGTGAAGCTGGGGAGCTGTTTGCACGAAGAACACCACAGGAGTATCACGCCTTTATCTTATGGAGCAAGTTCCGACTCCCCCTGGCGAGATAGCGTATGCAGGCTACCGGATAAGGAGCCCCGTCCCCCTATTGTTCACATGCATCTTCGCGCTCGCTTACAGCTCTGGGCCTATCGGCTATTGGAATTTCCCCTCATCTCTGAGCCGTCGGATTCGGGCCCGACGCGAAACTCCATGGCGATCTACAAGGATCCACTTCGGACGAGTTGCGAAAGATGGCACGCTAGACTATTTTCGCCAGAAGTTCTTCCAGCCTCCAGACACTGCCATTGTGGACCAGAGTGGCTGCAACGATTCAGAATGTGGGCATTTAAGAGACACAGAATCTCCGATTATTCTACGGTGCCACATCTTACTCTGATTGCACCATATCACTTATCACCATGGCTGTCCAACTTACAAACAATCTCCAGACTCAGGTCTCCAGTAACCAAGTCTGCAAGGCAAGCAACAATACGAGCTTCGAACGTATGCAATTTGGCTAATGGTTTCCAGGCATTTGGCATAAGACTGGTTACCAACCCTGCCATTGTCCAATTGGCCCGAAATGGTGGCTTTGATGCCTTGTTCATCGACCTCGAGCACTCGACTCTCTCAATTGACGATGCCAGCCAACATTGCGCGGCCGGATTGCAGCTTGGCATAACGCCCTTCGTTCGTGTGCCATATCAATGCGGCAATGGATTTGTCCAACGCGTGCTTGATAGCGGAGCCATGGGTGTCGTTTTCCCTCATATCCACAACAAGGGTAAGACGACCCTTGACGCCTTGAATTGGGAAAGTGAAGATATACTCACAGCTTGTGCTTAGACGATGCAAAGGCAGCCGTGCAGATTTCAAAATATCCGCCTCAGGGATTGCGCTCCATGACGGGACAGCTCCCCATCTTCTCTCTCAAGCCCACTCCTGCACATACTATCATTGACCAAAGCAACAAGCACGGCTCATCAGTCATGTTAATGATTGAGACCAAGGAGAGCATAGAGAAAGTTGATGAAATCGCTGCGACTGAAGGCGTCGATGTACTTTTGATTGGGTCAAACGACCTCGCCATTGAGCTTGGCGTGCCGAGCCAATTCCAAAGCAAGGAGTTTTGCGCAGCGCTCGAGGCCGTAAGTGCTGCCTGCAAAAAGCACAACAAAGTCTTCGGGCTGGCGGGAATATATGACGCGCCTGAGATTCAGAGCTGGGTGATAAAGACTCTGGGTGCTAGATTCATCTTAGGGCAGCAGGACTCTGGAGTGCTTGCTGGTGGGACCAAGAAGTGTGCAGAGGCCATAGCCTCAATCAGCCTAAGTCATTTGTAAATAACAGCATACATATCAAAGATGCTTGAGAAGATAAAATATGAACTTGTTGAATTAATATGTATTACGTCTGCAAAGAACAAATTGCGAGTGCAAGACATCTCAGATGGCTGGGGCCGATGTTCAGGACGAGATTCTCCATGGGTGATGTGCCCTCATCTGGAGACGCGTAGGTACCAGGAGGGACCCTCCATCTGATCATTTCGATGATCTGCCTATACTCCAGCATTCGCGGAAATTGCCGTCCAACTATTTCGAGCTTCTGGCATGCCAAGTTTAAAATATCATCCCAATGGATGCACTTTTGACTCGCAATTCTCGGACTCGGTCCGGAACTCATGGATTGCGCATAGCCATTGTCATTTAGACACTTTTCACATAAGCCCCCGGTTACTAATTGATGATAGAGAGTTGCTAAGGCCATGGAAAATACGCTGTAGCCGGTCAACAGGGAGAGGAAGTGGCGTCCAGTCATTCGAGTTCGGTCAACGCTGCGTGCAACGGCACAGCATATGTCGAACAACTTGACTTTTAGGAGTACTGCACGCTTGGTGGCATCTCCGGCATCTCCAATGTAGTTAACACTCCTTGTGTTATTCTCAGACTCTGAAAATTCGTATGACCTTAGAATTTCTTGAATTGCAATCCGAAGCATGAACGTGTGGAATAGGGAAGTTTGGAAAAGATAGGGATGCTGGTTGGAATCTTCTGAATGGGGCGGGGTCAACGTCCGCCAATAGAGGAGGCGACTCAAAGAATGGTGAAAGTCTTCGTCGGAGCTCTCACTGATTGCCGAGGAAAGCAATCTAGAGTATCGAAATAAATGAACATGAAAGGCCTGTCCCAAACTAAGAGTCGAGTTGAGCGCAACATCTTCCCCGGGAAGTGCGACAGTGATATATCGGTCATCTATTGAACACGGACGCTCAAGAGCTGCACATATGAGGCGATCCAAGTGATAGCAACCCCAAAAGGCCCACCGACGCTGTTCCAATTCTTCAGCAAGGCGGGGCGACGCGGGAGCTGAAAGAGGAAACTCGAGGTGATATCGGAGCGCAATGCACTTGTTCATAGCGAACCCGATGAGGTGCCAAGAAGATCCTGCAGCGGAGCAGTGAATGGCGAATATGACCAACAGGTGAAGACACTGAATAATATCGACACCATCTTCTTGGCGGAAGACGCGTTCGAGAACCTTCAGACACTTTCCTAACAGGTGGATGGACACGAATGAACCCTGTGATATGGGGTAGTTATCGCTGACAAGAGGCACCACGGCGAGGACCATGTAGGCCATGAAAATGTGGGCGGGATCCTTGGCTAGGGTATCTTTATATTTTGACTCGTCAGAAGCCGTGATGGCATCAAGCCCCGACTTGACCTTTGCCACTGGCAGCTGAGGAAAGCGAAAGTCGACGACATCGAGATACGTCTCAAGCGACCGATAGGCCTCGGCTGGATCAAGGTGAAGACGGTGCGTCTGGCCGTTGGGATGCCGGATGTACTTGGAAATGCCGTCCCACAAGGAATCCACTCGCGTCGTGGCTTCTGGGTTGCCGCCGTACGTTTCCGTGACGCCGGCAATGATACGCGGCATGGAAAGCTGCTTGAGGAACTCGCCAGCACGGCTCAGGGGCTCGGCCATGGCGCTCAATGAGAGAGTATCCATGTCCATACTGGGTCCGTCCAGGGGCCATCTAGCGTCTGTCGGAGAGGGTGCTCGCGGATGGTCCGAAGGCATCGGGAGCGGTGATGGGACTTCAGAAGGAATAGGATCGTCATGACTAGACACGCCGTCGGTCCTGAGGCCGGCTTTTGCCACTTCCTCCTCGAGGGCGGCAATGCGTTCCAGGAGCGTAGTAACGTAGCCTTTCCGGGCGATGTCGTTGCCATTCAGCTGCACGACGCCTTTTTCTCTTTCGGACGTGGTGCATTCCGAGCAAGCAGTGCGGCAAGGCGAGCAGATTGGCAAGACTCGATCGCACTTCTGTTTCCGGCGCGAACACCTCTCGCAGGCAAAGATGCGGTGCGTAGCTGTTGCTTCTAGATCTGACGACATTGGGAGGGAATGTTTGCCACTCCTCCCCGCGAACACAGAGAGAGTGTAGATACTCTACTGGACGCCGTGGGGCCGGATTGCCGGTACAAGTGCGTTCAATGCTGGCTCTCCGTATTAGTGTAAGCGAAGAGAAGGCAACCGACTAGAACACGACGTCGGACAGTACGCGATTAAATCTCGCAAGCCGTCCGACCGCTCCAACCTCCACATCAGTCGAGACGCCCTATCACAAGCCTCACCCAATCTCCACCGCATGACTCGTAACATTCGAGTTCCACCTCCCCAACTGCGGGGTTCGCCTCCATCTCTTCCCCATGGGGTTGACTTGTGGGGTCGGACGGAGGCCCGAAATGCACGACTCGGTGAGCATCTGATGGTTCATCTGTCTAGCAACTTGATAGAGTATTGGTCTGGGAAGAACCAGGTAGGCGAGGGGTATAAAGCTTTGTTGATTCCACCCCGGATTGATGAGATACGACAAGACGACGGAGAACCACCGCCTGTCAGCTCTTCTCAACTCTCTATCAACAGACCAGCCGCTTCTTTCTTTCCACCAGTACCCTGCTATCCGTCACCGAAATGGATAACAAATGGGCGGAAGAAAAGGGCACTGCGGCAGACCACGAGGAGGACCTGTCCAAATCACACTCCATTATTGACAAAGTACGCGCGTTTTTACCAAGTTTACCCATCTCCCACGTCCTAACACATTCCTAGAACATAAATGCAGACGAAGCGCCGGCCATCGACGCCTTCTCCGGTCAAGATGACTCCGAGGCCAACAAAGCCCTGCTTCGGAAGCAAGACATTCGCCTGATTCCCATCTGCGCCATGATGTATCTTCTTGCCTACCTGGATCGATCCAACATCGGCAATGCCAAAGTCATGAATTCGGAGACAAACAGTGATCTTCTGTCATCTACCGGAATGACCAGCAACCAGTACTCCGTCGCGCTCATGGTGTTTCTCATTGCCTACACCATCTTCGAGGCACCCTCCAACTTCTTCCTCAAGAAACTCGGCCCCAGCAAATGGTTTTCCTTCCTGCTTTGCAGCTGGGGCACCATTTCCATGTGTCTCGGCGCTGTCCAGAATTTCGGCGGTATCACAGCTGCTCGATTTATTCTTGGAATTTTCGAAGCTGGCCTGGCGCCAGGACTGGCCTACTACATCTCCTTTTGGTATCGGGCTAATGAGCGATCTCTTCGCCTGGCCTTCATCTACTCCACCGCTACGTTGGCGGGAGCGTTTGGCGGATTGATTGCGTACGGAATTTCCCACATGGAGAATGTTGCTGGCCTTGAGGCGTGGCGATGGCGTATGTTATGCCCTGTCAGTGTGTCATTGCGGAAAGATTTCTAACCGCGATACAGTATTCATCCTCGAGGGCGCACCGTCGGTCCTCTTTGGAATCTTCATCTTCTTCTACCTACCCGATTATCCCGAGAGCCCGCGCTTCCTCAACACCGAAGAGAAGGAGTTGGCAGTCCTGCGAATGGAATACAATGGTTCCAAGGGCAGCGCAGGCAGCATGAAGTGGGCAGATGCAAAAGCAGTGTTGCTCGACTGGAGACTGTATCTTCATTACATTGTGTACTTCTCCAAGTCCTGTCCTTTCTCTAGCTTGTCCCTGTTCGCGCCTTCCATTACAAAGGGCTTGGGATACGACTCTTTTGAGGCGCAGCTCATGACAGTTCCTCCTTGTAAGTCGCCCTAGTCCCTATGTCTGAGGCCAAGACACTAATTGAGTTTTCTAGATGTTGCTGCGTTTGTCGTTACAATCGCACTGTCATTTTACTGCGACAAATACAACAAGAGAGCAGTCACGACCATCTGTCTGATGCTGGTCGGTGCTGTCGGCTTCATCCTGTCAGCCTGCCTACCAGTAACGGATTACCACGGGCGATATGCTGGTCTTATCATTGCCTGCTGCGGAACCTTTGCAACGATCCCGATTCTTCTAGGATGGCTATCGGCCAACCTGCGGTCCACCAGCGCTCAGGGTCTCGCATTGGCGTTGAACATATCCTTCGGTGCCCCTGGACAGATCGCTGGAGTGTGGATTTATAAGAGCACGGAGGCTGCAACAGGTTACCCAACCGGACACTGGACGAACGGTGCACTTTTGCTGGCTGGAGCCGTTCTTACAGGTGTTCTGGTCGCGCTGTATACTTATCGGAACCGTCGCATTGACAGTGGGCTTAGCTCTGGACAGAAGTGGGCTTTGTGAGAAATAGCTCGCTCTCGTATAAAAAGCTCTTAGAGTAGTAATTTTGGGTTATCTCACCTGTCCGAACTATCATGTGCGGAAAATACTGTCAGAGTGCAGAATATTACGTCCATTTGTCAATTCTTCATTCTAGCCCACCCAGTTAGACATCAACTTAGCCAACTAGATCACTCAGTAAGGCATATCCATTCACAGAGATGGTTGCACGGCTATTACAAAAAATCTCATCATCTTACCAAAGACTTTTGGCATCCTTGAGTGAAAAAAAAGGCATCCTCATTCGCGCACTGGCAAGAAAAAGGCACTTGGCAGCCTTAAAGTACGTGTCCTTACCATCGTGTAGGTAAATACGTTTTTTGTTCACATCATTGACATTATCGAAACCACCGAGGAGTGCGATTATTAGCGAGCAAGTGCTTGGTCAGAGGGCGACGCGTAGAATGGAAGCCAGACGTTGGCCATTCCTAAAATGCCTAAGTATGTCCCATACAGGATCGCAGCCCAGTATTCAAACTAACGCCTTACCCTTCGCGAACTCCGGGTGAAACGGGTAATCCGTATAACCCTTCGACTTTAACGGCGTGTAAAACGAATGGCGGTCGTACTGGTTGAGTTGCAGTCCATTCTTGATCCGAAACGGCAGATCCGGGTTCGCCAAGAAGTGTCGCCCAAACACAACGGCGACATTGTCGTATTTAACGTACTCCTCATCCACGGCCTTCTGCGCAATCTCAGGTGTAAAGCCTCCAGCCACCAAGACGGGAGAGGTACCATTCCAGATATCCAAAAGGAAATCGATCCCCTCCACCTTCTCTACGTCCTGCCAGTTGTTCACACGGGATTCGATAATGTGCAGGTATGCGAGGTTGAGAGACTTCAACTCCGATACAAGGTAAGAGAATTGGGGGACAGGGTCCTCCATCCTCATTCCCTGGAAGTTGCTGAAGGGGCTGATGCGGAAGCCAACCCTATCAGCACCAATGGCGTCGACGATGGCCGTGACAACGTCAATGGGGAATCTGGCTCGGTTTTCCACGCTTCCGCCCCATTGATCTGTCCTCTTGTTGCAAGTGTCTTGGATAAATTGATCCACGAGGTATCCATTCGCACCGTGAACCTCGATACCGTCGAAACCAGCGGCCACGGCATTTCGTGCACTCTGTGCGAAATCACCAATTGCCGAAGAGATCTCTTCGGCCGTCATCTCTCGAGGGGTGTCAGAGCCAGAGTCAAGGGGGATGGCACTTGAGCTTAAAAGCGGATGGCCGCCAGTGGCTCGCAAATGCGAGACAACGGCAGCGCGGCCTGGCGCAATTAACTGGCAGAAAATGCTGCAGCCCTTGTTGTGTACTGCATCTGTGATGGCTTTCCAACCTGCAATTTGATCCTCATTCCACATCCCAGGGCCGTTGGGAAAGCCGCCATGGGCCTCTGAGATCAAGACTGCTTCGGCGATGATAAGAGTTCCAGGCACAGAAGCACGTTGAGTGTAGTACTCAACACATATTGCCAAGGGGACGTGGTCGGCGGCGAAACGAAACCGGGTGAGAGGTGCCATGACCACACGGTGGGCGAGCGAGACACGGCCGATGTCCATCGGTTTGAATAGTTTTGATTCCATGTTGTTGGGTGACGAGATGGCAAGTGGTTCGCAACCCCGGATAATGGTGGCTTGTGTGACTTGAACCAAGAGTAAATGAGCAAGGTGGCCATCTTGCCGAGTCATTCTCGTCGAAGAACGGCGGGGAGCTGAATAATCATCCTTGTCCCATAGACCGGGGAATATACCGCATCAAGTCATCTGGCACGACAACGAGAGATACGAATGGGACTTGAGTAACGATAACACACACGATTGGTGCCGAGCTCCAGCTGGGTCCAGGGCGACATGGGTAAGATTGGTCAGTCCAATCAGACAGAGAATGATACGCACGAAACAGGGGGAAAGCTCCGTACTGACATCACGGCTTTCCGATGTGGATCCGCTAACTAAACGAAAACGCAGCTCAATCCTGTCACGTTTCAGACCCTCGAACTAGGCTCATGTACGTGGCTTCTCGGGACTGTCGACGTGCTTCCATGTTCTCCATAACGCGGTGACTTGCAGGTTGCTGGGCACAGCAAACACTCTCGTGTAACGACGCAAAGTCCGCCAGTGCCGCCCTAATAAGCAAGTTGTCTCCCGAGGCTCAAGTCATGCAATCAGGCCTCATCGTGGAAAGTCTATGCTATATGTCACCAAATACCGCCGAATTCTACTGTATAGTGCCCTTACTGCCTTTTCTGCTAGACCTAGTCACATACTACACACTGCTGTAATATACTACTAAGATACTTAATACTAATTACATTGGGATACGTAAACCCACAAGGAAGCTCTAATATATGAGAACCAAGCCAGCACTAGACTGAAGAGAATTATTAAAAGCCTTATTGAAAGTTATAATGCCAAATGGGTCAAATAGGTTGAGGAGGATGTTGCTAGTAAGCAAGCCAGTAAGATCTGCACTCCCTTCCACTTGACACATTTGCTTTAAATTTTATAAAACCCCATTAAATCCAAGATTGCGTTGCCAGAAGTCAGAAAAATGGAGAGGACGAACAAGGCCACTTAGGCCATGGCAAATTTAGCAAAACGTAAATACTCTCTCTGCGCACCCGCCAGACCTGAGCAGAGCCAACGCCTCGCCGTCCATGAATCCCTGGACATAGGCCTCGCCAACCACTTGCCACCTATCTTTAAGTGGCCGCACGACCAGCGGCACCGAGCACCCGTAGATGATGCATATCACGTCTCCGACCCGTATCTGGTCCCGGGGTTTGCCATACATATTGTCTGGCGCCCAGCCGACGAATCCCCTCCCGGTGAGCATGAGGCGCCGCTCCTTGCACGAACGGTCAAACGCCCCGTAGACTTCGTTGTAGTCGGCCTCTTCGGCCTCAGGCGGGATGTCGTCGTCGAAGTAGCTGGACAACGGTATATCCCCTATCTTCAGGGTGTCGTTGGCGCCGCGCCAGAGCTCCCATCGGAAGTAATAGTCCTCTTGCGATAGCAGCCATGCCCACCGGCGCCTGGCGAACTGAGGGCCCCCTAGGTCGTAAGTACAAGGCAGGTGTAGCATGGCTGCTGAGTGTCGGTTCTCGGCCGGCTGGCCACCAGAGACATACCCCAGGATCAAGGTCTGGGCGATAGCAGCCGCCGTCTCCGCCCTCCCTCCGTAGACACTCTTCCATCCTTGGGCTTGCTGGATGGAGCGTTGGCGCCAATTGAAATAGCCGTTCGCTCGAGCTCCAAGTCCGGCGATGGAGTCGAGCACGAAGCCCTCGCACTCCAGTAGCCCGTCTCCCGGAAAGCTGAAGTTCGGGGACACGTTGCCGGCAGCGCTGTACATGTCCTCCGGCCGAGGCTCCCGGCTGTCCGTCTTCTGCCACATTCCCCAAAGGGGAGACTCAACGCGAGAATACCGGAACCTGCCATCCCATTTCCAGTCCGCAGCCCAAGACGGCGTGCCGGTCTTGCCCCATGGGTTGCCCTCCCGCAGCGGCTCTAGGTTGTTGAAGTGCGTGATGAAGAGCTTCGCCACCGCTTCGAATACCTGCGAGGTTCTCATCGAGTAGTCTTGGACCAGGGCCTGCGCGATCTCGGGTTCCATCATGCCTAGGAGCGCGAAGACCTTGTCACGATTGTCCCGGCACTCCGACGAGCAAGCAATGTCCAGTAGCCGCCGGAGTCCCAGCGATCTGTGGCCCTCCTCCTCGCGCCTGCTCAGTTTCCAGAGATCTTTGTGCACAAGGTGTAGGCTCAGCGTATGCCAGCCCCCCTTCTTCTTGCTGCCACGCCTCCTATTTTCTATCTGCAGCAGCTCGTCCTTTACAGTGTACATGTCCCTTCGGAACAACACATCCAGGCCCGCGCAGAAAGTCGTCCACCCTATCAGATTGCTGCCACAGCGAAGGACTGCTGCGGAACCACCGAGGACGAGTTCTTGAACAACCCACAACCGGAGCCAGTATGGCCTCTTCATCAACTCGTTCAGTGCATAGAAGGCCCTAGTCAATCGCGGCTCCGGATTTCTCGAAAGCTGGTTGGCGAGCTCCCTCTGTTCTTCAGGGCCCATGGTCGAGAACTGAAAGAGAAGACCGAAGGCCAAGTTGCTCTCCTCGTCCCCTTCGCCCAGCCACGTCATGACAGCCCAGGCGCCGTTATAGATCTCCCTCATCTTGCTTATCTGAGACGCCTTCTCATCCGCGTCGTCCTGATTAATGCAGAGCGCATCAACCCAGAGCTTGTACCTCCCGCGAAAATCGTCTTGCCGCGCGAGTTCCCGAAGCGCACTCTCCAGATTCCTCGTCACCGACGTAACCTCTCCGTTGAGCACAATATCCCGTCGGTCCCTTGGTGACCCCCACACGTAAGAGAGAGCCGCAAAGTCTCCCCAGGAGAATCGGTAGGCGGATGCTGGGGGCACATATCTGCCGACCGCGTCGGAGCCTTCTTCCACGCCATGCTGAGCACCCCACAGCGAGATCTTCTTGCGCTTGGGCTTGTCCACAACGCTTGTTGAGGCAAGGTGCGCAGAGTACTCGTCACGGACATCTTGCAGCGACGTCTTCTCAATCCGGCAGTGCAGAAGGTCAGAAGGAGTCGGCGAGTTAGTGATAGCGAGGAGTCGGATCTCGTCGCGGTCACTGTCTAGAGGAGAGTAGATTGCCTCGGCGGGTGACATTTTGCTCTGGCTTGGAGCTTGGAAGCATGAGATAATTCAGACGAATTGGTGAGGGCCGGCTCCAAGGGGTGAGATATTCACGCTATCTTGCAACCCAAGAATCAGTACATATAGCTTCATGCAAGGTGTGCTGTGATGATTGGTTCAATTAAACCGCTACTCCTGTGGTTATTCAGCTGAGGCCAGATACGTAATTCAGGCCGCAGCCATATGCCACTATCCTCAATTCTGTTAGCTTGTCTAGCGTTGATGCTCCCAGTCCTCCGGGATTCTTCGACACAGCCTCAACTTCTGTCCTTCAAACTATTCCTTCACCCTGAATTCTCCGGAGAACTTTCCTTATATGTTCGCTTGCAAACAGGCCGGGCGCCGTTTGGCGCAAAAGGCGATGCACTAGTCCTTCGACAAGCTTAGCGACTCCAAGCACCACCATAAGTGCCCATGTCTAGTTGTTGTGAATACTGATTTCAACGATATTTGTACAATCTTGAGAATAATATCGCGAGTGTCAAAGTAACTGTGGGATCTGTCACGTTCAGGCATCTCGATACAGACCATTATCTGCCTCCTGAAGATCAGTTGGCAGCGAGTTCTGGTAGCAGCATGCAGATGTGAGGAAGTGATCCACCAAGTGATTAAAAAAGACAGGAAAAAGGCAAAACAGCCATTATTAAGTGAAGAGTTAATAAATCCCTTCAACAAGCCCCGGCGAGCGATTTGACATGGAGGGGCAAGTTTCCCCGCAAATAGTTCATCGAGAAGATCACCAGCGTCATCAGAGATTCTCTCGGAAGTCTCCTACAATGCGAGGAATAATTCAAATGGTTTGACGGCACAACATGCGAGAAGATGATGGGCCGAAATCATCAAGCACTGGAGATGGAGCCAGCCAAGAAGTGTGCAGCTACCATCATGGCTAGTTCAGCTAAATATAAAATTCCTAAATTCGATCTGGATCGCAGCGACATATAAAATCACGACTCGCCCAGGAAAAGTTGGATCGCCAGGTCGATTCTGGTTTTAGCCATGTGTACTCTCAGGAATTGCTATGGCATAATGGCGCCATGCAAATATGCCCTTGGTCCTAACATAGTAGACGCGCATAGCTATGTAACCAAAAATCATGAACTGTTACTCTCCGCTTGGAGGGGTTAGCGTAGCAGAGAATGGCTGAGGCACCCCAAAGTCAGGCGTATTGGTCTCATCAAACGTGACAATCTGAGCCATAGTGTATCGGTCACGTCCACAAGACCCGCGTGCCTGTTGAGTAGCGTGGAAAGCGTTCTATATAGTCAGAAATGTCTTGCGAAAACGTCTTTTACTGCAACAGATGAACTCACCCAGATTTCGGTGCCATCGGGAGATGTGAAGAAGCTGTTATGACCGGTACCGTAATTTCCATTAGCTTGTGCAAATACGGGACCGGTCTTGTTCCACGATGAAGCCTCCAATGGATCTCCTCCGTTCCAGTGTAGGAGACCTAGTGAGTAGTTGGGTGTGCCGCAATAGGACGCGGAGAAGCTGAGCCAGATATCGTCGCCGTGATAGAGGGGCTGTGATGTTAGCAGAAGTCATACCCGCTAGATTAAACTAAATGACTCACGTGTGGCGCTTCATTGACGGGTTTATTAAGACTTGCGTCAGTACCAGTCGTGTTGTATTCCCAGGGCTGATCCGGCACCGAAATGACATGCCAGCCTTCGACAGTCCATGTACTCTTGTCAAGCTTTGTTATGGCAAGAGACTGGACATGGTCCTCATTATCTATACTCAGGACATGGTAGCTTCCCCAAGAAGGAACCTCTAGATATGTTCCGTCGATGCTGAATCCGAAATTGTTATCTGGCCCTCCTCTGTGCCCCTCCGGGGGGACAAGATCAGCAAGGTGAGTATATTCGCAGTCGAACGGTCCGGCAGCGTCGCAACCACGTAGAACCCTGGTGTTGCAGCTATCGCAGCATGACAATTTCGAGTTACAGCTGGAGTAAAACATGTGCCATACTTGGTCAATCTGGTGGAGCTCAGGAGCCCACATGTTGGCGTTCCTAGTGGTGTTGGTGTCGGTCCATATGACTTTTGTTTCGCCGCTGATTAGTCCTCCCAAAGTGGCAGAGCGGGTGATTTGGATGCGGTCATATGATGTATATGTCCTTCAGAAAACTTAGTATGAGCGCGTCATTCCAGAGCCGGTAGTGATGCTCGACCACTTTCCCACGAGGTCGGAGGCCACCAGAAGCAAGAATTCCGCGCACTCACAAGTGATAGTTTCCATCTGCGAAAACTAAGGATGGATCAGGTCCAGGGTTCCGAATAGGATTCTGGAAGGCCTGAGTGGAAGCGGCGCAAAGCACCGCCCCAAGGAGTGTGGATTTCAACGTGGGCGACATTGATAGAAGCAGCAACGACAGTCGCTCGAACATACAACAGTATAAATTCGACTGTTCTCTAACTATCTACTTAGGGTACTCTTGGTTCTTTTATACATGCAGAAAGTGATCGACATCTCCCACAATAAGTTCATATTATGCTTCTTCTACGTGCATTGATGTCGATCCCTCGGCAAGTTAGTTAGCGGTCCAATGGGTGACTGTCGTTTACACGTAGTGGGCATGTAACGTACCATCCTTGTCTCGCGGAATACGAAGAGAGTCTGTTTAAAGCCTGATGGGATCGAACCTCCGTTCCGGAAACATGTTCCCCACCTAAGAAGAACAAGGGGTTTGTCGTTGAGTCTTTTATTCATTACGCGCTCCAATGAGGTGTTAAGCGTCGCTCAAATCTTAATGTACTCCCTGTAAACCCCAACAGCAGACATTGAACGATTGGATCGGCTAACAAGGACCATACCACGACTGTTTACCCCGCGTTTGCCAAGTTGTGTAGTGGCACGATCTAGCTTGACACAATACCTACATGGTTGGCGAAGATCTTCTCGAATCACCCAGAAATTAGCTTCATAAAGACTGCGATGGCGATGCGTCTACAATAGTAGAGATGCTACCCTTGACCTTGAGTTCCCAGATATCAATGATCCCTGACACAGTATCCGGCTAGAATAATGATGTATTACACTTGATGGAGGGTTTTTTGGACTAGTGAAGTCCTTCCACGACGTATAAAACCACCAAACACAGTGGTCGATTCTACTAGACACCAGGGGATTCTTATCGGGAGCCTGATGGCTCGTTTCATGATATGTGGCTGACTGTCGCGACTGACCTTGAAATCAGAGGCTGTCAGTTGAAAAAGAATCCAGGGGTAGAGGCCAACGAAGTTGCCTGATTTCATCGCAGGAAACTTCAAGATCGTGGAAAACGTACCAGGTTGCGGTTTTGTGTAAAATCTTTCTGAGACCTACTGTAACGTGTAGTTCTTCGATGCGCCATCTTCCTCACCACTCCTGAACATCATCTCCAGAAATTCCACATCTGCCATTGCTTCCTGCGGAGACTGTCGTGGATCTGGCTTTCCAGTCACCAAACCCTCAGCCCACGCGGCAATCTCCTCACCAACACCGCTGGTTTCAGGAAATTCTCTGACAATTTCGTCGCCATCCATAGGCTTTACGGTAACAGTGTTTCCCGAAAGCTTCACAGACCCCTTCTCAAAAGCAAAATCCCATTCGAACGACTCCATGCGTGAACCGAATGAAAATTGCACAGTTCCGCTAGCTCCAGAGTCTGTCTTGACAACAGCATTGACCGTGTCGATTGGAGGTAGGTGTTGCTGAGTCAAGTTCGTCAAGGCATGAACACTAGTAGCCTTGGATTCCCCTTTAAGAAACAGTCTTGTAGCAGCGGCGTAATGAACACCGCCGTCCAACAAGGGTCCGCCCTGATGCCGTGGGTTTCTCCTCCATTCTGTCTCATACCAGAATGAATCGGCGGGCATGAAGCTGAAAACCTTGACGCTGAAATGTTCCACCTTGCCCAACTTCTCTGACTCCTTGGCAGCGAAAATAAACTTCGGAATGAATCTGTAATTTTCCGCGATAGAGTAGGTGGCTTGGAGTCCTGAGACGGCATCGACAAGCTTTTTGGCAGCATCTACGTCTGGGGCGATGGGTTTCTCGGCCAGTACGTGTTTGCCTGCCCGAATCGCAAGCTCGATGAAGGACGTTTGGGTTGCTATCGGCAGCGCAATTATTACTGCAGAGATGTCGTGACGCGCGAGGAGGTTTTTGAGTGATTTTCCCTCACCAGAATCTGTCGAGTATAAATCAATCTGGCCTTTGGTGCTGAGCGTTGCGGTATTCTTGGCAGATTTCAAGGATCTCGAGTAAATGGCTTTGAGTTCCAAAGAATCACATTTCATAATCCCAGGCTGTGTTGTGTTAGCTAGGCTCTGTAAGAGGCATTAAAGATTCACCATGTGTTCCATCTTGGCGAAGAGCCCGCCTCCAATGAGAGCAACGCCGATTCGAGCCATGGTTCTGGGTATTGTGAGGAGATGAGCAGGGTATTTGAGATTTACTGGTAAACGATTAAAGGTTTTTCGGAGTTTGCGACATTGATCGCCCTTTATCAGAGAAATGTACTGAACGTGGATGCTCTCGGGGAGTGATCATCGGCATTTATAGCGATGTTCCAGTCCAATGATCTCATCTGATGTCATGTGTCTGGAAGGGCATGAAATGAGTCCAAGTTGGAGCTATATCCTTTTTCGTCACCCTGTAGCACTCCGCATCTTGGTTCGGTCCAAGGGATACAATCCCCCGTGTGACGTTTACCTTCGATAGCCAACCACGTATCACGAACCGACGAGTAAGATAAGATTGTGGTATCACCAGTGTTACCTTGTGGCCCACGACTCTCAGTAACCATCAAGTCTCCCCGCAGATCCAGGCTCCTGTCACTTGTCATCGATTAGGCTTGAGAGGGTCGTGGTACTTGAGGCGTCACATTGGTTACTCGCCGAATCGGGCAGTTCTGGGAGTTGTTCCTATCTTGGACTAGGTAGTGAACGAGTGCTTCAGCTGCCCCACTGATGCGACGATAACGCCGCAATATCGAGAGGGTTCATGATGACGCCGCTAACGAAGCCCGTTCAGAAGCTCTTGAGGTGCGTTATCGCGACTGAAGATTCCGTCTACCAGTCAATTACATTTATCGGATCAGACAATACTGTCCGCGGCTTTTTCCCTTTGTTACATGCAGGTATAAGTATGCCCTTGACGTCATCAACGACTGTCGTTTCCCAGTCCCCTTCAGCTACGGAGAGGTTTCACTTCCTTGCAATTACAACCATGCTATATTAATAGGGATATAATAATGTCACATGCGAGCCCTCACTGCGCACCGGCCAAGCACCAGCAATTTCCCGCTCAGATGTTATCATGTGGGATAACAAGGATTCCTGGACAAGCGACGAACGTAGTAGCCAACAGGCTGAGGGCTTCTGTGCTACAGCGAGAGTGCTTATATCCAGCGGTTGTGGTACATACCCTGCTAGTCTTCTCTCTTCCGTATACAATCTTCTAGGTATACCCCCAATAATGAGACATTGTCCAAGGAGGCTATAACGCCTACATATCCATCGGGACGAACAATGACAGCGGCTCCAAGAGCTTTCTGAACACCATAAACAGAGTAAACATCCTCACCAGCGCACGACCCGTGGAACTGCATTTCAGCCATCGATTTGATCTGCGACGGGATATCCGTCCATTCAAATCGCTGTGTCTGGAGGGGATGGACGACAACAAGCTCAATAGTAGACTCCGGGAAAGATGGGATTATCGTGTCGCAAATGCTTTCGATGGCCTTGGCACTTCTGCCTAGGGGCGAAAGGATATCCTCTGACGTGAATACCAAAATACGGTAGCGGCCGTTCGAGGTGAAGTCTGTGTGAAAAGACATGTGAGCACTTCTTCGACGTATTGTTAGGAAGGGAGAAAATAAATCATACCATCTTGCAAGTGACGAAGATTTGCATCTGCGAATCGTTTTACTACCACATCAGCTAGCCGTCTTCCAGGGCAAAGACAACCATTCAGATAATCTCCTCCTGGGGCAATTGGGTATCCGCTGAGATCTTCGGTTGGTCGAACTAGCAGTCCAGGTGGATATTCGATGCCACAGCCGCTGGTGAAGCCGTTCCCGTCGCTGAATGTTTTCAGGAACTCTTCGTGGGTGAGGTTCGCAACCGCTTGAGTTTCTTTTCCATGGCCCATTTCGCCGCTGAACATGGAGGAGAATTTCGTGTCAAATTCAATCAGTTGGCGTGCAATCGTCAACCGCTCTGTGGAAAATGTGGATAGAAGAGGCTGAGAGAGGTGCGATCCCTTGGCGGCGGGTGTCAAGCCGTGTATCGTGTGGACAAGCTTCCAAGCGAGGTTATATGAGTCCATCATGGACACATTCATGCCTTGACCAGCCTTGGGGCTATGTGTGTGACAAGCTATAAGATCAAAGCGTTTATTAGCGGGAGAAATCATTACAGGAGGGCTGCTGGCGCAGTAAGGACTTACCATCCCCGACGATAAAAACCCTTTCCATACCCTCGTCGTCTTTTGATGTGAAATGGCTTGTCATGCGCTGGCCAATCTGGTAGGCTGCATACCAATCAACTTCGCTACCTTCCTTGACCTCGATGCTATATGGAGCCAGCACACGGTTGGCTTGGTTGAAGATGTAATCCAGGGTGATGGCCTGACGGCGCTGCTGATTCTTCTCCTTTTGAGACATGTTGCCCAAGCTTTCATCTCCTTCAGTGATGTCATCTTTGACTTGAACATATAGTCTCGTCAAATATTCCCCTCCGGAAATCCGCTCCCTTGGAATAACCATTATGGACCCTGCCGGGGAATGGATGGCACAACGTTTTCGAATGTCAGGAAAGTCCGTTTTGGCCACAAAATCGCAGACGCCCCAGATGTGATCCTGGGACTCCCCTTCCAATCGCAGACCCATAGAACGTCTGACTTGGGAGTGAGCCCCGTCGGCGCCAATCAGATATTTGGCTCGGACTGTTTTGTGGACAATCGTCCCGTCCTCCTTCGTTTCCTTGAGCTGAATTTGGATGGGGTACTCTGGATCTTGGCCGCTGAGCTTGTAGTCGACAAATTTGGTGTTGCGAACAATGCTCCGATTGCTGTATCGCTTCAGGTCCTCCTCTAGGATCCGCTCGATGCGGCCCTGATGAATGGTGATTTCGTGCTGGTATCTTGCCCTGACCGCCACGTCGGGAACAAAAGTGGTACGTTCTATTCCCTTGCCATCAGACGATGGGTTCCAAAAGGAAACCTCAGACATATGGCAGCCATCGTCATAGATCTCGTTCAATAAGCCCAGAGATCGAAAGACTTCAAGTGTTCTGGGCTGTAGCCCGTCTGCCTGTCCAGCCTTCAATGTCCCCGGTTTCTCGTCGAAGCACACCAAAGAACCGTCCGACAAACCAAGTCGGGACAGTAAGAGAGTTAAGAATAGTCCTGCTGGACCAGCACCGATTACTATCACCTCAAAGGCTTCATCAGCATTCTTCGCTGGCTGATCCAGAGGCGTGAATCGTGGTAGGGGTGTAGCTCTGGGAGGAAGAATTCTCAAATCTCTCGATGCAAAAGCCCTTTCTTCAAAGACAGGCATGTTGTCTTGAGGTCTTGGGAAGAGTAATAGCTGAGTTAGGATGGAGAAAGGCAGGTAGAGAAGAGGGCCACAAGTTAAATATGTAAACTTAGCAAGTGAAGTCTCCCAAGTCGCGACGAGATGCTCATTTGGCTGTAATAGAGAACATGAGAAAGGAAGAGAACGTTCACTGCCGACATTCAATATATAATCAACTCTGTTCCAAGTCCCGCATCCTCCTCAACAAAGGACCGAGGCAAACTACTGGCCAGATGGAGTATGGCGGCCCCCATCTTTGCGAGTACCTACTCCACCCCCTCATTCAACGCCTGACTAATTGATGACCATTAATTCATGTGTGCTTATTATTGTGTTCTTAGTCGATTGGTCCGTGCATTCCATCTAGTCGCTCGGAAGTTCGGAATACACATTCTGCTTGGAAGGCAAGATCCATACACCTTAATAAGGGCTCAGGTATCCTTTTAGACCTTTCATTTTCACCTTCCTGTCCATCATTTTTTCCGATTCTCTCTGAGAGCATGAATTTCTTCTGTACATTTCGTCCATCGGTACACGTCCTTAGGTATACACCATGGCAATGGACCGTCACAAACTCGTAGACTACAAAGATATGCTTGTACTTGATTTCGACACGCTAGAATTCTTTGACGGGGCTCAAAAGAGGGAACCGCTGCTTCATGACATCTTCGAATTCGATGATGGATTTCCAGCCATCTTCGACGAATGGATTGTGCTGCTTGTAGTCGGAGTGAACCAGCTCGGCGGTCCTGTTGACGTCCTTGTCGACGAAGGTGATGATGGACAACTTAAGAACCTTCTTTATGATGCTGATCTGTTCCAGTGTAGGGAAAGGCTGGTCCATAAGGGTGGCGTAAGTCTCTTCAATGCGTTGGTGAACAGTGGCCATCTTTTGTTAATTTGGTGATTGATCTCCCAACAGCCTGTTGTTAGCGGACAAGCATTGAAGAATGCGAAGGATCTTTGTCAGGGTTGTTTTCTGTCTGATGAGGTGGTGTTTTTATGATGGATGCAAGTCGAGTTCGTTGCAAGGTCGTTGTGACTTTTAAATCATTTCAGGTAAGACCTGTCTCCCACGGCAGCCATTTAGATCAATACTTTGATACGCTACAGTGGGTTACAGTGGGTGGTCCAGCAGATCGCGTTCATGTTACAGTGGGTTACAGCGGCACAGTAGAGCTGTTTTTGGCGGGGTGTAGTGGCTCAGTGGATCAGTTGCCAACATGAACAAAATGATGTGTGTTGGGAATAGGTACCTAGTCTCAATCAGTGCATGCAAGACTCACTTCAATCTGAGCCATCGCACCAATTCCAATCTCGATGGGTAAAAAGGAGCCTATATAGCATTTAAATACTCACTTCTACGTAGATACAGTTCTTACTGCTGTCATTTCTGCTGAACTCAGCGTCCGCCACCAATATTCGACGCTGCATACCAAATCATATCGTTACACACCACCACCCAGCCTCGACTCTATACGAAGTCTAGGATGCAATCCATCCAAGCAAACTCATTGGCGCTCTGGAATCACCTGTTGTATTAACCACGGATATGAAGGCTTATTACCATCCCCAGAGCGTGGTTAATAATCTGTTGGACTCTAGGAGCTGGCAGCACCATCGGACAGTCGTTGTACGAGTGTTTTGCGCGCGCGTCAGCGATACTTTGCCTTCTGTACTATAACACCAGTGGATTACAGACCACCAAAACGAAATGCCTGAGTCTAGGAGCGGAACAAGTCCTCATCTTCCAATGCGACGTCTAGAGCTATGAAGCGTATGACAAGACTGTGGCCGACGTAAACGTCACTGTGAAAATTTAGAGTACATTCCCATAACTAATAAATTCAGCCAACCAGATTATCAAATTCACTGGTCAGGTTGATTGATGTCTTGATCAACAATTCCGGTGTATCTGGGCTCCGCGCAGGATGGAATGATCTGATGGGCCGCAACCCTTGCGTAAAGTCGGCTACATCAACATTGCGTCGAGGGCCGCTCGGTGCGCTCCCTAACGATAATATTATGGAAAAGAGACAGCCGGAACCAGAATTGATATTTGAGGACTAAACCTATAATTGCACTAAACTCTGTGCCTGGGAGTGAGTTGTTGAATGTGGTATGAACCACACTCCTCCCATTTATGTCCTATCCATCTAATAGAGTTCTGCATCTTTTTACTGACGGCACCCATAGTAATTGAATCATTATTATTAAAGGCAGTCCAACAGAATCCTTCATAAATAAAATATTAAGGTCTTAATATTACCCATTTCCTCTCCAGACCAATGACCTTTAACGCAGTATTAGTAATATTAATACTAATACAACAGACTGACCCCAAAACCCTCACTAGATGAGCATATCAAGAGCTTTCACACAATTAAATAATCACTTTTTCGCTGAATTCAACAGCTCATATGAAGCGCCCGGGGTCAATTTCAGAAGACTCGGCCTCGCACCCCTTTTAAGGGCGCTGAAGTGGGGTGCTGGGGAGAACGGAAAAGAGGGGGGATAGACAGTGCCCGCTTCCGACACGGAAACGGAGTTTAAGCCGTTGGACGTGATAAAGTTATGCCCCTCCACATGTATTACCACCGGCCAAGTTATCCATCAATGACGCTTGCAGGCGATGTTAGTCTGCAATGCGGGGAAAAGATGCCAAGTCTTTGTGGGGAGATACAGGAGCTGATTATGCTTCGGGGTATGCATAATGCATGGTGGATTTTGAAAGCAGACATTTGGAGCATGTCTAGGAAATATAGTCGACATACATACTTGTATCACCTCACGGCGCTTATCCTACCTAATTCGTTTCTATCACCACATCACACAAGCCTTCTTGATCACTTCTGGCCCCTTAGGAAAACAGAAATTTGCCCTGGACTACGAGAACGTAGGGTAGGCACTGACCGTAACATTGGGATTAAGCTTGCAGCTAACGAGACTGGTAGCCTTGGCAGAACAAGGACCTGGCTAGTGGGAATGGACAGCAAGCAAATATTCCACCAATAGTAAGTGTTGTCGTCCCCAAGATCACCAGAGAGCTCCCAGATTTCCCCAGGAACACTCATCCGATCGCCCCGGAGCTGCCATGCGGCAACTGAGGGGCTTTTCCGGAGCAATTTTGGACAACGGAAAACAATCACAAGTCGAAGAAGAGGCGGGAATAGGTCTGGATCATCTCATTTACCCCGCAAAACACCTGCGGGTCACAGCCGTATTCCACCTGGCTGCCGAGCAAGATCCACTGGACAAGTTGAACATCACAGCCGGGATCCGTTTCTGGGCGGCATTGTTAGCGCAAGAGCAGGCATGTCAACACAACTGATGTCTATAAAGAGAACTGCACCGACAAATACCGCATCTCGGTTGTTGCTTGTCATCCCTGTACAGAGTGCCATTTGCGTTCTTCAAGGCATCCAGTCGCCGTTTGAGCCATGCGCTTCTCCCAGATCTTGACCCTTGTGGGCGTTGCAGCCACTGCGGCTGTTCACGCCGTCAGTCTCCCTCCTGGTGTCCCTAGAGACCTCCTCGAGTTCCGCAGCAAGCATCCGTACAGCCCTCCCAAGCACGGCCACCGCAAGATTGTCACGATCCGCGCGTCGAAAAACGACCGGGATGATGTTTCGGCGGAATTTGCGAGGGGAATCAAGAAGGCAAACAACGGCGGCACCTTGTATCTGCCCAGGAAGAAGAAATTCGTTATCGGCAAAGTCCTTGACTTGACTGGCTTAAATGACATTCACGTCCATCTCGATGGCGAGATCAAGGTCAGAAAACGGACAAATTGTACGCCCGGTAGCAGTGTCGCTAACCTCATGAGTAGTTCACCAATAACGTGGAGTACTGGCAAAAGAACGCCTGGTATCACCCATTCCAGAAGTCCATTATGTTCTGGAAATGGGGCGGCAAAAACATCAAGATTTATGGTGAGGGTGTCATTGAGGGCCAAGGGTACGCACTCGCTCGTATAGTCGTTGCTCATCACAGAACCTGACTCGAGTTACAGACAGCGCTGGTGGAATGAATTTGAGAGCGGTACAGGATCGTAGGTTTCCTTCCCATTAGCTGCGAATCCAACAACAAGTAGAAAACTCATAATTCCTCACAGCATCCTTAACCCCGACAACAAGTACTACCGGCCCATCCTTTTCTACGCCGAGAACACCACCAACCTGGACATTTCCGGCATCCATCTCAAGGACTCTCCGTGCTGGAACAACTTTATTGTGAGCTCCAAGAACGTCCGCTACACGGACGTCGTGGCTACAGCTTTGTCCAACAACGGCAGCGTCATCCCCAAAAACACCGACTTTATGAACACCATGAACACATCCGGTGTCCACATTGAACGCGCCTGGGTCAATATTGATGACGACTGTTTCTCGCCGAAGCCCAATAGCTCTGACCTCTACGTCAACACCATGTACTGCAATGGTACTCACGGACAGGTAGGCGGCACTGCTAACATTGTTTCAAGTTTGGCTTCAATAAGAAAACTAACCTGTGCTTCATAGTCTATGGGCTCGCTTGGCCAGTACAAAGGCGAAGTCTCTAACGTCCATGACGTCCACATTGAGAACGTCTGGATGATGAACGGAGACGTAAGTATCTAGGCGCACCTCCTTCCAAGATGTATGGAGCTGATTTGCCATTGTTTAGTACTCAGGCGCTCGCATCAAGACATGGGCCGGCGCAGATACCGGTACCGGATATGTTAAAAACGTCACATTCAAGTACAGTCCCATTCCAGGGCATCAAATAAACCAGTAGCTAACGCTGCGACTCAGGAACTTTTGGGTCGGCCGAATGGACTACGGCATCATCCTCGACTCGTGCTACTTCAACAAGTCAACCGAAGAATGCAAGAAGTACCCTTCGGGCATGCAAATCAGCGACATCCGCTTCGAGAACTTCACTGGGTACACGTCGGGCATCTACGGTAACGCCGTTGCGCGCCTCTCTTGCTCGACGAGTGAGAGTGCCGTCTGCGACAACATCGTCATTAAAGACTTCGACGTCAAGACTCCTTGCGGCGGGGATCCTGTCATCATCTGCGACGGCGTCAAAGGCCACCTTGGCGTTGACTGTGTCTCTTACGATAGTCCAGAGGCAAAGGCGGCGCTCGCGGCAAAATGCAAGACCCCCATGGCGGAGATTGATCTTGATCCCTGGGGGAGCGGACAGGTCGAGAAACTCGATGCATACCACCCCCTCTGATGACGGGGTAGCGTAGCGTCAAAGAGCAACGGAGGAGGCAAGAGTGACAAAGTGTAACACCCACAAGAAGGAATGGAAATGGCAGTTCAGTTCCTGGTAACTGAGGCCAGGATATAGAAGGAAAGATGTCTTGACATTTATGAGACAGCCAAGACCGCTACTTGCAACTAGACAGACACAATTCAATGGCATTATTAAGAAAACATTCAAAAGCCAGCCCAATGAGTGGATTGTTCAGATGTTAATTGATACATGAACAGACATCTTCGCGTTGAGACTATCTAATCACCTATTATGAACAACAGAATTTGTCTTTTCTTCATTGGCCCAGATTACCTCGCACAGATTACAACTCAAGGACGTTGGTCTCACCAAGCGTGCCCTGGGGAAACCTGGAGTTGAATCCTATCACAGATCGAGCCTTTACAAACGTAGCCGTCTGAATGGACAGCTTCTGGTCAGAGACCAACCATCGGACACCCTCGCTGCAGGGAGGAGTAGTCAAAGAACCGTCGTAGCTGGTCAAATGTTAGCACTTTCGTTCTGGTAAGTGGGGATATCAATTAGAGACGACTCACGTTTGGAAAGACCCTGCAGCGAGGGCGTTGACCAGCTCGGACATGATGAGGGGCTGCGTCTTGGTGACTGTTCCTGGCTCTGCAATCTCTTCAACGGAGCTGAAGACAGTCTCGAGAAGGGTTGAAGCTGTCATGGCCTTGGCTGCCGGCGCGTTGACGTGGAAGAAGCTGCCCTCGATGGCTGGGAGTTGCCTCTTCTCCTGATCCTTGGGTGTCTTCTTGCGAAGCAGCTTCACAAAGCCGTTTTCGGGATGCACATGACGAGCCTCTGGGGTGCTCGTGGCCGCAGGCACAGCCGTTGCATTAGGCGCAGCCGTTGCAGTCTCACCACCTTCAGCCGCAGCAGCACCATCGGCGATATCAATGAAGGTGCCGATGACGGCAATCTCGCCGGCGGCGCCCTCCCAGACCATGTGCATTTCCATGGCCATGCTAGTGCCGTTGTCCAGATGCTCGCTGGGCAAGTGGAAATGGAACTGAGCAAGAGTATAGCTGACGCCGCCGAAAGTCATGTTGCCTTGTCCAGCGACGACCTCGACCGTGGTTCCCAGGTTCTCGAATTCTGTTCCTTCGGCCATGTCGGGGATCGCAAGGCCGATCTCTGCAGCGGGAATGATGGTGAAAGCGTCGGCAACCATGTCGATGGGAGATTGGTTCTTGCCGGAGGCGCAAAGGGCGTTTTCCTCGGCGTTCAGGGCGACCCAGTTTGTCGGTCCCTAAGACAATGAGTGTTAACGGATATTCCCGAGTTGCATGGCCTTTAATTCTTCTCTTAGCCACCAAGTGAGCGAGCGTACCTTTGTGCCAATGTATGCAAAATCCTTGATCTCGACGGTTGCGCCCTCCTCTGCTCTTGGGCGCAGCAAGGTGCCATACGCGCAAGAGGCCAAGGCCTTGGAAGCTAGAGCCGCGACGAGCGCCAGCTTCAAATGAATGGAACCAGCCATCGTAATGATTCTAATGAGCAGACAGAGCCTTGAAGAGAAATTAAATAAAGGGCAATGGGCCAAAACGAGAGGCAAGATGGAGAAATAGAGGACGGAGGGAAGAAGACGAGGGGCCGGCCCTTAGTGAAGGAATGATACAAACGCCAAAGGGATGAAAGAAAGAATCGGATGATTTTCTACAGATCGAGTTGGGGACATCGTGGGGGAGCTTCATTTATGCGAATGCTTCCCTTACAAAGCCCGCCCCTGCGACCGGCTCCGCGACGCGAAACGCCATAAGGTCTGGCCCCTGAGGCCAGGAATAGAAGCAGTCGCGACAGCGTCGCTTCGGGGCGTCACCTTTAAATGTAACCTTAACGAGTAAGCTTCATCTGGCCGGCGCATAAGAAACCAGCACCCCTGCCACTTCCCCGGGAGCCTTATCTTGCGCGGAGTGATTGCGTGGCCATTATTAATCCCGAGATGTGAGCCGAAAGTTAAAGCTGATCGCGATCAAGCGCATATTCGTACAAAGACAAATTAAATTAGTCTTCCGCGATCCGATTCCGCGATTGCATCTCGGCTTCACAGCCAGCGCAGTTGGGATCCATCAACCCACTCTGAGAAACCAGATCGAAAGCGAAAACAATCAAGACCCCAAACCGTCGCAACAGTTTCCAGCACATCTACAAGGTACCGGTTTTACCGCCGATGCTCCATCATTCCCCGGCGCCATTGGGTGCAGAAATCTCGCTTGACGCGTGGAAATCTCAAATGTCAAACACGATAACGATCCCCCGGCAGCGCCTTACTCCGTTGACGGAGGTGAGACGAATGTTTGCGACAGCGCAGATATTTTTCGTCCAGACATGAGAGGGATTTGGGCTAGATCCGACGGTTTTGGAACGGGTAGGGTTAAAACTGCTCCGGTTCCATGTCGTTTCAACTGCAGCCCCTTGTCCCAGGCTTAAACCAGGGGTGTGTCGATGTAACCCTACTACCGGAGTCTAGATCTTTGTGGGGGAGTTTTGCTACCCTAGAACTGCGCAGCTGTCAGAAGAAACTCATGGTCATCGACTCATCGTGCCGTAACTTGGATCGAATTGAGGGTTTTGGATTGCGCGAATGTTCCCATTGGGGATTTTTACTAGCAAAACAATAAACACAAAGTGCAGAGCTGTTTCGATTGCTCACGGCGCACGCACGTGCTGCAGCTGGTAAACTTGAAATATTTGAGGTAGCAGTAAAATGGTCATGGCTGTCTCAAGTTACTTGGCTTCGATCGTCCACACTCGGATCTTAGGTAGGCCGAGTTTACGGTGTGTATGCCGGTCTATTTATGTTTGTGAACGGGATTGAACATCATTTGTGCACAATGAGGTGACGAGTAATTTAAAATATTTATCTTAGTATCTTTGAGCACATCTAGATTTTTGAATGCTCGCGCTAGCTCCCATACGAAGTTCAAGGCCTGTCGCGCTTGTCCCTTTGCCGTTTCAGCCCAACAATGCTACCAAGCTAACCATAAAATTAACCCTACTCAACTTCTACGGTCTCCGATTCCTGTTTCGTCGGGCCGGGGGGTCAAAAGCAGGCACCCTGTAGATGAGCGTCGAAGAGGAACCATCGCGACGCGACACTATTCGATTCTGGGAAGACACGGTCGCGGTCGCGAATGACGGCGGGGACGACATGGATATCGACCTAGACGGCGGTTCGGGAACGGTAGGGGCCCGACGAGACGGCGAAGAAGTCGAAGTAGAAAAGTAGGCCTCCATGTGGCTCGAAGTGCTTGGAGTAGGTCCCGTCTGGCCGTGTGTGTGTTGGTGTCTTCCTACTCTTCTGGTTGCACGCGTGCTTGTCAAAAGCTCAGCTCGTTCTCTTCGGCGGTTGATTGAGTCTTTTCCGAAAGCAGCAGTGCTCCATTCATCTCCGCTGGGGCCGTCATAAACTCTCTGAATGCGCCCAGGCCTCGTTTCGAAAGCTGTGTGGATGTCTCCAATTTTCGTTTTGCGGTCTTTCTTTTGTTGCCCAGGCGTATGCTCAAGGTGCGACTTCCAGGAGACATCTTCGGTGTCCATCCCAAGCCCGAGGTCTTTCCACGTTGTGAGAATCAGAGCGGCGCTTTCTCCGTGAATATTGCGGACGCTGATGCCAATATCAGTGTGACATCGTTGGCACCCGCGAATTTCCAACAAATCGTCCTTCACCCCTCCAAGGCATGGACCTTCCCGGACGCGATGAGGATGCCAACACCTCTCGCCGTGAGTCCATAGACACCACTGTTTATTTGTTTCCTCGGGAAAGTAGGGATGTGGCCTGAATATAAATCTCCGAAACCACTGCCAGTCATGATGGGCACAGCAGGCCCCAAGGCCGGGATTTCTTTTGAGAACACCTAGTAGCTCAGGAATGGCATCGAGCGCGTCCAACGTCTCTACTCGAGGGAAGAGATACTTTTCGGTTTTGAGGAGTAGCCGTCTGTTGACCACTTTGGCCGACACGTAGCAGCTGATGCGAGCTGTTCCATATTCATGAAAGTAGTAGTGGCTAGAGTTTAGGAGACGAGGCTCATGTAATGCAGATTTGTGGCGATGGCTTCTCGTTATGGCGGCGACAAGATCGAAATGGACGTGACGTGGGAGGTGACGTGATGTCGTCTTTTGTTGGATCTTCCTATCGCCAAACTTGACACAGGCCCGACCTCCTTCTCTCAGGTCCGAAACATGAGTATTTCGGGGTGTGTGAAAGATGCGACACAGCGGACACAATATCTGCGAAACGAAACACCCATCGACCTCGAGACGTTTCAGCAGCTGATACCGCCCTTTTTGCTCCAGTCGTAGCACATTTCTGCCAAGCATATAGAGGTGTCGATGGCTGACGAGAGCCAAGGCTGCCCTGTCAACGGGTGAGACGTAACTGGAAATCTCCTGAAAGATCTCTGTCGGGAGGGTGTTTAGAGCTGCAGCGGGATGGAGTGGACGACGTGGGCGTCTGAGTCCAAATAGACTCTTGATTTGCTCGAGCACCTGCATATTGTTTTACACTCGATGTGCGAATGCGTTCTGGGGTGAAGATTGGCTGTAGAGGAAATGGTCCGCGAGTTGGATTCTGAGGGGACAAGTGTCTACAGTAGCGATCTTCTGAGATTCTTGTACATATAGGGCCCCGAGATAGACTTTTCACGCAGTGGACACATGACTGAGTGGGAAGCGACAAGACTAAAGCAAAACTTTGGTACGTTTAAACGCAACGTGAGCATTCATGCCCCAATTTTGCAAGTCCTTCAAGGTGCACATCCAGGTTGAAAAAGAGGTTATAGCACCTTGCTCGCGTCCTCATGTGAGGGGCCATTTCTCGGTGGATTTCTGCATGCCGTGGTCGTCCTTAGATCTGATTCGTTCATGGGCACCCGCGGGCAGCATGACTTGGACAAACTCATGGTATCAGTTCAGCCAGACCGCTCCTAGCCATTGAATCCTTGACTCTCTGGAGTAGCCGCGGAGACTCTTCGATTAAGAGGAGAATTTCCAAAGGTAAAGTGGAGGACGTGTGGTCGCCAGTGAAGACGTTTCTAGACCCGACCTGGAAAGGGTACGTCGGACACTAACCCAACACAATGACCTTGGAGGGCTGTCATGGGCTCTAGCAATGCCCTCGATGGTGACGTCTCCTTGCTAGCCATCTCGGCTAACCTAAATCCCTGCGCAATGCGTTCAACAGGGTTGGTTAGTGAGTTCTGAATGCGTCTGTAAATTTGTGGTTACGTACTGCTCAGCAGTGCATGTTGCCGATGGACTGACTAGTGGTGGCCACATGGAGTCTTCGTCCACGGTTGTATGGAGCTGCATGGATACAGTCTGTTCCATCCCTGATGCAAATGTGGCATGGCTGTTTGCCTGTGCACCAAGTGATCCTCCTGCGTGTGCTGGCTTCGAGCTGGTATCCATTTGCTGGACAGGAATGGAGATATCTGGGCCGGCTTTTTTCTTGCAGCGGCCACGGACACTCGCAATCGACTGCGCTGTGCTAGCGCAACCAGCACGTAAATCGAAGACCGCATGGCTAGAGTGAAGACGGCTTGAGCACCAAGAATCGCTTCAAACTTAACACGAACAAGTCCATGGGACGGAAGTTAGACATGTGGGGAGTTGGCGCGGGACGGAAAACGGGTCATGAACAGCTCAGTCTCTACAAAGGTTGAACGCGACCCCTCGATCCCTGCGGCCTAGGTACTAGGAGTCGGCTTCTAGTTGTTCTGTGCAAGAGGGAGTTTATATACCATCTCACGCAGCTAATACTCAAAGATATTTGAAAGTTTCAATGACAACACTCTATTTTTGTAGAAGTAATAATATGACTTGTTAAAAATTGAAGTATCTTTTTTACTATTTTAGCTATAAGAAATCCAGGAGAAACTCCTTAAAGTATAGTAACAAGATAAATACAGAAAACGAAGCAATAATCCTTGTTACAGCAACTCTGTGGTCGAAAGTCAACACAGAGAGATCGCTGAGGGTAACCCATCAACGCCTGTATTCGCGGTGCAACATCAGAGTGACAACAGACTGACATCTTACGGTTACGTCGACCCAATGAAAGCCACTTTGCATTTGGCGTAATATATTGCACATCAAATTCACATGTTAAAAGCTGAACTGGGGCCTAGCCCACGCCATTCCCACAGATGAGACGGCCATGCGAAGGCGCGTTATTTTATTTATCTCTATCTTTTTGTCTTGAAATTGAGAATTCGTTGCGTAATCTCGGAATGTGACTGGGCCCGATGTACGAATACCGTCAAGGGAGGGACCCAACATCGTACCAACTCGTCCGTCACCTACGGGTGTTCATTTGCCAGGCGACACGGCCTACGAAGAGGCAAGGAATACAGGTAGGATGTGGAAATGAATAGTTGCAGTCGTCGAAGAACAATAGCCGATCGAATAGGTGAAGAATTAATTGACCAACCTGGTCAATGGCCCGCATGGCCGGCCGACGTGGCTGGTTCTACGCAGCGGAAAGTCCACTACCTCCCCGGTACACGGGCAAGACAGAAACACCGGCTCTTCATCACGCCAATTGAAGTTCACGGGTGACATATGAGTGGCATAGTTGGGTAACATGGTGTGGTGCCATAGCGTCTAGGGCAAACTTTCATCAGATTGTGATTCGTGCTCACTTCAGGAGTAGCCGCTCGGATTTATTTCTTCTGCAAAGTCCTGCGCCTGAGATTCTCCACGGAAAGAATTCTACCTGCAACCGCTTTGATGGCTCTATGACACGGGATATTATGAGTTATTCACGGCCGCCCCTCGATAGCCACGCCTCCAGGTCAAGGCGACTCATATTCGGAATATCTGCACCTGGAGGCTCCTGAGCTCGACCCTTCGCTCAATGGCGGGCGAGGCAGAGCCTTCACCGCTCTCGACACCCCGGGCTCTCCTAATGGCTGGGTTATTTGCAGTTGCATTTTACAACACCCTCGAGATCTTCTTCTTGATATTTAGCACATTCAAGCGGCGGAATGGGCGTTATTTTTGGAGCATGATCGCAGCCGCCACTGGGATTCCGGCCCACGCCATCGCCTTCTTGCTGCGCTATTACAGGGTCGCGTCGAGCGTCGCCATGGGCGCTTTCTCCATCCTTGGCTGGTGTCTCATGGTCACTGGACAGTCTCTCGTGCTCTGGTCCCGTCTCCACCTCGTGGTTGACAATCCTGTCAAAATTCGCCTAGTCCTTGCCATGATTATACTCAATGCTGTGGCTCTGCATATTCCGGAAACAGTCATTTTTATTCTTTTGCAAACGAATCCCGGAAGCTACCTCCATGCCTTCCGCATATACGAGAGGGTCGAAATAGTCATATTCTCCATGCAAGAAGCCATCATCTCTGGCTTATTCTTGTGGGAAGGTTACCGCAGTTTTCGGCCTGTGATAGTACTCAGAGGCGCCGAGGGACGAAAGATTGTTGCACAGCTCTCCGCCCTTTTTCTTGTTAACGTACTATTGGACTCGGTCTTGGTCATCCTAGAGTACACTAACAACTTTGAGCTTGAGACGGCATGCAAGCCTTTTATTTATAGCGTAAAGTTGAAAGTCGAATTCATACTTCTCAACCGGCTGCTTGTCTTCACCCAACGATCTCCGACACTTTCACTTGCCCGGGTGGTTACTCCAGCCACTACGACACATACTCAACCCACTGAGTCATGTCAATAATGGATTGTCACTGGGCTCTTTTCACAGAAGGAGAACGAACATGAGAAGAGGGAAGATAGAGGAATGATACGATTTAAGTCTCTCGTCATAGATAAGGGCTCTCGGCGGTGTGTCTTGACAGGTGGAGCAGATGGCTGGTAGCCTGCCTGGGCTAAAACTTTGTCTTCGATCCATGTCTCTATGCTAGTCATCTCACGGTGATGTGAGACATCATATGCATGGTACGCAACAGAACGTACAGTCAAGAAAGGGGACAAGAAAGTTGACGGTTGTGATGGCGGCGAGGATATACAAGGCCATGCGTATGTGAGGCTGGGTAGGCGGGACGAAGGTGTAGTAGAAGGCGATGATGCTGGACTTTGGAAAGTATATGGCAGCATCGAAAAAGTAGCTGACGGCAGGCCGGATCTGGATTTGCATGAAAGTCAGCATCGTCATCTCGGTGGTGGTCAAATGGTGGTTATGAACCTTCCACAGCCTGACGCTTGAGTTGGTGAAGTTGGCCATGTCGCCGCTCTGGAATGCCAAGGCGTCGCATATAAGAAGTCCCAGTCCCGAGCAAACACCAATCAGGAACCAGATATCGGATACATAGAGAAGGTCTTTGTTCAAGCAGAGTCGGACAAAGAGCCGTGTAAGGACCAGAATTAGGGCCAGTGAGAATAGGGTCCATTTCCCAGCTTGGAATGAAGATAAAGGTTATGAGTTGGCATTTTTTTCCATGACATCGGCCTCCATGACCATGGCGATTGTCTTGGAATGGGAACAAACGGCAAGGAAACGTGAATAATTGTTGGGAGTCAATTACTTACCTAAACACGAAAAGCTACTTATACGTGATGAGACGGAGTAGTAATCGTAACAGAGCAACCATTCCTGCGAATATCCATGAGGAAGGGTTTTTAAAACCAGCTGTTCGTTAGGATTCCCATGCTCACTTGGTGTCTGGCTGGAGCTCGGTCGGTGGCCTTGCGGATGTAACGGTCGTTCTCCTAGACTTCCGTACTTAGGTAGTTGGGGACAAATCACAGTAAACAACATCTATCCATACGTCGATGAGCTGACTACACCAACTTAAGTATACCTTACTTACGTAATTTATCCTATTGATGTGAAGGATCTTCGGGCGCGGTCGGGTCAATGTAGGCCGATTGTAGGAGAGCGTATGCAATGACTCTCACAGCAGTATGTTGATGAGTGCGGGGAAGCCAGCTTTCGAGGCATGCCCCGATGTGGAACGTTGTTGTTTGAAGCTGGTTGGTGGGATTTCTACTATGATCCATGCTCTATAATAACCGGGACATCCTTGAACGGTTAATTCGGAAAAGGGTAAGCTGCTCGCCTTCATCAAGATGACATTGCATCACTTCGTTTTTGTGACCAGAGCCGAAAACATTCCAGGCTCAGCGTTGAAGAGTATTCGACATAGCAATCCCACCACCAGGTGCAATAAATCTCTTGCTCAACGTTCTGATCCAGAAAGGTTGGCGGAGCGAGCAAATCGGCGCTATGCGATGCCGACGAGCTAATAAACATAGATGAAGTCTTCATTTTTCAGATCCGTCATGTCCTGCAAGCCATTGTCCTCCTCCACCGAGATCTGACGGTTGTCAATGTCTTCCTCGAGCGTGACCGCCTTGCTTTCCTGGAGTTGTGTCTTGCGCATCATTGACATATCGGTAACTTGGCCAGTCTTGCCCAGTTCTAGACGTCGCTTCTCATGCTGCTTATTGAGATGCATGAGATAGAATGGAATGAGACTGTGACCAAATATTAGCCTTACAATCCAAAACAAACGGCGTCTTGTTGGATACTTACGCCGAGACGATGCCGACCGTAACAAACATGGCGAGGTTAGCAATTAGACCCGTTCGGTACAGGGGAGCGTCATCGGTTGAGTAGAGGAGTGGTCCGATGACGTTGCCAGTGCACATCCCTATGAAAACCATGCCAGAGGTGCATTTCTTTTTCGTGTCACCTGCAGTATTCTGGGCTTGCCATGCATAGATTAGAGGAGTAATGGCCGCCAATGTTGACACCTAAACGAGATTAGTCAACACAAACAAATTCGTAACATTGGAGGTTGGAGACATGCAAGATAGTAACCAAATAGTAGGACACCTTTTTGATCCCGCGGGACAGTGAGCATCATAATTGTTCCAACGGTGGGCAGCACACTGATTCCAGCAATGACCAACCCTTTTCGCTGCGTCCAAGTGGCCAACCATCCTGTGCCGAGGATTGAGACGATTTGAACAACTCCGAATGGGATGTTAAATAGAATCGTCTGAAAGCTATTGAATCCAAAGGACTTCACGATCAGTGACCCGAAGGTCGAGATACCGCCGCTCGATATGCTGTTGAGAATGCCTTGTCAATTTCCGCACGTTGCATGATCAGAGAGGTGGATACTTACGAAATGGCAATGATGGCGACGAACCAGCACCAGGTCTTGAGATCCAACATGACCTCAATGACGTGATCCCAGCGCCAATGTCTCGCAGCGATTCCCATTTGGTTTGCCCGCAGTCGCTCTGTGGCGATCAGTCTCTCCCGCTCTGTTAAATACTTGGCTTCCATTGGCGAGTCAGGCATTAAGATAAGGACGACCACAGAATACAGCACCGTTAGTAACCCGCAGAAGAGGAAAATCGTTTGATATCGGTACAAGGCCGTACTGTGGATGTGTCCAAGCCCATATGTAATGAGACTGCCGAAGACGGACGTCAGGCCATTCATAGCGTTCCAATAGCTTGTCCGTAGCGTCTGCTCGCTTCGACGCCACCACATCTGTGTGATAGCCACGCAGCAGGGCGCAATCATGGATTCGAACGAGCCCAGCATGAAACGCAATCCTAGGAGCGACGGGAAATTGGTGCAAGCAGTCATGATGGAGAGCGCTGAGCCCCAGAGAAAGATGGCAGCCGCGAGGACTTTGCCAGTTGGTAGCTTGACGAGGATCAGCGCAGCTAGGGGTTGCATGACCAGCTGAGCGAGGTAGAGTATCGACCCGAGCCAAGAGTATTGGCGGCCCACCAGGTGGGCATCATCAGTTATCCCGAAGATTGACACATAGCTGGAGGATTGAAGTTATAGTTGGAAATCAACGTAACAAGGATTCGCGTTAATACCTCAGAGAGCTTTTGTCAAGCTGCTGGAAGAAATATGCCCACAAGATGAGAACGAGAACACGCTTGTCAATCCGACGTAGAACCGCCTTTTCTTCCTCGTAAGTGAAGATGCAATCCTCAGCTCCATGGCTTGCCAAGAACTCAGCGGCTTTCTCGCGCCTGACTGGTGCGGGGTGGTCTTGGACGGGAGAAATGTCGTCGCCAGTTTTGCCTGAAGGGGTGGCCATGGTGTATCAGTGCCAGTGCAGCGAACAATGAGACCGTATTTTTCGTCAAATGTCTGGTTACAACCGCAGGCAACTGAAGTTTCGTATCTTCCGCTACACTCTATATTGTAGGATGCTAGTACACCAAATTCAAAGTCTTCCGATTATTTTCTGTGCTCGGCCTGACTTTGCGGGGTGGAATATGGGCCGAGGCTCGGAGGCATGATAAACCTCCTGACTAACAGTCACATCCGTTTAACTGTTGCCCACGCGGCATAGGCCATGACGTGGCTCGGAGTAAAGCATTGCGAGACACCCCGGTCAAAATGGTCACGGGTATGAGGCAGCGTCGTAGTTTGTGCAGCGGATGTCCTGAGCTGCAGAAAACGACGCTACTATCTGTCGATCTTTGATACCTAAGAGTGAGCCAGCAAACGAGCAGTGAGCTGATCTTCAAAGTGCGGGGAAATAATGGACAACTCAGGCTGTAACTAGTGAGCCGTGGTGCCGTTCCCCGAACTTCTCCACACGGAAACGTGTATCCCTGTATAATGCTACCCAACAAATAAAGACCCAACTGCCTAGTTCTTCTGCCTTTGATCCGACCGTCTTCCGCTCATTATCCGTCTCCGTCATAGCCGCATTCATTGCAGCGTAGGCGCTGCTAATATGACAATGGAAGCAAGACTATCTAGTGCATAGACGTAGCTACCGTCGGGCACTTCGGGGGCTCTGCAACTCGAAGTAAACAGAGGGAAGTTATATGGAATGAGCATCAATTTGTTTCTTGCTCGGAGAATATACTGAAGTATGGCTGGCCTCCAAAGAGGTGAGTGTGTCGGGGTGTTTCCATTTCAGTGTCCAGGGCGGTTTTTCATGACTGGATGATTGGCTCACGTGGAGCTACATGAATATTCATATTGTAAATATTTGAAGTTGAAGGAAGTGCTTACTAATCAGGTGACGGAAATAAACCTCTACTTTCACCTGAAATATTATTCTAGCTGACAACATGCCCGCCATCGCAACTACTGTGTTTCAGGTGCAGAAGATGGACAACATGTGAATATTCCAAGCCATGCGGGATATGATGCGCGCCACTTCGAGACCGTAACTATGAAACCCCGGTGGATAGTGGAATTGGTTCAGGAACGATGTCTTGGCAAATTGAATCTGCATGTTTATCTTGAACGTCACACATTGAATGCCACGGCTCGCGTGGGTGGCTCCCTTGGCTTCGACCAGTAATGCTGGTACCTGTCTTTTCAGGCATAGCACACGAACGTCAGCTGGTCAGATTATATATTCAACATACGACATGTGTCAGCTGCAAGATAACTAAAAGACATCGTGACGATGAGCTCCGCCTTGTCAGAGTATGAGCACTACCCTCATCTAAAACGCTGTATGCAATAGTGCCAGCCCGCCAACAGCCAATAGCGTCCTAATCACCACTTGTGTATCCGTCTTGATTGCATGATTCTCTGCTGCAGATGTAGTCTGGCTGGCAGGGCTGTTCGAGCTGGATGCTGTCTGCGTTGGCTCGTCACTCGCACTTTCGCTTGTGCCTTCACTTGTACTTTCACTCATCCCCGCACTCATTTGAGTTGTGGGACCCAGCACCATGTCCGTTTCCGTTGCTGCATTGCCTGGGTCTGCGGTCGACGTCACCACAACGTCCCTGAACGTCGTTGGCGTTGGAAACGGTCCTTTGTACAAATTCCCTTTTTGACCATCCGCTAGCGTGTAGTCACCAGAGAGCAGATTTCCGGTAGTCTCATCTGCGTCATGATAGTCCCAAGTAGTGAGTGATACGCAAAAAGGTACATCAAGGAACGAGAAGCAGGTCTCAGTTGCGGTGCATTTCAGAGAAGTAGCACGTGGGTTTAACACACCCAGCAAAACGAGGGCCCCAAGTTCCGAGCCACGTTTAGAGAGTCCTCCATCGAGCAGGTCATGGGCCTCGTTAGTTATGTCTGCACTGCCAGCACCTGAACCGTTTTCGAGATACTGCTCCAACGAGGTGGCAGTTTGGAGAGTGCAACTTCTTGCAATCTGTGATCAGAAACTTTGTCAGCGCATTTTCATGGACATTGGAGAATGAAAGAGATGAAACGCACAGAGACTAGGGCGAAAAGAGCCAGGAGAAATATTCTTGTATAATGCATATTGATGGCGTTAAAGGGCTTGATCTAACATCTAGTTCAAGAATGAGTGATGGCCGTGAATATATACTTAAGCCATGAGACTTGGCAGGCGGTGCTTTTGCGCCTGCTGGGCATATTTAGTGTGTTCTAGACTCGGCTGAATTAGGCTTGGCAATTGCCGAATCATAAGAAAAGCGAGCTTGAGGAGTCTAGATCCCTCAAAGTGCAAAGGCTGAGACCAGTGCCTGGGTAGCCCTGATCAACTTATTAACCGTGACAAATTGTCTCACCCCGGCTCTCCAAATTGGGGTGCCATGTCTATCAATAATTTGCCACCTCAGTTGAGGCGCCTCGGTTGACAATAACTAATCTTTCAGTTTCACAACTGCGACAAATATGATCATCTACTCAACAAAGCCATCCTAGCATTGCTCACTTTTCTCATCTTATCAATGGCTTGGCTAAACATCATTATGTGCACCTTCCTTCTAAATAAGATTATTCAGCTGCAGGGCGAATGCCAATGTCTCAGTATCGCCCTCCCTTCTTCCTTGCGCCTCTCCCTTAATTAATTACCAACATAATACTCTCATGTGGAACCTCGTCTTACTTTAGCGATTTCAGATTTTGCTCGATTAGCTCTTGATCTAACCGCATTTCTTTTTTCTGAATACGAATCTGGCTCGCTGTAGGGCGGCCTTGTCTCCTTCATTTCTCTTGGATCATTGTCGCTCTAAGTACGAGAGGGGAGAAGCGTGGAATTACTCTAACTACCTTTAAACCTTAGTCTTAAGCTTAGCAAACTGGTTGAGCCTCTCACTACTAAAGCGAAAACATTCCGGAAGGGAAGTTGTGTTCCAGGATTTGCCAGACATAAGCTTGACAATTCCAGGGGCACATAGAAAGATTCGTGCCATGCCTATAATGGTAGGCTGTTAGCCATAGAAAAGCAATTCGCACGTGGGAAGTTACTGACCATGTCCATTGAAACCGGCACAAATCCATTGGCCTTCCAACCCTGGGATAGAACCAACCAGTGGTACGGCGTCTGGCGTTTCCCCGACAATGCCGGTCCAGACATGAGAAAACCCTTCTTCAGATCGAGCTGGTGTTTGGGGCGCCTTGAAAGCCAGCTTTGAAAACTCGGCTATGCTGTTTTCTTTCATTTGTGGATTATGTGCTGCGTCATCGAAAGAGATCCTGTCTTTGGGGAGTGTTGGAGTCCAATCTGAGTCGCTCCTCGTCGCCACCCCTCCCAAGATAACAGTACCGTCCTCCAGCTGATTCACGGAAAAGAAGTGTTTCGGGCCGTATCGCAAAGCCATCGTACTTTTCATGGTGTTTGCGCCGGATAAGGAGAGGGGCGGGATATATGAGTGACCCTGTGCTCTTCGTGGCGTGAGAACCCCATCCAGCTCTGGGAGGAGGAAGGCCGCATACGCGTTGGTGCAGTGGACAACAGTTTCTGCTGCAATGACTCCACGCGGAGTATGGATATCCCATCGCAGGTTGTCATGACCCTGATGCTTCAGAATCTTAGCTGCAGGGCAATACGTCCACAACTTCCCCCCCTTACGAATAACGTCAGCTAGAATCCACTGACACAGCTTGCCAGGATGATTCGATGCAGCGGCCCATTCGTAGGCACAGATAGCGTCAGAGACTCTGGTATTTGTCTTTGCCTCCTCGCCTTCGTGGAATATGATATGAGAGATGTCACCACCAGCCTGTCCAAACTCTGCTAGAGTTTTTTCCAAGTGATTGGCGTACGCTTTGTCAAGGCAGACCTCGAAGGTTGTGGTGTAATTAAAATCGCAGTCGACACCATTTGACTCGACGAAATCTTTGACCTTTTGCAAGACCACTTTTTCGCTCTCGATGATAGATTTCGCTTGGTCTGGTCCATGAATGGCGGAAAAGCGAGCAAATCCCGGGAAGGCGTCTATAATCAAGCTGTTAGTGACGCAGCATACTATCTGTGGGCGTACGGAGACTAGTAGTGTGCAAGGACTAGGGATTCAGGAAAAACAAGGCCAAGCGAAGTGACAAACCTGGTCGTATATGTCCTGCATTTCTCCCGGTGGCACCCGAGACGGCCTCCCTAGCTTCAAGGATCAAGATATCTTCAGCCTTGACGCCGTTATTGATTAGTTCCCAGGCAGTCAACGCTCCGGAAATACCAGAGCCAATGATGAGATACGTCGTTGAAGATGGGACGTCGGCTGAATGATTTTCATTTAAGTGAGGGAATGAACGTGTGGTTCGGTGCCAGTGGGACAGGGTTGGAGATGCGACAGGGAGTGATGCCTCCATGATCGGACTCAGGCGACTGAACAACCGTGCTGACAGGAAACAAGTTGGGATTGAAAACAGTTCGTGAGACAGAAAGAAGCATACGTGATAGAAGGACATATCTAAGTCGAAGAAGGGCCCTTGCGAGGGTATATATGTTGAATCTCGATCAACACCTGGGTTTGGGAGCGGCGGGAAATACCGCACCAAGAACTAGGAAGACTAGAATAAGACTGCGGACATGACCGCAAAGGAGAGCTCCACTCATTGGGGCGAAAGCCGCAGCATCTGATCATCTCAACCCGATTACGTGAACAATTCTATTTCTGCCGAAGGCATGGCATTCAAGCGCAACGTGTACGATTGAGACTGTCGAGGCGGTCACCGATTGTTACCGCGCTGAGGCCAGTTTCTGTTGTTATCACGCCACCAGATTCGTTTCCGTTGACGGATAGGTATCGAGTTAAAAAAAAAAATGTAAGTCCACGTGGTTTGGGTATCAATATCGAAGTGAGACAGTAGGTACGATCAAGTACCTCAATTCTAACGGAGGCAAATCACACAGAACTTTAGAGACTGAAAGATACTAATGAATCCATTCACGGCTGTTAATACAATTCGTGCCATGCTTTCGTCATTTCCTAGAGCGAGTCGGTATTTGCGTGTTATGTACAGAAAGGAATGAGAGTTGGTTTATATCATGACAGTAACAGGTTTGTAGGTTCCTTTTTCTCGTCTCTCAAGCTGTTCATTTAATATTGGGATCATTTTCGAGGCCACGCATGCCACGCTGTAACCGCGGAGGTGGCGTGTCTTGGGGTTGCAATATTATTATGCGGCATTGGCTCCGCATACAAATTTTGGCTGCGGATAACCCCCGCATACTAAAGCCAGCTGCACATGAGATGAATCTTCAAGCTCTACATGCTCTTCTTATCTACGAAAAAGTATTACCATGTCTCTCAGTTGTGATCAATTGCTTCGCCTCGCGTATTATTTCGCAAGGTTTTACACGTCGCTCTTCTGGCATAGCCGTAGTCTCCCTGGAAATGTTGAAAACTGGGGAAGTCTAGATATAGCCTGGAATCTAGATGCATATGAGATTCCGGGTATCATCTGGGTGTCTCCGTATTTATGACTTCCATTACAACAATTAATACGGACACCGGCACAAGTTTGTGCGGGCGCACCTTAAGGTGGATAATGCATGGTCTGAACACAAACAACATGTCTACAGTCTTCTAAATATCGGACATATCTTTCTCTGTAAACATCTCATAACACTTACAGAGACAAGGAGTTCAAAAGTTAGCCAGAAGTACTGATTTTGCGACTAAAATCCCCCCTCTTGATTGGCTATCCTCTTACTGTGCCGTATGTGGGGTGGAGTATTTAATGGCTCCTTCAGTGCGGAGGTCATATTTCTTATCTTCGCTCCTGCAACTTCTCTACCTCTATCCCTTGCATCGATACATGCCTGACATAGTCATCTTTCAAAGTCTTCATCACTGATAGCTGCGAGTAACAAACATGACGGCCTGCGCCCGTTGCCGACAAAAAAAGCGAAGATGCGACCAGCAATTACCGGTAAGAGTGAACGACAAGGGGAGCGTCGGGCTTTTTAACACATAATCTAACGTGAAATTCGGGAATGAATAGAGTTGTCGCCTGTGTAGACTCGCCGGGACAGAGTGTGTTGAATATGATACTGTGGCTGGACGACAGGTCCCGAGAAGGTGGCGCCACTATGTTACCAAGCATAAACTCCTGCTGATTCATCCTGAAATAGCTATATTCCCAAACTTGAACGACGCATCGCCCACTTAGAATCAATCCTCCAGGAAAACGGCATTCATGACCTCCGTGACGAGAGTGCTGAGGATCCAAGGCGTCCATCATCGACCAATCTGACGCCATCTCCGAGTGTTGACCTAGGGTCAGGGCCCTTGCCTCTAGAAGAACCCGTGGATGACACTTTGCACCAGATAGAGAAAAGTCTCAGTCCCGATTTGAGGAGTTCGGTCGACAAAGTGGTAGGCTTAACACGCAGTGAGCCTGCACCGGACCTCTCTTTTTCTCGGATCCTCCTAGCAGAGCTCATGCACTCTACAAGTCCCTCTCGGCCAACGACCTCTGAGCCAACTTTAACGGAAGCTGCCATAGTACAGATCCCCCCTGACATAGGGTCAAACTTCGACACAAGCGCATTATCGCTTCCGACTAAAGAAATTGCTCAAAGCCTCGTAAAAGCATACTTCCGATTCGCAAGCATAGCTATGCCACTACTACACCAACCTACATTTGAGAAAAAACTGGACCTCATCTACAGCATGCCTCGAATCATAAACTTGAGTAAATCTCATACGGATGTCAACGCAAGGATCGCTGTCTTCTTCGTCCTGGAGGTCTTCGCAGTAGCGCTTCTCATCATGCAAAAACAGGACCCATCCAGGATATCAATTTGGCTAGCAGATCGATACCACAAGGCGGCTCTTAGCGCCTTGAATATGGCGTCCATTCCCAATGACGTTGAAGGGATACAGGCGCTCCTCCTCGTCGCGCAGTACTCCTATCACCATCCAACTGTCTGGGCCGCCTGGAGAACGGTAGGCGCGGCTCTTCGACTTGCTGTGGAACTCGGTTTACATGAAGATGTTTCAACCGGGTTGGACTTTCTTGCTCTTGATACAAGGAGAAGGACTTTCTGGGTGGCCTATGCAATGGACCGAAACCTCTCTGTAGGCATGTCTATGCCGTCGTGTTTATCGGATGGGGCAATATCTGCACAGGTAAGGGGTCTTTAACCCCAGATAACAAGTCCTAATCCGTTTTAGTTCCCAAGTGATGCAGAAGATCAATTCATCACGCAAGACGGGATTATCTCAACGGAGATAAGTACTGTCCCGAGACCAAAGCGTCTCGCGTTGCACATGTTGCGATATCGCCAGATTCAATCGGAATTACGGCACATGCTATGGGAACAGCTGTCACCTTACGCCAATATCAACTTTAGCGAGTGGCAGCACCAAATGCGAGCTCGTATTGACAATTGGTACCACAGTATTCCTTGCGGCAATAACCTCGGCAAGTTTGAAAACAGCATCCTCCAGACTTTCGAAGCTACCTATAATACGGCATTGTTGCATCTGTATCGCCCATCACACAATAATCCATCACCACCTGCGCAGCAGGCAGTACACATGACTCGGGCTGCAATCAGGATGATTCAACTATACACAGTTTTCTTTCGCCAGAAGCAGTTGACAATCTACTGGCAATCGATAGAAAACATATTTTCCGCAGGCACAGCTCTCATGTCGGCTTACGCTCAGTTTTCAGAGGTTCAAGAGCTCATTGATCTCCGCTCTCTCGAATCACTAATTCACTCATGTTCGTCACTACTATGGGGGATGGTGGAGCGATTTCCTTCATTTCAAGGCAAACGCGATGTTTTTGATACCACAGCATCCAATTTCCTCGAGGAGCTCAACGCCAGTCCTTCAAGGGCTACGATTTCGCAGGGTTCATTTCTCCCAATGAATTTACCTACCAGTGAGCAGTATATCCACGAGGTTGCCACTGAGAATGTCGAGCTTTCTCCATTACATTTTGGCGGCCCGAGTCTAATGTCGCATTGCCCTGAGTGAGTGCGCTTCTAATATCACATTTGGCATCTGGAGCTAACAAATTGCTATAAAGTGAAGACTTGTGGTCTCAATTCTTCAGCTTAGATGATTTTATGTTCCACGTAAATTAAAGGTTAGTCAGAGCTCAAACCTTTAATATTTACCTCTACTAAACGAATGATTGTACATAGAGATGACTCCTCAACGAGGGAATCCAATGTTTGAATTGACGGCATTTTCGTTTTCGACGTCATAGTTGCCAAGGCCCCGCTTGGGTTTCAGGGTGCTTGAAGTCATAAGGATTAATTTGAAGCTCAAGGTACTCTAATAAGCGGGTTGAACTTAATGAATTATCAAGCCTGGACATGCTTGGGTCGAAGGAATAATGCTGGTGCAGGGTAGGTGATTTACCAAGGGCCTGATTTGGCTGGATTTAGCTTGACTGCTGGTTATAGAAGTGATTATCTGTGCCTTTCTCAAGTTTCCACTATCCAGTATGGCATATTGATATTTCTTGCTTTTTAACACGATGCGATTAGGGCAATACATGTGATTTTGGTCAAATGGTAATGCGTTGCAAAGGTCAATTACCACAAGCTTGTCGATTTGGCTGACCCTTTGGGACACACCTGCTGTAATTTTTAGTAGCCTTACTACTCTACCACCTGTATCAAGAGGTTAGGGTGCCCTAGTACACACATACCCAGAGGGGGGGCTAGAAGCTCAACAATAAAAAATAAAACACCAACAATAGTATCAACAATACAGACCATATACCCAGTCCATTCAAAGATCAACAATACTACCACCTGTATATCTCAGCGCTCACCTCGCCCTAGCTCATCAATAGCATAGCCCTTAACTACCTAAGCCCTACCTACTATAGGACTAAATTCTTAGTGTCCAAGCTGTACGCCTGCGGGGAGTCGGTTTCATGCACATTTAGTAATGTCTGACACAAAGAGGCACTTCCAATGTATTGTAGCGCAATAATAACCAATTTGTAACAACCTATATCAATCTTATATACCGTAATTGTTTGAGCACTCAGCAGCTGTCACTCTGACCAAGCTTCTCAGATGTAGTTTCGTTGCCAACGTGATGGACGTATGCCTCGTCGCGCTCTTTGCGAGTTTTATAACCTGGGGGTGTCCACTTCGCGCTGTTCCAGGCCTTGAGGGTTGGGTGGCTGTACATCTGGTCAATGTTTTCAAGGCTCAGTGTGCGGGTCTCATAAAGGAAGAACCAAGTGATGAGAGCAGCAAGGAAGTTCATGCCAGCGAAAACATAACCGAAAGAGTACGAGATTCCGTCGTCGGCAAAAGGCGTGAGGAAACTGATCATGACTATAGGATGTTAATATTTGGGGGTTTAGATTATAGGCGTAAACTCACAATTTCCAAGCCAGTTGCTCGCAGTTGCAAGAGATGCCTGCTTGGCACGCGTGCGAAGAGGGAAAAGCTCGCCGACGACAACCCATCCAAGTGGGCCCCAGCTCATAGCAAAAGAGGCAATGAACAAACAAGCTGAGACGATCATAACGATACCAACGGCTCGACTCTCCGCTGGGTCAATGGCCGTGCCAACTGAAGCAAATACCAGAAGCCATGCTGTCTGCCATAAAGCGCCAAGGAATAGAGGCCATCGGCGGCCTACACGCTCTGTCATGTAGATGCCAGGGACAGTCATGGCCACATTGACAGCACCCAAGATGAGTTGCATCATAATCGGGTCGTCTATGCCTGCAGATTGAAAGATAGTGGCCCCATAGTACTAGAAATCTGTTAGTCGTGCAATGCAGAGGGGCGATGGGGCATGTTGGGGCAAGTATAGCACTACTACAATGTTAGCGTCACTACATAAATGGCAATAGGATGTAAAAAAAGCATACCTCACGAAGAAATAATTGACTCCTGTCCACTGCTGCAAAAACTGGACAGCCGTTCCAAGGAGTGTGCGGTAAACGAGCTTAGGAATCCCGCTGTTTGGGACAAGACACTCGGCCCAAGTACCCTGGCCAGCTTTATGCTCCTCATCGATCAACGTCTTCATTTCTTGCATGTCCTGTTCTAAAATGGCATTGTTCAGGTCGTGCTTCTTTCCTCGAAGTCGGGCGAAGGATAGGCGGGCGCCCTCCCAGTCATCCCTTCCCGCAAGCCATCTGGGCGATTCCGGAACAAAGAGGATGCCGAGACCAAGCGGAAGAGAAAAGGCCATCTCTAGACCAATTACGACACGCCACGAGGAATCAGACTCCTGGATTTCTCGGACTCCGTAGTTGACGATATTCGAAATAAGGATGCCCAGACTGATCATGAACTGGTAGGACGCAACGACTGCGCCTCTAATCTCCCTGGGTGATGTTTCGCTCTGGAATACGGCGACTCCGACGGAAAGACTGCCAACACCGAGTCCGGCGATAATGCGGCCGATGGTCATGTGGACCCAGGATTCCATTGCTGTGATTTGGATGATGTTTCCGATGACGAAAACAAGAACCGCAAGTGACATGCTCTTGCGGCGGCCAAACCAATCCGAGGTACTGACGATAATTAGACACATTTTTGCCCAAGGACATGCACAAACAGGGTGCCTTACTATGAAGATGACAGAGCACCGACGAGGCATCCAAGACTCATGAGGGAGACGAGAAGGGATTTGATGATAGACTTCCAATAAATGGTACCGTCGTCATGCACTTGTCCAAACCGTTTCATAAAGTCCTCAAAGAGGAGCATGCCTGAGATCTGGCCGGTGTCATAGCCGAAGAGGAATCCTCCGATAGAGGTAATCACGGCCAACAGGAGCGCCTCGGCGCCACAGTCGGCACCGTTAATCCTGATAGAGCTGCGATGAGCGAGAGTTAGCTGCTGCTGCTATAAAATCACCGATTGATGGAAAGACGCACTATGTCCCTAGCATCGTTGTAGGAGCTGGCTTAATCGAAGAGGTTAATTGAAAAGGTGTTGGAATGAGTAACTTCGTCGGTGACTGAGGGCACTCAATCTTTTTATTCTATGAGAAACTACGTAGTCTCGTAAGGGCCGATTCATCCTCATTCACCGGTATTGCACAGGTGACCTTTGTTGCGTGTTCATAGCAACAACTCGTCACGAAGTCCCACAACTACCGTGATTCGTAATGATAGCAGAAATCCCGTTACAGGGACCATTTGCAGGGAAAATGGCTAAATGATCATTTCTATTTAGCCGCCGTCGCGCACAGGCCAAAGTCAACCAGGACTCGACTGCCCGTGATTCAGGTTGCTATTAGTATGGAGCTCACGTTTGACCAGATATTGCGAATACTGCCGAGAACGCCGAGAAGCTGAACCCTGTCCTTGAAAGGGCCGTCCCGTCGCTGGGCCTGTGGGATGATGCGTAGATAATCAGGCCATGGTGGATCCTCGAATTAGGCCGGCCGTGGTGGGTTTGGGGGTTTCGATATCGCCGTGCCAAGACAACGTGGAATGCCGCTTTCCCATCCGCGATTTCTCCTTAATTATATAACGCTTTTAATCTGGGTCGAGCATTGGGCAGGCTAGGATAAATTCGGACCGTCTGTGGGATATCCGCGATTTGCTGTGGCCGACTCCGCTTGATCCGGGGCTCCGTTAGTGGAGATGGAGACGCAAGCTACTAAAGATGGCAATCATTTGTACGGTATTACCACCTACCGCTTTTGTTCTTCTTTCCAAACTTTCGTTCTGCACAGTATCTGTTTTCGCGTTGCCGAAAACTTTGCACATTGTCTTGGCTGCAACTTCGTATAGTTCGTGTCGTCTCGAGCCCTTGCATTCCTCAGAACATTAGCGCCTACGAATACGACAACAGTAAAATAAAGCTTAATTGCATTGTTAAATTCAGGCATATTCCAATGTCCCCTTTGTGGCAAAGACGCAAACATGCATTGACGTCAGGCAATAGTTGAACAACACATCTTATCACATGAGCCTCTCTCCGTCATCTCCCGCAACGGTGGTCTGATCCGGCAGTGCATTACAGGGGCCCATTATTTCCGATTAGTGACGTCAAGATCCGGGCCAGGATTGATCGGGCCGTCGCCAATTGGCCATCGGCCAGACTCGTCGATCCATAAAAGTGCAATCTTAACGGACTTATAAGTAGAGAGCGGACCTGACAGGGACTAAGCTCCTGATTCCACCACCCAGTCACACTGTCAACAGCGGTGTATTATCTTATGCTCGATGTACAAAACATGTAATTACAATGCCTCCCGTCGTGACGAGATTCCTCAGCGATCTAATAAACTGTCAACGAGAATGTTAAAGAGCGTTATCACGGTAGCCAAATGCATGGGCAATGATGAGATTATCCCTGCACCTGCATTGTGACAGGTAAATAAAGAAATTTCGTCCTCAAAACTCATAGTAAGTGTGTAGGGACAATCACGGTAAGTCTAACTATAAGGTTATCGTACCCTCCTAACCTAAAGCGTCGCAATTACTGTAGGGAGGTCATCCATATTCTCCAAGAACGCATCAAACTCCGTTTCAACTTTCTTCATATCCTCATCGACATCGTCGGTCCAACGGTGGATATAGACAGTCTTCATCCCACAGTTTTGAGCCCCTCGCAAATCATATGCATGCGCTGCAACCATCACCACCTCCTCAGGCCTCAGCATCACAAGTTGCAATGCTTTCTTATATGCATCTGGACTAGGTTTGTATAACCCTAGCAACTGGCTGGAAAATAACATGTTGAAACTCAATCCCGAAGAGCGAGTGAGGTTAAGCTGTAGACGAGTCGTACCATTGGCATGAACGAAAACCTCAAGACCGAGATCTTCACGAATGCTCCGTATGGCACTTTGGACTTCCGGCCAAGCAGGCTGAGAGTGCCACGCCTCAATCATTCGTCTTTTGATATCAGCATCAAAGTGGGATTTGTGGTTGGGGGACTGGTCGAGTACGACTTGAAGGGTGCGGGAAAGTGTTTCGTCAATGTCTTCCGGTTGGAGATTTTGATGGAAGCGCTGATCGTTTTCGATAAAGTACTGTCTGCGCCATTCAAGAGCAAGATTGGACACTTCGGTCTTGGGAATCGAGGCGGGCAAAGATTGAACTACGCTGGTGTGCCAATCGAGACAGGTGCCCATAAAGTCAAAGAAGACTGCCTTGATCTTTGGGTCGGATGGAGGCATGACGGGCTGAGATTTTCAACGTCAAATCGTGCTTGGAATGGTGAAAGATCAGGATATCAGTAGAAAGTTATTGAATATTCATAAGGGCCAAATCTAACGTGAACCTGGAGCGCTCGAGGAAATAAAAGGTCAATAAAGGGCGTTGCGAATTAATTCATGATCGTCGGATAATAAATACAGAGCAGAGAATGTGAAGGGCGTCATTGACATGGTTAGTAATTCCTCCTCAGAGTCGACCTTCATGTAGGCTTACGTGATCAAACAGATGCAATAATCGCAATTGATGACGTGTGTCACGGGCTTCATTGACGACAGACAGCCTACGCAACACTAGGTCGTTATTGGTGAGTGCACGAACAGTGAAAGGCGTGATAATCCTCTCTAACACTGAGTGGCACATTGAGGTTTCAATTGGGCCTAATACATTAGTAGCCCAACTGATCAACACAATTATTCAAACTGCCAAGCGCGAACGTGACCTTCTTATTTAGCATCCTGCTGAAACCTGTATCAAAGGATTAAAGGAGAAATTTGACACGTGTTGCTAGCTCGTGTTCCCTGTGGATAAATAACCCAACGGTGAGGTGATGCGTAGAGATGACGCGTTCTAGGCCTCAGTTCAAGCAATTCTTCATAGCACTGTACCTAGTCACTGACGCTGATAATAGCCAGTCATACTAGCAGAGTAGATTGCCGTGGCGGATGTTCCGAAACAGCAAGCTTGAAGTAGGTTTAAATTTCACATTCTCTATATAACTGATGACTGATATATGTATGCTCTCCCTCGAATTTTAAGGTCTGGCGATCTAAAGGACCATATTCTACACCCAGCTAGATCATTACATTATAGCAGCGATCATTTCGTCAAATAGCTCCTCTCCAGCAGGATAGATAAGAGGATCAGCTGCAGCGATCGCCTTTTCAGCATTATGCGGAGGATATATCAACTCCTGGTTGATGTAGGTCTTCACTCGCTTTGCAACGTCTCCCTCAACCCTCACCTCCCTCTCCCAGCCCCTGGTAACCACAGCGCCCCACGCCCCTAGGTCAACACAGCAGCCATAGCCAACATGAGAGTACGGGATCGTTGGCTCGCAAAGCAAGTCGGCTGCGGCATTGTAGCCAGATACACGACCTAGCAACATGGCGTGCTGGCAAGACATGGTGGTATAGTGGCCCTTAGTGTCGGTGAGAGCACGAGCAGCGTCTCCAGTGGCAAAGACATGTTTGCTGGATGGAACCCGAAGGTCTTGGTCAACGTGAAAGCGAGAGAGTGAGTCTTTGGTCCCGGGGATTTGCTGTGTCAGAGGTGTTGCTCTCACTCCGGCGGTCCAGACGGCTGTCATTGTCTCGATGCACTCGCCGGAGGCAAGAATTACTCGGTTTTCATCGACTTCCGAGACTGCTGAGCCGAGTTTGATCTCAACTCCGAGGTCCTTTAAGGCTTGCAGAATGACAGGACGGGGGCCTGGTCCTAGTTCAGGGCCAACCTGGTCCGCATATTCAACAAGAATTACGCGTAGGTTTGCGTTCTTTCCAAGGCGCCCGGGTAGCTCGGTAGCCAGCTCAATGCCCGTGAAGCCAGCGCCGCAAACAACAATGGTATCGCGGGCTGCACTAGGGGGAAGCGATGCAAGGCGTTCAAGATGAGTTTCGAGCTTGACAGCAGAGTCAAGAGAATCAATGTCAAAACCGTATTGTTGAAGGCCAGTTACTTTCTGAGGTCGTACGAGGGCACTTCCGGCTGCTAGGACAAGGCGGTGATAGCTGATGCTAGATTGGACGCCAGAAGGTGACAGGACATCGACAGTGTGCTCGTCGGAATGAATGGCCTCGACAGTCCCCTGGATGAACTTGATACCGGCAGCTTCGAAAAGAGGGTCAAGAGGATGAGCCATGGCGGAGGCATTGGCCTCGTAGAGTCTTGGTCGAATGACGAGAGCTGGCTTAGGGGCAATGACAATGACCTCTATCTCCTCCTGCTTTTGCTTGAGGCTGATGAGACGCTTGGCGGAGAGGGCGCTCCACAACCCGGCGAAACCGGCGCCTATGATGACAATTTTGGTCTGCATAGTGGCGTTTGTACGAAACCGGGGTCTGTTGGACTGTGTAGAAGAGGTATTGCTGTGATGTAGATTTATTGAGAGGAATGCTGTAGCTGAAACAGTTGGACCGAATTCTCATGATTATTTATTTATTTCAATTTTCCCGACTCTTTCAACTTGAAAAAAACCCACATATCCTACTTATCATCAAGTGGCGATACAGCTTCAGAGATGGATAGCCTGACCCGGCTGACTCGTGTTATTGAATCGGATACCCGCGATCCATGCTGCAGCGAGTACACGAGGAGTACACGAGTACCCGGGCGGGGCCTAATTTCTCCGAATACCCGCTGGTCAGCATGACTGAATTAGGTAAGAACCCGAATCCACTGCCCCGAGACGGATACCCACGCCTCGGACGAGTTCCCGGAGTCATCTCCTCTCAATCGACATTCATCACCAATCCATGGACTTCTCTCCCAATTCGGCCCTACCCAAGGCCAGAGAGGGCCGGCCTGCTACTCGCTCTTCGCTCGCTTGTCTGCCCTGTCGATCCCGACACGTCAAGTGTGATGGCACACGGCCGCACTGTAGCCGGTGCGTGGAGTCGGGAACCCAGTGCGACTATACTAAATCGCGTCGAGGCGGACTCGATCGTGCGACTCTTGCTGAGCGTCGCAAGCAACTTGTCGCAGCGGATCGCGCTTCATCAATTGCCAATCTGGCTCTTCCTTCGAGTCCATCCGTCCTGGTTTTGGCTGGGGCCCAGCAGCTGGACAAGGACCAAACTTGTCTGTTCGCTGGGCCGCCTGGCAGACTTTTCCCTGCATCTCTTACAGATCGTTCCTTCAACATTGAGCATGATTCTCTCATCGAGTCATATTACAAGACCTTTCATAAATTCCACCCATTAGTCTTACCTCGCACGCACCTGGCGAGACTCTCCCAAGACCCAGGCAGGCAGGCCAGCTTAAAGCCCCTTGTTGCCGTCATACGCTTCATCGGCCACCTTTACGACTCGCAAGAATGGTCAACTACGCTTAAGGACTCCGTCGACGTCTTCTTCTCCGAGGCGCCACATACAGACCCGTTCATGGTGCAATGCCGACTGTTATACTCCATGGCTCTATTCTGGCGCGGCTACAGCGCCGACTCAAAACGAGAAATGGATGCAGCTGTCCGACTCGCCCTCCACCTTGAAATGTTCCGTCGCGAATTCGCCGTTAATTATGGATGTGGAGATGCCGTGTTGACCGAGTCGTGGAGACGCACATGGTGGACGCTTTACTTGGTGGATGGATACTACGCCGGCACGCTGGGTACCATGAAGTCGGAATTTGTCGATGTGGAAGCGACCGCGGATTTGCCTTGTGAGGAGCACGAGTTTGAATCCGGTGTAAGTTCTGAACAACACTGACATATCTCTAGATTTCCTTGTCAACTGACACTGTGCAGGAAATCCCCGAGCCGAGGACACTACAAGAGTTCGACTGCCGCGAGTTCGACTTAGGCAACAGTTCATTCTCCTCTTTTGCATATCTTATCGGCGCCGTACGATGCATCATACTGGCGTTGTCTACGGCACCAGAAATTGCAGCAAAGGAAGCATCCACGCAGGTGATTCAGGCTGCTGACGCCATCATTGACGGATGGCTCCTCTTACTCCCGAAAGGCTGCAAGCAGGTCTTGGCCAAAAATGGAGAAATCGATGAACTCATGTTCCAAGCACACATGGTTGTTCATGTGTAAGCCTTTCACCACCTCTTGTGCGGGATGAAATAGACGAGCATCCAAGACTGACCCCTCTAGATCAATTATCAACTTGCACCGACCTTTATCGGACCTGAAATTCAACCCCGTAGAGGAAGTCTCAAGTTGTGCCAGGGAGCCTCCCCCGGATAGGCCCATTCCAGAGCTCGTCAATGTCCACACCGTACGAGTTCTACGCTCTGTGGAAGCACAGATTCGCCTTCTCGCCTTACCCGCTCGGCCATTCAATCACACACCATTCGTCACATGCATGGTCAGCGAGGGAACGCTTGCGCTACTCTCAGCTTGCAATTTCTTACTGAAAGGAAGGGAGTTAGCTATAGCAAGAGATCAGATCCGCTTGACCGTCGGCTGCCTCAGAGCATTAGGGGAGGTGTGGCTGCGAACGGCGAGGAATTTGCAGGAGATACAGATCATTGCTCGTCAGGTACTGGGATTGGACCCGAAGGGAGCTGGGAGTGTCTCTACCGGGTCCGCCGAAGCACCGAGTCTCTCTGGTGGCGAAGGACAGACAACGTCTGGATCTGAAGTTGGGCCATTGAGTAATGATCTGTTCTCTGCGATGGGTGCTACAGACAGTACCTGTGGGTGGTTTGAACTCGACAATCTAGATTTAGATCTCCCACAGTGGAGAGATGAGTAATGATTCATGAGGGAAAAAGGATCCTTAGAAGTCTCTACTCATGATATGATTTACAAGGATGCATTACGTCCGGAGGGATATCAAGCAGGCAATATTCGGAAGAAAATGGAGTGATTTGAATCGCACAATATGCAATAGAGCTGGAAAATCACCTAGTCACCCTTGTGTAGATACTAATGATGGGTAGACGACAACATACCTCAACCTGTTCGTTTCAGGATTCTAGCTATGCTTGACCCTCACCCCAAAATGCTTCATTATCTGGTTCGCCTCTAAACCTGACTATCATAATCAAATCATAGTATTTTCTCGGGCGAATACACACGACGACGAGAAGGACAGCAAGGCAGGAGAACGATGGGTTTAAGCCGGCGAGGGTTCGAGAAATCATTCGATTATTTAGAGACGACAATCGCCATAATGACCCCATATCTACCAAGAGCTATCTGAATTGGTGAGAGGCTCAGCCTACCACAGTCCCTAGAAAGCCAATCGTCGCCGACACTTTCTCACGGCGCGACTCACCAGCCCTCGTCAAGTACAGTCAGCGCCGCATATCCACCCTTCTTCACAACCTCTGTATCGATCACAATAATAACGATGAACTTGCAAACCTCATCCTTGCTATTATTATCTGCGACGGTATGGTGGCACCCGGGCAATTCTCTGAACGTCTCCCCAGGCTTGTATACCTGCGCCGGATTGCCGTTCATGCCGCTCAGCATCTCGCCTTCCTGAATGATGGCCACGATGTGGGCGCCTCCATGGCGATGCGGCGGGGTCCAGCCGTTGGGCGGGAGGACCACCTTCAGGCCGATGAGAGACTTGCCCGGCGCGTTGGGGAGCTCGTAGTCGAACATGATGTCGACATTTTCTCTTGGTCGAGTGCTAGGAAGTGTTAGCAAGAGGGATAGGTAGGGATGCCATCATATAGCTGCTACTTACGAGGCTTGAGCTTGGGCGGTGGCCATTTTGAAAACGAAGGGGAAGGATGTCTGGGTTGAATTGGGAGTGGGATGCAGGATGACGGAATGATGTCTCATGTCTGTGAGGAAGATTTCTTAGCCTCTTATATACCTATCTCCGCCCCTCCAGAGGCTCAACACATGCCCTGACGTTGAGATGTTCGAACCGAATGGCTTTCTCGTATCCTCAGCAATCTGTTGAGAGAATGATAGACATCCGGATGAGCCCAACCCGAGAATCCCGAGAATTCGAATAGGATACCCGTTCGGGTCAGACAAGAAGACGACATGGACTAATAGCCCCACATCGGGTGATGCGAGATGCGTCACCCGAATACCGCGAATGCCAAGTCCGAGTACAGAAAGATACTTGAATTGACATCCAAGAATTGCCTAGAGGAACGTAGCTTTGGGTAGCTTTACCTCGCCCCGATCGTCATTTCGTGGGTCGATTGAATCGCCGAAGGGGCAACTTCTGGGGTATGGTAGATTCGTCATTGTTTACACGCCATTTTTTCTCACCTGCCACTACAAATAGCAACTGAGCAGGGTGATATGTTTCAAGCTTGGAACAGGATAGTACCATCACCTCGTCCATGATTAGAACCGTCTAACCGTCTATTCACGTCACCAACATGAAGGCCATACAAATCACGGGCGACAAAGATGCCCACCAGATCACGCTCACCGACACACTACCCAAGCCGACTCCCCAGGGGCGCGACATTCTGATCAAAGTATTCGCTGCCGGCATAACCGCTGATGAAGTCTCATGGCCAGAACTGTACTCCACCTCTAGCAGAGTACCGGGACACGACATTTCCGGCGTCATTGAAGCCCTTGGGTCTGAGTATGATGGCGCTCTCTGTATCGGTGACAGTGTCTTTGCAATGCTCAGCGCCAACACCAGCCAGGGCGGCCAAGCAGAGTACGCCATTGCATCGCCCGACGAAGTTGCCCTGAAGCCCACGTCTATTTCTCATCAAGAGGCTGCGGCACTCCCGATCCCCATTCTCACCGCCTGGGAAGCAATCTTTACGCATGCCAAGGTGAAAAAGGGGAGCAAAGTCCTCGTCACCGGTGCTTCGGGCTCAGTTGGCGTCATGCTTGTTCAGATTGCAAGCCGACTGTTGAACGCAGAGGTCATTGCCCTAGCCTCAGCACAAAACCACGCTCACCTTATGGAGCTTGGAGCGAGTCAGGCTTTCGACTACATGTCGCCGAATTGGCATCAAATCATCAAGGATATGGATATCGTCTTCGACACCGCTGGCGGCACAATCCTAGACAGAGCCTGGAACACAGTGAAGAAAGACGGCGCCATCGTGACTGTGGCAGACCCACCTCCGCCGTGGGCATTTGGCAGGGGGAAGCCTGAACAGCTGCAGGACCACCCAGATGTCACATGGGTATACTTTGTTGTCACTTCTCGTAGGGAGCATTTGGCGAGAGTTGCATCTCTTTTGGATGAAGGATCACTTGAGCCGCTCGCTATCAAGACGTTTCCAGTTGAGAATGCCGTAGACGCCTGGGCATACGGAGGCCGACGAGGTCGCAAAGGAAAGGCGGTGATAGAGTTTGCTTCTCAATAGCAAATTATTTTTGAATACGTGTTTACTTTGCCTGCTTAACATTGCTATATTCAGTTTCATGAAGGGAAAGCAAAAGACAAACGACGATGATGTCTAGGGTACTGAATTGGGCTCCATGCGCATACTGGTGACCGCCCACATGAGCCGCCAAGCCTGTTGTGACGAGGGACACAAGAGCTAAGCCTCTTCTGATATTAATTAATACGAGTACTTACGCACAGCCCCCCAGGACTACAAACGTTAGTTCGGTACTTGCCCCGGTTTTATAGAAATACCTCAGAGTTGGCACTGACATTCCTTTAATGCAAGGTATCTTGCTACGTAAATTGGGGCAAATTGGGAAGTATTGATCAACCAGGACCAACAAATCGGGAGATCTTCCGACGCTCGAGAGCCTATCAGCATTCGTTCTTCTGGGTGGCGATATACTGTCAACGAGCTAACATTTGTAATCCTGGGGACCTGTATGTTAACCATTTAACGAGGACGCCGACTGGAACTTAGTTAGATCCCTTCGCTCGACATAACTATCATCTCTAGCTTACATTGTGGAGCGTTCCCCTTTCCAGCAATAATGCCCTACTAAACGCCGAAGCACATGAGCATGACCTGGATTTTGATCATCCAGGGTACGTTGTTAACGGTGGAGCTGTGTGAGCAAAGAGGCAATAGGTATTCGCAACTGAATTTACTAAATGTTCACTCCACCATGTTTAGGATTCTTGTCAGCTTTAAATTTGACTTTTCACTAAGCATGCACCGCCTTATTTGATGAAATGCAATTCTTGGCGTCTTGCTCCGTCCTCACCTGGCGCCTTACCGCTTGGCCCCCCTCGACGACGAGGGGATAACACACCCGAATACGACCAAGCATCTAGGACCGGCCCCTAGAAGCTAACCAATCGGGCGTTCATCTAGAGGCGGGAAGATGCGGGGTACTTATCGAGCTAGATCATGTTAAAAAGGCTGAATGTATGATTGGAATTCTCAAAATCGCGTCCTGTCACCATCCTTTCTCATACACATTACATCTCAAAGCCAAAGCAATCCACAATGTCTTCGTTAGAAAAAACTGTCATTGTCACGGGTTCCTCCGGAGGCCTGGGCAAAGTCATTGCCGAAATGTACCTGTCCAAGGGCTGCAACACTGTCCTCTGCGATCTAAACAAAGAACGACTCTCCGCTACCTCGGCAGAACTTGAGAGCTCTTATCCCGACAAGGTTCTTGCAGTCGAATGCAACGTCAGTGATGAAGAGTCAGTCAAGAATCTCGTTGCATCCACGGTCGAAAAGTTCGGCAAGCTCGACATTGTCGTCAACAATGCCGGCATCATGGACCACTTCGACCCCGCAGGTACGTGCGACAAGAGCACCTGGGACAAGGTGCTGGCTGTGAACCTTACCGGGCCGTTTCTGGTCACGAAGCATGCGGTCCAGGTGATGGAGAAGCAGGGGAGTGGATTAATTGTCAACATTGGATCAAACGCGTCTTTCCGAGGCTTTTCAGCGGGCGTGGCCTACACCGCCAGCAAGCATGGCGTCATTGCTGTCACCAAGAACACGGCGGCGTTCTACGGCCCTCGCGGGATATCGAGCGTGGCCATTCTTCTTGGAGCCATGGAAACGACCAACATCAATGAGGCGTTTGCTACCGGCATTAACCGGGAAGGCATGGAGCTTTCTCAGAAAATCCAGCCTGGTTTCGTCCCAGGGACAACGGGACTGTCGACAGAGCATATTGCTCGGTATATTTTGTTCCTTAGTGAAGATGAGGCCGCCGCTAGCTCTAACGGCAGTTGCATAGTTTTGAACAAGAACTGGCCAGCTGCTTGAACTAGCTGGTTCAGGAGACACTGGCGTGGGGACTATTGAATTAGCGCAGAAATACGAAACTTGGCTTCGCAGGTCTTTTATGTAACGAGAGCAATTGTGACTACGAGGATTGTTTATGAGCATATTTAATTTGCAACTCATCCATAAAGCTGCAGCTCCGCTTGCAATTGCCGCGCGAAGTTCTCCGCTCGTCGCATTGAATCCGTCGCTTCTTGTAGTTAATGCAGCCTTGTGCGGCTTGCGACAGGTTAGTCGTTGGCGAGTTCAAGTCACCGCTCTGGATCAACGCCAAGGTTAGCGCAAATGATGAAGGGGGTTGACATGATCCTCACCGAATAGACTGGAGAGGGCTGTGGTAGCGGTGTGGCAGATGACCCCGCGTTTAGGTCTGAATAAGGGATAGGACTCAGCGAGGAGGCAATGGAAGATAGGACAAGGGAGTCCAAACAAGGGAACACGCCCGATACGGAGCACAGGGACCAACCTTCATGTGTATGCTGCGTGCAATCTCAATCCGAATACGAGTGCGAGAACGAATATAAACTATTGATCAACCCCACTTGGTTCTTCACTTGCGAAGAGATCCCTGCTCACTTAGGGGGGCCTTTCACCAACAGGCCGGGACTAGTTTGCGGAAACAGTGTGGCTGCTTCTGTTTATTAATACGGAGGGCTCTTTCAAAAGTCTTATCCAAGCGCTAGTAACGTCATATCCATTTATCCCTGTCGGTTACCTGAGATACATGAAGCTGTCACAGTCTCGTTAAACGGCCGCTGTAACTTTAGAGTAGTACGCTGCTGATCAGGATATAGCAGTTGCTGTGTGCTGTAGCCTGCTATCCTTTAGGGCCTATAGAAATCAGGAAGTACTTAATATACGTATTATCTAACCTAATAATTAGGACTTACTTCTTATGGATAAGACTTTTGAAAGGGACGTATAACGACCGGCGGACGACGTAAATAATCATGGAAATAAAGTATGATGATAATTCACTGCCAAGAAATGGAATGAGAAAGGTGCCAATGACCAATCCCAGTTTCAGCCTCATTTAGTGGCTGAGTAAGACAAAGAGTGAGCCATTTTATGTCATTCTCATCGCAATCATCTTGCTGCCCAGGATCCATTCAAACATAATCTCAGACCTCCAGTGAGTCTAGATAATGAACTGAAGTGTGCTAATATCATAGCATAAAAGGCCACCGGACCTGTTTCGTAGTGCTGAAGCACGATCCCCGATTTGTCGCCGATTTTCGTCCCACACAGGATGTCGACGAGTGACAGTTCTCAAGAGTCATTTGCAGAGGCGGCAGGTCTCCCTCGTGCACCATCCGACTTATGTGCGATGTGTCAGAGAGCAGTCGATTATGCACACCTTGACAACAATTTTGGGTCCCGATTCGAGCACTATGGATCTTGGTCAGCCTTGAAAGCAGCAGCCGCAAACGGATGCGGTATGTGCTGTCAGTTAATAGTGGGAGTTCATGAGACGGCATGCATCAAAACAGTCGAAGATGGCTCCGAGGCCATAGCCTTGCAAAGAGAAGTCGGGATGGTCAAAACATTCACCACGCATGTCACAGAATGGTCGGTAGCAAAGCTCGGAAAGCAAGTCATTATTATTCACCAAAAAAAAAGAAAAGAAAAACAAAAGAAAAAAAGAAAAAAGAAAAAAGAAAAAAAAACAATCCGGTAAACTCCAACAAACAAAAACAAGCAAGCACCATTGAAGCTAGGGAGGGGGGAGAAGGAGGAGAGCGGGTGGGGGCGAGGACGGTGCCAGTGCCGGTGCCGGTGGTGGTGCCAGGGACGTTGACGGAGTCGGAGTCGGTGCGGGCGGAGTCGGTGCGGGCGGTGGAGACGGGGGCGGAGGCTGTTCGGGCGAGCACCGGTATTGGCAGGAACAACCCACCGCCTCAAGTCAAAAACCACCTCAAGCACCAATCACCACGAGACGGGCAACGGTAGTGAGTATACGAGGCCCAAAGACTAACCCAGAAAGCTGTTCCCTGACCAAGTAGGTACTCGGTAAGCAGGGAATTGGAAAGCCACCCACAAGGACAGCCGACACGGCAGTGATGCCGGCGGAGGGGCATTTGGGACAACCAGGACGTGCGGTACAGACAGGGCAGACGTTGCTGCAAACAACTTCGTGGCAAAAGGGGGCCTCGGACTGGCCAAAAAGTGAGCACATTCGTGGTCGGATGAAACGACGTCTCTAAGTATCAGCTATAGCTGCCTGCCCATACAAGATGTGAAGCAGAGCAATGGATTTGGCTGGCATACGGCTTCGCTTGTTCCAAGAGGATGGGTCAAAGACTGACGCCTGGGGCACTTTAATAATTCAATTGAACCATCACATATCAATCAATTGGCTTAAAGCAGTAGACTTAGTTGCTGGCTGTTTGAGAGGAGGCAGAGTCCAGTCTCCGGCATCGCGCCTCACACTTGAAGAGGTAGTGAGTGACAACTGCCCTTGAAGATCCTTGCAATGATAAATATCTCCCCAAAGACTTTTCTTGACGCCATTCTGATCAGCAAGTACCTAGGGTTTCAGTACCTCTGGGTCGATTCCTTGTGTATCATTCAAGATAGCGCCGAGGATTGGGGAAAAGAGTCCAGTTGATGACTCAAGTTTACGGAAATTCAGCCTTGGCTATCGCAGCGACATCTGGTGAAGACGGGGACGTCGGGTGCTTCTTTGATCGTGAGCGAAGCTGGCGGTATCAAGCCCTATCAAGTGATCTGCATCACTTGTTTGATGTCTACCGATGGGGTTGGACAAAGCCCAGAAGAGATCACCTAGAGACGCCAGCCTGGATAGTACAAGAGCGATATCTCTCACGGCGGTCGTTGCATTTCACAGAGGAACAGGTCTTCTGGGAATGTGATGAGCGACCAGCAAATGAGACATATCCTCTTGAGTATCCAACGAAAATTGACGAGGCGCATAAACCAGATTGCTTGAGGAAGCGACCATTCGCGCGCGAGAGTTGGCCTGGGATTGTGCAAAAGTACGCAGAAGGAAATCTGACCAAGAATAGCCACAAGCTCATTGCGATCGGAGGAATTGCCAAGCTAGTCCAGGAGCAAACCCAGGACGTCTGTATTGCTGGCTTGTGGAGGAAGAACTTGGAAGACCAGCTGTGGTGGCATGTTCGTGCTGGCCACCCAGGACAAAGGATCCTTCAGACTACGGCCCCAACGTGGTCATGGGCTTCAATCAACGGGTGCATCAGATTCCCGGAGACAAGGATTTCGCCAACGGGGCCGTTACGAGAGGTCTAATGTGCATCAACGTGCAAGACATCCGGGTTAGCCATCCATCACAGGACAAATTCGGAGATGTCGTCAATGCAACTCTCCGGCTCCGTTGCGACTTTCTTCATTACGCAGTCATCGAGGATGGCGGAGACCTCATGTTCGCCAAGATCCATTTCGACCGTGGAACCGCCGACAACGTTGAGATTCATTTTGACTGCTTGAACACTCAATCCGAGACTCACTTCATACATGCGTATGTGCTACCAATCAGAAAGGGTGTTGCTGAAAGTTGGGCAAATGGGTTGCTACTGGAACCCACGGGACGAGAGAGAGGCCAGTACCGAAGATTGGGCTACTTCAGGGCGTATGAGTGCGACGAGTTCGAAGCCGCGACCAAAGGGGCAAATCTTGTTTCACGGCGCTCGAACCATCAGTTCGCAGCGGTGCTAACTCATGGGGCAAAGAGTCAATATTTTACTGACCTTGCATAGATGATGAATCTGGCTTCGTCTACCGTGTTCTGTACAATAGATTTGCAACTCTTGCGAAATTATGTGTCGGGAGTTTGACTCTGAACAGAAATTGAATCCTTATCACGGTGCATGGGTGCTTCTGGCTGGCGGAACGCGCTGTCAAAAAATGTCGAGGGTGCTTGAAGTGAGAATTAAGGGTTTCTTTAAGCCCCAACTATGACTAAGTGTTGTATATTCAATTTGGGGATTAATGTGATCTTTTAGATGCAATTGCGGCCCGCTGCCACGAGTTTCGTGTTTCCCATATACTCATAACCCAGCATGAAGCGGCCACTGCCTTATCTCTATGAAATTCTATCCATCTAGGTATACACAAGTCCATCCGGTCTCCAATATTTATGCTTGATAGCGATCATCAGTCGAGTCAGTCTGGTTTTCGTCATGAATTGGACCTTCCTTGACATCATGGCGGAATTGCTCTTCCTCCTCCTTGAGTTGAGCCTTGAGGATCTTGTTAGCTTCCCAGATTGGCTTGACCATGAACAGCCGCTCGACCTTCTCGAGGGGAATACCGCTGGTTTCGGGGATGAGGAAGAAGGCGAATACGAAGGCAAGGAAAGACAGGGCAGCGAAGAACATATACACGCCGTAACCCATGGCAGCAAACATCTGCTCAGTGAATCTCGACACCAGGAAGTTGAAGAACCAGTTGCTTGCCGTCGTGGTAGCTTGAGCCAGCGAACGGAAGTTGGGGTCGAAGAATTCCTAGAGAATTTTCGTTAGCGGAGAGGTTTTGGATGACTTTAAAAAGGGCAGGCTCACGGAGTTGATGACCCACGGGGTACCGTTCCAGGTAGGTGTGTACACAGCGGTCCACAAGTAGAAGAAGACGATAGCAGCAATGCCGCTGCCGCTCAAGTGGTCCTGGGGGTTCTTGGTGGGCTCGACGACGTAAACGTACGCGCCAATAACCCACATGCATATCGAACCAGTGACACCTCCGATGAGCAGAAGCTTTCGTCGTCCAAGCTGATCGACGAGGAAAAGCAGCCACACGAAAGTCATGATGGCCTTGACGACGCCGAAAATGCCGGTCATGACATTGACGGTATCGGGCTGGACACCGATGCTCTGTAATGGGTTAGCACCTTGCTCACATCCAATCGAAGAAGAACTCAAATTGTCTTGGCAGCCCGTGCGAGCCGGTTTATCAGGGGTGGACTTACAGAGAAGATAGTAGGCGAATAGTAGTTGATGGCGTTGATGCCCGAACCGTTCTGCCAGAAGAAGAGCATACATCCCAGGAAGAGACGCCACATCATATTGGACCGCTTGACGAGCGCCTGGAAGGGCTTCCACAAGCCGATTCCGCCAGCAGCCTTTTGCGCCTCAAGAGCCTGGTCGATAGCTGCCACCTCTTCAGTGATGTAGATATCGGTGGGGGTTAATTGGCGAATCCAGCAAAGGTTGTCCATGGCTTGTCTCCGGCGGTCGTTGAGGAAGAGCCAGCGAGGGGATTCTCGGATCCATAAGGAGCCAGCGAAGAGCAGGCCGGACGGGATGATTTGGATGGCGAATGGAATAAGCCATTGCTTGTGGCTTTCCGGGATGTGTTTCTCAACACCATACTAAGAGAGTCCGGATTAGCCTACAATGAACGTGTAAAGAAGCATTGTTTCCATGACTTACGTTTATCCAGAAGCCCACCATGCCGCCGATCTGCCATCCTAGCTCGTACAGGCCGACGAGGCGTCCTCGGATAGCTGGTGGAGCCAACTCTGAAAGGTAGATAGGGACGATGTTGGAGGCAATGCCGGTAGCCAACCCCGAAATGACACGGCCACCGTACAGAATTCCGAGACCAGTAGTGTGATTGGCACCGCACTGCAGACCAGCTCCAAGGGTGAACATGGCCGAAGCAATAGTCAAACACCATTTGCGGCCAACCCAATGGCTAAGGATATACGTGAGAAGTGCACCGAAGAAAGCACCGGCAATGAACAGCGAAACAATGTTTTCACTAATCAGGTTTCTTTCCTCGGTAGTCTTTGTGTCGATGCCGAATTCCTTCTTAAAAGACTCGAGCGTGATTGTGGTGCCGATGAAGGCACTGGTGTAGCCAATCATGTTGGAACCGCATGATGCCACGAGGGCGAGGACATATACCCGCCAGTTGTAGACTGAAGGAGGCGTTGGCCGGTCTTCGACCAGAGTAAGGAGACCCATGGCTACTAAGTTGGGCAACTAGAGAGTGAAAGGTTGGTGAGGAGAGGGAAGATGTGAAGCAAATTTTGCGAAAAGACTACAGATATAGAATAGAAGGGATACGACTGGGGCGCCAAAGTAATGCCTCACGCCGTAGTCGGTGTGGGCGTGTGGATATGTGCCGAAAGAGCCGTCTCCATAAACTACGTCACCCAGAGCCACAACCTCTGGGGGCAATATGGGGTTTGGAAGTGAGGCTGCAAGACCATGGGGAGAGGCGCAGATTCCCCCATGGAGTGAGAATTTGACCCGGGCTAGCGTTTTCCCTGGTGGATACGTTCGACTGGGGCCAGCAAATGGTCGCTGGCATTTCTTTTCATCATGGATTGACACACCCATGGGGAAAGAAGTTTGAGATAAGCAGGTGGAGGCTCTGCTGGAGTGTCCACTTGGTGGAGAAAGGGAATACAGCACTGCAGCAAAGAGGATGAGCATGAGCACGGTATTAAAGAAGATATGACAAAAATTTTATGAATGGATAATAAAATGAAGAATAAAAAACAGCAAAAATGAGGAATAGTTCATGCTCAAAGGTTACAGCGTGACGTCTTCTGTCGGTGTTCATCTGTCGGTGCCAGAAATAATCCCATTTTATGTCCGAGAAATCCACCGTAAAGCAAGCTAACCAATTACAGCCACAGCCAATGCAATTCTTTGGTATGTGGTAGGGTCTTCCTAGGACAAGAAACTTGGGCAACATCTACGGCGTCACAGAATCCACTCTACGATTACAACGTTGCAGGGGGGGGGATCTTCACCTTCTGCGCGGACCTGAACATGAACTGTTCATCGCTCTGGCAGGGTCGATGATAATATGTGCATAGCGAGAGCTAATGGGTCTCTCCCGAGATCAAAATTCTCCTGTTGGCATTTGCCTTTGCGGCTAAGATGAAGTAGATGGGGCGGACCTCCAAGGATCGTTATTCCCGGCTAATCCGCTGTTTCGCCACACTCCGGAGAATAATGCATCTGACATACCTCAGTGCCGGACAGCCCGGCCGTAAAAGTGCAAACGGCATGTAGAGAAATGGCAAAGCCGCTCGGTCATTGACTCTGCTATACACGAGTCGTTGTAAAACGTGCTACGCTGGGAAAATCTTTTAACCATGGGAAAAGTGGAGGAAGCGTGCCGAACTTCCACGGGAGAATCCTCGACTGGCCGAGTCTAAACTGGATACGGCTAGTGAGGCGAACGAACTGACGTCCGCGGTGTGTGAATGGACTCGGCGTGATTTCAATTGGCTGGGCTCCGTGGAGACGGCATTCAAGGATTCGTGGAGGACAGGCGTCCTACAGAAGATCTCTCCTTCGCACGGAGTAGCTAATACCCGGTGAGTTGATTGACAAAGATGCTATGCAAACGGGCCCCTAAATGCTCCTATGAAAAAAGTACTTCCTCATCGCCATCCCCCGACCTTTTCTGGAAGAAATGTTCTATGAAATGTGGAACATTCAAACAACAATCCAACTGAGGACACCACGAAATACCATGCATCTCGTCATCATGCAACAGGCCGTAAGACTTGTAATGGACGAAATTCTCCCACCCGTAGTCCAAAGGGGAGCTGGCGCAAGACCGCAAAGTCTGTGTGAGAACCAGGAAGCCCTCCTCCTCGGAGCACCTTGTATAGTCCCAGGACATAGAACACCCTTGGAAATCATGATGGAACTTATGACTGAACCCTGCGCATCGGTCTTGGTGCTCCCGCTGAAACTCGCTCGTGCCTGTGTAAGTAGGAGATCCTAAATCTGGCCTAAGCCGCCAAGGTCTCTGGGGGTTTGGGCAGAGTTTCCAATCAAACTTGTCTGTAGTGGTCGCGGTTTGTGCATCAGACTTGTGTGGCAAGATTGGCTGGCCCCAGTCTAGACAGCTACAAATGTTGGGATCGAAACATCTGACAACATCCCAGTCCTCTACGTTTGACGGCAACCAGCGAAAGGATCTCAAGGGGAGCCTCTCGTCGACAAGTTTTGCGATGCTGGCTCGAAATGCTGTAGAACTCACCTTGCTACCCTGTTCTGACCCTTGCGGCTTGAACGGAAGATGTGTTGTGACTGACATATCAAAACACACCTTTTCCTCATCGTCCCTATAGAACTTGAATTGCGGCTTGTCGTTATGGTGGCAAAGCTTTGAAGCTCCGTCTCTGATATGCTGGCATGGGGAGACTGTATGGTGTCCATTGTCACACTGAACCATATTTTGGCCCGACGGAGCATCTGCAAGGCGCTGAGCTGAGTCCCAAGTTATGGATACGTGCTCACACAACTTGATGCATCCCTCGCGGCCCCTGCAGAGCCTCTCGTCGTCGTTGGACTCGTGACGCTGCTGGGCCGAGAAGTAGAAGGCTCGGTGTTCCATCTTGCATCCCGCGCAGTAGATGAAAGGCACAGCTTGAAGAAGTTCCCTATCACTTCCATAGCCTTTTTGCTTCCTGAAGGCAATACAGGAGTCGCACACAGGGGCAAATACATATGACCGGAGATGCTGTTCTGGAAAACGATCCACAGGAGTGGCCCAGATCCTGGCCAAAAAGGTGCGTTTCTCGCGGTTGTGTGCATCAGTAAGGTGGTATTTCCAGAAAGCCTTAGTTTGGCTGAATAATCGCATAAAGTCTCGCGAGGTATGACGGAGCCGGAGGATGTCATCAAGGTCAAGGCGTTCCATAATGGTAACAATAAGCGCGTCAGGAAGTCGTACCAGGGGACTCCGTGTCTGGTTCCAGTAGGCCGAAGCAACAAGGGGGTCCATGTCGTCTGTCTTAACATGGGTCACTGCTTCTTTTGCATTGTGACCACCATCAAGACGTTGGCTGGAAGCAACCGCATCCTGATAAGAGGGTGGCGAATCACGGGGACGGGAGGAGGAGCCGTTGTTCCGATTAGGACGTCGAGGTGGTTGTTCATTCGAATCAGGACAAAAGATATCGCGGATGAATTCTGTGAAGCTTCGATGTTCTGGTGCTTTTCCTTTGGACATGGTGATTGGAGTTGATTGGTTCGTGATGGTTTTCAGGTGATGAATGGCGATAGGAAATTGTGAGCTTGAGTGAAGAAGAGGCACAATCAGGAATGATTGAAGATCTGAGTGTTGAAAGTGTGGAGAAGAGGAGACTCGTGAGGCGGCATTGCTTAAATATATACCTGTTCTCAAAATTGCCCTCAGGGTCCCCGCAACCTGACAGCAGGGTGGACTCACGTGAGAAGATATTGAGTTTCAAATGATTGACCATTGCGGTGCTTTCAAATTGAAAAGCTTGATATTTGGTCATTTTGGTAGCATTGGGTAAGAAATGCTTGAATTGTGGATAAAACTGTGTTTTTTTGACCTTGCGCGGCAACTTGCTCACCTTGAGGGAGCAGACAAAAGTTAGATTAGACACACCTTGAGAGAACAGACAGAAGTTAGATTGGAAATGGATCGGGAATTCCAAAAAAGAAATCGGTCGCTTTATTACGGGCTGTGAGTATATGGAAATCACGACACTCGTAGGTGGGAGCCATTGTGAATTTCTTAGTCAAGACTTCCATCACGCATATCACAGAGGGAAAGCAAAGCTCGGAGAGCAAGTTATTATCATTTCACCAAAAAAAAAAAGAACCCATTGGGCCAAGTACAAAAAACAAAAGCAAAACAAACACCGGATAATGCCATTAGTTATCCGTCCATCCATCCACTCATTCATCGTTGAAGCTAGGGGAGGGGGGGATCGGGGGCCACAGGGGGGCCGGAGACAACGGGGGGGGGGGGTGGGGGCAGGGGAGGCGCCACTCTCTTCATCCATGGCGGGTCGGCGGCGGCGGCGGAAGCAACGGCAGACGGACTGGAACCAGCCCGGGAGACGGTCGGATAAAAAGGCCCAAAGGCCAACCCAGAACGCTCGTCCCTCCTCAGTGTGGAGGAACTGCCAGAACGCCATGACCAGGGCAGCCAAGACCCAGGCGCGCCAGAAACTCACGGCAAAGTCGGAGTCGGACGGGCAGGCTGGGCAGCCTGGCAGTAGACTGTTGTCCCTCCCAGGGACGACAGGGAAAGGACCGCGTCCATCTCGTCTTCGTCGTCGTCGTCGTCTTCTTCTCCTTCTTCTTCTTCTCGGTGGTGGGTGGTGGGCGGTTGGTTCTCTCCTGTTCACTTTGTTAGCAGTGGGTGAAGAAGAAGAAAGAAGAGGAAAGAGGGATCCGTCTCGCGGAACGAAGATATTGCTGTGCCATTCGCCTTAGGTTGGGAAGGTGCAGTTCCTGACGAATGAGGAAAGGGGGTGAGCACCGTTATTGGAAGGAACCACCCGGCGCCTCAGGCAGCCATCGCCACAAGACCGAGTTAGAGAGACATCCAGAAGGGCAGCCCAAGAAAGAGCGACAGTCCATTGCCTAACTCTTCGCCCGTTACCCAGGGATTCTGGACATGGAAGTCACCGGTCTTCGGGAAGACAATGGCATGCGTGCGTCCCGTGCGTCCAGTGCTGGGGATGGAGACAGACGGATGCGCCATTGGAGGAGGCACAGCAAGAGGTCGCGGCGAGGGAGGGAGTGGTGGCGTGTTAGAGGGCCACATGCTGGGTGAAGGGCATAGCGCTCCTTGTCGTTGCGGACGCTGTGATAAATGTCTTTCATCGCTTCAACAATAGTTTGAAACTCTTCTTTCTGATGAGAGTCTTCTGAAGCCAAGCTTGAGTATCAGCCTCATCCTCGAATTCGCGATAAGTCTTGACCCGTTCCTGCGTTCCTGCGTCCATCGTGACCTGCGCCGCGATGGTGAAATGGTCTTGCTGCAAGGCAAGCCACGCTTTGCAGAGTGCCTCGTCAACACGCTGCACAGAACTGTCATCGGGTTGCGGGAGCCAGTCCCCTCTCGTCGTTGTAGTTAGAGCCCCTATATCTACAGGCGTCGGGATCTACTACAGAGGTTAGAGCCCGGTAGCTATAGTGGTCAGAGCCTCGCAGCTGTAGGTAGGTAGTCAGGTGTGTCGTCCACTAGCTGCCGTCGGGCCAGTCCTGTCGTCGGGTTGCAGCCAATTGCAGCCACCGCAGTCAGAGTCCTATGGCAACCTGATAACTCAGGGGTCAGAGCCTGGGGAGTTGGGTGCAGGACCAGTTGCATCACATGACTTCCGCTCCTCCCCTCGCAACCAGACGTCCTTCGAAATCCCCTCCCTCCCCGCCTCGAAGCCCACTCCTCCGCATCACTCTCTCTTGACTCATCCGCGATCCCATCAACGCCGAAGTTGATCCTCTGGAATCCACCTGATCCTCCATCACTGATCCTCACTCGGATCTGCACTGTTTTCTTTTCCGTCCCTTCGCCATGACTGGCTTCACAATGCCCTGGTTGCACTCCGCCGTCTGCACGCGTTCCATGGCGGCATCACGACTTCAGTCCTCAGATTGGCCTTGAAAACCCCTCAGCATTCAGCCTCGCTGATTTTCGCCGATTCGTGAGACACATGCAGTTCCCTACAAGTACCGTTCCCCAGCGCTCAACGCATTTGGCTTTGACCCGGAAGACTAACATTTCATGGGCAGTAGGACATCTTCGCTGGTCTCGACCTTCAAGAAAATGGCCAAAGATTTGAAACAACCACCACATCAGGCCATTGGCTCTCTCCACCGAGACGTTCACCAAGAACAAACCAGCCACTGCTCTGTGACGACCATCATCTGATGCCTGTCTTGTCTTAAGCATCCCAGCCTTGCTTGCCGGCCTCGTCGACCGCCTGCAACAGGTGCTTTCAACATGCCCACCATCGCGGGCCAGTAAGTCACTCTACCCACACCAAGTCATCACCCCTAACCTAACCATCCATCACTTGCTTAGATCTATTCGGGCACTCCCTCTCTTTCGGGCCAGGCACACTCTCTCCTTCAGGCCAGGCACTCTCTCTCTTTCGAGGCACGCATTCGCTCTCTCTTTCGGGGCAGGCCACTCTCTCTCTCAGAGCAGGGACTCTCTCTCTTTTTGAGCACACATTCTTTTCCTCTCTTTCGGGCCAGGCACCCTCTCTCCTTCGGGTCAGGCACCCTCTCTCTCCTTCGAGGCACGCATTCGCTCTCTCTTTTTCGGAGCACACATTCTCTCCATCTTTTTAGGAGCACGCATCTTTCTCTCTCTTCCCTATCGCAGCAGGCACTCTCTCTCTTTGGGTGTACGAATTCTCTCTCTCTTTCGGAGCGGACACTCTCTGTCTTTCGCAGTACGCGTTTCTCTCTTTCAGAGCAGACACACACATGGTCTCTCTTCTCTTTGGGAGTACGCATTGTCTCTCCCTTTCGGAGCAGGCACTCTATCTCTCTCTTTCGGGGCACTCCTTCTTCCTCTCTTTCCGAGCAGGCACTCTCTCTCTTTCGGGGCAGGCACTCTCTCTCTCTCTCCTTTGGAGCAGGTACACACACACTCTCTCTCTTTCGGAGCAGGCATCTCTCTCTCTTCCTTTTCGGAGCAGACACTCTCTGTCTTTCGCAACAAGCATCTCTCTTTCGGAGCGGACACACACACGCTCTTTCTTCTCTTTGGGAGTACGCATTATCTCTCTGTCTTTTGGAGGGGGCACTCTCTGTCTTTTTCGGAGCACGCATCTCTGTCTTCCAGAGTACGCATCTGTCTGGGACACTACTCTCTGGGCACACGTTTTCTCGACGCAGTTCTTCTTGCGACACTTCTTCTCGACACGCTTCTTGATCTCCTCAGACGGTGATGGTGTCACACACACAACTCGTCAATACTGGTACGTCAATCATCCTTCAAATTTGTTTGCAGTGGGTCCGGCGATCTTCGTCGTTATTGTGCATGTTGTCTTTGTCTACTCCAAGACTTTGCGGGGTGTCAAATTCTGCTTGTGCGTTCCTCCTCTTCCTTCTGCTACTCAGCAAGGGAGAAGGCTGTCGGCTGCGCCAACAAAACCATGTGAGTAATATACACAAATCCTGTGATCTGTCGGCATTGCGACTCATGTCTAACCATGCAACACACAGTACACTGAGTATAGGAGGAAGCGTTTCGCAAGCAAGCAACCACAACCTGTGGACAACTCTCCTCTACACGTGTCAAACAACCCCTGTGTCCGACAAAACTCCCCATGAACATCTTTTGCAACCTCTCAAGATTTGTTCTGTTGTCACCCCAAACGACGCGCCGTCCTTGGCTGGCCGTTTCCGCGCCGACTGAGTTGTCCCAACCCCCAAAACTATTGTTTGGCAGATGTCGCTCAAAAGCTTGCTCTCTGCGAATGCGATTCTGGGACGAGGCCTCTCCCTCATGTCCTCGGTATTCTTTCTATGACCGGTTACAATCTTGGACACGAAGGCGTTAACTTGCCACCCGTTGCCCGTCGCCCACTCGTCATCAAGCGCTTCTCCCTTGCGACCCTAGAACCTCATCCATCTTGGTCCCTTCATCACTCTCATTCTGCCGCCCGACTTTTCGACGTTGGGCAACCTGCGCCCACCGAGTCACTTGGCTACTACACCCGTACCCACAGCTTGATTTGCCCCCTTGTCCTTCGCTACGTGGATTCCGACGGCTCACCAACTCCAAGGAGAAGAAGAAAACGACGACAGCACGGCCGAGACCCAAGATCTGATGTCCCTGACTGGGATAGTTCTCCCTCCACTACCATGCGCCTTCGCCCTGCCCCCAGCATCGTTGCCCCAGCCAGCCTCATCTGCTCCGACTCGGTCGCTCAATTCCTCCTCCCTGCCCGGGCGCGCCCTCCATCTTGGATCCTTTTTCTCCCATCCAGGTTGGTTTCGCGGGCACCTTCGCTTGGGCCCCCTTTTCCAACCGTGTTGCGAGCCAGTGGGCCAGTTCTGGGTCTGGCTCGTAGGGTTCGGCTTGTGTCTCCGCCGCAGCTTCCACCGACAGGTGCTGGACCACGACGCCCGCGTACAAGGCTCAATTTCGTTGTGGTGGAAGATGGTTACGGTTGTCAGGGATGGGTACCTACAATGGCGAAAGCACTTGATGGAATGTTGGGCTACAGACTGGTTGATGATGGGTTTAAGTTCTCTTTGCATTCGATCAGGTTAATTCTAATGTCCGATGGTACTTCCACCTCAATGATGTGTGCAATTCCATTATTGGACGTCTGTGTACTTGTACAGTGTGCTTATTGCTCGCCGAACCGGGCGCCCTCGCCCATCTCGTTGTGACGACTGCCTGAGGGGTAGTGGGCGAAGAAAAGAAATGGATTAAAGGGCGGATCCATTACATCTGGCCTCGAAGGACAAAGGGCATTGCTGTTCCCCGACGTCGTCTTCACCAACGTTCGTCCTGTCTGTCCCTCTGCGTCAGGTCTCCCTGCTCTGTTGCTTTGTCCACCACCCTCCCCTCCTCGCTGAGCAGGGCAGAGTTTTCGGGGCTGGTCTTTGAGCCTTTCCGTACGACCGTGTTCCAGACTGGTGCGAGTCCGTCCGCCTTTCGCCGACCCGATGAAAACGATGTCGACAGAGCCATTGTCTCTGATCTCGTTATCACCGCCGTCCGCCCTTTAGTCTAGATGTTAGAACTCTTAGACCTTAGGTAAATATTTAGGAATAAATAAGCCAAATAAAAACCATAACACTAAGATAGTACACGTGGAATAACGACGGCGATGGAACTGCCCCTTCCTGCTTGCCTCTGCTGCCCGCGTGCCCCTTCGCCGGCCTCACTACCGTGCGGTACATTTGACGGCGAGTTGTGTCTGAGCGCTGCGTACAATGATGCTTGGCACACGAAAGTGGACATTGCGGAGTACTTGACTAGCTGCCAGGAACGTGTTCTTCAGGGGTTTGGAACTTGAGACTTGAGGATGACACGTAAATGCCCTTGGTGCCTGACGCAACAGTGCCGAACCATAGTCATGTCTAGCCTCCGTTGCAACAGGTCCTTGATGCGCGACTGCACCTCGTCAATGCGCCATCCCAAGTTAAGCATGCTACCTTTACCGGCAGCACCCCAGGGCTAATGGACAAGATTTTAGATTAATTCGGTTCTTGTGGCACTGCTTTGGCTCATGGTGACTGTAAGCACGATACGAAACCTCATCAATGGTCAGACATTGCTACTCCTTAGTCTGGTTACTGACGGGTAAGTGCTGATCAATCCAGAACAGCGAAGAAAAACCATGAGAAAATGTAATGAAATGAGTTTATCTAACGCCGATGATGCATATTATCTAACTCCATCCTTAAAAACCAAGGAGATGCGTATCAAACCAGAGATGTTCTATATTAACTCCATGCCGTAGTAATAAAAAAAAAACCCTACACACTCTCGGCGTAGTCAGCCTCCTTCGCGGGCTTCTTCTTCTTCTCAAACAACTTTTTGCCCACTTTATCCGTAATCTCGTCCGCCTTTTCACCGAGGAACGTCTTGATGGCGCCGTACACGCCCGAGATGAGCCACAGCAAGGCGTTGACGAAATCAATCCAGACGGCAACCTTCATCAGGCTCGTGCTGCTGCCCTTGTACGGGTTGTCGCTATCGCGACCGAGAAAGATGGCGCCGAAAATTCCAAAGGCAATGATCCACAATACGAAGAGGCCCAGGTCCCAGGGGAAGACGCGGTAGGTCTTGGAGAACTTGATCTTGCTCCCGACGTACGGGATGGCGCCGAGGGGCGTGGCTGCGAGGAAGAGGATCGCCGTGGTGGCAGAGGCTCCCGCCACAATAATGGCAAAGATCCACTCAGGCGAGAAGCCTCTGTTGGCGTCATCATCTGCATCGACGCGGTTGCCGTAGAAGCCGCAGGCGATGAGGGCGAAGAGGAACTGCAGGCTGCGGCACACGAGGCGAGGCACCACCTCGAACGTCTTGAGCCACGTCTTGCCCATGGTCTTGCCTGTTTCGGCGCCTTCATTGAAAGCATGACTGCCAGCTTGGCGGCCCAGTTCCGCCTTGTCTGCGGCGCGGAACTGGGAGGCGGCGTTGGCGAGGCCCTGGGCGTTTTGGCCGAGTTCGATGGCGGTCTGGCCGGCCTTGATGGCGGATCCGAATTTACCCATGGTGGAGGGGTATTAGAGAGTGTTTTGGGTAATTAAAAGATGGTGAGGCGGAGAGATGGCTGATCCGCGGTTCAAATGATGGGTCTTGACGAGGTCTTAGAGGATGTCGTAGGAGAATCTGGGGTATAGAACTGGCCAGCAGTGGACAAAGAAAAATCTAAGGAAACACAGGCGTAAAGTGAAAGAGGAATGAATCACAGAGCGAAAAGTGCACAGGAAATGGCCAGCACTTGTTCTTATAAAACCCATGTGGACTGAGCAATTGTTGGCGAAACAAAGACGATCAGCGGCATCGAATCATGCCCGCGCAAACAGGCCTTTGAGCGCTGGCGCGCGTCCCAGAATAGAAAGCCGACAGCCAATCGTCCCAAAATAGGTGGTTCTTCAACAGCGTCGGGGACTCTGAAGAGGCGGCTGCGCGTCTGATGCGCAATCAACCAAAATCCAATCGTTTCTGTTTTGCCGCCCGATTCGAGGCGCTTAGCGAAACAGGCCGCGAGAAGAAGCCCGTCTACGCGCCGTCGGATTGGTGGAGAGGTAACACGCCCACTTGCACCGTACCACCAGGGGAAAGGATCGCGCGTAATTGACTGGAATACATGCGAAATGGCCTGTGCATTTCTGTCTTGTCGGTTCTGCGGCTTTGTCGGGGCTGTTTGAAAGGTCGTTGGGGGTTTTTCTTTGACGGCGGTACGGAGTGCGACACGCGCCATCGCAAGACATTATGGTTTTGAGGGAGCTTGTAATACGAGTTTGTCCAAGTCCGCCCTTTGTTCGTTTTATGCAGGATGGGGAACTACAGACAGCGATTACTTACTCATGATGCGCATCCCGACCCATCGCAAGACGGTGCTGAATCACTCTCCGGTCGGAGGGGTAATTGACGAAATACTCAACATCTCAAATGTGCTTGGAACTTCAAACGAACATTATTATCTTCTATGACCACTCAGTGACAGAGGAACAAAAGACCACGCACGGTGAATCTCGTGTGAGGCGTGTGTCGGTGCGTAAATGTGGTGTGGGTGGTGGCTGCGGGGTGCGTCCGAAGAAGCCGGATTATGCAGCGAACAACTTAGAGTTCCGGACAATGCGAATACTACTCTTGATTAATTAAACCCACGATGTCTCTTACAAGACCGAACTCTTCCCCATTTATCGCCCTCAACTCCAAGCGATGGCCTGTTCTGACGCGGAAAACAGGCCAGACTTCAAATACGTTTCCAATGGTTGCCGTCGCAACCAGCGCCTTTTGTGCTGGTCGCTATCCGAAAATCCAGGGGTTTTATCCACCAAGAAACTAACATCAAAACGTCTATTAGTGGGCCTATTGTCCAATTCTTTCCCGATTGAGGTCTTTATGCTCAACAATGAGCAGGTTTTATACCCAACCTTTCACAATGCCCCCTTTTTGTGAAAGCACATCTCATTTCGCTTCCGAATATTCGCCAAGCAAAACAAAGCGACAACAGCTGATGCCGCTCTCTTCCCCTCAGCCTTGCAAAAAGCAACCCATTTTGACCTCCGCATTCCTTTTGCCTCTTTTCCACGTGGACTTCGCGGGTCGTTCATCATGTTCCGGTCAAAACCCCAATATGAGCCAGAGGCTGTTAGGCTCTCGCCCGCAGACCTGGAAAAAAGGGATGACTCCATCGACCGAGTCAACAGCCCCAGTATCATCAAGAGCGTACTCCAACCCCTCGAGCAGAAGATGCACGAGTACGACGTGTTGATGCATCAGGCCCACCAAGAGAGCATGCAGCTCGACGAAGAAATCCGCATCATGCAGCAACAGCGGTTTCTGGCTGAGGAACGATTCATGGCAGCTCGAGCCCGGCACGGCGAGTATGAGCAGCATCGCCGGGATGTCAGCAGAGCACTTCAAGGCGAGCCTCAACCCCTACCATACCGTGAACTAACGCCACAGACGCGAATATACAACTGTGACAACCAAATGCAGGCTCACAACACTCAAAATAGGACACAAATGACGCGAATAGACAGCTTCGACAACCAAGTTCAGACTGAAAAGATTCAGACCAAGACACAGACGCCAGCAAAATTGGGGCCCCTAGACCCCAGCGACTACTTCACCAACCACCAGATATTTTACGTCTTCATCATGGCTGGCATTGGCGGCATGATCATCTCAGGGGGCATAAATTTTGGCTTGGCTTATGGTAAGTTATTAAGCGCTGCACCACATTCCATCAAACCAGTAAAGAAACAACTAACCCAGGTGTCCCAATCAAAGTGATGTATACCACCCAAAACACAGTCCTAAACCCAATCTATCTCTTCCAGCTACCCAACACCTTGGCTGGCGATGCAGCAGTTACCATCATCATCCAGTGCATCATCACCTGGTTTATGGAAAAAGGCCTAGTCGCGCACGACCTTTCCCGTCGCGGTGTTCAGCCCATCGGGTTCATCTCAAAACCTACTCGTCCCTGGCAGAGGCGATTATTTTTCCTGCCTCCATTGGGATACGACGAGGCGATTGATGCAGAGGCCAAGGGAGAGCCGCAAGCCAAGGCAGTCGCGCCGGACTTTTTAACCATTCTGGGTTCCGTTGTTCAACATGCGCTGCGAGGTTTCTTAATCGCCATCGTCAGCTTCTTCTTGCTATGGCCTGCAACCGTCGGCATCTTGATAGCTTTTGGCAAGAGTACCGGCGGCGACTACATCTATGATGATCGGTGGGTTCCTCAGATCTTCAAGGGGATTCTCGGAGGACTACTTGGGCTATTAACAACGCCTTTGATGGCCTTGTTCTGGCTTGTCAAGGCTGGGTGGGAGGGAAATCCGCACTGGAGCCTGAAGTCATAAGACTTGGTTACGTTTGTAGCGTAATGCGTCCATTCCACGGGTCACGTCCTACGCCTTGACTGAACCTATGAGTTACGAGTAATGATATCTTTCGGCATTTGGTTAGCCCACCAACCACCAGTTTACGCCCATCTGTCCCAGCTGCCATTTCTCCGTTGAATGCATCATGCACCTGCCGTGTCATCATTGCTTCATGAGATGTCCGCAAACTTAGTAATATCAACAGCGTCTTTACTCTAGCTGGTAGGTTGTCTAGGAGTGAAATGACAGATACCGCTGCCGCGACACATCCTGAAGCGCCCCATTCGTCCCCCTTGTCATAGCAATGCGCTTGGACTCGGACAGACCTACCGTACGAGCGACTTGCATATTGTGGCTAAGATCAGATGCGTAACGGCCTATGTCACGGGAGAAATTCTGCTTGTCGCTGTTGAACCCGTTTCTGTGGAGGACTGTAGGGTAGGTAAAATTGAGTTCCAGTGTCGACACAGTTCAACATTCTCTGAAGGTTTGCAGCACCTGAATAAAGTGGTCAGGATCTATCGGACTTTGTTAAAATATTGGCTTGGTTTTCAAATAATACTCTGTGTTCTTTCTGCCATAGATGAAGCTGATACGAGACTGATGAAGCTGGGAAGGCATACGTAGCCAACAACATTATACGTACCCGTTGCGTGAACCTCAATTATGCCACATTATCTCCCTCGATACCAGTATCCGCAGTCGTGGAATTTATCAGCAGGCCCGACTCGGTAGGAATGGTAACGGCGTCAAGATGGATGATGCTGTGCATATTGCTGACGTTGAAGGCTCATGATTACAATTCAGGGCCTCTATTCTCAATCAACCCGCAGTGGCCCACCACATCGCCTTGGTGCACCCACATCCGATTTCCCATCTTGGCCGAGGCAAGTGGGTGTTCTTGAGCAAATATCCTCTCAGATCACAGCAGGGAGAGCGGTGAGGCAGTGTTAGGCATGGCTGCATAGGTACAGGAGTGTTCTGTGCTGGATCAAGTTTAGGTGCAGTTTGCCTGAAGGTTGCGAACTGCGACTAGGTAGGTATTGAACGCGGTCCCAAGGCGCACCTTTTGCACTGCAATTTTAGCGCTACAAAGGGAGTTGGAATGTCCCATCCTACAATTGGATGCAAGTATTTCATTGGTCCATTCGATCCGAGAGCCCAGGAATCAAGCTGCCGAGCAGGCCTGATTGGATTGAATTTTAGCACTACAAAGGGAGTTGGTCCCACCCTTGTTGCGGGCTGCAATCGCCATTGCTCGCCGCTCTGTACAGCAATTTTAGCGCTTGAGGAGTTGGGACACTGCCACATACACCGCTTCGTACGATTTGATCCTTCGCAATGCTTCCAACAATTCTATTGGTAGATCTGAAAAATCCCTTTTGGCACTGCAATTTTAGCGCTACCAACGGAGTTGGAAAGCCCCGGCTCAAGGACCCACCCTCGTTGTGGCCAGAGGGTACTCCCTGGTGCCTTTGCACTGCAATTTTAGCACTTTAATGGCAGTTGGGATACCATCACTTGTTGCTATGATGATTGGCTGCCTAACGACATTGAGGAGACACACACGCATTCAAAAGTGGCACTCACTGCAATTTTAGCGCTACAAAGGGACTTGGAATATTTCATCCTCAAAGACCCCGCCTGGTTGCCTCGCCGCGCTGCACAGCAATATTAGCGCTCTGGGAGTTGGGACTACACCGCTTCCTACGACTTGACCATTCGTAATGCTTCCAACAGTTCTATTGGTAGGTCTGAGAGGATGCGGAACATAGGTACCAACCCTGCAATTTTAGCGCTACAAACGGAGTTGAAAAGCCTCATCTGAAGGACCCGCCCTCGTTGCAGGACCTGCAATCGCTATTGCTCGCATGGATCAACAGACAAATCTTCTGCAATTTTAGCGCTAGAATGGGAGTTGGAATATCTCATCCTCAAGGACCCCACCTACCTTGTTGCAGGCTGCACTCGGTACTGCCCGCCCCATATGCTCTGCGAATTTTAGCACTTTAAGAGTCGGGACATTACGCCTCTTCCTCCGACTAGATGATGATTTCGTCTACTTTTGGCTATGCACTGCAATGTTAGCGCTGCAAGGCCACCGCAGTTGGAAAACGATGACAATTGGCCACTTCATAACAGGCTACGAAACGGAAGGCTGAAGACATGGGAACGAACAAGAAGAGCCCCTTCAATGTGTATAAACCATCAAAGCTTCGCAGCCTGAGCGGCCAAACCCAGCTCCTTGATAATAATATCCGCCGCCTTCTCTCCAATAACCAGCGCAGTGCTATTCGTATTGGCCCCGACATTCTCCGGCGGAATGCTCAGATCCGCCAGCTTCAAGCCTTGCGTGCCGTACACGTTCAGGTTGCTGTCGACAACACCGAACTTCTCTCGAGGCGCCATCTTAGCCGTTCCCAGCGAATGCCACGTCGTGTTGAGGTTCTCGCGGATCCATTGCTCAATCGCCTTGTCGTCTTCGGCGGAGTATTCAATATCCTTGACTCCAGACAGCGCCGCCTCGGTCTCGATGCACGCTGCGGGCGACTCGGATGAGAATTTAGGATGGCCCAGGCTTAGTTCTCCGCGATACATCTTGGTGCGTCTCATTATTTCACGCTGCTTCTTGTAGGCCCACACTTGCTTCTTCAAGTCAATGTCGTGTGCGTCGGTCAAAAAGCCAACGTCAAAATCGAGCGCGTCGCCACATTCGGGGCCGGTGATGTGCATGTGGCCCCTTGAGTATGGGTATCCGGTGTAATTGCCGGTTGTGATGTATTGACCCGCTGGAACAGTGGTTGGGTCTCCGAGGAAGCTGATTATCACCGGATTAGCAATGCTCCTTAGTAAGTACTTACAACTGACTAGGGCTAACTTACCATGATACTAGCCCCATCAGCATTAATGGCCTATCTGGAACTGGTTTGAAGTCTTGATCCCAGGCAGCCTGGAACTCAGGTCCCAGCGATGCCACTTCTGCGTCCGTTGGTCGAAGCTTGGCAGAGATATCGATAGAATTCCATCCGAGGATTTTGGCCTTTTCTTCCATAAGCTTTGCGGCATCCAAGCGACCACTGAGGATACAGTCGATTGTCTCGTGTGGCTGCAGATTCGTTCGGTAAGGATACAAGACTAGGTTGTGATCTTGGTAGTCTCGACCGACGCCGGGCAAGTCGACCACCACCGGCACACCAGCGCGCTTGAGGATAGCAGGGTCACCTAATCCAGACCGCTCGAGGATAGGAGGCGTGCCGCAGGCCCCGGAGGAGACCACCACCAACTTCCTCGCCTTGATGGTTTGTTTAGCAACGCTAGTAAGGGAAGTGCTAGCCTTAAAGATGGGGTTTGGAATGCATTCGACGCCGACAGCCTTCTTGTTGTCGTCGAACAAAACGCGAACCACAGAGGACTCAACCAGTACGTGCAGGTTAGGGTGCTTCCCGTCTTGAAGAACCGGGTGAAGGTATCTATGGGCTGTGTCTTGGCGTTTCCCGTCAGGTGAGACAAACCGTTTCCACCGCTGGAAGCCGTTGTTGGATTTGAGATTTTGCAAGTCTGGTATCTCGGGCCAGCCGACTTCACCAGCGGCGTTGATAAAGTCACTCTCGGCGTTGACACCGCGGAACGTTCCGTCTGACACGTTGATCGGACCATCACGGCCATGTACGTTGTCTGGATCCTCTCCGTGGTACGTTTCAAGCTGGGGAATGTCAGTGATTGGACAGAATTCAGCGAATCCACAAACACTTGTCATACCTTCTTCAGATACGGGAGCAATTCATCCGCAGACCAACCAGGCGTCTTCCAAGAATCAAAGTCGGATCGTTGGGCTCGCGTGTACATCATGAAATTAATCGACGATCCACCACCCAATGTGCCTCCGGAAGGGACGATGGCTTCGCGGTCTGCTAGCTGAGCCGCCTTGTTGCCTTTGTAGAAAAGGGCCGTTGTGCTGGTGGGGGCCAGGTGAGTGAGATAGAGAGCGGGGTTGGTGATGGTTGGAACATTGTAGTTGTCTTGTCCTTGTTCGATGACTAGGATAGACAGGTTTGGGTCTGCTGCTGCTAGTCGTCCCGCAATAATACATCCAGCGGTGCCACCTAAAGAGACCAACCGTAAGCACTGTGGGGATGGGGATGAGCGGTTGTAGGAATATCTCACCTCCGGCGATGATAACGTCCACCTCACTGGCAACATCCGTGAGGTTAGTGGAAAGACCCATTGCAAAATCTCGAGAAATAAGCTGAAAATGATAAAGGAAGGCTACGGTGTATGAAAGTCGCGACGCGTGCTGGAATGGTTCTGCGGGATCTTATGCACTGGGGAGCTCAAACGATGAGGGCATCAACTCTTGATATTTATCATGCCACAATACCCCACTCTTAGGCCTTTGTTTAGCCGCAGGCCGAAATTGCCGAGTAGTCTGGAAATTGCCGAGTAGCTTGCGAGGTCGTCTCGAGGATGTGTAGATCATGTCCGTTTCACTGCATTCTGTGTGCAACCACTCGCCAATTTGTACTTAGTTCAGTAAAGCGGAAACGCCCAACTGTCGGCTTCCTGGAATCGGATTCCCAGTTGAGATTCCGACGTCGTACGCTTGTGGGAGCACATGTGTCCCCTCCTCGGGCGTCTCTCTCTCCCCGGCGGCGTGGAGTGGTGATTCACGCGAGTTCGTCTATTCCGTAACCCCGCATTTCAACTGCTAGCTTTGAAGCTGTATCCACTGCAGTTCGCGAATCAGAAGAGTCATTGCCACTTGGTTGCCGAAACTTGTGGGTTAGATGCGGGGGTTAGTTCAATGCACGTCGATGGATATTGCGGAGAGTCGATTCAGAGCTGACGTGTCAACGGTATGGTTCGTATTCTGTGACGAGAGCACACTGCTGGTGGACTTGTGTAGCTCGAAGTGGCAAAAATAGAACCAATTGCAACCAACGTAGAGGAGATTTGCAAAACAATACGAAGCAATTCATGGCTGGATGGCAAAAATGTGATTCCGCCCGGGCTCGAACCGGGGACCTTCTCGGTGTTAACGAGATGCCATAACCAGCTAGACCACGGAACCCATTTGTGATGATTGAGCTTGAACTTGGTGTATATATAGGCACAGCTTACGACTTGCCTAGACTTGGTATGAGGAGAGAATTGCAATTGCGTAGTATCTGTGTAGCAGACGTCCCATCCGTGGTCGCAGGAAATCACGCCGGCAAGAAGAGAAGTAATTGAACGCAAACTACTTATCAACCTAGCTTATCGACTGCCGCCTTTTACCGCGCATGTCACATCTACTTATAGACATCCTCCACGGTGCAGTCTGTGTTCCTGTCGGCCCTTTCCAACGTCAGTTCCCATCAAGTCGCCCAACCTCCACTTCACTATCACATGAGCCAAGAGCAATCTTTCAACATGTAATGCTGCTACACCCAAGCTCCTGCCACAAAGCCTAAATCTCGTACCGGTAGTCCGGAGCTTTATCCGCATCGCCACCCATATCGACCGACACGCCAGCTTCAGGCTTCCCATAACGTCTGTCTCTCTTACTATTCTCTCGATATAGTAAGAAACTCATGAGTGCTGCTGAAATTGCCGTGACAAATGTCAAGGTGCTTGATACCACGTTGCCCATCAGATAGTATGGGGCATCCGACTTTGGGTAAATGTTGGAGGCTGCCACGCCTACTGCATGGGTAACGGCAATGACAATGCCAATTCCAACACCTGCCTTTGTGTCACCAGCAAAGGTGGACGCAATCCATGTCAGAACAATTGGAAATGCCATATACGTGCCCTGCGTAATGGATACAAGGAACAGTCAGCATGTGGTCAACCAAAGAAGTTGAGAAACTCACCGTAACAGCAAGGAAACAAGTTATATATCTTGCCGTCTCGTTGCGCAAAGTTCCAAGTAAAATGTACCCAATCCCAGAAGTCAACCCTCCAATTATGATGGGTATCCCTCGCATGCGAAAGCGGTCCGACAGTGTCGCCGTGACCAGAAGAGTGCAATAGGCTGTAGCGTATACAGGGGCCGTCATAAGGTTGGCCGTAACGGAATGGAAACCGAGATCCTTGATAATAGTCGGGAGGAATACAGCCGCCACCGCAAGCGACAGGGAAAGCCCAGAGTAAATGAGGACAAAAAGATATAGACGGACATCTTTGAACGCCCTAAAGTCTGGTCAGTAGTGATAAATGGCCTGGTTAGGATAGAACTCACTCCTTGACTTGAGCCATGCTGATCCCGCCGTCCTCGTTTTTGGTAAATCTGTTTCGCCGGCTGAGAATGATTTCATACTCCTCATCTGTAAACCAGTGAGACCTTTCCGCCTCGGGGCGTCCGGGCAGAATCCACAACGTCAAGAAACCAACGGCAATTGTAGGTAAGCCTTCAATAATGAAGAGTGCCTGCCACGGAGCGATCGCCATACCTTGTGCCAGCCCCATTCCATACGCAATGAGCCCAGATATAACACCACTGAGGGCGCTCATACCAGCGTATGCCGCAATGCGAAGTGATAGCTCAGACTTGAGGTACCAGAAACTAAGATAGAGGGCACAGCCGGGGGCGAAAGAAGCCTCGAACACTCCCAGGAAAAACCGCACGGCAGCAAGTCCAGCACCATTTGTGCACGAAGCCTGAAGGCTGCTAACCGCTCCCCAGCCTATGGCGCAAGCACCTAACCAAGTGGATGGTTTGAAGACTTTTAACATCAAGCCTCCCACAGTCCCAAAAATGACAGTCCCGATATAGAAGGATGCTGACGCGAGTTGATACTGGGCGCTGGTGAGACCGATGTCGCTCTCGAGGCCGATGTTTCGAGCATTTCCCATATTACTCCTGCCAGGAATGATGTTAGCGTTTCCTCTTGGACTTCGATAGTTGAGAGAAGGTGTTGGGATTAGAGGGCTTACCTATCAATATATGATAGTAAATATAGAAGCATGATCCAAGGGAGAATTGTCCGATCAAGCTTGCGAACAAGACGACGCTCCTTGTCAGCATCTGGGATGAATGGAGCAGTGGCTGTATCTTTAGCTTCTGCTACATTACCATTCTCGAGATGCAAGGACGAGCCTGGCTTTTCGATCGGATTATCCATTGCTTTGGAAGCTTTGTGTCTTCGGGTTTTGTCGGTACTGAACCAAGACTCTTGAATCCGGGGTAACCAGAAGGCATTTGACCTTTATACTTACATTTCCCATGATCAAGGTGATAGGACCATCCGGGATATTCCTCTTACCCCGGATTATGGTGGAGTTTTCGGGAATGGTCCGACGCTCTCCATTCCTCTCGGAACTGATGCGTTTCCCGAGGAATTCATGTGGAAATGTTAGGCAGGTTTCAATATCGGTAACGCCCGAGAGCATGTACCAGATTGGCTCGAACGGCCTTCGGGAGGAAAATGCACCAACATGGCCAGGGTCTTCGTCTTGAGGCCACCCTGTGTACCATCATGGAGTTGTAGTAACCGGGCCAACTCCGCGCTCCTTGCTTCGGGGAAATACCGTCTACTTTATGCAATACGGAGTCTTCCCGCTTTGCTTGAAGACAATGGTACGAAATACCATGGTTCAGAAGACGAAGAGTACCAGAACATTGTGAGACGGAGAAATCCCGTCTACCACGAACGGACTCCGCCCGCTTCCATATCACCAATCATTCGGGCATTAATACGCGATGCGAAAGTCGTTGAATCTCATGGGCCGCTGAACATCTGATAAAAAAGGCTATTTTAAAACTTCCTTGAATTTTCTTTTTAATTCTTTCCTCATCACCCCCGCCTTCGAAATGTCCTCACTGTGTTGGTGCAAACCGGCTGAGGTATTGACACCAATGCCACTCACCACTCTACCTGCATTATATCGTACCCTTGGCTCATCTGAGCATTCCATCAATCAAAAAAGGGGTCGCAGGCTTGACAGCTTTCTAGAAGGCCCGGTGGTTATTGGCAATACCCTGTATTTGACCGACATTCCCTATGGGCGCATTTTCGCAGTGGACATTGATTCCAAGGACTGGACTCTCGTCATTAAATATGATGGGGAGCCAAATGGCTTGGCATGGGATTGCAATCGGAAGAAGTTAATTATTGCCGATTTTAAAGAAGGAATATTATCTTTGGACCCCGTCACCAAAGAAATATTGACCGTCATGGATCGATTTAATGGGGAACGCCTCAAAGGCCCAAACGACCTGTTGATAGCTCCGGATGGCAGCATCATCTTTACTGACCAAGGAATGAGTGGTCTCCAGGACCCAAGCGGAAAAGTTTACCGTCTTCATCCGGACAATCGCGTCGACGTCCTCCTTCGCAACTGTCCATCACCAAACGGCTTAGTTCTTGATCTTTCAGGCACTAGTCTTTTCGTAGCGATGACGAGAGACAATAGCGTTTGGCTGGCCCCTATATACCCAGATGGTAGTGTGCAAAGAACGGGACGCTTCTCCAGCTACTATGGGGTAGGTGGACCGGATGGGATGGCCACAGATGAGGAAGGAAATGTTTTTGTTGCGCATTCAACTTTGGGAACGGTGTTTGTTCATCATAAGGATGGTACCCCTCGAGCTCAGATCGTCACAAAAGGTACTGGTTGTAGCACAACCAATTTGACTTGGGGGGGTTCAGGCTTGAGGACTTTGTTTATAGTTGAGAGTGAGTCTGGATCTGTGCTGACGTTGGAATGGCACTGCAGAGGGAAGTTGTGAAACAAAAAAACTAGTCCAACCAAAACTTGGAGAATATTAACTCAACCGTGTCAACACGCGGCTCCTTCTGGCTTGCTAGCGACAGACCCACCCGTGATTTCGGGCACTTCGCACTGGAGTGTACGGTATAGCCCGAGATCTCGAATTGATAGTGCCAAATCGCCCCTTCAGAGACTTTCAACGTACCCTATAGAATCCGATTCAACCTGCTCTACTTTTTACAATACAATTGCGAAAGCATTTGTCCTCAGACTTGCTGCCCAGCATCGGATGGGACCTCCATGGCTAACCTTTGATGATTGATTCGCTCCTTGTATGCCCGGAAAAGTTCAGTTCGCATCAACTCTCGTGGAGCCTTCCTGCCTGTGAATAGCTCAAACTGCCTGATACCCTGCTCTGGAAACACTTGTAGACCATCGATAGCAATCCAGCCGCTATCACTCAAATTCCGAACCTGCCTTAGGAGTGAGGTTTCGCCGGCCGCCAAGCAAAGCTGTGAGGGGCTGAGTTAGTTCAATTGGAACGTGTAAATTTGAACATGAACGCACCTCGAAAGCAACGCCACCATTGGGACTCTCAAGCCAATGAGCCGGAAGGCTCGTGTCCACGGAAGGCTTGCCATTGATGTTTTCCACAGCAACACAAGAGACAACTATCGTCGGCAGGTCGACGTCTGCCGGCCAGGGATCGGCTTTGGATGGCAAAATTCTGATCTTGGGGTTGCTCGTCAAATGATGATGGTTCGCGGCTCCAATATGGAAAGGACCCAGGGCAGATCCACTGTCGCAACTTGAGCTGCTCGCGAAGGACTGCTCTCGGAATTGTGATGCCAACTCCTCCGCCCTTCTGAGCGTACGATTGTGTATGAAGATGGTTTGAATGCCAAGACGGATCAGTGCGTATGTAGCTGCTCGCGCCATCCCACCTGCGCCGATAATGAGCCCTGTGGTTCTGCGCTTGACTGCATTAATCGGTGAGAGGTTGAGGCGAACAAATCTGTAAATCCCTATCCAGTCAGTATTATCACCGTACAGCGCCAAGATCTTCCCTGCGCGATTCTTTTCGAACAAAGAATCTGCCTGTAGGGATCGAAGCGGTAGCACGGTATTGACAGCTCCAATTGCCCGGGCTTCACGGCTCATCTGGTCCACGACATGAATGACTCGGGTTTTGAACGGGGCCGCAATGCTTGCGCCCCCGAAATTGTCATCTTGTAAAAGCTTTTCAAATGTTGAGTCTTGCAAGGTTTTGTACTCATGTGGCATGCCGCAAAACTTGAGGGCGGCATTGTGCATCGAAGGTGCTAGATTCTGTGAGACATTTCCACCATAAATGCCGAAAGTCATCCGATCCATTAAAAATGATGCGTATATAGCACTTTGAGCCTCTGGTACTGTGAGATGGGAGGTGGAGGCACACTCTGGTGCTAGTGAACGTATTAAAGGGAGGGTGACTGGAGTGAAAGTTGGGTTGAAGAAGCGAGACATTCGCCCCAAGCGTCCGGTATTGTAAGCAATCAACGGGATGTTGCAATGTCCTGACTGTTTTACAGTATTCATAAAATGTTGTACCGAGAAGTTGTCTGCCATTGACGTAGCCTCTTGACACAGCTGGACAAGGTCACATCCCAGTTGTTCAGCCAGCCGAAGTTTGACTAGGCGCTCAGGGCTATCCCACCCGTTTATCCCGGGATCGCGATCGAAGTAATGGGCGATTATCTTTGTTGGTCCCTTTGCTGCGACAAGATTTTCAATTCTCTCAGGGTTGCAACTAAGATCGACACAAAGATATTCCGGCGCAAGCCGTAATCCATGGTGAAGCATGTCGAAGTAGGCTTTTTCCGTACATGGGGTCTCTGCAGCATGGCCCGTTTCATCAGGCAATCGGACATGAAAGATGATTGGAAGATGGATAGTTCTCCGGGCGTGGTAAAAGTGTCGGCTGAGACGATTGGCTGCAGAGTTGTCAAATCCCTTGTCATTCTCGCACACATCTGAAAAAGATATAAGCAGCTCAAGTGCATCTGCCACTATGTCGACGCCTCGGAGTTTGGAGCTGGTACTCGCAAATGTTGAGAGAGGGAGCGATAGTGCGTACGTGTACGGTCTTGACTCTGGTGATGGCGACGGTAGAGAATTGCAGGTTTCATATTCAGTGCGGGGCCCTCGTCTTGTGATGGCATATATGAGCTGCAGAAAATCATGCTCCATATGTTTTAGCGAGAGGGATTTCGGGGATTCATCGCCCGAATGAGTACTGGGGTAGTCCGAGATGTTATAAAACTCAAAGTTTGATAACGCTCGATAAGTTGGGCAGCTGAGGCGAATCAGACGAGATATGGTCTCAGCATCCCAGATACGGAGGTGTTTAAGAATTCCCTGCTCGTCTCTGAGGATGTAGATGATTGGATGGCTTTCCATATACTCCAGGAACCAGGTCTGAGCTGTCCCCTCGACAACCCCGGGGCCACAAGCGATAACGGCATGAGTCTGGTTTTCGGAGAGTATAGATCGCATCACTCTCAACTCTTCTTGGCGATATTTGGCGACGCCGTGAGCAGACTTGTGGGCAGCCCTGGAAAACCCCGTGGCCTGGTAGAAGTGCTGATCGGCATCGACAAGGCGGAATCCGAGGGCGCTGGACGCCATGACGGCTAGGGTTGATGTGCCAGTGCCGCGGATGCCAATAAGCACAATGGATGCATTTTTATCATAGCTGCGGGAAGTCGTTTGGCGAGAGGTAGCTGGCATGGCATCTTTAGTTCGGTCTGCCAAGGTGGATGCGATGGGCATGCTCTCTGTCTCGGTAGTTGTGGATGTTGTGCAGATAGGGTCTTGATGAATTGAAGAGGTTGAACAAGAAGAGAAGAAGAGTATCACGGAATAAGAGAGAGGGCCAATTCCCTGACAAAGTTGAAGTCGATTGGGAGTGAAGATGGATCCGGAGGAGGAGCACTATGTGGGGTTCAGTCGCATGCGCTATCCCAACTCTGGCGAATTAGAAACGGGCGGAAATGACTTTTCCCGCCCTCGATCTCTTGATCCCCGCATTATTCGAACTTGTAGTGAGTCTCGGTAAGGACCAGGGCCGATGGACCCGAATCTTTGACGGTGGTAGAGATCCCATCTCGACTCTTTCATGTTGGCAAGCCGACACAGACAGACCTTTCACCGCATGATTCTTGGTTTTCTGCGCTCACAGCATTCTATCTGCGTTAATTACCCGACCAACAAATGCCCTCGTCCAGTGTTGGCGAAGCTGCCCACCCCCAGAACCACTATTGACCATGGACAAAGCCAACCTTGTCGACAAGCACCGTCAGGAAAACGACGCTCCTTTGCCTGGATCTACCGGGAGAAAACACCGAAAGAGGCCACGGAACGAACCCGATGACGCCTCGACGAGGTCGTACGAAAAGGCGCGAACAAGAGTCTCGCGCGCATGCAATCCCTGCCGCGCTCGAAAAGATCGATGTGACGGCCAGCGCCCTTCTTGCCGGTCCTGCGTAGGTGCGGGCCGGGCTTGCAATTACGAGCCCTCGAAAAAGCGCGGGCTTCCGGCAGGTTACGTTCGGTCTTTGGAGATTCTCCTGGGCTTGGTCTTTTGCACGATCGAGGGAAGCGAATTGTGCGTCTCGTCTATCCTTGACAGCGAAGCAACGAACTCGGCCGTGTGTTTCGGACCTCCGGTTGGTGGACAGCGAACGGCAGAGGATTTGCTAAATGCCTGGCGGAAGAGTACTGTGTCTCGACAAGTCGAACGCCTGCTCGTTCCGAATGATGCTATCGAGGATGAGGACGAATCCACAAATACCTTTGACGACAGAGTGGCTCAAGGTCTCGTGGCTATAACAACTACCCATCATGTCAATGATGCGTCTAGCCTCGATGTTGTATTAGAGGATGCTCCAAACCACATCAATGTCGATGCAACCTCCTTGCGCGCGTCAGTAGACCTCTACTCCGATTCAAACACCTCGCCGCGGCCCAAGACAGATATATCCCCCAGAACCGGCCACATGCAACTTCCTCCTCACTGGTCACATCTGTTGGACCGATACTTTGCAAATACACATTGCTGGTTCCCCATTTCTCAAAAGCACGATTTACTACGCGCGGCACACATGCTAGCTAATAACACGAAAGCCCCCAGGTTGCCTGATGCACTTTCCCGAGGAGACTGTGCGTTTCTCTGGGCGGTTCTGGGATATTTGTCGCACCAAAGCGACCGCTTAAATGTTCCCACCGACTCTTCTCCAAACCAACGTTACACACAACGCTTATGCACCATTGCAAAGGACCTCATTTCCGACGAAGAAGAGGAGTACCAACTTGGACATGTCCGTGCCCTATTAGTGTTGGCCCTTCTTCAGGTAGATCGTGGCTCCTGGGATTCCGCATGGGTCGTTGTTGGCAGGGCTGTCTCTATAGCTACTTGCCTCGGCGTTCTCCCCATGGCTCTCAGACAGGCACCCATACGCACCGATGACGGGGCCAGAAGAGTGCTTCTTGGATGTTTTATCCTGGAAACGCAAATAGCATCTCGGCTACGAAGGCGGCCGTACTTTCAGCGGTCGGACATACAATCTATCGGGCTACTACAAACGGATGGGATGGAAGAGTGGGAAGCATGGCAACCAGTTTTCGACCCTAGCCAGCGCCAATCGAATCGAAATAACTCGGAACGAAATATTCCAGGGCACGTCTTGAGCATCTTCAACTGTTTCGCCGAGCTCACGGGCTTTCTCAATGATCTCTTGAGGCCACCCGAAGGAACGTCGTTGAGAACTTGGCTCCAGAAAATTGCTCACAACTTTCAAACTTGGAAACAGGGACTGCCTTTACCATGCCAAGTTCCTTCCTATAAATGCGCGTCACCCCAGCTGCTGAATTTGCATATTGCCACCCACAGCATTTCAGAGGCTATCAGAGTCGAAGAGATGGCGCTCACTGGTGCAGCGACAAGCGACGCCTTCAGCAATACGCGGAGCTCCATCCATGATCTAGACAAAATGCTACAAGATCTCACCCACAATGTGGGAGCTCTTACTATCTCGCCTACAGTTAAAACCTACCTTTATACTTTTGACCAATCCTTGGAACTACAACAGTTCGGTGGAGATCCTATTACGAAAGACCAAATATCATCACTACGAGCTTTCCTTAATAAACTAGATGGAGTATTTCCGAGACCCGCAACTGCTCTCAACATGGATTGGAACGGATCATTGAGAACGATAGTAAACGAGGGTGTTACAGACTCCTCAATAGGCGATAACTTCAGCAAGACGACACAATTTCCCCCATATGACATACAGGTGGCTTCTTTGACACCAGTATCGTTAGGAGCTCCAGTTGGGAAGGAAGGGGGGCATTTCCAACAACCATTTGCCTCTTATTATGAACCTACCTTACGACCAAGAAGACTTGAAGGCTCAGAGGCACCTCAAACAGCGACTTCCGAACCGACATTGGAGAGGCGGCATAGCGTGAGAACCGAAAGCTTATTCAGCCAAAAGAATGAAACGGGCAAGCGTTTAGGTGAAACGAATGTAAATGAAGCGCGGGCAGCACTTGACCTGGATGGTGGTAGCGTATTGCCAACCGATTCCCTGTCGAGTGACATAGAAACAGACCCTCTGTTTGATAGCCTGGCTATATTAGACCAAGTTGACTGGTATGAATTCTCCATTCCCTCTAAATCACGACTTCACTCCATTTCTAACATCGATATTAGGCTGGCAAACGCTCCCGACTTTATGAGGCCCCTCGGCGTGTTTGGCGATTTCCCCCATGATCTCGAAAACTTCTTGGATGTAGAACCAAACCTGGATTAATAGAACTCAAGGCATGTGACTACCAAGTCATCTTGTGCAATTCTTGCGCACTATTTCTGGCACCACTGTACTGTGGGCCTTGCGAGTTCAAGTTGAGGCGTTCGTGGCTAGAGTGCTCGGAACTGATTTGATGAACAAAACAAGACTGCCTCGCAAACGACTTTCCAACTGCTCTGTGTCTCTGGCGGAGACCCTCTGTGACCTGCATAGTAAGCTGGATTCGACAATATTTAAGAGTTTTCTGAACTTGGCCCGCCACCGGAGTAAAAATTATCAACTCGTAGCTGGCATTAAATCCGATGCGCCAGGTCGAATCTGAAGTTTCTGGGAGATCCACCTAGGCGGCATTAACTTCTGCCCCCATTCAAACTTGTCATCAAGGTAGCCAAATGAATGAACTTTATGCCGGAAGCATCATTTATCACATTCTTCTTGTTATCAGTGTCACCTTCAGTTATTAATTTGCTGGACTTGCATCTTTTTCTCACCGTCGCTTCTTACCGTACAACATGACGAACTTCCGCCCAGCCAGGTGCGATGGCTCCACTTATTTGCCGTACAGTGAATGATTGAGAATTGAAACTATCTTTGTGTCTAATATTTCATGGTTGAGTTCGCATTGGGGTTGCCTGGACTTTTTATCACACTCCTTTTCACGCCCGACGCCCTGGATGAAGCATCATAACTTCCAAACATAAGTGACAGTGTTGATATTCGAATGCCTTGCTACAATGTGTACTATGAACCTACTAAGGTATCATCACACCGATATAATGGCCCTTCTTCCCTTCTTCCAAGACGCCATGAGCACATACTGGCATCACAGATTGATACCGCAGTTGTGCTGTTGCATATCATTGGCTGCTTCTGGGGGGGCTCTGAGCGGGGGTCGTGTCTACCAATTAGAAGCCAAGGCACAGCTGTGCTGATGCGGCTCCGCCTTGTTCAGGCCTCCAGTCATCTGAGGATTAGAGTCTCAACTTGACGTTTGCAATATTCGGGCTTCGCTTGAGACGAAGCAACGCAGCCCTCAGTCAAGCATAGGCTAATCCCCTAGTCGAAAATCCAAGGTCCAATATCGCAGCAATATGCCACACACAGGAGGGAACGACCAGCGGCAACAGTGCTGAGTGAGCCATGGCTGGCTAGAGACAGGACCCTACTCTCTTCGTTCCACGAGGCTTCTAACAACAAAATAATCCGTCTCGGTCTCTTGGTCGAGCTTCGGATCTCCAAAGACACTTCCCATCATGGTCTACACCGGCAAGCCCTCCACGGGCTGTTCCGCCTGTCGCGAACGGAAAATACGCGTAAGTCGCACCCCCGCAAGTCACTCAAGCCTCCATCATCGCTCTCCACCAAGACGCCGCCTGAATGCCTGCTCCTGCGCTTGTTCTCCCCATTTTCTTTGCCGACATCCCTAACAAAATACGCAGTGCGATCAGATCGAGCCTTCGTGCTCCCAGTGCGAAAAGCGTGGACAGATTTGTCCAGGCTATCGAAACCCGGCTAACACCATGTTCCGGGATGAAAACTGGCGAACCATCGGTGCATCTTATTGGATATCCAGGGCTGCTCATAGTCAGAGTTCTCATAGCAAAGAGTCCAGAAACCTTCACCCAACCGAGACCAGAACCCCTTACCCAACCGAGACCAGAGAGGAGGCCCTCCCCGACTTGATGTGGGGGTCTCTTGGTGATGGTCTCAGCGGGATACCTCTGGAACAACGCCAATACTACTCCCATGCCACGGGGAGTGTACATGTCGAGGACGAGCCCGGGTATGCCAAGGCAAGAGGTGGGCGAGACGCGTCAATGTTGTACGCGCCACAGGAGGCGAAGCAAAGTCAAGGTATTGCGACACCCCCGTGTGTGGAAGTGATGGTGTTGGGGGCGAATGGTGTACTTACTCCCAGTTATGTTGATAGTGGGTTGGGGGTGTGAAGTGGGAGAGTTGTTTTGTTACGGGTGCAAAGCATTTACCTCCACCCCTTACGGCAACGCCAGCAGTCACTCACAGTTTCTTTCTCCAGGCTTCGCCCACGTCCCAAAATCGGAAATGACGATGACGGATGTCTACGCCGACGAGCTCTATGTCCCCAACTTCGCCATCACCTCTACGCCACCTTCTCAACCTCAGATGGCTGTCTCGCCTAGTAATGATCTCTTCAGCCAACGACCCACGGGGAGTATGGCCTTAGATTTCAAAGGAGGTCGAGGAGACTGTATGTTTGAACCACCCAGGGATGATATCACGAGCCTGTAGATTGCGAGCCTAACACGTGTTGCTAGTAATTCACCATCTTACCTGCTGGGCCCTGAGCATCGGAAAGTGGACTCGCGTAAAGAACACGATGGATCTCATTATCTTCTACGCTCCAGATAAGTGTACTGTGACCTACTACATCAGTAATGGGCAGACTGGATACAAGATGGAGTATCCATTTTCTCATATTAAGAACATCTTTCTTGAGGACAATAGTAAGCATAGCGGTATTGTTATCGAGCTGAACCAACCCCCAAACTTCTTCATGGAATCGTCGCCCACTTCCAATAGTTTCTTTCAGTGCGGCGACTTTACTGAAGATATCCAGGCCACCCAGTGTCAGGTCCACCACCTAGGCGGCAACCCCAGGATCCTCAGCGGCCAGCTTGCCAAGCTAGTATCTCTTCCTAGTTTCATGTCTCGACATAACGGGAATCCCAATAGCCGGGACGAACCATACCCAACATCACCAGCCACATTTGGACTATTACGAAAGACCCAACAGCCTCCGATGGGGGAAACTACATCCAATGACACTGAGCAGTTGGCAAAGGCGAATGCACGGCTTTTCCTTTTAAAGAAAGAAGAATTCTCCCTTCCTCCCGTTGCCTCGCCACCACTACCGGAGTATGTATTCAAAGAGGCCGAACTATCACGGGCAGAAGAAACTCTAATGGAACTTCTTGATGTCGAGGCTGAAGCGGGGTCCATTGATGGCGACTTTGAATCACGTCTCACCGACCTTCGGATCGAACAAGAGTCGGCTCTTCCTTCTGAGAGACCGGTGTCAGAGAACTCCAAGAATGAACCGCGAGACGGCACCGAATTTCGCTGTGAGACATGCGGATACTTTCCGCGTGGCAATCCCAAGTACTTCAAGCGGAGTCTAGCCAAACACATGATGCGACACGTGGTCAAAGAGTCAAGATCATCACTCCATGAGGCTGGAGATAGATCTGAAGCTGTTGTATACGAAGGCGAGGTGATTTCGGCCCCCAGCCAACTCACTGAGATTGACTTTGATGAGTCCCTGACTGGCACAAAAAGCGGTTTTGATGGATTCGACAAGCTCGATTCCCCTGGTCCCCAAGAATTTGCCCGTGACTTCAAAGACGAGGGAGCCTTTACAGACTCCGGTTACGCCTCTGCACCGAATATGAATGGATACTTGAGCATCAAGTCTCCAACTGCAAAGAGAGGGAGTCCTGGCCCCAACTGTACTGACAACGACGACACTGCAACACTGTACTCAGCTGGAACCACTGTTGCACCTGCGCGAGCCCAAACTTACATTTCCGAGATTTGCAACGACATTTATAGCAAGTTGAACGATTCTGTCAACGCCAAAACGTGGCCGGTGGTGTCCAAAATCTTGCCGGATCTCATCAAGGCCTTTGCCGTCCGGCTGGGCAACGACTGTGCTGTGCAAGTCAACAGAGATATTATGTATTTCGTTCATCAACAACATAAGTGAGTATTTCGACACAGGGATCGATGGTCTATGAATACTAATCAAAAACATTAGAGAGGTGGTATCGCAACTTGAAGCCATGTTCAGTCATGACGCCGAAGAGCCATTGGAAAACTGCCGCCCTACTCTTCAAGGGATGCCTCTGCTTGATAAGATGTCCATGTGGCGGAGCAGGGATGGCGAAGATGCCACTCCGGCAGCTGACGGCGACGATTACTTCCACGGCGTCAACGACGACGAAGACCAGGACGACCACATTGAAAACATCAATCTGTCGACATACTAGAAAGTCATCTTCGACAGCCAGGCGTACAAGTGGTTCCTTGCCACTTGTAAAAAGGAAGTGACGCTGCAGCAAGAAGCGACAACCTCTTCGTCCTCATGCACCATGGCGAATGAGAGTATTCGCCGAAGACTGATGGAAAAGCTCCCGACGGGAACCATCAGCAAGCGGTATGCCCCGAGTAGGCACGAAATGACATTTGTTCTCGGAGGGCACCTGGGAATTGCCCTGCCTCTTGAACGTGCAACGGCCGAGCCTGTGTCACGACCGCCGCGGTTCTTTCCAGACTTGGTTGTGACGGGATCAGTAAATCAGGCCCAAGTACTCACAATCAAGCAGTACATGAGTCAAACGTGGCCTGCAAACGGTTTACAGATGTTGGAAGTGCTTGAAGAGGGAATTCGGAATCCCAAGAACCTGGAATCCGGTAAGTACCCCCATCCTAATGGCCCTGTCTGCCTCCGTGTACTGATGTGTCTATCATGACTAGGCAAGTCGCCGGCAAATGCACCACTTGTCGTGGGCAGATCCGGATCCAATATGGTAGTCAAAGCCAGCGGACCAGCCTACTTCATCGCCGAGTGTGGTGAGCAGCTCGCTTGGTTAGCATGCGCCTCTTCAACCGCTTTTCGAAATAGACTTAGTCGCGTGACTCCCTTGATCGACATCATCCGTGTTGGGCCCACGACTCCGCAAAGCTCGAGCTATCGAGGCATGTGCCGAGTGGGTTTTGTTATCAATGACCTCGTCAACCCAGAACTTGCCATGCCGTCGGTGACACAGAGTTGTTGGCAATCCGTGGTTGGGCGACAAAACCTCATCCACGGTTATCCCATTGCTCGACGACCGGACGGATACCGAGGCCTGGAGGTTTCCCTGGTCGTGCTCCTGTATTTGGTGCAAGCCAAGGAAGTTTCTGTCTGTCCCGTAAAGGTGGTGGCCCATGGAGTAGAAAGGTCACTTAGACTGGTGAGCCGGACTGACCATATATGTCTTTGGCATCCTTTTGGCCCGACTACGGAGACCTGTTTCTGCGATAAGGGCACAAATGTTGTGGATCGCTCAAATCTGGATTCAGATCGCCATATCATTGGTACTTGCAAATCTCAGGAATCTCTGGGCGGAAGTAAGTGTTATTATGCCTGTCTTGAGGCGAAAGTGGCTAATCGACGATCACAGCAGATGATGCACGCTCAATAAACACCGAGTCCCCCAGCAGGATACGCTCGTTGAACGCCTCAAGGAATAAACCCCAGACTGTGACAGCCTCTGACGAAATGGAGCTCGACGTATTTTCCGTGGGGGGGCTAAGTGAGGAGGTCGCCAGGAAGCCGCTCAGGCGCTCGCCACCTCGGGTCTCCATGTTGAAGGAGCACGCATCCGCAACTCCCATAACGGCCTCGGGAAGTCCTCAAGAATCCCAATCAGTAACAGCAACAGAATCCGGCTACGACTCTTTCGACACAGATCAGCTTTCGATATCTGATTCTTCTGAGACCGAGCGACTAGATGTCAACGACCCCCAATACGTCGTCCTGAAGCGTGTTCTCTTTCGACTTCTCTCTGGTTACAGAACCAGACAGCAGTGTCCGTCGTCTGCCGGAGAGAGTGGATAAGGAGCTGGCGCATCGACAATTGCACCCAGCTCGTCAAACAGCAACACGAGAGGGGCTTCAAACCAGACTAATTTGAAGAGAAAACGAGGCAACGACGACAGTGATGATGCAGATCAAGATGACTTCCAGCGGCCACCTCAGAAGAAAACGAATCGCGACGCTGCTGAAGCTTCAAAGAAGTCATTTGCATGCCCATTCTTGAAGAAAGACCCCATGGAACACCGCGACTGTTGTACGAGGAAGCTGAGCAGGATTCGAGACGTCAAGCAGCATCTGGCCCGAAGACACACGCCAGAGAGATATTGTCAGCTCTGTTTCGAGACGAGCTTCGCGACTGAACGCAGCTTGCAGAACCACCTCAAAGAGCGATCATGTTCGAGCCAAGACCCCTCTACGCTCAAGGGGATATCGTATGATCAGCACCGGCAGCTTTCCAAAAAGTCCAACCCTGCTCTGGGCGAAGAAGGCCAATGGTTTGCAATCTGGGATGTCATTTTCCCCGAGAGCCCTGATAAGCCGGTCTCGGCGTACATCTCCACAGGCCTGTCTGTGGAGATGCGGCTCTTCCGCGAGTACAGCTATAGCTCTGGCCCGGCCATGCTGAGAGAGCAGATCATGTCAGATCCAGATTGTATGAGGCAGGAAAGTACGGAAGAAGACCAACAGAGGTCACTAGATCGAGTCATTACCGAGGGCATCACTCACCTGCTTGATATGTGGCGGTCGGCCCAATCTACTGGCGCGACGTTGTCGAGCAACCAAAGGAGCAACAATCCACAACCAGGACAGGCAACACCGCTGAGCTCCATTGCGGACAGTGGCTTTGCAACTGAGAGTCATATGTCGTCTTTGGAAAACGGATCGCAAGTTGAAGGAAGCGGTTCACATGTGAGCATGATGAACATCACTTGCCCGCCACCAGCGACCATGACGGCAGCGGAAAGACAAACTTCAATACCATCATATGACATGATGATGGAATCATCCGACATCCATGATCCACAGAACTTGTTTGGGTTGTTTGCGAACATGGACAACATGGGGGATTTCAATGCAAACGGGAACGAGATCGGGTTCGATACGTTTGATCAACTACAAGGGAACTTTGGAGGCTTTGAGTGACATTTGCGTCTAGCAAAGATAGGGAACAGGATGAGGGGATGTAGTGAGCCTGATACGTGCTTTAAAAAGGATAGCGGTGGTGTACGGAGTAACTGGTTGTACGTAGATGTGTTCAGTGGACATGGAGTAATAATAGCTGTGTGGTCGCTGTTGCTGAATTGAAACCACGGCGAAATCATTGTAATTTAAAAAGACTGGAACGGCCTTGTTGGGATATATTATGGCGGGTATTGATGGATTTGATCCATGACCACTTGAACTTCGTGACACCCCTTTGACACCCGGACATAAGTAAATCCCTTCTACATCTACCAGTTGAACGTCTTAAATCGTCGAGACTGGTAGCCATACGCAAGCAGGGCTACCTAGAAGAGCACGCCGAGCGCACCACCCTCCCCTAACGGTGTAATCCCGTCATCTAATGATGACTCAAGCCCCGCCGCCGCCTCATAACCATTCTCTGATTCGATGTTGAATATTGAGGCGGAGATTGCAGCGGACAGAAAATGAAATTAACGGTTCTAAGGCAGTGCATTCCTTCAATGTTTCCACCCGAGGTCGGAGGGTGAGATACTCGTCCATCCGCCAAGAAGTCGTGAATCATATTGGCTGGGGCAGGTTTCTAGTAACATGACCCAGTGTATTCTACCTGCATGGTAATGGAATGCCGTGGCGGCATCCATGGCAAGTACATCCTACATCCACTTGGACAATTACGGCATGTTTAATACGTGATCATCCTGTTGGTCATAGATTGAAAGCTTGATAAATTCATGAAACATGATGATCCGTCGCCAAGAGCGCGGAGTACCAAGCCCGCAAGCCTGCCAGATCAACCGCCAAGCAGTGTTTCCACCATCAAAGAATGGGATCGCCATTGCCACCTACGACTTGCAGTGTGAATAATGATGTATCAAAATGATCTGTAAACTCGCTCATTACACAGAGGTCTCAGCGGTCCTTTTTCTCCGGTTAAATCAACGTCTGTTTCAGTTCGAACACAATTTGAGCACAGATGTCATCTTTTGTCCTGCATGTCTCAGGGTCGGCACATTGACTATAGGAATCTGTGGAAATTAAGGCAAGTGAAGGACAGCTTGGGAACCAATTATTCTGGAGTGATGGAGTGCCCATTGGAGGTTCGAACGGGAGACACGCCAACACAGCCACATGTATTCAAAATGCACTCGTCGTTTGATGCGATGGATCGACATGAGACACGGTAACAAGACAAGACCAACGGCACATAGAGCCTGCGGAACGCGCCACTGCCGTAGTTGCCGCCAAGAACTATCCCGCGAACACGCAATTACTGAATTGCAGTAGTTCGTATGTTTGTCTCGGTCTCCTTTCCGATCCACGGCCATATAAATCCTCCAAGGATCTCGATGCTGTTCTTGAGTTCATCTAGTTCAGCAGCCAACACGGGCTCAAACCTTCACCTTCCCTCGTTTTCAATCTCCTACTCTCTTTTACTTCACGATGACTCGGACTATTCTCCGCCTGCTCGCCTCCTTGGCCCTCTCAACAGCGCTCTACGCTACCCCTTCCACATCTCGTCTATTGCCACCCAGCAAAGACCCCTTCTACGCCGTACCAGATGATGTCGAAAACTTCGCTTCTGGAACCATCTTCAACCATCGGCAGCCACCAGATTTAATTGCCGGCTTTGGTGTGCAGCCCGCCAACCTTGAATCCAGTCACCAGATTCTCTATCGAACCACCGACGATGAAGGCAATGCTACTGCAACTGTTGTTACTGTTCTGATTCCTGACAAGGCCGACTTCAACAAGGTCGTGTCTTATCAGGTTGCCGAAAATAGTGCCTCGGTTGACTGTGCCCCTTCATATGGTTTTCTGTTGTCGACGTCTGTAGACCCGCTCATAGGCTCTAAAACCATGCAGACCCAGCTACTTCTTCTTGAAGGCGCCCTTGCAGAGGGGTGGGTAGTCATTGTGCCAGATCACCAAGGCCCAAATGGCGCCTACTTTACCAACAGGCTGGCAGGTCGTTCAGTTCTTGACGGAATTCGGGCCACGCTCCAGTCAACTGCTTTCACTGGCATTAGTAAAAGCGCCAGAGTTACAATATGGGGCTACTCTGCTGGGGCTTCCGTCACCCAATGGGCCGCTGAGTTGCAACCAACCTACGCGCCCGAGCTAAAGATATTTGGAGCAGCAATTGGTGGCGGTTGCAACAGCCTCGCCGTTCCAATCTCCAGGGTCAACAACGGACGTGTCTCAGGCTTCATACCTATTGTGCTGGTAGGCTTAAGCGCCCAGTACACAGAGCTCAGAGAATTGATCAACAAGGAACTCAAGCCTGAGTTTAAAGGCGAGTTTTACAAGCCCCTACATCAGTGCCTGAACGCCAATCTAGCGTCTTTTGAAGACAAAGATATCACTACCTTTTTTGTCAATTGGCCTCGCTTTATCCAAAACCCCGTTCTCCTCAAGCTTCTCGGTACTTTGAACGACGGAAAATCACTATCTCAAATCCCATTGTTCTGGCACACAGCTACTCATGACGAGGCACTCCCAATCCAAGATATGGACGCCGCGGTAGCCGAGTACTGTGCTAGGGGTGGGACAGTCCGTTATCGGAGGGATACTGCGCCCAACCTTCGCCACACCAACTACGGGGTTGTCAGCACGCCCATAGCAATTGCTTGGCTGAAGGAGGTTTTGAACGGCAAGGCTCCGAAGCCTGGATGTTCCACAGAAATAGGCACTACATCCGAGTTGGACGAAGATTTTCTGAAGTTGTTCCCTAAGGATATCGCTGATATCCTAACTACATCGGCTGGGAAGGTGGGCGGGGGTATCTAAGCAGGCCGGTTATCAGGGAGGTGATAATTCAGTATACTGAATATCAAATTCTGTTGTCCCGTATAAATGTGTGGTCAACTGGTGATTCGGAGTGTGTGAGGAACAGAAGATCCAGGTAGCAGTAGCAACAATAACATCGAGCCGAAACAGCTTGAACAGAATCCAAATATTCGCAAGTATGATGCATGATCGAAACATGCTTAGACACCACAGAACAATAAACCGAGGTGCTCGACGGTAAGATTGCAGATTGTACTAGACGCGCTATGCAGTGGATCTCGGCGTAGAAGCTCGACAACAAGCTTTCAGAGTCGGGGTAATAATGAAGATATAATGAAATGATCGAGCTCATGTTAAGAGCATGTAATAGACTAAGTCTCGTCCCCTCTAGATTAATACCACGCCGATACAAATGAAAATTAGATGCAATGACAGCCATCCCCAACACTCGAAAGTCCATGATATCCTAAGCCTCTTCCTTCTTCGTCCACACACCCTTCAGAGTTGTCTTCCTCAACACCAAAGCTGACAAATCTATCATGGTCCCACTCGTCAGAAGCTCCAACACTTGCAAGTGAGCTTGCAGCTCCTTGCCGATCCAGTTTCTCAACTCAATAGCGTTAAGCGAGTCTAGACCCAGGGCAGTTATGGATGACTTTCCCTGCTCGGCGGCCATGACCTCCGGAGGCAGCATCAAGATGGCGCCCAGCTTCTCCTGGATCCCTAGAGTCACCACCTCATGAGCATCCTCCTCATCGGTGGTTTGCTGAAGCTCTTGCGAGATGGACAAGTTTGCTCCATCTGCGCCGTCGGCATTCAAGGAATTGGCGAGTGCAGCACTGCGGAGGTGAGAAAACTTTCCGTCCGAAGCGTAGTATGGTAGAGATGATGGGTTCTCAAAGTTCAACCCAGTGATACACTGGCCATCGCAAGTGGAGGTCACCTTGCCCTCTATTGCGGCCTCGACTAGAGCCAGAACCTCGGACTCGTTCAGGGTGTTTCCTGAAAGGTTCTTCAGGACTTGCGACTGTCGGGCTGTGTTCTCGGCCAGATAACCAACGCCGTCGACAGCTGTAAGATCTAGTGAAGATGCTGCCAGACCCTGGCGTGCACGGTAGCGCACAAAGGCATCAAGGAAGGTATTAGCAGCGGCGTACGCGGCTTGACCTCTATTACCAACGATACCAGCAACCGAAGACAGGACGATAAAGAAGTCCAGGGGGGTATCAGTAAGAGCATTGTGAAAGTTCCACGCTCCGTTGACCTTGGATCGAGTCACATTCTCGTAGTCTTCAAACGTCATCTTCTCAAAGAGGACATCCTACTACTGTTAGCAAAGAACTGTAGCCGCGAGCTAGAGATACGTACGATGAGCACCATGGCAGCGTGAATGATACCACGGATGGGAGGCAAGTTTCGCTGCAGCTCGGCCACAAGAGACTTTACACTGGCCTCGTCGGCGACGTCACAAGACTTGACGTGGATGGTCGCTCCAACAGCTTGGCTCTCCTTGATCAACTTGCCCAACTCAGTGGTAGCCTTGCCACTGCGCGACAAAAGGACGATGTGGCGAGCTCCACGCTGGACCATCTTTCTGGCCATGGAGCGACCAAGGCCACCAGTTCCACCGATGATCACGTACGTGACATCTCCTCGAAGGAGGTCACCGGATGAAATTGGGTGAGTGGCCTAACATATCGTCAGTCAACATGGATCGAGTTTCTCACATATCTACTTACCTTGACTTGTTCGTTGTTGGTGTGGCTCACGATGACCTTGCCAGAGGTCTTACCACTCTGTAGCTTTCGAAGGGAGAGTTCGACCTCCGAGATGGGCACGGTGGTGATGGGGCCGATGGGCTTGATCGTGTTCTTGGACAGCAATTTCATGACAGCAGTCAAGACGCGGCCCATGATCTTGGGCCTCTTGGCAGCAACGAGCGTCAGGTCAACAGAACTGAAAGTGCAGTTGTGCTCGAACTTGGCCATCTCCAGTCTCGTGTTGGAGGTAATGTCCCTCTTACCGATCTCCACAAATCGGCCGAAGGGCGCGAGACACTCCCATGTTACACGCAGCATGTCGCCGGCAAGCGAGTTGATGACGACGTCAACGCCTTCGCCATCAGTGGCCTCCTTCACAGCGGCACCAAACTCGGTGTCTCTGCTGTAGAAGATGCGGTTCTTAGGAATACCGTAAGTATCAATCAGCAGTTGCTTCTTCTCTGCACTGCCGACAGTTGCGTAAATCTCAGCACCAATCATCTGTGCGAGCTGGATAGCAGCTTGGCCGACTCCGCCGGAGGCAGCGTGGATGAGGATCCTCTCGCCGGGCTCCATGCGGGCGAGGTTGACGATGCCGTAGTAGGCCGTGCTGTAAACGACGGGAATTGAAGCCGCAGTCTCGAAGCTCATAGAGTCGGGGATGAGAGCTGCGCTGGTTGCTGGGCAGCGAGTGTAAGTGCTGTACGCTCCCAGGGACATGGCACAAACACGGTCACCAACTCGGAGAGATGTGACGTTAGATCCAACCCTGGAGACGATACCGCTGCACTCAACACCGATGTAGGGGCTGGCAACTTGTCCCATGGCAATGACAACATCCTTGAAGTTCATTCCGGTGGCCGTTACCTTGATCTCGACATCGTCAGCGGGGAGAGGAAGATCAGCCTCATCCTTCCAGTATAGCGAGTCCAAAGCGCCAAGTGTACCAACAGTAAGCTTCAGGCGGCGTCCAGGCTGCTCGAAGTCTTGGAGGTAAGGTGCCGAGATCTGCGTCTCGCGGAACACGGTGAGGTTCATGTCCTCATGCCCCACGACACGGGGAACCACCAGCTTGCCGTTGTCTTCGGAGAATTCGAAGTCAACCGGCGAACCATCCTCCGGTGTGTCGAGCGACGACACCAAAGCCCGCAAGACGAGCTCGGCATGGTCTGAAGGACCGAGCTGAGGCTGAGAAGTGGGATCCAGGTCGAGAGTCGCCGCAACCTTGCTGTTTTCGGAGCGAACAGTTCGGAGGAGGCCTTGAACGATGTTGTTCTCCGGCTTCTCAGCGAAGCGGTACGCACCGCTGGTGACCCAGAGCATCGAAGAGCATGTGAGAAGCAGGTTCTTCACCTGGTCAAAGGTGGTGACTGACATGTTGTACAACAGAGGTGCATCAAGCTCCGCCAAGCAGATGTAGCGGACAGTGGATGACGGCCGGACTTCAGCCATGGTAGAGACTGAAGGCTTGAATCCAGTCTGTGCCTGTAAGATGCTGGAAATGGCAAATACTAACGGGTCAGACTCGGTCTTGTCGGTGATGATGACGAACTCCTCGCCCTTGAGCTCGACACCAGTTGACTGAATCGTCTCCTCAACTTGGCCATTCTCTTCCTCGGAACCAGCCTCGGTGGTCTTGTCAAGAGGCTCCCATTGGACTTTGTAGCACAAAGATCGCGAGACCTCACAATCCATTATGTCGCTAGACACTGGGGTCATCCTAAAGCCGGAAAACTTGGCCACTGGTTCAGAGTGAGCATCATCCCAGGCGCTGATCACGAAGTCAACAGGTCCAGGACTGGAAAAGTCTGGGCGACCATGGACGACCACCTGGACCTTCTCAGCAGGCAGGCTGGGGAAGCTGTTGGTGATTTCGACCTCCTTGATGGCCGAGGGCATGAACAGCGATGGCATTTCGCCGCGGCCAGCACCGAGAATGGGAAACATCAGCTGCGAGCAGAGATCCATGAATGCCGCGGGCAAGATAGAAGGCGTCTCGTGTACCGAGGGCATACAGGACGCTGTATCGGGAACCACAACGGTGGCAGCGGAGTATTCTCCTTGGGCCTTGAGACCACAACCAGGCTGGAACTTGAAGGCTTCGCTGTAGCCCGCTCCGCGGGTCTCAAGCTCAGTATAGAAGTCGTCCAGCGACAACTCTGCCCCAGCCACATCAATGATATGCTTGCGATGAGCAGCTGCAGCCTGAAGCTGAGGGTTGCTCACAGGGTTAGCATTTCGCTGCCGTCGAACGCCAACAAGACCACGGCAATGCTCAAGCCATCCTCTGGCGGCGGTCCATGAAGAGATGCGGAACTCATCCCACTCGTTGGAGTACGACCGAGTTCCCTCAGCGTATGGGGTCAACGAAAAGAGGGTCTCGTATTGAGCAGCTGGGTCAAGGATCAACGCCTTGGAGACTTGGATCTCTCGAAGACGGAACCCAGCAATCTGCTCTCGCGTAAGGCCTCTCAACTGTGCCCTCTGAGACGCTGCTTCGACGGCCATGCACAGGTATCCAGCCAGGGGGAAGGTCGGCAGAGACTGCATGCGGTGATCCTTAAGCCACGGCACATCATCGAGATTAAGTGTGTTGCGCCAAGTAGGCTCAGAATCGCTGTAAGTATCCTCCAGAACACCAAGGAGATCATGGCGACCAAAAGGCTTCAGGCGATGCTGCTTGCTCGCTCGCGACTCGAACCAGTACTTGTGCGGTGCGAATGGGTAGGGAGCAAAGTCAGTGACGAGGCATGGTTTCTGCGCACCGGGCTCTGTGTAGTTGATGACGCTGAAGTCAAGAGTCTGGCCCTTGATGAACAAGTCTCCAGCCAGCTTGAGTGTTGTGTTGGTAGCATCTTGCTTGCGGACGAGCGAGGAGAAGTACTTGACCTCAGTGGCCGCCTGTTGGCTGATGCTCTTCAGGATCTGCTGGATGGGGCCCTTGAGAGCAGCGTGAGGGCCGATCTCGACAATAACGTCAGGCTTTCCGTCATTGTAAAGCTCCTGCATCGCTGAAGAGAACAGAACCGGCTTGGTCAAGTTCTCAACCCAGTATGAAGGACCAAGCGATGCTGTGAGGTCCAGCTTGTTGCCGAGCAGAGACGAGTAGAATGTCACCTCCTCCTTTATCTTGGGTGTCATGCCCTTGATGGACTCCATATATTCATCTGCCACAAGCTGCATGTGAGCTGAGTGGTAGGCCACATCAACTCGCAGCTTGCGGTGGAAGGTCTCTCGCTTCTTGAGCTCGGCAGCAAGCTTGTCAACGTCATCTTCATCACCAGAAGCCGTTACCGAGTTCGGCGAGTTCTCGCAAGCAATGGTGATGTTCTGCAGGCCAAGAACCTTGATGATTCCCTTGATCTCAGAAGCCCCAGCGCCAACGGCAAGCATACCACCGCGAAGACCGGGGTTCTTGGCCATCAACTTGGCGGCTAGCTGGCCACGATGGTAGGAAATTGCCATGGAATCCTCGAGGGTGATGGCACCAGTTGCGTACGCGGCAGCAATCTCACCACTGGAGTGGCCCATGACCATAGAAGGCTTGACACCCCACCTGGCCAGCATGTCTGTGAGACCTAGCTGAATGGCTGTGCAGATGGGTTGGGCAATGTGTGCCTTGTCCATGTTGGACTCTCCTTCGGGCTTGGACAGCTCCTCCAGAAGACAGAAATCCGCACCAATCTGCTTCAAATGAGCCGCGGCAGCAGTCACAGTGCTGGCGAATACGGGGTTGGTATCCATGAGCTCTCTGCCCATTTGAGGCCATTGTGCTCCTTGACCAGTGTATACAAAAGCCACCTTGGGATCTATGGTAGGTGCTCGCGCAGGGATGGCGCCGCTTCCATTCAGAGAGACGACGAGGTCATCGCACGATTTACCAATGAGGGCAATGCGCCAGGAGTGATGCGTCCTTCGCTGACCCAGTGTGTAGGCAATGTCGCTGGTGAGACGCTTCTGGAAAACCTCGGGGTGCTGTTCAATGTACACGCCGAGCTGTGATGCCACGCGCTTTGCCGCCTCCTCGTCGTTGGCAGACAGCACGAATAGCTTCGGGACCTCGCTCTTGGAGCTCTGTGGCAGGTCTGAAATTGTGAGAGGAGGACGTTCCAACACTACGTGAGCGTTGGAGCCACCAAAGCCAAAGTTGTTGACACTGATAAAGCGCTTGTTCTTGGGCCACGGCCGAGTTGTGTGGGGGATCTTGATATTCCACTCGTCAAGAGGAATAGCTTCGTTGGCCTTTTCGAAGTTGACATTCGGCAGGATGAAGCCCTTTTCAAGCATTAAGGACGCCTTGATGATGGAAACCAGACCGCTTGCATTCTCCAAGTGGCCAAAGTTCGTCTTTGCGGAACCCATGTATAGGGGAAACCTCTTTGTGCGCCCAGGCCCGAAGACGCGGTAGATGGCACCGGCCTCGATAGGGTCACCAACCTTGGTACCTGTGCCGTGGGCCTCAACAAAGCCGGTGTCTTCGGGGGAGATGTTTGCACGAGCGTACACATCACGAATGAGCTGTTCTTGTGCAGAGCCGTTGGGTGTGGCGAGGCCTGAACTGTCAGCGAGAACTTGGATTGCGTGTGAAACTTCTTACCAACTGTCTTTCCGTCATGGTTGATGCCAGTGCTGACGATGACAGAGCGGATCTTGTCGTTGTCCTTGATGGCTTGGTCCAGAGGCTTGAGGACCAGACAGCCAACACCTTCACCTCGCGCAAAGCCGGACTTGGCGCGGTGGTCAAAGGCAAATGTCTTGCCGTCGTCGTTGTAGATACTAATGGTGTCAGCCTCAAGTTGGGCAGAATTTACAGGATCACTAACCCCAGCATAGACATGGAGATCATCTCATCGGGCTGTAGATGCAGACTGCAGCCCGCTACAACGGCCGAATCCGCCTCGCCGGAGCGGATACACTGGACGGCTGAATGCAGCGCATACAACCCAGACGAACAGGCGGTGTCGACTGCAAAACAAGGACCCCGAAGGTCGAAGTAATATGAGATACGGCCCGCCTGGATCGACTGGTGGTTGCCCGTTGAATCAAACATGGGCATCTGATTAAGTTCTTTCAGCGTTCCCAGGTGGTAGTCTGATGAGGTTCCTCCAATAAAGACACCCATGTTGCGCCCGGCGATGGACTCTTTCGACATGCCGGCGTTCTCGAGCGCCTCGTAAGTACACTCAAGCAGTTGCCTTTGCTGTGGATCTATGAGGTGTTAGTTCAACTGACTCGGTTAACATGGATCGGAGCAAGTACCCATCGCCATCGCCTCTGGCGCGGTAATGTGGAAAAACGGCGCATCGAACTTAGACAAGTCATGCTTCATAAAGTAGCCACCCTTGAAGTTAAAGCAACCCTTCTTCTGCGGGTTCGGGTGGTAGAAGGTATCGCTCGAGAACCGGTCCTCGGGCACAGGGCTCCATCCGTCTCGCGAACGAGAGAGCAGAGTCCAGAAGTCCTCGGGAGTGGAGACGTCACCCGAGAGACGACACGACATGCCCACAATGGCAATTGGCGCCATGTTGGGCGTGTTGGCAGTGGACATGATGGGTGGATGAGGACCGGAGATGGGTGAAGAAGGGGATAATGCAATAATATGCTGGAGCCTTGAGCCTGGATCCTGGGTTAAAACATGGAGGGGATCACCCATTTTAAAGAACTGCCGTTAATGTGCAATGTATTTGATCCACGGCCGAGATATCGGTGCAATTGCCCTGTGACCATTGTCATGATGAGACACCGCACCCTTCAGCAACTTCGGGTGTATCCGCCGACTCTACGATCGTGATTAAACAACCGCTTATCGGTGGGTCCCATTCGCCGTTCTCGATCTCGGTCCAGCATATGACCAAGAAACCCCCTACTTGAGGGGCTTGTGCGATATTGCATAGTGGAACCCCGGCCGAGTTGTCATAGTCAGACTACTGTTTTCAGAGATGTAGGGCGAACGCACGGGGAGTCGGTGAACTGTCGATCGTTTCGTTATCAATGTGTTTGAAATTGGCCGAGATGCAAACTCAACGCGTCCGGAATCTGAAAGTCTCTAGACGCAACACGGCCGTTTTATTTTCCTCTCGGTTGTATTCCTTTTCCGGGCCACTATGCGGCCTTACTCTGACGACACCGACATAGCATACTTCCGAACAATGGCCAGCTATGTGGAAGAGGGGGTGCTTCTAGCCCCATTCGCATACAAGGATGTCTCAGTTCTTGGCCTGGCATTTGTCAGTCTAAAATGCCCTTGTCTACATTTCAATAGGCGGGTACTCCCTCACAGTGGCATGTGCTTGAGATTGTAGCTCTTCCTCGAGTGCAATGGGATCTATGACTCGGGGAGATATTGCAGACAGAAGCGCATTCCACGTTCAGTGTCAAGCACAGCGCTACATTGACATAAGGCATCCTCCCCCCACGCAAGTAAAACACCCACCCGACTAATGTATCTGATCGAAATCAATGATCACATATCTCGGTTGTTCCTCGGATAGATCAGAGACATCATCCCGTCCGCATCTGGTATGCTTCTTGATAGTACAATAGTGACGCTGATCGACGGGGACACGGAGCTTCTTCACATGACACATGACAGTGGCTGTAACGTATCAAACTACCCCATAGTCTATCCAATCATAAAGGGCAAATGCAAGGGAGCCGAGCGTGTGGGGGTAGCTCTGAGAGCCTGGAATGGCCTCTATCGAGAGGTTTCCGTGCCCAAGGTGGAGTTCACGAGTCAGGAACACGCACGAACCACGAGTCAAATGCTTCAGTCTCATCCTCTCTGCATAATCATGTCCTCGCTCCTCAACAATTGGACTGGTAGAAACGCTGCAAACGGAATGTGGGCCTCTCGGGGGAAAAGACCGAGGATCGAGAAAGAATACCCTCATAAAAGCTAAACCCATCACCGAAGCCGAAACCTTGATTCAGATCCTTAGGACAATCGGATCGCCAGGGGGCCTGACTCATTCGTCTTTGGCTTTGTTGGCGTGACAGGACGGATAATGTGGCTACAGATAGTCCAGCTCCATCCACTCACGGCAATCGACTCAATAGGTACGCAAGCGCCATTCTCAGCCCTGTCTCAAATCTCTTCCACCGCCGAATCACCAGCAGCGGTCAAATAATCGAGCCAAAGGTTAGTTGGCCATGGCTGAACACTATCTATCCCGCTCTACTAAGACCGGGCCAGCAGCCCCGTCTAGGATCGTGAAGACATGCTGCCGTTTGCTATCGCCAACCAAGATAGATGGACGACTGATAACGGGAGTCTTGGTTGGATGGACAGGAATCTTTCCGCACACGGCACACTGAGATGTGACGTGACATGTGTCTCCGCATTCCCTCGAGAGAAGATGGTAATGTATCGTCTCAACTTTGTTTTGGCACTTGATCGGGACTTTTGGGGTCTAACAAGAGGTAAAATTCGCCCGACGGAAGAAGAGAGCGCCGGGAAAGAGGCCGATGGTCTTCAATTAAAAGCCGAGGTCGACACCTATTCATTGCTACAAGATCATCCTCAACTTCTCTGCTTTTCTCCAAGTGCAACATTCCCCAAGTCTAACAGTCTGCAACCATGACGATTCTCTGCCTCCACGGTGCCTTCGGCAGTGCCGAGGTAAGCTAGATACTCCCTTGACATCGTCCAATCACGCGCAGCCTCTGACATTCACAGAACTTCAAAGTCCAACTCGGCCGGTTCACCGAGGAAATTGAGAAGTCTAGCTCTGCCACCTTCAGATGGATTGACGGGGGGCACGATGCTAAGCCCCCTACCGGCTTTGACAATTACTTTGGTCAGCCGCCCCTCTACCGTTTCATTGACTTCGATGGCATCGGGGAGATGGACGACATGATGAGCAAGATCCGAGACTTCCCCGAAGGCATATCGGCCGAGGACACCATCCGGCGACTAGTGGGCGACAAGGAGATGTACACCGCCCCCGCTGTGAAATCCACCCTCAATAGGATATTCCAGATCTTGGAGGAGGACCCCACGATCGATGTATGTCTATACACATCCTCCGATTGGCCACAGAACTAACTGGGCGTACAGGGCATCCTTGGCTACTCGGAGGGCGCCATGACGGCTGCCACGCTCATTCTCGAAGAGCGCCGCCGCTGGGAAGAGGAGGGCATTCCTCGGCACATCAAGGTGCGTTCCTTCTAGCCTCGAGTATTCTCCTCTCTAACCGTGTTCCAGTACGGCATCTTCTTTGCCGGATGGCCGCCGGTCCGCTTCAACGGCGGCTCAGTGCAATGCCTCCTCGCCGACGAATGCGAGGACATCATCGACGTGCCCACGTGCCACATCGTCGGCTGCAACGACCCATACATCCACGGCGCCATGGCGCTCTACAGCATGTGCGATGAAGACACCGCCATGATGTTTGACCATGGCAAGGGCCACACCGTGCCGCGGGACGCGCGGACGATTCAGGAGTTGGCGTCGGTTGTTGAGACGACTTGGGAGAAGCGGGCCACCTGTGCTTGACAACAGATCAGACATATAGAAATCCAGGCCTTTAATGGAGCGTGGCTGTTCTTCGTTAGCAGCCATAGCAGAAGAGTACGCAGTAGTATCGCGGGAATTCCCTAGCCCCTATTAATTAATGTAATGAAAAATGAGAGACAATACCTGCTCACCCCTCACATCATGCCAAAAGATGGGTCGCAATTCAGCTTTCAGCTTGCATTCAGTAGACACATGAGAGAAACATTTCGCTTGCTCGCAGCGAATCAAACCCCTCAAGACACAAGCCGCAACCCAACCCGTCGTATTTCATGCATCTGTAGATAAATTTGGTATAGTCCCTTGATCAGCTTGATTCAGTAGAAACATGCCGCCGCTCCAAATACAATCATTATTGGCTGCCGACTGCCGCCCCTCTTCTCCCTTATCCCTCATCCCTCATCCCTCATCCCTTCTCCCGCCCGTGTCTCAGTCTCAGATATCTTAGACACGGGTGCCGTGAGTTCGCCGTAACAACTAGTTTGTTAGTCTAACCCATATCCAGCCTGGAATGTATTTGGCCGAGACACCGCCGTCCCGGCCGGGACTTTGCTGGCTGATTGCCGCTCCCATTCCAGTCATGCGCATAAAATCATCGGATTCGTGGCATCCGACCATTTCTCCATCCTCTAACCACTCAACCTATCCTTTGTTTGCATGCGCTTCAAAAATGACTGACCCAAAATCCCCCCGGTCCAAGAAAATTCTCTTGCTAACCAATGTTGAGCGTGGCGAGGCAAATGTGTTCCTATCAACTGCACACGCTCTGATAGAGGCCGATCCCAATGTCGAGCTCCACTTTGCAACTTTTGCAGGCTTGGATGCAGACGTGGCCTCGGTTTGGGAAGAGGCTCGCAGAAAAGTGCCCCAGGCAAAGCCCATAGTCTATCATGAACTTACGGGTGTGTCGATGGGCACGGGAATCATGCAGTACTTTATGAGGAAGAATCCCGAACAGAAAGAAATCACACTGCCAGAGTCCTACATGGCCAAGCCGGGCTTCTCCACTACCCTCCAGGCCATCAAAGACACCATCCCCATCTTCATCCCCTATGAGGGTCCCCAACTGGTCGAGGTCGTCGCCTCCATTATGGAAGTTATCAAGACAGTTGATGCCGACCTTGTGGTGGTCAACAGCCTCATGACTCCGGGTTTGACTGCCTGCTATCATATGGGAGTCAAATTCAGTTGCCTCAGCCCTAATGCTATCAAGGAATTTGCAGCCCCGTTCCAGCCACGGCTTGAGAATCTGTGGAAATACCCGGCGTAAGTTCAATTCAATTATGAGTTTGGCTGTTACACGCGACACTCAAGTCAATTGACGTGTGATTAACGACGAGTAGGCTCTTTTCTAGGTTTTCATACCCCATACCGTGGTATTTGAAGCCTATCAATGTGCTTTACATTCTCTTTGCCGTTTACTCCTTTGAGAAAGACCCGCACAGACGAGAGGTGCAAAAGTACCTTTCATCCCAGGCTGGCATGACACTGAGAACGCCTGTCGACTTGCTTCGGGATCGACCAGACACACTGAAGATTCTCGTCAGCACTCTCCCTGAGCTGGACTTTCCAGTTTATGTTCCTCCTCATGTCATCCCTTGTGGCCCTATCCTCCGTATTGCCCCTCCGATCTCGGAAACGGATCCAATGCTGGAGAGCTGGCTCGCCAACGGACTAACTATCTACTTCAACCTGGGGTCTCTCTGTTCTATTGCAGAGGACCAGGCAGTGGAGATTGCACTAGCCCTGAAGTCGGTGCTAGACACAGTCAAGCAGCAATCCGCTGACTCTCACCTACAAGTTCTCTGGAAGTTGAAGAAGCACGGAGAGTACGAGGTCTATGAGGAGGGCTGCAAAATTCGGGAAATTCTTGGCAAAGAACTCCAAGCTGATCTTGTGAGAATCGTTGACTGGGTTCTTGCTGAGCCCATTTCCGTCCTCACGTCTGGACACATTGCCTGCTCTGTACATCACGGAGGCGCAAATTCCTACAATGAATCTGTTGTGTAAGTTCATCTCCCTTTCCAATCCTGGAGAACCCAGTCAGAGTTCAGGACCCCCTTAACTAGATCGAATCCTCTAACATTATTCCAGTGCCGGTGTCCCTCAGGTGGTACTGCCATTGTGGACAGACTGCTATGAATACGCACAGCGCGTGGAGATGCACGGAATTGGTCGGTGGGGAACGAGGGTTTCAAAGCCAAAGTGGACTGCTGAAGAGCTTACGAGAGAGCTCTTGATCGTGTTGCATGGTGAAAGATCTGACGCGATGAAAATAAGGGCAAAGGAGTTGGCAACGGTCTGCAAAAGCAATGGTAATGGTGCTGTAGTCGCAGCTAGGATGCTCCTGGAAGAGTGCGAGAAGTGATAAGTTGGTACGTTACTGGAAAGGAGGTGGAATGTAGTCTGATGGCTGTTGCCCGCAAGATGTGTGCAAGCGCAAAGGGTTTCATATCGCGATATCTGGCTTGGATAGAGTACGAGGAGTCTCATTATCAACTAATATCTTAATTATGCAATTGGATTGCACGGTTTCAGAGTGATCTTCATAAACTGGTGCCTACATGCTCTGAATTTTCTTGCATCCTGGGTGCGAGGTATTTTACGAGTCCTGTTGAACCCACCTGAGGGCCAAAATCTGACCCATAAGTTAAGGGCACGCGGTCACAGTAATCCACAGGGGACGGCACTGCTGAATACCACCTTTCGCATCTTATTCATTCCCATTAGCAGTCGTGGGAATTTGGTGGTTTCTTTACTTTGTCAAATTGATGTGTAAGACTTAGTGCTACCTTGCTAATCGTAGTTGACAGCGGCTTCGTTTTCTGCTATGACCAAGCAACTGTACAGCCTTTCTTGTGAGACTCTCTGGCCAATTCGATGATTCTGATTCCGTCGCGCGATTGCTCCGCTTTCACTTCGAGTTCCGCAGTCCCTTTGATTGCCCCAGCCAGGTTTTCATAGACCCCCAGCCACCGGCCCGGAGTCGTTGGGTAGCGGCCGGAGTACTTGTTGGTCTCTGGATCAAGGCTTTGGTATTTGGCGTCAAACTCAGAAAGTGTGGTGAGAATTCCATTGAATTCTTTTGGCTCGATGCCAAATCCTGGGTCTGTGGGAAGTAGACCTTTGGCGATCTGCTCTTCTTGGACACAGGTGCTCCGTTGTTGAAACTTGACACTTGTTAGCTCTCTGCTATGTACCCGGAAGCTGGCTATTATCTTACCTTGACGTATGATCCTTCCGATCCGCGAACAAGATATTTCAGTTGCTGATTCATCGGTGTTATAATCGAGGTCTTCACAGTGACGAGAAGACCCTGTTGGTCGCCATCGTATTGCAGTATAATGGTGAACGAGTCTTCGATATCCGCATTGTCACCCTTGGCGGCGACTTCGCGTTGCGCACGAAAGAAACCTGTGACTGACTTGGGGCGTCCAAACAGGACAACGGCTTGGTCGAGACTATGGGTCCCTAGAAAGCTGTTAAGTTTCACGCCGTGTTGGATGACTGGACATGATGAAATTACCTAGGCCGTATGTCATGCCCAAACCAGGTGCATATTCGTCCGCCGTAACTGCCGACAGCCAGGGCGGCGTTTCGAAATCATAGTGAATTTCAGCTTCTGTGATGGACCCAAACGCATTGCTCCCGATGAGTTTCCGGAGCGTTTGAAAGTCGCCGTCCTATGAATTTCGGTTATTCGATAATCCAAAAGGAATGGTATTCTGCTTCTCTCACCCATCGTCGGTTCTGAAAACAAGTCAAAATGAGGTTCTTCTTTTTAGCCAGCTCAATTATGCCGTTTGCCTCTGCTGAGGTCTGGGTGAATGGCTTATCCGCAATGACTTTGATTTGCATTAGTCTCAAACGCGATAAATCTGGATTGGAAGTGCTTCTCTCACCGTGTTTCCCCGCGGTGAGCGCTTTCTCAGCGAATAGTGCATGCGTGTCACCATGTGTTGCCACCACGACGAGTTCAATGCCCGGGTCAGCGAAGAATTCATCTGCTGAGCGGTAATGCTTTGCTTTAGGGTAGTCAACGGTGCAGTGTGAGCCTGCCGGTGCCGTTGACGGATCCGTCGGCGCTGTAGCACGCTGCAAAATGGCAGCAACGTTGTAGTCGGGATTCGCAGTGATGAATGGCAAGTGGAAGCTTTTAGCGGCAAAGCCGTAGCCAACGATGCCAACGTTGATGGGAGCCATGGTTTTGCAATTTTATAACCGCAGCTTTGAGTCAAGATGAAAAAATGCCTCTTGGTAGTCTGCTCTTAGGCTAGGAAAGAGGGGTAAAAGAAGTTGCTGATCTAACATTTGCCCTCCGCATTCGCATGTAGATAGCGGGGTAATTAATTGTGTGTCCGTCAATGTGATGGCTGAAGGCGACAGTCACTGAATGTTTCAAGAGCTGATGAAGTAGCATATATTCTGACAGAAGGGAGGGGGTTTTTCCAGCTTCGATAAGAGCATCCTCATTCGAAAGGTCATGGATGAAGTCACACGACAGGTAGGGTTGCGGTGTCAGAGAAGATGGAGTTCACATATTCCCCACGAATTAATTATGAGAATCTCTGGACTGAAATTGGAGATAAATCTAATTAGATGCTATCGTGTTTCAAAATTACCGCTCCGTCTCGCTCATTCAAGTAACTCTTCCTAATAGATTGTTTGCCAGCAAATAGAAATGACAACAATACAGCGAGCCTCTATGGCGAGAACTTGACATCATCGTGCATGCCGTATCTGTCCCAGCACTAGAAGCCTGAATTAATGGAATTCTATGTCTAGTTCAGCTCTGTAGCACCTATCAGCACGGCAGCGTTTTGAAATCTCTCCCACATGGCCCGTATGCGTACCCACCCGCTTTGAAGCCGTCACAATCTTGCGCCCTCCGCTTGATAACTATTCTCGACGGGGAATTGTTCCGCTCCCTGGTATCATCCAGGCTCGAGTGGTCTCGACCTTCGCCATGATCCAATTCAAGGCTGATTCCAAGGATTAGGGAATCTGTATTCCGAGCGCTACACATCTGCTGGGGCTGTGTGGTGGTGAACCAAGCCTAGCCTAATGCTCGATAGTCGGCGGAATGTGCTCCCCTGAAGTCTCCCCTGAAAAGGGCCCTGTCGCGTGACTATCGCGGCCAGCGGAATCTACTTTCCGCGTCGCCACGGCGTCCTTGGCTTGCTCTATTCCCCGCCACCCCGGATTCTCATTCGTTTTCTGCGAGGTGGATTCCTCGATCGGTATCGGGGATGTGATAAAGGGAAGCACCAATGCCTAACCGAATGTGCAGATAGTCCATAAATGCAGTGCTGATACGATTCATGTGGATTTGGATATATGGGGAGCTGGTCTTCCACTTGGCCAATTCATCATTGCAAGCTGCAACTTCACATTCAGCAACCATCCGCTCTCCGTCTCAGAACGCCAACATGTCTGTCAAGGAAAAGTCAGACGTCAACATCAACCATGATGTTGACGTTAAAATCGAAGAAGGAGTTTCTCTCGAGGTCCCTCAACTCACGTGGGCTGAGCAATTCCGAGCCCTCTGGTCCTGCAAGCGAGCCGCAGCTGCGTGTAAGAATCCAACCAAAAGCATTCACTCTAACATACTTTACTAAAAGATGCCACAGGTCTGGCATGTTCATCTGGTGCGGTATTGATCGGATATGACATGACCCTCATTGGCTCCATCATTGCCAACGCCGAGTTTGTCCACAAGTTTGGCATTCATGATGCTGCGACGGATACTTGGTCACTCCCTGCCGATAGACAGCTGTATTGGAGCATCGTGCAGTATGTATGTGCTATGGCTGGCGCGATCGGCTCCGGATACTTGAATGATGTCGTTGGTCGCAGGCCGGTCTTCCTCTTCCTTGTTGCGTGAGTCGACTTCGATTAATTCTGTCTCCCGAATCACTTGTGCTAATATCACATCTTCAGATGCACCATGATTGGCACTATTGTGGAGCTCTTCTCCCCAGACTGGAAAATCTGGATCGTCCCAAAGGTTCTCTTTGGAGCTGCCATGGGACTGATGCAGGGAACTGTCCCCGCGTACATCTCCGAACTTGCACCCAGCCATGTCCGAGGATTCCTCCTCGCCATGTTCCAATTCTGGATCATGTTTGGCTCTTTCGTCGCGTCTTGCGTCCTTCAGGGTACCTCTACCGTCGCGGGTCCGTGGTCGTGGAAGGGATGCGTCATCTCTCAACTCCCACTCGGCATTCTGTGTCTTACCCTCTTTATTCCCCTCGTTCCAGAGTCGCCGTACTATCTTGCCTCACGATCTCGTAATGATGCAGCAAAGAAGGCTCTACTCACGCTGAGAGGTTCTGAGCCGCACTATGACGCTGAAGACGACCTCGCCAAAATCATCGAAGTTCTCGAGCATGGACGACAAGGCAGGGCAGTCGCGTCATCCTATATCGAATGCTTCCAAGGCACGAACCTCAGACGCACATTTCTAGCTTGTCTCCCTATGGTCATGCAGCACTTCCTGGGATTTCCCCTTTGTGGAAACTACGTGGCCTATTTCCTCACGCTGTCGGGAGTTAAGAACCCATTCGTCATTACAGTCATATCTATTACCATGGCAATGCTGGCCATTCTTCTCGCATTCGTTCTCATCGAGCTTATCGGCCGACGACCTCAGTACCTCTTCGGCACATTCTCTGTTCTTCCCTGCCTACTTTGTATTGGAATTCTTGGCTTTTTGAAGCCCACGACCGCGGTCATGACAGGAGTCGGTGCCCTCTGTATTATCTGGTCCTTCCTCTGGTATCTCTCAGTCGGAGCTGTCGGCTGGACTATCGTTGGAGAAATCTCTTCGCCTCGTCTCCGACCCAAGACAGTCTCCATCGCAGCCATGGTCAATTCGCTGATCAACATGGGGTGGTCTATTGCCATTCCATACCTCGTCAACGCCGAAAATGCCAACCTTGGGCCGAAGACTGCATTGGTTTTCTTCGCGCCAAGTGTTTTCTTCGCAGCTCTTGCCTATTTTGTCCTGCCTGAGACCAAGGGCAAAACATTCGAGCAGCTCGATATGCTGTTCGAGGAGCGAACACCTGCTCGCAAGTTCTAGACATGCAAAAGAATGTATCAGCAGTTGCAAAGCACGTCAGGGACACTAGAGACTAGCCTGTTCACAAAATCCCGCGACCAGAAGAAATGACAGATGGTGGAAGGGTCGGTTATTTCTCAATTTCGACGTTCTGGAACCTCATAGATGTCGAGAACCCTTGTAAGCCCTTGTTGTTCGTGAAGGTCAAATTTCTCAGCTAGACTGTCTGACAATAATACACCTTTTAAATACATCGCAATGACTACCTTGCATAATTCCGGGGCACGATGGAAGCACTGCTTTCATATATTGAAGTCTGATAATTGGAATCTCTACGTATATACCTATGCTCGGTTAGCAAGTGACCTTCATCTCCATCTCAGTCATAGAAACTATACACGTCGCCATGTCCAAGAGTCATTCTAAGGGGCCCACAAATCGCAAATCCAAGGCCTCCTGGTTGGCATGTTGATAGACTGTGGATCGGCTAAAGGAATTTGTATTCCGCTGCCGACGTTGTTTACTAATGTCACAATTCCAATGTGCAGCGTACCAACTGAAGACTTTTCTCGAATCACCTAATCTTGGCCTAAAACAATTCGCATTCTCGTAGCTTATTAACCCATCATTTCCAAGTAAACTTCGCCATGAGACATCGCTGTGTTTCCCATCTTGGCGCAGTTCATCTTTACTTCTTTTAAGACCAAGCCCATCCACAACCGCACAGCCCACTTCTTTGCAATAATGCCGTTGAAGGATCTTGGCCCAGACTCAACTCTGGAGAACAAGGATCCAGGAGCATTGGAAAATAACGAAGTCACGATAGGCTCCGATAGCTCCACCCAAACAGACAAGCGCCAGGTCACGGGAATTCGTTGGGTCCTAATCTGTGTGTCGATCTTCTCAGCAAACCTACTCTACGGACTCGATAACACCATTGTTGCCGACATCCAGGCCGACATCTCGGAAGCTTTCTGCAATGTTGTTGATCTCGGCTGGCTCGGCAGTGGCTTCTGCTTGGGCTGCACCGTGTCCAGCTTTCCCGTGGGTCGAGCATACAGCCTGTTCGACACCAAGTGGATATACATTGGCAGTTTGATCATGTTTGCAGCTGGGAGTGCTCTCTGCGGCGCGGCCCCAACTATGAATGCCATGATCGTGGGGAGAGTTTGGGCCGGAGCTGGTGGAGCTGGCATGTATCTCGGCACACTCAACCTCCTCACGGCATTGTGTCTTCCCAGCGAGCAACCCGTATTCGTGGGCATGATTGCGTTGGTCTATGGTTCAGGAGCGATTGTTGGCCCTATTGTGGGCGGCTTATTTGCGGATAGCCCTGCAACGTGGCGATGAGTAAGTTCTCTTTGACACTCTTCCCGTTACAATATACTCAGCTAGTAACCAATAACTTTGCAATACAGGCATTTTACATCAATCCTGTCATCGTTGGAGCTCTGCTCCCGCTCTGCATATATGCCCTTCCATCCATTCCCCGCAGCCAAGAGTTGAGAGTGAGAATGAAACTACGCGCTTTCGACTGGTTCGGTACTTTCCTAGCCGGCGCCATGTATTTCTTCTTCTCATTTGGCCTTTCTATGGGCGGTGCGCGCTGGGCCTGGAGCGACGCTGCCACTATTGGCTGTCTGGTCAGTTTTGGCGTCTCGCTCGTCGTCTTTTTCCTTTCTCAATATTGGTGCATCTTCACCACGCGTGCAAACCGACTCTTCCCTGGCCAATTTTTCCGGAACGGACAAATGGTATTGCTGTTCATATGCACAGCATGCGGGATATGCCCCATCTTTGTGAGTATCTACTACATCCCGCTATACTTCCTCTTCGTGCACGGCGAAAGCGGCACTCTAGCTGCCATCCGCATGTTGCCCTTTGTGTGCGTCTACATTGCCAGTGTCCTCGCTTGCGGTATCATCATGCGTCGCACCGGTTACCCCATCATGTGGTATCTGTTTTCAGGAGTGTTTCTCAATCTTGGAGGAGCTCTTTGGTCCACCGTTCACGACAATACCGCCGTGTCTACAACTTATGGCTATTCCGTACTATTGGGTCTCGGAATGGCCACCACGCAAGCGGGCTACTCGCTCGGGCCCAAGTTGGCAAGCCCTTCTGACTTCCCGAACGTGATTAATTTCTTGAACGTTGCGCAGCAGTCAAGCCAGCTTATTGGGCTCGTTGTCGCGAGCGCAATTTTCCAGAACTTAACCTTTCGCGATCTCAAACGTGTCTTATCTGGAACTGATTTCTCGGATGCCGACATTCAGGGTGCGATGGCTGGTGCGAGGAGCCTGGTCCTGGAAAACGTCGGTCCTGAACTCCGGCAGAAGTGTATTGAGGCAATTGTGAGGACCCTGGAGAAGGAGTGGTATATTGTGGTTGCCTGTGGTGGAATATACATTATCTGCTCCGTCTTTATGAAGCGGGACAGGTTCTATTCTGTACAGCCTCCACACAAGGCCTAGATACTCTTAGCGAGAACATATTGCCAGTCTACGAAAGCATATTCCATCAGACTATCTACTGATGCCTACACTAGTGAATAATAGCCTGATACTAGTGATATGTAAAAACTAGAACATGGATATGTATCGTAACAGACACGAATTTCATCTATTTTTCGCTGTCATCGTAACTTCACGAAGGGTAACTTCACAGAGGGTCCGCAAGTAAATTCGCCATGGTGAAACCCTCACATTCCCAGAAGATTTTAGTCATTTCCAGGCCTAACTATCACCTCCACGTAATATCTTTAGGTACATGCACACTCCAAGCAGCCTTTGCATTCGCTGCAGTAGTACCCAGAAGTATATCAAAGTCCGTCTGAGCATCTATGATCCAGCCTTTTCTCTTGGGATCAAACATTCCAAACGCATTCGCGGGAACCTGGATCTGTACCTCGACTTCTTCGCCTTGCAAGGATTCAGGAGACTTTGCAAAGCCACACACTTGTTTGACAGGTCTTTTTAACCGAGTCGGCGAACGCTGAGAGAACCACGCAATGACCGTCTGTCGTCCTGGCAAGTCGCTCCCTCCCGTATTCTTGACTCGGGCTGTAAGAGTCAAAGTGGAACCTTCAAGCAGCAAGTCGGAGCTGATACTCCCCGGGTACACTTCAAAAGAGTTGTACGACAGACCAAAGCCTAGAGGGAAATAGGGCTTGGTTCCCAGGAGATCCCACCATCTGTAGCCCACATAAAGCCCTTCAGAGTAGTATGACTCTTCATTTTCGCCCGGGAAGGACGAAAATGCAGGACAATCCTCGATTCGTCGTGGAAATGTGACAGGTAAACGGCCAGATGGGTTATACTTGCCACAGACAACAGCAGCAGCAGCGTTTCCAAGCTCTTGGCCTTGATACAAGGTATAGAGGACGGCTTGAACATCGTCAATCCAGGGTTCCAGTTGAACCGGAGTGCCGGCTTGGACGAGGACAATGGTGCGTTTACATACAGCAGCCACTTCCTTGATCAACTGAACCTGCTCTCCAGGAAGTTCGAAAATGGGAATGTCTTGTCCCTCGGTCTCCCATTCCTTATCTCGGCCAACAACAACGACGGCCGCATCGCATTCACTCGCAAGTTGCGCTGCCTCCCCAGGCAAGTTTGAATCGTCAAACTCCTCGTATCCTATTCTTACTCCCTGAAATTTGTCTTCCATCGGGGCTAAGAGCGGCTGAAGATTGGGATCCAGCTGTCTATCGTGTGAACGATACTCAACGCGGATGTCGTACTCCTGGCCTGCTTCAACGTCCACAAAAGCAACAGACTCGCCGCTTCCGTAAGTAAAGAACAATGTAGACTTTTCTTCAAAAGCACCGGATTGGCAGGTAATCAATTTTCCGTCCATGTAGAGCTCTGCTGGGCCGATGGACGCCAGAGACAACTTGTGACGCCCCGAAGTCAGCGGCTTCAGAATAGTTCGTAATCGAAACGAGAAGTTTGTCTCGCTACCCACTTCCTGAGGCACAGTGCCAAAGGACATGAAATATAAGTCATCACTATGGGATGGGTGATCAGTATACGAATTACAACACAGGAGGCCACTTGGAAGGATAACATACGCGTGTGTTTTTGCGACTGGCTCGGTTCCAAGATCATGACCAAGATGCCAGTCAATCGCAGCGCCGGGCATCCCAGTATCCGGATTCCGCGCTACTTCAGGAGACATGGCTGGCAGGTATCGGTTAACCCTGGCGCCCTCTGCAAAGACGACGTCTGTCCCGTTCGGGTTGAATTCGTCTGTCAGCGAGTCGAAGACAGATGTCCAATACGGCGCTTTGATGTAAGCGCTTCCTCCGCCACCGGCGACTACTCTCTTCGCGTTCGGACCAAGGACGGCTAGTTTTCTTATGTTCTCGCTTGGTTTCAGCGGCAGAGCATTTATCTCGTTCTTGAGCATGACGATGCCCGCACTGGCTGCTTGTAGCAGCAATGATTTTGTCTCTGGGTCGTCTCGGCAATATTCAGGATCATCTGGCGCAGCTGTGAAACGTCCAGCCTTCTGAAGGAGCCGGATTATGCGAGCTGCAGACTCGTCCACACGCTTCAAGTCCACAAGGCCTTGCTGTAGGGGTTCCTCCAGCGCCACCTGTGATCTTCGGACCGGAGGCCCTGGCATCTCAAGGTCCAATCCGTTGTTGATGGATTCTACTGAGGTATTGGTGCCTCCCCAGTCACTCATAAAGACGCCGTCCCAACCCCACTCCTCTCTGGCAATGTCGATGAGAAGTTCTTTGGATGCGTCACAGTGGGAACCATTCACCTTGTTGTATGCTGTCATCATGCACCAAGGATCTGCATCGCGGACGATCATTTGGAACGGCAGCAGATAGACTTCGCGCATCGCTCGTGGATCCAAGTGAATGTTCACTTTGAATCGTTTCGTCTCTTGATCATTGGCTAGTTATAATTGGTTAGTGGAACTTGCGGTACACAGTGCATCAGATAATACTCACCAACGAAATGCTTTGCCGTAGCACCCACTCCACGGGATTGCATGCCCCGAATGTATGCCGTCGCAAGTTTACCTGTCATGTAGGGATCTTCACTGAAAGACTCAAAGTTTCGTCCGCCAAGTGGATGGCGCTGGATGCACATGGTGGGAGCAAGCGAGACGGACGCCGACTTGGATTTGCACTGAGAGTGTTATTCGGGGATCCCAGGACAAATATCGCGATTAACTCTTACCTCCTCGGCGAGCAATTTTCCAATTTCGAACATGATGGTTTCATCCCAAGTTGCCCCGAGGCTGACACCGCTGGGAAGAAATGCAGCAGGGACACCCTCACCAAAGATTTCTCCTCTGGCCCCAGAAGGGCCGTCCGACATCTAAAACGGATTACTATCAATTGTATCATTATTGACGGAATTTATATAGACTCGCTTACCTTGAGATTGGGAATCTCGAGACGCTCAATCGCAGCAGTTCGCCATTGGGATCCGCCTGCAAGCAAGCACAGTTTCTCGTCCAGGGTCAACTTAGCCACCAAGGCCTCGGCGTCTATATCCGTCATGATGAAGGTCGATTGTAAATAAGATCGCAATCTCGCAACTGTCGGACGTTTTGATGTACTATCGCTGGGTACAGACAAGGGTGTAACCGTCCGACTGCGTTGGTGGACCGGGGTGCGATAAGAGCTCGCTGAAGTTGGCAGACAGAGGTTATTGTTAATCTCTGGCCGTATTGAGCCACTGCAATAGAATAGCGAACTCCAAATGTCTTTATTATAGCATTGCAAGGGCGGGGATTTCCATCATGTGTGCGGAATGTGCATTCCTCCATGAATTACCAAGTCAGGTTATGGTAGCCCGCGCTAGCGGAATCTGGATTCCGCAAAACGGCTCACATCTGAGGCTTAAAATCGGCACTCGCGCAATACTATTTATAAGTTTCATTTCAATATGTCGTTGGTCGCAGAGAGGGGTAAGTTTTGAATGACAAAGTTTCTCGACTTCAGATTGACTGGTTCGACTCTGTGAGCCATCTTCCTTCATATACTACTACAAATGCTAATTTCTACGTCTGTTACGTTTTTCTTGTCCCCAAATTCCTTTGTAAGTGCTACCTCCGGTTCATATCCTCAAATCGTGTGAGTAACCCTAGAATATCAAAACACTATTCTTTTGGAGCCATGATAATTGCAACACTAATGAAGCTACCTCCAAGCAAAGCTGTAGGGTAGTCTCTTCTCGATACTGCTTTCGGGCCATAGTTAGTGCGAATGCCGAAAGCTTGTGTTACAGATATTGCCACCAGCCAAATTAAGGTAAACTCCACGCCGCCTTACCGGCATATCAAAGCCGCTTCCGGGAGAATCCACTACACTAGATCCATGCCAATTGAAAGAAGATCCGTTGACATGTAGCTGAGTAATCACTAAAAACAGCACTCCTCACTAGACTGTTCAAGTTAGCTCAGATCGAAGAAAGAGGCCAAATGGTCCACAATTCTTAGGGGGAGTTCTCGCATTAACCGAGAGCAATAGCCAGGATATAAGGGATGGATGCCACGCGAAGAGCCTACGCTACGCGTCTGCTACAGCACCATCTCAATCCACATCATCTCGCGACTCCCACTGGCCCTCGGAACAGTCGGGCCGGGGAGCATCTCATGGTATACCATGACCGCTGACCATGCCGGGATGTTGGACGCCGCGACGCCGTCACCATCTGCCGCGTCAGCGCGACCGGTGAAACGAGGCGCCTCGGTGGCGGAGAATCGGAGGTCGAAGCGGGCGAAATACGCTCCGGTGGCCTGGTATGCGTCGAGTGTGAAGCTGGAGTCGCGTGTAGATGCTGACTGCGTACAGCAATGAGTGCAAGAAGAAGAAGCTCAAGTGCATTAAAGAAGACAACGAGGAAACTTGCCGGAGATGTATCACCAGCGAGGCCACTTGCGTCTTTACTGTGACCAACCAGCCGCCGGCTTCGCAGTCGCAGTTGCAGCCACCGCCGCCAAAGGAAACCAGCCATGATGTCTCAACCGATAAGGATGATGGCGACCGGTAAGGCAAATGCTACCCAGCGAGTTGTGTAAATGACTTATGTGAGAATAGGTCGCACGATAACAACTTGAGCGATGAAGTTGCCAGGCTCCGGGACCAGGTCGCCTCCTTGACTGCATCTCTCCGCGAAATCAACAACAGAACCGCCTTTATCAACTCACGCTCACCGGCTGTCACCACCCAGCAGAACCCAAGCCCAGTGTACATGAGTGAATCAAATTATCGCCCCAGTGAGCCGAGGCAACCGCAGTTCGTTGGCCCGACCAGGTCTACCTTCAGTCTGCGCATCGCGGAAACCTCACTTACTCGCATGGGCATCCAGACCGGCGAAACTCCAGAGAGTAGATCAGCGTCACCCGCACCGTCTGAGAATCCTTCCCCAGAGAACTCGGCGCCGCAAGCAGGAGCCTCCCAGAAACAGGAGTCGGATTGCTTGTTGAATTTCGAGCTTGATGAGATCCAACGCCTACTGGATGTCTACGAGGAAGAGGTCGAGTCTGTGTACCCTTTTACCAACATAAAGGAATTCTCATTGCGGATGCCCGATATTCTTGAATACGTCCGGAATGTAGGAGATACACCTCCGGATCCTGACAACCCGGTCGACCCCCAGACTCAAATCGAGCTGAAAGACGTTCAGATAGTCAAGGTTGCCCTTGCTACATCGATTGTCATGGAAGCCAAAGGATCCAATGCCCTGAGTAGAAAGCTCGTTGACTCCGTTGAGTCAGTGGTTTGCCGAGTCTCGGGTGAGGCCAAGATAGATCTAAAAGAGGTGCAAATCATGACAATACTCGTAAGTCTTATTGCAACGCTGATTTGAGATGGTCGTTGAATTGACACTGAACAGAGCATCTACTTCTTCCACTGTGGCGAGGAACTTCTGGCCTGGCGCGCCATCGGTATTTCTAGTCGTGAAGTTCTAGAAATAGGACTGCACCGCCAGGCAATTCTCTTGGAAAACTTCAAGGGGCACAAAGAACGAGACCTGGCTGTGCGAACCTTCTGGTGTGTCTATGTTCTCGATCGACGTTGGAGCTTCGGCACGAGTCTATCCTTTGCTCTCATCGACAAAGACATTGATCCGGAATTACCTGAACCTGTTAGTGACCTCTACGCCGTGCTTTCTATCTGGGGATTCCTGACCAACTGACCTCCTCTGCAGGGCGATGACTATCCCTATCTCCGATGTATGGTCGCTTATGGCAGGCTTTGTTCAAAGGTCTGGGAGGCTCTTCCGCCTTTTGAGTTGCCATCTCAATTCATTCCCAAGGATTCAGTCGCCTTCTTGGATTTCCTGACCCAGAACTGGCTCAATGCAATCCCGTCAGACCTCCAGCTCCGACATCCTCGTCTGGGTCTCGCACCACGAAACCAACCCCGAGTGCTGCACCGTTTGCGGATGCTTCTGTACCTCCGCGGCAATCATATGCGTACACTCATCCACCGCCATCATCTCCTTAGCACTTCAAGCATCAAGGCAGATATGCACGGTGCCCGGTTAGTCCTCGATATCGCGCAGGACACCATTGAGGTGCTAGTCCACTTGAATGACACGAGCGATATATATGCACGGCAGCAGAACGCCTTCAACTACTTCCTATTAAGCGCGCTGGCTGCCATTCTTCTCGCAGTCTGCCATGCGCCGAATGTGTTTGCGGAGCCGTGTCGGGAGAGCTTTCTGAAGGCTGTGCAACTAGTCAAGAGCTTCGCCCGCGATGGACATGCAAGCCGGAGGCTGTGGAAAACCATCCGCGGCCTGCTCCCTGGGTTCAAGGTATTTGGCCTACAAAGCGACTCGGACAAGGGCGAGGGGCCTCGAGCCTTGACGAACGGCGGTGCAAGCTTGGAAATACCAGTAGCTGATGACACAGGAAAGAAAGCGCCGGAGAGAGCGGACACTTCGACGAGATTTGGGGACATGTGGGATTCTCAGGATATGAGCCCTCACATCGATACATCAGTTCCAGATATGCTCAGGATGGGCGGGGATCTGATGAGTCTTTTTGATGCATTTGGTCAAACACATGCTACACAGCCGGGAACGCCCGGTATGCCACTTGGCTTTTCAGGCTTGGAGGACCCGGGGATGCCCATTGGGGATCCAGAAGAGATTTCTCGCCGATTTCAGGGGTTGATATAGGGAATGGAGTATTTGGCTGATGGAGGAGTGTGTGTATACTTGAAGAACCAATTTGGCCCGCTGGGATGCGTGTAATGGCAACTACCTTTGTGTTTTAAATACCTTGCAAGGCCTCATTTTGAGCTTCTTAATGTCAATTACTTGGTTACGACAGATTGCATTATTCTCAACCCAAAGCCATTAAGCGAATGAATGTCACTGCTTAGTACAGGTCACATCAAACGATGCGGGGTAAGAAATGAAAGCTCGAATTCCAAACAGCAAGATCCTGGGGTCAAGGTCGTAGATGCAGGGGTGGATGCGTCCTGCAGCCGCGGGCCGCGAGCAGGGGCTTGATCCGGAACACCCGAATTCGGAAGATATGAAGCCTAGGTTCCGATGTTTGAGGCTGAGATGCGGAACTGCCGACTTCCGGTCTCTAAATATAGTCATGGCGGTCTCAAGATGGCCGGAACAATGTGAGATTACATCATGTTGTATTTCTAAGATCTGGCAAGACGTCTACGGTAGTGGCGACATGTCTTTAGCAAGCCTCTCTCCAGTATGCAGTATACACTTGGCATATTGCAAAACAAAATCGCTAGTTGTATTATCAATTCAATTATTGACTTAATATAGAATATGGTACAGGAGCTCAGCAACTGCTTTCTGCGACTGGAATCCCCGTAACAACATTGCAACTGACGACCGGCACTTCGAACTTCTTCTTGGCAAAACCAACGTAGTAGATGATACCAAAGAAGAGCCACCCTGCGATGACGACAACCGAGTAGTTCATGTTTTGGGGCGTGACGGGCATTGCACTGGGAAATGTGCTGAAAATGATGACCACCACAATCCATACCAGGCTGATGACGTTCAAGATAGGGCCAAGCGCAGAGCCCAGTTTAAAAGGACCGTACTCTGATGGAGACAAGACCTTTCGGCCAAAGATGAGCATGTAAATGATGGGAATCATATAGCTCGCGTACATTCCGATGATTGACATGGACAGAATAGCGTTGAATGCGGTTGTGTTTCCGATGTAGATGAACCCGAGCAGCATTTGAAGCACTGTAACTAGTACGACAGATCGCACTGGGATCTGCGTGCTCTTGTTGACCTTGCTCAGATATTGGTCGTACGGCGTAGCTCGATCTCGAGCAAAGGCCCATAGAGTTCTCGATGTCGAGGTGACGCCAGCTACCGTGGCAGCCGTGGCAGTTGCACTGATGACGAGAGACATCACCGAAGCCCCAGCCTTGCTTTTCGTCACGTCGTAGTAGATTTGCATGAATGGAAATCCAGTCTTCGTCTCGAGGAGCGCTGCAAGGGAGCTGGTGGAGAAGAGGAGCATGATTCCGTAAACGAGACCCATGAATCCGTTGGCAACCACACTGCCAATCATAGCGATGGGAACGTTTCGGCTGGCATTTGGCATCTCCTCGGCAAGATGGCAGGCGGCATCGTAACTAGGAAGTACGTTAGAATGTTGCATGCTCGAGGTTTTGCTTGTGCTTACCCAAGGAAGGGATACACGGCGCTCAAGAGTCCGACCAGCCATGATACTCCGTCGTTGTCCCAGCCGCTTGAGTTGACGAATTCAGTAAAGACGAAAGACGCAGTGTTTTTCGGGGCCAGGACTCCAAGGACAATAAGGATTACGACAAAACCGACGACATGGATGACACCTTGGATAATGTTAGTAGCTGCAATAGGCCAAGACCTTCGGGTTCGGTATTAGGATCATACCTGAGAGGAGGTTCGCAGTGGGTAGCAGCTTGGCTCCCCAGATATTAATGGCCATGGCGTAAACTAGAATCGCCCAGTAGAACAGCATGCCCTGCCATCTTGCCGCAGTGTATGAATCGTTGTTGAGGGTAATTAGGGCCTGCAGCTGAAGACCGGCAGCAAATGCTGCGGAAGAGGTCAAGACGACTTGGCCTCCAACCGAGATCCAGCCCGTCATGAAGGAAGCCGCGGATCTGGAAGATGCGGGACAGAGTGCTGCAACCCAGTGGTACTGTCCTGTAGAAAAAAAGAGATCAGCATCAGCACAGATGAGAGTTTTTCCAGGTTGCAAGATAGCTTACCTCCTGCAGTTGGGTAGATGGAAGCGATTTCTGCCAACGAGCAGGCAATGCAGAGAGTGCATATGATGGAAAGCACACTTCAACTGGTGTTAACTTCGTCGCAAGTGTTCCATGACAATCAACAACATACAGGTTATAGAACAGGCACGGCGCGCCGCCGCTCAACAACGCCGTTGCAATGACACTGGACAAGGCCTCCCAAGTGCCCATCAAGCAGATGCAAAGCGCACCCAGCGTAAGGAGCGAGAACTGGCGGTTGAGCTCCTGGGTATGGCCCAGCTGCGCGAGACGCGCATCATCGGCGTTGGCAGGGGCTGCCGTATCGACTTTCATCGTGTCGTCGTAGTCTTTCTTCATGTCGGAGTCCATCTCGAATGCTTGATCACAGAGCCTGCTCTAGAATCTTCTACTTGAAAAACACTTGTGGACGCCTTAATTATTATATACTATTCCTTCGACGCCCCCATTCGGGTACACTGTTCTCCGTACTTGTTACACAGAGCTTCCGACCTTAGGAACGAACCTTATCTGTCGCGACGCGTCCAATCAACTCTAGGCCTCTAATCAGCGGCCAAGCAAAATGCTGGCTCTAGAGCACCAGCTTATCACAGAGGGACTGGGGGGTGAGGAGGGTCATACAGATAAGAGTCCATGCGGAGTTGGGCTTGTTCCGGAACTCGGAAGAGGCGCCAACTTAGCGTTCCGACGAGTAGGTCGCCTGACGATTATTTGTATGGTATACATGGGAGACAAGGCCGGTCAAATATCGGTTTTTGTCAGAGCTGGGTGCAATTTGGCGTGGAATCGTCTGTCTGGGTGAAATAATTGCTTTATTGTAGCATGTTTTGAGCATGTCGATATTGCTGGTGAGTACGACGAATTCGCCGAGTACTGCTCCTTGAGAACTGCTCCTTGAGCATCGCTTCTTGAGCACCGCTTGTTGAGTACCCGTATGTATTCATTGCCATTTCCCCGCATCCTTTCGAATGGCATCTCGGTAAATCCTCCCCTCACCCTTGACCTGAACGAGACTAACATTGCAGGAGGTGGTGTGCAGAACATCAGGAGGCTATAAGATCCCCGGGCAACTCATGTTGAAGTACTGCGACTTGCATGCGACATCTCCGGAACCACGAGGTCTGTGCTGCAACAACGGCTGCATCGGGACCTGTAAGATATGCAGATGTTTCGGACGTTAGATTTTGGAAGCAACGGGGCGAGATAGGGAAGTGCTGCGCCTTAACTACAGATAGTTGAGGAAGGCATTTAATTGTCAGCTGAACCTTTGAGCGTTCATTGGTGTCAACTTCGAGTGACGCCTTGATCGAGTGACTGCTTAGACGCGTTTATCTCATACCCTGGCATTCGCGTTGATAGCGATTGATAGTGTTGACGCGTTTATCGCAACCCTGGCTGGATGGAAGCAGCTGAGATATGCTGCACCCTTACTCGATTTCCTTGACCCCCTTCCGAGATGGACTGGGGCGGGTTGGAATATATCCAGAAGTTGCTTTGGTTGGCTCCCTCGTAAACACACACATGCAAGCCGTGTACACAATCGTATATCGCTATCTCCTCGGAACCAGGTTTCGATATGTCGGGAAGGCAGGTGGAGTAATCCGATGAAGTCGTCGATTGTGGGATATGCTGATGTCTTGTTTTGGGTTGGTTCGCACTGCACTGCAGGCCTCCGATGCTCGGGAGTTATAGATGTAGGATTGTGGGTTTCTAGCTGCAGCAGGTCTAGTGGTCCTATGAACGTCGAATAGGATACTGGAGAACAAATCCGCCGTAATCGTACATCAGAACCACGGTTTTGACGGGGTCTGCAGTCGTTGGCGTATCCATCGTGAGAGTCTGCCGAGAGGCCGTTATCCACCTTCTGTGCCACGTATGATAAGTGAATATAAATATGTAAATTAAATTCGTTTATCTAAACCGATGTCAGACCCATTGCAATATCCTTAAATCCTTACTCTTTGTTGTTAACTGCTGGAGCTAGGGTTGTCCCGCACACTCGCCGTACTTGGCTTGAGGGTTATATTTCAACAAGCCTGTTCATTATTTGGAATTGCCAGACCGCGGACTATCCGTAGATCTTAGCGTCTCATCAACCGCATTAATATATGAGACAGCACGCTGCCGGGCTGAGCTGAGTCGCCCGGAACCTCGGTCGGAAATACCGGCAGCGCGGACAATTTCGGCCGAGTCACGTACCGGCCACGCCCAAGATATCGGAACATTACTCGGAATCGGAAATACTCACTAATTATCCACACCCACTTCCCCAAGCTCCGGCGAGATAACGACGCGATTGGGCTGAGAATGCGGGGCAGATCTCGGAAATGAGAGCCATCGGGAAATCTTACGCCAGTTGTGTTGATGCTTCCTACGGCAAACTCGATTTATCCATGATTTATCCATGCGGAACTGCTGAAACGAAACCCAAGCCATAGCCGGATTCCGGGGGATCGTAGTCAATGCCGTAGCTCAAGTATATAGTGATACGCAATGATGCAGCTCCAGAACGACGGCTGTTTAAGCCAAGACCCGCCTGTATACTGCCCGTATCACTCCGGAATACCCCTTGTCGAGCCCCGTACATTCCATCTCCACATCCTATCTACAAGTGAAGCTACCACGACGAATCAATGGCCTCCGTCACTGTCAAAGGCGCAGAAGGCCGCCAGATCTCCGGTGCGTTGGCCGTTTCCTAATCACACCGCTATAGGCACCTAACCACAGAAATTACAGTGCCCACGGGGCTTTTCATCGACAACGCCTTTGTACCTGCTACCGGCAACAGCACCATAGACATCGAGAACCCGTCCACCCGCGCTCTCCTCGCCACCGTCTCGGCGGCTCAGGCCGAAGACATCGACCGAGCAGTTCAATCCTCGAAGAAGGCGTATACGACATGGAAGAACGAGTCACCCAGTGTCAGGCGGGCCCTGCTCAACAAGCTCGCCGATCTTGTCGAGAGAGACGCGTCCGAGTTCGCGTCGCTTGAGTCTGTTGATGGTGGAATTTTATACAAGGACTCAATGGGCCTCCACGTCCCGCAGTCGATTGATACCCTACGATATTTCGCTGGCTGGACGGACAAGGTCGATGGCGTTTCCATGTCAATCCCCCAGGGACTGGCATACACGCGCCGTGAGCCCATTGGAGTTTGCGCCGCCATCGTCCCCTGGAACGCGCCGTTGATGATTACAATCTGGAAGGTTGCGCCTGCGCTCGCAGGAGGTAACACCCTGGTCATTAAATCCCCCGAGATGTGCCCCTTGTACGCCCAGAAGCTCGGCGCTCTTATTGCCGAGGCTGGCTTCCCGCCTGGTGTCGTCAATATTCTCTGTGGTCTTGGCTCTGTTGCCGGCCAAGCGCTTTCCGAGCACATGGAGGTCAAGAAGCTTTCCTTCACCGGAAGCTCCGGTGTGGGACGCGCGATTCTCGCCACTTCAGCCCGAACGAACTTGAAGAAGATTACTTTAGAGCTGGGCGGCAAGGGCCCTTCTATTGTCTTTGCCGACGCAGACTGGGAGAATGCGCTCCTCTGGACTACGTTGGGCATCACGGTGAATAACGGCCAGATCTGTGCAGCAGGTAGCCGTATTTACGTCCAGGACACCATCTACGATAAGTTTGTCGAGGAGTTTAGCAAGCGCAGTCGCGCAGCAGTCCATGGCGACCCCCTTCTCTCAGAAACGACCAAGGGTCCTGTTATGAACGCTGGCCAGCTTGAGAAGATGTTGGCATATGTCGAAAAAGGCAAGAAGGCCGGCGCAAAGCTGCTCCATGGCGGCGAGAGGCTTGGAACGGAGGGCCACTACTTTGCCAACACGGCGTTTGCCGACGTATCTCAAGACGCACCTATTATGCAAGAGGAGATCTTTGGACCTTTTGCGAGCATTGCCCCCTTCAAGACGGAGGAGGAAGTTATCGCCAAGGCGAATGGTACTCTATACGGTCTGAGCGCTGCTGTCTTTACAAATGACCTGAACAAGGCTTTCCGTGTTACAGAGGGCATCGAGTCCGGCCAAGTCACCGTCAATACTTGGGGAACCGTCAATGCCAACACTCCCTTTGGTGGAGTCAAGGAGAGTGGATTTGGTCGTGACAATGGAAAGGAGGCGCTCGACGAGTGGACAACGGTCAAGAGTGTTAAGTGGAATATTTTGCCGAGCAAGTTGTAATAGACGGGAGAGGCTTACTTGGATATTACTGAGCGCATGGTTAAAACTTACTGAATTTAAATAAAAATGCACAACCAGATTATTTGTTGAGTTTTGTGTTCGCTTTCCTCGACCCATGATAATCTTGGGTCTTTCTTCATTTACTTTGAACGACGCCTGATTATGAAATCACTCCGCCACATTCTCACAAGGCCCTACCAACCCATCTAGAGATGAAATAGTGTACTAGGCTAAACCAGCGATTATTAATTCCCCATCTCATTCCAATTCCAATTCCCATCCCTCGAAATTGGGCAAAAATATCTGCGAGGATTAGGGTCCAGGGTAGCTCAATCTAGCGCACGTGACGATTATGGCTACAGGAATATCTTCAACCTCTCCCGCTACAGAGTTTTCTTCAACCGCTGCACTCAGGATGGCGGAGGCATCAGGAACCAGCAGTCTATTGACCGTGATCATAACGACTTCGGTGACACCGTCTGCGCCTTCAACAGAACTGGTCTCATCGGTACTAGAGTCATTCAACCGTCACTGCCCGAGCTTGGCTGACTGTAGGATCATCGTTGTATTCGACAACTACGACCAAGTCGTCCCTTCAGCGCGTCTAAAAAAGGGCTACGTTACTTCTGAACAAGCCGCAGACTTTGATCTCTACAAAGATAATGTCAAACAGCTGGTGCTAAAACGGCATTGCGAGGGCAAAGAGCCGGTTGTTTTCACGCAGGAATTAGCGGAGGCAGAGTATGGCAGCCCTCATAAGCCTGAAAATGTTGTACACTACACTACGACGCAGACACAAGACAAGAAAGTGACGTTCATAGAGCCGTCGAGACGCTTTGGCTTTGGTCTGGCTGTCCGTTCGGCATTGAGAATGACTGAGACTCCATATGTTTGGATCCAGCAGCACGACTGGGTTTTGGTCTCCGATTTTCCCATTGATCCTCTCTTGCAGATCATGAGAGCTTCCGAGTTAGATCCGGACGTCCCCATGAAGTATGTCTGCCTCCCTGCAGTGCGCATGCTATCATACGCCACATCTCCCGACGTTGTCAAATTCCCGGCTCTCAGGCAGTTGACGGCCTCACTCAGAGGCAGCTACAGTCCTGCATCAGACACAAACATCAAAATTCCATTGACACCACTCTTCTTTTGGCACGATAAGCCGCACATTGCGTCCACTGCACATTATTTAACGCGCGTTTTCCCTACGCGTCTGGCCATGCTTCGCGGGGACTTTATTGAAGACAAGATCGGGCAGCGAGCTAGGGCACAAATGAAGGAAGGACTCGTAAGTGATCCCCAAATATCCGCCGCAATCCATTTGTTTCTTGGAGTCGAAGATTTTCTCCCGAGCCTGATTCCGAGTATACCGCAACGATTTATGGCTAATGACATTGCAGTGGACGAAGTGGGCGACTTGGCTATACTATCCTGATGAGGGAAAAGAGTTATGTCTGAGGCATTTAAAAGGACGGACTTGGCGAGGGACGGAAGGGGAGGCTGGAAATGTCGCCATGTGGCGACAAAGACACGACGAAAAGAGACCGCAGGTCACTGAAGAGTCTTCTATTGAAGTGGAGATTTATGGAGGCGAGCCTGAGTGCGTCCTAGGCAACGATGCTGTCGAAACTTGATCTGGCTGGTGTTACCAAAGTGGAACCTCAGGTGCCTCGTCGGTGAACATCCAGCTCATTGGGCCCATGTTGCTGAAGTTGAAGTCAGCATCCGTCATCTGATATCGAGTGTTAGCGATGCATGACGTAGCTTGGCCGGGCATAATTTACCATAAAGTCCCAGCCTTCTATCAGCTCGGGCGGTGTGTTGAGAGGCATCCCACTGTGCCCATTCCCAGCACCCTCGACCTGGCTCTGGGCCGCTTGCGGTTCGAGTATCGTCAGGGATTTCTCTCCAGCATCTTCAATAGACTTGACTAAGAGTTTTGGAATCTCGCTTTTTCCGAGGGCCCGTACCAGTCCCTCTATATGTATAGCAATCATACAGGAAGCCATATAGCCCTTGACGTTAGTTTCACCGGCTTCGATACACCTCAAACACCAGTCCTTTGCTTCCTCTACGACAGGAAGTAGAGTTGGCCGTAAACGAATAGCACTAAGGCTTTCCTCTTCCTGCAGTTGGGTCCTAACTTCTGCCGCAATCAGTAAACTCGCCTGCATGGCAACTGTGCGAAAGAAAGTAGAGCCGCAGGAAGTTAGCCGTGCAAAATCATCCTCTTCCGCAGAGGAATTATCGTTGAGAGATGAGCGTGGATATGCAGCGCACCAGATATTCAACGAAGCGTCGATGACTACTTTTCTGGAATATGCGTAGGTCGTCTCATCCAATCCTGGCCCGAAAAAGGGAATGTGAATGGATGAAAGATACCGACGCATGATGAAATCCACAACCCGCATTGCAAATTGCGAAGGTGAGTTTCCAGTCGTTGATCCGCATTCCTTGAGGGCCCGGCATATAGCTTTATACGAGCTTCGGAACTCTGCATCGAGTGCAAGCGTTTCCTCGTACGTGCCGTTTGACTCGAGGTCGTTCAAGAACTTCGTAATCGTGAGACGGACGGGAACAGTTTTGCGGAGAGCTCTTGCGACGGAAGACTGAGTAAAGGTGTCGTCCGGCTTTGGTATAGGATTCTCATGAAGGAGTTGCTCGTCGTCGAAATTTTCAGGGGGCTCAGTATTAAAGTCGCTGAGGCTGATGAGTGGAGGCCCCCCTGAACTCATGCTCGACTGTAGAACGATCTCGAGAATCGTGTTCCACAGCCTTCGGCGCATCTCGATGGTAAATATCGTCCGGTTTGAAATACGCGCAGGGTCTCTATGTAACCCCATGTACATGGCTGTTCGGAACAGTGCACCAGCTGAAACCCACACAAAGTCTCGTCCAGCACGGGTAGTTTCTCGGGCAAAGATGAGGAGTATCTGGATTTGAAGATATGGCATGCTCAGCATCGCCTTGAATTCCGGTGCCGAAACCCAAGTTTGAGCTTCATACACCCATTGGAGCGCGGAGTTGCGCAAGGAGAAGTTGTGGTCGTACGTAGGAGCTCCGATGGCGAATACTAGCTTTAGTAGAACCAAGAATTCTGTATCCGGCTCTGCGTCTGACGTCCAGAGTGCCTCGTAGTCTCTCATAAAGGATGGGATATGTAAAACTCGATAGACGGTTTCCATTGTCCGAAGGTAGCACTGGACAAGTCTGTCGGCGACATCCTTGGAGGGCAAGTCGCGGGTTGGTGGTGAGGGCCATGGAGGAGCTCGTGCTGCCTTGATTTCTCTTGCTAGGGCTTTGCATTTCTTTATGCCGGCGAATGCCCGCGATGTGTCTTCTCGTATAAGCGGCTCAATCATCTGGAACATATCCATGAACTGATGGTTGTTATAAAGCTGGGCAATCACACTGAGAAGAGAGATGCTTACTAGTAGTGCAACGCCGTTTATCCAGTGGCTCTGTCCAAACATGCGTGTTTTATGCATGATGCCGCGGCTGAACACGTTCGCCTGGCCGAACAGGGTGTTTCGGTGGATATGGAATGTTCCGGCTATTCGTGAGGTTTGTGTTTCGACGCTCGTAGTAGAAGATGGAGTGAGAGAGGGAGTCTGAGCAGAATGTATTTTCGTCTTGGGCAACTCGTCTTCGAGCTGCCGAATTCGATTTCTGAGGTACTCGACATCGTGGCTGAGAGTGGGACCTGCTGGCGAAGAGGTGTTCGTCGAACTTGGCCCCGATGAAACGAGAGGATGGCTTGAGACTGTGGATCCTGTACCTGCGGTGGATGTTGTGTTAGGTACTATGTGGTGAGGCTGCCGGGGAAGTTGCGCCGGCGTGTTTGCTGGTCTGATTTGGCGCGGGGGTTGAGATGGATGAGTTTCGTATACGCATTGTTCATTCTTGGACCGCATGCAGTTGTTGCAGGGGGCTTCTCGATTACATCGGATCTTGCGCCTTCTGCAGAGAGAGCAAGAACTGAATCCCAGGTTTGTCAGCGCAAGCAGGGAGTTCAAGAGCGGAGCGCAACCTACACAGCCGGGCGTCTCCGCCGCCGTTCGGGGACTTCGGGGTCGGCCATGGTATCTCCTTCTGGACCGTTGAGTGGAATCAGTCGGATTGTGCAAATGGCTGAGTATCTCCGACGGTCCTCGCTGTTGAGTGGCCTGGGGAAGAAGAACAGGACGCTGAGGAGCCTACGAAGATTAATGCTGCGGAACCCGAGTCGGTAACTGCGCTTTTGGTCCGTCCCGCCCGTCATTTGCCGAACATCTTCGGAATCTGATTGGTGTGTTTATATCCGAGTCGGGAACATGGACAAGTCCGACAGATTTTATTCCCGACACAAGGAGATGAAGGAAAGAATTCGGACGTGATTTCGTTTACAATGGATATAAAATACGAAATTCACCATGCTTATATATTGCACTCCCTCATGTTGAGGTGCACTCACTACAGCACAATACCAACAGTCGAAAAAGCTGCCCACCGATCTTTGCCTCGAACAAACCACCACGCATCGCCTCGCACAACATGGCCATGTTAACCAAAGACCATCAAGAGTTATCCGGAGGCGACGACCCGAGAACAATCGCTTCCGTGGAACTCGGCGAAAAAAAATCTCCCGACTTTGGAGAACCACCCGACGGTGGCTTGCAGGCATGGACTGTTGCCGCCGGAGCCGCCTTCATCTCCTTTTCCGCAATGGGCTTCGCAAACTCGTTTGGCATCTTTCAGCAATACTACATGACGCATCAGTTGCAAGGCGAATCGGCCGATAAAGTTGCTTGGATAGGGTCACTGGCTGCTTTTCTCCAGTTTGCAGCAGGCGCAGTCGGAGGGCCACTGTTTGATCGTTATGGTGAATGGGTATGTCCTTTTGTTTTACTGATGCTGTTAGACTCTGCTAATACATAAATAGGTCATTCGACCGGCTGCGGTGCTATACATCTTCTCCATCATGATGATTAGCATATGCCGCGAGTATTGGCACTTCATGCTCGCCCAAGGCGTTCTCATGGGCACTGCCATGGGCCTCTTGACATTCCCATCAATAGCAGCAGTGTCGCAATACTTTGAGAAGAAACGTGCCGCTGCATTGGGCGTAGCGATATCTGGCTCATCCATCGGCGGCGTCGTCATTCCCATTACATTGTCAAAGTTGCTCACCACTTCATCGCTGGGCTTCGGATGGACTGTGCGAGTCGTTGGCTTCATCATGTTGCCTCTCCTCGCCTTCTCGTGTGTGACGGTGAAGGCTCGTCTGCCACCGAGACCGACGACATTCTTCACTGTCGAGGCTTTCAAACAGGTCAACTTCGTCCTTCTCATTATTTCCTTGTTCTTTTTATTCCTTGGCATGTTCACACCGCTGTTCTTCATGCCGACTTACGCCGTTTACCGAGGCATGGACGAAACACTCGCCTCATATTTGCTTGCCATCATCAACGGCGCGTCTACATTTGGTCGCATCATCCCGGGAGTGCTGGCAGACAAGTACGGGCCCTTCAACATCCTGTCAATCGCAGGCCTAACCAACGGCATCGTCATCTTGTGTATGAACAAAGCGGAGACTACCGCAGCATTGGTGGTATACTCGGTCGTCTTTGGCTTTACTTCAGGCATGATCATCTCCGGAGGTGCCGCAGCGTTCGCCACATGCCCAAAAGACCCTCGGGATCTTGGGTCTTACATGGGAATGGGAATGGCAGTGGGCTCGATTGCAGCGCTCATAGGTCCCCCGATTACCGGGGCGCTCCTTGATACTTATGGAGGGTTCCTTCAAATATCCATCCTTAGCGGCGTCATGTGCCTGGTTGGCGGTTTTGTTGCGCTTTCGAGCAAGGTCGCAAGCCCTCAAGGCATTATGGGGAGAGTCTAGTGGCCTGGTGATGCTTCTTGTGCTTGAAGATATTTTTTCCAAAATCCCCGCTCCTGGCAGCTATAAGAGGCTAAATACATATAGAATACCTTACATGCATCCTTTACGAACTTCCCTTTTACATTAGGCTTTCTCTTCCAATTGAAAATAATTAATTATCGTATTCTCTCATGTATTACTGTAGAACTAGAGCCGAGATATGGTACATGTCTTCAACCTAACCCTTTTCCATTTATTTTCTCATCCTATAACCCTCTGAACACCATGCTGTATCAAATCAATTATCATCACTATCATCACTACAACTGTAATCATCATCATCAACCTCATAAGCTCTTCGCCACAGAACTTTACCAACTGTCGGATCCATTATCACGGCATAGTGGGTCTCTTCATTGCTGATGTCTTCGTCATCCAGAAACAACTTCACATCATCCAGAGTGACTGCTTCCTCCTGTTGTCCGTAGAGTTGTTGGCAAGCTTTAACTTGCCTTGCCCACATCTCGTCAAGAGTGCACTTTCTTTCAAGGGAGAGGTTGAGAATGTCGGACATTCCAATCCCACTTTCTGAGTTTGTAGATGGAACACTAGACCCAAAACCAGTACCATCATCGGATGCAATGTCGATTACAATATCGGCTGCAACAGCAGGTGTGGTATCAGGTGCAGCATCAGGTGCAACATCGGGTACAGTCTCATCAAGCGACGGTTGTGGCTGTTCTGAATCAATCTCGGCGTCTGCATCGTGGTTGTACGCAGTCAAGAACGTGTCTGACACTCGAACCGAGGCGTGGTGGTGATCCTTCTGGACGATAAAGATCTTATCCGATGTGCAGAAGATGAGATATGCAGCTGTTGATGGTGAAGTGGAGAGATTCGACAAGATGGCTTGCATGTAATCGTCATGGACCTCTTCAATATCTTTCTCACTCCTTGTAATTCCTTTACCTGATTTTGACTCTCCACCGTTCTTTGCCGAGGGAGGCTCCAGAAGAAAGCCTCGGAGAACACTGGAGATAGAACGTCGGAAGCCAAGGACGACCAAGGCTTGCTGCCAGCGAAACGATGCCCTCTGACGCCACGAATTCCGAGCATGAGTTGGCCGGAAGTTTAAGCTCATACTCAATCCCTTCCTCACGCCTGTCAAAACTCCAACGTAGCCGAGATAAGTCACTGTGGTAGCAATGACGGGCCCTCCGTGAGAGCGAACAAAGTCGAGCTCCACGATAATCTCCCGCAGTTGGTCCATTCCCCAGTCTAGCGTGCGGAAGTGAAGCATGCGGGTTGGCAGGTTTGGCGCAGAGTTGCCAGGATCTAGAGTGCGGGCGCCTCCACTCGTGCATCCGAGCAGGAGGTCTAGAATGACGTTGAAGGCGACGAGAATATGCATTGGAATTCCGCTCGCTTTGGAGATGCCGACCAACTCGGCTGACTCCTCAGCCATGAACAATCGACGCAAGGCCAGTCGAGATATGACGCCCAGGCATTTTCCACGCCGCGGCCCGGCAAGCTGGCAGAGAAGGTCATAGAACAGACCGGGCAAATCACAGCTGTCTACCTGTTCTCGGAAGTGAGGGATGATGTGAGCGTAGCGGGCTTCGGGCGGCTGCGAGAGGTCGATGACGAATTTTGGGATCTGTAATTCTCCCTGCATTTTTGGCGACCGGAAACTTGAAATGAATGGTGATTTTTCTTTGATCGATGATGCTCAACTTGATATGAAAAGTGAGGGTTTTGTTACTTGTGAGACAGTCAGCTTGCTGCCTGTTGGAGTTCAACAACACGCAGATGACTAATCGCGTAGGACTCAATACAATATGCATATATAAGAACCCCTGTAGACTGTAGCAGCCAGTGAGATGATTGAATTGCCCTTTGGTCGTACCTCTATCAGGCACCAGTGCAGCTGCGCCATAAAGCTCGTTTACCAAAGTTCCACATTCCCAAGTTAGCGTTCAAAGCAGGGTATAAGGAAACAGAATGTAGCTGCGGATACGAAGGCGGCGAACAACCCCTTTAAAATATTAATTACTAAGTTAGAACGATTTCAGTGTATCAACCTATAAATAAATAACGCGCGCTTAGGTGAGACGGGTCGCTTGTTTCTGATTGTAAGTTCTGAACAAGACAACACAATTCAATGACAAGGCGCTGCCCCAATTCACGCCAATTCACCTGCTCGCCGTACCGCAAGGGTGACAGTTGATAGCCCTCAAACCTCCTTGAGCCCAGCCTCTTTTCGTGCATTCGCTGCCGCCTCGTGGTTCCGTATGGCCTGCACTCGCCCATACGCACCCACCACGGCCATGACAACGACAGTTAGCGGGATTGATATCGCCCAATAGAGCCAGAAGTGATTCGTCATAACATCGTTCATCGAAAGAGCATTCCAGTCCAAGATGGGCATGGCAAAAAAGGCCTGCAACTTGGTAATTAGCAGGGCAAATGAAAACACATTTGCAGTAGTGCCAGACTTACCGCAATAAATGTTCCAGGCAAGAATAATGTCGTAAGCATGGCAATAATCTTCATAGCGGAACTATCGCGCTTGCTTGCCTCGGCCAGCTCTTTCGAATCTCTGGCCATCCCGATGTTGATCAGGTTGAATAGCTATGAAAACAATTACTTAGTAACCGATGTACTTCACCCGGATCTTTCACGGCTTGATGTGAGAATTTAGGTTCTTGACACTCACCATGGTTTGCTGAGCCTGCATCCTCGGCTCGATGGCCCCAAATATGACCATGTGCCTCAAATTGCTCTCGAGCATCTCGACCCGGTGACGCAAGCAAGCGCTATTCATCACATCACCAGCGCCCCCTTTGGCCCTCAGTCGGCGCCGGGTCGCTGGTACCACGTATGTCTCCAGCGCATCCATCTCCTTGCGCGTGAACTCGACCATGCTAAGGCTGCATTGCACGGCCGCGTTCATGAAGGCAAAGCGGCACGCCATCCAGCCTAGGATGCGCGCGAGCTGGTGGTTGTCCTGACATTCCGCCATCTCGCGCGACATTTTGGCCCAGTAAGGCGGTTCGCGCTGCATTTCAGCGGCCGCCTCGTCGTGCCAGGAGTCCAGCAGGGCACCAGGCGCTGGGGCGAGGGTAGGCCCAGCATTGGCGAGGGAGTCTTGGATTTCCCAGTCGCCGGATCGGGTTTTGTACTCGGAAGCGGTGAGCAGGCGGTTGACGTGGTAGAGTTCGCGCATTAGATCTGTGGCTGTGAGCTCGATGAGGACGGTTGGGACTAGTAGTGGGTGGGCGAATTGGGCAAATTGGGAGCGGATTTGGGTGCATAGGGCCTCGAGTGAGATTCGGGGGCCTAGCAGAGCGTAGCCACTGGTGATGTTGGTGAATGAGTCGTACTTGAGGACTGTGGAGATGGCGCCGTTGTTGTTGGATCGGTGGAAGATGAAGACTAATGGACGAGGGAAATTTTAGCAGGACAGGTTCTATATAGTAAGAATTTACGCTCGTCGGACGTGTCTTGTGTGTCTTACTCGGGTGGCCCGGTGTTCCCAGGTATTTCCCACAAGCACCGGACTTGGGCATGTTGAGGTAGGAAACCGTAGCAGGCAGGCCAAGAGCCTCCTGGATGGCTCCAAAGGTGGCCTTGTCAAATGGCCATTTTATTGACGTCTCCTGCTCCCTGCATAGAAGTCGTAGCCCGGCTGCCGGCTTAACACCGTTGTACGTGGCTGGGCTTGGCGCCTTGAGCCAGCTAGTGATTTCGTCTTTGGTGAATGTACCATGCGCATAAGAAGTGGAGGGTAAGTGGTTTCCATCATAGACCCAACACTCAACCTTGTGTATATTTGTAGGCACTGACTTCTCGTTTGGTATTGCAAGTGAGGCCCTGCGCGGAGGCAGGCGGCTGGGAACGAGCTGCGGCTGGTGGAAGATTTGGTGAACTTGTTGCTCTGTCCGAGCAGATGGGTTCAGATCGCGCTCCGGCGTTAGATCCATTGGTAGCGGTCGGTCTCTGTTGATGGCAACAGAATCGTCTATCTGGGGTCCTTGTTTCGTCTGGACACTGTGGGAGGATGGGATGAATGAAAACACAGCAGGAAAGAAAGGAACTGCCGGTCGTTTTGTGTAACATAACTTAGGTCTACTTCTGCCTGCAGTCCTATATGTGCACCATTTCCTGACCTTGCTTGGTTCGTCCAAGCCCAGCCTCGGACGCGACGTGGTTTCCCTCTATTGGAGCTTCGACGCGCCGCATTTTTTCAGCTCTCAAGCCACAATTTCTGTCCTAATCCAAGCAGCATTACATTCTGTCCCGAGAGCCTTTTTCGGCGTCTAGCCTATCCGGGCATTCGTGTCTCAACCACCTCCTAACAATACCTTTCCCCCGTCTCTGGAGCTTCCAGCCCGCTGCTGCTGTGGCCAAACTTGGTCAAACCAATGGGCCTCACCCTCTCTCTCGGTCTCCGTCCATCATGTCAGTGATGCCAGCCTGTTGAGCCTCATAGAAGCCCACTTACTCCATTCTAAAATATCTTATAATTTTCAGTAGATCTGGACTAGTGATGCTGTTCTGGTGGTTGGACTTGGAGCTGGTGATTACCTCCCTAGAGTGAGGTAACAAGAATCAGGCTTCAGGTGGCTTGGCATAGGAGATCTGATTGGGTATGCTGACAGAAGCAATCAGCGGTGCCAAGGCGAGGAAAATAAATCTGGGCTGGTAAGGGTAAATAATACCCATAGTTGACTAAGTTAAGTTGATGGCTGAGAAGCAAAGATTTAGGCTTATGTGTGGAATTCTTAGAATATACCTGTAGTGAGCAACCGATTTGCTTTTGCGAAGCCCATCAGCCCAACTTGTATGGCTCTGGCAATCACCCCGCACACGTGATTCAATCATGGCCAATCAAGCGTGCATTCTCATTTGTCCCGTGAGCATTCTGCCTGACAGGACCGAAATCAGACGCTCCTTCGCGAGGCTGTGGAATCTTACGGAAACACACCACCGACAAGAATCGACCGATCCTGCGAAACGTGTCACGCCGCATTCCAGATTGCCACAAGCCCATCGACTGCACAATAGCGAATGCCCTACAGTCCGCATACATCGATGACAGCCAGAGATCTCCACTGCAGAGATGAGCGCCCCGGATGCTGGGAAAAGACGTCAGAGGAGTGCTTTTAGCGAGAACTCATTGCCCGTCATCTCGAAACGACCGAGAACGAACTATGAAGAAGATGACAACGACTGGGAAGACAGACAAACCTGTACTTCGGGACCGTTATCATACGGCGACTACAATGTCGGCTGGATCTGCGCGCTCCCCATCGAGATGGCTGCCGCGAAAGCCATGTTGAATAGCATACACGGAGGCCTGCCTGGAGATTCCAATGACAGCAATACTTATACTTTGGGGAGCATCGGCATGCACAATATTGTTATTGCGTGTCTTCCATCAGGCCATTACGGTACGAATAATGCAGCAACCGTGGCGAACAACATGCGCCGAAGCTTCCCTTCTATACAAATCCGCCTGATGGTTGGCATCGGTGGCGGAGCTCCCAGTAAGGTCGATATCCGGCTTGGAGATGTTGTCGTCGGCGATAAAGTGGTACAACACGATTTCGGGAAGACACTTCACGACGGCAGTTTCGAGCGAACAGACATCTTGACCAGACCCCCGCAAGAAATCATGACGGCAGTTTCGAAGTTGCGATCAGACCACGAGTCGTCGCGCAGCCAAATTCGCTCCATTCTCTCTGAGATGCTAGAACGTCACCCGTCAATGACGAAATATGCATATCCTGGACTACTGCACGACAAGCTATTTGAGAATACATACGACCATGACCAGACACTGTCCAGCTGCGATCAATGCGACCCATCCAGATTGATGGAAAGATCTGGCCGAGACAGCACTGATCCCAGGATTCACTACGGCGTTATCGCGTCCGGGAACCAGGTCATCAAGCACGCTAAGACCAGGGATAAGCTAGCTCAAGAACTGGATGTGTTATGCTTCGAGATGGAGGCGGCGGGGCTGATGGGCAGCTTTCCTTGCCTGGTCATCCGTGGAATCTGCGACTATTCTGATTCTCACAAGAACAAACAATGGCAAGAATATGCTGCTGCTGCCGCTGCCGCATATGCGAAAGAGCTCCTTTCTGTCATTCTTCCAAATGCAGCTCCCAAAACAGTAACGGTTGGAACGAGCCTTGTTACAGGTCAGTTGTGTACCCTTGCCCGCACGGTCAATCCCCTCTAATGCCGTTACAGAACAATTTTCGTTATTAGATCGTCGGGAGGATCTGCTGGATTCCCTGAGATTTGATCAAATTGATGCCCGCCACGCCAACATCAAAGCCGCCTACGCCAAAACATGCAGATGGTTCCTCAAGAACCCTGATTATGTTGACTGGCTAGACCCGGCCAAACTCAGTCAACATCATGGCTTTTTGTGGATAAACGGGAAGCCTGGAGCAGGGAAGTCAACTTTGATGAAGTTTGTCTACACGCACGCAAAGAAGAAAGCTGCTGGCAACGCAGCCACCCTTGCATTCTTTTTCAATGCGAGAGGAGATGACCTAGAAAAGTCGATAGTAGGAATGCACCGATCGCTTCTTCTCCAACTACTGGAGAAGTTGCCCGACCTTCAGGAAGTGCTTGACGATTCCGACTACTCGCCTGGAAATCGGAGCGGCCATCGTACGTGGGAAGTTGAAGAGCTGCAAGGACTTTTCTCCCAGGCAGTCGAGAAGCTCGGACAACGACGCGTGACTTGCTTCATTGATGCTCTAGACGAGTGCGACGAGAGCCAAGTAGTAGCCATGGTTGGGTTTTTCGAAGATCTTGCAGAGCACGCTGTTCAGAACCAATCAAAGCTCTACATCTGTTTCTCCAGTCGTCATTATCCATATGTCGACATACGAACGGGCCGCAGACTGACATTGGAGGATCAGACGGGCCATGTCCAAGATCTGGACCGTTATGTACAGAGCAACCTGAGAGCAGGAGTGGGCAAACAGGATGACGAAGTCAGAGCTGGAGTATTGCAGAAGGCGGCTGGCGTCTTCATGTGGGTTGTCTTGGTCGTCGACATTCTCAACAAGGAGTTCCGACGCGGCCGCATCTTTGCCGTCAGAAAAAGGCTTCAAGAAATACCGGCCAAATTAAGTGAGCTCTTCAAGGACATGTTGCAGAGGGATCAAGTCAACCTGGACGATTTCCTACTTTGCATTCAGTGGATACTTTATGCGAAACGTCCTTTGAAGCGCGAGGAATATTACTTCGCAATGGTATCTGGACTTGACCCAGAGCCAGAGAACTTGGTTGAATGGAATCCCGAGCATATAACCATGGACCAGTTGCAGCGATTTGTTTTAAGTTCTTCCAAGGGACTGGCCGAGGCTACCAAGTCCAACACAGTTCAGTTCATCCACGAATCAGTTCGAGATTTCCTGATCAAAGACGATGGTCTTCGGGATTTGTGGCCTGAACTCGGGCAAAACTTCCAGGGTTTGAGCCATGATCGTCTGAAGCAGTGTTGCCAAACCTATACAAGAGTCGATTTATCCGACCACCACTCTTTCGATCAGGCACTTCCGAAGGCAACTTCTGACGAAGCGAAAGCTTTGCGAGAATTGATTTCAGCAAAGTTCCCGTTTCTTGAGTATGCGACTCGTCATGTGCTCCATCATGCTGATACTGCTGCCAATGGATTGGCACAAGACAAGTTCGTCAAGGAGTTCCAGCTCTCAGCCTGGATCAGTCTCGATAACTTGTTTGAAAAGCACGAAATCCGTCGCCATACACAGAATGCAGGTCTTCTGTACGTTCTTGCGGAGAAAGGCCTGGCAAGGCTTATCAAGACAACAATCTTCTATGATCAGAGGATTCACATACAAGGAGAGCGATATCGATATCCTCTGTTCGCTGCCTTGGCGAATAGTCATCGAGATACAGTAAGAGTGCTCTTGCAACAGAAGACGAGCAACCTTTCACAAGATGACGACATTGCTGAGCAGCTGGAGTATGGCATAGATTTCACGGCTGGCAAGCATGAGACGCCGCTTATGTGGGCGGCTAAGATGGGACATGTGGGCCTCACTAAGTTTTTGATTCCGTCCGGGGAACTTGACCTCAACTCCCAGGACTACAAAGGTCGGACCGCGCTATCATGGGCGGCCGGAAACGGGCATGAGGCTATTGTGAAACTGTTGCTGGCGACTGGAGAAGTGGATCCCAGTTTGTCAGATAACAGAAACCGGACAGCATTATCATGGGCGGTTGGGAATGGACATGAGTCCATTGTAACGCTGTTGTTTACAATTGAGGGCGTTGATATACACTCAAAAGATAGGAGTGACCGGACGATGCTATCATGGGCGGCCGGGAACGGGCATGAGGCTATGGTGAAACTACTGCTGGCGACTGGGGAAGCGGATCCTAGTCTGCCGGATGTCGGTGGTCGGACGGCATTATTTTGGGCGGCTAGGAATGGACATGAGTCCGTTGTAGCGTCGCTGCTTACAATTGAGGGCGTTTATATACACTCAAAAGATAGGAGTGACCGGACGATGCTATCATGGGCGGCCGGGAATGGGCATGAGGCCGTTACAAAGCTGCTGCTAGCAACTGACGGGATTGATATTAACTCAAAGGATTCGAATAGCTGGACGCCACTGTTTGAGGCAGCCCGGAATGGACATGAGGCCGTTACCAAGCTGCTGCTAGCAACTGATGGAATTGATGTTAACTCAAAGGATTCGAATGGCCGGACGCCACTATATTGGGCAGCCCGGAATGGACATGAGGCCGTTATAAAGCTGCTGCTAGTAACTGACGGGATTGATGTCAACTCAAAGGATTCAAGTGGCCGGACGCTACTGTTTGAGGCAGCCTGGAATGGACATGAGGCCGTTACAAAGCTGCTGCTAGCAACTGACGGGATTGATGTCAACTCAAAGGATTCGAATGGCCGGACGCCACTATATTGGGCAGCCCGGAATGGACATGAGGCCGTTACCAAGCTGCTGCTAGCAACTGATGGGATTGATGTCGACTCAAAGGATTCAAGTGGCCGGACGCCACTGTTTGAGGCAGCCTGGAATGGACATGAGGCCGTTACAAAGCTGCTGCTAGCAACTAACGGGATTGATGTCAACTCAAAGGATTCAAATAGCTGGACACCACTATTTGAGGCAGCCCGGAATGGACACGAGGCCGTTATAAAGCTGCTGCTAGCAACTAACGGGATTGATGTCAACTCAAAGGATTCAAATGGCCGGACGCTACTATATTGGGCAGCCCGGAATGGACATGAGGCTGTTATAAAGCTGCTACTAGCAACTAACGGGATTGATGTCAACTCAAAGGATTCGAATGGCCGGATGCCACTATATTGGGCAGCCCGGAATGGACATGAGGCCGTTACAAAGCTGCTGCTGGCAACTGACGGGATTGATGTCAACTCAAAAGATGACTGGCGTGAGACACCATTACTTCTGGCTGCCCGGAATGGTCGCGAGGCTGTTGTAAAGCTGCTACTGGCAACAGAGGGCATTGATGTTGACTCGGAAAATTGGGCGGGTAAGACACCACTGGACGTGGCAGGCCTCAAGGGACACGAGGCCATTGTAAGGTTGCTATTAGTAACCCGCGGCGATAGTGCTTAGCCAAGGGTGTAGTGGTAGTACGAGTAAACTACCACCTTGATTTCGGAGATACCATCATCTTACCGGGAAATACCGTTGATGTAAAGGAGAACCTGCCTACTGCCTCGATGGACCTCAGGTAGACTTTGGACATATAGAGTGTCAATACTCTGACTGGAGAGCTGTAGACAGAATGGTCTTTTGTTGTACTGACCTTAGTCACATATATGGATGACGTGGAGACCTCAAATGCGGCCCACCTGATGGTATCTTTCAACGCCTAGACGTAGACCAGAAGGCTTGGGACTTTTGGAATCTGGATCATCCCGTTAGGAGGCCGGCAGGCGGCCCCACAATTCCGGGAGCCTCCGGTAACGCCATGTGACGACCTCCAATAACCTCTATCGTATCGTAGATGTTCATTAAAGATTGACCTTTAGACGTTTATTAGACAGAAACCAAGAGCTTTTATCCACACGATATCACTCCTGAGTGCAGGAAGCTTCTGTTCCAAAACACGTTTTCTATCTTATGTAGAAGTTCAGTTGGGATCGGGTGATTGAACCCGGGTGGGAAATCTGATGGTCGTGGAGTCCAAATTATAGGATAACACAGAAGGCCGCTTTTTTTGTGGTATCTAGACTTGCATACGACATAAACAAAGGTCCGCATTTCTGTAGCTCCAGAGCGCGTCGGGTCCGGCATTCGGGATTTGAAGAGCTCCAGAGTCCGCTTTAATCGTTAGGGATGAAAGTCCGCTCCGCAGCCTCTAATCTGGCTTTGCAATCAAGACTGGTTGGTGGTGCTTTGGCAGTAGCTAACTGGCCAGTATATATGCTAGAACCAAACCAGAACCCGAACCCGAGACCGAACCCGAGGCCTACACCGTAATCTATAATTAGACGATTTGCGGTGCTAGCCTCACTCTCATTCGATGTCTCTGGTGTAGTGGAGTTCTTCGTCTCGGGTTCGTTGTTGATCTCATCCCAGTTTAGTCATCGATCCCATTGTTCGTGATACGCTATAGCACTCGAACGATTGAGTTGGGTGCACCCTGCCATCATGGCGAGACGTCACACTCCACACCGTTCTCCGCTCCGCATTCTCTGTCCTACCCAGCTTACTTCTGTCAACTACGCCCCTTCCATTCCTCTATTACCTTCATATAAAGAGGTCGGTTGAACAGAGTTGGAAATTTTGAATTCAAAATCCAACAACCCCAATTCACTTCGACTCTCAAGCATCAATCATGAAGGTTGCAATCGTCGGGGCCACAGGCGAGACAGGGTCTTCCATTGTCAACGGGCTGCTCGAGTCCACGGAGCCAAAATATGTGCGATGCCCCATTCTTCTAAAATTCCTACATGTCCCTAACTATTACCTCGACAGGAGATAACAGCCTTGACTCGGCCGGCGTCTTTGCAGAAGCCTGAAGTCCTTGAACTGGGGACTCGAGGCGTCAGCGTAATTGCGGCAGACCTTGCTGGACCAGAGGAGGACCTCGTGAAGCTGTTGACGGGGATCGACACAGTTATTGCGGCGGTCGATGCATCTGGCTTTATGGATCAGATTCCCCTCGCAAACGCGGCTAAGTCTGCAGGTGTCAAGCGGTTCATTCCATGTTTCTTCGCAACAGTCGCACCTTCTGGGGGAATCCTGAAGCTGCGCGATACCGTAAGGCTCAGCCTTTGTCAAGTATTACCTGAACATTATGCTAACTTCCCCAATAGAAGGAAGAAGTTCTGAATCATGTCAAGAAACTCCACCTCCCCTACACCGTCATTGATATTGGCTGGTGGTTCCAGCTGACGCTTCCACGTCTCCCATCGGGACGTATCGACTACGCCCTCATTATGCCAGGAAATACCATTGCTGGAGACGGGGATGTGCGCACTGCCTTGACTGATATCAGAGACGTCGGGCGATATGTGGCGCATATAATCTCCGACCCAAGGACTGTGAACAAAATGGTCTTTTCGTACACTGAGCTTCTGTCCCAAAATGAAGTCTTCCAACTCCTGGAGAAGCTCAGTGGAGAGTCGATTGATCGGACCTACGTGAGAATCCTCACCTCACACCTCTCGAGTTGAGCTAAGGCTAACGAACTGTCATAGATTTCTAAAGATGCCATTGAAAATGGCATTGCCGAAGCTGGAACTGCATCATTCTCTGACCCAAGCTCTTACGCGCGTATATCGCAGTTGCAATATTTGAATTCGCGGTACATTCGTGGTGATAACACTCCGGAGTATGCCCGTTTCCTGGGGTATCTAGATGCGAAGGAGTTGTACCCTGAGCTTGCAGGAACCACGCTAGAGGCATATTGTCAAGAGGTTCTTAACGGGACCGCACGGGGTGTTTATGAGAGGCGCAGGGCTGCGGCTGCAGCGGCCGCGCAGAAAAAGGATGCAGCTTAAATATTTGAATATATTGCGGGTCGAGGCTCTGTCACTAATTGATACTAAGTACCCTGATCCTCGATTGATATAGTTGACACCTTAAGAGAATTCCGAAAGCGATACATCCCGAGGGAAGATTGTGTATAAAATAATTATGTTGACACGAAGATCATTCGTTTTAGGATTGTAATTCTCCCTGGATGGTAGCTGGGGCAAGACGAAAACCCACGCGATTAGCCTCACATTTCTCCTGACAGGATGCGTGAGTAACCCCAAGAGGCTGGCCTTCATGGTATCGAAAATTTCGCCTTTGATAGCTCCAGCCTCCTCCGAAATCCGTTACCGTCTTTTTGACACCAAGGCCCACGGGGGAGATCTCAACACAATCCACGGCGAGTGTTCTCTACGACGAGGCATCACAAGATTTGGCAGAAGCTGTTGTATCGCTTCCACACAAAAGGATGTGGTTGCTTTGTTGCACTAATTAGCCGGACGAAACTCAAGCGATCCATGAGTCTGTACCGGTGTTTACTTCTGTATCCTCTCTGCTTCAACCGTTAATATCCACTCAGTCCTTCAACAGCCCGCACCAGCTCTCCTCGCCCCTTGGCTTAGCGGCTGGTTATATTGTAATTGGGAGACTCAACCTCGGATCATTCCATGATACTTTCAAGTCTCATCATGAAAGCCAAGACCACCCCAACCGGTGAGGCCTTGGGCCTCCTTTGGGGCCTGGATTCCCATGGTTTGGCCAGGTCACTTATATCTTCAATTTTCTCTTAGGGCCGTCTGGAAAGGATATTTGCATCTCTGAGATCTACCGAATCACCGCAGAGATTGGGAAGCAAACAAATATCAACCGTGATGGTCCTTCCTAGATTCAAGAAGGATAAGGGCTACGATGGTTTGATTCGACTATCTTGAACTTTAAGAATATTCATCAAAGATACCAAGCTACCCCCTGGTGACCTTTCCAGCATAAGCCTCGAGAGCACTGCCTGAGTGGCCGGCGCAGGACATTACTGCGAATTCTATTCCTAATACTTTTTCAAACCGTTTGGACGAGAGGATTAATCCTTTGTGGGGGACATCAAGGTTGGGTTTATCAAGAAGAGCTGCGTTGTCAAAATCGGTATAAACCATGTTACGGCACAACCCTAGCTCGACAAACAAAAATAGTTTTGGTGTGCTGAAATTTCGTGTAGGCTGACTAGGTAGTTAACTAGCATAAATTCCACAAAATTCTGGGTAGCATGAAACTCGTAGATTGCAGTAATTACACATCCAAGTCAGAATGCACATGCCCGGTGAGTTGACTAGAGATGGCCCATGGCGCTAGCTTTAACATGTTGTGTCAGTCAATTAGCCAAATGGGAAAGAGCAGCCAGTGGTAATTTGAATTGAATATCTGAAGCCATACTAAATGACAGAACCTAACCCAAGGAAGTAATAGATATGTTGGGTGTGTCGGGGATATAGTGGTGCTTACGTGGCACCATACAGATTTGTACCCCGCCAGATTAGTAATGCCTGCCTGCTACTATTCTTATTGCTCATTGGAAGCTCAGTGGTCGAAGTAGTCGAGTGTCTGGCCATTCTTCTCTTCCTTCATTCCCCGCTCTCAGTTGTGTCCAATCTTACATGTTACTCTTTCGTTAGGCCCACCAGACTATCACTATGTGCGGCATTATTGCGAGTTGTATCTGCCGTCAAGCTCTGGATACGACGAACATACACGGCAATGCTATCGGCCACACAAACAATATTGTCAGAGGCACCAATAGCAACCCAACCAAGAGCCAAGCGGAGGAGGCTATCGATGATACCGCGGGCGAGGCCTTAGCCAAGCAACTCCAAGCTGGCATTGACACCATCAAATATCGCGGGCCAGATGGGTCTGGTGTTTGGGTGAGCTCTGACGCCAGTGTAGGTCTCGCACACTGCCGACTCTCCATCATCGATCCAACTCCCAACGGCGCCCAGCCCCTGCACAGCGATGACGGTCTGACCCATGCTGTAGTCAACGGGGAGATATATGATCACGATCGCTTGCGCGAGGCCTGTGCGATTGAGCATGGGTATACATTCACCGGTCACAGTGATAGTGAGTTGGTTGTCGCCTTGTATAAGATCTACGGCGCGCCGGGCCTTTTTGAACACTTTCGTGGGGAGTTTGCCTTCGTGCTGTTTGATGAGAGAAAAAATAGCAAAAGACTCATCGCCGGCCGCGACCGATTTGGCATCAAGCCTCTGGTATGGACCACTCTCGGCGATCGAGTCCTCTTTGCGGCAGAAGCCAAGGCATTCCTTTCTTTAGGCTGGAAACCCGAGTGGGATGTCCGTAGCATCACCGACGCTGGTTGGATGATTGACGACAGGACCCTCTTTAGAGGCGTGAGAAAGGTGATGCCGGGGCACTGGATTGAGATCACCGATGAGCGCGGTTTGGAGGTCCACAAGTATTGGGATGCCGAGTATCCCGCCAAGGTACACCATGTTCCCATCTTGATTGTGAAATCCTATGCTTATATGACGCAGATGAAGCCAGATCCTCGAACGATTGATGAAATGGTTCTTGGAGTACGTGAAAGACTTGTCGAGGCTGTTCGAATCCGGCTACAAGCCGATGTTCCGGTAGGGGTCTACCTTTCCGGCGGTATCGACTCATCAGCCGTAGCAGGCATAGTGACAGAGCTGGCGAGTAAGGAGCATGTTAAAATCGGCAGCAAGCAAGATACAGAAGTTGTCTGCTTTACTATTCGGTTTCCACACGAATCAGGCTATGATGAGTCTGGTAATCCCCATCCGCTCGCCGTAGGGGCTGTATAGGATAAGCTAACAAGTCTTTCCAGGCATTGCTGATCGTACGGCTGAATGGCTAGGTATCAAAATCATCAAGAAGGACATCGACGAGGAGACTCTTGCGAACAGTTTCGCTGATATGGCATATCACTCTGAGCACCACCATTTTGACCTCAATTCGGTTGCCAAATTCGCTCTGTCAGCTTTACCCCGTGAGCATGGCATCAAAGTCGTTTTAACCGGCGAGGGGTCCGATGAACACTTCTTGGGATACACGTACCTCCCCGCCGAGTTCTTACGTGAACCTGACTTGAGCTCGCCCGATTCAATCTTGACCAAAGATAATGCCTTGCGTGAGAAATTGCAGAAATCTGCCGCTGCAGAGATTAATGCTATTGTGGGCTCTCAAGGCTGGGCAGAGGATGAGCACCTACTCGGTCCTGATGCTACGGTTCCGACGGATGTTAATAGGAACGCGGTGCCCAATGCTCTCTTAGCCATGCGGCCTCCGGATGCCATTTTCCTGCAACAGATACGAGACCAGTATCAGGCCAAGTGGGATATGCGTGACACCTTCTTGGCCAGCTATTCGACCGAAGTGCGGGCAAAGATACGAGAAAAGTGGCATCCCGCGCATACTGCCATGTATATGTGGAATAAGAGCGCGTTGATCAACGTCATCTTATCCTGCCTGGGCGACCGTGCCGAGATGGCACACGGTATTGAAGGGCGCACACCATTCCTAGACCATCACCTAGCCGAATATGTCAACTCACTGCCGCCAAGCACTAAGCTCAAGTACACACCACCCGAAGAGGGCGATCAGGACAAGGTTGAAAACTTTTGGTGGAACTCTGCCGGTTCAGCCCTACGGTCTCTCACGGAGAAGTGGATCTTACGAGAGGCTGTTCGCCCCTACATCACTGACGAGCTCTATGCTCGCAAAAAGGTCCCTTTTCTCGCCCCTGCGCGCTGGCCTAGAGATGGCCCGCTGCACAACATGTTTAGGAAGCTCCTGTCTCCCGAGGCGGTGGACAACCTTGGCTTCGTTGATGGTCGTGTTATTGAGGAGGCGTTGAACGGGGCCTTTGGTGACGATGGCGATCCGGCGCTGTTTCGCCTTCTATGTTACGCGGGTAGCTGGGTGGTATTGGCAAACAGATTCAGTATTAAGAAGACATCCATTGAGGAATCTGGCTGGTTGAACTAGGCTTGGTACTGGAGATGCTGGGAGTAGGCTAGACGGGTTTCTGATGGCCATCTAGTGTAGTGGTGACTTGAAGCAAGTATCTGTCGGAATTCCGCTATGGCAAAAGGGAATGATCACTCCTCTTGCCGGTAGCGTGATTGTAGCCCATATCTCCGTCTGACAGTATCGAGAGCAGAAATGGACGACGAGTCAGGTGGAGAAATGGCGAGATGATGCTAGTTAAAGGGGGTGTCATTAGAGATTAGAGCCATTAAACAGCTTACTCGCGCGATACCGGCTGCTGAGGACCCACCGCCGTAGTAATCGGAACGATGAAAAGGTGAATGCTACGCTGCGTTGCCCCGCTGTTGTCGATTGCGTGCATTCCTTCATCTCCATCAATGATCTGCAGTCATATCTGATTCGGCAGCACTGGCAGGAAGCATCATCTCCATCTCTCTCCATTTCCTCTCCAAAATGTTGCCTCGTCGGAGAAACAGCTCGCACTCTGTCAAAAGGCCCCGTCTGGGTGAGCGGACCATGCTTGCCTGCATTGGCTGCAAGCAGAAGAAGCTCAAAGTAAGACGCCTGGAACTGAAGATACGCCTCGTCTGATGGCCATACTAACATGCATCCAGTGCGATGGCCAAAGCCCACGATGCCAAAACTGTTCGAGGAGCGGTCGGGGTATGTTTTAGTGCGCAGATAATGGGAATAGTAGTGCTCATTGCTCTCGCAGAATGTCTCGTTGAAGATCCTGCCACTGGATTATACCGGCCCCGAGATTACATGCAATCTCTCGAGGCCCGCGTGGCATATTTAGAAGGTCTTCTTCAAAAGACCCGACCCGACGTCGCCTTGGATCACCTTGTCGAATCTGAACAGAGCCCACGGGGAGATATCCAGCAGGCATCCGCATCTGGACTGCACAATGCACCCCAAGATGATGCCCAAGGTGGCCCCTCCATCGAAGTTGAGGATCCTGCCGACCAGTTATCCGCAGATGTCGCCTTGTTATGTCTGAGTGCAGCTGGCAAAGAACCTCACTACTTCGGCCCTTCTTCCGCCGTGTCATTCTCGCGAATCGTCAGTGCCGCCATGAAATTGCCCAGAAAGGTCGGAGGCTCTCAGAATAGCGTGCTCATGGCGGAGAATGCAGCGTTCAGTTCTGCGCGGCTTTTCCCCATCAGCTTTCCTTCGCCTGCTCTCGGATCGACCCTGTCGCAGGCCTACTTCAACAATCTCCATCCTCAATATCCGTTCCTGCACCGGCCGACGTTCGAATTCTGGGAGGATTCTTGCATGAAGGCGGATGCGTCTGGCAATCTCTATATCGCGGGTGACGTTGCCTTGTTTTTCGTTTGGATGGTAAGTCTCCCGACAATAAATATGTGCGTGCAACTGACAATTTCTAGGTGTATGCAATCGCCTCTCTTGCACTCGGGCCTGCCCACTATGACACAGCAGAATCCTACTACTACATGGCCCTTGAGCACCAACCAGCAGTCCTGGAGCTCGACAGCATCGAGTCAATACAAAGTCTCCTCTCCTGCGCCGTGTACTCCATTAGGTCTCCGACTGGAGGCAGTCTCTGGTATGTCCACACAAGACCTGATATATCCCGTCTCTAATATCATCCCTAGGAGAATTTCTGGTGTCGCAATCAGGTATTGCGTTGAGCTGGGCTACCATAGAAGCGTCAACAGGTATCGCAAGCAGACAAATCCCCTCGTGGCGGAAATGTCAAAACGATGTTTCTGGGTGGCCTACGACATTGATCGCGTTGCTTCATTTATCCTGGGTCGCCCTGTCGGCATCCCGGATGATTGTATCGATGCCGAGGTACGTTTCTATACGCAATGCCGAACATGGCTGATCGCAGTTATAGATGCCCTTGGACATAGACGACGAAAACATCAACACGCTCGGATTACTCCAGGACCCACGCTCCTCAAATAGCGAACCACCAACCCACATGACTGGAGCGATTCATATCATCAAGCTCCGCCGCTTGTGGTCCAAGATCGGCAACACCATCTATCCAACCATCACCAACTCATGTCAAGACGTTGCACAAAAGCCACTCATCGACAAACTTGCGCAAGAGCTGGAAGAATGGCATGCCAACATCCCTGTGCCGCCAGATATTTCTGGCACGGATCCCCTTTCCGTCTTTGCATCTCGGGAATGGTTTAGGCTCGCTTATGATCATTCCATCTTGATTCTGTACCGGTATTGGATTACTCACGTTCCACCGGCCGGCGAAGAACATGATGTCGAAGAAGCTCTGCAGATTTGCTTTCAGAGAGCTCGGGACTTGTGCCTGCTTTACCGGAGGCTCTTCCAGAGTCAATCAATCCAGTTCACTTGGGGTTCTCTACATATCCTGTTTTTGGGCGGGCTGACTTATCTCTATTGCATCTGGAAGTCTGCAAGCCTGCGACAATCGGCCAGGAAAATGGAGGTTATCAATACCTGCATGGCATGCAACACCGCTCTAGTCATTATTGCCGAGCGATGGAGCAATGCCGGAGCCTATCGGGACATATTCGAGCTGCTCTCCGAGAGGACCATCGGTTTGATCTGTGGAGACGAAGGAAAGGCTCCGGAAAGGACTCACACCAGCATTCCGACGTTGAACCAAGTCATGACCAACTCTGAGCCTGCGCCTTTAGAGGATTGGATTGTGGGTCTGGGTGACAGTGGTTTCCCCATGGATTCCGAATGGTTGGTTCAAGAACTACTGCAAGGCATGAGGAATACCCAGCCTGGTGAGCCAGGGTTTGATATGGAACAATCATCTTCAATGAACATTTGATGATCCATTTCATCCCACGGTTCGTCACGTTAGGTTAACAAACATGTATCATATTAGTAATCTTGAAAATGAGGCTTCACAATCGAACTTCCCAGCCAGACTCCTTCGCACATTGCTCCAAGCTCTCCATTTGCGCCCTGAGATACAACTCATCCGCGTCGAGTAAGGAGCTTCCAAGTGCCCGCTCAAACCCTTCCTCGTCCGACATAGCAATCTGCTTCTGAACGCCCTCTGCCTTTGAGCCGGGATGAAGGTTCGACTGAAAGATTCCTGCTGCAGAAAATGGAAGAAAATCCTCGTACGTGATCGGCTCCGGCTGCAAGTAACCCTCGGAGACCAGTGATTCTAAGGATGCGTCGAGTGGTAAGACATCTGGTCTAGGCTTTGCGGTGAGTTGGTAGGTGCAATAAACCAGGTCCTGCTTTCGAAGTTCCGCCCAGTCATCTGGGTATGCTTGGAAGACATCAGCCAGTATTCCATCCATTGTGGCAGCGTTGCTTGTCTGAGAAACGGCGCGGTATTTGTCCATGGCAGCCACCAACAGTTGGTCGTACAGCTTTCGCCCTTTAGCGGTAACAGCAGCTCCACGCTCCTCAATCTCGCCGAATCGGGCCCTGTGTGTGCCCTCTACGAGGAGACCCTCGGAGTTCCGGAACTTGATTCGTTCCTCAAGTGCCAGGAAGCTAGTTTGACGCAAAAGAATCGGGCAATTTCTTGCGGGAGGGCCTTCAATCCGATCTTTCACTTTCAACCCTTCCGCACTCATCTGCTTCTGACTAGCCGTGATATCTAGCGTCCTCGGGGTGAGATGGTTGATGTGTGAACTCTTGAATGATGCAATATCTGCAAGAATGGGATGTTCCGAAACCAGTTTTCGGTACTCGGATTCGGAGGCCGATGCTACTGGTCTCCAGCTAAATGTCTTCATAGCTTCGGCGACGAATGTCTCAGCTTGTTGACGATTCAGACGGTTGCCGTCTTGTTCCGCAGTATCGAGAAGTTCAAGAAGTTCAGGGCTGAAGATCTCCCGCCGATCGAGGAGACGCATTGCCAGGTTGCGTGTTTCCTCGTCTCGAAGCAACTCGGGCCTGAGTAGTGTGGTGAAGACCCGGAATGGGTTCTTAGCCAACGCAGCGCCTTCGACTGGCCGAAAGCAAGTGGCATGCATTGGCAACCCGGCCACAGAAAGGTCATAATAACCCACGGGCTTCAATCCAATGATGGCAAAGAGACGGCGGACAGTTCTGAGCTCGTATGGCGTTCCCAACCGGATCGCCCCGTGTCGCTCAAGATCAAGACGCTCCGATGCCGCATAGCTCGCACTTTCTGCTGGACTCTGGGATTGAGATCGACTTTCTAGGGCGTCTTCGTTGATTGTGCGAACGATACGGACCAGATCCCCGTACAGAGGAACCTCGTTCCGATACATGGCTGACATGGCAACTGTGAAGTCATTGCGAATATCATTGGGATCGACGTATGGCCCGGTCGACATCTGGCTGGCTGTTACACCGGGACCAGAGGTGAGGCTAGCAAAAGACATTTTGACAAAGAGAGATGTTGTAAGTGTTGAACAATGAGCAGTTGAGATGAGGATGGTCAATTGGTCGTGAGGGTTCTAACTGAATGATTCTCAACCGGTGATGCTGGTCACTTGCAACGGGATTTTATTCTATTAACATCACTTGACGGCATCTCAGACACTATTACACCGTCTCATACTCATCGTAACGCGTGTTTACAATGCTCCAGTCGCGGGACCAGCCGAAGCATCACCAAATAAATACACGGTCGGGGTGCGTCAAGAACAGGCCCAAAGTTGACCAATACCGGGGGTTGCCGAGTTGCCACAAGTGTTACCCTATATACCCGGCCATGATAAACCCCGCTGACGTTTGGAGAGGCAGAGGATTGAATATCAGTATCAAGATTGTTCAAGGATAAGGAATCACAAGATATCCCCGCAAGCAAAATGCCCTCCACCGTTGCAGAAACTGAGCCCGTGTCCACGGCCACGAGCAGCTTGAACACCGCACGCACAGCGGATGGAGGCGTGGTAAGGCTGCACAGAATCCCCGAGTTCCCTACGAAAGAGGGGAAGAGACAATGGCAGCTGCAGCAGATGGCTGGGGCATTCCGTGTCTTTGCAAAGCTCGGATTTGCCGATGGAGGGAGCGGACATATTAGCTTGAGAGGTGAGTCTCAATGGAGGTGTGGAACAGACGTGCTAGGATTCGCTGGCACAGCAAAAGAAGTGCTAACTAGGACTACAGACCCTGTCCGGCCAGACACGTTCTGGATCAACCCGTACGGCATACACTTTGGACTATTGACTGTTTCCGACATGGTGCATATCGACGAGGATGGAAACCGCATTGGCGGCGGCGACAAGCCCGTCAACACAGCCGGCTTCATCATCCACGCAGCCCTCCACAAGCGGAGACCAGATATCAACGCCGCGTGCCATCTGCACAGCCCGTATGGCCGAGCGTGGTCGACATTCGGAAAGCCCATCGACATGCTCAACCAGGACAGCTGCATGTTCTATGACGACCTCGCCGTGTACGCAAACTTTGGCGGTGTTGTCTTCGCCAAAGAGGAGGGCGGCCGCATTGCCGATGCTCTTGGCCCATCCAAGAAAAATGTCATTCTCCAAAACCACGGCATACTAACGGCTGGAGGAACCATTGGAGAGGCTGCTGCCTTCTTCATTGCTCTGGAGCGAGCGTGTCAAACACAGTTGATGGTGGAGGCTGCTATCGCTCCCAACGGTTCTAGTTTGAAGAAGACACTGGTGAGCGACGAGGAGGCGAAGTATACCAAGCAAGGGACTGGCACTCCGGAAGTCATGTATATGCAATTTGAGCCGGAGTACCAGCATATTCTGAAGGTATCTGGAGGCGACTTTCTTCTGTAATTAGTTTGCCTGTACTTCGGAGTGAGTGCCGACTAGTGGGACTGTCGTGTCGAATTATCTCATGAGATCAATCATTTCATACCAGGTTTTGAAGCCATACCTCTGAAATTTCCAAGAGCTGCAAGAATTATCTAAGAATGACACATTAGGTCAAGACCGTTGTGTTGTGTTTTTAATTGTGTGACTTCAATTATTCCTTCCAAGATCGAGGATTAACTCTCAAAAGTCCAGAGTAAAACCACGTACCCATCGTGTATATATCGTACACCGGCAAATTAATGGCCCGTTGGATGGCATCTCCATATGGCGGCATATTGGTGCACTCTAATACTACTACACCTACTTCCGGATTCTTGGACACAAGAGCTCTAGCTTGATCCAAAAGCTCGTGTTCAAGAATCTTGGCGTCGTACTCTTCGCCCCTGGCACAGATACCCCTAAGATGGCCATCGTCGGGGAGGCCCCATACTCTTACTCCCTCTGGGTCGATACCAAGTTCGAGCAAGTGGGCGTTGCCTAGTCTCCCACTGTCGTAGGTCAATACCCCGATCGCCTTGTCTGCAGGGAGGATGGCCCTAAGGCTAGGAATCTGGATGAGCGCAGAAGTCGCTATGGGTATGGGCAGACGCGCTGCGAGTCTATGTACGTCTCAGTGATTTTATTGGACAACATTAGGCAGTTGAGAATGAAAATACCTCTTCTGGGCCATTGCCAGAAATCCACAGCTGGTGATGATACCAATTGCACCCCTCTCTGCCAACTTCAGGCCAGCAGCGACGAAACGGTCAATAAATGCATCGTCATATGCAGCGTCAGTGACTATCTGAGACTCAGTGGTGCCGGTGACCTTTTCCCGGATAAGCGGAAACGGCCATGTCTTCTCATTGAATGGATCACCGGGTGGTCTGAAGATGTCGACTTCCACCGCCAGGAATCCCAGTGGAGGCGGGGGTGTTGTCTGGTCAGCCATGGCGGAATGGATAGCACGAGTGAATATTGCGATGAGTCAAAGCTGCCAAGGGAGAACCTCCAGTTTACTTGATCTCCTTGGGTATCGGGAATCACCGCAATCAAGCCGCGTTGTCCCTCAAGTTGCACTTGTCTAATCCTGGCTCGGATGGCGAGCGACGACGTGGGGCCTCGCAACCAATCACGGGGGAAGCCGAAACTTGCATATCACATCACGAAGCGCTCTGTGTTATTCCCGGGAATCGGAGGAATCCGCCCTCTCAACGGCGGGCGCAGCCGTGCATCTTGCTGGGAAGATGGAGCTCCAGATGATCAATACTGACAGGGGAATGGCCTGGCTCGCCCTGTGGATATTGGTGACGGGGCCTGTAAGCTAAAGACCGTCCAGATTTGCAATTAGCACGCAGGCCGGCGGAATAAAAACATACCCAGCAGCTATACGTCGGATTGACCGTGTCTAATCTCTATCCGAGCCCGGCCATTTACTTTCTTTGAGTTTTAGACGCATCTCGACTCCAAAGCCGCAGTCATGTCTCCCAGCCGTGTCGACGAAGGCGCCAAGAAGCCACGCGTTGTGTGTCTTGGTGCTCCCAAGTACGCGGGCGCAGGATACCTCGAGGAGTTTGGAAACCAATTCGACTTTGAGGTGCTGGATGCTGCAGACCGAGCTGAGACGCAACAAAAGCTGCCTGAGCTCATCAAGCGCGGAGGCCCCGTCGATGCCTTCATCATCCGCATGGGCACACCCCCGTATGAGCCGTTTGACGAGGACCTGCTCAAGGCTCTTGCACCCGACTGCCGCATTATTACTTCTGCCTCAGCAGGATTTAATGAATTCGACGTTGAGTGGATGAGCCGGAATGGCATCATCTTCTGCAACTCCGTCGATGCAGTTGCCGAGGCCACCGCTGATATGGCCATGTTCCTAACCCTCGGCGTGTTGAGGAACGCCTTCACTGCAGAGCGATCTGCCAGGGCTGGGAAATGGCGAGGAAAGCCCGGCGTTCTCAGCCCGGCCAGGGACCCAACCAACCTGACACTCGGAATTGTCGGCCTGGGCGCTATTGGAAAGGTGAGTCGGCCACATCTATGCTTTGACAGAACATCACTCACATGCCATGCTACAGTACTTGGCAAAGAAAGCTGCCGCCTTCAACATGAAGATTAAATATTACAACCGGCGCCAACTTCCCGAAGAGGAAGAGAAGACCTACAACGCTACATATTGCTCCACCTTGGAGGAGTTGCTCTCCGCCTCCGACGTGGTATCCCTAAACTGCCCCCTGAACGCAAACACCACAAATCTCATTAGCACCGCTGAATTTGCGGCCATGAAAGATGGGTGCTTCCTCATCAATACCGCAAGAGGAGCCGTGGTAGACGAGGCTGCGCTCAAAGTTGCGCTGCAGTCTGGAAAGGTTGCGCGGGCAGGACTTGACGTGTTGTGCGACGAGCCGAATGTGGACCCTTGGTTCTTGGAGCAGGAAAATGTTATTGTGCAGCCGCATCTGGGCGGTTTGACTGATGTGGCGTTTCAAAAGGCAGAGCGCGAGTGTTTTGAGAATGTCAGGGCGCTCTTTGAGTCGGGCAAGGCGAACAGTCCCGTGAACATGGATAAGATCAAGAAGTAAATCGAGATGGTATACAGCACACATGAGAGATTAGCGCCTTAAAATCCAAGAACATGAATAAAAGGATACTGCATTTTAGGTTTTTGGTGTTTTTTTTTCTATCCTGCAATCGTCCCTCTCATGCTTGAATGATTTGAGACGTTATCAACATGTTTACGGGCTACAGATCCGTTATATGTGACACCCCTCGGCGTCGTCACGTCAGGAATGGCACGATTTAGCAACTTGCGCTTCAAAGTCATATCAAACTAATTTCAGCCTGATGAGGGCCGCTGTATTACACTGGAGCTGTATGTCAATGGGCGGATAATTCGAGCACCAAAACCAATTACCACAATCCGGCATTCGGTATCAAAAGGTGCGAAAAGGTCGAGTTCAATCGCACTAAATAAAAGTTTAAAGCATCACAGGTCGTCTGACCTTTGAATACAATATTTGGGAAAGTGGATAGTAGTGATTAGCTTATTCAAGCCTCTAGATAAAACTAATCTTTTTCTTCACGATTTATCTCGCTTATATAGATCAGAACAGCAAAGGGATTGAAGAAAGGGTCGCAGCTCAAAATGAATTGAATAATTCTTTCATCTAGGAATGAAAAGGGTTGGAGGAAATGACACATGGGCCATTGACGCTCTCCATTCAGATGCTGTCAATTCCCTTCGCTTTGACGACATCTCGATCAATGCTGCCACTAAAAACGCGTCAGTCGCATATTTCATAAGGGGGATTAAATTTCGGAAACTCACTCTTCGGCGTCAAGTTCTCGGGCGGTGATAGTTTTGCGATGCTTCTTGGCTGTGCTGCGAATCTGCCACCACGGACCCTCAAAGAGCGCGTCCAAGTGCTCCACGGGCAATCCTGCGGTCTCAGGTACTGCCAAGAAGACGTAAATGAGAGAGATAAAGCACCAGGCAGCGAAGAAGATGAATGCGCCCCAATTATCCATGCTCTCGAGGATGCTGGGGGTCGCTCTGTTGAGGCCGAAATAGAACAGCCAGTGGAACGTCTGGGTCAAGGCAGAGCCAAAGGATCGAATGCTATTCGGCCACAATTCGGCACTGAAGACATAAGGCAAGACCAGCAGACCTAAATTCACAATATTAGTCTCAGATACGCACTTGTATGTGTGGATGCGGTGTTGCAACTTACCAACTGCATAGCCGAAGCCGTGAATGAAAATGGCGGCTACCGCGGCCTGTGATGCTGCATCCGAGACCGGGCCGGCTTGCTTGTATTTGAGATAAACTCCAATGTAGGTATCCGAAATCATCTGGATAGTAATTCCGGTGAAGAGAGACTTGCGACGGCCCAGAGCATCGATGAAGAAGAATGATGCAATCAAGGTGTAAAAGAACTTGGACATGGAATACATGCTGGACAAGAAGAGATTGCGATCGGTGTTTCCCCCGAGGCCCATCAAAGACAAAATCGGCACAAGATAGCTCGTCACGGAGTTGGCGCCTGACAGCTGAGCCAAGGCATATGAGACGCAAGACTGCTGGACGCGGCGGAGGTTTGCTGGTACCATGAAGGTTTCCCTGAAGACAGATTTGATACCCCCATTAGCTCCATACTTGGAATGTTCTCCCTCAATTTGAAGCCGAATGTCTGAGAGCTCGCTAGCGACACGAGGGTGGTCCCGGGGCAGGCCGCGAAGAGCCACCAACGTTTCCGTGGCTTCTTCCTCCCGGCCGACGAGCATGAGCCATCTTGGGGATTCGTAGACGAAGAAACTGGCGATAATAATAAGAGCACAGATGATTGTCGGTGTGAAGAAGACGATCTGATACTGCAAACGCGAGGCGGCGACGTGCAGGAAGCAAGCGTAGACGGTGAGAGTGCTGACAGTCAAGCTGAGCAGCATCACGACGCTGAACCAAACAGTCAGAAGGCCGCGAATTTCGGTCGGTGCGATTTCGACAATAGACATGGGTCCAGTGACGGTAAGAGGTCCGATTCCGAGGCCAGAAATAAATCGGGCAGTATAGAGGACGCCGAGGTGTCCATTTGCAAAGGTGGCGATGAGTTGGCCGACAATCCAAACGGCAAAGTATAGACGGAGCGACCACAAGCGACCGATGCGATCATTGATGAAGAACGAGATGCCAGAACCAACACCGGCAGTGAGGTAGACGAACGAAATGAAGTTGGTCACCTCCTTGGGGTTCGTGGCCGACGCAATGCCAAACGCCGACGAGAAACCCGGGAGCGAGGGAACGACGGAGCTTGAGCCCTGATCCCATGCTGCGAGAGGCGTAAGCAAGTATCATGCATCAACTAATACGTGGAAGACTTACTAATGCACATGCCGGACATTGCATACACGGCCGTAGTGAGCAGCAACCTGCGGTTGAAGATGACTTCGCGAGGCGACTCCCGTATGGACTTGACATACTTGGCGAGAGTCGAGTCGCTGAATAACTGGCCGACACCCATGATGGCGATTCACTTCCGGCAGATGAAGGTGTTCAGAGAGATAAAAGTGCCTCGATTGAGAACAATTTGCCCGAGAGGTCGATGAGCACTTGAAGCCTGCCTTTGCTTTCTCCGTCGACTGATGCCGGGTCCCAGGGATGAATATATTCACAGCCAGGCGTAGCTCGCCAACTCGGCGCTCATGATTGGATCCGACACGGCGAGATTGTCTCGTCGCGTGATGCCGGAAACATGGTGCGTTCGCCGCGACGTGTGCGCAAGCGTTATCTGGGGAAGCGCAACGTCGCTATCGCTCTCCACAATTGCAACCCTGCCCCTTACTCGCCGTGCCAGACACGTTGAGCCATGAGCTGGATTCCTCCGGGTCTAATCCATGAGCGGTGTGGGGCGGAAACGAGGCCGGTCGGTACAATCCGAGTCGTCATGATGTTGCTTCTAGCTCCGTTTGCGCTCTAGCTTGGCCTGTATCGCTGTCGCATCCTTCCGGTGTTTGGCCAGTGAATAATCATGCGGATTGCGTGATAGCCGAGGATTACTCAGATAATCTACGCCGATGTTGAGTCGATAATTGCTCTCCTCTTTTCCTGGGCTACTCCCAAGATTCCCAATCGCACAGCAACGGTTTAGTCTGCATACAACACCGCTAAGGGATTCCACTCGCTCTGCATTGTCGATCACACCATGGCGATTCGCCCAAGTAAAAATGACCCAATTGTGATTGTGGGTGCTGGCATTTTTGGCCTCAGCACTGCCCTTCACCTCACTCGACGCGGCTATCAAGACGTGACCGTCTTTGATCGTCAAGACTATGACACAGGCTTGTATTCTTACCACAAGGGATGTGACGCGGCTTCAGCGGGTATGTTTCATGACTTTTGCTCATCACATTACTGCACGGGGTTCTGACGCGTCGTAGATTTGAACAAGATCATCCGTTCGGCCTACGGTACTCAGACGGAATACCAAGAACTCTCCTTCGAAGCCATTGAGCATTGGCAGGCTTGGAACCAAGAGATATCCAATGGCAATGTGCCGCCGGGAATGAGCTCTGCCGACAAGGTCTTCTACAACTCTGGCGCAATCTCTTACAACTCTGGAGAGGCATTACCTCCATTTGAGCAAGCCACCATCGAGGCCATGACCAAACTTGGACACGGAGATACTCAACTTGTCACGACCGACCCGAAACAAGCCGTCACTGCGCAAGATCTGGGGTTCAATGTTGACCAGTTCAAAGCCGCAACGCGCGGTAAGCCCATTGTTGGAGTTCTCGACACCAGCGGCGGGTTTGCAGTTGCCGACAAGGCATGTCGCGTCGCCCTTCACAAGGCGCGAGGGTATGGAGCCAAGTTTGTCTTTGGGCCAACTGCCGGTGCCTTTGACACTCTCATCCACGCTGGCAAGGACGTTGTCGGTATTCGCACCAAGGATGGCAAAATTCATCCCGCCAAGCAAACCATCATGGCATGCGGCGCTTATACTCCCGTTCTGGTCCCGGAGCTAGATGGTCTCGCCGAGGCCACAGCAGGATCCGTTGCCGTCTTCCAGATTCCAAAGACCTCGGAGCTATTCACGCGATTGTCCCCCGAAAACTTCCCTATTTGGATGTTCAACATGCGAAGCGGTCAGGATGGGGGCCTCTATGGCTTTCCAGTCGATCCCCATGGATTCTTCAAGATCGGATACAGAGGCACAAAGTACACCAATCCTCAAGTGCAGCCTGATGGCAAGGAGCGCAGTGTCCCCATCACGCGATATACGAAGGGCGAAAAGATTACGCAAATCCCGACGAAAGCCATGAATACTATTGCGTTATTTGTGGCAGACTATCTTCCCGAAATTTTCGATGAAGGCCTCGACGTTGCCTTCACGAGAGTATGCTGGTATACCGATACTTTTGACAACCATTTCGTCATCGACCAAGTTCCGCAACAACCCGGCCTCATGGTCGCCACGGGAGGCAGCGGTCATGCCTTCAAGTATCTGCCCAACATCGGCAATTGGGTTACTGATATCATCGAAGGCGTCGGCCCCGATAGACCAGCCATCAAGGCGTGGAGATGGCGAAAACAAGGAGACACCAAGCCGGTGAATGTGCTTATGGAAGGCAAGAAAGGCGCAAGGGCTCTCCAGAATGTGACGTTGATGAGCCAGATAAACGGAAGAAGCTCAAAGAGGAGTTCTTCGCTGTAGTTTGGACATGAGCGGAACGAGAGAAGGGAGATTAATTTGTGGCGATTGATGTTCTCGGCGGTTTGGAAGATTGTATCTTCGATGGAGAGTCACATCAGCTTCGACCAAAGATTGTACATTGATATGCATTTTTAAGTGCTGTATAATTGTAAGCCACCATATTTGCATGCTATCCAAGTTGCTTATCAACACTTATTTATTACCTCGGTGCTGACATTCTTTACCAAGAGTACAAAGTGCGCAGAGGACTCCAAAACGTTTTTATTTATGACCAACGCATGGTTCTGTAATGGGCTATCTAAAGCATTTCACAACTTTTAATCTACTTCTCCGGGGGGTACACAACGATCCTGTCAAGATCCGCTCCCTTGTAGTCGACTCCGTTGCTAAGGCCGCCGACAGTGATAGTGTTCCTGCCCTTCTTGAGAGGCAGCAACAGAGGGCTGGAAATAATGATTCCCTTGTGGGTATCCCTTTGGTAGAGAGTGTGGACGTTTTCTGTGTCGCCATTCACCACGACGCTGCTGATGCGACGGAGTTGCCATGCTCCTCCGATTCGATCCGGTGCACCCTGGGCTATAATGTGTCAGAGTTGGGTTTTCAGGCACCAGGAAAAGGATTGACTTACGTTGATCTCCATAGCCCATGTCGTCGATGTCTTTTATCAAATGTTAGCGCACCTGCTAATTTCATGGGGGTGTATGATTGGGGTGAAACTTACTCTGATGGTAGAATGAAACCCATTGATCCTTTCCTTGGCCAGTAACATCGAAGGTGATGGTGCTATCATTGCCATAGATGCTAGTTGCAATCACATTGTCGCTCCCAAAGTTCTAAAGATCGGTCAATTATGTTGCAAGATGCCAAGGGACTTTCAGCAGAGAAAACTCACTGCCTCTTGGAGATAGGCATCTCCCTTTGTCTTTGCGCTCTTGGAGTAGTAAGTCTTTCCGGATATCGCCTTCCATTCTCCAGTTTTGCTATTAATGGCGATTAGCTCTCGGTGCATTTTTCAATGGTCGCAATTTACTTACACATTAAGGTCGTAGACGTCGTGCCAGAGAACCTCAATACTCTTTTTCTTCTCGTCAATTTCCAACGGCAGCCAGACGTTACGGCTCTCCCAGAGCGAGACGCTATCCCACTGTACATCACAGGTAAGCATTGGACGCGTTTATGCTAGCGAGATACGTACTTGGTCTCCCATGTAAAGGTACGTTGTCTTCTTCGTGCCCTTGATCCTCCAGGAGAAACCGGACTGAGTGCTGAATGTGCGGGTATAACTTGGGGAGACGAAAAAAGGCTGGGACCATGGGCCACTGAGCGAGTCGGCGCGGAATGCAACGACATCTTGTATGGTCAGCCAACTTGGTTGAACTTTATCTTGCGTCACCAAAACTCACTGTTGGGTCGGTATCCAGTCTTGTGGCTCATCAGGGCATAGTAGCTCTTGTCAGTTTGGACGATGGTTGGGGCTTCGAGATCAAACTTGTTGAAGCGGAATACAACCTCCTCGACATCGGTGATATTATCATTGAAGCGGCTGATGTAGACGTCGCGGCCTTGCTTGCTGTCTCCGTTGGAATACAGAGCGTATGATTTGCCGGTTTTGTAGTCGGTAAAGGCTCCAAAGTCCTGGGACCAATTTCCAAGAGGTGCAATGGCATTTTGGAACGTGTACGGGCCAGCAATGTCGTCTGCAGTGGCGAAGCCTTGCACGAGTTTGGTGTATTTGGAATCGTCCGCGTGCCACCACATCTAGACAATTGTTAATATTTAATAAGGGGTTGTAGGTGTAATCCGACATACGTGGTATTTGCCCGTTTCCTCGCTGTAGAGCACTTTGGGTCGCTGGATGACATTTTGCGGGGAAATCCATTGGTGTCCATCCACCGGTTCTATTGCGTGTGAGTATATTCGTCCTGTTCAAATCACGTTAAATTTACCACTCACTGAGTGCGATTCCGTGGGACTTCCATGTTGCGAGATCATCCGAGCTGTATACCGAGATGCCGCCACCTTCAACCTGGCCCTCGCTCTTGTACTCGCCAAACCAGTAGAACTTTCCGGTATCTTGGTCGACACAGAGGCCGCCGGCGTGAGCGTTGAAAATGTTCCCGTCGGTATCGAACCACCTAGCGCCTGGGACGATCCATTTGGCCGTCGCGCATGTGGCCAGCGCTGCCAGCGTGAGAAGGCGTAGAGCGACCATTTCCAATCATGGGGCGAAACAGTGGCGCTGGGCTAAGTTAGGATTCAGGAGGATCACACTGACCTCTGGAACCTCACGTCTTTTATACGGATCTTGCTTAATACCCGTATGGTATACCATAGCCTGTCGATCCCCGGCACAGTCGGGTTCTGGTCAATTGTCCCGAGCTCGGGGGGAATTACCGCGAGCTCTCCTGACGAGCCCATCATCCGCACCTACGACAATGTTGCAATGACGGCAAACCAAACATTGCAAGGTTGCCAAGCTCAATTCTAGAACTTTAACCGGTGGACTCAGCAATTAATTAGTCGTTATATCCATCTTTTCCCCTGTCGTCATCGGGCTCTTAACCTCATGGAGCTCTCTTCCCCGTACCCCGCACCTTAACCCATCACTCCATTTCCTGCGTTAATGCTGCAGGGCTGATGCCATCCCCGGATACGAAATGCTTAACGAGGCATGATCACCAAACCCCTCGGGAAATTGTTTTTGCAGCTTCCATAACGAGACAGGACTAATTTCCATTTCTCCACGAATTGAAAGTACCTCGGGTACGATGTTGGGGAATTTAGCGGGATTAGGCGAATCAACTACCCTATAACATTGCAACCCCGCTTGGAAAATCTTTATGACAGTGAAAACGGAACTGCTACTGGGGCTTCTCAAGATGCTATACTGGAAGTGTTGTGAGACGGCTCTGTTATTATGTTACTAACGAAGACAAAGGAGGGGTCGGATGCAAGGTTATGGAACAGTGTGAAGATCAGGTCGAGGAGAATGGAAAGATTCATGAAACACCCACGGTTTAAATTGCGCAGTCTTTTGAACAACTTCAGCCCTCCAGCTAATTAATTGCCAGCGACAGTTTATTTTAAGTAAAATAACCTTGTATTGTTACCTTATTGTCGTGGCCTGCCCCTCTGGGCTTGACAGCACTTAACCTCTGGTGCTACCTCTCGGGCGGGACCCTCCTGGGTACATTGTGATAGGATCGGCTGCGATTCCGGATCGACTCGGGGAAATTGTTGATCCCCCTGGCAAGGGAATCCATTGACATTGAAGTGAGGAGACTATGGACCTGCTTCTCGACCAGGGCGCTTGTGCGTCAGATGTCGACTTCCTTCCCCGACGCTGAGGACATACGGAATGATCAAAAAGGCCATATGGTGCCGCTCTCACCTTGACCTCTCAATGGGCACGTTCTAAGTTGGTCCATCGACTTATGGATGGAGGTGCTGATGTCCATGCGAAGACGAGACATGACGGGAACTTTTGCTTGAATAGCCACTTCGATAATGCCATTTTACGCGTTACTGCCCTTTTTACTGGCCGCTTCTAGAAGGTATAGTTTCTGATGATACGACTTGTCTACCTCACACAGACAGATCAACTAGGGCTGCTCATATTCTGTGTGTGTAGAGTGTTGGTGGTGTTGCGCTCCGTTAGTGTTGGATCGCAGGGTTTTGTGGACAGGACGGCCAGCGACGACTAGTACAGCCCGGGATGTAAAACAGCTTTCTGCTGAGCGCCTTTTATTACATGGCGCGTATTGTTGACTTATGCCTGAGCCATCGTGACCGGCGCTCTGGCTGTCCCGAAGGCATCTCTGAGCTGTCTTGATAATCAGACGCTGATCGAACCAGCAATTCTGCCTTGCACGTTGAAGAACGAACAACAGCAATAAAAGTCAAGGGAGAAAATGAAGAAGGCAATGTAGAAGAATAGGCATTTGTCATTTGTATCCCCAAGATGGAAGAGCTGTAAATCCCTGTCCCGAAGGATAACGATGTTGGTGTCGAAGCCGAGAATCCGGCTTTCTCAGTCGTACCATGTACGTAACAGTCCCCATCCCGATTTAACCTGGAAGGTGGAAGATGGGGGGACTAACCTGAGTTGGTTGGTGTCCTAGTCCTACTTGAGTCGACACATTTACCGAGCTTCCACTCCATCTCCAAATGCCCTGACTGCCGAAGGTAAGCGTTTCTTCCACTGCGTGGAATATGACTCGTCAAAAGGGTGTTAAACGCACGGCGATGCATTATCACTCGGTCAACTACGCCTCGAATCCCTTATCACACGCGCCCAACAAATGATAGAACGGCACGAGTCAAGGATGGATGTGCTATCTACCGGAGGCAACCTTAACTATCTTGGGCAACGACTGCATAGGTGGAACGGAGACGCCTCTTCTCCACAAAGCGCACTTGACTCCCCCACCCCCACTATTGATTGGGTCGTACGATGAGTCCAAGGAGTGAAGCGGGCGACTGGATGTTGGTGTGTTCACCAGATACTAGGCCGATAACGATGGGCCACTGGGAATCAGGGCGTTGGGCCATTACCAACACTGAAGATGCGGAGTCGAGCAACTCACACTATATTACCACACTGACGCGTAATCCATCATTCTCATCTGGACATACGGGAGCAGATACAGACAATCAGACAATCAGACAAACTGAAAGACACAGACACACAAGCAACCATCAATTCACTAAGAAATGTGGCGCATGCTCGGTCTCGGCTCGGCTGGCGACTCAAACAGCGCCAAGGACCCTCCATCTCGAGGCCTACCAGCATCTTGGTACAGATCTCCAGAGTTGTTCCAACTAGAAAGACGCGCCATCTTCTCTCGGAAATGGATCCTCGTCACTCATTCATTGAGGTTCAACCAGCCCGGCGACTTTCTCTCCTTCACATATGCTGAATTTCCCTTCTTTCTCGTCCGCGATCGCGAAGGCTCCATTAATGGCTTCCACAACGCATGTCGCCATCGCGCATACCCCATTGTGGAGTCTCGCTGTGGTGAAGCCAAGATCTTGAGCTGCAAATACCACGGCTGGTCCTACGGCTTTGGCGGAAACCTGGCCAAGGCGCCTCGCTTCGACACTGTCAAGGGCTTCGACAAGAGCCAGCATGGGTTGCTTCCAGTCAACGTGCACATCGACAAGCTTGGCTTTGTTTGGGTGAACCTACAGGCCGGGGAACCAGATGTGAAGTGGGACGATGATTTTGGAGGTATGGAGGACAAGCCGAGGATGAAGCAATTCGACTTCTCCGGCGGCTACTCCTTCGACCACGTTTGGGACATGGATCTCGATGCCAACTGGAAGTCGGTGATGGAGAACTACAACGAGTGCTATCACTGTCCAACATCCCACCCGTTGATCGCGGGAGTCTCAGATTTGACCAAGTATCGAGTCGAACCCAGCGGCGGCTGTCTGGAGCATGAGATTGTTAATAAGAAGCCGCAAACCGAAGAGGACGAGTTCCGTCGTTCAATCACGTTTGCGTTCCCCTGCACATCCATTACCATAACGTACGTTTCAATTACTCCGCCTTTGCAACGTGGCAGAAGACTAACACTTATCACCGCTTGTAGCAAGAACTTCTTCTACATTCAACGCATGATTCCCATGGGTGCAACAAAGACGAAAATTGAAAATGAGATTTATCGTCATAAAGTCGCAACAGACGAAGAATTTGCCGCCATCAACGCCTTCTACAAGCAGGTCTTGGAAGAAGACAAGCATTTGTGCAATGAGGCGCAGCGAAACCTCGACGCGGGTGTGTTCGTAAATGGGGAGCTGCACCCCGACAAAGAAAAGGTCAGTTCAATCACAATCTCTAACATGTACATCAACGACTCTTGAACTGACGCGGGTAAACAACCAGGGTCCAATTCATTTCCAGAACGTCGTCAGGGAGGAGGTCATGAACCATCGAAAGAAGGAAATGAAGCAAGGTGGACGGGAAATCTGGCCCGCGACACCAAAGATCATGGGGGAGATGAAAACCGGTAAGTTGAGTGAGGAAGAGATGTTCTGTTCAGAACTCGAAGCAGCGAGCTGTCGAACGAGAGAGGAGTTGGCGTGGTGAGGTTGGCTTGATGTGTAAGAGGAATAACTCAATGGGCTTTGTACGCAGGAGCTGCGATACTCTGGGTGGCGTTTTACTCTGTGATGGAAAATTGATATCATTCCACTAGATTCACTGGCCTCTGATGAACTGCTTGGTGCTCTTCAAATACGTGATTCTAAAGGGCTTGAAGTTCTCAGTATCGGGGCATCTATTGTGGTCGATTCACGGCTCATTTAATTTCAAGTAAGGGTATTTTGAGAGCCAAATGTTTAATATTTTAAATCATAACCATGTCATCATAATTCAATCTCCGTCATTTCGAGATTTAAAAGACTCTAATTAATCTTCAAACTCATCGTACTGATTGATCAAGCGCTGCGGCACCAAGCCTCGCAACACAACAACACCCGAATGCACGATGCCCCATCGAACCTTGGTCAGTGAATCTGCCATGATCCAGACGAGTCCGTTCGTACGCCGACGTTCCCAAGACAGCACGGATTCGCTGCGGTTGATGCCACTGGCCATACTAGAGAGCAGTGACTTCATCTCCGCTTGAGGATCCCACACCATCTCGTCGTCTTCATTGTAGGCGTCATCATCCTCATCATCCGACGCACCGTGGTTCACGCGGGAAGACGTTCTGCGACCGCGGCTTGGACGCGCGTGGTGGAAGGCCCAACAGGTCAAGGTCACCAAGTAGAGACACCAAGGGACGTGAAACAAGTTCATAGCCTCCGAGTCAACCAAAACCTTCATCGTATCTCGCAGCATCCGCGCCGCATGCCAAGCAGCAGTTGCCGCCGACTGATTTGGCTGAAGGGCCTGTTGCTCACTTGATGGAGTGGTGGCAGGCTCTTTTCCACTTGAACTGGATGTCTCTCGACTTGAGGCTGCTGGGATAGTGCTGGCAGCCCACCGTTTCACGACCTGGGCGGACCGCAGATAATCCCTTTGCTGCACCGGCCGGCCGAGAATATGGCGAGCTCCAGCGTAGATTTGTACGTCTAAAAATTCGACATTCAGCAGCACTTGTGCTGAATGATAGACCGCATTGTAGGCGGCAGCGAACGCAACAAATTCGCTGCGTTGGGTTTCTTCTTCGATAACGGAATCATCGCGTCCAGGTTGCTGGCCCTGCTGTCCTCTTTGGAACCTGGTGTTTACAGCCGCACAATACCAATCGAAATCAACTTTCCAAAGATCATACGCGGTGCTGATGAGTTTGCGCCAAGAAACGTCGACGCTTCCCTCGGACACGACTCCAAGAGATGTCTGATCACGGCGTTGCATATCCCACGCAATGGACATTAATCCATGGAGGATTAGGATTCGAGATAATGCGCCGAGACCGGTCGGTCGCGGGATTGTCGACGACAAATAAGACTTAAGGGTAGGGAGATATAGCGTTCTGTGGTCTGCCGAGAGGGTGGACCGCCATGCAGATACCCAGGATGTAGGATCTCGGGCTTCCCAAATACTCTGGCTGCATGGAAGTTCCAGCCGTAGTTCAAATGAAGACATGCAAAGGCTCTGACAGAAAAGTACTGCGTGCTGAGTATCCCACATGAAGCAGAGCAATGCGAGTCTATTAATTTTGGTCAGCATGTTTATCTGATTATGAGAAAATATAGAGAGTGAAATACCTTTTCTTTTGCTCAGCCTCGGCCCAGCGCCTCCATATGCGCTCTAGACCCTCAATATTGTCCTCGCCAGAGCCCTGAGGGGGACCAACGGGCTTGATGGACTGACAATCCGATCGTCGGATGAGATTAATCAGAAGCCCGTGAAATAGATGGCTCATATCATGTTGCTTCTGACCAGCTCTTGACTTGCCGAAGCATTCTACCAACAAGATGGTCTGCAAAGTCCACAATTCCGGCCTAGGTGAAAAGCCAGCGTGCGCGAAGATGCTGGGACGAATAACATCGTGGATGCACACTGCAAGTTGGTGTGCATCCTTGGTTGAATATGTGGCTCCGAGCAGACAAACTGAGAGAAGCAGAAGAGGCTCATCTTCATGTACGTTGAAGGTGGCTAAGTGGATCAACGGATATGCTGTGTTGAAGCGGGTGAAATATAGTTCCAGGTAGGATTGAAGTGATGCGACCGAGAGCAACGGGTGGTCCCAAATAGAATGTCGCTGATCTGGGAGAGAAGGATTTGCAGTGTCGATTATTTTCAAAAGACGCTCCCGTATGACCTCGGTGAGTATTGGAAGCGGAAGGGGTTTCCGCAACGTAGAAAGTGGCCTTTCAAACTCGATAGGAACAGCATGGCCTCCGCCGCTACGGTTTTTTTGAGTACCGGCAGATCCATCTGCCAGTCTTCTTCTTGAGCTCCTCTCAGGGTAGACCTCTGTTGAGCCGGGACGAGCGGAATGGCCCATCATTCTTTGTGTCGGAGGGTGATTATTGACGTCAATGTAAGGTTGTTCTTGGTTCCTGGGTTCCCGGTGATCCGCGTCCATGGTCTCTGACCAGGGTTGAGAGCCCATCGATTCCGGAGTAATGGCCAATCCTCCTTGCAAATTGACTCCTTGAAAATCCTGACCATAGAATTCTGGAGAGTGAGTAGAGTCGCTTCCTCCAAAGGTAACAGGGGACTTGTCGACGCTGAATAGCCAGTTGTAGTCCAAGGCAGTCGTATATGGCATATTAAACGAACTGGCTGTATCTGGTTGGAAGATCCTGTCGTACTGTAGCTGTTCAGTACCACTGAAAGGATCTTCCAAGGTCCTCGACTGGAGGAGATCAGTCCAAGATTGGTTGTAGAGTAGGGTGGGGTCCTCTTGCTGGGAAGGGATACCGCCCGAGAAGGATAGGGCGCCGACGGAGTCTCCAGGGTGTTCCGCAGTAGTCGTATCAGTGTGTCCAGATCGAATGTCCAGGATTATAGGGAGGTCCGTATCGGCACTTGCGTCGATATTCGGAACCGTTGTTGTGTCAAATGCCGAGTTAACATAGTCAAGCTCAGTAGATTCAGGCTCAGGCGATGGCTCCTGTTGAGCCTCGGACTGCAGGCGCTCAGTTGAGGATCTTCTCTGACTAGAGTATGTACAAGGACGCTTTTCAACGACGGATCCGTCTGGCGCTTTCCAGGATCGTTTCCTGGTGTCGAGAACACCGCAGCCTGGACCACCTGCTTCGAGATCCTTTTGGCGGTGACGGTCCATATGCCGTTCTAACAGGGAATAAACGTCAGCATGGACCATCCGATGCTATGAGATGCCATGATCATTTCACGACGTGCAACGTACTCAAAAGGTCAGGCCGCTTGAAGTGGGCGCGGCAGAGAGTACAGGTCGACCCCCCCGACGTATGATTCAAGGCATGACGATGCAAATGTTCTGCACGAGTGAAGCGTTTGGTGCAGCCCTGATGGGTGCAGGCAAATGACTTCTCACCGACTGTCAACATGCTGGGGTCTTCGGCCTGGGCCACGGCAGCAGCTTTGTCTGATCTGTCCGTGGATCGCCAGGAGTCGTCCATTCTATCCACTTCTGTTCAGAGAGTCAAAGCTCCCGGTAATTGCAAGTGCTTTGTTTTTTTGGGTGATAGAGTAAAAATGGGGTAAGGGATGAACGATGCCTAGGCAGATCGAGGGTGGAGGGAAGGGGTGGATGTGCATTTTCACTTGACGCTTGGGATTTCTCAGGCGATTGACTCGCATCATGAGAAGTGGAGACACGCAGACACGGATCTGTGGGCGCGATAAGGCGAGTAACAAGATGTATTAGGGCTGGTGTACCTCAGGACAGTGTACAAACGAGCCAGGCCGGGTGAGAGAACAATACCCGAGTGCTACCTTACACAAAGCGTACCGTAGGACTTTACCAGACTACATCATGTTTAGATAATGAATACAACCCTGAAAGTCAATCGTATTCGAATGCCTTTCATGAAATACGATGTCTCGTCCTCGGCTTTCACGTCTACTCTTCTGGTATCGAGTGTCCAAGATACTCTCCTCTCGTCATAAGGTCGTAATCTCGTACCTCGTACATTCCTTATCTCCCCCCATTCTTGCTGCTCCTCTCCCCCCACTCTCGTCACATTGAGATAATGCGCAAGAGTGGATTGTGTGCGCTAAGCCATTTCAAGTGACGTGGCAATTGACTCCCAGAGGTGGGGAAGTTCTACAGGGACGGACCTTGCACTGATTGTAGCGCAGCTCTCAGAACCAGGCTCCTTATCGGCGTCTGGCTTTAGGGCAACTGGAGAGAGAGAGATGGCATGCATGGAGTACATGCTCCAAAGAGGGAGAACGACTCGGGAGATGGGATCGGATCTGAACTCGCCCCGCAGCGCGGGTTTGGCCGCTCTATCACTTCCACTTCCACTTCTGACTGGTGACACAATGCCGCTCTTCGTCGGGAGCCGAACTACGCAAAAGCCAATGGCATTAAATCTTCAGTGGCCCCGGCAGTGAATTGCGTTGGCATGAACACTAAGCAAAGAGCTCTCTACTTGGTGGAAGCACATCAACACCATAAATTTCCATCGCCATTGGAACTCGAGTGGACGCCCTGTCGACTTTGGATGAGCGTTTGACATTCTTTATCTCCCAAATTCTCCCTTTTAATTCCTTGATTCGCCAATCCAACCATGGCCGACTTGGCAAATTTCACAGTGCAACAAAAGATGCAAAGAGATGCGGCAAGCAAACTAGATGTACGATACCCGTAGCCCGTGACACGTCTAGATTCTCTTCGAATCTACGCCGCATACGTCGATTGAACCTTCTTAACGTCTGTTAGGTTATTATTGTCGGCGCTGGCCTAGGTGGCTTGGGAGCTGCCATCTCCATCCTGCTTGCTGGTCACGATGTGACGGTTCTTGAGGCAGCGTCGAACATTGGGGAAGTCGGGGCGGGGATCCAGGTTCTACCCAACGCAGTGCGAGTGCTCTTTTCATGGGGTCTAAAAGACAAACTCGAAAAGTTCGCCACCAAACCCCAGAAATGCAACTTCATCGGCTGGAAGGGCAACCACCTCTCATCGATGGACTACCACGGATATGCCGCCGCGGCTGGAGGTTTTCCTTTCTGGGATTTCCACCGTGCCAACCTTCACAAATGCCTTCTGGATCGTGCCATCGAACTAGGAGCGAAACTCATCACCAAAGCCAAGGTGGAAACCTACACTGTGTCAGGGGATGGAAGTTCAACCACCGTCTTCCTCGAAGATGGGCGCTCTATGACAACGGATCTTCTCGTCGGAGCTGATGGAATAAACTCAAAGCTGCGAGAAGAATTCCTCGGCAAGTCGGACCCACCCGTGTTGACGGGAGATTTGGCCTACAGACTCCTGCTCAATACTTCGGAGATGCTGAAGGACCCGCAGCTGAGGCCGTTTGTCGAGAACCCTCAGGTGAACTACTGGGTCGGCCCGGAAAAGCATGCCGTCAACTATGTTCTCAAGGGCGGCGAGCTTTTCAACATGGTTCTTCTGGTCCCAGACGACATGCCTCTTGATGGCGGCAACACTCTAGAGGGAAACATCGACGAGATGCGAGCCCACTTTGACGGCTGGGATCCTCGCATTGCAAAGATGCTCGCCCTGTGCGATTCAGTGCTCAAGTGGCGACTGTGCATCCGGCCAGGCCTTGAGCCAACATGGTCTCACCCTGGTGGCTCTTTCACCCTGCTCGGCGACGCCGTCCACGCGACTCTGCCATACCTTGCCAGTGGAGCAGGCATGGCCCTGGAGGACGCTGGTGTTCTTGGGCTTTGCTTAGCACGGTTGACAGACAAGTCTCAAGCTTCCAAGCAAAAGGCGCTGGACGTGTACGAGGCTTGTCGACGCGAGAGGACAGAGAACGTCGTGCGCAGAGGCACGTACAACCAGTGGATCTACCACCTCGCCGACGGCCCGGAGCAGGTGGAACGAGATCAGAAGTTCAGAGAGTACGGAAAGAAAGACCGACAATGGCTGAGCGGGGAATCGCCCGTTCTTCCAGTGTCTGCAGAGACGGGAGAAGATCCGTTCCCGTGGAGGTATCATGGCGTAGGCAGATGGCTGTTGACATATGATATGTGGAAGGACATTGACGCCAAGTGGGAAAAGACCACACGTCCGGCTACGGATGTTGCACCAGCTAGAGCAAGTTTATAAACGAAATGTGTGTTGAAGTAGATGAAAATCAGATCCATTATTAATTGTCTATTATTGTGCCGCGTCTCCTGGCTGTTGACTTTACCGTTCGTTCAAATCACGTATGGTTATCTGGTATGCGCACATGTTTAGTTGCCTTCACCATACCTCTTCACGTATGTTTTGCCTGTATTTAGTTCACAAAATTGTGCTCTCAATGTAGATGCGATACAGCGATTGTGAGCTTCTGAAACACTGTAATGGTCCAGCCCCGATCATTCCGTCATGCCTATCCTGAGAGGGCGGGCTCGAGAGAAGAATGAGAATGTATAGGGAGTTTAGAAACCTTTCTTATACGACCAGTTTAGCAGCAGGAAGGGACGAAACAACACCCAACTCATTAACTTACCCTAGGGGAAATGCACAGAGTGTCGTCGCACAGGCGTCTTGGCCGGTCAGCCCGAAGCTGCACCAGATTACGCGTATGAGGTCGGATCAATCTGAGGCTTATGTCTCCTGATAGGGAAGCATCTCATGAGATAGAATATCGGGTCGGTCGCAGGAAAGTTCGCTGGCAAGGCATCAATGGGGCCTGCGGCAGCCCGATATCTGAGGGAGGTTGAAGACGGAGGTTGGACAGGGAACGTAGTAACGGCAAGAAGGCTCAAATAAATCTCTCAAAAATAAAGGCAATCAATTAATAGACTCCCTAGCAGCCTCGAGCCCTTCCGGCCTCTCTGACTTCTAGGAAGAATCTCTGATAAAAGAAAAAGACCATGATTTCCCCCAGTGACGGCACTGACCTCCCCTTTTAACCCCATCCGGGTCACCCTAGAGACATCCCCGCTAGCGACCAGCTAGCCCAAGTGTCCCTAACCGCCTGTCACACCAGTCAGATCGTCTACATTTGCAACATTGCGACGCTAGAGAGAGAAAATTTTGCAAACAGGTCTATTCATCAAAATACTGAGAAAGCCTCTCACTTTCCCGAGGCATTCATTCTAATCTAACTTCCTGGACGGTAATTTATTCCCTTATCAAAAATGATATGCTTCTGCGGCAATAATCATTCATTGACTTCATAACTTTAGCTCGACTCCGTCTTCTTCTCTTCGTAAAAAGGATAATCGTTATAGCCCTTCTCAGGAGGGTTCGCTCCATAGAATGTAGATCGGTCGTACTTGTTAAGTGCCCAGCCGTTCTTGAGGCGCTCGGCAAGGTCAGGGTTGGCGATGAAGTTCCTACCAAAGGCGATGAAGTCGGCATCGTTGCTCTTCACCTTGGGCGCGGCGTTATCTGCGTTGAAGTTGCCACAGGCAAGGAACTGAATGCCAGCAGGTTTTAGGATGTCGCGGAATAGCGACAGGGAGTTTTGTGTCTTTTGCTTTGAAGTGCCCTCGAGCGACGCCATCTTCTGCTCCTCATCAAGGACCTCGTCGAAACGGGGCTCCACCCTATGGAGAGTTGTCAGCTGATGTTTTCACTGTGGAGCTGTGAATTGTTCGACTTACATATGGACGTAGACCGGACGCTGGGATGCAGCCATGTTGGCGATGCGGCTGCAGAGATATGACCAGTGGGCGTTGGGATCACTGTCCCGAGTATCCTGGAAATAGTTGAAGGGGGAAAGACGAATGCCGACCTTCTCGGGGCCAATGGCATCAGCAACGGCGGACAAGACTTCGAGCACGAAACGACACCGGTTCTCGAGAGTGCCGCCGTACTCATCAGTGCGGTTGTTGATGTTGTCGTGGAGGAACTGCTCCAACAGATAACCGTTTGCTCCTAGAGTGTGTTAGAGCAATGTTGTCGAAAACCCAACCACAGTTGGTAAGATAGTGACAGGTTCCTACCATGAATCTCGACACCGTCGAACCCAGCGTCCTCCACAGCCCTCTTGGATGCGGCTGCCCACTCAGCCGTCAACTCGTGGATCTCCTCCACAGACATCGCCCGAGGAGGCTCGTCCTTGCAATCGGTACCGTCGAGATACTTTCCGTTCATGGGAGTTGTCCCTGAAGAGATAGGCGAATCTCCTCCACGGAGTCCAGCAGACGAAGCACGGCCAGTGTGCCACAGCTGGACAAAGATAAAGCCACCCTTGGCATGGACGGCATCGGTCACCTTGCGCCATCCCTGCAGCTGGCTCTCGGTGAAGACGCCTGCAACGCCGGGGTAGGCGCTAGCATTAAGACAGATATCAGTGGCCTCGCTGATTTGGAGACCGCCAGCACTAGCACGGTCGCCGTAGTACTTGGCAACGCGCGGGCCAGGAACATGAATGCCACGGGACTCAAGGTCATTGCGCATGCGAGTGTTGGGGGCCTGGTCGAGAAGGTCAGTTAATCCGAGACGTTTCAAGGTTCGCTGAAGCAAGGGTAAAAAGTATCGTGAAGCCACGCGGTTTCAGTGCTCTCCTATGCTCCCAGATGCGTTCTCTGTCGTCTACTCACCTGGACAATGCGGTGCTTGAGCGTGATGTTGCCCAGCTTCATGGGGATAAATAAGACCGTGTCCTTGAGCGCGGCAATCGCCGGCGGGGGTGTAGTGGCTGCAGGCATGGTTGGTTCGGTGTATGACGAGATTGCAATGGATGATTTCAGATAGTCTGAATTCGTAACCTTGGGCAAGACAAACTCTTTTGAAGGCGCAGATTGAATCTCGGAATCTAGATGCTAAATCGAGATGCCGTGCACTAAATCTGAGACGGAATTCAATCCAATGGGGAATCAGTATTTAGCCTCCAATTGTGGACATTGCCTCAATCCCCATTCTTGGAGTGGGAGCTTGGAGTGGACTGAAGTGGGAAGTGGAAGAAGAGCCGGCGAGAGTGGGGGATGTGTTGGTCGATTATCTCACCCCTGACAACCCACTCCTGATGAACCGTTGCCCTTGCAAGTACTCCATGTTCACCTTCTCGTATCGGCAAGTGGATTTGTGCCCCGGAGAGAAACAATCAGTGGATCGATTAGGGAGTGATCGAACGTCTAATTGCGCCAACACGTCTATCTGAGGGTGGACCTGGAATCCTGGAGACTTGAACGCCTGCAGATGGTTCTCGAGTTCTGCTACGTAGTAGCGTCAAATGACAGGGAGTTGAAGCTCTCCAGGTTTGTCGAGTTCATCACCGCTTACGCGTCATTGAGGATACAAGGTTGTGGAAATGATGGAAAGGTTAAATGCGTCTAGAAGGGAACATGGCCATGCATCCATCGCTATGCGGTAGTTCGCGCCGAGCCGCTGCAGGGAGCAGATCCCCGGCCGTATCCTCAAATCAAACAAGGTGGTGTGGTACGGGTCGCACTCGTACGCTTCCGATAGGACGTCCCCCGTGACAAACTTGGCTAGCCACAGCCTGGTAAACTTATTGTGTGTCTGCAGGTTGCTCGGATATCTTTCTCATCGCGAGACGCGTTCCACATGGTGCGCAAGGAAACATCTCAACGGAATTAGGCTCAATTGCAAATGTACAAACATTGTATTTACTAAATACGAACAGTGAGAAATGTAATCTCTCATTGTAAAGGTTCAAATCCCAACCCACCGCGCCGACACATCGGTGCTGCCATCTAAAGGGAGGCATGGCCGTGAGTCTCAAAAGGAAGCCCTAAGCAGAAAATACCAGCCAAAATCCATAGCGCAGCGCTGGCGTAGATTGGCACCGTCGTATATCCTGCGTAGGTCGAAATCAACGAAGCCACCAATCCTCCAAAACGGAGAAGTGTGGCGGCGACACCGGTTCCGGTACCGCGGACTGGTCCAGGGAAAGACTCTGGGGTGAATCCGAACATGACAGCGTATTCTATGGAAGAGGTTAGTCAACTGGAAAGCTGAAGAAGGTAGGAAATATGCATACCAAAGTTGCCCAGGATACCAGTGGCACACTGGAATCCAATGTCTGCCGCCTGTGTTCCCGCTACGGTATAAACAAACAGGAAAACTCCCGTCAGAACAGCCGAGATGGCCATCATCCATCTGCGACCGAAACGCGTCTCCACCAAGAAGCCTGCGGCGACGGGTCCAAGGACTCCGACGGCTGAAACGATGCAGTAGATCATGTAGGTGAAGTCGAATCCGGTATTGGCTCTGTAACTCTTCTTGGTTTCCAGGTACGACGTAATAAAGGCAAAATAAAGAGGATAGGCGATTCCGATGGTGAGCCAGATCAAGAAAGTCACCGAGCTGTGCTGAGCCATCTTTCGACCGGCAAATAGCTTCTTGTAGCTGTGCGTGTTGTAGTCCTTGAAGCTCTCCTTGAGGATTTGCATGTTTGACAGGCGAGTCGTTGATTGAGTAAGGTTGTTGTCCTCGGCGACAGCCTTGCCAGTAGTTCCCTCGGCGGCGTTGCATTGCCTGTCAATAGACTGGAGCATGTCAAGAGTGAGGAGCTCCTCCTTGCCGTTGTATCGGGCAATGTAGTTGACAGCCTCGACAGCCTCGGCATCACGGCCCTTGGAGATGAGGTAGCGTGGGGACTCGGGGATCTTGAATACGAGAATTCGGATCAGGCCAAATGCGATGGCGATCCCTCCAAGGGTGATCATAAGATATCGCCTAGAGGGTATGTTAGGCGTTGGGTCAAACGGAAGAGACAGAGGTAGATGGTGACTTACCACCCCATGTTGTCGCGCGAAGCACAAGGCGCATCTTCACTGGAGCAGGCAAAGTTGGCCATGAAAACCCAAGACAAGAGAGAAACGATGACCTGTCCCAAGTTCCACCAAGCAGAAAGACTGACAAGCAGCCACTGGTGGCTCTTCGGCACAAACTCGAGGAAAATGATGCTATCAACGGGAACGTTTCCACCAGCAGCGGTACCAATAACGGCCCAGAGGGCGCAGAAGGCGACGAAGTTCTGGGTGCCCGCGACGGCGCAGGCAAAGATGCCGCCAATGAGGATGGTCGCGTTGAAGGCGGGCTTGCGGCCGATGAGATCAGCCGTGGTGCCCCAGAATGAAGCACCGAGGATGAGACCGATGTAGTACGCCACAGAGCTGAAGCTGAGCTTGCTGATGTCGGTGAACTCGTTGCCAATGGGGGGTCGGACCGCGGTGATGCCCTGGGACCAGAAGTTGTCGACAATCCAGCCGAATCCGTTGACGACGAAGAGGATCCATTGGAACCTAGATGCCACAGCATTGTCAGCTACTATTCCATGTCACTTGGATGAATTGACTAAACAACTTACTTTCCCATGCCGATCTCGGTAAGATGTTGGGAGACCAGCTCAGACTTCAAGCGGTAGCTGTCATCGACAGAGCCACCGTAGAAGTCACGGACCGCGGCATCAGCAACAACAACCGTCTCACCGGGCTGAATAGAATTAGAGGTCTTGACCTGGGTCAATTGCCCCTTGGTGGACTGGCCCTTCTCACTATCGCTAGACATGGTGAAGACGTCGAGTAATGTGGTGTTGTGTCTGAAGGGGTAGAGGAGATGTGACTGGTCATTCGAGGATGTTCTGGGAGTGCCGTTGCATTTATTCAAATACTCTTTGGATCCCTGCCGGAACCTGGAGAGATGACGACTGTGACCGGCACGACTCCGACTGGGTTTCGAGTTGAGCGCGATAGCTAGCGATAGTAGGACGTTGACCGAGCCTATCGCTTATCCATGCTCTGGCCTGACACTTGCGGCCAGCTCACCTTAACATGCCACGCTGTATCAACCTATCTGAAGACGTTCCGGGCGTATTGTTGGCTTCAGTATCAATCGCTATCGGTATCAGGGCCAAGACGCAGTTATCTCGCCGCGGCCAGGATCAAGCGTTGGAGTTGTAACAGCTCCACCCCCACTCCTGATGGATTGGCCAATGATGTCGTCCATATTAGTGGCTGCTACGACAGGCATTGATTGACGAGTCATTCGATGTGCGGGGGAACCTTGAACAACTGCAAGCATGTCGTCCAGGCTGTATATCGAGCTGCGGGCGAAGCTGGGCGGTCAGGTCTTAACAGGCAAGGCCCGGGGCTCCGGGGGCCAGAAGCCGTAATCTGGGGTCGGTCTAGGGCGATTCTAGAGCTTGAAGCGAAGATTACCGTCGCAGTATCATAGAGTGGGCAGCCGAATCCCACTCTGCGGCGGTGGAATGGGAGGTAGAGTTCAGCTACCGCCGCTTACGAATGATGGTGTCGTCGAGTGGCGACTGACTTTGGCTAGACAGCTCATGCGTTTGGCCTGCACTGTGACCCTGAATGTGATACTCGTCGGAGGCTGCTGGAGTGACCCCAGAGCGGAGGTTTTAGCAATTCTAGAAGCATTCGAAAGTGGGTAGAGATGCAAGTACCGCCAATCCAGATGTCACCTGCCAGCTCGAATAGCCAATAACGGACGAAATACTGAGATCCCACGAAGGCGGGAGGATTCTAAGAAGCATGGGGCTGGTTGCGCAGGTACTCTTCTGGACGGGCAAGACTCTCACTCTCCGACATGTCATATTCTAGGCATAGGACCAGGGTTCAGATGCAGGTTGTGCATAGACGGTAACCATGGAAAAACTGTATGCAGCAGTTGACTCGTACAGAGCAGCGAATCCCAAAGACCGCGTCGCATTAGCATCAACCCATGACCCATCCCGCATTCTCAACCCGTGAATCAGTTGGCAGGGACCTTGAGAAATCCACCAAAATAGTCATCCAGCCATTTCGCCGCTGCCTCTCCGGAGTCTAACTCGGAAGTATTCCATCGCTTAACCGCTCCCACATACCCGTCCGGCCGAACATTCACTATTGCGGCTTCATTAGATGCGAGAGCCCCGAGCCATTTCTCGGTGCACCGTCGGCCCTGAGTATCAAGGCTTGGCACGTCATCCAGGTAGATGGTCCATCCGCTCTTTGCCAGGAAGGGCGGAAGTGAACCGATTTCAAACTCCTTCTTTTCGGCCGATGCTGAGATTGGGTGTTAGTGTCGTGATGTTTCCGCCAGAGCAGCGTTAACTTACAGATTAGGGAGTATGTGAAGAGGTGGCTAACGGATGTATATCTCTCCGGTCGGACGTAGACATCATCAGACCTTTGTGGCCGCGGCTTATCCTGGTAAGACTTGGCCGCCGCTGCTGACAAGCGAGAGACGAGCGATGATTCTGATGTTAACCCGCTGTTGAGACCAGCGAGGAACGATATCTCAGCAGTCCCCATAGCGCTGCCCAATACGACGTAGATGCGGAACTGGCCTAGCATCGGGATATCAAGCTGGATATCAACAGGACTGGCGTCCATGAATCTCGTAACCTTTGCGGGAGGCAAGTTGCATCCCGGCCTAGCAGCACCATTGAGGGCACCGTCGTACTCCAGATTCAAACTGTTAGGGCCATACTCGACGCCGATTCCTGAGATGAACCGGGTGTTTTGGCGAAAGTTCTCCGCGAGACGAGCCGCATCTCCAGCCGCAATCTCGTTGGCGTGCTCAAAGTCGAAATTGATCAAGTCGTGCGCAATCTTCTTTCTTTCCTGCTCGTAACTCTCCAGCAGGACCTCGTGCTTGGCCAAGCCACGGGAGGCCAGGTTGAGCTTCCAGCCGAGGTTCCACGAATCGTGCATGCTGGTGTTCATGCCCTGGGCCGCCTTGGGACTATGCGTGTGGCTCGCGTCACCTGCGATGAATGCTCTTCGCTGAGGGTCCGAGAAGCGAGCGGCGACGCGCTGGGCGACTTGGTAGTTGCCGAACCACTCGACGGAGCGCCACTCGACGTGGTACGGTGCCAGAATCAGGCGTGCTTGTTCTTTCACGTACTCTTCTCCCAGGTTCTTGGATGTGGCAGACGTCTTCATCTCGATGTAGAACCGCGTCATGTTGCGTTCACGCGGGATGATGAGAACAGAGCCGTGCTCTTCCGAAAACACCACCGTCTTGCTCCACAGATCGGGGAAGTCAGTCTCCAACTCTCCGTCGAGGACTCCCCATACAGAGTTGTGTGGTGTGCCCTGGGCGTAGGTATCGGGGATTGCCTGGCGCACCAGTGACCGCGCGCCATCACATCCGACAAGATAGTCGGCCAGAATAGTCTTCTCTCCCTGGCCAGTCAAGTCGGCGCTGATTTGTAGAGCGCCTTGAGGGTCGTCGTTTTGATAAGTGTAGGTCTTAAAACTGTGGCTGCGTTTCACCTCGAAGCCACTCTTGCGGAAGTCGTCGACAAAGACACCCTCTACCATGCCCTGGTGGCAGAGCAAGATATAAGGCTGCAATACATCGACTATAGACGGCGGGTAGTGAACCTCGCGGCCCAGGCGACGGAGGCTCTTGTCGCTTGAGCTTTGCCACATGCAGATATCGTGGACTTTGACGCCTGTGCGGAATAATTCGTCGCCTACTCGCAGCATCTGGAACGTCTCAATGGTCTTGGGTTGGATACCATCGGCGCGGCCGACGGCTGTCTGGTCCGGTCTCTCATCGAGCAATTCCACCTTGAGACCGAATCTGGCAACTAAGGCGCTATGATGGGTTAGACTGGGGTCGCTATTCTGCAAGGTGTTGATTGATGAGCACTCACCTCAGCATCAAGCCAGCAGGGCCTGCACCAACAACACAGACATCTGATTTCGCATCTGAACGGCCATTCTGGACGGCATGGTTTAATCCATTGGTAGTCCCGTTTACCGGGCTAGATGTCGTTGCCATGGTGGATTATAGCACTGCAAAACGTATGCTTCTAAATGAGTGAGCCTTTGAAGATGGAATCGCTGGAAGCCCAATAAAGTATCCGTCTAATGGTGTCCGCTCTAGCCTACCACCGGCGAAATGAGGCGGGCAGTCTCGCAGTCATTTATTACCCCAACTATGTTGACGATGGTTTCGTCTTTAGCCAGTTGGTGACGGCGAGCAAGCCGAATGGAGACCAGATGGAGATTGTCACCGATCCTAGACGCTCCGTCTGAGCTGACTCGGCCAGCTCCGCGTCGTCGGCATTTGGTAAGACCTGATTCCTCACTGGCAGATGGTACGGCGTAGATGGGGTCAAGATAGTGAACCCCAGTGCCATTCCCCCACTTTGGCTGCATCTCACAGTCCCCCACTCCTGATGAGACGAGCCGTTTTAGGCCAAGTCTGATGGTTCTCGCCTTCGCAGTCTCACAGCCAATGCTTCTGTTCGTACAACTCCACCCGCGTTAGGCCGGTGATATGTCGGAGTCGCTGGCTGGCTGGCTCGTTCTCACGATAGACCCGGCCGCGCCCGTTCCCCGCTCTGCTTATCCGGGGCTATCGGATGCCGGACAGAGTGAGTCAAGGGAAATCCAGGGCCGATCTCGCTTTGGTGGGAGAGCAAGGAGGGGTTCGACAGCACATTTCGCGTTTTTGGAGTAGATTGGAGATCCGGGACGGTCTACCAATTATTCGACACGTATTTGCTACCTCAACGTACGATTTGCAGTGTATCGACGTAACAGACATCATGACGGTCATTGCCGTACAAGCTAAACAAGCTTGGCAAGACGTTGTCGCCAGAAAGAGAGCCGAGCGGACAACGTTGTTGGCTCCTTTCGCCGCGGGTGCAAGCTCTGACAAGGGAACCAATAATGACAACGCAGGGGCTTCGGGCGAGCAACGCCAAGGCAATGAGAGCGATGATGTCACGCTCATCCATAGCGCCAATGAGTTGATTGACTTGATCGACCGTGGTGATAGATCCTGTGTGGCCGTTACGAAGGCCTACATTCAAAGGTTTGCTTCCATCCCAATGATATGTATCCAGTGTCCAGAGAGCTTACATCTGAATCGCTTCTTATAGAGCTGTCGAAGCTCATGACAAGGTATGTCAATTCCCCAATAATGTGCAAGGGCATCCCAACTAACGAAATACAACAGACAAACTGGTAAGCCTCCCATTGAGATATGCAGCTTTTGGTCCAATCCGACGCCCAATATAAATGCTTGGCTGTTGAATTGATTGTTAACTTTACCCTTTGGGATGGTGTAGTCTCACGGAGATTGCATTTGATGATGCGCTCAAGCACGCCGCAGAGCTCGATGCAAACCTTGCCGAGGGAAAGAAGCTGATGCTTCCCTTGCATGGTATCCCTATGACGTTGAAGGATCAGTTCAACTTCAAAGGACTCGATTCTACTCTCGGCTACGTGGGCAGGTCATTTTCGCCTGCAGCCGATGACGCTGCACTCGTCAAGATGCTTCGCTCTCTCGGAGCAATCATACTCGCGAAATCCAATCTGCCCCAAAGTATCATGGTGAGCTTAACATTGCAATCCACGTTGAACATAATAATATGAGAGCTGCATTACTGACACAATGGCAGTGGTGTGAGACTGATAACCCTCTCTGGGGCTTGACAACCAACCCCCTGCATAAGGATTACACTCCAGGTGGCTCAACTGGCGGCGAGTCAGCACTTCTCGCTTCGAAAGCAAGCATGGTGGGTTGGGGCACTGACATCGGAGGAAGCATCCGAATCCCCTCCCATATGATGGGTTTGTATGGATTTAAACCAAGTGTGCGTAAGCCGTCTCATTGGCAAATGGGTATTCCTCGAAAGCAAGCCAAGCGGCTGACCAGATTTGCAGAGCGCTCGTTTGCCTTATCAAGGAGTTCCAGTCTCTACTGAAGGACAAGAACACGTGCCTTCGTCTATCGGTCCATTGGCTCGCAGTCTCGACACGATCCATCTGACCATGACTTCTCTCATCCGCGCGAAGCCTTGGGAGTTTGACTCCCGCTGCGTTCCTATCACTTGGAGGGAAGGCATCTACAGGGAAGCTCTGGGTCGTCCTTTGACTATTGGAGTCTTGTTTGACGACGCAGTTGTCCACGCACACCCGCCCATCAATCGCGTTCTGCGGTCGGCCGTTGATGTCCTCCGCAATGCTGGCCATGAGATTATTGAGTGGAACGCCGACCTGCATGAAGATTGCATCAGAATCATGGTATGAATTCTTTCCCTCCGACCAAAACAATAGCTAACTTGACACTCACAGGATCAATTCTACACGGCTGATGGCTGTGAAGACATTCGCAGGGACGTCATGGCAGGAGGCGAGCCATTCATTCCCCACGTCCAGCGACTCATTAATCGTGGGGACGCAATCTCCGTCTATCAGTATTGGCAACTTAACAAGAAGAAGATTGAGTTGCAGCAAGCCTATCTGGAGAAGTGGGACTCGATTCGATCCGAGAATACCGGTAAGAAGGCAGATATCATTCTGATGCCGCCCATGCCTCACACTTCTGTGCCGCACGGTAACAGTCGCTGGGTCGGCTACACCAAGGTGTGGAACTTCCTCGATTATACGGCACTGGTGATACCGGGTGGGTCAGTGTGCAAGGAAGATGTCGCTGCGCCCTGGGATTTTGAGCCTTATGGGCCAGAGGATGAGTGGAACAAGAAGCTGTGGGAGGATCATGGAGAGCAGATGGCTTCTCTGGGCCTGCCTGTCGGGTTGCAGATAGTGGGCCGTAAGCTTGAAGAGGAGAAGGTCCTTGCTGCCGGAAAGGTATTGGACGATCTTCTCAAAGAGGTCGTGGGTAGAGATTAGACTAATCGACATTCATATTTCCGCCGGAGACCAGTTATTTCCTCGTGATTTAACCTTGCTATGCTTGATGTCACATCTTGTCATTTTTCTCTTTTTATACAGTAGAGCTAGTGAGAAATTTCTCTTGTAGGCCTTTAAGTCAACCCAGTATGTACAAAATGACGGAGGATAACTGAACCGATCGTGAGGTAATGGATGCTCTTTCAAGTTACAAAAACACTACGTTGGTCTCCTTCCCTCATTTCCATCGACCTAACGATTCAAATCTTGCAGTCTTCGGACTTGTTGTGATCCAAACGCCGATCTTTGCCTCGACATCTACTTAAACTCGCCAGTATCAATTCAATGAAGCTCATGAAGAAGCTTGACCCCTAACGATGCAAGAGTTGGCAAACAGATCATTGCTCTCGCGTAATAGCCGAGCTTTCTCTTTCATGATGATCCTCTTTATCATTTCCGACCCAAATGTGCTCTTTCTCACTTCAACTTCGTAATATTGGCCAAAGGCGGAGGTTGTATGTTTCGCCTTGATTCTAGCGACGGTATTCAAGGCCCTGGAATTAATTAGGTACCTACTCTTCAGTCGCAGCGAGTACCCCTCTTCCCTCTTCCAAAAAGATCCGCTTTGCGGTAGCACATCGAACGCCAGAACACGGGTCGATAGGGCAAAGTGTCCCGGGCCACCCCTCAGACTACATTTCGGCTGTGGTGAATTCACACACCGGTGCCCCGGGACTTCCAGACAAAAATCAGTAACGCAAGCAAAAGTGCTGATATGCTCACTATCCGACAAGCAGTATAGCCAAGGGTTCGTGCGACAGAGAGCCCTAATGCTAACCTTCTCTTGGTGCGGAGATACCCAAGCCGCCTCGAAGAAGTCGGTTGGTCGTACTCCGGTATCTTCCAGTGTGCGGAGGACTGCCAGAGTTAAGTCTTTCAACTTGGTCGATTGGTCAAGCGGCCTGCTGTCGCTGTCGAGCTTAGTTGAGGCCCACTTTGAGAAGTTCTCTGAGCCTTGCAAAGCCTGAAGAATAACAGGTATCGATTCTTCCGAAGTGGAGTACCCCTTGAGCGTGGGGAACTTATCTCGATGAAGTATAGGGCCGATAAGTGCAACCACGTCACATATCCGAGCTCTAGCCATTACATCAGTACAGTTGCTGATGAATAGGCCATGAATCTTGCCCATGCTAGCAAGAACCTCCTGCGGACTCTGCCTTTCCGTGATTTGGACGCGTTTCGCTGAGGTAGCCGGCCTCCTCTCCCATGTCGTCTTGGCCTGACTGGCAAAAGAAAATCCAATGTGACCGCCCACTTCATACCCAGTAAACGCTGTGTACGATTCATGACTACCAATGTCCTTGAGGAATGGGGCCATATCCTGACGGCGAGCAATGTCCGCATCGACATTGGCATGAGCACATTGACAGTTTTGACTGCAAGGACCCACTGGTTTGAATTGCTTCGGAGGGGTGGTCTCTAGAGAATGTACAGCGGAATACCGGTCATCGACACGGCTCTGAATCTGAGGCTCCAATATAGCACTCCCCGTAGAGGCTGAAGAGACGCCGATTTGGATCTTGCTATTGAGCTTCATGGTGGCTCCCGGATGGTGGTCACCTTCATCCCTCGCGGTGTCATGCATGGCCCAGTGCCACTTAGGAATCGCGGACTCGGATTTGCTGTTGACTGGATGAAGTATTCCACCGCCAATTTCGATCCCATCGATGGTGAGCTCTTTATCACCGTTGGCTAAAAAACATTCCGTGACCAGGATTTTACCAGGGCCCCATAAAGACAGGATTTCCTGGATCGAGGACACCAAATCTAAGCGTGTTGGAGCCCGAGACTGTGGTGGCTGCTCCCCGAACACCAAGACCTCCTGGCCTAGCATATCTCCAAAACATGTCAAGGAGCAAGCCGACGCGGTTATTTTTGGGCCTCCATCTCTTGTTGCTCCAGCCAGAATAATTTGGTCCAAATCATGCTCCACGAAGGATGAGCCGAAAGGGGAGCACGAACCCTGAACCCCAGATTGGACAGCCAGACACAGGGCTTGTATCGCTAATGCGGAGAGGTGAAGAACTGAGGTACGGCCTCGCGTAGCCAATTGAAAATCCGCGCCAAATTTCTCCAAGATGGTATGCAAACACTCCACAAGCTTTGACGGATTGGAGTTTAGTGACTCTTCCTTGTCTTGACGTGCTTGAGTCAGAGCCTTGTATGCAGCAACACCTGTTGCTACAAGACCCCCCGCTGCAGCTATAGGACCAACAAGTCCAAGAAAACCCAGTGTGATCGATGAACCGAGCGTGCCTAGCGCGGCTCCGACGGCCGAACCCTGTACATCTCGCGTAACAGGAGGAGGAGTGTCCCATCCTAACATATCAAGGGCTTGAGTGTGTTGATTTGTTCGCAGGAGAGACAAGTATGACTTTGTTATCTTTTCAAAGGCAGAGAAAAATACCTCCAGCATAAGCATGGTGATTGTTTCCGTTGATATGGTCTGGCTCCCTGATATGTCTCTCTCTCTCCTCAGGAACGGGACACCAAATGGACACCTTCCTTTCTCTTGGCAGATTCTTATGGCCACCTTCAGTCGTCCTATCATTGCTTTGATCCGAACAATTAGATTCCAGGTAAGAGAGATGTTCCAATCCAGCCATTGCGCTGACCAATAGCCTTCAATTCAGGCTCTTTGGAACAGAGAAACGAAACCTGGGCATCAAGCAACGAGGCGGTTTTGTTTTCGATAGATACGTGCGTACGGAACTCTTGCAGGTGGTAGTTCTCATCGAACTTCGGGACAGATGTCTCGGTCAATCTTCGAAAGCCAGTATTGAGTTGAGGCGGAGGAATAAATCCAGCAAGCCCAAGCAACGAGTCGATGTAAAACGAAAGATTTCTACTCAATCCATCATTTAAGTCGTCCAACTCGTTGCGTTCCGACCAGATATCTGGCAGCATGAAGCTGTGTGTTCGACTCGGACCGAGAGTCTTGGGGAAAGTACCCTGACCATCATGGCATCTGAGCAGCTGGAGCAGATTCTCACATCCTGAATGATCATGCAATCCACAGAAGCTTCTATTCTGCAGCTTGGTGTTCTTATCATGTGCAGCCCTTTCCAGATTAGCGCCACAGCGAAGTAGGGCCTCTGAAATGATCCAGGGCTTCTCAGTGACGTAGTCAGCGAGAAAGTTCGTGACAAACTGGACATCGTCTCCAGCATCATTGAAACCGGTCAGCTCTGAGATCCAACTGTCGTCGTCGCCTGGTTCTTGTTGGGCCAGGAGTGATTTTACCACAGGGTGAATCGTATCTCGAATAGATTCTCGAGCCGCAGCGAAATCCGATGACTGAGACAGCTGCTGCTGTTTCAGTGCGAGGTCAGGAACCGAGTCCAGAAATTTCTTTATGGGGCTAGTCAAAGACATTTGCGTGATATTTTCGGAGAGTCTGGATGATTTGTGGTTCAACAGACTGATTTTTTACAGTCTTTTCTGAAGTCTGGCGGAGTGAACGCACCAAGTATCGCGGGGTAAATTCTGTCTAATAAATATCGGCCTAAGCTGCCAAGGCAGAAACGGTCACCTGTCAATGTCAGCCTGGTAGGCGACCATGGCAGTTTGCCTCATTCTGCCGCCCAGTTCAGGCGAGTGGGTGTGGAGCGGTGAGATTCGTGAGTTGAGATGTACGTAAATAGTGACAACAGTCTACTTTCTGATAGCTCATTGCGGGAGGGCTTCTAACATTTGGTATCTATCTAGACGTAGAGGGTCGAGTCTCAATGCTTGGAGGTCTGCGGCCCATTCCAGCACGGACAACCGCACATATGATCTTGTGTGGAATAAGCGACACTCACTTTATGTAGGTATAGAAAACAGAGGCATCGTCACTGTTAAATAATTAGAGTGAGTCACAAGCAGTCACTCAACAGGATCTGCGCCCTCTCTCCATCGCGGCACCTTTGAACTTCTTTCGGTCCACGTTATCAGCATGTCTCAGCAGGTCTCTTGTCTGCCTCATTTGCATATTCAGGCACCCAATGGCATCCCGCCACATCATCCACGTCGGTTTGTCCGGGCAGCCACCTCCTTATCGCAGCACAAGAGCGAATGGTCAGCTTGAAAGAAAACCCGTCAAGTTCTACCATGGCCGCCTTCATGTGTTGTTGCCTAATATTCGACATGGCGCTACACCTGTCGGATGTCAAAGTCTGGTAAATCCGAGACAGCTCTAGCCAACCATGCTCGTCCCTGGCGATGGACCTATGGGAGGTAACAGACTCGCAGGCCGTGACGGGTTATGGCCACTAAAATGCTCAGCCCAAGAAGTGAGTCGCGGGTTGATGGGGCTAAGTGAGGCTAATGCGATGGTAAGGCGTTATTTATGAAGTCGCTTAACTTTCAGGTGGTATTATCAGGTGAGTCTCAGCCAAACGTCACACCAGCACTCCCCTAATCGGCAATCAAGCAAGTCAACCCCCTAAGAAGAAACGGAATGTGAAAGTGATGACATTTATCTCGGGTCATTACGTATCTGCGCTATCTCCCAGGCTACTCCGCCTGTGTCTTCTTCCATTCCTCAAACTTCTTCATAACCTCCTCCTTGCTCGCAGGCATGAGCGCTCCTTCGGGGACAGGATTCTTGCTCTTAAAGTGATCGGCCATCTTTTTAGGTCAGCATAACGCCATCTTCGAGAACGCACGAGTCAGCAGGATTTTAGGGACATCGCTTACCTCGGCCATTGTAACCCATTCAACGCCTTCGTGCTTGTTAATATGCTCGATGATGCGCTCGTGCATCAAGAGCACATGAGGTCTTCCGGAAACATCGGGATGAATTGTCATGGGGAAAATGAATTCGTCTGCAGTTCCGCTTAAGTCAGCCAATGCTTTTTCTCGAGGAACAAAAGTACAAACCATATTCCCTGTAAAAGTAGTCAAAGTGATCTTTCCAGATATCTTCGACGTCTCTGAATAACGTTTAGCATTGGTTTTTTTGTGGTAATCAGATCCACTTGCCTTGGGTTCACCCAACCGTGTGAGTTTGCGGAATTCTTGATAAACATCATCGGAGGCAGATCATCGATGTACCATGAGCCGGGAATCTCCACCAATCCGGTTTCTTGCCCCTTGACCAAAGGCTTCATCCATGTCTCGGCTTTCTGCTTGTAGTCGATCTTGGTCCAAGAATCCCCTGTTCGTAGCCAGTACGCTTGGCAGTCATGGTGCGACATGGAGTGGTCGTACTCAATGCCGTAGCTTAGCATCAGCTCAGTGCCCTCCTCGCTGGTTTCCCACCACGGAGCCACGCTTCCACGGGGCGGCTTCCCGCAAAATTCAGTGAGCATCTTCCATGTCTTGTCAAGAACATCACGCTGCTGCTCCAGTGTCATGTCCACGGGGTTCTCGTGGCTGTAACCATGCAAGCCAATCTCATGTCCTGCGTCTCGCACCATAGCACATTCCTCTGGGAAGGTTTCCAGGGAGTGGCCTGGGATAAACCATGACGCCTTAATATTGTACTTGTCAAACAGCTTGAGGAGACGGCGAGTGCCAATAGTTCCCGCCCACAAGCCTACAATAGCGCATCCATGTCAGAATACAATTGTCCAATAGTTTGCAGATGCCTTGTCACGAATTTGAGACTAGGCGGGGCCGGAAGATGCCCAGATTGGGGATGGGCTCCAGGGTAAATAGTTGACAAGCGTACCTCTGCTGATATCGCTTGTGCTATCTTCGCCACCGTATGAGCCGAGCCATCCCGCAACAGCATCAATATCCACACCGTAGCTGTTGAAGAAAGGAATGATTGTGAGTAGGGGACCTCAAATCATGGCAGTGACTGATGCTTACCACACGAGAACCTTCTTCTTGCCCATCTTGTCTGTATAACCGACGGTTTGGCCTGAGACACGTTTGGCGGCAGTGTTAATCAGCAAATAGAAGTCGCTAGAGGTTGTGGAGCTTAGTTTGTAAGGAGGTTCTGGCGTATGGAGGAGAGGTACAGAATGGTCTGGAAGTCGAAGAGACCAGGGACCCGTGTGTGGTAAGGGCCTTATATGTTGGGAAGTGAACCTCGTGGTTAATTCACTTATCGCTGATACGCTGTACTTGGAGACTACAGTGAGGATAAGGGTGAGGGGAAGGTACATCGTTTAGTTACACTACCTACCTTTTGTTCTGGAGCATCGGGCTACATAATCAACACTCTACGAAAATACACCAGAAATAACCACGGCGTTACAATGCAAGACTGTGGATGTTACTGGCATTCACAAATTTATTAATTTTACTCCCAACTTGGCACAGCAATTAATCACTGCCAATTACACATGCCTAATTATCTCTAATAAATTCTATGCAATTTTCAGGTTCTGTCAGGTAACTTGCTTAACGAGGAGAGAATACTTGGTACGGTCATAGATAAGAACGCTTAATCTAGCTAGTTTGTTATTATTAGTGCGCATGTAGCACTGAAGCCGTGCAACACATTATATCCCACTCTCAAATCCACATTTTTGGTCTCCCACTCTTGAGAAGGATCATGTAGGGTAGGACTATTTGTATATCCCCACTTCTGCATCTTATCAGGCAAATGCCTCCGCCGGCTGTAGGTCGGAATGATCGGACTTGGCTCTCTGCATATCGTGAGTGGATATTTAGAGGGGTAAGTCGTCTGCAATGGAGTCTTCTCTTATCCGTTTCAATGTCGCAGAGAATCCCATTCATGTTCGTGAATATTCCCCCACTCTTACAAGGGAGTGGCACTACGTAGATGCAGCTTGGGTTTTTAGGATCACTCCCTCCCACTCTCACTCTCCCCATTTCCACTCTTCACGCCCACTCTACACTTGGGGGAAATGCATCACGCGGCGATGATTCATTGAGGAGATCTTGGCATGCTCTGCTTAAGCCGGCAGATCGGAAACAGATCGCACTCCATCCCAATGGCCCACTTCGTAGTTGGAGGCGATAAGCCAAGCCCATTGTATACCCCTCTTGAGAAGAGGAGTCCGGCTTGTAGAAGTGAGATAGCTCGGTGCACATCTAGTATCACCCCCAAGAGCCTCAATCATCTGCCCACATCACCAACTTCCTGCAGTTTACTCGCCACCCTAGTTATCCAGGGAGAAATTATCAGAAGTCACCATCTGTACCAAAGCACAACCACAGCCTCTGCTCCCTAATTGAACTACCCCCACCACCACCAATGTCTCAGGTATGTTGAATGTCGACAGGGCAGTCTCAGTCTCAAATTGCCGGCCCCCCTCAGGATGGTAGAGAAAACGCCTCATCGAATGAAAGCTTATTTGTCATTCCAAATATAGTTCTCTCTCCAAGGCCGTGTGGCCATTGTCACCGGTGGTGCTGGAGGTTGCGGATTTGCCTTCACCGAAGGACTTACTGAAGCCGGGGCGGATGCCGCAATTTTTGACATGACACATCCTCCATCCTCAGATATTGAGGCGCTTGCATCAAAGTACGGTGTCCAGGTGAAGTCTTACATCGTCGACGTGACGTCCATGTCAAGTCTTGAAACCGGATTTTCCGCCGTCAGGAGTGACTTTAACGGCAAACTCGACATTCTGGTTGCATGCGCGGGCGTGAACAAGAACGTCGAATTTCTAGACACAAACGAAGAAGACTTTGAGAGATTATTCGGAGTCAACTGCAAGGGTGTTTACTTCTCCGCCAAGTTCGCGGCCGAGGCCATGATCGCCAACGGAACCAAGTGCGGCAGCATTATCCTCGTAGCCAGCATTGCGTCTCACATTGCAATCCGGTCGCAGCGATCCTCAGCTTACTGCGGAACCAAGGGCGCGGTTCGTGCCATGGTTGCGCCCATCGCGGCGGAGCTGAATGCACATGGCATCCGCGTCAACTCGATTAGCCCCGGCTACGTCAAGACAAACATGACGGCTGCTTTCCCTCATCTTCTTGAAGGGTGGAAGGACGAGATCATGAACCATCGCGTTGCCGAGCCTAATGACATCAAGGGAGCTTGCGTCTTTTTGGCTAGTGATGCTAGCAAGTACGACTAGCCCTGTTTGCTACTATAATGGCAGAGCTATGCTAACTTTATTGATAGATATTGTACAGGAAGTGATATTTTGGTTGACGGAGGTGTTACAAAATGGTAGCCGTGGTCGATATTGAAGTATAGATTATTACGAGCATGTAGGCTGCTGTGATAAATGCATCATGTCATGATTTAGTCTGCTCAATGAATAAAATCACCTTTACGCAACCTTAGGCGGTAAACCTCACCCATTTGAAGCTCTTAATTTCTGGCAAACCGTGATCTTTGATCCGCTAGTCATAAAAATGACACAAACCACTGACTCATCCTTGAATAGGGATGTTCCATGAGTATATGGATCCATTTGAGCCACTTCTGAAGAGAATCCACTGCATCATAGACAACCTTTGGAGGTTCTCATAGTCCATCTCCGCTTCAAACACTCAACGATACACATATCCAGCACAAGATTTTGCGAATATTTTTCACAGAATTCATTTGACTATTCTTTACATGCCTTTAGACCAAGGTGATCACTAGTCTACGCGACTGGGGTCTGAGCCTGACCGGCCATCTTTTCCAAACCCTGTTTGTAGAGCTGCGCCCGTCCATATGACTCCGCGTAAGCTGCAGAAACGGCTTCTTCCACTGTCACGGCGCCAAACTTGGCAGGCTTATCCTCAGACTTGCAGGTGGGGATGCACTCAACAAGGTAGTCGGGGTTTCCAGACACAAACACGGGGATGGAGTAGCGCTCCTTGCCGGACTTGTTGATGACACGGTGGATGTTGCTCTTGTACTTTTCGTTGGTCCACCTTGCCATAAGGTTGCCCAGGTTTACAACATATGCGCCCTCGGTGGGAGCGACCTGTTTATTCATTAGCGACTGTGGAATACATGGGGCTGTTGTTGATAAAGAGGCGGTCATGCAATTGGGTGTGGTGAACTTACATCAATCCAGGTCTCGTTTTGCTTGTCCCAGACCTGAAGGCCATCTACAGTATCCTGAAGAAGCATTGTGATAGCGCCGAAATCGGTGTGGGCTCCAATGCCTCGAGTAAGCTTGTCATCTCCGTCCTTAGGCTGGGTCGGGTAGTGGAGGAGACGCATGGTAGCGACGGCACCATCCATGAACTTGGAAAAGTAAGTCTCCTCCAAGTCCAGGGACAATGCTAGGACTCTCATCAAGTCTGAGGCTAGGCTCAACGTTGAAGAGTAGTAGTCCATGGAGTTGCCGCGGAAACTCTCGAGGTCGCTACCAAGACCCTCAGGCCACTGGTTAGGCCCGCTGTTAAGCTTCTTGTTGAGGAAATAAGGATGCGTCTCGGGAATCTCAGCGCCAATGTAGAATCCCTCCTTCAGCTCAGGCTTGGTTCCCTCCTCGAGGATCTGGGACCTGAGCATCTCATAGCCACGGTTCCAGGTATTGTTTTCCTTGGCGACCTTCTTCTTCTCCTCCAGCGGCATAGCAAAGAACTTCTTTGCGCCCTCCATCACGGCCTTCTGTTGTGTCAAGGGGACAGAGTGGCCAATAATCTGGAAAAAGCCATTGTAGAGACAGCTGGCGCGGACCTGGTCCACGACCATTTGCTTGAGAGCGGGGTCCCCAGAGTAGAAGCCTATAAACCCCAAATGTTAGACACTAGTTCGCTTATAAGGGCATCTAGCATTCATGCTGGATTCATGGACCGACGAACCCGAGAAGTCAATGATTGGGATTTCCAGCTTGGACATGATGAATTGTGATTGGACTTGGCGAAGCGAGTAGTAATTAGAGATGTCAGTTGCTTTAGATCTAGTAGTCTTGGTTGCTGGTGATAGTAATTTCGAGTTGAATGGCGTCAAGGTGATGAATGTTATATTTCCATGAGTGGGATAGATTCCACGATCCCACAGCCTGTCCACTCCTCACCCCAAGTCCAGCCACAACAAGTGACGAGTCATTTAGCGCTGGAAGTCCGTGTTGAAGCAGGCTAGACTCGGGTTTGGTTCAAGAGTGGGGTACAATACTGATGAAGGGCCAGCGGAGATAAGGTGGGAGCGGGCGTTAGCTCAGCAGAATGCTTCAATTACGACTGGAAGATAGCCAAGATAAGCGCTACGCTTTCCAATTCAGGGACTGGCTTCTGGATCGCCGGTAGTTTGACTCGCGGTTTCGGCCCATTCCGACCCCCACGATAAAGACGGAACGACAAGACCACGATAAGCCGAGTATCCGACAATCAGGCGTGCTGATTAATCATGGACCTTCTAACTTAAGCCCGAAGCCTGCACTCCAAAAATGGCGTTGATGGGACTGTGGCGCTGTTTTATTGTGGCTAGGGACTGGGAGAGTGACTATAGCCAGATGCACAGTGTAAGAGAACTCTGGGTGGCACCTATTCTTTACGTCCTAGGGTATTCAAAAGTCGACAGTGAAAGGTAGAACATTTATAACGGGGGAGCTTGGGTGTTGTTGACATTCTGTTGAGTTCAAAAGCAAGGTCTATGAGCTAATACTAGTAGGGCTGCATACACACACCGTGCAACGGAGTCCCTTACCCTAGGCCGTTGCACTCCCTCCTATGATGACCATGGTGATCATGAAGCCGTGGGATACCGTAAGCCACATCGCTGTCATACGGTCGTATATTAGGCAAGGTCCACAAAGGCAAACAAAAACGGCTGTGCTGGACTATTACGCCATAGAGTTATGCGAGTCCATGTTACTCTCAGGTTCTACCCGAGGCTGCCTCAACCCCTTTCTAGAATACTGCGTAAGTCAATGCATTGCGTGTCCAGCTTTGATTGGTCATGGATATGCGACCGCAGCTGGTGGCAGCACACTGCCATGCATGTATCTCGCCACTTCAAATCAGCCCAAGCGATTTTCTGCCTAACGAGGCTTTGCTTTTTAGCCTTTCGCCATTCTTCTCCTCCGCTTGAGCTATAAATCTGTAAAAAAAGAAATCGTCCCGTGATACTTTTATATTTGTTTTAAGAAGGAACGTGTTAGCTCAACGCTGGTTTTGTTGTAAATATTTATCCTGTAGAGCACAGACTACTCATTTGTTAACAGTCCAACTTCCATGACTATTCATAAGAGTCCATAGAATGGTAGAGTCGAGTGAGGGTTACGCAAAAAACTCATCAAATCACTGCGGGTAGCTAAATATTTTTGGTCTCCGTCATGTGTAGTTCCCTCCAGTTATAATTCTTCTAGTGAGATGGCGTCGCTTAAATTGAATGTTGATGACGTGGGCTGATGTGGAACGCCTATTTCCGAAAAGTGCAACCAACCAAGCAGGGGGCGAAATGCAAGTTCTTCCATAAAGGGGAGGGGTCCTCAAACTGCAGTCATCAACAAACAAGCTCAGCCGGATGCAACGGATAATCAAGGTCTTGGCAACAGAGACTGTACGTGGCACTGGGACTTGCTTTAAACCTGGTGAGGAACTGGTTCAACCATTTTCTCACTACTCCCCCTGCGATGTTGACAGGCAGCACCTCAAGCAGATATGTCGATGTGCCTAAGCTGAGTACAAGATGCATTTAGTCTTAATCAAATATTTGGGGAAGTGCTAGGGAGTGAGGGGAATCTGTTGTTACAACATTTGTAGCTCCTCACACCATATACAAGGATTGCCTTAGATTGGAATTTGGAGCTCAGCCTGCCTAAGCAAATGCCCCTCATCCAAGAGTATGGCCTCATGCACAAGCACAGCTGCCATGCACCTGCAGAAAGAAGAGGGAACTCAATCACCCAATTCCACTGCCGACGCGTCTTGCACTTCATGTGTCTACATAAATTACTGCGGTTCTAAACCTTTAGCCGCCTCTTGATCGATTTCCCCCCTCTTTTACTCCTTACATCCACGCACGCCCACTGATTGGAACGACGGCCGACCCTAGCTACACCCCGCGGCCATTACTTCGTGGACTCCTGGCCCGTTGGCTGAACCATGAGCTCGCCCAGACGAGCTGGGTCCGTAAAGTCCGCCCCGAAGTGTTCTGCTTTATGGCAATACGGAAAACGCTGTGGAAATACGAAAGATTCTGGCCACTCATATTGCACTGAGCATAAGAAGGAGGTCAAAAAACTCCACGACGTGTATAAGGACGCAGAACAGAAATACGAGGGTATTATTAAGCCTCCGGAGGGATTTGAAGTGACACAACGGGAGGAGAAGATCAAATGGGGCCGGAAAACTATACGTCTGAGGAGAGAAGTGTCTATTCGCTTCTATACCAATGTCAAATCCAGTCCAGATCTCCAACATGCTCTGAGGATCCTGAAACTTGAGTCTGATGTTTCCGCCCTGGAAGAACTTTCTCAGAATACACAGCCGCTGTCAGAAAGCTCTAGCAATCCAAACACAGCCGATCAGCTGGTTTCTAAATCGCTGGATTCTCTCGATATCCATACCGCATCACGTGGTGGGGATTGCGAGAAAGTGAAGCTGCTCCTTCAAGATGGGGCAGATGTCAATCAAACAAACACTACCGGGCAGACGCCCCTGATATTTGCATCATCGCAGGGACATGGAAAAGTGGTCAAAGTTCTTCTCGGCAAGAAGGCAGATGTCAATCTTGCCAACTACGCTGGAATGACACCGCTGCATTTTGCATCATCGCAGGGACATGCGGAAGTCGCTAAAATGCTTCTTGAAGAAAGGGCAAATATCGATACAGCCAACTCCACCGGAACGACACCACTACATTTTGCATCATCGCAAGGACATACAGAAGTAGCTAAAATGCTTCTTGATAACGGCGCAGACACCAGTATTGCCAGCACGGACGGATCGACACCGCTGTATTCTGCGGCATGGAAAGGGCATGTGAATATTGTCAAGGCGCTTCTTGACACTGGTGTAGATTTCAATTATCCGACCAGTGCAAGATGGACACCATTACACGCCGCATCAGCACACGGGCACATAAAAGTTGTTGAAGTACTCCTCGAGAAGGAAGCAGATATCAACATTGCCAACAATGACGGAACGACATGTGTTCACTCTGCAGCTATAAACGGGCACCTGGAGATTGTCCATCAGCTTCTCAATAATAAAGCAGATATCAATATTGCTGACAACGACGGAGAGACTCCCCTTTACTCTGCAGCGCTGAACGGGCACCTGGAGGTTATCCAAGTGCTGCTTGGCAGGGAGGCGGATGTCACGATTCCCAACAATAATGGATGGACGCCATTACACGCTGCATCATCGGAAGGGCACCTAGAGGTTGTCGAGGTGCTTCTCGACAACCAAGCAGACATCAATACTGACAACAACAATGGAGAGACGCCTTTATGCGCTGCAACCGTAAATGGGCACCTGGAGGTTGTCCAGACACTTCTTAGAAAGGCGCTATCCAAAGGGTACGTAGAAATTTACGACTTGTTTAACAAGAAGGGGACAGATGTCAATGTCGACCAACCCAGTGCGTAGGCGGTGGAGGTGTGTGTGATGTTCAGAGATGTGAGGTATGCGATTCTCTTCCTTCCTAACAGTATTATAAGGCGGCTATTTTTAACAGTCGACTCCGGCTATATAGGAAACATGTTGCTTCAAAACGTCAGGCAGTGACTGGCTCAGCAAGAATAGCAGGTTATTATAGCCAGGGGGCGACAGAGATATATGCATGTTAGGGAGCGGCTAGGGTTGAAATCTGAGGGCATTTTTATTATTCGATTGTTTTATTCATGAGTGAGTTTGAGTGTTTTGCTTTGTTGTACTATTGATGTTGTCTTAATACATTGGCATTTCCCGAATATAAGTACCTCCTGTATGAAAATAACGAGTGGTTACATTTTGACCTTTGTGCTGACCGCGGGTCACAACTGGTGGTACGACGCAGTGAAGAACGTCAAAGAGGGATGGACTGTATCTGGGGTATCAGCAACTATCACGCGACTCTCGACGACAATTGGGAATGTACATTGGATCTTCTCGCAACGAACATCTCCGAAGATGCCGACACAGACGTCGGATTAGATTCTGAGGTCGTGGTCTGCACACTGGGCTGCATGTCGAATCATCTTATCACGAAGTCGTCGACCAAGGGTACATATTCGGCCGTTCAACCTCACCCGCAGCGCTGTCGTCATGGAATTGGGGGTTTCAAGACCCGCAACCACAGTTGGAGCGAAAGTTCCTGTGGGCTCAGCAATGGATCTACTCTCATCGTTTTGGAATCAATTGCTTCAAAACGGGCTGTAAAACGTCTGACATAAAAGTGACGGAGTGTCTCATCGCTGGCGAACGACCCAATCTCCCAGTACGCGTTTGCGTCCATGTCAATATATTCCTACGTAATTGTCGAATCCACGGACATAAGGTTCTCGATTGATTAAGTTTTACGACGTCAACTTTGATACAATTACACATGACTGGAGTGGAATGTAAGTATAAGAACCTCCCTCGTTTATGCTCGGTCCCAGTGCCTTGTGAAGCCTCGCGGCATCTCACCTTTAAAGATCGCCTGTTATCCAGTCTTGCTCATCATCCTCATCCACAAACTCACTCAGTCTCTCCATCAGATCCTCCACTTCAATCTCACCGGTCCATGCATCGCTCTCCTTTCCACCACGCTTGCACGGAGGAAGTGGGATGTCTTCAACCACATGGATAACACCGTTCTTACCAATGCCATCCTGGAACCCAACCTTCACGGCCCCATTTACAACTATCGAGGTCCAACCCTTCCAGTTGTACACATCCACTCCCAAGCTGCTCTTCTCCAACAAAGGATGGAGTTCCAAGTGGAAATGGTCGACGCCGTCCATCACCACCTCAGGCTTTGTCGTCTTGTCGTCTCCGTAGTAGATCTCGTCGCTGTACAGGGTGATGTTCGGCACGATTTGGTATTTCAGGAGGGCTGTCAGGTACTTCTTTCCTTTCTCGGTGTTGAAGAGGAACGCGTTTGCTCTGGGGCCCAGGCGCTCCCATGCCGAATTCGAGGGGGCAAACACGGTGCTACCGATCATCTTGACGGCGTGTATGTATTTGACAAAATCGGTCTTGTCGTATGCGAGGAGGAGAGTAGAGAACTGGGCCGGGAAGAAGCTAATCTCTCGACCAATCATGGTGGGTGGGATGAGGATCTTGTTAACGGCGTGGATGTAGCCATTCTTCGCTTTCTGGGATGAGGTTAGCAACAAAGGGCATCAAACAAGTCGTAGTGACGGAAGTTATCTTACAATGTTCACGGCAACAACTTTGCTGTAGACATTGACACGCACGCCCGAGATTCCAACGCTGGTTCGGAGGCGCTGGGGCTTTCCGCCGAGGAACTTCTCCTCCAATGCTGTCGGGAGAGTGTGTGTCGTGAGAATTCTCACAGCAGGATAGCTACCCACTCCAACATGATAATCGAGCAGATCCTCGACGAATTCATCGCTCGGCTTCTTGTGCTTGGGGATGTCCTCGAACGCCTTGTCAATCGGCACGAACAGAGTGTACGACGCATCGGAATCGTTGAGCAGCTTCACCACCTTTGAGTGGTCCTTCACAAGCTTGTAGAACTCGGTCGTGTGGTTGCTCTTGGAAATGAGCTCGTAGATGGTGTAGTTAGATTGGTCGTGCTCAACAAGGTCGACGTCGTACCCAGCGGCGGATCCACGGTTGCCGTGGCCGGATTCCTGAGCGAATATCGCGCCGACCTCATTGCGAACCTTTTCTTCGGCATTATGGATGGCATTCGCTATCCCTGAGGAGAGAAAATCGACAGCTTCGTCGAATGAGGAGGTGAGCTTCGACCGAGTATCTCCGAGCAGAGACTCTGCGTGATGGATTTGGTCCTTGAAAAAGTCGGGACCGTCTTTCAGCACGGCGAGCGCCGATACCGCAGCGACCGATGCGAGCGATACGGTGAGCCTCATCGTATCTTATCGGCAATGAACTTGTAAGATCGGAGAGAGATATCGTCGAGGTCGGAGGGCGTCAATCAAGCCGATACGGTTATAGGTGAACTATTTGAAGGTCCGCAGAGGATCGAGGTTTGTTGGTGAATGAATCAACTCGCATCCAGGTCGACCTGATCAGATAATGGCGCGACTTATTAGTTCCAAAGCTTGGCGAGCTTCACAGCTTGGCAGCTGAAGACGTGATCGCAGGCAGCTCAGGTTTAAATATCACCTTATCCGCAGTGGGAAAAAAGGAGGAATGCAACGCCGAAGGCCAATGGGATGCCGGTCTGCGGGATATCAGCGTCATCCGCGTCATCATCTCCTGTCGACCTGGTCATCGTTCCGGAGGCTTCGGATTTACCCCGCATCGTGTTGCTCGGATTACTCGGGCACCGAAGGTATCTTGGCAACCAAAAGGGACTAAGTTTGTTAGGGAATTGTACGTAACGCCGCAGTAATGGCTATTCTAGATACAAACAAATCCCGCCATCTCGACCTCCGGTGGGTGTTATAAAAAGGGTCCAATATTGACTAATCGGGAGTACAAGAAGCCAATTCGGCTTGTAGGCGACAGAAACTTACGCGTCCAAGATGTCATGTCATCAATGGCTGACATGAAGATGAGCCAAGCCAAGAGCATCGGCGATACGGATGAATACGAGTGAGAGCCTAACCATATTGGATCAATCTCCCAGATCATTCAGTTCCATCCCAAACCGTCTAATTCATCTTAAGCGATTGCCATTTCATCGAATAGAAAACCTTTGCCAGCATATCACCTCTTCTACTACAGAATGAAACCCATAGCAGGCAGCCGTGTCTGCCTAGAATCCAAGACTTGGCGAGGATCTCCGCGCTAGCTTGTTTGAGATTTATTTAGAAAGAAAACAATATTCCACAGCCATATGCTGATATTCTTGGTAGCCACCTCAACAATCGTCATTCCTCAGAAACGAGCTGCACCGTAACTGATCAAGTTTGCTTTCTTTCAGATCAAGACTGGGAACCTCGTCATACTGATCTAACGCCGCCATGGCATCCTCTGCTCCCAAGATCGCGGAAGCTGAGCGATACGATGCACCTGAAATGATCGCCCAGAAGGCAAAGGCCCTCGCTGCTCAGATACGCGAAAGTAAACGCTTCATCGTTTTTACTGGGGCGGGCATTTCTACTTCTGCCGGTATGCCTTACTTCTAGGTTCGAGATGCTCCATCTAACTATTGTAGGCATTCCTGATTTCCGAGGCCCTGAAGGCGTCTGGACCTTGCGTGCTCAAGGGAGGCAGCCCGCCGGGAAGGCAGTGAACACATTGCAGGCTATTCCGACACCTACACACATGGCACTTCTTGAGCTACAGAACCGAGGTATTCTGACTTACCTCGTTAGCCAGAACTGTGACGGCTTGCACAGAAGAAGTGGGATCCTACCTGTATGTTGAGCGAATCTGGATGAGATTTGGACCTCTAACAAACAAAAATTTACCCAATAACAGGGCAACATATCAGAGCTCCATGGCAATAACAACCGTGAATACTGCAAAGACTGTGGAAAGGAGTACATTCGAGGTATAACTGACTCTACCATTTCCTTAACCTCCTTTTTCTTACATTCTCAGACTTTCGAGCCGTCGCCACTTACGAAAAGACGGTGCATGACCATCGCACAGGACGCAAATGCGCTCGCTGCGATGGAGCTCTACACGACAGCATCATCAACTTTGGGGAAGCATTACCGGCGCAGCCTCTCCAAGACGCTTTTGATCGCGCCGAAGAGTCCGACCTTTGCCTTGTTCTTGGATCTTCGCTCACGGTGACTCCCGCCAGTTTGATTCCTCAAATCGTCGGCCGGAAACGAGGTGCGAAGCTGGTTATTTGCAACCTCCAGAGCACGCCATTTGATGGGTTGTCTGATCTGCGGATCTACTCCGATACCGACAGCTTAATGACACGGGTCATGGATATCCTCGAGCTTCCAATCCCGCAGTTCATCCTCCACCGTCGTCTGTTCATTCAACTTAAATCTCCTGGTGAAAGCCGACACGAGTTGACGGTAGGCGGTGTTGACATCGACGGCACACCAGTCACATTCCTTCAGTCGGTCAAACTTGAGAATAACAGAAGGATCGTTCGTGCCGAGCCATTTACAATTCAGTTCCGCGGTGATCTAGATCCTGGCCTAGAGTTCAAGCTCGAGCTGGAATTCATGGGACACTACCGCGAGCCTAACTTGGAAGTCGTCCATCAATACAACGGCGAACGGGATACAGAGGGTTTATATCTGCTTGAATACAATCCGTATCTCAGGGAGTGGAAGGCTACACGAGAGAACAATCCAAATACTCCGGTACTTTAGGCTAGAAAATGGGAGAAAACGGCGACCAACAGAACTTGGTTGTTCCCAGGACGATCAAGGATTTGTTTTGTGGAGCCGGTGTACGTCTTCAAGATGGATGATTCAGCATGTACTTGGGCCAACGACAAGATACTCGTCAAATGTCGAGGGCCCCTTAATCTAAGAAGAACAACGAAGATTGACGCGTGGCAGAGTGGGTGCCTGGTGGCAGATTTACACAAGTAGAATAACTGCGGGTCATGTCACAAGAAAAGAAATACACATGTCCATAGCCCCAGGCTGAATGTCTGGTCAGCCCTGAGCTGAGTGGAGGATTCCTTGTACGCGCCCAGTCATGAAACCAGCGCTTAACGAACCAATAAACACCTGCAGACTCACCCTTTCCCAACTCATGCTTGTTGGGGGCGAAGCACTCAAAGAAAGAGATAACAAAGTCCATAACCATTTTCTCCCCATTCCATTCTTTCATTTCTTCTTCCCGCCACCTCAGCAGTCCTCCAGTGCAACGCATTAGAGTGGAAACAACTTCAATAGCACCTCGACAATGCTCTGTCTCAAGTGCCAGAATTGCCTCCAGATGGAAGATGGCCTGATCGAAACCAAGGCACCTCATATTTCACTTCATCATCCAACGTACCAGAGTCTCGAGCAATCTATCGATGCGGGGTGCTATATCTGCAGTCGTTTCTGGGAGGCTCTGAGTGCCCAAGAGCGTGAACTTCTCTCCGGCACTTTGGGCGAAGGAGTAGAACTCCTAGACGGAGGTTGCGCTGTTGAATTGGCCAAGGACCGTCTCACAAGTACTTCCCTGGAGGGCGGGAAGTCTGGTGGTCATCCTGGCTGCTACTTTCTAGCGGTTGCATATGCCACCGCCCCCACAGTCATTTCCACCACAGCCTGCTGGAAAGCAAGCTTTCTTCTCGAACCTATTGATAGTCAGTGGCTATGCATCCCGTCCAAAATTGGCTTCCGAGCTAACAATGTTGTAGGTGCAAGTCCAAGCCTCGCACGTCAGAGTCTCGCCCAGAGCACGCGATCCCCGGAGACGTTATCTTTGGCCAGGCATTGGGTCAAAGAATGCACCACGCATCATGAACGATGCAAAAGGTCGGTCGGCGAAAAGACCTGGTACCCGACACGTCTGCTCTCCTTTGACCTCCATGAGGCATCAATGGCCCGCCTGCTAGAGACGGATCAAACAACTCCTATCGGACAATACATGACACTCACTCACCGCTGGGGCCCTGTCGACCATATGACGTTAACGAACGACACATATCCACAGCTGCTCGAAGGGGTTCTATTGTCTACCCTACCTCAAGTCTTCCAGGATGCCATCTCTATTTGCCGCCATTTAGGCATAGGCTATATCTGGATCGATTCCCTTTGCATCTTCCAGGGCAAGAACCACATCACAGACTGGCAGCACGAAGCTTCTTTGATGGGTAATGTATATTCAAACTCATTTTGCAATATCTCCGCCGCCGATTCTCCCGATTGTTCTCAGTCGATTTTCAGCCGCAGAGATCCCGGTAGGATTTGCCCCCAAGTGGTAGAGATTACCTTTCGCGGCAGAGACAGTGCAAAGACCATGGAGCGTTTCACGCTTTCCGATTATAGGTTCTGGGAATCGGAGGTCTCAAACGCCCTTGTGAACAAAAGAGCTTGGGTTCTTCAGGAGCGCTTCCTAGCCCCTCGCATTCTTCACTTTGGCAGGCGACAACTCATCTGGGAGTGCTGCGAGAAAGACGCCGCAGAAATCTATCCTGATGGCCTGCCGCTTTCCCTCTCGGGATTCTGGGATACTCGATTCAAACAGCTTAATTCATCCGACTATATCAGTCGGGTAGGTCGGTACAGACACTGCGAGACTGACGGCATTTCCGCTCCTCATTTACTGTGGTTTCGCATTGTACAATTGTATACAGCTTCAGCGCTCACAGTTCCAAGCGATAAGCTCATTGCGTGTTCTGGTATTGTCAAGAGGATGGCCGAGATTTTACAGGACGATTACGTCGCGGGTATGTGGCGCCGATATCTGGAGGGCGAACTGCTGTGGTCGGTACCCGGCAACCATCAGCCCGAACGCTGGACACGGCCTAAGGAATATCGTGCTCCCTCCTGGTCTTGGGCTTCAATCGACGGCCCAGTCACGCCAGGCGAGCCACGAATTCAAGATTCGTTGATAACGATTGAAGACTACCACCTTGATTATTCGACAAGCGATGAAACTGGTCCAATTCGGGGTGGCTGGCTACGCCTTCGTGGGGTCCTCAAAAAGACAACTTTAGGACGCAAAAACCCTACGTCGGGTGGAGGCTACCATTGGGATATGGTCCTGGACGGTGAGAATTCCAATGCACTGGAGGAGGTATCCCCAGGCTATAGTAACCCGCTGGTGATGCTCGATATTCTCCAAGAAGACTTTGAGGAAGAAAACGCTAAAGGGTTGTTGTTCTATATGTGCGCTAGGTCGAATATTGAGAAAAGGGAAGGTATGTATATACTGATGCTTAAGATGGTTGAAGAAGAGAAAGGAACCTTTCAGCGTATCGGGCTGGCTTATGCTTGGAGTAAGGAGGTAAAGGAAAGGGTTCTAACGAGGAGCCCGGGAGAAGCACAGTTGCCATGTCTTGAGTATCAAGGTGGATTGCATTCTATATGCATCATCTAGAGCACGTTGAAGGCACGGGAGACGGAAATACTAGGAAACCCCATGCGTGCAATGAAGTGACAGCCCGCAAAGCAGTCTTCAGCATCAGCAGTCGTTAAGGCTTATGTCTACCGTTAAATCTGAGCTGACTGCACTGTACCATTAAACTAAGATAGAGTTGAGCACGTTTCTATAACTATTTCATGATTTTAGGTCTGATCAAAGCCGTATGGTGATATGTAACCACCTGATTCGTTGCCAGACCCCGCGACGAATGGAGATATCAGTGTGATAGGATATTCGGGTTAAGTATCGGAGCGAAGGTGCTATCACCAAGCTGCAATTCCCAAAAATAGCACCCCCTGCCACAATAATGCGTAAACACCCGGTTGAAATAGCCACGTAATGTGATAAAATGCTCACCATTACGCTAGACCAGGGCAACACAAGCCTATTGGCGATAAGCTGAGCTAGTGGTAGATAGGGATCCGACATCCCACGCGTCGATTTGTCTGAAGGAAGTAAATGGTCAGGATAAAGGGCCGTATGCTCACCTTTCTACCCCACCGCTGCACTCCCGGCTCTAAGGATCATTGAAATTCTCCATGAAATCAAGCGTGGATTTAACAGCAAAGAATCCCATCAGACAGGAGTGCGGGGAGGAACGTGGGGCTTGCGCACGGGAAATAGGTTACATCCGGGGATGGACATCAGCAACACAATTGGTGCGGGTCGGAAAAAAACACAGGCTAAACAGGGTAGAAGCTATCTCATTGGAGTCTGTCCGAGAACCACATGGCTCATTGCTACCTCTTTTCCCTTTCCGGTTGAAGGAAGGATGAAATCCTTGCCCATGGAACTCTACCTGGAGTGACTACGTAGAAATGCCGATGCTAAACAGTCATGCTGATCTCTGTAAGGGTTCTATTTAGCCTAATTTCGCTCATCCACACATGCTGAATTCACGTACATTCTATCCAACCAGGCGCAAGGTTACGTTGCAGCCTGAAACCACCAGACCGCCAATACCTAAGTCATGGGCCGACATTTCAACCAAATCACTCCGATGGCTTCGCAGGGCGTTGATGAATGGAACACATCGGCATGTAGTCACAGCACTGATACTCCTCTAGCTCAGCGCAAGGCATGGTGGTATCAAATACGGGGACCATTTAGCCTATAACAGAACAGTCCGGGGATATGGCTTCAATATATAATACCAACGCAGCATCAAGAGATTTGGTTCATGCTCCCCGCATCAGACATCATCCTTGGCGTCGTCAGATCTGCTCCTCTTCCCCGCAACACAAATCCCTCTGTAAGATATCCGCACCACATCATTAACGATGGGCGCCATCGCCAACGCAGGCGGCTATGATGCTGCCCTGCAGAGACGTCAAGCCCTGATGGGCGCCAGTGGTGCCAGGGCCCTCGTGAAAAACTTCAAGGTCTTTCGAATCGCAGCTTTCGCTTGTATCGGTGGTGTGCTCTACGGATACAACCAGGGAATGTTTTCGGGCATCTTGGCCATGCCGTCTTTCGAGAAGCGTATGTTCGTTTGGTTTCAATTATGTTTGGAGGATGCTAACCGTTTGCAGATATGAATGGATATATCGACAATCCGACCCTCAAAGGATGGCTCACGTCAATTCTCGAGCTGGGTGCCTGGCTCGGCGCGATCCTTTCTGGTTTTGTCGCTGAAGTGTGCTCCCGAAAGTATGGCGTCTTGATCGCGACTAGTGTCTTCATGCTTGGTGTCATTGTTCAGGTCACCTCAATTTCAGCTGGTCATCAAGCTATTCTTGCGGGTCGGTTCATCACGTAAATCACATCCTGGCTCCATATTTTCTCCACGGCTAATCAATTCTCAGTGGCATTGGAGTCGGTAGTCTCTCTATGATTGTCCCTCTTTACAACTCGGAATGCGCCCCTCCGTAAGTCTTCCCGCCGATTCTCATATCTAATTCGGTGCAAAATACCAGGAACACCGCCCAATCCATTGCTGACACGGTCCAACAGTGAGGTACGAGGCGCTCTAGTTGCTTTACAGCAGCTGGCAATCACATTTGGTATTATGATCAGTTTCTGGATTGACTAGTAAGTATCCCGCCTTATATCTCATTGGGTTTTCTGACCCTGCAATAGCGGATGCAACTATATTGGAGGTACAAAAAGGGAAACTCAATCTGACGCTGCCTGGCTTGTTCCAATCTGCCTCCAGATGGGACCGGCATTCATTCTCTTTGTCGGGATGATATGGATGCCATTTTCCCCTCGTTGGTTGCTTCACCATGGCCGAGAATCCGAAGCCCGTGAAGTCCTGTCCGATCTTCGCGATCTTCCCCCGGACCACGAACTGATCGAGCTCGAATTCCTCGAGATCAAGGCCCAGTCGTTGTTTGAGAAGCGGAGTCTTGCTGAGAAGTTCCCGCATCTACAAGCGCAAACCGCCTGGAACACTTTTAAGCTTCAATTCGTCGCTATCAAGGCTCTCTTCCAGAGCCGTGCAATGTTCAGGCGCGTGATTGTCGCTACTGTCACCATGTTTTTCCAGCAATGGACAGGCATCAATGCTGTGCGTTTCCCTACTCGAAGTGTACTTGAGAGGAGCTAACAATTTTACAAGGTTCTCTACTATGCGCCTCAAATCTTCGGTCAACTAGGACTCAGCGCTACAACCACCAGTCTCCTTGCTACCGGCGTCGTTGGTATCGTCATGTTCATCGCCACTATCCCTGCTGTCCTGTGGATTGATCGAGTCGGTCGTAAGCCTGTACTAACGGTGGGCGCCATCGGTATGGGCACTTGTCATATCATCATCGCCATTATTCTTGCGAGGAACATTGATCATTTTCACGAACAGCCCGCCGCTGGTTGGGCAGCTGTTTGCATGGTGTGGCTCTTCGTGGTTCACTTCGGCTGTAAGTTGGCACCAACACCTCTCCCAAGGCTCATCCTCCCGTAAGCTAATCGGAGATAGATTCATGGGGCCCATGTGCTTGGATTATCATCGCTGAGGTCTGGCCTCTGAGTACCCGACCGTATGGTGTGGCACTTGGTGCATCTAGCAACTGGATGTAAGTACCTGTACTTCCCCACCTGAAATGAAATAACCGTTAATCATTTTGTCTAGGAACAACTTTATGTACGTGGCAGTTAAACTTAACTCACTGACGTTCTCTAACCCAAATTAGTGTTGGCCAAGTGACTCCAGATATGCTTACTAGCATGACATACGGCACCTATATTCTTTTCGGAGTATTGACCTATCTTGGTGCTGCCTTTGTTTGGTTCACTGTTCCCGAAACCAAGCGTCTGTCCCTCGAAGAAATGGTAAGTTGTTTTCCTTTATTCTTTCCCGTCAAGATTGTCACTAACACTTTGATTCTCAGGATCTCATTTTCGGTTCAGAGGGCACTGCGCAAGCTGATACGGAGAGAATGGAGGAGATTAATCATGAAATCGGTCTCCACAATCTCTTGCACCTCGGCCGGGTTGATGGCGAGGTGGATGATGTCATCGAGAAGGAACATGCCGTCTAGGCCTCATGATCACGATCCAGCCGGCCAATAGCCATACTCTCTGCTTGTCTTCCAACACATTACGGTCTTTCATATGACTTACCTTTCCGTGGCAACTGTTCAACTCATGGCTCCACCCATTAGCCGTGCCTTCTGGACCTGCTCTATTTGCTTTTCCATAATTATTTTAGCTCAAGGCAGTAATACCCGCAGTATCTTGGATCCGACGTCTGCTCCCCCTCGTTCCAGTGCATTGCTGCATTTCTAATTAAACCCATCCGTCTTGCAACAAGATCAAGATAATACGAAGCTTCTAATTATATCATGAACAAAGGTCTTCTCGTTTAGGTTCTTTCCTATTCGCCGAATTATCATGTGGTCATAGTGCGGTCTAGTTAAGACGCACCGAGGCTTAAGCTCCTCGGCGCCCCAATGACTTACCCCTCATTTCCGTTCCGAAGATGCCAACCCAATTGGTTAGTTATGCGAGCTGATCAGATGTTATATTCTGTTCCCGAAGATGTATTTCCGATTGGCTACTTGCAAGGCCTGCCAGGTTTAGCGGTGTCTTTCCCCGGATCAATAGAGCATTTAAGTCCACTCCTGACTCCCAACGTGATAATCTCTTCTCCAAAGGCTTCACATTTCTCACAAGCTCAATCGCACAACGCCATCTTATTGTTTAATATCTCACAGATAAGAAGGCAGGTTTCACCCGGTTCTCAGGAAGTATCATGGCAACCTCAATTGGGGACACCACAATCATCTTTGGCGATTCGAGGCAGCCGAAAGCTCTACCGCTCTCTCATCCCAAAGCTAGATGGGTTGAATTCGGCACAGAGCAAAAGGTCTTGCCAAAAGGCTATACAAGAAGAAAGGGATGCCTTCCGCTACCTTGTGATATACTATTCGAGCGTGACACTCCCGTCAAAGTAGTAGACCTGTTTCCAAAAGTATCACGCGAATCTAACCCGTCACAGTTACGAGATGGTACGAACATCTATGTCGACATATACCGGCCTGTCGAGGACTCAACCACCTGTCCGGCATTGATAGCTTGGTCTCCATACGGTAAGCAAGGAGGCAGGGGAAACCAGGTGCTGGATGATTTTCCTTTCCGAATGGGAATTCCGCTTCGAAAGCTTTCTGAGCTCCAGAAATGGGAAGGTCCAGACCCAGGGTATTGGGTTCAGCACGGCTATGCTGTTGTCAACCCTGATCCACGTGGAGTCGGTAAAAGCTCCGGAAACATCTACCATTTTGGATCCCAAGAAGGGCGGGATGGCGCCGACGTAGTTGATTGGATCGGCCAGCGTCCATGGTGCTCGGGCAAGGTCGCATTGACAGGGAACTCATACCTCTCTATATCTCAGGTCAGTCCTCACACACTCCGTAGGATTTGAATCAGCATACTGACTAACTGCTTCATAGTGGTTTATTGCAGCAGAAAGGCCAACTCATCTTGCTGCAATTGCACCTGTTAGTTTCCTGACCCAAATGTTGCAATATTCGTGATTTTGGTGAGATTATTGAGACTGTTCAGGCTAACTTTTTTATTAGTGGGAAGGAATGACAGATCTCTACCGAGAAGCGACGGTATTAGGAGGCGTTCTCTCCAAACCTGCCTTAGAGTTCAACCTGCAGCTACTTCAGGTAAATGCAGGAGAAAATTCCTGGGAAAATGCAGTTGCTATGGCAGTCAATAACAAACTCTTCGGAGCATATCACGATGATAAGAGAGCGAAGGTTGAGGTAAGTTGACGGCAGGGACAAATTTCACTCAAAGTCGCTCATCAATCTGCAGGATATTACCGTCCCTGCATATGTTGTCGCGAGTTGGTCGAATCCGATTCATACATACGGAACATTCTGTGGGTATCACAGGTTGAAGAGTGACAAATGGCTTCGAGTTCATGACACATTTGTAAGTCCGCGTGGAAGGAAATCAGATACACAAGCTGACCACTTTGATAGGAATGGCCAGATTATTACCAGGAAGACAATGTCGCGGATCTACACCGATTTTTTGATAAGTTCTTGAAGGTAGATTGCAATATTAATTATGCTTTCGGAAACCGCTGACTGTGTGGTCCGCAGGATATCGACAATGGCTGGGATACCACAACTCGTTTCCGAGCCAAGATCCTCGACACAGCATGCCCACTCGCCAAGAATGGAACAGATTTTCAATCTACAGCATTTCCATCCCCGGAGACTAAATCTCTAAAGCTCTTCCTTGATGGATCCAGTGGCTCTCTAGTACCGACTTGCCCTGAGTCACACCGCCTGGAGTACAAAGCTAGCAATGGGGAGATTGTGCTCACATACACGTTCACCAACGAAGCGATACTATGCGGGCCACTTCGGTTATTCTTAGCAGTCTCTATAGTTGGCGCCCGGGATTCGGATATCTTTGTCACCTGTGAGAAGATCCTTACAGGTGGCGGCAGTGGTACTCAGCTCATTGTTCCCTTCGAGCATTCCTATCAGTCGTCTATAGTGCGGATCGGCCACAGAGTGGGTTTGGCATCAGATGCAGGAGCATTATTTTACAAAGGTCCGAAGGGGCAAATACGTGTCTCCCGTCGCACCCAAGAGCCGGATCACCAAGTGCCGGGTTTACCAACCTTTCGCATGGATGAATACCACCCGCTCAGCGAGAACGAGATCGTTCAGGTCCAAGTCCCGCTAACACCAATCGGTATGCGCTTTTCGAAGGGTGAGAAGTTCAAGATACGACTCAGCGGCATCAACAGGTCGGTCTATCCACCTGTCGACCAAGCGAGTCTCACAGTTGAAGGCCTGGAAGATATCAACATCAACGCTACAGTCTCTTTACATACTGGCTTGGAGGGGGACCTTGAGAGCTATATTATACTCCCATGTATTCAGTCTTAATTTTAACGATAGCAACGAAGAGGGCTTATTAAAGGTCACAACTAATTTGTAGAAATTAGAGGGGGTTCCAGGTCTATATTTCATGTTTCATGTCCCGACGGTTCGTGATCTGCACCTCTCATCATGTTGATCCGGACGGGCCGCGTCTGTCTACTTGGAAAGACAAATGGTGACGTACCATCGGCCAGGGCTCTCTCATGCTCGGCCCAGGCCTCGCGACGGAACGTCTCGGATCGGGCGCGGTAGGCTTCGTTTTGGTCTTCGGAGAGGGCAGACCACCCCGGCTCGACGTCATAACCCGAGAGGTGCATGTCGTTGTGGAAGACGTTGATGGGGCTGCGCGGCTGGGCGGTGAGTGACCATGGCCCGCATCCGAAACGGTCGGTAGGCAAGATAGGGGGTGTCGCGGGCCATGGTGATGTTAATAAGGTGGGAGCGGGACGACCAGACTGGGAGGAGGCGGCTTGGAGGGCGGCGAGATAATCCCTGTTGCGGGCGACGACCTCTTCGTCTGTCACGTTGCCGAGCTCGTGCTGCTCCGAGAGCGAGACCATGGCGCGGATAATGTCTTGAGGCTGTTGTCTGTTCCCGAACTGGCTTTGCGGCGTTGTAAATGCCGGTCCTGGCATCGGAGGAGACTGGACGGGACCAAGACTAGCAAACATCGGCGCCATATATTGCATATGGTGCACCGCAGCAGCCCGAAAGACGACGACATCCAGTCCCAGCCGCCTCGATAGCAGCTCCACGGCCTGCGCGGTTCCAGGCACGCCAAAAGCCCTCGATCTTTCTACCGGGCTAAAGGTTGCATCGTCCATGCCGTGAAAACTGCGCGCCAGCAGCGCAATCTCGTCGTCGTTCAGCACCGTCCCGAACTGGCCGTGGTCCACGGCATCCTTGCCTTTGGCGTAGAGCTCGCTAGGCGTGCTGAGGCTCCCGCCCGTGGCGCGTTGGATGTTGGCGCGCACCACGTCTGGCGGCGGCCAGAAGAGGATTTGATGCGTCTCGTCGGCGGTGAGGAAATCGGGATCCGCCAGCGCCTTGCCCACGATGTCGCCGCGGCTGAGAAGGAGACGGCGTTCCTCCTGTGTGAGCTGGTCCTGGTGGTTTTGCGCCTTGACGTAGAGCGCCTGTGGGATCGTGTCATGGTCAAGTTGCGCGTGTCGTTGGCAGATGGAACGCTCAATAGTCGCGTGCAGAGCGGCTTCAGCGCGCCGCATGGCCTCACCGCCTTCTTCTGTGTCGGAATCTACGTCGACTTCGGGCCAGTCTTCCTCCCGGGTTCCAAGGTTGGGGTCCATGTTACGTGATTCTGCCATCTCGAGGAGGACCGATAGTTGTACGTTGATGGAAATTTGTCAGGGATGGGATATTGTTGAAGAGATCGCGGGGTTGATGGTCTTGGAAGATGGGCTGTTCGTGACCATATGGGTGGGGCTCTGAGAGAATGACCGTCGGTCGCCTCATGGAGAATAGAACTCATGCGAATGATAACAAGGCAATGATTGAGATTTGCGATGTTTCAGCAGCTCCATTCAGTAGATACTCTGCCCTCCTACTCCTCCTTCCTTGACATCGAGGCAATCTCCCAGCACGGTAATTTCGCCAAGTAACACTACATACTCTACCTGGTGTTCTTATGCGCTTTTCTTAATACTCTTCTTGCTAGATTTCTTCCGTTGAGAAAGCATATGTCCATAGAGGATATAGAACGCTAGTAAATACGTTAGTCAAAGAACAGGTATTTGACACTCAAGTGTTTGTACCTGGAATATAAATAGCCAGTCCAAACCAGAGGAGATATTGGTATACTGGGTTTCGGGCTTGCGAAGGGACAATGACCTTGTAGACAAGCCAGGCTTCGGAAAGGATGCCAATTGGGTAAAGAATGATGAACATATTATATCTTTAGCACACGGTATGTTAGCCATCATTCATGACCACATGCAATGCATTCACCATACCTCAACCACAAGAGAGAATTCGGCACACTCCCAGTCCCCTTTTCAACGGCGAAATACGTGTACCTCACTACGTCGGCCGCATTCCAGGTAACCAGCATGTTAGCGTAAGCCCATTCTCGCGCAGCGACATCGGGATAGTTTCTGGTGATGGCCCAGACGATGGTGTTGCGGCCAGCAACCTGCAGCGCGGTTGTGGCCGGCGAAGCCCTAACCAGCCCGATGGCGGCATGGATGATTTCAATGACGGTACACGTCTCGGTCCATCGCGCGAAGACGTGAAGCTCATCCCAAACGGCCGCGTTCCCACCGCTAGACCACAGCTGGATTGTGCGGAGAAGGATGACGATTCGCAGAGTGGCTGACAGGACGTTGTACAGGGCCAGGTAAGCCGCGGCAGGGGACGAGGGTTCCTTTGAGGGCGCCATCTTAGTTCGTTGAGTCGTCAAGTCGCCTGTGCTGCGGAAATTTGTTCGGACGAGAGTGGCATGCGGCGCGTGTCACATTAGAGGAGATTTTTATCCTTTTATGGGTCACCGAGAGATGAGATTATCGTCAGCGACGCAATTCGTGCGGCATTCAGCTACCCTAGAGCTAGTCTAGATAGCCGAAAATTCGGTATTTTGCATGTGATTAAGGTTGTAAAACATTTAATGGTGTAGAAAATCGAAATAATGCTCAAGGCAGGCAATAATACGAATGGTTTTAGGGACAACTGTGCTCTGGTTGTAAACACACTATAACAGACAGACAGAAACTGAAAATGACAGATTTAGGCTACAGGACGAGCGTTGGCGGGGAACGAATGGGAAGAGAGCCTTTAACTGCATCAAGTAGCGACAATCTCGAGTTCGTCCGTTCAAGTTCTTGACCATTCTTTATTTCCTATTTATAATAGTCTACTTGGCTGTATAAATTCCGGTCATTTTATTGCGCGCGCCCTCTGTGATTGTCTCGGCTAGATAGCTCCATCGGCGGTGAAATATATGTTTACACCACCTGGCCCATGCAAGTAGCACGGCTTGCAATTAGAACCGTCTCTCGTACCTCAGTTTCTTCATATCTTCAGGGCTCTTCTGGAAAACGCGCGAGCTGCGGATCTCGGGGCTGGCCAGGAGCTTCTCGTAGACGGTCGCAAATTCCGAGGAGCTCACGCTTCCAAGCTTGGCGGCGTTCTCATCCACCTGCACCATGTACCCGAGGTAGACTTCGTTGAAGCGGACGTTGGTCTCCAAGTTCTCTCGGGAAGCGGCTACAGCCAAGGCGAATAGAGCGCCTTGCCCTATGGCCGGCACCGAGTGGGTTGCAAAGTCGCCCTGTGCTCCGGTGATGAGTGTCCATGTGCTTGCAGGGTGGTTTTTCTCGAGCAAATAGCCGATGGTATCCCGGTAGGCAACTGTGAGTTTGTGTTGGAAGGGTTTCAGGTCTGTTTCGGTTTAGTAGGGCCTACAAAAGTTGGACTCGATGAAGGAGTTGATGCCGAGGCGTAGCTGCTCGGTAGTAATCTCCTGAAGGGGAGTCATCACGTACGCGCCACCAACTTGGCCAGAGTATCAGTAACGAACGTCATCTCGCAACGTGCCGGGAACTAACCGCAGGAGTACACGTGCTGGAAATCCGGTAGCTTGCCGGCTCGGACTTGAGCAACCACACCTTGGATTCCCGTCTCCGAGAGGACGTTGGCTTCAACGAAAGTAATTCCCTCGGATGACCCAATATGCTTGACGAGTTTGTCGGCCGAGTTTTGGTTCCGGACAACGGCCAAGACATTGCGCTTAGAGTTCAACGCGCCCTTGACGGCGGCAACGCCGATGTTTCCAGTTGCTCCGATAACGAGAACGGTCTCCATGTTGAATGTTGATGAATTGCTGTTGTGATAGTTCGAATTAACAGTTCGACAACCAACAGATGGACACAGTTTATATATTAATCAATTCTATTCTTATTAATCTTTAGACGTTAGTATCTAGGCCTGGAAATCGGAGAATCCGCGATGACAAATTTACGGATGGTGGCCTCGCACGTCGGACTGTTTTGTTGTCCGGTTACCAATGACAAAGCAGCAGACGTGGCTTTCTCATCTAATTAATCGGACCATCTGCTTTGGCGAGCTGAGATAACATTGAACCGACGCTAAACTCCCGATTCCTCAACCTCAGAACAGCATCCTCTCACTGGTGGTCTCCAGAATATTAACTGTCCATCTGAGTAAACAGACCGACACTAAAAATGAGGGCCTTTGTGCGATTTGTCGATTTCTCACGACCCCTGCGCATGATGCCTGATTAAAGTTCGTGACCGCGTCATCGATTGACACGGACAGCGGATCATCAAGATGCCAGCTAGTATTGATCAATTTTGGGATACACAAGACGTATACCCTTCACTCTACAGAGCAATACGCGATAAGCGACGGAATTACAGCTTCCAACTCGGGGATGGAATCTTCAAGCGGAAGACCACCATCTTTAGCTCTGGGATTTGCACGTCTATTGCATCTAGCAGATGGAAATGATTATTTGTGCGAGAAGCTCTTGATGTTCTTCCTATCTGAATGAGGGTCTTTGGATCAGGTCAGCCTCATTGACTAAGAGACTGACGATGCCCTTGAATAACCTCGGACAGCCGAGAGGCTCCGGATCCTTTGGGATTTTTGGCTTCAACTAGCTATAGATAAAATCAAGGAAAGGCTAGGGCTGGGGCTAAGTTGATGACAAAGCTGCTGATGAGGCTGGTGGCGTTGGACATCTATGACGATAGATGAAAAGCTTCACAGCCGTCATAACCGCAGAAGTCCGATATCCCGATACATGTGACAATGTCAAGTGATCCAAGACACTTCAGAAATCCTTTTGATGTTGCAATAATCTGGCTTATTGCTATTTCTTGCATGGAGTACCGGGACAAGGTCAGAGCTAGCAAATCCTACATCCTTCAATAAATAGTCTGATTCGATTCGGTACCTAAATATAAAGTCTCCACCATGTCGTCATTACTTGTGTGCGATTGAGAAGCCATCATGTTCCAGAATGAAATAACGGAAGGCTTTGTATTAATATACATTCACAAGATCTAATGGATCCGTTACGGTCAAACTGGTCAAGGTAATAGGGTTCAAGACGACGATGTTGATGATCTCCTCGCCTGGGTCCGCCGGGCCGGTCGCAGAGGGGTTTCTAACACCCCATCTAACTAAGGTCAAGATATCAGTCTATCAGAGGCTTTGTGATACAGGGTCATATTAACAAGATCAATATGGACTGTGGTAGTACGATTTCTGACAGGGTTGCAGTGCCGATGAGCACACTTGAGTCTGAACAACTATTTGGTCATTGTGGTAGCATTGGGTAGAAAATGCTTGAATTATGGATGAAACTGTGCTTTTTTGACCTTGTGCCGGCAACTTGCTCACCTTGAGGGAGCAGACAGAAGTTAGATTTGAGTCTGAACAACAGCGAGAACTTATTTAGCTAGCCAACCTAAAGGACTTACTCCGCTCAACCTGGGTGGAACGTTCTCTTCCCTCCGTTAATTCTATATTTATTGTTTGCAGCGCCTTGTTTCTTTAACCCCAGGTGTCGCTGCCGCTCATATCGGTAGACTTTTCCTCCTGTCCGTCGAATGTATGTGGACGGACTGGATTTAGTGTTCCTAGGCACATCTTTACGTGGTACTTGGCTGCTAATTCTGTCACTAGCGATATGCCATCTGTCTCTTGTGTGTCATTGGCACTGTACCACATCTCCCACCAAAAAATGGACAGGAAGGAATCAACCTATAGAAGCACACCAAGATGGACAATACCAGTACTCGATCAATAAACTAGACTCACCCGGTGTCAATACGGACATGCCAACACAGCTATGGTAGAAGTATAACATCACTGGGCTTAAGAGAGTCTTGGAAGAACTTCTAATTCGCGGCCTAGGTCAAGGCCGAAGAATGAAGGAATAGTCAAGTGATCCGGAATAATGAAGAGGTTCAGAATTATGTCCTCTCTCATACAGGTACTTCCATGTTGCTTCTACACTAGGTGAGTGGATAACTCAAGTTCCCTAATCCGAAATTCTTTATTAGCTACCGCAATCCCATTCATCCAAACCCCAGCTTTGTAACCAAGGGCTTGCTAAATTGCAAGCGAATCGCAATAACACCAAAGCACCTTGTCACTTTGTCACCTCGTCGCAAGTCCCTCGGAAGGGATGTTAAAATTTTCCTAGATACCAACCGACTGCTGAGGCTGGACTGTGTTTTGCACAGCCGTCTTGGAGTCGCTCTTCTCATCCGACTGGTGGCCGCTCGACGCGTCAGCATCGATAAGACCAGCATTGCGCTTGCGTCGGATTCGATCGTCGATGTATCTGACAATGGCCAGAGCAGTACCAAAGGTGAGAACACCAATTCCAATGCTGAAGCCACGGCGATAGAGGGGCTTGTCATCAGCTCGGAAGATCTGGGCGCCGTAGATTCCAGCAATGTTGGCACCCATAATAACCCTGTTAAAAATTGTAAGTAATTATCCTGGAAATCAACAGAGGGAAACTCACATTGCCATAGCCAACGCTCGTTCCTCGGAATCCTCGCAGGTCAGCGACATCCATGCGATGTTGAGAGGGTGAGAAAAAGTGCCGAAGGTCTGCGTCCAGACAACACCAAAGTATCGAACTCCCCGAAGGTTGATCTCAGTGAAACCGCGGTTGAAGATGTAACCGAGCAGATGCATGCTAAGTCCAGCAATGACGGTCGGTCCACGCTTGTTGCTATAAGGTCATTTCGTCAGCACAGTCCTAGTGTTTCTAGTCATTAGTGTCTAACTCACTATCGATCTGAGACGTAGCTAAAAGCGAACGACGTTGGGATCTGAAGGAAGAGACCAACGGATGCCATTGCATTGCTCTTCAGGGTTCCGAAGCCAAAGCTTTTGACAATTGACGGAGAATAAGTGTCGAAGCCACGCTGAGGTCCGTTGTTGCAGAGGGTAATGAGGAAGTGAATCCACAGACGCCAGTTTGAGAACTAAGCGAGGAGTTAGTACAAGACTTGAGGAAGAGGATGGCTAGATGACATACAGCCTTCTTAAACGCCGTCAGGCCGATGCGCTTCTTCTTCTTGCCCTTCATGGGATCATCGAGAAGAACACGAGTCTGGAGAATGTGCAGTTCCCTCTCCGTGAAGAAGGAGACGCGTGGAAGGAAAGTGCTGCGGGGGTTCTTGAAGGAGTCGGGAAGGAGAAATCCGAGGACAAAGCCACTGGCAATGGTGAAGATGCCCATGATGGTGAACAGCCAGAACCAGCCGGCTCGTCCGTCAACACCACGCATGTGAAGAATTCCGTATGCCAACAGCTTTGAGGAGGCTTGACCGAATTGGTTGCCAAAGTAGAAGAACATGACGCGCTTCGCAGTCTCCTTGCGGGTATACCAGGTAGACAGGGTCCAGAGACCACCGGGGATGAAGCCCGACTCGGTAATTCCCAGAAGGAATCGGGTCGCGATGAACGAACCGTAGCTGTTCTGGAAGGCCTGGAAGGTGCTGACGGTGCCGAAGAGGAAGAGCTGGAGGGTCAGCCACTTGCCGGGGCCGACGCGGTAGAGAATCATGTTGGAGGGAATCTCGAAGAGCACGATGCCGAGAGAGAGCATCTGCTGGCCGACATTGAACTGATCTTGGTTGATTCCGACTTCCTCCATGAAGTCATCGGTGATGGCGTTGGCAATGTTGCCTCGATCGAGCTCTGCGACGCGACGAGTTAGACCGAGATGTGAGAATGAGCAGGCGATGTGACTTACGCAAGCAGAAGAAGCCGAGGGTCAGAAGGGGCATGATGATCAAGTCCAGCCTGGTTGGTCAGTTGAAGAACACGTTAACTCGGCTTGTCGGTATAAACTTACTTCCGCTTGGCCTTGCGCTCCTCCTCCCTGCTCCAGTCGGCGCGCAAGTTGAGAGCTTCCTCATCCTCCCTGGGAGGAGAGTATTCAGTCGGGTCCGCCGATTTGGTGTCTAGCTTCGACATGTTGGCGAGCTGAGCGATGCGATGAACGTGATGGTTCTGGCTGGGGAAAACTCGCATTCAACGCGGAGAGCCTTCTTCACTTAAGGACCTCCCCGATAGTCGCCAAGCCTCCCAGTGCCTTCGCCAAGGCATCCCATGGCGTCGCCAAGACAGACGGCCTGGGGGCAATATCTGGTCTGGATTTACCGAGCGATATGGTGACATGCGAAGATACGAGCACGCCATCCACATATGCCGTCGAGCCAGGCGTGATAGGGCCAAAGAAGTGCGTCGGTGACGGCTAGCGCGAGATTAAGCCAAGGGCCAAGACTCTCCGTCCGCTCGCCATCAGCGCCTCCGATTTGGTATTCGTGGGGGCATGAGAAGGGAAAATGACTCACTTCCAATGGGAGTCGAGCATTTGCGTGAACTCCCCGCTGCGTTCTCCCCGAAGACGTGCGCCGAGATGGACTCCCCGTGATGGTGATGGGTCGCTGGCGACGGTCCGAGGTGACACATGAGCCCCGTGAGACGCCTCCAACGAGCGCCATGTCTATGCTTGGTTGTAGGTGTTTGGGAAGCTATTACAGCGGATTGTGTGAGAATATAGAGATACACAGCGCCTACTGTAGAGCCACATGCTCTCCTATCCCAAGCTCTCTCATCGAAGCCCGTAGAGCCCCCCCCTCGTCCCGTTTTACGTGATTCCTCCCAGGGCCCAATTCAATCCTGAACTTAAGCTTAACGACAGAGCCACCTTAGCCCCAAACTCGCAGCTTCAGGGCTTTATTCAGTGGGGCCTAGACCTCCCAAAGAGCAAGGTGCCGTAGCCGAGCCACGTCACTAGCGCCGGATTCGTCGGCGGCCACTCTGGATTGCACGACTTCCGGAGGATGACGACATGTGCAGTGCGATGAGGCGAGAGCTTGGGGTCGACGAGAGGCAAGGGACCCGGCTGGAGAGGGGACATGGCTCCCTCGTCACCGAGTCTTTCGAAGCGTGGCCCAGAGAGGACGGCCGGTATACTGAGGCCAGTCTAGTCAACAGCGTCCTCCAGTTCGTCCGCGTCTTTTGCGACTTCCGGTCCCAAGTCATCATCTCGAAGCGGGGCCATTGGAGGAAAATAGCCCCAGAGTCCACTGCCGAGTCGTCCCATCCTGCAGTCTTCTCCCCGGCCAGTCCCGCTCTGCGTGGACGGGGTTCTGATGGCGCAATATTAGCCCCAAATATCCCAGGACGCCCCCGTCTCAAATCCAACAGAACCTGCTCTAGCTGCTGCGAGTTCTCTCTTTTCTCTTTTTGTTCCGTCTGGCGAGGCAGCGAATCATAGGGCGTGACCTGGGCACTCAGTGTTGGCGCGATTGTCGCGGCCGGCCAGCCTCTACTGTCAGCCCCAAAGTCTAGATCTGCAGGTTGGCTTGGCGTTTGCAATGAGGGTGGGGTTAATATGAGAATCTGCTTGTTGCTTTTTTTTATTCACATCCATGCATCATCTTTCTCACCGCGTGGCCCCCTTCGACGGGCTTGGTGGCCTAGACCGTGATTGCCACCGCACAAGCTCGCAATAGTGTCGTGTGACCAGGATTTTCATCAGTTCAGCCCGACGTGGAGGTCTCGCTGACCAAGGCTGATGCCTAGCACACCTGTGGCCCAGACCTTGCCTCATCTCGGCTCAAGTGACGAGTCGAAGAATGTGGAGATAAGGGTTGGCTGAAAGACCAGCCATGGGTGACCTGGACAAGACGATCAGGCTGAGATGGTCCCAAACGACAATAATGGTCCATCTTCAAAGTAAAGGAGCTAATGCGATGCATCAAAATTGTCGGGCTAGCTTAGGAGGCTGGAGATGACCACAAGACGAGACCTTAAATCGAGCAGTCTTGTCATCATTGTAGTCAACCTGGTTACCGCAACCTCAAGGTACCAGTATTTCGATATCCCTTCAGATACTTAAGGGAAGAATACCTGGCGCCCTGCTTCTATAGCCAAATACATGGTGCGTGTAGACCACTGAATATCCTGTTGATTCCTCTAAAATACGTAGTGTCGACCTGTGTGTCACTTGAACGCACCTCCACGCAGCATTAACAGAGCGACGACTTACTAGGATCATCCACGAGATGCGGTAGATCCACACAGCCCAAGACAATGGCCAGAGCCCAGACCACTAAGCCGGGCGTAACGAGGGCCTCATTAGCATAGAACATCAAGCCATGTTGCTTTTTCTTTGAGAAATCAGCCAACCGCACCGAGGAGCCGTGGCTCAGAAAGGAGGCGAATTGCACCATAGTCTTGAGAGCGGCCTGGCCGATGTTAGGCTCAGTGAAATGATCAATGGGGCTGAGCTGCAGCTCGTGGGCTACAGTAGTCTCGTCGATCCTCGCATCCAGTCCTCGCTTCGTCGATCATCTCCCATGTGTCGTCAGTGCAATCGTGATTGGTCACATGTTCGCATTTGGTCACGGAACCAGTCAGCATGAAGTCATTACATTCCGTGTATTGATATTACATAGGTACTCCTACAATACTCCCTCATATACAGTCTCCTCATTTCGTCCTTCGGCGCGTATTATCCAAACAATAATCCTGATTACACACCCAGTACTCGTCAACTTACAGTAGCCATCCCCATTATCCCAGTCTCAATCTAGATCGAACTGATGTGGTACCTCATTCTCCGCCTTTTCAACTGCGTAGTGCCCCAACCGTATCAATTCAGCTACGAAGTCATTGATCATTTCCATATGTGTTGTCTCATATTCAGTCAACCTTCGTATTGGTATACGCTGAAGAAACTCTGACGTAGACTTGAGGAGTTCTATGTCGGCCTTTGCTCGTGGGTCCAACGGGTTGATGAGAATGTTGCAGAAGAGCGTTATGAGCGCAGACATGGGATAAAATATGATGACCCTGCGAATTGTTAGTCTTTGCACATGGAATCCAGCATGTGCCTTATAATCACCAAAGTAGGTGAAGAAGAACGCGAGCCTCAAGGAAGTAGAAACATACCAATACGTTTCACTCGGCAGCCCTGTAGCAGCTCCCCGTAAGTAAAACAACGTCGATCGACTTGCTTCTACCGACAGCACTAAGCTCGATTGAAAGCCACTATTCCAACTAACTCTCCCTTCTTCAGCTCCCGTGCGGCATCTTCCAGAGACCCGATGGATCATAGTCATGAGGTAGTGGTAATCCAAGCACGTCATGACCTGCCGCATGGTTGTGGGTAGTTTCCAACTCGAATTGGGGTTAGAGGTTTCTGGAACTACCAGCACAGGCCGTATCTCTATAGGGAGGGATATCCGCCAACTCTCAAGCTCGTCGTCCAGTTCACGCACCGTTCGAAGTAGCTCGGATTCTGATTTCTGGGAAGCTGAAGGCGAATAGAGGTGCCGGCACACTTTTTCTTTGAGAATGCTGAGTGGTAAGTGGCCCGGAAAACGCGGTACCAGTGCCGCATCGACAATAAAAAGGACTTCGTGGTCATCGAGACCTGGAAAAAGGACCTGACTCTCTTCATAGCGTTCTGGGAGAGTAAGGTCGCAGAAATCCTCAACTAGGATAGGTGGCTGCCCAGAGCGCATCGCGATGTCCTTGTCAAGAACATAGCATAACCAGAAGAGCATCCGGATTTGATAACTTTCTCGCTCCTGATGACTGGCTTCTGCTCCCCATTGAGGCCTAGGGACATAATTGTGCCCTCCAAGAAGCACGACTTTTCGACAAGCCACAGCATGCAGCATCATGGCCGTTTGTAGACGACCGGAGAAAGTCTGATATAGGAGCTGTAGCCAAGAAAACACAAGTTGTTAGGTCGAAGCTGTGTGCATGAGAGGAATTGGGCCACATACCAGCATAAAAACTGTCTGGAGGCTCATAACACTCACGTCCTCGAAAACGTCCGCTAGAAGGTGAGTAGCTGTCGTCGCGCACTCATCAGGGCTGACGCTCATGTCAACGGTGCACGCCGTTCGAGTGAGGCCCACAAAGGACATGAAGGCAAGGACACAGGCCTTGGCGCTAATATGCCCAGGTGTCTCTTGCCCATCAGCCGGTGCATAAGCCATGTCAAGCGTATATCCGAAGAGGACATGGTCAATGATTGGAAAGATCAATCCAAACATGCTGCTCTGGAAGTGATTCAATATGCTCTCAACAGCAGCGCGATCTGGCATGCATTTCAGAAGTTCGGATGCGTCTTGGGCCGGAAGAGTCTGCACGACTAAGGATGGCAGTTGGTTCCGGGTCCCAAGGTCGCTCAATTTCTGGATTGGACTCCACTCGCCCGTTCTTGAGAAGATCCATTGTTGGCCTTTCGCTGAGAAGAAGGGCATTCCGTTGTGACAGCTTACTGATCCCAGGTGATGACCGGCGAAGTGGATCTGACAAGAAGAGGCTGTGGATATGTTAATAAAATTGCGAGAGCTGGTAGCGACGGCTTTTATAACTTACTGGTGGCGACTTGATCTCTCAGTGGAACAAAGCTAATAGAGGATGCACTATCCAGTCCAATGGTCGATGCTGCGCGTGACGTGGAAGAACGAGAAGAACTTGACAGCGAGGTGTCCCCCAAATTGAGCCCAATTCCTCTCGCCAAGGCCTCCTCGAGGTCGCTGATACGTGCGGGTAGACTCCTCTCTGAGCGAGCCCTGGCTCTGATAGGGAAAAGATATTCTGTTAGTCGACATACATTACAAGGTCCAGCGGTTGGAGTAGACGCAGGAGTAAGTCGAAGCTCACCTTGCGTTCCTGATCTTCTTTCTTCCCCTCACGCGGTCGAACGTACACAGCAACCCATGATGCAAACACCAGTCACATTCAGGCTCCGGGCCTGAAGTATCGCATCCAATCTGCACCATCGCAATCGCCCAGGTCAGTCATCTCCATCATGGCTAGTCTAGAGGCTTCGGCAGAGCAGGTACGTACTTTTCTCCTATGGCATGCGTCGCAGGCCTTCTTGGACTGCAATTTACTCGCCGACATGGTGAGCGAGAGGGACAGAGAGAGGCAAGTGCCGAGTGCCTTTCCGCAGGGGTCGGCGAAGTCTCGATCGGGTAATCAATCCTCTGCTCAAACAATGTGCGTGTGATTCGCCAGCCGCAGTGCAGGTCGGATTGTGTTGGAATATCCCAAGTGACACTCGCCGACCCCATCCCATATAAAGTGGACTGCAGCGACGGATGGCCTGGGATCAAGAGGCCAAACCTCCGCTGACTCAGCGCAAGGTCGGATAGGAATAGCTTCCTATTCGCATACGTGGATCGATTACGTGGCGTAGACAAGAGGCTGAGCTCGACGGCAGGGGGCGTCCCGCTGTGACGGTCAAACTCATCTAATTCGAGCTTGTCGATTGAGTGTTAGAGCCGCGCATTGTTGAAGCTATCCCCGTTGGAGAGACCAAACGAGCTGGTCAAGCACGCGAGGCTGTATCAGGACTAGCTGCCTTCTTTACTCTCACCCGAATGTTCCGCTTAGTCACCGCTCAAGTTGGAGCATTCGTTGTTTTGTCTTCTCCATCTCATGCCATCTCACGCAACAGACCCGCTGTACATCTGTAAAGGCATCAAATCACCCACTCTTGTTTATACCATGTTAGCTTTTCACCACTGATGCTTTTTGGTCAATCATGTTCCAGTCATTATTCTTTGCAAATATTACTTCTATTTTTCTTTCGACTACCTCACAACATTCAGTCCCCTAACCACGACGACCATTCGAGCGCATCTGCCTTCACCCGCACCGAGGTGGAATCACGCAATTGCTAAAAGCCTTACTATGTCACTATCGGCGATGCGGCCTACGACGTGACGGAATTTCTTCAAAGCCATCCTGGCGGAGCGGACCTTGTGCTCAAGTATGCCGGACACGACGTGACGAGTATCCTCTCGACCCATCTTCACACCCTCACTCCGAAGCGGCTTATGAAATCCTCAACGAGCACCTTGCTGGGTTTGTCGTTGCTCGAAACGGATTGAACCGTTCTGCCAAAAAGCTCAATCGTGTCGCGACGGGGGCTGCGGGAAAAAAGCTGCCCTGAGCAAGGAGACGGACTTCAACCACGACTACACAACCCACAAGTTTCTCGATCTGAACCGTCCTTTGTTTTCTCAAGTCTGGTTTGGCAGTTTCAGCAAAGACTTTTACCTTGACCAGGTCGTCCGTCCTCGGCATTACAAAGACGGCAAGTCTGCTCCTGTTTTGGTAACTTCCTGGAGCCCTTTTCCTTGACACCCTGGTGGATTGTCCCGACTTTCTGGATGCTACCTGTCTCATATGGAGTGTATATTTCCCGCTCAGGTTTGAGCAGTGCCGTAGAGCAAGCCGGATACTTGATCTTCGGTTTCTTCCTCTGGAGCCTTATCGAGTACACCCTTCACCGGTTTTTGCTCCACCTTGACAATTATAGTACTCTATTCACAATAGATTAAATCTACGTTAATGCTTGTTGAAGATGACTTCCATACAACCGAGTCGCCATATCTCTTCACTTCCTGCTCCCCGGCATCCACCATTATCTCCCCATGGACAAATACTGCCTAGTCATGCCTCCAGTAGTCTTCATCATCCTGGCCAGTCCCTCTTGGAAGCTAGCCCATGTCATCTTCTTCTACAATTGGTGCGCAGCCACGTCAGTCCTCTGCGGCAGTATGCTCGGTTACATCTCCTACGACCTAACAGACTAGTTTTTGCATCATCGGAACCTCCCTCTATGGTACAAGCAGCTCAAGAAGTACCACCTTCAGCACCACTTCCTTGACTATGAACTTGGATTCGGCGTTACCACCCGCTTCTGGGACCATGTATTTGGTACTGAATTCTATGTGGCGCAAAAGGTCAAATGAGTTTTGAGTCTGTTGGACCCGTCATAGAACAGGCCGTGCATGTAATATTACGATATGAAAATGATCTTCTGATTTAGACCTCGATAGTTGGATTCGAGTGATGAACAGTTGAGGAATAAATAATGACAGTTACGTTATAGGTAAATAATGCTTAATATAATGTTTCTTTAGTACAACTAAAACTAAAACCAAAAGACATGCGTACTTGAGTTAATAAACTGGGAAATCAGATGCCTTTCAAAACTCTAAGCAGTGACAAATTTAGATACTGTCTTTGTTAAAGCTCCGTGTTTTTATCGCTTTCTTACGATAGCTTTACCTTTCATACCCCGCTTTGCCAGGGACAAGAATAGAATCCCCAGGGTGAACACGAGCCAGTCTGTGCCTATCCGATCGGACTCAAGCGCAGATACAGTTTCTATACGAGTCAATACTAAGCGAAATTAAGAGCTTACGACCTGTTGACTGCCGTCAGCATTGGCCAGTCTCGATATGTCTGCTTGGTCCCACCTTAAAAATATCCCAATTCTTATACCTCTCCATTGAGCTCACATCTGACAGATTGTCGATACCGGCTTGTTTATTTACTTTAATACTAACCCGAGACCATGTATTGACCAAACACCTACGTCAAGATCCGGCTATTGTATCACCAAGCTATCAATACACATTATAATGTCACAATGAATTGAGTGTCTTGCCCAACCCTCACATTGGATCCGGGTATGTTTCGGGACGGCCCGGTGATAGCTTGAGCCTCCGGATGTGACGTGGCTTGGCTGCGCCCCGCGGGCCCTATTACATTATTGGTCATTGGTCTTTGACATCCAGGTCAACATTTAATCCCCGTAGCATTGAAGACAGCTTACGACGACTGAGGCCGTCTGAATCATAGCGCCAAACCAGTCCCGCTTAGTAAGATATGTTCCTACTGATGACGGTTCAGAATTGCCCACGTTGTAGTCTCATGTCCTGCACCTCGTATTATTGCTGCAGCGGCACAGCTTGAGAAAGATCGACGGTCAAGCCTCCTCGCCCGTCAATTCTCAATTGTCTCAGCAACGAAGAAGGAGGTTGACGCGTCAACCCCCTTGAGGTGTAGCAAGAGCTGTTTCATAATAGAAGTTAATTTATTCTCCGTATTTTACGTAGAATAATAGGCTCTCGTTGAGAATAGATTTTTAAGCTTACGCTTGGAAACGATCAGTGCGTATACCCAGCCCCGAGCAGAGTTGGAAGAGTTTCACGCTGATCGGAAAATGTATCAAAAGTGAATCCGAAGATTGACGACCGTCAGTTGTGATACTTCATTCTATAAATCTAAGCCCGGCTCGTCTCGAGAGAACAATAAGATTCCTCCTTACTTCTTTATTGAGCGATCCCAACATCTCAAATCTTCCAAAGTCCCTTGATTCACATCCCCGAGTCAGTCATGCATACCACAAATATCCTCGCCCGCGATATTGCGTCGTCGGAAACCATTAGGCTTTATTATGCCTCTCTTGTCATCTTTGGCACCCTCTTTGCACCCACTCTTCTTATTGCGTACAAACATGGAAAACCTGGGATGTTATGCTGGCCAATCTTTGTGGGATCTTTCGGCCTTCGCTTGATTGCTGATGCTTACCACATCACCCGCCGCCACGATGCCGAGGAGTACGATGCAATAACCCTCATTACTTCTACCGGAATTATTGCCACCCTTTCATTGACGCTTCTCGGCATGATTTACGAAGGGTGAGGGTGCCCATGATGCTCTATCTCACTTCGTCACTGACATTGTTTGTAGCCTGAACCTTGTCTCGCTTCCGTCAAGCCGACGCGGTCGAAAGATTGTCCTCGGTGTTACTCATTTCGTCATCACTTTCAGTACCGGAATGACAGGATACGGTGGAGTACCCGACCCGACAGCCTCTGGGGGCGTTAAAAACGAAAACCTCAATAGGCTTGGTTGCTCCGTGGCGGTACTGGCTATGTGTGGTATTTTGGTTTGGTTATACTTTTCTGGGAGGCGCATCTTTCCCTCCTCTCAAGTTACGGATCAATTTTCTAACTACCAGGCCGCCAAGTGGTTACTAATGGCCGCTGGGGCTGGGTCAATCATCATGATGGTTCGCGTAATATACAACCTGGCATACGCTTTCAACCAGACACCTAGCTGGGACCCTGTTACGGGAAGCTTTGCCACAAGGCTCGTCCTGGTATTTGGAACCCAGTTATTGATCGCACTTGTGGTCATTGCAGGTGGCTGGCTGAGCAAGGACGCCCGACCTCCTCCACTCCTAAAGGCCCTTGACGGATCTCTTGAGATGTCTAGTAGCTCACATCTAGTTTGATGTAGACGATAGTCATGTAAGAGGGGAGGGACAGCGACATCAAGGATATTTGGGCAAATTTGTTACTCACGCGAAGTCCAAGGAGCATCCACCGACTGGGCCAGTAAGAATGAGATTGATCCGGAATCACTCAACAAGGTCATGGATACAGTTAAGAATATGGGAGTAGGAAACGGTTCAGGTACAATTTCCCAGTTAAGATAGAGGTGTAGAAAATAGTACCATTTGTGTCTTGCGCTGTATTCCTAGCTAGGATATCTCGGCAAGGTGTCAAGTTTGTTTGCCGCTGAACATTGAGTCGTCATGATTCATCAAATACCATAAAATTGCCTATGATTATTGTCAAATTCCTTGTCCGGCGAATCTGCCGCTCATCATCTTGGGAGAACGAGAGGCGGCCATGCGACCATATAGCGGACGCGTCCACCAATAGACCATCCAACCAGACAATGTATTCTAAGGAAGTGAACGAGCTTGTGTATGGGAGCTGCATCCCTACAACAGCCATAGCTAAAGCAGACAATGGTGGGGTGTCCAATCCTCCCAGTTTCGGCGATCGAAAGGCTAAGCTTACCGAGATCGGTAATGTCAAAATCGAGTCTGTGCCGGAGCTTGGTGATATGGCATGTATACTCAGGGCATGTTTGGAACAAAACCTTGGCATTCATACAGATCATCGGAAACCATTCTGATGATAGCTCATTTCAGCTGAAATGGAACCACTCAGGACGATATGACCCTAAAATGGCACCAAAACGGGCCAGTTGAATTGGGTGAAGCCAATCGAATGACATAAGAACGCGTGTCCATTGCTGGGGAAACGATCCAAACTAGACGTTGTCCTTTTACTCGCAGAATCTCGGAGATCAAATTAAGTAAAGATCTTGTTTCAGGCAAGAGGTAGCAGATATGGATCATGTAATCCAACTACCTCAAGATGCCAAATTCGCGCTGGGTCTATCGACTTGAAGTCCTAGATATGTATGTGATGTGAAGAATGCCGCGAGAAGAACAAGAGCGAGTTTCGATGGACTAGCCATAATCTATCAACTCCTGGTGGATACAACGCCATTCAATCACGAGAGGAGAGCATTGGAGTTTCTACGATCTGGTGAATTTCCTGAACCAGATGGCGTTATCATTCACTCTAGACGGCATGCACTATTCTTGGAGGCTGCCAACCACCCTTCCAGTACCAACACCGGTTAAGATACCTACGGCCTCTTGCTCACATCCTGTATTAGATCAAGGCCTATACGCAGACCGGGAGTGGTATGCATGCCAGTAGATGTACTACAGTCGCCCACGCCGCGCTTTCTGGAGGCCTCGTACCAAAACACCGTAATTAACAATATTCAAGGCGTTGCATCTTCTTGAGGGCGGCCGCAGTGTGCTTTCGACGTCTCTCGATGAGCTACGGATAGACATCATAAATCCAGAGGAGAGACAGCAGGAAGATGCCGCGAGGGAGTTTGACAATTTCACTGCCGAAATTTGTGAAACTCCCGACGTCGAGAGCTTTGTTCTCCCTCCAAGTGAGGCGGAAATGTACGCAGCGGCACACCGTGGTCCAACCGAGGTCATCAATACTAGTCATCTAGGCTGCGATGCCCTGCTGGTTGGCCAGAGGTGCGCGCTTAGTGGCTTAGTTGAAAATTCATTGACAGGAGAAATTTCAACGGTTGGGAGTCCTAGACACGAGGGCTATTTTCTCTGTGATGAGGGAATAGGGCCCACGTGCTAGGTTCCCTCTGTTTATTTCGGAATCTGACTTTCATCCGGTGGTTGTTTTTGAGGATGTCAAAGGTTCGCACAGTCCTCGCAAATATTTGCGTGATTAATTTCTTCATCGTCATAATTCAAGGGCTGATAATTCCCCAACGCGAAAACTATAGTGTGTTGTCTTAACGCAATGCGTACTCCACGCCCATAAGGATCGGCAGTGTCGCGGAAGCGATGACGTAGTCAATCCGTTTTAAAAGTGAGAAGAGTTAATTGTGACATGCATACATCTGCGATTGATTGAGATAATTATAGCAATCCGTGAGCGTCGATCAAATATGCTGTCGATCAATCCCCTTAAACTGTCCCAGGTGCGTTGCAGCGCGCAGTGTGCGAAGGAAGGATCACCCTTCAGAGCGCTGACAACTCGGCTCTCGGCTGCGCCAAGTGACATCAAAAGCATGGAACAATCCCAACCTAGCTCGAGTCTGTTTCAGCTACGGTGTCAATGGAGCCAAGTGACGGTTGACGTCTCGTGGCGTTTCAGGGTGGTTAGCGGCTGGTCGCTGAACGCGGCCGTTTTCCGGCTTTTCGGCAGATGAGCAGAGGCCAGATGTTCAAAGGCCCGAGGTGCATTGAGTGCGACCTGTTACAGGCTATACCACTGCAGTGCCGAGTCCGATGAGGGTGTTGAGATCGCAAAGCCATGAATCATACGTGCTCTAGATGAGTGCAATTGGGAAATTATTCATTAAGAATTGGGCATTGTATTATTTTGATATTTTTAAGCTGGAAACTGGATCAAAACTACCATTCTGCGGTCCAGAAATTGTCTTTGGAAGCAAGTGAGTCGATTTGGTTACGTGACACGCTTCTACTACGTAGATCTTGAACCGAGACCCAAGTAACACCCGATTCGGCACTCTCGAATCTAGTTACACGGACGCCATGGCAAAATTTACGTGCACCCTCCTCAACTCTCGGTAAAATAACCAGAACAACTAGTTACTCGCTTCTCGAGGCACAGATATTATTTATGTTTGCTCCAGCGTGTCATGTTGCGCCATCGCCACTACCCTGGAGCTCTCGATGAAAACGCCAAGACGATGGTGCGGACAGCCAGGATGCTGGAGAAATAAGCTTAATGTGTCTACCACTCTATTGAGCTTGGCGTGGTGCTCCATGTCGATTGTTTTTCTTCTCGAGTCTCAGTTGGATGGTTGCTCAGTCCAAAATAAATCAAGCTCTCTGTTAACATTTCAATGGGAATCTCGCTTAGTCTGGTTCCCCGGATATGGTACTAGCGGGTCTAAGGAGGAAATTTTGTGCACTCGGCAAAGAATGCCGCTCTGTCACAGGGTATGGGGAATGGTATTGGTGGCCAAATGAACGCGTTTGCTGGGATGGCTTGGTGTCGAAGAACTGCTCTATTAGACGGCCGCTCTATTGGCTGAGAGAAGAATGATGGCAGCTGGGGGAGGCACGACGTATACCCCAATTATAGAGATTAGTACTGCAGGGGAGGATCCCGGTGGAGAATGACAAATGATGGCGGTTGTTGTGGATGAGCCCTTGGATGTTTATCCGTAAGGGCGCCCATGTTTAATCATGATGAAGAGCTTAAGCTTCAAGGGGTTGCTTCACCTAAGGCTTGGCGGGGGGATGCATGCTGAATGTCAGACGCCAAGTTTTGTTTGATTCGCCGTGGCCGTTTTTGGGCCTGAGCTGTAGAAGCGATGGAGGTCTCGGCGTCTCACCCACATGGGGGGATTGATTCTATGAATGCACGATCGATCTCGATGGAGTGGCAAACTGGATGTTAGGCGTGCGTGCCTTTTTGCCGCATTAGAATAACTCCGGAGTAGACAAAAAGAAATTAGACATTCTAGACGGTGGACTCGGAGTGGAATGTACGGGATAATGGAATTGAATGGACAGGCAGGTGGAGATAAAAGCGGGAACAAGGGGAACTCGCTCGCATCAACCCCTTGGTGTGGAGTGCAAATGTCAATCCCAGACGTGATCCCAGACGCTTAGGCTGGCTGTAGGCACTGTGTCCATTCGCGAATGGAAGCTTGGCGGCGATTGGATTCCACCACTGGGCGACGGAATCTGGCATCTGTTTTGGGGGAGGTGGATATTGTAGATATCTGATTGTCCCTGAATGTCTGGCCGCCCTCGGCACACGGTTTGTTGTGGCAGGGGGAGGTCTGCAGTAGGGGAGAAGAAGGAATAAAAGAAGACGGCGGGTCGGGACGCGCGCCTTACCAGCGGAGGGGAGCGAACGGATAGACGGATCAACGGGGAGTTGGACAAAGAACGCGAATCGACGGGGCTCAGCAACTGGACTACTATCACAGAGGATACAACGTACTACTACGTAGACTTGAGAGACTGAGACACATGAATGGAGGAATTGGTGGCGTCGACGCGCGGCGGGGATGTCGTGATTGGGTTGAGCTGGGGGCAGAGAGCCAAAAGAGGAACCTGCTCCACCAGCGGTCCGCCTGAAGCCCTCTCTATGACGGGCAGCGATCAACAGGAGATGGCACAACCACGACAGCAACAGGGAAAGTATGGCGTTCAACATCGAGGCGATGAGGCAATACGAGCGTCGTAGATGGTTGCGCGGCCTCATTTGAGCCAAATCGCAAATGAAGCTGCTATCAAGCCGTTGTAAGCGGTGCGTCGTGTTGCTGACGCTGTGGTGGCTTGCACGGCCGCGATGGCGGTTTGGTCGAGAACACAGAGACTGTCTTGGACGGCCCTCCCGCTATACCCGCCCGCTAGCCATTCACAGTCGGTCGGCATGTCATCAGGGAGGACAGGGACGACATGCCTTGTACAGTATTAATCCGGGCATCGGCGCAGACATGACACTGTGGCTTGTGAGACATGGAGACGTCATGTTAGAGAAGTCTAGGCGCCGAGGGAGAAGTAGGCGCTGAGGCGCATGACAGTCTACGCCCATCCCGCACTACCATAGGCGCTATGAGTTGTGAGTTATGGTGAGGGCGGGCTTCCAGTGGTGCAGGCTTAGGGGGCAGGGTTAGTGGGCCCAGTTGCGGTAGGTAGGCCGTCATTCTTGGGCTCTGACTACCTAGAGACAGACATAGCGTTGCGATATACACGGCGGTGGTTTGCGTAGTTGATCCAAACACAGCTGAGGCTTCGCTTGAACTTGGAATCCAGATTAATGGGTGGCATCCCTACATACCCATAGGCGGTTGGTTCATGGCGGCTGGTTTGTGGTGCGGTGGAGAGTTCGGCGCATGGCCTGACGCTCGTCGTCGTGAATAGTAACAGAGTAATTGGGATTGTCTTGTGTCTGAAGACTACTGTAAGTACTAATAATAAGCAAAGCTACGCAGGGCAGTGACAGGTAATAAGTGTACGGATAGAATAGCTACAGAATCCTGCCCTCCCATCGTTCTGCATCCGCAGGCCGTCTCGGCTTGGTTTGAGAAGGGCGACTAGGGGCCGCGAAACAGCCTAGTGCACCGCACACCCCCCGGTGCAAACGTGGAGAGAAGCTTGTTTTCCGGCGAGCGGTTGCTTCAGAACAAGGGCACGTCGTAGCTTGTGCTCTGTAGCATGGGGTGTTGTCGAGCGGGACGGCCGGCGTGTGACGTTGATACGACACGACACGCCCCCTCCCCTGCAACAAGCGGAGTGCAAACCAGATCATGGTCGCTGGGATGTCGGTTTGAGGATGAGCTTGGCTTGTCGCGATTTCGCTCTGAAGAGACGATGAGTAGCTTGTTTGCGTGTTGTATGGGCAGCGAGCTGGGCGTTTGAATATTCGTCTCGTCTTTGCTCGTCGCTGCTCTGTTGGTTCGCGCGGGCTCCGGCGGCTGCAGGGGGCGGGTGGCGGCTGCAGGGGACGGTTGCAGGATATTCAGGGCATTCAGGGCATAGGACACCTGTAAATAGCCCTGGGTCCACTCCCACTGCACTGGCGCGCTTTGAGCCCAGGATTCCTCTGGCGTGTTCCCTACAGAAACACCCTTCTCTTTGTGCTTTGTGCTTTGGACGGGATTGTTTGCTTGCATGCTTGCTTGCTTGCGTAGCCATGATCGATCGTCCATCCCTTACCGGGTTCTGGACGCTTGGTATTTCCACCGCCTTGCACAGTCCAGTCCAGGTGCACAGTAACTACCGTACTGTACTTCCCTCCTGCGGCTGTCTCTTCCTTTTTTAACCCTTCTTTTCTTCCCTCCCCCATCGCCATCGCCATCTCCATATCACATCCCTCGCCCTGCGCAACCCTCGCCTCGGCCTTTTTCGTTTCTTTCGTGTTTCTTAACTGAGGTTTTCCCGCGCCTCATTCCTTGCTGCGGTTTGTTTATTTCCTTCATTCTTTCTTCACTGCTCTTGTGGCCCTTGCTGCTCTACTCTCCGTGCTTCTTCTTCTCGCCTTTCTGCGACTGTAAGCAGCCACTCACAGCGATCCTTCCCTTCTCCTACCAAACCACCGGTGCACCCATCGCTCCTGCCATCCGATCCTTCGTTGGCTTGGCTGCATCCATGACTGGCAGCTGCCACGCCCTCTAGTGGCACACTCTTGATATCACACAGTCCTTCAACAACTCGCTCGCCTTGTTCATCCTTTTCCCTTGTCGTCGTTCGAGTCGACTTCAACAAAGCCGACATCGTCACCACTCACCCTGAGATTCTCTCATCTCCATCTTCAACATGATTCACTCACAACCCACCTTGAGCATGGCCGCCCGCCTACTCTCTGTGTCCTTCGCCGTCATCCTCGTTCTCGCCATCATCTTCGAAAGCCTCTCCACCAGCGACGACCCCTACCGATGCAGAGCTGTCCTGGAAAAGGGCAGTTGGATCCACGAGCCCGACGAGCATGGCGACCGCAAGCCCTTTACCAACTGGCAACCCGACGGCTGCATGATGCGCACTTACACCAAGAAAGACATCCAGACCTGCTTCGGAGATCGACATTTGGTCTTTTCCGGCGATTCGACCACTCGACAGGTCTTTTGGGGGATGGCCCGCCTCGTGAGTATTGCCCCTTCATGTTTTGCTGTTCTGAGCACTGCAAGAACACCTTGCTGATCGTGATGCCTCACCTTAGCTGGAACCCGAAAAGGCCCACTACGGCCGAGAGCATGCCGAGATTCACTCGTCATATGATATGACCTTCGCCGGCGTCCGGATGAAGCAAATCTGGAACCCCTACTTCGAGACCGGAGAGCGCAACGCCAACCTCACCAGAGAGCTTCAACTCTTCGCCAAGGAGAAGCACAACCCCGTCCCCATTGAGGAGCAAAAGAGCGCTGGCCTCATCATGCTCGGCGCTGGCAGCTGGTATGTGCTCTCCTACAAAGAGCCCGATTCCCTCACCAAGTTTCAATCCGCCTTCAACAACATCACCGACATCCTGCGCCTCCAGGACCTGCCCACCTTTGGCACCTCGCCCATGGACCCCATCGACGGCGTCGGCAATGAACTCTTCGTAGCTCCCGTGGCCGTTCCTTTCTACGACGAGCTCCCTGCGCACCGTACCGGCCCCAATGGCATCCACAAGGGCGAGGTTGAGGCCATTGACGAATTCCTCGTCGACATTTCCGCTAAGCGCAACTTCCCCCTTATCAACGCTTTTCCCGAATTGTCCCACGATCAGCCCGAGGCCATGGTCGACCGATTTGAGACGGGTTTCCACGTCATTGACTCCGTCGCCGAGATCAAGGCCCAAATCCTCCTCAACATGCGCTGCAATGCTAAGCTCGACAAGCTCCAGGGCTATCCCTACAACAGGACCTGCTGCACCGATTATGGCTCTCCGACCTGGATCCAGATCATCGTACTGGGCGTGGCTGTTCTCTACGTCATCCTCTGTACTGTCTTCGACATCATCGACATCTTCAACGGCTCTGAATCTACCCGCAGCCCGATTCTCTCCCTCAAGGTCGGCATCTTCGCCGTAGCCCTGCTGTTCTGCTACTTTGCCGATCGCACTCAACTCTTCGCCAAGGGTAACAAGGAGTTTGTCATGAATGAGTTCCTCATCCTCTTGGCCGTTTGCTCCGTTCTCGCCCTCGTCACCATCCGCAAGACGCAACCCCGACAGGCGCGGACCCCGGCTGCCCCCGTCACCGCCGCCCCTGTCAAGGAGGACGCCGGTATCCTTTCGCGGGACCAGACCGAGGAGTGGAAGGGCTGGATGCAGGCCGTGATTCTCGTCTACCACTGGACCGGTGCCTCGACCCATCTCGGAATCTACATGTTCATTCGGTTGCTTGTTGCGTCTTACCTCTTCCAGACTGGATATGGTCATACCATTTACTTCCTGTCTAAGAACGACTACTCCTTCCGCCGTGTTGCCGCTGTCATGCTGCGCATGAACATCCTCAGCTGCGCCCTCCCTTATGTCATGAACACCGACTACATGTTCTACTACTTTGCCCCCCTCGTCAGCTACTGGTTCATCATTGTCTACTTGACAATGGCCATTGGCTCCAAGTACAACGATAATTCTACAGCAGTTCTGTGCAAGATCACAGTCGCCCTCATCCTCAACTTGGGCATCACGAGGTGGACCCCCGTCACCAGCTGGGTCTTTTCCATCCTCAAGACTGTCTTCCGCATCGAATGGGATCTCCACGAGTGGGAATTCCGCGCAAGTCTCGACGGCGTCGTTGTGTTCGTCGGCATGCTTGCAGGTCTCGTCCAACAGCGAGTTGCGCGAGACAAGTCCTGGCTCACCAACTACAAGACGGCCATCGTGCCCGCACTATTCTCCATCGCTGGCTATTGCAATTTCGCTTACCATTTTGAGGCTAAGCAGGATTACAACTGGTTTCACAGCTTCGTGTCCTTCCTGCCAATCCTGGGCTTCATCGCGCTGCGAAACTGCTTCACTCCCCTCCGAAACTACTACTCGACTGCATCCGCATGGCTGGGCCGTTGCTCTCTCGAGACTTTTGTCCTCCAGTACCACATTTACCTGGCCGCCGACACCAAAGGTGTTCTTCTCCTGGACATGTTCCGGGGTGGTGACGGTAGCCTGCTCGGCGACCGGTGGAGAGACCTGGTGGTTATTGTGCCCGTTTTCATCTGGCTCAGCCACTGCGTAGCCGAGGCCTCTGGTATCATTGTCAAGCTGATTACGGACAAGCCCAAGGAGACAGATTATGACGAGGAGGACCAGGAGCTGAAGATTGTTGAGCCTACCTGGGGCGGTTACAGCCTTCTTCAGGGCCATACCCTTGACCGCGCCTCTCGAGTCGTCAAGGCCGTAGGATCGGACCTGCGGATCCACGTGGTAGCCATGTTGGGTGCCATGTGGCTACTCAACTGGGTAAGTTGACCCTAAACGCACTCTCGATACAATTACTAACAAGTATTCTAGTTGTACTAAATGCAAACTCTTTCCTTGTCTGTAAAAAAGAACTAAAGTCATTTGCTCGGGGGGTGTCCTTTATACCTTAGAACGGCGCATGACGGGGGAGGCGGAGATTCTTCCTAGAACATCATCTTCATTTTTAAACACTCGGCGGGTCTAGAATTACACTCTAGTTATGAAGCTTGTCATGGGTACACGTGAAGTCGACAGAAACGATAGTCTGTGGGACATTGCGCTACATGCTTTTATTTAACTTGTTCAATCAATCTTGTTGAAAAACGATTGCCATCTAAGCGAGAGTGATATCCAACCGGGTTTACTTTGGCAATCTACCGAGAAGGCTGTTCGATCCAGAAAACCGCTCTCAAAAACTCAAGCATGCAAATAGTGGGCTTGGTTTGACTAGATTGTGTAAGCGGCACGGGCATATAATACCTAACTATAGGTATGCACACTTCTTCATCATCATCTGCGGGCATCTCCTAAGATTGTCTCCCCCTTGGTCATCGCAGTCCACTTCCAACACACCTCCCAAAGAAGCAGCCGTTTTGCCTCGTCTCCAACCACCTTGGCCGGCTCCGTTGCTTTGATCCCGACATGGTATCCATTAACCCCCTTGAACTTGTCTCCAACGCTCAGCTCCACCAAGTCTCCGGCCGAGTCTGCTGATCGGCGGACTTCCGAAGTGAACCGCCCTACGAGAGGCAGCAGAGTGTTGGCAACTGCGAATACGGCCCTGATGGCGGCTTTTTGGTGCGTGTGTGCTCGCGAGTCTACTAAACCTCCTGGGTCCATGGCTGTGACGCCGATGCTGGATAATTTGGGGTCCTGAAAATCGCCGTTAGTTACACGTCTATCGTCAACTTGTGGAGAGTTGTGCTCTGTAGTTGCTGGTAAAGGCAGGCGAGCTTAATACATACCTGCTGGAGTTTCTCGATTAGGTCCTGCATGAACATGACGTTGGCCAGTTTCGTGGTGGCATATCGTTGGAAACCTCGGTCATGCTCATCTCCAGGGTCGTCAGAGCTTGGGTGTATCAGAGTGTCGATTTCGCTCGGAAAGTCGGCACCAAGTTTCGAAATAGGGACTGGTTTTTCGGGGTAGTGGCTGGAGGAACCCAGCATCACAACTCGCCCATTGGGAGCCATGGACTTGAGCAACTTGAGAACAAGCATGTAATGAGCCAGATGGCCAACTTGGAACGTCCTTTCGAACCCATCTGCGGTAGCCTGCTGGCCGCTCAGCGACCACGTAAAGGCATTGCAGACGATGGCAGCGAGCGGGGGCACCTCGCCTTTGGAAATGCGCCCTGCGACACGGTTGGCGAACGACCGGACATTTTCGATCGAGGCGAGGTCGAGCGCTTCGATGTGAGCACGCGCGTCGGCGTGGGAGGATATTGCGCGGGCGAGGTTTGCGGTATTCGGGTCTGATTCTGGCGAAGGGTTGCGCACGGCTGCGATTATTGTGTGTGATGGATAGGATTCTAGGAGGCGCTCGACGAAAGGGAGGCCCAGGGATCCGTTTGCGCCGGTGATGAGGACTGTGCCGGCCATTTTGATCTACTATTTATACCGTTCTGGATGTGATCAACAGAGAGGGCGTTTAGGGAGATGGAGTGTAGTATTTATACTATCTCCCTGCTATTAATCCCTCCTTTCACAATAGAGCCACTGTGTTTCTTCCCGGCCAAGCTCATGTTAATATCCCACTGCTGTCGCCTTTCATTGGGGACAAGTACGGGCCGGGACAGAGACGGAGTACACGGAGTCGCACGGAACTCCACGGAGTTGCAGCCCCACAACTCTGCGCGGAACTCCGTGTCTACGGACTCGGATACGATGTTTGGGCGTCCATGGTTGTTTCCAGTGGCACAAAACCGACAAGTGGAAAGAATTTGGCAATATGTTCTTAGTTAACTCTTCACTTCCTAAGCCAACGACCGACCGCGACCAGCCCATGATTACATGTCCATTTCAGCCGAAGTCGCCCATTCAAACGCCGGCACAAAGTCATCATCCATCAAAGCAGAGAATTCCGTTACGTGCCGCTGGGCGATACGCTTCACCTGCCCACGAGCCCGTCGATCCAGTCTGTCGGCAATGCTGAGCAGACCGCAGTACTCGTGCGTGGCTTTCAGCTTCCTCTGGCTGAACATTTCGCGCCCGCGGTTGATCAACTCTCGATCCGTTGCGACGAGTTCGTGGTCGGGGAACTCAATCATGTTGACGATGAGGATGATGAGGCACGACGAGGCGCCACATGTCTGGAGCCTGTAGGTGGTTAGGTATGATTTACCAGGCCGTAGGAGAGGAACTTACCAAAAGGAATACTCTGTCGGCTTGCCCAGGTTAGCCAATCTCAGACAGTATCGGCAATACTTGACACACTCTCCCCAGCCGCTGGGCAGTGGCGCCAGGTTCGAGCGAACCACCTCCCCGTCTGCTTCGTCTTCTCTAATCTCAATGACGGTCGGGGAGAGGTAGCAGTTGACCCGGTTCAGCCAAACATCATCAAACAGAAACACCGAGTGGATCCTAAACAGACACTCCAAGTGTCGATAGTACAGGTTCATGATGGTCTGAATGTCCATCCGCGGGAGTTTCCCCACGGTTTCGGCGTCTTGGAATTCTTGCGGGATTTTCTTGTGCCAGTCGTAAAGCAGATGTTCAATGCGAGAGATGCTGGCCAGTCTCTGTTGCGGGCTGAGATTCTGCGCCTTGCGGCTGTAGAGAACGTCGTAAGCTTTGCCTTCGATGAAAGCAAGCTGCACGCGGGCGCGCAAGTAATTGAACCGAGCATTGTTTTTCGTCGAGTGCAAGACGCCCACGCCATCTTCGGGATCCTCTTCGGGAAGTTCTACGTCTGTCTCGCCGTCGAGCTGGGTATACGGGGCTTTGGCTCGGAGAGACAAGTCCTAGAAGGTCAGCGACTCTCCAGCGATGCTATAGGCTTGCTTACTCTGTCCACTATGTACGCAATCCAGAAGACGCGACATCTGCGCAATGCAGCGGCGGGCGAGTGGCCGATGAGGGCTTGTTTCGAGGGCAGACGCATGCTCTGGGCCAGGCGGGTGACGCTCCCTACCAAACCTATCGCCAGTTGAGGATCTGGGTATCCTTGGAAGACTATCAATAGGCCTAAGAGCACTTGTACCCCGAGCAGATCTGCACTCCAAGTCATCAAATCCGCCATTGCGGACTGCACGTTGCGCACGCAGAGGGCCAGCCGCGGATTGTCCATGCACATGTCGTCTATAATGCGAAAGCTGATTGCCACGACGACGTTGATAGCCGCCCAAGGAACCACCGAGCGCTTCGAAGGGAACGAATACCAGTCCAGCAACATGCGCATAAAGGTGGGTTCGTCAAAGAGCGGAGTGAGGCGGTTGTAGTTCTGAAAATAATTGTCCACGATGGGTAGGAGCTCTGGTAAGGGTGGAAGTTCTGGTTGTCCCTTTGTGTTCATCAGATCCCCTTGTATTGGCTGAGGAGAAAAACTTGTATATGCTGGGTTTGTGGGATCGGCGTCGTTCCACATGTTCACTTGCGAAGAACCCCACGACTCTAGGCCGTTGGTTGCTCCTAGGTTAGAGGTGCCAGAGTGTATGGTCTCGTGAGCTTCTTGCGAAGGACCCTCAATAGCACTCGCTGTTGCGAGCTGTGCCAAGTGGGATTCGATATTTGCAAGGCGAGCTTCCATAGCATCCACCCGGTCCGGTCTAGATCACATTAGCACAAGAATATATGATCAGCAGTAGTGACCAATAGAGCAACACATCTTACTGCGGCGCTGGCGACACTGCTTGCGTAGGTTCACTGCCCCGTAGAGCTCTCCTCCTCCCCGTGTTAGTAGCTGTGATTTTGCACACGACCCCATAAAGAATGCAGTTGGAGCATGTCGGCTTGATGGAGTCGCATTTGATCTTTCGCGAGACGCAGAAGTCGCAGGCTGACGACGAGGTTAGAGGCTACACGGTAGGCTATGGAGGATAACTCCCAGGCCATAGTTCTTACCTTTCCGCCTGCGCGCATGTGCAGCGACTTCCATAACTGATGGTTGATTGAGAGGATTGAATCTCCGCTGTGCATGTTGCCTGGAAGCGGTCTAATCGTGGCCCGTTAGTAATCCACTTCCCCAGCGTGGAGTTAGGCGGGGCTTTGAAAGCCTCCGAACGCGTGAGGCTAACATTCGTGATGCTAATGAACACAGACCGAGCTGATCATATCCATCACCGGACCATACATACAACAAAACGATCGATGCGATGACTTGCTTTTGTGGGGAAATCCTTGGTCGATATGAACGGACAAAGAGCGGTCACCAACACTCACCATTATCATTCTTTAGAACTTAGAATTGCCGATTTTTCAGGCATAGTTTTGTGGCATCTTGATGTGATTTATTTGATTTGACAGTACCGGGTGTGGTAGCAGTTTTTATGCCCTATTTCATCGTCTTATAATCCAGTATGGAGAATCAGTCTGGATTCTGAGGATAAACCGGTATAAGGCTATGTTGGCAGATAGGTTGGAGTGCAATACTGACCGGTTGTGGTCGCAGTTGGTATTGATTAAGGTATTCAAGTTGCATCAACAGCTAAATCATAGAGTGTACTATGTACTGTCCTTAGTCCCGGGGCAGTAGGGTTATTTCCTATGATTCACAAGGCTGGAGACAGAAAGGTTGGATTGAAGGTTTGAAGCCAGTGTGTGATAACCTTCCCACATGAGCTACATACCTTCGGGCACTGGGCGCAGTGCTCAATGTGTGCACATTATTGTGTGCACTTACTTTATCTATCTGACGACAATAAGTGAAGCTAAAAAGATCAACATACTGTCCTCGATCATTTGCGCTCAGTGATGTTCGCTCACATTTTCTCACTCTGGGCTCGGGTGCAATGAGCTCTCTGGTATTTGCTCCTGCAAACATAAGTAGGCCGCTTACTTCAAATCGGCAGCTCATGAATCTGGGGACCTACCAAAGTCCAACAGTTGCCGTGAGGGTGGGATTCGGAGAGCTGCAATTTCTCCGCGACTCTTGTCTCAACAGCATCAGGCTTCGCGAGCTATGGCCTCGCCTTAGAGTGCTCTTTCGATGCTTCCCGCTCTATGAAGCCTCGACTTCCTGAATCTCATGCCCACGACCTTACCTGCGGCTTTCAGCTGTTCTGACTGACCTTTGCCATTCCAGCTACCCAGATGATGCTCGCAGCCTCCTACTGCTTGACCTTCGGAGCCTCGCTGCCCCTGCCTCGCACCTCCAAGATGCGAGACCGACCTCTGCAGCTGCGCGCTGCACGAAGAACTTGCTTTTTTTCTTCTTTCTGCTGTAGCTTCGGCTGCTGCCCAGGCCACATGGCTCGACAGGCAAACCCCGCCGCGGGGTCTAACAGCTTGTCTCACTGCCTCGAAACATGATGCACAACTCGCTGGCCAATATGGTGCAAGCTCGCTTCGAGACCGTCTCTCGCGCAAGACAGAATTCCAGTCGCCTTGTATTTTTTGCGAGAGCTTTCCCAACGATTGGAGGCCTTGACTACTTTGAGATATCTTAGCTCAATATCGTGTGCCCGAATCAAAAGCGGCATGGTCCTCACCCGATCAAAGGATGCACTCTCAGCCTATCGATAAGAAAGTCAACACATTGGAGAATAATCACATGTGATTGATGCAGATGCGAAAAAGATGCGATTGCAAAGGCAAGGCGGGGAGATGGTGTCGTTATTGGGCCAGCTCCATGCAGTTCACCAATCCGAGGAGTGATCGGCATTGCTCAGTTGGGAAATGCGCCTCGGACATGCAACCGGATCAGCATTGGGCACACCCTCAGCGTTCATACGCGTGTGTTGTGGTGTTGGCGGGTGTCAATCTCCAAGGGGCCGGCTCAGGGGTGTTATCTGGAAGCTCGATGTTGCAACCCTCTTATCAGCCTCAACGCGTCACCGAGACCGACCCGGCGTTGGCATTCTCGGTGCCGCAAATGACTCGGATACGCGACCCTGGAGTGTTCATGCTCTGCCAATACGTGAAACCTGGGTGCGCGGCCATTGTCACCAGGCGGTCGGGGTTGGTCGGACACGCCGGCCGGCGAGACAGGTGGCGCTGCCCTGGAATTTGATGTTGCTCCGGGCCGTCTCCCTTGAATGTTAAGCATCCCACTGCCGATCCCCCTGGCCCGTTGACACTCCATCCTCGGCAATGTGTCGAACAAAGTGCCGTGGTGTGGCTGTTGACACCCGAATGCTTCCCCCGGGCGGGGAAAGCAGGGTAAGAACTTCAACACTAACAAGCTTCGATGCTGTGGCTGGGTTGCACATGTTCAGATGGCATCTCAGACAGCCTGAAGACACAGAATAGCATGTGAAAATATGCAGGGAGCGAAACCGGTGAGCTGCCTCTTGACCCAATCTCCACGAGACACGCCGCCGATCTTTTGCTTCATTCGGCTTAACCTCCAGCGCCTCTTCAGCCATCCGCGACAAGGTCGGCAGAAAATCCGAGAGGCCAGATCGCACCTGCGTCGAGAATTGCTTCTGTCATGTCTCTGAAACTAGGCTAAATGTGCTTGGCTCTTCAACCCGGGGCTCAAGAGTGGATTCAAGCGACTGATGCTTTGCATGCGGCCTCGCAAGGGGAGTTGGCGATGGCCTCTTGTCGGTGAAGGAATACGAAGTACGAGCGAATTTAGGAGCGAATTCCACGTGCCTGCATGCTCCACAGCCAATGGGGTAGACAGGCTTTATCAATCTTTGCTCAATCTGGGCCGTAGGATTTTAGGTCGGCCGCGGCGTTTTTGGCGTTGAACTCACCGACACACGCGCATCGATTCAGGGCAATGAGTGGGCAGAGAAAATGTCGCTTCATAGATGTCTAGGTCTTCTCTATTCTAGTTCTATCACGTTCTATCAAAGTTCGTCTAAATCTTTTCTCCGGTGCTGGACTCGTCTATGAGCCCTTTACTTCGCCCAGCGCATGGCACCCGGGCGAGCGGGGTCATGCTCAACATACTTGAGCGTGCCGAAGACGGACCAGAGCTGGCCGAGGAAGTTACGGTCGTCTCGGACGTAGTGCTTGCCAATCACGGGCATGACAGCCTCGGTAGCCTCATCAGCCTTGTAGAAGGGGATGCGACTGGAACTGGGTTAGCGTGTGAGATTTGTTGGGGCAGATCTGGGATACGTACGGGAAGAGGTGGTGGATGACGTGCTTCTCGATGATGCCGTGGAAGAGGTGCTTGCCAATGAAGCCGAACTCCCGGTCAACGGTAGCCAGGGCACCCTTGACGTAGGACCAGCCCTCGGGAGTGTAGTGAGGGACCTCGGAGTGGTGGTGGTGCAGATAGGTGATGGCCACTAGGAGTCGAGTAAGTAATCGCGCAAAGCTAGAAAGCTAGAAAGCCAGACCAACGGGTCGATTTAGGGATTTAGGGTTGGAGACTTACCGAGCCAGTGGTGAACCCAGATGTAAGGCACGCCGTAGAGGAGGAAGGTGTTGAGGCCGCCAATCTTCTGGGCGACAAAGTACAGCACGGTGCCCATGATGGCCAGGCCGACGTCGGAGAGGAAGATGAAGATGGCCTCGCTGGGACGGAACACGGCGCTGGTGGGGTCGAAGTGGCTGACGCGGAACCACTTGGCGAGGCCCTTGGTCTCGCGCTGCTGGGAGCCCTTGCCCGAGGTGGCATTGAAGAGCAGGTAGATCTGCCAGCCGAAGAGCTGGTGGCCGATGAGGCGCAGCATCTGCGAGATGGGCGTGTCGTCAAAGAGCTCCTCGAGGCCAATGCCGGCGAACAGGGTCTGGCGGGACGTCTTGGGGGCGGTGGCGGGGACAAAGGCCATGTCCTTCTCCATGTGGCCGTGGTAGAGGTGGTGGCGGTGGTGCGAGAACTTCCACGAGAAGAAGGGCACCAGGAGGAAGCTGTGCAGGGCCCAGCCGGTGATGTTGTTGACCTTGTTGTGCAGGGAGAAGGCGCCGTGGCCGCACTCGTGGCCCAGGATCCAGATGCCGGTGCAGATGAGGCCCTGGACGAAGCCGTAGACCATCCAGGCGGTGACGCGGAGGTACGGGTCGGGGATGGAGGGGATGAAGGTGAGGGCAGCCCAGACGAGGGCCGAGACCATGGTCAGGTCGCGGAAGACGTAGTAGTACGAGGTGACCAGCGACGGCTGGAAGCAATGGGCGGGGATAGCATCCTTGATGGTCTTGATGTCGGGGAAAACGGGTTCTGAGGTTGTGAACTGGGATTGAATTAGCAGGCGTTCAATGAGTAGAGTAAAGTAGAGCTCACCTCGGGCTTCTCGACCACCATAGTAGCGGTGGTCGAGTAGGTGCGCTGCCGGACCGCCATGATGGATCCTAGCTGTGTGCGAGAAGGAAATGAAATCTAGAGAAGCTGACAATGGGCTCCAATGGCGGAATCGACACTGGTTAAAGCTGTGAAGGAGAAGAGAAGTGGAAAAATCTTCGGCCTCTGGGGGACAGATTTAACTTGGTAGGGTCCGTTGTCTTGGCCTAATCAAGCCATAGCACCAAACGAGGCTCCGCTGTCCCAACGCCAATCTCGAAAATAGGGGTCCAGACTCCCGACACTTTAGCAGCGGCCAATGAGACGGCGGCCGTTTGGCCACGCAGCGAGTATGCCGGGTCCACAATGCGGGAAATCCTGGAGAGGGAGGAGGAGGAGGAGGAGGAGGAGGAGGAAGAAGAAGCATTGAGGCGGAGGGGAATAGGGTTGGGGCGAGAGAGTCAAGGAAGAGACAAGGGAGCCAAGAGCGCCAAGAGAGCGAAAGCGAGCAGAGAGAAGCAGGGAAGAGAAGGGCACGGCCAACTGCGGCGCCGCATCTGAGCATCGTGGACCCAGATGGAGCCACTTGAACTCCCGAGAAGAGGAGCAACATGGAGAGATGGAGCCAAGATAGACCCAGATAGACCCAGATACAGTGGAGCGAACCGGGTTGTACAGGAACACGGCGCATTTTGGTTGAGGAAGCTCGGCCGCCTCACAAGCTCCAAAAAAGCTACGAAAAGCTACGAAAAGCTACAAAAATACCTGTGGCACGGCCGAACCATGTGCCTGGATTGCAACACTTGGATCTGCATGAAGACACCGAATCGTCTTATTTTAGCGTCGGCCCTGGCAGCCCAAGAACCCATCATACGTGCGCGTTCCGACACAATCTCCACCGGCTTGCAGCCGATTGTCTCACCGCTCGCTCGCTCACAGGAAAAGAAACAAGAAGAAAAAAAATGGCGAGAATGCAAAGAGGCAGCCGGAAAATTCAACAAACATTTCTGGTTGCAATCCCTGTCGCCCGCCGCCTGCACGGATTACACGGTGCCAATCGTTCTCGCCTGTGCTGTCAGCGGGCCCTTCGGGTTATATCTGCATGTTTCCCCCCTGTCGCAAGCCACACCGTGGAGGGCACCTGCAGAGGTCGCCGAGGGCCCTGTGCGATCCCTGAAGGCTCCCTGTGTGCAACTCTATCCGATTCCGAGGTATTCATGCGGGCGGGTGGAGGAGAAGTGTTGAAGGCGGCTTTTGGAGGGGATTTTAGTAGAGGCGGTCACGGAGGCGGCGGCTAGTCAAAACATTCCCTTTGATAAAGCAGACAGACTCCCCGTCGTTGATTTCAATTATCCAATTCATGCTAATTATCTGCGTCTGTGTATTGTTGATGTTCGATGTTCTCGCGTCTCCCGTCTAGGGCGACCTCTATCTATTGGCTACGTACAGTAGTGTGTTTGTTGCTGGTGTGTTTGTCTAATTGCTGCGGAATTCTCCGGGGCTCCGCCTCGCCCCCCTCGTACATTATCGTGACAGGTCATTAATAGGGTTTAGGAGGATTTGTAAAAAATGAAAGAGCACACGAAGATGAGGATCGTGTAGACAGTGGTAAAGGTGAGCTCGAACTCGAACCACGCCGCCTGCCCGCCAAAGGCAATCTTCTTGCTGGAGCGCGTCGGGTGCGCGACTCGCGTCTTGGGATCGCGGTCCAGCAGCTCCTCGCGGTCCGGCATCGTCGGCGGGTCGATGGCGTACGAGATGGGCGTCCACAGCGAGCTGCACAGGAACACAAAGGTCAGCGGCGGCCAGAAGGCGTGCGTGAGCAGGCTGATGAGCGTGTCGTAGAGGTCCGAGTTGCGCTCGCGGTAGAAGCAGCGGTACGTCGTCATGACCAGGCCGACGAGCGTGAGATACACAAACGCCAGGTGGAAGAATGCCATAAAGTTGAACAGGATGCCCCAGAGACGGCGGAACATGCCCTTGCGGAGCTTCGCGTCACGCTCGTTGAGCGCCGAGCCCAGAGAACCGGTAGGCTTGAAGGCCTGCGTCTGGCCGCCGAGCCAGGTGGGCAGGATGAAGGAGCGGATGATGCACAGCGCAATGTACGGCGACATCCAGAGCTGGTATCGCGAACCGCGCTGGCCGGTGTGGTATCCGGCGGGGATGAAGAGCACAAACTCGCACAGGCGGTTGCTGATGACGGACGCGAAGCAGCCCCAGATGAGCCATCGCAGCTGCTCGTTGTTGGCGTAGGCCACCAGCGGCTTGCCCATGACGAGGATGATGGGGATGGCGAAGAGCGAAATGGTGAGCAGGATGGTGTACATGCTGAGCGACGCGTACAGGAAACCCGAGAAGCGCTGCGCGAAGGTCATCTCCTTGACCTTGTCGCCGTAAAGACAGAACTTGAGCTTGAACGACGTGTCGACAGTTCCAATGGCCCATCGGGTTCGCTGCTTGAGATGACCACCGTAATCCTCAGGGACGGTTCCGAACTGAAGCGGCTCGTGAACATAGGCAGTCTTCCAGCCCTTTCCGAGCATCAGCGTCGACGTGGCGACATCTTCGGCGAGCGAACCAAGCGGGAAGTTGCCAATCTGGTCGAGGGCCTCGCGGCGCACAACGTAGCCGGATCCAGTGCACCAGGCCACGCCGAGGGCGTCCTTGATGGGCTCAATGACGTGGACGAAGAAGTCGAGACTCTGGGCGAGGGGATCCGAAGGCGGCGTGTTGTAGAAGAGCTGGGGGGGACAGGCGAGAGCCATCTTGGGGTCGACGAGCAGGTGAGGAAGGACAGCACGGAGCCAGTCTCGCTCGGGAATCTATCACAGTTAGAATCTGGACTTTGTTTCAAGCCATTGAGGGGAATTACCATATCGGCGTCCAGCGCGGCCATGAACTGTCCAGCGCCGCCGGGGAGAAGATGCATCTGGTCCAGACCGTTGTTGAGGTTACCGGCCTTGAAGTGATGCGGCACACCGGGGACCTTGAGACGCGCAATGTAGTGAATGTTGGGGTACTGGTGAGACAGAGACTGCAGGGCGCTCTCGAGACCGGCCGACTTGCCGTCGTCCAAGATGACGACGCGGAATCGGTCGGTGGGATAGTCCAGGTCGGCGGCGGCTCGCACCGTGTCCATGACGAGGTCATCCTCCTCGCCGCAGCAGGTGATGAAGACGTCGACGGTCGGGCAGTCGTTGCCAGTCAGTCTCAACTTCGGGCGCTGGCGCTTCTTCATCGACCACATGGTCCAGGTGTTGTGCATGAGCGAGGGGATCGCGGTGGCCACTTCGACACCAATGAAGATCCAAGCAGTGGCGTAGACGGCGTTCTGAGCATTCTGCGCCCAGATGACGCACATGATGCGCAGAGCGAGGTATCCCAGGTACAGGAGCGTGTTCATGATGGTCAGGAACGGCACCATGGTGTACAGATGGCGCTTCCAGCCCTTCCAGATCTCCACGTCGTCGCGGTTGTGCACCTGCTGGATCGAGTGGTGCTCGCCAAAGTCCTTGGAGGCATTGGGCGGCGACGATCCCGGCGTCGATCCCGGCAGCAGAGCGGCGAGACTGAGGTGGCTCTGGTTCTGCTTGTCGGAATCGTGGTCAGCGAGCGTGGTCGTGTCGGAGGGGGCGGACGGGGCGGAGGGTGCGGGAGTAGTTACCATGAGGCTGGATGGTCTCCAATCGACCGACGAGTGCGGGTGACGATGCGGCGCGTCGAGGGGAGTCGCCCGGCCGCTCCTCAGCGACGGCGTGCCCGAGCGAGAGCCGCCGGGCGTATCAGCAAAGTACTGCGGGTTGGGGCTCCCGCCGGCAGACAGAGGCCATTCCGGAGACACGTACGAGTAGTCCTCGACGTGGGCGGGCGTGGGCCGCATCGGCCGTTGCTGCGACTGCGACTGCTGAGGATACTGCTGGGGATACTGCTGGTCGCCGGAGCGTGCCTGGGGGTCGTCGTACGGCTGCTGCTCGTAGGGCTGCTCGTAGTGTTGATACGCCGGGGCAGGTTGCTGCTGGTGTTGCTGGAAGTGCTGGTCCTGGAAGTACTGCGGCTGCTGCTGCTGCTGCTGTTGGTGTTGTTGCGGATGGTGTTGCTGGACGTCGATCTCGACCATTTCTCTATATTCCCTTTCCTGGTCCCCCTCGCGGTATCCCTGATACCCGTTCATACTGCCGGCTTCGTAGTCCTGCCGCATGCGTCGGGGCGAGTGGGCTGCAGACGGACGGGCAGTAGTAGGTTCAGGGTGGAATGATGCAAGCAGCGGCGGCGCGTGCTTGGCAACGAAGGTTTGTCTCTCTTGTTCCGGATTTTAACGAACGACGGAAACGATCCCACGAGACGAGGTGTGGGAGAGAGAGAGAGAGTGTGTGTGTGATGGGGGTTGGAGGAGGAGGAGGTGTGTGTGGTAGTAGTGTGCGTGCGAGTGTGTACGTGTGTGTAGTTGAACGACCGACTGTGTGAAGAATCTTGTGTCACCGCGCAGATGAGATATGAACGGATGGTAAATACCAAGCCCACGGTTCGACAGGTCGACAGGAAAGAAAGGAAAAAACAGAGCCAAGCCAGCAACACGAGGGATGATGGGATTGGGGCTGGGCATGAGATGGGACGGGATGGATGCGGACGAAACGCCGGCCTGGGTCCCTGTGGCATGGATCCATCCCCCCCCCTAGGGCCAGCCTCCTATGTCTCCAGTCGGAGCGCGCGGAGCTGTCACGAATAACCACAAAATACGGCCCGGTGGCCAACGAGAGTACGGCCAACGGGCGCCCTGACGTGCGTGAAATTAGAGGTACCGGCCGGGGGGGGGCCTAAGTTCGACGACTCAGCTGGACCGGCTGCTTCTGCTCTGGCTCGATTCCCGGCCTTCTTCAGGCGTGCTTTGGCTCGCGCGGTGGGCTCGTAGTGGGTTCTAGTGGACTTCAATTCAGCTTTTGTTCTCAGACATGGCCGGAATACACCTCAGCCATTCATTGTCCGGCTTGGATCTAGGCGAGCTCTACAAGCGACGAACGCAAGGCGTAGTATGGCATACTACGTCGTAGCATGACATGCCTCTCCGTCAATCCCCCTCCCCCTCTCTCCCTCCCCTACGCAAACAGGGCTGTAGAGCCGTCCAGGGCATCGATACGGGCTCACGGGGCACGCGAGGGGGGGGGTATAGCACTGGCAATGGCTACGACGCACGCGGACTCTACGGACATGGCCTACATTTTTTTTGCCCCCCAAGGCTCCAGTAGCATTCCCTCCTCGTATCGCGGAGATCGGCCAGGAGGCAGCGGCCCCGCCGGCGGAAGCAAAAATACGATGTTCCTGCAGGGGTGGAACACCCCCCCTGAACACGTCCCAACTGGGCCTTCAGCTGCCCGGGAACTTGGTGGTTTGGCCCTGCTCTCTAGACCAAGCCCCGGTCGTGGCATAGCATCAGCTCCAGACCAAACTTAATTGGATCTGTTATCTGACAGCATGGCCCGAACGGTTCTAGACGCGTGGGGCTCGGTTGCATCTTCGGCATATCGGCATTGGACGAAGCCGTCGACAAGCCTTGGACAAGCCCAGACAAGCCTTGCCAGGGCAACCAGGGGTCCCTGCCGCCCCCCCCCCCCTGGACGAGGCGTGAGGCCCTGGAAGCTCTGCGGGCTGCTCGTGGAGGCGTGTGGGCCGTTGTCGTGTGGGTGGAGCGGGATAAACTATGCGTCTGACATCAGTAATCGCCGCTGCTTGTCCCATCGCAGCCCAGGATCCATCCATCAGACGATTCCCTGTTAGCACCCCACCAGTCCACCAGGCATTCGACCAACAATGAGCTTGCGTCTCCATAGGGGCGGGCGGACTGGTACGCGGTACGAGGTACTTCGTACTTTGGAGGCACCACCAACCCACGCCTCGCAATGGGTTGGGTTTGCCGCCCGGGCGTTTCCAGGGGGAGGCGAAGGCGAGGAATAAAGTGGAAAAGAGAGTGACGGACTCGTGGGCCTGGACGGAGGGAAAAACAGGGGGACGGCGTCAAAGACATGAATGAAGAAAACAAGCCATCCCTCTGTTCGAGCGCACAACTGGCCTGAAGCGAATCGAATTGCACAGCACCACCAACCAAACTTGACTGATCCGGTCCGGTTCGTCTCGTCTCGTCGCAGTGGGTTTCCCGTCGTTCTTTGTACTATTCCTGCGACGGCCGCGTCCATCTCCATTCCCCATTTTTTTCCTTTCTCTCCCTCCCCTTTGATACTGCACCCAGCTCGCTCGCTGCAACCCCCTTGCCGCCGCCTTTGATTGCTTTTTTTGCGGCCTTGGTTTGCTGTTCCATCCTGCTATCTACAACCGTCCGCTTGCTATCTGCTGCCTGCTGCTGGTCCCCCGGATCACAGTCCTCACACTCGTTTCTTTCGCGCATCGCTCGCTTCGGGAACAGCAACGGCAGACGAACAACAAGGACAAAAGGAGACAAAGGAAACTGGCCGGCTGTTTTCTTGGAATCACCTAATCGCTCGGCCTTTTTTGGAGTCTTTTCGTCATCCCTCTCTCTCTCCCGCTCGCTTCCGCCCGCTTTCCGCCATGGGCGTCCGATTCCTCGTCAACTTCGTCCTCTTGGCCCTGCCCATCGGCATCACGCTGGGCGTCCTGCTCGGCCTCCAGCAGCACAAGGACGCCACGGGCGGAGGGCCCATCTTCGGCGGCGACGATGACCAGCCCGGCAAAACGCCCAGCAACAACAAGTTCACTCATGTGCAGAACTGCGACAAGTCGTTTGGTATTCACCCGGACTCCAAGGGCCAAAACTACACGCGTAAGTACCATTTCTTTAAGTCGCACCGCACCTGGCATGCAGGCTTCGTCTATCAAGCCTCGTCAATCAAGCCTCGTCGATTTGTCGTCCGCCCACCCAAGCCTGACAGGACACTCGTCACACCACAATGCCGTTGTACCGCGTCTGCCGTTGTTGTGCTACACGCCGGCGATGGCGTCGCGGGGTCGTCGGGGTGATTGACTGGCTTTGGCTTGCCGGCTTACTGGCTGGGCCGGCTTGATTACTTGTCTGGTCGGCTTGATTACTTGTCTGACTGGCTTGATTGTCCGGCCGTCTGGCTGAGTTGTCTCTATCTGACCGACTCTCTGATTGACCGACTATCCGTGTGCCTCCATTCCCCTCCTCTTCCCCATGTTCGTTTGTTGTCCCATCCACCTCGACATGCACCTCGACATGCACACTTGTACACGAGACACCTGCATTCTCTCCCTCCCCGTGGCTTGCCCAACACAGAACATTGGCTGACAGCGCATCTTGCAGTGAACCCTAACCAGTGGGGATGGGACGGTAAAGACGGTGGTCTCTGCATGGACGTAAGTTGCAAACCTCTTCTTTCGTCTACCCATTTTTACTCCGTTTTTTCCCTGCCCAAATCCACCTAATAGCAAATTAACCCTTCCCTTCCCTTTCCTCTTGCCCTTCCGTCCCCGCCTTTCCGGATCTCAGCCGTCTCCACTGCGGCTTGATGATCGCCCGCCCTGTCAGCTCGCTGGCATCATGTCACTCATGCCGGTTACCGGGCTCTGCACGCGACCGCATCCACACTGGCAAATCACCCGTTTGCTAACATGCCACCGCGATCCAGGTCTGGACGAGGAACAACAACACTTATCCCACCAAGACCACGGCACCCGAATGGTCCGTGACATGGCAGTATCCCCAGGGCAATACCGAGCTGCCTGTGCACGCTTTCCCTAACATCAAGGTGGAAGATGTCTTCCCCCTCAAGATCAATGCGATTAGCAGCATGGACATTGACTTTGAGTGGACGTATGGCGTCGGCAACAACGCATCGGACAAGGTCGACATCGACAAGCTCGATGCGGTAACTCTCAACGCCAACGTCGCCATGGATATGTTCTTGGACAGCGACAGCACCAAGGCCGGAAACAGTACTGAAGCGTCCCACGAACTGATGGTGTGGTTTGCCGCTATCGGAACAGCCACCCAACCCCTTGGCATGACGAAAAACACAGTCGCAGTCGCATCCGCAAAAAACGTCACCATCGACAACGTCAAGTTGTAAGTCATTTTATCCATTTCACCTTGAATCCTGTTGCTGATTCATTCCGCAGTGGTCTGTTTTTCGATGAAAACGAGAGCAAACAGTTTGTCATCACGTGGTACTGCTTCGATATTGTAGACACCTTCACGGGAGATTTATATCCCCTGGTTGAGGAGGTCATGACCTTGGGCAAGAGCGGCGACGCCGACTATGCTGACTTTCCGTCCTCCTCCGACTACATTGGATACATGAGTTGGGGCTCTGAGGCCTACTACTCGACCAAGAATGTCACATTTAATGTTCCCCATCTGTCAATAGATGTTGGCTCAAAGTAAGAGTAAGAATAATGTAAGAAGTACTGGTACTATAGACGAATTAGAATAATGACGATCAATCGATAAATGTTTTCTGCATCATACCCCGACAATCAATCGTCTAGGTTTCACAAGACGTCACAGCCCACGCGTAACATCTCAAACGTAAGCCCCAAATGTCATCCCAAATGTCACTCCAAATGCACTCCCTATGTCATTCCAAATGTCACTCCTCGCTCTCAATACGTCACTGCTGCATGCGGCGAAACTTCCGCGCCGGAAGAACCCACGTTTGTGACAGACCTTTGCACGGAAGCGACAGGGTGGCTTGCCAGCCCGCCCGAGATAAACACCGGGCTAGCGGGAGGGGAGAAATTTGCGCGGAGGCTATTTTATTTTTGTTTTTCACGTCTCTTCCTCAATCGGGTTTCGTCTGGTGGATTGCCCAAAGGAAAAAAACTCTTCTCTTCGGCCAAACTTCCATGTCCAAAACACGAGCCCAATTGCCCCCCGATTGCGTGCGTGGGGCACACGCTTGGAACCACGGGACCTCATTTCACGACGAGCTTCGCGTAAATAGCTGATCCCCGAAAGAACTTCTTTTCCTTGGCAGAGATCATCGCGCCCGGCAATACGAAGTACCGCATGGTGGTGTGCAACCAGGACCAAGTGGGGGTGGGGAGACAAATGCAGTGTGACGATCCGTTCGTCGTATCTGTAGTAACGAACGATAAGCATCTATAATCTTACTATGTACGGAGTACGCAGGTACAGGTACTTCAGTCCACGCAGGTAGAACCCTTATCTTGGCAGTATCTGGACTAAATTACACAACATCGGCCGTCCGCCTGCGGCCCTTGAGCTCTGAATCATGCGGCGCTTGCGGACCCCGACCAGCCTCCGCTTTTGATGCACCCCAGACATTTCGAGTGGAAGCGCCGACAGCGACGAAAGTCAGGGCTGCGATAAGCTCGGGCAGCAACTGTAACAGGACTTGAACTGCGAGCGAGGCTGTGTTTGGGTTGATGCTCGCAGCGCCTGACGTCACTGTGACCAGGGAGTAGATGACGCGAATGCCGATGAAGATGGCGGAGAAGAGGACGGAGAAGAGTAGCTGAAAGTGTTAGCCGAATCTATTGCCTGGAGTCATTCCCTGGAACCATTGCCGGAATCATTCCCTGGAACACTCCCTGGAACCATTCCCTAGAGCCATCGTCTCGGAATACATACCATTGTTCCAGCCCGCTGCGGGTTGGCCACATTCAAGCTTGCGAGAGGGCGTAGCGAGACACCGGCCCAACCTGCGAGAACAACCCAGGCCACAGTCAGGATTGCCAGCCCGACTTTGACGAGCGTCAGGTCGCTCGGCGCTGGGTTGCTGCCTTGGAGGCGCGATGCCCCGATTGCGAGCAGGGCTACTCCGCCGGTGACATGGAAGTGATACAACAGCACCTTGATCCACTCTATCTTGGGGTCGAGGTCTCGGTTTCTATAGACTCTCCTAGCGAAAGCTGTTAGCATTGATGGTTATTTGTAAGGTTGACGTTTGGGACTTGCGCTTCGTGGAGGATACCAGCAGCTGCCAACAAAAGAGGAGATATTCCAATGTTGGAAACAATGCTGGCAGCCGAGTTACCAGTCAAAGACAGTACCCCTCCTATAATCCGAAGCGAAAAGAAGGTGATGAGATAAAACCACCCCAAGTATCCCGGTGGGCCATGCTTGACGAGAATATAAAGTGTAGGGATGCTGAGAGTCGTATAGATGGCAAGTTCGGCCATAGAAACGTTGCCCATGATGCTGTTGACGTTGAAGAGTAGGTCGAGTCTAGGGTAGGTCACTGGCTGGAGGAGGAATTCGCGATGGAAGACCCGACAAAGTCGTCGTATCTTAATGCAAAAAGACGGAGATAAAAGTCTAAAGCTCGGTTTATTGATGATTCTAATTATCGCGAGCCTGGCTGATTTGTATCCCCTTTATATCAGAGATGATACACAGTCATAACAGCCATGGAGGCCTTTGACGATTCCACCACCATCTAAACGATACCGAGCGGGAGGCAGATTCAAGGGCAGATCCTTCCATTGTCCATCTGGCAGTCTATTGGCTGTCCTGAGTCTCAGACTGCGTCTTGGTGGAGGCTGTCTGCGAGTGAGAGATCCAGAAAAATGGGCACTAAACGATAGCGAGCCGATGACCGAGCGAGTGAGGCAACGAAGATGCGGTGGCGATGTCTAATCTGGGGTTTGGTTGTATTGGAGATTTCTACGTGCCGCTCTTCCGTGCCTCCATCACACATTAAATAATCCAAAGAACTCCGCCACATAATGCTGACGCAGGTGTTTTTGCATATCCTTCCTCCACTTGGTCCTCTTGGCTTCATCTTGGCCTCTTGGCCTCTTGGCTTTATTGTGGAAGCCCTTGCTCAGCCCTACCGGGCGCATGTGCTTGGACTGCTTGAACGCACTCTGCAGCCATTCCCTGCCATCCAGGGCTGAGGTGGCCCTGGATAGCGCAAATCTCCCTGCATGGAACCTCACCGATCCACCAAAACTCGGCTGCGTGCGACGCCAGCGCGAAGAAGTGCGCCAGCAACACCAAGGCCCGTGGATCTTGTCGCTCTAGCAGCGTGATGAAACGGTCGGGGAGCAGGACGGGGAACGTCGTCAGTCGGCGGCAGTACATCTTGAGGTGCTCGCCCGATTTGTGGCCCGCGAGAATCCAGCCGAGAAGACTGGCCGTGGTCTCGTAGGCTTGCATGTCGTCTGCATCCACCGTCTCTCCGTCCTGGGGAACAAGCAGACGCGCAAATAGCGCGATATTTTGTTTCCGCTTCGAATGGTACACTCCGATAAAGGGCATCATCGTGTCAATGAGCGGCAGGATCTTGGCGTCGTCGTCGTCTTTGATGAGGTCCAGGGCCAACTTGCAGACGCTCCCGACGCCTCTGGAGATCTGAATCCACTGGATCGGAGGCTCATACGGCTCCAACTGGCGCTCTCGCAAGTTTGCAAACGCATCGATTGTAAGTATCACCGTCGTGAAGCTTACCGCGTCTGCGTTCTCTCTACTCAAGTCCCCTACTGCTTGGCGGTGTTTGTGGAGCGTTGATTCTAGGTATAACGAGCGTAGAGTCAAGTAATCTTCCCTCTTTTCCTGCGTCTTGGCTATACGTGCCATGTGATGGCTCGAAAAGGCCATGATGGCATCGAGTAGAGGATCATAGCTGAGTGCCAACCTTGGTACATCCACCGACCAGGTCTCAAGTAGTTCCGGAACATGCGTGCTTGAGAGTGTGCGAGTCGTTTGGACTGTGAAGAAATGCAGCAGCTCGAGCTCTCGACGACGGCGTTCACGGCTCTCTGTAATTGACGGGCTGTGATTCTGGCCACTTGCTCCGTTCGCATGTGTTGCATTGCCAGATTCTTCTCGATCGTATGTGCACTCTACCTTGTGACGACGGCAACTACCCTGTAGCGACATGTTAGATAGGCCTTGGCAAGATCTACAATGAACCTACACAAGTCGGCCGAGACTCATCACACTGTAAGACAACATGTTGGTTAGCATTCCCCTGCCAAGTAAAGAGTGCGTCTTCTACTCCACCTTTACCCGCCGCGCTCGGCAACGCTTGCATCCCGTCTTGGACTTGGTATGATACAGACGAGGCATGCCAAGCTCGGAATCCGACTCAGAAGCGGTGGAGAAGACGAGACAACTCTCAGTTCAATGGCAATGTGAGGCCGACAAAGGATTGAGTCCATTCATGCGGTGGATCTGACCGTGATGTCATGAGCAGCACTAGCCAGACAGAAGACGATCTGGAACACGACGCGTCGGCGGCCTCCACACTCGTCAGGTGATGTTCCTCGTGACAGAAATTGATTGAATGCGTTTCAACAATGCATTGATCTTATACACAGCCTACTTTTCCGGTTGTCCAAGTACATTCATGACCTATTCTCGTGTTGATACAAATACAATACATAACAGAACGCCTTACCCCATGCCAATTGAACCAAACACCTTGCTATGCATATAATCAGTCGTTGAACTCGCGCACCAAGACGCGTCATTGATGCAACCTTTGAACCTGCTCCTCCATCAGTTTCCGGTGGATCTCCGTCACCGGGCGTTCGATGTCGTTGATAATTTTGCTGACTTGGCCCAAGAGAAAAGGCCCGGGATTGCACTGGCGATGATCGATGAGGGGCTTCTCGCCCGCCTTGCCAATGTCGTGGATAATCAGGCTCGTCAGTTTTCGATACAGCCCTATGATGCTGACTTGGACGTCTTCTGGATGCGGGAGTGGCCAAAGACCTGCGCGGGCAAGGCAGAATGTCATTGAGCCGAGGATCATGGATTCGCATCGGTGGTGACCCATCCACTCTGCGTGGCGACACCACCTGGGTTTCTCGTCGACCACGATGAGATGATCTACCATGTCCTGGAAGACGTCGAGAAGTTCCTGAATCGTATCAAGACGGATTGCGTCGATCCTCTCTGTTCCGAGTTAGCTTCTGCGTCTTTGAGCCCGTAAGGTACATACCAATGATCTCTGGGGGCATGCTCAAGTCTTGAAAAGTAGGGTCGTCGGCGCCAATAGGTCCATCGGCCTCCATCAACATCTTGTGCGCGATTCTTTCAAACAAATCCCGATGACCAAACTCCCATGAAACCCAGAGCGCCTTTACCATGGATGTCCGAGAGTCCCTGACGTCCTCTTCGACTGACTCCATCCAGGTATGCACCCAAGGCCCCAGTATCCGGGTGCTGTCGTAGTAATTGGTCAACGTCGTGAGGTCGTACAGCTCGTCGATGGGCAGCGTCTTTGGCACTCGGTGAAGATGGCCGTGGGAAATGTACATAAACACCGCAAGCGGAACAGCTTTGTCTGCGGGCAGCTTGACAATCCACTCCTTCTTGCCAGACGTGGTATTCGGTTTCGACTCTGCAAAGTTGCCAAATAGCATGCGCTCAAACACCGGAGAGACGCGAGCCAGAGTTCGAGAACAGGCCGTGAATATGATTTGGCCTGAATCCTCCCGTCGACCAACTTGTAGCTTGACGTCGCCGTGAGGGTCGAACTTGATGGGTGCCGTAGACATGGCGGTCGTTTCTCGTGAATGCGTTATCGGCGACATTGAAGCTGTTGAACAAGGGGTCTAATTTCGCCTGCTGCTTTCTTCAATCATCCCCCGCCGCAATGTTATTTATCGTTTGGTAGACGTCCGGCTGATCTGGAGTAGAGCAGTCTCTCGTCCTAATAATAGAAAAGCCAAGACACGCTTGGACGTGGCTCAGTTTTCGAATGGCCCATGTCACTTCTCGGAATTGGGATGTGACCCATTGACAAGAGTCTCCGTAGATACCGATTGGCTTGACCTAGCCTTGAACGAGCCACCGAGGACAGAAGATGTCACGGCGTGGCCCCATGTGGGATAATCCTCAGCACAGGCAGACTGTGATTGAAGGTCCTGATTAAGACCAACACGCTTAGACTTAAAGCAGATGCTATTATTAGAGACGACCCAGTTTTCCGGAAACTTCGCCATAGCTGGTTGATTCCTGTTGGACTGGTCGTACCCGCCAGGCGAGATTCGGGTGAGGCCTGACGCTCCTTTACCTTTTACGCACTTGTCGTGGTGGATCAGGAGCTTAATGCGACATTTGTTTGAGACCATCCGATTCTATTGACTCGCGGGTTCCTTGGCAATAAAGCGCAGTGGATTTCCCAGCTCAGCCTCCATCCACAACACTCAATCGCCCCGGCCGCGGGATCCACGGACCCCGGATTTGTAATGGAGCGTGATTTCCATGACCAAATTTAAGCACCAGTCACTTTGCGCACCTTTTTTCTTACAAACAGGGGAATGGAGCCCGGAATTTCGCTTGCCACGCTGCCGGGCCTGACGGGGGTCCGGTCTATTTTAAAAGAGACCTAGCCTAAGCGGTGATTTTCCCACGTGTGGAGGTGGAGTCTAGCTACCGTTGTGATTCCCGTCCACGCTGACATCGGATGAACCAGCATGAGATAAAAAATACGAAATAAACAGGATTTAAGCATGGCATGGAGTTTGCGGAGCGGTAACATGAGATGCCCTATCAGCACCTGGTTAGATAGAGTGGCGTTGTGTTGAACCAACAGCCAACTGTAGGCAGCGAATGTATCCGAACGGGGCTGCAGGTGAACAAGACTCTCTCGTTATAATCGACAGCTGGATTGGAATCCTTTGCCCAGTGTGTATTATGCTACATTGAACAAGATGGTGTTATTGGCAACGCATAGCTCGATGGTAACGGTGCGATCTTAAGGACAAAACGTCAAATCAGTTCAGATGCTGGAATCGGGTGGCATTAGTACTCAAGGGAAATTGACAATGGAATTGAGCGGAAATAACCGAATCTCGCTATCTATACCCCATCAAGACTTCGTAATTCTCTTCCCATTATCCGCAGTGTTCCATTTCCACATCATTAGGATACATCTCCTCAACAATCTGCCAGATTCGATGGCGGTTATTCAAGCCGGGAGGGACAACTAGCCCTACGTCATTATAGTCCCATTCGACTTCTTCCCAATATTCTGGGAACAAAGCTTCAACTGGAGTTAGGATTTGTCGAGTGATTTTCTCCCAGTTCCACTCATTCCCTGTCATTATGGGCAGCAGCTTTTTGTTGATAATGTCTTCATCAACATCCCAAAGAAATGGAACCTGAAGAAAAAGGCTCTTCCAAAAAGATTGCGGGACTAGATAATTGCAATCTAGGGTAAAGGGTTCATGCATAAGTGATGACATGACCAAATCCTTGATGTCATCTTGGATCTCCTGGGGTAAGATCGCAAAATAGCTCCTAAATCGGAGAGTCATGTGAGGGGGTTGGACTTGTTCCAACGCGGACACAAGACTACTTGTCAGATTCGGAATGTGTAATGGATCATCATCCCACTATCATCACATAATTAGCGTTGTAGAGGCTAGAAGGATAAGTCTACGTACCCATCCGTCTCGTTCATTTGACAACCTATAGATACATCCATTGGGGATATAATAGCGACTGAGGCCCAGTTTGAGTGGTTCTCCTGGCCGGTTCTCTGGAATATTAGGGAGGAAATTCATGCTCACGTTCATCACTCCTTGCGACTGAGTTTTCATGCATCGCCGATCAAGCGTCATCCAAAGATTGGCAGGGGATCGAATCTGAGATTTGAGAGAACTCTGCATAATCTGATTGGCAATTTCCTCACATGCAGTATGTATGCCAAAAAACCATTCCTGGCGAGCGATCGGGTCAGTGTTAAGAGGCTGATCAACGTTGTACCCAAGTTGGGGGATGACGGTTCGGCCGCTGGGTATTAATTGTAGTTCTGATGAGTATGTTGTAATAGCAAAAAAATGAGCGATGATATCATCTGGTATTTCCATCGAGCTGGGTCCCTTTTCGTAATGCCGCCAGCAAGGGCCTGAGAGAGCAGTGACGTTTGACATGGCCATTGAGTCTCTCCAGAAAGGACCCTTCTTCAAGCATCATACCGCATATGGTGCAAATGGGGAACTCCATGCTCCGAGCCATGTTGTCCGTAGTGACTCGAGACTAACGACAAAACCGCGAGAGCAAGAGGAATGGGATAATGAGACGTATTGGCGTGTGTTGTGGACTTGCTCTACTGCATCAATCAGAGTGTGTACAATGGAAATGACTAGTGATTTACGTACCAGATTCACTCGTTGTCGCGAAAGATGTTCAGAGTTGTGATTCAGATCTGGGGGATCGTGATTACGTTGGAACTTCCGAGGTTGTGTGTTGGAGTGAGGAGTGGGATTGACAGTTGGTCGAAATGTCTGACCCTGTTGAAACGTCCGAGCTCATGTAAAAATGGCCTGACATTCCATCTTACCTGTCGTTAACTCGCATATTATTCGTTGTCGTGCACGCTAAACCCAGGGCTGAATGGGCTGAGCATCCTTTGGCCATGGGCTGGGGAACACTGCGCTCCTCCTTTCACCCCGTAATTTCCCTCGCTTCGAGAGTGAAAAGCTTTTAGACCACTCGGTCCTCACAACTTCGTATCTTTAATATGTAGAGAACTCCGTTTTATCCCAAATCTGCACCATGATAGGCTGATTGTGTTTCTTGAAACAAGCTAAACCGTGACTTCTATCCGCGTCATCACGGACCTTCTCGCGCAGGACCAACAACCAACAACTTGCACAACCAACATCGCGCCTTCACGACATGCCGACACCTGCGCCTATAGAGACACTTCGCAAACTCCGCCAGTAATAGAATCGATATCGTACTAGGTATACTTTGGTTTGTCTTAAGTGCTTCCATAAGTCGTCATTGAAATCTTGCCGTTTGGCTAGCCCCCATTGTACAATCAACCGTCTTGCTGCAATTTCTATATTAAGATCTAAGGACTCGATTTAACTATGCCTCCCAGAGGTCCCTCGAAGATATGCTTTAAAAAAAGGCCAAAACTAACAGCGATTACATCAAGACCATTCGTCAAAGATCGTTGAACACATATAGCCGAGATATCCAAGCTAAAGGTTTCGCAGAGAAGTTGTCAAGATCATCTTGACTTGCCACTTGCAACTCTGTCTCTTTAGGGCTTGTTAGAATTTGGGTTATTGTTTTAGTAAAGATCTTACCTCTGCCATTGATAATGGTGGACAGACGACGAAGGTACGCTATGGCATCCTCGTCCAAAGAGCACTGACGTCGTAGTTGCGCGACATGCTTTTCGCTCCACTCGGCTGAAAACGGTATCATTCCTTTCAGTATACATCTGAAATAATAGATGAGAACTTTGACAGAATGCCTCCATTCTTGTATCATGGTCATTCCCGTTGCTTTGACTTGAGGAAGGAGGTCATCATCCTAGCCCTGCTTAGCGAAATGACATTTCGCAGTAGTACGCAAGACAAATGTAGCCTACCTTTGCAGCGAATCGAGCAAGAACCTCAACTTGTCTGGAATGGATTGATTCAAGGCTGCAGAGCAGAATAAAGGCAGTGAGATAGATTTCGTACCAAGAAGAGCCATTTTTTGGTCCGAAAAAAAGCTTCTTTAGCCGTTGTACAACCAGCCTCATCTGTTGAAACATGTACTGAATTGCCATGTAGTCAACTTGGTAATCAAGGACTGCCGGTATTGGTACCTTGTCATCATTCTTTATGCGGCTGTCATCATAGTAAGAAAGCTCTAGGACGTTGGGCCCTCCGACGTTCATCCGCGTCTTCGAAAAATGGCTGGCAGCTCTGATGTTCATAGCTGTGGACACGGCAGATGCCTAAAATAGTGTTAAGTTTGACTACGGAAAACGATGTAAGAGTAGACCATACGGGATACTTGAATGCGTATTTTTCTGCTTCGATAATGCCGATCTTGAGGAGATCGTCTTCAATGCCCATTGCTGCCTCATCTAGAAGTGCCGACTTGCAATTTTCGAGATAGCGTCCCAACTCTTTTGCTCCTGTCTCTACATCATACTGTGGTTATCAATAAATGTAAGAAGAGACTGAAAGATACATACGCAGGCATATGGTGTTGATGTTAACCGGACGATTTCACCATCATGTAAAGTCCATGGCTCGACGAGGACGTCCCATTCGCGGGGTAGGAATTTGCGGCACTGAACGGAGAAATGGAACCCTTGCGCATTTCCTCGTGCTTTGAATGGGTAAAAAAGGGACACAGTCTTGACTGCTGTATCTATTCCGCACCATTGGGGCTGCATTCGCTCAGATCTGACTTTTCCCGCCCTGGCATTTCCCGCCCTGAAAGGAACTATAGCGTCAAGAGGCTCTCTGTAGCAAGGTTGTAGAAACGTCTTTGCACTGTTTTCCAGCGAGCGGCAGCGTGCACAAGGGGTGTTTTCGTCGCACTAGATGATGCCTATTTAGTAAGACTCCAAGGCAATGATGGCACCTGGTTCTCACCTGCTCATGGTAAATCCGGCATCTCACACATGCTTTGCCCCGTTTGACATTCTTAATTTTCTCACGGGTATATTCCGGATTTCGCTTCCGCTTCCCCTTTGCCGGAAGTACTGCTAAGCTGACTGGTGAGGGCCTAACACTGGACTGAGAAGATGGGGGTTTGGAGAGTAAAGTGGAAGAATGCTGGCTGGAGGATGGCTTTGGTAGGAGCTGCCTCTTGAGTTGCCAGTCTGCCGCGTGCACAGTAGGATTCGAGGTTTGGGTGTCGTTGAAACTCGCTTGGAAGTCTGCTCCTTCGTGAATGACATTAGCGGTGTCATTTTGGCGGGATTCTAAATTGTTCAATTGAGTATAGGGACTTGAATGTGGATCCTGGAGGAAGGCTTTGAAGCCGAGAATATCGGCATTGCTAGGGCTATGATAAGAAAGATTTCTAGGAGAAAGTGAAGAAAGGTTATTGGTTGTTAGGCTGAATTGCCCAAGGTTGAGATCTGTAGTTTCAGGCTGAAAATTCCCAAAGGACCCGTCATTCATAGACATGAAGGACGAAGATTGGTCCGGGGGTGTTGTTTCAAGGGGTTCCTCGCGGTCCTCGGAGATTGGGGTCACTCGTTTAGGTATTGAAGGAGTTAAAGTACTATTCGGACCATCAGTACTAGGTGTGCGGAGGTCGGCAATCTGATTTCTGGTGGACAACATGGACGAGGACCCGTGACGAGGAGTATGCGGAAGTCGCGAGGAGCCGATTGAGCCGGAGTGCAATGACTGGGAGGGAACATCTCCCTGAAGCGGTACAACGAGCGCAAATGGCGACGAACGCGAACTTCGGATGACATCAGTCGGTAGGGACTGAGCAACTTCGCGACTGAATACCGAGGTTTCGAGTTGAGAGCTACCACCAGAAGTCTCCACCGCAGGAACTTCTAATGAAGCCTGTATTTCTGCAAATATGGCTTCCAAGTCGGCTCCGTCATAGTCATGCTCTTCCCAGCCAATGGAGTCCAGGATGAATTCTGGGTCTGGCTGGTTGCTCGAGCCAAGATGATGCTCGGACCTCTCGGCCATGGTGGGTGAGGTATGATCGGAAGCGGGATGCCGACAAGTATACGACTCGGTGCTCAATGATGGCGATGATCCGAAGCGGCAACTATATGAGTTAAGTTACGGATTACGGAAGTCGGAGAATGAGGCTCTTCGTTGGTGTCATCGGGTCATCGGGCTATGGGGGGGGGGGGACACATAAGGCACCAGCTGACATGCTCATGGTGCGGTTGCGGGGTGAGATACACAGCACAATATACGCACTACCTTGTTGGGCAAGTAAGGTACTCAAGTACAAGTCACTCCGTATCTAGGTAGGCAACCGACACAATAACAAGAGTAGAGTCGCTCCTCTTACTCGCTAGGGCGATACTCCAGCAACGCTGTGCTGACTCCTTCAGGATCGTCGTCATCACCATCTTCTGTGATGCGGCACACAGTCTCAAAGCCCAAGGTAATGAAAAGGGGCTCTGACATTGGTGCGGCACTGACACATTGGGCAACGGAGTCAATCTTGGACAGATCCCGTGACCACTTCATCATGGCAGTCCCATACCCGTGCTTCCAATACGCTGGATGGACCACAATCATGCTGACAATCGAATCTCCATGACAGTGGTGTCTAGAGCAAAGGGCATGCTCTGTCAGCCGATGGTTGCACGTGAAGGGCGAGGATTACATTGGACTCACTCTTTTCTCACCGAACCCACAAGGGAGCCCCAAGAATCGTAATGTCGACGATTGAGATCTCGTCCGGCGCAGTCTGGAAGATCTGGGTACGTGCCTAATGGGGGAGTTGATTAGCGGCAGCAGCGAAAGGAGACAAACTGAAGTCATCACCTTTGTGATTCTTGAGCTGGCCCTTTCTTGGCGAGTCAGGCTCCAGCTTTACACTCAGAACACCGACGATGACTTGTTGTCCAGCATCGGGAGGAGTCCAACCATTGTTGGCGGGGATAATGGCCTCGGTACGCTCGCTTTCATTGGGTTGGTAGGCACTTTCTTGGACCAGGACGATGAAGTCGTCGCTCTGGATGGCGGTCTTGAGCTGAGTGCGGTATGATAACAGGGTGTCGTCGGGGTACTGGTCATGGTTTGGTCTCTCCCAGCGAAAAAGAGGCGAATACCGAAACGCCGCTGTAGCAACGATGCCGATGCGCATGACGTCGTCGGGCGTGGCCACCCTCAGGCTGCCCAGATCTGGCGGAGGCAGTGGGACACAGGTGCCCATTTTCGAAGTGTAGGTGAGAAAATAGGATAAGTGAGAGAGGAATGCCGTTGGCGTCTGAGATGAGGCGAGAGAAGAGTCTAGGAAGACTGCTGCAGAATACCAAGGACCCAAAGGCAAAGGGGGAGGTGAAGAAGGACAGAGGGCAGTGAGAAGCATGCAGCGGCCGAAGAGGAAGTGATTGATGAATCAGCAGCCGACTGGCAAAGGAAGGTGCTCATGCGGATGTTGCCTGAGGTGCAGTGCAGTTGTAGGAGAAAAGTTTTAATAAAGCTTTATATTTATAATTATTATATTATATATAATAAAAAATAAAATAAATAAAATAAATAAAATAAATAAAATAAATAAAATAAATAAAATAAATAAAATAAATAAAATAAATAAAATAAATAAAATAAATAAAATAAATAAAATAAATAAAATAAATAAAATAAATAAAATAAATAAAATAAATAAAATAAATAAAATAAATAAAATAAATAAAATAAATAAAATAAATAAAATAAATAAAATAAATAAAATAAATAAAATAAATAAAATAAATAAAATAAATAAAATAAATAAAATAAATAAAATAAATAAAATAAATAAAATAAATAAAATAAATAAAATAAATAAAATAAATAAAATAAATAAAATAAATAAAATAAATAAAATAAATAAAATAAATAAAATAAATAAAATAAATAAAATAAATAAAATAAATAAAATAAATAAAATAAATAAAATAAATAAAATAAATAAAATAAATAAAATAAATAAAATAAATAAAATAAAACTATATAGAAACTTATAGCCTATAACTATAAGTAATCTATATAATACCTATTTAAATACCTACTTACAGAGTGACTTATACTTAAGTATCTTACCCGATAAGATAGTATATATATCGTCCTGCGTATATCGTCCTGCGTATATCGTCCTGCGTATCTCACCCTGCATATCTCACCCTGCAACCCCACCATAAGCGATAGTGTTTCACATGATGCTGACGTCGTGGGGCGCGGATTATGTTCATGAGAAGGATCTGGGGGCGGAGCGTTCCGTCCAAGTCATCAGAGGCGCAGGCGTAACACGTAACACATGGCGACGTGCGCGGCGCAAACTGGCTATGGAGTGAGGAGCACCTCTGTGTCATGGTTACTTACTTTGATCAGGCCACGCTCCATCCAAGGTCCAAGCATAAGCAGGTTACGAAAATAGCAGGCGAGAAGAGGAAGCGGCAGCAAGACAAGTTTGGGAACTATTGCAGGAAATGTAATTTCCTGCAAGGTGACTTGCAATCAGTGTAGCATTAGCACTGCATTCCTCCGTTTCGTTCGTCCTTTAAGCCTCGTGATACATCAGTTATGTCAATTGTGATGGAATGTGTGAGACTCTTCAACTCAGTCCTAGCCACGAGGTGGATGTTTCTCGTGTCTTTCTAGGACTGCATTGCAACATACTGCTTTAATCAGTCAATGAGTCAACTTGGTAAACAATCGTCGTTGCAAATTGCAACTATCCGGGACGGAGCAACACGTATCTGCTTCACAGATTAGGACCGACTCAATAGCTAGCGGTACCTCCCGTCTGTCGAGAAAATCCTGTCCTGCGCCAGTCCGCCCTATTTTGCAAAGTACAAATACCTCTATGTCCTACTGGAGAAGCCACCAAGCTGATGACCTTGGCATTTGAATGAGCTGGTTTCTCAGAACCTCGTGATCCCATCCACTGCATACACTCGGTGTGATACGAAGGTCAGGCGAGCGGAATAGGTGCAATTCATTGGTCGTTTGGGAGGTGCCAAGGGAGCCTCATTTCAACAGAAGATTGAGTCAAAGCGTCACTCACAGATGCGAACCACTTCTAAAAATCACTCACGTCACCGGGGAGGGCGGGGAGGTTATCACAGGTCAGAGAACTGCAGTAGGCATGGTGGCGGGGCCAATGATGGCAACTCAACTTGTCTCACCTGCAACAATCGCCGTATGCTACGTTGTAATTGTAGTACCAACTTCTCCATTGGTTCATCGTGGCGGATACGTGTCAATAACAAGAGGCTTGGAAAGTAGGAGGGTTGCAATCGCATTTGGGCCAGGTTTGCACTTAGTGATGAATGGCCCACGAGCCAGTGACACATTGGATCCAATCGGAACTTTCATCGTAAGAGGACAGTGGGAATCTGGCGTCTCCTGAAGTGACGGAGGATCGCGTGATTTAAGACAGCTAGAAAGGGAGACCTGCCCGACGCATTCCGTCGTCTACCGCGGTTCGTGCATTCACAACAACCAAGACCTTAGTGATTCTACAAATTCATGACCAGATTGCGTGATAATACCATGGCCGCGTCAATTCCACCGGGTTTCCCAACTGAGGTCATCTCCGGAGAGATGGCTTGGGTTGGTGCAGAACTGGAGACCAACCCAGCCCTCTTTGACGAGCATCTGTCGTCGGATGACATTGCCGACATAGAAGCAGCGGTGAAACACTTCCAAGGTTTGGCACGCTCCACTCAGCTATTTAAGGGACATGGCTAACAACGTACTTAGGGCTGGGGTTGGCACGAGGATTCGCAAATCCAGAGACGTTCCCACTGTCCGAGGAACTGGCGTCGAGACTTCGAGCGATCACTAGTCGCGTCTACGATGGACGTGGGTTTCATCGAATTCGGGGGCTTGACACAAGCCGCTACACGGAGGAAGAGAGAGTCATAGCGTATGCTGGCATCACTAGCTATGTGGCCGATGAACGGGCCAGAAACATCGGTGAGTAAGACGAATCCCTTGCATTCATCTGCATCCTTAATGACAATGTAACGAAGATCACATTCGAGACAGGTCCTTTGCCAATCCTATGGGAGATAAACTGAAGCCATTGGAGCTTGCAGTGTCAATGACCTTCCACACAGACATCGACGTCGGCGATATTCTATCCATGTTTATTCAGAGCACTCCCCTCTCTGGCGGTGAGCAGTACATCGCTTCAATCTCATCGGTGTACAACTACATTGCCCAAAGGGAACCCGAGGTCTTGAAGGCACTGGCAGACGACTGGTACTGGGAGAGATCCTTTAGGTAATAGCCCTCACAATACGGCCCATGTTTCATAAGGGCTAATTCACGTTCCGCTATCATAGGCCCGAGGTAAACAAAGAGATCACTAGAGTGTTCAATCGTCCCCTGCTTGCGTTTGAAGATGATCATCTCCAAATCAATTTTGCGGCCACCTTTGTTGGTGGAAACCCTGCATACGATCTCTCGGATGATGCGCCGCCTTTGACTCCTGAAAAGCGTCGAGCTCTGGTAGTCATCCAGGAAGCTGCCAAGGCAACATGCCTGCGACTGACGCCTGAGCCTGGAGACATGATTTTCATCAACAACTACGCCATGCTGCATGCACGAGCGACATGGACTGATTCAATGGATGACGTCTGGAAGCAGAGGTACGTGATGCGTCTCTGGCTTCGTGATAGCCAGAAAGGCTGGAAGTCTGCGGTTGGTCTGAAGAGGAAGTTGGACGAGAACTTTGACTTGGGTCCAGATGCTCAGGGGCTTTTTACGGGAAATGAATGGAATGCACTCCCAAGGGCTATGAGAGTGAAGGAAATGGGCGTCACAGCCGATGACTGCCATGACTAAGTAAGCTAGCAGAGTATCAAATAGACCTTTTACTGTTGCAGCCAGATAGCCAGTATGTCAGATTGTCGTTTGGATCGAAATGGTTCAAATGAATGAGGCTAGATTTAGCTTGCTATGGATGCTGCACTACCTGTTACCATAAAACCTATTTCTCAGGCTGATGTGTGATCCTTTACTACGTTTTAATCCCCCACAGCTTCATGAAATCGCTGAAACAGTCCGTACCTCGAGGCTATAACTTATTAGAAACCGCTGCCACCATGGTCAAAACGCCACTCACTGTAGGTCACAGAACCTTGTCTGATATCAAGCGCTCCGTTACAGGAACAAGTGTCTTGTCGTCCAAGTACTGGGCCATCATGTGTGACACACCGAGTGCGCGTGACTCTGATCTTTCGATGTGGATTGATGACAGTGCAGATGAGGGCAAAGCACCAGGTTCCGTACGAGGAGTCGACACTGACAAACCTGCCATTGCAGACCCGCTGCAGGCCACCTGCGATTTCTCGTCGTGTTTCGTGTTTGGGTTCATTTTGGTATCGTGAATATTTTGCATGCAACTTGTTAGTCTGCATTTGACGTGCCGCATTGCTCACCAAGCAGTGACCTACTAGGGCTTGTTTCTGTCGGTCCGGTTTCTCAAGCTCGACCCAGTTGCAGTGGTCTTTTGGATCGTTGGAATAACCCATTATGGCACGAGTCTCATAAATACTATTTTCTGTGAGGGCTAAGTTCCTAATAGTTGTGGCCAGTGTTGAGTTATCCCCGGTGTTGAAAATTTTGGTTTTGCCGGTGGATGGCTCTATCGGTTTGACGGTGGGTAAGAAAGACTCTTCGCCGGTCAGGAAATTGACCAATGAAATCCCATGCACAGAAAGAGAGTCCGTCAGACCGGATCCTCAGGTATCTATATCGCTACGTACCTTTGATATCTCAAATCTGCGGCATGGTATTGGCGACAAGGCATCCTCAAAGCGCACCGCATCTTTAGACACGCCCGGATAAGGCCAAACTGGGCGGGGTAAGGCAGACTTATCAAGTACGGGTAAAAAATAATAAGGCAAGGCTGCTCCAAAAGTGTCGCCTTGACCGTATGAAATACCTTAGTTTTATCCGCCTCAATTGCCCTGCATGTGGACGCAGGAGTTGAAGTACTCTCCTTGAAGACGCCGTACCAATAAGCGTTACGGAATTCGTGCGTTAGACTTGGGATTAGGGTGTCAAATCTCTCGTCCTGGAGATCAATTTCAGCTTGATTACAGAGCATCTCTTAAACCCTCATCAACCCGGGCGCAGACATCTCTCGCCTTCTTATCCATCGCACTAACGGGTGATCAGCGGTGAGTGCGGAGGCTCAACGGTCACTTAGCTCGAGGCTTCGGCAACGCCAAGCCCCGAAGCGGACTTTGACGGGCATTCGGAGTTATCGACGCGGGAGTTCGCACTAGCATCGTGATCAGCTAGGTCGGTTTTGGCAAGTTTTGCCGGCTCGCCAAACTCCATGGGTGAGGGTGTGCTCTGGGAACTGGGTTTTGCTCGATCAAGTCGCATTGTCGTCTCTGCAGCTCACCGCTTGCTCTCCGGAACGATAGCCGTAGTGTAAGATTAAACGCGAATTGATATTATCTCCGCTTTAGGAATTTCATATTGCCAGATGTAGATATCCCTCGGGTAAACTCAATCTTACGCAATCAATCTATTGACTTGGCGATCACCGCGTTGTCTCCACCATGCCACACCCCGCTGGTCCCCCCACCCTACACCCAGTTCGAAGGGCGCGGGGACAGTCAAAAGAATGCAAGGCGAGTTGAAAAACTCTCTCTTGAGCATCGATTCCGCAAGGTGAACTGCCAAGATGACAATGGCTCAGTCTGTTGTCAAGGATCATGGCGTGCTCGCCCAGGACACGGAGCAATCCCGCGACAACGACTTTGACATGCTGGACCAGAAACAAATCGAGATACTCGGCCGCCAACGCCCCGCCGTCTTCTCGTCATGGCTCGTCGAGTCCGGCTTCGTCCTCGCCGTCGTCGGATCGCTGATGATGAGCGAGTACACCATCAGCGGCTTCAACATTGCGCTGCCGGCGCTGGCCGAAACGCTCGACATGCCGGAATCGGCCCGGACGTGGCCGGCCGCCGTGCCGAACCTGACCACGGCGGCGCTGCTGCTCCCGTTTGCGCGGCTCTCGGAGCGGTACGGCGGCCGGGTCGTCTTCCTCGCCGGACACATGTGGCTGATGGCCTGGTCGCTGGTGTGCGGCTTCAGCCAGAACCCGACGATGCTGATTGTGTGCCGCGCGATGCAGGGCATAGGGTCCTCGGCCTTTCTCCCTGCGAGTCTGGCGGTCATGGGCCAGATATACCGGCCGGGCCCGCGGAAGAACCTCGTGTTCAGCGCATACGGGGCGTTTGGATGTATTGGGTTCTTCTTCGGCGTCGTCATGGGCGCCGTGGCGGCGGAGAGTCTCGGATGGAGGTGGTACTTCTGGATGGGCGCCATCTTTGTGTTTCTCATCGGCGCCACGGGCTTCCTCACGATCCCGTCGAATCTCGGCGACGCCAACCCGGACGTTCGCATGGACTGGTGGGGACTCTGCACCATCGTGCCGGGACTGGCGTTGGTGGTGTTTGCCCTGACGGATGGAGGCCATGCGCCGTCGGGCTGGCGCACGCCGTACATATACGTCACGTTCGTCTTGGGGATCCTCTTTCTTTGCGCGGCCGTCTACGTTGAAGGGTGGGTTTCGGCGCAGCCGCTCCTCCCAGTTGAGTTGTTCCGTCCCAAGTACATGAAGCGACTGGTTGCGTCTCTGTTCATGTCGTACGGCATATTTGGACTATACATGTTCTATGCCAGTTTTTAGTAAGCTGAGCCACTCCCCTCTCACTCCCTCACTCCCTTGCTCCCCCCTCACTCAAGAGAAACCAAACCTGACCAATCCAGTATCGAATCGGTGCTCCAAGTGTCACCCTTGCAGACTGCCGCGTGGTTCTCTCCACTGGCAGTTGGAGGACTTATCTTAGCCCTGGTGGGCGGGTTCGTGCTGCATATCTTGCCCGGGCGGATTCTCCTGATTATTTCCGGGCTTGGGTTCTTGGCCTCGGTTCTGCTGTTCGCGCTCATCCCCGAGAACCCTCCGTCGAGGAACTACCTGTTCTGGGCATATATTTTCCCTGCCATGGTGTGCGGGACTATTGGCGTGGACATTGCGTTTAATGTGACTAATATTTTCATCACAACTTCCATGCCTAGACGGCTGCAGGCGGTTGCTGGAGCCCTGTGCAGCAGTCTGCTGTATCTAGGCATGGCGTTTTGGTTGGGCGTGGGTGAACTGGCAGTCACAGCTACGATAGATATTCGCGGAAAGGAAAATGTGAGCCAACGCGAACAATACCAGATTGGGTTCTGGACGGGCGTTGGACTGGCCGCGGCATCGCTGTGCTTGGTGGTGACGATCAACCTGGGCCAGGCGTCGGCGTCATTGACGGCAGACGAGCAGGCGGAACTGAAGCGACGAGAGAATTCCTGACATGGGAACACGTGGGGAAAGGACTCGAATCTATACTTCGTACTTCGAGTGGGATGCCGATTAGAGGACGGCCTTATCTTGGGGCTGGAATGGTGACAGGCACTATACCTGAGGACTAAACGGAAACAACCTTGGAACACTTGGAACAATGATATCAGAGGCGGCGCCTGGATGTGATTAGGGTGTGCCACAGGCTCTCCTGTGACGCTATTAACGCGGTTGTACCGCTCAAGTCGCAAGCCATCTTATCCCGAAATGCAACTGTTTTAGTGCTGACTTGAATCCCCCGCCTCCACCTCTTTCACGGCAGATGCCAATGCTCTGACAGCTTGGGCTTGGCGACTGACGAAGGGGCCGTTGAACATGTCGTACAGGGCGACGCTGCTGTGGACGTGGTCGGCAGCGAACTCGACGGCGCAATTGGGGCCGCGGGCTTGCTTGGCGGCCTTGACGGCTTCGCGGAGCATGTCGCCTCCGAGGCCGCGACGGCGGTAGCGGATCTTGGTCGTCCAGGCGCGGATGGTGGCCTTGGGCTGGGACTTTGCGCGGGCGTTGCGCTGCTTGGGGAGGTCGAGAACAACAGCGGCGATCAGCTCAGTCCCGTACCGCGCGCCGAGCACAACGGCCTCACCACCGTCTTCGTTCTCGAGCCAGGCGTGCCAATCCGTCTCCTCGGCGATGCGGATGTACGTGCTGGCGGCGTAGCGGATGGTGCTGAGGTAGATGAGCACGATGCCGGAGTAGGTGATGAGCATGGCGCTGAAGTCGTGGCCCATGGCCCTCATGGCGACGTGGGCGACGGCGAGCGCGGCGACGAGCGCGGACACGCAGATGGGGTTGAAGACGACATCGCGTGATGCGACCTGGCGCTGCTGGGCGACGCTGTCGACGACGAGCTTGAGGGCGTCTGCGCGGTCGCGGGGGGTGGTGAGGGTTTGGAAGGCGAGTTTGCGGTCGTCGTCTTGTTGGGTGGTGGAGGAAGAGGAGGGAGGTTGAGGGGGTTGAGGAGGTTGAAGCTGAGTTGGGGTTGAAGTGCGAGACATGGTGAAGGTGTGCTGGAGAAGGGAGGCCTGTGATGCCTGTGATGTGTTGAAGCAGTAGATGCAGTGGATGCAGCAGATGCAGTGGATGCAGCAGATGCAGTGTAGATCAAAGAAGCAAAACCTAGAGAAAATCCAGAGAAAACCCAGAGAAAAACCCAGACTTAACAAACCCGCCTAGACAAACGCCGCAAATACGGTTAAGAATCAAGCTTGCCTGGACACTCCCACGCAGGGAATAAGCATCAAAGAAATTCAACCTCACGAACCAATCTCAGCCGCCCAAACTCGGCCACAACTCCAGCGGCCTCGTGCGATCCGCCCTCAGCCGGCAAAATCGTGCCGTCCACGCTGCTCGCAGGCGACCAACGAGAGCAGCGTCGCGGCCAACGCCTCCCTCCAAGGGGCCAACGCCTCCCTCTAGAGGAGCCCTCGGTGACCCAAAACGGACACCAACTCAATCAGCAACAAGCTTAGTTCGCACGCGCAGACGCCGCTGCTCCACCCATCCCACGAGCTTCGGTGATTGTTTCCAGGCGTTGCGTCCCACAGTCCAGTGGGCGCGAACAGGTTAAAGAGTGGCCACGCGCTACAGAGCCTCATCTGGATCCCGGTGGACCTTCACTCTGCGTGCCGTCAGACCCGGGCTGCGGGTACGCGGCTATCGACGATGCCAAGGGCTTAGCCAAGAGCCTTGGCGCGCGAGAACACGGGGTGGCATTCTGCATTCTGATTGGCCGATAGACACGTCGTCTCGTGCCAGAATGCTATACCGAGACGGGCCATGCTAGGGCTTCATCTCCAACATCGCCATGCAAGAACCTTTTGCAGCGGCCGATTCCACTGATGCTGCGCCGGATCCTCGGCTCCTTTGCCTCGTCGGGCTCGGGGCTTTTCGCCAGTGACATGTCGTAGTTCGTCGTCTGCTGAATCTGCTCGGTCGCCGTTCCCATCGTAGCCGTTCTGGTAGCCACGCCATCGGGCAACGCCATCGGGGCAACCCAGGGGACCCAGGCCAGTCCAGTCCATTGTCTCGATCAAATTCGTCCGTCTGTGTGTCAGCTAGAGCCAGCAAGATCTGCGAATCCTGCCCTCGTCGCTTTCGTATTTAATCAACTGTCGCTCCGTTGGCTGGTCCTCTTCTGCTCTCCCGTGCCACAGCAGAGGTCTAATACAAAGACACACTCTTTCCCTCGCTCCCTTTCTTCTTCTTCTGTCCTCCTCCTCCCCCCCTTGTCCTCTTATTAGATTAGACATCCCTCACTATGTCGGACAACACTGAGCCTCGCACCAGCGGCGGCGGCGGCGGCGTCGCCAAAACCGCCGGCGGCAACAATGCCTTCCACAACTTCCACAACGACTTCGCCCACATCGCCGACCCCAACGAGCGCCGCCGTCTGGCCCTCGCCGAGATCGACAAGGCGCCCTTTGGCTGGTACCACGTCCGCGCCTGCGTGGTCGCCGGTGTTGGCTTCTTCACCGACTCCTACGACATCTTCTGCGTGTCCATGTTGACCATCATGCTCGGCATCGTCTACTACCCCGGCGTCGGCGTCATGCCCACCACCTCGGATTCCGCCGTCAAGCTGTCCACCTCGGCCGGTACCGTCATTGGCCAGCTGGGCTTCGGTATGCTGGCTGATATCGTCGGCCGAAAGCGCATGTACGGCATGGAGCTGCTTGTCATCATCTTCGCCACCCTCGCCCAGTCACTCACCAGCAACTCGCCCGCCTGCAACATTATCGGTGTCATCATCTTCTGGCGTGTGATTATGGGCATCGGTATTGGTGGAGATTACCCTCTGTCTTCCATCATCACCTCTGAGTACGTTCCTTTCTGCAATCGAAGCCATCGTGAGTGTGCATATCGCTAACACCCCTTCCCACAGGTTCGCTACCACCAAGTGGCGTGGCGCCATGATGGGTGCCGTCTTCGCTATGCAGGGCATTGGCCAGCTCGTCGCTGCTCTCGTCATGATGTTCCTCACTCTCGGCTTCAAGTCTGAGCTCGAGGGCGCCGCCGATGTAAGCAAGTGCACTGGAACCTGCCAGGTTGCCGTCGACAAGATGTGGCGCACCCTCATCGGCTTCGGCGCCGTTCCCGCCTGCATTGCCCTGTACTGTGAGTTCCCCTGCATCCCTAAATATCTTGGCAGCTTTAGCAGCCTTGGCATACTTGGCATTCTCCAATTGCTCGCGTGACTCTCGACTAACACCACTCCAGACCGTCTCACCATCCCCGAGACCCCCCGTTACACCTTCGACGTCGCCCGCGATGTCGAAAAGGCCGACGACGACGCCAAGGCCTACATCGCCGGCAAGGCCAGCGGCAACACCGACGAGGTCACCCGCGCCGAGGCCCAGCGGGCTGCCCAGTCCACCCTCGAGGTCCCCAAGGCCAGCTGGGGTGATTTCTGCCGCCACTACGCTAAGCTCAAGAACTTCAAGCTCCTCCTCGGAACTGCTGGTTCATGGTTCGCCCTCGATGTGGCCTTTTACGGTCTCTCTTTGAACAACGGCACCATTCTCAAGGTCATTGGCTACTCTACCAAGGATGCCACCAACGTCTACCAGTACCTCCACAACACTGCCGTCGGTAACATCATCATCGTCCTTGCTGGTGCCGTTCCCGGATACTGGGTTTCCGTCGCTACCATCGATACCATCGGCCGCAAGACTATCCAGCTTGGTGGTTTCTGCATCCTGACCATTCTCTTCATCGTCATGGGTTTCGCGTACAAGAAGCTTTCCTCCAACGGCCTCCTTGCCATTTACGTCCTTGCCCAGTTCTTCTTCAACTTCGGTAAGCCTTCCACCTCCCTCACTCAATCTGAACCATACTAACTCGACCAGGCCCCAACACCACCACCTTCATTGTTCCCGGTGAGGTCTTCCCCACCCGATACCGTTCCACCTCCCACGGTATCTCTGCCGCCTCTGGCAAGATCGGCTCCATCATCGGCCAGGGTGCCATCGCTACTCTCCGCACTCGCGGCGCCACCAAGGACAACGCCGCTCCCTGGATGAACCACGTTCTCGAGATCTACGCTCTTTTCATGCTTCTCGGTTGCTTCACCACCCTGCTCATCCCCGAGACTGCCCGCAAGACCCTCGAGGAGCTCAGCGGCGAGGACGACTACGCCACCAACTCTACCCAGTCGGTCGTTACCGACGAGGAGCGAGTCGCTGACAAGACCGCTTAAGGTGGGACAGTAAGGATTCCGCATGGGGCGCCGCTCTGATGCCTCGACAACTTAAACTCAAATTATAAAGGGGAGAATCCATTCTGTTACATTTTGTCTTGCTTCACACCATACCCATATCAGAATGCAAGTTCTTTTTATACTATACAATACATAATAATTACGTCGTGTCCCGTATCTTCGAGTTCCCAATTTGTAGTGATATTTTCTTTGATAAGTGGGACCTGGGTTGACACCTGGAATGAAATGGTGTTAAGATTGGGTATCCCTAATTTGCTCCCCATACCCGGAAAAAGACGCGTTTGAAAATCACCACCCAATAACTCATGTTCAATCTTCCAACCCTTAAGTATTCTTATTTCCTCTCCCAAGCATCCCGCCGACGTAGTTGCCAGCTCCCTTGATGCCATCTGTCGACTTTGCACCGACGCCCTTTCCACCCTCCACAAAAGCGCTGGCTGTGTCGTTCGCCACCTTGGAGCCTGGCAACTGCGAAGGCGCGTAGCCGCCCTGGTCGTCCTTTCCCTGACGCTCCGCTCGGTTGATTCCCTCCTTCGAGGCGAGGTCGCCGGCTGGTTGTAGCAGGCCGCCTTGTCCGGCCTGGCCCGCGACGAGGTTGTGCACGCCGTCTTGGAGGGTGTCGACTTGCTTGACGCCCGTTACTTTCGACTTGCCGAGTGTGTCTGCACCACGTTAGCTGGGTGTTACCGCTAGGAGAGCGATGCCGTGGATCTTCGAGGACGGACCTTTGGTGGCGTAGCTAGCCTTGTTGTCTTTGGTGAACCATCGCAAGTAGGTATCCTCTAGCCAAGGCACCCACTTCTCGTATTGGTCGTTGTATGTTTTCTTGGTCCACTCCATGGTGATTTGGTTTCTGATGCACAAAGATGGTAGATCTGTGGAACGCAGTGATGTGTAGTCGAACAGCCGCAGACTCAGGATTTATAGACGACATGGGCAGGGCACATGTAAGGTGTCATCAGTAGCACAACATACCGTGTACGTCATTTCTGATCTCGATTTGCACATTTGACGGCCTCAATACCCCAGATGACTGGTTCAAGTGGCTGTGCCAAGTATGCATTGTGATGCCATCATGTATTGGCACCTGTGGCGCGTGTCGCATCCCTGTCAAAACCGGTTCTGATGGCAGATCGCCGATGCAAACGTCATCCCCTGCGAAGTGGGGGTCGTTGGAGGTGTGGTCATTTCGCTCTCGGCTCACTGCATATGCAGGATTTCTGAACCGATCCTTGCTGATAGCAAATGTCCTTTCATTGGCTGAGGGCTGTCTCAATTAATTGTTCTTTTGTCTGATAGTTGTAACGACGTCCACCTCCAACAACCAACTCGCGAACCACGGTCTCGCTTACGAGACGGCATGCACCTCGACCTGTAAGTTCGACCGAGTCGAGATCTTGATTAAGCCCCCTTTGTGCGTGCGCAAGAGCCTAGAATCGACAGATTTGAGCCATCATGCGGCTGTCTTCGCTGCAAGCTGTGCTGCTGGGCGCGTTCGTCTGGGCTGCGGACGCCGTGAGCTCTGACGATGATAATATTGAGAGCATAACATTGAGGACACACTCCCTCCAACAGCCCTACCTCGACTCAGATATGCAAAGTCGATGGTATGACTTTGGTGGCGATGCTATCGTTCGAACCGACTCGTACATCCGACTGACCTCGGACCCCGTCGCAGTTAGGCTGGATATACTCGCGAGCACCCCTGACAGCAACAAACTGGCAGGTAGAGGTCGAGTTTAAGATCTCTGGTAAGAATGGCCGGCGAGCTCAGCGACAACCACGACATCATCTCGGTGACCGCCAAGAACCCGTATAAGCATCGCAGCAAGAAGGCCAAGAAGAAGAAAAAGATGGCGTCTAGTGGTAGCTGGACCTGGTTCTTCACCAAAAATCATCCTCTTCATCATTGTCGCGGGCGGCGCGTAGGTGGGCTTCAATGCTTACCGGGCTCATGGCCATCAGACAAAGGATGGACTGATTGAGACAGCTCTAGTGACAATGTATGATCTTGTTTTTTGATCTAGGAAGGAAGACGGCTAGCTATTTATACCTGGGAATCTGACTGATCCAGATGCTCTTGATTCGATGACACCGTTAACAGCCGATGATCTTGGCTGTTGAGGTCAATCTAGGACGTTACACTACGCATTTGCGGAGTTTTAACTCCAATTTTGCCGGAGCCGCCAATGCGAGATTGTATCTGGGCTGAGGACTTGGATGGTGCACGTAGTAAAGTTGCTGGCTCTGGATGTTCTGCGATGCTACGTAGAGTGTTTGTGCTTACAACTCAAGTTCGGTTGTTGAGAACAGTTTCAAACGGAACTGACGGCTAGGGTTTTGAAGACCTCAGCTGTGATTCACGGTTACAACTTTATCCCCAAATTTCAAGGCTGCAAGAAAAACCGGGGAGTTGTGCATCTGCTGCGACTTCGAGTTCAGGCTTCCTCCACCTAACGGGCTTATCCTGCACGACGCGATAGGTGGGTCGAGTTTCAACCAATCAAGTTGCGCAAATGCCTGCATATGCACACCGTTTCTAGCATATACTGCTTAAGCCGATTTGCCTTCCCTACCTCTCACAATTCCTCCACTTCCTCACACTTCACAACTAGGACTGAACAACAACATTGACACCTGCCATTCAGAAAAATATCAACAAAAATGGCGAGATTTGTGGCTTATCGCGAGACTGTCAACGGCCGAACCAAGGTTACTATTGGCGGAGCCAAGATCATGAGGCGTTAGAAGCCCGGCAGTACGTTCTCTACATCATGGACGAGGAACTCATGCTAATCTTCATGGTGAATTTGGCCCCTCCCAAGTCTCAGCTCCAGATTCGGGAGGAGAAGTTGAAGCGCGATCAGGATGCCCTTTTCAAGCTTGTCGTCAATAACATCGCCAACAAACTGCTGCCTGGTGCTCGCCTGGACTCCGAGGCGATCGCGACTCTGAGAGAATCCGCCGACGACTTTCTGTGGCGCCTTTTTGCTTGTAGGTGAATCTTTCTGGTAATGAATTGTTGAATTAATAATTTAAAGCTGCCAAAATGGTGGCCGAGGATAATGGGCACACCGATCTTATGCCCGGAGACGTCGATTGCGTCTGGAGAGTTCTGCATAATTTGGGGGTCTACAGGTAGTGGTTCACTCCCTTGAGGCTGTGAGTGACATATGCTTTCCATCTCATCTTCTTTGGCTAATAAATTAGGCAGATGCCCTAAATGCCATGAGTGCACCGCTTTGGGCTGGAAGCAGGAAGCCTCGAATCCTACCGGGTACATTGTTTGATAGGAACCGGTCAATTAGGCGATTAGTACATTTGATTAGTACAACCTTGGCGTATGGACGCACTTTTTCACACTATGCAATTCATAGTTGGCAAGCTTAACTTAAGTAGTTACTGCAGAAATTTGAGATACTCTTCTCAATAACTCCATGTCTCTGTCATAATTACTTTTGAACGAGGTTCGCCGTAGCAATTCTCATTCGCTTGCCTAGCAACCACACTGGAATAGTGAGCAACGAGAAGATGCCCATCAACATGCCAAATATCCCAAAAGGCTCAGCCGCTCCACGCTTTGTGATCCAGTCACTGATGAAGAAGGTCCAGGCGAACGCAATAATCGCTCGCAGAATTGTAACCACGACAAAACAATCGGCAGCAAGATGGCCGTAGCAGTCAATGAGCTATTAGAGAATTTATTAGCGTCCATACAAAGTCTGGCATTAGATTACTCACGTAATTGAACCCCACTGAAGGAACTTGCATCAGGCCCATCGCTACCATCGCATACCCAACTTGCAGACCAACCCACGCATTCTTGGAAGGATATTCAGCACAGAAGCCGAAAACAAAAAAGCCACCTGTTGAAAGCGCCAGGGTTGGGAACATGGTCGGCAGTCGACTCTCGGGCTCAGCAGCACCGTGCTCGCGCCTGGCGGATCTCTTCAACCTCGCGTCCACGACGACGTACGCGTACAGAGCGCCGATGATCGACCCGACAAGGCCGCCGACGTTGATAAGACCCGCGTTGCTCCCCCAGAGATACGGCGGCGCAGCGACTAGCTGAGGCCCAATCGTGGATATCGAAATAATTCCGCCGACGAGCCCTGCGTAGTGCAGCGTCACCAACCAAGTCCCCGGGAGGAGGGCAGTGCGCCAGGGTTGGAGAAACTTCGCAAGCCAGTCTCCACGTGGCCGAGCAAATCCTAAAGACTTGACATATGTGAATGGTTCGTACGTCTCGGCCGATTGTGTGGTTTCGATTTGCGTCAAGCCCGGCTTGTCCTCGTCGAGTGTTTCGTCGGCAGCAAAGGGTGATACAAACGCCCTGTCGTAAAGCGTCTCGGGGACTAAGAATAGAACTCCAAAGAAGCATGCCCCGGATAACGCGATGCCGACCCAAAAGATGTACTGCCACCCGAGGTTGAACCCGACGTATCCGCCGGCTATTCCGCCTACGATCGGGCCTCCAGCTAGAAAGACTGTATAAATTGCCTTGAGCCGTTAGCACCCAGAATTCACTTCAAAGATAAACATGACAAAGGAGACTTACCATTGCTCGACCGCGTTCATGCATGAAGAACATCTCGCCGACCAGGGTTGGAGAAACAGTATCGGACGCACCGGCACCGATGGCCTGGAATACTCGCGCAGCTAACAGAGAGCTATAAGACGTCGCCAACCCGCACCATAATGTGCAAAATGTCATTAGAAGTGTGGCGACGAGGAGAACTGGCCTTCGCCCAAAAATGTTGGACAGAGGGACCCAAAGGATGTTGGAGGCTCCAAGAAACAAGCTGCTCGTCTATTTGGATATCTGGCGTTAGAGCTTGGACTATCTCTACCCTCGTGGACTCGGTATGTCCTGAGAAATACGGGGTTACTTGCCGAAATGAGGTATGTAAGCTCGGAAAACGGCCGAGTCGGAGGAACAATGCCATGGTATAGAAGCTGGAGGGCCGGGGCGATGCAGGCGCTGAGAAAGTTTCCAGTAAAGGCAAAAAGAGAGGCAACGAAAAGTGCTGTGAACTTTCGCCAGGTCGACCAGTTCAGAGGATCTGCTGGGTCATTGGACGGTTGGGGGAACTTGATCACCTCGGTCGATGATCCCACGTTCCGTTCATGCTCGCCTAATCTCGTAAGCTACGGTGATCCTCGAATGAGTCACGGTTTGTACCGCCAGTGCTGAGATAAGAGAGTGGCGGGAAGCGTGGCCTTACGTATGATGAGGGCTGTCCCAGGGGGTTTCGCTTCATGAACTTCCGCCTTGCTTAGGGAGAAGGCAAATTTCCACGCGGACATGGTGGCGACGCGTATTGAATTCGGGGCGTGCGGCTTGGTGGAATGGTCCGAAGAGTTGAGGACCAAAGCATGGAGGCAAGGGCCAGGCAAAGGGGATTTTATCATCCTCTCGGCAATTCCCAATCCCTGCTTAGATGGGAGATAGCATCATGTGCACTGGGGTATAAGCTATGGACGGCGTGGGATAGAATCCTCTCATTGGCTTCTGGGGAAGGCCAAGATCCCCCCACCGGAACGGAAGTCGCTCAGCGCGGGGAAGCTGAATCTGGGGAACCAACAGTCTTCCATGTTGTCTTGCGGACTTGTGCGGACTTGGACAGACTTGGACAGATTCGGTTACATCAACCCCGCAATTCCGGATGGAATACCGCCTGGTCTCGAAATTACACAAGAGGTTATGAAGATGTCAATGACGCCACGACACATCGGCTAGGGTGGCAGTTGATTTCGGCAATTTCTACACGTCTTATCGTGGGGATTGCTGCAAGAATAAAGCTTAGCTGGAACTGTTGCCTCTAAGAGGATATTTTGCGGGAGGTTTGTCCATTTTCCGTGAATATTTGCTACCTCGGTTACGAATGATGACCGGAACCGCGGTTTGCGACGTGTGTTTGCCAATGCCGGTTGTCACAGTGGTGATACCTTTTTGCTCCTCCTCGGATATTTGGGAAATCTGGGTTTGTTCTGTAGTTACTATTGCCTTTGTGCCATTGCTGGAATACTACCTTAGCCTTGGAAATACTGTGAGAAATATACTGTCATGTAGATGGGCTGATACCTGGCTTCTCAATCACATGCGAGCCCCAGACTCGACTCAGCCAGTTCGGTAGACCTGGCAAGGGAACCTAAACGATAAATACCCGAAGATACCCCTGGCCCGCTGTTCCTTCGTGATCAATCTGAGCACACGTTCGAATCTTATTTACCCCAGACGAGGCGCACGCTGGCCCGGTGGGCGAGACGCTGAGCGGCACAGCGTGGGGGTGGGGCCGTAGACTAACAGCCACCTACCGCAAGGCCGTCATCTCCAACCGCGGCTGGGATGGACTTGGACTTGTTCAGCTGGGCGCTAGGGAGCTGTCGCCTATTAGAAGCTGAGGATGCCACGTGGATGACACTTGGCGGTTTGCGTTGGTACTTCGCCTGCTTGGCACTGGGTGAAGCTGCGATTTTCTCCTTGGCTCGTCCGTGCCGCCATGAGAGTGTTGCAATATTTGACGAGACTGGTCTTGTTAGTGTCTTAGTTATCATCACCCTGGCTGAGAGTCTAGTCCTGGATGGTCGTTTTGGAAGTTGATAGATTCGCTGTCGACTTCCAAGCCCTTGTCCTCCACCCATGTGACGTTGATTGACTCCTCCGGAAGACGTGGGGCCGGATCCAGGAATTCGGGCTTGGCACAGCAATTTGCAGCCAAGGCGCAGCACATAGAGTTTCCAGGCGTTCCGGTATGATTAAACCTGCAGCATGGAATATCAATACCAGAAGCATTTGCATAGAGCGATGCCTCAAACATGGATTCTTGGATTGACGACATCCCTTCGAAGCTCGTCTTTCACGGAGTCCGCTCGGCGGGAGATGGGCCGATTAAAACCAAGGCGCTAATCCTCTTGGGGCTTTAGTCCTGAAAACCCAACCATGGATCGCTTGCGAGGCTCGCTCTCGCTCCGCTCCTTTTGCCTCGCCAGCCAATTACGCATGGCTGCTCGTCCCTGAACACTCAACAATCGACTGACGAGGCTGAGTTTTCCTCGCATCGAGCACCACGCGCTGAGACTGCCTGCGCCCTGGAGATTGCCCGGGACTCGGTGTCTCTCGTACCGCGCTGACGCTATGATATCACTAATGCCACAGCCACCGACGAAGATATCGCCGCTGCTGATCTCCCTCCTCCCTCGCATCAGAGTCTGAGGCCCAGCGCCAAGGTCTCGTCCAAATGCCCCCGCGCCAGTCCGCCGCCGAAGGGAACGGCTCGGGCACATCATCTACCACCGCTAAGCTGCGCCGCGCCCATCGCAAGTCGCGCAAGGGCTGCCTGGAGTGCAAGCGGCGGCACATCAAGTGCGATGAGACGCGCCCTAGGTGCAACAACTGCCTCGTGAGCGAGCGGGCATGCTCGTTCCCGCCGTCGGTCGGAGCCGCGCCCGAGGCCGCAGCAACGGCCCAGAAGCAACAGCCTCCGGTGCCGGTCCGGCCCGCCTCCGCCTTGAGTCCGGCCGGGAGCGGCTCTAGCTCCGGCGCCGTCCGTCCGTCCCCGGCCCTCACTAAACAACCTCCGATCCCGGTCCGGCCCGCCTCCACCCTGAGTCCGGCTGGGAGTAGCTCCAGCTCCGGTGCCGTCCGCCCGCCTCCGCCCCCGTCTGAGGGTCCATGGGCCGCCTTGTCCAAGATCCTCGAACACGCCAGGCCGCCTACGTTGCCGCCCATCAGGTCCTTTGCCGCCCCTCCCATGGCCGTCTTCACCTCCAAGCACCTCATCCTCCTCCACCACGCCAAGACGGGCAAGGTTTTCAAGCAGGAAATGATGGATACCCTCCTTGAAATTGCCATCGCTTGGGCCATCGAGGCTCCATACGTCCTCGACCAACTTCTCGCCATTTGCGCCGAGCACTACGCGCTATCCTCCCCAGAGACCGCCGAAGTCTATCGCAGTACCTCCCAAGAGCTCCAGACTCGCTCTCTAACATCCTTCAACCTCAGAACCCAAGGCCAGACATCCGAGGAGTCCAGCACGACGTATCTCCCCCGATTCATCTTTGCCTCCTTCGTCAGTATGAACATGATGTACCAGACGTTTTCTCAATACCGCAGCAGCTACCATGTCTTTATCGGACGATTCCTTGACTGTATCCATCTGCACCAGGGCGTGCGCACAGTCATCCGCTCTGGATTCCACACCTACCATGGCTCCGTTGCTCTGCATCCGTTCCTCTCCCAGTTCCAGGTACCCGAAGATGGGGTGAGCGGCAACGAGTGTGATGAACTTATCAAAGCCATTGATTCTTCCGATCTGAGCCCGACCACCGTAGCTGCCTGCAAAAGCGCAGCTGACAGTCTGCAAACTACCTTCAACATGCACAACAACCTACCGAAAGACGACAAAAACACCCACGCGGCGACAGCGTTTCCAGTCTTGTTGACCACCGAATTCATCGATGTGTTACGGAAGCACCGGCCAGAGGCCCTGCTCGTCTTGGCGTACTACGGCGTGTTGCTCCATCGACATCGCCGGTCGTGGATCATTGGCGATGCTGGCCAATTCGTAGTCCACCTTATTGCCGATCACCTGGGGAGTTTTTGGCAAGGGCCGATGCAATGGCCTTTACAAGCGCTAAGAGACGACGTGGACTGAACAAGCAGCCGCTGGAGGCTATATCAACTATATCAACTATTATTGTCGTGGTCATAACCTGTCTAACAAGTTTAAACCGGACGCATTTGGGGGGATACTAATCCGATTTGTACAAGTTCCCCCCATATGTATTATGCCTGGAGTACGTGGTCCGATTCTGATATTTCGACCAGGTGCTTGCATTACTACTGGGACTGAGGCGGTTTAAGGATTGGGAACAAGGTTAAAGCGGTATGGCAACTGGAGTTCATTCATCCACTGCGCGGATATGAAGGGCCGCTAGCTGTGTTAGAGCTTCGCGGCCGGGGAAAGGGCAGAATCTCGCTCCAGTGGGCATGTCCCGTCACACTCACGCCGTCTGAGGGCAAATTAACAGACAAGATGAAGAGTGGCGTTTATTTGGAACCATTATGTAAAAATTACTTGATCATGCACTCCGTAATCGTCGTTTATCTTGCTGATAAATCGTTCAAAAAGCGATAGCTCTACCTACCATTGCGAGTTTCCTGTGCCCTTGCGTTAAGCCAACCACATGGCCAACCGGGTTTCTTGTAGTTTCGAGATTGGAAATCATCTGCAAAACAACTCGCTTTATGGCAGTTTGAGTTTTGTGAAATCTCCAAGGCTTGAAGGCGGGTTTTCTAGGGTGACTGGGATAGAGACTTGTGAACATGCTGGATTACACGATAAAGATGTATTTGGTAGTGGATAGTATTGTTGGACTTCAATTTGTAGCTGCTTGCCCATGTCCTGTAGTATTCGCGTTTCCAACGCATATGTCCAGCTATTATTACGCGTGGAGAGTTAACAAGGATAGCTCAGATTTGAACTGATAATGCTGAAAGAAGAGGATCTAGAATGAATAGATACTCATTGTCAATCACATCTAATGCCCTCGCTGACGTCTTACTGGTAAGGCGTGTACGTGTAGGTTTGACAAGGGCTGACTGGAACCCAAACCCGTGCTCGCAGAGGTCAAACCGAAAAAATGCTCAAGTCAACAATGAATGCTTCTGTCAGTCTTAATGAGTAGTGACTAGAGCGATGCCCCAAGTTCAAGTACAATATCCAATGGTTCCTGCGTGAAAGCGGGAATGCTTCAAGGGGTGGGTTGCGTGCATCTGCACGCGTATACATCGTTTAGGCGCGTATTTCGTTCGTTCGTTCCCTGGCTGATTACCCCCGCAACGAGTGGTGATGTTGGCGAGGGGAATTTCTGTCTTATGAAGTGGAAGACTGAGAGTCGGGGCCTAACATAACGGATAATAACGCTGGGGAATCTCGCTTCTTGGTCCGACCGGCATGGCCGCTAATCACGGATTCTCGCCCATCAACTCCACTTGCAACAATCCCCACGACCCCAAGACGAAGTTTCGTACCTACCCGGGTCCCTGCCAGCCTCGGCGAAGGACCCAGCTGTTTCTCAGTTAATACGCCTTACCAGGCAAATTTATCGTAAAACGGAGAAAGGCAACATTGGAAAATGCGGTATTGTATGAACTATACACTGAGGATTTGCCCAACCTGAATCATCTTGCATCCGGAGCCCAAACAAACTTTCCTGTAGAACCGTAAGTGAAGGCAATGGACATCACCGTCTAAAAGCATTTACGCTTTGCAATTTTTTCATCATATATTAAAACCTACAGTTTCAGCGCAAGGAGGCTTCTATTCCCTTTTCTGAAGGGAAAGACCGCCATCCCTTGGAGGCGGGGCTGGTGGCATTGTAGACAAGGACGTCAAGACCGAGACCATCGTAGCAGACTGTCAAGCTGAACATAACCTCACCATCAACTAAATCGCTCCTTAACATCTTGTTCTGATCTAGTGTTATTTTTGATGGGCCATCGTAGTTTGCCCAACTTCAAATAACCGTACCTGCTCTTGTGGACGCTGTAGTTCTGCCACCAACGCTTCACGATGTGGTATTTCGTTGCATTTACGGCCTTGGCCTCCTCGGGTACATCCGATCTCACTAGTGGACAATAGTGCTTGTCTCGTCAGTTTATTTCATGCGCTAAGTCTAAACAAATGATTGGCTAGGTGCTATGCTAATGTTGCGAAACAATTCTTCGTTCATCAAGGGGTAAGAAACAGCTACTCTGGCTTTCGACCCCAAACAGCCTTCAACCGAATGTAGGTATGGATATTGAGATTGCGGACTTCTCGTCGGAAGTGAGCAATGTAAACCTGGACCTCCTCGACTGACCACCCAAGCGTACTGGTGACAAAGGTGATGAATCCTTCCGTGTCTTGTGTGGCGAAGAGAGAGCAAAACTGTCCAACCTCTTTATACTTGGGATCCTTGGCCCAAGGACTCAAGGGACACTTTAGATGTGTTAGCAGATACTTTAGTATGTTAGTCAAGAGGTAATAGTTACGAACCTTGAATTCCCATTCCTGGATGTCGACAAAGCCAGCTTCTTCCATGGCCTTCCTCTGAAGTCCGTCCTCAATAACTGTAAAGGTTCGACCAATAACCTTAGAAGCTTGAATAAAGGTTGGCCCCCAACGAGCACACGCCGAATCGGGCTTCATGGTGCCGTCATCGCTTTCAATATTGGGCGTGGTTTCGAACGTCTCGAGGTAACCACCAGGCTTGATAGCCTTGAAAGCCTCTTTGAAGAGTTCTGTCCAGTCCGGAATACATCCAATGAGGTATCTCATGTGAACATAGTCAAACAGTCCGGGTGCGAACGTCCATTCTTGTGTGGCATCTTCAATTTCGCTAAAGTTGTGAGAATGTGATATAGTTGACTTGAGGATTTAAACAACTCACAACTTGACGTTTGGTGGGATCCAGGAAGGCTGAATGGGCGAGATGTCCGTTCCGACAACCTGGCAGCTGGGATATTCATCCGCGAAGTCACTATGAGAGCTTGTTAGTTTGATGCGGAGCAAGGAACATTAGGTAACATACACAGCCCAAATGCCTAATTAGATGTCACGAATGGTTAGCGAATGCTAAGTTAATGTTTGAGCATGCGCCATACCAGTTCCGCAGCCAATGTCAAGCGCATTCTAGTACAAGCTGGTTAGTATGCTATCAATCCATATCAGGCTGAACGTACTTGAATGTCTTTTGCAAGAGGGGCAAAATGCAATTTCCCATCCTGGGCAAGCGTGAACATGTGATGTCTACATGTTGTTAGGAAGTTATCCCAGAGTTGCAATGGCTGGCTCACGCTATGTCCATTGCTTCGCTTTGAGCCTCATCGTTAGATCCCCTAAGTAGCATCAAGATCAGTAGACTGTCGCATGCGGATTCATGGACGCCTCTCACCAATACACTGCATTTCCCCTCTCGCTATGGAACGTTCTGCCATTAATAGTCCTGTAATGGAGGATACTGGATGTAATGGAAGCAGTAGAGCTCTCGCCTTCTGCTCCTAGCGCCGAGTCTGCATCCTCATCGTCAGGCAAATTGTCGTCAGCTTCGATAGGGCGCTCCTGCGGGGGAGGCGAAGGCGTCTTGGGACTCCCTCCATGCTGTCTTGGACTGCTTTCTTGCCTGGGGGCGCTTCCCTGCGATTTCGGACTGGTTCCAGGCATGACTGCGACGGTTTGACTGAAATGCAGTGTGCACAGTACAGATGCGAACGGCTCAAAGAGGGGGTTGAGGGGTTTAACTTAAGGGACTCGCGGCCCTGACATGGGGGATACGAAGCGAATGCAACGTTTGTTGTCAATTTTTCATTGGGCAGGATTATCAGCTGTTGTGTGAGCAGGGGTTGCGGTGGTGCCAAAGGAGTTCTTCGGGGAGCCAGTGACAGCCAGGGATCCAGAATGTCATATATGACAGGTTTAGATCTGCACTGTTGGCAAGTGTCATGTAATTGGACTCTTGGCAGTTGAGAGGCAATGGGGTGGAGCAACTGGGGCTCGCTTATCAGAAAGCTGAACATTTAGAAAATGAATATTGAGAAAACCACTAGGGAATGACTTTCTCGGTGTAGATGTATGGGGCACAAATTGGCATGATGTCATTCAAAGGTTTGGCACACCTCAACTCGTGGCTGGTAGAAGCCACACAATGGCTGGAAGGAGTATTTGGTAACTTGTGAGAAATCCTATCTTTAGCTGTGGCTTTGCCTGATCATATGAGCTTAAATTGATAAAGTTGTGTTTTGCGGCTGGAAGTCTGCGGTATACTCAGCTATGTTGTGTTTGACATCAAACCTTGAGCTTAATCTCCTGACTACAAGGTGCCTCGTGTTCTTTCTTCGGAAAAGGTCAATTCCTTCAATCTCTTCCACCCAAGTGCCCTACCAAGACATGGCTGCCCCCTTTCTCACCCTCCCACCGGAGGTGTTGGTCATGATCATGTCGTTTTCCGAGTCATTAGATGATCTCTGGTCACTGATCCAAGCATCTCCCGCCGTTCTGTCGTGGTTCAGTGCGAACAGACAAGGTTTTCTCCAACCCCATATACGTAGCCTGAAGGATTCTTTCGGAGGCGACGTCCCCCTTTCAGCCCTCTTGACCGTTCATCTTCGGTATATTAGGAGTCGGTGGCCTTCGGGCGGCAGTATCGAGAACTTACAGCACTATATTAAATCGGTTCTGCAAACCCTCGTGCCCTTGGGAGAGGTCAAACCACGTTGGCCTACCAGGATCCCGATAATTTCTGCCCTCTTGGAATTGGTGCTCTAGGCAGACTGGATTATATCTGATTATTCACCTCAAGCATGGGGAAAGATGCAAGATAGTCTCGAGACTCAATATCGCTAATAGTATCCTGGACCATTCCCGAGAAAGCCCCCGAAGCTCTTCGTCACAGAGCGGCGCCTCTTTCAGGACGCCCTATTTCGCTATGAGAACTATTGTCAAGCCTTTTTCCACAACCAAGACTTCCACTTCGAAGGAGACGACACTCTCCGTTCGTTCTTGATGCTTCAGTCACCTTGTTTGGACGTGTTATTTCCACGGAACACGGCAGAGAGGTTCTACTCGATTGTTCACTACATCTACGACCAACACTGCTCGATCGTGCGCAGTGTGGTAAACAGCCTCGGTTCTCTGGCTATCCCACCGCCCGACCAAACTGAAGCCGCCGAGGCTACAGGCATCAAACGGGCTGCGAGGACACCTCTCAGCAACGACGCTCCGTTCCAACTTCACATTTGTCGATTCAAGCACCGTTCGACACTAGAAACACACAACTACATCCATTATCTCACTTCACAAGGCTTTGGCATGCTCCTGGCTTTGCAACGCATGAATATTCATGCTCAACGAGATTTCACCTTGGCGACATTCTTCCAGGTCTCCCAGAGCGGAAATCCGGTCGTCTTACTGGTGGATCACGTAGATGGACATCGAACGGGCATTGTTGGATGCGATAGGTGGATGCCATGGGTTCATTCTTGGTACAATATTCCCGGTATGTGGCAATATGCCCCCGGCTTCTGGTTGCCGAAGCGTCTAGGTTACCCGCCAGGAGTAGATACTCTCGATTGACTTACCTAGTCGGCGACACTGGTATTGACCTGTACCGCCACCCAGAAGTTCAGCATCCCCGAGGATTGTCGCGGCACCGAGCGGCCCGAGTTCGCGAGCGCGCACGATGTCTACGCCCTTGGCATGGTGCTGCTAGAACTGGAGTCCCGTCGGTCCCTGCGCGACCTGAAGGAGAAGTGTGAGAAGAACTCCGGCCAGCGGTGGACGGCGCAGCCGTTTGCGCGAGTGGATCGTCGCCGAGGAGCTCGGGAGTCTCGTTCCTCGCATAGGGGAGATCTAAACGATACCGTGACGGTCTGTCTAGAGGGACTGAAGAGAGACGATGGGCGCAGCTTCCAGGAGAAGTTTTTGACAAGGTCGTCAAGAAGATGGATTTGTGCATAGCTTGATCAGACAGCACTTAACGGACTAGTAGCTCAAGCCTGGCCATCCCTATGTGACCTCAGCCGTTTAGGGGAGGTCAATGCGCTTGTATCTATAGATACAGACAATGAGCCACTTACCACTGCTTTGAGTGCCATCAGCTAACAAGGAATGCCCTGTGAATATACTGTCAGGCAGACGAATATCAGCCAGTCTAGTCCGTACATTCGCGGAGGTCTCCCTGAGCGTGCTCCAGACTCCTACATAGAGCGAATATAAGCTTATAGAAGTTCCTAAACACCTCCACTTCCCACACTTACAAGTCTTCGGGATTTTTCAAGCTCCAGTCACCAGTGCCGACGCCAAAATGGGTTCAACTGGCCACAAATTCAAATCCATTACGATTACCTTACATGGAAGTACGAATTATTATTCACCCCGTCTCAAACCCCAGAACGACTAAAACAAGAACGTGAACCTACTCAAAACGGACATTGGCGTTCTTCCTCCCGAGGTTCCTCCCATCAATGGACACGGCAAACTCCATGCTAGCTCCAGAAGGAACCATTTTGACGCTATACTCCATCTTTTTCATGTTCTCACCAGCCGAGTTCTGATAATCTGCTAATGCGTCGAACGGGATATCAAGGGAACACTCAATCGTGCTCAAGTGGTTCACACTTGAGATCTTCCGGCTGGGGGGTTCCTCATCTGCACATTGGTAAATAAATTCCTCCCAAGTGCCGCCAAAGTCTTTTCTGTAGAGCCGGTAATACTCCTTCGTCACCGGATCTATCTTTGAGACATTTTCTCCCTAGATAATGCGTAAGCACAGCTTCTAGCAACTGAGGAATACGAGTACCGACCCTCTTCAAGAACCATGCCATCTGGTTGTCGGCCCTCCATTCGCATTGTTCTGGGCTCCAAACCTTGTCTTCCTTGAGATGCTGGTTGAAATTAAATTTGTCACGATACATGACGCCGTAACTCGCCCTTGATATAGTGGATATTACGCGAATAGGTGCCACAATGTTAGCGACACCTTCGTTGCCGTTGGCTCCGGTGACCTTTCCATCCAGGAAGCCCTTATATACAGCACCACGACAGATTGCAGTGCGCCTGACGAATCGATGGTAAGCATATTTAAATAGAAGGGATAATGAAGTGAGGTGCATACGGCTTTATACCCTCGGATTGCAGGATGCTAATACCTGCTGATTTATGTCGGTCCTGCAAGTGCGTGTAAAGATATGGGCTTGCGCCGAATCCCCCAACGAGGATTATTGCCTAAGGTTCTTTAGCCTAGATCACGATTTTCCGATCAGTTCAATCCCACCGTTACGGATAGGCCTTGATCCTTTGCTTTGTGGATTTGCGCATCGACCAATTTGTCAATGTCGTCGAAAACGCCAGTGAAGGCACACTCGATCTGTGCCCTATTACAACACATATCAGACAATTAATTCAGATATATCAAAGGAGTCTGTATACTTACCCGCTGAAATGTATCCGGCCTTTTTTGATGAACGGCTCTCTGCTCATGTCGTCGAGGGACTGTCTCCTAAACGCCTCGGCCGGAATGGAAACGATGTACTCCTTCCTGGCGTTTGTCGGTTTGAACTGCGGTTTGATCGACTGCTCCCATTCTCCCCTCATGATGTCTTTGATACTTGTCCTACTGAGTTGGTCCCACCCACGACCCAGCCGGTTTTTGACTATGCGCTCGAAGACTTCATCAATGAAAATGCCACCACAGAGCCCGCCTAATTTTGAAAGGTGTTAGTCATTTGGGAAAGGGATCTTGACATAACTCGACTAACCTGTCCCTTCCGCTGCTTCGCCCATGTGGATTGGATTCGTTGAGTTGATTTTGTAGCTGATAAGATCCTGATCCTCTTAGTAACGTTTCATATTCGGTTGTTCAGCAAACTTACAACCGTGCCTCCTCCAGCATCGCAGACGAGATACACATCTCCTTTTTTGACGTTCTTACTTTTATTCGGCTCACACAAGGTCGCCAAAGCAGCTGCTTCAGGTTCAGGCGCAAAGGTCAAATTGGTTGGCCCAGCACGTCGACGATCAAGTATTCCCGACTTTTTGGCGGCTTCCTGCATCTGCTGTCGTGCGTAATCCTTCCATATGGCAGGGACCGTAATGACAACGTGAAGTTGAAGAGCGTCCAGAACATTCGGGCCACGATCCCTGGAGATCGTGTCCATGATATGCTTCCACAGCATCCGCAGGTAATCAGAGATTAGATCCATGGCAGTCTTCCCATTTTCCTTCATCATCTTGCGGGCGCGAAGAAGGAACTCGGAGGATCGCAACTCAGGAGATATATCCTCCTCCTTCAGAAGGAGAAGTTTGAACCAACGGATTGGGTCCACATCGCTGTCCATTTCGTATCCCCACATAATCTGGTCATGCTCGTAGTACAGCTCAGTTGGAGCCTTGCCTTCTTCTCGACCGTTGCCGGGCCAAGTAGTGATTACATTGATTTGCTCGCTCTCAAAGTCGACCTTCGTGGCCCATGCAACCCCAGAGTACCTAGTGATGGCCAGTAAGCAATTCAATCAATATGCTAACTTTGGTGAACACTCACGTAGTCCCAAAATCAATTCCAATAATCAAGAGATCATCATCCTCCCCCAGCTCGGATTCAGACTCAGATTCAAATGGGAACAATTTCGGCCGATAACTGAGTTCGGTCTTGTTCGGCATCTTGGCAAAGAGCGTGGTGACAGCGACTTTGAAGAAGCCTTTTTTGAGCGGAGTTTGAGCCTGGTGTCTTTCGAACCGCGAGTTGAATAAGGTATTAGTATGTCTAGATGGTCACGAAGGAGGACCATAAATGAAATGAATGATCTTAAATGGAATGTAACGAATTCACGAGTCCTCGTTCGCCAAACGAGCTAACAAACAAGAATGCACTGGATCGCCATATTCGTTCCAGACTGATCCCTTAACCGCCCCAAACACGCCATCAAAGTATATTCGCTCAGCTCCTGTCTTTCGCTCAAACCATCTCGGAAGCTTCCGGGATGCTTTTGATGAGGCCACGAATAGGAGGTCAAAATGAAAGCAGTGGCAAGGTTTGTTGTCTCGAGTGGACCACAAATAAGCAGCCACTTTTAACCACATTCCCAAGATGGCAATAAACCACCCGATGCGTCATTTCAGCTGGGAAGCAGGGCTGATTCTTGGAGGCATTTATCTCTCGAAGGTAAAGTTAGAATAAGGCGATTTCTGACACATTATGGAACCAAGTGCGCTTCGGGAACCGAAAAGGGACATCGCTGTGGAGCGTGCTATGGCATGTCGTCTCGAGCTGATCACAGCTGGCAAGCCACTTCAGAACCTACCCAAGATTGCCATAAATCAGAGACTAGGATATTCCCATAATCTTATTGTTAAAGCAATTTAGGTCATATAGTTATAAGCTAAGCCTGAGGACACGGGTAAGGTTCGGCACAGATCAATTGCGTTGCTTGTGAGGAAGTTAGATCTAGCTAACAGAGCCCAGCCACCTATTTAACGTGGTGGCATTTCAAAACCCCAACCTCACTTGCTCGGCCGCTAAGGTCGTCTTGAAGCCGACCGCGATGGCTTTTGATCCGGCGGCCCTAGCCGGCGCCGTATGCCTAGCAACAGATGTGTTTTGCATTGGAAAACAAGGTTAATTCTTTCAAGAATTTATAACTGAAAGGTAAACTTAAAGTAACTCTAGCTCTAACCTATTATAGAACAAAGTGCACATAGGGAATGAGAAAGTAACACAGCCATGGCCCTAGAGCTTGCTGTCTCAAGTTGACCACAGCTGGCGAGCCACGTCATAAACCTTCCTAAGAAGGCCGCGAATAAGACATTGAGATGCCCCGCAAGGCTGAATCACATCTCAGAAGAATAAGAGGAGCCGAGTCAAGGCGCAATAAAATTAAGCTCAGCGTGGACTTTTTGCGGAACACGCGGCACATGATGCATCAGCTAAGTGATATGGTGGCGTAGGAGTTTTATCAAGGGATAAGACGACGAGTCAGAGCTGAAAGCAACACCCTGATGTAGAGTGCCCACTCACCGTCCTGTTGAAACCCTGCTTTGTTATGACAAAATCGCCCGGGCTAACTGCAACCAAAAGTTCTCCCCTATATTGCACGACAGGCGATTACCGACGTAGATCTGTGAAGATATCTCTATCCACCGTTCCCCCCATACAGCGCGAGCTACGGGGATTTAAGTATGTCCCCTTTATATTGTTGACCATTGACTTGGGCCCGGACCAAATCTAGTTTGCAAATCAAGTGCCGCACATACCTACAATCCTAACTCACGAGCCATTCGACAGCGATATCACGATGTGCGACACGGACGGTGCTGTGATCAATGACGATCAAGCAGATACCCATGGTCTAGAACCTGCACCGGCCTCTCTACCGTCCGACGGGGATGACCGACTTCTCCCAGACCCATCTTCTACTCCTGTCGGAATGGATCATTTCACGCAGTTAGAGCAGCTCAAGAATATGCTCCAGGAAGAGATTGCGCGTCGGGAAGAGGCAAAAAGCAAGGTGAAGGGCTTGGAAAATGCTTTGGCCGAATCGGAAGCGGAACGGATAGACGTCCGGAAATCTTGGAAGAAAGCTGCGTTAGAAGTTGATAAACTTCGAAAATCAGGTCAAGTATTCTACAAACTGACGGACGAATATCTGGTAGAGCTCATTACCCAGCTGAGATACACTATTCGAGACTTTGCTCTACAATATTTCGACGGGAATTTCCAGGAAGCGACGGGAGTAGACCCCCCTGTAAGGGTTACACACTTTTCTCGGATCCGTGACGAAATTTATAGGGATCGCTCCCTCTCCCGCGACCAAGGTTCACCCAACCCTTCGCGCAAAATATATCTCGAATACCTGGAACACACCACTCCGGCTGAATGTTCATACAGGCACTATCTTGGATCTGGGAATTTCTACAAAATTATCCAGGCCTTTTTGTGGAATGTCGTCAAAGGCAAAATCCTCGGCCACTTTCTCTGGATGAACAGAACGACCGCAGGAGACTTTTGGAACCTGAGGCTTTCGTTGAGGCCAGGCAAGTAAGGCTGTTAGATATGATTGTTCTGCCATCGCTAACATAGGCTTTGATAGAGACCCAATTCGACTCAATGGGCAGAAGTCGTCCAGATCCGGAGGCTGAACGCAAGTTCCAAATGTGGAGTGCGACCACAACGGGGTTGATTTTGGACGCGGTGGCGGTGAACTCTAAGGAAGAACACGATGACCTCTTGAATTTGGAGAATAAGAAGGCGCGTATCATCGGGTATATCAAGGAGACCATTGGCCGATGGTCAACCCCCGACAATGGCGGCTTCAACGATCAGCTTTCCGCAATTCTAGACAAAGCACTGGCACTTGACCGGGAGATCAGCAGGCAGGTTTCTAAAGTAGAATGGATATTTGCCTGGGAGCGTTCAGCAAATAATAAGTTCAACCCCGACACCATGGATTTGGAGAAGGGGGATACGATTCCGCACAAGGACGCAGAGTGCGGTTTGTGGTCGCTCCTGGTGTGCTGAAGCGTGGCAAGTCTACTGGGGAGGGTTTCAGGACGGAGATGTGTCTCCTCAGACCGATGGTGCACTGTGGTTGATAGCTGGCAGGGATATATGGAAACGTTTCATTTTGTGCTGAATATCCTATCCGATGTATTTTCCATACTTGGTAAACTCCGCATCATTCTTCAATCTCTCCATGTCGTCCTCTCTCAAAGAAATACCAAGACTGATTTCGCCGTCCGGTGCCTTGGGCATCAAATACATGAGGCATTCGCAGGGGTCAAACCGCGGCCGCTTTACAGATTCCGGCTTCCCAAGACCAAGATTGAAGTCAAGATCATAACAGCTGACTTTGGCCCAGGAGCTGAGCATAACGTCCGCCGTCGGATCCACCGTCGCCGCAAAGTTGAAACCGGACTTGTCGGGCAAGGCGTTGACGTATGTTACCAGTGCGCGTGTACGCTGAAGCATTTCTGACGGATCCAACTGTGAGCGGAGCTTCGATGCGACAGCGCCTAGTGGCTCGTCTATGAGTTGTTGAAACGTGCTCTTGTTGTAGGTCATGTTCTGCAGCAATCCTGGATAGCCCTTGGGAGCGCCCACGAAGCCCCGTGCATCCACCGCGCGGGCAAACTTGGTGTCGTCTGTGGGGTTAAGACGAGGGAGACGCGCTCGAGTAACGGATTGCCAGATAAAGGCACTGAGGGCATCGTCAGTGGAGATGAAGTTCGTAGATGCATCCCTTGACCTCTCCGCGGATGACTTCAGAGCGGATAGTGATTCCGGGCTGAAAGAGAAGTAGGCCCAGATAACTTTCGGAGGAGCAGGTGGTAGTTTAGGTTTGCTGTCCGAGGGCGGCGTCTGTGGAGGTTGAACTATTTGATTGGCAAGTTCTTTGTCAGGATCGAAAGAGTCATCCAGGAAGGGGACGACAGTCTTGCGAGGAAAGTTGCCGGTAGCTAGCTCTTCTTCTGTGAATGATTCGCCATTGCAGGCTTTGGAGAGAAGTCGGATCACTTCGCCCTGGCCGGTCATGTCCATGGTGGCGTGTTGGGCATTCACTGTAAGAATAAAGCCACCGTCAATCAGGTTGGCTTGCAAAATCAATACAGGTTCTGGGTCTGTCGGGTTGTAGTCGGGGCCTCCAGGTAGCGTCCTTCGAGGGCAAATGACGTCTTCATCGAGCATGCTCATAGGGAAGCCTGAATCCCTGAGACCCTTCATAGTTGGCGCTGAGGAATCATCTCGCAGATCCTTGACAACCAAGCGGGGCGTCTTGTCCAGGGCCGTGATCTTAAAGACGCCGGAATTGCCTTCACCTGCACCTTCGTTGACCACTTGCCCGGCAACCCAGGGGAAACTCTCAGCGAGATGCTCCAGACCTTTTTCTAGTGTGCTGATAAAGGTGGGATAGGCTGAGGGATCGGAGACAGGGAAGCAGAAGCTGATTTGGGTGTAGATCCTGAGGAAGGGCTGCTGGCCGAGGATATCGAGGTCGACCTCCAGCGCACTGCCAGCCGTCGTTGCTGTGCCTGTTGTGTTTGCAACCATGTTGAGTCGATTATGCTTGAAGATCGTAGATGAAGCTTCTATGTTGATGATAACCAATATCAATTCCCCGGAGCCTAGGTATTTATATCCGGAGAGGCGGGGAAGCTGGCGCCTTTTGCCCCACCCAACCAAGTCCACCAGCCCTATCAGGCTGTGATTGCGCATATCATTGTCTCTCTCATGATGAGTCGAAGCTCCACACGCCCGTTTTGGTGTAGTCAACTGGAGACCAAACAATTTGGTCCGGGTCGCTAACGCCGGTCGACCACGCCGACAGTCTGCAGAACTACAACCCGGTGGTGGATCAATTCGTTTGTACTGTTGCTGGCGATATTGACCAGCTTACAAGGGGAAATAGGCAGTTGGCCAGCGAAAATTACAAAAAAGAACGCCTTCCCTTAGCATTTAAGCCTCTCGCCGAAACGCAAGCACCCCCCACGAGGAGAGGAATGCCATCAAAGCTGGTGTCTTCGCGTCAAGTCTGTATGTGTTTGTAATATTAAACAAAAGTGCAACATAATAATTTTTGATCAAGACGAAATCTGGCGGCCATTTTTTCAGGCGCAGTGTGAATTGTCTGAGGCCCGTTTGGAGCTCGTGATCTCCGTGAGTCACTGGCTCAAAACGCCAGCATGATCTAATTCGGGAACTCCGCTATTGGCATGCACAGGGGGCATAAGCCTCAACAGCGTGACTCTTCAATGTGTGGTATGACGCGTGTTCAAGTCTCTGGTGATAGGCCGCAGCTCACCAAGGTGGGAAACATCGATTCGGTATGAAGGAAGCTAAGACGCCGATATGCGTGATACTATCCCCGGTGGCGTGCTCCGATGGCAGTCGGCTTCCAACTGTAGTCGGACTTTGGTGTACTTTATTCTCTATTCGACCTCGAGCCAAACATGAGAGAGCTCGTGAGAGATGATCCGGAATGACTGCGACTGAGCTTAGCCACTTTGAATCAATAAAAATCGCGAAATGCTGCACGCGACCGAATCAAGGCGTGCTGTCGATCAAGAGCTTTAGGATTGATGGTCTAGCTCGTCTATTATTATTCATCATAGAAATCTGAAAAATGAAAAATGAAAAGAAACTGGTATTTCGACTTAAAGGTTTACGACTTCAATTTCTTTTGTTCGCCCACATATTTTCTTAAAATGATGACGCCGTAATCTTCTGTCCAGAGCGAACCCCACCTTCGGACCACGCCTCCGAAATCATCTTTTCTGACTCATCAATGCGCCATATCTCCTCTGCTTCGGAGCGTTTCAGTGCTGACATTCACAAACATCACACGACATTTCTCAATCATTCCAATTCAAACTTCAAACTTAAGACAAGTGTTTCACCATGGCAACTCCAAAGCTGGGATGGATTGGTAAATAATCCCACTAATTGTAATTTGGGCCTCATGCTAATCTGATCAGGGCTTGGGTCAATGGGACTGCCCATGGCAACCAACCTCCAAAGACATCTATCTAAAATTGGTGGTCGGGATCTCCAGTTCTACAATCGCACAATGTCTCGCGGAGAGCCACTCCAGGGCCTTGGCGGTGTACCTGCCACATCGATTAAAAGCATGGTAGCAAACACTGACATCATCTTCATGTCTTTGAGTGACGACTCAGCCTTGAAATCGACATTGGATGCTGTCGTTGAAGCTGGAGATGCCCTCTCAGGAAAGCTTGTCGTTGATACTTCCACAGTCCACCCCGACTCCTCTGCCGATGCTCAGGCCCGACTTGCGGAGAAGGGCGCAAAGTTCATCGCTTCTCCTGTCTTTGGTGCGAGTCCTGTCGCAGCCGAGGGAAAGCTACTGTGGATTGTAGCCGGTCCTGATGATTCTGTCGAGGCAATCAGCCCATTTCTAGTTGGTGTTATGGGTAGGGGAGTCATCCGAGTTGGTGAAGATGTTCGCCAGTCTAGTATGATGAAAACAGCAGGGTAAGTCTACCCAAACCTTTTGGAATGCTCTAAACTGATCAACTAACAGAAACTTTATCACTGCTGGAATGATGGAACTGGTTGCCGAGGCGCATGTCCTAGCAGAAAAGACAGGCCTTGGTAGCCAAAACCTGGAGGCTCTCATCGAGCAGCAATACGGCCCTCTAGCTCTTTCCATGTCCAAGAGGCTGACAACCGGAGCATACATGCCTGCACAGGGTGAAAGACCATGGTCCGATTTAAACCTAGCACTGAAGGATGTCGGTCACGGAATCACGTGCGCTGATCAAGCAGGACTGAAGCTTGAAGTTGCCGAAGTGGCGTTAAAGCATCTCAAAGAGGCCAGCGAGTTTTCTGAGGCAGAGGGAAGGCCTCTAGACTCGTCGTCTATGTACGGCGTGTTGAGGACTCAAGCAGGGCTGTCTTTTGAGACAGACTTTGTGAAGGAAAGAGATGAGAAGAAGGACTGATCTGAGGCCACTATTTAAATTAATGCAACCGGGATCACAACACGGATATGAACTCGTTGTTTATCCGTCATCATAATTATCCCTTGTATTCTATGAAACGGCAAACCGCCCAGCTCACAGCGCCGCCTTCCCTCTGGACTCAAAAGGAAGCAGAAGGACGAGAATCCCCGCCGTAATAAACAGTGCTCTGCTCGTGTATACTGGAGCAGAAGTCTCCAAATTGGCGAATATTGCAATGAGAGGCTACTACCAGTCAATTTCGCATTCAATTAGTGGCCAAAGAGTGTACTTGCCGCCATAATGCCAAATATGCGGTTGCACGTCGCAGCTAGTGCATTCCCTGTTCCTCGCTGTGGAGTGGGAAATAACTCTGGCGTGAATCCGTAGAGGACCGCATACATGATGTTGCTGCAGAAGCTAAAGGCGCAATTCCATCCCAACAATAACTCGCTATTATGGGCGGTCGTTGAACAGTAAAGAAACACACCGGTGAGGATAGTGCTCAGCGACAAGGTCCCTTTGCGTCCGAGCTGTGGTAGTTCGACGAGGTACCCTCCCGTAAATGCTCCAGGAACACCAAGAACCGCAATGATGAGGCTGTTGCGATATGTTAAATACGTGCTGCCATCCCCAAAATCTACCCCTCTGGTAGCCTGGATATATGGCAAGAAGGCGTTGTAAAGCGGATATCCCAGGCCGATCAAAGCCCACACAGCCATGATCAGACCTGTACTAAGACCAAGGGATCTTGTAGAGAACAGCGGGCGAACATTGCTGAGCGCGAGTTTCTCAAGGTGTCTCTTCAACGCCACTGCGGCATCGGTCCGAGCAACGTATCCCTCAGGCTCGCAAGCCTTCAAATCGCCAACGGTCAAGTCACTGGTGGTACCGTTTCGTTTGGCGACCTTGTGCACGACCTGAACGGCCTCTGCATCGCGACCCTTGCTCATGAGATACTTGGGCGACTCATGAATGGTAAAGAAACAGAAGCGAATAATGAACATGATGAGGGTGAGGCCGCCAACAGCAACCACGAAATATCGCCAGCCCATGTTCTTACCCCGCGTGCAAGGTTCGTCTTGTTCACACGTGAGATTACCCAACAGCGGCCAAGCGATCAGTGTTGCAACGACTTGGGCGATGGCCCAGTCGATGGAGAGAATAGTAAGAAGGTACTGATGCGACGCGGGCAAGAATTCAAGAAAGATTGCCGAGTCCACGGGGAGATTCCCGCCAACGCCAAACGACCAGAGCGCGGCGAATGCTCCAATGGCGGCGAAACTGGGGGAACCCGCTGCGACCAGGCCCCAGACCGCCGTGAGGCCGAGAGTGAGGTTGAAGGCGAGTTTCCGGCCAAAAATATCGCACCCAAATCCCCAGAACATGGCTCCACCGAGAAGACCGATGTTTTGCGCCAGCGTGAGAAGCGGTGGGTGTGCGGGGGCGAACTCGTTGGCGATGGGCGTGAAGATGAGTGAGGTCACGATGGGCCAGAGATTGTCGCTGGCCCAGCCGAATCCGATGACGACAAATAGTTCCCATTGGTATCTTCCCATTCCAATATCTCGGATCTGGTTGAATGCCATGTTAGAGAAATAGCCTATGAAAAGACACTGTTTGCACCTACAGCTCGGTTGAGGATTGTGGCCTTTGCCTCGTAGACGGGGTCCAGAGCTCCTGTGGGGATGATTGCGACATCATCGACCCAAGGCTCAGCACTGTACCGGCTGACTTCATTTATAACGGGTCTGTGGACTATTTGCTCGGGGTCGATATCCAAGTCTTCATCCTTGTATGCCGGTGTCATTTTGCTGAAAATTTGCGACGCTCGAGTCTCCGGCTGGACAATCGTCTTGTTCACTTGTCACTGCAGCACGGGAGATCCGCAGATATATACAGGGGATGCAAACGCGGGGATGAAGGTGGGGGTCGGTCACCCCTGTTACGTCGGCACGATGTGTAATGGCGCAATCTCTAGTGAACCATCTTGGGGATACTGATTGGATTTCAAAGCTGGTCGTCCCATGGGCATATGCAGCGCAATGTATTGCAGAGGCAAATGTACAACCCCCCAACCGGCTGCGGCGGAATCGTGCTGACACGCCGCCACTTCACCCTGATTTGACATTTTCGTTACGTCATTTGGAGATGATGACAGGCATACGAAGACCGCCTTTCTTTCTTCCATGTCAAAAAATAACGGGCTCTGGAGATGTCAGTCCGAGTGGGGATTGGCTATCGAGTAGGCTAACATTCAAACAACATCTTTCGGACCTGGATCCCGGAAAGGTCAGCCTCGGAGGTTAGATCTGTGACCTCAATAAGCAGCTATTTCACGTGCTATATCACGACCCATTCTCCTTCGCCCTCGTCTTAGTCCTAAATTATGCTCATTACGGGCGGATCGTCATCCAGCTCAAGACCTTCCTTCATCCGCCGTCTCCTCTCATCTAGCCAGCGCCTCCACGTTCGATATCTCTGCTTCCGCTGAGAGACTTCAAGCGGTCTCCTTCCCCAGTGGGTACCTTCGTGCTCTCGCAATAATTTCTGCATGCCGAATGCCTTGTACTCCTCTCCGTTTACCAGGAAATCAATGGTCTCTACTACGCTTTCGTACAATACCATCCCATAGTTTATGGTGTGATAGGAAAGGGCAAGGAGATGATCCAGTTCTCTGGTCATGTACAACGCAAGACGCTCTTCCGGCGCAATGGAAGCGTCGTGGAGGTACCTATCTATGAAACGGTGTGTTTCCCCTTCATCCTCTCCCTCTTTCAACACAATGCTCCTGTGAGCAGCACCATCCGTCGGAGCGAGGACATCGACGACTACTTTCTTCACAACGTATCGAGGCCTCAAGTTCCTGGGTATTCCGATTGGTTCGGGCCCTAGATAACCCGGTCCATTTGTGAGCAGTGCCGTCAGCAGCCTGTAGAAAGACCAGACGGCGAGGGGTGGTCCGCCGTCACCACCCCGGAAGCTCAGACTCTCCCGGAAGCGAGGGTCAAGGTCGTCGGTAGGTTCGAAGAGTCGGAGTCTGGCATGTACTGAGTCGATATACTGCGTCCGGGGAAGCACGGGGATCGACCAGGTCGTCCACAGGCCGTATCCTTTCACAAACATGATGTCGACATGGTAATCCGTGGAAGCATGTTGAAGCACATAATTGACCTCGGTGCGAAATTGTTTGTTCACCAAAAGGAGAGGGAGCGCGGGATTTTGCGGCGGGAGCTGCCAAACTCCACGCCCAGAGAACGTATCTTGCGACAGTTTCCGCCGCCCTTTCTGGCTAACTGAGGGGGAGGCTGGTGGGTTGATTGGAGAGCAGATGACCCATTCAAAGATTCTCTGCCGGATCTCGAGTGGAATTTGGTTCAAAGCCATGATTGATGTCGTCTGTTGTGTATTGAAGTAATGCGCTTTTGTTTTTCCAACGAGGAATTCGTTTTTAAGCGAAGTAAGAGACAGCAATCACCTGGAGGAGTGGAATTTTATTGCGCCGGAAGCCTAAATCCTAGAGAACCAGCACCACTAACCTTTCTCAAAGCCCCACCTTCCTCATCTCACGTAATGTGGCGCGTGGCTGCTGAGGCCTTCCTCGAATCCTTCCGCTTAGCATAGGTTATTATTTTCATGGAGGAATGTAAGTCAGAGAATACACTCGATATGGCCCTTGTGCATATATAGATAATATGGAAGCAGTCGATCTTTACAGTCACAGGGGTGGCAATTGCCATCCTATCCCTCATTCGCAACATGTTATCCACGTTTTTCTGCCTTGCTACAGCGGCGGGCGCCTTGGCTGAATCTGTACATCCTCGTCATCAATTTGATTCGTCGGCATCATATGCTGCAAAAGACGTCGAGCGAGATTTTTCCATCATCGGCGGTGGAGCAGCTGGGACTGATGCAGCAATAATTTTGGCCGATCAAAACAAAAGCCTTATCCTGGTTGAAGTCTCAGACCGGCTTGGAGGAAACACAAGGACCTTCTACCATTTTACAAGCAAATTGCCCTTTCCAACTATACACAGGGCAATGTGCAATTCCCGTGTCGGTGTGAATCCGTATATTGATTGAAAACTCTGGAGGACATACTGTTGTCTAGGCCGCCATACGCTCAACACGACGCTGTAGGACCTTGACCAAATCTATCCCAACCTTGGTAGACTCATCCAGGCTCTCATCCGGCAAGCCAAGCTGCTCATTCTGGGCCTTGGCGGAAAGATCATTCGGATCCTCCGGGTAGAATGCCCTCGCGTACAGCAACTTGCTAAAACCAATCATGTTACCCTCTTTAACTTGCGCCAGGCCATCCTCGTACCGCTTCTTGGTGGACTCGTGGGTGACGGTCCAGTCGGCATCAGACATGCCCGTGACGCGCTTGACGCTCTCAAACATGTCGTTTTGGCTGACCACAAAGCTCTTGAGGTACACGCCCTTGTTGAAGAACCCCGAAAGAGTAAGACTCTTGTCGTTTTCGTCGTCAGGAAGCTCTTTCAGGCTCAGAACCTTGGCTACGGCCCGCCCAACCTGCGACAAGGTCGACGTCGAGTTCTTGGTGTTGCCATCGTCATAAATTGTGAGGGACCGCTTGTCAAAGTCGAAGCCGAAGCGCGCCTCGCCACCTGCCAAGCTATAATCGTACCAAAATCCACAACACACAGTGATCCATTGCATGCCAAGCCTCTCAATTTCGTCCCTATTTGCTTTAGCAACAGGCCCCAGCAACGTGTCCTCGCCTAATTTAATGTTCTCGATGTCACCGGCGTAACCGTTGGGCATGACGTAGGGAACGCCAGCCTTGGCGGCCGCCTGAACCAGCTTGCTGTGGGTGTCCCGCGGCGCGGTGGGAGCCATGGTGATGATGAAAAATTGCTGGTCCTTGAGAGCGGCTACAATGCTGGCTTGGTCGCTGTAGTCGATTGGGGCGACTACGACACCCTCGGGGAGTTTGTTGCTGCTGCCTTTGCGGGTGAGGGCCTTGACGGAGTGTTTTCCGGTTTGAAGGAGGGCAGCGGTGATGTGCGATCCGATGGTGCCTCCAGCCTAGGGTGGATGTGTCAGTGTTCATGTAACTTGCGTACGCCATGTGTGATGTTGACAAGAATATACTTACTCCGACAATGGCGACTCTCTCGATGGCGTTGTTGAAGCCAACGGGCTGGCTTCTGGCGTATCTGAGCATTTTTGGGGTTTCCTGATCAAGATTTGGAGTCGAATGCCAGAGTGTGTTATTGCGGTGGCTAGCGGTTGTCAAGTATTGCCCTCCTCTCTAGTAGGAAACACCTGTCTCTTTATACATTTCAGGCTCAGCCTCGATTTCTCCTCATCTCGGCTTATTCACATCCGACCAAGGTTGGAAAGACCGAACAATCATTCTCCGTCCCGTGTGACCGAGTTGACCCGGCCAGATCCACAAACTTGATTCGCCCTGGGAGGGGTTCAAGGTTGACACCGTCTGATGTGCGGCTGCGGTTGACGGCCAAGTCCGCAGCAGCCGCATTAACCGCAGTAGCCGCACCGCAATAAGCCGCATAAGACAACAACATAACGGTGATTATTCAACAGCGGACTGATGGAGGAGCGAGCTCCGAGCATCTCTACTGCAACGCCCAGGGCGAGGAAGATGAAATCCCCGAGAATGAGTACAAACCTATCTACACCCCATTGCGCCTCGCAGTACTGACACATGAATACGATGGGCATTATTTGACAACGCTACCATCGTGCTGGCTGATTAAAGCTCACTCACAGTGGTCCCTACTCGTTGATCTTATTCGTCGTCACCGTCACCTATACTCCCTTCACTTCGCCATCATTGCTCGCTCATTCGGCATCGAGAATGAGCCGGGCAAGATGAGCTAGTTCTCGGCGGGATACTCCCTCACGGTCGGCACCTTCATCCTCATCGCGGGACGCCTTGGTGACGTCTTCGGCAACAAACGTTTCTTCTTGAGACCAGAGCCCTCTATTTACGTCTGCTGAGTTCGTTGCTATCGCCATGAGCGGATGTTGGCTGCCGTCATCACAGGTCTGATGTTGAGCCACTTCCTCGCCTCGGCCGTCATGGTTCTCTCCATGACGGCCTTCCTCGCCGCCGGCATTATTATCGCAGCAGTGCCCGTCTACCAGACCTACGGGGCGCAAACTTTCGTGGCCATCATCACCCTTCCCCGCCGCCACCATCGCCCTGAGTCGGGTCATGCCGCGGCGGGGCCAGTGTCTTGCCATGTCGTCGGTGAAGGCGACTGAGAAGATGATACAGGGAATGAGCCAAACGAGAGTGTACTACGTCTAGATATACATTATCACCAGTTTACATAAACACAGAGCTGAGCTCTTCATTCGTCTATCGCAGAATGCCACAGCATGTTCCAATGCGTTGCATGCCAAATAGCTGCTGAGCGGAGTCCAGCAAATGTCCAATGGCCCCCGTGCCATTACAACTAGACATCAGGACCGAACATGGATAAATATGGCTCGGCGAGGAACTGCTCCCAGTCTATCCCCCAGCCCATGTCTGGCGCATCGGTGTTGGCCTCAGAATCCGGCTGCACCTGGAAGAATTGATAGCCCGCATTGACAGCTTCCAGCTGGGCAAGCTCCTTTCGCTTCTTTTCCGTATGGAGGCTGAGAAGATGCCGCGCCATGGACAATGCCTCACGCGTCGGTTTTGTGTCGGCAGCGTTGACGATATTCTCCAAGCCCTTGAAGGCAGCGGCGATGTGAACCGAGGCGGCTGGTTTGTCGATGGCCAACAGGACGCAGGTATACTGGAACACGCTGCCGATGACGTTCCAGAACAGATGGCCCTGGTTAGCTAGCTGCTGAGCCGCATCCACTGCAGCGTTGCCACTGTCAATGACAAGCTTAATGATGTCGTCCGAGATGCCCAACTTGAGCTGGTAAATGCGTCGATAGAAGCAAAACGTGAGCTCCGCCTTGGTCACCACCAGAAACGGATGAGTGCATTGGAGCTTTTCCAATGATTTGATACGCTCAAATAGCTCCTCCCGGGGAGTGGGAGGCTGACATTCGAAGTGGAACGGGGAGTTGGGCGCTGGGATGATCTGGGCTATCTGCACGAACTGGTCGGCAACGGACCCTGATGTCGGGACGATAGCCTGGCAAGTCACGGCCCGAAATTGTACAGCCGAACGATCGTACTCATAAGATAACAAGTTATGGCCCGCCCACGAGATCCAGAATATTCGCCTCAGCCGGTCTGCATCATGTCCAGCGAGAGCGGCGCCGGCGACGGACGCCATCTCCTTGATATTCTCTTCCTTGTGCAGCCCTACCGCTTCGCACAGGTGCATCGCAGTGCAAGACGCGATCCAGGCATTGCTGGGGCGGCTCGTGGCTCGCAGGTAAAGCACTCGCATGCCCCACGCGATGATGTGGTCGATGCCCAGCATGCGCATGGAAGCCGGATCATCAAGGATGGCTTTGGCGTACTGCACCAGATCAGGCTCCCGCGGGTGTCTGTCTGGGGATAGAAATGACCCCAGAGCGGCGACGCCAGCGGCCACGGCGCCAAAGGCGATCAGGGTGCTGGCGGAGCCATGGTAATAATCACGACATCGCTGGGCGTAGATTCTTGGGTCCAGGAGGTCGCCGATAGGTGCCAGTACCGAGAAGTACACACCCGAGAAGAATTCAAGGTCGGCCTCGGAGATGAGTGTCCCCAGCAAGACATGAGCGCTCGGGGCCTCCTCAGGGCGGATGCCAAAGTTGTAGGCGAGCGAGCGTATCTTGGAGGGGCTGTCGGAACCGAGAACCTCGCTCAGGATATGCGGGAATGCCATGGCCGCCGACGCTCCGGCGCCGGCGCCGAGGGTGGGGCTCTTGGCCGATGAGCCATCGGCTTCACGGGGGCTTCGCTCCGCTTGAGACGGGCTGCCGGAACTCCGTGATGCGGCGCCGGCCCGGCTTGCCATACTGCGTCCGCCCTCGAGGCTGACACGCTTGACTGGGAGAGTGCCAGTGTTGTCGTCGTCGGCAGCGGCGGCGTAAGTGCAGTTGTACTCATAGGTGGTACAAGTGCCACAAGGGTACTCACCGTCGCATTTCCGCTTGCGCTGGTGGCAGGGGATGCATGCCTTCCTCGCACGCTTGCGCTTGGTCATTGGCATCAACATGTCTGCTAATGGGGGGTGAGCTTTAAAGCTGCTGTGCAAATACAATTTTGGTAGAGTTGACTTAAATTAGTCGATACATCCGGTTACAGTCGAGGTTCCGTCAGCCAACAATGGTGCGCGTATGTCACTCAAAACGAAATAGGTCGTAGCGTGTGCGCTGGTGCTGAATTTTCCTGTGGTTGTCAATCCCATCAGGTAGGATGTAGGATTTGTCATGTAGGTTGTCGGTATCGTTGGTCGTAATAAAAATATTGCTCCGGCGAGCACGTTGGATGCTGCTCGAGAGACCAGTAGGACGAAAGCAGCAGGCCGTCTTGTGGCGTCTGGTGTCAGTAGCTTCAATGTGTTTGGAGGGTTTAGCCAGGGAATGGAGTTAGCAGTATGGCCCGAAACCACCATGAGATCCATCTCACGTGAGTTTGCGGCTGAGCTGTCTTCCGCCTAATTCAGCGGGCTGGCAAGCCAAGTTATTTTCTCGGTAGTTACCTCTCAGGTCTAGCTAATCGGTCAAGACATACCGTGGCTAGTTATTTTGCCATAGACAGGATTAATGTTGGGGGTGGTTTGCAGCGATCAATGAATGGCAATGCCCAACTAGAGAAGGTCATGAGGGTGCAAATGCGGGCTGAATTGGACAGAAACGGGGCTGAGGAAGGCGAATATTTTTCCACCTTGGCACAGCCCATCATTGCACGATGCCCAATGAATGATGCCGTGCTAATGCGCCACGACGCTTCAGGATCCCAAGAAGCAGTCTTCTTTCTTTTTCCTGCGGCACGTGAGGTGCACGCCACTCATTGTCCTACCAAACATAAACCGCAGTGGGAGGGCGTCTAATTCCTCATAGAAAACAACACCCGGCCATGCCAATCCAGCTCCAGTCTGCAACTCAAAAGCCTCCTACTTCTGGAGATGACGAATGACCCTCCTCCATGCGTAGTTAAGCGCAGTCGAGTAACGTCCCATTCGGCTCTCCGCCTTGCCAACCCCGCTCGAGCTAACCGCTGCATTACCAGGCCATTCCATTTACCATCCGACTCCTAGAGCGAGACGACAACCGTTGCGCTAACACGTCTCGATGCAATAACGAACATTTCCAGTCGCTTCCGCTCTCTTTAGATGGCACACAATCTGGTCATCTGGCGGCCCCGGCTCCTCGGGCTGCGGCCAGCGTCAACGAGGACGACTGCGACAAAGAATATCTCGCATCGCTTCTGCACGCGTCGTTCCGCACCAAATCCGATAATTTGGCAGCCCCGACCCGTCATGTTATCGCCAGCATCGACACGGAGCTCGACCTGCACAGGTTGACGAGCATTCACAGCTTGTTGTGGCTCGCGGGTCGGCCCATGCCGCCTCGCCCGCTGCACCATCAGCTTCTTCTCAGCAGGGACATCCTGGTCACGGAGCGGATGGACATGCATCTCGTGTGGACAACGGGCCGGATATTCCTCAAGCCCATCCCACGATTCCTGCTTGAGCCAAAGTTCTGGGAGGAATATATGTGCTGCAAGCAAGACTCCAAATGCTCCGTGGACAGCGCCGCCACCAACCCTCAGGAATGCGACCATCGAAAGCGTCGCAAGCGTGCGCTCGGCTTCCTGTTTTCCTACGCCGCCCTGATTTCTCACGAGAGCGACTTTCGACTCGCCGAAGAAAAGCACCTCCTTCCACCCGGTGTGCGGTGGTCGGCGTGGAGGACGTTCGTCGAGCAGCTGGACACGGAGCACATCTACCCGGAGATTGACCCGCGATTCCACTACGGAGAACTTCGTCTGAGTCGGCTGAACAAGCTGTACCGTCTGTGGCAAACCCCGCTGAGCAACTACATGACTCACTGGAACCAGTATGGTTCCTTCTTTCAGGACAATTTTGCCTGGCTGACTGCCGCGACGGTCTACATCGTCGTTGTCCTGACCGCGATGCAAGTCGGGCTTGCCACCGGGACTCTCGGCGGAAACAAGGCCTTCCAGAGGGCGTCATACGGTTTCACCGTCTTCTCAATTCTGGGGCCACTCATATGCACCGTGCTGATCCTCCTGATATTCTCGTACTTCGTTGTGAACAACTGGTTCGCGACCCGCATCTACCACCACAAACGATACAAAATCATTAGTCCGCCGAAAGAACAGACTTGAGCTGCGGGTGTTTAGGCACAGGGGGGGGAATTTGCACTTTAATTTAAGAAGGGGAAAGGAATCTCAATTCAATTCTTGGGTCAGGTTCGGCTTTAAGTATGACAGAGCGCTTTGGACCGTTTGGATCCGGGATCTTGGCCATCATCACAATAAAAATCCAACCACAAGCTACCCCCCGTCCTTTAGGAGTACTCTGCTCCCTCCCGGGGATCTTCAACGTACTCGCTAGAAAACCCACAATGCCCCAAATTTTCTTCACCAGGGCCCTCCCTATGGCTGTCCGTAGCGCCCCATTTCAACGAGGCAAATGCTTCCTCTGGCTGCGGAGTGCCGTGTAGGTGATGACAGGCTGCTGCAATTGCGAGGCTGCAGCTCCCCACTACTGGGATTGCAGTTGGAAGGCGACGGAACCCCGTGAAAACAACAGCCAAGACCATTGCGAAAGATGTCATGGCTACTGCAATCATGGCAATAGGTGAGTACCCACACGTAGAGTACAGCGTTGTATCGCTTACAGTCCCGAGCATCGTGTCAGGCTCCGTTGATCTGTCAACCGCGACAACGAAGATGCTCTGAGATAGCATCCAGTGTATGAGAATCGATGCCAGCACCAACGGAACGCTCCAGCGGTATGGCAGCTGCAAGAAATAGCGAGACCGCTGTTCTCCTTTTGGATCTGATGAAACCCGCAATCCCTTCCGTTTCAGACCAAAGTCGCTCCATTCCTTAGCTGCGAGCATCCCTGTGAGCAGGCCATTATACTGAAAGTATAATCCTGAGAAAATAAATTGCGGGATATTGGCTAAAAGCACACTTAGTATGACTCTAGAGTCATTATTTCCAAAGTTATTTATCAACGACACTTCTGTCACTGCCCCAAAACCGAGGTCCCATAGGGTCTTAAGATCTTTGGGGCTACTAAGATTAAGGATGCCCCATATGATGAAAAACAATAGGACGCTCATAGAAGCTGAGTAACTAATCCCAAAGAGTCAGTCTTGAATTCTGGATGAATGTGTTGAGGCTTGCCCGCAAGGATCATACGGACTCAACAGCGACAATAAGAGAGGAGAGATCCTACATCACGAGGCTCATGATCCACCGACGTCGGGTAATGGCCGCTCCCCACCTCCTCTTAACTGGAACCCACGCACGAGGCCCAATCCAATCATGCTTTGCCCTTCGTGTAACATCCTTTGCCGAAGCGAGACAACTGTCTCTCGAGGCTCCGTCTGGAGTAGACAAGAAAGATCCAATGGCATCCCCAAGAGCAAGGAGCGCCTCCTCAGGCGGTCGTAAGGCTGCATATAGAAGAATGACAGCCTTTAAGGCGTTCGTGATAAGGACAATGGCGATGAGATTTGGGTTGAAATTGAGTCGACAGTGTTGGTCTACTCGCTTACTGAGACAGTACCGGATCCGATCACCAAACGGATCCCAATTATTCACCTGTTTCTTGACCGTCGGTAGCGAAGTCCGGCAATTATAAACAACGTCAACAGGAGCATTGTTGCATATCCAATCATATGCGTAATCAGTGATAACCGTCTTAAAGATGAAAGAATCTTCATAACGGGGTATTCCTTGCCAGTTCGGATCCTCGCCAGGCTCAGAAACTAACAAAACATGTTGACGGGATGTCTGAAATGACGTGGCATACTCGTTGATGCATTGGGAATTTGTGAGATTCTCAAGGTCGCCAGAGCTAGCGAGATCCCATAAATTTCCGATCGCTTCAAGTGCACCTGGGACCATATCAGGTAGACTCTGGTTCAGATTGCTCTGAAACTGCGTGGTCTGGTTCACCTGGTGAAACTTGGATGAGAAGGTTGAATTTGAATTAGTGGCCGTCTCATTAACTCCCACAATGATATAGTCAACAGTCGTTAGAGAGGAATAAACCACAGAGTTGTAGCTATGGAGAATGTTTAACAAGTAGCCCCATGACATAGAGATGGAATCGTGGAATGTTCATAAGACCTACAAGAGATGCAAAGGCGCTGATGACAGTGCTAATATCCCCCAGAGAATGGCTCTCTTCCGCGGAATGTCAACCAAGTTGCGTATGCTAGGTATTCCAATGTCCATCCACTTCCCTCTGCCGTGAGCCTTGTCGACTTCGCCGCGAGTCGGGGCGGATAAACACTGCATGCCATAGTTGCTTGCTGCCAAGAGTATGGAACTGAGTATGTTGATGAGAAGATGCAGCGTCACATTGATCTTGCGGATGTCCGAGCATGATCCCTCTTTGAGAATTCTCCGGCTGCCGTCTGTGGCGCCTCCACGTGGCAGAGTCGTAGACCAAATAGTGACGCCCAGATTGAGCGCGAAGACGATAATGCAGCTACTTGCACCGATGATGAGGCCGACCTTGCATGCCGATGCATTGGTGACTCGCTGGGGCGGTTGAATGCGTTCGTCGTTTGTGTCGAGAGAGGATAGTCTAGCTCGGCCTTCCCATTGCCTGGTCAGGCTACGGAGCTCAAACGCCATGAGGTATCTGTGAAGCTGAGTGAACGACGGAGTGGAAGTTTCCCCATTTGCGTCATAAACTCGAAATCCAATAATGTTGCCTGATGATAAAATGTTGGATCGGGCGGAGTCTGGGTGCCTTCGTTGGAGAGCTTTCGCCCCCAAACTGATTGAAGATCCAAAGGATCGCATTTGTGGACCAAGGTAACAATGGCTGATGCCTAAATAACGCAGGACAGTCCTGCAGTATAGTGGGGCTATTTTAGGAAAAAGGAAACAATACAGTAGCTAGATTGGCTGCGTTATGTAGTATTGTGTCGCGGGGACGCAGCACTCGCAGCCCAATTTCACTTGCCAAGAAACAGAAGTTCCAGCCCATCAGCTCAACTTTCAGGTGCGGACCAACAAATACAACCTGGCTCAATGTACAGTCCAATCATATTGTTTTCGCGGCCTCCATTATTCTATGCTCCGCGAGATGCGAGCCGCCAGGCTAGCGAGAAGCAAGGCAAGTTGAGGCGGGAAATAGGCGCGTGAGATGGCCTGGGCTTGCGCTCGCATCGTACAACATGCAGCCTTCCCTTCAGCCGCAGAAGCTGAACCTTTAGTGCTGACATGGTGGTCGTTACGTCGGCAAAGAAGGCTGGGCCGCATGTCCTCTTTTGCCAGCCGTACACATATGTATAGATCTACAGGTCGTATCGGCCGTATAGCAAAATGAACGAGGTGTTAGATTACCCCTCTTGCGGCGAAATACTGACCAGAATTGCACAATCCTCCGATATACCGGTATCCCGATACCCTGACCTTAGTCAGCGGGGGTGAAGTTGGTTGAGCGAGAAGCCCCTCTCGAGACACAAGGCTGCTGGAGCCACCCGAGCGCAAACAATACGTGGTGGACAGAGCGAAAGAGAAATGGAAACCGAACAACTCACCCGAAATGCAGATTGGCAATGGCTCTGGTGGTGATGTGTCGGCGAAAGCAGGGAGGGTCGAAATGCTACGTAGGATTAAGATCGGTTCTGGAACTGGAATTTCTTCTCAAGGGTGCAAGTGACTGTGAGACATAGCTAGCTGCTCTGCCACCGCAGAACTCTTAGTCGATATTGTGACACCTGCGCCCTTCCACATCGTCTGTCCAGAATGTCTTATGCTGCATGCGCCCAGTCATGTAATTGAATATACTCCTGAACGGCTAGAATATCACGGAAATTCGTATCAATTTGAGCTTGTTACTCTTTGAATTATGGATAGTCTTAGTCATGATCCCCAGGGAGCATTCCAGATGCCTAGCCACAGCACCATGTCGCATGACGAGATTTTATCATAACGCATCTCTTCAGTCAAATCAAATCTAAAGTGTCGTCCAGTTTTCTCTATGTCTTTATGTGAAATTCGTTACTCGGCAGCGGTTCTGTGAGAGCCCAGAGGATGCCATCTTCCACGACCTTGTCCCATCGCCTGGACGCAGATATCTTCTCGTCATACCATCGGAATCCGTGCGGAAGACCCATAAACAAGTTGACGTCTGTGGGAACCCTGTAGAATGTCAGTCAATTCTCTCCCGCGGAAGAGTTGTTTGCTTACCCAGCCTCGGTCAACATCTTGGCGTAAAGAAGGGCTTCGTCTCTCAAAGGGTCCAGCCCCACGATCCCGAGAACTGTCGGTGGCATTCCCTTGACTTGATCTGGCGAGGCATTGCCAGGATTCAACTTGGTGTCTTTGACATCGGGGTTCTCAACCTTGAGCAAATCGGAGAAGAAGCGAAGCTCTGTAACAGACAGTAACGGCGCCTTTTCGTTCAGCTTGTAGGAAGATACAGAATGGTGCTTCATCTTCTGGAGTTGGGGCTCGTAGCAATCGGGGTAGGCGAGGCAGGGAATCATGAGGACCTGGCCTGCGATTGGAGGCCGGGCATCAGTCTCCCTGGCGATATGTCTCTGAAGAGTCAGCGACGCAGAAAGCCAGCCTCCTGCGGATATCCCACCGACTATGACCTTCCTGGGATCGCCGCCAAACTTTTCCATGTTGTCGTGTGCCCACTCAAATGCATCTTCAGCGTCATTCCACTGGGTGGGATACGTGAACTCCGGAGTGTGTCGGTAGTTCACGTTGAGAACGGCAACCTGGGAACTGGAGGCGACTCGGGCGCAGATACTATCTTCCCCGTCCAAGGTGCCGATCAAAAAGCCGCCACCTTGGAAGTGGATGTACACAGGGAGAGGTGTTTCGTTGAGGATGGTGACAGGTCGATAACTGCGAGCTTCGATAAAGCTTCCATCTCGGGTTGGGATAAGATAGTCATGGGTATATACCCGATGCGCCAAGTGCTTCATTGTTGCAGCTGATTGAGCCTCTCGCTCTTGATTCGTTATCTTGCGCAGTTCAGATAGCGACAGCTCTTCTCCCGTGGATGCCGGTAAACTTGCTTCCAAAGCAAGCCACTCGTCGTCTATCCCCCCATAGGCAGAAAAGTCGCACATCGCGGCTTACACAATGGTGAAGGGGAGGTCGGGCGTCTTTTTGAGCAGTGAAATAGCGTCTCTCTAGAGTCGTGAGAGATCAGGATGTCAATAGGGAGTTCTCCACGTCGACCTGGTGGGAACCAGCTTGGCGGTATCGGCGGACGGCGATCCAGAAGGACCAGAAAAGCCACCGGTAGAGAATTTATGGAGGGTTCGTATCTGCTGTCTCTGTGATAAGTTAACGATATATTCGACAGAGCACGGCAGTGAAATGTTTGGAAATTAGATTTGTCAGATTCAGCCGCGGATCATCGGAATGAAGCTTCGGCTAACCACGGTGGAGCAGCGAGTTGGGAATGCCGGGGGTGGAGACGGGCCGAGGGAGCTTGAAGGCCCCTCAACGAACGAATAGGGAGTCTGATTCTATCGTTGAGTCTCTACATGATAGCATTGGTTCATCAATGATCAAAGTCATTCGGGCCGCATGATTACTGCTTAATTCAAACCACTTGGCCCAAATCATGTCGTAAGCAAGTCAACTTTCGAGCATCTAACCTGCTGAATAATAAGACAAACGCCAAGAGACATTAATTGTTGAAAATGCGTATATTATTATTATTTTAAGAAAAGACATGCCTTTTGGCTCATTCAATTCTGCTCGTGCCCCCTCTTTCGCAACCAATCACTCTCTCACTTGATTGCATTATAGTATGGGTATCATGGTGTCCTTCCCGATCATAAAACATCCGTATGCATGTTGAAGCATTCAATGGGCCTCCTAGGCCTGATGTTATTCGTCAATGCAATCGCCGTCCCACTTAGGAACTTCGGCGGCCATACGGCTCGAATGGGAACGCCACCGAGACGCCAGCCATGGCAATGAAGAGAGCCGCGCAAATGTACAAGGGAGCCGGGGTGTTGGTATCAGCCTCTGTCGCGATGACAGCGGACATGATACCCATGACTCGGTTGCAGGCCACGGCGATACCGTTTCCAGTGGCGCGGTGAGCACTGGGGAGAACCTCGGGGGTGTAAGCGTACAGGGTGCTATAGTAAATGTTGATGAAGAAGGCGATGAGACAGGTAAATGCGGTGTCCTGTGCAGCAGTCTGGACAGCTGTGTAGGCGAAGAAGAAGGCCATTGTGATGAGAGCACCAATAACCATGGTATACTTGCGGCCGAGTTTCGTGTTGCACATAAAACCAGCAAGGATGGGCCCAGGGATACCACTGATATTAGTCAGAGTGTAGTTACGCCATGTCTCCAACACTGTCCGGTTGAAGACTCTGCCATTGTTTGCCAGGTACGTGCTAAACTCAGGGTCAACATTTAAATTCTCAGCATCTCGGGGACAATGGCCAAATCCGCAAGGCAGGCCAAAATATACTCACGGCAGGAAAACGTAGAACAGGGGGTAAGCCAGACCGATCAATGTCCACGACAGAAAGATCAATAAGGTCGAGGTCGTCATGGGCTTGTTGCTGAAGAGGCCGCGAACATGGACCATGGTCTCAGCGACGGAGAAGCGGTCCTTGCTGTGGGCGGATTTGATGGTGCCGCACGCCTCCAGCTTTTCTAGGGTCAGGGAACAGGGTCGGTTGTACGTGGTGGACAGGAACTGGAGCGTCTCGATCAACTCGGCCTCCTTGCCAACTCCCAAGAGGTACTTGGGCGTCTCGCGCAGTCTCACGACCGTGATGCGGAGCACGGACATGACGAAGACAATAGAGCCTCCAGTGAACATGACATATCGCCATCCCCAGTTACCGTCCTTGGTGCACGTCTCGACATCGGCGCAGTTCCACTTCTCGGGCACCATGAATCCCCAGGCGATGAATCCCGTCACGGCCTGGCCAATGCCCCACCAGCAGGCGAGAAGAGTGAGCAGCCACTGCTTGTTGCTGGGTAGGTACTCGAGGAAAACGGCCGTATCCATAATGAGATTGCCGCCGGCGCCGAAGCTGAGCAGGGCTACAAAGAAGCCAAGCGAGGGCCAGTTGGGCATAGCACCGGCGACGATACAAGCGCCAGAACAGATGAAGAGGGAGATGTTGAAGGCATGCTTGCGGCCAATCATGTCAGCGCTGAGGCCCCAGAACAAGGCGCCCAGCAACATTCCGACGTAGGTTGCAATGGTGAGGCCATTTGCGTATCCCTTTTGGCCAAACTCCTTGAACGCCTGTCCGGCGATGATGGATTGGAAGAGGGTGATCATAGAGTCCACAGCATAGCTTAATGGATCATCAGTGTCAGTAAGAGCGCCAACCGACGGGAATAGTAGCCTACGCTAGGTTTCTTACCCGAAGCCGTTGAGGAACAGCAGCTTGAGATGGTAGTTGGTCCATCCAATCTCGTCAATAGCCTGGAATCCTGGTTAGACCGGTGACACTCCATGGCTGAACGCGGCGTACATTGTTGACGAGGTGCATCTTCAGGTTAAGCGCCGGGTCGATGTCCTGCAGGTCGAGGATATCCTGGCCGCCGGAGAAGACAGAGCCCTCAGCACTAGCGACCTCTTCAGGACCCAAGTCGCCGGTGGCCTTGCCGTCTCTCTCCATCTCGGCCGTGTCCCTGCTTATTTTGGCGTGAGACATGTTTGTGTGAGGATTCGTTTGCTCACGTGTGCACCGAAAAAGTCAGAGGTTGGAAGGAATGCGTGTCAGAAGTCTAAACCCGAAAAATCAGGGTTTTATGGCTGCCCGGGAAATGCTCAGAGCGGAGATGATGCAGTGGTGAGGGTGGGGACATTCGGTGGGATGTTCGTTATCGCGGGCTTCAATGGAGTATCTTGAGGGTGAAGTTGGGGACCTCTGAGTGGCCACGCGGGGCAACGTGCTCGCGAGTCACACGATGAGAGGCAGATCGACAGTGAAACTTCCTTGCCAGCGTAACACGCACTAGACCTCTAGAGGCAAACCAGTGGCTAGCCCACCAGGCTCGCGGGCACGTGTGGTCGGACGGATGTAACGTAGGCAGAGGCTTCAAGCGACAATACAGACGATTTCAGTGGCTCTACGTCATTAATAAATTGATAGATTGCTGGTGGTGTTGTTGTGGGGAGAACACTGCATGATGCGACTGTCACTGGAATGGAGCTATCTTGTTGGCCATGATTCCTCCATCTCCACTGTTCGCACCCCTGAATAACGAGACATTACCGTATCAATTGAGGGCAAGGGCACCTGCCGGATACAGATGAAGTCTTTCAAGTGTAACTTACTTAGCTATCAGATAGACAGAAGTGAGGTGATTTAGCATGCATTTCGTAGAAAGGCATTGGACAGCCTACTCAAGCCCGTCCCCCCTCGGATGTCGCAACCGAACGCCTTGCATCTCTTGTGGTCCTCCAGGTTCCCGAATATATTGGCACGTTTTGACTTTGTATGTGAAGACCCTCACCATTTGATCCCTTAGCTCCTTCCATTTCATTCCCTCTGCCCAGTTTGCGACAGGAGACATTGCGGCATTTAACGCGAACCGGCCTCGGGATCTCGAGGGCGTTCTGCAAAGCCTGCGACGGGATGTCGAGGTTTGTCCTTGGATTTGGAACAGCTGCGATCATTCTAAATGGCCTGCCCGATCTTACCAAGATCAAAATTAATTATTTGAGAAAGGGACAAGACGTTTTGCAAGCTGTGGCAAAGAAAGCCAACAGAGACTGCTCAACATCCAACAAGCTATTGATCATATTGGTGTCTTCACATCTACAGGACTCTGGACTGACTTTTTCAAAGTACGATGACAATTATTTGCGTGTGATGAAAGGATAGTTCGCTTTGTTAAGGGCGAGTCTCAAGGCCCATGGCCAAAAAAGGCCATTTTCTTTCTTCGTGGTTCTAGTTTCAAACCCAAAACTTCTATAGTTGCTAGATATGAGGCCTTTCCATCTGATCGAACACGGTTCATAATGTGATGGGGCAAACGGTCCACCTGGAGTTTAACACAGTAGGGGAGGCCGGAAGCTAGTTTTGGCATTCCCTTCTCTAATTACGACGATACCTTTAGTCTCAGTCTGCTCCTTACAATAGCTATCGCAGCAGCTCTTATCGATATTTCTTATTCTTTTCTTCTTGGAGATATTCAGCAGCAATTGATCAATTGCTCACTTTATCCTCGGCCCTTAGGAGACTGCTTTTCTGTTGTCTCTTCTTATCTCTTATCCCTCTGCAGCGCCTACCGTACGGACGGGTGTGGTCTGCACTAAAGACCTCCCCACCAACAAAATAAACAAACTCTTGCGATATAAATACCATGTAAAATCCAATGGCCGTCGCCAATGTATTGTCAAGTTTCGTGAATGTCTCAGTAGAAATGGCATTGGCTTATTGGCAGCGCGGCCTGGTCTGAAAGGCTCATGACTCCATCTCCGTAAACAGATCACTGAGCGTGAATTTAATTCACCAATCGTTTTGGGTATCAGAGGCACGATTCTGGACCAAGCAGGGAGAGGCTAGATGCACACAATACACTTTGAGAATTTGGCCATTCTGGCGCTGTCTCACATAGTCCCCTCTCTTCAGGACCAAGGAGCCAGTAAGGCTGTCATGATAACATGGGCTGAGCGGGCTTGTCACGTGATGACAGGAGGCAACCCACCTGCATCACGCCCCCGCAGGAAAAGCTAGATGGATCATCACTTTGAGAGACTACTTACGGAACCCTTGCTACGCATCGCTTCCTAGTCTAGATCACATCTTGCTTTTCCTTTTGCCCTTGCTTCTCCCTCTTTCGTTGGTGATACCTCACAGGGCTTCTTTCGAATCCCATGTATCAGCAGCATGATGATTACACGAAACTACCCTAAATATATCCAAGGTGTCTAAAGATGCGCTTAGAAATAGATAACAGAGTACAACAACAAATCTCTTAGGCTCCAGCTTCAACCATCTGGTCGCTTGGAGCACGTCCACTTTCGAGGACTCCGATGGGACTGATTGGGACGTGCTAGCTGAGGTCCAGACTAATTGACAAAGAGACCAGCCCGTGAAGATGGACACGCTCAAATGCACTCTTGACGCACCCGGAGCGAGGAATACACATCAGAAAATGGCCTCGCTTTGCGACCTCTGGAGATGCATCAATCTGGATCTAGGACCCACTTATTATGACCCCTGTAGATACATACACCCCGTACCATAGTTAAGCACGCACACCCCACCCCTACCACAACTTTCCTCCTTCCTTCAACCCTCTAGGCATCATCGTCATTTCTCCAACCACTTTCTTTGTCTTTCTCCAGCATCAACAAACCATCAACAAACCCGACGCCATCATGGCCGCTGCATCGCCGATTGATACAGTATCATCCTGGGACTCATCCTTGGCGTTGGCGCCTATCTCAACCAAGACTTCAACAGTACCATCGCTTGATATGGCGTCGCCGGCAATCCAGTTCACCACTATCAAGAGGCTTTTCGATGAGATCGACCGCACTGCTGGAGATGCTCTTACCGTCCATGGTAATTAAGGCGCATGTACCTATTCTTGTTCTTTTACTAATATTCTTCAAGATGTATCCGTCCAGCAGTTTGCTGAGATTGAGAAGACAAGAGACAAACGCAAAAGAAGATTCCGATTCCACTTCTCCGCTGCTACCAAGATTCTCATCATCACTATTCCAACTGGATTACACGAACAAGTTCACCATTGGATTCGGGATAGCATCATTATTGCCATCTCTCAGATGGGGTTAAGGGATGCCTGGAGAGCCGTGGGCGCTACAACATTTCAAGTACAATCCCCGCACTTCAGTAGTGGAGAAGGCGACTCGGCGGGAGGCCCAAGACCACAACGGAGTGGTGGTAGAAGTTGGCCAACCCTTGTTATTGAAGCAGGGTACTCGCAGACACTGCAAGAAATGAGGCAACGTATGAGATGGTGGTTTGGTGCATCAAACCACGAGGTCAAGATTGTTCTTTTGGCCAAGCTCAACCGCAACGCAAGAAACATTACAATCGAGAAATGGATTGAGGTCCCAGCGCAGATCCGACCTGGCGCTACCAACACACGCGCGGCGGCTCAGCTCGAGCCTGACTGCAGCCAGACGATCAGTATTACACAGAATCCTGGCAATCCTGGCAATCCCGTATCGTACGATATCACTAGAGGGGATCTACGACTGGAGTTTGATCTTTTGTTCTTGAGACAGCCAGGCGGCGGAGAGAGCGATATTATCATTAGTATGGAGCGCCTTAGAGTGTATGCAGAGTGTGTCTGGGAAGAAGAGGTTTAGTTAGTTAGGAGGAACGGCAAGTTGAAGGACTAGAGATTGCGCTGAGCATCGAGATCTGCGTCAGCTTATATGAATCAACATGATCACATACTACGCGGAAATGGGTAGCTACGTTCCAGGCTAGCTCTGTCGTATTTCGATCATGGGGCAATTCATATGTTCTCACACTGTCATACAACATCTTTTCTTCGCAGTCCTACAATATGATAATTAAAGTAAAATGCCTTAAATCTAGTGACCGACCATCGACTGGAAGACGGCAGAGAACCTCTCTCCAACCGGCTTCGCGTCGTCCACAATCTTTCGCATCGCCTTCAACTCCTCGTCCGTCAGCACGACATCTCGAGATGCCCAATTTTCTTCCAGGCGCGAGGCCTTGGTCGTGCCTGGGATAGTAATCAACCCCTGCGCAGCAACCCAAGCTAGCGCGATCTGTGCAACCGTGCAGCCCTTTGCTGTGGCCAATTGCTTGATCTCGTCCACGATGGCCTTGTTTTTATAGAAGTTTTCGCCCTGGAACTTGGGGACTAGGATGGTGTCAATCAGTCTTACTATGGTCAAAGAACTATTGTAAGCACATATGGTGACCTACCAGTGCGTCGGAAATCATCAGGCGCAAAGTCATCGGGGGACTTGAACTGGAAGTCATCCACGAGCCAGCCGTGTCCCAACGGGCTGAATGCCACAAATGCCACACCCAATTCCTTAGCTGTCTCGATAAGGCCATTGGTCTCGTGCAATGTCTCGAAGGCCGAGTACTCAGCTTGAATGGCATCGATCTTGGCGACTTGAAAATGTTAGCGTTTGCCATTGCGTAGTCACCAGCATACGAACTCGAGTTTGCCTTGCGCAAGGTCTCAGCAGAGCATTCAGATAGACCAATGTATTTGGTCTTTCCAGCGCGGCGGAGTTCCTCTAGGGCGCCAATGGACTCCTCGAGGGGAGTATCTTGATTGCAGAGTCAGGACCAATCCGAACAAGTTTGTATAGGGATCTCCACGCACTGGGATCGATTCTGTGGAGATAATAGAGATCAGGAGTGAAACCGAGCCTATCAATTGTCCCCTCGATATATTCCTTGATGTGAGCTGCTGAGTTGGTCACTGCTGGGACAGGTCCGAACACATCAAATCCGCATTTGGACGCCACTGTGAGACATCTAGCGTAAGCTATTACGGATCGTGTAGAACCTAAGGGTAATTATGATGCTCACCAAAAAGCTTATCACGGACATTATGCTTCTTAATGAAGTCCCCAAGCAGCTTCTCGTTTGCGCCACTCTTGTAGGCAACCTAAACCCCGAAGCAATTAGAATCAAAACTTTCTGTTTCCTTTACAGGTAGGTGCCTTACCGCTGTATCCCAAAACGTGCAGCCAAGCTGGACCGCTTTCAAGAGGACTGGCTCGGCCTGCTCGAGGTTCATATCGGACCCCATGGCAGCACTTAGACCCATGGCACCAAAGCCGGGGACAGGGACCTGTTGGCCGCCAAACGGAAGTGAGTTGACCATGCTGGTAATTCGGTAGTCTGAAAAAGGGTCAGTGTGACGACGCCTCAACGCCACGAAAGGAACCCCTTGTCCTCTCGGGCGAGGAGGATGCGAGGCTTACACTTGAAATGGCGATACGTCGACTGTGATAGATATCGTGCAAATCGCATGAATGTGGAGGGAAAGGATTGACACCCAGGAATGCGGCTCACCAGATATTAAAACAACTGCTATATTTAAGCTTCTCAAGCCATTTCGATGTAATAGCCTCCTATTTTTCCACAAATGCGCCGGTCATAGTGCCGTAGTTACGGAATGAAGGCTAATCGCCGATACATCCGGCCACATCGGTCACAATGACGTCGCTTTAGTGCTGAACGGGAATATCCCCACTGCAATTGAGAGTTTGATGCCAGATCCGTACTGGACAGATTATTAGACCGGACACGTAGTTGGCTTTTTTAACTCGCCCTGTCTTAGTCAAGGAGGAGCCATTCCTCAATGCATTGGGTCCGTTTGTGGGTAAAGGGGGTAAGACGGTTGCATATAACTAATGAAGGGTCCAGTCCAGCCACACGTCGCATCTTGATTTGCCGTTCTCATCCCTTTTCACAGGCCATCTGAGCCATGAATTCGCCCCTATGCGACTGTGGCCCTCGAGCCAATGCCTCAGCAGTCGGGGGCGAAAAATGAAGACAAAGATTGGACGGGCGTGACAAACACGACGGAGAAAAAAAACGACAGAGTCAGCTCCATCAACGGGCATGTCGTATGTTTCCAAACCCATTTGTTCTTTCTGGGCTGCGCAAAGAGCATACGAGGAATACAGTCCTGTGGGTATCCGAGACCTGTAAACGCAACACGTCGAACAAGAGCAATAGCTCCGGCCGCCAGGCTGCAAAGGTACTATTCGGTATTGACTAGGACATGCAGATTGATACTTTGTAGGACTCATAGCTCAGTTGCTCTGCCCCGAGTCGTTCCTGTCGTTCTGCATTGAGTGCGCACGGCGGTAATCGCCGTCAATCCTGGATGAACAGGATAAAATACTATGGAACATGTAAAGAAAAGAACTTGAGCTAAATTTGGGTTGGCAGGCAATTTATTGCTGCGACCCCCATTCTGTTGCGGTCCTGCAACATGCGAGAGAATCTAGGAGAGTGACCCACGGCCAAAGACTTCATGGGTGAACGTTTGTTTAAGAAGGATCGATAACGGGTTGTCATTGATGGCCACAGGGCCTTGTTGATCCGCTGAGGTGTGTTTATTACAAAAGAAGGCGAGCCCTTCGGCAATTCTCCAAACCGTCCCCTGATCCAGCAAACGGTCTTGCGGTGACAACGCACATACGAGTTTCTTCCGTATTTCCGGTCTCGGGCAATTTGACTAACCAAAGCGACTGGGTAAATGTGACCTAGGACAAGACGGATCAAAGACCCCGCTACTCATCGAGCCCCGCATCATTTCCGGCAAACTATCGAGAAAATCCACCGCCGCGGTGAGACCCCTCTTTGCTGACCATTTGCCTTGTCATCAAACATTTTGGCAGTCTACTTAAGAGAATTATCCCCTCAAAGAGAGAATCAATTGATAACACCAAATACATCACCATGTCGACGCCTACTGGATCTGGTGCTCCCTTCCGGGCCGAGCACATGGGCTCTTTGCTGCGGCCGCAGCGCCTCCTCGACGTGCGGGAGCAGATCCGAGAGAAGGGCGTCTCCCCCGAGGAGGCTGGACTTCCTGCCGTCGAGAAGGAGGCCGTTGCCGACGTGGTCAAGCTGCAGCGCGAGCTCGGATACAAGGCCGTCACCAGCGGAGAGTTCAACCGCACGCGCTTCTGGGGTCTCATGTGGGATGAGTTCGAGGGCGCCACCCGCCTCCAGGATGCCGACGGGAGTCTTTTCCGTCTGTATCACCCGGATGTAGTGAGCTTGATTGAGAAGGACCGACACGTCATGCCTGGTGACTCTGTCATCGCTGGTGGCAAGCTTTCTCACAACCCCGAAAAGTCCGTCTCCAACCTCCACGAGCTGCGACTCGTTCAGCAGTCCGTCCCTAAGGAAGATTGGGCAGCAATCAAACTCACCATGATTACTCCGGCTTGGTTCCACATGAGATACAGCCAGGGAAAGGCTTACGCGCCCGAGGCCTATGCCAATGATGCCGAGTATTTCAAGGATGTCGCGAAGGTGTACCAGGCCGAGTTGGCCCAACTCTACGAGGCCGGTCTGCGCAACGTTCAGTTTGACGACCCTGGTATGGCTTGTAAGTTTAAACCTAACCCAAAATTCTTTAAGTAAGAGATTCTGACCTATCAGACTTCTGCTCTCAGAAGTTCCGTGACGGTTGGGCCGCCGACTTCAAGAACATCGGGTCCGTTGAGGACCTTCTCGATGCCTACATCGCTCTTTACAACGACTCAATTTCCAAGTGCCCTGCCGATATGCACACTGGAATTCATCTGTGCCGTGGCAACTTTGTAAGTGCTCTCCGAAACTAGTCTAAAGCGACTAGATCTAACGAGCTAGATTGGCGGCCGCCACTTCGCCGAGGGATCGTACGACATCATCGCCGAGAAGCTGTTCAAGAACTTGAACGTCAACACTTTCTATCTGGAGTACGACAACGAGCGCTCTGGCGGCTTTGAACCCCTTCAACACCTGCCCAAGAACAAGAACGTTGTCGTCGGCGTCATCAGCACCAAGTTGCCCCAGCTCGAGGACAAGGAGGAGATGAAGAAGCGCGTCCTCTCTGCCGCCGAGTGGGTCGCCAAGGGAACCGGCGAGACTCGTGAGGAGGCTCTCAAGAGAGTGTATGTGAGCCCCCAGTGCGGCTTCAGCACTCACGAGACTGGATACCCTCTGGGATTGGCCGAGGAGAAGGCCAAGCTTGCCCTTGTTCGGGAGATTGCTGATGAGATCTGGGGCGAGCCTTGATTGTACATGAGTAGTAAAATGGAGATGTTTGATGAAATTCCGTGGTCTTGATATGTGTAATATGTGAAGTTCGAGGACCATATCTGCTATGGACTACCCGCGATTCCGTAACGATATTTACACAGGCGGGTATCTGTTGGGCTAGGTAGTTCTCCTGTCTCCCCCATTAAGTGATTGATTACAAAAGTCGCGGACAGCCACAAAAGTGCGGGCGGCAATTACCACTATATTATCAGGATTTTCTCGATGAACAAACTTCAATAAGGGATGTTAAGGGTATTGAAGTGATAAGAAAAATCAGAGTATCGTAAAATACTTGAAGATTTTCTTTAAAGAATAAGGGCGAGGCATGAAAACGCTTAGTTGGCTACATGGACAAACGGGCAGTAAAAAAGCGACAAAGTAAGGAAAATTAATCATTGCCTAACTGATCTCGGTCTCTCGAGTAGGTAGAATTGCAGGATGACAATTTCGTAGAGAGTTTCTGCTCTGGTCTGGCTATGTAGACTAGACGCATATGGTCAATGGCTTCTCTTCCAATAAGCTGATCCACCAACACGAGATGGGAGTAGGTTTGGCTGGTCCATGCGAGTCCATATTCACCAAGTACGATCCGCCAGATATTGTTAAAATGGCACATGAAATGAGTCAAAAGACTTATTGCAGTGATTGATTTCAAAGCCTTCCTCTTCAATCTCAGAGCTGAAAGGGAAGTGAGGGTGTCGATGTGGGTGGAGATACCAAGACGCTTTCTGCCTGCGACGATGCCACAGCGAATTCATGTAATAGCTAACCTTTCGTTGCCTTTCTCGTCATTCCCTTATTTCTACGTCGTTTGTTGATTCCATTGCCTCAGCTGATGCTGGATCTCCCTCGAGCGAGAAGAGCTTGCTATATGTGGTCTCCGGAAGGGTTCCGGAAGGATCTAATATTCAATCACACAATCTAGAATGTCTAGAATAACAGAATCAATGAGATAGTCATTCAGCGTAAACTAAGTGATAACGTTGTCAATGAGGTGGATGATATGATTAGCGGCGTTTCTAAGGACCATGGTGCCATCTCTTGCGACTCGGAGGGCGGTGCGATAGTTTCGTCTGCGTGATAGAGTGCCCAGAGATGCACAACTCACCTGGAGCGAGGCAGATTCCTCTGAAGGCGAATGACGTTTTCAGTGAGTGGCAACGCGTGATGCAAGGAATGAAGTGTCATAGAGATAATGTAGTGTCACATCGATCCCTCTGTTGGCGTTAGGGCGTCGAGGCGTCAAACGGAACCTACCAAGAGGCTTCAGCACCTGCAATCTCTTTCCCAAGCCCCGGCCTGCAAAGTCCCACGCAAGAAATACAGCGCACCGCAGCTTTTATCATGAGTATTGCTATTCGTACCACACCTGTCACCCAAAACTACGAAGTACAGGATAAATAAGTTAGGGAACGCTCCGAACGTTGAACTGAAGGTACCCTCTACCATCCCGGGGAGAATTTCTATGCCACTCTGCAATCAACGTATATACCTCAATAATCGACCACCCACCATCAAGGAGCTGATCCATCTACACGGGCGCCAAACGCCTGACATCTTCCGTAGTATAGTGGTCAGTATGCAAGCTTGTCACGCTTGAGACCCGGGTTCAATTCCCGGCGGGAGAGATCCAGCCACATGTGTTACACATGACATTGAATTATTTTTTTCATTTTTGTTGGTGGAATTGACAATACATTTCAATCGCGGCTATGTTTCTACACGTTGCGTCAATTCAGTCAGTCCTCTTTGTAATTCTCTTTCCATTCATAATACACCGTCTTGCCTTTTTCTTCTTTTGTCTTTTCCGTGCATCTATTTTCTCATTCTCCTTCACAGATGCGTAGCTTGACACAGCACTTCCACCTAACCAGATTGACTGAAAGCGCCCTGAATATTATTCGTCCAGCTCTTTCATCGAAATGGCCACAAAGTCAGCTGGGTCCAACACAGGCTCCCCTCGCCCGAAGGAGTATACTCCAAACATGACCCCAGTAAAAGCACCGCCAACCGGCGGCGCAACTGTCAGTTCTTTAGCCAGGACCTTCACCAAGACTGAGTTGTCGCCGATTGAGATCGATAACTCATACGAAGTCGGATTCGCGTAGATTTCAAATCCAAATCTTTCCACCGATGGCGTAATAGGGAACTTTGTGTTCTGCGTTCAATGTTAACATACGTCACACTTCCACATACAACGGGAACGACTCATACCGGTACGATTTGGCCTGTGCTTCCTGGCTCTCGAGAGATCACCTTCCTCTGGTTCTCATGGTCATCCGGCGTACCAACAACACCTATTGTGGCATAGGAGTAATTGCTCCACCACAGCACAACGCCGGCTTCATAGCCATAACGTGTCGGTTTGAACTCCATACTCGCGGTAAATTTCTGGTTGTGTGACGACTGCTTCCTTAGAAGCATGGCTGGTCCCTCGGGACTAGAGAGATCGTAGCAGTTTCCGTACAAGCGCAAGAATCCAGGCCTCTCCCGTAAGCTGAAACATTGCTTCAGAGGGGTGTCTACGCTTGGTTAGAAATGTCTTTGGACCCGTAGCTCGGGGTTTCTCACTCTTTTGATACCACCCGAGTTCAAGAGACTCTCTGGAGAGGTCGGCCTGCCACATTGTAAGAGCGGCCCTTTCGGTGGAAGCCAGAGATGCCCTTCCTTGAGTCTCCAAGGTGACATTCTTCCCGCCATTGAATATCGGCCAGTCGTCGTGCCATTCAACTACTACTAAAAACGTTTCGCGGCCTACTGATGTTAGCTCATGCGCAGTCGACACCGCGGGGATGGTAGATACCAAGTTGAGGCTCCAAGAAAGATTTCCCATCTTTCACTGGTCGAACTCCCAGAAATACAGCCCACCACTTCCCGTCCCCATCTTCAAACACATCGGCATGGCCGGTCCTCTGGACTTCTTCCTCGGGTCCATTGTACCAAAGTGGCTTACCTTGGCCCTCCCAAGGACCATATGGGCCTTCGCGACTTCGAAGAACCCATTCTTGGTGGCCAGCTTCGGTACCTCCCTCAGCAGTGAACAGGTAGTAATAGTCTCCGCGTTTGATGATGTGAGAGCCTTCTGCAAGGCCATATGGAGACTCCCTGATGGATATGGGCGCAGTGAGAGTCCTTCCACTGGCAATATCAATTTCCGAGATGTGGATGGCGAAATTCTTGAGCTTGGAGTCGGGTGAATGCGAAGACAGTCTCATCGTTGTCGAAAGATACACCTTCCCATCGTCATCCCAAAACAGCTAATAAATGTGAGAATTTTAACACCAAAGTGGAACAGAATTTCTTACATCTTGGTCGAACCCGGGGTTATCGAAATAAACGGGGTCAGACCAAGCATTGTCGTCCCAGATATTGTCCGTCCACACATAGAATCCACGTGGGAAAATGCGCTCCTATATCGTTTGTATTAGTTAAATGGCATCAGGATAAGCACTCCAGGGAGGCTCCTACATCAACTGTAGGTCGATATCTCTGGAATATACCGTTTGCCAGATACCAGCGCTTTTCCTGAGGCCGATATCTCAATGTGCTGGCCCAGCTCCCCGCTCCAGGTTCCACTGTGCGCATTTCAATTTGGCTGCGTCTGGTCAAGGCATGGCCGATGAGTTTCCAGTCAATCAGGTTAGTAGAAGTGTAAATTGCGCATCCTGGGAAAAGCTCGAATGTTGATGTGCTGAGGAAGAAGGTAGTAGGCGTGGTGTCTGAAGCGGGCACAACACACACAGTTGGGTCGGGGTTGAAGCCTCGGATGATGGGGTTTCTGAAGGTTACAGTTGAATTATCTGTCGCCATGTTGACGGTTAATATCTTGGGCAATTTAGAATGGCTCAAGTAAATTATTACTCGTTGTTGAAACTGAAATGTTGGAATCCATTCGTTTTATCCTTCCTCTCAAGTGTGTCTCATACGAGGTCAGTTTACTTCAGCAGCGCGGGGTTTTCGTACTATTTTTCCATCAATCAAATGGTCGGGTAAAACAGCCTGAATGCACACACTAGAGATTCCATCCAACCGTACCAATGACGCCGCCCTATTGTCTTTGTCATATTTTTAACCCATGAGCCGTGGTGCAAGAGGAAGGACTTGTACTTAATTAACAGTCACTTGGCTCCACGACAAGGGACCCTGAAGTATCTCTCTACCAGAGTGCTAGAGGTACATAGTAGTCTACGAGATTCGATTCCGCTAATTTAGATAATTTCTGACCAGTCCAGCAGTAGGGCTCAATCTTTGACCTCATGACTCAAGGGTCCGACATTACCAGAGTAGATGAAGATATTATCATTAAGAAAGCCCGAGGTTACGTGAACCTTCGCGGAAGCTTTGGCACCTGCCTATGGATACAGAATACAGGAGAAATATTATTAATTAACCCCTCACGGGATCAATTCATCTCCTGAAACCTTTCCCGAGCTCTGTCTCCTCCACATGGACTATCATGTCATTTCGAACACGTATACCGGCCTCATCATCTCCTTCGTCCCCAATCGAGCCATCATATCGACTTGAGATTACCGTATGGACGCCTTCTCGGCTGTGTTCATAGTCTTGCATGTGGCGCACACCATTTTCCGGATCCGCCAGTTGATGTGTTGAACTCGTCTCGTCGTCATCCTTTTCCTTGTTTGTTCTGCTCAGCGTCGTTAACCTGATAGCATGACTTGGTCGGCTGATAGGTTGGCTGCTGGCGGCAGAGCTGAGGAAGCGGGCGGGAAGAATCAGGCTGAAAATCGGTCGGAGCAAAGGAAAGCAGGCTAGAAGAGATGACAAGTAAGCGAAAGGTCCGAGGAAGAGTTGGGTTGGGATTTGTTACCGGAGACGATGGCGATATTTAGCTCGACTGAACCCCAGATGCAATACATGCCGTAGTCATGCGGCATCTGTGTTGACTTCGGGTCATATCTGAGTGCCTCAACGATTGCGCCGATCGATGCAAGACACACACTGTATCATGGTTAGCAATCTCCTTAGTAAGAAAAGCAGCTAGCAGAAGAACCTACATCGCACCGATGATGAAGAGGCCAGAAATGGCCAGCTTCTGGCCAAGCCGCAGGCGGAGCTTGAATACTTCAACAACAGGCAAGATCAAGATGACAACGTCCATCAAAAAATGCGTAAACACGGTACCAAAGAAGAACTGCGTGTCACTGATTTTGCAACTGCCCTGGATGCTTTTGTCCCAATAGTACTGGACGGGGATGCAGCGGAAGATCAACATGAACGTGCGTAGAATAATCCACCCGATGCAAATGGCGATCAACGCTTGAATGGGGATCCGGATCATGGAGATTTTGAAGATTCGCCAGTAGAGACATAGTATAGCTAGCTTCGAACAAGCGATCGAGAACGCGTACGTGAGCGAGTTGAAGAATCCGATATACCTCGACCAATAAAGGATTTCTTCTCTGGCCTCGGGGGCGATGTCATCGGGCATGTATTGGCCGAGTGACCAATGAATTGTCCCTAAAAGAAACATGTTAGTCCTTGTATCAAGGGTCTGGCATCTTGCAGAGTTGCTTCCTACATTCCAGAATGGTAGCAGAGTAGAGGCTTGCAAACACCTACCCACCCGTTAGCAGCGTTTTTTAGTTATAGTCAAACTGGAAATAGTAGGCTCACGAAGGCACCGATACAAAAGTAATCATCATACCACCAGCTTATCTTTGTCATTCGTCGAGCGATCATGCGCATAATCAGCGCGGCGAACGCTGCCACCCAGGTAATACCTGTCGAGACATAGATGTTCGTCTCGAGCCCAGCCATGGCTGCGACTAGAAGCTCACACGATGGTCCTCATAAGAGGCCTCGAATAGTTCGAGATTCGACTGAGTAGCGAACAATCGCTCAGCGCAATTCACAGGAGATACGTTGTCCATCAACAGATCGGCACGCACTGGCCGTCCCATCCCCAGTCTTTATGATTTGGGGCCGGGAGAGGATCGTACTGCGTACTACGTAGTAGGGCTGTCTCATGCTAGCTACACGGGGTAGCGTTATCGCCAGTCGTCACCAAGGACGCGTTTATTGGCCGTCAATCCCACGCTCAACGCCCGTGCCTGACTCGTGTATCAAGACGGATTGGCACCATGTGGCTGAAAACAGAGGCGACGATACGATACAGCCCTGGGAGCTTGGAGGCTAGTCTGGACATGGCATAGGCGACCGTTCCGGGGGTCCGCGGGTTCACATCCTGGGAGCTTCGAGCTAAGTAACTAGGTATCTCAGCTATGTGGTGGAACTGGCATCTATTTGTTGGTTTGACGAGGGGCTGAATCAATTTAGAACGGCTAGTCTTTTCCTGATTAGACCAGCCGTGGCAAGGCAGGGAATGACTCGATACCCACATCTCGGAGCCGTGCGCACGACTTTCAGCCCGTATCTCTCTGTCAAGATAGCGAGTCTGCAACATGTGTTGGTCGACACAGGAGGTTCTGGCAGTGAAACAGGAGCGCCCGTTTTCCCAGATAGCATTTCTACCCAGGTCCCAATGGAACACTGGAACCCGGGATAGAATCCCCCGTCGCATTTAACAGGTATATCTAGTGAGCAATAACGGATGGGAATTTTGACTTTGCTAGCATTAGCCACACCAATCTTTGCCAACTGAATTGTTGTACTTTTGTTCCATGGCACGCTATGAAGAGTGGCTTACACAGGGGCACTGTGTCGTCATACGACCAGTTCGACGGACGAGCTGAACCCTGAATTTCGTTCCTGGCTAGAATCCGGTCGTCGTAACTTACTTGGTGCATCAAGATTGGATCGGATGCCAGACGAAACGTTCGAGCGGCTCGGCAAGACTCGATCCGCCGGATTCCATACCGACCAATACTACCCATTCTGTGAGAAGAGGAAGCGGTCGCGAAGAACGTTACCCTCTCTTTCGGCAGCCTTATCAGTACTGTGCCTGCCTTTGGGCTCTTGACAGAAGCTTGTAGCTGAGCATATGACCCGTTCTGTCAAGAATCTTTGGGATGCTTCAGAGGAAGCACTACCTAGTAGTCTGGAGGTTTGTTGCCGCTGGCGCTCGTAGTACTGTGAACGGGAAAGGGGCAATACGCAGAATGGGATGAAAAGGACAGGAACCTGAGGCTGGGCATGCTTGACTCGGCAGGATTTAGCCTGTATTTTCTCCAGAAGCTAAACCGCATGAACGTCACAGCTCGCTGCTAAACTTTATAGCTGCGCTTGGCATGGATGATGCCTGCCGGGAGTATTGTATCCCGTTCGCACTGACACTCGCCGTATCTCTAGCTTCTTGTGGTGCGGCTGCCGATCTAACCGGATGGAATAGAACCGCCCATGGAAATCAATTGGGTTACTAAGCAGCGAGTTCATCAATATGTGTGTTGGCTCACTCCTCTCGAGCCCCAAATCTGATTTGCCAAGTGTGCTTGACTCGCTGGAATTCGAAGATATGAACCAGCAATCAAGGACTTATCAATCAAGCCCACCGGAGTATTGCCGACTCACACGAGATCACATTCAGCTAGAAGCTCTCCGCTAAAGCATACGGATTCCCTGAATTGGTCAAGATAACAGTGGACACTTCCGGGCAAATGGAAAGGCAGCAGACGGAAGATCGATCTTGATGGAGTTGATCTCCGAAGACCCAGGACACGCAAGCGTTTGGCAACAAGTGTACTACGACCCGAAGTAATCTCATTTTTTCTGAGCTATTGGAAATTTGGTGGGCCTGCCAAAGAAACGCTTGTTTGAACATCCTGAGCCGACAACGAGCTTATCGACGATATTTTCCGACACACATGGCACCCCTGTACGATCCCGCACTAAGGGTCTCACGAGACGATGAGATAAAGGTGGAATCAATTCCGAGGCAGCGGATCTTGGGCGACAGTCTGCATGTTTGATAAGTTCTGCAACATGCAAGCCCAGGCCCCATTCCCGACCTTTACTGGGTATAGTGTCCCAGGCTAAAGGAGTGTTCCTTTAGGTGTGATCGGTACTCGCGTCTTCCAGTCATGGTTCCTAAAATTGACCCCAATTATTACCCCTCAAACCCAAGTGAATCGGCACTCCCAAGTCATGTCCGCGGTACTCACAGGGAGGTGGCGACGACCGGAGGAACTCACCCATCCCACTGGTGAGAAAGTCATTGCCACTCTGCCTTGCAATCTCGAGGACTTGTGGCACAGATACAATGGCCAAGATAAAATCCAGGTGAGCTCACGCCAGACTTGGGAATGCTTTATCAAGGTACTCTACAACACATACCAGAAAGATACTAGATTACCTCCCCGTGGCCTTTCGGTCCAGTTTGCCTACCTGTTCGATATCTGGACAGAAACGGAGCTCCCTGTCGCTGCCAATGAGTGCCTTGATATGGTGTCGCATGATAGAGTACGGAGTTCTCTACCCGAACTCGCTATCACATCCACTCTACAATACACTACCTGATGCGATATTCAAGTGGGCCATGGGGGTCAGATAAGATGAAGAAAGTAAGATGTCTCTTTGCTATGAATTCTCTGAACTGCGGCCTTATGTGATGGGTACCTGCACAGATGCGTGACCTACCAGGCATCCCTAGGATACTGATCGCTGCACGTATCGCTACCTTCACCGCACTATCCACTACCAGCTCATTTCTTCTGGAGCTAGCGGTCAAACAGTTGCTTGATGACTGACTCTGTGCTTCAAATCGTGACGCCTATAATTGTCTCGCAAACCAATTCTTCGGCTTCGCTTCACGACATCAGCGTGTAGTCGAAGTGCTTGGAGACATTGATATCAGGATGCTGCTAGGTTCAGCTCCAGTCAACCTACACTTTCGAACATTACAGATCCAAGTGCAACCAGACAGCTTCTCGGGATATTAAACTTGCCGTTGCGGGATAATAACAAGTTTGATAAGGTGTGCTTAAATGCTCAAGAAGGTTTAACATGTATTGATAGGATATTTGAGATTCTGTGACGGTGCTGTGTTGCATCTAACAGATGGAAATGATCAATTTAGCAGCAGAAAGGGACGTCAACCTACACCCAAGTCATTGACTTATCCCTAGGAAGATGCACAGAAGATCGTCGCACAGGCGTCTTGTTCGGTCAGCCCGAGGCTACACCAGATTACGCGTATGAGTTCAGATGGATCTGAGGCTTATTTCTCCTAGTATCAAAGCATCTCATGAGATATAATACCGTGTTGGTCGCAGGAAATTACGCTGGCAAGGCTTCAATAAGGCCTGCGGCAGCCCAATATCTGATAAGCAGAAGACGGAGGTCGGACAGGGATCGTGATTTCAGTCAAAATAGACTCAAATAAATCTCTCAAAATAAAGGCAGCAAATTTACAGACTCTCATAATCAGTCTTAGGCTCTCTAGGTCTCTCTGACTGCTGGGAAAATCTCAATAAAAGGAAAACAAAATGACTCCTTCCCTTTGTCGGCTCTGACCTCCCCTTTTAACCCCCGAGGCGTCCCTGCTAGCGACCAGCTTGGCCAAAAGTCCCTGACCGCCTGTCACATCGTACTTGTCAGAATATCTTGCTATTCTTTCTATCTAGCGAGGGTCTTTGGGTCAGTCTTATAGACGAAGATAACCTCGGATGACCTCGGACGGCTGAGAGGCTCCAGATGCTTCAGAGTCTTTGTCCTTGGCTAGTTATTGACCTAGTCAAATTAAAAGCTAGGCTTTGGGCTAAGCTGAGACGAGGAAGGTAGCGATGGCAACTGCCGGCGGCGATGGACGCAGGTGATGAAGGAAGAGCTTCACTGCCGCAACAACCGAAGAAATCCGATATCCCAACATATGTGACATGCTAATAGGCCCGCGGGATTTATTGAATTCGGAGCAACATCTAACTTAGTCACTCTAACAGTGATAGATCTACACAAGTCGGAAGGAACACGGACTTTGTCTGTGAATTTAATTATGCCCTTTGTCTTGCCTCATTCCTTGACCTAAGAGACCACAGCTGTCCCTTTCCATTTAGTCCAGGTGTGTTGAACATTACTGCATTTATTATTTTCAGTTGTCAGACTGCCTCTCCAAATTTTTGTCAGCTTGCTTGCTCTTCATGTATTTGAATTAGTCTCTGGGTACTTGTGCCAGATGGTATGCATCCACCATCAGAATTTCTTTTTAGAGCCCATGTACGAAGGCTGGCATTGGAAGTTTTAATGGTCATGGGTAGCCCACACACAGTACTTTCGATATGCATGCCAATTTAGCGGCGGAAAATGACGTTGGCTAACAACCCAAATCGTCTGTTACCCCAAGCTAGATGCACAGGACCGCATCTCTCAATTTTCAGGTTAGGTCAATCAGAGGTCAAGCTAGGCAACGCAATTGGGGTCATGTGGCCATCCAAGTGGTCTCTGCTAGTAGGAACGCATCTCGTTGGGTTTTTACGGGGCCGAACACAGAGAATCATGTTGGCAAGGCATCAGTGACGTGTGTAACAGCCCGCCGAATGAAGAAGTAGAAGGCTGGAAGTAGGCAAATATCCGATCGTAGCAAGTAGGATCATAGAAGGGGAGAATGTCTCAAATAACTGAAAATCTGACCCTGATAATAACCGCCGAAGGTGTCCATGAGGAAAGGAAGAATTTTAACTCCACTTTCTTGTGCCTCTACTTAACATGTCGCCTTTCCCTGTTATCCCTATGATTTTGTTGCTGGCCGCGTACTCCTAGCCCAATGCCCTAATCCCGCCCGCTTCAGCAAGGCCTTCCTACTAAAAGATACCTTCTGTGCTACACAGTGGCTCGACCTGGGGGAGCTGTTAAATTTCCTGCGCCAGCCTTCGTATGATTTGTTTCTTATTCGCATTCGCGATTCAGCGTCGTTTGAGTGCTACAAGGATGTCCGACAATGGTGTGCCGTAGTTTATCTTGCACGTTATTTTGGCTACTGGGGTCTACAGTGCGAAACCTGGCAGGGTTAGGGAGCGGCTGAAAAGGTAAATGCGCAACGATATTACTTTGTATATCTGTTCCGTATCTTCTTGGGGCGGGTTAACTGTTTGTTTTGCGCAATTGCCGTTTCATTGCCGCTTCATTGCCGCATTCCTTTGATCATTCCAACGTATTTTTGGGTATTTTCTCCAGGATGCTGAAGAAAGCTGGGGAAACAGGCAGAAATTCCCTCTTTGCCAAGTCTCTCATCCTCAGAGTCTGACACAGCAGTTGTCTTGGCGCAAGCATTGGAAAGAAATGGAAGGGAGGTGGCGTAAAATAACTGCGCCATAATCCCTACTCCTCAAGCGGCAATTGTAACAAGTTGTCCCCTCTCTCTGCGAAATACGGCCAGCATCAACGCATCCAGGCAAATGAACGCCTCTTCCCCAAGCCCCAGCGCCTAAAAGGCCCACGCAAGTGGTCTACGGCTGAGCGGCCAAGCCACCATGTGCCAACTGGCTGGTTCGGCCGGTTGTGGAGTCGCAGGCGTTTGTGTGTACTACGCACTTAGTATGTAACAGGGGAGGCCGGTCGATCAGCTGGGGAAATTGGTGGCCCCATCCCAAGCCATGCAACGAGTTGGGAGACGGGACGGGACGAAGAAGAACAAATCGAGTCAGAGGAGGCTTGAAAATGAGGCATCGGTTGCGAATATCACATCCGCCACGGGCGTATGTGGCAACGTAGGGAGTAAGTAGTCTGGCCTCTGTTGGACCAAAGTGAAGCCTCTGTGGACATCATGACGCACGTCAAACCGCTGCCTCACAACCCTGCAGGGCTACAAATCACAGCCCTGCGGCTGTCTCAGGTGATCGCCCACAAGAAGCCAAGACAAGCCATACGGGCCCGGCCCGAGACATCGACAAGAGGATTGATCAACCAACCTCTCTCGCCCTGCCGGCATTGCCGTCGCGGGGACGGTAATTGGGCATCAGTAAGAACTAGACGCACCATTATGAAATAGAAAAGACACGGTTCAGGCCCAGCCTCATTGCCCCGTCTGTTAGACGTTAGACTGGCACAGCCGTATTTCTTTTGTCGCCGCATTGATGCCTCACTCTTCTTTCGGCCCCCACGATCGTCGACAACTAAACTCGAGCCCTTCCCCTCAAACAAGGCTCGACATATGTCTTGAACAAATTCCCTTCCTCTTCAACCCAAGCATCGTGGCAAAATTCTCATCCTAGCGTCCCTCCTCTCTGCGTCCCCGTCAAATAGCGGTGACTCGGTCACCTCACAGCACGCACCATGGCGGACAGCCTCAAGGCGCTAGGGAGCACCCAAGCCCAGTTCAGCGCCATCCTCGAGGGCGCCGCCAAAAGCTTCTCCGACGCCTCGGGCGAGAAGCTCGTCGACTTCCTGAACCCGCCGCTCAAGTCGGTCGCGGACCTCACGCGCCAGCTGGACCTGCAGAACAGCGACTTTGGCCAGTTCCGCGCCCGGCGGCAGAAGATCTTCGGCACGCTGGCCGCGGCCCTGACGCCGGTTGAGGTCATTGGGGAGATCGTGGCCGGCGCGGCGTCCGACACCTTTTCGCCGGCAGAGGGCATCTTTGGCGCCGTGGCCTATTTGATCGGCGGTGCTCGCGATGTCTCGGCCATCTACGACGCCATTGTCGAGTTGTTTGAGCAGTTGAAGGTGAGCCGTCGCCAAGAGCCCCGCGCGGGGCGGATGGAAGAATCCAGGCTGACCGCCGCAGGACTTTACGGGGAGACTTGAGGTATACGTCAAGCATGAAATGTCCGTCTCTCTACGGGAGAAGCTTGTTGCAATTTTGGCCACTCTGTTCGAGGTTCTTGTGCTGGCCACCAAGGAAATCCGAAGAGGCCGAGTCAAGGCCTACTTCAAGAGCATTTTCGGCTCCGAAAGCAAGGTACAACCCGCTCTCGAAAAGCTCAAGGCCCTGACCGTGGGCGAAGAAAGGCAGGTAATTGCTGATACCTACGGCGGCGTGTCTCAAATCAACGTTAAGACGGACCGCGTGGAAGCCATCGTCACTGAAGTGGACCGAAACGTCGCAACGTTGAGGAAAGAGGCCTCACTATTGCGGGCCGAAGCACGCGAGAGGACAAATGCTGCGCACAAGGATAAGCTAAAGGAAATCCTAGAGCCGTCTCCGTTCCCCGAGGATTTCTTCTCCTCGTTCAACAAGTCGCGAATAGACGGGACCGGAGACTGGATCCTCAAGGATGAGGTATTGCAGTCCTGGCTTCAGGCCGAGACGCCGTACCTCTGGGTGTCCGGCGCCGCAGGGACGGGAAAGTCGTTCCTCACCACCCGGCTGATCGCATGGGGCTTGGAGAAGCTCTCGCATCTGGGATACTTTTACTTCCGCGACAACAACCCGGAAACGAGATCGGTCCTCCAGGCGCTTCGAGATGTGGCATATCAACTCAGCGAAGGCGACGCCTTCTACGCCAAGCAGCTCCTCAAACTGCTCTCCAGCGGCGAGGAGATCAAGACCATCCCCAGCGCGTTCCGAAAGCTCCTCGTGGAGCCCTTCCAGGAGGACCAGCGCGAGAAGACCATCTTCATCTTCCTGGATGGCATCGACGAGGCGGATCAAAACGACATCGCTGAGCTGCTCGACCAGCTTTCCATAGACGACGACGCGTTTAAAAGACCGTCCCACTGCAGAGTCCAGGTCGCCCTCATTGGACGGCCTCATTTAACAGAGACGGTGACGTTTACGCTCGATCGGGCGGGCCAGGGACAGGTGGTGACAACGCTGCACGTCACGCCCGCCCTCAGCGCGCACGACGTCAACTCGTTCATCACCGAGAGCGTGCTTCACTCCCGAGTTCTCAGGGGTCTCGGCGACGAGTTCAAGTATCACATCATCGAGGCCATGGTGTCGCAGGTCGACGGCCTGTTCATCCTCGCCAAGTTCATGCTTGCCGAGATCAGCCGGAAACGGCGTCCGCGGTCGATTCTGCAAAGCCTGCAGTCGTACCCCAAGGAGATTAACGGCATGCTGAAGCAGTCGCTCAAGAGCCTCTCCGCAATGATGAAGGAGGACGACGAGGAGGCAAAGGATCTCAATGAGATGCTGAGCTGGATCGCGTGTGCAGAGGAAGTCTTGAGTCTGGAGCAACTCGAGGCCGTTCTCATCCTCAAGTTTGGCGACCCTCCGATTGGTCTTGAGGAGACACTGCGAGGCCCGTATGCGTGCTTCTTTGAGCTCGAGCGAGAGGACGGCTTGACCACGGACGACTTGGTAAGGGAACACGAGAGAAAGCACCGCCTGAACCAGGATGGCTCCGGAAGACGATCCAGTTCGGCCAGACGGCCGAGTTCAACCGGCAGCCCCGGGCGCCCAAGCATCTTTACCAGTTCCGACGGGCAGATTGATTTCGACCTCATCGATTCGGTCCGACGCCCGAGTTCCAGCTCAGCAAGACGCCCAAGTTCGACTGGGAGTGGAGGGCGGCCGAGTTTGGCCAGTCCTGATGGAACGCTCGATCTCCTTAAAAATCTGAATCTAGGACGGAATCGCAGCCCTGTGTCGCAGCTGTCGCCAAATGGGAGCCCAGGCCGAAGCCCAGCTCGACATTACAGCCCAGGTCGCAGTCCAGTCCGACATTACAGCCCAATCTCAACCCCCGACCTCGTCGACCCCATGAACGAGATGGAGTTCCGATCTAACAAGTCGACCACATACGTCTCCTTCTTCCACACGTCAGTAAAGGAGTTCTTTAGCAAGGAAAACTCCACAACCAAGTCGGAGGGCGACACGCCGACAATCGGGTTCGACCCCACCACGGCGCGAGTGCACATCTTGAAGATCTGTCTCTCGATTTTCACAGACAGGGCCTGGTTCGCCAAGTTCGACCTCGGCGACGGATGGCAGCCGATCAGGGACTACGCTGCGTGGTACTGGCAGGAGCATGTTGCGGCCATTGACCCGGCCACGATCCCCGTCGCAGACAAGCGCAGCATTGGACAGCAGATACACAAGATGCTCACCGACGACGACGTTATTCTGGCCTGGAGCATCCTGTACGAGAAGAACAACGAAGGACTGGAGGTTCTCACCGACCGCAACATCGAGGGTCTTCGGAAGTGGATGAGCAATCCGGACGTCCTGTCCGGCCTCGCCCCAGAAGCCAGAGACTGGGCCACCAAGGGTGTATCCGAGTCGCCCGGCATCTTCAAGCCGATCGGTGACCTCTACGCCAGAGCATGGCTCTCGGACAAGTTTAACAGCTATACGCCGACTCAGTTCTGTTTCAAGATTGTCCACGCCGTCGCCTATATGCAGGAGGGCTACTCGTGGTCGCACACCAACGCCCACTGGGCGGACGTTCCCATCATGCAAAGGATCGTCAAGGCCGAGAAATGGGCCAATATAGAGGAGACTGCGCACTATCACCGACGACTGGGTAGTACTTATCTGGTCAACGGAATGCACAGCCAGGCTCTTTCACATTACGACGAGGCTCTGGCGCTCGACCACAACAGCGTCGAGACTGTCGGCCGCATCGCATACTGCCTCTCCAAAGACGGGCGTTTCCCAGAATCACTCGTGCAGGCGCTCAAGTGCGAGGCAATAGAACTAGCGAGCATTGCAGGAGGAAAACTCGACGCGCAAACTCTCAAGAGCACCAAGTGGCGTCTGTACAAGGACCACATCCTGATTGCCAACTGCTACAGCGAAATGGGAGAGTCGGAAAACGCCCTGGTGTACTTTAAAAAAGCCGTCAGGAGCTCCAAGGATGCTGCACTCGGCCCGGTGGAGACGTTTGATTCCGAGGTTGGCTACTTGGAGCTGTTGGCCGTTGAGAACCGCCACGCAGACGTGATGAAGTTCCTCCATGATGAGTCCAGCGAGATCACCGATGCCGAGAGTGAGCGAACGCGGTTGGTCGACATTCTCTTGGAAGAGCACAACAAGCCGCTGGTTATCGACTGGATCCCAAGAGCTGCGAGCAAAGCGAATGACGCCGCATTCCTAATTGATCAGCTCGAGTTCTCCATCGACCTCGCTCACGACATCCGAGATCCCCTCAAGGCCATGTATCTCCGGCACTCCCTCGGAACAACGTACGCATACAGCCGCGACGTCAAAGCTGCCATCCAGCTCTTCGAGGAGGTGTCCTTCATCGAGTATCGGCCGCGGGGCAACGTCCCCACACGACAGGCATATGCCTTGGCCTTTCAGAAACTGGCTTCCCTGTACAAGGAGGAGGTTCTGCACGCCGGACTCAAGACGCCCGAGGCCGACGTGTGGATCAAGAAGCTCGAGAGGGTGCAGATCCAGCAGAGCAAGCACCAGAACCAGGATATGCCGCTGAACATGGTTGGGTCTGATATCAACGTTGCGGCCATCTACCTCGGCCTCTTCTATCGCCTCCTGGGGAGAAAGGAGGAGGCAGATCCTTTGTTGAGGAAGCTCATCATCGACAGCCTGGAGATTCTCTCCGACGACGACGCTCAGAACGACGAGTATGCACTTGACAACCTCCTCTCTCTGCTGATCGCCGCCGACGACATCGAGAACGCCCGCGCTCTAAGCCAATCCATGCGCAAGCTCGACCCTCAGCTGCTCACATACTCGCCCACCGACTCCCCCGTGCTCCAGCGCATGGAACCCAAGCTACCAGAGATCCAATCAGTGCAACACAGCTGCGCGCAATGCCTCGACTACATCTCCCCGTCGGAGGAGTACAGCATGTGCGAGTACTGCATGGAGAGCTACTGCAAGCGGTGCCTGGAGATGATCAAGAAGGACGGCAACAAGACGAGCGACCACCGGACGGACCTGATCTGTCGCAGCGACCATGTGTGGTTCCCGGTGCCGCCGCTGACACGGGTGTTGCATCGTGGAGAGATTCTGCTCGTCAATGGCGGTGTTGCGAGCTTTACGGAGTGGAAGGGTACGCTGCAAAAGAGATGGAGTTGATGAGTGTAAATAAAGACGATATAAAGGCAAATGAAGTCATGATAAGATGAGAGGCGCTGTAATCGATAAACTGTACACCAGGGCACTGAAATCAGGGCACCTGCACTATAATCAAGCCCTGCAGGTACCAAATAGCGGCCGATGCACTGAAGCGAGGGGCAGCCACTGCTAAACCCTGTACGACCACCGCACTCCAGCGACATCGGCACCTAATCGACCTTTGCGGCCAGTCAACCACCTTTTCGGTGACGAAATAATATCATTCCCGTCCCCCACGATTTCCACCCAAAAAGTCATCCAGCTCCAAACACTCTCCGCTCCAACCATGGCAACGGCTTCCGCTCCCCAGGGCTCGGCGCCGCCCGAGAAGAAGCAGACGCCCAGCGCGATGCGGTCGGTCCTCGCCGGCTCGACCGCCGGTGCTGTCGAAATCGGTACGCCCTGTTTGCTACCTCGGGAATCGCCTCGTTGACTGACTGGAACTCTGTAGCCATCACATATCCCGCCGAATGTACGTCGCAACGAACCCACCTCCCCACCGAACCGGTCGACTTCGAAAGATAGAGGACCTCGCAGGTTATGGTATACTCGCAGGAACTGATTGGGCACTCTAGTCGCAAAGACCAGGTCGCAGTTGAACCGGCGGCTGGCAGCGGGCGAGAAGTTGCCATGGCCGCCGTTCGGCAAGCAGTGGTACGCCGGCTGCACCACGCTGATCATTGGCAACTCGGCCAAGGCTGGTATTCGTATGTCGGACCGCGTCCGTTGAGGCTGAGCTGGAGGTGGGCTGACAGGGTGTAGGATTCGTCGCCTTTGATCAGTACAAGCGAATGCTGGCCGACGCCGACGGCAAGCTCACCGGACCCCGGACCGTCCTCGCCGGCTTCGGTGCCGGAGTCACCGAGTCACTCCTCGCCGTAACGCCGACGGAGAGCATCAAGACGACTCTGTGAGCGCCCCCGCGATGGGTTGCTTGTCACACGACTAACACGCACCTAGGATCGACGACCGCAAGCTGCCCAAGCCCCGACTCCGCGGCTTCCTCCACGCCGTGCCCATCATCGCGCGAGAGCGAGGCCTCCGCGGCTTCTTCCAGGGCTTCGTACCGACGACCGCGCGCCAGGCGGCCAACAGCGCGACGCGCTTCGGCTCGTACACCTTCTTCAAGCAGCTGGCCGAGTCGTACACGGCACCCGGCGAGAAGCTCGGCGCCGTGGGCACGTTTGCCATCGGCGGGCTGGCGGGCATCATCACCGTCTACGTGACGCAGCCGCTGGACACGATCAAGACGCGCATGCAGAGCATCGAGGCGCGCAGCATGTACGGCAGCACGTTCAAGTGCGCGTCGATGATCTTCAAGCAGGAGGGCGTGCTGACGTTCTGGAGCGGCGCGCTGCCGCGGCTGGCGAGGCTGGTGCTGAGCGGAGGCATCGTCTTTACCATGTACGAGAAGAGCATGGAGCTGTTCGACCAGCTGGATCCCGAGAAGAAGTACATCTAGGGCGGATACTCTGGGTGGATTGCGGCTAGACAGGGGCGTTGGGGACTGGAAAACGCAGAGATGATTATGTCGTGGAGCAATACAGGTGCAAAATCGCTTTGATACAGCTAATATACAATGCGTATATATACAAATAGATCCAGACGTCGTATCATGGGTATCCGTTGCGCGCCGGCAAACCATGCCTTTTCTCCTCGTGACGTCCTCGTTTATAGTTGCGCCCTGACATTCCTTTATCCTAGGCGTCTTTTATGTCGTTTTTGCGTCCGTGTCGCTGTCGTGAGATGGTTCATTCGTTGATATTACTGGAATCTGATCATGCCGGTGAGCCTCTTGCCCAACCGCTCAAGCCACGACCGGTTAGGAGCCTCATCAATCTCCCGAACCAGGTCCTCAAAGTACGTAGGCTGGCTCTTGGGCTCAAGCATTGGACCCTTGAGCTCAAACTATGTCATCGTTAGCAACCCGCCCTTCGCGATGTCGACAACGCCAGCACTAACCCGATCGCTGTACCGGTTCTGGGCGAGGAACCGCAACGCCTTGGCCTTGGACAGCTCCTCGGCCTCCATCGAGGGCGTGTAGTTCTGGTATCGCTCGGCGACGGCCTTGGCCAGGACGTCCTGGAGCTGGTGGTCCGGACGAAGGGCTTGCTGGGGCCATCGGGCGAAGACCTCCTGGTAGATTTTGTACTGGGAGAGTTAGCCGGTAGGAACTTCGGTGGCGCAGGCGTGATTGGGGTCGTACCGATGCCGAGCGCGACATGGTGAATTGAGGACAAGGGTCGTGGGCGGGTGGATTGCGCTGTCGGAGGGATATCGACGACGTCAACCAGCAGCCAGTGAAGAAATTCCCAAGAACAGTGCATCTAGGACAGTGCGCTTCGCTGTTGCGACTGTTTCAAGGTGGCAGCTGATTGGCCCCGATCTCCGGCGTGGTAAATTTATGCCTTAGGCCAAGACCGGTCTGGACCCTGATAAATCGATTGCCTCATCACCCGGCGGGCAGTGCTGCGGAGATGTGGAGCCAATGCGATGCCTCGAGAGTCACAATACGTAAGTCCAAGCCCGAGAGGACGCCCAGAAAGGAAGCCCAGACGGAAGCCGGAACCACTGACAGGGTGGGTACGTACTCCTCCTCCGCAGCGTCCTCCACCGTCGCTCCGCGTAAAGCCAACCCTGTCCCCTACAGCCCCAGCGCTTATCCCCTAACGCCCGCTGCAACAGCCCCTAGAACCGCCCGAAGACCGCCTGTGACACGCTGCCGCCTGACTAAGGCAGCCGCTTCCCGTCCCTCTCTGATCAATGCATCCGTCTCCGACGTTCCCTTGAATTCTGTCTCCTCGTTCGCCACCGCGGGTCTGCATTGAAACCTGAGTTCCTTGTCTTCTTCTTTGTTGCTTATTTCTCCTGGCTGAACGCAGTCGAGCTTGTTGCTTTGCTCTGCGCCCTACATCCCTAGGCTTGTCTCCTTGCCTGTGCTGTGATTACCGAGTACCTAGTCACGAGGCCAATCTCGGAGGCAGCCCGACACCACTGGACACCACTGGACACCACTGCCGACACCGCCAACCCATCTCCCTCTCGCATCCCCATCGTCGGCTCATCGTCGACTCCATCTAATCCATCATGGCTGGCGGATACGAACGAGTACGTGTGCGCGCATCGCACTTTGGCGACGTCTTCGGGGGTCTCTATTCTAACAATTCGCAGGTCAACGCTCAGGACGACGACGCCAACAGCGCTGTCGACGCTCGAAGCCTCCGTCCCATCCCCAACTCGCCTCCTCCCTCCTTCCATTCCCGCGCCTCCTCGACCTCACGCCAACGCAGCGTCGACCCCGACCTGGCTGACGCATTCGACGACGATGACGACAGCGACGACGAAATCGACGACCGCCGCCGCCTGGTGCGCCAGAACTCGACCCCAGATGCCTCGTCATCCGAGAACGTGAGCACTTGGGAGCCACCGTCTCAACCGCCGCCCCGGCCAGCCCCTACGTCGTCCGGATCACGGCCCCGAGTCGTCGGCGGCGGCGTTGGCTCCGACGGAGTGTTTGCCAACCTTTCCGCGCGACCCGAGCGGGGAGATCCCGAGAAGGAAAAGGACGAACTACCTCCTGTATGTCGCCTGTAGATCCGATTGTGTGTATATCCGCTGACCTCAGTAGTCCTACGAGCAAGCAGCCGCTGATGCTGCTCCCCCATACTGGGAAACAACGATCCTTGCCCCGGGCATGGGCGGCGGCGACGAAGTCTATGTCGACGGCATGCCCGTTGGGTCCTTCTTCTCCTTTGTCTGGAACGGCATGATCTCGACGGCCTTCCAACTCGTCGGCTTCCTCCTCACCTATCTCCTACACTCGACCCACGCCTCCAAGAACGGATCCCGCGCCGGTCTGGGCATCACCCTTATCCAATTCGGCTTCACCATGAAAGGCGCCTCCGAAGACGAACCACCCACGATGAACGGCCCCGACGGATATGCCGCACCCCCGGACCCCAACTCGCACGAATTTAAACAGGGCGACGTCACGGATGGTGAATGGGGCAGCGTCAGCGGTGCCGAGTGGCTTGGATATGTGCTCATGGTTGTTGGATGGTTCCTCCTCATCAAGAGCGTGGCCGAGTTCCTACGGGTACGTCGCCACGAGCAGTTGGTTCTCCAGAGCCCTGACCGAGGGCTGGGCGTTGCCGTTATTGCTGAGGGTGAGACCACGGAGCGCGTGGTTTAACCGGATTTGAAGTATAATGCGATACCAACATGGTCTACCGTTACTGTACATTATTACATCTGTGCCGAGACACTACGTTGCACTCATGGGCGTTTTGGAGGTTTCTGGGTTGGATGGAAGGGCTGGATTTCTGGGTTTTTCTACTATACATGTCAGTCGCACGTCCTGTCTCGCCGAGATGGATTCACAGTCAAACGACCAAAGATTTCCTTACGAGGCGTATTATTAAACACCTGTTCACGCATAGATGTGGCAGTTATATTGCCGTAATTTACTGGTGCATGTTCTAGACTCGCCGTGACTGTCTGAATCAGGAGCAGTCAAGTGACTGGTTCCCGTGCTCAATGTCTCGTCCTACAGCCTCTGGGGACTCTGAAGAGCAAATACTGTACGACGAGCCGTACGCGCATCCAATATATCACATCGTACATTGTTAGATCTAGTGATTGTGTGGGGTTACCGACGGCCCGAATCCGCTGATCGGTGGCGGCCCCGCTTGAGCTCCGCCGTCAAGTCAACGTCAACTCGGGATCATCGGTCGTCATATATCGCGACCATACATACTATAACCACAACAACACGGCGAGAGTAGCATCTAGTTCTAGTCTCATAGCTTTGTTGATCTTGCGCTGAGTAACGATATTACTCTCCGGTTGGTCCGTCCGCAAACTATTGAGCGGCGGTAGAGTTCTGTCGCCATCACCCCGCACTCCACAGCAGATCGTTCCCCGGATCATCAATCTTGAGGCTTGCTCAACCTGGCGCCAACAACCAGAGGTTTTGGTGTGTGTCGTCTTCCCTTGGACATCTTCGTTAGACCTCGACCAGGTCGATCTATCCTCTCACAAACCAGGGCTCGGTTTCGATCCCACTTCGCCATGGCCTGGACTTGCTCGGGCGCCACCAATACGGCGCTCATCGAGAACATGTGGAAGAATGGGCTGATTACAGATTCCCGGATCAAAGAAGCCTTCCTCAAGGTATTCCGTCACCCTTCTCACTCCAACTTCCAGGGTTAACAATCCACCAGGTCGACCGCGCCAACTACTCGCCCTCGATGCCCTATGAAGACTCCCCCCAACCCATCGGCCACAACGCCACCATCTCGGCGCCGCACATGCACGCGGCCGCCATCGAGCACATGCTCTCCTACGTCCTCCCCTCCAGCGCGTCGCCCGCCCCGCGCGTGCTCGACGTGGGGTCCGGCTCCGGCTACCTGACGCACGTGCTGGCCGAGCTGGTTGGCGAGAGGGGCCTCGTGGTCGGGCTGGAGCACATCGAGGAGCTCAAGGTGCTGGGAGAGGTCAATATGGGCAAGAGTAGTGAGGGGAGGCGGCTGATTGAGAGTGGCAAGGTGCGGTTTCGGTTGGGTGATGGCCGGAAAGGATGGGATGAGGCGCCGAGGGAGGGAGAGGAGAGCCAGGGCACAGGATGGGATGTCATCCACGTCGGCGCATCAGCGGTAGAGATTCATCCCCAACTGCTCGACCAAATGAAGTCTCCGGGGTGGTAAGTCACATCACAACCAACAAACGACACACACTGACTCGACGTTGCAGCATGTTTATCCCCGTAGACGACGACGATTCCGGCTACAGCCAGCACGTCTGGCGGATCGAGAAGGATGGGAACGGGGAGATTACTAGGAAGAGACTGTTTGGTGTGCGCTACGTTCCCTTGACGGATGCGCCGAGGAGGAGATAGTGTTGGGGAATGAACCTGACGACTACGCGGGCATGGACAGGATGCATACAGTTTGACATATGATACCCGGCTACCAGTTTACCGATGCATTCATTTCTCACCCGAACAAATAGCCTTCGATTTAAGTTCAGTCTAGTTTTTCGTCCTCATGAGTTAACCGTCTTTGAAAATTCGACTACTAGGTCCAGGGAGTGATAAAATTGATGACATTAGCCAAACAAATAAATGCTCATATCTCTCTCAAGATCGTGCTCCGTACGTACTGCAGAATGCCATGGAAATACTCCCCAACTCTCAACTCTCAACATGCATTAGCCCTCGTATAGGGGGGCTTGACGACTCAATCCTAGACCAAGCCGCGTCTCACAGTAACGTGAGAATGCTCAATGACAATTCGAAGACGGGAACTGCAAACGTCGACTGGACCTCATTCTAACACCCACGTCTACCCCCCCGAAGCAACGGGCATTCCATTGGCATCATTGAGCAAGTTCATACCCGAATGAGAATCACGGGACACTCCCTAGTGATATCTAGTGGTGAGTATGAGAGGCTATTCACTCTTTCTTGGTGTGGCTCTGCCGAAAAGATGGGTCGTCTAGTTCTTTTCCAGGTGAGAGATGCTAGAGTTAGGAGTCAGCTGGTACGGTCCAGGTATTTTTGCGATGGAGGGATTTTGTCGTCAGTACCCGGGCAGATTTTAATTCTACAAATATTACAATAGATGCAGTTTCTCTCCTCCGTCTGGTGACCCCTGCCCAGCTTGTCGAATGCATGCAAGTCTATCCCAGGTCAGCTACATCTAAGACCAGCTAGCCATCTACGCACCTCTAATCCTTTCTAATAAATACCAGAACCCCTTGGTATCAGGTTGAAACACTTGAAACAACCAGGAGACATTTAGTCGGCAGCCATTCTAGCGGATGATATCGGCGACGGCTCATTGGTGGGGTCGCGGCCGGGAGAAAACCGGGGCCGTGGTTGCCGGAGACGGCGCCGAGTTCATTAAACAGGAAGGTACAAGCCACGGCGGTCGGCGCTGGTCAATTAGCAGAGAGCTTGTAACAAGCGTGAACAGATGTGGAAGCGTTGGGCTTTTCGACGCGGTCACCTTCCCCGGTTTTTTTGGCCTCGTTCCCTATCTCGATAGCTCCCGTCATATCCAGGCGGAAGCTGACACCGACGCCGACAATCGGAAGGCCAAACCGACAAATGCTCGGGGGAGGCTGCAGGAGATGATTCATCCAGACTGGAGACTGGGAGATTCTCGTCGAAGTGAGAGCATGAGGTGGTTCTGTGCTACCCCGCACTGATGATTACCCCGCGATGAAATAGATTATAACCAGTTGTCGTCCCAACTGTGCGGTTGGAAGGCATCGCAGGACAACGCTTAACACCAGCGCTTAACACCAGCCCTCAACACCAAGACCATCATCACGCTTGCAACTCTTATACCTCTCCGGCTTCAAGAACACCCCCACACACACCCCATCATGGCCTTCACCAAGGTCTGCCTCGTCGGCGGCAATGGCAACCTCGGCACCATCCTCCTCGACGGCCTCGTCGCCGCGGGTGACTTCACCGTAACAGTAGCCAAGCGCACCTCGTCCAAGTCGGCGCCGGCGCACGCATCCTCGATCGAGCAAATCACCATCCCCGACGACATGTCGGTGGCCGGGCTGGCGGACGCCCTCCGCGGCCAGGACGTCGTCATCGCGTCGTTCCCGCTCGTCGACGTCAACCAGCACCTCCGCCTCGTCGAGGCCGCCGCGCTCGCCGGCGTCAAGCGCTTCGTGCCCGCCGACTTTGGCAGCTGCGACGCCGCGAGCCCCAACGCCCGCCGCCTGCTGAAGCTGTACCGCGACAAGGACCTGGTGCGCCAGAAGTGCGAGGAGATTGCCGCGGCCAACGAGGCCTTTTCGTGGACCGCGCTGGTCTGCGGCCACTTCTTCGACTACGGCGTCCACGACGGCCTGCTGCACTTCGACCTGGAGAACAAGACGGCCGACATCCTCGACGACGGCTCCGTCCGCGCCTCGGCGTCGACCCTGCGCCGTGTCGCCGAGGGCACCGTCGCGGCGCTGCGCCGGCCGGAGCCCACGCGCAACCGCACGCTGTACATCCAGAGCTTCTGCCGGTCGCAGCCCGAAGTACTGGCGGCGCTGGAGCGCGTCACGGGCGTGACCTGGACACGGCGCACCATCGACTCCAAGGCGTACATCGAGGAAGCGTCTCGCAAGCTGGACGTCGAGTGGACCAAGCACACGATGGAGGAGATTGTGTTTGTGCTGGGCGCGCTCGAGGCCGACTGGACCAAGGAGGAGGGCTTCGCCATGGAGCTGCTGGGGCTCGAGGACGAGGATCTCGACCAAGTCGTGGCGGAGGTGGTGGCCGGCATGGGCAAGCAGCACTAATGCGTATGCCGTCACTTTGTATCACCGTCACTGTGTCAGCGTCCTGGCGGGTGTTGTGCGCGTGACTGCTCTGTGCCATGTAGAAAAGGCACTCGAGGCGATCGAGTTAGGTCATCTTGAAAGGGTGAAGATAGACATTAGCCATAGACCCTCAAAATCAATCCCGTGGTCAGAATCCAATCGGAGTCGGAGGAAGTCTTGGCTTCCATCATCCCTCATTCCAGCGCCATTCTTTCTTCACAGCTCAAGCCTCTTTTTCTTCACCGGCCAGCCAAGTCGGGTCATCATTTCCTCCTCTCATTCCAGTGTGGCTTCGTTGCCGTCAACAACGGCCGCCCACCGGCTTACATGCATAGGACTCTCCCCCCCATGTAGCATCCAACATCAGCAATCCCATCGCCTCGCACTTCTATTTCGGGCCGCACGCCTCATGCAAGGACCGAACTCCCGAGATTGCGATTGCGGGGTTGCATCCTCTTCGGCAGTCATCATGACGGCCTGCCAATGGCCTCTGCCGCCGTGATTGGGCAGCGACGGCGAGAAACCTCCGAGACAAAGCTTTGTTGTCGTTTTTGTCTCACGGCGACCAATTCCGCAACTGGCTTTTTGTGACTTGTTGGGGCTCGGCGACCGTATGCACTTCCACCGCCAAAGACGGTAGAGATGCTAGCTGCCGACGGAGAGCTGAAGCGACGAGCCTGCAGCCACCAGCGTAGGTTTATGCTCTTGCGAGAGTGATCGTCGCCGCGAACGAGCATCACCTGAACCGGGGCCGGCTTGGCTGACGGCTCGATATGAGCTTGGAAAATTGTTTGCTCTTGTTTCACCAGGCAGTAGGGAGGACCTGTGTAATTAGAAATGGATATTTAGTCTGGATGCTCGCCCGGGGGTCAAGGGATATCTTCTTTGCATCTGTTGATCCAACTTCAACATGCGAATCATTGATCTTAGCTTTACCATGTGGTCTACACGTTTTATCCTCTCGACGTTGCTGGCTGTGTAGGTACTCTTCGGCTCAAACTCAACCCAACGACTAACACGATCGATGTATTAGAACTCGCCTCTCATGGGCAGACGCAGCCAAAAACCACGGCTGTCCCACCGTCACAACCACAGCCAAGGTCTGCTCAACCTGCGTCGTGCCAGACTGCATCGTCATGTCAACCATCTCCAACCCATCCAGCTGCCCGACCAAAGTCGCAACCATCACCACATCCTATCCCTGCGCCAAGGAGAAGTGCCCCGACGGCTGCGCGACGACGTACATGTACGCCTCGACCTATGGCGAACCGCCCGTTACCACGGCGCCGTGTCCCACCGTCACGTCGGTTCTGGGTCACTGCTCCACGTGCGTGATGCCCCAGTGCATGGCCATCTCGACCATCTCGTCTGCGTGCGGGTGTCCGAAGGAGGTTCCGACTAAGACGACGAGCTATGCATGCGGGGGCGGGTGCGTCGGCGGGTGCGCGGGGACCGAGTACGTGTATGAAACCGCCACGCCGGTATGCGAAGCCGGACCGTATTGACCTTGTCTTGGTGATTGGGTGATTGGGTGGTCGGATAATCGACTAAAGGGCCGAGAGAAGTCTATATTTTGTCTCGCAGGGGCTTCTGTGTTCCTTCGTTGTAGATTCATGCGATCAGGCGATGATAGAACCATCCTTCGACCGCCAACGACGACAGCACAATCTGCAGGAGTTGAAATTCTAGTCACCAATGTAGTTATTACCAGGGCGATCGTTGCCCAAATTGTTCACTATCAAGCGCCTGCTGGGTTGGTGTTTGAATATAGGTCAGGTAACTACATACATCTCAGCTGAAAATTCAACACGGCCAACACGCTTCGATACATCAGAATCCACCTTTCCTGGGCAGAGACCACAGTCATTGACAAACCTCCGTGCCCCACCGTCACCTGGAACCTGGGACGAGTCACCGGTGCAAAGAACAATACTAGCCCGTCTGAGCAAAATCAATGTCATAAACACCGCCTCACCGTTGTGTTGAGCGGAGACGTTGCCGCATTGACAAAGGCAAGGCCATGACGTGGTCAGAGGATGAAAGAGGCCATGGGATTGGGGACAATTCGGAGGTCCAGCCCATCGTTATCTTGGGCAGTATTCGCATAGGCACCACTTATTTCTGTTCAGCCCTGCAAATGATTAGACGTCATGGCTGAGGCGGAGATTCGGTGAACTTCCTCTTGGCAGAGTCGTCGTCACCGAGGAGCGCAACTCCAGACCGGGGTTCCCTGCGCCGTTTAATAGCGACGGATCATCAACTGCAGGGCTGGTCTGAATAAACTTCAACATGCCTCGGACCCGCGCCTCACTCAAAACAACAGGCAAATTATGAGAGCACGAGCGTGTGACATCGTGGGTTTATTAAACTTTTTGACAAATGCTCATGAGACGGGCACTGCATGGTTGATGCGGTACTGGCAGTTTAATTAAACGGTCATGCCGGCGTTGTGGAGTGTCCGGATTGCGCCGTGGGCGAATATCGGAAATCGGGACCAGCGCACGGATTGATTAGCGTCGGGGTGGACGATGACAGCTGGAGGTGGACCTATGGAGACTGGAGAGCTGATACAGGGACCGTGCCTGTAACAATGACAACAAACAGGCTGGTTTTCAAGAAAGGAAGGAAAATCAAACGAGGGAAATTCTGTAGGGCTTTGTGTTTGCTTGTTTGTTTTGATATTGTCCCGTAGTCCAGGTATATGCCTGAATGAGGCCGCCCTACAGCTGCAGCCAAGTGAGGTTTCGGGGATGCACTTGGCTGGGTGGGTGCACCGGAGTCGCAGCCTGACACAGTTACGGAAGCCCTCCGCAGCTCTCGCCCGCACTGTATTTCGACCCAGGCATCTCTCCCGCGTTAGGCTCCCAGTTAACCGGGCTTCTAGGGGTCCAGGCACCCGCCGCAGCTATTTCGGGGCCGTCAGGGGACCCGGCAGCGTGGTCGGGTTGGTGTGGCGTGCACAGTGCCCGTGACAAGCCACCCGCCACCGCAGCGCCTAGGAGAGCTCCCAGGATGGATCCCTGCTCCGCCAAGTGACGTCGGCAGTGCGCGTCCGACGCGTCTCGACGGCCACCAAGCAAAAGAGCTCCCTCCGCTGAGGAAGCGGTGTTGGGTTAGAAGCGTTTAGTTAGACGCAGTGGGCTGTGGGCTGTGGACGGGAATGATACGTCACGAGGGCGGCCACGATGGCACCGATGCCCCGTCAACGCATCAACCCATCCGGCATCAACACTCTTGGCAGAAGCCGGCAGCCCTCATTTCTCTCGGCGTCCAGTCTCACCACTGCAGCAAATGCTCCTCCGACCCCCCAAACCCAAACCCGTCGTCACCCAAAAGGCCGCTGATGCTTGCTGAGCTGAGCTGAGCTGGCGCTTGCTCGGGGCGCAGGTCAACCAAACACCGTCAAAGCACCACTGACTTCTATTCTGCTTCGCACGCCGCGGGCCGGACGGGACCCTGCCAAGACCCGGCCGGCCGCCAAGCAGGGTGCGTCCATCCTAAGTAACTTACCTACCCCGGGACGTCTGGAATAGCACGCAAAGCACGCAAAGCAAAGCAGCATTACACTCTGGCTTAGCTGGGCTTGGCGGGCTTCGCTGTGTTTTCCTGCTGTTTCTGCGCATCAGAGCCACCCTGTCTGTCGTCGACGCCAAAAAGGCACAGCCCCCGCCGGCTGACGTTGAATTTTCGCCGTCTGCGCCATACTGTCTCGACCCTCTCTACCATCTGTCCCTGCGACTTTCTTTTATTATTCCCCTGTCCGCTGTCGTCTTCTGGTGATTCTTTATTATCTCCCTGGAGTCCGTCTCCCTCCCTTCCGCCAAGAAACTCATATACGCCCCCCTTCGCTCGTGCCACGTCGTCGGTTCGCTCGTTGTTGAATATCAGTCGCCCTCTTGCCCAAGGGAGCCCGCTACCAGCCACTGCCACACTCGCCCTCGCCCTCGCTCATCACTATTTAATCGTCACCAGGCTTTGTCCTATTTTTACCGGCATCCCTTTCCTCCTCTCTCGCAAAGCGTTCAACAAAAAGCATTGCAAAACGCCGGTAAAGAAAACAGCCGGTTTCGGGGAGGAATCCGTGTGAGGGCAGTGGATTAATATTCTTTATTAATCACTGTTCCCCCCTCTGCGCTCGCTCTCGGTCTCCCCTCACTGCGACACGACTCCACCACAAATTCCCCCCCACGTCCACCTTGCACCTCACACCTTGCGCCTTACACCAACCCTGAAATGGAGGCCCGCTCTCTCACCTCCGTCAACAACCTCGCGGCCAACCCGCCGCAGTATCCTATTAACCCGACAGACGAGCGACAAGATCCCTTGGTCCTCTACATCTCCCGCGTTCCTGGCACTCGAGGTATGATGCCCAGAAATCTACACGCTACTCCGTGCCCCTCCATACTGTAACACTAACAAAACTGCGTCTTAGATGTCATCCTCTCCCCCTTCAAACCCCAGCTCAAAATCGTCTCCGCCGAAGATGTCGCCAGCTCGCTCTACTATATCCACCTAGAGGCGCCGTCCTCGGATCTCTCCGCTCCGGCCGCGACTTTTGATGACGGCTTCCGATCATCCAGCGACGAGGGTTCCTCCGCCAGGAACATTCCCAGAAAGCCCCTCCCCGAGACCGCCAAACCCCTCCCCTCGAGCCGCGATTTCCTTCCTCTCCCTGGCGACGAGAACCAGAACCCGAGGCGAGCCCGTGGTCACACTGTCAGCTCCTCATACGATGCCGGTCGCTCGGCCCCGTCTCGTGAACAAGAGGTTCGATTCAGCCTCGACGCCCAAGACTCTGACCCAAGGCCGCAGGCTTCGTCTATACGCCGTACGGCGACTGTATCTCGGAGACCCCTTGGCCCCAGAACCATGAGGACTCCTGCCACTCCCAACACCGACAAGCCACTTCCTGCATACCCTCAGCTAGACGGAGAGCGAGTTCCCGCTCATGCATCAGGTCCTCGGAGACAGAGCCACGCGAGTCGGTCTCCGTCACCGAGGAAGCAAGGAGAGACTTCTTTCACCAACCCATTCACGCTGGCTCTGATCCGTCGGGATCCGAGCACCGGAAACCAGTGGAACGTCGGTCATGTCTCATCCTACCAGTCGGAAGCACCAGCGGTCGAGCAGGACGAATTCGGCCCATTTCTTCCCAATGTGCCACCAGTCCAGTCTACGACGACTCCTGCCGCAAATCCTCCGATCAATATCCAAATCGAGACTTTGGGTTACGGCAGGTTCCGCAATATGCCCGTGAGGAAGAGCTTCGATAATGGCCCTGGTGATGGAATCCCAGCAGACGCAAGGGTTCCCCGAAACGAAGGTGCTGTGCTTTCGAGGCAGGTTCTTATGAGTTACGCAAAGTCTTGGTCGTCCAATTGGAAGGAGAAGTGGAACGAACCTCGGTCTGAACATCGTCGGCATGGAAGCGTGGCATCGGTGGACTCAACTGGCTCTACAGAGCTAACCCCTGAACCACAGACTGCTCTGGGACAGCCAGGCCCGGGAATGAGACCCCGCGGATATGTCTTTACCAGTCCGTGGAACGGGAGATGCGAGTTCCGGACTGGAACCACCGGTCGCAGTGTCCGATGCTATCACATTTTGCACGACGACAAGCCGGCGCTGAATACTCTAGTCGATCAAGGAGTTCCCATTCCTCAGCAGTTGGTAGGAGCGATGGCCCTCAGTGAGCTGCGCTTCAACCTGCCGAGCGTAGAGCTCTTCAAGTCCCCTGAGGGGCGCGAGGAAGTCAAGTCGCAAGTCCAGGGGCACTTCAACAAGCTCCTTCAGAAGCTTGATGAGAAAACTAATAGAAACAACAACAACGACTACGACGACGGCATGATATCGCCGTTCGATGTGAACCTCGGCAAGGAAAAGGCCGGAGGCGGCAACCGCGGAAAGCGAGCCAAGATGGGGAAGCTAATCATTTACCCCGACGGTCTGAAGATGCTGGATTTGGTGGTGGCGGCCAACATGGGCATTTGGTGGGGAGCTTGGGAGAAGAGCTTTTAAGTGACTGCTTTGGTTGAAAGTTAATGGCTTGGAATGGAATGGATGATAGTACCGGCGCTGTGATGTTTGGATAGACATGTATACCCGCAAGGAGCAGCACGACGTAACGACTACATGGGGTCACGGATAATGAATTGATCATTTTGGTGTCACTCTGGGATCGCTTTTAGCTTATTATGAGTCTTTTGATGTGTTTTAATGAGTCAATTATTGTCAATTGCAAATTGCTAAAAGCATCGTGGTGTTGTTGATCCGACAATGTACATTGGTCGGTTGAGTCTGGTGCTGCACGTGACAAGTCACGCGGCATGCGAGCACCAATCATCTGCCCAGCAATGTAATCCCGCCTGGGGCCTGAGCAACTTTCCCAAGCCGACACATCACGAACGACGGAACAAAACCTCGCCTCCCGCCCTCTCGCCTCCGCCTCGCCCGCATCCCGCCCAATTGGCCTCCCGTCAATTGCCCTCGCCCCTCCGCTCAACTCTCCCTCGCCATGGCGCCGGCTCTGCAGGCTACCACCGCCATGCTCGCGCGCCGACAGCTCCCCCGGGCGGCCGCCTCCAGCAGCAGCGCCGCCCTCATCGCCGCCCGGATGCTCGTCGCCCGCCAGGCCTCGCGCGGCTACGCGACCCCGAACGGACCCCCGCCCGCCAACTTCCGCACGAGCAGGAAGGTCACCTGGACCTGGGACAACGAAAGCACCCTCGACCGCATGGGCAAGTTTTTCCTCATGACCGAGATGGCGAGGGGAATGTACCTCCTGCTCGAGCAGTTTTTCCGACCACCGTATGTTGCCAAACGAACCACGACCGCCTGGATATCTGGGACGAAGTGCTGACGACAGAATAGCTACACCATTTACTACCCCTTCGAGAAGGTATGCGAGACATGGCCCGCGGAGAGCTTCCGCTCGGACCGACCGGTGGACTGATTGATATCCCAGGGTCCCATCTCCCCCCGATTCCGAGGCGAGCACGCCCTCCGACGATACCCCTCGGGTGAAGAGCGCTGCATTGCCTGCAAGCTCTGCGAAGCTGTACGACTTCCCTTGCCGTCCCAATTCCGACAACCCGTGGTGGACCTCCTGTACTGACCCTCCTCAGATCTGCCCCGCCCAAGCCATCACCATCGAGGCCGAGGAGCGAGCCGACGGCTCCCGACGAACCACCCGCTACGATATCGACATGACCAAGTGCATCTACTGCGGCTTCTGCCAGGAGTCGTGCCCCGTCGACGCCATTGTCGAAAGCCCCAACGCCGAGTACGCTACCGAGACGAGAGAAGAGCTGCTGTACAACAAGGGTGTGTTTTTCTTTATTCCCTCTTCTCTCCCAATTCCCCGACGAATGGCCCTCAATGGATTCCAATTGCCTTTTTTTATCTAATCCATCGTCTCCCGGGCATTCTCCGTGAGCTTCGCCGTTCAAGCAGCCCAGCTCCGAGATGCGCGGTTTTGCCAAGAACCACCCTCGGCTAACAACCCATCAACAGAGAAACTCCTTTCCAACGGCGACAAGTGGGAGCCCGAGCTCGCAGCCGCCATCCGAGCGGACGCCCCTTACCGATAAACCAAGAATGGGGAGAAGAACAGAAGAAAAATCACGACGACATACATCTTGTTTTGTTCCTTTAGGTTTATTTGTATCTGGTATCTCGTCGTTGTAGGATTTTTTGTTCCAGGCGGAGGGAGGCGGCAGCGGCAGCGGGAGCAGCAGCAGCAACAAACAACAACATATTTGTCTTTTGCCAATTGCAGATGGACATTGCACAGCGGACAGCTGGCACCGGGCGATGGGGTTGGGCGGCATCTGGACGGCGAGGTGCAGAGTGTGTATATAATCTAGAGCTCAAAAGCCCTTTGTCACTGGTCATTTCATTCTTGTGTTTGGTGCGTGAGGCTGGTTGAGCGGAGGAGGTCATGGGTTGTCTTCAACTACGAGATGCTTGGACACATGTGCTAACACCAAGGAACAGTCGGTGGAATTGGCCATCAATTGGATTTAGTGAGTCTAAAGCTCACGATGATTCTATCGTACATTCAGCTGACCCTAATAAGGTAATGCAGCGACCGAGACTAACCGCAACACCGTCCACCTTAAACGCCATCATCAGCCAGCCGATGATTAATATCAAATGACTTTTACACCAAATTCAGCACTCCCACGTCTCGACGTCCTTCTCCTCAGCAGCGCTCAGCAACATCTCCATCAGTCCAGCGCTCACCTCCCTCATCCACGTATGGTACTGCTTCTTGCTGGGATACATCTGACACGACGGCGCCGCGGTGCTCGACTCGCCAAACTCGAGCGTCATCCCCCGGATCTTGCCCGCGCCGCACTGGCGACTATAGTACCGGCTCAGGGCGTAATCAGGGCTGGTACCCGATGTCGGGTAAAAGGAAGCTGCCTCTTGGATGGTGTATGGCGTATCGCCCGCAGAGGCCATGGCGGAGTGCATACGCTTTGCCAATTTGGTTTCAGCGGTGTAATCGGAGGCCTGCATGTACTCTCTGTACATGCTGTCCTTGGGGTCAATGCCTGTGAAGCCGCGCTTCCCGTCGTAGGCACTGTTGGTGAAGTTCTGCCGACTATCACTCGTCTGGACGTTGTCGTCGCCCCAGCCTAACAAGATCGCTCCGCCATACGAATGCAGATCGAGCAGCCACGACAGACTAGGGAAGGAATCCAGCACCCAGGCAACGTTCCGCGTCTCGGGTTCAGAGAAAGGCGCTGTGCCGTGGAAGACTTCGCTCACAGGGTCATCAGACGCGGCCGCCCACAATTCGGCGTTGGGGCTGAAGGCTTGGGTGTAGTTCCAGAGGAAGTCATAGTTGCGGTTCAAGTCGACGCCCACTTCTGCGTCCAGAACACCCGTGGCGCTCGCGGGGTTGCGGTTCTTGCGCCAGCACGAGTCCGTCGCCTGGTCGTGGGCCACGCCGTCGGGGTTCACGAGCGGCAGGACGACGATGCCGGCAGAGAGTGCGGTAAGAACTTGCTTATGCGAGTAAATCTTGTCGCCGTACTTGATGCCCGAGCGCGCGGTGCGGGCGTGCAGGAGGTCTGACAGAAAGTAGACGACGTCGTCTGGGCCACCACGCTCACGGGCATGGACGCCGCTCATGATGAAGACGCGGGGGTCTTTGCCGATGCTTGCCCCTCGGAGTGAGGCATTCTCAAAGGTGGTGAACGGGGGTGTGAAGAGCTTAACGTCCTTGAAGGTGCGCGCGAGGCCCCGAAGTGCCGAGTCAACCTCACGGGGGTTGAGGATGGTCTTGAGGTCGCGGTTGTGCACGCCCAAGCCAGCGGGCGGGAGTGTACCGTTGGCAAAGCGATCGCCAGAACCGACGAGGATGTCGTAACGAGGAGAAGCCTGAATTGGGCTGTTTTGGAGGAGAGCTTTGCTGGTTCCTGGGTGGATTTCGGACCGGAGCAGACAGGACGAGACCCCTGTCACGATGGCAGTTGTTGCGAGGATGGAAGGGAGCTTCATGGTTGTGTTGATGAGATTGGAGGTTGGAAGATTCTGTGCCAGGTGGTTCGTAGCTGGGTTATATGTCGTTATGTGAGGTTATTTTTGGTTATTTCGGGTTGTTGGTTCGTCCTCTTTGTATCGCCTGTTTTGTCTGTTCGTTGCGACGTTGCGACGTTGGTTGGCGCACATGTGTGATTGTTGGTTGTGTTGTGTGGTTGGCGGTTATAAGTGGCTGTGAGTGGTCGCGAGACGTCTGTGGGGAAATAACTTCCTTGTCGCCTGCCTAGTTGCAGACTTGAACAAGGGAAGGAAGGCACTGTGAAACACAGCCGGGCCTGTTGGTACCTAGGAATATGGATACAGTTGCTCCTTCCGGCAATCCTTTTAGCAATCCCTCTGCGGTTCCTTCTCGTATTAAGCATCGCAAGGGTGGGCGGGTAGGTAGGTATGAAAATAGGGCCGCGGCAGTTAGCCTCACAGCCTCCCCGAATGCGACCCTTTCCGTGGCACAGGCTTGTGCTGCTGTGTCGTCGCGATCGGGTGTTGAAACGTGGGATCTCAGAATGTGTGTAATGGTGCGCGATTGATTGCTTTGTTCGACAAAGACCCAGTGTCTTGGAGTGGGATTTGATATCGACACGCGAGGATGCACAGAATCGGCAAACGGAGTGGTACTAAGACAATGATTGACAAACAGTGAAATCGATGCCATCTTTTCTGAGAAACTATACCATCTGCAGGATATTTCATATGACGGAGTCTGCGGGCAATGGGCATCTCCGCCACCATCCCTACTTTCTAAGTTACAGGGTAGATCGGCGAGTGGGCGAGTGGGCGCTTCGCAATGACCTAAACATAGTTCCCTCTCAAAGCGCAGCCAGGGGATTTACTTATGGCCCGTCTAGAACGGTTCTTTGTGCCCCTTTGTTGAATGTTAAAAGAACCAGCCCCTTCTAGATATAGCCTCTTGTCGCCAATTAGAATCCAGAATCCAGATGCTCTCATGGATTCTGTACTAGCCAACGAATAGACCGTGGACTCGCTCCTCGTCAAGTGGGACCAATGAGGGCCAAGTCGATTGTGCTGACTTTGGCGAAACATGGGGGAATGAGCCGGGGGTCGAGATGTGCACAACAATTGAACGCCCAGAACGAGCTCTAAAAATACAAGGAAATTTGAATGTACCAAATATATGATTTAAAAAGTCACCATGTAATTTTCAAAGTCACTTCATTCCCTCAACCCTGCTAACCCCGTACCTAAACTCGCATCCCGCTCTCAAGAACTACCCTCGGGAACGGCGATCCAATGACAAGCCAGCGTTCCACTGACGTACTCGGCCTTTTCCCCCGGCAAGGTACGTACAGGCCGAGAAAACGCAACCACGTGACGCGCCAATCCCAGCTAGCTCCGACTCTCCGTGACCCGAACAGCAACGAGAAATTTATCATCACCACTTTGACCGAACTTGCCCCCCCCCCCTCAAGCTCCCTCCGCCAAACCCGCTCCTCGCCATCTCGCCCGCCCTCCAGCAACCTCCCAATTGAGAAGCTGCCCCCCCGCCGCATTTTACACAATGTTCCGCTCCGCCGTCCTCCGCTCCGCCTCGGCCGCCCGTGCCGCCATCCGACCGGTCGTCGCCGCGCAAAGGACCGCCTTCGCCGCCGCGCCCCGGGCCTCCGTCATGCCCAAGATCCAGAGCTTCCAGGCCGTGCGGATGTACAGCGCCGGCGGTGCTCTCAACAAGGACGAGGTCGAGGGCCGCATCGTGAGCTTGCTGCAGGGCTTTGACAAGGTGAGCCGCCACCCCCTCCATGTTGAGCTGGGAGAGATGCGGAGGCGCGACATGTGGTCGGTCAATTCGACTGTGTCGATGGCTACATGTCGGATGTATGAGTGTATATGAGGCAGTAGTATGGGACGATGCTACAAGTGTCGTCTTCACTACTCTCCGCCTCCAACCACCATCCAGACGTCTTATCCGCCTCTCCCACCCTGCTCCTCAACACAGAAGCTAACCGCTCCATCATAGGTCAACGATATCGCCAACGTACGTCTTCGAGAACACCTCCCCTCTACTCGCCCCTCCACCCCGAACCAAGGAACCTCCATCTAACCCCCGTTAATAGATCAAGGGCACTGCTCACTTCGCCAACGACCTCGGTCTCGACAGCCTGGACACCGTTGAGGTCGTCATGGCCATCGAGGAGGAGTTCAGCATCGAGATCCCCGACAAGGACGCCGACGCCATCCACTCCGGTATGTTTTGCCATCTTTGCCTCCGACACAATCAACCAACTAACTCCCTCTAGTCGAGAACGCCGTCGAGTACATCCTCAAGCAGCCCGACGCCAACTAAACTCTCCCCACCCCATACCTCCCCCTTGTACAATTAAAAACCCCAAAGCAGGAAAAAACCCCCCTTGCATCTTACTTAGACATGTTGGGAGCACAAAAAAACAAAACCTCTTGTGCAAAGGCGCCGACAGGGGAGGGGCTGCCGGCGCGTCACCATCTTCTCGGGTTGAAACCGAGCGGGGTTTTTTCGAGGAGAGAAATGTGGAGGATAGAGGACGACGACGACGGGCGGGGGAGTAGTTGAAGGGAGGGGAGATTTGTGTTTTGTTTTTGGTTGACATGGACCCAATTTCCCCCCTCTAGCAACGTGTGAAACCGACATCTCAAGTTGAAGCTGGCGAGCGGCCTCGAGGGAATCGTGAAGCGTCGTGGCCCTTTGCCCTGGGTTTTCATGTCCGGGGACTAATGGCTATTACTCACCGCTGTGGCTACCTTGTACTAGTGTATAGAAACATTTTGCTCACCTCTTGACATGTTTGGCTCATTTGTGTTCGGCTTGCCATGTACATGTTTCCTGTTATGTGGATGGAGTGGGCTATGACGGTCTCTGTTGACATCCAGCCCTTTTATCACTTCCAACCAAGATCTCCGATCAATGGGTCAAACACGGACGGTAAAGTATTTATCTCAAGAAGCTTGAGTTGCATTGTTGCATTCCCCTTGGCGAATGACAATATACTAACGCACAATTGAACCCAAAGTTCACTCACTTCACCATCGTCTGTCTATGATACACCTCAGGATACGTAGTCAAAGTCTCTTCAAATGTTCTTCCTCTGTACAAGTATACGTGCGATACATGCTCTCCGCTTCATTGCACAACCCCTGCTCTTAAGCAAACTGATTTCTTCGCCTTCTCCTGTTATCTCAAATGTTTCTTTTTTGGGGAATCCAGAAACCCTCAAACACCATACCCGATCCGACTCCCATCACTCAGAAGCTGACGGCTGTCGCTGTATGCGCCTCCATCATCACCAACATCCGCCATGAGAGCTACCGAGGAGCCCTACATGGCAACGAGTAGATAGATTCATGAAATGCAACATATCAGGCTCCGACTGCTCTGGCATGTCGAGTGTAGATGGCCACCCCATTTGGCGAAGCAATGAAGAAAAAAAGACAAAACTCCTCCAAACCTAAAATGATAACAATAACAATAAGATGAAATAAAAATAAAACAGGGATCAACTCCATGCCGTGTATCCTATATCCTTTTGGGAGTCCGGGGCCAAAGGCTTGCAACGAAAAACACCTGATTTTCTCTTTCCGTTAAAGGGCCAATGCTGCAAAATGAAGAGCCACCTGGTTATGCAAATCTGCGTGCTCTGTGTCCGAGGAAATGCAACGGTGTCGCATAGCTGTTGATGATGTTGGTTCATATGTCGTAGCTCGTAAGCTTTATTTCCTTGATCGTGTCTATCAGTTGCCGCTCAAAGCATGAATCGGTTGTCCACCCGAGCCGAGGGCAGGCGTTCTTGTAAGAACTTGCGCACCACGGTTCATCATCGACCGCTAACAGGCACGGAGTCCCTTGGTCCCTTGGTTCCGTTGGTGGAGCTCTTGCCGGAAACAACACCGGCATAACTGCCCCAGGACATGCCCAAGCTACCCGATACTCGCTTCGGGGTCTTGGCAGCCGTGGACGTCTCGCCATCCTCCTCCATACCTTCCATGTGGAACATCTCATCATCCTCATTGATGGGAGTGGTGAACCGTCCGTTCATGGCCGAGCTGATGCTACCGCTAGAAACGTGGCGCTCCATGCCGCGTTCCTTGCCAATGGGGCTGATTGGGCTGATGGCACTTACGGCGCCCCGAGCGGCTGAGGGGTGGAGCAAAGGGCTGGACCCACCCACGGTGTCATCGAGGTGGTTGCGCTGGAGTTGCTGAGAGAGCATTGACATGGAATCGCTAGCGCTGCGCAGCGAAGATGGGCGAACCAAGCCATTGGCGTTGTTCATCTCCTGGGCGAGAATCGAGTTTCGCAATGGGCTGCCAACATGACCAAAGGCCGATATGGAACCTCGCGCCGACCGACTGAGATCCTCCTCCTCCTTTTGTCTTTGGAACATGGGTCCCCATCTACTAGGGCTTGTTCCAATGGGGCTGCCGTACTTGCTGAGACTTTCTAGGCCGGCGTCGCCGTCAGCTCGCATCGAACCCCTGCGTGCCTTTTCAGCGGGTGTCAACAGGTCCTGCAGATTCTCAGGGACATAGTTTTCGGGGAGGGTGTCGTCATCATCACCAAAGACGAACTCGGACTCCCAGTCTCTATCGATAGATGTCTTGGGCATGCTGGAGCTGAGCATTCTTGGCTTCGAGAATCGGGACGAGTGCATAGCTCGCTTGCCGAAATACTCGTCGACATTGCTTTGGTGGGAGCTGGGCGGGCTGTTGGGAATGGGGGCGATCAGATGCTCAGAAGAGCCAAAGGCGGAGGTGTGAAGAAGCTTGAGCGTCTCAGAGGTGCGCGAATCCTTGGCGTTGCTGAGAGACTGCGAGGGAGACTCGAGGCCGAACTTGTTGGGAACCGAAGAGGGCCATGGAGCAGCAGGGAATCGGGCGGCGTTGGAGATGCCATTGGAATCGAATGAAGCGGGGAGAGGAGCATCCAGGACCGACAAACCCTTGTTGACGGGAGACAGACCCAGGCCAAAGCGGTTCGACTCTTCATCCCGAGGCGAGCCATAGGCGGAGCTAGTGTACGACATGTCGATGGTGGGTAGGCCATTCTCGAGGCTGGGCTGGCGACCCAAGCTGTGCTGCGGCTCATCGAAAGGAAAGGCCGACGTGTACGCGGGGGCATCGGCGTGGTAGAGAGAGGTGGTGAGGGCGCTGGTGGAGGGTTGGTTCTGTGCCGAGGCGGGGTTGGCCCGGCCAGCCAGACTGATGGGCGAGGTACCTATCGTAACGCCATTCTTGCCGTAGTTGATGCGTCGGCCGTCGGGAAGGACGTGGATGTTGGCGCATTTGGGGCCGAATTTACAGTTTCCCTGTGCGATAAAGGCAATTGTTAGATTTGACGCGTTTTCGGGGAGGGGACTTGGAAATGGTGGCTGCCAGTGGCGGGTGCCATGAGGGCGACGGTGATATGGCGCACCCACCTTTGCAAAGTATTTGCAGACGTTCTCGGCGGCGGCACCAAGGTCATGGCTAAACGGACAGGCATTGCCGGCCTGGCAGGCGCCCTGGCGAAAGAATTTGCACGGAACGTGGGCGGTGTCTGTCATGATGAGCTGGGTCAGTTTGGGTGGGACAAGGGAATTGCGACAGAGAGCGATGGCTCGTCGCGGGGGTCGTGTGCAACGTACTCGGAGGGCTTCGGGGCCCATCGAAGCGGGGGGTGGTGGCAGCGGCGGGAGCCATAGGCGTGGCCTGGGCTCCGTTGGACGACGACGAGACGTTGTTGAGGCTACCGCTCCGGGCGTGACGATATTCGGGCATCGTGGGAGCAGAAGGCGACGTCTGGGATCGGTGGAGGCGCCTAGGCGGGGTGGTGTAGGAGGAAAGGGGAAAGGGAAGTAGAGGCGGAGGAGGAGCAAGATCGGAAGGCAGCGGCTCAGATGAGGGCTGCGTGAATGCGGCGGCGGAGCGGGCGGCAAAGAGGGTCGCTCGCTCGCGCGCTTTTGGAAGGGCTCGTTGGACGGCTCGTGGAGGGCGGTGGTGGGCGCAAGGTGGGGGTAAAATGGCGGGCGCTGTTGCTTGCGTGCGGCCTGGACGTCTGTTCTGGGCGGGCGAGCGACTGGAGCGGACGACGGACGGAGGGACTGAGCGACGGACCTGGTCGATCCCGGGCGTGGTACGTATATGTATTAGTGGTGGTGGTATAGCGGCCGTAGTGTAGCAGTCGCGAGTCAACCCCCAGTTTGATGGCTGACCGGGGTCTCGTGCGTGAGATGGCGCGGATGACGGCGATGTCGTGGTCGGGAGGATGATGATGTTGGAGAGGGAGAGATTCCTTGGTGTTTTTGGAGTTGCAGGAAGAGAAGAGCGGAATTGGGAGGGAAGGTCCTGCAGCGAAGGGAAAGTGGCAGGCACGATGGTGCCAGTAGTCGTTGCTTGCATCAAACCGCAGTCAGCTGGCAACCTCCAACTGCACGATTAGGTCACTATTCTCAGCCGAGCCGGCCGCTGTAGCGCTGTCGCGCTGTAACGTAGGGGCAATCCAGGGCACCTCGGCGGGGGCTTGGAGGGGTTGGCCCGCTAGTTCGTCGGCCTTTAGCGGTTTGTGGCGGGCGAGTCAATGCAGCGATGCCCTACTGGGGCTTCGACATGCGTCCAGAGTTGGATTCCGTATTGTCGTATTGCCGGTGTAGATGGGTGCTATTTAGGGCAAACCTGCGTCCGACTTGGGACCCGTATAAGTAACGTCGTACAAGCGGTGTTATACCCAGCAGTAACGAGAAGAGCGACAGTGGTGTTATTTGTGGAAGAGCTGTTGCCAAACTTGGTTGTCAAGTTGGGACGGAAGAGGCGGATCTGTATGTAAGAGGGAAGCGAGGTGCAGCGTGCGCAACCGCAGGTGAGGTAAGATGAGTCTGGAGATGGTGGGAGCTTGTCTGGCACGAGACCGGGTTTCTTCGTCATCGATGGCAAGGATCGGGACAGAGTGGAAGAACGGGTTGGGAAACCAGGAGACAACCAAGGGGATACGGGATCATGTTAGAGAGGTCGCCTAGAGGGTAAGGGACCGGGGACATCTGGCCTTTTATTGCCTGGGGCTTCTCGTTAGAGACATAGCGAGAGAGAGTCGACGACAGTCAGTTACTACTGGAAAGAGGCAGACTGAGAGACAGACATGCAAGTGAATGGACGTCCCCCGTGTGGCCGTTGGTTGGTTGATGGGTGGTTAGCGGGTCTCTTGATGGTGGTGGTAGTGGCAGTGGTGGTGTACTTAGTGCCCCATGGACGGGATATTGCCATGGAAGTTGAAACCTCCAGCCCAGCCCCGAGGCTGTGAAAGGCGTCTGGATCATTTCCGGCCGTGTCTCTTTCTTGGCTTGCAGGCTCTCCGGTACATGATCTGGTCCGCGACACGCAGGGCACAAGCGCAGACGTCAACGGCCCGGTCGAGGAACCTGGATCCCTGGATCTCAGAGACTCGTGAGCGCCCTACTGCTCTGCCTATCTGCCTGGTCACCCATCGTCGGGCTCGCAAGTACCCACTACGGGGCGCGGCGTGATGCGGACGGATGAGCCAAATGTACCATGTAGATTTTATTAAATACATTATCGCTGTTTCGTTCTAGGGGCTACCGTCTGCCCGGGTTGGCAAGCCTCTCCGCCGTTTCCTTCAGCTGGCAAGCCATGGCGGAGAAATTAAACTTCTGGAGAATGCCGTAGGTGGTGCAGTTTTTTGTACCATTTTGCTTGTTCGGCTGCTCGAGAACAAACTGGTGCTCCAAACGGGAGTGTTCCATCCTGCGAATCAGGTCATGTAGGTCAGATTCCCAGGGCTGCCATCCGGCCGGTCACACACTCCTTTGGGCTGTGTGGAGGGGTGACTCTGGCCGCTTTGGGGTTCGTAGGACTCATCTCAGCCGGGCTGGACTCTGTTGGACTCAGAGGCCGGCACTGCATCCTGTCTCCGCCTCCCTGGTTCTCCATGGCAAGTCTCAGTCTCACTCTCCCACGGATGTCCGAAGGCGGTACATAGAGTACGTACACAAGTTACCACACCACCACTATCCGCCGTGTGCCACCATTCCGTCCCCCTTCTTCGCTCCACAAAAATGGAACATGCTTGAATGCGTGGGCGGATGCTGAGTGGGATGGCTCACGACCGCAGGATGGACAGACTCACTCACAAACGGCGACAGGCTCGGAAATCATGGCCCCATGTCACTCACATCACATCTCTCCCGCCCCTCCTCCTCCCACTCTCCCACTCTCCCACTTTCCCACGCCTCCAGCTTCCCCGCCTCATGGCTGGCTGGACCTTGCTTTGGTCAGGGATTGACCTGGGTGGGTGTGAGAGAGCCACTGGTCCATGCCACTCCATGAATGGTCACCAGTCATCACTTGCCCCTCCATGGCGATGCCATCCCCAACCGCCTCTGGTACAGTGCAGTACATCCCAATGCCGTGCGCACCCTCCACCGCTCACCTATCCCAAGGTCAGACACCCGACAAGACACAGACGCAGACACACGGCATGAAAAAATAACCTGGGGCAATAGCTCCCGTCCCCTTGAGCCTCGCTCGGCACCTCTTGTCGATCCTCGTCCTCCCGTTAACCCCAGGTCGGGTCCGTGAATCAAGTTGCAGCATCTCGCCGTCATCCAGGCCCGTGTAATCCTTTCTCACGGAGGGGCGAGATCCGAGATATCCAGAACGAAGTGGTCTCGCCTGACCCTGTTTTTTCTCTCCGGTGCTCACCAGGCTGGTTTGACTGGGACGGACTCTCCGTTCCAACACATGCCTAGGACTCAGACTCACGACAGGACTCAGGCGGACGGCAAGACTTGGTCTCACAACTCACAAGAGACAAGAGCCATCCGCCAGCCATCCAGCATGTCTTTGCCTGCGTGCCGTCTCGCCTCACTTCGCGTAACGAGAGCTTTGGATTTGCATCCCATTGCATCCGAAGGCATCCCTGTCTCGCCCACACCCTGCCTTGCCCTGCCTTGCCCGCCATGCCCCATGGCCATACCCACCAACCGTGGCCGCCGTCTCGACGATCAAGGCAGATGTCGGCCGCTATCCCCAACTCGGCCGGCCCAGGCCCTTGTCGCTCTGCACGCGCGCGCGTTGCCTCTTGTGCGACCATGCATGCATGATCGATAGTGTCGCAGTGTCGTAGTGTCGCAGCGTGTCGTCGTCGAACTCGTTTACTCGGCTCAGCCCAGACAAGCTCAGCTCGGGTTCAGGCATACCCGATCTGGGACCCGCGACGCGAAAGAGCTTGCGCAGCTCGCGGTGGCGATGCACTCACTCACTACCCAAATCGCTGACTTAACTCCTCCATCATCGTACATCTCACCTTGCCGGGTAGACCCGGCAGATGCACGAGATCCCTGGCCCATGAACCGACTTGTGTATCCTGGGCTCCTGCAGTTGGATCCCATCTGAGTGAACTAGTGCTTGCGGAGCGTCGTTTGGTGTAGCATCGGGTTTGTGCAACCCGATCATGACCAGTTTGTGGTGAGCGAGGAATATCTCCGCTCCGAAACACCAAAATACGAACGTCGTCGCCGCAAACAATAGGGGTTCTATGGCAAAAGCAATGTTATTAAGGCAATCGCTGCTGTACGCCGACTGACGCCATTCTGCAGCAGAAGCGGCATCTCGCCGCGCGGTCTCAGCCTGGGGTTCAGCGGCTGCAGCACCAGCTAATGTGCAAGGGTTCATGGATGTGCTGGGCGGGAAGCAGCATCCAAGCAGCATACTTACCCGATACGGGGCCGGTTTAGTGTGTCGCCGCGGTCTGGAGGGTGCGCCTCGCGCGGGCATCGTCCACTGAACCAGCGCCCCCAGCGCCCGCTGACGCCGCCTAGACATGGCGAAGGACGCATGGACGCCCTGGAACCACTGGAGCCACTGGAGTTACAGGGGGGAGGTCATTGTCGCCCGGCTCCATCCTGGCTTGGGGTCCGAGCGCCTTCCGTTTTGCGTCTGCCAGAAATAGCCCCCGCATGGAGTTCACCTTAGAGGTACGTACATATAGGCGGTACCTCAGGGATCAGGCAAACCTGCCGATTGTCTCGTCCACTGTGCAGTGCAGAGTACGTACCTCCTCCAACGACCTCCACCTCGTGAACTCCAACTGCTTGCACGACCACACACTCTCCCCCATTCCACCGATGTATTCAGACACACACTCGTGGTGACACACACACGCTATCGCACACTCACACACTCACACACGCTCGCACACCCGGCCGCAAGCATGGGCTCTTACACACGCACACATGCCCCTCCAACATGCCACCAACAGCCACACGCTTACCCACCCCCGCAACTATTGGAGTATCTCTTTGCGGATTGGATTCATCAGCTTCCCCGGAGACAGCCTTGGGCTCTCAGGCTAGACTTCGGCCTGTGAGGGACCTGTATCCGGCCAACCGTACGTTTGTCGTCTTTGGTTCGCTCGTCATACCTCCATGCTCGTCGTCTCTATTTCTCTAGTTCTCTCCATCTCATCTCGTCTCGTCCCCTCCCGGCTCGTTCCCTCCCGATCATTCTCCACCCCTCCACCCCTCCATCCCTCAATCCTTGGAAACTCCTCTGGCCCCTTTCGATGTCGTTCTATCTCGACGTTGGCCACTAGGTCATCGTTCTGATATGCCCTCGATCGTCGCACCCCTCTATCCTGTCGACCGATGCAGGCTACTCTCTAGCTCCACGCCGACTGGGCATAGCTCCACATCCCATCGAAACCCTGGCCGTTCCGTTGCTTCGCATCTCTGTCTTCTCTCAGTTAATTCGCCCCGGGTTTCCCTTGCCCGCAGGAGTTCGCACTTTGTATCGAGTACGGCACACAACGATCGACCTGCCAGCATGTCGACCCTGCAGGTGAATAACGTCTCTGGCTAGTCGTCTATCCGTTCCCCAGCCAAGGCACGCAAACTCAAAACACATGGCACCGCCTGTAAGACGCCGTCCTACTACGTAGTAGGCTATTCGACATACCATCAACGCACTCGGCTCCGAAAATGGTCTGGTCGCAAGCGCCATGGTCCCCGACCAGGTTCACCCTTCCTCAACCTAGAGTGTCTCAGTCGGATGACCACACCACAGCCCTCATCACACATCACCACCATCATCATCGAGCCCCCATCACTCATTCGCCTCTTCCCGGCGTCTCCACCACACCCTTTCTCCCAACCGCGTGCGAGTTGTGAGCCAGTGTGTCACTCCCAACCACCTCTCACCCATATGCCCTCGTGTTAATGCCTACTGCCGTGACCGCCTGACTGCCTCCAAAGCTGGGGCTTCGGACTGGCTCCGGCCACCTTGGGACAGCTTATATGACGTCTCCAGCCTTAAACATCATTCACGGATCACCGCGTCTGCGCGTTGAGCGGGGACCAGTGGCTTACTTGGCGTCCCCAGAGTTTACTCTTGTTGCCACATGTGTGGCGGTCCTGTCGAACATTCTACCCGCACCTCTTGCACCAAGGTTCTGGGTTCGTGATGTTTCTTGATCCTCACATATCTACATCTTCATTTCATTGTTCCTCCGCGCCTCCTGCTGACGTCAAATCTAAGCCCACTCTGCGGGTCCTCACCGTTCCACCGGCCAAGAATTCACCAAGGATTCACAAGTGCTGCACCGGCTAGCTTGACACCCACTCCTCCAAACCATCCAAACCGCCAGCCTCGGGCAGCGAAAACAAGTTGACTACCGATCCCAGCCTTCACACCCTCAATCTGAGATGGACCCCTTCCCTTGCTTCTACTAGCATCTCACAGAATCTCATGATCCCTGCCCCACATCATCCGACCGGAAGCCTGGCGGAGTCATCAGTCTCCTTCCACACCACTGTCGCGTCCCGGGACTCACGTCTTTGCCCCGTCGACGCGTCTCAGAGAGATCCCTTCCGCCCGTTGCAGTGCTTAGTGGCCACCTTTCTAAACATCTAGATATAACTGCCGGCGAGAAACCTCCGAGGTGTGTGACATGATCTGCTCTTCGCCGCCGGTTCAAGCGCGGTTGTCCACACCTTGATGAAACACCCAGGTCAAGGACCGCTTTATCCCTGATTCAAAGATCCGTTCCCGTTTACTTCCCGGCTGGTTCCCTAGCCCGAACATGTTGATGGGCAAGGTTCATGAAGCGCCAAGATATCAAGATTCCGATGATCCGTCTGATCTTGTCAGTTTTCGTGCCAACACCACACAAAAGAACGCAAGTGCTAGGCCCATTGTGCTGATGGATTCATGACACGTCCATTGCCAATAGACGACTGGACTACGCCTTTGTACCCAGCACTTTTGCAAAAGTGTCTCACGAGGTGTTGGAAGCACCATCTAAAATCGCTGCGTCTTTGGCTGACTAGGTAGGTCGCGAGAGCCTCACCAAGTAACCAGTAAGGCAACCTGAAGGCCTACAAAAGTTAAGCCACATTCGGCTAGGGCCCAATAGTATCGTTTGGGCTGGTTTGGTTCCACCAGGGCTGCCATCAATCGAGAGCGGGCGGATGACCAGGCATGTGACTTGGTGGTGGTGTGCAAGTGTCTTGGCCTGGCTGGAACCCCCAGGCAAGCTGGAACATTTACGGGCGCCGCAGTCTCGTATCCCAGTGTGTGAGAGGATGACGAAGGGGGCAATGGCCTCGCCGGTGAAGTGATTGAGTTCCGGGGCATCCACTGCGAAGAGGATGGACGCGTGACGAACCGTGTTTTTCCAAGATACATCCTCGCCACACGTTTTCTTTCACATGCTGCCCGGCTGCCGTGTGCAGTTGTCTGAGGGTGCCCTCTTGGCAGCAAAATGCGGATCTGAAGTCTCCCGGTGTGTGCGGAAACCGGAAAGACAAAGAGTCTTTCGGGGCCGGGACAACTCGTTGACATCCCGGCAGCCTTTTGGTGTTTCTTTGGTGCACCAATAGGCAGGACGCCGGGCCAGTGGCGGATTTGATATGTCCTTTGGGTTTGTCAAGAAAACAATGTGGTTTGTAAGGCGTCCCCTTTACGCAACCTTTGTGTTAGACTCTACGTGGACAGCTCTTCGTGCCCATCCCAGCCATCCCAGCCGCAATAGGAGCTGGAAAAAGGGGACTGGACTGTCTTGGCTCTCGAATAGTCAGAACTCTCGTCGGCGGCTAGCAGGCGGGAGAGAAAGCTGTAGAGAAAGGCGAGTCGCGGGCCGCTCCCACCGCCGGCGTTGCCGCGACCGGCGCAATGAGCATGTTGCCCCGTTTGACGCGAGGGTGGAGGCCGGCGCGTCCTAGCCACTTTTGCGCCAAGGTGAGGGTCACGTATGCTGTGACGTAGTGTAGGTGAGTAGGCATCGGTGAGATCAGAGACTGTGGGTCATGATGGTCAAGTGCCTTGGTGGGTTGAGGTTGGTCATGCCTCAAGATGTACTTTGGGGGTTTCATGTTTGCGTGATCAGTCACATGGCGGGTTGACGAGTAATCACTATGAGGGCGATGGGCATGTCCCTCTTCAAGTTTTGCCATCGCAGAGGTCCATCAAATCCCTTCATCGCCAGGACACGGCAAGTCATGAGCTATTCGAGCCTCTGTTTGGTGGTGCCAAGGGGGGCTGGTCTACAATATGACAGAGTGGCTTGGATCCATTCTGAACGCAAGTCGGCGTATTCCGCCTCGTGGTGCCCCTATTATTAAGAATAGCGAGGAGACTACTGGTTCAAATAGTGGCTGCAATGTTGGGTAACAACTCTAAAAAAGCCATGTTGTCGGTGCTGTCCGGGTGTACTCAAACAGGAGGCTGGTGAGTGCATCAAGATTCCCCTCGGTGGTAGGGACTGGCGTATCGAGAAGACACTCGTCGGGATCTCGACGTAGGCTACGTAGGCTGGCGAGCATCTAATGCAATTTCTCAAGTCCCTTGATTTGCTCTTCGGCAGCTGTCGAACCATGCTATGTCAGTGCTTCCCATGTTCTGTGCTGCAGTTGAAGTCGCTATCTGTTGTCTAGTGATGTATTTGATGAACGGGGAGCTCAGTCCCTGGAGGCAAGGCATATGAGGCTTTCATTGTGGTTCGTCTTGGATCGCGGAGGAATTGTGGTGCGCATGTTGTGTTGTGTCGTGTCAGGCGATGTTCAAGCGTGTACGTGGGAGTGTCTGGGGGTTCGCTCGATGCTACTCCATCCACACAACAGACGAGGGATGCACTGGGCATTCATATAGCCACCTTGGAACCCATGGAGGTGTCTTGCCGTTCTAACAGCAATTCCAGGTAAAATCGAGACCCAATGAGAGCCTAACGGAAGCCAGGTTTGCATTTATATCAAATGCCTGTTCTGGCCATGCAAGTCCCATCTGTTAGTGACGCCCGTCGACAGCTCCGTTAGCTTATCCACTGGTTGGTTCCGAGCAGCCGTCTTTCCTAATCCGGGCTGCCAAGGAATGAGTCATTCTGGCTCATCCTGATTCACAGCGTGGGGAGATCCACTCTGCGCGCTATGGGGACATGGGGTTCCACCCACCGTTTCGCGACTCTACCGTTTTTCGATATGGAGATGCTGGAGGAGGGGGCATGGATTTGGCGATGGGCATCAGTGAGCGTCAGAATGAATCATTTCGACATTGATAGATGTTGGTGTCGTGCCTGGAAGACGTGGTGATCTGTCCTGGAGGGTTCGGGAAGCGGGCTCCGAGATGTCCGGAGGAGGACATGAGAGACGAGAAGCTCAACAGACGGAGGGTATATAGGATGTCTATTGCTTGGTAGAAATGGAACAAGTCATCTTGGAATGCAATCAACCACCATACAATGACCAAGGGATAATAAACGACATCAAAATGTAAGCATCTGCAAATACCCTCCCCAAGAATACACCCCCTTGTCTATGAAGAGAGAAACGGAATCCGACGACATCTCCATGAGTCGCATGAGTCCAAAATATCAAGGAAGAGAAACGACATCGTCTGACGACACCAAGATGGCAAACCTTTGTCACAAATGGAAAAATCTTGAAATTGGTTCGCTATATGTACAAAATAGGATGGTTGTGCTAACTGCGCTTGCATCCCAAACAGGTTCCGTCCAGCCCAGCGCTCTACTTCGGGTTGGTGTTTTATCTTCCCTGGATGATGGATTGATAGGTACATAAAATGCAGTTGACTATTGGCGGGGAATCCCACCTTCTCACTCCCATGAGACTGACGAGTATTAAGAATGAAGCAATGTGACGTGTGACGTGTACGACTTCCCCTCACTTCTTCCCCAGCATCTCCCGCAACGCATCGACCTCGGCCTCGCGCCTCACCAGCTTCAGCCGCAGATCATCCCGGTCGCCCGTCATGTCGGCGAGGGCCTGCTCCAGCTCGGCGATGCGGTCGAGGCGCTTCTGGCGGTACTTGCGCGCGGCCATGGTGTTGCGCTGGCGCTTGAGGACCACGGCGGCCGCGCCGTCCTCGGGCGGCGAGTCGGCCTTGCGCTTGGTGCTGCTGGAGAGGCTGCTGCTGCTGTCGGGTGACGTCTGGCTGGTGAGGTTGAGGTTGAAGGTGGAGAAGCCGGAGGAGGTTGCGGCGTAGGAGGGTGAGTTTGTGGCGGGCGTTGTCGTCGTCGTAGTGGTTTTGGATGTCTGGAGATGGGTGATGGTTGAATGCGGTGGTTGCTCAAGGGTGGAAGCCAGGAGGTTTGCTGTCTCTTGGGAGAGGAAGTCGTCTTCATAAAGAATCCGATCACTCATTCCCAGCGACGGGGTGGTTTGTATCTGAGTCGCCATGTTGGGAATCAGCACACCGCCGCCCGAGAGATCCAGCGTCGGATCCAAAAGACACTCTTGCGCAAGCCAATTGTCGTCGCAGCCGTCCAGTCCGTCACCGGCAAGGAGCAAGTCCGGCTCGGCGTTGAAGTCGAGGCCACCAAAATCGCATCCAAAATCCAACCCAGGCGAGTCGAAGGTGTGGCTGTTGTCGTGTTGGGAGGGGAGCAGGTGGAAAAGCCCCAGGGCATCTCCTTGACTATTACCAGGGCGGTTCGACGGCGGTGCAGAGCTGAGAGGCCATGAAGAACATGCCAATTCGGACACACGACGTGGCTGCTGAGCATGCGGCGGCCATTGGTTCAGAGTAAGGGGGCGGCGGCCTCCCTACGGACTAAGGAGGCCGGAAGGCTAAGAAGGGGAGGGAAGAGGGCGGGAGCGGCGGATGATGCGAGATCAATCCGGCTGAAGTTGGGTGAAGAGGAAGAAGAAGAGGAGGATGAGGGAGGCGATGGTGGGGAGAGACTTTATACGGAGTGACGAGACATGCACGAACAAGCCATGGGAAGCCACCGGGGCTAATCAGGGACTAACTGGGGGTACATGGGTGATCCGAATGGTCGCTAACGGTGCCCATCTCGTCATTTAGCTGCATGGTGCCATTCCGGACGCCCTATCCCCAGGTACAAATGATGCTAAACTGCAGTGTTACGGTGGGTCATGGACGGACAGGGATGTGAGGGCCGCTCCGTTTACACCGTTTCTGTTCCGTTTCGGAGACGCCGTAATCCCTCTGCATATGCTGATGCTCTGCCAAGTCAGAGTGTGAGTCACAGCAACAAAGGTTCCAAACACTGCATATAATGGGTCAGATAATGGGTTTTTGGGGAATTATCTGGGGACTTTCAAATGAGAGGATTGCTGTTATGTATATTTGCGGTGTTGAATGTGGTTGAAGTCCTGGCCATTAGCGTCAGTCAACTTAACAGTGCCATGTGTGCATTGTTTATGACAACTAAGATTGCAGATAATTTTCCTGGTGTTACCAATGAGTACTTAATTAATAAACGAAGGTCGCCTACCGTTTTAGGTGTCTTGCACGCATGAAGATCGGATACGTGGAAGCATTCGGTTTGATATAGGGTAAATAAACGATCGATTCGAAGTGGGTTCAACAAATCTTGAGTGCTCAAGGCCAGGTTAGCGAAACGTTTCGGCTTACTTGCACATGTTGTCAACGGACATCTAAAATATATTCGTTACTAGATCATGCCGAACTTGCGTAATGCGGGAAAACTCGGCTCTACTAATTTTGATCAGTGATCTCGTCAAATCTAGCCGCTGCATTGACCATCGCGTCCGCAGAATGCGCTCCATGTTGAAAAACCTTTTTGGAGAATACGATAACTCCTACGAAATGTGTTCAGCTTCGATCCCAAGATAACCCCTGTTATACTAGACGCACCATACAAAGAGCTGAAAATGCTATTTAATCTAAACCGTAAAGTCATCGCTGTTAGTTCTAAAGACTTGATACGGAAGTTCAACTTTCCAGCGTCACTTGGGCATTGCCGACCAGGGCATGGACTCACAACGCTGCTCGTCGCGTAGCAAGGCAGAGAAATTTCGCACTACAGCATTAACAAAGCTAAAATCCCATCTCTACCAACTCTTCAGATATTCCTTTAACCCTGTCGGAATCGGATCCGAAGACTGTGCGAGACCCATCCCGTGCAAGAAGAAAATACTGCCTAGCCTGGTCCAGTTTGCCTTGTTCTTTATAGAGATGACCGAGATTTCCAAGACAAGTTAATACAGGAAGGCACGTCTTGAAGGTGGCAGGTCCCAAAGACTTCTCATACCCTTGCAGTACTCGCTTATACATAGCTTCCGCTTGGCTAAATCGGCCATGGCCAGCATAGAAGACCGCTAGATTGTTGACTGTTGTGAGTGTTGACGGATGCTCCGGTCCTAATGTTTTCTCGCCCCTTTGTAGTGCGCGCTCATACAAAGCTTCCGCTTCGCTATGTCGGCCTTGGCTGTCATAGAGGATCCCTAGATTGTTGACGGTGTTGAGTGTTGATATATGCTCTGGTCCCAATACCTTCTCCTTCCCTTGTAGTGCGCGCTCATACAAAGCTTCCGCTTCGCTATGTCGGCCTTGGCTGTCATAGAGGATCCCTAGATTGTTGACGGTGTTGAGTGTTGATATATGCTCTGGTCCCAATACCTTCTCATTCCCTTGCAGTGCTCGCTTAAGCATAGCCTCAGCTTCGCTAAGTCGGCCTTGGTCTTTATAGATGAGACCTAGATTGTTGACTGCTGGGAGAGTTGACATATGCTCTGGTCCCAATACCTTCTCATTCCCTTGTAGTGCACGCTTATACATAGCTTCCGCTTCGCTAATTCGGCCTTGGTTCTTATAGATGAGACCTAGATTGTTGACGGTGTTGAGTGTTGATATATGCTCTGGTCCCAATACCTTCTCATTCCCTTGCAGTGCTCGCTTAAGCATAGCCTCAGCTTCGCTAAGTCGGCCTTGGTCTTTATAGATGAGACCTAAATTGTTGGCTGTGCTGAATGTTGATGTATGTTCTGGTCCCAATACCTTCTCGTGCCCTTGCAGTGCGCGCTCATACATACCCTCCGCTTCACTAAGTCGGCCTTGGTCGCTATAGAGGTCTCCAACGACTCCATACATCCATGAATCCAAATCTTGCACCCTCACGCCTTCTGTGATCAGCTCCAGGCATCTGTCAACATGTTGCAAGAGTCGCTGCTGTAACCTCCAGTATTCATCGTCTTCTGTCTCCGGCGTATGCCATGCCACGCATGCTATGGCAAGTTGCGCCATCTCTGCATCAGTCGTTTCGTGCAAGACATGCACCATCCAAGCGTGCACGCATCCATGTATGCTGTACCCAATCGAGCCCGTCGTGAGCTCCTTGGTCGAAGGATCGGCCTCTACCAATCCGTGGTCACATAGTAGACGCATGCATTCCTCAAATGCGAGTTTGTCGGCCGTCAAAGCTTCCAGCCAGGGTGGTGCCAACGAGTCCCCGACAAATAGTAGCTCATACCACAAATCATTATGGCTAAAGTACGCCCAAAGCTTGAGGAGCATAGCGGAAGACTTATTCCGTCGCTGTATGTTCATGTACGAAATGTTCCACGTCGAGTACATAGCACGGTCTTCGTATGACAAGAGCTGTGGACTCGATTTCTGGAGTCGGTACCATGATTCATTGTACAATTCCAGGTACTCGTTGCACGTCATAGAAACTTGGTCTAGGTAGGCGCCGGCAGTCGAGAGGGCAAGAGGAAGACCATCGAGCTTCCGGGCAAGATTGACAGCAGCGGGATCTGTATAAAGAGTCAACATCCAATCATCAATCATCTGTCCACTTGTGCTCGTTACCTTGCCCAAGATATTGACGGTTCGATGTAGATTCCAAAATGTGAAGGCTATCCTCAATGCATTTAAGTTTGCCCAGCCGTATTGTCTGGCCAATTTTGACCGTGGACGACCGCGTTGTCACGATGATGGCGCCGTGATAGCTCCCTGGGAGAAATGGACGAATGTCGAAAGGTTTAACTGCCAGGCTAGTCGTCTGCTCAGAGCTCCCTGCAAGATTGCTTTCGTCCTCGATATCATGAACGCTGTTGTCCAAGCCAGAGGTGCCACCCAACTGAGGATGATCATAGTTGTCATAGACGATGAGCCAAAGTTTGTTGCTGGATTCGTCGAACCACCTCTTGACAGCTTTCACCACCTCGTCAACATCCTGATTGGCGACAGCCTGCTCAAGGTAGGTGATAGAAGGATGCTCCTGAAGTATTCGCTCTCCTGTTTTCACGATGCTCTGCTTCAACGTCGCCTCATCTCTGGCATTCAGCCAGACAACTGCTGAAAACTGGGCGTAATGCCGCTTAGCAAACGCGATTGCAAGCTGAGTCTTACCCATACCACCAAGCCCGTGGACGACAACAGTGCGGCGGTCATGGGATACCGCCAAAATCTTATGCATCTGAGCAAGCTCCTCCTCTCTTGCAACGAAATGACTCGCCTCAGTAACCTCTGATAAGCTGAAGCTGAGTGAGAACTGGGAATTCTTGTTCCGCGCTATGCCCGTATATAGTTGTCAATCACCAAGTACAGGCAGCTGGGCAGGAAGCACTCACCATCATCAGCCCTAGTTTCTGCCTCCAACCGGGATTGAATGGTACGCTCGGCATCGACCATCATAATCCGCAAATGGCTGGAAACGGTAATGTAGCCTCCGTCCTGGCTTGAGGGGAACTTGACCATGTTCTTATGGTCTGCATGGATGACCATCGGCTCTGCGTCCGCTTGCGATGAGACGACCGCTGACGATTTGGGGACCAGCTTGCATGTTCAGCAATTAAACTCCACGAAAGAAATAGAGCACAAACCAGAATCTTTTTTCCAAGGGCCGTAGTCGTTGGGTATTCCTCATAGGCAAACTTTGTCACGAATTCACCACTGATCGGACCATATTGCCCTGACTGCTGTTGCAACCACTCGGAGTCTTTCTCGAGATGCTTGAGGAGGTGGTCGTCGGCCTCCATAAACAGAGAGGCGACGTTGGCAAGTACACGTCCCAGTTGAACACCATTCCCACCTTGATGGGGAGTGCCCATGAATATGATGCCATATGTTGAGAGTTTGATAGAGCGCTGTTCAAGAAGAGCACCTTGGCGAGCAGCGTCCGAATGAATCAGTGCCTGAAACGATCAGTTAAGCTCCAAAACTTGGTCAGTAGCCGTCACCTACACTTTTCAAGACAATACCCCCAAGGCTATGCGTTATGAAGATGATCGGTCGACGCGAAGACTAAGTTCTCGTCAGTGTGTTGACGGACACTCATTATGAACCTCATACATTGGTCAATTTCCGCTTCGTACTCAAGTCGGACACTAGAGCCCGTGCGTGATCGTACAGATATAAGCTACTTAAGCTAGAAGCAGCATGCGTTCTCGCGTCGTAGCCCCATGAAAGGATTCGAGCTCTGGGTAGGTCGTCGGGGAGGAGATCGCGGAGCCAGTGGACACCATTCTTCGCGATCCATGTCTTCTCTCGGTGACCGTTCAGGCCATGGACGGCGACGATGCTACCGCGTGACCAGTCAGATACAAACACACACACGGCATGCAAATAGCACCCCGCTTAGACACTACTACTCACTCAACGATGGGATCGGCACCCTCGGAGATGACGTCAAGTCCTCGTGGACGCTCAACAGCCCCGGTTGACGCAGTGGAGGGAGGGTTTTTGGTGGGCCTTCGGGAGGATCGAAAAATCCGCTTCCAGGATGGCATTGTAAGCCGATGAAACTGGGTGTTGTTGTCGGTCAACTTCTTAGCACAAACAGTGTAGATGTTGAGAATGAGTTCAGCCCAACAAGCCAAAGTGTGGATTTCCGAGACACGTGTTCAGCTGCGGTGACGACCAGGCTGCGTGCATTTCGGCCATTGTGAGGCGCCTGAATTATTGATACGCTTGCACAGCCACATATGGATGCCTTGTTCAGACGCTTTACAGCCTTTTCATACCGACGCTGAATCTGCGCCTGTACCGCCATCAAACCCTCATGTCAATAAAATCTTACTAATTTAAATTACACGCCGAAAGTGAAGTGTATGAGGGTTTTAATGTGTCACCTTATTCCAGGAATATTCGGCGGCAATATCTGTTTTGCAGTATAAACCACGCGAGCCTACGAAGCGGGGATGGCGGAGGTATAGTGGGGGTGCGAAAAAACGACAGTTTACCAATTTAATGCCTGCGCGTATGCAAGCGGTTGTGGAGACAAAAGGAGAGTAGAAAAAGTATTGATATAAGTCTCCTTAATCCCCAGCCTCTGGGTTTCAATTTGATCTACTCTATGATTTTCTATGGCATTTATTGAGACTATGGTAGCTGGTTAAAGATTGTAGTGTACATCAGATTCATGGGCTTCCTCTCAGGGCTAGCCACAATGGACAGTATGAAATGCCTCTACGACTTACTTCTTCCTTTAACGGTGCTAATAAGGCAACACTTGGGCTTGGCGGTCCGCACTTCGGACATGGTCCACGTCCTTACGGAGGGCGACGCTCCGTTCCTGTACCAGGTGGCCTACAGTTCCGCCGAAGCAGCGCCTTCAGCGGCGACTTGTTCATTACATCCTGCTACTAAGCCCGCTAGCTTTCGCTTGGCACCCAAGACATCGCCAATTCATTTGCGGGGGAGAGATTGAACTGGCATATGTGCCCGCGGGGGGGCCAATGAAGCCGGATCCACTCGAAGCCCGGAACGCACTGCAACCCCACGGGGTAGTCTAACTGGCTGGGCCGAAGAGATTAAAAATATTCGTCGATGAGGCATGTTGGCAAAGGACCGACTAGATCGTGAACATGGATAACGGACCGACTGACTAGGCGATGAGGGAGGCACGCGATTGATGGCCTGACTACTGGGTAGCAGGTTCGTGGACGGGCTCGGAGTTCCTATTGAACAGACGCCTCGTACGAGCGAATGTATATAGTAGATAGGTGCTCTCTCATTCATCTTCATCGTCATCTTCATCATACAACAATCAATACTCCCAATTTTGTTCGATCCCGTTGCGTGTCTTCGCTGTGCACACACGCCCTCGAGGCTATTGGTATAAAAGACTCCTCCATCATGGCACGCAAGACCGGCCTCGCTGCGGCCGCTGGCCTCATGCTCATGGCCCCTCCTGTCGTCAACGCCTCCCCGCCTGGCACCAAAGACGTCACTGCTGTCCTGTTCGAGTGGAACTTCAACTCCGTCGCCGCGGAGTGCACCAACACCATCGGGCCCGCCGGCTACGGATATGTCCAGGTCTCTCCGCCGGCCGAACACATCCAGGGCTCGCAGTGGTGGACCTCGTACCAGCCCGTGTCGTACCGGATCGCCGGCCGTCTCGGCGACCGCGCGTCCTTCCAGAACATGGTTAATACATGCCACGGAGCCGGCGTCAAGGTCGTCGTCGACACCGTCATCAACCACATGTCGGCCGGGAGTGGCACCGGCACCGGCGGCTCGTCGTACTCCAAGTATAACTACCCGGGCCTCTACTCCTCCGCCGACTTCGACGACTGCACCTCGGCCGTCTCCAACTACGCCGACAGTTGGAACGTCCAGCACTGCGAGCTCGTCGGCCTGGCCGATCTGGACACCCCGGAGGAGTACCCGCGCAAGGCCATCGCCGGCTACATCAACGACCTGCTCAGCCTCGGCGTCGACGGCTTCCGCATCGACGCCGCCAAGCACATGGCAACTGGAGACCTTGCCAATATCAAGTCCCGCCTGGCCAACCCGGCCGCGTACTGGAAGCAGGAGGTCATCTACGGCGCCGGGGAAGCCGTCCAGCCCGCCGATTACACCGGCAACGGCGACGTCCAGGAGTTCCGCTACGCCTACGACCTCAAGCGCGTCTTCAACAGCGAGAAGCTCGCCTACCTGAAGAACTACGGGGAGGGCTGGGGCTACCTGAGCAGCTCCGTCGCCGCCGTCTTCGTCGACAACCACGACACGGAGCGCAACGGGGCCACTCTCAATTACAAGGACAACGCCAAGTACACGCTGGCCAACGTCTTCATGCTCGCCTACCCCTACGCCGGCCCGGATGTGCACTCCGGCTACGAATTCTCCGACACGGACGCCGGACCGCCGAACAACGGCGCCGTCAACGCCTGCTGGCAGGACGGCTGGAAATGCCAGCACGCTTGGCCGGAGGTCATGCGCATGGTCGCCTTCCGCAACGCCGTCCGCGGCCAAGGGCTGACGAACTGGTGGGACAATGGCAACAACGCCATCGGCTTCGGACGGGGCAACCAGGGATACGTCGCCATCAACCACGAGTCAGGCTCAGTGACCCAGACATACCAAACTTCACTGCCCGCGGGCACGTACTGCAACGTGCAGAGCAACACCTACGTGACGGTGAATTCGAGCGGCCAGTTCACCGCCACCCTGGGCTCCGATACCGCGCTCGCCATCTACGTCGGGAAGACGTCCTGCTGAGAGCCTGTCCTACTCGCTAGGTGACGACTATCGACAGCAGCAGCAGCGCCTCTTTGGAGTGCCCCGGGGGTTGGTAGTGTACATCACAACCCGATGATCCCGGTCGGTCATGTCGAGAGCGTCACTATGAGTTGGAGATTGCTTTCACGTGTTCCTTTCATTCTTTAAGCCTTACTATCTATCCGGTTTACTTAGCAGGCATTAAGAAATAGCACAGCTCAAAGGCATATCGCAGAAATTATCCCTGACCCCATGTTGTATATGGCCAATGTCTGTCTAAGTTCTTCTATCGTTGCGACAACCCGGTACCCTTGGCCGGCGGTCTACTTCTTCTATCTGCCTATCTTCATTATAGAAGCTATTCTGTTACTGCTACAGGTAGCAAAGTTGTTAGAGGAATTAGGAGGCAGAGGTTGTCAAGCATTACCACACCCTCAGCAGTCTTCCGGTTCTTGGGCTACCATGGCTCTAGCTCTCAAGTCTCTTCTTCTCGAAGTTGACTCAGTCCTTGCTTTATCGAGCTCCACTGGATTGGCCTTGGGAGCGGTGGAGGTGCATGTACTTCGTGGTGGGCTTTGTTTCTTCGCCCAAGGCACTGTGGTCCCGAAACCAAGGCGACGTGACTGAAGCAAATCGTTGAGTAGAAAAGCGAACAGACTGCATTATACTATAAACCGCAAGCACTTTTCTAGCATGGCTGACCTTGAATCTCTCTGCGAACCCGTCCCTCGCTGCGCCTGTCGGGTTTCCAGGCTTCTTGCAATCATGATGGGAGACCCAAGGCGCTGGCGCAACTCGAGGTTGTCCCTAAGTCTAAGCACATCCGATAGAGGTACGGCTGGCCTGAAAACGGGCTTAAATTAGGCTCAAAATGGGGCCGGCCAACCCGAAGACATGCATTCTTTTTGTAATACAGGGGGCAAAGAACTAACTACTCACCATTCTCTTTAATACGCTGCTGCTTCTGTGGAGACCTATATTTAAATGAAACAAAAATCTCCCAAAATGTCTCAGCGAACGCTAAGCTACCACACTCGAGGTGAGTTAATTCCTATTTCTGAGGATTGATTATTTCTTTTGGGAAAGCAGGCGATTTGGCAGTTTAAAGCGGTGCACTGTGAGGTTTCCCTTCTGGCGCATGATTATTTATCACTGAATTACCACCAAGTCCGAATCAAATGATTCCGTGAAGGACCAGGCTTGTTTTACATCCATACAAGCCATAACTTAGATGGTGCTCCTCTTTTGCCCTGCCGGCTAATAAGCAGTTCAACAGATTTTATTCTGTGGACCCTAGAGCCGTCTCTATTCGGGACACGAGGCAGGACATGCTAATTACCCATACGCGGACTTTAATTTTAGACAGGCTTGTTCTGTCTAAAAACTTTATTTTCATGCTTGTTTTAAGCCCTTGACTTTGACTTTGCTGGGGTTCTTGATTCATCCTTTGCAATCCTTTGAGTGTCCATGGGTAAAGGATGGAGGAAGCGGTATTGGAGGAATCCGTATTGGAGAAAGCTTGTGTCATGTCATACACTGCGGCTGTGGGACGTCATATTGGAATACGCATGGCATGGAGGAGCATGAATTCCATTCTTCGGCAGTTACTCCGTATTGCCAAAGAATATTCCTCAAGACTCTTCTTTGCCAAGACCACACCACTCCTTCATCTTTGCCCACAAGGGAGCCCAGCGATGTCACGCTGAGCCATCTGCGCTGTCAATTTGTAAAACTCACAAAGGCCACCTCATCAAAGCCGACCTACTACGTGGTAAAGTCATGTCACTGCGATCATCTTACGCGTCCCCCATCCTTCGGCAACCGAAAAAACCTGACCGATCGGCCATCTTGCAGCCTTGGCGAAACATGTCTGTCGGTGAGCGAGCAGCCCAAACAACGCCGCCATCATGAGGCGCACCCAACACGCTCTTCTGATTGTACGAAGAGGTTTCGTTCCAAAGATAGAAAACGCACCGAAACGCGTGGCCTTGGGGGGCTCTGCTGGCGCTCTCCCGCCGCCCGCTGCAACTGCCGCGGCTCGTCTGGTCTCGTGGTTTAATCGTGTGTGTGTTTAATCCCGCGCGGGCATTTGTTTTGGGGCTGGCGATGGGATGGATGGTGGAGACGCTGCTGGATGTGAAACAATGCACCTCGCCCGAGAGTTCGACTTTGCGGATTGCTCACGCGACCAAGAGAAGAATTGAGAAGATCTGCAGCAGATTTAATGCCCTGGTACAGCTGGAGACAGGGTTGCGCGTCGGCGAAGCCACGCTCGTGAAGATCAAACATCCACTCCCACTCCACATTCTGCAGCATGGAGATGGAGATGGCCTCGATTCAGGCTCTGACTATTCGCAGACTCCCAAGATGCCCAAACACTCACACATCCATCCTCTCAAACGCACAGAACGTCTCCAACACCCCCCCATAAATTCCTGTCCAGTCGGTTTGCCGCCAGCCCGCACGGAGGGGCCCACGCAAATTACGTCGTCCAAATATACAAGCTTGTTCTTGGCGTAGGTAGTTTCCTCCACACTCTAAAACCCTAAAGCAATGTTTTCATTTCGTTTGGGGGGGCTTTGGAAACACCAAGAAAATATCCGGCAGGCGGCGGGAGTGAGCGCCGTTGGGGATGGGAACGCGGAGAGGCGGAAGATGCTCGCGGTGGATTCGGGACTGCACTGATGAGCCTACAAATGCTGTCAGATTGTGAATTCATTCCTCTCACACTCTGGCTGGCTGTAGTAAGTAGTATCACACATCATGACGCTCGCCAAGACCACTCCGCCTCCCCAGGGCCCCGCGGCTTGGCGGAACCAGATCCTTCAGAGAACAGAGCTCGACAAGCTTTATCCCAGAGCCCGTCGACCCATGTCCATCATTGGCAGTGACATGCAAGCCTCCACAGCTATTCTCGGTTGCGCCGAGCCGTTTCTGCGCGGACTTGGAGCGGCGGAGGACTCGAGCAGCGGAGTTGGGGGCTTCGCCTTGCTGCTTCTCATTTGACGCTTGGGTGGCTTGGGGAAGATCGCCATTTGGAGATGCCAGGGAGACACAGCGTCTGCCAAGGCCCGCGGACTGGAGAGTAGCGAGATGCCGATGCGCGTGGAGTTTGGGTCGATTTGCCAAGAGTCGAGTGTTGAGGCATGACGCTCGTGGTTCCATGTATAAGTTCCATGTATAAATAATCATGACATCCCTCGTCTTGGAATGAATTGCTCAACACCATCATCAACAACATCCACATCTACATCTACATTCACATCCACCACACTCACATCTCTTCTCATAAACCACACATCCATCTTCACACACCCAACCCTCTCCAATCATCATGTACGCCAACAAGATCGCCCTAGCCATTGCGCCTCTCCTCTTCCTCGCCCGCGCCGACCTCCAGCTCGACAACGACGACGTGCCCACCGCTTGCAGGGCCATCTGCAGGCCCATCGTGACACTGACAAACGCCTGCGAGGTCGACCTGAGCGGCAGCGACGACACCGACCGTAATGAGAACCGCCTCGAGGCTCAGTGCATCTGCACCAACGACAGCTTCGACGTCGGCCACATTGCGGCGCTGTGCGCCGACTGCATGCGCCAGAACTTCCGTGAGCGGGACAACGATGATGATGACAATGACAATGACGACGATGATGACAATGATGACTGGAATGATGACTGGGACTACGCTGACCTCGAGGGTGAGTAACTTCCCTCACGTACTGAGCCGTCTTTGCAGTATACTAACAACCTTATAGAGGTAAAGGACATCCTCGTCACCTGCGGCTGGACCATCTCCAGCTACGCCTCGGCCTCCTCCACCGAAGCCGACGGCATCACCGTCGATGCCACGGCTCCCACGGCCCTCTCGCAGCTGACCACGACCATCGTGCCCGGCTCAATCCGCACCAAGAACTCCGGCACGGCGACCGCCAGCAGCACCGCCAGCGGAGCCACGGCCACGGCCACGGACTCCGGCAGCTCCGGCTCCAGCTCGGACGACTCGTCCAGCTCCGGCTCTACCGCGAGCAACAGCGCGGCGCAGGCCAGCCAGACTGACAACGCTGCGCCTGCGCTGGCTCCGCTGGGTGTTGCGGGCTTTGCTGTCGCTGGCGCCGTTCTCATGATGGCTTAAGTCTAGGGGTGCTTTAATATCATCCTCTTACGAATTGGTGCTGGAATCATGTGTCTTTCTTTGGTGTTTTGGTCCACACGACCACCCCTATCCAGGGACATTGCATAGACGGCTGTTGGACGAGAAGAGCCGTGCCAGGAAGGGTTGCGTGGTTTCGGATGCTGGTATTAACTAGATTTTCTTTCATCTGGCATTTATTCGTGTGGCATTTTTTATTCATCTGGCAATTATAGACTGATAATGAACTCATGAAGAACAAGATTGTCTGAATGCCCGGGCTTCTGTGTGCAATTGTTATCCTGATTAAATAGCTAACCGCAAGTGTATTCCCGCCCCAACACTTACACGGCAGATCAAGTATCAAGACATATGCCCGTCTGACTTGTATCAGAGAAACCCATTACTCAACCATACATTTCCTCAGCCCATCATCTCTCCTCCTTCTACAGCTCAAACCTCGCGTCCCCTTCAAAGTGCCTCTGCGCAACCTCCAGCTCCCGGTCAAACTCCCTCTTCACCTCGAAGAACCCCATCTGCCGCACACACTCCTCCCTCGTGATCTTGACCCTTAGCTCGCCCACCAGGTCCGCATACCGCCCCGCGAGCTGCCGCAGCCGCCTCACGTACGCTCCGCGCCTCTCCCGCTGCACCTGCCGGAACGCCGCGCACTGCAGCGCGTAGAAGCCGTCGTCCGTCGCCCGCACGAGGCGGACCCGCGCCGAGACCGTCTGCACGAGGCGGTGCACGCGGGCCCGTGGCACGGCGCCGCGGAACGGAGGCTGGAGGTCTTCGCCGGGGTACGTGTGTTGACGCCAGCGGAGGAGGCCCAGCCAGTAGGTGACCATGTGGCGGTACGAGAGCCATTCGACGAGTTCGGCCCATTCGTCCATGAGGGCGACGACAGCGTCGCGGAACTCCTTTGCCGAGTTCAAGGCGTCGTTCTGCGAGAGTCAGTAGGGCCCGCTGTATATCTTCGTTTGCACACTCGGAGAGAACACACATGGGGGAGGAAGCGGTCGTGGTTAGCGATGAATGCTCCTCTGCAGGTGGCCCCGTTCTGGCGACATGCTGGACACTGTGCTTGTCGATCATTGCGCCCCGCGGCGAGCCAGCCCAGAGTGAGGGTAACCATTGGCACTGTGAGACGAACACGAACCCGCGATCTCGTGGTGTGTTGGATGGGAGAAACACCGGTGATGCCAGCCTCGCGACGCGCTGTTATTGTCCAGCAAGGTCTGCTTTATCTTCAAAGTTAATCAGGAACAGGACACCAAGGGACTCAAAACACTGTCGCTGCGCATTGGAAAATGATGCCGTCCACCAGCCCGTACGTATGTATGTTGGCTGTGAATATTCTGTTATTACATTATCTGCAAATCTCCGTTTTCCCCCCCATATGGCCGTCGTCTCATAATGCCACGATGCAGCAATGTTGAGCCGTCGAAAGGTCGATGTAACACACGCATTGAAGCCGTCATCGACCCCTCTTTTAATCACCTCCCCGTGTACTTTTTCTCAAAGTACCGCAAGGGAATGTAGAACAGCGAGCTCAGCACAAACGCAACCTCGAACCCAATATCTCCCGTAGTTTTGGCGATGGGACCCGTCCACCACACCTGCGCCATGCATGGCACTACCAAGCCGAAGCACAGGATGCCCGAGGCGAGGGCTGCGGCGCCGATGGGCAGCCTCGAGGCCACGTTCCAGATGGCGTGGTCGTACGACTCGTAGCTCCCACGGCGGAAGAAGAGGTGCTCGACAACGACGATGCCGATAAAGGACGCGGACCAGTATCCGATGAGGGCGACAAAGTTCTCGAGGTTGACGAAGAAGTCGCGCTGGGCCCGGATCGCCACTGGGATGACGATGACGGTAACGACAATGGCAAAGGCGTAACGGGGAATCTTGATGAGCCCGGGGATGAGCGTCTGGAAGTTGAGCGTAATGGCATACATGGTGCCTCCAGTGTTGCCGAGCAGCGTCAGCGACAGGATGACGACGACGAACTTGCCGAACCCGCCCGCGCTGGACAGCATTGCCGCGAGGATGCCACCGACGAGGTTCTGGTCGTAGGCTTCACTCCACTCCGGGACGTTGGGCAGAGCGCCAGCAATGGCTGCACCGAGCACCATGAGCGGAATCGTAGGCGCAAGGAGGCCCCAGTAGGTGTAGGTAAACACCCGCCATCTGTGGGGCGGTTAGCAAAACTCGATCGGCTCGAGAGAATCAGAGACTGCGGGATACTTACGAGGGGACCTTGGGATCAAAGTACGTGGTGAGATCACTGGCAATCGCCGCCCACGGGATCATGTAGCTGGCAACAATCATGCCAAAGCTGAGCACCATACTTGCGGACGCGGGCGCTTCAGGTGCCGCCTGCTTCTTGAGGTCCGACCCACCGCATCCCGTGGCAATGGTGATGGCAATGACGGCGGGAATAAAGGCGTAGGTCTCGTAGTAGTGCAGGACCTTGAATCCGCAAAACGAAATGAACAAGGAGAGCAGGCCGATGATGACAATGCCGACATCGGGGGTGAGGCTGCCGCCAGAGACTGCAGAGAGGCACTGGCCTCCCACGACGTAGATGATGACGATGAAGCCGGTGAGGGTAGCCAAGTTCAGTAGCACAGGAATGGAGACAATGTATCGGCTGTGATAAAATCAGTACGGTGAAGCTGAGAGGAGCGTAGCGGTGTTGTCGTACCCAAAGCTATATCGAGCCTGGATCATTTGTCGCATGCCCGTCTTGGGACCCAAGGTGGCGAGGTATGCCGGTGCAATAGTAGAGAACAAGCCAAAGAAGAGAATAACCAGAGCCGAGTCTCTGAGGCTCAGACCGTAGGCCAGAGGTCCAAGCATGCCAAAAGTGATGCTGCATCGCGATATGTGAGCAAATGTCTCATTTTGCGCGTCGTCGTACGACCAAATGTCTTTACTCACCCAAGGATGTTGGCGTTGATGGAGAACCACACGGTAAAGATGTTGTAGAAGCGCGTCATCTGGCGGTCCTCGACCGCAATGGGCTGGATGCCCTTCTCCTCGACTCGTCCCATACGCAATGCCTTGTGAAATAGGGACGATGCCTTGATGCTGAAGCTGTCGCTGCGATCATCGTGGTCCGCGTCTGGGGCAGCTCGTTGAGCGGGCACCGCAGTCGGGCCTTTTTCCGCATCAGTCGCCACCGTCGCCATGATGAAAGTTTTCGATCGCTCTTCTTTCCGTCCGCTCAACCAGATATCTCGACGGGTCAGACTCAGCAGAAAGAGCCGCGGGACTGTGACATGATATATAAAAGTTGCGCAACAGTCACCCCGGCCCGTCGAACAAAAACTGGAAAATTCCAGTAATAGACTCCGGCCTACTGGAGTCATGATTCCGCGGGTGGGTGCTTATTCGCGGCATATTAAACCTTGTCATCGGCGCTCGGAGGGCGTGCCGCCAGCTAATCAGACCCGTCGACGACGCTCTAGCGCGAGACGGAATGAGTCTTGGGGCCGTTTTGGTGTGCTCTGGTGTGCTTTGGTGTGCTTTGGTGTGCTCTTGAGAACGCCTGAATGCGTGAAGGAGCTGCCAGATGCCCCTTCAACGGCCCTACCGAGACGGCCTGGGCGATTCGGTTGGACACCCTTCGCCTTTAGCCCACAACCGTTCTGACTCAAATGAGGCAAACGACCGCTAGGGCTACTCCCCCCCGCAAGAGCCTGCAGCGTGCTGCAGTCGGTCGAATGTTCTGTGCTTGCTTCTGCGTTTCTCGGCTTGTCCCACTAGCGGAACCCTCCTTTTGGGCCTCTCCGTGAGTCGACCGCCTTCACCTCCGGGGTGCATTTGCCAGTTGTTGTGCATCCGCCAGAGGGTCTCGAATTTCCCAAGTCGACAAGGTGAGGCGAGGTGAGGCGAGGTGAGGTGATTCCCACAGAAGAAAACACGCCTTGCTGGTGGCATGGTAATGTTTCCCGCGGCCAAAAAAAGCCTCTCATATTCGTCTATTTCATCGTCTTCTTCTTTCCTCGGAAAAATCCTCCGACTGCCCCCATTAGCCCTCCGAGGCCCTTCTCGTGACTGTCTCCAACCAGGCCACCACGAATCCACCCCGGAAGCTTGCCACGGATTCTCTCCGTTCCATACCGTCGATCCACGAGCACAATGGCTGCGTAGTCTCCCTGGTGCCGGATCGCTCGACCGATACTTTGGTTAACGGCCCGCATGCAGGCGTTTTCGTAGAAATCTCGGGCCGCCTGTTTAGCCCGCGCCGTGGCGCTCTCATTGCCTACACCTTGAGAGGTCAAATTGGCCTTTGTGGTCGTCTCAATATACTCAATCTTGGCCTTCCAGTCAGGCGACGCAATATTAGGGTATGGAAGGCCGATGACAATAACGCACCGCCCTAGCCGATCTGAGAAGTTGATGCCTTCCGACATCTTCCCGCCGATGACGCTGAGAAGGAGTGCACCCTTGCCGTTGCTGGACTCGCCTAGGATTGCCTGGGAATATTCCTGGAGAACCTCGTCACTGGACCCGCCTCGTGCCTCCTTGAACAGTGCTTTCCGAGACCCCAGTCGATCCCATATGGGCTGACCATTTGCCCCCTGCTTTTGCTCCCATACCGCAACCACTTCGTCAAGATAGCCATAGCTCGGAAAGAACACGACGACACCGTCTGGAACAAGGGAGCACAGGTTCAGAATAGCGAGTCCCAGCTGTGTTATCATCTCTGAGTCACCGCGACGCTGGTAGCTGAATTCGAATGGGGCCATTCCCGGTCGAGACGTTGCAAGTGTCCAGACGCAGAGGTTCTCCGGTGGAATAACATGGCCACAGCTCAGTGTAGTCACCTTGTCAGTTCCCAGCGACGGAAACAGATGGTCCTTGAAGTCGTCAAAGGGCGACATTGTTCCACCCGCGAGGACCACCGCTCTCGCACTTGATGCAATGGAGGAGAATGCATGCGTCGGTGATAGAAGTAGGTAGGAGAGTTTAATGTCTGGCGCAGGATCCTTGATCTTTTCGTAGAATATCCGTCCCTCGGAACTGAGGTTGGTGAGAGCAACAAGAAATGCCACCAGAGTATGAAGGACGGGAGTGCTAGACTTCGGTGACGCTTTACCCGTTGCATCCTCGTTCTCGACATGGGATACGTAACTCTCAATCTTGTACGCCAGCTTCGACTCCTGGATATACTGGATCAGTTCAAACATGTTGATCTGATCAATGCCCTTCGGCCTGGTGAGATCGTTTGCATCTACAATGCCGTTCTCTTGCTGCTCAGACATTAGTGATTACCCAAAACCACAGACTGCCAACTTGCCTTGAACTTCAGAGCTCCTTCCATCCATTCACTGAGTCCTTCAATGACTCTGCCGACCCTACCAACATTCACTCGATTCACACCTTTCAGTTTCTTGCCAAACTTCCTGACATAGATTCCCAGCATGCCCCGTGCTCTTTTGAGATCGCTCCTTCGGATCTCCGCTGCATGCACGTTCGCTACCGCATCCATGATGTTATGTGCTTCATCGATAATGACAATGTTCCCTTCCAACTTGATTCCGAGGGCCTCTCGCGCGCTTCTTTGTAGGAGTAGTGGATACGGAAGTGTAATAATCTCGGCTCCTGGCAAGGCAGCTCGAGATGCATAATAGGGGCAGACGGCGAGGGATTTGCCAAGTTGATGGAGATCTTCGATATCTGGAAGTGTGGCAAGGGCAGAGTCGCGGAATTGATGGGTCTGCGAAAGAAGCTCCTCCTTGGGGACGAATGAACACTTATTTTTCGACTTCGATTGCTGAAGCTCGGAACAGCGGTCGTTGATGGCCTGGACGGACCCAAGTCGGGAGACTGAGGGGTTGATACAGAGCCTTTGACGAGACGACAGAGGCAGCAGCTTCACAGCTTCTGTTTTAGACTGGTCGTCCTTGGCGAGGGACGGAGGCAGCGAGGGTGGGAATGTGGGACGACGGAGTTCGGTAATGAATTGGGAGAGCTGGGAATGTGTTCTTGAAGTGTAATAGATCTACTGAAGTTACTATTCTGGCCTTTTGCGGTCGGTCCAGAAATCGCACCTTGATTTCTTCCTCGAGGAGGTCTTCGTCGTCGGCCCGGCCTCTTGGGCCACCCAGGCCGATGCTCGTCAAAACTTCTCGCGACTCTTTACTCAGGCCGGACAGGGCATCCTGAGGACCTGAGTCGCGGTCATCAACGTCATCCAGCAGCCACTCGGCATCTTCATCGATCACACGGGAGCCGGTCAGTGATGCATCTTCGATACGCCGTCGTTTGCGACCACGCTCTTCGAGGGCTTTCTCTTTGAGTCTGAGGTTTTCAAGTCGCTTCTCTCGGTCTTCCCACCTATTGACGAGCTCGTCTCGCTTGCGACGGAGGAGCTGGTCGACGAGCCAGGATGGCTCGTCCTTGTAAGCGTCAGCAGAAGCCTGGAGTGAGGCCTCGAATTTGCTGGACTTGTGATGCCGCAGCCACGTTAGAGATGCACAAATTAGTGAGAGTGATTTTCCCTAGTGCATGCTTGTTAGTTGGGTCATAGTACTGTTGGTTGGGACAACCAGAAGAGGCGGTCTAAGCCAACTTGAACTCCAACGAGTCTCAAGAGGCTCCCAGAGTGAAGCACATCATCCGGCTCCCACGCCAGTCCTCGGCAGAAGCAGAAACTTACCGTCCCTGTTGGACTCTCCAGGATGCCAACATGTCCATCTCCAGCTTCCAGCACATCAAAAACGGTCTTCATAAACTGTTCCTGGACATCGTAGGGCGTGTACGGGTGGTGAAAGTCCAACTTCTCCAGGCCGCGAGTGATGCCGTCCATGGACTCAGCCGTCATCTTGCCAGTCCGCAATCTGACCTCAGCACCGAGTTGTATCGTGTCGCGTGCTGTGTAAGAGATGCACCAGGTTTCGCGCTGTGGCAATCGTCACCCCCGTCATTGGCAGGTCTTAGTGGGGCCACACCGAGCTTCACCGCGCTTCTGCCGCGAGGTCACCTGATACGTCACGCCAGGCCGCACAGGCCCTTTGCCCGCCGCCCAATACCCACTCCCACCAACTGCCAATTGCCATTTCCCAGGTTTAGGGCTGCCCTGCCCTCTCGCCTAACAATTTTCCGGTGCTAGCCATTGGAAGTCGTCGCAAAAACATCACCACCCACCTCCAGTCTTCGTCCTGTACACCGGAAAAGCGACAACACCACAGCCGTCGCCATGCCTACCCGAACGTCAAAGACCCGCAAGCAGTACGTGCTATCCTGCCCGACGGGCTCTTTCCTGGCGAGAACGGCTCCGTGCCATTGAGCATTTGAGCCTGCCCGCCAACTCAACAACTCCAGGAAACATCATGGACTGACATTTTTCTCTTCACAGCCGCGGCCACGTCTCCGCCGGTAAGGGACGTGTCGGAAAGCACCGCAAGCATCCCGGTGGTCGTGGTCTTGCCGGTGGTCAGCACCACCACCGAACCAACATGGACAAGGTTCGACGACCCGAAATCGATAAACGACGACGACAAGATCGAATGGCTAACCCTTGAAACAGTACCATCCTGGTTACTTCGGAAAGGTCGGTATGCGATACTTCCACAAGCAGCAGGCCCACTTCTGGAAGCCCATCATCAACCTCGACAAGGTACATATCCCTCCCGATTTCGCGATTTCTGTTTCGGTGGATTAGGTGCGGGGAGTGCACGCAAGAAACAAGAGTCTGGCGGGAATCAAGCAACAAATTTGCTAACTCGCAACTAGCTCTGGTCTCTCGTCCCCGTCGAGACCCGCGATGCCTACGTTTCCGGCGAGAAGAAGGACACCGTCCCCGTCCTCGACCTCCTCCCCCTCGGCTACTCCAAGGTCCTCGGCAAGGGCCGTCTCCCCGAAATCCCTCTGGTCGTCCGCGCGCGATGGGTGAGCCGTCTGGCGGAGAAGAAGATCACTGAGGCCGGTGGTGTTGTTGAGCTTGTGGCATAGATAAACTTATGCTGGCCGGAGTCGGGCTTGTGGATTTAGGAACCAGGTTTTCATGGATGAAAATGGTCCTGGCCCCTGGACGCCGAATCAGGGAGATGGGGGAGGGACCTGGGTTGGTCGGCTTCCAGCATTGCAATCAGGGACTCTCGGACGGAGTTTAACGAAATAAAAATCGATTTTCGCCCATGACCTACTATGTCTGCATTTCCAGAGCAAGCAACCAGCGGAGTTTGGTGCATGTGTGCGCGATAGGGCCGAGGATAGGTGTAATGATTTATGATTACACATTCACCTAGGATCTCTTGTATGCTTGGATATCTGACCAACCCTCATGATTATCTACCCTCCCGGAATTCCCCAAAACGCCTCTTGTGATGATAGTCTATTAGTACAGAGACCGCGCCCATCCATATCGACGGTGCCTCAATGCAAAAGAGAGCCTACTAGGCATGCAACATGTCCATCTCATCCTCATCCCCCAGCTCTTGACTGGCGGGGTTATCGACTCTTAGAAACTCGTGCTCCAGCGCTTGCTCGGCAGTGATTCTCCTGCTTGGATCCAACTCCATGCAGCGTTCGAGGAACCTGACCGCCAATTTCTCGTCAGGTGTCAAGGGCTTATCGTCGGTTCGGCATGTGCTCCAAAGAATAATCTTCTCCATGCTAAACCCTTGTTGTCCCACTGTGGGGATGCTAGTCTCAAAGGCACAGCCATGCAGCAACCCAGCAGCCTTCATGCGTTTGGTGCCAAAGATAGTAGCAATCTCTATCATAGCTTCAACATCGTCGGCCGAGTTGAAAAAGGGAAAACGCTTCGACATTATCGTCAGCAGAATAACCCCCGCAGACCAAATGTCAATCGAGGTCGTCTGTTCAGTGCACTTGAAAAGGACCTCAGGGGCACGGAAACCCCTGGTGCCGGCGCGATTTGCACGGCGGGAGGAACGGGTGTCGGATTTGGGATACCCGACCTGTGGGTTGGTTGAATTTTGTGCCCAGGCCGAATTTGCCTGGCGATGCTTGCGGGTATCCCGCGTTTCGTGACAGAGACATGGCTTGCAGTCCGAGCCCTCCCGCTCAGCGAGGCCAAAGTCAACAAGCACACCGCGCTGCGTGGCCGGATCGTACAGGAAGTTGGTAGGTTTGATGTCTCTATGGAGAATCTTGTGGTCGTGAACGCTCTTGAGGGCCGTGAAGAGCGAGCGTAGGTAAATAGCAATGTCTGATATGGTCATGTCCCGGAAGTAAGCGCGAAAGTCCCCGTGGCGAAAGTACGGCAGGATGGCCACGACCTGATCGGTATGGCGGAAGGCGGTGATCAAGGGACAGACGGAAGGGCATTGGCGTAAGTCGTGGAGGAGTTCGATCTCGTTGAGGATGCGTGAGGGGCTGGAAGTGACGTAAATCTTCTTGATGGCGACGTAACGGGCCTTGCGGCGAGGGGACCGGTGCGACGATTGGCTTGTGGTGCGCTTCAGCGGCGGCGGCGTCCACTTGGTCGAGTCGTCTTCGATGTCCCAGCTGTTGTCAAAGTGGTCGTACATGATGTCTTCAGCCTTGTAGACGGTCGAGAAGGTGCCTGAGACAGGAACAGTCAGTTGAAGGTATCAAGCAAGACGGAGAGACCAATTACCTTCGCCAATTCGCTTTATCAGGCGGTACTTGTTGCGAAAGCCGGGAAAGTCGCCTTGCAGCTTTTCCATGTCGGCTTGGACGGTGCGGTCGACCGCCTCGTCCTCGGAGCTCTCGTCGGGGATGTCCTCCTCTTCCTCCTCTTCAAAAGACTGTTGATGTTGGTGCTGTGGGGCCTGGTGGTGGTACTGTTGTTGTTCTGCCTCGTCTGTCGGCGGCACGGCTTCCTCGGTGCGCTCCTCCTCGGCCATCATCTCGGTATCCTCTGTCCTCGCATCCTCGTGGATCTCGAAGGGCTCCTCTCCCTGGTGGTGATGGGCTGTGGCAGCCATTGCGCCGTCGTTGTGATTGGTTTCGCCTCGCGTGTCTCGCCTTGCAACTGTCCGTCCCACAAACAGGATTCCTCAGCACAGACGCTTATCGCATGGAAAAATCCCCGGATCCGCTGCCAAAACCCAATTCACAACCAAGACGTACCGAGCAACCTAAAGGTAAACAAGGATCATGCAGCAAGAAGCCTTGAAGCGGTTTCTCGAGGGGAAGAGTTGGGCGGATCGTTCGGTGGAGGGGCTTCTTGGAGGTGCGGCACTGCAGGGGCTTACCAGGCACAACACGCGCTGAGTTTTAGCGGACGACTGCGCTGGCGATGGCGGGGAAAAAGGCGGGCGCGCGTCAAAGAAAACAAAAACAATTCGTTGCTGAGGGACCTTTGCCATCACCGCCAACACATTAATCCATTGTCCGCATCGAGTACGTAGCATCGCCATTTAACTACCACCGCCCAACGCGACACAACCACGCGTGACGGCGCAGACGGAACCGATACACGACAGAGCGCTGTGCGCCCATACAGCTGCTAACTCTCTAACGACATTCAACTCGGACCGAGCCGCCAGATGGTCCGCTCTTGATTGCACCTATCCTTCTCCCACTTCCCCCTTCCACACCCCTCACATCGACTCTCCATAACCCTCACGCTCGCGCCCATTGCGGCGCAACCCACAGATTGCCCGTCATGGAGACAATCAACTTCGACATCAACGATGCGCTCAAGCACTACATGTCGGACCCGGCCAGCATCCCCACGCCCGAGGCCGACAGCGCCCTCTTTGACTGCGAGAATGACCCCGAAGGCCTCACAAACCCCGTCATCAACTCCGTGCTGAACCCCATCGTCGACGCCGTGGCCGACAACCCGGACGCCATCATGCGCGCCTCCCACATGGACTCCCTGCAGTTCCTCCTCAAGTTAGCACCCACCACCCTTGACCCCTCCTCTCCAGACCCTCCTACATTGGGACGCGATTCTGAGCTACTTGATCCCTCCAGATACACGGCCTACCTCCCGACCCACGCCCTCAGCAAGATCTTCGACCTTGTCATGAGCGGCCTGAGTGCCGAGGCCGACGGTGTGCACAACGACATCGACTCTCCGGACGAGCAGGACTCGGTACTGCACCACAAGAAGCTCCTCGAGATCTACGGCTTTCTGCTGCAATGGACCATTGCCGCTGTCGAGACTAAGGCCGCCGAGAAGTCTTCCGCCGCTCCCGCATCCCGTGGACGTGGAAAGCCCAAGAAGGGCGCCGCCAAGGACAAGGAGGCCGTATGGGACTCTGCAAGCCAACTCCAGGCTGCCCTGGACATCATGTGCAAGGTCTTGAAACTCAAGCTCTCCAAGATCTTCCTCACCACCAGCGAGAGGGATACATTTATCGGCCTCCTCACCCGTCCGGTCTACATGATCCTCGAGAGCGAGCAGCGCGTCAAGAACACCACCATCCGGATGCACTGCTTCAAGGTCTTGTGCATTGCTGTCAAGCACCACGGTCATGGATATGGTATGTTCAGCCAGTTTGTCCAGAGGCCGATCAAGTCTAACAACCATAGCTGCGCAAATCAACATCATCCAGAACCTTACCTACTTTGAGCACCTTTCGGAGCCCATGGCCGAGTTTCTGCACATTCTCGCAGAGACCTACGACTACCCACAACTTGCCGATGAGGTGCTGCGAGAAATCAGCAACAAAGAGTTCAACTCCAACGATACACGAGGACCCAAGTCCGTTTCATCATTCATTGCGAAGCTGTCAGAGTTGGCTCCTCGCCTGGTGATTAAGCAGATGACAATGCTTGCGAAACAGTTGGACAGCGAGGTAAGATTATCAAACACTATGCAAAAACTCCCCTCTGACATCAACAGTCTTATACCCTTCGTTGTGCGTTGATCGAGGTATGTGGCAACATGGTTGGCCATCTCAGCAAGCAGGACGAGCGCAGTGAGAACCACAAGTCTCAACTTAATGCCTTTTTTGATGTGTTGGAAGAGCGATTCCTCGACATCAACCCGTACTGCAGGTGCAGGACACTACAAGTCTATATGAGACTTTGCGAGCTTGACCAAAAGTTTCCCAAGCGACGCCAGAAGGCTGCCGAGCTTGCATGCCGAAGTCTCGAGGACAAGAGCAGCAATGTCAGGCGAAATGCTATCAAACTCCTAGGAACCCTCATCAAGACTCATCCCTTCACTGTTATGCACGGCGCACAGCTCTCCAAAAAGGAGTGGCAAGCCCGCCTAGACAAGGTTGAGGAGGAGCTGGATGCTTTGAAGCCACCACCCGGTGTCCCGAGCTTCGGCGGCGAGGGCGCCAACACCACTGTCGACAACACGCTTCTGGACGATGCCACACAGGTTGGCTCTCCCATGAAGCCTAAGCAGATGACGGAGGAGGACAAAGTCGAGGCCATCAAGCAGGCCCAAGAGCAAGCTGCCACGAGTGAGGCCATTGAAAAACTCACTCTGACGAGGAGGTACTACAACGAGGCCATCAAATTCATTGATGTACTCCACGATGCCACCGGCACCATTTGCCAACTCTTGGGATCGAGAAACAAGAGCGAGGTCATTGAGGCCATTGACTACTTCGAGGTCGGCGATGCCTACAACATTGAGCAGAACAAGGACGGTATTCGACGCATGCTCCGTCTGATCTGGACCAAGGGCAATAGCGACGAGGGCAAGGGAGTGCAGACGCACTTGATTGACTGCTACAAACGCCTCTTCTTCGAGGCCCCCGACTCCTTCAGTCCCAACGACGCGGCAAACTACATTGCTCGCAACATGATCAGTCTGACATTTGGAGCAACTCCTGCTGAGCTCACCTCTCTAGAGCAGCTGCTTGCGACTATGATGAAGAGCGGGCATATCCTCGACGTCGTCATCGCCAAGCTGTGGCAGGTCTATGGTGTCCAGAGGCGGGAAATTTCGCGGACTCAGCGACGAGGTGCCATCATTGTCTTGGGCATGCTGGCAACGGCAAATCCTGAGATTGTGGTGGGTGAAATGGAGACGATGCTCCGCACTGGTCTTGGATCCCACGGACGGAATGATCTCCAGCTGGCCAAGTTCACCTGCATCGCCTTGAGGAGGATTAACCCGATTGGCCGGCAAGCTAAGGATTCGCCGGCCAAGTTCTCTCGCCTGCCCAACGACCATGCCGTATCAGTGAGATTGGCCGCCATCACCGAGGTTCCCTCGGACAGCAAGGAGTGGTATGGAGTGGCGGAGCAAGCCATCAACGCCATGTATGCCATCTCCAAGCACCCTGACACGCTCTGCTCGGATATTATTCGTCGAAAGGCGCGACAGGTCTTTAGCCAGCCGCAGTCTCGACCTGGCTCTCGGCCAGTCTCTCGAGATGACACTAAGGCTGCCCCAGACGCTGACCAAACTGGCACTCAGGGCGACAAGCCCAAGAAGCGAGACAACGCCATTGGCCTGTCCCAACTCCTGTTCATTGTTGGCCATGTGGCAATCAAGCAGATTGTTCATCTTGAATTGTGCGAACAAGACTTCAAGCGTAGGAAGCAGGAGAAGGAGAAGCTAGCTCCTGCCAAGGCGGAAAAGGACAAGGAGGATGCCGACGAGTTGGACCTCATCGGAGGCACAACTGAAGACGACTTTACAGAAGCCATGGCGCACATCCGAGAACGGGAACTCCTGTACGGCCCCAGCTCGCTGTTGGCTGTGTTTGGTCCTCTGGTTTCAGAGATCTGCGCCAACAACACAACATACGCCGACAAAGGCCTCCAGGCCGCCGCAACGCTGTGTCTGGCAAAACTCATGTGTGTGTCGGCCGAGTACTGCGAGGTCAACCTGCCCCTCCTCATCACCATCATGGAGCGGTCGCCCGACGCCACGGTACGATCCAACGCTGTCATCGCCTTAGGTGACATGGCCGTCTGCTTCAACCACTTGATTGATGAGAACACGGACTTTTTGTACCGCCGTCTGGCTGACGATGATGCGTCCGTCAAGCGAACATGTCTGATGACGCTGACGTTCTTGATTTTGGCTGGACAGGTCAAGGTCAAGGGTCAGCTAGGCGAGATGGCCAAGTGTCTGGAGGATGAGGATCGCCGGATCGCAGACCTGGCCAGAATGTTCTTCACTGAACTCAGCACCAAGGACAACGCCGTGTACAATCATTTCGTCGACATGTTCAGCTTGCTCAGTGCAGGTGGCAAGATGGAGGAAGAGAGCTTCCGCAGGGTTGTGCGCTTCCTTTTGGGCTTTGTGGAGAAGGTGAGCTTCTTTATTTATCATCCCGACAGTACAGTAGCTAACATGCGCAGGATAAACACGCGAAGCAACTTGCTGAGAAATTGGCCGCTCGACTCGGCCGTTGCGAGACTGAGAGGCAATGGAACGATGTTGCCTTTGCCTTGGGACTGCTGCAGCACAAGAATGAAGAGATTACGAAGCTAGTGTCGGAAGGGTTCAGGGTGATTCAGGCGACGGCTTGAGATGGCAACAACAGTACATTATACGGGAAATAATTGTGTATTATACGGTCATCAAGGAAAGCAGCGGAGTTTGGATCCTCTTGGGTATGATGGCATGAGTGATGGCGGGAATGCAATGATGACATAGATGGATTGATGAGAATTTACTATTTCGCAATTGATACCAGGTCATTATGTGCGATCTTTTCGAGTTAAATGTGCGTGGTTTGTTAATTTGGTCCACTTTCGTCTTAAATCATGTGTGTGTGTTTTGGATTCTGTTGCGGCGTTTGGTTGAGAAGCTAAGCAAAGTTGCGTAGGTTGGAAGTGAGGCTTCTGATCATTTTCTAAAATAGTGTTTAAGTGGTTTAGCTGAGATGGAGCTATGGAGCTGGGACTACAGCTAATCTTACAACAATGAGATGCAGAATTGAACACAGATTAAACCAGATCGATGAACCAATTCCCCGCAGTCTTCGTCTTTCATCAGGCAACTTCATGGGCGACGAGTCACCTGTGGTATGTCGCGAAGCTGTAGGGTAAATCGATCGATGGCGTGGTTACGCCACTCAACCCCACAACTGCACGAGATACCGTGACTGCTACAGCTGCCCCGCAGTAAGCTGTCGAGCTATACCAACCCACTTGATCAGGAGGCAAGTCGCAGTCACCGGATGTGGTGGTAGGCTCTGTTGTTGACGAGATGAGCCGAGACAAAGAAATAGACACGCGAGGAGACGAGGGCATGCTTGATGCAGGGGGATTGAACAAAGAACGACAGCCAGACTGGCTTAATTGGGCGAGCCGAGGCTTTGCCGCATACAGAGCCAAGCTCGGGGAAGCAACGGATCCATGACGAGCAAGGTGACGCAGAGCAGGAGCCAGCAGCGCGCAGCCAGAAGGCAAGCCAGGGAGGCAGGCGCTATGCGGTCAGTGGGCAGCTGCCAGTGGACTGCGGGAGCGCGGACAGTGGGCAGGTACGACTCGGCTTCCCCCAGCCAGAAGCTGGTGGCTGCTTAGGCCCAAAAAGTACAAAAAGGGCGGGTCCTCCCACCTATTTTCGCGGCAGTTGCGAGCAGATCATAGGACACGCTTCTGAGGCTCCGTGGGCACAAAGTTGTACGGGAGTACTTTTCGTAGGTATCCGTACCTTGGCCCTACAACCCTGACCTTGACCTGAATTGCCTGTTCCGGTCCTGTACTGTACTAGTACCGGCCTGACGCAACCATCTTTTTATACCGACTGCTCCCCCAATAGCCGTCCCGTCCAGCGGGCCATTGTATTGGTACTTGTTGATACCGGGTTGATCGTCCTAGTAAGCTATTACCTACCTCTATCACCTACCTTAACCTCGCTCCACCCTGAAATCCTCCCCTCCTCCGCTGGCGACTCACATATATCCCAGACACGCGTCGCCGTCTTCTCGTCTCCGAAGCCCACCCCGCCCTTTGTGCGACACTACGAACCCCTCCTGTGGTTGCATTCCATTGGCACAAATCGACCCCCGATCTCCCGCCTTCTATTTTCTTTCTGACCGATCCCATTCATCGCTTCTTCCCCACGTCATTGCTGGTCAGGGTAAGCTCGACCCCTTGCCTACCTTGTTTTTACGCTTCCCTCCTGACAGAACACCAAGCAAGCATCATCGATCGACGTCGGAGCGGCAAAGGAAAGGCAAACGCTCAGACCACATACCACGCCACTGACCCATCGTGTGAACTGGCCACGTGCAGCGCCACACTTTGCGGATTAGCGTTCCAGCGCATCCCCGATTCTCCGGACGCGCGCCCGTCCACGTGACCCAGCACAGCCTCTTTTCCCGTTTGCCGTGGGTCCGTTTGCGGCAACAAGGGCAGGCGCGACGCAGGAGCCACTTAAAGCTGAGCTTGAGCTTGTGAGTGCGAGAGCTCCCGCCAGCCTTCTTGTGTCTGTGCCAACTGCGTCACTCTCTCGCGCGTCAGTGCGAGCGTGAGCCTTCAACAACCACCCATCCCATCGAAAGAGACATCGCCGGCCATCGAAGAGTCAAGCCATCTGACGCGACAAAGAAACGACGGCCTTGTGGCTGCTGCTGATCGCATCGTCGCGCCCTTTCTGGGGAGGCCATGGGCTAGGCTGCAGCGCCGATGCTGAGAAGGATCAAATCGAGGGCTTCTCTTCAGGTACGTTGCTATCTATGACGCATCATGAGCTGCGAAACGCGACTCACGTTTGCGGCTCTTTTCCTGGCTGTTGCCTGTCCGCTGGCTGGTCAATTGCTATTTGAATCCCGAATGGCGATGTCGTATGAACGCGTGCTGACTGGACTCTTGCAGAAACACATCCACCGAAACACCACCACCTTACGACGTTGAAATAACGCCTCAAACATGTACGACAAGGTCGTGCCTATGGGCACACGCCTGCACTACCCCATAACCATAACAAAACTCCTCAAGTCCCCCGGCGACTCAATCAAGAAGCAGGAGAGCATCATCGAGTACAAGTTCACCTGGAGACGCAGGATCAACGACGACGAATGGAGCGACGAGACGACCTACACTGAATTTGACAGTCCTGCTGAGGGCATCCTCAAAGAATGGCGCGTCAAGGAGGGAATGGTCATTGGTGCCGACGGCCCTTGCATGCTGGTCGAAGAGTCTTGCGGCCATGAGGTCCAGATTCAAGGCATGTGCAGTCTCTGCGGTGCCGACATGACCGAGACCAACTGGGCCAGCGAGGAACGCGATACCGACCGTGCCATGATCAACATGACCCACGACCAGACGGGCCTAATGGTGAGCGAGAGTGTCGCCACCAAAGCCGAACACGATACCCAGAAGCGTCTCCTCCGCCAGCGCAAGTTGAGTCTTGTCGTCGATCTGGACCAGACCATCATCCATGCGTGTATCGAGCCCACTATCGGCGAGTGGCAGGGTGACCCTTCAAATCCCAACCACGAGGCCGTCAAGGACGTCAAGAGCTTCCAGCTCAACGATGATGGCCCACGGGGACTGGTAAACGGTTGCACCTACTACATCAAGCTACGTCCTGGCCTGGCCGAGTTCCTCGAGGAGGTCTCCAGCATGTATGAGCTACACGTCTACACCATGGGTACACGCGCGTATGCCCTAAATATTGCTCGCCTCGTGGATCCCGACAAGAAGCTGTTTGGCAACCGAGTCATCAGCCGTGACGAGAACGGCAGCATTACTTCCAAGAGCCTTCAGCGCCTGTTCCCTGTCAGCACCGACATGGTTGTCATCATTGATGACCGTGCCGATGTGTGGCCCCTAAATCGACCGAACCTGATCAAGGTAGTCCCATACGACTTCTTCAAGGGCATCGGCGACATCAACTCAAGCTTCCTACCCAAGCGACAAGATCTCCTACCGGCCCCACCGAAGCCGACTCCTATCGCGGCTGCTAAATCGGTTACCAGCGCTGGCAAGGCATCGCCTCTCGACGAGCTAGTAAGGATGAGCGGCGGAGACGATGCGGCCAGCCTGAAAAGCCAGACCGAGGAGCAGGAGAAGACGCTAGAGAAGCAACTCACCGACCGACCGCTACTACACATGCAGGAAGAGCTGGATAAGGAGGATGAGCATGGACAAGACCCCCAGAATGGAGACTCGTCACACAGTCATCACCGGCATCTGCTGGTTGATGACGACGAGGAGCTCATTACTCTCCAAGACCACCTCACTGACATCCATACGGCTTTCTACGAGACGTACGACAAGAGACGAGCGGAGCGAAGACAGTCGGAACCCACACACCCACCTGGCCACAGCAAATCCCGACGGAGGGCATCCGTGGATGACGGTGTTGACCTATCTATGGTCCCGGATGCGGGCGATATCTTGGACGAGCTAAAGTCTAACGTGCTCTCTGGTCTAGTGATTGTCTTGTCCGGTCTCGTGCCCTTGGGAGTCAAGGTTGAGGAGTCAGAAATTGGCATCCAGGCACAAAGCTTTGGTGCACAGGTTCTAGATAGCGTCTCTAAACGAGTGACGCATCTTGTGGTTGCCACGTCGCGACCTCGAACAAAAAAGGTCCAACAGGCGGCCAAGATCTCGAGTATCAAGATTGTGAACCAGAACTGGCTCATCGACTGCCTAAGCCAATGGCGGCGCTTGGATGAACGACCTTACTTTCTGGATATCCTTGAGGCGGACCGAGAGAGGAGCGATGACACCACTGAAGTGGCATCTGAGGAAGACGAGGAGGATGAGGCAGAGGCAAAGGACCTCAAAGACTTTGACTGGGATACGGCCGACAAAGATTTGCAGGAAATCCTCGGCCTCGATGATGACGATGACTCGGAGAGTGGCTTTGACAGTGCTGCCAACTCGGACGTGGAGAGCGACGGCACGGACGGTCTTCCGAAGCAGGGCACTAAGCGAAAGGCTCGTGCCGACTCTGATGAGTCGGATGATGACGGCTCTTCTAGCATTGCAGGCGAGAGCGTTCTGGCCAAGAAGCAGCGTGTGGCAAGGAGCCGAGGTGCCTCAACACTACGGTCAGTACGCACGCCAAATGGCGAAGACGCCGATGAGGAGGGTACTAGCCTTCCGACGCCTGGCCCTACTGGAGACGAAGGCACGGAAGGTGACGACAGAACACGGGTCGTCACTGAGGACCAGGGCGAGGACTTTGACGATGACGATCTGGAGCGCGAGCTGCTGGCGGAGCTGGAGGCGGCTGGTGATTGATACGGGGGTAACTAGGTGAAGATTGACGAAGTCGAGGAAGAAGGAGGAGTTTAGAGAGCCAAGGAATCAGCTGGGAGTTTTGTGTATGTCAATGTAGTATACCCCCGTTTCGGAAGGATGGGAGATGGTAAATGGAGCAAACAAACTGTTTTTGGCGCCATACTTGACAACATAAGAGGTGGCTTAGGGGCTTTGTGATTTCAGTGTGACTACAGATGATAGGGTGGGTTGTAGATGATAGTGTGGACGATGTAGATAGTGGGATGCGCTGAGCAATTGCGCTGAACATAGAGAATGAGACTACCGGCGTTAATACCATGTCTAATCTCCGTAGTGATGATTCGCAATGGTTAAACCTGGAGGCTTGGGGTTTGATTATCAAGCTCTAATGAGTGAAGTGGTGACTCTGCCATTTTTGGTGCAGAATGAAGCCCGTCGGAGGAATCTCACCGCGTGCTAGTGGGCCACTTCCGGGATTATGTACTATCCCGTGCTAACAAGTCCTGGTGTAATAAGCACGCGGCCGCGATAGTCTGTAATACAGAGGTAACCCGCTCCTCGCCGGCCGGACATCCGCCCGTGTCTGCGTTGGTTCCTCCCCGCCTGCGAAACGTCACCGGGAAGGAATTGTGGCGTGGACAGCAGGATGGCAGTTTGGGGAGATTGAGGTGTTGTATATATATAAGGGGATGGTTTCCTTTTCTTGATGGCATTATGGACAGAGACGCACCGGCACAGCTTCAGACGCAGCTTTAACATCTACTAGGAACTTGACGCTTGGGTTGATTGATATCGATTGATCTATACGAAACGAAGCTACACATTCTTATAAAATGACTTCTTATTGCGGCTTCAGCCCTGAGAAGGACCTTCCCGACCTCTCTGGCAAGGTTATCCTCATCACCGGCGGTATGTTCTCTTTTCGTTAACAGCAAAGCCGTAACTAACATGCCGTGTAAAGGCACTCGCGGCGTTGGAAAGACAGCCCTCCTCCACCTCGCAAAGCACAACCCAGCACACGTGTACTTCACCGGGCGCAACCAACTCGCCGCAGACGCCGTCCTCGCCGAGCTGCCGTCCAACGTAAAGGGCACCTTTCTGCAGTGCGACCTCGCGTCGCTCGAGAGCATCCGCACGGCCGCCGCGGCCTTCACGGAGCCGCGGCTCGACATCTTCGTGGCCAACGCCGGCATCATGGCCGTCCCCGCCGGCGTGACCGCGGACGGCTTCGAGGTCCAGTTCGGCACCAACCACGTCGGCAACGCGGCGCTGCTGCTGCGGCTGCTGCCCGTGATGCGGCGTACCGCCGAGCAGCCCGGCTCCGACGTGCGCTTCGTCGCGCTGACGTCGCTGGGCTACCGCGGGCACCCGCGCGGCGGCGTCGACTTTGCGACGCTGCGCAGTCCGCAGGAGGACATGGCGCTGGGCGCGTGGGGCCGGTACGCGCAGAGCAAGCTGGCGAATATCGTCTTCGCGCGCGAGCTGGCGCGCCGCGAGCCGCGCATCACGAGCGTCGCGGTGCACCCGGGCGTCGTGGCCACGGAGCTGGTGTCGACGCTGGGCTTCTGGAACCGCGCGCTGGTGTACGTGACGAACCCGCGCGGCCTGATGACGCCCGAGCAGGGCGGCTGCAACACGGCGTGGGCGGCCGCGGGCAAGGGCGTCAGGGAGAAGATGGCTGCTGGGAGGGTGGCCTTCTTCGAGCCGGTTGGGAAGCCGAGTGAGGGCGGTGCGGCGTGTTGGGATGATGCGTTGGCGAAGGAGTTGTGGGAGTGGACGGAGAAGGAGGTTGGGCTGTAGGTGTTTAGATATGATCTTGTGGGTAACTTGGCTGGGTTAATAACCGTCACGTTGTGGTTGAGCTGGTTGGCGATGGTGTTTATACATCCTGTGTCAGTTGTCTGTCAGATTCAACTTGTTCGATAATCGATAATCCTGCTTCACATTAGTTCTCTCCTCACAACACATCTCAAAACTGGGATGAGAAAACACAGGATAGATGTTGTAAGCCTTTCTCTTCATCTTCCTCTGCTTGGTTTCGGGAGCCTCAGCGCAACCACCAGTGTCAAATACATATATACACACACGCAAAACAAAAGAGAAGTCCCATTCTCTTGTCATCCCCAGCGTCCACGCCTCACATCCCATGCCAACCCGTTTTTTGCCCAATCTGTCTAGTTGGTCGTGGGAGGAGGGGTGACGGCAAAGGTCGGTTTCACAAAGCTGTGGACAAATACATCAGCACAAACACATACAGCGAAGAAGAGGACATCCGTAAAAAACTCACCGGTCAGTGTGGTACACCTTGGCGTTCTCGCCGAGCAGCTCCTTCTCGCGCTTCTGGTCGGCCCAGTACCGGCGGACCTGGTCGCGGTCCTCCTCGGCCTGGAGCAGCGGGATCAGGTTGATGCGCGCCCACATCTTCTCGCGGCCGAGCTCGTTGGCCTCGCGCATGCCGTGGACGAGTCTGTACCAGCCGTAGCTCATGATGGCGCCCATGCCGAGCAGCATGATGCCGGGGCGGAAACCCTTGGCGGGGAGGTTGCGCTGTTGAGGAGGTTAGTTGGGTGGTGGTTTGGGGTGTTTTGTAGCCAATTGGTCCATGTTGTCCAGGTTCGACCTTCTCTGCCAGTGTATTCCATCTCTTCCTCTTCCTTTTCCCTTCTTCTCTTCCGTCATCCCTCCTTCTCTTCCGTCATCCCTCTTTACCGGCTCGGCTAGGAGGACAGAGGCTCTCGCGAGTCCCACGGCCCATACCATTCTCCCCATTGCTCCGCCTCCACTCAATCAAACCACCCACTTCTCCTAAAAACGCACCTTGTACTGGACGGGCTCGTACCCGCCCCGGGGGGGCATATCCTGGGCCATGATGGGCAATCTGTTTGGGGTTGGTTCGAGGAATTGGCCGGGGCTCAATTGCGTCACGGCGACGTCGAAAAAGGTTCGTCTGGCTACCCTGGACCCTCCGTCGGTCGTCGATTCGGGGCACAATGGGCGGTCGGGCGGTTTGTCGAGAGCGATTGTTTCGACGAGCGTGAGGTGATTGTTTTGCGAGGCTCGATTGATGATTCCCCAATCGCCAGAACGGCTTTCCGGATTACGTAAGGTGGGAATTGTGGAGCGGAAAGCTGAAGGGCGGCCGGGGGTAGAACCGGGGGGTTGACTTACCCTAGAGCGAGGGTGGGTTTGGGAGCCAGTAGATTCGCACGGATTACGAAGGGAGCGTTGGCGCGGGTGAAGCTATTCCCAGGTGTGTGTTGGGCGATGCTGCAGACGTGACTGGAACATGGTGATGGAAATGGAAGTGAATGTGGTCCGAATACGGTTAGACTCTTGTTTTTTGTTCCGCAACTGGTAGTTGTTTTGCTCGGCAGAGGACAATGAAGGGTTGATGCTCGAGGAAACGAGCTTGCCTATTGTAAGTGTGAGCGTTGTGTTGACTGTTGAACGAGGTTGTTGGCAATGAACCCACGTCTCCATTGGTAGCCATTCATCCTAATTAGTACATTGTTTGCTTGAATAACCGAGAACAATGGCTGTTGAGCATGTTAGTCAGGCGTTGCTCAACCTCTGTTTGCGCGCGTTCTCACATCCATCTCAGGTGAACAACTGGTGAGCAGCACCCAAAGATATTTAAACAACCGCTCTTCAACACTGCCATGAACACATATTCTTCCCTCTCCAACTCCTCTGGAGTGGTCAAACACCATCCCATTCCTCGTCCAAACTCTCTTGGCATCACCAAACACTCATCTACTTTCTCGTCTCCCTTGGGGGATCACCCTTGATCATGGCGCCTCGTACCAACAACGGGCAGCCGTCTGATGCCAGCAACGGGCAGCCAGCTACCGATACTGGGCAGTCTGTTGCCAACACCGGACAGCCATCTGTCACCAACGCCGAACAGCCATCTGGCACCAACAACGGGCAGCCTGCTCCCAGCGCCGGGCAGCCCTCTGTCGCCAACAACGGACAGCCTGCCATCGCCAACACCGGGCAGCCTGCTACCACCACCGCGCAGCCGCCTGTTATTGTCAACGGGCTGCCGCCACACCGACAGCGGAATCAACAGCGACAGCGCCAGCAACAGCGACAGCTCCAACCCTCTCCGCAGCTCACCTACCCCACCAACAAAAGCCCCATCGTCCCCGGCTCGGCCCAGCTCGACGCCGACTGGATCGCGGCCTCGCGCGCCTACGACGTCTTCAACATGGCGCTCCCGGCCGTCAACACGCCCGGCTACATGGAGACCTGGTCGGCCAAGTGCAACCACATGCAGGCCAACTTCTGGGCCGCCCTCGACCGCGCCAACCGCGCCAGCCGCCCTCCCCGCGGCGACCGCGGCGACCCCGAGGCCCGTCGCTGCTGGCACTATCACGACATGCGCGCCATGGTGACCTGGTTCCGCCGCTGCTTCGGCAAGCCGCAGCCGGAGGACGACCCAGCCGCCCACGCCGACGGCATCTGGCGCGACGTGCTCCTGTCATCTCCTTGGTTTGACTGTCCCGACTTCATGGACCTGCTGTGGGAGGTTGCCCGCGACCGCAACGGCAACATGGTGCTCAACCACCTCGGCCAGGGCATGGTCGTGGAGCGGGATCCTCGCAAGGCCGAGCTGGAGGAGCAGTTCCTCGACCGCTGGTGGTTCCGCGTTGCGCGACTGCCCGTTCGACGCTGGCCCACTGGCGATGTTGTCATGCCCCTCAACGCGGGAGACTTCTTCCGCATCTATGGGCCGTGGGCTAGCCTGTGGCCTCATGTGCGTGATCCCGATCTGCTCTACATCGACTAGACGGATCCTTCATGATGCTAAACCGGATCGAGTTGAGTCGAGAAGGAACCGACAGAGTTGAATCGACAACAACAAAAAAAGATCAAGTTGAGTCGACAACAACGGAGACGAACGAGTTGAGTCGACAACAGCAACAGAGAGAGTTGAGAATTTCGGTGGGGGTTTAAAGCGGGCTGGTGGATGATGGAACGTGGACGGAATTGATAGACATCTCCCCTTAAAGACTTGCTGCCCCCCCATAACGTAACTTGCCATTCGTATCCAGTGACGAGTCGTAGTCGGAGTGAACCTATTGTCATGTAAGATTCCATCCAGTCATGAGTAGATACACACCAATTGCCATGCCCTCTACCACGTCAAGCTAAACATGCACCACCACCAATAATACACCAAAGCACCTCGATGCCCTGGGCTCTGGAAATGCATTCTCTATCATGGCTCTAACGTGTCAGCGTCTATGTCCGTGTCTCATCTCATCACACAACCCAAAAGTCGAGTCTGAAGTCACCCATCCAACCGACGTCCAGACTCCCAACATTACAATCCAAATGATGCGTTTGCGTCGTAGACCAGCACCAAATCTCCCGGTTTCCCTTCTTTGCCCGTGAATTATGTCGCCACATCCGACGTCTCCAGCACCTGGCTTCCCGGCGCCTTCTCACTGGGACCCGTCAACCCGTCACTCAGCTTCTTGGTGACGTGGTCAGGGTCTGGCTCGTCTCTCCCAACAAATGTCCAACTCTCTTCCGTTTCGTCGTCCTCAACAGCTTCGTTCTGGCTGTTCTTGCCGGCCCTTCGCTTGATCAGACTCTTCGCGTACTCTAGATCCCGATATATGCATTGGATCGCCGTGTCAACACCAGTCTCCTGCATAGGCATTAGCTCATTATTCCAAACAGACAAGGTCAAGGTCAGACTTACACTGCGAATCTGCTCGCCAAGGACCCGTGCCTTGACAATCATTCGCTCATTCCGAGTCACCTCCCACAGTGCTCGCCCAAAGCTATTGGTTCCCCACTTCTTGACCCAGACACCGACTCCAAGATCCTCCACTCTGCTGGCAAAGAAGAACTGATCTCCAAAGAAGGGTCGGATGATTGTAGGAATTCCCGCTCGCAAGCTAGCTCCAGTGGTACCTGAACCACCGTGGTGAGCAGCTGCGTCAATCTGCCGGAAGAGCCAGTCGTGCGGTGCCGACTTGATGACGTGGATATCCGCTGGCATCTTGGGCTCTTCAGGCCGGGCCTTGTTCGGGTCATCCTTGGGAGAGATTCGGTCAGACCAGCCCTTGGAGAGAATGCATCGGACGTCGGCTTTCTGCACGGCGTCGATGACCTCTTGCGTCATCTTGGCAGGATCGTTGACGATGATGGATCCAAACCCGACATAAACTAGCTTCTTGCCGTCTGCTCTCGCCTTGTCGATGAAGTCCTGGAGCTCCTTGGGCGGTTCCCACTCACCACCCTCGTCCAGGAACCAGTATCCAGTGACCCTGATCCAATCCGAAAAGTCCAGAGGAGGCGCCACAACGCTGGGGCTAAAGTTGTACAGGAATGGGACCTTGTTCGGCTGCATCTTCTCCAGGCTCGTGTTGGGCAGGCCAAGGGTATTGTTTCTCCATCGGTTAACCTGGTATGCCGTGGCCTTCCAGAAGATATTGTCAAACATGACATAGGTCATGTAGTTGTATGCGCCTCCCATCTTGTGCTCCGGCATGATGAAGGCGTGGGGATACGCTCGGGTACGCGTCCATGGCATTGTAAATGCCCGGAAGTAAGGGATGCCCAACTTCTCCGCAATGTGAATACCAGCCATCGCCGACGGAGACTCGATGAGCATCTCTGAGCCCTCGCAGGCTTTGAATGCCGAGTCGAGCAGATCATCGAGCCATCCTCGGAAAGTCGAGTTTGCTTCGCGAAGGAAAGACCACGTGAATGTCCCGTTCTCGATACACAAGCGCATCAGCTCGCCAGGGTCACCCTCAACCCGGGCAAATTCGATGCCATGGGACTCGATCCAGTCCTGGAACTCGGCATGGGTGGCGATGCGAGGCTTGTGGCCCTCGGCGAGGAGGCCTTTGCATAGCGCAATGTAGGGTTGAACGTCTCCTCTGGATCCGATTGTCAGACATGTAATCTTCATCGGGCTCTGCGGCTTAAAGGCCAGAGCCGAGCAGTTCGGGTCGTCGAACAGGATGGTTGGCGCGTTGGGGATTCCTGATGTCTTGTGAGGAAGTTCCAGCTCGTGGTCTGGAAACTCATCCTGTCGAACCGACTTCAGCGCGTCGCGTTCTGCTATGTAGGAATCCTCCTCCTCCTGCTCCTCTTGGTCAAGCATTCCAGACTTTTCGAGATATTTAGTCGTTTCCAAGCTCTGGAGGAGCGTGATTGCGCAGTCGTCTCGAATCTCAGCTTTGTTGAATTCGAAGAACAACTCTTCATGCCCTCGAATGACTACAACTAGACCAGAGTAGCCGAACCGGAAACCCTTCTCCTTATGAACAGTTTCGATGTCCTTGAGAGGGAGAATGAGCTTCGTCCTCGTTCCTGGAAGCAAGCTTCGGAAGCAGAAGGACCGGTCGCTGATGTAGAACTTGCCATACAGGGGCAGCACACGCAGGATGTGGCCGAAGTATGTGGCTTGGAGCTTTTCCGTCTCAGGCAGAGCGAAGTGAGCACGGAAGCGGTCCATCGAGACTTGAACCTTGCCATCGGCGTCCTCCTCGAGATCATCGTCATCCGTTCTGAGGCCTGCAGGCTCGTCGTAGTGCCTGTGGCCACCCTTCCACATGCCCGACACCTTCTCCACGTATCCCATTGACTCTGTAGCAAAAAGTGAGCCCATGCGTACACTTGTCTTGCTCAGATACTCGGCAAAAGCATTCGCCCGTTGAAGGGGATAGGCGCCCATCTTGGTAATGTTCTGTAGGGTGGGAGTCCCTGGGCGCTGAGCATCGAAGCTGTCACGCTGTGTGCTGTCACGCTGCGTGCTTTGCATGGACCCAGTTGTCGCAGCATGTGCTACGGGATGCGGGACGAAATTTGACGACGAATTCCGGGGTGTCTGCTTCTTGGCCCCAGAACCTACCGTTCTGCTAGCCGACGCCGATCTGCGCATTGTTGGGCTGTGGAAGACCTCGCTCCCTCTGAGGATCTGGCTTGCCGAAGGGTCCTCGTTGGAAGAGCTGGCCAGGTTGGAAGATGCAGCCAGATTTGAGATGCTTGGATCATCAGTGGATGACTGAGCGAACGAGTCCGTAGAGTCTTGCTCTTGCTTTGGCGTTCGATTTCCATCTCGATGTTGGCGGCGTGTTCCACTGAAACTCCTCCTCGGGCTTTGCTCTCTGATGAGACTGGACACGTCGAGACTCCTGCGCCCTAGTTGCCTGAATGCATCTAGGCTGGCCCGGTATGGCATTTCGGAACTAGCTCGGGGGCTCATTTGGCCAGGCGATTGGGGAGACATGGGAGATAGAGTGGCCTTGACTTGCCCAGGCAACCTTCCTGTGCGAATCTTGTCCACATGGATGCTGTGCCTGTTTGAAGTCGGCGGTGTTCGTCTTGAGGGCGGCTGCAACGAAACTCTGTCTTCCGGAGTTGCGAGAACCTTTTCCGCGTTGCGGTTTCCAGCGGAAGCATCTTCAATGAGGATCTTGAGGACATTGATGGCTTCCTTGCCAAAGCTGAAGAAGGAAAAGAAATACTGTGATAGTTAGTCATGGCCAAAGTAAGTGGTTGCTGGATAGGAGAAACATACCTCATCGATGGCATATGTCTCGTCATTATCAATGACACGAATCTTACAGGTATCCGCAAACTGGATCATCTGGGTATCTTCGATATCAATGACGTTCTCAATGGGCAGAGAGATCTTAACGCTGTCGCCATCGTTATGGCTCCGGAAGATGACGCGCTGTAGGCTCTTGACCCACTCCTTGGCACTAGGAGCACTGTCGGCCTTGAAGTTGTACGTTCGGTGATGGGTCACGACGGAAAAGTGCACACCGTCCTTGTCTTTGTCGGTGATGTTTGCTGAGATACCATACCGGAGATCGATTTGGCCGTGTGGGAAGTAGAGGTTGGTGGAGTCGCGGTAGTAAGCCAATACGTCGCCCTTGAGTCGAAACCAGTAGCGGTTGTACTTGGGGTTTCGCTTTCCAGTCTTGGTGAGATATCCAGACTTGGCAACATCATGCTGTTGACTGGTAAGTAGGATTCCACAAAGGTTAGATGAACAACATACAGCTTTCTTGGGGAGGTAGGCATAGAAGCAAATATGCTTGGACGTGATGTACATGTAGCCTTGGAGAAGGACGCTCTGCAACAGCCAGCAAGGATACTCTGAGGTATGTTAGTGATCATGAGCGAAGCCTGGAAGAGAATAGAATCCACGAACCTTCGATGACTTGCTCTGGCTCGTCAAATTCGAAGATCTCCATCAACTTCTTGGCCAGTGGAGGGAGGTCGACGCTCTGGCTCTGGCTGCTGACATCAGAGGAGAGCCTCTCGACGTCAAAGCTCGGCCGGTTGACCATCTCAGCCTTGGCTTCAAGCATCCGGCTCATCATAGGCGCCTGCCGGCTATCATGGCGGGTCAGTGTGAAGGTGGGAGGCGTTGATGCACTACTCGTGCTGGCCTCGCTCGACTCCTCGGCTTCCTCCTTTGGCGCTGATAGGCGGCTTGAGTGTCGCTTTGACTTGGGGAGAAGTTTTGGCAAGGTAGGTAAGGAGCGCAAGAGCTTGTGATCAGAGAACTTCTTGCGGCGACTACCTTTTTCTTTGGAGGACACCTTGAGGACCGAGGTCTTAGCAAGGTCATCTGCCCGGGTATCCCGCCGAGTGGTCCCGTGGCCCTCCTCCTCGTCACTGCTGATGCCGTCGAAACGGTCATTAAAGTCGACGCGGGACCCGGCAGCAGCAATAAGGCCAAAAATGCTCTGGTTCATGTTCATAAACATGGGCGGCCCTTGGCTCGGGGCATCCTGTTCCTCGGCCGAGTCGTCGCTGTCTCGTAGGGGCTCCGGAAACACCGTGGCCGTGCGCTCTTCGCGCCGCTTCTTGTGAAGCTTCTTGCTCACGCGCTTTCTCATATCATCGTCACCGATACTGGCCCGCGAGGGACCGGCGTCTGATTGAGGAGGCATGGCTGTGAAGATCGGATCGGGCCGGGCGAGGAGGGTGACGAAGGAGCGCGGGGGCGAGCGTCAAGCAAACGGCAGTGTCGGGACGAACGGGACCGGATTATCGGGGAATTGTGGGCGTCGCTATGAGGAGAATATCGAAGAGATGAGACGTGCGCAGAGAGAAACGAGGGGCCGCTGTTCGTGATTGATTTGCGCCGTGAAGCAACGTCCGCAATCGCTGAGACCAAACAAAACTATCGTGAAGGAGTCGCCGGATTGGACATGGGATGCCGACCCGCTGGGGTGGACCCTGTTGGATTGCAGTCTCCCGAGGGAGAGATGGCACAGGCTCGGAGCGAGGCCAGGGAGATCGTCGATGCGAGACGTAGAGAGAGTGATGTTGTCGGAGCGAGAACGACGACGAAGATCGCATAGACGCCGCTGTTGGGACTCGGGATGAGGTAACCTAAGGTATTACCTGATTCGGCGATAGATAGTGGAGGGCGCTCGAGGCCAGGGCGCATTCAGCCTGTCCTTCAGTGGACTGCTATTAGGCAACTTAGGGACTTGGGTGCCTACAGCTCAGCGCGTGCGGCGGGGGACGCGCGAGTCCAGCGGGCCTGTAGTGGATGTCACAGCGGAGTGGAGCGCCAGCTACCAGGGAGGTGTCACTGAGCCGGTCCCTTGTGGCTTGTGCTTGTGGAGCAAGCGCCGGCCATGATTGGCAGGCTGCTTGTCGATAATGCAATGACGCCAGCGGGGCGCTGACCCGGTCTGCCTGGCTGTCACTCTTGACCACCACCATCACATGCAACCCGTTGTTCGCAGGTCAGAGGACCCGAGATAAGAAGGGCTCAGGGGGATTTCCCGTCTTTGTCGTCGTTTGGAGGGACGTGATGGACTGATCATCTGGTCCCGCCGCTTCCGAGGCGTATGAATCCCCTCTAGCTACTTTGGATGCATTTGGGGGACTGCTGGGAGTGATCAGATCACGGCGAGTGAGTGTGTGTGCGTGAGAAGCATCGAGTCAGCTTCAGTCCGAAACCACAACGGTAGCATTAGTTTGTACAGGGATATCTGCATGTCGTGTCTTGGCATGCCGCAGCTCGCTTCCGGCGCAGCCTCGCTTTCGGTCCTAGCCTTTTGGTTGCTCTCGAGGCAACAGTGCCATTTCCCGCCGTTCGACATAATTCAACGAAACATTCCATCCATTCGTACCGTTACAAGACATCCAACTCCCGTAGGACATCAAAGCCAGCCAGCCATCTATCCATATACATGTACACATCCACTCTTTGTCAGATCCGCCGGACTGGGCTACTGCCAGAGGCACAACTTTCCACTAGCAGTGGCCCCCGCGACCCAGTCCAATGTGGGATGGAAATGAGCTACGGCTGGCACTGCTGAGATACCATCACCATCCAACTGGGCAAGTTGACTGCCATCTGAGGCAAACACATCGACAAACCGATTCATGTTTCCGATAACGAATTTCTGAATTCCGTCGTTCGGCCTCCTCTGCCACTGCGGCTTGAGGATCGTCACCCAGCGTCCCGTCTGGTTATTATGTCGAACAGTGTGGCTGGGCGTCATCGCTTTTGAGTCAATGTCCTTCCCAGTTTTCCAGCTTCCCGCTTCTGAAAAGTCATAGATCTTGATCGTGTCATCATATGAAGACGTGGCAATGTGTCCACCAGGACTCCATGAGGCATGCGACACTGACAAGCGCGACCCGTGCTCCCCAATAAGGGCAGGGTGTCTCAAGTCCCCCTTTCCAGTGATCTTTCGTAGATCCCAGATTTTGAGAGTCCGGTCCAAAGATGCGGTAGCAACCAGGTGAGGCTGTAGGGGATGGAGCGAGAAACCTCCTATCTTCTGCTCTGAAAGGGTCCAAATTTCCGCATCATCACCAGGTGTCCTCATATCGTAACGGCCGACGCCACCATCTAGAGTGGAAAAGAAGAGCAGATTCGGCTCCGAATCTGCCATGTCCAGTGCCGAGATGGGCAACTCGTCGTTTGCGTCTGACGGAGCATACATTTGGATAGAAGTCTCTTTCTCTAGATCCATTTTTCGAATTGATGAATCATATGACGCCGAATAAACGCTGTTCGTGTCGTGTTGGGAAAACACAAACGACGTAATTGTGCGGGAATGCGTCTTGAAAGCTGAGATGTTGGGGTCCGGGATACGGGCGTCATCGTCATCATCGTCAACTTCTGGAGCTGTCTGAGATGCATCGAAAACACCCATCGCGCCTTCTTTATCTCCTGCGAAAATGATGGGCTTGGATTCGGTGGGGTGAAATCCAAGGGCATAAGCCCGTTGGGGCGTGATCTTGATTTCTGGGTATGCCTGTTAGAATCATGATTGCGACAAGGGCTTCAAGAAATTTACCGTTAGGCGCCCAATGCTCGTATAACTTGAGTCCTCCCATCCGCAACCTCAAGTCTTTGAGTCCTTTGTCCGTCGTTTCGGTCAAGTCGTCTTCCGTGAAAGTCCTCACACCGGGTTGCGCGCCTCGGATAATGCCTTTAAGACCTCCAATTCCTGCCACCCACTTCTTCCCGTCCACAGTTATGTCGCCGAGGTTGAGGTCACCGCTGACCCTCATCTTTTTCGCTTTGGCCTGCTCTGCTGCCGTCTCTTCCTCGACTTTCATTTTTCTTTTGAGGGTTTCGTTGTCGGCGTCGAGACCAGCGAGTCGGGAGCTCATTCTGGTTGGCCGTGAGCTTTCCCGCTTCACGGGAGTGCTTCGAGTCCTACTCTTGGCTCTCGTTGGTGTCGATTTAGGTGTCGTTTTAGGCGTCATCTTCTTGGCCACAGCGGCGGCGTTATTCAAAAGCGCCTGGTTAGTCGCTATATTCTCCAGCCGACGACGCTCGAAGGCGCTCATCGGCGCGCCATCCCTTTGGGGTGGCATTGCGACTTTGGTTCTGTTGCTTGCTAGAACCAGGTTGAGAAAAGGGAGTACAATGAAACAGAAGTTTAGCAACAGGAAGGAATCCTCGAAGTAGAGGGATTTGTTGCCAAACTGGTGGATTGAAGACCAAGTCCGCGTTGAGAATTGAGAGAAACAGGCAGAGATCGCGACTGCGCCAAGGGTGTGATGCACGGTGCAGAGGGAGCGCGACTTGGATTAATTGCTTTGGCGCGAAGTCACGCGCTCGTGACCAGGCACGCGTTTCAATTCCGAAGATTACCCGCCGGCACCCTTGTCCATTTTGGTTCAATTTTCGAGATCTAGATCAAGAAGCTGAGCAAGTCTTGCGGATGAGACAAGACAACAAGAATCTAGAAGCAATCAATTGATTGCACTTGGAAAAATGCCTCCTAATTTATTTCCCTTTCTTTACCGGACCCGGACTCTGCAACGGGCTTGCAGACGTCCCACTTCATTTTTCCTCGTTCAACGAGCTTCCCTTGCTACTCGACCCAAGGATTCCAACCCAAACCCCAACAGGGCCGACAGTTCTATTCCCTTTGAATGGGACAATGAGGAGCACGCCAAGGGCCATGAATCTACCCTCGCAGCTGAGGCGAAGCCCTCGACAATCACCCCAAGTGAAGTGGATATCTTCAAAGGCATCTTTGATGAGATTGCTCAAGGCCGCATGCCAAAGCCGAAGAGACGGCCTGAGTTTCCCGATACAAGGGCGAATCGGTTCCCACCAAGTTTGATAGATGGTGCCGACTCTGACGCATCGGGTGACCAGCCGATGGCCAGCTCTATCGTCGACCAAGCTCGTGGCAGTGAATTCAGCGACCAGTTCCTGCAGCGCTACCCTCAGTCCCTGCGGACCGCCGCTGAAGTGGCTCTGGGCAAGTTTGAGCTGGCGCCGAAACGCCCACGACTCAGCGACATGATTGGGTTGGATGAGGCAGAAGCCAAGCAGATGGCCGAGTGGAAGCGCTATGGCGAGATCCGCAACCAGGAGAAGGAGAGAGTGGATGCGTTGATGACGGCCTGCCGGAGCGATATCGAGCTGTGGCACGTCATGGAGAAGGAAGTATTTTCTCTGCCGGAGAAACTTGGTATTGCTCAGGTTGCTGAGGTGAAGTCGGCAATTAGTCGGGGGAGGAAACCGAAGAAGCAGACTGCGAAGGAAGCCAGCACGGAACAGCCCGAGAAGCCGGCCACGAAACGGGGGAAGAAGTCGAAGAAGCAGGCCAGCACTGAACAGCCAGAGCCAGTAGCGGTGCCCGATAGTGAAGAGCCCGGCACCATGATTATGGACGTCCATGGACCTCTTTACCCTCACTACCTTGCCACTGGGCTTGGTCTTTTCGACACGGCCTTCGCCCAGCCGTCGCCCCTGGCATTCAACATCCTCCCTCGCATCAGGTCGCTTGGCCTACCCTCCTACGTGCTGGGAATCTCTACGCCCCTGTTCCATAAGCTTGCCCAAATCCACTGGAACCGCTACGGCGATCTTGTCTCTGCTGTTGAGACCATGGAGGAGATGAGGTCGGTCGGGCTCTATTCTGACCCCGACATCGAAACCCTTCTCACGCAAATCCGCGAACAACTCCATGGTTGCGCTTGGGGTGCGCAGGGTCGCTTCGTCATGGCAATGACCGAGCTGCCTCCCTACGACAGCAGCCTGGACAACCGACTGGAGGAGCTCGCCAACTACACCATCTTCTCATTCAAGCAGCAGGGTCTTCAGATACACCAACGACAGGAGGATGAGATGGAGCTGGACCTGGGACTTGAGGAAGACGAGGGTGAGGGTGAGGGCGAGGGCGAGGACGACAGGAAGCAACACTCTTACTGAGAGTATCGGGAGAGATGTACGACTGGATGAAGAACTTTGTAACACTGATGTATCACCACAAAAAGGAATTGGGTCGGAGTTTAAGGGAGAACTACGTGTAAATCACCACTGGCTGTGGCCAAACTGTATTCTAGATAGACCTGTATGAAACCCAAAGACGACACGCTGGTATTTAATTACTCTCGCTGTTCAACCTCATTGTATTCGGCGCTCGCGAGATTGAGTTGTTCAGTGGACCTGGTGTAGGCTCGTGGAACTAAGATCGGATGGGACAAACTGACATGCGACCATCTCGTTTTTTGTATTGCAAGACCTAATTCCAAGACAATTGCCCTGATGCCAATATGTAGCTTCTAACAGAGCTGATGTCGACGTTCTTCGATCCCCATGAACACTAGAGTTATTATTAGATGTGAAGAAGACAACAACAAGAACAAGCCTCGTGTAAAATGTTATGGACTCTTTCATGCATGTGGAGCAGGCCTAGAGAACAGGCTGAGCGGCGCAAGATCTGGAACGGAGAGGTGTGCTCAAAAAGAGGATGGGTGAAATCCGTCAAATCCCGTTTCTTTTACCATGTCATAGGGAATTTACATAAAGCCGTGATTGCATCCAGACAGTATGTAGTCATTGTTTTGTCGTTCGTACTCCGTGTTCGGAAATCCAGCCGGCGAGCTAGTATGGGTCGAAACGCCAGCAAACGGGTGCGGCAGGGAATTCATGATGAACATCTGAATGCTTCCAAGTAAGCCGTTTGCCGGACAAAAATATCATCGGACATAAAGGGAAGAATTTGGGGCTTGCTTAGCTGAGAACCGAGAAGTATAATGAAACTGGATCGTGATTGATGCTTGCGAAGCCATCTGGATCAGTTATCAAGCAGTCCAGACGTCCAAACTCATTAAAGTCAATACTAAGGCCTGAAGACGCATAGGAAAATGAAGAGAGAGGAGTCTGTGTTTGATCATCGGCTTTCAGTGGAACAGAAGCAATCCCCTTCTCCACAACCCTTGGTGGATGGCAACTACCACGGCTCACGGCTTTGCCATTGCTACGCCTCAACCCAAAGTTCCATGCATCCAAGAAGCAGTCCTATGTTTGACCTTGTCCTCCCAACCTGTCTACGCGTACAGGCCTCCAACGTGGGGAAGGGATGCTGACAAGCCGAAGTCCCCTCCCCCAAAATAGGGCAAAAATCATCCTAAAGCCCGCTTAGCGAGGCTTCGCTGGCCTTGCTCGGCGGACGTTAATGGCTGTATTTGGGTCCTCGGCCAACAGGCAGTCTTCCCTTAGATGGTAGACGGCCGAAGACTTCCGGCTTGGCAGGATTCCTACGAAGCGGAATAGCATCTGGCGTGTAGGTCGCTTGATGCCTTGATCAGCCGCGGCGAGCTATAGCTAGAGATGACAGAGGCGCTTACTGTATGCCGCCAGTGGGGAAGATCCTCAACATATTTGGACTCAGGCTCTGAGGAGTTGGACCGACGGCAGTGTTCGGTAAGGCCTCCGCGCGGCCGGCCAACATTTTTGGTCAGCAGCACTATTTCCACCGCCACTTACCAGAGAATTCTATCTTCGAGTGCAGAGGGAGTGCGATGGTCAGGCAGACCTTTTGCAAAAATTGCCGAGGTGCTATTCTCGGCAATGCACTTGTGCATTAATTGCAAATGCTGGGATTCGCAAGTCCACGCCCGATCAGATTCCCCCGACGCAGAGTCAGGTTGGGGGCGGATGAGTCGTGAGCTAACAGTTCTGCCTAGAATGAAGTGGTATTGGTCAAGGCAAAATTCAGCTGGAAATCATCTCTGAGATAGGCAGTCTTTGTGATTATGGCTTATGGACAATGCTGAGTGAGAAGCCATTTCGCCGAGGTGACTACTACGTGAGCTCGCCCCAGCTGTCTAAGAAACGTCTTAAGATTGGACGCGATTCATAGTATTTGCAATGCCCAATCCGTTTTTGCCTCGCCGGTCAGCCCGGATCAGATGAGGCGGCGGGGGCGACGAGAAAGTACCAAGCTCGGCACTTGTCGTGCTCAACACCATGGTGGGTTGCCACGCTGCAACGCAGGTCTAGATTATTTTTACAAGACTAATTTTAAAGCTACGAGACAAATATGCAAAAGAACTGACAACGCAGCAGATATCATACCGGCCAGTTATATTACACAATAATACAGCACGTCAATCCCGGCGGTGTGGTATGCGACAGCACGTGGTTGAGGGATCATCCCGGGAGTCGACATGGCCAGGGCTAAAAATACGGCCATCCTAATCCCATTCTAGATGAAAACGGTCGGCCGCTTCGGCTGCTAGACTGGCAGTTCCCCAGATTTAGAGATCGCGTCGTCCATGCACAGCGCTTTCGGGGGCGCAGCAGGTTGGGGGCTAGTCTTAGCCACGCTGACAGAGACACCAAAATTTCTTGCCTCTTCCACGGAGTAAGCGACTACGGCAGGCGGGCCCAATCGCGGAGCTATAGCAGGTGAGCTTTGTCGTGGGGCGGAGGGGCTGACTTGGGCTCGGAGAAGTACTGCTCCGGAGAGAGCTCCCTTGTCGTGGCGGCTTAGGACGTCGATGAGATGAGCAGGGCAGGGCCGAAGCCTCAAGCGAAGGATCGCGGAATGGTTGCAACCCGGAGGCGAGTGTGTTGGGTGATCCATCAATAGAGCTTCACTCGAGGATCACCATGTTCAATTATCTATATAATGTGACGGTAGGCCATCTCAAACGGAATTCTCATCATCACCATCACAACAATCAACAGCCTCACATTGCAACCAACACTCTCCTCTTCAATATCATCTCAACCTCCCAACATCAGCATCTACCCAAAGAGATTCAAAATGTTCTCCTTCAAGGCCCTCACTGCCGCCGCTCTCCTCCTGGCTGCCAGCGTTTCCGCTGCGCCTACTCCTACCACCTACGATTACCCCGATGGCACTGTTGAGCTCACCGGAGTCACCCACTCGGTCGTTGCCGGCCTGGGCGGTCTCCGTTTCGACCCCGACAACGTTGTCGCTGAGATTGGTGACATTGTCGAGTGGCACTTCCTCAAGGTGAACCATTCTATCGCCGAGTCCAGCTTCGCCGAGCCCTGCAAGCCCCTTGCCGACGGCACCGGCTTCTTCTCCGGCTTCAACTTCTTCATCCAGGACGGTCAGGCTCCCGACGTCTTCCAGATCGTTGTCGTCGACAAGCTTCCCATTTGGTACTACTGCCCCCAGACCAAGGGAAACCACTGCCAGAGCGGCATGGCTGGTGTCATCAACCAGAACTTCGACAACCAGGACTTCAGCCTGCGCCGCTACAAGGAAGTCGCTGCTACTACTGGTGTCTCCATCGTTCCTCCTTACCAGCAGGGCGGTGCTGTCATCCCCAACCCCAACCCCAACGGCGGCTTCTAAGCAACCAATTGGTTCTTGGATCGAGAGGCGGATACAAGCAGACGGGGCACTTTCCTTTAATCACGGCATGGCAATGCAAATAGATGCATGGATGGGATCAGGGATTTGGAATTGCATTTTGGGGCGTGCTTAACTGGGTTTTCTATTCTTGATACATTCCTTACACTTCATAGTACATAGTACTATTTGTTCTTCAAGCAATTGAAGATAAATTGATCGCGATTCAATGAATTGTCTCTTGCTCTGAGTGCCTCATAATGCCAACAAGTTCGGCCGATACGATGGAGGAGAAAACTGAGGAATGACCACGCACAGAATTAATTTAATTAAGCCGATATTATTGCGTAAAGAATTTCTTTCTAGATGGTTTCAAGAATTAGATACAGAACAATCCTGGCCTTCTGGAAGCCGCACCAAGTAGCGGGGCACCACTACGGCACGGCGGGGCATGTGACAGTTCGCCAATCGCCTCTATCCTCACTTCGTCTCAATATGACGCCGCGTTCTATTTACTCAATCCACCAACCACAACGAAAGACACTCAGATCTGTGGCACGCTTCCTGAACACCGCTTTCTGATTTCGCGGGGAGAGTTAGCACTACAGCCTGAAGCTACTCCTTTGTTGACAGAATGGCAGAGGACTCAAGCCCTTCTGAGGATGGAGGCTTACCAATGCCCTACTCATGCTACGAGTGCCGCAGTCGCAAGTTGAAGTGCGATCGCCTGAAGCAGGGATGTACTCGGTGCGCTCAAACAGGGTCAAAGTGCCACTATCCTACTTCACGGAAGCCGCCTGTCATCACCGTAACAAGACCCAAGGTGAAGGAGTTGGAATCTCGATTGAGTACGTGTGTGCAGTTCTACCGACACATCCGATGCTGTCGCGATCGCGACATGGCGCCCGGTGATGGAAGTAGAGGCTAATCATAGCCATAGAGGACCTGGAATATCGATTGAAAAACAGCTCAGACAATGCGTCTTCGTCCTCGCAGCATTCTCTGGCGTCGTTTGAGAATGACCTAATTGAGACCGGCCGATTCGAACAACTGCCTCCCCAGGCTGTTGTAGAGGAATTGTATGTTTTCCGTTTGGAAAAGTATTCATGAGCTGAGTATTGAAAGGACAAACGTCTACTTTACAAACATTAGCAACGATCTATCGATGCTGCATCCATCGCGATACCTTGCGTCTCTCTACCTCCCCCCTCACATGCAGCCTCCAATGTGCCTCCAGTACGCCGTCATGGCCTTGGCAGCGACGTTTTGTCCGGTCTACAACCACCTCGCCAATGCTTTCTATCGCCGGGCGCGCTATTACTTTGAAGCCGACCAGATGAAGGTTGGTTGACACAAGTTACTGGCGAATTCTTGCTGACAGGCACAGGGCGAAGGAGAGCATTTTGTCACACTTGCTCACACACAGTGCTGCCTACTTATGGCGCGTTTCGAAGCAACGAATTTATGGTTCTCTCGGTCGTCCATGAATACCTCCAGATGCGTGCGCTTGGCCCAGATTTTAGGCCTGCATCAGCTTGATGGCGAGGGAGGGCTAGGACCGACTCTACCACCCCCCAAAGACTGGTGCGAGCAGGAAGAGCGTCGGCGGACGATGTGGGCTGTCTTCTGCAATGATAGATATACTAGCAGCACCACAGGATGGCCAAGCCTACTGGATGCTCGGCGGGTGAGAAGTGACAGAGCCGGCTTCAGATCATCTACTGACAGCTCCAAAAGATCCAAACGCTGCTCCCTGCATCCGAGGAGGCCTTTCAAGTTTGCATAGAGGAGCCTTCGATTTCTTTGGCCGACGCCCTGAGCCGCAACAATTCAGCATGCTCCATCTATGGCTGCAAGATCCTAGCTGCGCACCTCTTCCACGAATGTCTTGACCACACCTACCAGGTCCATCCTGATCCCGATCCCTCAGACTTCCAGAACAGCGTATTCTGGAAACGCCACCAAGATCTGAATAACGGACTGGCAAGGGCCTTTGTAACCCTCCCAGACAGCCTCCGCACCCCAGGGATCAATAACAATCGCGAGGCGGTAGTCATCAACCTCCAGCTTCACACAGCGACCATCTGCCTCCACCGCATCGGCGTAGCGAGGGCAAACAAGCATAACATTCCAAGAGAAATGTTGTCAGGCACGCAGGTGAGGCTTCTCCCTGCGGCGCACGAGATCTTCAACATTGTGGCCTCTCTTGCGGATGTGAATGCCATGTTCCGAAACCCGATGGTGGCGTTTGCTTCGTACATGGCGGGGTTTGTGTTTCTGGAAGATTTCCTCGACTCTGGAAACCAGCAGAGTGAAACTAAGATGAGTTCGTTGATGGATTTGATGGTGACCATCGGCCATCAGAACACGGTGACTGCGTCGCTGGCGGTTCAGATGGCCCATGCAATGCAGAGGACCGGCATCGATCCCTCGGCCGTGAGCAAGGTATGGGAGTTCCCTGCGTCATAAGTTTTATCTTAACTGATGCTAATGCATTGGGTGATAGGTCACGGGTCTGATGTCGAAGATGATCCTGAAGGGTCCATTAATGGCCAAGCCTAACGAGGCGGCTGGCAGTGTGGTGTTCTGCCCGTTTGAGATGCCAACGGAGCCGGCAGGAGTTCCGGCAGCATACCCAACAAGCGTGTAGGGATGGCTTAGTGGTGATGAATTAAGCCTTCCTGAATGAAGAGAAATACGAGGGATGGATGCTGGTAAATGTGGAGTACCCACTTGAGGTCTTCAACACTCGCTAGATCAACGCAGACCAGGTGGACAACCATCAACAAAACCCGTTCAAAATTGAGCTCACAAATAATGAGCCATAAAATATGTATAAAATGTAAGAAAATATAAGATATCTCCCATTCGCTACTCTGCCCGCGTGTTGCTGCCTGCGACCTTGAACCTGCACACATCTCCACCCAGACTCAGAGCGGGCCCTTACGTAAGCCACATACAGTCATCCAAATGAAAATTCTCGCCGCGTTGAATCCTCTCTTCCTTCTCTCCTCAAGCCATCGCCCTTTTCAACGCTGCGTTTCCATGCTACAAACAGAGAGACGAGCGCAAGCCAGTCTCTCAAGACGCCGATTCGTCGGGGTCGCCTCCTCTTGCATGTGGGAAATTCGGAGTATGCTTCAACGTCGCCTCCCGCCTCGCCACTCCCGCGCAAGGGCCCGTCCCTACGCGGATTTGGCTTGGACGGATAGGTCTGCCAGTAATGGCCTTGCGTCACTCGACGTTTGCAAATGACATCAGAAATCTCAGAGCCTGGGCCGTCTCGTGCATACCCGCAAGGGGAAGACGGGTGCGCGTCCCAGGTCTCTATGGGAAGTCTTTGCGGAGCTTGTTGGGACTACAACTGAAGTGCGATACGCGGCGTCTTGTCTTCTTGGGGCTTGCCTCGGGAGGCAGGATGACTCAATTCCGATCACTCTGTCAAGGGCGATGGCTTCACCTCTTTTCTTCTCAGGTCAGTGCTGCATGGATGTCACTATGAACAAGGATACTACTAACGATTTGGAACTCATCAAGCAAGTAAAAATGTGTCGAGAGGAGTCCAACGTGCCTCGTTTTTATTGTCATTCAGTCATTACTAGTCCTACAGCCCAAGCTTCTGAGAAGCTGCCCGTCCATTGTGATCCCCAACCACGCCCGCCAGTACTGTTGATCCATGCGAATGTCGCGAACCAGAACCAGAACCAGGAACCCCGTCCCTGATCCAACCGTCAACGCCGTTTGTTTGAGTGGAACCGCTGCCCGCCTTTTCGTAAATCATCTCATCATATCTATTGGTCCTTTCTGTCCAAGCCTCTGACAATGGCGTAGCTTGTTCCTGCTGCCAGCATTCCAATGACCAAGGTCTGGAACGCTCCCCAGAGACCGGCGCGGTGGTTCCGGATGGCGACGTAGTTCTTGACGTAGCCGAAGACGAGCAGGACAGCAACAGTGATGCCGATGGAGACCCAAAGAGCCTCGCGCACGCGGTCCATGACAAAGTACGGGATCATGGGGATGAGGCCGCCGATGAAGTAGCTGAGTCCCATGGTGACGGCCGAGATCCATGCCTGGTGGATGTTGGGCTTGTCGAGCTTGAGGTCAAAGTCCATCATGAAGCGCACCCAATGGTCGGGGTTCTTGCACAGCTCATCCACTAGGGGTGTGGCAGCAGTCCGCGATACGTTGTACTTTTCCAGGATGGAGTAGACGCCGTCGCGCTCGGCCTCGGGCATGTTCTGCACCTCGCACGCCTCGCGCTGCTCCTGGTGGTTGTAGTGGTCGCGCTCGGTGACGGCCGCGAGGTACGCGCCCAGGCCCATGCTGATCATGCCGGAGAACAGCTCCGCGAGGCCGGCGATGATGACGACCTTGGCGCTGCCGAGGCTGGAGAGGCCGGCGGTCAGGGCGAAGGGCACGGTGAGGCCGTCTGAGAAGCCGATGATGATGTCGCGGAGCACGTTGCTGTAGTCGATGTGGCACTCCTCGTGCTGGCTCTTCCTGGGGTAGAGGGGGATGTGTTGCTGGTGATGGGCCGTCTCGATGGGAGGTTCGGCGGGGAGGAGGGGTGATGATTCTGAAGGGATATGGGTCATTGCGGCTGTTGTGTTGGTGTTGGTGTTGGTGTTGTTGCGGTTATTGGTGGTGTTGCGGTTGTTGGTGGTGATGTTGGAGGGAGTAAAGTCGAATGAAGTGTAATGGACCATAGAGCTACGGTGTGTGAGATTGTGGTGTGAGTATAAGTATAAGTGTGAATGAGTATCAAGTGTAAGTGAGCATAGTATAGTAGTACATGGCATCTAGGTACAACAAAAACAGCTTCCCCCGGACATCTTTATACGTCTCCCCCAATCTCGGACCTGTCCAAGCCGTCTCCGCCAAATTACCAAAAAAGCGCCCTTGTCCGACAAGTCCGAGGGCGAAACTGCCTACGCCCGTTCTCTGGCCCCTCGAGATTTGGACGCGAACTGCCGTGCTCGCCAATGTCAGCATCCCTCATCCCTGGCGCTGGAGCTCGTGGTGTCTGGCCCTGACCCGCAGCGGGCTCGCTCAGTCGCCGGCTCGGTGTGATGCTGGGGCGCAATTGACCAATCAGCGGCCGTGTTTTAGTCATCCGGTGGTAAACACTCCTTTCCCAGCGGACGCACGGTCGCAGCGAAGAGTCCACAGTTCGTCGTAGCCAAAGACAAAATGCAAACCGCCATGACGAGTCGAGGCTAGCGGGCCAGAGGGCATCGCGGCTATACTGCGTTGGGAGCTCGAGCAGCTGGGAACGAAGTGAAAAAACAGGGGAGAAGCACGGCTACGCGGCGTATTTACGAGGCACACAAAGGCAGCGGCCTGGAGGCTTAGTAAAAGCAGCCGTGGTGGTGGCCGGCTTCACAGCTTGTGGTCTCTCTTCTTGCGCTGGTACAGCGCCACCTCGAGGCCCTGGACGCCGCCGTCGCGCATCACCCGCCGCAGGATCTTGCCGCTGGGCGACTTGGGGATCTGCTTGACGAAGACGATGCCGCCCACGAGCCACTTGTACCGCGCCGTGTGGCTCTCGACGTGCGCCTTGAGCTGCTGCGCGAGGGCATTCAGCTCGGCGTCCGTCTTGCTCGGGTCGCGCGCGACGACGTAGGCCCGCGGCCACTCGGTCGCCTCGCTCTTGTCGTGGACGCCCACCACGCCGGCGTCGGCAACGTCATCGCTGCTGCAGAGGAGCGCCTCTAGCTCTGCGGGGGCGACCTGGTATGCGCGGACCTTGATGAGCTCCTTGATGCGGTCGGTGATGCAGAGCGTGCCGTCGGCGTCGAGCGTGCCGACGTCGCCGGTGCGCAGCCAGCCGTCGTGTGTAAGTGCGTCCATCGTCACGCTCATGTCGGGTGCGGATCCGGCGGCATAGAGGCCTTGGCTGGGGATGTACGCGCTCATGAGGGCCGCGGATCGGATGAGGATCTCGCCAGCTGCGCCAAACGGCGCTGCTTTTGTGGCCACTGTGGTCGCATCCTTGCCGTCGGCCGGGGGGGTTGCATCTGCGTCGGCAGCAATCATGAGCTCGACGCCCCAGTGCGGCCGTCCGGTGTCGTTCTTGTATGCAAGCATCGCCTGCTCGTCCAAGCCGCTCTGCACCGTCACGCTGCACGCCTCAGACATACCGTAGCCCATCCGCACCAGGAATCCCAGTCGCGCGTGCACCTGCACCACAATCTCGTGGCCCAGCGGCGCCCCTCCTGTGACGCCGGCCACGACGCTGCTGAAGGCGTTGCGGCCGTTGGCGTCCCGCCGCAGGTACGGCTCAACGGCCGCCGACTTGGCCAGCATCACGGCCACGGGCGGCGCCATGTGTAGGTATGTGATCTGGCGGCGCGGGATGGCCGCCAGCACGGCGTCGAGCTTGAAGGCGGGCATGGAGTAGACCGTGGCGCCGGCGCAAATGGCGATGAGGAACGAGTTGGACAGGCCAAAGACGTGGTAGAAGGGCACATAGCCCAGCCATCGCTGGCGCCGACCCCCGTAGAAGTCGGCCTCGTGCCAAAGAGAAGCCAAGGAGAAGTTGAGGGCGTTGTGTGACAGGAGGACGCCCTTGGACCGTCCCGATGTGCCGGACGACCATAGAATCACGGCCGTTCGTGTGGAGGCCGCCTCCGGAGCAAACTTGTGTCCGGTCTTCAAGGCCCGGTCCGGAGCGACCAGGCTCCGCCAATCCCCGGCGCCGGATTCGGCCTGGCCCAACGGGTACAGGTCCTGGGCGAGATCAACCGTGTAGATGTGCGTCTCCTTCACATACGCCGGGTCGTCCTGGTTCTCGAGAGCCTGCGTCACGGTCTCGAGGCTCGACTTGAGGGTGATGATGACGTGCGGCCGCGAATTCTTCACCACCCACGCGAGCTCCGTCGCCGTGAGGCCCGGGGACACGAGCGTCGCGGTCAAGCCGGCGGCGAGGGTGCCGAGCAGCGCTGTAGCGAAGGGCAGGCAATTGGGCAACTGGACGAGCACTACGGGGGACACCTCTGGGCGTGCGCAGGAAGGTGTCGGCGGTAGGGACTGGATGGCTTCCGGATCGAGGCCGAGTGCCTGCAGGCTGCCGGCCAGCGCGAGGGCGTCATTCCTGAGGCGGGAGTATGTGAGGGCGCGATCTGGGTTATATCACTTTAGCATATTGGGGCTTGACGGGGTACCGAAGTTTAGGGAACATGAGAACCCCGATTGAGGTCTGACAGTGCCGCTCGCGTACCTGATGCGTGGTCGACAAAGATAGGCGCGTCTTCAGCTATGCGCGGTACCCTTTGCTTGAGGGTGGTGTACTCGCTCTCGGACTCAAAGGGGTTGCTGAAGAGCCAATCGAAGGTGTTGACGCCGGGCACATTGGCCGGGAAGCCGGCGTAGGAGGGTTCTGCAGACATGGTGAGTTGTCCGTGTTCGGTGGTTGAGGTTTTCTCGCCGAGTTGCAGAACGGATGGAGGCAAAAAAAAGGAGCCGAGGAGAGGGAAGTCAAGAGGAAGACAAAGAGCTAAAGAGCCAGAGAAAACAGCAACAACTTCGCCAAAGCCAAAGCCAATGTGGAAACCAACCTCCAATTCTCCCCTTTCCCCGTCTCTCCTTTTAACTGGCTTTGGCCGTTATGCACTTGTCGCAGCTTTCGAAGCCGCGGTATCGTGGGTGGCGGACCTTGGAGAAGGCGGAGACCCCGCGCTGTCAATTCCCCGTGGAGAGCGCGAGCGGCAGTTGGGTCGGCTGCGTTGCTGGGAAGCGAAAGCGAAGTGGACGCCCCGTTAAGCACATATCAGGACTTGGCAGAGACTATTTTAGGGGACAATGGGAGGTTGGTTGGTGTGCTAATATGGAGAATGGTTGATCGTGGGTTGTCTCGATTGACACTTGAAACCTGTGTCTCATTGAATAACAGTTGCAGCAGAATGCGAGCTTGTGACAATGCCAACCCCATCATCATCCATCTGACTTCATCGCTAATAGCCCCCGATAACACGGTAATCAGGGTAGCAACAATCGATTAACAAAAAGCCAAGTGGAGCTCCAATTGGTCCACTCGCGTTGTTGGGGTAAGTGTTGAATTCCCCGAAATCGAGCATCGTTCTGCCGCGCGGGACAGGGTTCTTGTCGCCCGAGGCAATCTTCTGCGGGGAAGCTTGGGTGCAATCTTGATGCGAGCCCAGCAACCTTCGGCGCGTACCAGCGACTATGCCGAGGGATATTGGCGCGTCAATCGCTGGCTTTGGCCCGTAAATACGACGTCGTATAGATGGGCGATTTATTAGGGCCCCGAGGGATCGTTGACGGTACTTGTCTTCGGTCCCGTACAGCGAAATTGAGCGTCCGCGGCTTAAGTTACTTGCAGTCGGCGAACCCATAGGCAGGTTATTTAATTCCCCATGAGCATTGATTCAACCCCTAAATCCATCAATCGAAGTAAACATGGGAATCATGCACTCGGCATTAGCGCCACGGTCCCAAGGTGTTTGTCCTACATGATTAAGCTTCTCACCCGTCGCATTTTAAATATTGTCGCATTCCGTATGTCTTGTTGGTTGTCGTTTTGTGCATGGGATTCATCGTGACACCGCCAGTTTCCTCGCGGGACCCCAAGAGGCTTGCGCTTGCCCATGCACCAATAAACTGAACAAATCTCACTGAAGTCTTCTTTATGCCACCGTGCAGAGCCGCCTAATTCTGTGTACCACAAAGCAATCCACGCAAATGTTCACAGAAAGAACCTGGCGGTGGCCCGTTATTCTCAAAGCTTGGCTCTTGAATGCGTAATGCTCAAGGGCTAATTGAAATCTCATACTATCATATCCTCTCTCTTATTCAATTCACCAGACCTTCTGGTGCTAGGTATGTCATCTAATTGTGCACCGGTATTGTGCACCGTCTACTACGTTGCTTTACTCTACATTGTGATACTGAGAGGCTGAACCATCTAGTACCCAGTAACCAGAAGAAATGTCTTGCAATATCCTAGCGTGTGAGGAGAACATGGATGATAAGCTTGATCACAAACGACATGTTAAATGTGACACGTCATGCTGACATGCAGCCAACAATTGCATTTCGAGTCAACCAACACATCTATTAGTATATTGTGGCCGCCCATCACACCGCTAGATACTAAACACAAGTCTAAACTAAACGGGGCCACTACAGCAGATCCCTGCCTCATTCATCGCCTTGCTTCTTGATCTCACTCGGGGATGCATTCGGCTATTGGACTTGCATTGGCGGCTCTGATTCACAACATCAGATTGGCTTCTGCCAGATGCAAGAACATGGCCTGGACCCGACTACCAGGCTCGGTTCAGCACGCCACAGTTTGTCAACTAGTCCGCCTTGATTTATGCGGAGGTGTACTAGACCTGGCTCAAGTCTAGGTCTACATTCACACCGAGTCTACGTATTACTCGAGTACCATCTCGACGCCTCGGTTTTTAGACGAAACAGTGCTTGTTGGTCCTGCGCCGTACTGTGCTGGAAGAAGTGAACAGTGGATGAATGCATGGCGCCGAAAATGACTTGATATTATGACTAGTGACTTGGCAAACTCAAGCCACCAGGTTGGTCGATCCCTTGACAGTCTCCACTAGAAGGAAGTTGGTGATCTCCTCGGTTCTCTGAAAGCATTCTAGCCCAATTCTCTCTGTCTGCCATGTCGGAATTTCCAGTTCACAACGAGGCGTCATGCGAGTAAACAACGCTAGACATGCACTCAGGCCATGAGGAATAAGTAATTAACTGTTACCTAAACACAAGGAGGGACAAAGATTGTAGGAGTGGAGTTTGTGTGACTGCTTAACAGGCGCAGAGAAACCTCTTGAACACTACAACAACTCGACCGACTACGAGAAACACATCAACGAGTGTATCATCCGTCCCAAGCTAGCTGATTGACGCCACTCATAGTGATTCAACGCATTCTCCCTTGTAGTAGGACTTTGAGTTATCTTTCTCCTACGCTTTGACCGACTTTGTCCACCCTATACTGTTTAAGTAGACACAGGGTTTGTTGTTGAACCTGTATGATTCGGCTTTCAATTACGCTAGATCATTGCTCATGTTAGATTGCTATAGTACTGGCCTGGATCTTATGAGAAAAGAGCTTAGGCATGACGCATGTTAAGAAGGCTTGGTGGGTAATGGTATGGTGACCAATTTGAGCTTGAAACACTTAGGTTGGCCAGAAGCATTTCCCAATTAGAAAACAACACTAATTTTGTGATAATGGGGGTACTGAGCGTTCCACCAGACCCGATCTTCAACAACTTGTGTCAAGTTCATGTACGGCATTCGCATTGGCCTCTAGACTTCAGGACGAACGCGGGAAAGACCACCAGTGATGTGAGACTGCCAGTTTCTCCCAGGCTTCTAGACCAGAATGCAACCACCAGAAACTTGATGTCCGCACGACCTTGGAGTTGGCCATGCAACCTTTCCCACCGGGAACGAGTGCTTGAATTTGCGCATACAGATCTCGAGGTCGGAACCCGGAGCATCGCCGCGGTGAATTTGTTCTAGAGGCAATTACCCTTCGTCGCAAATATGCTTTGGTCTCGTGTTGTATACCAGTGCCAGCTTGTGTTTGCATGTCTGTTTAGAAGATACAGACGGGATGTATTGGACAAGGTTTGCAACTCGGATCGTGATTGTGGCTTCGTTCTCGGACGTGGCTCGGGAATCGGTGCGGTAAAGGGAGGATGGGGTTGCTCAAGACGATAATTTTAGTTGATTCTCTGAAGCGAGTAGAGTTCAGGCGGCATTAAAGTCATAATAACAGTCAAAAACTCAACTGGGGGTTGACAGAGTTTAGTTGATTCCACCAACCAACCACCACTGAATATGACACTTGATTACTGTAGAAATGGCCATCAAGCAGTCGCCGGTCCTGTGGTTCGCACAAAATTCAAACACGGCCACCCCATAAGCAGGGTTGACAATCCTTATCCCAATCCCAGAATACCCTTCCATACGGCCCTCATCATGATACCAACTATCGTACAAGACTTCTTTGGCAGCCGTATCTCGTAACCTGTTGGAAAACGACACACTTCAGAGATTGAGAAGCAATCTGGGGAACTCGGGTTCGAAAAATCCACAAGGCCCTTGAGTATGTCTCGAAAAGTGTTGGCGAAGGTGGAGGCCGTTGGCAACCCCCTGTGATAACATCATGGCATGGAAGTATGGCAGCAGGAAGAAGTGGACGTTTTCTGATATCGGTGAGGTGTTGCTAGAAGCCTTTAGTTCGGATATGGCATCGTTCAGTGGGCAGGCCTTTTTTATATCGATCGGGATCCATGGACGTTGATCTTCGCCTTTGATGGATTGTATCATAGCTGCGTGGTTGGCAACCACCGGAAGAGATGCCAGAGAGACTCAGCTAATCTAGTCCACGCGACATTTCTTTCATATTCCATACCTTCGCTTTCTCGTGGAGTATCGCTTGGCTATCTTGGTTTGGTGAGTTTGCTGGTTGCTCATGACCTCGACCGCATCACCGGCTAAGCGGGATCAACAATTAGCGTGGGATATCTAGAGAGCTAAAATCGGCGGACAAGACATGGGCCCAGAGGGTTTTTTTTAACCGCAGTGCGAGATAGGTGATGAATAATTCAACAATCGTGACATCAGACTGACAGACCTAAAGTGTTGTCCCAGGTCGGATGGTTGCGAAGCCTGGAATCTGGCTGGTTTGGGTTTGGCCAATGAACAACGGTGTGATCACGGATATTGCGATGCGATCTCATGTCGAGACGATCCTCAGATGCCATTCGGGTGTCGTGCCGTTGCCCCGGGTTCTGTTTCCGTGGTGGGGACGGGCGGCTCATCCCAAGGCGGTTTGCAAGTCTGCCTCTCGGATGTGATGCCTGGGGAAGCTTCATGGGCGTGATTTAAGATGAAAGAAATCGGGAAATATAATCATATTCAAATGCCTTTTATTTTCTGTTCTTCTGGTCTTATTGTGGTGTTCTCATGTGGTTCAGTTCCGAACCTTTTACATTTTGGCACTCGCCATGCCCCATCATGGGACAGCAATCAGGTTCAATGCTGAATTAGCGAAGTGTTTGCCAAGGACGGGCTAGGAGCAAACCCTCCTTCAGCTGCAGCCCTCGATGTTAGGCGCGAAGCCAGCTGGATTCAAATTCCATCACGGGGCCACTGGACAAAGCAACTTCACGCAGGTTTTCGGACATCGAGGGAAAAGCAAAGAGCTCGGAGTTGCTGAGACACAATCCGAGACTAGCGAGACAAATGGTTGGCACATCCTATTACATTCACACAAGGCACTTGGGTTCGTGCAGCAGGGCATGCGCCTTGTTCTGCAGAGGGTCATCCTGCAGGCTGGGGATGGTTGACAAGAATGACACGTCGCCGTCTTCAGTCAGCACTGTGAATGAGAGATGGTGCGGGGACAGCTTAATACCCCCTCGCTGAAAAGGGCAGCAATGGACCGGTCAGTCATTCGTACCCTACCACGTAATGTGCATATTGAACCAGGGTTAGTAGGCGTTCTAATGCCGGGTGTATGGGCAGCGGCAAGTTGCGAAGGGAGGGGACGTCTAGAGCAGGCTTGCTCTTGGCCTACGGCTACTTCCCTATGGATTGTGCTTCAGGGTTAGCGACCGGAACGCAAGAGGGGTGAATCTATCATAGCTGGGGGTTATCAGAGCCACAGTGACAGCTGGGTTCCCACTGGAGACCCGGCTGAGCTCGGTACCTGGACTGGAGCCGCTCCGTGTGAGCAAGGTACGATGTGGGAGTCTGTCTCCCTCAACATCGGACGGGGGATAAAGAAGATCCCCTCAATCCTGGGCGGACGAGGGTGGACGAAGTTGGTGGGAAGATGCGTGCAGATCGGCTTAGCTGTCTTGGGTATTGGCGCCGATCGATCCCACTTGCGTGCGGTAATTGCATTGACAAAGGTCCAAATCCAGGCTGAGGAGGGGTCTGCCAGATTGGCGTTGTGCATTTCAACGTTGAAAGACACCTCGTCCTGCTGATAGCGACGGCACGGGGGGGTTGCAGACGCCTTGCGTGTCGTACCGTGGCGTGGCTTGATAGCGATGATACCACGATGGAAGCAGCTTGGGCGTGTTCCACAAATCCCAACAGCTCATCGATACATGCTGGAAGAATGGGCGTTGCAAAAAAGAAAGTAACAGATAAGGAGGTACTTGGAGCCGGCTCATCACAGTGAGGTACAAGACACTCGGCGTTGGAAGTAGCCCAAAGCAGACCAAAGCAGATACAAGCATACGCACCCTGGTCGGCGGTTTCTGGTTCTCCGGTGCCCTGCTTCCAAGAGCCCTTAATTAGTCGATGTTGCATGTGCCGGCATAATTGGCATGCATGTCTTCCCCCACTCTGAGACGAGGCTCGCGATCGGCCCGCCTTGATGCTGATAGCTGAGGGCAGAGACAACGGGTAGCGAGCGGATTTGTAGATTAGGTGTAGCCAGAATGCTACCGTCATGTAATAGCAGCCCCGGATATAACCATCCGTTAAATAAGTGGCTAATGGGCCATCAAGCGACGCGGGGGATGGACCAAGGCGAATCGCGCCGCCATGGAATCGTCTTGGATGACTCTGTCATTCTGCAGCTTGCTATAGTCTTCCATCCAGAATGGAGCACGTATCTCAGCTGTGTGGTACCCCTGTTCCCGTCTGCAAGCCTCCTTTTGGGGGAACCGCTCAGAGCGAGGCGATCCACGACACACTGTGTAGAAGCGACCGGTAGCCGGTCCCAGCCATCGTCTCCAGACCCTAGTGGCGCCATCATATGTGACAGAGTCCACTCAAAGCCGTAGGAGGCGCTTGCGGCGAGCCAGCTGGAGCGACAGATACAGGCCGCGGCTCCATGGACTGGGCTGTGGGAGTGCAGGACAGTGGCAGCCCCCAGGCGAAGGAATCGAGGCGATTCCTTCGGCTGGGATAGCAGAAATGCAACAGCATTGAGGTGTTTACTCAATTTTGTGGCAAGAAAGGCCTTGGCCGTGTATTGCAAATTGATTCGAAGTGCATATTGATTCGAAGCTGCCTTCATTCGAAGCTGCCTTGACCTGGCTTCTCCAGAGCCCCCAGTACCAACCCCCCCTTCAAAGGCGCCGTACTCGCCGCTTGAAGTGTTAAATTATATTGTATGGCCATCTCGCTATCGTGTCTGAGTCGTATCCGTGTCGTGTTCGTGTCGTTGTCGGCATTATTCGACGTTGCTGTCGTTGTCACTGTCGGCTCTCTCCCGTCCATCAACAGGTTTGATTTTCAAGTTTGTTGATCAGGGTGGGCTTCAAGTCTAGCTGCCCCCTCCTCGGTGCCGTGGACGAAGAGGTGGGCTCGGTTGGCAAGGAAGCTTTGGATCATCGCGCAGCCGCAGTTGTTGTGTTGCAGAAGCTGTGTCTGGAGCAGGTAGACCTCCTGATTCAGGCCGGCAACACAACTGGTCAAGTCGCGGTGTCTCTCCTTCAGGCCTTCTTCGTTCGATTTGAGCCTCAGAGCGTCTTGCTTCTTCTTGATTCGGAACTTGTTGGACGCGATTCGGTTTCGATCCTGGAGTCGTTTTTCGCGCTCGAGGGCGTCTGCCGCAGATCCTGCGAGTCCCGGAGCCGACTCACCAGAACCCTCTCCGTTGGTTGTCGTATTGCCGGCGTTGCTGGTGTTCTTGTTTTTGTTGCTCTTCTTACTCTTCGGTTGCTTGCCTTTGCCTTTCTTGTCGCGCTTGTTGGTCTTGTCGCGTTTGCTGTCATCCTTGCTGCTGCTGCCGCCCCCGCCGCCACTGTTGCCGGGGTGAATTGTCGGAAGCTCCGATTCTCGTGGCGACTCTATCTTTGGTTCGACGATTTGAGTAGAAGGCCAGTTCGTGTATTGGGCAGATGGACTTTCGCCCAGGCTGAGTGTGCGTGATCGAGTGGGCGAAAGTTGGGTCCAGCCCCCATCAGGAGATTCTTTGAATACTACCTGATCAGTGACGGAGGATATGGCCGTGTATTCAGTGGCAGGGCTCGGCCAGGTCGAGTAGCCAAGAGAGTTGGTATCATAACCACATGCGTGGCCGCCCTGGAGGACACTGGTCTGTATGTAGCTAGGCGTCATTTCCTCTCCGTTTGGAGCGGAACCGACAGGCGCGGATTGATCTATCGACCACCACTGCTTCCACGGAAGGTCCGGAGCGACGTTGGACGTTTCGAGGGTCGGGTCGACAAGCATGACGTTGTTCTCGTCGAAGGCCATGCCGTCCGTTGCGTTCAGGGGAGGGAATTGTGCGTGGCAGGACGCAACACCCCCATCGCAGTAGGGGTGAGAGATGGATTCCGAAGTCGCCGGCGCCATGTTCTCGGGGTCTGAAACGTTGCGGTTCATGATATGCATTCTTTCGGGTTGGTCGGAAGGTCGCGTCTCGTTTGTTCGGGGATTCGATCGATGACTGGGGTTGAATCGTGGAGGGACTCTGTCGGTTTTGGGGACGGGGTTTAAGGGAGCTCGGGGAGAGAGCTTGCAGGTGTCACAAAGAAGAGAGTAGGACCAACCTCCGAAACAATACAGGTAGAAACAGGCTTGGGTGGTCAAGTGAAGATGGTTGGTAGGGCTGTGGAATGCTAGGCAGCTGTTGGCTGAAGCTGTGTAGGTACCATACTAACAACAAGCCACTGTTTATGCATGTAACCCCGGATGGAGACACAAGCTGGACCCTACAGATAACAAGCAACGCTGAAGGGGAATTCCTGTCTGGGCTGACGCGATTATCGAGACTGGTGTGGGCGGTGGTAACACTTTACCCAGTGGAATCGGGCCTTGTGGAGAATCGGGTTCCCACAAAGACACGATCAAGGACGTGATTAGAGGCAAACCTGAGATCTGGGGACGGCACAGCCCGACTAGGGATGCATCAAGACATCTCTAGCCGAGAAAACATAAGTTATGGGGGGTCATTCGGCATGTACGTAAGTGTATAGTGCAGTCCAGGGCTGGCTTGCTCGGACGCGTTAGATAGAATTATACCTGGTTCATTGCGGAGCCGGGGACGGGAGCGTAGGCACGCTTTAATTGGACAGAGAGCTCGGATCGACTGTCCTCAGCGCCGCTTGTGATTGATGGAGCGCTTCCACACTCTCCATTCGCCCTGATACTTTGGCAGGCGAGTACGGTAGACGAGACGAAAAGCGAGATGACAGAGTACGTACAGAACAGAGGGGGGATGGTTTGTGAAATCGTCAGGATATCGAGGAATCGTCCACAGCACCATTGATAAAACAAGTTGTGATGCTTGAGAGCTTGCAGGAATCAACGCCAATCTGTCCTGGTGTGTGCTGGGACCCTGTCAGAAGAAGCCGCCCATTCCCCCCCCCCCCCCCCGCCTGGAGAGTTGAACATCCAGGGTATTCTTCTGTTGGTTGACCCCAGGGCCGTGTTCGTGTTGCCGAGATCCTTGTTTCGCGCCCTCCCGTGCTCAAGTGCGGCGCCAGGGAGTTGCGATGTGAGACATCCAGTGGAGTTGAGGGCTTGAAGCCAGAGCCCAGGCTCTTCTTGGCAGTACATTGGACGACTTTTGGTCTTGAGACTACTGGTAGGCTCACGATCAGGCTGCAGGGAGAAGGACGGGATGATCGGAACCGTAGGACTACCTTCTCCTCCGGCGATACCACATCGCATCGTCCCGCCCCGCAAGCAGGATCCCACCGAAGCTCGAAGCCGGGATTATCATGCCGCCATCCGCTATAGGAAGTACGGACAGTCTCCTGTCAGTCCGCCGGGGTGGAATCTTCTATCTGCAGAGTCAGGCTGCCTGCAAAACTGGGTGCACCCCTTCCCTCCTGGAACATGGCGCTGTCGGGATGGTCCGCTGGTTCTAGCTCTCCCGGGAGTGCGATGTGAAATGTAGCCCCAGAGCCTGATTTTTGTTGTTGTCTCGTCCCGCAGAGGATCCCTCGACCGTGTCTCGGGGTGTGGCATTGTGCCCTTAGGTCTGGTCGTCTCCTGGCCAAGTTCATCCCCCCTAATGCCGGAACCGCCACTCATCCTAGCTGTAGCGCAAATATCTATCACTTTGCTGGAAGGAAAAGATGATAGCTGATACATATCACACCACACCTGTCCTTGCATCCAGTAAACCGGCCGGCAGTGGGACAGGAGGAGGGTGCATCAGGCTTCATGGATTGGTCAAGCATGGCAGAGCAGCACTTTGCCCAGCCCAGCCACAATACCGTAGTGTATATCCGTGCGTCCGTAGATTCCACGGCTGTAGCAGGCATTGACTTGTAGGATTTCGCTTCTTGGCAGCCGGCAAACTGATCCGGACGACTGGAGGGCGGCTGAGCCAAGATGATATATCGCGGCCAGCCTCAACTGGTAAGCATAAGTCCTAATCGACACTCCACCACCCTTTCGGTTTCCGACAGGGTTAAATCCAGTATTTTTGACAGAGAGAGGTCAAACTAGCGCCTCCCTCGAGAACGGCTGAAGCTGGTAGCTGGGGGTTTGGCTGATGCCCCTCGAGGGACGCCAGGCAACGCAAGTTATGAACGTTCAATAGGAAACCACATACTGGATGCACTGGAAATTATGAGCGAAATGATCAAACCCAGAGGCCGCCCTGGCTCGCACTGCAATCAAGCCATCCGCATTGTATTATCCACGGGGCGTCTCGGCAGAAGCGCCACGCACAGTGCCCATGACAAGGCTGTCCCCAAGAGGAAACCCCCGGACGCCTGTCCATAGCCAATTCTCGCCTGTAACTGTGGACTTGTGTACTGTGATCTGCGTCTGCGGAGAGCACTGAAGGTGGCCGAGGCTTTGTGTCGTGGAGCGGAACTTGTTCGTCCCGTGTGAGCCCCCTGTTGAGAATGTCTCCGAGTATGATCGGCACTTTCTTTTCTACCGCCTGACCCAACAGGCTGAGTGCTGTAATTAAGCCTCTTTCGTTTAAATCGTGGGTTTCGGATTCTGGGCTTCAGTTAGCACGTCGTGAATGCGGCAAGCAACTGTGATTCACCGCGCTCTGCCTACTCTCCCGGACCTCTCTTCGCCCTCTATAACGATGCTACTCTTGCAGCACAGCGGCGGTCATCCTCTCTCAATCTTGACCATTGCATCTTAGTGTAAGGCTCGCCGTTATAGCTGAGGTTATCTTGTGCCTCTCCAACACTCCAACACGGCAGGTCTGTCCCAAAATGCAGACCGCAGCCTCCCTTCCAGCCTCCAAGCCCCGTCGCTTCAAGCGAGAACGATCGGGCGACCCAATACTCATCAGCAGTCGCAGTCCCTCTCCGTCTCCCCGATCCAGCAAACGCTCCCGCGACCGAGTCTTTACAGCCTTGGAACATGGCGACCCGTTTCTCCGAACCCCTCGATCGATCATAACCGCCGACGACCTCGACGAAGTTGAGCTGAAACGATGCTTTGAGATTCTCCACGCTTGCGCTGAGGCCACAGACCCCACGGTCACGTTGACGTCGACTCGGGAAACAATGGAAGGCTTCTTGGACGCCATCTTCAAAGACTGGACGGGCAACGAGCCGGACGAGCCGGCCAAGCCGGCCATGGACTTCGTTCTTCGCGAGTACATCGGCGTCGGCAATGTTTGCCGTGGGTTCCAGCATCAACACTCTGATGACAATGAGCTGACCATTTCTTTTACAGAGCAACCCGGTAGTCACCGCGGCGCAAAATCATGCGCTGATGCGCCGTTGTGCAGGGCCGTCGTTTACGTCATGGCTACGTACAGGAGCAGGCCTGCGCAGCTCGAGATTGGATACTGCCTCAATGAACCCTCCAGCGAGCAGTGCGAGTTCTTCTGTCCCATGGAACGCGACGATATCCGGTAGGACGGCATCGACTGGCTGGGGTTGCTGAAGAACGAGACGAAGCGCTCGTGCATTGCGAAGATCCACAAGTACAACAAGCACTCGGCGGTCTGGCACGCGCGGAAGCTGATCCGGGGCTGGGCTAAGGGCAGCATCTCTATGGGCGAGGACAACACTGTGCTGTCGTTTGTGAAAAGGGAGGCTGTCAACGCAGTATTCGTCACAATGGGAGATGGCGCTTGATCAGGGGAGGGATTGGGACTTGGGGCGTTACAAGGAGCCATGAGGAGTCAATCGAGGGAATGCATGACCTGGAGTTTTCAATTAAACAGAGCACACGGTTATGGACGTCCCGAATTAGGACGGTAACTCATTATAATCATATTAACCTCTCAAACTTTTCTCCAGACCGTAGAGTTTCTACTTGGTTCCTAACCACTTTTGAGCTCCATACGCAGCTACCACTAAGACCTGCAACAACACTATGCTTCTTGCTTCAAATGGTTTTTGATCGATCGAAGGTTCGTCGGGTGAGTATGGTCGTGACCCTCGTGGTCCTCTTCGTCATCCCGAGGCCAGTCCGGGAACCCATCCTCAAACAGGTCCTCCAGGACATCCCGCTTCTCGCTCTCACCCAACTTGGCATTTCGCATTGTCTTCTCCCATTTGGTATACTCCGAGTCTGTTAGCAGACACTCGTCCAGCATAGCCTCCAAAGCCTGGTTGTCAAGTCTCTCGCCGATGAAGACCAGCTCTTGGCGACGATCGCCCCACTCGCCTCCCATTTTGATATCATGCTGCACAAGGCCATCGACCTCTTCATCGCCAGTGGTATATTCCTCTGGCGGAAGAGTGCAGAACCATGGGCGCCCGCCGGTCATGGTTAGCATGGCACCTGCTTGTGACCAATCGCCAGCGCGGTTTGGGCGAGTGGCTAGGAAGAACTCTCCCTTGGATCGAAAGAGCCGACCAAGAGTGGGATTTTTCCGCTTGTTCTCGAGGATTACCTCGTTTGAAGGCGGACAAAGATCTTCAGACTCTAACATTGCATAGTCCTCGTCGACTTTGGTAGCGGCTCCGTCCTTTTTGGGTGATGCAGAAGGGGAAGGGACAGTCTGTTCTGTTGAATGCGAACTTTGAGGAGAGGACGGCGCGGAACGTTTGTCACTTGAAGACATGTCTTCCGTGTCTTGTTCGTCATAGTCAACGGTCTCAGCATCCTCGTAGTCTATCATCTCCATGTCATCATCTTCGTCGTCGTCTTCGTCGTCGTCGTCCTCATCCTCGCCCCCGGGGGACTCAAGTTGTAGGATGAACTTGTCATACAGCAAAGCCCACAGTCGCCGAGGATGGAATGGCCGACGTCGACTGTAGATGAAGCTTCGGACATTGTATTCCTCTGTCTCCGGCTTAGGTGTGACTACATTCCTCCCATTGACCTAAGGAATAGATTGTTAGCCGGAGCGCTGAAAATGATGTGTGCCATCAAGTAATCTGGCAAGAAACAGGTACAAGCTGTAAACGAAGTGTCGAGGTAGATACTACTTACTTCACGGACTGTCATGGCATGGAGGTCCTGAAGCCAGCCATAGCCGGATTGGGCGACTTGCAGATTGAACAAGCCAGTGTTGACAATTTCTTTGACATCAATTTTTCCATAGCTAGACTCGAGAATCTTAGCGCGGTGGTTTAGCTTTTGGATCAAGCTGAGCAGCTGAGGCTTGGTTTCACTATCGATCTATGGCGAATTAGAAACCTCCAATGACACACGATGATCAACTTACCATGTCGACTTTGTTCAAGATGATGACATCGGCGAACTCTATCTGGTCAACCATCAGGTCCGACACAGTGCGTTCATCTTCTGGCGTAACGTCGTTACGGCGGGATGAAATCAAGTCGCCAGTGTCGAAGTCGTGAAGCATGGTGAATGCATCGATGACTGTCACAGTAGTGTCTAGCCGAGCAAACTTTTCCAGGCCTCCAGCCTCTTTGCTAAGCGATTGTTAGTAGAGCTCGGAGAAGTGCATCGTGTTACTGACAGTTGATTGAGCACCTTGAGCATGTCGTCGTCCAAGCCTGCAACACCTTCCAAGGCGCCCATGGCTCCCATCTGCTCAGCGAGGCGAGAGTCAAACGTCTCAGCAACCTGCTCTGGTTCACTAATACCGCTGCTTTCGATGATTATGTAGTCAAACTGTTGAAGCTGTGCAAGACGGACAAGTTCCTCCAGCAAGTCTCCTCGTAATGTACAGCAGATACAGCCATTCTGTAGTGCAATGACTTTCTCGTTCGTCTTCGTGAGGTGGTGGGTTTGCTTGATCAGGGCAGCGTCGACGTTGATACTAGATGAGTGGTAAGAAACGGGTCGACACAAACATTATGAAGGGGGAGGCTCACGCCCCAATATCATTGACGACGACAGCGATACGTAGACCGTGTTCGCTACGGAGGATATGTTGAAGCAGAGTCGTCTTGCCAGATCCCTAAATGTAGATAGTAAGCAATTGAGCAGCACTCGGCACCCCAGGAGACAGGGGAATTTACCAAAAATCCAGACAGAAGCGTGACAGGCAACGCCTTTGGAGGAATGGCTGTTTTCTTCTGAGCCTTCTTTTTAGAACTCGCCTTGGCTCGAATCTTGGCCATTTTGACGACGAAAAAAATGGAAATGTGAGAGAAGAGAAGGAGAAGAGGACTGAATTGCGGAGGAGAGCGTGACGATACAGGTCAATGACCAGAAAACAGCACAGAAAACAGCAGCTTAATATACTCGTCATCTAATCACTTACTTGATGCTTCGTTTACATGTGAGTCAGGTCATCAAGGTGTTGCCCTGTGGCCATCAAGGTATCACAACCCAACTTTCTCACCCACGATGACATCTGCAGTCAATCAATTGGCTCGTTTGTTTAGACGCTCAGGAACTGTGGGTTAATCTAGATCAAAAGAGGTATAGACACTGGAAAGTCGGGGTCCATCATGCAGAGCCGCGTTGGACTTAAGACGACAATACAACAAGGTACCGGCTGATGAGGCCATGTCGGCGTAGAATGTCTGGACTGGTACATCGAAAATCCGGCAGCTTCCGCTCACCGGTGTTTTCTTTGGGTATGGGCAATCGCAGAGAGGCACCTTGTTGGCCTCGCAGCTAAGACGTCATGTCAAGCAAGAGTTTGTACATGTGGTACCTACTTAACTATTTTTGCCCAATTCGTCCAACGCCGAGAAGTCCCCTGGCTATTCCTTATCATTTATGTATTTATTGATACAGAGTAGGTCCATATATGTATGTGGCTCCGGTCAATCCACTTTTTACATATTCATGTTAGGGGCGTTTCACCTTATCCGTCGCTTCCCGTCATTCTGTCAACGAGCATACCTACCGGACTTGATGTTATGTGATTTAATTGCGTACATAGTCTAGTCATTTAACATAATCAGTGACTGCAACGCAATGATAAGTGAGATGAAGAGATCAAAGCACCATCGCCTCGTCCAAAACTAGGGTAGAACTTGGCCTTGAACACTCCGGGCTAGGGAAATGAGTGGCCGCTAATATCGACTCAGATTGGTGCCTGAATTTATACCAGATGATTTAATTCAATTCATCTTCTTACAAGATGGCCAAAGGGGAGATGTGGAAACGTACTCCTCTCGCATTTGCCCCCAGTTGGCCCTTCATCTGTACCACGGAGCCTCTGGACTGGCCTTGCTATCAAGGTCCCGTTCTGCAGAGATCAATCGGCCCTCAATGTTTTAACGGATAATACAGTTGAGAGTGATTTTCTCAGCGTATGAAATCTCCGAATTGGCCATGGAGGGGGAGAGGTCCCTCGTCTAATGTGGTATGGTCTTAAGGACGTTTGGCATGTCATGGTCGTCAAAGAAAACCAGCCGGTTTCTAAAGCGCGCCAGATTCTGGGAGAGAGGCAAGCGACTTGGGCTACCGAAACTACTAACAGAGACAAAGCGACTGTAATCGTGGCGCCTGATAAAATGAGTTATTGAAGATGATGAAGCGCCGAAGTAGTTGGGTCTGAACAATTATCAAAGACATCGCTCATGAGCCTAAGTAGTGTTTACTATCAATACTAACCAGTCAATGCGTTAATTACTACCACGAGAGGTAAATTATCCCCAAGGGGAATATCTCGTACGTCTCAAGAGCTTTTGCAAACGATGGAATGGGTCAGAACTAGGGGGAGGAAGGTGTCGTAGCTAAATTCCGAGCTCAGAAACTGTACACAGAGCCACATGAATTCGCATTTCCCTCATTGTGTCTAAAATTAGCAATGTGCGTTGGTGACGGAAGTGTCATTGTGAGGTAAAGATGAAGCAAAAACATCACTGAGGAAGGAGGAACGCGACCGTTTATTGTGCACCCGCGTTGTGTCCAAGCCTCAGGTTTCCCAGTTGGAAGTTCAAGAGAGAACAAATGGAGAAGAATAAAGGAATTGGAGCAAAAAAAGTAAGTGATAAGGCAGAAACCTAGAGTGCATATTCATGCCACTTCCCTCTGGTCGAGGGTGTGTTGTGTGATTCACGCATCTCGGTGGTTGGACAGACTCCAAGTCAAGGCGGAGAGATGGGAGGCCCAAAAAGCCACCAGAGTGTCTCATAAATCGCAATATCAGGGACACAATGTGACAAACTCACGCGTAAGCATTTAGCAACAGGCTCGTGCATGATCCATTTCCGATTTATTCTACTTCAACAGATGTCGAACTCGGGCGATGGTAGCATCGATGAAGTCGAATAACGCAGCACGCTCGAATCCCACGAAGGAGTAGACGGGCATCGAGGCACCGTCGAGCATTGCAAGTGGCATTCAACCGACGGGTGTGACGAGTTGTCACCATCAACGTTGGGTGGACTGAAAGCGATGCATCTAATATACAATAGTGTCCTGGAAAGAAGAAAACATGAGACCTCTTTCCGTGGGAAACGGCATTCAAGCGTGCAGTTGCGCCTTTATCTGGTGGCCGAGAACTTCGTGACCAGATGGTCACCATTGTAAGTCCCGTGGGTGACTGTAAGTAATGTGTGGGTTATGCATAGAAAAGCTCCTACAACACAGACACCAGAACGTAACTGACTCCCCCGCTTCATTTGAAGCTGCAATAATATAAAATAAATGAAGTAGCGAGGTAAGTTGAAGGTCTAATGGTTCTGCTTTTCGCAACCGTATATTCCTACTCATTTTGGAAGTGCCATTTCGTATACTGACTGATATTTACCTGCTCAGGGTGTGTCTATAGTGCCAAGACTCACCCTGGACGTCCATTCTAATCTTGTAGTTTTCCTCGGCTATTTTTAACACATTTAGATCTATAGGAACGATCTCCATCTTCTCCTCTCCAACTCCGATTCGTCCCAATGCACCCTGAATCGGCATGGCCACGCAGCTGAGCCCGCCTGCGTTGCAGAAGGCAATGGCTGCGGTATTCTCAAACGCACGCAAGGTCGTCGCAGTCTCCAGGAAGACCTTCTCGGCGTCAGGGTTAAGCTCCAGTCCGTCTCCGCCGGCATCCGTCATGTACCACCACGATGGAATGAGGATCAGGTCGGCGCCATCGGCAATCAAGGCCCTGAACGCCTCGGGAAACGCCAGGTCCCAGCAGATGAGCATCCCAGCGCGCACAGGGCGGCCGTCAGCGTGCTTGAGCGGCGTGTCGAATGCGACGTGAGGACTGTGACCAGACGAGGTGAGATGCGGCCGCTCTGGATGCCACAGGTTCTTTTTCTGGTACGAGCCGCAAATGTCGCCTGTACCGGCTGCGAGGAAATGGGCCATATTATGCAGCTCCTCCTTCACGTTTCCAGAGTCGGTAGAGACTGAGTGAGGCTCGCAAATCGTGCCCGGTACAATGTTGATGTTGAGCTCACGCGCGAGCTCCTGATACTTGGCCAAGTACGAGGCGGACTCACGGGTCGCTGAAAAGAAGTCGGGGTGATCGGGAACCCATGATGTTAGGTGGTATTCCGGCAACAGTGCGATGTCACAGCCCTTGGATGCAGCATCTCGAATGTATTTCGCAGCGGTGTTGAAGTTTTCCTCCACCGCGACCGGCTGGAGAGTTGTCTCAGTATGGATCTAGTGTCGCGACTCCAAGGGGAGAAAGTTGGAGACTCGAGGAAGTGCGGGGAATGAGACTCTGGATGAGAACAGCATTCACTCACCTTTGGGTCGAACTGAATCAGCGCAATCTGATAAACCGGTGCCATGATGAAGAGTTTACAGGTTGATGTAGAGACACAGAGGATGAGGCGAGGCTGAGGTACAATTATCTCGATAAGGCCACAATGTGCCGTCCGTACCGTAGTTGTACGAAGTGGGGAGGCTTGTGGCGAGAAGTGGGTTTCTTACTTAAGTGCATGACATACCTTGGTCTAAGCTGTTTTGTCTTGTCATTCGTAATCAATTTATGAGTTAGTTCACTATTTAGCATGTCGGATCTGTCGGAGAGGTCCTAGAAGGACGTTTCCACCAGTGGCCAAAATGAGGGCCACCATCGTCTGGTCGGACACTTGCATTGCGATGCGATCGGGCAGAAGGCTGGATACTGGGTTTCGTCCCTTTGGTCAAGATACAGTAGTGTTTCACCAGTTTCCTATCTAGACAGGTCGTTGGGTTGTTTTGTGGTTTAAGTCGTTGGTCGTGATGCGGGTCGATGCAGCAGAACTGCTCTCCACTCTTTGGAAAGACATGCATCAATAACTACAGCCTCATGTCTCTAAAATCTAATTCTACCGAGGCAAATTATACATCGCGATTTATCTTCCGGTAGTGATTCAAGTCGTCCTGACTCAAGCGTGGGACCCCGTGGTTTGGCGTAGCTCTCCATGAGAACTCGTGGGAGAGGATGTGATCCGGGATCCTCATATAGTGATATAATTGCGAAGTGAGAGAGTAAGCTGGGAGGCCTCGAAGCGGGCATATTTTCAGGCGTGATATTTCTGGCATTTATTTAAACCACTGAAAGGACTTCAGATACGGATGCGCAGTCTCCTCCAACCCCCACCAGGAGACGAGTCCGCATTGCAAGCTGCTCCGGTGGCTTCACGAACAGGTCTAGAGTAATTGCGTCCCTGGCTGACGACCCAGATGTCGACGCTGTAATTAGCAATGGATGACTGAGATGGTTTGTCGGTCCAAAGTTGTACATACCATAAAAAGCCAACTGACCTTCTTTAGATAATGACCATGCATGGTAGTGGCAAGATGAAACCCCGACAACAGCCGTCAACGTCGGAACTGTTGCATCGCAGCTTCTCTATTAGATCCAAGGCCGGTGAGTAGCTCTAGAACATGACTTCGAACAACTCTAGCGCACCATGCGACGTCATCGCGGATACTGAGTGTCTCTCCTCCCGCAAGCCGAACTTAACCACCGCGTGCATTGTCTCTTTGGCAAGAACGAGATTCTCGAAATGCCCGTTCTGAAGATCACCAGGTCATCCCCAGAGTAGTAGCCGAGTTCCGAGACCAAAGTACTCATAGCGCTATCGAGCTGGTGTACGCGCCGCTTGGATCCGTTGTTCTCGGCCGGGCGGGCGACAAGGCGAGCGACTTGAACGCGGGTTTCTTCGTGCGGCATGATGACGAATGCGACTGGCTTCGTAAGTTACTTACTGCAGATCAGATCGAGGAACTCCTGGGCCAGAATAGTAAAAAGGGTAGCTGATCGATCGCTTCGAGATGCCGGCATCAAGGAGGTGCATTTCTTGCGCCACGACCATCCAGACCGAGGTGTGTGTAATCACTCTTTCATCGGAGCCCACTTACAATTAGCAGGATACAATGCATATTCAGCGTACAATACACTGGGGACGGATGCGTGCGAGTATATCAGAGCAAAGACGGTTGAGAGGCTTAACAACTTTTTGATCGAGGAAGGATCTGAGTCCGATTTTATTTCTAGACATTTATGTAATTTGCATGCAACAAGGTGTATCTAATACAACGCTATATACTAGAAAGAAGAATACGCAACAACATTATCGTCACCTGTGCGAGGTCGCCTTTAAGCCTTGCACATGCGGCCGTTGGCGGCCACGGTCCAGACATCGCTTCCAACACCCTTGAGGTTGTAGAAGAGCGCGTTGGGATCCCACTTGTTCTTGATGGTCAGCAGGCGGTCCCAGTTGGAGCCGTAGAAGGTCTGCTTCCAGTTGGGCTGGTTGAAGTCGGCCTCGTTCATGTACGCTCCGCTGCCGGGAGTGACGGAGGTGATGAGCGGCACAAACTCGTTGGTGATGCGCTTCTGCATGGCGATCATGGCGTCCCACTTGGTAGGGTCCCAGGCGGTGGCCAGCTGCATCGACATGATGGCGGTTCGCCAAGCAGGGTAGACGGCGTTGCTGTTTCCGGCGTACTGCTTGAAGGTTCCGCTGCTGCCGACGGCGATGACGCCGTTGGAAGTCAGGTTTTGGATCACCTTCTGGAAGGACTCGTTATCGTTCTCGATGACGGATCGAGGAATCAGACGGCCACCGTACTGGTACTCGGAGGCACCGATGTGGCCGTAAGGCAGCGGGCCCATGTAAGTGTCGTAGTGATCACGGTAGCTGAGGGTGGTATAAGACACGGAGGGAGTGATGCCGAGCCCACTGAGAACAGTGAGGAATGGCGCCAAGACGGTGTCACGGACATAGTCACCGGTAGAGTTGACAAGAGTGATGGGCTTGACCACGAGGACGCCGCTGGTCACGTAGTAGACGACGGTAGGGCCGAGATCAATCATGGCGGGCAAGAGAGCGTGGAAGCGAGTGACAGCAGTGTCAAAGTTGGTCTTGTTAGTGCCAGCCGCAGACACGACAAGAGTCGCACCGCCGATGGTGCCGGTGTAGTGAGCTCTGACGGTGATGGAGGTGATGACGGCGAAGTTTCCAGCGCCGCCGCCGCTCAGGGCCCAGAAGAGGTCGCTGTTCTGGGTGGCAGAGGCGGTGACGATCTTTCCGGCGGCGGTGACGGCCTCAAACTGGAGAGCCTGGTCGGCGCCCAGACCGAAGCTGGTGCTAAGAGCCGAGTGGCCACCGCCCAAGGTGAAGCCAGCGAGGCCAACAGTAGGGCACTCGCCAGAGACAACAGTCAGGCCGGCGGCATTGGCAGCCTCGACGGCATCAGCGCCCTGGATACCGGCTCCGACCTTCAGGGCCGGGCCGGTGTAGACACTGCTGGACCAGTTGACAACGGAGGTGTCCTTCATGTGGTGCGTCCAGATAGCCAGGGCTCCGGCGCCGGTGGAACGGCCAAGGTAACTAAAACGAGATGGATCAGACTTGGCGTTTGTCAATGGGCTGGGCAGGGAAATACGTACTCATGGCCGGTGTTGCGCACGACGAGGCGGATGTTGTACTTGGTCGCGAAGTTGACGGCGGCGGCGACCTGGGCGGCGGTGGAGACCTTGACGGCGTACGACACGTAGTTTCCGAGGGTGCAGGGAATGGACTCTGCAAGGAAGGGATCGCAGCTCTGGTTGGCAAAGTACGCCTGCATCACCGAGGACGACGAGTTGAAGCTATTACACGTTGGTTAGTTTGGCGTTCTTAGCTGCCCCGAAACAAGCCACACCACCATCACCACCACGCCATGAGACGCCTCAAACAGGTGAGAGCACTTACTGAAGCTGGGGAAGACTCCACTCATCTTGCAACTCGGCGCACAAGTCGGCGTCGTAGTTGGGGTCGTGGCACGGCGACCCGATCGGGACCGTCGCGATGAGCTGGCCGCCAACGGTCGAGTTGAGCGAGTTCCACACCGCCGTCGACGGCCAACAGGCGTCGCCAGGGAGGCATCGACACTTGGAGGCTTGGCTGGCGCCGACGAGGGCGAGCAGGGGCAGAACCGCCTGCGAGAGCGACGCGGAGAACTTCATCGTGGCGTGTGAGATGGGACGGGATGCGACTATGGTTATCCACACTGAAGTCTCGGACCCTCGTAGAAGCTGATACAGTGATACAGGCACAGATGGGCAGGTAAGTGGCGTGGACGGGACCCTTTATTATTTATCAACGTGGGCAGCACGACTCTGCCACGATATTCATCCCCTCTTCGTCCCCCTCTTCGTCCCCCTTCATGCCCCCGTCCCTACTGATCTCCGCGCCGCCCGCCAGCGTTGGATCCTCGACTGCTACGTCGGCGCATGAAATTGGGGCAAACGGGGGGCCACCGACACGCGCTAGGGGCGTCGCTTGCAGAGCTGTCAACGGCGAAAGAGGCACGAAGGAATACTCGCCTTCCTCAGGCTCCGTTAGCTGCATGAACAGGCTGAGATTTGGACGTGGGAAGCCTGCGAGTTCGCTGGGGTGGCACGCACGCCCCCGGACTTGAACCAACTGCTGTACGCTGTACGACGTCACGATCCCTGAGCGAAGTTGTTAGCGGGGCCGCGTTGCCGGGCCTGACGGAGGACGACGACGCATCCGTGGAATGTCACCGGAATGAAGACTCGGAGATTGAGCATTGACCTGGTTAATAGACGCTGGCTAAAAGGCCTAGAGCGGTAGTAGTCTTGGAGTCCGAACAGCGTCCCCGCCCCTGTTGCGTGCTCCGGATCCGATCTCGAGTTGGTGATCCCGGCGGTTACGACCCCGGCGATAATCCCCGAACGTGGACATGGCGCCGCATTCGACGAACCGGCGTCTGGGACGTTAGCCAGGCACCATCCAGGAATAGACTGGTCGTGAACCCGTCCTGGACAGGACCTAGACAGGACCTAGACAGGGGAACTGCAGAGAAGGGAGCGGGATACTCCGTGGAAGCAAACTGCATCACAGATTACAGGGGGCCGCACGCAGGAGGGTGTCAGCACGACGGACCTGCAGCGTCCTTTTGGGGCGCTCCGAACGGCTGAAGATTCGGTTTGGTAAACATCCAGGTTCTTCCGCCGAGGCTTCCTCAATAAAGACTCCACCAAGTTCCACTTGGTGAAGATAACTGAGAGAATTCGCCCCTCTGGCAGGGCAAAGCACGGAGATAGAAATGGAACCGCGGCGGTGACTCGCGTTCGACGGCCGCTGCGGACGGGCCGCGAGTAATGAGCAATGGAGAATGAGTAATGGAGAATGAATAATGAATAATGGAGATATTGCTGCGTCGCCGCTTTCGCTATCTCAGCCCTCGGAGCGGATGCCGCCCACATCCCTGATGGCGATGGCCAGCTCCGCTCCTCAAAGCCCACAAGGCCTGTAGATCCCTCCACCGAGCTGTAATATAGCTCGAGGCCGCGCCCGCTCCGCATGAGTCTTGTTCACCATGGTCTTTTGCGTGGTCGCTGGCAATCGGCCTTTCTCCCATTGCGATGGGCCGATGCTGGAATATCGCAATGTTTCACTTACCTCCCCCCTTTCCTGCACGCTTCGCTTGGCTGCATCTTCTAGAAGAGGGGCCGTCTCGCCACGGTGCTGTTGGTCGCAAAACGGTGGACCTCACGGGTTGCACTCGTCTCGAAGAAGCAGGGATATCCCGTCTTCGCTCTACGCCTCCACAACATGATCTACACCTGCCGATCATGCCATCCAGTATGTAGCAATGCTCGACACTCTCGGCCCCTGCGGTACCTGGCCCTGATTCTGGGGCCTGGAATCTTGGCCCGATCAAAGAGCAAATCGCACCCCCGGGCTTCCGTGATATCCCAACCCGATGCCACGCGAGGGGTGGGCTCGATGCGCCGGGAAGGAGTCAATTGTCACATTCGGAGGATTTTGGCTGTTCTTAGCGTCAGGATTAACGAGTTGAATGTTTAGATTGTAGCGCAGTTGTCTAGTCATTTGAGCCCTCTTCGGCCTCTTCGGGAGGCAAATCAGAATTTGCTAGATCAGCCATCGCACCTTAATACACGCCAATATTGCTCCAGCGTCCACCGGTGGCCACTACCCGTTCCTCGCACCCGTCGCATGCTTCCGAGCCCTCACGTTCCTGTTTCAAGGCCCACATGTTCGTGGTTCGCGTGGTGGTTAGGCGCAGCCCGGCCGATTCCCTGCCAATCGATTCCCGGAGTTGCTTCCGCTCTGGTCGTTTGGAGCGGCCCGCGGACGCCACTGAGCAGACGCAGCCGTTCTCTTGGTACGCTAGCCCACTGGTGGTGGTGCTGGTGGTGGTCTAACTGCTACATTGCACTGGCGATGGAGATCTTTGTTACAGGTCCTTCTTCGGACGTTTCCAGCCCGAGGGACATTGTAGGCGAGTCAGTGCGGCGCTGGTCGTGATTCAGACACGTAGTAATAGTACTACTACTTTCTTGGTTCCCCCGGGCCGTCGAGAAAAATCCCGAGTCCTGGATGATGCTTAATCTTTAATTGCTAGCAGGCCATCGTGGTCGTATCCGAAGTCGAGAAGCATCGTTTCCCTGGTTTGGAAACTTTACTTAAACAACGCCGCGGCCGATCATTGCCACGTTTGAACATCCCGAGCGAATCAGTCTGACAAGCAACTGTACCATCCATCCATCATGCAGGCCATGTGGAAGGGCCTCCTGTTGGCGTGCCTCGTGGCGCTGCCAGGAGGCATGGCTGCGTCGTCGTCGTCCTCGTCCTCCTCCTCGACCTCTGTTCTTTCGTTGATGCCAGACTGTGCTGTAAGATGATTCCTTCAACTAAAATGCCTTTCGTAGACCTCGCTGACTCTCTTACAGTTGCAATGTCTCGCAACAGCCCTAGCCGACTCGCCCTGCACGGCAACGAACACAACTTGCATGTGTACCAACGAAGCTCTACAAACACAAATGACGATATGCGTCTCGTCAAACTGCACCGTCAAGGAGTCACTCAGTACGTTTCCAACCCGACAATCCCGATGATCCCTCCATTGACTCGTGTCAGCGACCAAGAACCTAACCATGACGAACTGCGGCGCCCCCATCCGAGACAAGTCGGGCGAATACATCGTGCTCTGCAACACATTTGCAATCATCGCCGGCCTCTTGATCATCCAGCGCTTCATCTTTAAGATCTACCTGAAGATCCCCCTCGGCCTCGATGACTGGTTCATCCTGATCACGGGCATCTGCGCGGCGCCGAGTCAGACCATCAACATATACGGCACCGTGGCCAACGGGTTGGGGCGCGACATCTGGACGATACCATTCGACCAAATCACAAAGTTTGGAATGTACTTCCACGTCATGGCGGTCCTGTACTTTGCGCAGATCCCGTTGCTGAAGCTCTCGCTGCTCTTCTTCTACTTGCGCATCTTCCCGACCAAGGGGGTGCGCAAGCTGCTCTGGGGAACCGTCATCTTCAACGCCGTCTTCGCCGCCATCTTTGTCATCGTCGCCATCTTCCAGTGCCAGCCCATCAGCTATTTCTGGACGAAGTGGGACGGCGAGCACAAAGGGCAGTGCGCCAACATCAACATTATTAGTCTCTCCAATGCCGCAATCAGCATCGTCGTCGACTTTTGGATGTTGGCGGTTCCCTTGGCGCAGCTCAAGGGCCTCAACCTGGACTGGAAGAAGAAGGTCGGAGTGGGCATGATGTTCTGCGTCGGCACTTTGTATGTTTTGCATTCCCTCATTTACTAGACAACTTCTAACTTTGCCATCTAGTGTCACCGTTGTTAGCATTCTTCGACTACAGTCCGTCGTCAAATTCGGCGACACCCCAAACCCCACCTGGAACTACCTCGATGTATCTAAGTGGTCCACCGTCGAGATCAGCGTGGGAATCATCTGCGCCTGTATGCCGTCGCTCCGCCTCCTACTGGTCCGCCTCTTCCCCAAGATCCTGGGAACGTCGCAGCGATACTACGCCAACTACGCCAGCAACACCAACGGCCAAGTAAAAAGCCACAGCAGAAGCAGGCCACTGGGAACAAACGCAACGTCACAGGTGGATGCATCCCACCAGCGAACAGACTCCAGAGGCATCACTTGCTCGCGCACGTATGCTGTCGAGTATGGTGACAATGATGAGACGCAGCTGGTCCACATGAAGGACCTTGATCGAGCAAGCTCCAGATCTGCCGTTTCAAATGTATAACTAGACCAATAGAATAATGATAGAATTTATAGCTTCAATGCCTTTACATCTTATCCGTTCCTTACTCCAACCCAACATTGAGGAAGAAGGCGTACCAAGTCAATCATACTGTTGTAACACTAATGAAGACTGACTTTCGGATAATGTAAAATTTTCTGGCCTGATCTAGGGAGTGCCGCAGCTTGCTTCTGATCAGTAATAATGCCTCGGCAACGCCGTGGAGGGTGGAGAGTTTGCCAATTGAAGCAACAGGGATTTTTCCGGTGATGGTGTGGAGAGATGCCACAAACTTTGCCCCTGCAGACTGCTCCGCGATGCCCCGGAATCGCCGGCATTCGCCTCCAACGGTCCCAAGGCTTGATTTCAGTAAATCTGTCTCGGCACATGATTTATTCTGGGGTAGCTCGCTAGATGCGGTGCGTCGAACGGTCGGCAGCCGTCGTGGTTGACCTACCCTAGACATCTACAGGGAACTCAACTGAGTGCACAAAGTAGTCTAACATCAACACAATTGTATCCATCGCTATTATTTATGTATGATATGTATTTACAAATTTCTCATTTAACCCTTTTACGATCCTGAATCTCGTCGACTCATATTATGCTCCCTCCACTGCCTAAATTCGGGATGGGCGGGCAGTGCAGCAGCTTTCGGGGCCAACTTTGTGAAGGGTCGACTTGTTCAGGCTCTGAGAGGATCGAGGAACGTCGTTGGAAGGGTTGACTTCGAAAAAGTTAACAGGCTTTAGAGAAACTGACAGCTTCTCGACGGGCATCACGGGGAAGTCTAGCAGGATCAGTTAGCGCTTGCAAATATCGCCATCAGCGGACGACATACCTTCAGGTCTAGTCACATGTGTGAGGCCAAAGGAATGCCACAAGACGACGTCTTCGTTCTTGACCGGCTCATCTCGCTCCGCCCAAAGCGCCATGCCAGTATCGTCGCGGCTCTGGTTGGTGAACTCTCCCGAAGCCCACAACTCGTCGTCGCGGTACTTGGTGACCCAAATCGGCTTAGAAGTGAAAACACCGCGGCGGAAGTTGAATGTCTGGGGTCCCATCATTAGCATCTGACTTGGGACGGCGTGAAGTTTGTATCCGTGCGGTTTCCCAGAGATGGAATTGATGCGCGACTCGTTGATGATCTTGAAGACTCGGTTCTTGGTCAGATCCAGATCGTAGCCACCTGGCTTCTCGATTGCGGTCGTGTGAACTCTGAAGGCACAGCCGAAGGGATCGAGATCCGGCTCGTTGGTCACAGGAACGCAGTCATCGTACGCAATGGTGTTCTTCTGGTCTCCATCCAGACAAGGGTCGACACGGAGACAGAACAGATGCTGGTGGTTCACGGCCAGCACGCCCGGCGCAACAACCGTCCCCCAAGGAACCTGGAGGCCCTGGCGGATAGGCATGGTCGAAACAATGCCGGTCGCTCGCACGTCGATGTGGAGGTTGGCGGCTTGGTCCAGAACGAACGCGAGGATGTACTCGTAATTCGCCACAGTCGCAGTGCACTGAACGACGAGCTGGCGGTTTCTGACGACGGACGACTTGTTGTTGCGGAAGTTGGTGTGCTTCCATCCGATGCCATCGTCAACTTCGTGCATGCAGATGACGTTGGGCATGACGACGGGCTTGCCGTCGCCAGAAACCCGGACGCCGCTGAAGTAGGCAATGTGGCCGAGACAGTCACAGCCCAGGCTCAGACTGTTGGACGTGAGGCCAAACCCCGAGTCGCCCAGATCAAACGCCTGCTTTCGGTGGTAAGGCGAGCGAGGATCGCCGTAGGGAACCGTCATCTCGCTCATGGACACACGGTAGAAGAGCGGTCGGCCGTCGTAGCGCACATCATGGAGAACCGGTCCCTCTCGCAGCGTCCATCCCAGCTGGAATGACCACTTTTGCCACTCGACGCGACGTCCAAATATGTTGAACGAAGGTCCCTCTGGTTGCGTGATTTGGAGAGGCTTCACGTCCTTCCGGAACGCATCCTCGCCCATGATGTTTGCGCTGTACTCGACGGGCTCGACAGGATCCCAGGGCTGAGTCTCGACGTCGAGAAGGTCGTTTGATCCCATGGGAAGTCTTTGGAGATCTACCAACTCCAGTGTATGCGCGTCAAAAATGGGCGCGAGAGGGAGTGGGATCGAGTAATGGTTTGCTTCGTCGTCCTCTGACATGGCCGCGTACATGTAGCATTGGAAGAGGCGCCGCCTTTCTTTAGAGCTGTCTGTTCCAAACGCCCAAGGATCATTCTCAATGCGAGCACTACTTCGATTAGTGATTGTTCAGGTGGAATTGGGATTGACGAGGGAGCTTACTGAGGGGGAAGCTTGAGTTTGGCAACCTCGGCGAGGACTTCAGGGTGGGAGATGCATGCTCGATTGATGAGCTCGAACTCGACCCAATCCACAGGCCCTTGAGAGTCTGGAGCGCCATAAGTTCTCTCAACGCGATCCCTGGTTATGTTGACAATGGCAATCATGAGAGTTTGGCTGGTCTTGAGGTGGTAGTACACCCTGGCCTTTCGGTCCGGCGCGGGTCCGTTGTGATGAAGGTGCTGAAGCGTCAAGTCCTTGGGAGGCTCAGCGAGGTCGACAACCTTGAATCGAACCTCGCCCTTCGCGCCTTGGAGTTTCTTGACAAGTGTTTGTGAGGCCGCTCGCACCTCTTCAACCGTCAATGGGTCGAGAGGGTGCGGGTTGGACTTGGAGGCAAATGAAGACATGTCGATTGCAATTGCTAATGTTAAGGAGGAAACAATTGAAGAAGAGCTTGTCTTTCCATACAAATCTGGAAATATGTCATGTTTTTGAGGCATGTTTATACCCGTCGTCGGCCTTGACAATTGTGAGCCTCATGATTTGGAACTCGACATCTCCACTCCCGCGTATGAGGCGCAGATTGCCGATTGGACTTCTGGAGCCGGCCTTTCCCAAAGAGGAACCACTGCCAACTGCATGATCGCAGGCGTGCAAGCGGAGATCGGCATGCGCACTAAAGATATGATTCATGTGCCATGTTGGGAAAACGGGGCCCCTCTGACGGTGCCGGAATATACCATGATGGGTATTGTTGCCCCCTCTCCCCCATTCGGGAGGGTCCCCAGCTCTTGCCGAGAACCCCTGGCAGAGATACGATGGATGCATTACGCAAGAGACGATTACTATCCGATCATCGCGCCCGCTTGAGCTTCGTGGCGGTTTCGTATCACCGAGTCGATTGATAAGTACACCCTTGACCCGAGTACGTCTTGGAAATAACACCATTTCCATCCCCAAAGATAAGCCATTCAACTCCGGCAATGCCTGACTTTCAAGGACTCGACCTGACCGGCAAGACGGCCATTGTCACTGGCTCCTCAAGGTAGGACTGCCTCGCTCTTGATACAGGTCATTCCCGATACTGACTGGACACATTGAACAGGGGAATTGGAGCTGCCATTGCCATCCAACTTGGAAAGCGCGGAGCCAATGTCGTAGTCAACTATACCAGCGCAAAGAGCCGAACACGGGCCGAGGAAGTCGCCAAGAAGATCCAGTCTCTTGGCCCGAAGGCATCAGTTTGCGAAGCCAGTGTGGCGAATATCAAGGACATCCCGAAGCTGGTGCAGAGTGCCTTGGAGCTGAGCGAGACTGGAAAGATTGAGATTCTTATCCACAAGCAAGTTCATCCGATGATGCAGCTTCGAATTTGTTCGTAGTCTGTGAAACGGAGCTGATATTTCCACAATAGTGCCGCCCTAGGCGTTGACGCAAACCTGGATGAAGTAACTGAGGATCTGTTTGCCACCCACTTTGATACCAACGTCAAGGGTACGATTTTCCTGACCCAGGCCGTCATCCCTCACATTGCTCGCGGCGGCCGAATAGTCTTCGTCTCTTCGGCAGCTGCCAGACTCGGCGTAGCCGGCCAAACGGTCTATGGCGCGACCAAAGCCGCCGACGAGGCCTTGGTTCGGGTCTGGGCGAAGGAACTTGGGCAGTCCCACGACATTACCGTAAACTGCGTCAACCCGGGCCCTGTTGCTACCGGTGTGCCGCATAATTCCTTTAGCATTTTCAGAAAGCGCCCGCTGACATGGCATAGATCAATGGACCGAGAGTGACGACCAATTCCGCGAGGATATGCAGCCGCTGATCGAGTCGACGCCAGCCGCGGCGAGGATTGGCGAGGTGGATGATATCGCACCCCTTGTTGCGTTCCTCTGCACTGAGGACGCAAGGTGGACCACGGGCTCTGTATTATCTGCAAACGGAGGTCTTTATAATTAGGACTGTGATTTTAGAGTAGGAGCAGAACAGAGTCAGCTTGTTGGAAGAGAAGTGACTTTAGGTACATTGATAGAGAATCCGACGGTCATACATTCAAAGACTGGATCTCAATGTGTCGTGTTGAATCTTTGAAGCCATTTGCAAACAACAGGTCCAAATATATGCATAAAATGATCTAATACCCGTTTTATTAGTCCTGCTAAACTCATCTACTTTGTTACCGGGGGGGATGCTGACATCGAGTACCTGTGCATAATATTCCTCAACAATTCAACTCAAACTCTTTGTCTCTAGAAATCAGGAGACATCTATTTGAGAATCTCAACACGAGAGGCTGCATGAATTTTGAAAGCAAGGTTATTCTATTTGTTCTCTGTTTCGAATACCAAACGCACCATTAGCTTGTGAGAAACCGTTTATTGCCAAAGCCGATTGGCCACTATCACTCAATCTTGTCCAGCGGCGTCACCTTCTTGACGACCCGAGCCGGAGAACCTAGAGCAACGCTCCACGGGGGGATATCTCTTGTCACAACCGAGCTGGCTCCAATTGTGCACCCCTCACCAATGGTGACGCCAGGTAGGATGACGACGGCACCCCCGATCCAGCAATCATCTCCAATCGTTACCGGTTTTCCAAACTCTATGTTTTCTCTTCGGCTCGCGACTTCGACCTCGTGGGTTGCGGTGGTGATGACGACGTTGGGGCCCATCATGACCCGATCTCCGATTGTCACAAGTGCGACGTCCAGGATCGTCAGCTGGAAGTTGCTGTAGAATCGTTTGCCGAGGGAGATGTTGCATCCGTAGTCGATGTTGAACGGCGGCTCGATGTAACACTCGTCGTCTGCAATACGGCCCAGACGCTGACGGAGCATCTCCAGCCGCGCCTTTGCGAGGGTCTCCGGGGTGGCTTCTGGATCGTCGGGGAAGTAATGGTTGTACTTGTGAGCCCAGGCTCGGGCCTTGAATCGTGCGGTGTCGAGTTCAGGTACGAATGAGTTGTACCTGTAGCAACGTTGGTGAGCCAGGCTGCTTCTCAAGATGCGATATTCCACTCACAGCATGCCTGATATCATCTTTTCGTACTCCTCGCACCGGGGCACATGGGCCAGGGCAGTGGACTTCTCCAGCTCAACGGGTGACTTTTCCGACGTAGCCATTGTATCGATTTGAGCGCTGTCCAAGGCAACTTTAGGAGGTGGCAGGATTGAATGTCAAGATCTAGGAGAAAGAGGGAAATAATGAGTGGAAGAAAAGATGTCTCCAGGTTCAACTTGGTCATACATTACATGGCGGGTTGGCAACTGGGTCGAGTCTCGTACCTGCCTGTCGACGACTAAGCCAAATATGGATGTACTACCAGCAGCTCCTTCCACGGACAAACCGACCCCGGAGCCCCACTTGGCTTCCGCAACTTGGTGTCCTCTCATGCATGTCGCCGGGACTCGGCCCTCTACGCCGCACTAACAACTGCAGCCGAATGTTGACGCCGCATTGATTAGAAGAAGAGATACGCATGCTGGGACTGGAGCAGTGAGGAACATGTCTGCAATGCGTTAGTGTGCCAACTGCCAGTCAGATATGAGCTACATACGAATTCCATCCAAGGAACGTTGGACCAGCCGTTTGGATTGGACCGTCGCCCTTCCCAGACTTTGGTCAGCATTTCCGTCATTGCCGGATGCTGAAACCCTGTCGAGTGCTTGATCTCGCCAACACACCAGCTGGTATAGTGCGTCTGATGCGAAGAAGATGTGTCGGCTCCGGCCAAGAATAAGGGAAACAGGAGCCGCTTGTAGAATACCGAGTCCCTTGGAACCGCGGCACAGACGTCAAGGATGGCGGCAACTGACGCCTTGATCCGGTCGTCTTCGCACGATAGCGCAAACGAATCGGGGAAACGGAGCACGCGTAAGAGACAGGCGTGTCGGTATGCCTCCGCCAGGTGCTTCCATTCTGGATGCTTCGTGGGATAGACTGCCTGATCAGGGTCCCAACCGCGCAGGAACTTCTCCGCGTCGTCAAGGACAAGCTGAAACTGGTCCAATGATAAGCTTCCATTGAGATACTTCTTTCCAGCCTCCAAGACTTGACCAATCCGGTGGAAGATGACCGGTGGGCAGCCAACTAGGGTGTGCAAGCTTAGGCTGCCGTGATCCCTGACGCACTTGCGCACCTCATCAGAGTACGCAAGCTTCTCCGCGCCGCTGAAACCTCGTAGCATGTCCAGCCTGGCCTAAGTTAGCGGAGTATGCGGGGAAACTGGTGGCTGTCAAACTTACCATGCGAGAGCGGAGATAAAGAACATGCTAGCCGGAGATCGCGTTGAGAAGTCAGGCGGGCAGGCCAATCTTGCGCACAGGAACGCGATGCCGGTCAGGTGAGCTCCGTGGGAGGAGATGCCAGTCTCGCAGATCTGTAGAACACTAGGCATTAGTTAATCTTCAGGGAGGTAGGGTTAAGATAATCATACGTCATGGAAGACCAATAAGAGGACCATTGCCAAAACAAACTCCTCCTCGGAGCTTGAAAGCCCCTCCATCTCTTCCTTAAGCAGCAACGAGCCGAGGGAGCGCAGAGCCAAGACTCGGTATCGGAGCGCCGTCGTCACGAAGTGCTGGCTCTCATCTGTCCCAGACAGGTGCATGTGGCATGCTGAGAACCCGAGCAGGGCGTGCAATACGCCCTGGTGTTGATACGCGAGCGGCAAGACGTGGTCCCTGAAGGGATTTTCTGTCCCCTCAGTATGGATTGTGAGATGTTTACTGAGCTTACGGTCAACTAGATACTGTTAGACTGATATGGTATAAGAAAGAGGGAGCTCACAGTGAATAATGAGAGTTTGGTTTGTCAGCAGATCGTGGTCGAGGTCTGGGCTGCCGGTGAGAGGAGTGGTGGGTCCCTGAGGAGGCGATGCCAATGGTGGCGATGGTGATATCGGCGACGGTGGTGATGAGAGACTCAGGCCGGTGGCATCCAGGCTGAACTCATCAGGAGAGAAGGATGTATCATGAGACTGAGTTTGCACTGAAGCTGTCATCAACACCTCCGTCAACGCCACTCCCGATGGCGACTGGTTGGAAACTGGAAGTGAGCGGGACGGTGACGGTGGATTGCTACCGCGCCTCGGCCGACTGCTGGAACTTCCACGCTCCGATACCGTGACCATCTCGCAGAACTGGAATCTCGGGGGGTAGCCCTCGCAGTGCAGGCCTTTGGTCCGGCATCTGTCGCAGATTGGCCGCTTGCGGTCGCATTTGCGGCACTTTTTGCGACACGTTCCGCATGCTGGATCTGGCCCGAGAGAAGTACCGTCAGCCGACAGGAATCTTGGTCTTTGTCGACGCGAAAGCGAAATCATGACGTCGATTTGGAGCCCCTAAGTCGAACGAGAGCGGCCCACGGTGGGCATTGGAGAGAAGAAGTCCGGGCGATGACTGACCTTTGCGGCGGGCAGTTGGGCCCTTGACCAAGGTGATCTCGGCTGTCATTATTTCCGTGTTGAGAAGCTCCGGATGCCGCGGCTGGGCGCTGAGATTGCGATAATTGCGACACGTCCAGGCTGTCGCATCGGCTTGGAGGATGTTGGGAGGAAATAGTTCCAGCCAAAGCCAATTATGGAGTCGCGGCGCAGGTGTGCGGGGAGCAGTGCCGCTTCTCCTAGCGCCTTGATCTCGCCACCGACATCATCAGGGGCCAATGATTTCTGTTGAACATGAAGACGAAGTGAGCTTTCAAATGTCCAATTTACTCTCTGTTTTACCTCTGCCACCGGTTTTGGCTATTTTACTCATTAGAATAAGCGCAACAATCCACCATTGGCATTCTACGGCGACCATTTGTTCAGCTTACACAGATTGCATTATTTTTTTCATGTGCCCGATATGTCTAGAAATACACACATCCTTCAGAAGTCGGTTGGCCCGCCTTTGAGCTCCGGCCGCAAGAGGAAAATCGGATCTACCTGGTCTACATAGCCGCACGCAGGGTCGCTCAGCGAATAGCCCATGAACGCCTGAGTCGGGTGGTCGTACTTGACGGCAGCCTCCCGCGGCACGGCCAAGAACTGGTTCTCTTCTTGGCGCAGAAAACCACGGATGGCAAAGGTTGCGTACACCAGACGGTGCTGGTCTTTGGTGCTGTTTGTGCCGCCGCCGTGAAAGGCCGATGCAAGCATGATGAAGGCATCGCCCTTGTCCATGTCGGCAAAGATGCAATCTTCAACGCGAGGAGGTCCTTGCTTCGTTCCCCTGTAGAAAACATGACCTCATTAAGAATTGTGTCGATCTGAGGAAAGGGAAATGCTTACCAGAGATGGCTGCCAGGTATGAATTGAGTCCCGCCATTCTCCTTTGTGACCTTGCATCCGGCGACAAACAGTCCAACAGCAGTCTCACGGTTGGCATCTCGCTCATCGTCCCACTGGTCAATCTGCTCGTGGATGTTGTGGCTGATGTAATCATCGCGGTGCAGGGGCTGCGCCTTTCCGCCTGGCCCGATCCTCATTGCGGTGCAGGAGTGGACATAGGGCCTAGAGACGGATTCCTTCCTCTCGTCTCCCCACCAGAACCAACTCCGCGTGGTGAGGAAGTGGTCGACAACGGCCTGGTAGAGTGGGTTCATGACCTGGGTCTTGGCGTAGCTTGGGCTCAAGGCGAGCATGGCCGGGGCTCGCTGAGTCTCCTCTTGAGGGGTTGGTCAGCATGATATGTATCTAGAATTTCAACGAGTGGGCGAATAATCTTACTAGGAAAGAAGTTGCCATCCCACGCGACATCGGCGTCGAGACGATGGCGGCATTCCGAGTACGTCTCGTCGAGATCGGCGTCTGAGACAAGACTCTTGATAAAGATTCCGCCGTCGCGCTTGAGGAGGTACAGAATGTCCTCAATTGGCGTATCAGCTGGAACCTTCTGGACTTCAGGTCCGTACTTATCAGCGAGACTAGCCATGGTAATAAGCGGCGTTTAGGTGTGGAAAGGATGATTCAGGTGACAGGGGATGCCGGTGCGTTGGTACAATCTCTGGGGCTCTACTCAGATTGCTTTGACTAGGGAATGGAAGTTCCGTTTATATCTCAGGGTGAGAACCAAAAAGCATCCTGTGAGCGATTGAAGTTGTGTGGTCATGACCCCACGGCGATGCATAATACGTCGCATTGAAGATACTTCCGCTTTAGGAAGTACTCCCAGCCTCCAACAGCTATATCCTAGAACGGCAAAAACCCAAGCCACTACGTCGACGATGTGGGGAATTGCAGCACTCGCTAAGCGGAATCCACAGCCGAAGGACGCCTTCGTCCTTATCATCCATGTAATTTCTGGTCTAGAGCCAGGATGCCCCCGCTTGAACAAGGAGGCCCGCATCCGAGATTCTGCCCAGGTGTACTCCGTAGACCCCTCGCCGTTGAGATGCGCCTCTGTCGCCTATCTGAAATCCGGGGCAAGACCAAGCGGAACCCTGTTCATGATACTATCGCCCCCCCTGCGCGGCCGTCCTGGGCGCCAATCATTGCTGCGACTGCTATCGAAAACGATATGGGTGTGATGCGCACGGGACGACCGTCGAGACGCCTCTCCAAGAGATACAGCGATGACAGACATTGCGTCCTGGCCTTCCACTTGATCATGGCTGATTTAAAGACGCTTGTGTGCCACTGATACAACTCAATCGCCGCGCACCGTTTGCCACCAGCTGTGTCCAAGCCATATCAATTTCCAATACATTCATCTATGCTTAAGACACATTGACATTGTTGAAAACATTTACCATTCTTATACCCAATAACAATCCCCTATCAAATTGATCTCTGTGTAGCAATGTCGTCTACGGAGAAAGACACAATGGAAACGAAACAGGAGAAGGATAATCACGACCGCGAGAGCATTGCCCACGGCAGTATTCTTGGCGCCGACATCGACGATGCCGTTCTTAGGGCCAATGGCCATGCTTCTGATTTGAAACGTCAATTCAACTGGCTGTCAGCCCTGGGGCTGGGATTCTCCATCACCAACTCGTGGGTTGGATACCTGGTAAGCCAACTCAAATGAGTCCATTGATTGTTGTCCCCGAGCAATTGGAATCGCTGACATGTCCTTAGAGCAACTTCGGCCAGAGCCTCATCTATGGCGGACCGCAAGTCTGTATCCTGGGACTGGTTGTCGCCTTTGTGGTCCAATTCATCATCACCCTTGGCCTGGCCGAGATTGCCTCTGCCTTTCCTGTAAGACCCAAATATTTGCATTTGGAGCCACTCCCCAGGCTAACATCTGAATCAACAGTCAACGGGCGGACAGTATCATTTCTGCTATATCCTGACTCCGGAAAAGTCGAAGCGATTCACTGCTTTTGTCGTTGGTTGGATGTCTACTTTGGCGTGGTGGATCGTCACGTAATAACCCCTTCCCTCTCGACGACCAAGACAGCGCCTAATCAAACAAATTAACAGCTGCTCTGGCATCTCCCTCGCCGCGGCAACTCTCTCTGGGATGATTAGCTTCTTCGAACCCGACTTTGTTGTTCAGCGATGGCAGATCTACCTGCTCTACGTTGCGGTTGCTTTGATCACAGGTACTTTGACTAAACGCCCACCCCATATTAGAACTCTAGGGACGGAAGCTAATGCATTTATAGCGGTACCCGTTTTTGTGGCCTCAAATCGACTCGCAATTGTGGTCCAGACCTCGCTTTTCCTCTCCTTGGTAGGAATGGCTCTCACGCTATTTGTGACCACTGGGATGCACGACCATACAAACAAGGGATCTTTCCTGGTTCAGTCCGGTTTGGGTACAAGCGGTTGGAATTCAGGTACAGGTTGGATGCTGGGAATTGCCAACTGCATGTATGCGTTCGGAGCAACCGATGGAGGTGGGTCACCTATATTCCCAGGCAAGGATCGCTTCTAATCTTTGAACAGCTATTCACATCAGCGAGGAGATGTCGCAGCCGGGTCGCCGAGTCCCCCAGATTATCATCATGACAATGATGATTGGCCTAATCACTACTCTTCCTCTATTTATCGCCCTCATGTACTTCATGACGGATCTCGAAGCAGTGACTTCGTCTCCCCTTCCCAGTATGGAGTTGATTTACCAGGCGTAAGTTTGCCCCCCAGCATGTTGGAAGTCCTTACAGCTAACAAACTGTCCTTAGTACTGGGAACAGAAATGTTACGATTTTCCTGGTCTCTTGGATTTTGGCCGTATACGTCAGCAAGTTGCACCCCTGGATCCTCTTCTATTGATCCCATATTCTAACGCATTTCAAATAGTGGCTCTTCCATCCCAATGGGTGAGTAGTGGTCGCATTGCCTGGGCATTTGCCCGAGATGTAAGTCAAAAGAACCATCGAATCCTGATACCCTAAATCCAGACCTAATTCATGTTAGAACGGTGTCCCGTACTCGAATTACTTTGCCAAAATCGACAAAAGACTTGGTTTTCCAATTCGCACGACCGTCGCCTCCTTCGTATTTGTTCTACTCTATGGACTTCTATATCTAGCCTCCACCAATGCTTTCAACTCCATCGTTACCTCGGCTGTACTTTTTCTCAACATTACATACGCGGTGCCGCAGGGAATCCTTCTCTTCCAGGGCCGAGAGAAACATCTTCCGCCCAGATATCTTAACCTGGGGTGGTTTGGGTATGTGTGCAATGCTTTCTCAATCATGTGGATTGTGGTGCTGGGTGTGCTTGTCTGCATGCCCCCAAGCCTGCCAGTCAGAACGGCCACGATGAATTACATCAGTGTTGTGACGGTGGGACTGTTTAGCATTATTATTGCACTCTGGTTCGCAGATGGACGCAAAAAGTTTGAAGGGCCACATATCGATTGGGAGCTCATGAAGGAGGCCAACATGCAAACGCTCAAGGGAGGGGACAAGGGCGCTGGTATTTAGCACGAAGTACCTATTTGGACATGATTGAGTTGGATTACTGAAAGAACCAGGGGGTGTTTGTGTGGGGGCAATGGAATAGTGAGATGAATAGTTCGATCCAAGATTTCGTAGCAAACTATTTACTTGATTCATGTGAACTGAGTCTTGAACGGCGCGACACGTTTCGGCTCGATCTAACTGTCCCACTGGGAGAATAATATCCGTCATGAGCTCCTTCTTGTCCAATTGATAATAGAACCGAATGACCAGGAGAAAATTTAGAAAAAAGTGGAAGGAGTAAAGAATACATCATATGAATGTGGGGTTTAAATACTTATTAGGACAGTTCTCTTCTGAACCACTTGGTTTTCATTCCAAATGAACTATCTTCTAGTGATCCTTCAACTACACTCTTTCTCTCAGTATCCTCCTCAGCCAACCATTTCTAGTCCTAATGGCCTCAGCCCCCAGCTCTGTGGAGAAAAACAAATCAAAGCCGTGACACCCTCCACCAGAAACATGCAAGTCGGCTTGCACGCCGCATTCCCATAACTTCATGGCATATGAAATATTCTCATCGCGAAATGGTTCACCCGATCCAACATCGATATAAGCGCGGGGGAGGTTTGACAGGTCATTTGCCCGTCCAGGGGCGACGTAGATGCTGACGTCGTCAGTTTCAGGGTGAGAGCCTAGGATGCAGGACCACGCATATCGGTTCCAAGCAGTGTAGAAGCCCCTGCCATCTTCAAACTGGAGGCTCGAAAGGTTGGTGCATCGGTCGTCGAGCATTGGGCAGACAAGCAGCTGGGCGCAGACCCTTGGTCCTTTGCGATCTCTCGCAAGAAGTGCCGTTCCCGCGGCAAGCCCTGCACCGGCAGAGACCCCCGCGATCATGAAGCGATCTAGGTCGACATTGTACGCCTCCAGGTTTTCCGACATCCACACGAGCGAGGCATAACAGTCTTCGACTGCCGCAATGCCGGGGTGGTCTGGAGAAAGACGATAATTGACGCTGATGATCACGGCATCCATCTCCTTTATAAGATGACTGACTGCGGAAAGACCGACATAAACATTTCCCATCACCCTTCCTCCACCATGGATGAACAAGATGCCAGGCCGAGGCCCCCCTTGCACCTTGGAGAACTTGTGGGTCAAGACAATAGCCGAGATTTTCTCATCTGGACTTGGGATGACGATATCCACGATTGATATCGCTGGATCATTGTAGATGGCTTCGTCTCGAGGTGGTTCTTCTTCGCGTAGCTCGAGCAGCTCATGGAACCCGGAGGGAATCGGTCGGTGTTGGGTATCTTCGACGGCCAGGATTTCAGGGTCGTAGGGAGGGAGAGGAAAGGCTTGTGTGGCTGTGTGAGTCCCGGCCATAATTTCGTTCGCTGAGTACGTGGTGTGGAGGACCGGGATGAGCTGCGATTGATCCTGGAGATTATTGTTGGTAGACTTGACGGCTCGTAGAGGCTTGGATGGTGATAGCAAGTCACAGAAGACCCAAGATAAGACATATGTGGATGGGACTAGAACATGCGATGGACGAACATCAGCTGAATTCTACGGCTTGCGTTCACTAAACTTAGTCTGGTTGAGGTTTTGTCCCATTTGGGACCTGCTGTATCATTTTCTACATTGGGTGCCCAAGAGCGATCCTGGGGATCGAACTTGATAACAATCCCGACTAAGAGTTATAAGTGCTTGGCAATCACGGAGCCGCAGGGGGGGACGGTGAAGGTGCGTGCGGGAGGTGAATGTGAAGGCGGGGGGTTGGATTTCGTTTTCAAAAGGGAAATTGGCCCAACTGCCGACAGGATCGGATCCGCAGTCGATTTGTAGATTTGATCATTTGTCGATATCTTGGGTTTGAATTTCCTATCAATTCAGAAGTGGGATGCTGTTCCATTAACGGCATAAGTACGCGGAACGCACTCAGTGCAGCGCTGGTGGTGCTGTGTGGTGGCTGACAGCGGACTTGCCATATTGAGAAATACCGGCCGCGTGATGTAATGGCGGAGATGGCGAGTTGAGATCTTATGGGACGACGTTGATCAAGCTGAAATAAATTCTGCATCTGCTTCAATTCGCTTTGTCAAACGGGCAGTCAAGATTGTATCTACCTCTACGTCATTTGTAACGTCGCTTTACCAAATCTCATCTCTTGCATCTTCTTTGCTTGGCACTTCGAACTGCCCAATATGGCCTCCACCAACACCGTCACCGTCACCCTCCAGCAGGTGGCCAAAACCATTGACCACTCGCTGCTTCATCCCACCATGACCGATGCGGAGATTCTCGAAGGCATCAAGATCGCGCGAGAGCACAAGGTCGCTACGGCCTGCGTCAAGCCATACTCCATTCCCTTGGCCAAGAAGGAGCTCGAGGGCTCAGGCGTTCTCGTGTGCCCGGTCATTGGCTTCCCGGCGGGCAACTCGACCACTGAGGTCAAGGTTTTTGAGGCTACCGCTGCTGCAAAGGCAGGTGGCCAGGAGATTGACATGGTCGTCAATGTTGGCAAGGTACTCGGCGGAGAGTGGGACTACGTTGCGGAGGAAATCCGCCAGATCAACGAGGCCGTTGTCGGCGAAGGCGCGATTCTAAAAGTCATCTTCGAGAATGATTACCTCCAAGACGAGCACATCATCAAGCTTTGCGAGATTTGCTCCGAAATCGGCGTCGCCTTCGTCAAGACCTCCACTGGATACGGCTTCGTCAAGCAGGCCAACGGCCAGTATTCGTACAAGGGAGCCACCATCCCTCAGCTCAAGCTGATGCGAAAACACTCCAAGCCCGAGGTTCAGATCAAGGCTGCGGGCGGCATCCGCACACTCGACGGCTTGTTGCACGTCATCTCCATTGGCGTTACTCGCATTGGAGCCACTGCCACGGTGGCTATTATGAAAGAGGCTGTGGCAAGGGGAATCACTGACCAGCCTACCACGGTGCAGTTTACCCCGATAGACGATAGCTCTGCGGGCGGATATTAGGTTGGGGCGAAACAGGACACTGGGTTGGGCAGGAAATTATGCATCTGAAGTTGAGTTAAATCGACATGTTTTAAATTCCATTCGGTTCATTTCTAAAGGCCGGGGACGCATGTGTCCCTTGAACCCGTATTGCGTGCAAATGCTTCGCTGAGATGCCTCCTCCTTGCGTTCAATCAGAAGACATGGATCCCCACCACCGAGCGTTTAGTTTTATTATAAAAAGCCAATGATCTCAATGGATACGATGAATTCAAATACGGTATCGCGTCCCATCGCAGCATCTGAGTTCACTGACACCAGAGGCAGAAACGTCATTGAACCGGCTCCTGCACAACACCGCTCAAACAAAATGACGCACCAAACACCCAAACACGCCTCCGGTGTGGTTTTTAGGCCTAAGGATGCCCCAGGCAGAAACGCGTTTGGTCTTCGCGCTGGCAGTGGCTGGCCGGTTGGCAGCCAGCTGGCAGGCCCATTGTAAGCTCTAAATCACAACTGCACCACAACCCTTCTTCTTTTTTCTCACCTGCATCACTTTTCCCCCGTCTTTACCGATTTTTGTCAACCTCAGTGGTAGCTTTGTTCAACTCCTGCCTTCCAAATCCTCCCAACCACCGCTTGTTTCTTGCCCTCCATCCTTCCACGGAATTTGACCATCGCAATCATGTCAGCCAACAATTCATCACTGCTGGCCAGGCTTCTCGACACTGGCGAATTCAGTGATTTTGTTCTTCTCTGCCAGGGAAAAGAGTTCAGGCTACACAAGGCTATTGTGTGTCCCCAGTCGTCCGTGATGAAAGCTGCGCTCGATGGTGGGTTCCAGGTGAGCTTTTCTTCTTGCATCATTCCATCGAGAGATGCTTACTTTACGGGCAGGAGGCGCAGACTGGCACGCTCAAGGCCGATTCTTTCGACATCAGCACTGTCCAGAGAATGGTGAAATTCCTTTACAGTGGCAGTTACGACGTCAAGTTTCCCGAGGCTGCTTCTGCCAACCCCGCGGGTGCCCTGTTTGGAGTCACGAGCAAGCCCAGCTCTTCTCTCAGTACTGGCAGTCTATTTCCCAATCCTTCTTCCACCTTCCCATTTGGCGGTAACAAGCCAGTCAAATGGTGCGGTTTCAAGGTCGAAAACACCCCAGTCGTCGATAGTAAGCGTCATCTACTCAAACCAAACTTCCTCCTCCTTTCTACGGATCAATATTAACAATCAAAGCAGCTTCCGAACTTCCTGCGTACAAACCAGACACCGAGCCCGTGGTTCCAAGCAAAGAGCCACTGTTGATAACGACTGAGATGGCAACCCTCCTTTGTCACGTTCGTATGAACGCTATCGGAAATTACTACGACATTCCACCACTCCTGAAGCTTGCCAACCGCTATATCGAGTCGATCTTTCGACAAAACTGGTCCGCGGATTCATTTTCGGACGTTGTCATTGACGCTCTAAAGCGCACAGGCGACGAGTCTCTCCACACTATCATGTCCACCACGGCCAGTGATCATATCTCAGAGCTAGTTCAGTCCAACAATTTCGCAAGGCTCAAATCAGACGGCGATTTCATGTACAAAGTTTTGAAAAACTGCGGCAATCGAATTCGGCAACTCGACGAGAGTGTGCAAAACCTCACAACGATTTCAACTATGAGTGAAGCCAACGCAAACAAAGCCCCTACCATCATTGCCGCGATCGACCAATGCCTGAACAATTTGAAGCAGACGAGAAATTGTCGCAATTGCAACCATTATTTCAGTTGTTACATCCAAAACACTGGCAGTGGTCTCGATCCGGTGTACACGCTTCGTTGCGCCGACTGTGAGTGTCGACATGTTTGAGACACCGGCCATTACTGGCCCATTGCCTTTCCGTTCGATTGCGGTCCAGGTAGGATCTGGACTACGATTTCTGTTCTGTATCATCGCCATTTGATATCTTGTAATCGCTCCACGCCCCAGTGGTGCAGGAGCAGGTTTCTGATATTGAGTTCGAGTCTTTGTCATTAATTTCTGAGAAATCTGTTCCAAGGGGCTGTGTTTGGAAGGATAGTTGAGGGTGACGTACGGACGGGGCGTTGCACCATGTATCTCGTGTTCAATGCGAATACCGCGTCAGTTCTAAATACATTCTCGCACTCTTAGACCCATTCACTCATCACCCTAATTAACAGTAGTGTGGCTTAACAATGCAATGTGATTTCGATGCTTGTGAGACAGAAAGAAAGTCCCTGCTTCAAGCGCGCCGAACCACCCTCAGCTGCCCCACGTAATTTTATTCTCACTTACCTGAGTTTCATAGTGAAAGTTGCTTATTCGTAAAAACGGGGATTCCAGCTTTAGGCAGCATTGGGAACGTATGTCTCTCCTACTCGCCACATGTTCAAAGCGATCGCAGTTCCTCCACCAAAAACAACGCAACAATACATCGCCATGTCTCGAAATATTTATTTGATCAAATCTCGCAATTCGTCAAGAATGCGCGCCCACTTTGGCATCCTCATTCCGAATACTGATACCTGCACTCAAGATCTCCATCTTCACACGACGGACCCGGAAACCCCACCATTCCTTGGCACAGTCATCCATGTTATCGGAGCGCCCATGGCTGGGTTTCACCTCGAGTTCAAACGCAATTTTGATGCAAATAGAGATCAGGAATTGAAAGAGGTTATTTTAGTTGGGTCTATCAATGGGATCCATGTGGCCGATCCTCCCTTCACAAACTTTTCAAGAGAGGACAAACCTATCTGCACCGTGGAAGCAGTTGCTACTCAAATACCTCCTCCAAGGAAGAGTGAGAATTTCCTCGCACCCGTCAACGACGTAAGTTCCGCCCTCTCTCATTCGAAACTTCTATTTACACTCTATGAAGGCAACAAACAGGAGGTGCCAGGAGTGGACGATGGATTTTGTTCGACGACTGGTGGAACTTGAATATGTTCCATCTGAAGCTGTCCAGATAGTTCAGAGTCACCGAGATCCGCCGGAGTTTGGAATCGACCTGCGCCCTTTAAACCAAGAGGATTGATGAATATCGGTGGATTTTTTTAATCGTCTACGGAATGATCGATGGATGTTACTGCCTGGTGATTTCAGCCGAGGCATCTTGAAATCCCAACCAGCCTCTCCGCTTATAACGGCATTGACCCACACCAAATGGACAGAGTGAAGGGTATGGTTTCACGCGACAAGTTAAGTTAGACTGATGATAAGAGTTGGCCAACTAGGCATCCTCTTTTGTATTTGTTTGTCCCACGAATAACAAAAAAGCACGTTACTTCAACTGACAAAAGTTCTTCATGACAAATCGCGATTGTAACACCTCCCCACATTCCATGTATGTGGTGTGTTCCTCCGTCCAGGCACCGATATTTGTTCCCCCAACTGCGCCACGTAACCTGGACCAAATCGGAAGGTCGTAAAAAACATGACACCTATTTCGGAATAAGGCCTCATTCGCAGAAATACACCAGCTTTATAAAATACTCACTGTCTTCCTGAAGACTTGTAGTAAAAAAGGTCTTCACAACTCAACATCAGCCGATAAATTCATTACCAAGCACCATGCCTCCTTACAAACTTGAGTTCCCTTGCACCGTCGACGACGGTGCTGCGCTTGCTAAAAGCAACATATCGGCCTTTTGGGAACAAACTTGGTGGAGCATCTTGTGGCCCAATAGAACCCTCGATTCTCTCATTGAAGCTGCCGGCGCAAGAATGCCTAAACTCCTATTGAAGGAGCGCGACATTCGCAGACATCAAAAGGTCATTGATGTGGAGTCTGGTGAAATCGTTGGGTACGCCAGATGGTTCTTGCCGGCATCGCGAAAGGGAGAATGGCTTGAAGCGCAGACGCCGGACGTTAGCGACGAGGAGAAGAGAGCCTTTAATAAGCCTTACGAAAGGGCAGACTGGAGCTATCGAGAAGACATGGGATCTCTTGACGACCACATCCATCAATGGAGACGAAAGTACGAGCATGGCGATGTCATTGGTAAGAAGCTCCAGAGATTCCGGCAATAGTCGCAACGCTAACAATTCAGTGCTTGACTATCTTGGCGTTCGTCCAGACCATCACCGACGAGGTGTAGGGTCCATGCTCGTCCAATCTGGCGTTGAAATGGCGAATAGTCTCGGTTTGGACATCCTTCTAGTGGCGATGGGACGAAAGGCGCTCGGGATGTACCTGAAGGCTGGGTTCGAATTACTTGACGAGGCCTCTCATGATCTCACACCGTACGGAGCTAATGAGAGCTACGAAACATTCTACGTGGTGAAGCGGGCAACTAAGGAGTGAATTGGTTTGGCTTAATCTTAATACTGACAGTTATGGTGCGACAGATCTAGTACATGAAATTAATCAGAATAATACGTATCTTTTCTTTGTAACTTGTGCTCGACATTTTCTTTTATGTTGAGTATTGTCATTTGCAACCACAGTTATATGCCCCAACGCCAAGAGATTTATCGATAACACATCCGAGATAGCTTTCAAAATGTATATTTAGTGAGACTATTCTTAGTATTTATCCTTCCTCGTTATTATTTTAAATTTTTAGTTAACTAATAATTAATAAATCCAGCCCCTTCGCCGGTTAATATCCGCCAGACAAATTTATTCAGCTGAGTCTTATGTGAAAATATTGCACAGCTGTGCGAAAGTCATACGTATGTGTGCGAATAGTAAACCCAATCGCAAACGTGACAGTGGAATGGAGCTGGGCTACAATAGATATTGGAACAGCGGAGTCAGCTGTAGAAATAATAACGATGTGCCAATTCTGCATCATTGAAAGCTCACTCAATCCTTGCTTCATTTGTACGTCTTGTGTGAGCCAGTGGCGAACGGAATGAGCTTTTCAAGATTGACTTGGCAAGACTGAGCGAGATCCAATAATCAGATCAAGCCAGTCACGTCGATGTTTTATGAGATCCGTCTCACATCGACCCGCTCAAGATTAGACGAGCACGCTCTCAAGGCGATGAAAACCCCGTGTATTTAGAAAGGAAGCCATGCCGTTAGTGGCAACCCTGCCGAAGATGCAGGGCACAGGGGCTCCCAAGTCAGGGGTAATTTGTGGCTGGGAGCTAGCGGACGCGCTATTGAATTCGAGCATCAATTATGGAGTTCTGACAGCCCAGGATGTTTATTGACTCCACCCCAGGCGCTTCCAGCAAGTTGCGATGCTCAATTCTCCAGTGTTGCCGAATGGTAATGAGATGCCAGGACGCAAAAGATGCCCAAAATGAGATTATAAAAAAGTCAAAGTACCAGCCGAGACGCAGCCTGCGTTTCGCGAATAATGAAGGCTTAGCTGGTCGTTGTAGGCAGCATCGCTAGAAGATCGACTGCCTAGACTCCGATAAGAATTTATTAGACTCGTTTATTAACCGACGTCGAATTACCCGTTGCCCGATAGCTTCAAGCTCCTTTCAGGCACGCCGTTGCCATGTCTTCCCGGCCTGTGGGCGTTCAATAACTAGCCGGGACAGACCTATTCCCGGCCTGGCGCTGTCCCCAAATGGCCCCAAGCGATGGAGGCCAAGAAGCTGGACGGCTCAATTGGGATAGCTGGGACCCTCATCTCCAGAGACTATTGCACACAAGCGCCGGTCAACACGAGCATCATGCGAGCGCGTGCGGAGGGCGCAATGTTAGTGACGGGATGGCGTCTGGACGGGCTCTTCATATATGTGGCCATGTCTACGGCACCGTTGCGCTAGGCTGTCGTTCCTCGTTTGCTCTACCCGACAGTCGTTCGTTTCCACGATGCGTTCTGCAGCAACTTTCGTCGTGTTGGCCCTCACGGGCGCAGTCGATCTCGTCGCGGCGGGTCTTTGCAAGCCGTCGAGCATTTCTTCTTCGAGCGGAATCATCGCCACTCCCACGGACCCCAGCGCGTCGTCCAGCACCACCCCAGCACCCCGGGTCGTCACTAATGAGGTCGTCAATGGAAACTTTGCAGTAACCGACCCGGATACTCCCAGTGGAATCAGCGACTTCAACAGCGATGGAAACTGTCAACAAGTCCAGGGCCCGGGATACCAGGGCGGCGGTAGCTCTGACAAAGGCTGTGTCCGGATGAACTCGCGAACCCAGACAGTCACCCCAGACAAGCGACAGGAGGTTGACTACAACGCCATGGTTGAGCAGCAACTCTCGGATTTAAGCAGTGGAAACACCTACACTGTCCGTTTCTACTACGCCATCTTGAGGAACGACGTCGCGAACACCTGCCGAGTCAACGCCTACTACGGCAACGAACTATTCGGATCAACGCCCTACTTCCCTGTGGTGGCTGAGATCACAGATGGAAACGTCGCGTGGCTCGAATTCGTCCACCAGGCTGTTGCCCGGACAAGCAGTGGCTTCATCAGATTCGCCCTGACCTGTACCGGAAGCGGCTCGGCCGAAATCTACATCGACCAGATCTTCGTCTCTGATAAAGTTGATCCCGAAAACATCAGTGGAGTCCAGCTATCATACATCTCTTCGCATATTGCCTCGTCAACTGCAGTTCCTTCGAGTACGACCTCTTCAGCGACGTCTGCCACCGTCACTAGTTCTACCACATCCCGTACAACAACAACCACCTCGTCGTCATCGACCACGACGACAACCGCACCCAGTTCTACATGCGGCCTGACCAACGGCGAGGGCTGCTCCCTTAATCCAAGTGTTGATCCAACTGTCTCCTGCCAGACCACTGGTTTCCTCGCGCAGCCATCGCAGGCGTTCTCTAAGGAAGTCTATCCTTACCAGAGCACGCCCGAGCAATGCGCGGCCGTCTGCGCCCAGGTGGCTCGCTGTGTTGCCTCCGCATACGATCGCTTGTCAAAATACTGCGTCTTCATCACCAACTCTCTTGACAGTGCTGGGTTCGAGGAGTCCTCCAACGGCGTCGGCTGGAGCGACCAGGCTTGCTGGGATTGCCCTACCTGTTGAGATCGATACGACATATGGACGAACTGATATGCTGGAATTAAAAACTTGTCTGAACAAAGGAGTGCCGAATTTAACATTGAGCTTGTGGCAACAACCAGCTCATCCGGACCTGGTCGACATCGGTTTGGACAATGGCCCACCTAAAAAGTGCGAATGGTTAGATCCTCCTTGCCGACAGATATGTGTCTCAGTATCCTGCAAAGATATCGAATTGATACTACGATTGGTATTACTAAATGGACCTATGAGCGCAGAGACAAGATGCTTTTTATGAAATAGATATGAACTGCCATCGCGATTTTACATAATAGATGCCTAGATTTTGATATTAGCCCATGATCAAACCTTGATCGATATTCTCCCCGTGTACTCTATTCAGTGTTCTTCGTACCGGGTTTTGTCAATGGGCTCCGTTCAGTTCAGTAACCTTTATCCAACCTGACAACCATTTTTAACGCTCACTTCTATAATCTCAGCTGAGATCCATTACGTTATGAAAGATAGGTATTGTTATGCATTCACGCGTACCAATAGTTTTGCCTAATTCTGAACCAAATTATATAGCTGGCTTACATTCGCAGTTGAATGACATGGTGATAAGCCTCACCTCCATATCAGACGAGATCCGTACTATGTTACAATACTCTAATGACAATGCAGTTACAGATAATTGAAGTGAATCATTCATGATAAATCAATCACTTAAACGAGGGCTCTAGGAAGCTATGATCACAACACGTGGGGCTCGGACCTTGGGCATTTCCGAGGGGAAAACGATGTATTCTAGTATCTTTAATACTAATTTGACGTGGCCACTACTTTAAAAACCTCAATTTCAACCTCTTCTTCATTTTCAGGCTTGTATTAAGTGTACAAAATTTCGTGGGAATCTGTTTCCGACCCTCAGGGTACGAAGAGATTTCCAAGGGGCATAGTCATATCGGCCTCATGCCATAGATACTCGCATCATTATAGTATTGGTTGTAATTTTCAAAAACCCCTGGAAGTATTTTCATTGTCGTCCCATCCATCTCGCCCAATTCCGCAACCGGCCACGTGGTGGGAGAGTCGTGTTGCTTGGGCAGCCGTTTGCCACCACATTTGGAGGTATGATTTGAGTCCTAGCTTGGGCTGAGGAGGCCAAAGGACGCGTTTGATGCTGTTGCCTATTGGAGGCAAGTCTCTCGCGATGTTGCCTCCAGTCGTCTTCGAATCGATGCTGTCTCCTCAATTCTTGCACCTCGCGATCCAGACGTGCGTCAGTCGGTAGACAATTGATTTGATCACGAATCAAATCACGCCGAGCCATTTCCCTCTCGATGATTTCGTCGGTGAATGGGGGATCAGCATTCACTAAAATACGTCAGCTCTACTCCCTCTCATGGACAGATCCTTGATGGACTTACTATCATGCTCGAAGCTGCCTTCCAGAGACTCGATGTTTTGAACTATCTCAGACAATCGAATGTTATATATTCCCGAACTGCCCTTCAATGAATCCATATCGATTAAGAGGTCTTCGTATCTGGAAAATACGTCGTGCTCGTCAACAAGTGCACTGCTGAGGATCGCGTCGACTGGAAGGTTCTCAATGACATGAAAGTCACATCGTAAGGGCATGTCTTCGAGGCGAAATTGCCACTGTAGGTCCTTAATAACACCGTCGGTGAGAGCTTCGGACCCATCAATAAACTCCATAAGATGTTGGTGGTTTGGACCGCGATGGACTTCCAGGCCATGCGCTCTGGCGAAAGCGCCAGAGACGGCCATTATTTTCGAACCCGAATCCGGGACGGCAAAGCAGTTGGAGCCATTGAGGTACCCAGAAACAAACTCCTGCTCCTCGCCAAACATTTTCAGGGAAATTCGAGTGCTTTTTGAGAACGCTCGCTTGAGACGATGCATATATTTGGTAAACGTCTTGGTCAGCTTGAGAAACTTTGACCCAAGAACCAGTGGGTAAAAGACGTTTTCCAGAACAACGCAAGAGAGCTCATGTATTTTTTCCTCGTTTTTAAATTTGAAGCGCCCTCTAATTCTCCCCGGTGAAAAGACCTTTTGTCCTGCAGGAAGAAGGATGTGGCGTTGCGTCCCAGGCTCGGGTGTCAATCCCATGGACCTCGCGAGGTCCATAGAAATGACGTTGACGCTAGAACCGGTGTCAGCGTTGGCCTCAATCTGAACGTCGTTGATTGTCCCGTCGATGCTGAACATTCTTGCTTGAGGCAAAAACTTGGCCTCCCGTGTGTCGGTATCGACTGACTGATGGAGGTTCACCGAATCAGATTTCGGTACAGTGAGAAACTCGATCACTGTTTTCATCCTCTGCTCAGAGCTCAAGGATAAAGGGGCGGGAGGTGAGAGATGTCGTTGCTTGAAAGTTGATCTGTCTATGAATAAATTCTCAAGGAAATCAGGGAGCCAGCCGGCGAACTGATGAAGATGAAACGGATTTTCCCACTCGACTAGCGGTTGACTTGGAATAAAATCCGCCAGTTGGTCAACCAAGGGCGCCCTACGCCTCTTGGCTACGCGCCGCTTTCGTGGAGACCGCAGGCTTTCGGTCCGACTACATAATGTTAGAATGGGTTTGGAATAATCACTTTGAGCTTAAACGGAATGAATACACTATTTGCCTCCAGTTTGTGGACTTTTGAAGCCATTCTGGTTAGCCTCATCTGTATCCCAAGCCGTATGGCTGAACGGATGCTGAGTCCTCCTTCTCATTGTGTCTGGACGTGTCGGGTAGAGTCAAGCAGTATTATTTAACACACACTGGTGGAGAAATGGTGCGAGATATGGAGCATAAGAGACAAGAACCGTTTTAGACAAAGGATTCGAGGGGTCACAGGCGTGAGAGATTTAAGGATACGGCCGAGACTTGAGAAGTAATTTCTATGGCGTGGATGCCTCGCAGGCTGTGCAACGAGCTGACCGTAGCGAAATGAGTTCGGAGGGAGGTGTTGAAGATTGATTGGCTTCATTACCTTCTACCCCTGTTAATGTTGTCCTATCGGCACATTTCATCTCCAATCAGATCTGGACATGTCCATGATGGCCTGATGCCGGGCTGCGTGTCTTAAACAATTGGTGCGGGAGTTAAGGCACAAGTGAGGCGCATACCTGCCTACGCTAATGCAATAGTTTAGACACATGATTTGACCAAGTCTCTCATGCTCTATCAGCTTGGGCGCCTTGCTGCCTGGTGATGTTTTCTCGCGTCGCGGCTTGGCGATTGCAGAAATGCGATTGTGTTTAAAACAACCCAGCATTCATCTCGATATCTGATGGCTTCCATCGTCAATCTTATTCCATGCAGCAACCTGATGAAGACATAGAGCTGAAGCGGCTGAAGCGGCTGAAGCGACATGGCGGTTATTCCGCAGCGGCATCTTGGCTGGCCAGTGACCCTGACGACGAGGCACTTATTTTCAGAAAGTTCAACAGGCTGGCTGCGCTAAATTTGCTCTACATGCAAAGCGAAGTGCTTGAACTGGAAAATAAAGTAGATGCCATGCATTTATCAACCGTCGATGGCCACGATATGGGGTTAAAAGACTCAGCCAGGACATGGGAGACGCTCATACGGCAGTGCCAACCAGGCAGTGAATTCAGGCTAGATGCAAAGGAAAGAATGGATCTTCTTCTCGAGTTGAGAAAGAAGCTGAAAGATTACCGTGCGTCCACGTTCATCTTTGAGATAAGAGCTCTCTTGGCTAACAGTTGTTCAGATGAAGCTTTAGCTCTGCAGAAAGATATCGCAAGCCTCAGGAAGCCTGAAGATCGGGTCATTGAGGCTGTAAAGCACTTTTTCGAGAGGCCGCAACATATTCTTGGAGGAAGCGCCAAGGAGCTTTTCCAAGAGACAAAAACCGATGGTTTTAACGACTTCGTGGCATTAAAACCCCGCGCAGAGAGCGACATTTTCTCCGACTTTCTAAGACGACATTGGCGTGATAAGGTAAGCTACTCTCACATTTCCGGTGTAATAAGTTTTAATAAGTGGCAGGAAGAGGTAGCACGAGATGGTGTCAGCCACTTTAAGCGCTTCAATGAAGACTCGATCACCAGGGCCGTCAACATTGCAACTGTCATTGTTGCTGCATTTTTCCTCATCGGAACAATGGTAGGGTTTTATTTTATGAAGAGCACAGTATTGGAACTCGTCATGATTGCTGTGTTCACCACGTTGTTCGCTGGGAGCTTAGCACTCATCACAAATGCGAGACGAGCCGAGATATTCGCTTCCACAGCTGCGTGAGTCATTCATCCCCACGACTATTAGTCTTGCAATCTGCGGCTAACAGTATTAGATATGCCGCCGTTCTTGTTGTTTTTGTTAGCAGCAGCGAGCTTTCAGCGAGCTAAAATAGTACAACTTTATTATTAACATAGCATTGAACTATCTTGCCAGACGTCCCTATCGAGACAAGTCTCAACAATTCGTGTTATTCTTCTATCGATATACTAATCCCCGGCCCTAGCAACAGAAACAAAATGTTAGCCAGGTCGGGGAAGCTTGCTGTGTGTCAACCTGGTTGGAAGAATAAGCTCTATATTCTTGTGGATATCATAACAACATATCCTATGTTTAAGAATGGATGTGCAAAATTATAAATACATTAATGAATCAACATTCGAATAAAATCAAGTTGGCCTTGTGACCAAGTCGACTCAACACCCATGATCCTCGACATCATCAATCCCACAACCACCCGTCCAGCTCTCCATAGTCAGTCCGGACCGAAAATGCAAAGCCAGATGATCCATCCTGTCTTCCCAGCTCTCGGTGGCCATCTGACAGAATCCACACCGGCTGTGGATCTTATCTTGCCGATGCTGAAGCAGGCTTAGGTCTGGCTTGAAGCCATCCCACTTCTGGCACCGGTGAAACTTGATGAGGTGCTGCCATAGATGGTCCTTGCGGGTAAATTTACGCTCCGATACGGGCCTCTCGGCGCAGGTGTCAAATTCGTGCGATTGAATATGATCATCGGTTGGCGAAGCGTGGCCGCAAAACACGCACTGGGGGTTGCTCTCGTTCATGCGCCAGACGAGGTAGGATTGATCAGGGGGCACTGGAGTCGAGCAGACCCAAGAATCAAGACCCGGAAGATGGATGGATCGTTCATGCCGAACCCAGTCGTACTTTTTCTTGTAGCTCTGGCGGCAGAATGTGCATTGAAAGGCTTGAAACTTTGTGCTTTTTGATCTTGAATTTGGTCGTCGAGAGAGTGTGGAGCCTTCACCAGCTGAGCTATTCGCAGAGCGCGAGATGAAAGCTGGTTCGATGGCAGACCTATTCGAGTAACAAGATGAGGCAGAGTTAGATGACATGTCGTTTAAGCTATGTTTAGGATACCGCAACGAGTCTGCACTCGCGGAGGAACCAGGGCGGTCCAAGAAGCTCAAGTCGAAATTTTCCGCAGAGCCATGACTGCTTGAGTGCGTAGAAAGGGCACTCTCGATAGCAGAAGCCGACGCTGGGTCCTCCTCCGGGGGGGAATTCCGCCATCGCTCCATTGGAGACATGCCTAATTGATGCGGCATCGGAGATCCCTGGAGGAATATTTTGCTACCTTGGTTGCTCTGTGAGTGAGCGGACAGTCGATGCCGACGCCTAGTATTGGCGAACCAGTTTACCACCTGGCTCTTACTCAAGCCGGATTGCCCTGACAGAGCGACCTTTTCTTCCTCTGATGGATACGGATGATCGATGTGGCTGGCAAACCAGTGCCTCAACACCCGCGTCTTCCGCACAGATCGCGTGTTCGTCCTCTTGCTCGACAGGGCGGACACCGACGCCCCCCTCGCCATCGGTTGGCTCGACTGCCCCTCCTCCAGCAGCTCAAAGGAACTCCCTTGCTCGCTCACGCCGTGAAGGTGGCCGATGACAGGCCACGATGTCTCAAAGGCCGAGGGGTCGCGCTTCTCTCGGCCTGACAGACTACATTCCCGGAACAAAGCAACGCAACTGGAGCATGATTTGGTGGGGTTGGGGTTGACGGCAGTCGTCTGGAGGATGAGACATTGGAGGCGACGGCGGCGACAATGGTTGCAGGGAGCCAGCGGTCTGTAAGCGCCGCGTTTAATGAAAAATTCGTCGATGGCCGTCATGGGAGGATTTGGCGCGCTGGAATCCTCGTGTTTCGATGCATCCATCTCCATCTCGCCGCCAAGTTGGTCCAAGAATGAGAAGCCAGCGTCCGGTTGTGCTGAATCAACATCTGTCTCCGCTGCGACCGCCTTTGCCTGCTCAAAACTGGCCTGCCAGTCGATATTGGTCCTGTTTTGGGTTGAGTTTTCCATGGCTAGAGTTGCCGTCGAATCAATTCCATGGATGACGTTGAAGGCGCCCAACTCACTCGACGGGCTGCGAGACTGAGGGATCATGTCGTCAGCCTCATCGTAGGGCACGGCCATTGCGGAGTCGTCCCCGACGGAGAACAGCAGATCATCCAGCGACAAATCCATGTTGGATTGGCGGGATGAAGACGCCTCCATGGTTGACTGCACAAGAGCGACCGCCAATGTATCGTAACAATTGCAGTGGAGTTTCCTAGATTCTTGTCTGACGAGTCGTGAATTATCTTTTTCGGCTTAGTCACTTCCACTGAGTCACGATGCCACCCAATCGGCCAGCGGCGGGAACAAAGCAACACCAGACAAATAGAAATAGGCATGGTCGCGATGCAGGTGTCAATCCGTTCCATCTTCCTTTTTTATTCTGGCGCTGAACATGTCAAGTAAGTGTTCATGAGGTAATCATAAGCTAACAGCTCGTTGTTAGTGGTCGGGCGGATCACGACCACCAGACGGCAAAACCGCTTGTGTACGCAGAAGGCGCGTCGCCAGATTACAGATTTACAAGTAGCCCCGCATTGCACCGAGTAGATAATTGTTATAAAATCCCAACGGATGAGCTGGGTTTTTTTTTTCATCTTGGGAAACTGGTTTTATTTCAAGAAGAGTGAAGAAACGTCGAGGTGGTCAGAAAGATTGGCTAAACCTCGAACCAGAGCAAGCGCTGAGATAGACGCTGGGGATACACCATCTACAAGCAACGAGACCAGCATCATTCTCCAAATTGCATTTTATTTTTCAGGTCTTCTTCTTCTCATTATGGCCACTGCCACCCGTCGACCCGTTTTCTTCAACCCAGGAGCCCGCTCATGGACTGCGCCGCCATCCTCCGACGAGGACGTCGTGGACAGGTTCCATAAGCAGATGCCCAACTACAGTCCGACCGAGTTTGTGAGTCTCGATGCTATCGCAAAGGAGATCGGTGTCGGTGCCGTTCACCTAAAGAATGAAGGCAACCGCTTCGGGATGCCGTCGTTCAAGATCCTCGGCGCCTCGTGGGGAACATTCCGCGCCATCACGCAACAGCTGAGTCTGCCCATCAGCTCGGACATCGAGACGGTCAAGAAGGCGCTGGAATCGCATAGCATCTCGCTTTACGCCGCGACGGATGGAAACCATGGCCGCGCTGTAGCACGCATGGGTGCCATCTTCTCAATTCCTGCTGAGATTCACGTCCCCGCGACCTTGGGGGAGAGCGCCGTTGAACTGATCCGCTCCGAGGGCGCCACCATTGTTGTCTCGTCTGGGACTTATGATGAAGCCGTTTTCGAAGCGTACAGTGCCTCGAAGCACGAGGGAGGAATTCTCATCCAGGATTTTGCCTTTGACGACTACCAAGACTTTCCTCAGGTTGGTCCAAACATGCCTGCTTGCTTGACGATGAACTAACATGCTACCCCAGTGGATTGTCGACGGCTATCTCACCATGATGCGCGAGGTCGATCAGCAGCTCGCCGGCACCTGTGCCGACCTCGTCATCGCGCCCGTCGGAGTCGGCTCCTTCGCGCAAGCTGTCGTCGCCCACTTCAAAAGAGAGGGCAGCTCCACAGCCGTCATGATTGTTGAGCCCGACACTGCGGCCTGCATGTGGAAGAGCCTGAAGCGAGGCGAGCTGACGTCGGAGCAAACGACCCCAACCATCATGGCTGGCCTTGACTGTGGCACTCCGTCGACCATTGCTTGGCCACTTGTCAAGGGGGGTGTTGATGCCAGTGTCACCGTCTCGGACTACGAATCCCATAAGGCGTCGCTTTACCTCAAGTCTCTTGGCATCTCTGCCGGGCCTTGCGGTTCTGCACCCCTTGCTGCTCTCCGGCGATTGACGGCATCAGACAAGTCGACCTTGGGGTTACACGAGAATTCCACCGTGGTTCTCCTCTGCACTGAGCGCAACAGAGAGTATCCCGTTCCTCTCAGCGTGTCCAGTGATGACCCCGTCGTCTTGACCCAGACACTCGTCCAGATCAACTCGGCCAACCCGTCGTTAGGTTCCGTCCCGGGACCCGGCGAGACGGCTATCGCTCGGTACATCACCGCATGGCTGGAGCATCGCGACATCGAAAGCCACTGGATCGAGCCCACAAAGGGACGGCCATCCGTTGTTGGCGTAGCGCGAGGATCGGGAGGCGGCAAAAGCCTTCTGTTAAACGGACACATCGACACTGTAACGCTCATGGGCTACGACGACGACCCGTTGAGTGGCTGTATTACTGATGGCAAGCTCTACGGCCGTGGTTCCGCGGACATGAAAGGCGGAGTCGCTGCCGCCATGATTGCCCTCGCCAACGCAAAGAAGGCCGGCCTTCGAGGCGATGTCATCTTTACCGGCGTCGCTGACGAAGAGGCTGTGAGCATCGGCACACAAGATGTCCTCGCGGCTGGATGGCGCGCCGACGCCGCTATCGTCTCAGAGCCAACCGATCTCGACATCGTCCACGCCCACAAGGGCTTTGTCTGGCTCGATGTCACGGTCCAGGGCGTTGCCTCGCATGGCTCTCGTGCGGATTTGGGAGTCGATGCCATCGCAAAGGCTGGTTACTTCCTCGCAGAGCTCGACAGGCATGCACAGCGGTTGCTAGACGGCCCGGCTGACCCTATTGTCGGGTCTCCAACCATCCACGCATCTCTCATCAAAGGCGGCGAAGAGGAGTCATCTTATCCAGCTCTGTGCACCATCTCGATAGAACGGCGCACCGTAGCAGGCGAGACGCCGGAGACGGTTAAGAAGGAGATCCAAGACATTCTGGACAAGCTCACCAAGGAGGTTTCCGGTTTCAAGGCAGACCTCAAAGTCACCTTCAGCCGGTCTCCATTCAAGCTCCCATTAGACGACCCCTTCACGGTGCTGGTAGGGGACTTTGTGGGCAAAGCGCTTGGGAAGACGGCCACTGTCACGGGTGGCGCATACTGGACCGACTGCGCTTTGTTAGCTGATAAGGGCATCCCGTCGCTTCTTTGGGGGCCCAAGGGTGAGGGCCTGCATGCGAAGGAGGAATGGGTTGATGTGGAATCGGTGAGGTTGGTTGCAGAGACCTTGACCAACATTGCGAAGCAGTTCTGTCAATAGTGACGCTGTGGAAATTGCAAGCGAGTACTGAAGTAGGAAAACATTAGGATCAGGAAGATCCAGTTTCCGCGGGTTGCACCAAACTGGGGCAATGCAAATCAGGGTCTAATCTCTGTCGTACAATGTCGTATTTTTCCACTCAGTAGATTGGCTCTCAATCATGTTCCCATGCCTCAGCTCTCATGCTCCTGGTGATGATCGACACAGCATGCTACCCCAGACTACGGGCCATTCACAGTTGATGACATCTGGATCTCGCTACAACAGTCGAACGTCGTACTCAAAATGGATTTCTAGCAGTGTGTTCTAGCAAGTTTGCCAGAAACCACGCAAATGGACTCATTCCTTGCCTGATGCATGGTCGTTGATGCGGGCAATAAGACACCGAGGGACATCCCAAATAGGCAGTACGATGCAATCCGGCGGGTTCAATCAGCATCAACCTCTCAATCCCCGCAACCATGGTCATGGCAATCCTCGTATCCATCGCTATGTGATTGCTCTCTCTCTCTCTCTCCGCTATTCATCACCTCATGCTCCATCCGATCTCGCCAGCATGAGCGAATACTACAGCGTCACCGCCACGCTCCAACTCCCCATGTCAATCCCCGTCAATCCCCATGTAAATCATATCCCTCTCCGCAGTCTCCGCCTTAAGCGAAGCGCTCGAATCAAACTCGGTCCCTCCCCCGGACAAAGATCCCCCAGAAATGCCGTTCCCGCCCCTGGACGCTTTCCCCCACAAAGCCCCGCTCCGCTCCTCGCTGTGATAGCTTCATTGCGTCCCCGGCTTCTCCAGCCATGCGCACGAATCCCCGGCGCGTACCGGGTATTTAACTTCGCTCCTCTCGGCCCATGGCCCTGGCGCGCTGTTACCTTGCTCCACGAGCTTATCCCTGTCCCAGGAACGACTCCCGCCGATCGCATGACGCCACTCGGTGGTTGTGGCGGACGAGCCGAGGGGCTGCGAGTGAAGCCGATATGCGACGGCGATATTATGTCGAGTTTTGCCGTCTAAGCGGGGACAATTGGCTCGTCATGGGGTGGACTTGGGTGTCGGACGAAGCGCTTCATGTGGATTAGCCATGACGGGTAATTGGCATTGAGTTGATGCTCAGTATAAGGTGACGGAAGAGGCGGAGTAGATGCTCATCCAAGATCCTCGCAGGTATAAATTGAGCGGCGCAGAACGTAGCATCTCGACGTGTTCCCCAGCCTTCTCAGCAGCGACACAGCGCTCTGCAGGACCTCTCTGAGAACAGCCATGGTCTCTTTCAAGACGGCCTTTGTCGCCGCAATCCAGATTGTCGCTGCTTCCGCGCTCGACATTTCTGTCGAGTCGACTGGTAACTTTACCGGTGGTTACCACTATGGCTTCCTGCACGAGGTACTTCGACCCTCTCAGCACCTCCAAGACCGGCCTCACTAACACAAAGCTTCTAGGACATCAACAACTCGGGCGACGGCGGCATCTACGCTGAATTGGTCCGCAACCGAGCTTTCCAGTACAGCGACAGATACCCCGTCTCGCTTGACGGCTGGCGCTCCATCAACAGCGCCAACCTGAGCCTGAGCCGTCTTGCCGAGCCGCTGTCCGACGTGCTCCCCGTCTCGGTCAATGTCAAGGCCACCAAGAACTCCGGCAAGAGGCGTGTCGGGCTCCAGAACGAGGGCTACTGGGGCATGGACGTCAAGCGCCACAAGTACACGGGCTCGTTCTGGGTCCGCGGCGCATACAAGGGCTACTTCACTGCTGAGCTCAGGTCCAACCTGACCGAGGACGTGTTTGGCTCCGTTAAGGTCAAGTCCCATGCTGTGGCGAATGACTGGGTCGAGCATGAGTTCGAGCTGCTGCCCAAGAAGGATGCGCCCAACAGCAACAACACGTTTGCCATCACCTTTGACCCCAAGGTGTGTATACACTCATAGCGGTATCCAACTCACATGGCCATCTCTAACAGCTCTCTCCAGGGTGCTTCCAGTGGTTCTCTCGACTTTAACCTCATCAGTTTGTTCCCTCCCACTTACAAGAACCGCAAGAACGGTCTCCGCAAGGACATTGCTGAGGCTCTCGAGGAGCTCCACCCCGTGAGTCGACTACCCACCATGCTACCATCAGGCCACTAACATTATTCTCAGACTATTCTCCGATTCCCCGGCGGTAACATGCTTGAGGGACTTACTCACTCCACCTACTGGAACTGGAAGGACAGCCTCGGCCCGCTCCGCACCCGCCCCGGTTTCCAGGGTGTCTGGAACTACCAGCAGACCCACGGTCTCGGACTCATGGAGTACCTTTACTGGGCCGAGGACATGGGCCTAGATATCGTCATTGGCATTTGGGCCGGTCTCTCTCTTGACGGAGAAGTCACGCCCAAGGCGGACTTCCAGGCCGTAATCGACGAGGGCCTCGAGCAGATCGAGTTCATCCGCGGCGCCGCCGACTCCAAATGGGGATCTGTCCGCGCCGAGCTCGGCCACCCTGAGCCTTTTAAGTTGAATTATGTTGAGATTGGTAACGAGGATTGGCTAGCGGGATACCCGGGCGGGTGGAGCTCATACAAAGCTTACCGTCTCCCGCTATTTGTTGAAGCCATCAACAACGCCTACGACGACATCACCGTTATTGCGTCCGGCGCCAGCACAGACGGCGACGGCTTTAATATCCCAACGAAGGTCGTGGGTGATTATCATCCATACAGAAGCGCGGGTTCGTTTTCTCGTTTCTAAATAACGGAGTTGTGGCTAATGAGGTTATCAGACGCGCTCGTCGATGAGTTCGACCGCTTCGACAACGATGTGTCCCACATCGTCGGTGAAGTCGCTGCCGTGCACCCCAATGGCGGTATTGGATGGAGCGGAAACTTGATGTCGTTCCCCTGGTGGATTGGAACCGTTGGAGAGGCCATTTCTCTCATCGGCTACGAGCGCAATGCCGACCACGTTCCCGGCACCTTCTACGCTCCTGTCCTTCGCAACATGAACGAGTGGCAGTGGGCCGTCACCATCCTCCAGTTCGCCGCCGACACTGCTCTGACTACCCGCTCCACTAGCTGGTATATCTGGGAGCTGTTCGCAAAGTACCCCATCACCCGAGTGCTCACCGCCACCGCCGAATTTGACCCTGCCTTCTACGTAGTCGGCAGCAACGAAGACCTCGGCACGCTCGTATGGAAGGGCGCCGTGTACAACACCACTAACAACGCCGACGTGCCCATCACGGTCGCCTTTGACGGCGTCAAGGCCGGTACCAAGGCCGAGTTGACGGTGCTGACCAACAACTCCGAGGATCCGTATGCGTACAACGACCCGCTTACCGGCGTCAACATTGTGGACCGAACAACTACGGTTCTCGAGGCGAATGAAAAGGGTGTGTTTGAGTTTGTCTTGCCTGAGCTGAGTGTCGCAGTCCTCGCCGCTACTGTGAAGAGTGCGACAAAGACCAGACGGAGCAGGGGGAGGGCACTTGGCGCGTAGATACAAGTCGAGTTGTATCTGGGGGTAAGGAGAAAGTGTAGATAGCTCGAGGAACTGCTCAGTTGTCAACCTCATGACTGATGTAAATAGTTAACGATTTGATTACGCCATATATCTGTCCTTTGAATCCTTTCTTCAAATTGGTATCCTGTAGCGACGCTCTGGGAAACGGCGCACGGTCACATAATGGGTCGACTCCGTGTTATGATTCATGTTGAAGTTATGTGTTGAAGTTATGAAGTTTATGACATCGGCGATATATGCCGACAAGAGAAACTGGTTATCCGAATCCGAAACTCTGATCAGCCCGTGGACAGCAATGCAGCGTTGGTGGCAGTGGAGATCAACGATGAGACCCACGCGGGAAAGAGCTGGAGCCGAAGTGAACTTCATGTCGCATCGACTTTTCGGTGAGTGTTATCTTCGCGTTTGGAGTCTTGTACTGATATAATTTGTTCAAGCTCTGGTCTCGCGGTCGTAGTTGACGAGTTCCTCCCAGAGAATTTGGGGATCCGGCGACCTTCAAGAAGCCAAAGGGGAAGGTGACCTTTGACATTTCTACGCATACGACCGTCCCAACTATTCCAAACTCTGGAGTCATCGTGAGAGGCTCACTGACGATAATTGCAACCTCTACCTCTTGCGCGACAAGCAGGATTGGCTTTGTCGGCTGCGCACCTGCCTACGAAGATGGATACTCGCATCGTCTACTACTTCGAATGGGTTTCCAAGGAACACTTTACACAACATTCCCAGCGCACGACTGCTTGGCACGGGAATCCGAGTGGATTCCAAGACAAATACATTGCCGAGAATCAAGACCAGTTCCTTGATGTTGCGAGAGCAGTCACTCAGAGTCTCGCATGCGTCACCATTGGGGCCAATCCTGTCCGAGCGATCAATTCACTCGTCGCCAAAAAAAAATTAAAATTGTTTCACTGTACCGGATGACCGGCTGCCAATCCTACCCGAAGATGATAATTTCTGAGGTCTAGAGGTTCCGTGGGAAGCACAGGATCCCTGGAGCACTGGCACAAGCTGAAGAGCACCTCGTTGATGGCGTAGGTCAGTTCGGTCTTGACAATGCCACGAATGTTACTCAAACTCCAGAGGTAGGTTTTATTCCAGGCGTGAGAGACGTGCAGTAGGGCCAACCAGTTCAATAGCGACTCTGGTCAAAGCCTCGAACCGTATGAATTCGACCCGGAAGCTATTCTTGAGTGGGCGTCACGGAATTCATGAAGACTCTTCAATCTCATATGGGTTTGAATGCTGCACGGAATGATCTCCTTGAGATCAGCAAGTTCTTTTTACCCAAATCTCACAACATGATTAGACTGTTCCTCGATGACTTCGCCGCAGAAAGTCAACAATTCCATGCCATTCTGTAACATCTGCCTGGAACCTCTGAGAGCTATCATGATGGATCCGATGGACTAGATGAGGACAGCGATAATGAGATAGGTGATGATTAGGATGTGAGGCAAGACTGACGGCTTATGGTTTGAACTAATGTTGCGACATGAGGGAACAAATGGGTGACCTTTGAGAGTTGACACTAAGGCGAATGTAAAATCATGAGACACATGGGGGACGTGCTCTTGCGTGCTTCCTTAAAGTCTCGGGTAGTGCAGATGACAATTGCTATTGGGAATCTCCAAATCTCATCCAAAAACTTCTTGAATTTCGCATTAGCCTCCTCATCTATCGTAGGGTGCGATCTCGGCTTGCTAAATTCCTCTCTCGCCACCGCAACTGCCTCGTCCAGCCAATTCGCATTGTTTTGAGCAAGCTCCTGTCCCGCATCATTCGACGCTCAGCTTACAGCGAGAAGACGTTTGAAGTCGCCGCCTGTCTGGTGTTAAGCGAAGGCTTCGAGTAATGAGGATGCAGCCTCTTGTTTGCCTTCTCATTTTTGGAATTAAGTACCATCTTGGCGCTTTGAACTGTGGAAGTAACCTTGACATCGGTCAAGTCGGCTTTGAGGGGGGGCATGATGAAGAACGAACGCGCGGCGACCTTTTGGCGATATTGGCAGGGATCTGTGGCAACTTGCTGGTCATGAAGGAAACAACATATTTACTGAACTATGAATGAAGAGAATGCTCTAGACACTTTATACGAAATTCATATGGAAGACTTACGAGCAGTCGGCATATCTGCCTACGGTGACGAAGGCTTCACAACGAGAATTCTGAAGACGGAGAATTATGAATCAGAGAGTGATGATACGGATGAAGTCCAGTACAACGGGCTCAACGACAATCGCGAGTCATAAGTCGATGAAGGTTATGGCGTCTGATTCGAGGGAACTAATGAGAGCTCAAAGCCAGTCTCCGAAGAATAGTATCGACGACGAAAGGGCCGGTCAGTCCCCGAGTTTATCAAGCCATGTCTTGCCAGGCGTTCAAAATCATCCGACAACTGGATCTTCTCACCACTATCGCCGCGATCATGGATCAATACGACAGATCCGAAAGCAGCATCCGGGCGGTAAGATCATGATCATCTCCGGAGTAGTAATATTTTTGGACATTGTGAAAGAGGCAATTAAACGACGAGCTCAGATAGAGATCGAATTCGAAATCGAAATTGGAGAGCACAACGGCACGATCAAGTCATTTTACGAGAGTATTGCTATTCGTACACAGGTACAAGTCCATTTGGCTATACCTCATGGCAAACTAATGTACCTAGTACGCACATTGGAGTTCTATGCCCTTAGGCTTCTTATATTAATAAATAAATTAGACTTAATTCAAACAAGAAAAATAAAATAATAATTCATTGGGGTTAAATGCTAAGAATTGGTCTTCTAAACATGTATTAGGATGATAGATAACTATCAGCAGGATTGAGCTGTGGGTGCAAATAACAATATTCGTGGGGGACAATAGTGACAAGTTGATTATCCCCCACACATACCCCCAAAATAATATCTCCCATAATGATGCCCGCCTAAACGGACACCCTAACCGTCACCCATGACATGCCATTCGGATAGACCCAATTGCCAGCACCATTCCAGATGCAAGCTCCATATTTCCACGGCCAAATCACGCCATGAAAGGAGAACAAAGGAAGTCCATCCTGGTCACCCCCATCTTCCTCCAGATCTCGAACTTCATCGAGCTTCAGTAATTCAGGAGGTTTGACGGTGGTCTCTGCCTCATGCAACCAAGGCGATGGAAGGTGGTCAACGTCAAAACATGCCTTCGTGGGTCGTTCTCTCCGGGCTGGACTAGTTTCGATCGGCGGTTCCTTTTGAGCATTGAGACTCAGGTTTCTCCCGAACGAGAAAAGAATCAAGGAGTGGAGTGCTGCTTGAGTGGGAAATACTTTCCATATATAGATGAAGCCATGGGGACGACGATAACACAGATGGAGTTCCTTTTCCTTGACTCTCTTTTCGAAAGCAATCTCAACTCTACCCGCTCGCCTTACCTCATCAACTGTTCTACCCTACTTCGCTACGAAAATGAGCACGGTATATGAAAGAGTAATATAGGACAAAGATCATATTCTACGTACTGGGCATGGTAATGAACATTTGACAAGACTCGTTGCATTTCTATCGAGTATTTCTGATCAAAGCCGTAATTGACAACTTTGAGTTTCTATATGAGATTCTCCCATCCTTCTGACGGCCCAAGACTGTTCCTATCCATCCGCTCGTCTTCTACACGATCGCCCGCAATATCCTGCATCTTCTCGCTCGCTTTCCGTTTACTGTGCAGCCCAATGCGCCCTTCTGTCCGTCTATCGTTCCATCGTCCTTCCGTCTTGCACAAAACGCCAGGAGCAAAATGACTCGCGTGATCGCGTGATACTTCTTTCCGTGTCTCTATCGCTCGACACCTTCGGCCTCTATCATCTCGCCCGTCATAGCTTCTCCTGGGGAATGTGGCCGGCCACCGTGCTCAGCGCGCCGAGGTTGACTTCGCTCAGTCGTTCAGAGGCGCCGGGGCCATCGACACCGGCAAGGAGGGCCACGCACTCGATCACATCCTCGGGTTCGAGCAGATGCGACTTGGCGAGCGTCACCTTGGTGCTTGGACCGATGGTAACGGTGAAGACGTGGTTGGGGTCCAGTACGGTGCCTGTTGCAGCGTTGAGGCTACGGAACATATCCTCGTCGGTAAAGTCGTCGCCGAAGCATAGAGCAAACTCGACGGGTCCGGGGTTGGGGGTCTCCTCCGTCTTCGGCGTTCCTGGGCTGTGGTATGTGGCGATGAGGCGCTTGGCGATCTCACCCTTGTTGATAAAGGTAGGTCGCACTTCGACGTTGGCCTTGCCGGGCATCACCTCGACGTCCCACTTGACTCCAACAGTAGCCTCCAGCTCCTTGTGGCATTCTCGCGACATGTGAATGCCCTGCTCCGGGTTGGCGAGGCGGTAATGCCAGGTCAATGCACATCGTTTTCGCTCAATGAAGGATCCTGTCACATGGTTAGCAAGAAGATAGACGTGAGACACAAATCACATACCTGGAACCTTATCCGTGTACTTCTGGAAAATTTCCATGACCTCGGCTTGCCACCCCATGGGGAATGTCTCGGCCAAGTTCTCCCAGTGATCCGAACCAGGGTTCTTCATGAAGCTACCGTGCTCCGCGGAGAAACCAAGCTGGGAAATGTGTCCCAAGTGCTGCTTCAGGAACTCCTGGTCTCGGCCCGAGATGATCCATACGGAATTCTGCGGGTCGGCTGCGAGAAGCTTCAGAGTACGAATAAGGCGCTCAGAGGGAACGGCAGCGCTGGGCTCCCGGACAATAGGAGTCAGGGTGCCGTCGTAGTCGAACATGAAGAGTCGCTTGGTGGCGGACTGGTATTGGGCAAGCAAGAAAGCTCGGTCTAGCAGAGGAGTGGAGTTGGCAGTGGTGGTATCGCCAAGGACGTTGTACACCTTTCGGACAAACTTGTTGGTCCACGATTGAACGTTGTGCTCGGTGACATGGCGGTACAGGCTGGTCTGCATACCCTCACGCTTTTCGGCGGACATGGTAAGGGCTGCATTGATCTTCTCGGCTACGCCGCTGAGATCCCAGGGGTTGATGTGGATAGCATCGCTGAGGCTGCCGGCGGTACCGCTAAACTCGGACAGAATCAGAGGGCCATGACCTTGCTTTTGGCAAACGATATACTCCAGACTGGTCGTATTCATGCCGTCTCGGACAGAGGTGATGAGACCAATGTCACCGGCACGGAGGAGCGCAAAGTACTCGTCCTGGTCGAGGTACTGAGGGTAGTGCTGCACGGGCGAGAATCCCAAGCTACCGTGCATGCCGTTGATGCGCATAACGAGCTCATTGACAACGGAGGCCACCTTGTTGTCGGGATCCTCCTTTTCGGCCTCGACACTGGTCGGGGATGTGACTTGAATAAGAACAACCTTTTCACGCCACTCTGGGTACATCTCTAGGAAGCGCTCAAAGGCCTGTAGCTTTTGGGAAACACCCCTGACACTGTCCAGGCGGTCACGGCCGACAATGATCTTCTTACCAGCGTAGAGCTTCTTGAGAGCATCGTACTTCTCCTTGACCGCAGCGGTCCAGGCAAAGTTCTCAACCTTGGCAGCGTCGATTCCAATGGGAAAGACGCCGACCTGCACACGGGTGCCGTATGCGTCGATTCCAAGAGTATCGGAGGGAAAGCCGAGGATGCGAGTGCAGCAGCTCAGGAAATGGCGCGAGTAGCTGTAGGATTGGAAGCCAATGAGGTTGGAGCCGAGAACGCCCTCAAGGACCTCCTTGCGACGGGGGAGGCAGCGGAGGAACTCGCTGCTGGGGAAGGGAGAGTGAAGGAAGAAGGAGATGTACATGTTGGGCACTCGCTGGCGCAACATGCTAGGGAGGAGCATGAGGAAGTAGTCATGGACAATGACGATGTCGCCGGGCTTGTAGATTTCGATGATCTTGTTGGCGAACTTTTGGTTCATGCGGTAGTAGTCGGCCCATTGCACTCGCTCCTTGCGACCATCGGTCGGCTCATGCTGCTTGTAGTGGAGGAGAGTGTATAGGTCGTACTCGGCATAGCGGCGCCAGCGGGTCTGATCCTTGAGGAGGATGCCGTCATCGGTGGCCTCGCTCTCGTCGGCGAGCCAGACGGGGTACGTGCGGATGGTTTTATTGTGGGACAGACGGTACTCGAGACGCTCCTGGTCCTCACGGGGGATCCAGACGCCGCCGTCAACCGGAGGTGGCGTCGGCAGCCGGGTGTTGGCATCGACAGGGACCGGAGCGGAGAGGGCGTTGAGGGAAGAAACGCCGAGGGTATTGGGAGCGGGCGTCGCCGGGGAGGGGACTTCGTCGTCACCGGTAGGGGCCTCGATCTCGCCGGTCCAAGCGACAACGGTGTGGCTCCATGGTGTAGCGTCGGACGAGAGATAGGCGAAGGAGTCGAGGAGGGCGGACTGGCCACGGCGAGGTTTAAGGTCCTGGAAGCGAAGTCATGTTAGAATCCAATGCACAGAAAGCGGAAGAGCGGTGGTAGTACGGCAATCTATGAGATAGTGATGACGATGAGGTGGGGGAAAGATAGCGCAGGGACATAGTGAGGGGCAAGAGTGAAGCAGCAAAGCCACGCGAGGGGGAAGAGCAGAAAAAGCAGAAAAAGAGGGCGAAACTCACCCAGTCGCCGCCCTTGCGATAGCTGAACGAATGCGGGGTGTTGAAGGTGGCCGAGATAATGTTGCCGGTCAGGGCCAGGTCGGGATTGGCAGCGCGGATCTCTGACAGGGACTCGCGACGGCGCATGGCAGCGGCAGCGGGACGGATGGTGCTGGCGAGGGTGCTGGCGAGGGTGCTGGGGCTGGAGGAGGACATCTTGGCTGAGGTGACTGAGCTGTCGGCCAGTGTCAATCGGGCCGTGGACGACGCGGAGGAGGAGTCGCAGGTGCGGCCGCAGCGGGCGTCGTCGGCCTCGTCTGGATCTTCGCGAGGCGGGCCAGGGGGAAAGCAGTCGCTGTGGGAGGAGTCGCCGTGGGAGGAGTCGCCGTAGGAGTCGTCGAGCGAGCGGGGAGTCGAGGCGGGAGTCGAGGCGGAAGTCGAGGGGACGAGGGCGGATCGAGGTCGATTGGAGTCGCCGACAGCGAGGGAAGAGGTCGTCAGGGAGAATGAAGGAGATGAGGACGAAGACGAGGTCGCAGGCGCAGGCGAAGAAGAACCGGCGGCAGAAACGGTGACGTTGTTCGCTTTCGCTGGAGTGACGACGGCGTCCAAGGCGGCGAGACCAGCGCCAGCGCCAGTCGGCCCGGGCGGTTTCGGCGACTCATCACTGCTCTTGGGGTGCTGTTGGCGCCGCCGCCAGAGCAGCAGCAGCTTCTCCAGGTACCTCCTGTGGCTCGCGACGTTCTGTTTCTGCTGGCTGTGGCCGCCGCGCTGCATGACTTTGGCACCGGGCGTCTTACCGGAACCGGGTAGGCTGTCGGTCACAGGCTCCATCATGGGGTCGGTCCACTGCAACGGGGACAGAGCAGAATAGAGCGGTAATGGAATGGGAGCTTTGCAAAAAGGGGGATTTATGCACGGGACAAAGACGAATTGGCAATGGTTAAAGAAGAAACTGTAGAGTCTGAGGCATAGCTGAACGAGCTAAGAAGCTACTGGGGAGGGGAGCAGGCGTCGATATTTCAATGCGGCGCCTCTTGCTGCACGCTGCTCATGAGCGGACTTCGATGGCCGGGCCGCGCATCAGGCCAGACAATGAACCGGGCAGCCACCAGATAGAGGCGGGATTGCGCAAAAGGAAAAAAACAGTAGCAATGCCAGCTCCCGCCTTGCAAGGGCCGATTCACAATACCCCCCAAAAGTTAAAGACGACACACCGGCCGACGATCAGGTACCGGCGAGCACTCAATGGCTGCGGGCTGCTGCTGCGTGGTTATCAAACAGGCGGTGGGAGCCGGCCGGATGCCGCATCGCATTTCCCTGTTCTTGATTTCGTCCTTCTGCGAGAGTTACCACCCGGGACATCTTGTTTGGTAACGAGATGACTCTAAATCTTGGTTGCCAGAGAGATAGGTTTAATAGCTACGGTATATCTCCGAGCAACAGGTAACTCGTCAAGTCATCCGCCGCCGTCATTTGTCCGGGCAATTCACCGACCCTATCGACCTTGGTTCACCGATCCAGTTGTCACGGGCCGTCGTATGTTTTGGGCTTCCATGTGATGTGTAGCACCGGGCAGGGGATGGCATGAGCGAGCGTGCTATGGCGGGGGAGGGGGAGGGGCAGCTTGTTCGTTCACCCCGGTCCGTTCCCGTTGAGCTTTGTTTCTTTGATCGTCGGCTGTCTCATCTTTATCGAGGTTGCTTTGGTTGCTTGCTTACACGACGCGAGTGGAAGCATAGGTGGGTAGTATTGGACCTGCAACAGCTGTTTGGAAACCCAACCAGACAAATACCTCACCCAGCTAACAACCGCTGTATCATTGCATGGAAACCAAGATCCAACCGTCAACCTCATGATAGGTTCGGAGCACCATTCGACAAATCCCTGGCCAGACCCCCCACCGGTTAATGCGCCATGGCCACCACCACTACCACCACCAACGAAAACAAGGTACACGAGGCACGAGGTCGGTCCAGGGACACACATACCCTTCTCTCACGCCTTGAGTCTTTCCATGTGTCGTGTCTGCTAGGCGGTCTTCCAACCGGAAATCAAGCTCCCACGAGAGCCCAAAAGACGGTGAGCAAGCACCCAGCCATCTCGAGCTTTCTCGGGACGGGGGAAGATTGGCTCGGCCGAACGACGGCAGTCCAGGGTGGTGGTGTCTGCTGGCGGAGGCGAAAGCAGTAAATGCGGCATGCTACGGTGCATGATACTTGGGACTCTCGAATGCACAATGCGGAGCTGCGCTGCTGCATCCCTCTGCATCGCAGCCGCACCAGCGGGAATCGACGAATTCTATCTGCGAATTCTGCCCGTGAATAATTCACCTGTAAACCTCTGGCCCATGGCTACTCATTGAACTTGGTGCCAATTGCAAACCCACGGCCTAAGGTCGACTCGATGTAACCCGAACTAACGACGACTGCCGCAGTGGGTACTCCGTAGGCGACCTGGAGCTTTCCAGGTTAGCAATTAGGCCACATCGCTGGGGGGTCAACTACGGCCATCCACTGGAGCCACAGGCGGGTACCCACTGGAGCTACCCACCGGAACCCACTGGCGAGGCCCGCTAAGAGGCGACAGGTACCGGCCTAAGGGCCCGGAGCTGCACCGGCCCAAATCCCGGGGGGTGCCAATCTCGTCCCGTTCTCGCCGCTCCCCACCTCCATAACCACCCCCACCTCGCTGGAGCGGACAGGCGCACTGGCCTGGGACGCACTTTGGCACAGGGCCATGCGCTGCACATGCACCAACGCCACAGGCCGACCGCCAGCCATCATCCACCCACCGACTCGAACCGCCAAACGTGGGCGTCTGATCAGATGCCATGGCGTCTTTTCTTCTCCTTCTCCGCCTGTCTGTTCTATCGCTCTGCATGCATCTACAGCATCTGGCTACCCTGCTGCTGCGCTGATGGTCTGCATCCGGGGTGGCTTGCAGCAGCAACGCGAGGCCCTGAGCCATTTTCGCCCTCATGTTCCCGACCTGGCGTTCCCGTTGGTCTCAGTCGGAGCCGCAACGATCCTACGGGGTCGTGTCTGTCTGTAGCTGGTTTGATGTACATACATTTGATCTGCCTCACGCTCGCGCGCGCTCCATGCTCATGCGACGTGCGTGCTTGAAGCGATCCTATGCCCTGCGTTGCCGGTCCTTGGCCTGCTCCCCTTGCCTGTCTTGATGCCCGGCATTCCTCTGGCCTTCTCGCATGTTTCCGAGGCAATCTGCAATCCTGATAGTAGATTGCTCCGACACAATCTCACCCGACGCACTTGAGCTACGCGACCCTCCCGAGCCAAACTGGTACCCAATGGTTCTCCACTCATGATAAATCTGCGTGTGTGTTATGCGGCTTCGCTGGGCATTGCCAAAAGGGTCTCTCCGGAAGGGCCTCGACTCTGTCCACCATTCCCCTCCAATACTTGCTCTCTCACTTATCCACTCACCCAAGGCCCTCGGCCCGGCAACTCCGCTACAATAGACGCATACAATCCGGAACAGTAATTCTACTAGTCCTGCTTCAACGCCAAATCTAGCGAGAGAGAAGGTGTTGGCATTTATTTCAATGCAGCCCTCTCAGTTGTCCTCCATCGTCAACCCAATCGTTGACCCCACCGCGGGGCATTCTCTCCCACTCTCAAATGATAAATGGCGAATTGCCCGTGTCTTCCCCCACCGCACGGCCAATGACGGGAACCAAGAGGCCCTTGACCATGCCGATACCCGCAGGCTGTCATCCCGCCAGAACCAGGACCCTGACGCGGGCCAATCATTCTGCCCATAATCACATCAAAGAACAGGCCCTGGTTCGATATTGGCCAAGCCGGGCCATCACCAGCCCAGCGGTAGAGTGACAAGCCAACCCACGTGGGGCGGCGTTTTTAATCACTAACAAAGCTAAAGCCGAAGCTTCTACGGAGGGCCCTTTCAAAAGTCTTATCCATAAGAAGTAAGTCCTAATCATTAGGTTAGATAATAAGTACACTAAGTACTTCCTGATTTCTATAGGCCCTAAAGAATAGCAGGCTACAGCATATAGTAACTGCTATATCCTAATCAGCAGCATACTACTCCTGAAGTTACAGCGGCCGTTTAACGAGACTGTGACAGCTTTATGTATCTTAGGTAACCGACAGGGGTAAATGGGATATGATGTTACTAGCGCTTGGATAAGACTTTTAAAAGAGCCCTCCGTAGCTTGGAGCTATGACCCGTAAGCCACGATTCGCAAGCTTCACGTGAGGGAGCTGTAAGTCCAGAGCTCATGATGCCGCAGATCTAAGGTAAAAAGAGGGTAGTTGAGTCCTAAGCCCTGGGTATATTACACTGTGTATTGCCCATACCTGCTCTCTATATCGTAGTCATACACGCCAGCGAACTCATCCCTCTCTATGCGTCCTCCTCCAAAAGCTTATGTACAAACTTGTCAATGCTGAAGAAAGAGGCTGCCGTTTGTTGGTTGTTGAAATATTTGATTCCTTTTCCCCTTCTTAGCTTCTCCCCCCTAACCCAATGAAAAAAAGCCCGAAAAGTGAAGAAATACGCAAGATACAATCCCAGGTCCTGAATGCCGTTTGCCTGCCTGCCAAAAACAATCCTCATGATGGTGAAATTAACGCCAGATATTAATGCCAAAAGCCACCCCTCCTTTAAACAGCTTCCTTAGCCACTCCCGCGCCGCTGGCGCTTATCCCGGAGAACGGACAAACGCCGGCCGAGGGGATGCCGCCGGGGTGGTCCATGGGCGCATCCGGGTGGTCGCCGGACTCGGACTCGGACTCGGTGGAGTCGCCGATGATGCGCTTGCCGTGCAGGTAACCCTCCTTCTCGACCTCAATGTCAGATTCGTTGAGGAACTCATCGCGCTCCTTGACGTGCCACTTGGCCATGAGGTCGTTCTGGATCCAGATGACCTTGTTGAGGGCCTTGACGAGGGCTGTCTTGCGCTGGATGTGGAGGCGAGGGTGCGAGAGGATGGCTTCGGTCATGATGTCCTGGATGAAGCCGAGGCAGACACCCAGGTGGACGTATTCGATGTGCAGGGGGTGCTTGCGGCCGAGACCAACGTGCATCATGCTGAGTTAAAAGTCAGCCAGGTCCTCAATTCGCCGCAATCATTGAGCGACAGAGATGTAAAGAGGGGATGAAACATACCCAACCTTGTCCAGGTACTCCCAAAACTCCATCTTGCTGGGATCCGAGCAAAGCTTGGTCAGGTACGCACGCAAGAACATCTTACGGTGCAGAATCTGTGGGCTGTTCTCGTCGGGGACCTCGTCCAGCGGGCCCTCAAACGAGGTGCTGCGCGTGGTGAAGGCGCGGGCCGTAATGTCGTATTGCAGCAGCTTCTTGTACACGATGTTGACAACGGCCGGGATCAGCGCCTTGACGTACTTGGAGCCCGTGATGAGAGCTTCGATGTCGCCTGTTATTGAAAAGTCAGTGTCAGCTTTCAAGTCTGGCTCGTTTAGGTCATTGTCGCTCTGCTAGGTCTCGGGTACCCGGGGCGTCGAAAATGACAATTGTTTGGCTTTTGGGGCACTGAGAGGGGAAATGGAGAAAGGGTGGGCGCATACGGCTGGAGAAGTCGAGAAATGAGTGAAGGTACATGACGCGGGACTCGAGGTTGGTGTAGAGATCCTCGCGATCAATGTGTTTCATGGGGCGCGACGTCGCCATCTTGAATGTGTTGTATGTCGGTTTTGGTTTATTTCGTTTGGGTTTCTCAAATCTCGTGATCTGAGGGTTTCTGGGTTGGTCGAGGATGTTTTTGCTCGAATTTACAATGGTATGGCGTGTGAGTCTTGTTCTTGCTTACACAGCTGTCGCTGGTCGAGTCGTCGCTGGATTTCGCTGGCAATGGAGTCGCGGGAAGTTGGATGGAAGAGTGAAGAGATGAGGATTCACGCAAACACCAGATACAAATGAGCAGCTCACGCACGCACCGCCAACACAACGCGCAAAACCTGGTATTTATTCCATGGCGTCCCATGCTCCTTCTTGCTGTCCCCGAGTCTCGCCTCGCTCCGCCGGCCTCCAAGCTGAGCCCATCACGCCAGGTCGCCAACATCAGACCATCGCCTGATGAGTGGGGCCGTCCTGGGGTCCGTGGGACTCGGTGCCCGGCGTGGCAGCCCGGCCACACCCGAGGACGGCAGACGTACGAGCTACCAACTAACCGTCTTGCTAAAGGCGAATGGAGGAACGGGAATGAGGAGGGTGTGAGGATATCCGGGGGCGGCCGCGGAAAGGGTTGAAGTCGATAAAAAAATTATGTGCCCTCGTGTCGGATTAGACAGGAAAATCGGCTCCATAACTTATCTGTCGTCATCATGCCTCAAAAAAGAATCAGCCTGCGGGGATTGGACTTTCGCTGGTGGGGCCCCGCGACGGAGTGTGGGATGGAATCGCGAGTCGTGTGATTGGGCTGAGTCGTTTCAGCGCATTCGTCCCATCTTCGAGATCATCCGAGATCTTCGGCATAGGCCATTTGGATGGGCGTGCTGCACGAGCACGGTAACTGCAGAACCACATTGTCTTGTTCACGCGACACCCAGATCTGGGTCAATCGGCTCTAGTACGCAAGAAAAAAGGTCGGAATCTAGAATGCCATGTCTGTGTTGTGCGTGTGTAAGTGCCGTGGATCGGATGCATCGTGCAACACGTGAGCGTGCAGAATGGTCTCGACTCATCAGCAACCAGCATGACCACCTTTTCCATGCTTCCACTAAACGGCAATCGACTCATCTCCACCGAGAAACACTAGTCGAGTCATCAATTGCAAAGGATGATGCTGGTACTGCAGTTTGTTTCGTGGTCCGTGAGCCTCAGCCGCAACGACCAGATGCTGTCAACAGCCGTTCCGCCGATTAGCGTAGCCACCCGTTCCCGTGGCAGCAATTAGAGCAGCCTAGAGCTAGGTATGCTAGTATTCCGAGATCGGTGAGAAACTTTGTTCCTGCTTCTTCTTTGCTTCTGGAAGCCAATAAAAAGGATGGTGTTTGGCGCCGGAATAGTGTGTTAAGGCTCATGTTCTGAATGAGCTGACAATACAGCTTTGCACGTAGCAACATTGAATAAGTGTTTCGTGTAAAGTACTTGCAGCTATGGAGAGCTAGCAATAATGGATACCCTAAATTTAGGAATACCAATTTCAGAGAAGCCAGCGATCCCTCACCGAGAGTGAATGGGAGATGGCTACCTCTGTTCGCTGGGCTGTGTGACCGACGATGCATCGGAAAGGTGCTCTAGGGTAGCCGTGTTTTCAGCAAGGTCTCGTGACTAAATCACTGATGATAAATGTCGTGATCTGCACGTGACCTTCTGCGCTGCCCTTGGTCACCGCCTATCTTTCCACTCCACCTCTGGGGCCTCGTCGGCTTCACCTCGCTTCAACACCCTCCAACACCCGGGAATCCGCCGACAATCAGCCATCGCGAAACTCGCCCGCGTATCACGTCCCCCGGCGTCCCGCTCCCCGGAATCTCGCAGCTGCGCCCGCCGTAGCCCGGTGCCCGGTGCCCCCGGCCGCCTCGGAGGAGCTTCGGACTCTCTCGCCCATCATGTCGGGCTCACCTCCTCCTCCTCCTCCCCCGACGCCTCCCCACACGTCTCCCCGCACGACCGCCCGCACGACCGCCCATGCCTACGCCAGTAACGGGCTCCAGATACTCCAAGCCGCCAGCGATGCCGCCCACGCGATCCGTGATCCTCAGACCCTTCAACATGCTGCCGCTGCCGCTGCCGTTGCGGCCGCGGAGGCCATCCATCAGTCGCCCAACCAGGGCAGCTTGCCTCCCACGCCGAGCGACATGACGGGCCACCTTGTCGCCGGTCCGGACGGCGTGATGCGAGATCCGACGATCAACCCAAAGTTGACACGCCTGCGACGCGCTTGTGATATGTGCAGCATGCGCAAGGTCAAGTGTGACGACACCGACGTTCCCTGCCGTCCCTGCCGCGAGCTGGGTGTCGAGTGCACATACAATCGGGAGACGAAGCGTCGTGGTCCCCCGAACAAGCATGCCGAAGCCGCAAAGGCAGCCAAGCGTGCTCGCATCGAGCACACTGTTGTGACCGCCACTGGTGCCATTTTCAATGTGTCGCCCTCGCCCCAGACGGCAGCCAAGACGCTCATGACCATTTCCACCGACGGCGTTCTCGATGCCGAGTCGATTGCTCCGATGCCTGTCCTCGAGCTCCTTGTCGACGACTTCTTCACCTATATCCACCCCCTCGCGCCGTTTCCCCACGAGCCTACTTTCCGCCAGTCGTTTGCGAACCGCGAGGACCGCACCAAGCCGGAGTTCCTCGGTTTGCTGGCTAGCATGGTCTGCGCCTTGGTTGCGTCATTTCCTCGAAGCGCCAGAGAGCACCTCAAGGCCCAGCACAGCACCCACTTGTTCCCCCGAGCTATCGTCATGATTGAAAAATGTCGTGAGATTGCGCTGCTCACCCGGGGTAGCAAGTGGCAGCTGAAGCAGCCCAAGACGCTCGACGATGCCGCGACCAGCTACTTCCTCGGCCTCTCCTCTGGATACACCCATCAGTGGAACGCCTCTGGCCAGTTCATGGCCGAGACGTTGACGCTGGTCCGCGAACTGGGGTTTAACCGCCCTAAACACGCCGGTGACCTGCCGACATTCGGAAACGACAACTGCTCGCCAGACCCCCTCCCTTTCAACCATGTCAAGGATCAGATTGGCAAGCGCATCTTTTGGTGTCTTCTTCTTGGTATCCGGTAAGCTAAATCTTGCAAACTGAAACTAAAAGTTTATGCTAACCCTTCTATAGCTCATTCGCACAATTGGGTGCCTCAACGGCAGATATGGTGATTGCGCCCTCGACACCCAGCCTTCCGTATCCTGCGTACCCTGAGAATGTCGATGATATTTGCGTTCTCGCCAATGAGATTATCCACCAGCAAGATGGCAGTGTCACACTTCTGACGGGGTTCCGATTCGGCATCGACATCTACACTACTATGAACGGAGTGGTCAGCTTGGAGATTGCCTACGGGATGAGTACCCTACCTTGGGCAGACCAACGTATCCTCCTCCGAGACGGCCTGCTCGCAGCCCGAAGCATCACCGACAACCTACCGCCAGAGCTCCAGCTGGGTAACCACGGTGACGAAGCAGCCACCCTCGCTAGTTTCGATGAGTCTGGCATCCAGTACGTTCCCCCGGTCTGGCCCAATAGCCAGCCGGCCCATGACCTGCGCAATGCCATCAAGCACCACCCAGCACGACGCCGTCACCTTCAATATGAGATCCAGAAGGCCAACATCTATGTGTCGCAACTCGCCACGAGATCATACTTTGTGGAGCTCTACTTCAACCTGCGCGATGTCCACCTCGCTGAGCAACAACACGATCCCCATCCTGTCGAGGAACATTCGGAGGAAGAGAAGGCGGCCCAGAACGCCGACGAAAAGGAGATTTATGACTTCATGTCGGAAGAACGAGAGCTCATCGTGCAACACCTTTTGACTGTCTTGGGATCGATTTCGCAGAGGAACCTCGAGCCAAATGGCGGGTCTCTGATCAACAAGATCCGCCAAGTGGCGTCGACGTTGCTCAACGACGCACCTGAGCGCAAGGGCCCGCTTGCCATGAAGTCGGAAGGGGCGCTGTCGCAGCTCATCAACATTTTGATGAAGCTTGAGAAGTCAGGTGCTAGCGGTCCATCCGCTCCTGAGTCAGGAGACCCCAGCCAGATGACGCAAGAGGACGAGGAGGAGGAGTTGGCGCTCTGGGCGGACCTTCGAGAGTACCAGCTGCAGTTTGCGGCTCATGGAGGATTTCCTGGAAACCTGTGATGGGCCGGACGGATATATTCGCCTGGAGTCGCGGGAACATAAAAGTAAAGCTGTCACCGGGCAGTACTGGCGAGATTCTTGGGTCTCGCCATTTTTGGGGCAACCCATCGTGTATGTACAGTATAGGAATGGGTAGCGGTCTGTTTATGTTTTCTTTTAGGTGGCGACTGGAGTGGTCCTCGTTTCGTCGCATAGTTAGCTCTAAAAATCAGTCGAGCAGTGTATTCTGGACGGGCATGAATCATATGGGAATTTGGCTTCCTGCAAGTTGGCGTGCGCGACGGTCCAATGTGATTTCGTAGGCTGCCCAGGCAAAAATGACCCAGTCGGCGATCCTACGCGACTGTTAGTGCCATTCACCGATACCATCGAGGCGTCTTATGGTGCTCAAGATTTATACTGACATGAGGATGCCCAATAGGGCAGCCATGGCGCCTTCGGACGACCGACTCCAGATATTGAAATGCACAAGGTGGTATATGAGCAAGATGAAGCAGATGGTAGCACCGATGGCAAGGAGGAGCTGTATGGCGGCGTGGACGCGCGGTGGGATGTGGGACATGTGGTGGGAGGCTCTACGGGCAGAGATGTTGGAGGCGATGGCCCATACGAAGGAGAGGGTGGCCTACAAAAAGACATTGTAAGCAAGTAGAGAGCGAGTGAAGTTGCAAAAAAGAAGAGGCATTCTCCAGAACAGCCAAAACAAAAGAATCTGTCGGTGGAGAGGCTCGAACTCTCGACCTTTGGATGTCCCTGACCTATGGCCAAGTCATATGTTATATGAGACCAACGCTCTAACCAACTGAGCCACACCGACTGATTGGTTGATTTCATGATCTCCGAGAACGCTATTTGCGACCAAGTCGGCATGGGATATGGAGAGCAAGGGAGCACCTTGAGAAATGCACGGGGGAGCAGAGATAGACGCACAATAGGCAAGCTAAGCCAGAGCAACCAGAAGCACGTATCGCCAACGTTGGCATCGCTAGGGCAGACCCGCTGCGAGACGCTCCACCAGATGTTCAGCACGACGATGACGCCCGGGATGACGAGCGAGAACGGCCGCGCGAAGAGCACCACCGACACGGCGCTGGGAGGGCGGCGGCGCGGAGGACGGGGGGCGGTGGGATCGTGGATATACGGCTGCGGAGGGTACTGCCGGAAGTAGTACGGCGGCTGCGGAGGATGTTGATGTTGGTTTTGAGGCGGCGAGTGGTTGTGATATTGCTGCTGGTGCGGCTGCGGCTGCGGTTGTGGGGGAGTCATGATGGATGGCGATCGTCAAGGGCGTCAAGGGACAGGTCGAGTCGGGGCGTGGTTCACCAAAGTGCTTGCGGAGATGGAACGTGAGGCAGTAAAGATTGCAAAGCCTCGTTTCGCGGTGAAGGACGAAGGTGAATTACGAATTCTCAGGTGATGAGAAGCAAGCCGGAGCCTGATTCATTCCAGCCGGTGACGTACCGCTCTCGGTGAAGTTGCCTGACGGACAGTCGCACGGCGGTCGCTCGCTAACGCGCACTTCGGTTTAGTGGGTTTAGTGGCCGCGCCCTCACCTTGGGCCCCCGCAAGGATGGAGGGTCCGGCACTGAACGGTGGGTGCCGTAGGGGGCTCGGTACCTGGACCGCTCCCCACCAGACCGGCTGCTGGGTAACTCCCGAGGCGGCGGGCAAGTGTCCAATTGGCTGTCGGCGTTGTCAGTATCGCACCAAGACTCGGAGAGACGTGACGAGGCAACGGAAACTTCCATGCTTGAGCTTTCTACGCAGTCACTTCGTCCTGTGGCATCTGGACCAAACATCCAATCTCTTGTCATTCGCCGCACACGCCTCTAAGACACATCATCTTAACCAGCTCTGGGCTTCCTCGCCGTAAACACCATGACCCTTCCCACGACCCGCACATCCACCTCGTCAAACTCGCTCCTCAAGCCCGCCTCAAACACCTCCCGCGTGTCCTCCCAGTTATCAAACACCCCGAGGTGGTTATAAAAGCTCATCAGCGCCCACGCGATCGGGTTCATCGGCGCCTGTCGGCCTAGGATCGTCGCCCCGACGAGCACGCCGTGGTCGGCGAGGTGCGGCCGCACCGTGCGGAACACGGCCGTCTTGCGGGACGGCGGGCCCGGCATGCAGTGTAGCAGGTAGTAGAGGCTGATGGAGTCGAACTTGCGGGATGGCGGGAGCGGCAGCGGCTCTGCGGCGTCGGCGAGGAGGCTGTCGACCTTGACCGAGTCTCCCACGGCGCCCGCGATGCACGCTTCTGATGTGGCTATCGCTACCGGATTCAGGTCTGCCAGCGTCACCTCCTTGCACTTCGAGCTGCCGAGCGTCTTGCCCGGGAAGTATCCCGACCCGACGCCCACGTCGAGGTGTCGCTCGCCCAGCGTCTCGCTGAACAGGGGTAGTAGGACGTCCTTGGTCGGGCACTTCCAGGCGTAGCTGTTGGAGAACCAGAGCACCCAGAAGTCGTACAGGGAGAGCGGCACGGACGAGTAGAGGCGAGACCCGGCATTTTGGCTGGGCACCTGGTGGGGCGTGGTCGAGATCATCGCGTCGACGGCAATTGACGAAGGCGTCTAGGAATCCGAGACAAGAGAAGACGGTTTTCGACACAGATGCTGGCTTCCGTTTGGCGATTTAAGACGCAAAGCAGTCAGACGAAATCTCACGGCGGCTCCCTTGTTTAAACCCAACGTGAGCCAACAAGGATGCCCGGATGGTTGCCCCAACACTAACTAGTCATGGCCATGATGGACTAAGCGCTAGCAGACTGACGGCACTTCAAAATGCATGGATGGCGGTAGACGAAGGTTGCGCCGATGCGGTGTTAAGCACCCGCGGCTCACTTACAGAAGATTCCCTCGGCCGGGAGTGTGTAAGTCCCTGTCATCTCTCTCACGTCAGTCCGCGACGCTTCCGACTGTTCCGCTTAATCCCGCGATCCAGCAGGAGTCGTTATCTCCAAGTCTTCTATTTTGATCGACACTATGAGATGGCTCTGAATAAGGTCTGCTCTGACGTTGCGTCCTCAGTGGGCCGCCGTTGAGCTATGAGCTGGGAGCATCTCGTAATTGTGGCCCTTTATTATCGTCTTTTCGGAATAGCCGGGCGAGCATTGTTTCCTTCGCCAATATAAGGTTTCTGGCTAGGCATCATGGACCAGCCATGGCGTTTCTGCCTCGTATGTTGCAGCGTCATCCTTACAAGTGCCGGCACTCACCCTGGTAATCCAGCAGTGTCAAAGGGACGCACAGATGTGAGATTAATCAGTCGATTTATCGAGAGAATCCGCATTTCATGACTCCTGGGCCATGCTATATAAAGCTAAGGACATAACTTCTAGATCTAAAGATGCTAAAAAAAACATAAACACTCCCCTCAATCATACACTAGAGAGGGTGTCGAACTCCTTAAAGACTAACGGTGGTCGAGGTACAAATCCCAGTTCCATTCATTCTCACCCTCAGCCACAAAAGGCTGTGTGCCAGGGTGAAGACTCAACCCAACGCTGTTAGCTGGGAAGCCATCTGCATGAAGAGTCCCCAGCGGGGTTCTAGGACGTCCCTCCGTAGTGGACGACTCCGTCCAGTCAAGTCTGGCTTGCTGGTTCAAATGGCCGACCTCAGCGAGAAAGGTACTATATGACCGATTTACTAACCCGTCAACCAGTTATGCAATTTGACTACTAAGCTCGGCTGAGGGCTCTGTGTTCAACATGACTGGCAAAGATTCCTTGATGAACGAGGGGAGTTCACGGACTAGATGGCGACGGTACTCGTCTACACGATCGAACTCGTCGACTTTTCTCGCTTTATCGAGCGAGTACTGGTCTTCCTACATGTTAGTGACAAACCGCGCGGCTTGAGAAGTGCAACTCACACGGCTTAGGAGTGACACCATCTTCTGGGAACACAATCTTGTACATATAGGCCCACTTTCCCTCCTCTGTCTTATTTCTGATCTCCTTGCGCGAGAGGAGGAGGCTAAGCTGGGTGTTATTGATGCCATCCGGAGCGGTGGCTGGTGCTTCGCAAGCAACAGGCCGTGCATAGTGAAGATTGAGGGCCGAGTGAGTCTCCAGGTCGTTGAAGCAACGCCTGCAATGATACGGGGTAATTTATGACATCGATATATGTGCTCCCTGTGGGTTGTTAGAAGTGAACGCCCTTGTCCGTTTAATGGCCTACTTGACCCGGTGAACGCTGTCCCACCCAGGGTGCGCACAGCGCTTCCATTGAGGCTGTCCGTACTCGAGGGGATTGCGTTTGTGGAAGGGGCATGCATAACGAGTGTTATCTCTGCGTTTGCTGTCATCACCTTCATCGCCTCTGATGGCTCTATGGTCTCCTTCGTCGCCGTCGCCGCCATTGCCACGATTAAGTCAACCACCGTCATTGCCTTCATCGCTACCATCATTTTCGATCCGACGTCTCTTTTTGCGCGAGCTAGACCTGTCGCCGCATCCCCCGTTCTCCTGTCTGGGCTGGCGTCGACTTGGGGCTTCAGAAATGGCTTGTTGCCTCGTAGGCCATGGTTGCCCGTCAGCCCAACTCCCCATTCCAGCAACGAGTTCCATTCGCGCCTCATCAGCATTCCATGGAAACGACTCCGCAGACAATTCATCGCCTCGAAACGGCGAATGGACACCATCCGAAAGAGTGTGGATATCCGAATTGCTTATGGCATCCATGGTTGCCAAGGCTGGAAGAGAAGACGGTATTGTGGCTCGATCTCCAAGAGACTAAGAGCCTCCAAGTATCACCAGACTGGTATACCAGGCCGGATTGAGAGACCGGGAATAATTCCAGTAGCCCTCGACTGCTACAGGCCGATACGGCGTAACTTTACTCTCTTCTCTCAATTTATTGCCAATTGCAGAGTGTTTGGCAGAGCCTGATGGCTTTGAGCTGTGCATGGCAAGGTGCCTGCCCGATGCGGCTGTATCCATCTAGATGGGACAAAAGCCGGGCAAGTCAGAATGGGGAAGGAAAACAAAAGATAAAAGCTCCATAGTCGATACGTTACACAAGGTGGGATGGAAGGGTGAGGTGTAGGGATGTGCGGTGCAAGGGCGGACACTGGTACTTTAGCAGACGGAGTTATGCGCATTCTCGCACAACCTCATCCGCTAAAGTCTTCTTGGCGCAAAGCACAAGCCTTACTAATCAGAGAGCACAGCTGCTTGGCCTTGACAGCTCGCAATCGCTGTGAAGTGCCTTTGCGGAGTTGGATCACGTAGATATGAAGTATCACGGAAGAAGATGCAACGCGCAGAAGGTGCTAATTGAAGTATAAATGATGGGTCAAAGAAGCTTCCATTGCAACACCGGCAGCTCGGCTTGGCATAGTACATTGTAAGTACGTAGTAGGTACGAACTCACACACACTAGCGGTGGAGGGAAATGTAACCAGCTTCTACTCCATGGCAAGCCAACAATCCGGGATCTAGGCGGAGCACACCGGCGCCGGCCCCGCATTCAAGCCGCAGTGGGACGATTCCATTCCGCTTGTCCCAGTCTAGCGTATTCCTGGTGATGTCAGTGTATCTCGTGGCCGTCGTCGACGTGAAGCTGAAAGTGAGCGTGTGACCAATCGTTTCCGCAGTTCTCAGAGCGACATGGGACTGGCGGCCCAACCAATAGATAACTCGGGCACTGCTCGTCCGCTGTCGGATCTGAACGTCGCCCAGTTCACAGCTCACAGATCACAGCTCACAGCTCACTCCCCAATTCAGCCGCGATACAGAGCAGAGCATGTCGACTTGTATGGTGATCAGGACTGGCACGCTATTTATTACATCTCAATCCTTTGTGTTTTAGCACGTCCAAGACTTGGCCCAGCTCCATGTCTACCCCGCGGGCTCACGCCGTCACGCTTCCCGCCGCCGTCGACTACTACGACTTGGGTACCTTTTGTCGCCACATCACGACCCAGAGTCAAGATGCGCAGGTTTGGTTCGCAAGAGGCCTCGTCTGGGCGTATTCCTTCAACCACGGCGAATCGGTCCGGTGCTTCGAGCAGGTGATTGTCCATGATCCTTCGTGTGCGATGGGCTACTGGGGCGTGGCCTTTGCGTCGGGGCCCAACTACAACAAGAAATGGACTGCCTTTGACGACGTAGAACTCAAAGCCTCCATTACCAAGTGCCATCATATGGTCATGTTAGCAAAGCAGCACGCTGCCTCAGCATTGCCGGTGGAACGGGCGCTCATCAACGCCCTCGAGTATCGGTTCCCGTTCAGCTCTGTGCCAGAGGACTTTTCACCTTCGGTCTTGGAATTCGCCAATGAAATGAGAAAGGCGTATAGGGAATTCGGAGATAAGGACTTGGACGTTGTGGCACTCACTGCCGACGCGTTGATGAATACCAACCCGTGGAATTTGTTTGAAAAGAAGACGAGGAAACCCAACCTATCGACTCCCATCTTGGAGATCAAGGACATGCTCGAGCGTGCCTTGAGGCTTCCGGATTCTCGCTATCATCCTGGAATATTGCACATGTACATCCACCTAATGGAAATGTCGGATACCCCAGAAGTCGCTCTCATGCCCGCCAACTACCTGCGCAACCTCGTACCAGATTCGGGCCACATGTGTCATATGCCTAGCCATATCGATGTGCTCGTGGGGGACTACCGCCGGGCCATTGATACGAATATGAAGGCTACTATCGCAGACGACAAGTTCTTTGCCAAGAGGGGGGGACGTAGCTTTTACAGCTTCTACCGGTTGCACAACTACCACTCTCTCATCTACGCCGCCATGCTCGCCGGCCAGTCCCGTGTGGCACTCGAGGCGGTTGACAGAATGGAGGCAACTATTACAGAGGACCTACTGCTCATGGACTCCCCCCCGATGGCAAATTGGATGGAGGTCTTCAAATCCGTCCGAACCCACGTCCTGATCCGCTTCGGCATGTGGGATGAGCTCAAGACACAGCCCATCCCCGAAAACAAACAACTCTACTGCGTCACCCTCGCCATGACGCACTACGGAAGAGGGATTGCATGGGCTGCGACCGGAAACGTCGGCGAGGCAGACAAGGAACGGGACCTCTTCCGCGTCGCCGCGAAACGAGTGCCTCGGTCGCGGCTGAGCTTCCCAAACAGAGTGGTGGACGTACTCAAAGTGGCCGTCGCGATGCTGGACGGCGAGATTGAGTACAGGAGAGGGAACTACGGCGTCGCCTTTGAGAGTCTCCGACTCGCGGTTGCGCGCGACGACGCGCTTGTATATGGCGAGCCCTGGGGCTGGATGCTCCCAACTCGCCATCCGTACGCCGCACTCCTCCTTGAGCAGGGCCGCGTCGAAGAGGCCTCGGTTGTATATGCGGAGGACTTGGGGCTGAAGAAGTCGCTTAATCGAGCGCATCAGAACCCGAACAATATCTGGGCGCTGCATGGCTACTATGAGTGTCTGGTACGTCTTGGACGCACCGCGGAGGCGGGGATTGTGAGGAAGTTGTTGAGGACAGCTGCAGCCGGTGCGGATGTGGCAGTGAATTCGTCTTGCTTCTGCAGGCTCGAGACTAGCAAACTCCCAGAAACGGAAAAGAAGTGCTGTAATGGCCGAGAGTAGTCACCTACAAATACGATCATCTTAACCTTTCATATCATTCAGGTTCCACTTTGGATGCCTGCCCGTCTATTGAACTACTTAGATGGGCTGAAGGAGCATCATTTTGAAGAGTGATGGATCTCTGACGCTGCCGGCGCTGCACTGCCGCCATGCCGGGATCTATAAGTCAGTGGTTAGCATTGGAAGTACATGAGTGATGCTTGGGGCGCCTGGAGGAAATCATACTACGGCATTCCAGGAAAGCACTGGCAGGCAACGACTTCGAGAAACTCAGATGCGATAATCCCTAAGCGAGCGCCAGCATCAGCTACACACGGATGATGCGTGGCGTGCCTAGAGGGCGTCCTGGGCGACTTATCGTAGTTCTAAAGGAAACCTCACCCGGCAGTAACTTGAAGTGCTGGAGAAGGAAGAGGAAGATCAAGTTTTGCGCTTGTCGAGGGTGTCTTGTGCGCTTGACCGTGATCGCCAAAGGAGGTCTCGCGAGGAAAAAGATTGGAGTGATGGGAAAAAATTGAGCCTGGGGGGCGATTTGGAATCGGGCAGTTGGCTGGCAGCTGTAAGGGCAAGCACGACCGTGAATCACATCCGCCCAACAAGAATCCCGTCACTCCCAACACCGCACTTCAGCCAAGAAATTTCCTCCAGCACCTCAACATTGGAATGGTACTTTGTGATTCTGTCTCCCATGCCCTTATTTGATGCTTGCAACTCAGCGATGCCGTTGAGTTGAATGTTTGTGGTAGGTTGTTGTTCACTCAGGTGGGGAATGGAAATCGTGGTTTGCGTACGAGGGTATGGAGGGCCCTTTCAAAAGTCTTATCCATAAGAAGTAAGTCCTAATCATTAGGTTAGATAATAAGTACACTAAGTACTTCCTGATTTCTATAGGCCCTAAAGGATAGCAGGCTATAGTACATAGTAACTGCTATATCCTGATTAGCAGCGTATTACTCCTGAAGTTATAGCGGCCGTTTAATGAGACTGTAACAGCTTTATATATCTCAGGTAACCGACAGGGATAAATGGATATGATGTTACTAGCGCTTGGATAAGACTTTTGAAAGAGCCCTCCGTATTGGCCTTAGGTTAACTAAAAATAAGTATTATGCACGGCGAATGAGATGGTCAGGCAATCAATCACCGAGTTCAAGGAATGCTCTGCTCGCGTCCGCACCGAAATTGCGTGGCAAAGTAGGCAGAACACACTCAGGGTTCTGTGTGAGATGGCTGCCTTACAGCCTTTTCAACTGTTCCATCCTAGTCTCGACAGCTGTCTTTCCTCCTTCTCTTTCCTCCTTCTCTTATGCATTACACGTTCAACCTCACCCTGTCCAACACGCCACATTCCAACCTCTCATTAGCGACTGCGCGCACGCAAATAGTCGAGCTGCTCACACCACACGTCAATGAACCACGAGCTCCCAACCATCTCACAGTTTCCAACCACATACTGCAACCACTTGGAACCATGGCTGATGCATATCGGCTCGCAGAGATGATGAGGCGGGTTTCCCGCCCACGCCAGCAACAAATGAGGTCAACAGTGCGACAACTCCAAGAAAGCCTGTCGGCTGCCAACGACCCGCGATTATGGATCGAGCTCACATTTGCTCCCGGGTCATCCATGGTTGACTTGACGTACGACAAGAGTGAAGGTCGCGGTGGAGCACCGGAGCCTGTGGGAAAGCGGAAGGGTTCCACGGATATCGACTCGAACGGATCGGAGACGGGCGATCGCCACATGCAGCCCAACTTCGAGGGACCCCAGGATGTGGTCTGGGACGTCAAGGTGAAGAATGCGATCAATTTTGATGGTTGGGAGTCTCGAGAGATTGCCACGTGCCTCAGGGTTGAAGGAAAGCCTGCGAATCTTATCCAATACCTCAGCTCTGACGAGTTCAAGAAGCACATCGTAAGTTCTATGATGTCCATGTTTTGTCTACTTGTGGGTTCAACCATGCTGAAGTTCTCGGTGATGTACAGGATACTCTAACGAGCGTTGAGATCGACCCAATGTTGTTCCCCAGTCTCCGGACCAAGCTTAAACCATGGCAACATAGCGGCATTCAGAAGTTGAAGATCCTTGCCCAGTCGGAATTCAGAGGAGGTTTCTTGTGCGACGCAGTTGGACTTGGGAAGTCATTGACTGCTTTGGTTGCTTCAATGGAGATTCGAAAGCAACTGCTTCCAAACTGCGGATTCAACCTCATTGTCTGTCGTGCTGGCTGTGTCGTACAATGGTACGACGAAGTGATGAAGCACTACAGCAAGGTAAGTCTTTCTTTCATCTATCCGTTCAAATACAGGTCACCTAATCTATTTTATCGTAGGGTATGCGTCCTTCATGCATCATCCTTGACAAGACAGATTTCCCGGTCCACGAGCTCTTAAAGTACGACATCGTCATATGTAGCCACAACTTTCTCCGCCAACGCTACATAGATTGGGTTGCGTATGCAGGGTTCTGTCTTGCCGTGCGAAGTCATTCGGTCAAACGCGCCATCCAAGCATTTGATAGAAAGTTCGTACGACCACATGCACCACTGCATTCGTCACTCTATGCATCCCTGCAAAGGAAGATTGCAGTTCTAATCATCGACGAATCGCACGACGCCAGGAACCCAGAATCTCAGCTCCACGCCGCAATTAGATCACTGGAACCTCATTGTACGTTCTTGCTCACCGGGACCCCCATTTTCAACATATGGGAAGACCTAGCTGCGCAAGCGATGTTACTACCTGGAGGAGGTCCCCTCATCAACCTGGACCACTGCCGCCGCCTTTTTGGAACAGATGGAGATACCAACCTCGTGGGTCATCCACAAGGTGCGGGAGAGATGTTGTTCCGTCGATTCATTTCCGCCTTGATAGTGGCTCGCCCAAAATCCCTCTTGGAACTTCCTCCTTTGAAGACCAAGATTGTGCGAGTTGACATGAAAGACCACCGGGAAATCTTGCTCGAAATCTCCCGGTGCGTAATGATCGGCCGTTCACTTCTTTCGAGTGGCAAACGGGATGGTATTTCGCATGTTCATGGCGTCCAATCTACCGGAGCATGGGCGATTTTATCGAAGGCTCAGAAACTATCTCTGAACCCAATTTTGCTCACTCTCCGCGAAGCTGACAGCGAAGATGAGGAAACAAGTACGGGCATCGACAAGACGACGAAAGCGAGAATGGAGGCATCTTTGCAAAAGTTTCTCGAGGACAAGGGTCTCCCACTAGACCTATCACTCAAAGATCTTGACACTGATCAGCTCGTCAGTTTCCGAGCGGTGTGGAATAAGGTGCGTCGTGGGTCATCTACAGCCGTACAACTTGCTGAAAACGATCAATTGCCCAACAATGTGGATGAAGATGATGCCCCAAGCACATCGCACGAAATTGAACTGGAAGACTTACGAGCAGTGGGCATATCTGCCTACAGCGATGAAGGTTTTACTTACAACGAGGACTCCGAAGACGAGAACTATCAACCAGATAGTGATGATGCGGATGAAGCCCAGTCGGAGGGACCTAACGACAATCACGAGTCAGAAGACGATGAAGTTCGTGGCGTCCGATCTGAGGGAACTGAAGACGAGAGCTCGAAGCCAGCCGCTGAAGAACGATACCTGCGACGAAAGGGACGGTCGGACCCCGAGTTCACGAAGCGATGGCTTGCCCGGCTTTCAAGATCATCTGACAATGGAATCTTCTCGCCACGCATTACGGCGATCATGGATCAAGTACGACAGATCCGAAAGGAGTATCCGGGGGAGAAGATGATGATTGTCTCTGGAATGGTAATGTTTCTGGATATTGTGAAGGAGGCGATCAAGCGACGAGCCCAGACCGAGATCGAATTCGAATTCGAGATTGGAGAGTACAACGGCACGATCAAATCAGTCGAAGAGCGAGCTGAACTTATTCGCACCTTCAACCACCCGGGTAGTGGATTGATTGTGCTTCTTCTGAGTGCGCAAGCAGGTGGCACAGGATTAAACGTGGCTGGGGCATCTCACATAATCATCTCGGAGCCATTTTGGACGCCTACTCTGAAGGAACAAGTCGCAGGCCGGGCACATCGGATGCCTCAAGACAAGGAGGTACATATCTAGGAAATTGTCGCTCCCCTGTCGGAATTTGACAGGATGCTGCACTCTGCCGCTCTCAACAAGAGGAAGTTCGTCAAAGCCACTAATCAGTTCTTCGTGCGGAATGATAGCGACGAGTTTATCATCCCGAGATTGCCAACGCAAAAAGAACTGGAGGAAGATAACTGGGGTGCCAGTACTAAGAGTGCTGCAATGCCCTCATCGAGTGGATAGACATGGGTCATTGGTACGTCTTGGTTTTATGGAATGTGCAGCCATCCCACTTTTGACTGCTGCTCGAACGGAATCGCTAGGCACGGGTCATGGGCGGCTCATGTTTTGATGGGAAGTGCAGCAACCGTTGCCATGTTGCTATGGATGGGAAGTGCAGTAACCGCTGCCATATTGCCATGGGAAAGGTATGGAGAGGGCTGTGGTGTACTGCCAGGCATGGGTCACTAATGATGGAGGGAATGCATAGATCTGACCTTGGCGTGCCGTCATGCATTAAAGATATAGCAGCGTATTACTGGTGGAATACAATTCCTTGCGTGAATACTTCGTGTGGGCAATACCTATCCACTAAAGCTTTACAATGCGGCGAACTCGCCCAGTCAAGCTGTAATCCCACCCCATTACCCCCTAGCGTCAAGATGAGACGTCAGTTGTGAGAAGCCCAAGATTGCTCAAGCAGAACTCGCTATTCTGGAAGTAAAGACTGGTTAGTATGGGATAAGTTAAATGTACATTTTCGAAAACATACGTAGACTCCATATATTCCTACAATGGTGTTTGGCCCAGGCTCCAACACTTCGGAGAAAATGGGATCGTGATCAAAACTGAATGGAAACATGGCGGTTTGGCCCCGGTTGGTATTTATCTTCAAATATATCAGTCCATTCGTCTTGGTCCGTTTTTAGTTTGGGTACAAAACTTGCCTCGAACCCACACAACACCCCTGAATGCTGGTAGAACGCTTCAATGTGATTGATTCGCTCCCCTTCATGGGACGACAGCCTCGCACTGAATTGCTGCTTACCTCGCACTGGATAGTGCGAATCCCGGCCTATGAGAAGGGAACGCTCCCCATCAATTGGTTCGCTGTATATGAATTCGATGCTCCAAATAAAACTGTGAAAGTTCTGGAGGAGCGGTGGCGCAGGGATGGTGCAGACAACAACTTCGCTCACGAGCGGAAGATGCTGGCCATTCTGTCCGCCAAAAAGAGCAACCGTGTATGGCTCGCTCTCCTGGCGATACGTTATGCGAAAGTCTATTAGACCTACAAAGTCGAGATTCGGGCCAGGAATTTCTGGGTACCAGAGTTGTGAGTCTCTAAGGCTATCTGGCTCTGGAGGGGGCTGCGGTTCTCGAAATGGGTTGACATAGGACACATCGCTATCGGTGGAATCCACGTCGGACTCTGCGCTTGTAGTTGTGCCTCCTTCAGACCCTTCATTGTCTAGCTCTTCATGTGCTTCACTGTGGTTTGACTGGTTGTCGAATATGTCGGTACTCAGGGCTTCGGTGTCAGGCGTCTCATTGTCAGGTATGTCGTCAGGGATCTCGATTTCATATGTCTCGCTGTCAGATGCATCACTGTCAGATGCATCGCTGTCTGATGCCTCGATATTACTTGTTAAAGACAGGGAAACAAGTTTAAGAGCCTGGATTAGTTAGCAAGGGGAGAAGAAGAACTTGCAATTCCCACATACATCAAACCCAGCTTCCAATACAGTGACGCGAGGGTCCAATGGTGGGCATTGCGAATAAGTGGAAATCAAGAGGTTGCGTTTTGGTACGCCGAGGTAGTCACCGACCCAGTTAGTCAGTTCAAAAGAAGGTGCGTATGCGGCCACACCTCGGATTCCCCTGTCATCTATTGCAAATTGGAATCCAACAATACCGTCCTCGATATCATGCCCAGCTATGCCGACCATTCGTTGGGGATGAAGGTAGCCGAGTTTGATGACCTCTCCGCTCTGTTGGGTAAATTGTAGACCAGAGATGTATTTTTTGTGTTCGATATTGACATATGAGGCGTGGATAGCCTGGAATGACCTGGGAATAGAAACCCGACGTTTCCACAGCTCTCTTGAGCCATGAAAAAAGTGCTCGTTGAATTCATGTACATCACTAATTGCGGTAGCCCATAATCCATAGGGATACTTTATCTGAAAGCGAAGAAATTCTTTCACAGGGTCTCCATGGCAAATCATAGAGCCTAGCCTCTGGTTGAGTAGTTTGGCAATGGAGCTTGCGAGAGCCCACACTCTTTTCCGGTTAATCATTGAATTGTCGAACGATCTAGTCCGATCGTAGAGCGATCGCCAGGATCCGGCGACCGAAGTGTTCATGCTTGACTCGTAGATGTGGCTGAATTCTCTGCCTGGCAGGAATCGTGATCGCCAGAAGCTTTCTGGCAAAATCATGGTAGCAAAGACGGGAGAGGCGAGTTTGAGGTTGAGGACCTCCCTCGAGCTCAGCATCACAACAACTTTTGACAGGACCTCGAGCGGCAGGCTATTGAAGGGATCTTCGGGTTTGAGATCGTCAAGAGTCCGATACTTGATTCCCGAGGAGCTAATATGGTGTCTCGGTAAAGGAGAGAATAGATTCCGCAAGCCTGTGACACGCATTGGATCGTATCTTTTTTGGTCACATATGTGCGATACTGGTGGTCGAACGAAACCCTTGGACCCGCTGGGGAAACACTTGGACTGCTTAAAACCACGGATGAAAACGCCTCCATAGTCGTGATCCCAGTCCATGATGCCGAAAATGATGGGGAGCGATCTGCAAATGTCGAACAATGCCTGGACATTCAATTCAACGCCCTCGGAGGCGCAGTTCGTTGATAGAAGATCCCAGCAGCTGCAATGAAACATGTATCCCCAGATTGGTTCCGGAGGCGCCTGCGGATCCAAAGGGGAAAATGAGGTTCGATTGACGTCTAGAGCGATGGTGGGGACTTCAGGATTGATACCTGGTCCACTTCCCATAGAAACATCATACGGGATGGTGTACGTATCGTTGCCTGTAATCTCTCCCTCCCCGGACAAGCGAGCCGCATCCCATCCAGAATCTGCAGTGTAGACTACGGTGAAGGTTAGGAGAGGAACCTACGGGACATGGATAGTCGACGGAACGACATGTCTGAGACGTACTGGCTCGAAAGCGGCCCATCCACTCAGGCGAGGACCGCGCCTTGTTGATGCCAGCACCGCAGACGATGCATTCAACGGGCATCATGGAGAAAGCAAAATGAAAATTGAGGTGAATTACCGCGTTTTCCCAGAGCGAGGTGAGCGGCGAGGTGAGCGACGATGTGAGGGGTGAATCCCCAGACCCACACAGAGCCGGAGAAGCGGGGAAGGCTGGGCGATGCGGTGGAGAGTTTGAGCGGTTCAACTGCCGGAGATGGATCGGTTCGAGATGCTTCGTGCAGATGCGACGTTGAAGGTGGAGAAGTTTGTCTGCGCGCCATTTAGGCGGAAGAACATTGGGAGTCTGCGATAACTGGTTGTGTGGTTGCGTGGGGCAGGCTTCACGCATCCGGATGCAAACCACCAGCCAACCACTTAGCCACTTAGTTAGACAACCTCGCCGAAAATACGAGCACGTGATTGGAACGCACAACAATACACCTAGGTAAGCTCCACCGTTATCTCTGGCAGAGTGAGGGCGATTGTGCAAATCGAAATGCGCTTGCTGGTTGTACGGCCGTCTCTGGTATTGCACCTTCATCTACAATTCGGGATCCTCTATGTTGGGGACTCTGTCTCAATCACAGTTGAGTTTATAATCTGTGAGTATTGCCATTCGCACACATAACTACATCTTAATTCCGCTAACTTAACACTCACATATCATCCTAACAAAGCAGGTTGGAGAATGAACTTTGAGAAGACGACTTTTTTAGTATTTATTACTTGTGATACTATTTATTTACTTTATTTATTAATTAGATCTCATTATAAAATTAATCTCGCAATCTAAGCTTAGATTGCACGCGGCAGGGGCTCTAGTTCAGCCGAGGACTTGGCGAGGAGCTTGTGCCTGTATGCAAATAGCAATTCTCTTACAGAGGGCTCTTTTAAAAGTCTTATCCAAGCGCTAGTAACATCATATCTATTTATCCCTGTCGGTAACCTGAGATATATAAAGCTGTTACAGTCTTGTTAAATAGCTGCTATAATTTTAGGAGTAGTACGCTGCTGATTAGGATATAGCAGTTGCTATCTGCTGTAGCCTGCTATCCTTTAGGGCTATAGAAATTAGGAAGTATTTAGTATACTTATTATCTAACCTAATAATTAGGACTTACTTCTTATGGATAAGACTTTTGGAAGGGCCCTCCGTATCTGCTGCCGCAGATCCTATATGCTTCACTACGAAGAGAGACAATCACCACATCACACTGCAGCCCTAACGACAGCAAGATAGACTGCATCAAAACTCATATGCAATTCATAACGTAACAATCGTCTCTGGGAATAATATCCATCCATCCAGGACCCTATAGTCTAGGAAATTCTGTCTGTCATCAAACATCGACCAGAAGGCCATCCAGCGCCACCAAGACTCAAAGTAGGCCTAAAACCATTAAAACAAATATCAAAGGCCGTCCGGGTTATCCAAAAAATAAAGAAACATATATATCACAGCATTCTTCATCTCTTCACCTCCTCACCAACACCACCTTGATATCATCCGCGTATCGCTCAAAGCCCACGTTAAAGCCCTTCCGCACACCGGGCACCCAGAAGTTGCTGCCGTCAACGCTCTGGACGTCGAAGGTGCGCAGGGTGCCTGCGATCATCATCATGGCCACCTCGAACCCAAATACTCGCCCAGGGCACAGGTTGCCAGCAACGCCGAAGGCGCGCACCTTGCGGATCAGGGCGTTGTTGAGCTCGCCGTTGTGGTTGATGAAGCGGCCGGGCACGAAGGAAGCAGCGTCAGGGCCCCACGTCATGGCGTCGAGGTTAGAGGCGCACATGGGGAGCAGGAAGATGTCGCCTTGTGACACAGCCAGGGGATCTGAGCCGGGGAGGTTGAGGTTGAAGTCGTGGCGGGCCAGACGGGGAACACCAGTCATGTGCAGGCGAAGATTCTCGTACCAGGATGCTACGAGCCAGGGGCAAAGAGTACGCACATCAGTGAGATCTAATCTCGGCGCACCCGAAAGTTCCCCCTGGACGTCCTTGAGTTGCTGCACCTCTTCGACAATGACGCGCATCAGCTCAGGGGTGGCCAGCAGATGACGCATCAGCCAGACAGAAAGGGTGCTGGGGGTGGCAAGGAGACCGAGGGCAGAAACCATCTCAATGTTGAAGTAGTCCGGGTTCGTCTCCCAGTTTGAGTCTGAGTGGGCGACGACGTTGATTGCATGGGCCACAGTCTGGACGCGCGCCTCGCGGTGCTCAGCGTGGAATGCGCGGAGTCGGTCCGTGAGAAACTTGCGGGACTTGTAAGCTGACCGAGCAGTGAGCCACGCAACTGGTCGAGAAAGAGAGTCAAAGGTCTCGCTCAGGTTCCTTGAATGACGTTAGCGGAGGGTTTCCATGTGGGTGGTGGGAATCTCGCTGATACGGGTGGGTGGGATTGGGTGTAAGTCAGATTTGAGATCACTTACATGAACTCTTCAGCAAACTCGCGATCCATGCGCCAGGGGTTCTGAACGCCCCAGACAGCACTCGCGGTGGCGGAAACGGTCATGCCAAACATCCAGTGGGCAAGGTCAACCTCGCTGTGGAAGGGCATTTGGTTCATCTGGTCCCAGACGAACGTGCCAGAGCGCTCAGAGAGGGCCTTCAAGTTTTCCATGTCGCCAAACTCGACCTTGTGCAAGGGCCGAGGGTTAGCGTCAAGAATGACACGGATAGTCTCCGGGCCCAGGCTGAAAACCCGGGGACCGACGTAGGCGAGGATCTGCGCAAGTCCCGTTTCTGAGGTGTGGCGCGAGAGGCTGCGGTCCATGGACGGGCTGGCAACGATGATGCGCTTGAAGGGGATGTTGATGGTGAAAATGGGGGCTGCGGTGGAGGCCAGGAGGCGGTTGACATAGCGAGCGCTGTCATTCTGCAGTCCGAGGAGGTGGCCGACCCAGGGGATGGAGCCGGCGATGTTGGGCAGCTGGGAGACGGAGAGGAGGCCGGTGTGAAGGGGGATCTTGTCAGAGGTGAAGGAGGAGTCTGAGGAGGATGAGGACTGGATGAGGCGGAGGAGGAAGCGTGCTAGGGGGGCAAGAATGAAGAGGATGGCAAAAATGATGATGAGCTCAACGCTCATGGAGGATAGGAGATGGTGAACGGCTGGGGCCTTTGTGGCCAACGACGACCACATGTCCTGGACGGCAGCCATGATGGTGTAAGTTGGGGTTGTTGTCTTGTTCTGTGTGTGTGAAGCAGGTCTCAGAGGAGTATCAACCAGATGTAGAAGTGATAGACAGAAGACACCCAAGTGTAAGACCAAGTCAAAAGGTCAAGAGTTACAACAGAAGAAGCGGCTTAGAGGGTATGTCTACAACGGAGAGTCGAGTAACGCCAGATCTACAAAACACCAGGCATCATCGTGGGAGCAACGGACGGGGATGCTCGTTTTATAAGACGCCCAAGGCTGGGTCTGGGCCGGGTCGTCAGTCTCCGGATCGTCCTGCATCTCCCGTGGACTCGTACTCGGTCCTCTCGAGATAGACGCATGGCTCCAGACGTACGTGATCAGATCGCTCCACCAGGGCGGTAGTCATGCAGCTCACACCCTCCTCTTGACGTTATAGTTCGGACTTTGCAAGCCTGGTCCCATCTCGACTCGAGTCGATCCTCACTCCCCTGGCCCCCCTCCCCCCCCTCTCTTCCTCCCACTCCATTTCATTCCAAGACTTAACTGCATCACTCGGACATGCGGATCAGTTCATGGATGGAGCGAGACCCAGACGAGGCGAGAGGAGGGGGCGTATGAGGGGGGCGTGAAGACGGGAAAGCAAAGGCCCACGTTTTCCCACGCGGCCAACTCTCACGCCCGAAGTGAGTGTGCAAAGTGCCACGCGCAGGCCGGGAACGATTCGAACAAAGGCTCACCGGCCAAGGCGGGCCAGTAGAGTCCAGCATGGCGCCTCCACCCTCTGTCCCCCTTCTTGGGGCCCGTTTGACGCAAGGCAAGGCAAGGCAAGGCAAGGCGAGACAGGACGCAGGACGCAGGACGCGGCAGAGCAAGCCAAAAGCAACGCTACGATATGCTACGTAGATAGTATGATATGACACGGCCACGGCCACGGCTGGGCCCCACGGTATATGGCGAGATGAGATATGGCAAGGACGGGACTAGACGTCTGAGTGGGCTGGGCCATGGAAGCACGTCAACCCAACTGCCCAGCTCAACGCTCAACTCAGCGCAACCAAGCCGGCAACGGCGTCGACAAGAGACAGGTCCAGGTCTCTCTGGGGAGCAAACGACAACCCATTGGCCAAGCCTCTGGCATGCATGCGAACCCCACTGTTCGTGTCAACTTGCAGAAGCGGCCGTGGCAAAGAGCCGTTGCGAGGACGCCATAGGCTCGCCGGCCGGCGGAGCCCCCGTGGTTGCAACTCGCAGACCTCCATCAGTTGTGTTTTAGTCGACTTGTGACGAACCTGCGACTCTTTAGGTGTGTTTGGAGGCTCTGGGTGGAAACCCGGGTCCCTTGGGGGTGTCAGTCAGAGTCCATCTCTGTCTTGTTATAGGACGGCCGCGGCTCCGAATTCCACCGAGTTGAATGCCGCCCTGCCCGCCGGCAAAGACACTACGGCTGCTGCGCCGGTTCTTTTATTAATTTCGGGCGGCTGGTTAATTCCTTTTACTTAATCTAGTCCATTACGAGTCTCCTGCGCGTCTGGCATCGGGCAGCGGAGCCTCTGGGTTCGGTCCTTGCTCCTTGTTCCCATGCTCCCTTCGTACATGGCTGGCCCCGACCCAAGGAGCGGCCCGCCGACGTCCCATCTGCGGTGGCGTTGAGCCGGTTCCCAAGAGACGAATACAAATCTACAAGTCGATGGCTGCGTACTGTAGCGTACTGTAGCGTACATGGCGTAGCGTCCTTGTTGCAGCGCGGACGGAAGCGAAGCAGGGCGCGCGCGTGGGCGTGGCAGTGGCGCCGGTGGTTCGCCCGGTGCGTCCCAACGCCATGGCCCGATCAAGACGCAGACGAACGAGGCCGTAGGACGGCAAATCGCAGGCCAACTCGCAGGAGCTGGCCGCCGTGCCGGAGCCCAAGGGCAGCCCAGAAAGAGGGGGACGACCCGAGGCCAAGGGACGGACGAGGGAGCCCTAGAGGACCCTAGACCTGGACCTAGAGAGCCCTGGCTGACATTGTAGATGCACTACTGCGTAGCATCTGCGCACTCCGGGATGCCGTCTTACGGTCTAAGCTACGGTCTAAGCTACGGTCTGCCGTCTGCCGTCTACTGTACTTACTTACTTACTTCTGGCGGTCGAAACGAAACGGCCTGGCAAACCACCACAGACCACATCGCGCCCCTCCCTCCGGGGCCTCCGCAACGGCCGGGGCTTGGCTCCCAAAGCGGCAATAGACAGACAGACGACAGACACGGCCGCGTGCCGTCCCGGGCTGAAGGTCAAGGTGAACAAGGTGAAGACCCTCCTCCGCTCCCACCGAGGCGGTTCGGCCGTCCGCCTCCTCCCCGAGCTTCGGCGACTCGCGAGACACAACAAGACAAGGCGCTCGCTCGGTCAGCGGCCTCTGCTCGGTCTCGAAGGCTCGACGGTCCGCGAGCGTGACCTTGGCGGGTTCCCTTTCTTCCATTTGGGGGTCCTTGCAGCGGAGCCGTCGACGCAGGCCGATCCCGAACTCCTCTGTCTAGACTCCGCCATCTAGACGTCCCGCGAGCCCAGTCAAGGCCGCCGACTCGACCTCCCTCTCTCTTTAGCCGCAGGGGCCCCGAGCTACAGCGACCCTAGGGCGCTCTTGGGAGCTGGGCGCTGTGACACGACGCCCGAGGTGATAGGGCTGGGAGCCTCCACGTCACTCCGAGACAGAGGGGATGGTGGCTTTTGTTGCCCTCTTTTTTCCTTTTTGCTACTACGTAGTAGCTGTCTCGCTTGTTCGAGCGACTCCCCCCCCCCCTCCTCTCCCTTCATCTCTCTCGTCCCGCCGGAAAGGGCAAAACCAGGGCCAAGAAGAGCGACCCCCCCCCTCCAAATGATAAAAAAACAAAGCCGAAGTGGTGCCCAATTCCAAAAAGTGCGAGTGAGAATCAGCAAGCCACAAGAGACACAGAACAGGCTGGGGGGAGGTATGCGAGTGGAGCCCAGGGCCATGGACCGGGGAGCGGCAGCGACTCGACGACGGCTCAACCATCACGAACCAACAAACTTGTGCCGTTTCCCTGGAGCCAAACCATCGGTAAGCGTCCTGACATGTCGAGGCTATTGTGCGGCGCAGTGCAGAAGAGTTGCAGAAGACAGGACACACTACGACGTACGTAGTAGTACATGATTACAGCCCATGCTTGCTCCTGGGGCCAGCCGAGGGTCCCGGCGTCTGACTAGGGTTGTGTCATCATGGGGGGCCAAGGCTAGTTATTGGGCAGATGCCGGGGGGGAGTTGCCAGGGGGGGTTATTGGGCAGATACAGGGGGAGTTGCTGCGTGGGAGACGGCTCCGTGGGTAGTTACTGGGCAATTGCAGGGCAGTTGCAGCATAGTTGCAGGACAGTTGCAGGGTATAAGACGACCAGGTTCGACAACAGCTCGTTACCGACTCGACAATGGACTAGATACGGGCTACATGAGGCCGCATGTTTGTGCAGCATCATGTGTCTGGGTGGGTAGCTGGGAGGGGAAAGTTGGACGAGGTGCAGATATCGGTGCCCTATGGTATACGTGTGCTATAGTAGGTGCGTCGACCTCCCCCAATTGCCCAATGCCAGCCGACGAAGCTGGCTGTACGTACTCTATCCGTGTCATGTAGGTGTTTGGTGCCTGGAGAGTGCATGTACGCCCATGTGTAGAAGAGGGCCTGAGCTGCGAGGGACAGTACCGAGAGCTGGGCCAGACTCTGGGGCAAAGGCTGGGGAATACGTGTTTGGAAGAGCGGTGGATGGTCGGGTTAGTTCGTTGGCCTTTGACGCTGATGCTTCAAATCACCACTCCGGGACTCGGCCCAGATGGAGCATGTCACCTTGACCGACACACTGGGGCCAAGCCATGGAGCCATTGGAACCCCGGGGGAAAAAGGCCCTTTACTTTACATAGCACATGCTGCATAGTCTGGGAGGGGTCCATGCCGGGCAGCACAAAGGCCGGTGAAGGGAGACGAGGGACGGCGAATGGGGAAACAAGAAGGCTCGCAAATCCCGAGCCGGACGGGAGGTACATGATGGGTACGGAAACCATCTGGCAAGTACATTTCGATTACCCATGACACGAGGCATTTTTACAACTCAGCAACCACGCATCATCGAAAGTGAAGTGCAGTGCAGGGCGGGGAGGAGTTGAACCACCACCCTGGCCCGGCGAGGCACCAGATACGGCGGCACACTTGAGGACATGGTGCAATTGCGGGAAGCCGGTAGGAAAAAGCAAATAAGGTGGAATTTGGCGGCGTGTCAGGACCGGCCGGACAATGGGACACGCGGAGAGGCGGCGGCGGTGGCGGAGGCGGCGGATTGCAAGTTGAGGCACCGCGGAGAAGGCGTTTCGCCGGGTGACATGTTTCACATGGTGGGTTCTAGATTGATTACTCAACGCCGCGTCCTCTCAAATGACCTCTTTTTTTTTTCTATCTTGATCCTAAGGGATGGGAGAATGCGAGGGGTCCACGGGATCAGCGGGATCAACAAGGCCGCAACTCCAAACCCTTGCCACTGGGTATGTAGGCGGGACGCAAGTGCCGGGGCTTATCATGTGGGAACGCGGAGGAGGCCGAGACATTTCGCCCCGGGAAACGACGCCAGACACCAGCAGCGAGCAGGACTAATAAAAGCCGCCGGGCCTCGAGAACGGGCCTGGCCGGGGGGCGGGAAGAAGAGTGGCAGAGTGAGGGCGAGAGCGAAAACAAGCTGCTAACAAGGGGAGGGCGGCCCTGAAGAGGAGGTGGAAGATGGTGAATTAGACATGCTGTGTAACCGGACATGCGGGTCCTAGAAGGACGAAACCGAAACCAGGGAAGAGGAAACAAAACAAGACAAGGGGTCCAATTAACTAGACACCAAAGCAATCAAACTCTCCGTGTTGGACTTCCACTTGGACTTCCATGCCCAGTGCCCCCATCGCGAAGAAAGAGCCCCAGATATGGATGGATGGACAGGGCCCATATCTGCCCGCGGCCGGTATCCAGTAATTACTGCATATTCCCTGTAGCAGCAATGTACACGTACAGGTCGTTGCCGGGTCTACTTTTTCTTTCTGTGGGAAAATCCCCCCCCCCCCCAATACCTATTTCTCAGCGTGCTATTCCCATGGATCCATCCTATTTAGGGCCCTTCCCCCACCTCCAGCCAGCCACTTGCGTCCAGCCAACCACCAACCCTTGAGCCACCGCCGCAGTAACAGAGCACGGAATGGGAGCAGCAGCTATGATGATGACGATTTATTAATGGGGAACAGGGCTTAAGTCATGTGCGGTTGTCGTACGACTACTGCGTATTTACTGCGTCTTGTACTGGTCAACAGTCTCCAGCGATTCGCTGCTTTTTTTGGCCGCTGCATCTCCAAGTATTTCTTGCGTGTTGCATTGCGTTGTGCTACAATCAACCGTTGTAATTTAAATACAAAAATTCACTTAATTTCTCTCTTTTCCTCTCATCCCCCCCCCCCCCCTGTACTGTTTTGTTCGTTTCAGTGGGGTGCACAGCAGCACTCAAATAGATGCGATGCTGCGCTGCGCGAAAGACGTGCTTCTACTTGCTCCCGCCCGTGTACTACTCGATCTCACGACAATCGCTTGGTTCCGAGACATTGATTGCTTCTATTTTCCGGCTTCCCTGCCCTGTTCCCGCTGCTTCTATACTAGTTAGTACTACGTAAATTTAATACCTGGCGCCCGATCTGCCGCTACTCTGCCGCTCTCTGCACACCTATATTACTCGTTCGTCGTACACCTCAGCTTACACCGGCGATTCGCCAGTTACCGATCACCCACACGCGCCGCACACGACGCATACATGTCATATGGCAGGCTGTGGGAGGCGGCTTTTGCTGTACAGTAGCAGCATGCATCTTATTCTGCAACCATCTAAGTGAATACTACATGTGGGTGTCTGTCTCACTCATATGTGTGTCTCGTCTGCGCCTCTTGGCTGACCCGGCAGGCTTCTTTCACCTTGGCATGCTTGTCTCAGCTGTGCCATCTCTCAGCCGGCTTCCCATCGTGCCTCGTGCCTCGTTGCTTATGCTGTTGGTGGTCTCTCATGCCTCATCAGCTGAGCCCAGTGCAGTCCAGGCCAGTCCAGCCCTTGCTGACGCCCCCGCGATCTATGCAAATGACCGTACCCGGCTGCACAGCCGAGACACGCTCATCGAGTTCCCATGTGGTTGTTTCTGCCGGGTCTTTCGTTCCGGTTCCGGTTCCTGATCGTGTTCCTGTTGTGTGCTTCTGCTTCTGCGTGGCAGTGTGTCTACCGTTCCCGCCTGCGTGGTGTCTGCGATCTTCATGGGAATAGCGGAAACAGATCAAGTCGACAAGGCCTATTTAGCCCGACCCCTCCTCCTCTTTGTCCTTGCTAATTTCCTAGTCCCTGTCCCTCAATCCCTCATCCCTGGTTCCTTGCTCCTCGCCCACTTCTCCCGCAAGCCCTATATCTGCTCCCGAGCACACATAACTAGTGTCATGACCCCATGAGAGACCCCATGAGAGACACCATTGACCGGCACCAGGATAATTCAAGCCCAACCAGGACCCACCAACCCAAAACCCAGAGAGCTGGGTTAGCAGACGTGTACCGGTACTTGGAGTGTACTATCTCAGTGACGCAGTAGAAGACTTCTCTTCTCTAGATCTCTCTTCTGTCTTCTGGAATGTCTCGTCCGCTCGAGCCTCTCCGCGGCCCGTTTCTCTCACCCTGTCCTTTTCGCCTCTTTTCCCTCTCCACATCCCATCCGTCGACTTATCCGTCCACTCCTCCCGTCCATCTCATCGTCCGTCCCATACCTTCGGGCGTTCCCCTTCCCCAGTTCTCCCACGTCATCGCCCATCTCGCTGCCACAAGGCACAAACTGAACAACGAGATGAAAAATCCCCGGCCCGCCAAAACAAAGGATCGTCGCAATTCCCACGGCCCAAGCCGACGAGAATAGCCCCGAAACACCTCTTCTCCACTCCCTCCCACTCCACCATTCCCACTTCTCCTTCAACCTTATCGCCGGGCGCTTCGAGAGCCTTAGACATCCCTGGCTCGCCCTCTTCAGTGGTTGTTAGCCTCCATCATGAGACCCAGAAAATGCCATGAAGGATTGCTCACCAGACTCGCGTTTCTTTTTGGTCTGCCAAATTGAATCTTCTCACTCTTCCAACCCGTTTTCTCCTCTCGCCTGTCCACTCTTCTCTTCAACCCTGAATCCTTACCCTTACCCTTGCCCTTTCGAATAATCTGGTCCACTGACTGCCCTTTTTCCCTCGTCGTCGTTGTTGTGTGTCTGCTCACGTGCAGGCCTCTCTGCACCGTCCACCATTGTCCCGGGTCACTCACTCTCTTACTCTCTTGAAGGAACCGCCTAGCTCAAGCTAGTTTCATGCGCTCATCTTCATCGCGAGTAATACACTACTAGACTAGTTGCCTTGCTCCGCCTCTCCTCGGACGCCCCCTCCCTCCCGTCCCGGAACTCAGTCTCTCTCTCTCGCCTTACCTCAACCCACACGCCCCTACCTCGTCCGTCTCCTCAGATGACATGAAGCAAGTGCCTCATGGCCAAGGCCCTTTGTTGAGGCGGCGGTGGCACCATGTTTTGGAGCTGGGCGGCCAGAAACTGCAACCCGCTACCGTTGAACTAGCTAGCCCGACTGCATGACATTGGGAACCGTGACCAGGCCGGTCATGATATCCAGCATCCCAGATTGGTCCGCCGGGTGTAACCTACGATGGATGGCCCTCGGCGAGCGGGCTAGCCTCCGATCGCCACCGCATCGTGGTTGTATCGATGCTGTACTATGTATTGCCAAGTCATCACTCTCACCACCCCGACGACGCCGCATCGCGCCGTTCCTCAACCTTGTCCAGGGCTGTAACGTGTGCCCGACGTTGTCTGGATCCCAAAGCGGCGAGCAACAGGACGCCCACCGCCTCGGGAGATCCAGAGATGCCCCGTCCCTCCCTATGGGTACCCTGCTGTTGCCGCTGCCCTGCCGCCATGAGCACCAGCAATATTACGGTGAAGCCTGTAGATCGGCGGCGCAAGACCACGACCCGCGATACCAATGCCCAATGCCATACTACTGTACCGTGTAGTAGGGTCATGTAACTGCCTACCACCCCCCTCCTCGCTTCCACGCCAAGAGCAGGCCACGGCCGCTGCCAGCGAGTATATCTCCATGCGTTCCCCGGAACATGCGCGAGGATGGAGGCGGTATCAACTCGGCCGTCGAGATAATTGGTCAATTCCCCTCCCAAGGTAGCGTCTAACGTCATCACTCTACTGCTGGTGGTGCTTGTGATTGCAGTCTCCTTCAGCCCGGTCCTCCACCAACCGATCTCGGCCTCGACTACCACCGTTAGCCAAACAGCCATTGTGCGCGTGCCGATTTTGCCAAGTGGTGGAAGATGCTCCGTCTGTTTCCCAGAGCTTGAGATCGCATCTCCGCTCAAAATTGCTAGTTGATGCTAGTTGACATTCCCAGAGCGAGTCATGTCAAAGAAACGAACTTTAACACACAGGTCCGAATTCCCGTCAAGATCTCATCACACTATCATGATCCCGCTTCGTGGAGTTTAGGTTTCGGACATAATGACTCTCGTCAAGTTACCCACTCTTCCCAACGTCGCCCTAGCTGTATTAAACTCAACCGCCTCTTACTCGGCTATCACATGGCGTTTGACTATCTCCCGTGCCTAAGTCTCACGGCATTCCCGAATATCACAGCGGTTTCATGTTCTCATAACCAACCCAATTGCCACTCTGTCGGATTGACATGCGGGCCCAAACCTAGTTCTCCACCTCTCCAACTCACCGCATAGCTGTGATAGCTTCACCGGAGTGCAATGTACCACGAGAGAGAGGAATACACCGATCCGGTCCAGCGGGTCAGGTCTCATGTCCATAGACCAGACAGCGGGTTAAGATGTCCCAAGAGATACTTGTTGTCCGCATAGATGGTACCTGACTGCTGGCTAGAGACTCTAGCACGTACCGACTTGCCAATAGAGACCTTGAGAACCATTCTCCCATGTTAATGATTACTTTGCATATATTAGCAAGTGAACCAGGCTGTCAAGATCATCTTCTCAGCTTCATCATGTTGCAGCTCGTAGTGATTCCAAGGGTGTAGACAGCGCTTAATCCATGTAAATATCCTTGACAATGTTATTTCAATAGTTAATTTCTTTTCGGTTCACTTCGTTGCAGACGCAAGTCTCGAAGAACAAGCAACCTGGGGTCTTCGTGGCTAGCTTCTACATTGGCCCAGATCTATGGGATCTTAGCCCAGGATTTGTGCCTGACAACACAAATGTAGCTGCAATTAAGGCTGGCAAAGCTGGAAACATTAACTTAAGATCGTAGATTTCATTTGGTCATTAATCTGGCATCGCAAGCAAGAGGAATTCTTATCATCTGAGAACGACCCAATTTGTTGCCAAACATTTCCGTTAGCTACCTATCTACCTACACTACGCACATTGGTTTGCCTGAGGTTTAGCTGAAGATACTTGTATCTGATGGCGAATATTCAGATGGCGAATAGCAGTACTCTTCCTTATTTCTCTCCTGATGCATCGTGAAGGTGTAGGGTAGGGGAGGGTGATTCAAATATCATCTTCGACGGCGCGCATCTTGCACCATCTTGCACCATCTTTTGTCAGAATCAACTTGTCAAAGTGGCGTCTACCCTGTCGCAGTGTGTAGATCTGATGATCAAGGGCAACACTACTTACACGGATATCGGGAGCAGCAATCATCAACGATGATATTATCCAGCCCGTTCCCAGCATTGCGCCATACTACAAGATACACATTGAGGCACCTGAGATACCAGCTATCGGTGCGAGGATAGCAAATGCCCTAGTTGATACCGACCTTGCGGGAGACAACTATATTTATGTCGATGTGCGAAACCATGGTTCAAGCATACAAACTGAGCAGGCTATGTACCAGAATCATGTCTACACGCAGGACAAGGCCATTTTTTTCATAGATAACTACACGAATTGGGATCTGTTTTTCAGACGGCTAAGAGTCTTTTCTAGTCCGATTTAGTAGCTTTTTTGTTTTTGCGAAGTCACGACTGTACATGACGGCGACATAGCAGCGATATGAAGGCCCTAGAAATGAGTTGGCGGTTGAGCATCAATCCAGTAAGCTATTCCCCAATACATATAATGCATTCTGAGACCCCAAGTTGACTTAGATCATGAATATAATTAGATAAATATTTGGCTTTTCTCTCTCTTTTAGCTTTACTCAATATCGTGAGATATATCAAAGCCAAGTAGTCTTCTCAAACAGTAGACAAACAGTAAGTGCTACACCCAGCACTAGAGGATACACAGTGGCTGAACAATAAGGAACTTGATAAATTTAATAATCCTTATTACAAGATAAATACTCAGTTCATAATTATCTTCGCTTAATGCACATACTTATGTGTCCGCATAGCAATGTTCACAATGAAGCAAGAGTTCATCAAGATGACTTGTCTAGGCACATCACATCGCTTACTGAGCAGTCACTGCTTTAAAGATTAATGTGTAGAAAAGTTAAGACAATCAGTCAATCTGAGAAGCGTGCCACAACTCCATTACTATCAAGCTATCTTATAAATCAGGTCATGTCCAACACCCGTCGTTGAGTCTAATTCATCTTTGCAAAAATCAAACAACGAAACTAAACAAGGTATCGTAGGGTATCAATCCCAAACCATCCTCCCAGTCCGGAAGCTCGAGCCCGAGCGATGAGGTATCTCGCCTGTCCTATAGTCGGAATGGACCCCATACTGTACACACTCTGTAAAGGGAACCCAGTCTACCGGCGACATCTTCACCACCACAGTTGGGTCTAGTGCCCGGAAACTCGCCGCCTTTCGATGGCCCAGCCCCTTCATCTTATAATGATGGGTATCTTAACTCATGAAATCCTCATTCGCCCAGTTCCAGACCGCACAAAGTGGAAAAGGTAAAAATGAACCCAAGAACCCCAAAACAAACAAACAATGAGAAAGTGCGAGAAAAAACCGTCTATAAATCCTAAACAAACCTGGAATTTCGGAAAAAGCTGAGCGAGGGATGACATAGATGTCACTAATCAAGCGGGTGTGTGTCGGTCACTGTAAAGACAGCGGAACCGGGATATCGTGTAAATGCTGTTCGAGAGTTGTTGAACCGTGAATGGATCCAGCCAAGAAGAGTTGGGATATCGTCAAAGAAATAGAGATCGTGTATCATGCGAGTAAATCATGCCGTACGTAATGCGCTTCGTTCCCGCTCCAAAAGCAAAAATGAAAATTCATCATAAGTCGTTAGGATATGTGCTGGCCGTCTCTGACGGCGGAAAAGTGTGCGAAGAGCATAGCTCAAGAATGGACACGAGCATCAATTGTGTCCAGGGGCTTCGTCTAGTAAGCGGTCGCCGTGGATCCTTCGCTTGTTGCAACGGCGACTAAGGCCTCCAAGCGGCCCAGCGGATCGGTATTTCCAGGCCGCTCTTGCGGTTGGTGCTGCTGCTGTTGGTGCTGCTGATGATGATGCGGGTGCTGTTGAGGTTGTGCCTCCTTTACGGGAAACCCACTGAAGCCGGTGAAATTGGGATGAACCATGCGATCGACATGGGCCATCCGCGGGTCTTCCGGCATTGTCCTTGCGTCTCGATGGACAGTCACCGGTCCATGGTACCAACCGTGTCGCTTACTGTCTCTGGATGTGGTGGATGGTGCTGACATTGTGTGCTGGTGCAAAGCCCGGCTGGCAGCGGTAGGCTTGGGGGCCTGGTATGACGGCGGTTGCTGATCTTCGAATCTGACCGTTGGGGGGTTCAGTCGCACTTGTTCAGCCTGGGCCTGAACAGCCTTGTTGACCTCAGAAGCCCAAGCCCCGGCACTATCGCGAGGCGGAGTGCTATGGTTAATGTCAAGGCGGCCAAGGCCACGCTGTAGGCTGGCGTCATACATGTTCAGGTTCCTTCTTTCCTCAGGAGCTATCGCATCAACGGGAATTTGCTGATAGACAGGACGCATAGAAGCCTCAGCGTCGATCATCATGGGCGAGGGGTGCCGTCTTGGGGGAGTGACAGGGCGCTGGAGAATAGGATCGAAAGACTCAATCCCAGGAAGGCGTAGCGTGGACTGTGAGTTAGAAGGAGTCGCGATGGGCGGCGGTGCATTTGGTCGGACAGAAGACTGGCTGACGACTGTGCTGAGCTGGCTCGGATGCCCGTTGGGATTGCGGCTATCTGGGTGCCAAGTTCGCCGACGCCACGCCTCATCGGACATGCTAGAAATCGATTCCCGTCGTGACCATTGCGGTGCCGGAGCGTTCGGGGATGAAACAAGGTTGCCGTTGGCAGACGGGAAAGCGCCACCATTCGAGGAGTTTACTGGTCCGGGTCCGGGTCCTGGTCCAAACATTGGGCGCCCTAGAGTCAGAGTTGGAGGCGACTGGAACGGGTTCGCGCCAGACGGAACACTCAGTCGGCGGCCGGGGGTTCGAGAGCCAGTAGCGTAGACGCTGTGAGACCTTGAGTGCGAGGACGCGGGAGATGCCACTCCGGAACCCCATCGGGGACTACCCTGCCCTGTTGAGAAGGTTGCCGAAGTTGGGGTGCCGAATTCACTTGGCGACGCTGGTCGGTACGGGGGGTAAGGACCCTCAGTAGCGGTGCGGTATGACTCAAGAGACAGTCGAGATCTCGGGTCTGCCATGACAAGCGGAGGGGGACGACGTCGAGCATCGGCTACCGTGCTGTAGGTGGAACCCACAGAACTCATGCTAGTGATGCTAGAAGTCGACAGCGACTTGGAGTGCCCGCGGACTGGACCGCCGGCACTGCCACCAGTGGATGCCCTCGCTCTGTTACCGGCTTGCCTTACCCGATCGGTCCGCATCTGTCTCTGGAACCGAGAGCCTGTAGCTGCCAAGGAATCGATTGGGATGTTCTCATTCACATGGACCGTCTGGGCATGCTGCCTCAAATTGTCAAGCCTCGAGAAGCGTCGGGAACAGTGGCACTGAAAGGGCCGCTCTCCGGTATGTTTCCTTTGTCCATGTTAGCTAGAGGGCACCCAACGGTGATCGCTCAGTAGAGAAAAAGGCCATACCTGATGTGTCTTGCCAAATGCTCGCTGCGGGTGAAGCTCAAATTGCAGGGCGGATAGTCAACACAATAGAAGCGCTGAGATTTCTTCTTCTTGCCCGACCTAGAGCCGTCTGCGCCGACACTGTCATCATCTGAGCCGGCGCCCTCATCGATGGTGCCCGTTTCCCCGTCCGAGTCATCCATATCTACATCAGCTGAGTCCGCCGACTTGGTCGAGTGCTGCGAGTTATCGCGTCGAGGCAGCGTCGACTTGGGCGGTTGATCTGGCACCTGTACATTCTGCGGAAAGGAACTCGAAGGCAGCGGCTTTTGAGTCGCCATTGACGGGTTGAACGTTGCTCGGGTAGGTGTCGCTGCGTCGTCGGCGGGCATCGAGGGCTGTTGCTGGGGCGCGGTGTTCGGCCGAGGCGTTGCTGGTGATGAGGGCATGACGTCGTCTCGGGATAGGTTGTTAATGAGGGGCGAGTTCACCGGTCGAAAGGCAGCCGCCATAGCGACGACAGGAGTAGTGAGGGCCAGCGATGGAGGGTAAAGCGATGATAGTTGGGGCGCGAGGAGTATGGCGAGAAGGCGAAAGCCGAGGAAGGTTGATAAGACCACGACGTCGCACAGGCAAACCAGCAGCGAAGCTGATGCTATGTGCGAATGTGAGGACGCCTTAGTTGTCTGCCGGCAGGCGGGAGAATCCAGTCGCACCGGGACAGCCTTAGTGAGGCTGAGGATGGTGAGACAGCCAACGAGGTCGGGAGGGTGCGGGGCGGGTGTCGTCGGCCAAGCGCAAATGCCCCTTGAGGGAGCGCCTGTTGTGTGCGAGGAGTCGATGGAGGTGAAGGGCGAGTGAAACGGCGAGGGGCGAAGAGGCGGGGCCGGATGCGACGGGAGCGGAGAGAATAAGAGGCAAAGAGAATGAGGAGGAGGAGGGGAGAGCGGCACAACCAAGGGGCGAGGAGGAGGTTGTGGAGAGCGAGAGAGCGAGCCTGAGTCTGGGTATGAGGGTGACAACTGAGAAGAGGCGTCCCAGGTGTGCCTCAAAGACATGCGAGGAAATGCCGGTGGGGGAGTGCGGCGTGCGTGGTGGTGATGCAAGCGAGCCAGGGCCTGGATCTGTTTCACCGGGCTTCAGCGACACAGGGCTACACGGCCAGCTAGGGTAGAAATCAGGGCTTTCGGCTGGTCGGCGAGTTTTGAATCAGTCCGCGAATGCTGATAATGCGCAGTTGTCCGTTGTGATTGTATTCGACGGCGTTGCCTTGATAATGCTGGCTCATCGGGTGTGAGAGACGGCTGAGAAGTGTCAGAGCCTGGGTGCGCGGGTGAGCAGGGCAAAAAGCGAACTGAGGAAGAACAGGGGCAGCAAGGGACGGGTGGCAGGGGCAGCGTGGCGATGATGTATGTCTGTGGTTGCTTTTCCGCCCCAAATCGATTGTCTTGGTGGAGTCCGGATCCGGGATGGAGGGATGGATCGAGTCGCCAGTCCCTACCCTAAGCCGGAGTCTAGTTAGTCGCGTTGCCCGACCAATCAACCCAAGGGTCCAGCCACCTTTGAGAGTCGCCTTCGTCGTCTTCGTCTTGTTCCTCATCGATCGGGACAACCGCAATAGAACCCTAAAAAGGCTGGCTTCTTGCCCCTGCTGCTGGTGCTCGTGGCCTGGTCCCAGTGCGCTGGGCTGTTGGTCCACCGACAGACCAGCCAACCAGTTGATGTGGATAAGTTGGAGCTCGCTGTGACAAGGCCGAGTGGCGGATGCGATGCAGCCGTCTTCGTTTGGGCGGGTGGGATATGGTGGGATGGGATGGATGGGATGGATGGGATGGGATGGATGGATGGACGGGTGGAATGCATAACAGTCAAAGATCAGTATTTTGGTTCCCACATGGAGGATCCGGTCGAGGCGCTCGATGGACTAGAGACTGACCGGTTTTAGAGAGTGGCACAGCACCTCGCCGAAGACCTTCACTGCTTGCGTGCACTGGACGAGCGAACTTCTCACAGCGACACCAGCGACTGGCTGCCACCCTCATCCCTGGCGGGCACTGAGAACGGAGCCTGGGCGGGGGCCAGAGACGTCAGGTACAGGTCACCTGCACCGGCTAGCATGGGCGGGCCAGGTACATGGCGTCCCAGTACCTGATGTGATCCATACCATGCCTCGCCCTTGTAAACTTAGGTTGCGATTCCCGTCAGGTGCCGGCCGAAGAGTCCAACCAACAGCTACAGAGCTGGCCGGGGGCTGGCCTAGCTGACCTACTCTTTGAAGCTGGTCGGCGGGCTGGGTCCTGGATGCATCCAAGCCTCCAAGGTCACCGCCGCCCGCCAAGAGACAGGCCATGATCAACACGGGGAGGTTCAACGCCAGCAACCCTCCAGCCTGGGTGAGTACGCACTGCAAACCGACATGCAGGCGTCGCCATCCATGCCTAGTCGGGTCCACAATGCATGCGAGGGGTTGGCCCTCTCCTCGCGGTGGGCTGGTGGGTCAGGGGGACGACATGGGAGAGGGGCAAGGGGCAGCGGGCAGCGGACAGCGGCGCCTTGATTCACAGGGCACCCGGCCGATGCGATGTGCGATTAAAAATAAACCTACCTAGGGCCAGTCAGATGGTTAGCCCAAGGCTAGGTATGTCCTGCTGCCTCGAACCCGTCCCTGACTGACGCAAGTGAGCCAGGGGGCTGGGCTCCCAGGGCTGGAGGCCTGGCGTGTAAGGTGGACGATAGACTGACGGTAGACGGAGGCTTCGAGTCACTGCGACTCACCGGTGGCCTGTCGGAGCAGACGGACGTGTAAACTGTATGGCAGGGTACAGAGCGGGTACGGAGTAGACCGGGGATCCGTGCCATGAGCTTCCAGTCCGAGACGTGGTTGGACGAAACGGGACATTGATTGCATCTGAGCAAGCTTCGAGGTCATCTGCTCCAGAGCGGCCGGCTTACCAATGTGTTACCACCCCCCCACGGAAGAGGATGCGCGCGACACCACCTCCACAACACTCTCTGCAGTCTGGCCGTCACCGTGCCTAGGATGGGAGTTTATGGTGCCTGGATCCGCAGCCACGCTGGTTCTCCTGTCCGATGGTCAATCGATGATAGGCATGGCTAGTGCGGGGGAGAGGGCAGCTTGGGTTCGGCCGCGTGCAACTCTGATTATCTTGCAAGAGGGCTTGTCAAGCTTTCCAGCCTCTCGAGTCTTGACTTGTCCGCCACTCTCCAGAATGTCGGTCGTCTCCGTCGCAAAGTCAGCTTGGCATGTCGCTGGACCGCCATCATTCGCTTTTCGGCCCATGATATCGTTAACTAGCCCCCCGCCAAGGATGGGACGATCAACATCAAAGGCTCCTCATCGTCTGGATCGACCTCTATATCTGTCGCACCAGGACCCGCCATTGAAAGCCATGACGCGGAGTTCCATAGCCAGGAGCGTAGCTGCTAGACATGACGAACAAGTCTATTCGCTACTCGATCGGGGCAGGGGATCTTCCGGCTTTGCTAGGGCATGCACTTGCACTCGCCCAAACGCAAATATAGCCGATAGAACGTATAATCGTGTTGCTCTCCCCGCACATCAGCCCGTCGCCGAACTTGCCGTACGAAGACCGGGATTTGGTTTGTTGCTGACCTCACATTACACTTGTACGGTATCTGGACGTATTGCACACCCGAAGAGCCCCTTGCGCCTCTTGTTGTTACTGTGCACAGATACCCCGGCTCTCGGGACAGCGGCGACGTGGCAGCAAGCGGCTCGGGCGTAATAGATCACGAAGCATCGTGTGTCTTTGCATGAGCTCCTGAAGGGGGTTCAGATGCTGTTGGCGGTGTACAAGTAGTCGTCGATGAGCTTGCATAGTGCCGCAAGGGAGGACTAGGCCCTGCCACTTCACCCCAAGAGCAACGCGGGAGACTAAGAATCCCAGGGTTTATTTTCCAAGCTCCTCGCAAAGCGACGGCACTGCAAAGCCTCGGTCAGATAGATGTTGCATCGAAAGTGGGATTAGGAAGTGGCCATTGAAGGGGGCCGCTGTCATGTTGTTTTGGTGTAACCTTTCGCGGCTACGACAACAACTCGTGTGTGTGTGCGTGTTTGTGTGTTACGAAGCCAATGTCTGGATCTCTCGGGAAGCCTGAAAACTGTGAAACCCTGATAGTCCCATCCCCCAACTAACACATGGATACGACCTGAACCAAGGAAGAAAACTTAGTTCCTGTTACCTGGTCGAGACGAAGCTGCTGGAGGTTCCGGATGCCCTGAAGCTCCAGCTGAAGCTCAAGCTCAAGGCTATGCGATAGGCCTGTACCTGGCTTGGGCATAATCGAGGGGTGAGTACCTGGCTGTAGGTACCCGCGGCCAACTGGAGACGTCCAAGTCAGTACATGAAGGCTGAGTACCACGGGGTGCCCTAAAGTGGTGGGCAGCATGATGCAGTCAGTGGCTCTCTCGGAGCCCTTGCAAGCCGTGGTAGCGCCCGGCCAGAGCGGGAGCTAACTGGGCAGCTTCCTTGCCTGTGGGCGCCGGGCTGGGAGCCTGGCTGGCATTGAAGCTGGGCTGGAGTTGGAGGAGTGGGCGCCGTGACTCTTAGACAACGGAGCGAGTCGCACTCGGTAGCGGGGTGGAGGATTCGAAGGCGGGCGATGGATATGGTGGTGGATGATGGAGCCATGATGGTGGAGGTAGCGGAGTTGCAGCGGGTTCTCAGTGGTTCAGTCGTCCCAGTGGGAGGGGCTCGCTGAAAGTTAGTGGAGGCAGGAGGTGGTTGGTACCCTGGGTGGCGCCCGCTCTGCATGCTTAGGCGGCAGTTGGTCCACGGTAGGTGGTGGTGCTAGCTGCGAAAGCGTAGCGCAACGCTGTGCGCGTAGTGCCTTAGCGGCGCAGGACGTAGGCAGGTCAGCCTCGGATCCAATTACTAGCACGGATACCGGAGCCTCCCAGTTCATGTTGCACAGTCGAGAGGCAGGCGGGCACGCCACTTGCTGCTTCCCCTCCCAGGAACCTCAGGAACCCGACGCCGTCACCGTCACTCTTACTCACACCTTTTAGCCTCACGGGTAGTAGGTAAGGTAAGTAAGTACCTTAGGTGCGGCGCTCGTAAACATGGGTGTACTTGGTACAGATCGAATAATCAACTATGCTGGTTCCTTCCTTTGTTGCTGCTTCAAGGTTGACCGCCCTCGTGGCTACCTTACCCCTCTCGAAATCATCATCCCCGCCACCCCCTCCCCTCCTTCCTCCCCTCCTTCCTCCCCTCCTTCCTCACCACCAAAATGTTCTCGTGACTATCGATAAGCAACGATAAGACGTGGAGCAAGGGAGGTGCCCTTGCCCTGGCATAGACCCTGGTGCCTTGCAAGATGCTTGTCCATGCCTCCATGGCATCAGGATTTCATCTGGATTCATCTGGCGTCGTCTGGTTGTCGGCCATTATCATGATTGATTCTTGCCACAAAGGATGTTTGTCGCAAATGCCGTCCTCGCTTGACTCAAGTCCGTTTCTCGAACCAAGAAGTAAGACTCCTTTCAACCTTGCCGTGATCTATTAGGGTTTCTCGACCCAAATCTACTTCGTGTTGCCGGCTTCATGACATCTTCCGGCTGTCAAAGCCTCAAAGGCACTGCCTGTTCCGCAGCAGACTCTCTTTAACTTCCAGCCTCGTTCCTTGTCATGTCCCAGCCAGGTGGCTCCCGTGTTCGCAGCTCGCACTGACGTCCGCTAATCATATCAGGTCCAGAAAACTATTGCACACTACCAACGCGCTAGATAATGACGACGCCGTGTTGGTCTCCACGAATCTCCACAGCGCTAGATATCCCCAGCCGCCGTTTTTGCCCTGCCAGAGTCACGACATGGATAACTGCTCCGTACCTAGTCAAAGACATGCCAGTTTGGTGCCTACATGTGCAGCAGAGGCACGCGCCCGGCCGCTCGCTAGGGCTGCCGCCGTTTGCGCCTCTTGGCTATGACAACTCCACTTGGTTGACGCGATCATCGCCAGGGATCTGATCGGGGAGCTGATATTCCACGCCTTCTAGGTTTGTCCTGGCGCAGACGGCGCAGAGTATACTTCGTGTGACGGGCTGTGCGACATAACATCTGGAGGGGGGTTTCATCCTGTCAAAAGGGCCTATTTCGACATGGAGGAGACATTGACATGGAAGAGTCATGGATATGAACGGCTTGGTTGCATTTCCCCTCTTCTCCAGCTTCCTCACAGGCCCCTCTCCGGCATCCGAGCTGGACCCTTGCGTGAGGGCTTTGTTCGAGAAATCCGCAGCGTGCCTGGCCATGCGGAAACAGAACCCTGCCAACAATACTACATACCATCATGTCATGTAGCTACCTCTAGCTACTGGCATGCCTGCGCCTTCTATCCGTCCCATCCCCGTCCCCATCCCCGCCCATATTGCACATCCGCATCCGCATCCGCATTCACACCTCGGGTTCCCCGTTTGGCTGATGGTTCCTGGACGAGTGCGTGCTCCGAGCCCTGCCGGCTCGTGAATCATGCCACCAACTGCAAGGCACGACGCAAGCTGACGACACGACCAACAACAACGTTGTGCCCAAGCCAACCACACCCCCCTCCTACGGCCACTGGCGTCGTCGAACCGACCACCAGACACGCATGAGCCCCGCGCTGCCCACTCCCACTCCCCCCATGTGACAACTCGATAGGCGGGGACATGGCAGCTGAGAAGCAAGGGACGGCAAGGGCCAGGGCCGCCAAAGTCCCAACGCCCGTTGGGACCTCTATTTGCAATACGCCTGGCGCAGTGGTGGCTCGCTAGGAATGCTGGATGTTGTATTCCAGCCTCACGACTCAACTCGCCGTTGTCTCACGCCCTGCCACGAGGCAGACCCTCCCGTCAGCTCTCCCATGTCTCAAGCCGAACCACGCTCTACCCAGCCAACTGCAGCATTTAGGACGCCCGTTTTTTCTTCTTATCCAACCTGGTCCACCACGTTGTCTTGCCTTTTGTCCTTTTACTTTCGCCTTGACTCACTTCGCTTCCACACCGCTCTTTTATTACATGCCTCGAATTCCTCTACCCTTGATTCCACGTTCTTGCCTCAGTGGATCATCTCAGCTTGGGTCCACGATTCGCTGGCTCCAAAACTCCCAAGAGCCACAGCCCGAACGGCTCCCCGCTAAAGTCGTCCACCAAATCGGTCGGGGCTCTGGAGCAAAACTGTTTCGCCGAGCTGACGCTGACTGCTGCAAGCCAAGCCATGTCCCGTCTCTAGACCGCTGTGCTGTTACGTATCTGCATGCATGCATGGATCTTTTATGCATGGCCCCTCGTTCACGCGCGAATGGCATGGTATGCTTCTGGATCCCTCGCAGCGTCTTTGTGTTACCGTGAGCTTGTTGTCATTCCCACGGTAGCCGGATCTACGGCCCTCTCTCCGTTCCGCACGATAATGTCTGGCTGTTGCACTTGACAACACATGCTGATCCCCTGACCGAGACGTCGGTAAGGAGACTCCGAATCACATCTGCCGCCGGATCACGATTATAACGAGCCAGTCGGGAATTTATCCTAACCATGCTTTTTTGGTGTGACATTTGTCGTTTCTTTCCGTTTTGGGTAACCAGGTTGCTGTAAGCTGAGATGGAGTCCCATAACACCCTTCCGCTTTCAGAACAGCAACAGGGCTGGAACCTGATGTATTGTCCCTGTCAAGCATCCCATTTGGACATGGCTTGCCTTAGGTCTATGCCACCGCTGTCTCCCCAGGATTTTGGGTCTCAAATCCTGTCTGATCGGCCAGCGGTCCGAGCACGAAAGAAGCAGATCTTGCATGGACGGGCAGTGTCCTGTGAGCCGCAAGGGACATTGCTAGCGGACCTGACGTACCCCAGTGACGCAAGGGCATAAAGGTGGCAGTGCAGATCGTGAGGCTTACGGGGCAGTGAAGGAGGAAGCAATGCAAGGATGCAGCTCGAGGGATGCTGTGGTTGCTGTCCTACAGGATTGGTTTTGAAACACCACTGTTAGCTGCAGGTTGCCTATTGGAGTAAGTAAGCATCATACGACACGGAAGATGGGCTGAGCGAAGGCATCATGAAGCATTTTGATTCTTTCAGAGCATAATCGTAATCTACGTACACAAGGCTCTCGCCCATCATCACCACGAGGGAGAATCTAGACGCCTGTTGTCCCAGGACCGACACCGATTGATACTATCACAGAATCCAACCTTCCATTCAAGTTAATGATGCAAAGCCCATACGCCGACCCTATTCGTAATGTACCATAAAAATATCAATGTGCAATTTATCACTTGAGCAACTTGGCCATGTTGGCCTAGGCAACAAGGTAGGCTGTTCTACCATGCGCCCAAGGCTTAGATGTCCAACATGCTACGCACCTGCTGAGGCGCAGCAGTGATGCTGTTGGTCGTATCGGCGCTGTTGCTCCGGCCGGTGCTTCCTGGCCGGTTCGCGTTGCGGCCGCGTTCGGAGGAGCTATCCGTGTACGGGGGTGGCGGCGGCCCATCGAGCGCCAACTCAGCCTCGCGACGGGCACGCTCGGCCTCGAGGTTGTTGGGGAACAGGAGGCCGGCGGCAGCCTGCATGTTACGCTCGTGGCGACGACGCTCCGACTTGCCTTCGTAAGGGGTTGGGAGGTACTGGCGCTGGTGCTGGATGACAGAGACGCCGGCGCGGTCGATACGGGGGTTTGCCTCGTTCTTCATCGACTGCGGGACGGGATACATCTCGATGTCGTCCTTGGCAGCTGCCAGCGCCTCCTCACGGGCGTGACGCTCAGCGGCGTCCTCGACTCGGCGACCGGTGGCCCTGCCGCCGCCAATTTCATTGACGTTCATGGTGATCTTGTCGCGCAGGGTTTGCAGGTGCTCACCCTTGACGCGGCGCCACCAGGCAGGCTTCTTGACGATGCCAAGCTCTCGGTCGATGGCATCACCTCGCTCGCGCCTCTGTCGGATGAGGTCCTTATCCTCGTTGGGGCTGGCGTATCCGTAGATGACTTGGATGACGAGGACCAACAACGACGGACCATAGCCCCAACCATAGATGACGGCGACGGGACCATCCCTTCGGATGATCGAGTAATCCCAGACCCAGGCGATGAAGGCCTGGTACGCAATCATACCAAGCGTGAGGGGAATGATGATGTAGAAGCGCAGAGGGATGGCCTTGGTAAAGCCAAAGGCACGGCGGAAGATGCCACCCTGGCTGGCCCTGTAGTGTTTGATGGAATGCTTCATAGAGAAGACAATGGTCAACCACGCGGCGAACAGGACGAAGGCAGCGGCCTTGAAACGGACGCTGGTGGCGGCGGGGATGGCAATGGCCGCAGTCTGCTCGGGAGAGTGCTGCTTTTGAGTGAAACCCCAGCTTCGAGGGACGATAAGGAAGAAGTTCTGCATTCGGGGGTTAGCTTCTTGAAATCTATCATATGAGGTGTTGGTGTAGCAGGGGATGCTACACGGACGAGGGATATGGATAAACTCACCATCCAGACCAAGAAGTAGAACCACAATGGCAACCAGAACTCAATCTTGGCACGACGATCGTCTTCGCTGTAGATAAAGGGATTCGGGTCGACGAACTGGCGCTCCTGCCAGCTACCCCAGTGGCGGACAGCCTCCCAGGTCTGGGCCGTGGTGCCCATGCACATGAGGAACCAGAAGAAGACAGTGAGAGTTATGGGTAGCTCCGTCAGATAGTATCGGTCGACATCGATATTTGTGAAGAGGCTGATGAGGGCGGCGGCGCAGACGAAGATGCCCCAGTACCACTGCCAGCGACGGCCGATGGGATAGAAGCGGCGCTCGCGAGGCAGATACATCTTGCCATGCTTAGCCAGGACGGTCAGGAGCAGCATGAGCATGAGACCGAAGAAGCATGCGAATCCGATGCCGACATTGCCGCGAACACCAATGTTTTTGACGGCGGTATAGCACTTGGTCGCGTTGGTGAAGCTTCCATTGCCGAAGACGTAGTCGGCTTGGTAAGGCGCGAAGGTCAGGTAGCACTTAGAGTTGTTGGAGACAGTGTTGTTGGCGTAGTAGGTGTAGTTCCAGTACTTGAGGGCGGTGAGGTTGAAGTGGACGCCGGACAAGACGGTGTCGGATGAGTTGGCGCCCTTGGGCCAATCGAGGACGAGGTCGCGAGCCTGGATGGCTGCGATGTTGTCGTAGAAGCCCATGATGCCTCGTGTTATTCAGCCTCGATCGTGCAGAGCGGTTGGGAGACGGGGTCGTCGCGGTGAGCGCCCGTCTGGCTTATCGCTCTTCGGCAGTCAATCCGCGGGAGTCGTCCCAGTCTATTCGCGCGCTGATCGAGCGGGTTTGTTGACTCGACTCGATTCGCGTGTTGTGGTGGTGGTTGGCGATGGCAGACTGCGCCTTTGGCAAGCGGAGGAGCGAGACAGCAACCCGAGCGCAATTGAGAGACAAGACCACCACAGCAAATGCACGGGAATTGACTCAGGCCATTGCTCGACAACCTGCGAAAAGGAGAAAAGGGCGCCGGGGGGAGAAGAGGATGGGAGAAAAGTCTTGGGTGGAAGGATGACGATGGTGGTTGCCGGAGATGCCGTTCGCTCTCGGGAAAAGCCTCGCCGGTGAGTGGTTGGATGTGGGCCAAGGTGTGGAGGTGGAGATGCCGAGAGGTCCGTCCGGGGGCTGTTATTTCTCTCATACATACTTCGTACATCACACGCGACTTACGATGAACCAAATTATACGCGTATGGTACATGGCAACGAGTGAATTAGCTGTCGCAATTAGGTACACGGGTCCTCGGTATTCTGTCAGTCCGCGGTAACCATGAATGAAATTAATTCAATATTCCTCATCGCCACTTGTTCCGTTGCCCCGTCTCACATCCATCCCATCCGTCTTGTTGCCCCCAGTGACATCCGCCTGTCTCTTCAGCACCCTGGTCACTAATGACCTCACTGTAGCCACCCAGAGCCTCCCGTATCTCCAGCCGCTCGACTCCGTACGGGCGCCGCATGAGACCGGGAATAGTTAGCGGGCGGATGTAAGGTCATTACCACCTGGAGCACCCACTCTTAGCGGTACGTACCCCAGCCCCGTCGGCGTCGGCGCTGGAAAGCCCCGATGCCGAAAGAGGCCAGCTTCCAGAACACCACCATGCACACACAATTGGCATCGTGATGGTGATGCGACACCGCTAAGGATTGACGCCCCGACCACACATAGCCGCAACCCGCATTCAATGCTTGCGGCTCGTTTCTCAAAATGACGACATCGCCGCCCGTCGACGACGAGCCGTCGTACATCGACTACGAAACCTTCCTCGACCCTGGCTTTTCCCCCGCCTCGTTCGCCAACACGCTCGTTGTTGCGACCAACAACCCCAACGACACCCCGCTCGACCTTTCGACGCCCCTCTCCCGCGTCCTCTTCGATGCCCAGGAGATCGACTCCCACATCGACATCCTCACCACCCGCTCCGCCGTGCCACTGCTGCAGTACACCCAGCACCAGAGCCACGCGTCCAAGCACATCATCACCGAACTCGACGGCCAGATCAAGAGCCTCAACGACAGCTACCGCCAGCTCGAAAAGGAGGTCATCGACAAGCATGCCGAGGCCGACGAGGTCCGCCAGGTTGCGCTTCGTCTGTGGGAGACGCTGCGGCTTGGGCGGTCCGTCGGCCGGTGTCTGCAGCTTGGACGCCAGCTTGAGATCCAGCACTCGGAGCTGGAGATGAACGGTGGTTCTTCCTCTGGCAAGGAAGATCACCGCGCCCTTGTTCGATGCTCCTACACCATCGTTTCCCTGCGCGAGATCCTCGACCGCAAAGCCCTTGGCGAGGAGGGCTATGGACTGAGTCGCGTCGACGCAATCCGGAGCCTGCAAGACACCGTAACGACCCCAATCGAGCGCTCGGTCCGCGAAACCTCGGAGCGAATCGTCCGCGAGTTCTCGATACCGAGCACGGCAACCTTTACACAGGGGGAGGACGCCAAGGCCAAGATGGTGTCTGCCCTCAACGCCCTGTATCTCCTGTCACCTACCCTAGGCTTCCGCCCCGATAAGTGGGTGCCGCGAGCCCTCCTCCAGAGCCTCGAAACGTACATCCGGTCGGCGCTGCAGGTTAGCATCACGGCCCTATCGCGCTCACTGGGCCAGCTCCCTACCCTGGACAAGGCGCTCGCTGAGGTGACTGCCAAGTGCCAGAATATTGTGTCTCTGGAGTCGATTTTGGAGTCAACCAAGACACCGAGCCACCCTCTCATGCCAACCTCGGGCCAACAAAGCCAGACCAACCTTCTGCAACATCTGCTCTCTCACCTGGAGACGGGCAGTCTGCCGTCCTTCTTTTGGCGTACCATGGCTAGCAGTCTTGCCAATCGGGTACAGGATATCGTGAACCGGGGAGGTGTGGTGGCGCGAACGCTGCGAACGAACAAGGCCCCCGTCGGCGATGCGATCCGCCAGGCTGTTGTAAAAGGATCTCAGCTCCCCAGTGCCTTGTCTGGCGCCAAGGGAAAGGGGCGAGCAGAGGGAAATTGGGATCGAGAGGTGGCTGTTATGGTGGGCAGCGTTGTCAACAACCTAGGGCGATAACATGTCCCAGGGCAGTCCCTGTCAACGCCATTCATATATCCGTGTTGCACACAGTTGAATAATTTACAAGAGTCGTGAATGACTCTGCTATGAAGATTCAATCACTATGCTACTCCCGCCCAAACGTTCCAGTTCTCTGCATTCCAATGCGTTGTCCATCCTTATCACACTGACTGCCATTCCGCGAATGCCGTCATACCCAACGGAATCGCAATCGGAAATTGGCAACGACGGCCTGCAATGCATGGAATATTCCCATTCACTATCTTCTCCCAATGATTCCAATACAAAACTCCCCTTGATCATACGCAGCCTCGAATCTCCGTCATTCATAATAAAATCAGTGATGCGTTGGCGGGTGTAGCGCCAATCAGGATGCGACAATCCCCCGCATTCAGCAAATACATCTCACGTAAAGGCTGGGTCCCCCGGAGGAACGCGGATCCATCAACTTCAAACATCTTCGTTCCATCGCCAGACAGGATAATCTCGCTTCGTCACGTAACTCCGGATCTCTACAGCCCTTGTCAGGTCGCGCCGGATCCCACCAGATCTAATCAAGAAGCAAAATGGCGCCGAATCATGGCCTGGTGCATCTCAAGGAGTACGACATCAAGGACAGTACGTGGAGCTTATCGGCTCCCACATCGATCACGAGGTCAAATACAACTCGGCTGCCACCGAACCGGCGTGGAACGATGGCAGGGTCGGTGTAGAGCCTGGCCTAATCGTCTGGCGCATCGAGCAGTTTGAGGTTGTCGCCTGGCCCAAGTCCAAGTACGGCACATTCTACGACGGGGACAGCTTCATCGTCTTGTACTCTTACAAGGTCGGCGACAAAGACGGCAATGAGAAGCTAGCGCACGACATTTTCTTTTGGCTAGGAGCGCATACGTCGCAAGACGAAGCGGGTACGGCAGCTTATAAGACGGCCGAGCTGGACGAGTTCCTGCGAGGTTCCGCGACTCATCATCGCGAGGTCCAGGTGGCGCCCTCGGACGAGTTCTTGGCTCTGTTTCCCCGCATGTCCATCCGGTCGGGAGGAACCAAGACGGGATTCCGACACGTGGAGGAGGAGGTCAAGGACGAGACGCTCACGCTGCTACGCGTATTCAAGAACCCGGCGGCTGGCGCCAACGGTGTCATTGTGATTGAGGTGGAGCCCACCTGGCGCAGTCTCGACGACGTCGACGTCTTTGTGCTCGACACGGGCGACAAGATTTGGGTTTGGCAAGGCCAGGACTGCAGCCCTATGGAGAAGGGCAAAGCTGCCCAAGTGGTCCACGACATGACGGTAGCCAAGCACGCCGAAGTCGAGGTGCTCTCGCAGTCCGAGTTCCGGTCGCAGCGCGTCGTCGATCTGCTGGGAGGCGACGACGAGACCCCCCGATCAGGATTTCGCTGCAGACGCCCATTCGCCTCCGGCAACCAACAGCACGGGGCCGATCCCCAGCCCAGGAGGCTATTCCGCCTCAGCGACGCCTCGGGCCAGCTCCTGTTCGAGCTCGTCAATGATGGCGAGCGGATCACGCGCGGTGATCTTGACAGCAATGATATCTTCCTGCTGGACGATGCTGGTAAGGCTATCTGGGTGTGGGAGGGAAGGGGAGCCAGTGCCACGGAGAGGAAGTGGTGGTACCGCGTTGCGCAGTCCTACCTGCAGAACCTGCAGGCTGAGGCTGGGCACGAGGACGCATACTTGATGCCGGTGGGCAAAGTGGTTGAGGGGAATGAGAGCCGCAGCTTTCTCAAGGCCATTTCGGTCTGAGGATGCCTGAGAGGGGCGCTGGAGACCATGCTGGCAGATGGATGGTCAGCAGATGGGTATTTGATATGTTTGTGAACAGATCAACACAAGTTATCCGGCTAGGTTATAGTGGTAGCACATTGTTGGCACATGGAGTAGAACAAATGGCAACACATCTGTTGGTTCTCTAGAGCACAGCGACAGTAATTGAAGAAGAGCGGAAGCGCGGCGGCCAAGATGGGACCACACGATGCCGAGCAGCTGGGATCTTGCAAGGGCGTCGTCTAAGGCCCGCAAACTACCGAGCTAGATGACCTTTACCAACGTAATCTGGATTGAGATCACCATGACTAGATGTGCCAAGCGTGGGGTCCTCGTCGGACAGTTTACCTCTTGTGCGTGGCATGATACTACCTTTTTCTGCTTCTCTTTTTTTCCTGGCGAGATATGCGTCGCTCGAGCCTTGATCTACACTGTGTGAAGCCTCATTGGGAGAGTAAGGTGAGCCACGAGACGATGGACAAGGTGGGCTAGCTCGCGCAGTTACAACAAGGTCGGATGATGCAGGTTGGTGGACAAGGGGTTGAGGCACAAAACAACCTTACTGTTTAAAGTTTTTTTGAGCCTTTTTTCAGAGCGGTAGTCCTGACCCGTACGGGAGGCAATGAGTGTCGATCACGAAGCAAAGCGTCTTATCAATCCACGCCACGCTGCATGAACATCTTATCGATCAGCCAATCTTATCAATCCACATCTAATCACTCCGGAGCGTTCCCAAAGAGGCAATGCTATCCATGCCTGGCCCTCTGTTCCTGCGGATGGGATCTAAGTTAGGTCCCTGAAAAGTTCCGGAGAGCTACTGCTTAGAGAATGTGCAGTAGAGGCCAACATGCCATTGCTGTGTGGTTACGATGTTCAGAGCCGACGCCGTTCCCGTCTGGTCATGTCCTCCGCCTCCTGCCCATTTGGTGCCATGTGGACGGTGTGGTCTGACCAGATTCGGGGAGAGCCAGGACTGTAACTTAAACTGCTTACCAAACAAGAAGCCCAAAACTGGGGTTCGGGCGGATCATTACCGAAGCCAGGGACAATCCTGGTGGATCGAATATCCCAGCCCGCAGCCGGAGCGACGCTGACCATGACGAGCCCTGTTTCTGTTTGCCAATGGCAATCCGAACCGAGCATAAGGCCCGTGGAGCATCAATATCTCGCCAGTGATGCTTCACGGGGGATCCTTCCCCTCTGCCCAATGAAGCGGCCAGCAGCACTGCTTAGATGATCGATCCCCGCCATGCTACGTCGTAGGACGCCAAGTGGTCCCGGCACGACGGAGCGACCGAGATACCGATGCGAGTTCATCCCACTGTCCGCCAGACGCCGATACCAGTTCATCCCACGGTCTATCGCACGATCCGCGGCCCGCTGCATCGGCGTGGGAGGCGTTTTGAGGCGTTCGGGAGGGTCTGGGGGCTACGGGCGACTGGAGACCGGTTTATTACGCATCACACTTGTGTAGTGTCTTACACCGAGATCGGTGGCGCTCCAAACGGCGCCTCTGCCGTGTGGTTCGCGTAAGATCAGATCGGCGCTGGCACGTGTAATTCAACGTCAGAATTCGGACAGCTCGTGTACTTCCTGTCTCGGGTCGCCCGTTCTACTGTCCGCGTTTACGCCCTCGTAGGGCGGGAGTTGCTCATACGTGTACGGCAATTACAACACTAAACCACAAGACCCGTACACCTAAGCGGAGACAAACGACCCGTTATTTCCTCAACGAGGTCTAGGAAACGCCCCTCCCGGCCGAACAAGCGAATGCAACTGGATCCCTAAGCATTTGCCAAGGCGCTTGCTGAGTTTTTGCGGTACATGATACATCTGATAACCTGTCTTGGCAGGTCCGAGGCTAATAGGAGCCCCGGCTCCGGCCACACGCATCTTGGGCAGATGGCAGTCTAAGGTTAGAGCTGGAAAGAACCTTTTTTTGATGGGTGGAGAGATTGTGGAACCGAAAATTGAGTTGAGAGCCCAGGGCTTGGTTGCAATATAGCTCAGACGGTAGGGATGGCCGCTGCAAGAGGCTGCAGAGCACCGAGCGTTATAGGTTGACGAGGAGGTATAACGCCGAGTACGTCCACGCCCAGCCCGCAGACGCACAAATCAAATTGTGCCATCCCAGCAATGGTAGCCAAATCCCACGCCCGTCGAGCCCAAGGCGCGAATTGGGATGTTGGAACGTCCATGAAGATCTTTTCGCCTCGGCTAGCGATGGAGAGTGGGATGCGGGATGGGGGCCTAGTCACAAACGAGGCTTGCTTGGGGCGTGGAGGCAGTCGTAACTCGTGGCCTGTGACTGGAGACAAGTCTGGCTCTTAGTGTGTTCCCTGGATTCTCTGGATCCTCGCCGGGGCACCGTAGGGTCAAGTGTACAAAGTATAAAGTGTACCGTCCGCCTCGGGTGTGGATCAACATCTGAGAGATGAGCCCCTTCTCCACTGCCTTTTCTTCATCTCAAGAGACACCAGTCGTCCTGGATCGGCTCCTTTGTTTATAGCAAGCCCTCTCTCTCTGGCTGGCGATGAGCCCTCAACTCGTCCACAAGATGAGACTCTCACCCTCCCTCGCCACCGCCGCGGCGCTCCTAGTGGCGTCCGCCCAAGGCTCTCCTCTCCTCGGCTATGGTTCGTACAACTACGACACCCCATGCTTCTACGCCTGTAACAACGCGATCCCCACCTCGCTCAATTGCCCAGAGTACGCCGAACTCAGCGAAGGGGAGCTTGCCTTAGCATACCCTTCCGCTACTTGCTTCGGCAATGACACCGCCTACCTGACCTCCATCGCGTGGTGTATCAAGGAACACTGCGATGAGTCGGTCAAGATATGGGAGGTTGAAAAGTTCTGGGCTGAAGACCTCTTCTATGGTTCCACAGAGCCGGGAGTTGTCATCCGGTACACATACTCCGAAGCCATCGAGGAAGTCGACACGAAGAACCCTCCGCAGCCCATGGGCACGGACTTGGTGTTGAACCGGACAATCTCACTCACAGATGACGAGTACATTGCCTACCTCAATTCCATCATGTCGTTCAAAATCACCAGCAAGAATGAGTCCAAGTTCTCGTAAGCCACACTCACCTCCAGAGACTCTACAAGCTCGAGTTGCCAGAGCACCCACCACTAACACGTTTGTCTCCCGCCTAGACTCCTCGTTTTCATCGGTGGCGCCGTGGCTCCCGTTGCCCTCTCCCTCCTTCGCCTACTCCCCTGGCCCGTCAAGCTCCGCAGCAAGTTCTACGCATACTTCATCGACCCTCCCGTCTTCGGAAAGAGCCATAACGTGCCGGTTCTTGGCTTGGCTATGGTTCCTACTCGCGGCCAAGCCATCTTCATCCTCTACATTATCCTTATCAACTGCGCTGTTTCCTTCGTTGGATTCCCTGCATATACCCCTAACGCCTGGTACCCTGATCGCTCCTATGAACATATTCGATATATGGGCAACCGTTTCGGCATGTTGTCATTCGCCAACATCTCCCTTACTATCTTGTATGGAGGCAGGAACAATATGCTAATGTGGCTAACCAACTGGTCTCACTCGACCTTCCTATTGCTTCATCGATGGATAGCTTTTATATGCACCATGCAGGCCTGCTTGCACTCTGCTATGTGGCTTCATTTGGTGGTTGAAGGAAACACTTATGCCGAGACATATATCCTCCCGTACTGGTACTGGGGCATTGTCGGCACACTGGCACTAAGCTTCCTCATCCCCTTCTCCATCATGCCAATTCGAAAGCACATTTACGAAATTTTCCTGATCGGCCACATCGCCCTGGCCATCACCGCCATTGTCGGTTCGTGGTACCATATCCTCGCCCTCTACGAGGGTCGAAATGGTTTCGACGTTTGGCTGTTCGTAGCTATGGCAATCTGGGCCTTCGACAGACTCTTGCGTATCGTTCGAATTAGCAAGCACGGCATCAAGAGGGCATACATTACCAAGGTTGATGACGAGTATATCCGAATCGACATTCCTGGCGTTGAATGCAGCGGATACTGCTACTCCTACTACCCCACCGTCTCCTGGCGCCTATGGGAGAACCATCCTTTCTCTATCGTCGGCGTCACTCCCGGCCAGAGCACGGTTTCCGCAGAGTCCCTCATCTCTTCCAAATCCAACTCCAACTCTGACACCGAGATATCATCTGTAGCTGTCGACGCGGCTGCCAGAAAGGAGGCTGGGGTCGTCGCTGCCAAGACTACTACGACCATTGCCAGCCTGCACGGAAAGAAGGCCGGCATCACCATGTTTGTCCGCGTCCACAAGGGCCTGACCAAACTTCTCGCCTCAAAGGCTGGTCTTGAGGCCGGCGTCCCCGTTCTCATCGAGTCCAGCTACGGCCATGAGGGAAAGACATCCCTCCAAGGCAACGAAAGCAAATACAACGCTACCCTTGACTATCCCAACACACTCGTCATTGCTGGTGGTGTCGGTGTCACTGCTGTCATCCCCGCGCTCCAGAACTGCCTCAGCATCTACGAGCCGCTCGGAACCACCAAGTTCTACTGGGGGATCCGTAACCGCGGTCTCGTGGATGCCGTTGAGGGCATGCTGCTGGGGCAGGGCGACGGCAAGAAGGGCAACTGGGGTCGTATTGAGCCTCACATTACCGTTGGGTCACGCCTCAACGTGCGGGAGATCTTGGAGAAGGAGTTGAGTAAGGATGCAAGTGCTGGGACTACGGTTGTTGTCTGCGGACCCTTGCCTATGCTAGATGAGGTGCGATATACGGTCGCGGCTGTGGCCCGCCATGGAGCCGTGGTGAGATTAATGGAGGAGGCTGTGGTGTGGTAACGCAATATCTCGAGAACAAGAAAAATAATAAACTGAGCGTTAATTTCATCAAAAATTGCAACTATTTCTTTTGTGTCTACTTCTAACACGCTAAATGCGACCTCTTCGGAGGAACTTGTTGGGTAGATCAACATGCTTCGCCCGCAAGTACTCGCAAATATTCTTCCCCAGGGTATCGTACTCGCTCGTTGAGTTGTATCCGCGGTCCAGGTGGTCTCTTACCAGGAAGTGCACTGCGCGGATACCCGGGATCTCGAACCGCTCAATCTTCTTGCCCTTGTTGCTCCCCTCGAGCAGGTGATGGATCTTCTCGATTGTCAGGACACTGCGCAGCCAGTCCCACTCGTCCTGGTGGCGCACGTAGAAGCCCACGTTGGCATCCGACGCCTTGTCACCAGAGCGGCCGCCGACGATCCAGCCCAGAGGCCCACGGGTTGTAGGTCCAAATGTGGCGAGATCGACGGGGTTCTTGGTCTCGTACGACTTCTGGTCGCGGGGGTAGTCTGGGCGCGTGTTGTCCTGAACAGGGATATCGATAGACTTGTTGGCCCAGGGGAGCTCAACACGATGCTTGATCTCCGTCTGAGGCAGGAGTGTCACGTAGTATTCATAAAAGGGCTTTCCCTCACTCTGGCGTTGGTCGTTGCCGAGGGTTGCGCCGGGGCAGCTCTGGAGGAAGTTCTCCATGCACCAGCGGTTGAAGCCGGGGACGTCGAGAGTGAATTTGTCGACGAGCGCCTTGTTCTTGGTTTGAACGAAGATTCTCATGTCTACCGTAGAAACCTCTTGGTTCCGCGGGTTCTCAGGAGAATATCCGTTAAGTGTGAACTTGAGGCATGTCAAGTCCTTGATCGCGTCGCCGATCGAGTGGCGGATCTGTCGCTCTGTCCACTCGGCCTTTTCCTCGAGATCGAGACCCACGAGGTAGTAATGGAACTCAGCCTGGTACCCTCCAAACGCAGTCAGGCCAACCTTGGTAGTAGAGGGCGCAGGAAGGCCGCGCACGCCAGTGACCAGGACGCGGTCCTTGGAGATGTCCTTCATGACGATGCCCTCAAGATTGGCAGTGACATCAGAGCCGTAGTACAGGGGGCCCTGGATCTCGTACAGCAACTGTGAGGAGACGGTGCCAACTGATACCTCGCCTCCAGTGCCAGGCTCCTTGCTAATGATGCAGGAACCGTCAAACTCAACCTCGGCGATGGGGAAGCCGAGGTTCTCGCACTTGTCCATGAGGCGCTTGAAGCCGGAGTAGTAGCCACCGCAGACATAAGCGGAGCACTCAATCAAGTGGCCAGCCACGAGCGAACCGGCGATCTGGTCGAGATCCGTCTCGCGGTCCCAGCCGTGCCACCACATGGACGCGCCGATAGTAGGGGCGGCGTCGGCGACACGGCCGGCGATGACGATATCGCAGCCTTGTCGAAGAGCCTCTGCGATACCAGCACCGCCGAGATAGCACCTGCTGAGGGTCAGTAATTTTATAAAGAACCAGGGTTTCCGTCATTAGAGGCCACTTACTGAGCGCAAATAATGTCATGGCCCCATTCCTTCAGTGTCTTGCCGGTCATCAAACTGACAAACTCTTCACCACCCTCCTGCAACCGCTTGACAGTGTCTGTAACTTCATCTCCGTTGATCCATCCCACCTTCAAGTCAAGCCCTTGCCGCTTGATCTCCTCCTCAACCTGCTTGGCGAGGAGCTCAGTATCGCTGGCGCCGGCATTCACAGCGACCTTGATGTTCTTGGACTTGAGATACGGCAGCGCGGGCGACAGGTTGTCCATGAAGGTCGGGTCAAAGAGACCCATGGGCTCGTCCTTGAGCTCGCCGGCCTTGCGCATGCGGGCGTTTTCCTCCTTCTGGGCGCCGTGCAGCGTCATGGTGCATTCCGACAGCCAGTCGCCAATGATGCAGTCGATGTCGCAGTTCTTGGCCAGGTCTCCGATGGCTCGTTGCCGATCCGAGAAGCCGCCCGAGGAACCGGCGATGCGGATTGCTCGCTTTGCTGAAGGCATTGTTGCGGTATTCGGACCTGTGTCAACTCTTGAGGTTATTGTTGCCAAGGGTTCTAGGATCGTCACCTACTGTCTATCTCTCTCCTCTCGCTTCGTCAAGAACACTCCCCTTCTACTTATACCTCGTTTATCCCCTCATTTCTCCACATTGCCGTCATGTTACCGGCTCAATGTTCGGAAGACTGCACGCGGATTCTCGTGTCTCTAACCGACTGGCTTTGTTCTCCCGCGTCTGCTCAGGTTCCCATGCCACTTCTCCTCATGCCAGAACAAGTCTAGTCCCGCGTGGGAGTTGTCCTCGAGACCTCTCCAGTGTGGGGTTAAATCTCCGCCGCCACATTGTGTTGTGGGATCTGGAGCCGATTGGCGAATGCAATTGACGGCGGAAAAGGATACCCACTAAGAGTTGAAATCGGTAGAGTCGACGACAGCCAAAAAGTGCCGAGCCGCAAGAGTCTTCGAGTTATTGGTAGTCGGAAATTCAATTTCCTGAGTCATGTTTCATTATTCCCGTGGCCCCCGGTTATCTTTTCGAGTCATGACAAACGGCGCACTTTGAAGGTTGATGTTAAGCGTCCGGTTACCAAAACCCGTCTGTGGTCAGCCATTTAATTGCTTAATAAAGTTGGAGAAGCAGATTTCGGCAAATCACTGCTTAAGTGATAAAGATAGCAGGCGTCTGTCCATCTCAATCCCTTGCCACAGCTGAAGCTATCAGCCGCGTCGTCATCACATTTTCAGTCCTGGTTGGTCGCCCGCCTTGATGCGTGTAGCTTACTTGGCGGCATTGCCTGCATACTGCTTCTTAGTTCGTTTAATATTCCTCTTCATGTTGTGGAGTATCTCTGGGCTGTGCATACGATATATTTTTATGAACAATCGTATTTTGATCACAATGGGATCTTGTTTGTTTTCACGTTACCATCGATACTATGATTAACAATGAGATTTTAGTTATTCATTACCGGTGCAAAACGATATCTATCCCAGCATTCCCGTCCAAACAACGTGCAACGGCTCGTGGCAATCCACCAGTACTATGTTGCAGTCGGCTTCGACGTATGACGGTTCAGTTGTTCCTGTCATGCCACCTCCTAGTTTGCCATGTGAAACAGCTAGACAAAGGAAAGATAGTCGGACTGGTGCCATAATCCCAGCACTTCAGTTGAGTTGGCCCTTAAACATCTTCAATCACCCTGCCTGACATTACAACCTGGTCGCCGAATGCGCCCAGTCGCACTAATAAGTGGACCGAGACGCAAGTATGAACTGATGTCACTGACCTAGTCAAGCGCTCTTCGGGTTAGCACCTCTCAATTTGGCCATGTGAGGTTCTTGGTGAACCTCACTGGATCCCAGACTGGCCCCGCTACTTGCTTCACTGATCGCCAAACAATCCCAAACACCTCACGACCCACCGACTTAAGCATATTATTGACAAGGGTTTTGCCATCGCATCCAGAAAATATTTGCGTCATTTAAGTATCGTGTATGATTCTTCCATTCCACTGTCAAGGTTACTTTGCAGAACCAAAATGGTAGCTCTGGCATGGGTTCGCAAGTTTGCTACCACTCAGTTCCCCCACGTGCCTGTAGATCATGGCATCCGCCGGGGACTATTCCAAGGCACGACCCCTCCATCGGCGGTATGTTTTCAGTTTCCTGTACACTTCAAGTTGCCGTATTAGGAAACTCGGTGTTGCTGCCACGCGATTAACACTTTCGGTGATGCAAGTGCAGGGGAAAGGTGGTATAAAGAGAGGCTGTTACGCTGTGGCCAGGAAACGTTGAAGCACTGCACCAAAGACCTTGATTAAAATTATCAATAATTGATATTCAAAATGAAGTTAAAGTCCCTTCTCTTCAACGCCATTTCTGTTGCTGCGGCTTCGTCCCGCACCATCAACATGCGACTGATGACGTACAACATCCGGCTTGCGGTTTCGGTCGGTGGTACCGGCGAGGAGCTCTGGTCTGTTCGACAGCCATTAATGTCTGCTCAGCTGAACTATGAGAGTGCTGGAAGGCCCGAAGCGCTCATGTGTTTCCAAGAGGCTACGTACCCTCAAGTCCAAGATCTTGACGCTGGTCTTGGTGATGAGTGGACCTACGTTGGCGTTGGCCGGGATGATGGCGCCCAGGGTGGAGAGTTCTCCCCGATCTTCTACCGTCCTTCTGTATGGAAACTTGAAAAGAATACGACCTACTGGCTCAGCGAGACTCCTGAGGAAGTTGGCTCCGTGGGATGGGACGCTGCCCTCCCCCGCATCGTGACCGTCGCCCGCTTCCGTCACGACAGCTCCGGCGCGCGCATCGTCTACATGTGCACGCACTTCGATCACGTCGGCCAAATTGCCCGCGAGAACTCGGCCAAACTCCTTGTCAACGTCTCGGATGATTGGTCCACCTACAAGAAGAAGACTCTTCCTGTGTTCCTGGGCGGCGACCTCAACGTCACGCCTGACAACGTGGCGTACCAAACGTTGGCGTCAGAGATGTACGACACAAAAGATGTAGTGCCGGAGGAACATCATTTCGGAAACGTCAAGACATACACGGCATTTACAGTGGATTCATCTGATGACACTGAGATTGACCATATCTTTGTCAGGGACCCTGAAGACCTCGAATGGGACTCCTTTGCAGTTCTCAATACCAGGTTTGAGGATGGAATCTTCATCTCCGATCATCGTCCTGTGGTAGTGGACTTTAAGATGCCTCGCAAGCAGTGATGAATGATGAAGCGGTCTCAATTAGCCTCGGACAATTACGCCTCGTCTTGGTATACAGAAAATGACATGAAAATAGGATGGGTAGTCTACAAATGAACGCAATTCTATAGCCGGGCATTAGTCATCATAAAGCCCTCCGTGGTTTCGTCTCTCCATCATTTGTATGCCGTAGTTTCTCGCTCGCAAAAGTCGACGAAGCGCTGAGCCACACCAGTGCCCCCCTGCTCCTTGGTCTTCAACGCAGATTGAATGCCGCATGGGAGACGCCCGAAGCGACCCCAAGGGATGATGAAGGAGCCATTCTTTTCAGATGTGATCTCTGGGGACAGTAATCCGAACAATTCACTGTACGCTCCAAACTTGGCTGGTTTGAACACCATACCCTGCAATCAATTAGCATTGTGAAATTTAGGTCGCTGTATGATTCTCACCATGACGAAGGCAGCTGGAGCTGGGAGATGTCGTTGAAGTTCTGTCTTGAGGAATCCTGGATTGACCGACTGGGTGTCTATTAGCTCGCGTCCCTGAGATCGTCCTAAGAAACACTCACCACAGAGATGACTCCATGGGTCCCTAGTCGCATTGCTGCGTCATGCGACAAGAGAATATTTCCGACCTTGGTCATCATGTAATTTTCCATTTGGCTCTTCACAACCTTTGGCTCGTTCTTTGCCTCGTCCCAGACAATGCCACCGGCTTCGGGGATCCCCATCATGGTACTCGCCAGCCACACGACTCGCACACTGGCTTTTTCCGCAAGACTCGCAGTGCTTATAAGCGCGTCCCCCAACAGGCGCAGCAGAGTATAACCCCCCAGACAATTTGTTCCCATTTGGAGCTCATGTCCCTGCTTGGACTTGCTCCCATCTGGTGGAGTCATTACTCCTGCATTCAGCACCAGACCATCGAGTCTAGTCTCCTTTCCCTTGAAGCGCTCTACCGCTGGTGCAATGCTCTGCAAATCAGATAGATCGACCTCCAGGGCCTCCAGACGGCCAGTGGATTGGGGGAACAATTCTTTGATGGCTTGGATTGATGACGTAATCCTCGAGCCGTTTCGGGCAGCAAGATAGACGACTGCGGACTTGGAGTAGAGGATCTTGGCGAGTTCAAAACCGACTCCAGAAGTTGCACCGGTGATGATATAGACTCGGGAAGATAGGGAGGGCAAAGAATCCTCCGTAAAAGTAGGCGACGGAGGGAACATCTGTGTTCGGGTCGACGACATGGTGGCGGTTTTCAGTGGAAGAAGGTGGATAAGTTGAAATTATGTTGATAACAATATCAGAAACAATTGATACAATTTGGACTTGGCAGTTATATATACTCAAGGCCCCGTTGACTTGGAAAGTGAGAATCCCGAGAAGTCCACCTCATTCTCAGGATCACGTTCACCAGGCATCGACAATAGAATTGGCCAGCGTAGCAAAATTGCAACTAAGTCTCCTCAAAATAGAAAGCGTCAAGATTGCGGCTGTGGCTGACGTGGGTCTCGGAACGGCGATGTTGGGTTTCGGTCGGAGATGGGCCCACGGCATCGGCTTTATGGAGTTCAATAGCTCCGACAGGGTCCGGATTCCCGATGGCCCCCACAACCGATCGTTTCTGGGCAGGGATTGTTCATAGCCATTGTTTCTTTGGTCCTGGGCCAATCTAGAAACTTATTTAGCTATTTTTATGTCAGATCTTGGACAAGTGGCGCCTCTGGATCGGAGAGCATCATGATGGGGGTATTCAGTGATCAGCCAATGGCGGCGATGGCATCAAGCAATGCGTTCAATTCAACACAGCTATACTTATGCATCCCATCCAGTTCCAGGTCCACATCAAAAATTTGGCGACCCCGGATCACCTCCCTCGGGAATAGGAACCTTGGCTGATCGTGTGTAGATATGCTTCGCACCCTCCCAGCTCAGTCCTTCCAAGCAACCTCCTTTGATGCTCAGCGTAGGCTTGGGCGTCCCGTCCGGCAAAATGCTTCTATGCAGAATTCGCACGCCGCATTCCTTGCAAAAGTAACACTCAAGCGTGTTGCCCGCCTCTGTGGGGCGGACCCAGAGCCCCAGTCTGGAGCGCATGTCTTCTGGAAGCGGCCACATTCCCTCTGCGGGAAAAATAGCTGAAGTGCCAAAAGCAGAAGAGGACTGTTTCTGACACTCTAGACAGTGGCAACAGTAGACGTCAATAGGTTCCGGTCGAGACGCGTAAAGGAGGATTTTGCCGCACTGGCACTGGATTTTCGGGTTCATATTGGCTGTGTTCGCGGGATCGCTGGACACTGTGAGTTTGGAATGATAGAGTTGGGTGGTTTTGCTCATAACGCTCACATCCAAGTGAAATCAGCTCTTGTTAAGGATATTGAAATCTAGAAAGGAAGATGCAGTGATGTTAGTGTCGTTTAGATGCTTGTAGTTCAATGTCGCAGCTGAGGGTAAGATAAGTTTCGATTGTGACGCATGACGAAGGGCGTGGCTTGTAATTGACCCCGCCTACCAGATCAACACAATCTTCATTATTGGTCAAGAAATAAATCTCATTTACTGCGCGACCTCATGCACCAGTAGCTAACACGAGGAGGAATAACTATACTTTGGACAGACAAATCATGAATGAACCACTGAATGGCTTATCCTACCCTACACCTTGCCATAATTTCGTAGGGCTGATTTCATCTCAAAGGTCAGGCTCCTGGAGGTTGCGCAACCAGCACGTGGTCTGTGCGGAACCCGGAACGACTCGGCCGGTTTCTCCGATCGGTGACGTAATGGGAGGCTGGGTTCTAAACACCACAGCTCCCACTGGTGATGCCTGGAGCTCTGATTATTTTCTGCAACAGCGTGTGAGAATTCCATCATGCCTCAAAACGGTGTATCCAATCCGCCGTATCCCACACGGATTGAGGCTCTGTTGCGTCCGGTCCACCGGCCAATCCTCTACCTCAAACGAGCCAGCATCGCCGCGTCCTATCCCATCCGTGGCATCTGGTATTTCTTGCGCCATCGCGAGTTGTGGCCCCTCTTTGTTGGACGCATGCTGCCACTGTCTCTCATATCTTTCTTGGTTTACTTTGTGCTCTTCACCTTTGCTTTTCTGCCTCAGTATGCATTCCTAGCCATTTTCCACGGCTGGGGTGCTTGGGTCAACGCCGTGGTGCTGGTTTTGGGAGAGGGCCTCATCGTCATCCAGGGTCTTTTCGAGGGCTTCTTTGTGGATGAGTGTAGAGTAGATGTGTTTGATGTGAGTCTCACTTGTTACAAGTATGCGCGATATCTGACCTGCTAATCCTCGTGCAGGCAACTCTCATCAACTACTCGTTGACTGACCTCATCTCTCCGCATCGAATTCTGTTCCTTGACGCCCCCAATTCCGTCAAAATGCTTGGAAAGCCAACGACCTCTGCCGTGTACACACCATGGAGTATCATTCAGATCGTCGAGCTCATCGTTTTCCTGCCTCTCAACCTGGTACCCTACGTCGGGACACTGGCATTCATCATCATCACGGGAGCGAGACTGGGTAAACTGGCTCATTATCGGTGGTTTGACATTAAGGGCCTATCTAAGGACCAGGAAAAGAAGGAACTGAGGGATCGTGCGTGGGAGTACGTCTGGTTTGGCACCGTCGCCATGATCCTGGAGCTGATTCCCATCCTGTCGCTCTTTTTCCTCTTGACTACAACGGCGGGTGCAGCCATGTGGGCGGCGCGGATGGAGGAGGAGGACAGAAGGAGAGCTGTGGATGGTCTCATAAGCCGAGAGGACTCGTCTGCACCACCTCCATATACGGACCACGTCGTATGACGCAGGTGATTGGATAACTGCACGCCAAATCTGATGCTATCTGCGCCTCACTTATCACTCTTTGTGTTGCTCTCCAACCTTCACGCTGCTCGCTTCGTTCATGCATTTGAACACTGTGAAACCTGGCCTGGCTGAACCGCCCCTGCCTGAGGCTTTTGTCCAGGTCTCCTGGCTGGCTCAGAGAGAGAAGGAGGATTCTGGGGTGGTGCTACAAGGCTCTTCGGCCCTTAGCCAAGAGCCAATCGCAACATAGGCAAGTTGAGCGTGTAGTTGAGGCGTGGCGAATTAATTTCCCTGGGTGTCCGCTGTAGTGGAAGGAAGCAGTTGCCCCATGTCGTTGTCTCGCAGTTGGCTCCGAGTGGAATCAACCAACACCAAGAGGAATGTTCACGACATCTGGAGACAAAGACTAGAGGTTGCAGAGTCTCTTAATTAAAAATAATCTCAATATCTACTATGAATTCCTCGATGATGCACATCTACTGGCTGCTCTCGGAGCTCGCATTCTTGCACCTGTGAATACTCCGCACCTGTCAGTCTGTGTACAGCTGTTGCCGGTTGACATCACGGCTCCGTCCTTACACCCAAGCCCAAAACCTGAGGCAATCACTCGCCCCAACGCCTTATCCCCAACAGTTGCCGAAAGGGAAGGAGCACTCCTTCCTCGCCATAAACCGAGTAGGGCACGCGACCTTCCCCCCTTTCGCACCACCCACCACCCACAAAGACTCTTCTCCCACGTTCCATTCCCACTTCTCCAACCTCTCTCCTCCACCTTCGTTCTCCCTCGACACACGAGACCTCGTTCCCTTTCTCGTCCCTCTCCATCTCTTCACCTCTGGTGACTTCGTGTCTCCTGGTCCACTCGTTCACACTTCAATCGTCTGTTGTCTTTCTGTCTTTCAAGCAGCTCGCCATCTCTCATCCCGACTGTTGTCCCCAATCCCTTCTCCAGCTTTTCAAATCTCCTCTGGAAGAAGGCTCCTCGCCTCAGATGCGCATCTCCGCGTCTCTCGGGGCCATCGTGGCCACCGGGCTTTTGGGTCACTCCAGTGCCCAAGCCGCGGACTACGGGTGAGTATACCAACTCCCTCACACTCCGACTTCGTGCTAATATGAGATAGCCCTCCTGGAGGCAGTCCCAATGGCGTCCCAAGTGATGCTACCGGCAACGTTCCTCCTGTCAACTCGAATGGCTCACCCGGAACCTTCCCTGTTCCCGGAACTGTTCCCGGAAGCATCCCAGGCAGCATCCCCGGAACTGTCCCTGGCGGTATCCCTCCTATCGGACCTGTCATCCCAGACGGCAGCATTCCTGGAAGTGTCACCCCTGGCGGTGTCATCCCTGTTGGATCTGTTGTTCCTGCTGGCAGCATCCCCGGTGATGGTTCAGTCATTGTTCCTGGCAGCCTCCCTTATCCTAACGGTGTTCCTCCTGTTGTTCCTGGCAGTCTCCCTTATCCCAACGGTGCTCCTCCTGTTGTCCCCGGCAGTCTACCTTACCCCGGCGGTGCTCCTACTGTTCTCCCTGCTGGTGGGGTCCCCAGTGGCATTCCCGGTGACGGTTCTGTTATCGTTCCCGGCAGTCTTCCCTATCCTGACGGAGTTTCTGGTGCCCCTGGAGCTTCTATTCCCAGTTTCCCCACCTGCGCCACCGAAACAACGACTGTCATTGTCACTGTCTATCCCACAAACTCAGATGGAACTTCAGATGGCTTTCCAGATGGTCCTGGAGGTGGATCTCAAGATGGCTCTTCAGATGGTTCTCCAGATGATTCTTTCCCAAATGATTCCAACCCTGACCAGACTGCGACTCAATCTCCTGTTCCTACTCAACCTCCTTCTTTCACTGCCAATCCAGCAAGCCCTGCTGTTTCGCCCTTTACCACTCTGACCATTGACATCTGGGGCTCACCTGATGACGAAGGTGGCCTTGACGATGGAACTGGCACTGGTGACGGAGCAGACCCTGGCAGCGATGACACTGGTGCTGTCGATGACAACGCCTCTGACGACGGCACCAATCCTAGTGACGGCAGCGGTACCAGTGATGGCAATGCCCCTGGCGATGACACCACTCCTGGCGATGGCACCATTCCTAGCGATGGCACTACTCCTAGCGATGGCACTACTCCTAGCGATGGCACTACTCCAGGTGATGGCACTACTCCAGGTGATGGCCCTGGGTCAAGCGATGGCTCGGATTCCTCCTTCCCTCCTATCCCTACCCCCGACACTGCACCTGAGTATTCCAGCGATGGCTCTGGTGGCTTCCCCACAGACTCATCTGACAGCCTCACAGGCGGCCTTGGCGCAAGCACACAAGCAACTGGCCCTGGATCACCAGGAGGTACTCCTATCATTCCCCCTTCCAACCCATCTGGAGATTCCGGCCAGCAACTCAGTGACAGCCTTCCCGTTTCCACTCAAGGCGGCGCTCAAGCTCCAGCTGGAGTCACTCCTTGGTTTACCAATGCCCCCGGAACTGTTGGTAATGGACCAATGCCCACCACTTGGGTCACCATCACAGGCGCAGATGGGCTCCCAACCATCATCAACGGCGGGAGCGGTGTTCCTGCAGCCACCATCACAGGTGCGGATGGACTGCCAACTATCATCAATGGCGGAGGCGGTGTTCCTACATTCACCATCACAGGCATCGATGGGCTTCCAACCATCATCAATGGCGGAAGTGGCGTTCCCGGAGCCGGAGTCACAGTCACAGGTGCAGATGGACTGCCAACTATCATCAACGGTGGAGGCAGTGCTCCTGCAGTCACAATCACAGGTGTGGATGGATTTCCAACCATCGTCAACGGCGGGAGCGGTGTTCCTGTATTCACAATCACAGGTATGGATGGACTTCCAACTATCATCAACGGTGGCAACGGTTTTCCTGGAGTTCCTGGTTTGCCTTCATCTGCCTCTTCGGGCATCTTCCCAACAGGCAATGACCAAGGGCCACAAGGCATTTCAACTGGCCTACCACTTCCCCCACCTGTCATCACTGGCGCACCAGGCGGTAGTGTCCCTCAAGCACCTTCTGATGGCTCTGGATTCCCTTTCCCAGGCGATGACTCTGCCAACAGCATCACAACCTGTGTGGAGGTTACCATCATGGGGTCCGATGGCCTTCCAACTGTTGTTGACTCGACTTGGGTGATCCCAGCAAGCATTCCTGCTACAGGTGCCTCAGCTCAACTCCCAGTTACTGCCATTACACAGGGATCTGATGGTCTTCCTGTCACTGGTGATCCCCAAGGCAGCTCAGGTGACTCTGGCCTCACAACCAGTACAAGTTACACTGTTATTGGCACCGATGGCCTCCCAACTGTCGTTCAATCGACCTGGGTTGTCCCCAACCCCACACCAGTTTCCATCCTCACACAACCCCCTGGCATCCCATCTTCTGATCCCAATGGTACCCCCGGCGGCATCCCTGGTGGAATCCCCACAGTGTCAAGCAACCAAGGAGGCGACGCTCCTATTACCACCTGCACAAGCTACACTATCATTGGCACAGATGGCCTTCCCACTGTTGTGGACTCAACTTGGGTTATTCCGGGACCTGTCAACACTCTCGCCCCATTCCCTGGAACCCCTGGCATCCCCTCTGAGGCGTCTAGCGCTCTACCAAATGGCATCCCTCCTGCTGTTACTGGATTTCCTTCGACTCTTGGCCCTGCTGGCTCCGGTGCCCCAGGAGCAGGTGTTGCCGTCACGACCTGCACAAGCTATACCGTCATTGGATCAGATGGTCTTCCTACTGTTGTTGATTCGACTTGGGTGATCCCAGGTGCCGTTGACACCCAGGGCTCTCTGCCCGGCGTCCCTTCCTTCGTCACCGATGCCTTCCCACCTGGCCTTCCAACTGGCATTCCAGGTCAGATCACCGGATCCCCAGAACTCCCACCCCCAGGGGACTCTGGCGTGGGAGGCGGCGTCACTACTTGTGTGACTTACACTGTCATCGGCACAGACGGCCTTCCAACTGTTGTTGACTCCACTTGGGTTGTACCTACAGAGAGTGCCTTGCCAACTGGAACAAGCTTTGGTTTCCCCCCTGGTTCCCCTCAGAACACCATCACCAGCATTCCTCTGTCGTTCACATCTGACGCCGCTGCGGGACAGTTCACAGTTCTCACAACAGCTGTCGTCGTTGGGCCAGATGGCCAACCCACTCCTGTTGTTCAGACCGTTGTCTTGACTTCCGCATCTGACCTTGGCCTTCCTACTGGAGCTCCCCAAGGCACTGTTTCTGGGATCCCCGCGCCACCTCCTTCTGGACCCTTCATTTCGAGCGGTGATTCCAATCCCCTGTCGACTGCCTATCCTAGCCTTAGCGAGTATGGCGCTGCATCGCTGTCTCCCATTGTTGGCGGAAGCAGTGCCGATGCACAGGGTACATTTGTCTCTGGCACTGTCACTGGTACACTCACCTCTACAATGACCCAGGTTGTCGACTCCACTGGTGGTCCAATTCTCTCTGGCGGTACCGCCGAGCCTCCTCTTTCCTCTGATCCATTGGGAAATGGTGTACCTATCTCCGATGTTGGATACGGCCCCGTTCCCAGTGAGATCACTCTTTGGCCACAAGCATCCAACCTTCAGACCAGCATTTGGACCAACGTTATCGAGGAGCCTACGACCACTTATACGATCAAGTTTCCTCTCACCACCATGGCCACCATCACCGTCCCCGCTGGCTCACCGGCCGGTAGACGAGTCGTTCGGCGACAAGACAGGTTGGTGTAGCGAAATGATCACCTTGAACTTGACTGACTGTTGAATAGCTCTGAACCATCATTTTCGGCGTGGACCAACTCGAGTTCCTCGACCCTGTCGTCTACCATGACAACTGCGGACACCTTTTCTACTCTGAGCGTCACATCATCTGCCACTTCTGGCGCCCCAACCATGTGTTCAATCGGCGGTCGAATTGGAAACACAACAATTGATGTAAGTTATCCGCTTTGCTACATCTAGGCACGCTCTAACTCTTTACAGTTCGACGCATCTATGCCCGGGCCACTCTTCAATCCTCTCGAGGCTATTTGGTTCTCCGAAGGATTTCACGTTGTACCACCATCCTCGCAAAGTGTCCAACCATACATCCCATCTTCTGGTGGCCAACTTGTGGAGTTTGTCCCCCCTTCCCTGACAAACACCACCACTGGTGGATCTGGAGATGTCGCTGAGATTGGCATGGGCCCTCATTCCCCTAGCCCATGCTTCAGATTTGATTTCTTCGGTGCAAGGGTGGGATGCGAGACCCAAGGCAACGAGGAGTGGTGCGAGTTTGAGATTTCCGCTTACCGCTACAACGACACTTCTTCCAGCGAGGAGTCCATCGCTTGGTCTGAGGTCAAGCAAGTTCCTGCTTGCTCCACGTTCCTCGAGGGCGGCTACGAGCTGACTCCCATTGAACTGGAGGGGTACAAGGATCTCTCATCGGTGTTGATCACCGTCCGTGTTGGGCTGGAGTTGCGAACCTGGTGGGGCGATGACTTCCGTGTCGGCTGGACCGACAACAGTTGCGTCGCGGAGGCCTGTCGCTCTAATTCACCGCACCTCAGTGCCAAGCGAGAGACTGTTGAGTCTGCACTGCGATTTGGAATTTGGGGGTGGAGCCGATCTGGGTTTGAGCGTCTAGACGATGCGTTGGTGTGGGAGTCGATGAACTGAAGGATGTCTCTTGATGGGATGTCTCAAAACGTTGATGGGATTTGGCGAAACGCTTTGGGAGAAGATTTGCTCTGTATTCACTGACACCATTTACGTGGATTTCTTGGACGGCTGGTGTAATGACTGATACTGGGACGTGGGTTTAATTCAGAGGCAATTAGGTGGAGGCGGAGTCTTCATGTCAGGTATCAACAAATAGCCCTTGCTTGCCCAAGTAATCAGCATGATAAATTGCACTGGCCCAACCTGGTCTCTCGTGGTGCGTCCGATAAGAGGTTCAAGTGATGGCGGGCAGCTTGGTGTTTTGGTGGGGTCCATGCGATAAAGTTGAGTGTCTAGTTCAAGCAGATGGTCATTGATTGATGCATTCAATACATCAGCTTAGAAATGGAAATTTAATATCGATTCAAGCCAATGATAATGCTGTTTTATTTATTAGCCCTGCAACACTGCTGCGCAGTCGCCGATCTCCACCACAGTGCAAGTCGGCGTCTCGGAGGTAAAACAGTGACGGATGAAGACTTGAGCACCACATATGAAGCACATGGATCAATTGTAGCAAATAATACATCTTTTTGAGGAAGCAGAATGCCCATTATATATTCGTGGGCTGGTGAAGATCGATCTGCGCACAGGGGAGGGTGCGGGGCTGGTTGCAACACCATCGCTAAATCTCCACACTACTTGAGGGATTATTGTTGACCCTCCCGACATCAACAAGCGTAATTGGTTTAGTGGTAAAATTCTCCGTTGCCATTCGAGCAGCGTCGGGGAGCCCTGGGTTCGATTCCCAGATTACGCAGTACTATTGGTTCTTCGGGACTTTCCTTTTTGCGTTTCTATTGTGTTGGTCAGGCTGAGTGAGGATCGCGAACGTGTTTTTCTTTTGTGGTGGCCCCGGCATTTAGGTTGGAGACCTACAGGCTTACTCATTGATAATAGAGAATTTTGATGAGGAGCTGAGATATGGACTTTATTGATATCAATCTAGTTCGGTTCCCAAGTCCTCCGGAGTGGTTAATCTTCTTCATGTCCTGCGCAGTGGTCGCCATGTTCAAAGGCTCGAGGGGACTTTCGTAATGGCTCCAACACTGCGCTTCGACTTGCTGCTGGTGCTGGAACCAATATCCCAGGGTTTGCGGGCAGGTTGGCAGTATGCTACCTTGGGAGGGACGGTGCCAAACTCGAAGTAGTCGGCGAGGATGTTGTCCACACACGAACTGGCATACATGCCCGCCACTGTATGTCCCATGGTCTCTTGGACTACTAATCCGGAGCCCGGGTGACCGACACGCATGGCGATGGCGGCACTCAGGGGCGTGACGGGGTCGAGACGATTGGACATGAAGAGGAGAGGCGCCGTAGGGACGCCTGTTACTCCCTTCTTGTTGGCGGGAGGCGTGGTGAAGGGCCCTTGGAAACGCCAATTGGCTCGGAAGCGCCAGCTCGAGCAAGCAAAGCGGATGCCAGACCAGTGCGGCCCCAGGATGCGAGAGCTGGAGACCTGCTGGCCGACATACGACTTCCACCAGGCGAGATCCTTGGACGTAACATCGTCCCCGTCGCCGCAAATAACGGCGAAACCTGCCTCCTCACCTGGGCCAACGGCCTTATTGGCGGTGGTCGCATTGCAGTCGTCGCTGAGTGAAGGAAAGGCTCCGTTGTTGACCACGGCAGCGACGAGAGGTGTCGGGTTGCCAGCGATGCCTTCGGCAAGCCCGTAGGCAAGAGTAGGGAAGAGTGCGACAGGGTCGTACAGGGCGAGGGCGATGATGGAGCGGACATCGCTGCCACTGAGGATGAAGGGGGCGTTTTCATACTGGAGGGCCAAGGGCGACTTGTCAAGGCGGGCGATGTAGGATTCAACGCGGGTCTTGATATCGCCAGGACAGGTGTCGTACGGCTTTCGGAGGACGCAGACGAGAGACCCGACGGTGTAGCAGCCCTTGAAGAAGTTGTAGTAGATCTTGTCCGTGTCAACGAGGCTAGTAAGCCAACCCTAGTAGTGTGTTAGAAATAGTGTTTGCAATTTGTGAAGGACTGAGAGGCATATGGATGACACACTTACAGGACCTTTGGAGTAATCGTATGAGTTGGAAACACCATCGAGGACCATCCGACCAACACGGCCGGGGAACATGGACGCGAAGTAGTTCCCGAGGATAGTTCCGTACGAGAATCCAATGTACTGGAGCCTAGGGAGATCTGGTTTGGTCTTCTCACCCCTCTCAGTGACTTCCTCTCGCTTGGATGTCTTCCTGCGTAGCTCATCGATCTTGTCCACCATGGCGACCATGTCGCGGGCCACCGATGCGGTCCCAGCATAGCCCATGATTTCGCCATGCTCCTCGTCAGACTCCTGGCAAAGGTCGGCGTATGATTCCCTGATGGCGTGATTATACCGAAGGGCGTGGTTCCCCTGGTCTAAACTTCCGGCTCCTCGAAGCTGCAGCGCCATAGAGTCACGGGCGAGCGCGCTCTGGAAGCACTGCGACTGCGGCGTGCTGAAGCCGATTCCGCGCGGGTCAAACGAGACGATTTCGTAGTGGCGGTTGTTGTCAATCATAGTGCGCAACTGATTCGCTCTAGCGAGCATAAATGGGATGCCAGGGATGCCAGGCCCCCCGGGGTTCGTGAAGACGGAGCCGCCGAAGGATGCGTCGTTGTCAGACACGGTGGCGGGGAGCTTCGTCATGGCGATTGCAACGGTGCGTTTGTCCGTGGTATTGAGCCAGTCGAGAGGCAGCTGGAGACGAGCGCATTTGTACTTACCGTAGCAGTTGCGGTACTGTAAGTCGGCGGTGGGAGTGATGGATTTCCAGTTGAACGGCGTCGTGTCGGCGGCCTTCACTGTGGTGGATGCAGCGATGATGCCGCTTAGTAGAGCGAGGAGCATCTTGACCATGATAATAGTAGAATGACAACCTCGTACGATCGGGAATGATAACTATAGAAACCTCCAAATAGGTGTTTGGGTCTATTACTGCCAATGAAGATGTGACGATGCCTTGAATGAGGTCGAGAAAGAAAACACAGGTGTAAGGGCCATCACGGCAGGATTGCACAGCACATGAACATGGCGTGCAATTTACATCTCTGGAAGGAGTGCTATTGACTTGACGGAAGGTGGATAAGGGCTCCTGGACCCTTCAGCAAGAGCCATGATGGAGTAAGCTCGGATCTTCATCGCGGCCTATCGCCGCAGGTCTTTTCAACTTACGCCTCGCCACCTAGATGATAATTCTTGCAACTCTTTAGCAATTACCCTTGATGATACGAGACTCCCAAAGTTCACCACTTGTTCCTACCAAGACTGCATTCACCATGGCCTTGTCGTGGCTTGTCATATCAAGAACCAATCGAAGTGGAACACCAACACGTTACACAATCATACAAGTTTTTTTCTTTCATACCATACTCAAACAAAAATTAGCCAACCAAAGACACAAATAACCAAACCCAATTCCTTCCCAATCAACATTTTGGTCATATGCAGAACAGGCTGAGTGCATAAGACACTGCCAAATGTTCTCTCTGCCCTTCCAAGATGACCCAAGTCCAACACAGAATATTCGTCACAATATATCCCGCTCCACAACTACTCTGATCCGCTGCTAGACTCACCCGCGGAGCGACTTCTGCTGCTGCCATATTCCGACTCGTCGTACACAATGTTATCGTCGCATGCATCGCTGTCCCCGGCCGTATTGGCGCCCATGTCATCCACACCATGGTAGTCATCGTCATCCGCGTAACTCGGGGAATCGGTGCCGGGCTTATGGGTGACTGGAGCAAGCACCAAGTCTCTCTCGTCTGGAGTCTCCTGCTCGGTTTGGGTAAAGAAGGGATGTTCGGACTGAAGAGGCTTGCCTTGGCTGACGAATCCCATCGGGCTGTGTGCGAAGTCCTGGCCACGACGGCGGACCGCAAGCCATTCTTGCATGAAGGTCAAGGGCCTGCTGGCAAACTTGATCTCGTCCACCTGAACCGTAGGTGTCGATCGCAGGCCACCCTCTGGCACCACCTCGTCGCCGGCGCCGTCCATCGCCATCACAACATCCAGGTCCTCGTTTTCCACAACACCTTCTTGAATACCAAGAAGCTCGCACATGTGCTTGTACTCGCTCCATTCGAAGTAGAGACGGCCGGCGAAAACACCAAGCTCAACGCGAAGCCACTTTGGAGCGACCCATTCCTTGGGAAGTGGTGGGACGCTGTAGTAGGTCAAGTCGTTGAACTGCAGCATCTTGCGGGTAATCGGCGCAGCATAAGTGAGGAGGTACGTCTTAAATGCGATATCCGGATCCCGCAACATGGGGATGAGGGCATCTGCCTCTTCAGGAATGATGACGATAGCCGTCTCCGCGATGGGGCTCCAAAGTAGCCAGTTCACCGGCCGCTGTGTCTCCCGTTAGTTCGCTACATCCACACCATTGCATAAGATAGCTTACCAAAAAGTTGTCCATTGCATTATCAAGCTTCTGCTTGATCGTCTTTTCAAACTCGCCCGTCACAAACAGCTTCGACTCTGTGGCGTTCCGCGAGACTCTGAACTTGCGACCAAGCCCTGTCTTGGACAGGGATGAAAACACATGGGTGAAGTAATGAGCGTCCGCTGGCATTCGCCCTGTTCGCGCAAAGATCTCCAGGTCGGGATGAAGCCCCGGGAATGAATGCGCTGCGTAATGGTACGGCTTCTTCACCTGTCTCACCGATTCCACCTCAAATGCGACCTCTCGCTCCTGTTCGACTTGCTGTAGCGCGGAGGAGTGGACCGCTCGTCCATTATCATGAAATCTCTTTCGTCGGGAGTTGAGGTCTTTCATGAACCCCTTGAGATGTCCGTTTGTCGATTCCTTTGGTGCGAGTGTGCGCGCCTTCGGTTTTGGGTCGTACAACTGCTGTAGCGTCTGCTGTTCATCTTGCTTGATTGTAGCAACGTACTTCTCCCGCTGTGGCTTGATCGTCAAGAACATGGGGTTGTCCAATGAAGCCTGCATACGCCGGCAGTAGTCGACTCCCTGAGAGTAGAACAATGGTTGCAGTTGTTCAATACTTTCGCAGGTGTTGTCAAGGAGCCATTCGATACTGTGTTCATGTTAGTCAGTTCCTTAAGCCATGACACACTAGTCTTACACATCACTAGAGTCTACTGGGTCGTGAATAGTTTTCCCTTGTAAATCTGCGATACCCTGATGGACCTCGGGAGGAACAAAGAACGTCACTGATTGAGTTGTTCCAAGCTGACGTAGACGCATGGCAGCTGAGCGAGCTTTTGTTAATTTAGAACAAGTGAAAAAGACATCTCAACTAACCTTGAACTGTATGATCCTTTGTTTGACCAAGGCCAAGTGTGAGAGCTCCCCGAGCATGTGGCGGGATTTTGAGATCAGTGCCACGGGTGTGAGCCTAGAGAAATTTCAGCTTCGAGTTTCAGACAGTTGCAAAAAGGAACTTACCTCGTCCAGGTATACCAAGCATGACCCCAGATCGTCCGCAAATGGTGACGCGAGGAGGGGCGTTCTTCTTCCTTGCTTGTTAACAATCCAAGGCTTGTTTCCTTCGTCAAAGAACATGGCTGCAAGAGCACCTCCATCGATCTTCAGCCACTCTTCAGCCAGGGTAGCGTTGTTCATTTCAAGAATCTGAGCGCCTGCGTCGATCAAGACGCGAATTGATCTCTCCTTCAACCCATGAAGTAGATCAATCTCCGATGCTCTTCCTGTAAACCTGTTTCTCTTCAACTGATGAGGCAGGACACATTGGCGATTGCGTGGGTGCAGAAGGTATGTCAAAACTTCAGCGCTTGTGTGCAGCAAACTTGGCAGATCTTGCTGCTCGATGTTCAGAGGCAGCATGGTTCTATTGTCGTTGGTGCCACTGAAGCCTGTGGTCAATGGCTTGGTCGTTGGCTTCTTGGGGTTGTTGGGTTCGTCAGCCACCTGGAACAATGGAATGTCCCAGGCATTGGATTGTAATTTGACCTTGAATTGTTTGGCGTGTCTAGGGAAAACAAAGTTGTTCAAGAAATAGTCAATCACCACTCCATTGTATCTGGCGTTCTTCCAAATCTCCACCAGCTGAACTTCGTCATCCACGTTGATGGAATTCCAGGCTCGGAGGGAAGATGGGTAATTGTAGATGCTCGTTGCCCATTTGTCGTACTCTGCCGACGGGTCATCCGATTTGAGAATGTGCTCAAGGCACTGTTTGAGCTGAGCCAAGTTGACACCGTCGTAGTAAAAAGCCAAGCATGTGAGTAGGATTGCAACGTCAGGATGACCCCATTCAGACTGCTCACTCGGGACACCTTTTGCATGAAAAGGAACTGCAATCGGGTCGCGGTTTGGGTGGAGGCCGTACTCCACGTTCCATCTCTTCCTCAAGGTTGTCATCAATATTCGACTGACAAGGAGTCCACGGAGGAGATAGATTGTCTGTCGAAGATTGGGCCGATCAGGGCAGAGCTTTTGGATTCGATTGAAACTAGAGTTTCGGGGTCTGGCGGCAGAGATGAAATCTTTGATGGCCACTCTGTCCGCTTGTGGCATCGCGTGGATGGACATCGGAAGAATACCACCCAAGCCTCGGCAAATATCAGCCGTCACTCGTCGAATCAACTCATCCTCAACGTCAGGTCGAAGGAAGTAAATCAGTGGAAACCCTGACCTCATCCTTCTAATTATGCTGATGGAGTGTGGGAAAGCGAAACAGAGTTCTGACACATGTGCATCAACGAGTCGTAAAACTGCTTCGGCAACGAGCCATCGATCGGGATGGCCGTCAACAGTCATCTGCGAGCCAGATGGATAGATCAGCTGAGTTCGTACCGCCAAAGTGTAGTCAGACTCATCGAGAATATCTCTCGAGACCCTGGTGAGCCAGTTCTGGACATTTATCATTGGTCGAGCGTGCTGGATTTGATCATCAACAAGACGCTGGCATCCGCTGAGCATAAAGGACATCGTATGATCAGGTTGGCAGATCATTATCCCCGCCGAATTCATCATGTCCTTGTGGATTCCCAGGTAAGCTTTGATGGACTCGTTTGTCGTTGACGTCCTTCGAGAGAAGGGAACGTGTCGAATTTGACGCCCAAGTATGCCACCGAGCCTGGATTGGAGCAATTGGGAAGTCTGCTGGAGCAATGCCTTTGGAACAATAACTCGCACGAGTCTTGTTTTGTCGGCAAGAGCAGCAGCAACCATCGGAATGATGCAAGAGGTTTTGCCTGAAATAATTGTCAGCTTATTGCCATCACTTATGAAACCTTCAAATAGAACGCAGGGCAGAGAGCTAAATGTCCTCTAAAACTGAATGACTGGGACATACCTTGTCCCATGTTCATCTGAAGAACTGAATTCGACCCTGACTCGGGAGAGATTGTTGCCAAAGCAACATCGATCTGAACGGGCCGGATCATCAGGTTAGATTCAATCTCCAACAACAACCAGTCAGGGTGATCATCCGGATTCCAGTTGGAATGGCCTTTGTTCGCCTCCTCCTCGTAGTATTGTCCCGTGGCGTTCTTCAGGGCAAGGTCATGAAGACGGATTTCCCGCTGAAGGGCTGTGACAATCACGCCCAAATTGATCAACTCCTTTCGAAAGCCACTTCCAAAGAGGTCTTGGGAGGAGATGGAACTTAGTTGTCCAAGGAGTGAGCCTTTCGTCACGACTGGCCAAAGGCCTCCTGCCTTAAGCCACTCGATCCGTCTCACAGAACAATTTTGGCTCACGGCGTTGAGAGCATAGCAGATCTTCGCGAAAGAGCCGTTAAGACTTCGAGAGACTGCAACAATCGATGATTCCCTTGTACGAACTAGCTCGCTGGTTGCGTCCGCTGAAGGATTAAGGCGCCTAAATGCTACCAGACTTTTCTGAAGGTCCTCTGCGTACCGGCGTCGTTGAGCAGAGCTTGAGTTCTCCAAAGGCTTAGAAATCATCTCCAACTCCAAAGTTGACCTGTTGATGTCGTCAGGGGTTGGCAAAGGTGTAGAAGCATACTTTTTGCCTGTTGAAGCATGGCGATACCCGACCTGTCGCCTCGCGGAAGTAAGGTTCGTATTTGCTGGCCAAACAAGTTGCTTCATGCCCTGTTTTACGAATTCATCCTGAGATACGAATGGATGGTTCATGAATGGCTGATTCGCAGGCTTCTCAAAGGGACGCGAGACAGGTGGAGGGATCAGAGGCTTCAATAGCAGTTGCTTCAGGTCAAGTATTTCTTTCCCACGGAGCCTCGGGGGATAGATTTCCTCGGATAAAACTGTTGCAGGAAGTTCGTATGCAACCTTGGATGTTCGTCGATCCAAGATCTTTTGGACCCCCCGCAAATGCTTCGTCAAATCCATGTTCATGTAGAGGCGTCTCCATTCCGGGCGGACTGCCTCCAGCGCTGAGGGGAGGTCAATCAACACAGAACGATCAAGCCCGCGAATGCTTGGCTCCAGACATGGCCACTGTTCCAAAAGAAATTTTGCAAAGAATTTGCAGTCATCTTCCGCCATTCGTTCGTGTTTTGATCGCTCAGATTGCCATTTTCGTTGCTGCTTTGCGCTCGCAAACTCTCGCAGCCCAGCCGTATCGTCTTCGGGAGCTGGTGTTGCGAAGCGCTTGAGCACCTGGAGGATATGATCCAGTTGGGGTACTTGATCGGGCTGGAAATTATTGTATTCTTTCCACCCAGGCGTTTCCGTATGCCGAAGTTCCTTAAAGACGGCAAAAGCGACCAGAGTACGAAGGAGCGGTAACTCGGCGTCGATGCGGAATGCTATTGGCGCCAGCAAAAACATAAGGTTATATCGACCAGAGGTCTTTTGAGCAAATTTGACAAGAGAACCCCAATTCTGGACAATGTCCACTTTGAGACGGTCGCTCAAAGAGCCTTTCTTAAAGGCTGAGCCAAAGCCACCGACCAGGTTCTGAGCTGCAAGACGTTGAACCAGGTTCTCTGTTGTTTCCAAACTTCGAGGCCATGTACGGATCAAGTGGACGATTTCCAGTACATTTCGGTGCCTGGTATTTGTATGCGACGGCCGGTCGCGTGGATGGTAGATGCTCACGGCAGGCAACGGGCGGTCGCTTGCATCTCCGACGTATCTTTCAAAAGCTTGATGTCGAAGGAGCGCCCGATTGTGCAAATGGGCGTCACCTGATGACGGCAGTACTTTGTGCTGAACAGTCTGTTCCGAGAACGCCGCGAGTCCTTTGGAGACCTCTAGAATATGCTCCACAATTGGTCTCAGGGCCGAGCTTTGAACAGTCACCGGCAGCGTTTCAATCCAGTGATCTGTTCGCATGAAACGTAGGTCTCGAGGGTAGTATTCACGTCGGGGAGTGAGTCGAGAAATCCGTTCCAAAATTTCCATTGGCATTTGGGATAGAGGAGCCCATGGCTGCGATATGCCTGACTTCAACCACTCGATCGCCTCCTCAGTTCCTGTTCGACCGGTAAGAGGGTCGGGAAGAACGAAAGATGTGCATGCGTGAAGCAAGGCCTTGGTGTAAACTAATACTGGTTCAGCAGCACAGTCCACTCTTCCCAAGGTTTCGTTGATTGCGTATCTTCCGTATGAGCCGTTAGGGTCAATTCGGACAGCGACATGACATTCGTCTGACTTTGCAACGGCAAGCTTCCCGAGTGGGACAAGGACAGACCGATGCATGGGGTTTGAAATGCTTCGCAAGACAAGTTTGCTTTGCAAGCCATACCAAGTGCCGGCATCTTGGTTGCGATCGATCTCGCACTGAAGCTGGGGAGATTGCAGTGACAGTTGGTTGTTGACGTGGAATAAAATTTGAAGTCGCGGCAACTCGATCTGAAGGTGTCTACCTCCCCCAGGCTGTACAACCATGATTTGCTGACGATACTCGAATGAGTCAAGAATCCGAGTGGCCCTAGTGAAGAGAGGGCTGTAGGGGTTTACAACTTTGTCGTAAATTGTTTGGTTCCCGTGATAGCGCATCCGGGTGCATGTCCCATCTCGCAGCTTCAGTCTATACCCTCTGAAGTTCCGATTTGGCCACGGACTCTGGCGCTTCGTGATCATCACCTCTCCGTTTCTGAGATTTCTAAATGGTGTTAACGTAAGAATTCAACTGTTGATCTGGAGTAGATATGTGTCTTACAGCCAATGGAAGCAGTCATCAAGCAACGGTCCTGGTAAGTCCCAGTTCCCGCCATTCCGAAACGTCTCCCTTGGGATTAGCTGAAGCGAGTAGGGCTGCTGAAACGCTCTGATAACCATATTTCCAGAAGGCGAAAATCCAACATGAACCTGGTAGTCTTTGGGCTTCACACAAAGAGCTATAGTAGAATATTAGTGTCGGTGCACAATCAATTGGGTGGAGCGGGGAGAGTTACCGTATTGCATTCGTGGGCGGTCCGACGGGTACGTGAGAAGTACCTGGTCTCCAAAAAGCTCATTCAAAATGAGGCATTTCCTGCGGTCTTTGGGGAGTTTCTTTAAGGAGTCAGCAAGTACCTTTCCAAGTTGAGTTCAAGCGGTAACACTCGCGATAGACGAACTTACCCCCATGGGAGATCCATCAACAAGCAGCACGCCCTCAACACAGTTATACAAAACACTTTGCGCATTTGTGTCCTCGGTTGCTATTGCACGGCATGAAATCCAGTCCCGTGCCTCAAGCGTGATGTGAGAAAACCTTCTCGCACACTGTTCCTCTTCAGGCCACATTTCCTTCAGAGAAGACCCAAACACATCGGGCCTCGACAAAATCGCACTGGTGATACTTTGGCAAAGAGTGTATGACAATCTCATGTCCCGAATGACAGCATGTTGCAGAGTTATAGGCAACGATTTCAGCTCGACGACCAAGCTGTCTTGTACCATAATACTCCCTTGGATAAATGATTCCATGGAAGCATCATCGAGCTCCAAACCCCGAATAGCATGGAGTGCGAAGGTTTGTTTACACAACAAGCCTGCCCACAAAGCGTACTGCTGGAAACGCTGAGCCGTCTCGGAGTCTGTGACCTTGAACGTTTCCGCACGGAGGATTTTGAACCACCGAACACAAATAGATCTAGCCCGAGCCAGCAAAGCCAGCGCTGCCCGAACGATGCTGTTCATATTTGCGGCCATAGAAAGATCGGCAATTCGTAGGCTCAGTGAGATAACAGTCTCCATGAGATACGTCTCTCTCCAATTTGCGGACAAAGTGTCCAGACGGTGCGCCAGCTGCTCGATGAGCTTTTCGCAAAACAATCCATCTCGAAAAGTGGCGTGAACTAATCGAAATGGGTCTTGCTCATCTCCACGAGGACCGCATTGAGCAGTCAAGTGGGCAAGTAGCAGCATGGTAGCCTCATTCGAGAAGTTGAGATTGGCTGAGCCGAGTTCCGTCAAGATGGATGGCCATCGACGAGACTTTCCAGAGGCAATTGTCTGGAAGGCGAGGTACTCGTGAGCACTAATACCCGAAGGGCACTTTGATGCTGTCGAAGCGATCTCGTATGAAGATGGCCCATGGACATTGTCGACGAAAGCCGAGTCTTGAAGTAGCTTCGAGAATGGAGAAGAGTTGGGTATCTGCAGCTTGACGTGGGACAGAAACGTCGGGCGTGGGCTCCGGTCGCTAGGCCAAGTTTTCGTTTCATCATCGAAGAAGGTTAATCTCAGGCCATTTGGACGGCAAACGCCATCTTTTCCATTTGGACTTTCCCATTCAACTGGGAAGCACAAAGATGAATAGTGCGTGGTCAAGACTGTAAGCTTTTGGTTAGTTCGGTTCCACCCCAATGGAGAGGGAATCTTACATGGTTTTGTCTTGGATGCCAAGGAACAACTCATCGTGATCTCGTTGGCAAAGTCGCTGAGCTGCTCATAGTCTCTGATGAAACACCTGGGTTTGGTGTCGTCCTTGAAAAAGGGAATCGCCAATGTGCCAATCAATCGCCAAGTTGTATCTCGGTAGGTGGCAAACGGCCCCGGGCACGCCAGCTCAAAAACAACAGCCTTAGCGACCACTGGATCTGATGGGAGTGGATGCTCGTACGCTCTGATATGCATCCTCGTCAGTTGGTGCATCATGTGGCAGCGATTGCAACTCTTGGAGTGAATTCCGCGACCAAGTGGGTTGTTTTCATCGACTATGTAGAGACAAGCCGCGTCCTCAATTCTCTTTGAGAGGGCGGCGTACTCTTCGGACTTGATCTTCCATTCTTTCTCCTTTGCGATTCGCATTTTCTCAGCTTGGTGCTCAATCTCTCCATGAAGGTCTTTCAACAGGGCGGACTCCGGAGACTCTTCGTAGAATCTGTGGCCAAATGATCCCCAAACTGGATCCCCAAAGATGTCCGGGGCGGATTTTTCACATGCCGCGATTCTGGCCTGGAGGTAGAGCTGGATTTTCTGCACGCGTTCCATATCGTCGAAATTCGAAGCCAGTAAAACATCCAGCATGTTGGGGAGGAACACGGGATGATATTCTCGCAACAGTGGGTAAAGACCGCAGGCATCCTTGTCCATCCTGACCCAAAGGTCCATGAGGTTGAGAATCGCAGTACTCATCAGCTGGGGATTGTTCCGGTACAACTTGGTAGCCTGTTCCAAATAGCCGTGGATTCTTTGGGAAGCTTGACCGATGACTTTTCGCTGTTCGCGGGCTGACGATGACGGTGGCTCGAGGCAAAACTGCTTGGAGGCCATTTCGCTTTCGACCAACTCGAAATGAAGTGCAGCGAATGCGTTGAGGTGCTTTTTTGCGGCCTCATCCACACTCATATTGACAAGTTCAGTCTCACGTTTTCGGGGCTTAGCCCACCCAGCCATAATATCCTGAAGGTGCTGGCCACTGACGTGCAAGTCAAGGCGCAAATCCGTCGGGGATGCCTGGCGTGGGAGGTTGGGAATTTGCTTCTGCATATTCAGCTTCTGACGTTTCCAGGATGCCTCGATGAATTCCGATGCGAAGTTTACGGCTTTCCTGAGGTATGGTTCCGATCTAATAAAGAGGTACTCAATGCGAATCAGGGTGCTGGGACTCCATGCACGATCCTTGTCGGCCTCGAGTTTGACAATCCGCCGACAAATCTTCTTTTTGAGGTAATCCATACGCTCAATGCTGGTCTCTGAGCCCTGAAAGCTGAAGAGGAACTCGGCAAGAACCTGCAGGACGAAGAATTTGTACTCAGCACGACCAATTTCACCACCCATCCGAGCAGAGAGGAAACGCGCGATTGCCACACGCAAGACAAGCCAGTACGGCAAGCGCCTCCAAGGGCTCTTTGCATTCTTCCAGCACACATCGTCTCGGATCTTCTTTTGTAGCAGCGTGGGTGCGAATCGACGGCCGTTGGATTCAAGAATCCCCATCAACATGGAACTGACCAAGGCAGGCTCAGGAGTATTGCGATACTCGAAGATGGTGGCACCAGCCTTGAACGTGTGTGCAGCAAAATCTTTGATGGATTCGCGAGATGCATTTTCAATAAATGACGAAAAATTGTTAATGAAGCCATCGTCGAAAAAGGTCTCCATGGAGATGGCAACGGCGCATCCAGGGAAGTCCCACTGGAGAGCGTTCTCGGCAGCGAGGATATCCTCGTTTCGGGCGGAGGCTTCGAAAGCCTCGATAATGACGGATGGTCCAAGAACAGGACTATCTAAAGTTAGTGATGATACGGTTGGTTCAGAGCTGTCAGAACTTACTCCCTTGAGCGCCGAATGTACAAAGCGCAGTTCTGGCAGTGAACGTAGACCACGAGGAAGTCGAATTCTCCAAGGCTGTTCAACTCCCTTGCGAGAACAGAGCGATCAACCCGTCCGCCGAAATGGATGTTTTTGGTAGCCTGAATGCTGCGACTAACAGCAGCCCAGGTCGGTCCCGAACTCTTATTGTCGGGAATGTCTCGTAGGCTCCTGATAGCTCCCAAAACGCGATCTATGAGTGCATTCTCGATTTCGGCAAGATTCGGGTCTTCGCGGTGAGGTAGTTGAGGGGGCAAAACGAGGTGGTTGTAGAGTGCCTCGTTGGCAGACAGATCCGTATGCTTGTGGGGTGCAGCTGGGGTCGCCATGATGCCACTCAAGTTGCAAAACAGAATACAAAGTCGATGAAGAATTAGGGCAGAGAAAGCAAGAAGGTAACAAAACGACAGATATGACAAGAAAGATCGAAAGGAAGCAGTTGTAGTTCTCGAAAAGCAGTTCAGCTGAATCAGACACTGGCAGAGAGTTGGTAGCCTCTATCCGACGGGAGGGAAGCGGTTCCGGTTCAGCGTGTCAAAGATGGAGGCAGACAGTCGCAAGGCTCTCGTACCGATGAGAACTATATGGTGTATTGAGTGTGACTATTCGTCTCATAGGTCTTGAGGGTTGATCAACTTATTGCAAGTGGGTTGTGTGAAGAGGTGGAGTGGAGGGGTGGAGGGTGGAAGTAGGAAGACAGTCCACAACCACGGGGTGAGAAAAGAAGAAGATGGAAAGGAGGCGAGATGCACAATTCCGCTCGCGTGTAAACAGAGAGAAATCTGGGACGCGCCTCGAGGCTGCCAGCCGTCTGCCGGCTGGCAAACAGTTTGGCGGACCGTTTGCATCCTGGCAGCGGTTGGCAGCTGGCCCGACTCCGCGTGATGGCCTCCTGCGTCAACCACACTCCAACACTGCACGCTGTTTCGTTCAGTGACATGCCAAACACCAGGTGGTCTGTATTGGCTCTTCGGTCGAGACCTCGCCAAGAAACACTTGTTTGCTATTTCTTTTTCTGCAAACCGGTCGGTAGCCAATGGATGCGCCTGTAGGCAGCCTCGTCATCGCAGATTGGCTCTCGCGCAGCAATCGGCGACCATGGTGTCTTTGCATCAGGTTCCCAGGTATACGCAATGCGAGTTGTCACATTGCACATTGGAGCCTAAGATTTAGTCCTGTACACTTTGTTAGAACTAATTCGGGGAGATGCAGCTACAAGTCTGGTTGCCTGAACAGCGCAGGCCGTTTGTTTGCTGCGAGGTTGGTCCCTCTGTCGGCCTCCTGCATACCGCCCAACGAGCAGTCCAACCAACAGTGCGCAAACAGCCGAAAGGCCATTCACATGGGTTGGTATCAATGATTCGAATGGATATGCATCCCATTGTCCGCTTATCAAGTCTCAGGTGCAAACACCCGCGACGAGGATCATGAGTCTAACGTCGTTAGCCGCGCTCGAGGAGTGTGGTACAAGCAGAGGCTTCTCTTCCATGTCCTTCCATCTCCAAGCCACATCACATTGTTAGCCGAGTCAACTAGTGGGCGACCGCAGAACCGGGAGAGTGGCTTTCAGCTCGTGTTTCAGCGCCCCGAAGCTGCGAAGTTATTTGAATGATGCAGCAGGTAGAGTATTGCTTCTTTCACATGAGGCTAGGGAGAGTTCCAATTACGCACCCCATGTAACTTTTGAGTAGAATAAGTATCCCAGGAATAATTCTTAGTATTTATTCTTCTTTGGACAGATTGTTGTATTATTTCGTAAAATAATTTACAGCCTTGGCCATGGGCCTAAATCACTAAACCATTCACAACAGATGCGGGTTAACTCAATGCAATTCTTCTGTTCATAACTCTACCCAGTCTAACTTTTGTCCAAGGGTATCTATCAATTCACCGTCTTCTCAAGATCATTTCCACAAAACTCCAATGCAATCACCTTAAATCTTACCCGTCCATCCCATTCCTTCCCTCCGCATCCGTACCATCTTGGCTGCAATCAAAAACAAAGTGCCCAGTGCCAATGCAGTTGCCGCGAACACCTGGGCGCCCCAGTACTTCCCCCCCTGTCTGTCGATGATGGCTCCCGCGATGGGGGGGCCCGTCAAGACGGCAAAGCTCACAATCGTGAAGGACATGCCCATGCGAACTCCGATTTTGTTCAGATCCTTAGTCAACAGGGATACACCCGTCGGGAACAAGCTCTGGATCGCCGCGGCGATGGGGCCGTAGATGACGGCCCAGGCGTACATCCCCGCTGTGTCCTTGACGGCGATCCAGGAGAAGATGAGAATGCACGCCGCAATCATGTTGGGGATGAAGACGTTGATGGCCCCAATGTGGTCTGCTAGCCAAGCCGGCAACAGTCGGCCGATGGCGCCGATTCCGTTGAGGATGAGCAGCAGGTTGAGCGACTCGGTGTATGACAGGGGATTGTCCAGGGCTTCTCTCGAGAAGGACGCAATGTAGTAGAAGGCGAAGTAAATGCCAAAGTATGCCAAGAAGCATCCGATCGTGTAGAAAGTGTACTCAAACTCTCGGAAAGTGGCCAGGTCCACCAGAGGCGCAGACTGACGCGGTTTCATGCGCGGCTTGACCAACACAAGCGCAACCAACAGCGAGCCCAACTGGATAAAGGCCGCCGCCCGCAGCGTCCACGCGAATCCAGCCTGGGGGAGCAGCTGGCGAACCAGGCTGGGGAAGATGAGGCCTCCCGTGACGCTCCCGCAGGCCGCGATTCCCATGGCCAGCGCGCGGCGACGTGCAAAGTACGTCGACAGCACGGCCAACACAGGGCAGAACAAGCAGCCATTGCCGACGCCGACGCACACGCCCTGGGCGAGGAGAAACTGCCAGTAGGAGCTGCACAGCGACGTGGCCAGCACGCCGAGAATCTGCAGCGTAATGCCCGTGGCAAAGACAAGGCGGAAGTAGCCCGCGTCGACGAGCCGGCCAGTCAGGGTGCCCACGAAGAATAGGAGAAAGACGGTGATGGAGCCAATCCACGAGATGTCGCTAGAGGGCCGTTGGAGAAGTTCCGTGTAGTATGTCTGGAAGACGCCGAAGGAGTTGACCCAGCCCCATGTGTTCATGAAGACCAAGTGTCCGGCGAGACACACACACCAAGCCCGCCAACCGCCATCCGGGGGAGGGAGAGTAGCCTCCTGATCCCCTGGTGGATTAGCACTGTTGATAGCTCCGTCCAAGTTGTCTAGTTCGTGTCCGTCTCCTCCATTGTTTCTGTCCAAATCGAGGCTTCGGAAAGAGTCGGATCGTCGAGGCGGGTTTTGTTGTTCGTTCAGTCGTTGCTGGATGTCTCTTCCCCCCTCAGAACCAGTATGCCATGAGGACGAGAGAGTTGAGTGTGATCTTTCCTGAGGATCCTCCGGGCTAAGGCTTTGGGTTGAGCCGTCTTGAGAGTTGCTTGGGTTGTTTGATTCAGATGATATCGCCGAGTTGCTGTTGCTGTGGCCTTGGTCAATACTCGCCGATCGAAGTTCCATGTTGTCTGCCATGCCGCTCGATTCCCGAGTCTTTTTTGGGGATGTAAATAGAAACAAGTTCCTCGTCGAAAACTTGAAGAGGCTTATGGTCCAAGTCGAGTTTTGGTGATTTCCTTGTTCAAATGTGTTGGTGTGCTTCTATCAAGTGTCGTGATACAAGCCGTCATGTTCACGAGACATCCAGAAAGACATCCTGAACACACAACCAGTTCCTCCCAAATTAAGTACACGACGTACACCCCAATTGAGTCAGACCAAGAGCTTTCCAACTCGATAGCAAAACCTGCGCCCTACGCCCTGTGCCCCGATAACACCCTGCGCAAGACCCTCAAGCCCACCTCGATATCAAGCAAAGGGTCCTATCACCATCACTTTGCCGCCACTCCGCGAAACGGCCCCCTATTTCCACCAGTATTCCCAGCTCCATTGGAAAACTGCTCCATCTTCATATCCTTCGCTGCCGTTCGGGGCTCAAAAGTAGGCCCGGGGCCCGTGTCCGTGGCCCAGAAACGTCGTTATCTTGATCCACTGCTGGATAGCAAAGACTAGTGTCGCCGTGTAGTCATTGAGAGCAGGGAATAGTGCGGCTACGCCCGGCTGGCGTCGGGCGCGAGGAGCCGAAGTCGGGTTTGTTCATAGGATCTTATCTTAAAAACTGGGACTCGGGGACAAATCGATCTGATCTAATAACGGCAGTTCGTGCATCATCCAACGTTTATCCTAGCATGCCTAATCTGCCTGGTCGCGATTTCGCTGAAGTACACTTGCTCCTGATCAACTCTCCGAACCCTCTGGCTGCCTCGGGTTATAATGCGCAAACGACTCGCTTTGCCTCGTCTTGCCTCGCCTTGCCTCGCCTTGTCATGGGGAACATCAAGATTCATACGTAGTCTACAAGCCAGGTTCGTATCCCCACCTCCATTTCGTCTCAAGGACCCATGGCAGGTTCCATGTACTCTTTTCAGTTTGAGAGCGTCGTACCTAACACACAAATTCGACGTCTCCAAACAAAACCAGATTCGCAGCAAAGCCTCCCTTTCCATTCCATGGATATTTGCTTCCAATTCCAATTCCACAAGAAATGCATCCCTTCCGCAGCTTGACTCCATGAAATGCCTCCCCCTCCAACCATCTGTAAAGCGTCCCTTTCCGATATTGTCCAGTCCTTGCACCGAGACTCGCTCCATCGTGTGGCAACTCATTACTTGCCACATTCTCTGACCGTGGTCCTTACATGACGACCTGCACGGGCACTGATTAGTTGCGTCATCAAAAAGCCTTGAGGGAGAACTTACACAATCGCCATCCTGCTTGCCCTGCGGAATGCCCATGTCCTCAAACGTGGCTGGGCCTTGTTTGGCGGGGGCCTTCGAGGGGGGTGCCGATGCAGCACTGGGGCCAGGGCTTGGCCTATTATCAGGCCTCTGGTTCTGGGGAGCCGGCGCACTTCCAACTCTGCCGGGTCCTCCAGCAGCAGCAGCCATGGGAGGCCGAGGTGGTCCTGCACTTGGTGCTCGGGGCGGCGCGCCGGGACCTCCGGGATATCCTGCTGATGGTCCTTGGTGCGGTGGCGGGTGTTGTGGCGAGTGTTGTGGCGAGTGTTGTGGGGGTGGTACCTGTTGGTTCTGAGGGAGGGAGCTCATCCGCTCAGGACGACCGGCAGCGCCAGGCACGCGAGAGAAGCGCTCGTAGTTCGGGTTTTGCCCAGGGGGGAACTGACCGCCTGGAGGTGGCTGCTGCAGTCGTCCACCAGCACCGGCACCGCTGGGCGGGTATGGAGCATTGGCCGACCGTCCATACCCATCGTCCTCGGGATAAGGATGTCCGCCAGGTCCACCGGGTCCGCCGGGTCCACCACGGCCACCCTGTCCACCAGGACCACCACCAGGTCCGCCAGGCCCGGGAGGACCCTGTCGAAAGTTTCCAGGCGGGGCTTGGCCTTGAGCATCCCAGCCACCAGATGTGTTCCTACCACGGGGGTCCGGGCCGCGTGGGTCGGGACGACCGCCGGGAGGCTGAAGGTTACCCATAGACTGGGACGCCGGCATTGGTCGAGGGCCGCCGGTCTGGGGCTTGATGCCAAAGGCACTGGACGGTCGGTCTGAGGGCGGTCCCTGGCCGAACCGACCACCGTTGTTGTGCTGTGGGGATCTGGGGTTCCGCACATCGTCCTCGGGGTAGGGTGCTGTGGACTTGGAGCGGAAGTTAAGGGGTTGAGGTCTATCATCCTCTGGGTAAGGAGCTGCCGACGCCGGTCGAGCCGGTGGCTGATGTGAGTCAAGCCTAACGTTGAAGGCTGGAGGTCGGTCTCCGGCTGGGATGACGAATGAAGCCCGGGAAGGGTCAGGGAAGTCGACGTGCTCAGAGACGAGAGTTGGCTGGAGGCCGAGAGAGCCGGTCGGGTTGACGCGGGAAGGGTTGGCCGGGGGCTGTGCATTGACTGGGGGTGGGTATTCGGAAGTTGGAGATCCAGGGGTACTGTTCTCGCTGAGGGTAGGCATTTGCTGGGCGGGCTGCTTGAATCGTTCAGGTCTAGCACCTCGCTGAGATCCATGCTGAGACTTGATTCGGGTCAGTGTCGTCGTCTCGTGGTCCGCCTTGGACAATGCCTTGTCCTCGTTGAGAGACTCCAGTCGACCGACAGCGTCCTTGTTGCCGTGATCGGCGGCGATCTGGTACCACTTTCGTGCCTCCTTGACGCTCTTCTCGACGTGAATACCAATTTCGTTGTAGTAACCCATGGCAAATTCTCCGGTGGGAAGCTTGGCTGCAGCCGCTTCCTGGGCGTACTTGTAGGCCAGCGACTCGTTTTTCTTGAAGACACCCTCATAACCGAACAGGAACCAACGGCTGACACCCAGGGCGGCCTCGGGGAGACCTTGCTTGGCAGCCAGGCCATAGTAGTGCAGCGAAAAGGAAGGGTTGAAATCGCAGCCAAACTGGCAAAGCTCGAAGGCCTGGCCCATCTTGAGCTGTGCCTTGGCGAAGCCCAAGTAGGCGGCCTTTTCAATGTACATCTTGGACATTTGCGTGTTGGGAGGCAGTAGACCCTCGGGAATGGTGATGTCGGGGAGGTCACGGCCGACGAGCATGCCGTACACATAGGCACCCTGCGGGGCGTCCTCGTCAGAGCTGTCTGCGGCAGCCTGTATACGCTCGAGTCCGGTCTGATAATCCTTGGACTCGCCGTGCTGGCCCAGCAGGCTCATCATTCCCATGCGGTAGAGAGAGGCGGAGTCCTTCAGGCTGAGACCGCGGTAGTAGTGTTCCTTGGCCTTGGACATGTCGTTCGACTGCTCGTACAGCATGCCCATTCGGTATTCGGACCGGCCATGGCCGAGATCAGCAGCCCGCTTGTAGCCACTGTAGGCCTCACGCTTGTCAACGCGGTTGCCAAATTTCCCGAATTCGAGCCATTTAGATCGCATGTAGAGAGCCTCGGGGTGCTCTTGCTGAGAGAGATATGTGATGATGTTGATGGCATCGAGGCGCAGCTCGTGCTCTATCCTCGGGGTAGCGGGGCGGTTTTGGTCGACATACTCTCGGGTGATGGCGTCTTGGGAGATTTCGGCCCAAGTGAGGACGTCGCGAGCCCAGGTGATTTGCATGGAAACATTCTGGGAGTGAAGCACATGCTTACGGGCGTTCCACAGAATCTCCTCCTTCTCCTCGTCAGTCGGGGGGATATTGTCGCCCTTGACCTTGGGGAAGGGCGAGAAGGAGGGCGCGTCCCAGTTCATGGTTTCGAGGCGGTCGGCCCGGCCGTCGTTGACAGACTGGTATGCTCGAATGTCTTCGTCGGAGATGGTGGCGGCACCCGTGGACCGGGGCGGATCGGCTCCGCGGGGGTTGATGTAGGTCGAGAGGGAAGGCTCACGGCCGTGACGCGGACGAGACTCGGCGTCGGATCGGGGCTCGACAGAGGTAGCTTCGAGCTCCATGCGCTGGAGGTCCTCCTGCATGTTTTGAGGGACCTGAGGGGTTACCCTAGATACCAAGGTCAAAGAATCGTCAGCGCGCCCCACCTTTCACCGTTGTGACCGGATTGGGCCAGGTCAAGGGAAACGAAAGGACCAGGGATCTGGGGAACGCGAACGCTGGAAAGCGAAAGCGGGAAAGCGAAAGCGGGAAATGGGGAGAGAGGGGCAGTGGGAGGGAAGAGTCGACGAGAGGATACAGAGAGAGAGAGAGTGAGAGCAACATACCTTTGGGGTGAGGGCGCGACGACTTCGGGCATATAATAGTCATCGAAGCCGCCGGGGACGAAGGTCGCACCTAGCTGTGGGGGAGCCATGTCGTTGGACTGGCCGTCTGTCGGGGAGGACGTGAGATGTCAGCAAAGGGGATGGGGAAGATGGACACAGTGAATGGGCCCTGGCTGGGTTTTCCGGGAGATGAAAGCTGACGGCGTGGTGGCCGATGTATTGCTGCAGAAGCGGCGGCGCACCCCCTCCTTGGATCGAGCCAGGCTGGCGAGCTGATTTGACTGCGTGGGCGAGTGCGTGAAGTGCGTGCGTGCGTGCTTTGCTTTCTTGAATGATTGGTGGCGACTATAGCGGCAGCTGGCGGCCGATTCACATTGAGGGGAAGCGAGGACACGGCGAGCAAGGGCCGGAGGGCCGGAGGGCGGCGCGAGCTAAGAACAGAGGGCGAAGGCGAGCGAGCCGGCAGCGCGAGAGCTTCCAACGGCCGAGTAGTAGACAGACAGCGAGGGTGGCTCAACGGGGAACTGAGGGGATCCAGAAGGTCACCGGCACTGGAAATGCAACGGGGACTAGCAGGCGTGCAGCGCACAGGCGTGCTCTAGGTAGGCTCCAGGGGGGACCGGGCAGCGCGCAAGGGGCTCTCGATGATGCCAAGCGCCGTTTCGATGGGGGGTGGGCGGAGGGTTCTGATGCGGGACGGGGCAGGCTGGCTGGCGGCGGCGGCGCTGAGATACGAGCTGAGAGCTGAGAGTTGGGAGCGGAGCTGGAGCGGCGGAGCGAGAGCCGGGAGAGTTGCAGTCGTAGCAAGATGATGATGTCGCGGAGGATGGACCAGGCCTGGAGGGGTCGCCGGGGATCAATACGTGTATGTATAATAATAGGAGTGACCAGCCGCTGGATCAGCCGCTGGGTTCTTTTGGTGTACGCCATGCCCGCCATGCCCGCCATCCGCCATGCCGAGAACCAGAGGCAGTGTCAGAATACCAACGATGCCTGGTCAGTGGTAAGCCGGTCCCGAGCAGCAGTGACGCCGTCCCGCCCAAGGCCTCCCGCCGCCCAAGGGCCAGGGCAGGGGCCGCTTTGTCTGCCTGTATTACTGCAGCGCTTGGGGATGTCTAGCGCTGAAGCCCACTCGCAGCTGCGTGTCTCAAGGCGTCTAGCTTGCTGACATGAGCCTGAAGCTGGGCCTAGACCGGGGCTCTCTGTTCTGGAAAACTCGGCTGTGCTGTGCAAGTGCAAGGTACATGATGGGCGGCGAACTCTCGTTGCCCTTATTAGAACACTGCGGGACGGGCGATCCCTATCCGAGGACATTTTTGGAATCCAGGGGCATGTTCGCAGATGAGCTTGCGCGTTTCCCTGTGGCTGTGGCCTCGCTCGATATTGAGGCCAGGGATGTAGGTAGTGTTGGTCCGCCGGGTCCAAGTCTTACTGGTGTAGGGCCTGTAGGCTCAATTGGGCTGTTTCTCTGATCGAACCCTTGCCATGCGCTCTCGCCACGTCTCGCACCTTGACGCCTGGTCTGGTCTCGCCTGTTCTGGTCTGTGGTCCAAGTCGTATCAATCGCCGCGAAGCCGGCCGCAAGAAAGCAAGCAGTGAAGCACGCCCACGCGCGCAGGCCAGCACACGGCCAACCAGCACCAGCACCAGCGCCGCTTCTGTAGATCAGCTCCCAGAGGAGGGGGGTGTAATATGGGATGGGGATGGGATGACGGGGACGATGGGGGGCTGCTTACACGATGATTTACTGGCAGCGGCTGAGCGCTCGGCGGCACCCTTTCCGAGCTGCGCATACTGCTGATAGCTCGCCATAACAGCGGCTGAAGCCTGAAGGGCCCGTTGGCGAGATGGTGGGGTGGGGTGGAGGGGTGGTCGTGGAGGGGGTAGTTTCTGATTTCGGGATGATGCGATGATGCGATGATGCGACAATGCGACGATGAGAATTTGAGAAGAGGAGAAGAGAGTCGAGGAGTGTCCAAGTCCAGACAGTGCAGTTAAGTAGATATTTGGGACAAGATGGCAAGCAATCGAGAAGCGCCGAAGGATTGCGAGTTGGACTGCTGTATCTGAGAACAACTGTAACTGTCCAAGAGTCCCAGACAGATCCTTGCGCCGGCTGCGGCTGGCTGGCGGGGCAGGTCGATCCCGAATCCCAAAGCGCGAATCCCAAAGCGCGAATCCCAAAGCGCCAGCGGCTTTCCTTTTGGGCGCCTGCGTGGGGTTTGGATCGCCTTGTCGAGACTTTGTCGCTTTGTCACACTGCACTGCGCCTGCACCACCTAAACAACACCTTGCAACTGCAGCCTAGGTCAAACACCACGGCACAGGGCAACCGACACGCACGCGGCGTAGGATGAGGCGGAGGCCAGAGAGAGCAAGGTAATCCGAGGTGGAGGGGCAAGAAAGGATTCCAAACAGCAGCGGTTGGTGGTAACTGCGAAACCCGCTTTTCTTGTTTTATGTTTGATCGTCGTAGTTCGTTGGGGATGCTGCGTGACGGCGGGTAGCGGTTGGTGCATGTACGGAAGGATGAGGTTGCTGGTTGAAGGAAATCAAATAAAACCAAACGAAACGAAACGAAGGCTGACGCTGCTAATGCAAAGAGGAGGACTCTGTAAGATTCCAAACGTTTGTATGACAGTGGTCAGCGCCTTGCCGCGTGATTGCACATATCACGATGGACAAGCCTCGGCTGCTGCTCAACGCCTTCGGGGCAAATGCGTTCTTTGAGGGTTAAACAAGAACATTCAATCTCCTCGGGACTACGTGCTGTTATATGGTCTTGTGCTGGAGGATCCTGTGGGCTGTGGGCTGTCGCGGAAATCACCTGTCTGTTTTCTGCCATACCATGACCTCCACCGGAAGGGCCAACTGAAACCCGGACCACTCTAGGCTCACAAACACGCGGGCGGTGCGGGTTGGCGCTTCAGCTGGGCTTCAGCTTGGTGGGCTCTCTTCCATGTGCGTCGTTTCTTTCTTCAATCAATAGTCTGCAAAAAGACCTGCAATCATCCAGATATCCACAGCCTGGGGGGCTGGACCGAGTGCGTCTTAGTTGCTGGTACCATCTTCGGGTTAGGCTTTTGTTGAACCATGATGGAATCGTCGCCTTTCATCTATCGGATCTTAGGCATGCCGATCCGCTTCTAGAAGACAAATACTAGACCCTGACGCAGTGCAGTAGCTGTTCAGTCCATGCCTTGGAACTGTACCTTGTGATTAGCCCCAAACCTAACCGTTCAAGCCGATGATGGTCCCTCCATAACACCCGCACAAGGGATCATGAGGCTCTAGGGTATCAGGGCGACGTTCTCCATCTAAGTCAAGTGCCACCGTGATATACGATAAAAATGCCACTGTTGACAATGCGGGAATTCTAACCATTCTGGTCGCAGTTACATCATTATCGTTGCCGTATTTTTGTGACACCTTCATCTCCTCTCTTGTTTTGTGTTTTGCCGATTAATCTTCCACGTCGCTCCGCCGCTTTCAACACGGCTAGCTCATGCATTCACTCAGCCACAGCTGCTATTTTCAAACTCTTGTGCCTGCACCTGTCCTCTTCCTATAGATTAACCTCGTCAACGGAGGTGCTGATGGCCGTTTTTGATACCCAGCCTAATATGCTGGTCCCTAAAATTTGGGCACGGGTTGTACCCTATACTACCCATAGAGTCGCATGGATTTTACCTGGTTGCTTACCACTCTTGCAATATGAAAGCTGGGCCGCTTCTCTCTTGCAATCAATCCTTCAAGTGATAAAAACTCACAGTTACACATCAACCCAACCCAACAATAAACCCTCGCACAAGAGCAAATTTCTTCCTAAACTAGCCCAAGGTCATCATCCCAAGCCCTTCCTTCAGCTCCGGCCCGCTGCAGGTGACGGGCCTTAATCTTCCAACAAGCGTTTCTCAAGAGCTCCTTTGTCCTCTTTGGGACAGCTCCCCCTGCACAAGGTTGAGCGGGAAAGCCACGATATCCGGCTAGGCTGACTGCAGCGCCAATCCCCATGGGACAGTTGACCAGCTCATTAGAGCCAAGACCTCACAAGACTGATTTCCCGGGTCTACGCAACCCCACGTGAAAATTTGAGCAGACTATTTGGGCTCAAAGGGCACATGGGCCACTGAATTTATTACGACTAGCTCGAGTTGTTAAACGACATGCCCGACGGCTGAGAGCTGCATGCCGCTACATGGCTGAGATGGGTTGCGACCGCTCCCAAAGATCATCACCATATACAGCTTCTAGGGTAAATACCGTAAAGGGAAATATAAATTCAACTAAGCTATCTTCTCTAGAGATGAACAAAAATCTAGGAGCGAAATTCATCAACACCATTATGTCTAAGCTGGAGCGTCTTCTCATCGATGGCATGCCCCAGTCAGAGAAATCTTGATTATATAATCCCACTAAGTCTCGGCTCGGAATTTCCCCCTCCCGCCGCTACCCAATTCAACGCCTCAACGCCTTGTGCCGTGGCCTCGCGTCACCTATCGCAGCCTGGTGAAGCTCCCAATATCCAACCGCCAACTCGACTCAGCAACGACAACACATCTCATCAATCTCTCCAATCCCAACCCGAACCATCCAAATCAGTCGCACGCAAACGCAGAAACACAGCCCTACCTCACAAAAGCTCGAGTCGGTAATCAACGTCCACCATGGCCGACCGCAACCTCGCCCAGATCCTTGCTCAGCTGAAGCACTCTCCCTCGATGAGCTACCCTGAGGCCAACGCCCTGCTCTCCAAGGCCAAGCTCGCTCTCCTCAAGCTCAACGCCCTCACCCCGGCGTCCGCGACCCCCGCCCACATCCTCCCCCTCGCCCGAGAGACGTACGAGCAGGGTGCTCTCTTCGCCATCCGCGCCCGCAACCCCCCCGACTTCACTCGCTACGTCCAGCAGCTCCAGCCCTTTTACGAGCTGCCCTCCAACATCCTCACTCCCAACCTGCCTGAGCGTAACAAGGTCACTGGCCTGAGCTTGCTCCTGCTCCTCACCCAGGGTCGCTACGCCGAGTTCCACACCGAGCTCGAGAGCCTTGCCAATCGGGAAGGTGGCGATGTGGATGTTGAGAATGATCGGTATCTAGGCTACCCCATTCGTCTCGAGAGGTGGTTGATGGAGGGTAGCTACGATCGGGTGTGGAAGGCCATGAAGAGCAGCGAGGTCCCATGCGACGAGTACAGCGTCTTCTCAGAGGTATGCACATCCTCACAGAGCCATTGAGACTCGCCTCCCAATATTCCCAACCTCTGAATCCCCCAATACAATCCCATTCCGTACTAACAATCCACTTTAGATCCTTAAGAATCAGATCCGATCTGAGATTGCCAGCAGCAGCGAACGCGCATATCCCAGCTTACCCATCAGCTCCACAAAGTCCCTGCTCTTCCTTGACTCCGAGGGCGACGTCATCTCCTTTGCCCACCACCGGGGTTGGATCGTCCGAGACGGCCAGATCTTCTTCCCCGACACCACCGATGTCGGCGAGGACGGTACCCAGACCAAGGAAATGAGCCAGATGGTGATAGAGAACGCCTTGGGATACGCCCGCGAGTTGGAGACAATTGTGTAGTTAAGCTTCTAGGTTCTTTTGGTTTCTGCAGCGGGATGGGGGCTGGCAAGAGGGCGCGTGCATGCAGGCTTACATAGATGGGATCAACATCACACCAGTTGTACGACTAATCACAGATAGATCCGTGAGTCGACGGAGCAACAATCAAACAAAACAAGACAACAAAATGTGCAACGTGGTCCCTCGTTTATGGGTGCTTGTCACATATAATCAGGCTAAAACTAAAAAGACATGACATGACTCCTAGCCATCGTTCTACCGACATCGTCCAAGTCCAGCCTTTTTAAACCACAGACCGCCAACACGTCTCTCGCGCGCGTCTGGTCGCATTTTGCAAAAGACTCGAAACTCCAGTCCACCGTCTTCCATCATTAATTGTCTAGGCGAACAGCTTCAGCCCGCTACCATGCTTGCCAATCTCACAAACGTCGCACACTCGGCAAACGGTGCCCTTGTACTTGGCGTGGTACTTGGACCCGTCGAACGCGCACTCCTCGTACGCCGTCCCGCTGTAGATGGGCGTGTGGCTGGCCGCGCACACATCGAACTCAGCGAACTGATCGAACTCGATCTCCACGGCGTCGTTGGGGTTGCGCTCGCACTGCGCCTTGGTCTTCTTGGCCTATACATTTTGTCAATACACAAAAATATTAACGAGTAGGAGTGCTTCAACTTACGTTCTCCACGATCTTGGTGGCTCCTCCGTTGGAAATGATGCGGTTGGCGAAGCTCAGGGCCGAGTTGTAGTTCTTATTGCGCATTGCCAGCTGCATGGCGCTAAGCAGAGCAAGTTGTCGATGAGGGACCTCAATCTTGGGGATTGTGAAATAGGCCGATAACTCGAGACTCCTCTGGAGCTTGGCAGGGTCCTTTGATACAACATCGGGGGATCCCAGCTTTCTCCTAGACAGCTCGATGTTCATGGCAACAGCGTACTCGCTCGCAGAGGTAATGAGCTTCTTGGCCTCGGCAACCTCGTCCTCACTGGACACAGAGTTGATGAGGATGGCATGCAGGATACCCTTGAAGATGTTCAGACCATCGTCCAGCTTGTTGGCCTTCATAGAGTCGTAACCCTTCTGGAGGTCGTTGGCTGCAAGCGTCTCCAGATCCCGGGGAATGATGGGCAAGACTTTCCTGGGGTCCGTCTCATCGAGGGTGCGGCGAACATAGTTCACAAGGGGGGGTAGGCCCTCGGATGCAGGGAGGAATGTCCTTGATGCCTGGTACACCTCGAGGAATCGCGACTTGAGGGGTGCAAAGTTAACCGCACCAACCTGTCGGTTCAGGAGCTGCATAGCAGACTCAAAGGAGCCACCAGCGATGTGATCCACAGCCAAGGGCGAGTTTCGAGCCCAGAGGTCGGCCTCACTGCTGCCAGCACCACCCGCATCGGCGCTCTCGACGTTGACGAAGTCGCTCTCAACATCAGGGACATCATCGTCACCCATGTCCCAGCCGGCAACATCTTCCTCGTCATCCTCGATCAATGCACCATTGCGTTTGGCTGAGTCATCTTCCAAGACATCGTCGAATCCGGTTCCATTGGCAGCAGGCTCATCCTCCAGGGACAGACCTTCGACCTGGCCAAGAAGAGCCTTCTCGAAGAAAGATTGAGAGGTGGCCTTGGTGGGCCAGTTGGCCTTGAAGGTAGGGACAATAGGCTTAGAGATAGCCAAAGGCGCGCCTAAGGTGGGTACAGTCAGCTGGTCCTCAGTCAAGCCAGTGGCTTCCAGGATAGCTTGGCACTCTTCCTCGAGGCCATTCGACTTGGCGGTCATGTAGGCAAGAGGGTCTGCATGAAAGGTTAGCAATATGCGCGCCTATCAATGGGTTCATTACTTACAGAGGTCAATCTCCTTGAACATCTGGATGCGATCCTCAACCTCTCCCAGGAACAAGGCGTTCTGGAAGCGCGAGGTAAAGTCACCTCGGTGCTCGGCGATCTTGGCCATTCGAGCCAGCTTAGAGTGGTCTCCAGTGGCAAGATACAGGAAGGACAGCTTGTCGAACTGCTTCAGCTTCTGGTATGACATCTCAACAACCTGGTGGTTGCCATGGGCAAGAGCTTCAGCGCTCAGCCTGGACCAGAACTTAGGCTTGTCCAAGTCCTTGGCCATCTCAACAGCCACGTCAAGGTTGCCGCACTCAATAGCAAGATCGAATCGGGTAGTGGGGTCCTGGACGAACTGCAGAGCGATTTCGGGGTAGCCCTTCTTCTGTAGGTATGAGATGATGGACTGCCCGACCAAGCTTGAGTTTCGGATAATTTTGAGCATCTCCTCATAGTTTCGCTTGACCAGGGCCAACTTGAAGCGGTACTCCGTAGGGTCAATCTGCAGAATACGTGGCTTGGCGGCTCGGTCGAGGCAGTAGACATTGCGGCCCTTGACTCTGACAAGATACACAGTCTGGTCGAGGGTTCGCACAATACCGTTATCGCCATTAAGAAGGGTGTACTTGACGTGGTTGAGAGTCGAGTATAGTAGAACACCAGCATCATCCCAAGTAGCGCTCTTGATTCGGATAGTCTCGTGCAAAGTGCTGACTTGTTCAAGGGTCTTGGTGACAATGGTGACATTATGCTTGCTAAGCAAAGCGGCGTAAAGACCATCGTTAGACCAAACAACATACTTCACACCACTGACCGCGAGCTCGGCAGTGCTCTTCTTCTGCTGGATGTCGTAGAGATGAACGGCTGTGGGGGCGATGATCATAAGGTTGCCAGTGCCTCCGAAGTAGATATCAGTGGTACCGGCCGGGGGCTTGAAGGATCGGGTTGTGTTGTTTGATAGGTCCTTGATGTCGATGGTCTGGGTAGAGGTGTTGAGCACAGCAAAACGGTTGCGAGCAACGAAGATGGCAGAGTTCCCGGAACCGCGCTTCGACTCGGTGGGCTCAATGGCACCGGATCCATCCTTGGGGAGGTTGACGAGCTCATACGAGCCACCATCGGTGGGCGAGGTAACCAAGACGGAACGCTCCGCAGGGTTGTAAGACAGGGTGCGGGGAGCAACCCAGGCGCTGCCGAGCTTCTTGAGCGACAGAAGCGTAGGACTCTCAACGTTCTTCTGGAAATCGTAGGACTTGACGTGCTTCTCCTTGGTGACGTAGAAGAGCATGTTTTGGTGGACGGCCGAAGCAGGGCGCTCTCGCTCTAGCTTGAAGACCATGACGCCATTATCGTGACCTGCGGCAAAGAGGTTGATCTCGGGGTGCGCCGCAATGACCCAGAAGCGGTCGTTCTCTCTCTTGAAAGACTGAACAGCGGTTCGCTTGTTGAGATCCCAAACCCGAATGGTCTTATCCTCGCCGGCGGAAAGGATCAGGTCTTGGTGAGGGTGGAACAGACAGCCGGAGGCATTCTGGAAATGTCCTCGGCATGTATCCACCTCCCAAGCCTTGGTCTCGCTCATCCGCCACAGCTTCACCAAACGGTCGTCACCTGCAGAGACGATAAGGGGCATGGTAGGGTGGAAAGCAACCCAGTTGACACCCCGGTCGTGGCCCTCGAGGACAAATTTGACCACCGCATCCGTGTTTCCGAACATGTCGGCCTGGTTCTGGTTGGAGCGCGCCATCTGGTCTTCGAAGGACATCGAGGTGGGGGCGGAGTGCTTCTTTCGCAGTCCGGAAATGTCCCAAACGCGGACAGACTGATCGAGGGAGGCGGAGACGACGAGGTCCTCCTTGGGGTGGAACTGAGCGCACATGGCATAGTGGTTGTGACCAGTCATGGTGCAGACTTGTACAGGTCAGCATCGAGACTCTGGTCAATGGGTAAGTAGGTCGGGGTAGAGTGACGTACTCAGCGAGCGATTCTGCCAGTTCCATATCCGGATGGTCTGGTCATCGGAGGCGGACAGAATCCAGGGGAGCTCGTGGTGGAAGAAGACGGTGCGGACATAGTCGAGATGGCCGTTGAGGGTGAAGAGACACCGGCGGGTCTGGTAGGACCAGACCTTAATCTTGTAATCGTCGCCGCCAGAAACGAAGAGCGGCTGAGTCTTGTGGAAATCGACGCCACGGACAGGACCATCGTGTTCCTCGAAGCGGTCAATCAAAGTTCCCATTCGGTAATCCCAGAGCTGGATGGTGGAGGAGTGAAGCGACACGAGGATCCATGGTCTGAGAGGGACATGTCAGCTTCCAGCTTGCGAGGCCGCAACTTCAGGGAGATGGTGGCGGTGGGCGGCGCAAGGCACTGACCTCTTGGGGTGAAAGGCAATGCCCTTCGCTCTCGAAGACTTGGACTCAAACTGCGCAACAGGTCAGTCGCTGGAGGAGGGAGCCAGACCCTCGAGACACATTACCTTGGTCAACATTCCCGGGGAGGACTGCATTTTGGCGGGGAGGTGAAGCCGGAGCTTCTCGCATTAAAGGGGGAACAATATAGAGTCCAGGAAGCTGGGAGGAAAGAAGCCGATCAGCTTGCCTGGTCGCGGATCTTTGGGCAAGCTGGCCAGCAGGTCGAGAGGGAGACGGAATCGGGGAGGTTAAGGAGTGGAGGTGGAGCAGTGTCGATTGCTGGCCGTCGAACGAACTCCTGGGCTAAGCAATTGAGCATCGTGTCCATCTCCAAAGTGTGGGCATCTGCCTTGGTGTAAGCCACCCGCAACATTGTTCCGCCGCCGCCACAGGGGGGGTGAAAGCCACTTCATCGACCAATCCGCCAATCTGTCCACACCCTTCACCGCCCTGGTACACCTGTCATCAACCAGGGGCCCCGGCAAGAGCGCACCAGCCACAACTCGCCCCACCAACCGTTTCTGCCACGTCGAGGACCTTCGCGGGATAATACGGCGCTAAACCGCATTGGGTCAGCTTCTTGTGACGGTGTTCACATCTCGATGACACAGGAACTGGCGGCATCAGCTTGCTCCCCACGTCGACGACATCTTGGCGCCATTGATGGGTTGCCTTGCAATAGTTTGAGGCGCTTTCGGTCGTCGAGTGTGACTTACAATACAGCATCCGCTACTAGCTTTGCCTTCCCAAACGACAGAGCTCTAGGAGCTCTCCCACTGCCCCTCCACCTCCCATAGAGGAGCTTCGGTCCAGCCCAAAGACGAGACGATTGTCGACGACGCTTAGTCCAGCCATGTTGCGTCTATCCCAATTGCCATGGGGCGTGGCCTTGGCCCTCGCTGCTGCACTCCAGGCTGCTGCTGCCCCATCCGTCAACGTGGGCATGAACGCTGCGTTCCCACGTGCCCCATATCTGCTTGAGCTTCTGTAAGCTATCCTAGTATCATTCCAATGTGATGGCGCAGCACTGATTGTACCAGTGAGACAGCTGCTGGCGAAAACGCGACTTCGTATTTCCCTCTTCTCGACAAGATCGCAAGCGGTCACTTCGCATCGGCTGCGACGGATGAAGAGTTCTATACCCAATTCCTAGAGGTTCTTCAGCAGGATGGCCATATTGCCGGCCTGGATTCTATGTCTACGTTCAACCTCGCCCTCTCCCTACGATCTGCGGCACCACGAATTGAGGCGCATTACCAATACTACTCGACGGCAGTCGAACCAGGGGTTTCGACAGGAGCCAAGGACGAGTGTCCCGAGTGGGCTCTTCTTGATTCTAAGCAATACTGCGCGCCGACCCTGACCACGCCGATCAAGACCGGCCTAACCTCTACGTATGCCTCCCCTGTATTTATTTCCGACAACACAATTCTAACTAGGTACATAGGCAGCTCAAGACGTTACCCTTTGACCGAACTCTCGGAGTCGGAAAGGAAGCGATCCTCTATGCTGACCCTACGTCTCCTTCTTTTGGCCCATACCACGAGGCTCTTTCAAAGGCAGCCAAGCGAGGAGAAGTTTCATACCGGCTGCGATACCGACGGAGCACTCATAGTCCAGACGCACCATTGCCGGTGAGCGGCTATGGTGTCGAACTCGCCCTGAAAAGAACCGACTACATCGTCATCGACGATCGAGAAGCCGATCAAGACTCTCAGCAAAAACCCATCGTCGAGGATGTGGTCCTGGATGGCGAGGAGGAGGTCACTGACCTGAAGCCTCTTTCGACCACAGAGCTATCTTCCCTAGGCTTGAAGGCTGCATCGTTCATTCTGAAGAGTGAGAACCCCTTAGAGGCGCTCGTTAAAGCAACACAAGACTTTCCCAAGTTTTCGGCTTCCATTGCTACCCACGAGGTTTCCGAAGGCTTTGCCAAAGAGCAACAGGCAAACGTCGCTGCGGGTATTCCGGGTGGCATCGGATACCTGTGGATGAACGGGGTGCGTCTCATTGAGCGTCAAATCGAACCTTTCCAGCTTGTGGAAATGATCCGCCGTGAACGCAAGCTTATCAATGGGGTACGGGATCTTGGCTTCAATGGCAAGCAGGCCATTTCTCTGCTTGGCCACCCAAAGATTGCTGGAGCCAAATCGGGAGACGAGCCTATGAGATTTGACTGGACAGACCGGTCAGAGGAAGGCAAGGTACTTGTCTGGCTGAACGATCTTGAAAATGACGAGCGCTATGAATCATTCCCGAAGGATTTGACGTCGGTATGTAACGCCTGCCTTTAACAAAATGACGTTGCTAATTGTCCGACAGCTGCTTCAGCGCACCTATCCCGGTCAGCTGCCCAAGGTGGCTCGTAACATCTTCCACCTCGTTACACCTGTAGACTTCACGAATACTGAGGATCTGACGGCGGCACTCCAGATCGGCTCATTCATGCAACGGGGCATCACACTAAGATTTGGACTTGTCCCCTTGACGTCAACCCCCGAGGCTGTTGCTCAAGCCAAGATTGTGTACTACTTGGTTGAAACCTACGGCGCCGATGCTCTTATCGCATATCTACAAGCGTGCCATCAAGGGCCAAGCAAGGAAGCAGATGAGAGTGCATTTGCGAAGGCGATTGAGGGTCTCGAGACAGACTCGACCAGGTTGACCTTTGCTGAGATCCTTTTGGCAGAGTCTTATGCTCACCAGGTCAAACTTTCGCAAGCCTGGGTGAGTCGGTTGAAGGCAGACACCCCCGTGCGTCCTATCTTCTCCAACGGTTTAGCCATTCCGCGAGAGGACAACTGGGTACAGGCGATGGGCATGCGCCTGGGCGAGGATCAACAAACCGTACAACAGGGTGTGTACCTCGGTACCATCGATGATGAAACATGGCTTCCGGGGGTGTTCCTCGAGAACGCAGTAGCGGCAAGGAACACTTATATCTTCCCCGACGATGACAAGGCTCTTCGCATCCTTGATGTCAGCAAACTCTACACTGATCACTCCGATCTCTTCAACGGACTCCCTGTCCTTGAGGCCTCCTCGGATTCGACTAAGGAGACTTGGGCTCTGCTGAGTGTTATCGCGGACTTGGATAGTGAGGATGGCCAAGAGTTGTTGGTTTCTGCCTTGCAGTTCAAACGCAGCAATCCAAGTGTTAGACTCGATCTGGTCCACAATCCCCCAGCCTCCTCCGGCGCGGCCAAGGTGAACAGTGCCTTGAAGGCAGCGGAAGGAAAGCTTGCCGAGATTGAAAACAAGAAGCAGTTGAAGACCCTCCTTGTGTCTCATGAAAGCACCCAAGATGACGGCTTCTCTAGTGCCTTGGCGAGATTTCTCCCGGTTGCAAAGGTCCTTCCCGGTACACAGGCTCTTGTCCTCAACGGTCGTCTTGTTGGCCCCATCAACTCTGGTGACTCCTTCGGGGCGGATGACTTCCAGCAGCTCCTCGCCTTCGAACAAACCAGCAGGATTCTTCCCGTTTATGGTGCTATTGAGGAGCTTGGATTCAGTGATAAGCTCACTGACCCCATCGCCGCCGCAAAGCTCACCTCTATCACTGCTCTCTCCACCATTTCTGAACTCCCCGAGGGCATATTCGATTCTGCACCCGCCGTGCGAAGCACACCCTATAACACCTGGATCTCGACGCACACTGCGATCGAGGTGGGTGACGCGGAAACGGCAAGCATTCACATTGTCGGTCTCCTGAATCCTGCTAGCGAGCAGGGTCAGAGATGGGCTCCCATTCTCAAGGTCCTGTCGGAGCTGGATGGCGTGTACTTGAAGCTCTTCATCAACCCTCGGGATGTGGTTGCAGAACTTCCGGTCAAGCGATTCTTCCGGTATGTCTTGGATTCAAAGCCTTTTTTCGATGAGGCCGGCAACGTCAAGGGGCCAAAGGCTATCTTCAAGGGTCTCCCATCGGAAGCTCTCCTCACGGCAGGCATGGACGTTCCTCCTGCGTGGCTCGTGGCCGCTAAGGACTCGGTTCAAGACCTCGACAACATCAAGCTGAGCTCCGTCAAGGGAGACGTCGACGCCACGTACGAGCTCGAGCACATCCTCATTGAAGGCCACTCCCGAGAGAACAAGCGAGGCGCCCCGAAGGGTGCCCAGGTGGTGCTGTCGACAGAAAAGGACCCTCTCCTGGAGGACACGATTGTCATGGCCAACCTAGGATATTTCCAGTTCAAGGCCAACCCTGGATTCTACAACATTCAATTGAAGGAGGGTCGCAGCACCGAAATCTTCGAAATCGAGAGCGTCGGTGCCATGGGTTACTCTGCCGTTCCAGGAGACGAGGGCACCGACGTCGCGCTTATGGACTTCAAGGGAACTACGCTATACCCCCGTGTCAACCGAAAGCCCGGCATGGAGGAGGCTGAAGTGCTCGAGGAACCCGATGATGAGGGTGGCATTGTTGCCCAGGGTCTCAAATTCGCAGAGAGCATCCTCGGCGGTGGCAAGTCGGCCAAGGCCATCTCAGCCAAGGAGCACGCGGAGATCAACATCTTCTCCGTGGCAAGTGGACACTTGTACGAGCGCATGCTCAACATCATGATGGTTTCCGTCATGCGCAACACTAAGCACACGGTCAAGTTCTGGTTCATTGAGCAGTTCCTGTCGCCCTCGTTCAAGGAGTTCATCCCACACATGGCGGCCGAGTACGGGTTCAAGTACGAGATGGTGACGTACAAGTGGCCGCACTGGCTGCGACAGCAGAAGGAGAAGCAGCGCGAGATCTGGGGCTACAAGATCTTGTTCCTGGACGTGCTGTTCCCGCTGTCGCTCGACAAGGTCATCTTCGTCGACGCGGATCAGATCGTGCGCACCGACATGATTGACCTCGTCAACCACGACCTTGAGGGCGCGCCGTACGGCTTCACGCCCATGTGCGACTCGCGCACCGAGATGGAGGGCTTCCGGTTCTGGAAACAGGGCTACTGGGCCAACTACCTGCGTGGGCTTCCGTATCACATCTCGGCCCTCTACGTCGTCGACCTGCACCGCTTCCGCCAGCTCGCAGCCGGCGATCGCCTGCGCCAGCAATACCACGCACTGTCGGCTGATCCCAACAGCCTCTCTAACCTCGACCAAGACTTGCCCAACCACATGCAGTTCCAGATCCCCATCCACAGCCTACCGCAGGACTGGCTCTGGTGCGAGACGTGGTGCAGCGACGAGTCCCAGCCCAGCGCCCGCACCATTGATCTATGCAACAACCCGCAGACCAAGGAGCCTAAGCTGGACCGCGCCCGCCGCCAAGTCCCCGAATGGACCGTGTACGACGACGAGATTGCCGCCCTCGACCGCCGCCGCAAGGGCCTCCCCTCTTCTGGTGATGCTTCAGACAAGGGCAAGGCGGAGAGCAACACCAAGAGCCGTAACTGGGAGGAGGAGAAGCCGGGGCATACCATAGATGAGCTGTAGACGTAGCAAACTGTTGAATAGTATAAGTTGAGATAGAACATATGTAGAATAATACTGTCAATGCTCTACCGTTTGAAAATACTGTATAGCTTTGATCTATCTTATGTTGAGTAAAGCTAAAAAAAAAAAAAGTCTCATTAGTCGTATTCTGAGTTTCTGGAAATAATGTCACATGTTCCTTGTCATAGGGATCATTCTTCCTGAAGAGTGAAACTAAGGATAGCTAGAACAGAGATGACCAATGGGAAAATAGCGGGTATCATAAATCCGAATAATCATGAGCATCCCTAATCTCAGAGCTCCGATATCAAAAGTGCAATGCTGAGTGACAGGTAGGTAGCATCGAGGAAGAACGACGTATTGCCGTTAGGGCTGGCTTGTTTCGCGCTCTTCTCTGATGGATGTCATTCCGGAAGATTGACCTACGCCCATCATGGACGAATTGCTCATCGGCGGTGCAGTCGTCGAAGTCTTGACTCCAGTAGCTGAGGGAGTACCACCATTCAGGGCAGTAGCCTCATCATTACTTTCTTTGGTAAGCTGAGTAGGATTCAGGGCACCCTCCCCGTCGCTAGCACGAGTTTTAGACGTTTCAGCTGCAATATCCTTATTCAGTGGCGAGTGGTTTGGCGAGTTCGACTTTTTGCTTTGAGCATCACCGTTCCCATTGCCGCCGCGCGAGGAGTTTCGAGGAGAAACCCGCCCAGTCTGCATTGTAATTAATACATGTCAAAATCCAAGACAGAATGTGAGACTGTAACTCACCTGCTTTGCCCAACGTAGGCCACAGCTGTTGCAAAGGTCCCTTTGGCCACTAGGGCCTCGTCGCCACTCGGGCGTGTTACGCGTGTGACAATTGGCGCAGTCCCGGACGGTATTACCAGTCCCCTTTCTCCTCTTCCGCTTCTTTTTATTAGAGAGCAATCCGCCAAGCTCTTCTGCAAGGATGCGGTTGACTTTTTCCATTTGTCGCAGTTCGAACTGCCAACTGGAGCACTTGGTCGTTCTCAGTTCGTCAAAGATGTTATCGTCAGACGCCAGGGCAGCGTCCTGAGTTCCCAAGGCCAACGAAATGCTCCCTTGTTTTGATGCCTTGGCAACTTCTTGGTTCCCTCCGTCAGATTTCGGAGTTCCGCTAACTGATTTGGCTGTTCCTGGGGCGCTTGCAAGGCCAATGCTCCGAGACGAAGCCTTGATAAGCTTCGTCTGAGCCAATAAGAATGACGGCTTTTGGCCTTCGGAGGCATCGCCGGGATAGAGCGTGGTCTGGGCCTGAAGCACTTGGCCACGTCGGTTCTGGACTTCATGCTTGCAGGTGACTGTTTTGCCACGCCTGGCCTTTTCAATTGAGCGCCCAAACTCGGGCCGCGACTCCTTGCGCATGAGGTCCTGGATACTTGTGCCGACCAATTTCTCGGGCTGCAAGTCTAGGAGAGATCTGATGTTTGAAGAAACATACAGGAATAAGCCTGCAGTCGACAGCTTCGTCCACAACTCGCTGTCTCCAATGCCGCCATTGGCTTCTAGGTTCCGACGGCTGAGGGCGAACACGGGCCGCTTGCGGCCAACTAAGATGATGCACTTCCGCCCTTTGCCTTGCTCGACAAAGAGCGACCCATGACTCTCAAACCAGGTATATCCGCTGTGCTTCCTGCGGATTCTGAAGACAATATTGACAGGGTTGCCCAGGGTAGTGTCCTTCAGCTCACGCGTAACGGGTACAATGTCAGATGGGTGACAGACGGTGGACAGAGAGTTGCCGGCAAGCTCGGCGGCATCGTACTCGAGCACTCGCTTACACGCAGGCGACAGGTAAAGGAACAAGCCCTTGAGAGATAGTACATGGACAACGTCATCCGTGTTCTCGAGTAGCATTTTGTCCCATGTTTGCTTGTGCCAGTCCGAGGCGAGCCCCTTGGGGTTGAATTGCTGCAGCAGGGTCGAGACATCATCAACGCCCAGAGTCTGACCATTCTCGGGTTCCCAGTTGCTGGATATGGGCGGAGTCCAAATATATTGGCCAATGTCGTTGTGCTTATAGTTGACCTTGACGCCCGATTCTCCAGGGGCATGACCAAGAGCATCGGGACACTCGACAAGGTCAATCTGGAAGCCGATGAAGTATCTGATTTCTTCAGTGTCCCAAGGGATAGGAATCATGGTCAGGAGGTTGAGGAAGGGTTTTCCTCCCTTGCGGTAGTTGATGAGGCTCTGCTGAACCTCTCTGCCCTCGTGAATCATCTTCTTGAGGGTAAACACGGCGCCATCATCAACAAACTCGCGCTTGGAGCCAGCCTCGACCTTGCCGTCTGGGGCCTGCAGGAAGCGACAATTCTGGCCTACAATTTCATGGCGGTTGTAGCCAGTAAGGTTTTGGAAGTTGTCGGATACGTAGATGATTGGGCAGTCGTTGAGAGTGACATCGCAAACAACAAAGGCACAGGACATGTCAACAGCACCAAGATTGATCTTAGGATTCTTGCGAGTTGCGACTAGCCAAAGGGCTTTGAGCATGTCGAATCCGCTCTTGGAATAAACGGTCTTCTCCTTAGAGTCCCTCGGAGTGCCGGCACTCGCGGGGGTTGGGGTAGTGGCGAGGGAGGTCGTGCTAGGCTGGGTGAGGCCAGCACCGTGAGAATTGGCCTGGGCAGAGAGACCAGAGCCTGATTGAGCAGAGATTTGTCGAGAGACTGGAGACATGCTTGGATTAAAGTCGGGAGCGGCAGCAGGGTTGAGGGCCATGTTAGCCGCAGCCTGGACCTGAGTCGCCTCTGTGGCATTGAAGGATTGAGAAATAGCGAACGCCTGGGCGTCACGCTCGGCAATAACGTCTATGCTCGTGGTTGTGGTAGCTACCGCTGTTGGTGCTGTGGTAGTCGTGGGAGCATTTGTTGGTGTCATACTGAGGCGAGGATCATCGTCAGGACTGAGGTCTGTGGCGAAGTCGTTGGCGCCGGTATTCAGTTGGTTCGGGGTGTATGGGGGAGGCATGGAATTGGAGGACTGGGAGAAGAGATCAATTGTCGCAGCCTCACCGGCCATCTGGGAGCCGACCTGGCCAACGGACATGTTGGCAAAGGTGGAAGGAATCATGGAACCCATCATGTCGGGAGATATGGCAGGGTAGTCGCCCGGGTTCGAGACCATGTAGGTACCCATCTGTCCGGGGAGGGCCATAGTGGTGTTGATGTTGGGAAACGCAGCCGACATGTGCTGGTTGAATTGGTAGGAGCCCAGATCATTGTGGTCGACCCCAAAAGCCATCATATCACCGTTTCCCACAGTGGACATCCTCCTAGGTACCTGGGGTTGGCCATGGGGGTTTTCATAGCTCTGTGGCATGCTGCGTCGACGGTACATCTCGGTCTGGTTGCTTTGGATGATGTCGTCGAGGGAATCGCCAGGAGGGAGGAGGGTAGGGTCGGATATCATCTGTTGCGGTCCGCCGACATTCTGCTGCTGTGGTTGCTGGGAATATTGGTGTTGCTGGTGGTGTTGCTGGTGATGTTGCTGTTGCTGTTGCTGGTGTTGCTGGTGGTGGTGCTGCTGCTGCTGCTCCTGCTGCTGGTGAGGAGGCAGCTGATTGGGGGAGTAGTAGCCATCCATGACGACGGCATCTGGCAAGACAGCGTGGCCGGCCTAAGAGAGTGAAGGAACGTGCCGCTGGAGCAGGTCTATGGCGGGTTGGTTGGTTAGATGCGAGGAGGGACCACTGAACGAGGGCAACAGTGGGTCAAGCGTTTAAAAGAGAGGGCGGAATCGGGGTGTAGTTTGCGTCGAGGTCGAGAGCGGGTCGAGGATTGACGTTGGAGAGTCGAAGTCGAAGTGGAAATCGAGGTGGGAGTAGGACCAGCCGGAGCTTGGGGCGCACCGGGGAATTGCCAGAAGATGGCGGGAGCTGGCGGGCGACCGAGGGATCGAGAGAAAATGCGGGCACTGGCAGCCAAGCGAGGTGCGCGACAGGCGGGGGGCGTTACACAAGGAGGTGAGCTCTGGGCCCAGCTTCAGCCCTTGGCTTCTGGCTTGCTGCGATGCGTTGCAGAGGGCTGCGGGCTGGAGATCGGTCGGGTCGGGCAGTCGAAGGTGCCGGTTGGGCGCGCGCTATCGATGATGTTTGGGAGGTTTGCGAGGCGTAGTTGACCGGAGAAAGGCGGGACGAAAGGAGTGCGTGTGTGAGGAGATGAAAGGATGAAAGGATGAAAAGGATGAAAGTGGCGGTGGTCGTGGGTGGTATTTGAGAGACAGAAGTGAGATGCAAGAGAGATGTGAGAGACAGGGAATGATAGATAGAGTCTTATTCGTTCCTGCCCCTGGTGAATGGTGGGCTAAGTTCATAAGTTATGTACTTGACTTGACAGTCCTGTCCCGGAGGCAAGTCCAATGCAGCCGGAAGTGCGTGTGGGGGGAAGGAGGGGATGGCAAAGTGGTGGAGATCGATAATGATACGGCGTAAGAATATTCTTAGTGGGTGGTGAGTGCTACTTTCCCAATTGCAGGCCAAGCTGCAAGTACCATTTGCGTACATGCACCCGCTCCGAGGTACTTGGAAACCGCCACCAAAGCCACCACTTGGTCCTTGCACCTGGCTTCCCGTGTGGGGCCGGGATGCGCGGGATGGACGGAGGGGGGGATGTGCCTAATCCCTTTCCTACCAGCATCGTGGGAACTGGCGGGATGGGTCATCCGACTTTCCGCCCGAGAATATTTCTGCTTCGATTTGACGTGTATGATAAAGAATGCCCCACATAATCCAACCTGTTTACTAACAGCGTAGACCGAGAGTCGTGCATCTTTTGGTAGCACTGAGAATAATGTCAGACTGGAAACGGGGGGACGGGGAATACAGAGGCAAGAAGGGAAGGGAAGAAAAAAAAGGGAAAAAAAAGAAGAAGAAAGGGCCAAGCTGCATATAGAGAAGTCCTAATCATCAAGGACTCCTGCAATTACCACATTACGAATGCCACGAATAACCACGACTGTGATTGACGCCACAAGACAAACGGTAAACCAAGACAGGAACACAACGTACAGGGGTGAGCCTGGCTATTCCTTGACCACAACCTAGCAGATAATTAGCGGATCTCTCTACTAACATGCCTTGCCATGTCGGAGAAATCTATCGTCTGCAAATCCTCGGCTGGGTTCCCCTTATTGGACTGTGCACCACTACACGCATTCACGGTCAGCGGAGGCAATTATCAAATGATCAGTAAAGTCAAGTCATACGTATGAACCCGGATTTTCTTCTACTCGACGCCACTTCCCTTCTCTATCTCCAAATGATTCGCCGCTTCACATCGTCTCATCTCCCTGGCTCTCTGTTCCCTTCAGGACAGTCCTCAAGCTCCTGAGTTCCTCTTCCGCCCTTTCAAGAATCTCGGAAGCAAAACAAAAAAAAAATCTCCAAGCCCCGTCTGCCACGATGGCATCGTTGCTAAATCAACTCTTGGCTTAGGTGGCCGCTCACGCCCTTCTTGGTATCATCTGGAATCTGAAGCGGCACGTTCCCAATAAATATCTGCATCATAATCATCCTCGTCCGATCATATCTCCCTTGCGCTCCCAGCAATAACTTCCAGGACGGGCTGGGCCCTTCTCATATCCGGGCCCTTTTACATCGATCATTGACAGGCCCCCACACCTAAGAGAAGTATCCCATAATCGTTCGCTGGGACTCCTGAGAGAACTGCTGCAGTAGGGGCATGGGATCCACGTTGGCAGTCGTCAGCAGCGTCTTGGTCGCAATCGCCACTCGGTTCGCCGTCTGGCCTTGCAGCGTCTCCGCCTCTAGAGCCTGGGCAATGAACACAAACACCTTGCCCGCCTGGTTGAGCACGACCGGGTGTTGCCTGCAAAGAAAGATTAACGTTGTCCGTATTCATTTTCACAATCGTGGATCCTTCAACTTACTGGTCAATCAACTCAGCTAGGTATGCGTACGCATATGGTGCAGCCTCCTCATCATTGGTGACGGGGAGCGTCTCTACCCACTGGGTAGTCACGTTCTGCACATCCGCAACCGTGCTGGCGTTGTAGTGGAGGATTTTGGCAATGGCAGCACATGCGTTCTCCGTCGCGTACACGTTGTCCTCGTTTCGAGCATCCGGCACTTGGGTGACCTGGAACAGGAAAGGTACCGAGCCACCCAGGAACTGGGCCCACGGGGCACCACCTCGGTGCGCAGCAACACCGATACCATAGGCCGCTGCTTGTCGGATCGCCGGTGAAGGATCTCGGCATCCGTCGATGAGTGGCTGGGTAATGTAGTTGGCGTATCGAGTGCTCTCAGGGCCACAGTATTCCAGAACATCATCCATGATGCACAGTCCCCACTGTCGCTGGGTGGAGTCAGTTGAGGCAAGGAACCCTTCGTAAGTTGAGATTAATCGCTCCCACGCGGGGAGGAAGGCAGCGCCGTGGTTCTTGAATATGGCATGGAAGGCCTTGTTCATGTCTGAAAGGAGTGTCTGGTCATCCTCAATGGCAATCAGGGTCTCCTCGGCCTCGTCCTCGACGTCGTCGGCGGTCGCTCCCTCCTTGTCCTCAGCACGCTGCGCAACGCGATCCTTATAGTCCTCAATGGCAGAGTGGACCGAGTCGATGAAGCGGCTCAGGTGGTCAGTGCTAAGACAAGCCTTGCCTACTACTTCCACGGACTCATAGAAGCACTGGTACATCTCCGCCAGAGTATCGATAGCCGGCTCAGCGGTGAGAACCTCGAGGAGCTTGTCTACGGTGGCGGTCCAGAGCCCTGCAAGCTCGTTTGACTGGGGACCGTAGGCCTTCTTGTAGGAGCTGAGCAGCTGGGGAACCAGCTTGGCTGAGATGTAACGAACTGGGTCGTGGAAGAAGAAAGCCAGACCGGGCAGGGCAATCTTCTCCATGATCTCCGCAACGTATGGCGCAAAGGAGGCCTCGAGAACCTGCGCATAGACGACCAAGAGCTCGATAGCCATGTGCTTGTCGTCCATGGTGCTCGTTCGGATACCAATCATCTTGCCCTTGAGAGGGACCAACTCCCAGCCCTCCTCGTTCTGCATCTGCTCGACCTGATCGTCATCATCCAGCAACTGGATGTCGGCCTTGGCCATGGCAAGCTCCAGCAATGGCGGCATGACATTGTGAAGGAAGGGCAGGAAGTCCGAGCCAAGTACACGGCACATGCGGCCCCAGCAATGCATGAGATACTGTGCCTGAGGGTCGTCCGCGTCGGTGATGCCGGCCTGGATGTTGGCCAAAAGGTTGACAAGAGTCATGGCGTCCTGTCCAAGTCGCTCCTTGCCCACAGCCAGCGCAATCAGAGTGGCACACTCCATGGCCTTGGCTCGCAGGAGGCGGTACTCCTTCTCATTCTGGTTCTGGAGCACGTTGACGAGGAGTGGCATGAGGGTATCGTAGTACTTGGAGAAGGCGGCCTCGGCAGCATCAGCAATGGTAGCAATAGTGGACAGAGCCTGCTCCTGAACATATCGCTTCTCGTTTTGGAGGAGTTGGAACAGGTGCGATAACAAATCATCCAAGTAGGGCTCCAGAGTGTTCTTCTCGGCTTCCTCGCAGAAGTTGACAAGGGCGGCGGCAGCGTGGGACTGGACACGGCCTTCGGGCGAGTCGAGAACTGGGATAATGGCCTTTAGGACTCGATCGTAGTAGTCGGTCTGCATCTTGGGAGCAAAGTCGGTGCTCATCTGACCAAGAGCGTTGCAACCAGCCCATCGCACACGGGGGTGGGGGTCGCGAAGGGCGGGAACAACCAGGTCAAGTACCTGGCTTAGCTCACCAATCATCAGCTCTCGGCAACCCTCAGAGATGGCTGAGATGGCCATCAGCGCGGCGTGCCTGTCCCTCCAGGCCATAGAGGTCATCATGCGGGGCAACCAGTTGAAGGTGGGAGCGAGGATGGTCTGACCACCAAGCTTGTTGGCAAGACGATCCATAGTCTGCTCGCCAGCAACATGGTTCTGGTCGCTTTCATCTTGATCAAGCTGCGAAGCATTGTCAGCGCAATGCATACCAGAAAGGCATTTTGCCAAGGGGGAAACTCACGTCATCCGAAGCCATCCATTCGGCGGCGTCGTCGTCATCCTCGCCGAGGTCGGTCATCAAGCTGAGGCACTGAGTAATCATGTCGTTGGTGTACGAGGGGTCCTTGCGGCAGATGGAGGGAGCGTAATCGGCAAAGGTGGCCATGAGCTCCAGAGCGTTCTGCCGGCAGATATTGTCTAGCTCTTTATCTTGAATAACGGAGACACTGAACTGAACGAGGTTCTGGAAGAGAGGCTTGAACATCTTGGGGGATGACTCGGCGAGATCGATGAGGGCGACGAGTGCCTTGCTCAGGTCATCGGAGTCTTGCGAGTCCTTGATTGGGGGGAGAATGTTAAGGACGTCGGGGATAAGGGCAAAGTACTTGGCCTGGCCCTTTTTGCTAATGGTCCTGAAGAAAGAGGCAAAAGCCTCCATGGCGGCGAGGCGCACCTGTTGTCGTGGTCAGTGGTGGGGTCACGACATCTTGAACAAGCGCAAGTGAGGCCATACCATGACAGCATCGTCCTTGAAACCCTTCTGGAAGGCCTGGAGGACCGCCTCCTCATGTTGTTTCTCGATAATGGCCGGAGTAGTGGCGAAGACTCGGAAGGCATTTTCTCGCTTTTCGGCCTCAGGGGCCTGGCTGAGCTGGAAGAGGGCACCGAGCAGTTCGGGCCAGGGATCACCTGGGAGGGTGGGTTAGCACCAATGGTGGGGGACCCAGCGGGGGACAGCAACTGCATTGAGAAGAGGGCATAGTATTCGGGTGGGAGACGAACCGTTCTCGGTATATTGGCGAGCGACTTCGGCGACAGCATCACTGATCTTGTTGCGGATCATTCGCTCAGGCTCGGCGGCGAGGGTCTCGAGAAGTTTTTGGCGGATGGCGGCGGCCTGGTCCTTGGCGAGGGAGAAGAAGAGATCGAGGTTCTCGCCAGACTCGATTTTCCTGGTCTTGGAAGCGATTCGGCGGAAGATAACGGAGGCAAAGGAACGAGTCTGCAGAGGGGACGAAGTCAGTTCAGTCGCGTCGCAAAAACCAGCGGATGGTGGGAGGCAAAGACAAAGTTGGGATGAGGGGGAGGGGGACAAACCGCATTGTCGCCGGCGCCCTGGATCTGTTCGGCAAGGCCCATTAACAGGACCTCAGGACGGGTAGAGGTCCAGTTGCTTTGCAAGTGCTCTTCGGCCTGGGATCGAATGCCGTTGTCGGGCGACTGCAGGGCCTGCAGGAGCTGGGTCAGCTCTGCGTGGACGTCTGGCGGTAGTATCGACATGGCTGTAGCTGATGCGGATGGTGCAGTCCACCAGCAGACGACGGGCGGGAGAGAGGGAGACCGGTCAGGATCCGGAGAGGTCGACGGGGAAAAGGAAAAGGGAGAGGGAGGTTTCGGAAGCGTGAAGCGAAAGCAAGCAACGGGCTTGGGCTTCGTTTGGCGGACGAAGATTCCGAGATTCCAGTGAGTTGGAGCGGGAGGATGGTGATGGATGGATGGAGGGAAAAGAGAGTGGGGGGAGGGGAAGACGAGGCCGGTAGAGGTGAGGTCACTCTTGGACTAAATTCAGCGGTGGAGATACCCAGGCCGCAACAAACACGGCAGAAAAAAAAAACAGAGGAACGCGTTGGCAACAAAGGGTGCGCTCGGCTTGGGCCTTTTTTCTTTGTGCTATACCTTTGTGGGCGAGCTGGAGGAATGGGTGGCAACGGGTCCGAGTAAAAGACGAGGGAGATTTTAGTTTCATTCAAAGCTGTGCGACAAGGCTATCTCAACAGTCATGGCTGGACAAGGCGAAGTCTCGGCTTCATCCATCAGGAGGCTATTCAACGAGAGCTGAGTGCGTAATGTACAATGTGCTCCGGCCATCGCTAAACAACCTAAACAGCTGTGCGGTACCATGCGCGGGAGAGCACATATGGAGGGGCAGCAACAAATATGTACAGACTCGGCTTCCGTCCAACTCTCGCAAGCCCAAAACCACCAAAAAAAAGTCGGACCAGGATGATTCGTCTCTGATAGGTCGAGATCCAGCAGCCTGTTTTGCCCATTCAACAGGGGTTCTTTACACGGACCTGTGCCCGGTGACCTGACCTAGGTGGAGATGCACAAGTCGGACTTTGGTTTATCCAGCTCTGCTTGGACACCGGACAACAAGGCAGCGCCCAGAGAAATGTCAGCGCATCCCTAGCGCGGGCCTACGGAATAGAGGTACCTCGCCGTGGCCTCCCGCCTATACGGCACCTCACCGGTCCCCCGTGGTACTTCCGCCGGACTTGTATGCCCGATGCAAATGGCCCAGGTGCAACTGGCAGGTGCGACCTGGCTTTTTTTTTCCGCCCGAAGCTTCCCGGCAACACAAGTTCGTAGCCGTAACTAGTAGCCGTCCCTGAGTGAACAACCGCATCACGAACCTGGTTCCTCTCTTTTGCCTCATCATTTTCCTTTTCCGTTTCCCTCCCCCTCCCCCAATTCCTCCATCCCCCTTAACCTACGACTCGCCGCGACTCTCCTCGACGCCTCTCTCGACTCCTACACACCCTCTCGACCCCCTCGATTCCTTCGAACCCCTTCATCACGATGTTGTCGCGAAGACTAGCTACCGCCGCCCGCATGGTGCCGGCGGCGCGCACCCTGCGTCCCCGAAACCACCCTCTCATCATGCTTCCCGCCATGATGCAGACCGTCCGCACCTATGCCGATAGTGTTGTCAAGGTGCCTCAGATGGCTGAGTCCATCTCCGAGGGTACCCTGAAGCAGTTCTCCAAGGCCATTGGCGAGTACGTCGAGGCCGACGAGGAGATTGCCACTATTGAGACCGACAAGGTACAACATCCCTTACAACGCCATGTTCTGTTGTAAATAAGACTGATACCCGTCTAGATCGATGTTGCTGTCAATGCCCCCGAGGCCGGCATCATCAAGGAGTTCCTCGTCGCTGAAGAGGACACCGTCGTCGTCGGCCAGGACCTGGTCCGCCTCGAGCTTGGCGGTGCTCCTGAGAAGAAGGAAGCCCCTGCCTCCGAGGCTCCCAAGGATGCGCCCAAGCCTGAGTCAACGCCTGAGCCCAAGCAAGAATCTACCCCCGAGCCCAAGAAGGAGGCAGCTGCCCCTGCAGCCAGCAAGCCTGAGCCCCCTCGCCAGGTTGAGAAGAAGGAGTCCACATCTGCCCCAACCACCAGCGGCCCGGGCCTGGGCAGCCGTGAGGAGCGCCGAGTATGTTCTTTTCAGCTTCATGTTCTCTGCACGTCCCATGTTACTAAAACCAAGTCCAGGTCAAGATGAACCGCATGCGCCTCCGAATTGCCGAGCGTCTCAAGCAGTCCCAGAACACCGCTGCTTCTCTCACCACCTTCAACGAGGTCGACATGTCCAACATTATGGAATTCCGCAAGCTCTACAAGGATGACATCCTCAAGAAGACCGGTGTCAAGCTTGGTTTCATGAGCGCCTTCTCCCGAGCTTGTGTCCTCGCCATGCGAGACCTGCCCGGCGTCAACGCCTCGATTGAGGGACCCAATGGCGGTGACACTATTGTCTACCGCGACTACGTCGATATCAGCGTTGCCGTCGCCACCGAGAAGGGCCTGGTTACTCCCGTTGTCCGCAACGTCGAGGGCATGGACCTGATTGGTATTGAGAAGTCCATTGCCGATATGGGCAAGAAGGTTTGTGGCACCCTTTCTACAATGGCACTCGTTCGAATAGTGCTAGGTGACTAACTTGACTTTCGCAGGCTCGCGACGGAAAGCTGACGATCGAGGATATGGCTGGCGGTACCTTCACCATCAGCAACGGTGGCGTTTTCGGTTCCCTAATGGGAACTCCCATCATCAATTTGCCCCAGAGTGCTGTGCTGGGTCTCCACGCCATCAAGGAGCGCCCCGTGGCCGTCAACGGCAAGATCGAAATCCGTCCCATGATGTACCTCGCCCTAACTTACGACCACCGCCTGCTGGATGGCAGGGAAGCTGTGCAATTCCTGGTGAAGGTGAAGGAGTACATTGAGGACCCCAGGCGCATGCTCTTGTAGAGCAGCTTCTCTGACGCTCTTATGTGTCTGGCCAGATAATACCCGATAGGCTCAAAAAGGAGGTGGACATATGTCGTGTCTGCACGCCTCTAATAGTCTAGTTGTATAATAGAGTTTTGGGACGAAGGGTGTAAACTGAAAGAGAGCCGTTTCCAAAACAGGAAAGTTACTACGATGAGTGGTTTTGGTGAGCTATCCCTAGTGAGGATTTTTGAATGCTTAGCTTGCTTCTTGCTTGTCATGATGGTGTTCTGGAAGATTTACCGATACCCCGTTACCAGTACTCCGGCCAACATGGCTAGATTATGGCTTATGCTACCTGTAGACCAGCCACACCCCGCTGGGAGGCAGGGTTGCCCTTGCCCCCTGTGGACTGGCCGGACGCCTAGCGGACCCGTACGGTGACGCTTTTCCAGTCCGAAGTGCCGAGCAGAGCGGGTGGTCGATGATGGGTACCAAAGCCTCTGGAAGCCGCTGCCGCCGCCCAATAAATTGGATGAAAGCTTGGGGCGGCTTCAGAGGGTCCCATGGCAAGTCTCTAGCGCCAGCTGGCCACCGAGGCCGTTTCCGAGGACTCCGTGGGCAATTCGCCTCAATCGATCATCTGGAAATCGTAGTGAAACCAATCAGACACAGAATGCAATGCACGTTGGCGAAGTTTCAGCCTCAATTCATGTGCTGCTGGACCAGACACGCCATTGCGGCTGGCTGCTTGCTTGCTGTGGCACGGTGCGACTCTTGAGCGTGGTGGAAACACAAAAACCACTCCATTCTTCCCCAATCCAATCCCCCAATCGCGGGGTCACTCCACTGAAGCTAGCCTAGAGGCTACCTGGAGCAGGGGGTAAAAGTACCGAGCAGAAGTGAGAGCTAGGTACCTACCTAAGGTGCCTACCTTACCAACCTAGGTACCTACCTATGTCATCATCGCCTCCCGCACTCACCACCCGACCGACCGACCTCAATCTCTCGTGCACACGCCCCTCTTCACTCTCCATCGCCTGTTCGAGCCATTCCACTCCCCCAAGCACTGCCATCTCTCTGCTACTGCTCCTCCTCCACTTCATCCTGGTGATACTCTGCCTACTCCTTGGCGAATTGTCTTGTGACTTCTGACTCCTTCAATCTTCCGAACATCGCTCGACAAGGCCGGCCCTTCCTTTTTAGCCTTCGTCTCTCACTCCACCGCCGTTGTTCCGCCCCATCCATCTTCAACTTTCCCACCCTCAATCTCTCCTCATCCTTCGCGCAAACTTGCCTCCTCTCATTTCATCGTCGCATTCCCTCTCGATTCTCACTTGCTCTGCAAAGACTCTCCTGCCAGTGACAAACAGTCCATCTCTCAGTATTGCAATCGCGTATCGCGTATCGCGGGGTCGATACCGCTCACTGCCAGCCATGGACCCCTCCCAGGGCTCCGTCTCCCGCGACCTCAAGGATACCCGCGCCGCCAGCTCAACCAGCCTCGCTAGTGCCGTGTCCAACTCCTCCTCCTCCAACAAGCCGCCTGTCCTCGCCCAGCGATCACCCTCCGTGTCCATCTCTGCCGGTTCCGGCTCCACCTCCGCCACCAAGTCGGCTCATCGCCAGAGCTTCGTCGAGGGCCTGCGCAATGCGCCCTCCTCTCCTCGCTCCCAACGGCACCCCTCCTTTACCCAGGCCGCCTTACAGGAGCTGCTAAACCACCCACCTGCCGGAAACAAGCATGCCAATCCCCGATTCGCTGGTCGCGATTGGCGCGATGTCTCCATCGGCGAGCTCGTCTCTCCCGACGACATCAAATGGATGGAGCTAGATAGCAGCATTGAAGAAGCCACCAAGGTAAGCCTAGCTCATATATGCGCTTATGGAAGGGTTGCGATATTTACAATACGGAATTTCTGTCTCAAGAATGCTCTGCTGACAATCGATTGGTTCAATGAATAGCTGCTTCTCAAGAGCCCGACCAACGTTGTCCTCGTCCGTGAGGATCCCGATAGCCTTATCGCAGTTTCCACCTTCGACTTCACCGACCTCAACGCCTACCTCCTCGTCGTCGTTGGTCTTGCCAAGCCCGACGAAGACCACCTCGAGTTGTTCAACTTCATCCTGTCCAAGGCCCAAAAGGGCGAGAACATTTCCCTCCGAGACGTCCAACCCCTCTTCCACAAGGAATCATTGGTCAAGCTGCCGGCAACTGAGGACCTCACCCAGGCCGTTCAAATACTCGGTAGCGGAATCCATCGTTTGTTGGTGACAGCTCAAGATGATAAGGTCGTTGGCATTGCCAGCCAGCTTAGAATCGTCGAGTTCTTTTGGAACGAGGGCGTTAACTTCCCCAGCATCGAGCGTTTGTACCCCGTTATCCTCCGCGACTTGGGCATTGGGACCAAAGAAATCATCTCTGTCAAGTATGTTATGAAGTCCAAGAGTCTAGGCGCAATGTGCTGACAATCGAAGCTCCGACGCACCCCTCTCTGACGCCTTAACGCTTATGAGCAACGAGGGCCTCACCAGCGTGGCCGTGGTCGATAACGGTCTGAATGTCGTGGGAAATATCTCTACCAAAGACGTCCGACACCTGACCAGCAGCTCAAACGCACATCTCCTCAATTTATCGTGCATGAACTTCGTCTCTGTCATTCTCAACGAGCGGGGCGTCGAGAAGGGCCGGGACGTGTTCCCCGTCTTCTACGTCAACCCCTACTCAAGCCTCGCCCACACCGTCGGCAAACTCGTCGCCACACGATCGCATCGCGTATGGGTGGTAGAATCGGCATCTCCTTCACCCTCGGCCCCCGCTACGCCTTTGATAGGCCCCCAAGGCTTTACGAGCTCGGTGCCGCCGCCACCTCCTGCATCAGGTGCGCCGCCGTCCCCGGTCCCCACTTCAGCCGTACCCGCCTCGGCCATGGCTGGAGCACGCCTCTCGGGCAGACTGAGCGGCGTCATCTCCCTCACAGATGTACTCAACATGTTTGCCCGGTCAACAGGGTTGAATCCCTCGGACCCAGGGGAGCAGCGGGCACGGCGGCGACGTAGCTCCAGCAGCTCTGTACGACCCAGTCTCGACTCATCACGAGCGAGCCTTGACATCCGGCGATGATGAATACCAAGAATGTTACCTTCGACTAAACAACAGTCACGGACATGTACTTGGTAGAATCTATTCCGGAGTTTGAGAGATACTGGTTATTGGGCACGATTCGCCTAGAAGGATCCAAGATGCAGGCCAAGGCCAGGCTGAGACTGCCTCCGGTCGATGATGAAGCTGGAGCAGGAGACTCTGGATTATTTCCTAACTTGCTTGGCTGTGTCATTTTTAGAGTGCGTACGCGGCACTTATATCGAACCATTTCAGCACTCTCTATCCTTCTAGTAGAGAATAACGAACAATGGGGCTCGATAGGAAGTGTTTCCCGGCTCATCTCTGACGGATTTACTTGGAGGGACCAAGTTGCATTTGATGGCATGAAGGATGGTTACATACCAGTTGGTTTAGGAAGCACTAGTAGTGTTGATACTAAAGACGGCCAATATTCTTGTCTTCATTGTGTACTGTGATCTTTCTTCTCGATCTTTCTTCCCGCCAATGACATATGTGAGGCCGATATCGTGGCTTTGTAACTGGCGTCATTCCCGCTTAAAGCCCTCGTGTTAACCCAGGGGATCACAATGACTCGGGGTTGTCGATTCTGTGTTATTAATGCACCGAAGTCGCTGGCTGGAATGTGACTCTGCACGCCATCACCTGGCTCCCACAGGATTGGTGTTGCACTTGTCATGCCTCCTCGGTTGGGCCGGCGTCCAGGAGCAGTGTGGCTGGCCTTTGGGCGCCCAGCCACTCACCACACAGCACCGCTGCCCCAAACCCCGCCAGAGGCCGACCACTATGCCGACCTTCTAGCGGGTTTCAGTGGACTTTCAGTGGAAGCTCAGCGGAAGTGACGGGAGCCCCTGTGGCTGAAACCCACGGCGCCATTGGCTGGGTCAGGCCGTGGAGGAGCACTGCGCGCGCTCTTTTGCCACCTGAGGCGCTGAGGTTGGCCCCGCGCGAGGTTCAACGCCTTCATCCGCAACGTCAGGATTCGGCAACTTGACTCACGACCTCCCGTTTCCCAGTCTGCGTCACCGAGCTTTTATCTCGCTTGCACGCGCTCTCTGTTCTTCATCGTATTTTCTTGCTCTACTCTTCATCGTCAAATATTGCTTTCCTCTTCTGGTTTCCATCTGTTTGAATCGCGCACAATCTTCTGGCTTCTCGCGACATCCGAAAGGACGTTTCCCGCACTAAGGAATCCAATCTTCTATCCGTCGAACTGAGACAAATCTCTGGGCGCCAACTCAGCGGCTGCCATCTCACGCATCTCTCTCGTGTCTCCTGTCGATTTGAGTTCGGTTTTATATTCACAGGCTTCAACCTGATCTGACTCTGCTCGTTCCGAGCTTCCAATCGCCTTGCTTCAACGTCCGGCTCCAGCGGTTCCGAAGAGACTGTCTCCAGTGATCTGCCAAACTTCAACAACCGGTGTCACCTCTAAGGTCCTCGAGAAGTCTCACTCCTGTCGGTTGAGGTCAGCCGACGTTATTCAGCCTCACTGAGCCCTTGCGAAACACATCAACCGACCGTCTCCCTCGACGCCTTGTCTCGGAAAGCCTATCTGCTCTGATGTCTATAAATGACCCAGCTATTTACAATGTCATTCAAATCCACTCAATCATCTCATTCCCGTTCTGCGACACCAGGTAGCGGTAAGCCGCCAGATTCTCCGAAATCCTCCCGTGGAACCAAGTCCCGAAAGCTCGGTGACTTTGCCAAGCTGCAGATGCTCTCTTCCATGTCATCTGGCACCCTTGAGCACGACCAGCCATCTTCAAATAACTCCCGCAGTCCTATCAAGATGTCCCCTCTTACACCTCACAACCGTGAGCAGGGAAGTCTCCCTAGCTCAGAGACGCCAGTCTCGCTCGGAAACTTCTCCAAGATCTTTGATCAATTTTCCGTGTCTGGTCCAGCCAACTCCTCGTCACCTGCTTCCCGAGATCCTGCGGACAAGGCTATACCCATCAAAATCTTGAAGCGACCTTCGCCACCACCACTGGCCCAGGCCACTCACCCTAACAACGCTTCTTCCAAAAATGTATCTCCAAAAAAGACTACTCTCAAAAAGGCTTCCTCTAAGAAGGAATCTCCGAAGAAGGCTTCTTCAGGCTATAGCTCCACTTCTAGCTCTGGCTCCGGTACACTCTCCGGCTCTGACTCGGAGTTGGAGCACATCCACCCATTCTCAACCCCCGCTTCGACGCCTCCAAGTTCGGCCGAGAGAGACCCATCTCCTTTGGCCAAGTTCACTAGAGAGAGGTCCCATTCTCCAAAGTCCAAGAAAGACACCGCGGTTGCTACAAAACGCTCTAAAATCGCCCGGCCAAAGTTACACGGCCAAATCCAACAAGTCCTCACTTATCAACACCACAAATACGGTCCTATTACTCCTGTGTATGACACTATTCTCAGCAAGGAGGCCAAGCACGAGTCCCTGGTGAACAAGCTCGTAAATGAGCGCGTTCAAGATAGGATACTAGGTTTCGAGAAGCCCGATGTCGAGTCAAACGGAGTCCATGTCTTTATTGACATGTCCAACATCTCCATCAGCTTCCTGAAAGCCGTTCGAGCCAGATACTCACTTCCTGATGCCGTGCGCTTTACGCCACTTCCATCGTTGAACTTGTCTTTTCTTCACGAACTGCTCGTTCGCGGCCGTGGCACCAAGGTGCTTAACGCCGGCTGCTCCATCCGCCCTAACCGCGCTGAGCCGACATACATCCAAGACCTTCGCGATCTCGGGTATCGGGTTGATCTCCGACAGCGCAGGGTCGACTCGCAGGGGGGCCAGGCGCCCGATGAAACGCGTGGCGATTCAGGTAACCCCCGCTATGTCGAGGACATGGTCGACGAAACGCTCCAGATCCGCATTGGTGAGTCTGTCATGAAGTACTTTGACAAGCCTGGTACGCTTATCTTGGCCACTGGGGATGCCCGGCCGGCCAAGTTCTCGGACGGCTTCTTCATCTATGCGGAGCGTGCCCTGAAAATGGGCTGGAACGTCGAAGTCGTGTCCTGGAAGGCAAGTCTCTCTGGAGCGTGGACCAACCCCACATGGGCAAAGCCCTGGGGTGATCGGTTCCGTGTTATTGAGCTCGATGGCTACTTGGATGATCTCCTTGCCTGCTACGCCTTGTAAGAAGACTCTTGTTGAATAAACCAGAGCACCAACACGAGGTTGCCTGTTCTGCAACCAAGGCGCGTTTCTCCTCTTCGCGAGGATAACCCTTTTTACACCCCTCTACTTCTGTCACTGCGTTGGCGAGAAGTCCGGTCTGTGTTGGATGTTTCTACAACACCCATCCGTGAACCGGTTTTTTGTTATCCTGATCACCTGATCAATGAGCTCCCGCATAGGACTCTATGATTGCTCACCTTGGAACACTGTCCTAGGTTTTTATCATGTTCATTTCCGCTACTTTCGGCACCGCTCTTTGCAAGCCTGCAAACTTTTTTTTTTTTTTTTTTTTTTTGGCACGAAGCTTGGTGCGTTGATACACGAGTGTTGGGGAATCTACCAAATACTCTGTTCGCCTCTATGGGGTTGATGTCGCTCAGGACATGGGAATCCTTTTGGAGGAGTCGCTATACATGGAAAGTATTGTATGAATGGATTGGGATTGCCCATGGCGTTTAAGATATATACGATGCAGGGTCATGATGGCCGATTTGGGGGGGGTTGAGGATATAACAGAGAATCGATGGTTATAACCCAGATGAGAGGTCTGAAAACCGAAACAACGTGATGTACTTGTGATGTCTCTAGGATTTCTACGTGTACCTATGATGCCCATGTGAGTGAGTAAGCGTCTGTCAGCTCCCCGCCATGCTGTCAATACATACTCATTCACTCACTCAGTCACTCCATCCTCGAGCGAGCGACTTGAGCTCGGCGTTGAATAGCGTATTGCTATTCGCACACAGGTACAAGTTCATTCGCCTAGGGTCATGATGAATCCGTCCAGCGTACTTATTTAGCAGCTACCTAATAGTGCTCCTATTTATTCTCAAGACAACTAATTTGTCTCGTTTGGTTCTTGTAGTGTATTTCTCCGGGTGGTGTCTTCGTTCTTTCTCTGTTTTCCGCAAGTTGATGCGTAGTGCCTACTCCAGATCGACTAATAGTTGTCATCTTGCACTCCTCTATGCTCACTAGAGCTCCGGGCTCCATTCTATCCGCCTTTTACTCCGTCGTTTTATCTTTCTTGATCCTTTGTTGGTACAAACCTAACTTAGACATGGGGCGTAGACAGTCCTGCCCTATGACCAGTCCCAACTTGTTTATTTGAGAATGCTAACCAAAGATATAAGATTCAAAAGACTAAGAAAAAGAAAATATTAAGACGACACAACAGAGAAGAAATAATAATCTGTGCCTTTCACAATTCTATGCAACCGTGTCCTCGTCTTCCATATCAAGACGAAGAGATGGCGCCATCGATGCCCCAAAAGGGCTCGGCGTTAAAGGTAGCAGCCTCCTCCACCTTCCAAGGGGTGTTGAAGGCGGCGAACAGGACAACTTCGTCGAGGTTATGGGCAAAGGCCTTCCGGATAGAGGCAATGGCGGCCTTTTGCTCGCTAGCACTAGGGACAGCCAGGCCGTTGGGCAAGCCCTTGCAGGGCCAGCCGGACTCGGTGACCATGAACTTCTTTTGTCCCGAGATGGCATCCTTGACACTGGTGACAGTTTTGGTCAACCATGTACCAGCCTGGTCGGCGACAACAGTTGCGTCGAAGAAAGCGTGGGCGTTAAAGGCGCAGTAATCCGACGCCTCACACAGCTCCGGGTGAGCGATGACGGCAACGAAGGTATCAACGGTAACGACGGGGCCATCATAGCCGGCAGCGCGTAGCAGGCTACGGGCCTGCTTGATGGCCGCCACAACAGTCTCGGGGCTGGCCTCTCCGGCGTTGACACGCTCGTTGCCTACACTGACGGTGTGGACCAGATTCCATTTGCCGTCGATTCCGTCGATAATCTTCTGAGCTTCGTCGGCCACGGAGTTGACGTCCCAGATACCGAGGAAGAGTTTAACGTTCATGCCCTCGATTGCCTTGAGGGAGAGAGCAACCTGGTCGCAGTCGGTGCCGTAGATGCGAATGATCGAGTAGCTACCATTCAACTTGGCAAAGTCGTCGAGGATCTGGGACTCGTCCTTGCAGCCACCGGCGGCAGTGTAAGGGGCGTATGCAATGCCGGGAAGTACGGTCGTGTCGTTGGACGCGGAGTCAAGGTGAGCGTTGGAATCGACACCGACGGTGGCCTCGGTCACGTAGTGGGTGACAGTTGAGACGGTGTACAAAGTCGTGGTGAAAGTCCTAGGAACCATTGTCAGCACATCAAGACTTCTCCTGATTTCGGAGAACGACATACTCCTCACGTTGTTCCATTCTCGGAGCTGAGGAACCACTGTTAGTCTTCATGTACTCTTGCCAGTCGGTACGGCCTCCAACTCACCTCTGGGAATAGCGGCACGCTCTTCAATTGCGTGGGCTAGAGCAGAACTATTGTTAGTATTATGTACTCTTGCGAATCGGTACAGCCTCCAACTCACCTCTAGGAACAGCAGCAGCGAGGCCAGCCATGCCCAGGGCCGAAACCAGAATCTTTCCGAGTGTCATGTTTGCGAAAGCGTGTTGTTGTTTAGTTTAGTTGAGATACAAAATTCGAGTGCGAGTAATGTTTGCGTTTTTCAGGGGAAATGTGTGATGTGATTCAGTGAAGCAGTTGGGGTATAGGGAGTGATGTAAAGTTCTTGGTAAGAATGAATGAATGGGTGCAAAAACAGAAGACCCAGGGGCAATGCCCGATCGAAAGGAGTGGCGATGGGTAATGGGTGAAAAGAAAAGCAATCTAGGAGCTGTAGGATGGTTAGTAAGGGTGAAGGAGAGCGAGAGGAGAAGAAGACGCAAGGGAGAGAGAGGATGGCAGGGACACGGATATAAGGGATGAAGGGATGAAGGACAGAAGGGCAGAAGGGCAGAGAGGCATCGCATCATAAAAGCCACGGAGGGCGTTGGATAAGGCAACCAAATACCTCGAGGCTCCTCCTCTGTCTCGCCCAGACCTTCTCAGTTCCATCTCTAATTGCGTCGTTGGACCCATCCTTCCCAACCTTCTCAGCCTCGCTCTCTAGGGGGGGAAGAACGACCCAGGGGGCGCAGTTGCTCTGACCTGATTGACCAGATGCACCTTCCGCAAACAAAGTTACGGGGGTCCCGCCCGCAACCCGTAGGAGGAATGGGGAAGGAATGGGAGTCCCTGCAGGTTGGAATGGGCGCGTGGCGTTTGTGGTTGGCCGCAACCGCAGCTTCTCTCTGAGCATCTAAACAAGCCTCGCCGCCGAGGAATGCGGTGCAACTATGGGTGAAAGCCGTCTTTGACGCGACAGACAAGGATAAGTACTTATATAAACACAGCCACAACAAGAACAACAACAAAGACGATGCTCATCTTTGTGCCGTCTCGCATTCTCGTCATCCTCCAATCTGTTCCTAAGCGTTGGACCTGTCTCTCATTCTTGCCCTGCTTCAAACTAAGACCATGACGCCTTGGCAAGGGAGACGACATGTCAGGTCCCATTTTCCGCGTCCGTATTCTGAACCAAGGCGCACGCCACAATGGAGATTTGCTTTTTGGGGATCTTCGAGCCCAACCAGCTCAAGCGTGGCGCTCTCTGCGTCGCGTTCTAGACGACTCCCCGTGAACCAACGCCCAGATCTGATCCATCCTGACTCGACATTGAAGCTTCATTTCCAAGCTATGATCGAGACCAAATATTATCAGTAGCGAATCCGAATCCCCGGCCCCGAACCCTTTAATTATAGGTATGTCTCCGAGTCTCTTGTCATCGAACTCCTCTCTATCCAATGGGCAAGTCATCGGCGGTACTTGCGCTTATTATTAATCATTATTAGCTTCCTACGGAGGTCAGTATCCCCCAATTATACACAGAGTGTCCATCGCCAATCCCCCCTTCTATATATAGCGCCGGCCGTCGCTTTTCCGTTTCTGTCAGTGGTGACGCGTCCAGGAGTCTGATTGGCGACGGACACAAGAATAAATGAACAAAGTGTCCGTCCGGCCTGGCCTGGTCTGGTCCTCTTCAAGAAAGCCATTCCACGCGGGCATGGGTGTGGTTGACTGCACACACAAAGACCCATTAATCACGCGTCTGTTCCAGTCCTCCCTGGGAGAGCCGGTCCTCCATCCACGTGCTGCAGTTTCTCACCCAAACGCTGGTTTCCCTCTCTAGACAGTCTTCCTTTCCCACGAGACAGATCATGGGCACTTCTACATCGCCTTGTTGCTCGTCTTGCGAGTCATGACCTTGGTGATAGCGTGGCGGATAGTCACGCCGGCCTTCTCAATGTCCTTCTTGGAAAGGGCTGAGGTGAGGCAAATTCTGAGCGACGGTTGAGCGGACCACGAACCGTCCCTGGGCTTGATAGCATGCACATAGGGTCGCGTCTTGGTGCGAGTGATCATGACGCCGTTCGTGAGGGCCTAAAAAGAAAACTGTCAGTCACCACATCTCCCGCTGAGCAGTCAATCCTAGTATTCAATCAACGTACCTCTTCAACACAATCAAGCAGGATGCGCTCCTGATCTTCCAGTTCCAGCTTGCGCGCCTTGACCACGTCAGGCTTAAGTGCCAGCAGCATGATGGGGTTATCGGACGAGCTGGTGCACACCACCCAGTCGCTGCGGGGATCCAGCTGAGCCCTCATGGCCTTGATGTTCTCGCGGCACTGGGTCAGGATATCGGGGTTGGACTGGAGCAGGTTGAGAGCCTCACTGGCAGTGACAGCCAACATGGCAGGCAGGGCGGCGGAGAAGGTGTATGAAGACGAAGTAATGCGCTGATGCTCGACAACGTCCTTGGGTCCGGCGCAGAAGCCACCACCGGCGCAGAGGGCACCGGCGAGTGAGCCGACAATCATGTCCACAGCCTGAGGGTCAACGTTCTGTGCCTCGGTGATGCCACGGCCAGTGCGGCCGAGAACGCCAAATGACCACGTCTCGTCGAGGATGACTCGGAACTTGTACTTCTCCTTAAGCTCAACCAGACGGGGCAAATCAATCTCATCACCCGTGAGCTCAAACAGGCCCTCAGTGACGACGAAACGGCGGGTCAGCTTCTTGGCCTTGGCCTGCTCCTTGACAACAGCCTGCATGACACGCTCGAGGTCGTCCATGTCGTTGTGGTTGTACCAGCGGATGTTGCTACGGGAGACCTCGAGACCCTTGCGGATGGGGTAGTTGACCTCGCGATCGGCAATGATGACGTCTCCGCGCTTGCAGAAGGAGGGAATGACACTGGAGATGGTGGAGAAGGACTGGGCGTAGACGATGCAGCCCTCGGTGCCCAGGTAGGCGGCGATGTCGGCCTCAGTCTTCATGTGGACGTCCTGGGTGCCGTAGAACTGGGGTGGGCCGCAGGGGCCGACGCCATAGGTGCGCAGGACCTGAATAGCCTTTTCCTTGATCTGCTCGTTGCCGTTGAAGTTGTAGAAGTTGTACGAGGCGAGGTTGGTGACGGTCCGGCCGTTGGAGAGTTTCGACTTGGGTCCAGTCGGTCTATCATGACGAGAATGTTAGCCACTGCACAGTAGACAAACGCATTGAAAGAGAGGAAGACAGCACGCAATGGTGCAGTCTCAGAACTCTAGGGAGAGAAAACTCACCCAACCACGACAGGGAGACGCTCGCTCTCGGCAACCTCGAACGGTGTCTGTTCGGCGACCAGAGACTCGGGCGTCCACTCGTCAATCAATTCATCAATCTCATCCTCGCGCAACTTGACGTAGTTACGCTTGTGGGTCGAGTACGAGGGCGACATCAGGTAGCGGATGAAGAAGAGCACCAGAACCAGCTCGATGGCGGATCGCACGGGGTCGTTCTGGTAGCTGGACTGGATGTAGCGGCCCAGCACGGCCGAGCCGGGCATCTTCTGGAACGCTACATGCGCCTGGTCAAGGACCTCGCTCAGGCGGGCTTGGAGGGCGTCGAGTTCCATGGTCATGGTGGGATTCCAAGACGGCTGGTGATGTCGTGGTTGTTGGCGTCAGATCAGACTCCTCTTCCGGACTGGTCGGCAGCCCTGACAAAGACAGTGATTTATACACTACCGTCTTCGTCTTGTTCGTATCTCGCTGCTATCGTTGTCGTTGGCGTCGTCAAACAAGAACTAGAAAAGAGGGTGTGGTGGTGATGGCAGTTCGTTTGCTGACGGATTCAAGTACAAAGGGGCCTCCCACCACGCACGCGCCCTGGTGCACTTTGGCAGATTAATTGATTGGCAGCCCTGATAGGTTGAGATCCGCAGGCGGCCATTTACGGAATCTGGGCCAGCTCCCGCGGCCACTCCACTAAAACCCGACGTGTTCACCGCGTCCACAACATGGGGCCTGGTACCTATCGGATGCCTCGGGATTCTCCTTACTTTGTGCCGTCTCAATGCCGCCGCCATTCTCCTCACAAAGAGTTTCCCGCGTCAGCGATTCAAAGGCAATCAGCAAAATAAATTCCCTATCCGTCTAATAAAATAAACAACTACTATGTTTCTCATTGTACACATTAAAATTGGGGGTAAACGCTGATGGGGCGCCTTTCCTTGTCTCCTGGCGTGCGTGTTACGTTCCCGTTCTTTGCTGTCCCTTTCGAGGGCCAACTCAGCCAGTGTCTCAACTTCGCCATCTCTCTAACCCTCCGCTTCATGGATTTCCTGTATTTATCAAGTGCCAGTCTCTCAATCTCTTTGTTCCTTACCAACAACCAAGCAATCAAAAAAGTCAAACCCTTTGGTGTGTGCGTGCATGAGTTGTTTCCGCCATGGTTATGGAACAAAGAACCAGAAAAGAGGCTGTGGCACAAGATGACGGCAAGTCTACTCGGCTCAAAACCATCTTCATCCGTCCCTGTAATCGAGCCAGTCAATCAACCAACGGGCTCCCAATCACACGCACACCCAAGAAACACCGCAACAATAATAACAGTAAACAAAGACAATATCTCTTGCCTTGCAGGCCACTTGGATTGGGCCTGCTTATCTATGTTACATCCTCCTTTAAAATAACTTGATCTTGGCAGTCGCGCCGGATGAACCAGACGTTGTGGTCGTCTTGAGGCCAGCGCCGGTGTAGCCGACCATTCCGGTACCTGTTTGCGACGAAGCATTGGTATTGTCCTTGTCAAGGTTGTTAGGCTGCATCAGACGGAAGCCCGCAATGTCAGATAACGACGACGTCAGCGAATCGGGAACCATCTTGCCGGCGACCGCGGGACCAACGATCAGAGCAACGAAGAGAACAAGCAGCACAAAGTACAGAATAGCATATCGAATGACGCGTCTGCGTCGAAGCTTCGACTGCTTCATCGAGTAAATAGGCGGGCGGATTTGTCGGCTGTTATCGTGGTCAGTCACATCATTAACCGAGTATACATGTTACATACCTGGGTCGAAGCCAGAAGAGCATCATCGAGTGCAACTTGTCAACCTGAGGAATCAGAATGATGGGCATCATCATAAACAGCAGCCAGTGTCCCAAGACAAAGTCAGCCGAGAACATGGACAACTCAGTGATCTTGCAAAGGAATTCTCGAGCAGGCTGCGAGACGGTGTGCCATCCCATAGAGTACCACTTTCCGGTCCAGAAAGCAATGTTGGACGTGTCTGACTTGAACTCTCGAGTAAGGGCCAGGGTCACAATCAGCTTAATCAAAAATCGCTGCAGGGCAGCTGCGGCAATCATGCCCGCCAAGGTTCGCGTAAAGTTGAAGCCTTCAAGCAGGAACATGGCCTCGAAAGAGATCAGGAGGAAGATGACTGCAAACGCGTGGGCAATGGCAGCTAGGACGCTACCGAACTTCTTGCAGCACATGCTCAGCAGAGGTCCCATGCAGCAGGCCATGCCGAACATAGCTGCCAGCACTCCCGCGTTGACGCCAACGGGTGCAAAAGCGATGACAAGAAGACGGACCAGCGAATCCGTGGGCCTGACGGTGGCGTCTGGGTTATTTTCCTTGTTCACGCCAGTCTGTGCATTGATGAAGAGGTAAGGAATGACCGTGACGACAGCGAGCAGCAGAGGTGCCAGGATCTCGCCAAAAAAGATGTTGGCAATGGCGGCACGGGAGACGTCACCTGAGAGCTTGCTGGAAGGGTCACCCAGAGCCTTGCGCTTGAAACCGGTAATTCTGGTTCGGGAAAGACGGCAATAGGCGATCCACGACGAGGAGTGACTCCTCGAGTTTCCACGGGAGAGCCAGCGGAGGTAGTCGCGGTAGTCGATGAAGAAATCGTTCCACGCAAACATGTGAGGATTGTAGATGAACGGTGAGATAGTCAACGCAAGCAGCGTAATCCAGAAATAGGTCAAAGCGGCTTGCCAGACGGTAAGGGTTGCGAAGAGTAGCATCATGAGAAGACGAGCACCGAAGTAGATAGCTGGGCCCGCAAATCGTGAGTACAGTACACCGAACGGAATACGAGCCGTGGCAAATCCACGACCAGTACCGATGTATCGGGCACCACCGAACGAAAGATCCTGTTGCACAGCATTCGCGTAGATCTGACAGACGAAAACTTCAAAGAAGAGGGAGAGTGAGCCAAACTGCTTGCCGAGACGGAGAGCAGCACGCCAGACACCACGCTCCATCAGTTCCTGGGCGACCAGCGGAATGAAGGACAAGAACATGACGAAGAAGATAGACAGAATGCAACGATAAACCCAATCCATCAAGGCGGGAGTATTGGCGCAACCAGTGGGGAACAGAGGGTCCGTAATAGGAACGTCTCGGTTGTACTCGCAGGCAATTGTCTCGTGGCGCAAGGCTCCCAAATTCATCAACGTAATCATGAACATCTGAACAGACAACATGATGAACATGTTGTTCAAATGGAAACCGGGATGGGCGTAATAGAAGGACAGGAAACGATCCAATGGAAGTTGAGTGCCGAGGTAGTAGTACTCGCGAGACAGCATCTGCTCACCCATACCAGTACCAATCTTGGTCGTGAAGTTGAGAATGGAGCCAAAACCAAGATCGCGACCCTTACCGCACTGGAAGTACTCGCAGTGCTTGATGCGACCACCACGGAGAAGGGCGTTCATACCGGCGAAAATATCCTCGTTGAGATGAAGTCCCTTTTGAGCCTTGGAAACACCACCACGAGTATTCATGAAAATACCATTCAGGAAATCAGGATGTCCGTAATGGAGCTTACCACCGATCTGCGCCATAGTACGAGCGAAGAGGGTACCGAATGTCTGTTCCTTTCCTGCGGCAATGTCTCCAAGAATACCAATGTTCTCGGAGAAAATGTACTCGCGAGCACCCAGAATGGCGACGGGGTTCGTTGCCTCGGTTTTGACGCCAGGAGTGTAGGGAGAAACGTTGTCGTTCTTCATCTCCTCAAATTCAGCGAGAACACTGCGGATCTTTAGACATTCCTCGAGATAGTTATCCTGGTTGGCATCGATGAGCTGGATATACTCGCCACGGTAGAAGATAATAGAGTGGTTCTGGTTGTCAGACTTTCCGTCGCCAAGAATGGGGTTGCCAGAGAGCTGAATTCTGAACTTCGGGCGTCTCATGCCGTTCTCCATGATTTCAGAGTGGCCGTCGATCAAGGCAGAGTACAGGCGTGGCTCTTCACCCTCTGCGGCCGGGGCCTCCTCATCCAGGTAGGCAATCTGCAGGTCAGGATAGGCGCGAAGCAAAAACTCGGCGTTCTCCATCTCCTCCTTCTTGAATTTGGCGAATCGCTGCATGGAGACAACAATCTTGTACTTTCGTCGGGCCATACGCTCCAGCTCACGCTCTAGCTTGTCCGTGTTGCCACCAAACATTTGAACGACTTCAGGGTTCTCAACTCGGTATAAGAGCTTGATGGCTCTGCTGTAGTTCATGAAACCAGAGATGGTGCGGTAGAGAGTCTGGAAACGGAGAGAGGCCCAGATACGGGTTCGAAGGGTATACTCTGGAGCGGAAGACTTGAAACCAATGCAATAGAAGGGAAGATCGTCGATCTTGCTTTTGGCGGTGTCCTTCTCTTCCTTATCGACCTCCCCATTAAATTGCGAGGTCTCGTCAGCGAGAATCTTGGTGTCCTTGACGAAGCAATCCCACTCGTGGGGGTGGAGTTGCTTGAGGTATTCCAGGAGGGTGACACGAGAGTAAGGCTCATCCTCACGAATGATCTCACGCAGAGACAAGAGAATCTTCTCGCTATAATGAGGGATCATGACAGTAAAGGTGGGCATGTTGTCCACAGGGAGGGGCTCGGGGATCGGAGTCGACAAAGACTGGGCAAAGAAGGAGATTCGGCGCTCAGCCTCACTGTATGTGGGGAAGAACTCGGTCTTGAAAGAATGATCTTCCTGAGAAACGAAGAAAGTGGGAGCGCGAAGAGTTCGCTTACCCTCCTGCTCCGAAGGAACCTGGTGGTAGAGAAGCTTCTGAACGTGATCGATAGCCAGGAGATGCTCGCGATACATTGAGATGACGACGGCGTTCCAGATCTGGGAGATGAGGACCTTAGGTTTGTACTTGATTTCCATATCTCCAGTAGCGAGGACCTTGGAATAGATACGCTTCGGCAGACGAGAGAAAATGTTCCTCCACGGGGTCCAGAGCGAGGTACCAATGTAGAAAGATCGGGCGACGGAGAACACGGTGTTGAGAAGAACGTACCACAAGTAGGTATCGAGAAAGAAGAAGATGAGGTCGGTGAAGGCCATCAAAATCAACAAGATCAGGGGCTGGTACTTGCAGAGAATGTTTCCACCAAGCAAGTGGTCTCCAAGACAGCTCTTAACGTTCATACTGGCCAAATATCTAATAGGGTCACGGAATGACAAAATCAGGAAGCCATAGGAAACGCCCATCTTGATACCAAAAACAACGATCCACAGTCCATAAGACATGAACATATCGTTGCCCTTGAGTCTCGGGTAGCTGGCGGTAAAGGTCTGGCTGGCCACGTAACGTCTCGTCTTCGTCGTCAGGTAACTGCCAAACAGGCCACCAAGCGGCATGATGGAGAAGAAGATGAAGGTGATGATAGCAATGATGAACTGGACGATACCCAGAATCAAGTCGATCTTAGCCGGGCCAGGGATCATGAAGACCTTGACGCCAGGACCGATATTGATAGCGAAGATAATGATGAGGAAGAGGAGCCTCTTGGTCAAGTGCTGAGCACCAGCCCAGCGTCGTGGAACGTAGGCCCACTCGGCAAGAGTCGCAACGATCTGAATAAGGGATGCAATACCACCACCAAAGCCGACAGCGGAAAATTGCTTGGCTTTGGACGGAGATTGATTGACCTGTTGTTCGTACTTGGGGCCAACGAGGATGGTAGGGGAATGGTGGGCGACATAGAACCAGTACATGGTCAAGTGGATGATCCAAATACGGTTAAAGTTGACGAGAAGATGCATCCAAGAGCGAGCCTCCTTGTACGTCTTGAAGAAGCACTTCTTCCAGTTGACGTCGTTGAGTTTGAGGTATCGCTCAGCAGGCGGCACGTCGACGAGCTTGCTCTTATCCTGGAGGACGATGCGCTGAATACCCTCGGGGTACCAGAACAATTGGTTGCAATCATCATAACCAACGATGTCCTTGTGATCACGCTCTCGGCGAACGTACACGCCGTCAAGAATCTCATATCCCTGGTCTCTCAAGTACTGGTACAGAGGCGTGATAACGTTGTTAAGGAAGGTGAACTCGTCGACAGGTTCCACCAGAGCCTGGCAGGCAGGGGAGTTGAGGTAGTCGTCGGCACACTTGAAGATGAAGCACAAGCACTCGGGCATGTACCGGACCTGATTGGCTTCACCCCAGCATAGAAGGAACAGCGCAATCTGGCGAACCCGATCATGCTGCGACATGCGGTTCATGCGTGTTTTCCAACGGTATTCTGCTGCTTCAAGGCTGTCATCGCCCTCGAGATCATTCAGAGTCTCGGCTTCGTTACCATCGGTGTCTTTCTTCTTGTTCTTGGACTTCTTGCGCTTCGAGCCCTTGCCCATGTTGGCGAAACCGACGGAATCATCGAGATCTAAGTGGGCGGCAAAGTACCACTTGCGGTAGTTGGCATTATCTCCGCCAATGTAGTCGGCATGGAGCGATAACAGGGCCTGGTTAGGAGTCATGCGAGACGCTCTCGAGTCCAAGAGGATCATAAAATGGTCGTACATGTTGCGCATGCTGTCCCTCTGGAAACCAAACTTGGAAGTCAAATCCAGGAAAATATCCTCAATCTCCTCTTTGGAGAGAGGGATCTGGGCGTCGGAGGTCCAAGCTGGATAGGGCTCGCGGGAGCGCTGGCCAGCAGGAAGGACATTGCCGTAATCCATACCATAGTTGGGGGTGGAGGCGCCTGAGGAGCGATTGGCGCCGTAGGAGATTTGGGAAGAAGGGGGACGGTATCCACGGCCACCTTGACCTTCGGCGTAGCTATCGTATCGCTCATCCCCACGACCGTAGTAGTCCATCTCAGCGGCGCGGGCCATGTCGGACCTCATAGTGAAATCGCTGAAGGTCTCAGAATCTTCCTCAGACCCCTGTCGACCGCCTTGGCCCCGCTGGTTGTTGCCGTTGTTGTTGTAGTCCTGGTCATAGTAGCCGCCGTCCTGTCCATTGTAGTAGTCATCCTGGTACTGGTCATGGCCGTCATAGTAACCGCCGTCCTGTTGATAGGGATTGTTGGCGTCGGCGTTGTAGTAGCCACTGAGAAAAGTACTGAGTTAGTCGCAGAGAAAAGTCAATTCCGGAGGTAGAGTGGTGCTCACGATTCATCATAGTAGCCATCGTTATTACCATGTTGTCCCTGCTGCTGATGTTGGCCCTGTCCTTGCTGTTGGCCGCGGTTATCGTAGCCTTGGTCGTAATACTGGTCGTCCTGGTAATAGGAATCAGTGTTTCCACCTTGCGCGTGCGCATTTCCCTGATGCTGGCCGTAACCATCATCATATTGGTCGTTGCGACCACCGCCTGGATATCCGGACATGTTGTTTGGATGAACTTATCTATCGGCGAGAAAAGAACACGCAAGTTAGCATGGCAAAGTAAGGAGATGGATCGAGAGGGGAATCGTGTGATGCAAACACTCTCCTGATCGCACGAGGTGATGAAGGTGACGTGGGGACGCGTAGGTGGAACTGGGCAAGAAAAGCCAATGTCAACTCACTTCGAGGCGTACATGGGGATGACGGTTGAAGGCGACACAACGGATGGGAATGTAAACAAGTGTGGCCGGCACAGTGAGACGATCAGAGTAGATGTTGTGTGGTTGTGGTTGGGCGATTGGCCCAGAAGACCAGCGGCGTGCAGACGGTGGCCGAGCTGATCGTTTGCTGAAAGTCTTGGGTACCGTCGAGGAGATCGATAAGGGATGAATCAACCACGCCTGTGAAGGAAGCGAGCGTGATTCACGAGGGTCGAGGCGAAGGCGTCGTCTCGGAAAGGGTCGCCTGGGGAATTGGCGAGGTCGAAAATGAGTGTCGCGATGCTCGTTACAGGACGAGCAAAGGGGACGATGATTTTAGCGGAGAGGAAACGCTGGACGTGTCGGCGCCGGGTTATCCAGGTTGGGGGGGGGGGGGGGGGGGGGGGGGGTGGGTTCGACCGTACCGCACAAGGGGGTTTCGGGCGGAAATTGGCAGGGAACGAAGAATGAGCGAGTGAAGGTTGGTCCCCGGGCGCGAACAAAATGCTGCGAAGAAGTGACTGTCTTTGACTTTCCCCCGACACACACACACGCGAACACAGAAAAAGCGATTAGGATGTGGAGTGAGTGGCAGAGAGAGAGGGAGAAGAAGCGGGAGGAAGGAAAAGAAGAGGAAGAGTAGGGTGCGAGCGAGACGGAGTAAAGGGGAGTACGCGACTGAGAGGCGTGGGATTTGGGAGTGCGCGCGGGAAAGTGGAGGTGCAGGAAAGCGCAGGGAGAGGGCCAGGAGGGAGGGAAGGAGGCCTATGTACTGGGTGGCCGCTATGGATGGTGCAGTTACAGTGGAAGAGCCGAGTTTACAGTGGCTGGGGACAGTGCCCAGGCGCCGCTGAAGCAGCCTTCCACGGTGCAATTCCGCTAATGGAGCCAGAGGTACTCAGTGAGGGTGGTGCCTGGGAGGCACTGTGCACGCTGCATGGGTTTGAGCGGTCCGAGTGTGGTGCGTGTGTGCGCTGGCTGCACTGGATCCTTCCTGTCCCAACTTGTTCCCTGCTGTCTTCTCACTTTCAGGTACCGTGAGTTGGGAGGCAGCCCCAATCGCCCCCCCTAATGCAGAGCCGAGATGTGTGGATGGGGTACGTACATACTCGTCGTACATGGGAGGATGTTCCAAAGGTAGAGTTGGAACTAGCGCCCGCCAGTCCCAGTCGCAGGCGCAGCACAGCGCAAACCAGGGGCGTGGGACAGGGATAAGGCCAAGTTGGACCACGGTCAGTGCACCCAGGGGCAGAGAGGGGCCAGAGGCCAGAGGAGTGCTGTGGTTGGGCTGGCCAAGTCTGTGGGTGGTTCCTCGACGGCGTTGTGCTGGCTGTTGGGGCCTCTGTTTTTCCTGCCCAGGTTTCCTTTTGGTGGCTGGGGCGCAGAAGCGCATTCGTCGCCTCCGAGGACCCGCCAGATACATCACAGAGACTTTATCGGATCCTTCGGGTGCCTCCCGTCCATCCCCTGCTCTGCTGAGCAAAGCTAACCCATCACCAATCAGGCCCCTCATTCCGCTGAGGTAAGCCATACCACCGTGATTGTCTGGCGCTGAGAGTGCTGTGGGCGCAGCGAGTCTGCCCCCTGCATCCACTAAGTCCTTGCCGGAGCCTACTCGAATCCACTGGGAAAAGGCACCGTCCTCTCGGACTGTGGCCTCCCAAGTTGCCTCCAGGTACTGGCGAGAATGGGAAATGGTCCGACACGCGTCCCTCATTGGAGCTGGCACATCTTCCCCCTTGAGGCCCGTGGACGCTGGGCGATGTGCGCTGGAGCGGCGGGCCTGTAGACGCCCCCTGAACGGCGCGTCCGGACTTCCAAGACACGCCGCACTGGTGGTCTACCTATCTTTGTCTCTCCCAAATCTTAAGCCTTCGGTACTTTGATCCGCGCAGGTCCTTTCCGCGACTCGTTGTACCGTACGTGATGTGCCAGATCTAGGTATCCAAATCGAGGCATCCATCACCGAAGTTTGTTGGAGGGTGGCCTCCTCGCACCCTCTCCTCCAACCTCCCACCAACCTCGTATACCGTACAGCATAAGTTACGTAGTTGTACGTATGCGTATGGGGTACCAAGCAAGAAGACCCACGATGGTTGGTGCTGGGAGCACTTCCATACTGTACCGTGCACTATATTTTCCATACTCGCCTTGCCTCGATGTCCGTTGAAACGAGACAGAAGAGTCTGAGAATGGAAGCGAGGAGGCATGTCTTTGGTAGTTCGGCCAGATTGATGGGTGCAGGGGGAGTGGAGGCTGGTAAACCGGTTTTCGTCTCGATACCTTGCCGATCATCAACAGTCAACTGCGACGTCCTCACTCAAGGCATAGTGTTTGCATGTCTGGACCTCTGACTGCGTGGTTACGTCGTTTTCTGTTGCGAGGAAGACGTCCCTATCTCGTATACCGCCGTCCACGCCTGCGCTATTGGCTGGTGATGACGGTGGATGATGACGGTGCTGGACGCACATGCAAAAACGCTTTCACAACGTAGCACTTCCACATCTGTATGCCCCTAGACTGCTCACACACGTTCAATCTCTCTCAATAACTAATACAGACCCTCCTCGGCCAGTTCCACAATAGCTCTCTTCGCCCAGTGACATGCTGCTGTACCCGGAGTGCTCAGTCTTGTGGTGGGGACGTCCCGCTCCTTCCATCCCGCCTCGCCCGGCAAGGAGTCAAGCCGCCCAGGCATCAAGCCTCCGTGCTGGCGGGATTGCGGGAGTCCGATCCATCCGGGGGCTGGATTCTCCTTTCACGCCTGGGTTTCCGGGCGACTTAATCTGCCGCGTCTCGGGAGGGTTAGTAGGAGGCATGGTTGCTGTGCGATTTGCGGAGGTATCCCAAATCTCCAATACCTCAGGGGACTGTTCTCGTGCGTCGGATTGCGCAACGCAATAGCTTTAGACCGCGGATGGACCGATGCTCGATGAGCAGCAGGAAATCTGCCTCCACCTACCTGCGCCTGCACACACTAAGATGCAGGAACAAACACACCCAGAGAAGTGCATACGTCGGCAGTGGAGAATGAAGGAGAGACCGAGAGAAATCTCCCCGACACGGAAAGAAATCAAGATGGTTGGTGCTGGTGGCTTGCATCATAATCGTCCGTTCCCATCTTCCATTTCGTCGCCTTTCTCCCTCCGACCTCCTCCACTCTACTCTCCACACAACGCCGTCAGCAACAAGTCGACGACTTTTTATCAATGACGACTGCTACTCTCCGGGGCACACTATCCTCCGCAGCCAGTCGTGGTGGTGTGGCTAGGCACATAGCCGGGGGTGTGCCCTGTTCATCAGACTTCAGGCTCGGACCAGGGGACGATCCCACGCGATCCCGATCAATCCCAAAATGGGACGGCGTCGTGTCGCCCTTTTCTCGTATCCACATTTGCCCCATATCGTTTGGATCCTCGAGTCCTTGAATCCTCAGGTCTGGTCTGTCCCAGATGTCAGACGAACCTGGCGCGCAGCCACCCGCCTGCTAGAGTAAGATGCACCCGTGGCAAGCCTGTTCAAACCTCTGCAGATTTAATGGACAGGCTACCAAGAAAACGAGGGGCCGAGACCATCCCCAATATCGCGGCGGGAAATGGCAAGATAAGAGAAGTCGGCACTCGCCACCGCCATCTATCACCCCGGACAGTACGTTCCATTACTATTATTACCCCTGTTGTACCCATGAAGTACCGACGCCTGGCGAGCGATCATTCAACCAACGTCGGACTCCGGTCTCCAACCATTCATCGATAGCCGGGGGTGTTTTCGGGGGGTTGCTTGATAAGTAACAGTGGGCCCAGGCTGGTCGCCCCCTTTTTCCTGGTTCCCACTCGCCGCGCGCGACGGACCAGGGACGGGCCAAGGCATGACTGCGGAAGGCGAAGCATTGTCACAGGTTGCCAGAGAGTTGGAGGATACATAGGTATGATTGATGGCGGTACGTCAGTCGGTGTCGTGGCCTGCCTAGTGGCAATTGCTTGAATGCTCCTCCTCCTCATCTCTCTATCTGCGACGTTTCGAAATGACAACAGCAGCCAACAATCATCCGCATCCTCCATTCTCCCCATCTTCCAAGCTCCCATCTACAGCAGCCCCTTAACCAAGAGAACACCTCTACCTATGATGTTGATTCTCTAGCTCCTCGTTCTTTATTACTTTCTCTCGGGACGCTCGGGTATAACCATCCAACCCCATGGCTTCCGTGATTAGGTTGCTTCGTGTTCTCGACTAGTTCTGGAATCATCAAGCCAAGCAAAGGCGGTTCTAATTAGCCCTATTAATAGACAGCAGCATTTCTAAGCTTCATTCAACCTCGGACTCCGAGATGTCCGCTGTCCACGTCAAGAGATGTCCGCGGGTGACAGTCCTGCCCATTCCTATATCGAATAAGCCATGCCACCCTCTCTATTTAGCCATCGTTTATATGTCCTGCATGGTTGCACATCATGTCTCTGTGAGCTTAAACCTTGTCTTTGACTCTCGATGCAGTCCACATTCCAGACTGAGGGGCCCAATGCGGCCGTCACGTGATTCTACGAGGCGCCATGGCTTTCTGAGTACCACCTTAGGTAGCGTTGCCCCTGGTAACGCTTCTCGAGCCACACAGTAGTTGAACCATTCCGTCCATTCCATAGTGAACAATTCCATCTCAACCATCACTGCAGAGCCGCATGGACAAGGGTGCCCACCATCCTCATATGGCGTTTTGTATTATTTAGCATTACTCAACCATCGTCTGATTAGAGGCATCACCTCATCTTTTTACATGCCTGAGGATAACAGCCAAATCCAACGACTTCAGCCGTTGCCCTCCAACATCCCGCCGACTACCATACCATTACATCCCCAGCATCTCCACTATGGCTCGCCTAGCCGACTTCTGTCCCTCCAGCGACGACGAACTTCCAGATTTGAAAACTCTACTCCGCAAGCCCAGTACCAGGGCAACGAGAGGAGTGAACCCAACGTCCAAAACCGAGGCAAAGTCTTTGACTCCCAAACCCACATCCAAATCTGGAACTCGTCGTGTGCGTCGGCTTGGTGAATCTAGCCAAACCACAGCCAACCCTCTCTTTCAGAAATGGAGTTCTGAAGAGCCCAGGAGCTCTCGGGGTAGCGTGGAAGCGAAACCAAGGGAATCCCGACGTAGGGCGAAGCAAGCGCCAGTGAGGAAGCCCAGCAAGAGCCCATCCTCTGGCACAGACTCTGAAAAGGATGAGAATGATGATGATGATGACGATGACCAACCTCGGCTACGGGTACGGGACGCCCAAAGGAGGCGACCACGTATTATCGAGGATTCGGGGGATGATGCCGACCACATCAGTGGCTCTGACCAGGAGACATTGCTAACAAGGGTTCGACATCTTGAAAAGACGAAATCGGAGGCAGTCACAGAACCCAAACTAGATACCAAGCCTCGGGTTTCTAAACCTATTCCGGAGGATAGGTCGAGGGCGTCGAAGGTTGCAAAGGACTTGGACAGCGGGTCGGAAACAGAGACAATTCGTGACGATGCTGAAGCCGAAGATCCCAGCATCTATCAGACAGCGGAAGAGGAATCTTCGGAGTTCAGTAACAACTCCGCACTTGACTCTGACGCCGACGACTCGCCGTTTCGACCCCAGAGGAGACTGACCACCAAATCGGCCACTGGACAAGTCCGGATCCCATCTGAGACAAAGAATACCGCCTCGTTAATAAAGAATATCCCTTCGCTAGGCCCTGCGACTATCGGGCAACGCAAAGTCTCTACAGAAAGTACGAAGAAGAGCATTTCTTCAGGCCAGGAAACGGCAACCAAGACGATCCCTCGGCCCAGACAAACATCGCACGAGTACACAAAAGACAAACGGCCCAAAGCCTCGGCAGCCAAATCAAGCGTGGCTGATCTTGCAGACTCCCTCTCCAAGCTTCGGTTGCAACTCCAGGACTTTTCAGACGAAGACACCAAGACTTCGAGGGCCGATCAGTTCACCACACCCCCTAGTACGCCTCCACGGACTTCCAAAGCAAAGGGCTTGACATCGCCCACGAAACAAAATCAAATCCCAAAGACGCCTCATGGGCCCGGGATGGACGACTTCTGGAGCCAAGATCTAGTCAACGACTGGAACGACCAGCATTCTCCGCGGAAACTCATTCTCCCTCCGGTGACCAAGAGTCCCTCCAAGTCAAGTCCGAAGAAGGGACCCAAGCCGGAGACTAAGAAGGCCTTCGAGGCCAGGAAGCACGCCCTCGCTGAGAGTTTCCTGGGCGAACTTGACCGTGATATCACACAGGGCAGGGTTGCTGAGCTGGCCGAGTCGACAGGCGGCGTGAAATTGGTCTGGACCAAGACGCTCAACACCACTGCCGGACGCGCGAGCTGGCGGCGGGAAACAATCCGTACGCGACAGGCAGACGGCACGCAAGTATCAGTGGAATTCAAGCACCACGCATCCATCGAGCTAGCTGAAAAGGTCATCGATGACGAAAATCGGCTGCTCAATGTCCTAGCACACGAGTTCTGTCACCTAGCCAACTTCATGGTCAGTGGCGTGACCAACAACCCGCACGGCAAGGAGTTCAAGGTCTGGGCGGCCCAGTGTTCACGCGTCTTTGCAGATCGCGGTATCGAGGTGACGACCAAGCACAGTTATGACATCGACTTCAAGTACGTCTGGGAGTGTGAGGCATGCGCCACTGAGTTCAAGCGTCACTCCAAGAGTATCGACCCGCAGCGACATCGATGCGGTAGTTGCAAGGAGATGTTGCGGCAGACGAAACCTGTGCCCAGGGGAGGAGCCAAGACCACGAGTCGGTACCAGGAGTTTGTCAAAGAGCAGATGGCTGTGGTGAGAGGGGAGAATCCCGGGAGTCCACAGAAGGATGTGATGAAGTTGATTGCGGCAAAGTGGGCGAAGCAAGAGGGTTCCTCTAAGACTGGCAAGGGAAGCAAGATATCTGTGGACAATATGGTTGGGAAGATGGTCGATCTGACGCTTGAAGAAGACGTGTAGGAGCATCGAGGTGGTGGTTGTGGTTGTTCCTTATTATGTGAGAGAATACTGCAATAAATGTTCATGTCCAATGACAATGATTGATGAGCAAAACCACATGTCGCCATTCCAGGCCTGTACAAAGCCATGACATCTGATCTGGGCGTTCCAGATCCATTGAAACTCTGGTGCTGAATGATAACCCAATCCACCAAGTATCCTCCTGGACGAGGTACAAGAGACGTCCTAAGGCTACGTGCGGTGTGACTATCAATCCCATTTACCCACTTCCTCTACCTATCCATACGAGCGTCCTGGCCGTTTCAGTCGTAATATTCATCCTAAGATCCGTGCCAATATATCCATCCATCTGCCTGGCATTCCTTGCATCCGTCTAAACTTGCTCTCCTCACTGTGATCACTCTCACTAAACATAATATGCGCCGACTTAAGAATCGGCAAACAGGCCCCAGTCCTTGATCTTAAACGAAGACCAGATGCGGGCAGAATACTCAACGGCATCGCCAATGAGCTTTCCCTGACGTCCGAGCTCGAGATCGACATCGTCCTCGTCGTACTCGCCCTTGATGTGGGGCACGTTGATGGTGATGAGGATGTCGGTCTTGACTTTTTCGAGGCGCAAGAGGGTAAGTGTGATGGCTGTGAAGTCGGGGGCGGACGTCTGGTCGCGGGGTTGGCTGACGTGCGGTGTCTGCGTAGAGATGAGGGTATACGCCGGTGTTCCAGCTCTGCGGGGATAATAAGTCAGTACCACGAAGCGAAAAACGGTATAAATATAACTTACTCGAGTCTGCTGAACTCAGTCTCGGCGGTATTCCAGATCTTGACAGTGTCGATGTCAGAGCCAACCATATCCTCCAGATGCGCCGTCATGGCGCGGCCATCGATCTCGGGGCCAGTTCCGGACTCGCCAACGCGCTCGGTAATGTCGAAGATTATGCTGGTGAAGCCTTCCTGGTCGATCCAAACCTCTTGATTGTCCGGGACCTGTCGCAACTTGCTACACGAGAGCAGAGGCTAGTTAGTATGAGGAGCGAGAAATAGGTTTGCGCGCAAGGGCGACGGAGGACAAGGGCGTACCTGACGTCGGCAAAGGTGGAGGGTAGGTCGGCGACAATTGCGCCGCCGAAGAGCGGAGTGCTGACGAACTCGGGCATCGTGGTAGAGTTGTTCTGGTGTTGTTGGAGTGTGTGGTCTTCTGGTGCCTGAAGATCCGAATGAGGGTCCAGGGTAAGAAGTTCAAGATGCGGGAGAGGACAGGTTGAGAGGAAACGGGTCCCGTACAAAAAACAAGGCGCAGCCTCAATTTAAGCGTCAGATGGTTTGGCCAATGGATACCCAGAAGAGTTGAGAGGAAGGCTACCTAATAGCTGGCAGACGAAGGATCATGGATGTCTGGTGTAATTTGTAGGCAGCTCTGCAGGCAGGTTTGGCACCACCATCTTTGGAGGGGTCCGCCCGGCCACTGTGGCGGGGTACGTACCGTCAAGTGACCCCTCGCAGAATGACGTACATACAGCCTCGTTTTGTGACGGAGGTGTCCCACAGCTACACATCATGACGGGATCAACGGGATTTTTTAGAAGACCGGAAAAGGGACGATCTACATACTTTATGGGAGCAAAAAGTACACCAAATGAATCGCACCACTTTCTAGATTGGGGAAAAGGGCAAAAAACAAAAATTCGAATCCGGAACTTCCAGACGAAGAGATGCCAAAGATTGGGAGAATGGAGTCTGTTGGGCCAATCCCACGGTCACATCTGGTAAAAGGCAAGAGGTGAGTTCGATGGGAGGTCCCACTCCGAAAGTCCGGTCGCTTATTTTGTCCTATAACCCCTCGTCCATCGATGCCTCAGGAACCCCGTGCACATTGAGTGCACAACGGATGGCCGCCCCTCCACGGAGCTCTTGTCGGAGCTGTCTGTATCCAGCGGGGGCCTATCATCTGCCGATCTTCGTCATTCCCTCCATCTTACTTCTCCTCCGTACATCGAAAACGCTCCCAAACCTCCAACCACTCTCCAATTACGAGTCTCACCCTCATCATGTCCTCCGCCGCCTGCATCTTCTGCAAGATCATCAAGGGTAAGTCGAGAAAAGCTACCCTCATCACCACCATGGCGCCATGCACGCGCAACTTGCTTACTCGCTTCAACAGGTGAAATCCCTTGCATGAAGCTCTTTGAGAACGAAAAGGTTCTCGCCTTCCTCGATATTGGCCCTCTTAGCAAGGGTCACGCTGTATGTCACTTCAAGTTCCATTTCTTGTCCTCCGCGCGTCAATTGTCAACCGTTGTCAATCGATGTTCGGTATTCTATCCACGTCCACCCACAACTTCCCCTCACCTCTCACCTCCCCGATCAACCCACCGGGGCCAGTCTAGAAGCTGACAATTGGCTGCGTCTTCCTCCGCAGCTCGTCATTCCCAAGTACCACGGTGCCAAGCTTGCCGACGTCCCTGATGACCAGCTCACCGACATCCTCGTAAGTCAATCGCCCCCACTCTTCCGTCCGACAGCTCCAGGATGGTAGCATAGATTGTACTGCATTGCTGAACACTCTTGACCTCCTCGAAATAGCCTACCCTGAAAAAGCTCATCAAGGCCACCGGTGCCGTCGACTACAACATCCTCCAGAACAACGGCACCATCGCTCACCAGCAGGTTCATCATGTAAGTTCCCCGTCTCTCGTTCGACCATAGGACTCTGTAAGCTAACAATCACCCCAGGTTCACTTTCACATGGTAAGTGTAGAGCTAGATCTCCACCCACGTCCATGTCATGAACTAACCCCCTCCCCCTACCTATCTATCCCATCAACTGGCATGCTCACTGTTCCCTTAGATCCCGAAGCCTAACGAGACCGAGGGCCTGGGAATTAGCTGGCCCACTCAGGAGGGTAACATGGAGCAGCTCAAGGCGCTCTGCGAGGATATCAAGTCCCGGATCTAAACAAGTTGTCCCATACCGCTGATATTCAGTCATGTATCGTTCGATAACATATATCATTTTGTCGAACTGACTTCGCCGCGATGCAGCGGCCAGTAGCCTCCAGAGTCATGTCTTCGCGACTAGGCGTTCTAGTTACTGTCTAGCTCTGTGTTTTGCCACCCTTCTACGTCTACATCTAGACACCTCCCATTGGGTGATTAGTCTACATCGTCGGCCGAAGTCGAGGGCACTGGCGCTGGGGGCACCGCTGCCTTGGGTGCTGAGTACCAATCCGTCTTTCCACCACCCTGGATTGCTCCCTGACGGTCGTAGAGCGTCCGCGCTCGAATATATTGATCGAGGACCCAGTAATCCGCCCTCAGTTGCTGTGCCAGCTTCTCTCGCTCAGCCTTGATGTCCTTGGCCTGGTCTCCCTCTGAGTTGCGAATCCATTCCCGCGTGGCGTGTTCAAACTTCTTGACGAGCTCCTCGCGTGACTCGAGAAGGCGTTCCCGCGTTGCAGTATCCTTCATCTTGTCATTCTCACCAGCAATCGGCTCAATGTACTTGTACTCCCAATCCTCGTCGCCCTCGAGCTCCTTAATTATGTGGCTGGGCTCGATAAATTCCTCCAGCTCCGTCCTGTTGTTGGTGAAGTGCACTTTACTCGCCACAACAGGGTCCAGCCAGCCACGGATAATCTTCCAGATGCCTTTGTGCCGTCAGTTAGTAACTGTCATTTATTCCACTTATGAGCCGATTGGGTCGACTTACCTTGAAAAACCCACGGGGCCTTGTGAACAAGGACTGCTCCAAGAGACTCAGGATAGTTTGCTTCGAAACACTTAATCATGAACTTGACAGGAGTATAATCCATGTTGGCCATGGAGAAGCCCGTCATGTCGAAGATGACGCACTGCACAATGCTCGTTAGCTGTACTGTCAACGGGGTGTTATGGAGAGCAGTTGCTACTCACGGCAGTGTCAACAGGTTGCTGGAGGACCATACGTGCCGTCTCAATAATGTAGACGGTGTATCGCTCGAGACTCGCCTCGCATTGTTCGCCCTGCTTATGCAGCCGGACGCGAACAACGCAAATCGGTCTACCATTCTTGTCGGTTCCATGCAAGAAACTCTTACCCATGCGGAGCTGGGCCATGACATCTTGGCTGACCTGCTTCGTGGAGGAACTAGTCTTCTCATCCTCAATGGCGAAGCTGTCACCATTCTTCATGATGTCATCGTCAACGTGCATGTCTGTATGCCTCCAGTTCATTGTTGACACGAGCATCACGAGAGCCTTCTCCACATCCCACTTGCGCGCTCGGAGGAAGCGCAGAACCAAGGCATCGGGGTGGTCGTGCTTGACCATGTCCCATATGGTGGCGCGAATAGACTCGGGGGTCTCGTTAGCCAACGTCTCGTAGAAGTGTTTCGTCTGGCCATATTTGTCATCCTCGCCGGCTGCGGGAGAATCGGTGGATGTTGGAGTTGAGGTTCCGGACTTGGAGTCACCGCGGTTCTTCCGGAAAACGCCAAACCGCTTCTTCTTAGGGGCGTCGGCTTCGGCCACATTGGTCTCTTCCTTGTTCTTCGGGGTAAGAATCTCGGCAGCACTGGAGCTGTCCTCGTCGGCGACACCACAGAGCTGGAAGATGGAGGCCCAGAGCTTGCGCAATTTCTCCTCCTGCTCGGAGGTTAGGTTTCCCGGACGTCCCGGGAGCACTGCGGAAGCCATGATTTCGCTAAGTTCTTGGAGTTCCTCGGGCTGTGATAATTCGGCAGCGGAGTCCTCGTTGAGCCAGAGGGAAGTAATGAAGATAGCAGCAACGATTGAAGCAGCTACGACGGTGGAATATAGGAAATTAGCCTCAAGCTGACAGGTTTCAGTTGAGCCTGGGGGCAGATTCCTCGTGCCAGTTCCGTAGGCTCTTCCAATAGTGGGGGTGAAAGGTATGAGCGAGGCGCGAGCGCAAGAGTGTCTGGCGTTTTGCGACTTCAAGGGTGAGTTCTTGGGGGCTTGTAGAGAGTTCTCGACGGATGATGTCGCGAGAAAACTTGGAGCAGGTTGGTTCCCAACTAGCGCTGAGGTTGTGAGTGGTCTTTGGCGGGGCCGGACGGAGTGGGCAGCGACAGATGGATGCGCCGGAAGTGAGCGCAAAGGCGACAGGGACGACGTCAGACGGAGTGTATCTGAATAAGAGATTCGCCGCAGTTGAGACTTCATAAGTGGCGGAGCGAGGGCAGGGCAGGGTGAGTGCGCGCGTGAGCAGCAGTGCGAGGGCGTGGAGCTGACTGATGACGGTGATTTTCCAATACGAGACGAGTCAATGGCGGCCTCCCTAGCAGAAACACCCAATTACCGGGCCGTTGTGTTCTTCCGACGACTCAGAGATTCCCCGGGGAGATGAGAAGGGGGCGGAAGAGAGGCAGCGGGAGGGCTGGGTAAGACGGGCTATATGGAATGAAATGAGATGCGATGCGATGGGACGAGAAGGGCACTGACGGAGCGACTGGCTGTCGTTGTGCGGGACTTGCGGCGCAGGCCCCGCGAAGCCAAGGGTGGATGGAAGTGGCGGAAGAGCCCAGCGCAATGTGCTATTACGTCGAGAGTGCCCATCTCCGAGAAGTACCTGCTAGCACGGAATGTACTTCGGGACAACTACGGGAGGAGTAATACGCGTATCGCGGGGCGGGTTTCGTTAGGAAGCCGGAGGAAAGGGTGAGCTTTGAAGCTGGTACCCTCGTGTATTGTCAGTGAGATTTTGGGAAACATCTGTAAAAGGGACCGAGCCTTGGGCTGTGGGTATGACGAGGGGATACCCCCAGCACGGTACCATCTACTTCGTGGTCTCAGGAACGATCGGCTTACCCTATAGCGAGTTAGCTAACATGCCACGCGAAGCCGTCCGTGCCTGAGCGCCTCGCCTGATGATGGTGTCGAATTGGTGGCTTGGAGGCATACATCTGCCCAGAAAGGCCCCCTGTTGATGGTCCTTGCGAAGCGGCCCATTGTAGAGGCATATCATCTGCATGACTGATGCTTCAGTCCCCCTGATCTAAGTTAACTGCAGGATCCCTCTTGAGCTGTGTAAAAACTTGGACGAATGAGACGATTATCCTGAACACACACAAATCCTAGAAAGTAACCCATAATAATATGTTTTCACACAGCATACAAAAACCCGACTGTACTATTTTAACGCGCCGGCACATGAGTGTAAGTGATGCGAATTGGCAAGGCGAAGGTGGTCGCTTCTAGGTCAAGCCTCCCCGCGAAAGAGGTACACAATGTACTACCAATGGCGCACCGCCACTGTGCCACACTCGACCGCTGCGGGGCGCTCCAGTTACTGCCAGAACCCAAACCACCGCCTTTGATTGTGTGGTTGTTGACGTTCAGTACCTACATCAAAACCTCGTGCAGTAAATTCCTATACAACCACAACTCCACTCGATTGCCGGACAACCCACCGATCATCGAGAACGGCAGCGTCACAAAAACATCGACAACAAAGACTCCACATACCGAATTGCCCTCGCTCACACAATGTCTGGCGACCGCCAGCGCTCCAACTCCCGTTCGCGCACGTCGCGTCCTACCACCCCGCTCCGGCCCTCATCGCGCTCCTCTTTTCGCGACTCGGCTCGGAGCGCCGGCGATGGCGATGCCCCATTCCCCCTGAACGCATTCGAGCCGGCCTTCGCGGAACTTTCGGACGCCATGGCCGATCTGGAAGTCAACATGATGCACTTCCAAGTCATGCACGAGAGCCTTGCCCGCTTTAGCGAGTCGTTTGCTAGCTTCCTGTACGGTCTCAACATGAATGCATTTTGCGTCGACTTTCCTGAGGTATGTATTTGGTCTACTCATGTATTATTTGTTACGCTCCGGAAACTGCCCGCTCACACATGCAACTAGGGACCCGTCCCAGAGTCATTCCGTCGGGAGCGGCCTCGTGAGGAACAGCGGTCGGGCCCCGCCACTACCCCATCCCGGGGAGATGATGGTGATATGACCTTCATGTAAGATCGCTGCAAAAACCCATAGGTGTTCACCTCTCTGACTGCTCTGTAGGACCACGGACACCTCCTTCATCGAGAACCCCCCTACAACTACCAAGGCATCGAAATTCGCTGCACCAGAACCCCGCCAGTCGCGACTCCCAGCGGCTCGAGGAACTTCGTCAAGGGGCAGAGGCAACACTCGTGGCGGTCGGGGTCGGGGTAGTAGCCTTGCCAGACCTCGCGGTCGTGGGATTAGGTGAGAGAGAGAGAGGCACACTCGAGCACAACCAGTCCAATGAATCCAACCCACATCCCACGCATTTACAACAGCCGAGCCCCGAGCAGTCGTGTCGAGTTCACCCCATCCGAGTAGGGAGTCGTGGACTGCTGAAATTGCAATATGCAGTCCGGGTGGATATCAACATGCCGTAGAAAGAGTCGAGCAGAGACCTCATGTTGCCATGTCGATATCGTCCTCCGTTCCGGTTTTAGGATTTTGCTTGACGTTAACGTACGGTCCCAGGCCGGCGGCAGCTTCGGCCTCTTTCTGAGTATATGGCACCTCGGCGAGCTGCTTGAGTCTGGAAGAACATAGTTAGACAACCATCAACCAACACACTAGATACCCCATGCAATATACGAACCTTCGCTTGTGGGGTTTCCCTCGGCGATGCGCTACCAGTGTCGGCTCCGTATCAAACCATTTGGCGCATTCGATGCAGTAGTTGCGGCCGAGGTCGGGGAGGTCTTCGATGGCCTTGGTGTCCTTCCACTGAGAGAGGTGCTTGGGGGAGAGCAGGTCGGACTTGATTTGATCGACGTCCCTGTTGTAAGTCATGTCAGTATCGTGCACGATGTGCCAGGAATTGCGCCGGTCCGGAGAGCCGGTCAAGGAGAAACCAACCTGGTCTTGCGCCTCGTCTTGGTGATAGTACGTTGGGAAGTGACACCCATTGCGATGATAGATCAAGCAAGAGCTTGGATGGTCACTCTGTAGTTATTTGCTGATGTTGATAGGCGTGCCCTGGGTACGTGGATGCTTCAACTAGCAGTGTATGTCTACAATCGTGAGGTTGGAGACAACCAATTTTTTTTTTGGTGGAGAGACAGTGCTACGAGACAGTGCGATCAGAAAATCCAGGACGATGCGGGGATCCATGCGACTGATAAGGTTAGCCACAGTCCAGAGCTCGGGAAGATTCTCAGCCACATTGGCGGGCAGCACATCCACAAGCGGCTCTTCATCCTGGGGTTTAAGTTAGATAATTGAAGACGGATCCTCAGCCACGGGTTCATGAGCCACATGTCACATGTGACTGGAGATTCAGATAGGCACGCGACATGTGGCGGGTCTGGGGAAAGCCGGGACTTGCACAAGAAGCCATTCGTTTACAGCGGGATGGTTGGTCGGCGGGCGAACTCGGCCGGTAATATGTTCAACCAGGACAATGAAGCGAAGTTCAAGGGAAGGGGTCTGGGCTTAGGAGGCATATATCAACTTATCGAGGCAGGTGGCCCGTTTCCTAGGGCAAGAGACGAAAAGGCTCGGGTGTGCGATTAGTCCTTGGCAGAAAACCCAGGCCAATAAATGGGGGGAGGGAGGGGTCAGTCAGCGGGAAAACAAAGCGATTGTTGGGCTGCGATGCGGCTGAAACCGAGGAAGAAGAAGGCAGGTGAGGGCAAATGGGAAGCAGCTCGGTAATAGCAGGTAATTGCAACGGCTGCTATTGGACAGGGCAGGCAACAGGGCGGTCTACGGCGTGGGGAGAAGGGGTGGTTCCTCTGGAGGCGAGGGACTTGGGACAGATGTCACGGCTGGGATGGAGCAGGCTTCATCTCTGTCTGGCATTGTCAAACCTGTCAAACGTCACGGAGGCCAGAAAAAGCTCCAACTGGTCGGGGACCGACGGCCGGGCTCGTAACACCGCCATCAGCGAGCGCCACAGACGGCGACCGAAGTCAAAGCCGCTGGTCCGAGGCTTGAGCGAGGCTCTAAACACCAAGCGACAGGGTCCCCCGAAAAATTTGTTCCAGGGCTCAAGGGCTCTGGGGATGGGCCTGTTTGAGGAATGGAGCAGCCGGGGGATGCTAAGCCACTTCTGGGATGCCATGCGGTAATTTTCTCCTCCGCTCCCCCCGGACCAGCCAGCGGCGGAGTGGGTCCCTGGAGCTCCTGGGCTTCTCGCCAGCCGAGATGGTAAGCCAGCTGCTGTGACTTGTCCAACCCGTGATGCCCAGGAAGGGCTGGAAAACGAGAGCCAGGGGGGGTAGAGATGGGAGACGGGTCCATCGACTCCATCGTCATCCATTTGACCTTGACCTGGGTCTTGGCGGCGCTGGTGGGAGCAGGCCGTTATCTGCACGTGGAGTCGCTGGGTCTCTGCCGCTGCCGCGCCTGACAGCCGAACCTCCGTCCGAGGCGTAGAGGAGGACCGACGGGAGGGAGGAAGCGTGCAAGAGAGGATCGCAACGCGAGGGAGTAACCGCAGACGACCCAAAGGTATTCGTAGTTGAGTAGAATTCTGGAGAACCCAGTCCCGTGTGTGGAGAGTGGAACTCGCCCAGACCAACGTTATAGTTCCAGGATGCTTTGCCGTCTATTGAAAATCATCTACGTCCGTTGGTGGAGTTGGAAAGGAATCCTGTTGCCATGGGTATGGGGACGTGGATGTCGATGCGGACGGTGAACTTTTTGCGAGCATACCGAGCATTGTCAACAGCATCGTGACCGGCATCATTCGTGGCCGGAAATGGAACCGAGTAAGATTGTGTCATTCCGAAGCCCTCACTGCTGGGTTTTTCCAGAGGGCATGTTGTGCCGCTGGTTAACCTGACCGCTGACCGCCCGAGCTCTCCAGCCGAACAGAAGCCGTGGCAATGCTCTCATAATGTCGAAGTCCAAGCCGAAGGTCCGTCCTCCTCCGGTCGGTATCCGGGGCATTCTTCGGCGATGGAGGGGCAAGCTCTGACGCAAGAAGCATTTTGCCCACTCCTCCAGCAACCAAGGCCCAGACGGACGAAGGACGGGGCGGGGCGGGGCGGGTCCAATCATGGAGCTCAATCGCATCTGGAATGGGGCTCTATTTTCTACTCTTTGGTGCTGCCCTCTCGGTCTGCGCGCAGTTGAATCGGCGTTCCCGGGGGGCGGTCGACCTGTAGTGGCTCGTGGTTTGAGGTTGGCGGGGTGTGTTGCCGATGGCAGCTGCTGTTCGCGTCGCTACGTGCTCGTCACTTGACGGAGTTCATCTTCAGGACTTTGGGGTCAGTCTGGGGAGCGACATGGGGGAATGACGATGTGAGCGTGGCCGGATGGATAAGGAGGGGTGGGTCGATGATGGATGGAAGGAGAGCGCACAAGCAAACGGAAAAAGGGTACTTGCAGCACAGTTTCGAACACGGCGTCCGATATCCTAGGTATTCCCAAATGTCAAGGTGCTGGGGGTACCATCGTGGGCTAATGGTCGTGTGTTATCCGCGGCCTGGCTGGAAGAGTGACATGGACAGTTGCTCCCTCGGCAGAGTGGAGGTTTTCGGTTACTGTCCATGACGAAGGGGAGCCTAAGGGATGTGCCGATTATTTTCTCACTGCTCGCCATTGGCTGGCTGCAGGCGCCCCGCCCCTCGCTGCAGTGGTTTTTAGTGGAAGCCCCGGTGGCCGGTGGACGCGCCCGCTCGAGCTGCTCCTCACCCTCTCACAGGGGGTGCCGCAGTGGTGCATTCAGTGGACCCACAGTGGTGGATCCCAGGGCTATTGGGGGGCTTTCGGAGGCTTTGGGCGGCAAGTTGGGGGAGCAGGTGGGCGGAGGGGGGCGTGTAGGTGCTGGGGCCCTTCAACCGTGGGCCATTTGGGGAACGGCGAAACATGGCAGGCAGGTACCTCACCTCACCGTGCGTGGAGGTAACATCCGGACGGCTGCACACAGCCAGGGCAGTCCGTCACTCTCAGGCTCTTGCTCTGGCTCGGTCTCGGCTGGCGGTGCCCCGGGCCAAAAACACCTCTTCTCCTCCACCGGGCGAACACAATTCTTCCTTTCTTTTAATACTCTGTCCTCCCCTCTCGTCCCCTCGAGAGCGTCTCTTCTCTTTTGTGCTTCCTCTTCCCTGTGATACCCCCCCAGACCCTCTCCCCTCAATTGGACGTCTCATACTCGTCCTCCCTCCACCACAATGCTTGCCTCTCGACAGGTTCTGGGCAATGTTGCCCGGAGCCGTGCCTTTGCTGGCGCCGCCTCGGGCATCCGCCGCATGGCTAGCATCTCCGACAGCCCTCTGGACCGCAAGGTGAGCTTGATTATTGATCTTCACATAATCCGCTGCTCCTGGTTTGTGCATGTGTGCTGGCGCATGTGGGATGTGGGGGGCTCGCTGTGTCTGCTGTACGCGCTCTCTCGCTCACATGCCGCTGATGTCACTGCTCACTGCAACTCCGCATCTGGTTCACTCGGCAATACCGGCAATCGTCACAATCGGCGCAATGCCAAGCTACAATAAACAGAACTGTCATGGACTGTGGCAGCAGCATTTCACAAACCAGAAGCAGTGTTTTTGAGATAGCAATGGAGACTGACTCGCCCCACTATACAGGTCCGCCAGAACAACTGGGAGGATAACAACTTCATCAACTACAAGAAGATGTCGGAGAACATCGACATTGTCCGCGCTCGCCTTAACCGACCCCTGACCTACGCCGAGAAGATTCTCTACTCTCACTTGGATGATCCTCATGGTCAGGAGATCGAGCGTGGTACCTCCTACCTCAAGCTCCGACCTGATCGTGTTGCTTGCCAGGATGCCACCGCCCAGATGGCCATCCTCCAGTTCATGTCCGCTGGCATGGAGTCCGTTGCCAACCCCAGTACCGTTCACTGCGATCACTTGATTGAGGCTCAGTCCGGTGGCGCCCAGGATCTTGCCCGTGCTATCGACATCAACTCTGAGGTCTACAACTTCCTGGCCACTGCCTGTGCCAAGTACAACATTGGTTTCTGGCGCCCCGGCTCCGGTATCATCCACCAGATTCTCCTCGAGAACTATGCTTTCCCCGGCGGTCTCCTCATTGGCACTGACTCTCACACCCCCAACGGTGGTGGTCTTGGTATGGCCGCTATCGGTGTCGGAGGTGCTGATGCCGTCGATGTCATGGCCAACCTTCCCTGGGAGCTCAAGGCCCCCAAGGTCATCGGTATCAAGCTGACTGGCCAGCTCAACGGCTGGGCCGCTCCCAAGGGTATGTGACACCAATGCCTGCTAGGTTGACTGCTGTACTAACATATCTTCTTAGACATTATCCTCAAGGTCGCTGATATCCTGACCGTCAAGGGTGGCACTGGCGCCATCGTTGAGTACTTCGGTGAGGGCGTGCAGACCTTCTCTTGCACAGGCATGGCCACAATTTGCAACATGTTTCTGGCCCCCGAATCCTCTGGTTGATGCAGAATTGATGCTAACAATGCACAGGGGTGCTGAAATTGGTGCCACTACCTCGGTGTTCCCCTTCAACGAACGCATGTACGACTACCTCGCGGCCACTAAGCGAACTGAGATCGGTGACTTCGCCCGCACCTACGCTCACGGTCTTCGACCTGACGAGGGCGCGGAATATGACCAGTATATCGAGATCAACATGTCGGAGCTCGAGCCCTACATCAACGGTCCCTTCACCCCTGACCTGGGCACCCCCATCTCCAAGTTCAGCCAGGCCGTCAAGGACAACAACTGGCCCGAGGAGCTCAAGGTCTCTTTGATCGGCTCTTGCACCAACTCCTCGTACGAGGATATGTCCCGTGCCGCCTCTATTGCCCGCGATGCCCTCAACCACGGTATCAAGTCCAAGGCTGCCTTTGTTGTGTCTCCCGGTTCCGAGCAGATTCGCGCCACCATTGCCCGCGATGGTCAGCTCCAGACCTTCGAGGAGTTCGGTGGCATTGTCGTTGCCAACGCCTGCGGTCCCTGCATTGGCCAGTGGGATCGTCGTGATGTCCCCAAGGGCACTCCCAACTCCATCATCTCCTCCTTCAACCGAAACTTCACTGGCCGAAACGACGGTAACCCCGCCACTCACTCTTTCGTTGCCTCTCCTGACATGGTCGTTGCCATGGCTGTCGCTGGCTCTCTTCACTTCAACCCCTTGACCGACACCCTCAAGGACAAGGACGGCAACGACTTCAAGCTCGCTGCCCCTACCGGCGATGGTCTTCCCGCGCTTGGTTATGACCCCGGTAACGACACCTACCAGGCTCCTCCCAAGGACCGCGCCAGCGTCCAGGTCGATGTCGCCCCCACCTCCGACCGTCTCCAGCTCCTCTCCCCCTTCAACGCCTGGGACGGCAAGGACGCTCTTGACCTCCCCATCCTCATCAAGGCTAAGGGCAAGACCACCACTGATCACATCTCCATGGCTGGTCCCTGGCTCAAGTACCGTGGTCATCTCGACAACATCTCCAACAACATGTTGATCGGCGCCATCAACGAGGCCAACGAGGAGGCCAACAACATCCAGAACTACTCCAACGGCGAGTGGGGTGCCGTCCCTGCTGTTGCCCGTGACTACAAGGCCAAGGGCATCCGATGGGTCGTTGTTGGTGACTGGAACTACGGCGAGGGTTCTTCCCGAGAGCATGCCGCACTCGAGCCCCGTCACCTCGGCGGTCTGGCTATCATCACCCGATCCTTCGCCCGTATCCACGAGACCAACTTGAAGAAGCAGGGCATGCTGCCCCTGACCTTCACCGACCCTGCCGACTACGAGAAGATCAAGCCTGATGACCGTATTGACCTCCCTTGCACCGAGCTCGAGGTTGGCAAGCCCTTCATCATGACCGTTCACCCCAAGGAGGGTGCGGCTTTCGAGGTCCCTCTTTCGCACACCTTCAACGGCCCTCAGATTGAGTGGTTCAAGAACGGTAGCGCTCTTAACACCATGGCCAAGAACAGCAAGAAGAACTAAATATGGGAAGCAATGGATCGAGATGAGGAATGATTCGGGTTACAATGGCGTATAAGAGGGGACCTACATGAAGGACAGTGTTGGTTACGCACTGCCGTTTGTCCCATGTTTTACTTTTTCCACTTGTAGGAACGGGAGGAGCATATAGTTTTATAGGTTGTACAAAATCAAACAGTTCAAATATTTTGCCGGCCTCGGTCATGTGCAGTGTGCTCTTGATGAAAGCTAGTAGACCGGACAAACGTCTGGTGACGTTTATGACCATTTAAAACGTGAATTGTGATGTCGGGGTCTAAATAATAGAATAAAAATAGGCTTAGCCGTTATGATTAAGGGTATGACTTAGGGCCTGGTACTAGGATTAGGGACTCAGCATGTTCAATATGGACTTCGTAATCTGATTGCGGGCGATAGTTAGCGAGAATCGGGGAGGCACTGAACAAGGTTTAGTCTCTTCTCTATAAGGCTGAGTCTTTATGTGCCTTCCTTGTGATACCGTGTTTGTTTTACTTCCTCGGCATAGGTTCCTTGCTACGTAACAATTGATCAATTGGCATTGCCGGGTTGGTCATCAAGATCATCCTGGCGGATGCGGGAGACTAAGTCGGCGGATCGAGCATCGGCCGGGCGCGCCGCTGTCGTTAGTCATCAAGTGTGGCGTTGCGTCTGGCACTAACTTTCTCCTGAGTGCTAAGTCAAGTCACATGGCGATAAGGCCAACAGGTCCTACCACGGCCCAAGTTATCTGTCCAGTTTCCGCCTGTTCATCCCGGCATTGCATTACTCCAACTTTTGGGCCTTGCTGCTTGTTGAACCGAGGGGAACGGGCTAAAGTGAAGTCCCTAGACGCGAGGCTCGGAGCGATCGACTCCATCGACCAACGACATCCCGTTCCATCCGTTCGATACCCTCGACAACCTCCTGTCGCGTGCGCCAATCTCCACCGAACGTCCCGGCTGCTCCGCGCCGTGAGAATCGCATCGACATGCCGAGCGTACAAAGCTTCAACACCGTTAGAGCCCGGTCCTATGTGTCCCGGCTTCCGCTCTTCACTCGGATAATAGTGGTGATAATTTTCGCCTTCTGGGCGGCTGGATTCCAGTCGGTGTTGGACTTGCAGAAATGGGGAGCCCTGATCCCTGATCAGATCAGCATTACCGCAGGTGAGTTTCTACCCTGAGATGCCCGGCCGCTGGCGCATGTGCTAACATGGTGCGCGTTACAGCATACCGACTATCGACGTTCCCATTAATCCATTTGAACTTCATCCATGCGCTCCTCAACGTGCTGGCCTTGACGCCGCTGATGGAGAGGTTTGAGGCCGAGTATGGGACTTTGACGACTCTGGCCCTGTTTTTCGGACGTAAGCACGAACCGCTCGAATCTAGCCACCGAAATTGTGAAACTGATCTGTTTCAGCGTTGACGACGATCCCGGGCGTGCTATACGTGGTGATCGAGAGAGCCATCTTGCGGGCGAACAGTGAGGTTGTAGGCGCGAGGTGAGAATACTTTGGCTGGCAAGACTCTTTTTTTAGCGACTGTGACTGACGTGCCATGATAGCCTATGGGTGTTCTTGTTGCTGGGTATGGAGGCCATTCGAACCTACAAGACGAATCCGTATCTCGTCATTGGCACCGTTCATATCCCCACTTGGACGACACCGCTGCTCTTGATCTTGGTGGTGGCGGCTTTGGTCCCGAGGACTAGCTTCCTGGGCCATCTATGCGGTGTTATCGTTGGATACGCTGGTAAGTTTTCTTTCATCCTAAATGTCAAGATGAAAGATGATGGCTGATTCACTGTTGTAGCTGGTTTCGGCTATGTGAAATTCCTGGCTCCTCCGGAGTGGGCGCTTCGCTGGATTGAGTCGCGCCTTAACCTGCTGGCGATCCTCCCGCATTATGTGAGCGTCGACCAGAAAACCTACGGGCGATTCGGCGTGTTGCCATCTAACAACCGGACCGGCCCTGGCGGTAGTGCGGCGACGGAGCTTGTGGGAACTACACAGCGCCTGGGACCTTGAACGTGCGTGTGTATTCATCTGGCAATGGCACAGCATCATCTTTTGTAATATAGAATGGCATTGTACTTGGGAATCATTTCTGGGTCACTGGTTGGCGTGGCATTTAAAAGACGGGATGCTAGATGGGCCGATTTGTCGGATGGTCTGACTCGACCAACTCCATTGTTACCGTCGTTGTTTATGTTGTATGGGATGGGAGCAACTCGGGATGCCGTCATGGACAATACAGACGGAGGCAGCGATGACGGGTCGAATGTACTTCATTGATTGGTAGCGCTCAGATACTCATTGGCCAAGCCGGCAGTGGTTTTGTTTATTAATATATTCGTGCCCTTGGGCACAAAATCAAAAGCCTCCTGCTTGATATCGATGAAATCCATTCAGATGCTGGACGCATAGCTGCCTTGTTGCCCAAAATCAGGGACGCGTGAGCACGTGCTCAGGCGACGAAGGTGTCAAACCAGCCACATGTTACATTGGAAGAAGCCCCGATAGTTGAATACGGCGTCCCCGCCATCGGCTGTGCCCCTGGGCGGGTCGCTGCTTCCCAGTCCAAGCGGCGCTGTGAGTCCAGGCAGTCGCTTGTTCGGTACGTACCTCCTCAGCACGGATTACGGATTCGTGGTGGCATCGGGAGCTGTAGATGTACACGGAACCTAGTCTTGACGACAACTCGGACGATTGAGAGTCCCGCGGCGTTGGTTGTTACTCGTCGCGCGAAAGCCTCTCTTTAATCATGTCGCGACTCCTTTGTAAGCTGCTCCCTCACGCCGTGGTGCCCCGTGTTATCTAGCCTGTCGCTAACCCGTGCTCTCTGCCTCCCAGCCTCGGCGCTCTCGCTGCGTCGCGACCCGCGCATCCTCAAGCTTCCTCCTTACCTGTCCTTCCTATGCATCCTGGTCGGCGTCGTCTGGCTCTTTCTCCTACCGCTCAACAACTACTCGCGCCGTACCTACATCTCCGAGAACGCCCTGCTGCCCGGCCAGGTGCACACCTACTTTGGCGGGAGCGAACAGCATGTCTTGCGGGCATACCGGCACGAGGTGGATGAGGTCGTGGGCCGTGATAACTACCAGTACGTTTATTGTGCAGGCGCGCAACTGACGCTGAATCGTGCTGATTGGGGATTTGCAGAATCAACGACAAGCTTGAGGAGATTCTGACGGGCGTTGGACTCAAGGTCGGTCGCCAAAACTACACTTACCATTCCGCCGGCGATGAGTACTCTGGCCAGAACCTCTATGCCATCCTCCAGGCCCCCCGTGGCGACGCAACCGAGGCTATTGTTCTGGTCGCCGCCTGGAAGAATGTCGAAGAGCAGCTGAACCGCAACGGCGTGTCCTTGGCCCTGACCTTGGTCCGATATTTCAAACGTGTGTATTCCGTGGTATTTGACGGCTTGTTCGGAGGCTGACGTGTGATCACAGGCTGGTCTCTCTGGTCCAAGGACATCATCCTAGTTGTACCCCCGGACAGCAAAACGGGCACCCAGGCCTGGGTTGACGCCTACCACGACGCCCATAATCCCGAGCTGGTCTCCCCCCTCCCCCTCAAGTCAGGAGCCCTCCAGGGCGCCATTGCCATCGACTACCCCCAGGAGCAACACTTCAAGGCCATCCACGTAATCTATGACGGCCCCAACGGCCAGCTGCCCAACCTGGATCTCATCAACTCCATTGTCAACATCGCCGGTGGTCAGATGGGCATGACCACCTCGATACAGAAGATGAAGCAACATACGAACAAGTACCCTGACCGCCTCCGGACAATGCTCCGCGGCATGCTGAACCAGGGTCTTGGGTACGCTGCAGGCGCTCACAGCAGCTTCATCCCGTACCATGTTGACGCCGTCACCCTCCAGCCCTATGGTGAAGGCTTTCAGGACGAGATGGCCATGGGCCGGTTGGTCGAGGGATCATTCCGCAGTCTCAACAACCTTCTTGAACATTTACACCAGAGTTTTTTCTTCTACCTCCTCATGCAGACGGACCGCTTCGTCAGTATCGGTACCTATTTACCGAGTGCTATGCTCCTGGCCGCCAACTTCACCATCATGGCCATCTCCCTCTGGGTTAAGAGTGGCCAGTCAGCAACCCAAGGATCCGAAAAGTCCAAGTCTAAAAGCAAGGGAAAGAAGGGCGCCGCCAGCTCTTCGCCGACGCCAGCACAAAATGAGGAGCGCGATCTATTTCTGCCTCTCGCCATTGTTGCCGTGTGCCATGCCCTCTCCGTGGTGCCACTGTATACATTCAACCGCCTCCCCGCCAGCGTAAGTCCTCATAGCCCCCTTTCCTTACCTCGCAGGAGGAAATTCGCTCACATAACATCAGATGCTCGCTCCCGCCTTCGCCATCTTCTCCGTCATCTCGGCAGCCATACCTCTTGCCATCTCCTACCTCGTGAACGTCTTCTACAAGCCGACGACGCAACACTTCCAGCTTACAAAGTCCTTCTCCCTGCTCGTCCTCGGCATGTGCCTCTCCACCCTCGCCACTCTCAACTTCTCTCTCGCCTTCCTCATCGGTGTCCTCGCAACCCCGCTCAGCTTCGTTCGACCGGTCAAGAGCACCGCTGTCCGCTGGTCACTTGCCGGCCTGCTCAATGTGGTCGCCCCATCCACTGTTGTGTACACCGCCGCCCAGATTTGGGGTGTCAGCATCGCCGACCTGTTGCGGGAAGCGAGCTTTGGCTGGAACGTGTGGGGCATGTACACCCCCGTGCTCATCTGGTGTCTCTGGTGGCCAGCGTGGATGGTAGGCGTAATAAACGTGTTTGGCACGACTTCTGCTTGAAAGTCAGATCGTCGGTGCTTCTTACAAGGCTAGCTTATGCTGGTGATGTACAATACTACCATGGATAGAACGGAAACTTCAAGTTTTGACTGTTTGGGATTGCAAGGACGGCCACATGCGGCGTCGCGGGAATGTCAGATTAATAGCCGTCCCCTGGGCATGGGAGTAATGTATGCCCGGATAGAGGTTTCTATTGTCTATATTGTACATTTGCCTGTCATTTTGGTCTCATACCAACGCCGCCTATACAGGAGGTCTCTGGTGATTCTCTACGCTGCCCACACATCCTTGCCAGCCGACTCGATCCAGTTGCCGAGCTGGTTGACACTCGAGTCCCAGTCGAGCAGTCTCTGGCGCATAGCGGCAATCTGCTTCATATCAAGCACCTTGGGCTGGACCCAGGTGATGTGCGCCACGCCGTCCACCTGGTCAATGGTTCCCCGAAGGAGACCCAAACTCAGGGCCTTCATGATGAGGTGCTCAATCTCCTCGGGACGGACCTTGGTCTCGTGAGCGATGGTGGCGAAGGACATGGCTCGGTCGTGGGGGGGTCGGCGGAAGACGGCCTCAGTCAAGGCGGCGAGGTAGATCTTCTGGCGGAGCTGCACAGAGTGATGGTCGAGGAGCTTGTTAGACTCAACGCGATCGGAAAGGACGTCGAAGGCGGCGAGGTCTCCGCGGTTAAAGGCGAAAAGGAGATCTCGCAGCCAGGAGTGTTCGGTCTTGGCCAGGACGTCGAGGATAGGGTGTAGTAGCAGCTCGCCGAAGTTGTAGATGCTGGTGGAGACGAGAGCAGCAATGCTCAGGTGGTAGGCTCGCCTATGACGCTCATCGGGCTTGAGTGCGGCCAGGTCAATGCAAGCGAGGTAGAGGAGGGCATTGCGGTAGTAGTTGGAGAAGTCCATCTTGCGCTGTAGGCGGGGTTTCTGTTAGATGTCTGCATACAAGATGGAATTGTGGCAGAGGGGACAAAGGCATACCTGGTAATAACCGGCATTCGCATCATAGAATGCAGCATGGACAATCGTCTCAACTGAGTCAAACGAGTCAAGTATCCTCTCCGCCTTGTCTAGGTCCTTTCGTGCGCCATCGAGGTCCTCCAGGTCCAACTTCACTCGGGCAACGGCCACTGAAGCAAAGACGAGAGCATCTTGGGAGTTCTCGTTGTCGACCTTCTTGGCAACGGCTTGCAGGAAGACCAGACGCTCCTCATCATCTGTTGGAGGGGGAGATCAGTCAGTACTGCGTCTCCGTCCAGAGTCCGGCGGAGGGAGGAAGGAGAGGAGCTGATTCCAACGTACCTGTACACTCGGTGGCGGCCTTTAGAGCGAGATCCACAAGCTTAAGTTGGTTGATCTTGTCGGCGAACTTGAGGATGAAGACCCGGTAGAAGGACAGTCGTTGAGGGGCGCTGCCGGGGTGGCTGAAGAAGTCGACGAGAGCATTGGTGAGCTGGTGCCAGAGCTTGCGTTCCCAAAAGTTCTCGAAGTCAAGGATAAGGGGCTGGAGCTCCTCGGGAGCCTCGTCTCGCTGCTCGGCGAGGAAATCGGGGATGGCGTCGGCGCTCATGATGGGCGTGTGTGGGTGTTGTTGGGTGGCGGTGATGTGTGCGGGTAGGTATTTGTGGCAGGGCAGCAGGTAGCTTGCACCTCACCTCACTGAAGATGGTTTCGTGGAAATGCGGGACTCGACAGAAGTGAAATTCGGGGATCACAAGGAGGAGGCTTGGCTTGCTCAAGGTCCTCGTTGGAGGGTGGTGAAGTCGTCGGCGATGAGAGAGATGGAGTTGTTAGTGTCGTGGTTGCTTTGGGTAGGTTCGATCCTAAGCTCGTCAACGCGGCTGGCAGGCAGCCTGGTGTCGCAACCTCCAAAGGCGCACGGACCCCTACTGCCACCTCCACCATACACCCACCAAAAGCCGGACACAGTGGGCCACACAGTGAACACAAAAGCTTGGGAAGCTCAGATGTGTCCCGTGACCACGCACGTGAGTCGAAACTAGCGCCCCCGAGGCTGGACCTTCGCTCCCGGGCATCACCAAACGTTGCTGTTGCGACGAACCAAGGCCAATTGAGAGGGATAGCAGCGTTTTCTCGCGCACTCCAGACAATCGCAAGCATGGCTTCGCCTCTCTCTGCCGTGCGGTCTGCCCGCCAGGTCGCCCACAATGTTGCCGGCAATCGTCTCCTCTCCGACATTGCCATCACCCGGACTGGCAAGCCCATCATCCGACTCGAGGGTGGCCGGTAAGTTCCCAAACAGCTTCCTCTACGGTCCCCGCGATGCCGCTGCCATTTCCAGTGATTGCTGACGATCCATTGCGTTCTAGATCATCCCTTGGAGGTGCGAACGACCGAGCCACGAAATCCCGAAAACGAAGCTGACGATGATTAACCAGGCCACACTGCGACGGTATTTGGCGCAACCGGCCAATTGGGACGCTACATCGTGAGCCGTCTGGGTGAGCACCGAATCCCGAAGCTCAAGGAATATGTGTGAACTGGGAGGCTGACAATTACCGCATAGCCCGCCAGGGTTGCACCGTCGTCATTCCCTACCGTGAGGAGATGGCCAAGCGCCATCTCAAGGTGACGGGAGACCTCGGTCGCATCGTCTTTGTCGTATGTCATATCCGAACTGAATCCCCCGGCCAATTTTCCGAGAATCCTGCTACAGCTTCGTCCATCTAGGAATACGACCTTCACAACACGGCTTCCATCGAGGCTAGCGTCAGGCACTCTGACATTGTCTTGAACCTGATTGGCCGAGACTACCCGACCAAGTATGTCATCCCAGGAAGCTCTCCACGGAGGGGCAACGACAACGAGCAATGAGCTAAAAAGAGGCATTAGGAACTTCTCCCTGGAGGACGTGCACGTCGAAGGCACCGAGCGGATCGTGGAGGCCGTCGCCAAGTACGATGTCGACCGATATATCCATGTTTCGTCGCACAACGCCGACTCAAAGTCGGGATCGGAGTTCTTCGCCACCAAGGTGAGTGCCATTGCGGATATCAGTATCAATGGAAGAAGATTCTGACCAGAGAATTAGGGACGTGGTGAGGAGGTCGCCCGAAGCATCTTCCCCGAGACGACTCTAGTCCGACCTGCCCCCCTTTTCGGATTTGAGGACAACCTTCTGCTGAAGCTGGCTGGCGTCACCAACCTGTTCACCTCCAACAACATGCAGCAGAAGTTCTGGCCCGTTCACGTAAGTCGTTTCGTGTTGTTTGGGAATATTTTAACCTGATTGACTGACTGTCTCAGTCCATCGATGTCGGCGCCGCCCTGGAGAAGATCACCTACGACGACTCGACTGCCGGACAGACGTTTGAGCTCTACGGACCCAAGGAGTACAGCATGAGGCAGCTTGCGGACATGGTGGACAAGGAAATTTACAACAAGCGACGACACATCAACCTGCCCAAAACCATCCTCAAGCCTCTTGCTGGAGTCCTGAACAAGGTGCTCTGGTGGCACACGATGTCCGCTGACGAGGTGGAGCGAGAGTTTATGGACCAGATCATTGATCCCGAGGCCAAGACCCTGAAGGATCTCGATATTGAGCCTGGTGACATTGCCAACTTCACCTACCACTACCTGGTAAGTGACATGGGACGTAGGAGATGATGAAGGACTCGTGACTGACAACCGCTGCAGCAAGGATTCCGAAGCCAGAACTTCTACGACCTGCCTCCGGCGACTGAGAGGGAGAAGCGTGAGGAGAAGAAGTACATCCACGTCCTGGATGAGTTGTAAAGCAGCTTTGCATCTGGTGTACTGTATCAAGAGCAAGAGAAATGGTGATTGGCTAGATGGCTGGGCGGACAAGCCGACAGAGTCCGTGTAAATAGGGCCGCATAGATTAGAGAGTCTGCGAGTCCGAACAATTGTACAGGTTTCCTTTGGTTGACAGCCTATGTTTGTACGTCCATGGTGTTGGGTGATTGGGCGAAGAGGGCCATGATGAAGTTGAAGTAGAATCATGAGTTAGCTGACCAAGACTTTTTAGCATACCCTGTACCAAGTGGTCATGGCATGGAGCAATAAGGACCCCGCCAAAAATGTCACAAACCTCGTCAACCCCACCATGAGTGAGTGATCGCATCAACAATACGTCTAACACAGCAACCGTCTCTTCTGTACTGCGTATCCATTCAACCGCAATGTCTGATAGCGATGATGAGCCCATGTAAGGAGCCACCTCTGTTCTATTCTTGCTCCAAAGTCCCAGTGCCCACAGAACTCATTCTGATATGATTCCGCTCGCAGAACGCTCTCGAGTCACGCGCTGGCTGCGCTGGCCGAGTTCGAAGCTGAAAAGGACGCCAGCCAACAGAAGTTTGAGAAGCTCAGGACCGGCATCACGGCCGGGGGCCCTACAGCGCAGGTCATCAGTGGCGATGAACCGTTGTCCATCTCAGCCTTTGCCGAGGACTGGAACGAATCGCAGTTTTGGGTACGTAAAACATGCATCTGCCAAGCTCAACCGGTCCCCAACCTGGTCTTTTAACGACGAGGTGAATGGCGCACCCGAAACGGGCAACTTCAAATATCATCTCTTGGCGGAGATGGCTTCATGATCGACTCCCCATTACATATTCATTACGTACACCCGGCTCCTTGGCCAGACACCATGCTCCCCTCTCCTATCGGGCCCCAAAGAGCTTGAGTTGACCAGGAACAAGTCTTGGCTTACAGAATAGTGATTATTAACGTGTTGTGCCTCCTAGTACTCGGACGAATCGGCGAACGTCCTGGCTGAACAGCTCCTCGGTGGCGCCTCATCCTCGACGACAATCGGCGTCCTCTCTACCCCGAGCGCCTTCGTTGCTCTCAAGAACATTGTGGTGAGTTCGACCTAGTGCTTTTCGGCCACTATTTGAGAGGACCCTACCAAGATAAGACTGGTTGCTGACTTGTTGGGTCGCGTCCTGTGAATTAGAGAAAGCAACCCGTCAAAGACCGGCCTAAGCTGGTGTTGTTTGAGCACGACGATCGCTTCAACGTCTTCCCCGAGTTTGTCTTTTATGACTACCAGCAACCCCTCAAGCTCCCAGGTAACCACTGCTATTTCTGCCCAAGAAAATGAAAGAGGCTATCCATACCAACTGGCTGATTGGTACAGCTGAGCTCAAGGGGACTCTGGATTGTGTCATCATCGACCCGCCCTTCTTTAACAATGACTGCCAGACTAAATGTTCGTTATCCGTCTCCCCTTTAGCTCGCGACTGCACTACCTCCCTGCACCTCATCTCATTTGCTGATGTGAAACCACGATAGTCGCCCTCACCGCTAGGTGGCTTCTCAAGCCATCCTCGATACCTCGCATCATCGTCTGTACCGGCGAAAGAATGGCTGATATCGTCGTGAAGCTCTATCGCTCGTTCGACGTTCGCCCAACCACCTTTGAGCCCGCCCACTCGGGTACCCTCAGCAATCATTACTATTGCTATGCCAACTTCGAATGTCCTAGCTGGACATGGCGACCGGAGACAGACCAGACCGCCCACAAGTCTTGAACGAGATCTGGATGGGCTCTCTATACACTTTGCCCTGCAGCATAGTAGTCCTCGTCTCCTACCGAAGCTCTTGAACCGACAAGCCCTTGGGAAGCCAGAAAGCTGCTAAACCAACACGGGCTAATTGCCATCTATACGAGCCCAGAGGCCATGCGCACCCTTTGCGCTCGAATCTGATATAAGTCTTCGTTGATTCCCCACAGAGGTATTCAATTCCAAACTATGCGCCGAGCTATGCATCCCCAGTCCAGGTGTCTGTGTCTTTGCTCTCCCAGAGTGTATTTTGTCTTGAATATCCGTTGACGCCGGTCTAGTGCCTCTTCCCAACCTTCCCTTCGTAGGTATCCCTTCCTCCAACCACCTGTAGGCCGCCCTCTACCTCTACAAGTCTTAGCCTCAAGCTAGGGAACGGATGATGTAGAATAACAGGTATGCTTGCGCCCCGAGGACCTCCGAGAGGCTCGCCAGCTCCACCTTGTGATCGTTGAATTTGAACCACTGAGACAGAAGAATACGTTAGCAAACATTGCAATCACCACCGACTCGTTTCATCGTTATCGACTCACTTGATCACCAACTCTGCAATATGATACGTAGTGACCAGTCTCAATCTCACCCACGTGAACCACCACACTCAAGAGGTCGTAGGTGCAGGATCGCTCGAGCTCTAGATTTTCGCGGCTGTCACGACTGCGCACACGTTGCGTGTAGGGTAGCATGTTGAGCTGCAGCGGAAACCGCACCCCAGTGTCGATCTTAGAAGCTGCCCGATCATGCCGGCCTTGCCGGTACTCGAAGCGCTGCATACTATTAGCATATTGTCTTTCTGTGGAATCTAGCAGTCGCTAGTGCTGGCTAACCCACCTTGAGCTGCACGGATAGGACGTTTGGAAGACGCTTAATGGTAGTGTGTCTTCTCGCCTGTTGAGTTCCCTTGCAATGATTACACCGGTACTCACACTTATCTGACTTGATGTACTCTTCATCTAAGCACTCTTTCAATGTCAGGACTGGCTTCTTCTGGCCAGTTTTCCTAATTCGTTTCTGCACCAGGTGGTCCAGCCCCAAGCTCAGGTCCAAGAATGACTGAACGGAATTGCTTGTTCCGTTGCAATTCTGGCACGTCGTCGTCGTCAGCATTTTGCCATAGAAGGTCTGGTGGATGATGCAGTTGCAGCTATGCTCGCTTCCACTCTCAGGCTTTTTGCCATCACCGGTCCGCTCGTGAAGCTCCTCCGCCAGGAATTGGAAGAATTCGTGAGCATCTTGCTCCTTGGTGGTTACCAGATTTTCAAACGCCTTTCTCTCTGAAATCCAGAAACCCGACAGGATATTTGCAGCGGTATACCCGTTAGTGTTCTCGAGCGCATAAAAGTCCTGGAACATGTCGTCCATGGCGCAGCTCAGGCAGTGAGGAACTTGACAGTCATTACTGTGGTGTCCGTCGCTGAGATAGAAATTCCGGAGTAGGGGATTGTGAAGGAAGCTTTGAAGCACGACATTCTGGTAGCAGGTGGCGCCTGCGTTGTAGATACCCCGGAGGCCGTTTGCGCGGCACGAGGCGATGGTGGTATTGGAGGAGATGTACCGAGGGTCCTCCTTAATGGAGTCGGTGAAGAGCTCGTCATGCTTTCTCTTACGACCTACTAATAATAAGTTAGTCGCTGGTGTTGATGGAGCAGCCTGTAGATTGGGTGGTATGTAGTCATTGGGGGTGAGATGGGGGAGGTTTACGACTCCCGAGATCTGTCGCCATCAGCATACTCACCGGTGAAAGAGCCCGTTCCTATTTTTCGCACTCGAAGCTCCTCGAGGGTGGGATCCCAGACCAAGTCGTCACATATCTGGCAATAGAGAGATCCGCTTCGGGAATCGACGTCTATCCCAAGTCAGCAAAAGTACTAACGCGGTGGCTTGGACATCCACATACAGAACCGATGCGACTTTTTAGTTCCATGTTTTAATCGATCGTCCTCAGATACGGTCGTCGGGCATTGTAGACAGAGATAATTGGAGGTGAGGGAGGTGACAGGACGGCCTTCTTGGTTGGTCGAGGTTTGGGGGACGATCGGGGTGGCGTCGAAGATGCCGCGAAGGATCATCTTGTAGTGGGCGATGGAGCTGTTCATGACTTCCTGACCTTGGCCAAAGAGAAGCTGGACATGTTCTGCAAAGCGGTTAGAAGGGGAGACGGGGGCTCATGGCGTTCTCAAAGGCTCGCCCAACAGAAGGGGATCGTACCACAACCAAACATTGGCGACCCCGGGCTGGGAGACTTGACCTTGGCATTCTTGGGAGAAGCGGGAGTAGTTGGACGAGCTGACATGATGAGAGCTACCCGGGCTAGTTGGGTAGTCGCGATAGTGAGAGGAGGTATGGGGTAGAGAGCCCGGGCGTAGGCAGAGGAATAGGCGATGCAAGCTAGACGATGACAGGCGGCGAGGTGCGTCACGGTGACTGCGGGTGGCGACCAAGACGGCGGTAGTGTAACTCGGATGGGATGTTTGGTAATGCGACTCGGGGCGCGTTATCGCGGATAATCGAGGGGTAAAATCGCCCGTTCGTTCTGAAGATGCGAAGTTAATAGCAATTCCCAATTGCAGAGGTGGGATCGGCGGGCAGACTTGGTTACAGCATCGTCAGTTTCATGGAACCTTGTGGAGGGGAACAAGCGTTGCCGAAGTACAGAGGATTGGGAGATGCTCGCGCAAGTGAGAAATGAAACATACACTTTAACCAAGTCCTCACGGTGGCGGGTGGAGGCGCCGACGAGATACGATGGCTCACGACGGGAAGATGGGAGAGAGGCAGGTCACCAGTCTGATGCCGAACCACAGACGCCAAACACAGAGCGGCGACACGGATGCGAAGCAGCCAGCGACGGTGATGATGCTCTCTTGTTCAGTGGTGCAGCAAGCCAGGTTGAGCTGGCAACATTGGGATTGAAAAGCGAATGGGAGCCAAGGAACGGAACCGGAGGCACCAGAAGAATAAAGATTCTTAGTCGATGGTGGATGGATGGATGGATGGCGGAGAGAGAAGTTAATGGCGAGGCAGGCAGGTACGCAGCATGGGCTAATTTGTGGTTGGCTGGTAGGTACCTCCTGACGTAGAAAATGTACGGAAGGTACCAACCGTGACGGGCACGCGCCGCCTGTCCCTTGTCCTGTGTGAAATGTCACAGCAAGAGCGAACTTGCGCACGGCCATGCAAGGGAAGCGCCGATAAGATAAGAAATTATTGGGCCACCAGGCCGCTAAGTTAATTAATAAGGAAATCGGCCCCTGTACTTTTAGCGGGCTGCCGCCTGCAGAAAGACACAGCACCGACCAAAGTGCTCTAGAGCGCAGCGACAGATCCCTACTGAGCAGGCAGTCCTCAGTGATGGGAACCCCTCCACGGCTAACCTGAGGAGCTGGCATTGGGCCGAGGCTTTCCATGCTTTTCCTTGGTTGGTAATGTAATGAGAACACTCACAGACCGAATGACGACCAGCCTCTAGTCTCACCCTTATACCAGAAATAACGGTGCGACTGAACATCTTCCTTCATCCCTCCCCACCCCCCTTCACCAACCTCTCCCGTCTTTACTGCCGTTCATCTCCTTCTCTCATCCCAGGTTTCGGCTCCGTCTCGGTTCCTGCCCCGTACCCCACAGTCCACCCAAGTGACCGTCTCCGGCATCCGGCCCCGGTCCTTCCCCGACCGATCTCCGGAGCATCTCCGGAATCCAGTCTTGATCCTACATCCTCAATTTCCTCGCAGAAGTTGAAGATCCCCAACCAATCTAAATAAACGCACATACGAGGCCATAGTCCCCCAATGGCTGCACAGCTCATCGCTCTCCCCGCCGTGGAGCGCCTCAGCCCCGCCTGCATCCGTATCCTAGGCGGAAACCCGGGGAAGTTTACCTTGCAGGGCACCAATACATACCTGCTCGGCACTGGCCGCCGGCGAATCCTTATCGACACAGGCGAGGGTCGAAAGGCCTGGATCTCCTCCATCAAATCCACCCTCGAGCAGGAGAACGCTACTATCGACACGGCTCTAATCACACACTGGCATGGCGATCATACTGGCGGCATCAAGGATCTCCTCAGCCTCTCCCCGCAAACCAGTATCTATAAGAATGATCCAGACCCGGGTCAGCTCGATATTGTCGATGGGCAGCAGTTCTGCGTTGAAGGTGCCAGTTTGACGGCGTCCCATACTCCCGGTCACACCACCGACCACTTTGTTTTCGTCATGAAAGAGGAAGATGCCATGTTTACTGCCGATAATGTCCTTGGCCAAGGTACAGCCGTGTTCGAGGATATGGCCGCATACTTGCAAAGCCTTGAGCAGATGCGACCCATGTTTAATGGTAGGGCTTACCCCGGACATGGCCCCGTCATCGAGGACGGGCCGGCCAAGATATCCGAGTACATCACACACCGGCGGCAGCGGGAGGATCAAGTTGTTCGAACATTAGCGCTCCCGCCCGGTGAGGGGACGGAGAGTCCTGTCGCCGAGGCGATGGTTCCGACCTGGACTGCTATGGAGTTGGTCAAGGTCATTTACAAAGACGTGCCTGAGGCGCTCCACCAAGCTGCTTGTGGTGGTGTTTGCCAGATCTTGCATAAGCTTGAGGGCGAGGGTCGTGTTTCACAGCAGGGAGACAAGTGGCGGCTGGTGGTTGAGGGCCGTTCTTCCCTCTGACGTCGGCTATCTGCAATGTCAATGTCGAAGTATTGTATACTACGATAGCATGAATTCGCACTTGAACTCGACCCAAGCCTGAGCTTACACAGCTCCCCGCGAGGTTTGTGCCCGGGATAGAAGCAGAGGACCAAATGTTAGCGCTGCTTTGCACCCATGATGAGATAGTGGTGGGCGGCTAGTGACTGCAGAGTATTTCATCCTGCCTTAGTCCACAGATTTCGCACAAGATCGCATGAACTTGCATATACTATTTGCAGCTGATGCCAACCTTAACCTCTCATCCGCATATTAAGATGTTGGAGATCTCAGGTCATGGTTTCGTTCCCTTTTCACTAGATAACTCCAGGTCTCTGTGTCAGGAGGGCTTGATGATGAACCGGCTGAACAGAAGTAGTCATACATTTGATAGAAAGCTGCTCTTCCGGGTAAAGCACACTGGACAATCTCATGTCACCGGACAAAAGGTCAAGGCATCCCGAGGGTATCCCGGTGCCGGTGATCTCAGGCGACATTGCGGTTGGCCAGTGTTCTTTGCGCAAGGTATCGGGGAAGTTGTTTGTCCCATCCACCACAGACGAAAAGGAGGGTTGCTCGGCAGCTTCGGGTGGCGTCGCATAGTCGTTCATCAACTGTCCAGGGTCAGTGATGGTGGGTGGGGAACTACGCTGGACGAGTCCCACGGCTTCATTACGGACTAGGCATGGGCGGATGATCCGTCAGACGCACAACCTAATGCAGCCACTTGCGAGACGCGAGAGCGATACTATTTTGTTAAGTACGTACCTCTCATATTCGCCGTTTCCTGAAAGGTTGTGACGGGGTTATGGTAGTGGAGGTGGTGATCCCCTCATCGCCTCATCACTAGTAAAGTGACAACTGTCAGGCGTCGGCGGAATCGGCGGGATCGGCGGGGGGGATGAAGAAGTCTAAATGACGATAAAGTTTAGTCGGTGAGTAATGCTAGGAGCAACGTGGGTAATTTCAATAATCATTGATTAGAAGCGCAGATGTCATATACACTCTGAGAGATATCGGACCTAACTTGCAGCCGTCGGTGTCGGTTCTAAAAACCGAAACGTTGACGACGAGGGAATTCACAAAGGGCGGACTCCCGGAACTTTCGGGCAAGTCGGTGGCAGATGCGTCTGGTGACGCACAACTCGGCAAGCTGTTTGCGTCTTGGCATCTTGGTCAAGTAACAAAAGCCGCATCTGGGCAACCACAGGACACCTCCTCCGGCCTTTCCAAATCATAAGTGGGCCAAGTCGGCAACGGCATCGCCATTTTGACGACCAAGGGCCGCAGAGACGGCCGGGAGCGGGGACTTCTCCACCGCCTGTCCCTTTTTTTTTCGGTGCTCCATCTCAATGCTTGGACTCATGGACACCTGCCCACTTGTGGATGGATGCTATCGTGTTAGTGCCAGAAGTTACATATGCAGCTGTGTAGACAGAGACAAGGCCAAGTTGCCCGAAATCCTGGCAAATGCATGTACAGTCACGCCTAAGGAACAGACTGGGTTCGTGACGTCCGCATGACGAATCCAGCGGCGACGATACGCCGTCTGCTTATTCAGAACCGTCATCATTGAGGGCTGGGGCGAACCGAGCCAAGCAGCAAAGGACACTGCCACTGGTTGATTCGCTATTTGAATCCTACCGGAGGTTTCCGATCTCGTTTCAGCCGATGACATGCTATGATAGAACAACGAGGTGAGCGCTCTTGATATGGGAGCAGCAAGTGGTTGGAGGTGGGATAAGCTGGTATATCCGGGAAAATTGGGTCTCGGGGATAACGGGGCCAGACAAACCAGGTCTTGTCAATCATTACCATGAACGGAGATGGAACGTGGACGAGAACGGCGACTAACAGGTGGTACGATCTAAGAGCTACCGGCATTGTCTCTTCTCCGTGGGCAGCAGACCAACTTGCATGAGACGCACCGGACATGGGCTGCGTGCTTCCGCCAGTGATACGTGTTGTAGGGGTTTCCAGCTGCAATCGGCATCAGTTATTGCCGGCGGGGTGTTCTTGGCTCAGTAATAAAGGTAATAAAAAAAAGTCTCCGATAGGAAGTCGAGCGAGTACTGGTAGGCCCCGGCAAAATCGGCGCTTGACCTTGCCATTGACAAGTCAATGCAGGCCATCCGCAAGACCCCATTTAAGTTACCAGTCAATCCGTGTATTCTTATTCGAGCCATGATGTGTCATCCCAAAAGAAATCTCGTTAGTGGGCATTGGGTGTGTTGGTAAGCCACGCTTAAGTCGAGCCTGGCGGAAATATCCACGAAACGTCCACGGGTCGGTCACAAGCCCAATGAGCAAAGAGGAGGCGCCAACTTACCAAGCGCCAGCTGGGCACCAACTCCGTGGCGGATGCGGATGCGGGTACGGGTGTTGAACATGCAGGCGGGTGGGCAGGGCATGTGTGACATGTGTGACATGTGTGAAATGTATGCGAATGTACCAGTATCTGTCGATCCGTTGGTGATGCCATCGTGGTCAAGCTCGGGCGTGGCTCATGGGTACCTCCGCTGCAGTACAAACAAGGCGTGACTCGCTGGTACTTTATCTTGCTCTGTCTTGCTCCATCATGACATTCCGCGCCAAGTCGGTACATCAAGACGTGGCCACCCGTTGTACATCCCATCCTAGCCTCGTGCTTCTTTGCCGCTGTCTCCAGGAATCATCCACGAGGCCCCGAAAGCCCCAAGTTCGTCATGGTCGGGTCAACACTTCCCCATTCCCAATCCGACCCCGACCAACCCGCCTGGTAACCCGCCTGGTAACCCGCCTGGTAACCCGATCCAACTACCAACCCTCTATCTCGTTCGCTTACCGCATCTTTGAAGCAATTCGGAAGCCTCGGATCACCCAGAATCCCCTTCTTGGCATTTTTCTCTGCTATCCAATGACACCATCTCGGCTTGTTCTGGGTCCTGATTCCGTAAACCCTTCGTTGACCCTCGATGCCCTCAAATCAAGTTAAAAGGCCTCGTCGCCACGCTTGGCCCGATGGCCATCCTGGACTTCCATCCTGCTCCATGTCATGACACCTCGGGAACTCGGCGCAACCTTGAATATCATTCTGATTGCTCCGCCGATAATTGACTTCTCGAACTGCAAGTCTCCATCTTCCCAAACTTCAGGTGCTGCCGCCGAGTCCCGCACCTTGTCTAGCTATTCCGACACGTGTGAATACACGATTAGCCCGAGCACCATCTGAGAACATCAAACTAGATGGCTATGAATTCGGCGCTGTCTCGCACCACTGGCGCCCTCATAATTGCGCTGACGTTTTTCCCACTCATTCTCGCCCATGGCAATAGTCATGATGAGGCCGAAATGGATGGCCATCGAGGCCAGCATCACGAAAGCGATAACCCCAAGGATGATACTGAGTATCCCCCAAGCTACTTCTCCCACCCTGACCATGTTGGCGCAATACACGCCCACATCGCCGTCATGACACTGGCCTGGGTTTTCATTTTACCTGTTGGTAAGCTTGAAGTGCCAACCGCAGATTTCAATTGACTCATCATCATGTTTTTGTCTTCTCCGACAGCCGTAGTGCTCTCCTTGGCAAGGTCCAGATACACCCTTGTCTTGCAATTCGCATTCCTGGTGACAAATGCGGTTGGTCTTTTAGTGGGCACCATTTACAATGACCAAACCCCCGATCTCTACCCGAATAATTCTCATCACAAGTTGGGCTGGGTTGTCACTTGGATTGTCATCGCCCAAGTCCTCATTGGCACGGTGGGATGGGTTGCTGGAGCCGTGGCACGAACCACAAACCTTTCGGACAATGTCACCCACGCCTTTCTCCCAGTTCCAACCGACGCACCCCATGATAGTCAATACCGGATACTTGACGACTATCGGTCTTCTAATCCCTACCGAGCATCCGATGACAGTGGACAAGGCACAGAGCCCAACACAGAATCCTTACGAAACAGCTCCGTATCAACCCTTGACGGTGTGGATGACATCCAATTGCAGAGTCCCCAAAAGGAGTATGGAGAAGAACCTGACGACTTGGAATCCGTGTCACTCTCGTCCCCGATTCCGAAGACTGCCATTGGACGTCACGCAGCCAGAGTTGTTGCTTCGCGAGTCTGGAGGTATCTGGATATCGCAACTCAGGTTGTTGACCGCACCATTCTTCCCTTGGGTTTTGTTTCCCTCGCCACAGGTATTGTCACATTTGGTCGGTTCTTTGTAAGTGATGACTCTGACTTCGAATGGAACGTCGTAACATGTACTAAGAGCGACTGACGCAGGAGGGCGATGAGATCTTTGGCGGTCTTGCGCATTGGGTCAAAGGTGGTGTCTTCTTCTGGCTTGGACTCTTCACCCTTGGTCGTTGGTCTGGCAGCTTCGCTGAGGTGGGTTGGGCATGGAATGTTCGCCCAAAGCGATCTGGACGGAAATGGTGGCCTTCTGCTGAATTTGTCGAAAGTGCTCTGATATTTCTCTACGGCTCGACTAACATCTTCCTCGAGCACCTCAGCGGTTGGGGAGGCGAATGGAAGCCCCGGGATATGGAGCACATTTCCATCACAATCCTCTTCATTGGCGGCGGGCTGGTGAGTTATGGCTCTTTCATACATCCAAACTCGTGTCAAACTCTCTTGAAAATAAACTCACACGCCAATATGACAGTGCGGTATGCTCGTTGAGTCGACCAGGATTCGGGATCTTCTCAATACGACAGCCGATGAAACCGAGTTCGACCACCCTTACCACAACGACGAGGTCAAGCAATCTAGCTCACCGGAAACCTATGAATTCTCTTTGAACCCCATCCCTGCATTGGTCATATTGATGCTGGGGATCATGATGAGTTCCCATACCCAGTCCACAAGGACGTCGAGCCTTGTCCACCAACAATGGGGCAATCTTTTGCTCGGAGCATCCTTCGCCAGAGGACTGACATATGTGCTCCTGTTCCTCAAACCTCCCAAGTCGGTTCTTCCATCTCGACCTCCCACGGAGCTTCTTGCCTCTTTTGGCTTGATTTCAGGAGGCATAATATTCATGGCAAGCGTACGTTGCCGATTCCCTTGACAACCAACATCAGCAATATTCTGATAATTATAACAGGCCGGCGACACAGTCCAGGGAATGATCCATTACAATATGGATGCCATGTTCATGTACACGGTCACCATGGGTTTAGTCGGGTCGCTGATGGCCTGGGAGGTCATCGTTCTTGCCATCAAGGGATGGGCTGTCCGCCGAGAGCGGTACCGTGAGTCGCATCGCATCGTATAAACACACATTTGGCACTGGAATTGCTGGGTCCATAGCCGCGAGCATTAAAGAGTGCCTGCATGGCGTTGAGCTTGTTTAAAGATACCCTTCATGAACCGAGCGCCCTTTACTTAGAAATATTACATCTGTCGTTCTTACACGATAATACCTAGCAGCAAGGTCTATTCGACGAACATTCGAATCTCAAAAAAACTTAGACTACTTTATGGCGAATATTTCAAATGACTGTTAAAGCTGCCACTTCAAAGATGATGCTCCCTTGTTGCACCCTTGCTGCATCCCAGGCGTATATAGCGGTCCTCGTGCAGATCGCGATAGGAAACCATGAAGCAAATACCCAGTATTAGAGTCCATTTTTTCTTAGGGCCCACTTGGTTGGTTTTATTTCAATTCCACAGTGAGTGTTGTTTGTTGATGTGGACAGTTCGTGGTTCATGCCCAACGCGGGACTAGGATTTCCATGCCCCCCATCAAGACACCGAGAGACTCGTTTCCGAATTCTGCTTGATTTCGATGAGGCCCTTCTGAACTTCAATTCTCAACGCCTGAGGGATATTCAGGAATGAGATGGGTCCTGCATCTGGGGGAGTGGCAAGCCATGCCAGTTAAGCATTCTCTCCCTTGTCGCTCTTCGAGGCCGTCACCACACGCTTCTGATCCTCTGCCGAGAAGAGGCCTGCGCCTTGCTGCAGGGCATGGACAAGAAAGGGAATCGAATCAGCCTTAAAGTCATCGGCAGTGCGGACCTTGTCGAGGTCCTCGGAGAGTTCCTGTGTGGTGCGTTGCAAGTAGTAGGACGAGAACTCGGCCTCTCGCTGGCTGTCGGCTTTTCCGGACATGGTTGAGACTCTTGGACTAGTAGAAAAAGGCCGTTTCTAAGGGAAGATTGGAAGATGGATGCCCGAGAGTGTTGGAAAAATAGCTGGGTTCGTTGAAGAGAGAAAGAGAATGGTGGGTCCTTGTGGAAGAGGTTTGCAGATGCGGACAGTGCTTTTATACTGTCTTAATATGAAGGCGCACTGTGATACATATGGCCAAGCATGGAATACCTAGATGCGGATTCAAAGCAGCCAGAGCAGTAAATAAAGGCCATCTGGTTGGTCGCACTGAGCGTCCAACCTGATATCAGGGTCAATGGTGTCAGCACAACGGTAATGCCAGCATTGTAGAATTGAATCGTACCGATGGAGTCTCTGAAACCAAGGAACGGGAGCCGATCGTTCACGAGCAAATGAAGCAAATATTGGACTCCTTTCATATTATGTACTTCATACCCTCACTCCTGTAGCTCCTTCTAGGCAGGCCCCGAGCAATACACTCAAGCAAAAGATTATCCGTTACGCCTCCCGCTTTCCGTTCTTCGTCTATCATGGTCGTGATTTGTGCAAACAAGCTTGAAAACAAATCAATGAGATATGTACTGGAACACAGCAGACACATCTGGCTCTCCACATTCTTGGCGAAGCAACAAGTCCTGGATGGGCTTCAATCCGCTATTGACAAAATGGTTCCAAGTACTGGTGTCTCCATACAACAGAGCTGGTGCCTTGATGTACTGCTTCCCGTCTGGTTTGCATCGTTTGCACTTGAACGTTTCGTGGGTATCGCTCTTGGTGTCGGCACGATACTGGAAGAGCTCGCGGAGGCTATCAAGCGAGAAATGCCGTTCAACGTCCTCCGCCGAGTCGACGACACATGAGGAAAGACTTTGCTTGTGGGACTGGCGTTGGAAGATTTTCTCTTCAATGGTTCCTGTCGCAATAAAGCGGTAGACAAAACAATCCTTCTTTTGACCATCACGCCAAACTCGAGCCAGGGCTTGCTGATCAGCAGCTGGGTTCCAGTCAGGGTCAAAAAGGATCAGTCGATTTGCACCAATTAAGTTGATACCGCAGCCACCTGCCTTACTGCTGAGCAAGAAAACAAACTCGTCGCCCTCGGGGTCGTTGAATCGGTCGACAAGCTTCTGGCGCTTGTTGACATTCATTGTGCCGTCGAGTCGGAGGCATCCGTATTGGCGAGAGCGGCAAAGTCGCTCAAATAGGTCCAGAGTCGAGGTATAGTTGCTGATCAAAACGATCTTGTCATTGGTATCCTGACGGATGCGAGCAAGCATCCGATCAAGGACCGTCATCTTGCCAGAGTACCATGGCTTGATCTCACGATCTCGACCGCGTGATTCCTTGGGAACATAATCATCGGGGAAACACCCCTCAGAGCCTGGCAGATCATCGGCCAGGTTGAGAAGGTCCGGGTGGTTGCAAAGCTTCTTCAAGATGTTGATAGCTTTCAGCGGCTGACTTCCCTTGCCCCGGAGAAGAGCCTGGATGTCTGGGCTTGTGATAAAATAGTTGTAGAGGTCAAGCTGGAATGGAGCCAAGTTGCAAAAGACCACGTGCTCATACTTGACAGGCAAGTACTTGGAGAGGATGTCGTTGGTCCGGCGAATCAAGAATTTGTTGACGACGCCAAGCAACTGCGCGGTGCATTCATCGCCCTTTTTGCGGTCCGCCTCTGACGCATCCGCGTCTCGCCCCCGAAGGATGGGGATTTCGAACCGCTTGCGAAATTCTAACCGCGTTCCAAGCAGGTCTGGGTTCGCAAAGCTAGTGAGAGAGAAATACTCTGTAAGGTCGTTCTGAATAGGAGTTCCCGTGAGGATGACCCGTCGTGAGACATTAAGGCTGTTGAGGGCATTGAATGTGTTGCTGTCGCTGTTCTTCAGCCGATGACCCTCATCGCAAAATAACAATCCGATTTTGGTATGCTTGAGCTCTTCCACATTCAAGCGCAGGGTTTCATATGAGACAATAATGACAGGACGAGTCACAGACCGGCCACTGGCAATAGCCCATTGACGCAATTGACGAGTCAATTCCTCCTTTGTGGCCTTGCCATCGATGGCAAACGGTGTGACGGCGTTAGCACCAAGCCATTTTACCAACTCGTTGGCCCAGTTCTTGACCAAACTGGCAGGACATACCACAATTGCCTTTTGAATCGTGGATTTACCGGCATCGGGTGACTGTTTCAGCAGCGTCCACATGAGACTGATACATTGCAGAGTCTTGCCCAAACCCATCTCATCGGCCATGATGCAACCGTTGGCCTTTTCGTCTATCATGCCGGTCACACATCGGTACATGAACTTGACACCCTCAACTTGGTGAGGCCGGAGAATCTTGGCGAGCCTGGGATCAATGACGACAGGGACGCGAGGATGCTCCCCATCCACCTTCTTCCTAATGCCGAGGATCTCAGCCAGACTTTTGTGCACCAATGGCGCATCCAGTTTCTCCGCAGAACCATTCGCCTCGACCTGTTCCGGTACAACCTTGGGGGCCTCAATAGGCTTGTCGTCGACGGTTGGATCATGAAGAACAATAGCAAACTCACCACTGGGGTCGTGTAGAGCTTTTGGAATGAATACAGCGCCCTGGCGGAGGCCAAGGGTAGGTGGGGGGCGATTGGGGTTGTAGGCGGGACTGTCCTTGTTCTTAAGAGGAACCGAGAAGGCCTTGCGGAAGACGACCCCCTTGTCCTTGGGCTGAAATACGGGAAATCGGTTGGCGTCTCGCGTGGCAAGGGCGAGTCGATCTTGGTTGTTATATGGCTTGTCTGCGTCGGTTTCCCCATCAGCGCCGGCGTAGTCAACCTTTCTTCGCTTCCGAGCTGGTCGATCGGCGGCAGGGGTCCTTCCAGCAACGCCAGGGCATTTGAAGGGTTTGTGCAGCCTTTCGATCGATTGTGGTGTAGATACGCGCTGACGGCCCACGGCACTTCCCTTGCCACCCGTGGGTGTAGATGTGGAGGGCGATCTGGGTAACGAGTTAGTCGCGTGAAACAACAGTGAGTCGTCTCTGGGGAAGGTAGCGTACGGGAGAACCATGGTTGCTTTTGCCCGCGGCAGCACACGATGCAACAGTTTCGTTGGGAATTCCTGGCGTGGATTAAACCACTGAGGAGCCGGAAGGGAGTTGTAAGGCCCGTCTACCTCATGCAAAAGCAGATGTAGGTTGACAAAGCAGCAAGTTTGTTAGATGAGGCGCGACATGGTGGAGGGCGACGCGGCACAAGGCAGACGCGCTATCACGTGCATTGGCACTCCACAAAACATGGAAGGAAGTACCTACCCAAGCTAGGTCTCGCAGCTGCCGCGCAAACCCACCTACCTAATTACTGAGCACAGCGCCTAGGCTCGCCTCCACCGGCTTACATAAAGCAGCCAACACAAGCAGGGCTCATAAGTGAGGAGCAAGAGCTCATTTGACACCCATCAACGGCAGCGGCGAAATCCAATCCATCTCTCATATCAGACCTATGGTTTCCTATGCTGACTTGTGGTTACATGTATTCTGTCCACAGCTCAACCTATGTTCATCTGGGTTCATCTCGGTCTACTCTTTCTTCCTGGCTGTCAACCAGCGTAAACGCAGTCACTAACACATGCACTCCATTACCAGCGTCTCCACCGCCGCATGAAGCCGCTCGGCAGCGAACATCTTTGCCGAGCACCCACCGTTGGTCCGGCTCCGACCCCTCTCCAAGTTATCCCCAGTGGGCACGACGCTGCCGTTATCACTACGACCATCGCTGGACATTTCAGCCATTGGCAGTATTGGGCCCGGATTGACCTGTCAGGCGCGATGCCCCATTGAGTCGACGCATTATTGTCACTGCTGGTCTATTCCTCGCCACTGTCTATATCGTCGTGCTAAACGCCATCGCCGTCGCCAGGCACCTTGATCGCCTTCGCCGGAACTTGAAACTGCAAAGTCTCGCTGGCAACATGTCAGCCGACTTCTGGGCGGGCTACCTCAGCGGAGCCGTTGGTATCCTCATTGGCAATCCCCTCGACGTGATCAAGGTTCGGCTGCAAGCCCAGCATGCAAGTGCAACTTCAACTCCAGCCGTGGCTATCCCTGCAACAAGTCTCAGTTCCACTGCATATGTCCGGTATTTTGGAAACTCGGCGGCCTTGGTTACTGGAACTGCCGCCCCAATCCTAGGCTACGGTGCCTTAAATGCTCTCCTCTTCGTCTCTTACAACCGCACTGAAGCAGCCCTGAACAACATCTTCGCTGTTCGGGAAAGCCTGTGGTCAACCTGGTTAGCCGGCGCAGTTGGTGGCCTCGCAACTTGGGTAGTAAGCACTCCGACAGAGCTGATCAAGTGTCGAGCCCAATTGTCGAGCCAGCACATATCCAGCTGGGCCATTACTAAACAGATCTGGCGAAGCGAAGGCGTACGCGGACTTTACCTCGGTGGCACTGTAACGGCAATCCGCGACAGTGTAGGGTACGGTTTCTACTTTTGGTCATACGAACTGAGCAGCCGGTGGCTCGCTACAGGGCCTGGCAAAGAAGCCTCCCTCCAACACGAAGCCGCCAAGGTCCTCCTTTGTGGTGGACTAGCTGGCGTCGTGACTTGGGCCAGTATCTTCCCCCTGGATGTTATCAAGACCCGTGTCCAGGCTCAACCAGGGGGTAGACAACCAGACACCTCTCCCCTTCTTGGATCAGATACAAGTCAGCGACAAAAACAGTCCAGCACACTCCGCATCGCACAGGACACGTATAGAGAAGGCGGTGCCCGTGTCTTCTTCCGTGGTTTGACCGTCTGTAGTGTAAGAGCCTTCATCGTCAACGCTGTTCAGTGGGCAGTATACGAGTGGGTGATGCACGAACTAGGGCAAGGCCGGAAACAAAAGGCGCAGGTCGACTTAGTTGGGGCCGAAATGACACAGGCATAGATGAATACGAAATAAACGACGGAGTAGGTTGGATATGATGATGTTGAAGATTCAGGATGCGCATAGAAACTTTGCAAATATAGCACTGCATAGTCAACTTGACATGAATCTTGGTTTGCCAACCAGGCAGGCCATGGCACTTGATACGGCTCCCAACGTCCATGTGATACTTCCAGGTGTTTCCAGTGCGACTGTTTCTGCTATTGCTCTCGCGCCGTCATTATTTACGCTTCAATTCGCGCTGTCGGTTCTTAGCAACTGTTGAAGGGTTGATGTGTATATACTACATCCATCCAAGCAACAGATGGAGTTCCTCTTTGCTTCACTAGCTTAGTGCTTAAAAGTATCTATAGGAAGTCGGTCTTCCTGCTTTGTTTTAGGCTCCACTTACGACGCTTTTTTCACGACCAAGCTTTAGGTGGATCGACCGTTGTCCAACATCAAAACGCACAGCACAAGAGATGGTTTTCACGAGAAGGATTCGCAAATCACACTGCCCATAACTCCGACAGTCCGGCCCTTGAATCCGAACCACGCCGCTATTACAACGATTTACACAATGTCCTAGGACACCCCATATCCATAACATCCCTCCCTGGTGGTTGATGCGATCATCCGATGATACTTTAGGCAACGCCCCTTTCTCCAGCAGCTTCTCGCCACCCCTCCAGGCCGACTTCCTTCTTCCATCTCTCTGTGTCTTCATCAAAATGTTCAAGCCACTTTGCCATGGCACCAGTCGCTTGTGAAACCATATCTTCCTTTGCCTCCCTTGCAGCTGCGGTGTCCAGCTCGATGCGTTTTTGGGACTCGAGGGAAACTTTCTCGTCGCGCTCCTTGCGCTTCTTCTCTCTGTCAACCAACCACTGCTCTCTGCTAGCGAGGTACTTGATGCTGTGCCCAAGTCCGGCACTGTCGTTTGAAACGCCCTTGTGGGGTCGATCAAGAGGTGGTGCGGTGAAGAACAGGACCCGGCCAGCACTATCGTGCTGGAAGGAATGCCGGACCTCAGCGGGGAGAGCATCATGGAGGTTGTCTGGAAGCGTGTAGACCTCTGGAGGCCTTGGTGGGTTGTACATGTTGCCGGGAGGAATGACGTTGCCAGGCGCAGGGCCCATGGGGGTCCTAGTGACAGGAGAGGCGGGCACTTGACCGTACGCGGGTGCCATCGGGTTGCCCATCTGCGGCTGTTGGTGCATCGGAGCTGCTGGAGACTGTGGATATCCCTGTACATAATTCTGGGGGTACCCGGGTTGAGTGTGTTGGTGAGGCTGGTACTGGACCGGGCGGACGGAGACCTGAGGAGCTGGGGGTCCGAGATGTGGAGGGTGAGGAATGGGCACAGGTGTCTGGTGAATCTGCGGAACTGCCACTGGAGTCACAGGCTGGAAGTGAGGCGCCATGTGTGCGTTGTACTGACCGGGCGACGGGGATGGCCCAGTACCGGGATACGGTACAGCGCCTCTGGCAGCGTCCACAGACACATCTCTAGGCACCGACATCATGGACGCACGTGGGCCAGCATCGACAGTGATATCTGGGATTGGAATAGCCGACATGGACATGGATTGCGGTGGTGGTGTAGGCTCAGGAGGCGGCGACTCCTATAAAGCAAAGGATCATCGTTAGTCAATCAAACGCCAAAGGTGAATGTGATGGTGATGGTGATGGTGATGGTGAAGCGGATCAACCTGAGGCAGGAAGATACTGCTATCGGGGTACCAGCAAACAGAACGAGGATGCGAGGGGCCGATGGGGCAGCAAAGACAGGGATTGTAGAAGGCTGGCTGACTTCCCACCGACCAGGCAGCGCTGCAACAGTGACAAAACAACTCAGCCTTGGGGGGCTCTTTTTACTCACATTCAGCTCTCGAGGGCGGCGATGCACGGCTCCAACAATGGGCGGCGCGTTGGGGCTCCCCCACGTCGGCTTGGGGAGCTCGTCTGTCTCTTTAGCATCCTCGCGAAGTAGATGCTTAATAGGGCTAGGGACCTTCTTCATCCTCCGAGGCACGTCAAAGAGGTCCATCTCATAGTCCCTTTCTCGCACCTCATCCGGCACGCAGCTCGCCCACGTCTTGATCTTGTTGAACCGGAATCGCTCCTCGTTATACCGCGACTCGCAGACGTAGACGTCTTTGTTCGGGGGGAATCCCCGCGGCCGGCCCTTGTTGAACCGTGTCACAAACATGACGAAGCACCGGTCGAGAACATCTTCGATCTGGTGGTCGCGGTACTGCCCCGTCTTGACCACCTCGTGCTCAAAGAAGTGTTTCTCGAAGCGGTGCACCGTCTGCTCTGGTCGGTAGTACCAGCACGCGTTGATCCATTTCTGACCAGCGCGATCCTGCCAGGTTCGATAGATCTGCGCCACAATGGGCTTGGCGAGGTCATTCGGATTCCGGATGTGAACCCAATCCCCTAGGTGTAAGCCGTCAGCGATTGCCCTAAAAAGGCAGCATGTCCGTCAGTGTCGTTCTAATACATACCGACTTTCCATGCCTGTCCATTGTACTGGATTTCTGCCAGGGGAAGCTTTCCGTCCTCATCTCGGAAGTCATCGTCAGGCCTAGCCTTTTCCTGTCCGGCGAGAACTCGAGCCTGCTTCTGTAGCTCCACGGCAGCCATGTGTACCTCGCTGTCATCCTCGTTGTACAGCTTTGCATTCTCAAACATCAACTCGATGTCTTGCATCATGTGGTCGACGTGCTGGTACTTCTTTCGCTTGGCCTTCTTCTTGATGTTGTCAAGAGCCATCGGGTTTGTGATGGTCTGATAGTAATCCGCAACTACGCCCTTGTCAGGGAGCTTCTCAAAGGGTAGGATGAGCAGGTTTCCATCATAGTCCTTAGGCTTCCTGAGTCCTTTAAGAATCGACGAGATACGCGCCTCTGTGGGGGTCAAGACCATGGGTGGTCGACCGCGGCGCTTATGTGCATCGTCGTCCTTATCCTCGTCCCGGTCTCTCCGTCCAAAGCCAGAGGCACGACCTCGTCTCCGGCGGCGGCGTCGGCCTCCCTCATCATCCGAATCGTCATCATCCTCGTCCTCGTCCTCATCCTCGTCTTCTTCCTCCTCCTCGTCTTCTTCTTCTTCATCATCCTCTTCCTCCGCAGGTGGAGAATCCCCTTCAACAGGTGGAAGCTCCCCCAGGTCGGGCAGCTTTGCATCCTCTGCCGAGATGTAGCCTTTCTCCACCAACTTTTGGAGCTCTTCGACGAAGATCTCCCTCAATCGAACCGCTGCACCAAAGATGGGCGCGGAGGGGCGGTTGTACACCTGGGCATTGTGGAAGATCTGCGACACATCCTTGACGAACTCCGGGAACGAGGTGTATTGCTTCTTCTGGGTTTTTCCCTGCACCTCTGGGTCAGTATCACTACCGAACCACCACCGCGTTGATGACATACCCTGACGGTGCTAAACGCAACGGGTTCGGATATAACTTCGAAGTAGTCAGGCAACACGCGCCGGTTCGGGATGCGCTGGAAGCCGCTGGCCAGCTCCTCGCCACTGTAGATTGACGTTGTTAGGCTGTGATCATAGGGAAAATAGATAAGCGGGTAGACGTACTCCTCCTCGATACTACAGAGATAGGTCGCGAGGTTATGGACCATACGGAACAGGTCGGGTCGTCCTTCATCGTCCATCTCGCCCTCGGCGTCCTCATCACCCTCCGCATCCTCGTCACCCTCCGCATCCATATCAATGTCCATGTCGCCGTCGGCATCAGCGTCGGCATCCGGTTCGTCGTTGGGGCCATCTTTCATCTGAACGTCTTGGTCGCCAATCTTGGCCTCGATCGATTCGCGCACCTCTGGCGCAACTGCTCTCCGGGAGGACATGGCTCGGGTCGGGGGCCACTGCGGCGGTAGTCGCGACGTCGCGGCGTCGAGGTGACCACAAGTTTCGGCGGGCACTGGTGGAGGTGTCTCGTCGGCGGCGCAATCGCCAAAGAGGGTCGATGGGTTAGAGTCGCGAAATGGGAACGCCAAATTTCGCGATTCTGGGGATAGAGCCAGGTCGAGGTACGTACCAACTTAATGGTGCGCGCGCGCAAGTGGTCTGAATCAATGTCCGTGTTGTTTGCGCTAGTCCTTTTTAGGCTAGTATGTGCGTGCAAGGAAGCACGCGAGTCCGTGCATGCCAGCTGGCCCAGCATCATGGTGAACCTCCCACTCCCGGGTAAGTATAAACACGCAAGTATTGCCAGGAGGAGTAGCTCGCTAAGCTCACGTATAACCTTGAAAGACTCTGTCACTGAGGCTCGAGGTATATGTTCTCTGATTTCTTTCTATTCACTCGTCTTTATCTTGTGGGTAGACTTTAGGGTGCTAAGAGCTTCCCATACAGCTTCTCTGGTACCCCCGCTCCTTACAGCCCAATCAACTATTTATTATATTGGTGTTTCCCACGCCGCCATCAGCAGATGCCAAGGAAATCCTAACACTACATCGACGTCAGGAAAGCACATCGTCTCTATATATAACACGATGCGAGCCCGCTACAAAGGGCCCGCCGGCACCGGCATTATCGAGATGCCAGATTCTGCGACTGTTCAAGATGTCCTCGATGAGCTTCGGGCTCGGACTGGCATCGTCAGCTTCACTATAAAGTACGGGCCACCCATGGCCATGAAGACACTTGACCTAGGCCAAGTTGGTGAAACAGCACGGTCCATAGGTCTCCATGGTGAGACTCTAACCATCGTCCCTGAAGAAGCGCCCCCAGCTCCAGATACGACGACACAAGCAGCAAGCCAGCCGAGCGAAGGCCCTGAGGATATCAATGTTCCGTGGCCAGGGCGCGAAGGGACACTATGTAAGACTGGCGATTGCAATAAACATGGCCTAGATACTGACTGGGACCAGTGCTTCGGGTCATGCCCAGCGACAACAGTTGTCTCTTCACTGCATTTGGCGGCGCCCTGCCGAAGCAGATTCCAGCTCAACAGCTCAGGAGGATGATGGCAGATTACATCACCCAGCACCCAGAAGTCTACTCAGAAGCTGTCCTAGGCAGCCCGCCCAGCCAGTACTGCCGCAGTATACAAGACCCGGACCGCTGGGGAGGTGGGATCGAACTGAGTATATTGTCTGCCATCTTTGACATTCAAATCTGCACCTTTGATGTCCAGGTGACTACCTGAATTCCGTCAACCCAGAAATGACCTCACTAACCCCAAAACTAGGTCCAAAATCTCATCAACTTTGGCGAGGAAAAGCGGGATCGATGCGTCTTGGTCTATTCGGGGATCCACTACGACCGGGTGGCCTTCAGCTACTCTGATTCCCCACACCATACGACCACCCTCCCCCCCGAGATGGACCGGACAGTTTGGCCAACAGATGACAACGAAGTACTACAAAAGACCGAGGAACTCGTCCGGAAGCTCAACGCAGCTCACTATTACACGGACACGGAGGGCCTCGTTCTTCGATGCGATGCCCCCGGTTGTGACTGGATCGGAAGTGGTCAACTCGAGGGCAGAAAGCATGCCGAGCAGACAGGCCACGTTGACCTGAGTGAGATCAGAGACGTTGAGGGCGATAGTGTCCTCCGTAGCTGTGACAAGCCGGGATGTGACTTTATAGGTCAGGGCGACAGAGCCATCAGGCAGCATAGCACAGACACTGGGCATGAGCGTTTTAGTGTCATCCCCGACTGGTAGCCAAGCTCGGATTGGTATCTCAACTTGGCCTCGTTTTAGCAAAAGCAGTCGCTGCAGGTTGAGATGGTCGATAGTCGACCAGCAGTTGATCTTGGGCTTGCCTGAAACTGGACCTCGGATTGCCCCGGACCTGAATGGGTCGTTATAGATATGTGACCCATTAGCCCATGCTGGGTTCCACACATACTCGAGGAAAGTCAGGTTTAAGGCGAACAATGCTTGCACAATATTGTCTTAATTCATATATGAAGTGAGATTTTGCTCATAGTGCCGTTCCTCAATCTCTGATTCCCATGATAAATGTTCTTCCTCTTGCTCGTCGCGGCCATGCATTTTAATTGTATTCCTGCGTTTGTCTCTGTCCCTGAACTCGCTGCTCGATCTCAATGTGCTTTGAATGTGGATTTAGTCCTTTCTTTCATTCCACACTCGAATAATTGTTGTTGGCGCCTCTTGTCAGACCCTTGGAGCTCTACTGGACATGGACAGAAGGACATCATTTGTCCTTACCCGAAGCCTTGGACTTATGCAGGGAATCGATGTTTGCCAAGGATAAATCTAGAAACTCGTGCTTGTTCGTCCATGTTTGCTGGCTGGCCGCATACTCCTTCATTTGGTCAGGGTGAGGGGGAGGGTCGGTGATCTTGGTGATCAAATAAGCAGTGGAAGCCTCGGCAATTCCATAGACGAGGACGCCAACAAGGGGGATTTTGACAAGGATATAAAAGCCCAAACCAAAGCCGAAGAGGACACCTTCTCGACTGCGGAACCAGTTGCGCTTCTGCTCCTTTGTGAGATGGACTCGTGCAAAATAGGGCTCGAGAAGCTCTCGCATCAGACTTCTAGAAGAGAAATAGGTTTGTAGGAAAATGACGAGGTAGCGTCGAGGGAGGAACAGACCAGTTCCAAAAATGACCGAAGCAGGACCTAAGCCAACCGCGGTGTTGAAGGTGTAGAAACTCGCAGCGGGAAGGACAAAACGGCCAATGACCGGCGTGAATGACAGGGAGAAAACAGCAAGTGAGATGAGGCCCTTACGGACGAAGCGATACAGAAACATGGTTACGGCCTGAGCGGTGCTCTCGGAATGAGTGCTTCCATCGAATGCGCGGTACATTTTGAGATTAGGATAGAACATGTCTCGAAGGTCGGAGGGGTTTTCATCCTTGTGCTTCTGGACATAAGTCGCGTCTACCCATTGCAGTGACTGCATGAACCTAGACTTGTTTAGCATATTGTACAAAGACCGAACCAATACGACATTGGCGAGGTGAGCTTACAGGTTGTCCAGTGTCGGGACTACGTAACGCATGAGGGCCATGAGGAAGAAGGGGACTTGGAGGACATATTCAGCAATAAAATCGAGGCTGTTGACGATGCTGTCATCCCAAGTCACGGAGTCGAGCGAGACGAATAGTGAAGTAAACCAGATGAATATCTTGATCCCAAAAATCTGCAAATGCGAGGTCAGCACGAATGGTCTACCTCCAATTGGCAACTTGGAACATACGGGGATGGCGATGACGAGCCGGATGACAATACCGGCCACGACGGCTATTGCAACCTGGCGGTAGTGATCGTTGGTGAATAAGGCGGGATTCTGAAGGGCTCGATGGGCTTGAGGCTCCCGAAACTCGTCAGCGTGTCATGTTGTATGGCCAGGCACAGCGGCTACTTGCCTCCAACCAGGGTGAGCTGAGCGCCGCGAATGACGGTGTTTATGTCAAAGTGAGAGATATCAAACGCCTCCTTGATCTTAGTCTTGTCGACATGCAATCCTTCCCCAGGCGCCATTTTGCTGAGTGGCAGTGAAATGCACGTTCTATGAACCAGGGACCGGATTTCTTCGATAGCAATAGGTGGTGGAGCTTAAGAAGACCGGGCTGAGTTGAGATGTTGATATGTCGAGACAGGTAATCAATCTCAGCCCTGAAAGTCACGCAACGATAGTAACAAAAGATTCGCTTTCCGTTACTTGACAGGCTGGTGGATATTTCGGGTGGAGTGCTGGTGCCGGGAAGTGAGGTAGGGGATGATGCGTTGACGACTCTCGTATGAGCTCGGTTGACGGTTGTAACCTCCAGCTACTGAAGCTGCTGACGTGCTAGTTGAGAGGGGAGAGTTCCGTGGCGGGTGTGACGTAGGACGACGCGACTACTACATATGACCAAGTACTCTGTACGCTTTGTGCCAAGGTACCTACCACCTACCTGCGCTGACGTGCGGCGGAGGCTGTGCACGCAGGTTGAATCATCCCCTGCATACTCGTGCATCGCACCGACATGCAGTGGCTCAGTCATTGCAGCCATGAGTGGGCAATTGTTGCGACAGCTTCGTGTTAATGGATTACTCAGGTACCTACGAATGATGACGGACTGGTTGGTTGGTCAATCGACTAGTTGGCAAGGTACAGTTGGCTGGTTGACTGATTGGTCGGTATGATACGGCTCCATCGTACGGTATCAAGCTTGGACTGGCATGGGCTGGCAGGGACTGGAATACACTGCCCGTCATTGTGTCGCGGAACAAACGAATATCTGCCGAGTAGGAAGCTGGAGGAGGCAACATGCCGTGTTCCTTTGCATTCCATTCCCACTGAAATTGGATACTTGTGTATGGAGGTACCTGGGCCCTGCGTAGGTACGATGTGTTTGTTGTAGTACTGTGGAGTGGGTAAAGGTGCATGGCAACCTGCAGGGGTGCAGAGCGGATGCAGGGAACCGCGAAGGTCGTGAACGCGGCTTGCGGGTGATGACTAAGATTCCTTATCCAGGGCCCCCAGTCTCTTGGGAGAGAACGTCCCCTCTGATCTGAGACGGACCGCAATGGCCGTCGGTTTGATAGCAGCCACCTTCCGACTCTCTAAAGTCGTTCGATTGTGATATCGTCCTTGGTTCCCCGAACCGTTGGAAACGTTTTCACCTTGGACTACCTCTCTCACTTGTTCCATCACCTCTCTCTCCCCTTCCCTCGCTCACCGCCCAGGGATCCCCACGGCGACGCGACGCCGGGAGCGCAGGCATCGAGATCAGATCGACCCCAACCCCTCCCCGACGTCACGCAATCATGATATCCGACTTCCATGCGACCCGTTGCGATGCCTGAGTCACACCTAGGCCAAGGAATCATTTGCGCTACTAGAAATACACACACAACCTACATCCAGCATGGATGATTCTACATCTGCTCATCCGCGTTTCCCGCCGCCGAGACGGGTTGCGACGGCTCCAACCACCCTACCAGAACCAGCTGTCACCAGCTCCTCCTCGACATCTGCCACTTCCCTCTCCGAGGGTCTTGTCGAGACCCTCTACAGCCACCCTAATGTCAAAATCATCGCCTTCACCGCCGCTGGGAGGGCTTTCCGGGGTTCCGGCTTCCCTAGCGGTGAAGCACCTGGCACTCTCTCGTGGTCCTCACATGTCGAGAGGACTATCGCTGTCGGTAAGCTCGTGCATTCTCGTGACCTCCAATATACCAGTGCCCACTGACCTAACCTGCCCAGGCCCGTTTCGAATCTACCGGGCACCCGGGTCCGTCTCATTTCTAAACTGCGGCTCTGCCTTGCAGCCCATTCTGCCCAAGAGCCAAGTTTGGTGCATCGACGAGATCAATAGCAAATTTATCCTGCAAATTCGTCGACCTAGCTACTGGAGGATAGAACTCCCGGTGGCCGAAGCCGAAGACCAGCTCCGAGCAGAGGCACTCAGGGAGGTCTTTGATAAAATCCTACAGTTTGAAAAGACAGAGTGCCCTTTCAAAAGGGCTTTTACGGTTGAACTCCCCGAGCCTCCCGAGACTCCAGTCAAGTACAAGCCTTGGACACCCGTACGAAGATCGATGCCCAATACCCCGACCGATGAGGAGGATGAGGAAGACGACGACGAGGATGACGACGACGAGGATGACGACGACGACGATGATGACGAGGAGGATGATGACGATGAGGAGGATGAGGACGACTCTGACTCTGACTCCTCTGACGAGGATGCCTCGCCTACCTCACCCGTTGCTACACACCCCCGACCAACAACCCCGACACCTTCTAGGGATAAGAAAACCCCTGGCGATTCTAAGAGCCCAAGCACGCCTTGGTATGTCCGGGCCCAGGTCGACGAATTAGAAACTAAGATCGGGATTGAGGGCACAGAATGGATAGACATCTCCAACGCGACATGCCCTTTACGCCCATCGGGGCTACATGGACAAGACAACCAATCAAATGAGCCCCGAAGTCCAATTAGCGATGCGGAATGGCAACAATATGATGCTCTCGAGTATCCTCATCATACAGGGAGAGGCCCGTCGAGTCCACCACATGATGATGATGAGTCTCGACAACCACTCTTCCAACCCTTACTTGTTCCATCAAACCCTCGCGAAGGCCTATATATTTCCACACAATTCCAAAACTCACCTGCCGAACTCACCACCCCCAAGGCACGAGTTCCTCCAACTGCCTGGATTGGCGCAGAGCCACCGGAGCTGCAGGACGAAGGGCTATCGAAGTCACCTCCAGAAGATGACGGCTCGACCTACGAATTACATGAGGGCACTGGGAGCCAGAGAGATCGGATGAAGGCCCGGCTGCGGCGAACTGCAGGGTTTGCTGTAACACGATCAGCGACGCTGCCATCGCATTTTAAATTGCCGGCAGACCAGTCCCCGAAATCCAGCGCTTCATCGTCTACCAATGCCAGTGGCGTTGAGGAGAAGGATCTTCGCCGTGACAGCGAAGAGTCTTTCCGCAGTGTGCAGTCCCGACACTCAACTGTTCTGCCATTATCAGTGTCACCTACCATAGCACAGCCTAACGCCAACGGAACGATAACAGCTGATCACGACACGGTATCGCAGGGGGGAGATGTTTCGGAGACGAGAAGCGGTTGGGAAACGGGATCTGATAGAGGGAGCTCGGCCTCGCGTGAGAGCGTTGCCACCGCCCCAGATGATTCACCACCAATCAAGATCGTGGGTGCGTTTCCAACTAGCAACACCCCCGAGGTTGTTGAGGAGCCCCCTGCTACAATAGCCAAGCCTCAACGGCGCGTAACAAGACATCGAGCAACCACAGGTAGCATTTCGGTAAGACATCGACCTTTTTCGCCTCTCCCTTCGGCAGCGAACCTCTTTGCCCCCGCTCCAACGGTGGAGCGGCGACCCCACGAAAGCAAGTTGGAAGCCGCCAAGTGGCTCCCCATGGCCATTATACTCAAGACACTCGAAATGCTATTAGGTCCCCCAAGCTATCTCATCGCTCTGATGCTCAAGGTGGCCGCGAAGATTGTTGCTGGAGAGTGGAGAGGCCTCGTGTTTGGATACGGCGACGACGGTGAGGAAATTCCGGTCCAGTGGGACTATTCGGACGGCGAGTTGAGTGACCTGAGTGACGACGATTCGTATATGGGCGCTCACCCCAGCCGGAATAATCGTCGACGCTCTCGGGCTGCAACTAACGAGGAGAGGGCGGCGGACAGTCCCAACGGCTCGGAAGACAGCCGGAACTGGGGCGTGGATTGATCAAGGAGGTCGCAGGATATTACGTCGCCTTGTAATCATGGAATGTAAGATATGAGAAATTCGAGAGGAGCAGGTAATGTGATGAACCGATGTAGTGTGAGCTGTACGAGCTGACTGAGTGGAGCACATATGGGCCCGGGAGTTCGACTTGATGGCGTTGGATATTGTGGATGAGCCTTTTAATTGGCATCGTTGCTCCAGGACCTATTCAGAGGGTTGTCAATGACGTTTTGGGGGGGGGGGGGGGGGGGGTGCAACCGGCGCTGAGTGTAAGGATGCGGACCAACCGATGCAGATGAATGCAACTCGCAAAAGGAGGCTCGCGGTTTCAGACTAGAGTTTTTGTTTGTTCTCTATACCAGACCTAGGTATGAAATGTCAAGCACGAGAAATATCCAGCCTGGGATTGACGCGAACTATGTGAATTCATTGGCGGCATCGTTCCGTCTTTTGCGGTGTGTTGATGGGAGGTTTAATTTCATATCAGTGGATGAGCAACGAGATGGGCGGAACGAGTTTCAGGCTCTTGCCACCTCTTCGCGGTATAATGCCCGATTAGGAAATTCGGTAGCCTGGCTCTTGGTCGGGTTTGGTGAGCTGGGCGAGTTGTCGCATCAAAGCTGCAGATTAGTGTCGGCTCCCGCGCCCGAAACCATGCACCCGACGGATACGGGGAAAACGAGAAATGCGAGACAAGTACCGCGGCGGTAGCGGCTAGGTGCCTCAACACCCAGTCTTGCAGCTCAAGGCACCTTTACCTTGGGAAAAGGTACATGGGGCTGATCCGACGGGGCCCGCTGGTGTCCACGACCGTATTCTTCGCAACAATGCGATTGGCCGTCGAGCACCACAGGGCTGAGGCAACTGGATTTGGGCGACATGATACGAAATGTTTCCCCAAGTCGCGATGTTGCTCTGGTGGGCGATGGCAGACTACTTAAGAGCAAGCTGGAGACCCCATCTCAAGGGAAAAGAGTTTCCAGTCGTGCTGCATTCGCATACTGACTGTATTTCCCCACCCTCTCTCCATTTAGTTGAACCGTCATCGCCAGAGCGAGACTCTTACAGCACTTCAGGGACGTTTTATTAGCAGATCTCCTTGTAGTTATGTCGGACGGCGAATACGGTATGTTTCTTTCCATCCATGCATGGCTTGGCTATCCCTACTGAGATCCCAGTTGCCGCCCACTAACAATTGGTTGATTGGTAGTCGACGGAAGTTACTACTTCTATGCCCCCAACAAAGGAGCCGCCATCTTCTTTCTCGTTTCCTTCTTGGCATCAGGCTCTTTTCATGTCTGGGAGTGCTTGTAAGTCTCCTCCACGGCGACGGGACCTCCTCGACGATATGTCATCATTCTAACAATGTACAAAGCAACTACAAGTGTTGGAAGCTGACGCCTCTATTCCCCTTCTGTTGCCTCCTCTTTACTGTTGGATTCGCCCTTCGTGAGTATGGAGCCTTCCACTATGACAACCTCGACGCATTCATTGCGAGCATCTGCATTACCTATGCCGCCCCGTAAGCTAAGCTCCATACCTGGCAGAAAGAAATAAACGGCTCTGACTGATGGATGACGCAGACCACTCCTTGAGCTACAAAACTACCACATCTTGGGCCGAATCCTCTACTACGTCCCCTATCACTCGCCCCTCCACCCTGGCCGAGTCCTGACGACCTTCGGGTTCATCTCCGGCATCATCGAGGCTCTGAACGGCTGGGGTGCATCGTACTCGGCAAATCAATCGTTGACAGATAGCGAGATTGAGACGGGCCATGCCCTTATCAAGACGTCATTGATCCTCCAGATCGTCGTGGCTGTCTTGTTCATAGCGCTCACCACAATGTTCCACCGCAGGTGCCTGGCCAATGGCATTAATAATCAACTGTTGAGCAGTTCGCTGTTGACGCTCTATATTAGTATATTCCTCATCTTGACACGCACCATCTTTCGCTTGGTCGAGTACTTTGGCGTTGCCAAGCTTCGTATCAGGCCTGGGTTCAACCCCATGTCGATGTCGCCGATTATTCGCTACGAATGGTTCTTCTACGTCTTCGAAGCGACTATCATGCTTATCAATGTTGTTATGTTCAATATGCGTCACCCCCGACGATATCTGCCGAAGAGCAACAAGATCTACCTTGCGCAGGATGGCGTGACGGAGGTGGAAGGCCCCGGATTCAAGGACCCCAGGCCGTTCTGGCTGACTCTCGTGGACCCGTTCGACATCCGGGGCATTCTGAGTGGAGAGTCAAAGCAGGATAGGTTCTGGGAGACACATGACCAGGGTGCTCTGGACAACAGAGAGAGGGTCAAGTCAGATACGGAGCTGGTATGAAAGGGGATTTGAGGCGTCGAAGATGAAGAGACGAGACCGGAGTGGGGACGGAGCGAATCGATTTTGGCAACGTTGGCGAGAGCTTAACTAACTGGTCGGCGACCTCAGAGTCGAATGAAACTGCCTCGCTAGCAGCCCTCGGGCTGCTGGTTCTAATTTGGTCACTAGTTATACCCAGAAAGTCTTACTTCTGTGTTGGATTGTTTTCTTCTGTTTCCTTCAGTTTCTTACGGTACGGATAGACTTGTGTATTGTCAAATATGACTACTTCAGGAATGATATTGGATTGATTTTATGATAAAACCGTGAGGGGGCTATCGCTCGGTGGGATATCGCCCAGTTCCTTGAAATGAGATGGGGGGGACTCGGGGACCAATGTTACTAACAGGGGAGGGTGAAGACATGTTTGCCAATTTTGGCGTGGCATCGTTTGTGCCATGGGCGCGATACCGATACCGACAAAGAATGCCTCGCCTGAGACATGAGGCTTTGTCTCACCTGCCATTGACTACTGGCGAGATGAAGATACGAAACCGAGAATAGTCTGCTGGGCGGAGCAGGTTTGAGGTGGATACGAATGGTCGGCGACGGCGCAGCGCCGCGCAGGGCGGAGTCGCGGTTGGGAGATGACAGGTTCTAAGAATATCTTAGAACGGATGGACCAGGGTTAGGTACTACGTAGGTCGTCGGTCCGCCGCCAGAGTGCCAAGACCGGGAGGCTTGCGGTTTCCCAATTTTCTTCCCCTTTCTTTTGCTGCCTTCCTGTCTGGGGCGAGTTGGCAATGAAGACAATGGCCGCGGTCCAGCACTTGTTGAACTTCATGCACTAGCAGATGACGGGGTTGACTCCGGGGAGCGCACAGATGCAGCTGAAGTCGCATAATAGCGTGCCTTATGCCGCTGTGGGCAATGCTGGCCTGGGTACCTATGGGTAGATGGCTAGGTACCTATGGGTAGATGGCTAGGTACCTACCCATCAGAGAAATATGAATTTCTCTCCAACAAATACTTACGTAGTTAGTATTGAAGGTCCCCGATCACCTGTAATAAAATCTTGCCTAAAACCTACATTTTTTCTCTCGGTTTTGGTTAGTTGACAATTGGGGTTGACACTGCTTTCCTTGCCGCGAGTCGGCGCCATTACCTGCCAAACACCTGACGGTATTTGCACAGAGAAGATACGGCATGCAAGCTGGCTACGTGTTGTCAGACGTTTGAGCCACCTTATGATTTGTTTCGTTTGAGGGGAAAAGGTCAATTCACCCGGTAACAATCCTGCCAGCTGTTTCCCTTCCCATCTTAGATGAGACAGAGAACCGCCTGAGCCCATGCCCCCCAATGGGTCCTTTTACGAAGGATGCGCCCAGGAAAGGGACAACACCCTGGCGAAAGATTGACACAGCCACAGGTCCACCGCTTTTCGGCCTCACGTTAAGGCATTCCCACCATGCCCATCCACATTTACTGACATCATGCTGTAGCTCACTGTCTTTGGGGAGGTTGTCATCCGAGCTCGTGCTGATGGATGAGATGGAGGAAGGGGACGAGTCGTGCATGGGTTATGGATGGATGAAGAATCCCTCATTCAAACGCGCCTCATCTCAGCGGCGGCGAAGCCGGTTTGACAGCCGTGGTGATGCATTAGTTGCGTGTCCTGGCTGGTCGCTGTTGGAGCTATGCACTCACTAGAGATGCGCGTATCCTTCATCCATGCATCTGCTCTGATCCAGATCCCTCACAGAAGGATCAACGTTTAGTTTTCCCCCCATTTCACCGACCTCATCCATCACCCATCATCCCAGGTTCCGTTTGGCGCTCATCTCCCAGGAACCCCCGGAGAGCCCGCACCCCCGAAACTTAGTACATACCCTGGATAGACACCAGGTTCCGCGCCGTCTTTCTCTTGATGGTTTATCCTGTCCTCCTCTTCCTCTTCCTCTTTCTTCTCCTTCTCCCCCCCTTTCCTCGTCAGCGTCTGTCAAGCTAGAGACGTCTGCAAATCGAAAAAAATCTGATCAAAACGAATGAACGAACGAGCTAGCAAGGGATTGACCTATACGATTCCATATATGCTACTGTCAGAACGTCGGAACATCGCCGCCTACCATCTCCGCCACGGTCTAAATAAGGGACGTCCTATCGTCCTTGGTCCTCCGCCCTTCGCCGCAGCCTGACAGCCAACGACGACGCCCTCGGTGCAGCAGCGAGCGAATACTGGGTTGATACAACTGCTGAAGGGTGGAAGTTGTGACTGGACCTCTCCAAGATCAAAGCCTCGCCGTCAGCAGGTACCTGGGTAGCCACCAACTCCACTGCACTGCAAGCACTAGCTGCTAAGGCACAACCCCCCCCCCCCCCCCCCCTTCCCCAGGCGACACCAAACTACAAGTAC